TGTTCGTTCAGAGCCTCGTCGAAAGTCAGGCGAAGTCGTCGATTTACATGAAGATTACGTAAGACGACCAGAAGACCCCATCACGTCAGATTACAGAAACCCAGATGGAAGTTTGGTCAGAGGAAGCAATGCAGAAGAAGCCAGGCTAGATCCGTTGACTTTGGAAGGGAGGAGCGACCATTCCGTGGTGAAGTTGCCACGTGTCATTGCAAAGACGATTCAAAATAACATTTTAAGTCAAACGATGCCTTCTTTGCTTAGAGAGAGGGCTGCAGAGATATACCGTAGTTTGGAGAAGGATCTGATTCAGAAAGCGCCAGCTGGGGGCATCGATAGTGATGCTTATATTGCCGCTTTGTTTCTTCAGGATTACGCAAATGTCAGGAAAGTGCTTGTGGAGTTGAAGAAACGAGTAGGTGCTTCGTTTAAGCCTGATTCGGTTTTGGATATTGGGTATGGGCCTGCTACAGGTATGGTTGCACTTAACGAGCTCATGGGAGCTGATTTCAGGCCTAAAGATAAGGATGCGTACATTGTGGGCCGCCGGAATGACGAAATGAAGAAAAGAGCTAAGATCATCTTATCTCGGCAGCTTTCTGAGGTTCCAGATGAGCTTTTGGTGGAGGTTGATGAAGCTGAGGAGCCGCCAAAGGAACTTAAAGACGATAATTACGTTGGGCCAGTGGACGCACGTCGAATTAAAGTGAAAACAAAGTTGAGAGACTCTTTGGCGTCGACCAAGAAGTACGACTTGATTATTGTAAACCAGGCGCTTCTTACACGCGAACACAGTTTCCCTCGAGACGTCGATTTGAACCTTGAAATGGTACTCAACTTGCTTAGTCCAAATGGCCATTTGGTGCTTGTGGAAAGAGGCAATCCTCTTGGATTTGAGATCATTGCCAGGGCTAGACAGGTGATGCTTCGTCCAGAGAACTTTGAATCTGAAAGAGGTAAAATCCCCAGACCGTATATTCGTGGATCGAAGCCAAAACCTCAGAAACTCAGAGATGACGATAAGATGGTTACCGAAGAACACATTGAGCATGAAGCGAAACTCATGAAGCAACTCCAGGAAGAGATTGGCGATGTTGACGATGCCGAGCTTGAAAAGCAGCTCAACGAACGGTTTGGCGCTTTAAGCGAAAAAGATCTTAAATTCGAAGATGAAGACGATGTGGATATCATTGATCCTCTGGCCTCGTCAGCCCCAGAACAAGATTACGCCGGCGTCGACTTCCATTTGAGTATCGTGGCGCCTTGTCCTCACCACGGCAAGTGTCCTCTTCAACTTGGCGATCCAAACTTATACAAAGTCAGGAACCACAAGCACAGGTTCAGTTTCTGTTCGTTCAACAATATCATGGAAAGACCTCGTTACACCATGGAACTTAAAAAAGGTAAGGCTTTGGCCACTCTGTGGGAAAAAGAGGAATTACTGAAGAGTGAACGGAAAGCCATGGAAGGTGGAGGCAGACCTGGAGGACATAACAGTGAACTGGGCGACTACTCGTACCTTATTGTTCACCGTTCGCCCAACGATAAGAAGTCTATTGAAAAAATCGAATCTGACAGAGAACATTCATCCAGTGTGGAAGATAACTCCTCTGTCTGGCCTCGTTTGGTGACTTTCCCAAGCAAAGTCAAGAAAAACGTCAAGTTTGATGTTTGTGCACCTTCAGGCAGCATTGAAACATGGCAAGTGCCCAGATCTGTGGGAAAACAAGCTTACCACGATGCTCGTAAAGCACGCCAGGGCGATTTATGGCCTTTAGGTAAAAAAACAGTGACTGTCAAGTCGAGATTCTCCGAAGAAGGTATGGCCAGATTGAAGCTGATGGCCAAATCCCAAAGAAACATTGTCATCAAGGAAAAGAGAAAGAAAGAGTGGAAGAAGATGATTGTCAGAGACGCCCAGCTTCTTGAAGAAGGCGACGAGATGGATCCAGATACACTCCACGAGATCTACGCCAGCAAGTTGACGTCCACAAAGAAGTACCGCCAGCAGAGCAAGCGCCACGGCTTCGAATGATTGCATTACATGTACATAGTAAAGGGTAGGAATGGAAAGGAAGAAGGTAGGGTATTTGATATTGGAGTAGAAGCAGCAGAAAGCAGCGAAAAGCTGGTATTACACTTGTAAGGCCATTCTGCCTTATACAGAATTCCAGTCCTTCTCTGGTTCAACTTATATTTCTTAAGACTTCTTCTTCTCCTTCCCTTCTTCTACTTCTTCTCCTTCTCCTTCTCCTTCTCCTTCTCCTTCCCTACCTCTACACCCTCCACAAATCAAAAAACGTATAATAACCAGCCCGGGGGCCCGAAGTAAACTATACAAAACAGCCGAAACTTCCATCCTGGTGTCTCCTGGCGTCTTTCTATGGTACAAACTGAAAAAAATACTATGCTATAATTGTCTTTCTCTCTCTCTTCCCATCTACTTTCTTCTGAACGAACAGCCCTCTGTCAACTTGGCCTTACCTCCAGTAGGAGTACACAAGACAGACGAACAGCCGTCACAAGTGACAGCAGTCTGGGCGTGGGAAAACACAGTGGTAATGTTCAAGCAGCCTGGGCACTTGACGTCCATGAAAAACGATCTTGGGCCCTGGACGAGCTGCTTTTTCTTATGCTTTTGGGCCTCGGAGGCGGCGTTTGGGTGTAACAAGTCCTGAACTAAAACCATATTGAGGAAGGAAGGCGATGGAGGTGTTTCTGGGGAATGGAAATTTAGGGCTTTTTTTTTTTTTTTTTTTTTTCAGTACTGAGGCTTGATCTTGGGCAAGTACACGACCTGGGATTTGGGGAGGAATTGTGGGTGGTATATGCAGGAATGGGTGCAAAAAATGGAGGGAGGAAGCCAGTGGGTGGACTGTAACTTGGGAAGGGGAGGTGGTGGGATGGTGCAATTTGGGGTGGTAGTTGAGTGGGTACGTTAGAGGTTGGTGGGTAAATTTGGTGGGGATTGGAGGCGTGGAAGGGGAGATGGGTGGGGGTTTATGGTGGGTTAGAGTCACAAGAGTGGAAGGGAAGGGGAGGAGTGGTTTCAGGATGGGGAGGTGTGTAGGGTGGATGGGTTGGGGTGGAAGTGATTTAGAGGTGAGTTTGGAGTGGATTGGGAGAGTTTTCGTGGAATTTGGGGAAAGGGGGTGGTGGTTGGAGTGGACTTGGTGGTTATATAGTTAAGGCTAAAGGAAGGGAAGAGAAGGAAGAGGTAGTTGAGTGGATTTAGATGGAATTACGGTCTTTATGGTTTGAGGCGTTTTCTGTGTTCTATTTGGGTTACCTCGGATGTTTGTTTTGTTTAAAAGCTTGGGATGGTGGGAGATTGATGGTGGTTAGAAGCGTATAGTTAACTGTTATGTATGGGGACAAGAAGAGTGCATTCTGGGGCAACCTGGAACTGGGCAAGAGTAAACTAAAGGTACTTTTCAGGCTCCTGAAGGCACCTTAAAGCAAGGGAAATGGAGGGCTCGACGTTTGGGAACATGGAATGACCAGTTACTAACGCCTTGCATGGCATTCTGGGCCTTAAGTATGGAGTTCCGAATCGTCACTCAGTTGCCACCGAAAGGGTATAATATTGAAATGGGCTATTCAGGGAGGTTGCTTTGGGTTGCCAGAGCAACATTAAATTAGAATTAGTCATTTGGCTTCGTTTAGTGGTGATATGTGGTGGTTTAGTTAGGGCTAAAAGTAGGCATCATAGACTTCCTGAAAAGTCAATTTTTATTGAAGTTTTGTTGACATTTTTCAGGTGGTTTTGGTCAAGCCCGGTTAGTACGTAACTTAAGAATACTTCAGAAGCCAAGGACTAAAACTTTCACAAATAGATAACACTAGGACCTTAGGTTTCGTGGATAGAGGAGGTTGGCTAATGTTCCTGGAAATTAACAGAAAATGTAGGGGACAGTGTTGGTATTAAATCCCCCAGTCCAGGTCAAATATAGAGGCTGGAAGGTTGATTCTACAAGTCTCGTTCTACAGACTGTTCAGGCTGCATTGACAAAGAAGAGTATAGATATCATTAAAAGGTAAACTAGAGCATGCAAACAGAAGCTGTCTGAGATTTTTGCTGCTTAATGGGGAACAAAAAAGGCTTGAATAAATGGTTGTTGGAGGCATGGCTGCTCAGCAGTTAATTATGAATAACTGCCAGGCCATACTTGGTAACTGGTGATTCACAGAATAGTTTAAAAGCAATGAAAAAGTACAAGAACAGGAACAGACACCTAAGAAAAGAAAAGAAAAATCCAAGCTGAAACCCCAATTCACGGAAAACCAAATGTACATAACTCTCTGCCAAGTACTCCTTGTCCTCCTGGTCCTCCTACTCCACCACTCGACTACTCCACCACTCGACTACTCCCCATTCATTCAATGACCATACTTTGCCTCCTCCTTGGCTCCCCCATTCCAGTCCCTAAAAAAACCAAAACCAAAGCCACAACACTATACTCTAATTACGAATCCACAGAAGACCATGCGTCTACGCGAACCAGGCAATCAGCCAACCAATCAACCAATCAACTAAAACACTGAAAGGCCAAAAAAGGAACCAAAAAGGAACCTAAAAGTGGAGATTTCATCTCCATCTTCCTCTTCCTTTTCCCGTTTTCCTCCTTCTTTTCTTTTTTTTCCATAATTGCCCTTTTCCTCTTCACCAGTTGCAAATAGTAACGGCTGCGAAACCAGAAAACACCATAAAATAAGGTTACCTTCTGCCAAAAAGCGTCCACAAACCACCACCACTTGTTCAAATAAACCAGCCCAGCCCAGCAGAGCTGGTTAAATTTCCACCCTGGAACTCCCAAACCGCCTGTGATTTTTCCAGTGTCTTAAAAAAACCACCGGAAATTTCATATCTTCTGATTTTTTTCGGCATTTCCTTTCCTGCTTTTCCTGCTTTTTTTCGCCTGCTTTTTCACCAAAACATCAACATGCGAGTCTGGCCGAACCAAAACACGCTTCGTGAAATCAGAAAAGGAAAAAGAAAAAAAGACGAAGGAAACCTGAAAAAAAGGAAATTACCTGCCAATCAGAAGTGGCTTGGATTTTGTTTACGAAAAACCTGGCAAGATTTGGCCAGAAAAAAAGCCTAGATTGAATTGTCTTCCACTTTTCATCCAATTGATCTGACGCATCCTTTGATTGTTATTTTTTCTTGTCTCTTTTTTTTTCGCAGCCATTTCAGGCTTCATCCTTCAAGCATGTTTTATATTTTGTGTTGTGTTTTATATTTTATTATTTGGAAATATTTGGATTAAGCGAGATCAGCCCAGCCAAATCCTTCAATTTCAAGAAACAACTGGTTTTCCTGATTTCCTGTTTTCCTCTTTTTCTTCCACTCTTTCCAGTCCAGAACAGCCTCTTCTTCTGCGTAATAACCTCCAGTGCATGTGGACTAAAGGAAGACAGAACCTGCCAATTCCTGAATTTTCAACCTTCGTAACCTCTTAATGTCTTTTCTTCGCCTCCCTCGGCCACCTGGCGGTGGCCTCGGTTTCGGCAACTTTAATTTCTGAAAATTACCTCTTCCATGCCCAGATGGCTTTGAACCCTCCATGTAGAGGCATTCCACTGATAAGCTTTGATTTGCTTCCAGCCTTCCAGCCTTCCAGCCTTCCAAACACCTTTCCATAATTAGAACCATCCCTATACTTTCCTGAACACCGTAATCTGCTTTGTCTGACTTTCACTCTTTGTGTCTTTGTGTCTTGCCTTCCCTTGTCTTTGTCTTTGGGTGCAAAACAGGGTCTGGAAAGTCCCAGTTATCTCGCCCGTCCCTGGCCCAAATTCCACCAAACTTACACTGTCATACTGGAAATCGCGCGCTGATTACTCTCCCGCTTTCCGTTTTTCTCTACCACCTCTTCTTCGTCCAATCACTGTGCTCCCTCTTCCCTCCACCGCACCAGGCCTCGTTTTTCGTACACGCCGTGCGCCAGATCAAAGATCCTCGCAAATCAAGAAAAGCCTGCAGCAGGTGCGCCGCAGGGATAAAAAGGCCCTGAATTCCAGATCCCTTGGTTTTTCGAACAAGCCTTGAAGTTTTTAATTGGTTTTGGAAGGTTTTTCGTTTTTAAGGTTTTCCTTTGGATTTTGGACTTTTACGGTTTTCTTCTTGAAACTGAAAGAATCAAAGAAAAAGAGGTCTGAATCTGACTTGTCTGCGTCTGCCAGTCCAATTGGTCCAAGTTCACCAATCCATACGTATCTCCACCAATACTGGTCCAATCGCTCTGGAAATTACATTTTTGAATTCTCCTGCTAAATCCACCCACATTCCCGTTTTCCCTGGTCTGTTTTGACCACTATTCGGCTTTTCACCTCCCGGTTCCACCTTCCATTCCCTAATTCCTAATCCCTAATTCTCCTTCACCTCCCTTTCCAAGAATGCCACCTTCTCTGGTTGCCGATTGTGGCTCGGAAGAGCTGTTCATGGATATGCTTCTGCAAAACTTCCCGAAAACAAAGCATCCATACGATACAATCACTATGGGCATGATATTGGCCCCGTCTTTTGCCGCTGTGGTGTGCAATGAAAACGTCCATTTACCTACTCTCCTTTCTGACTTGGTCACTTTGATGCTAGTGGCGTGGGTCGTTCGGTTCTTGTCAAACTGGCCTGAACGGTGGGTGAAACACTTGAAACAGGTGAGAACAAGCCTACTTAATTTCGTCAATTCCGTGAAAATCGAAATCGGCCAGGCCTTCTTTTTACCTGAAATGGCTCTTAACAGAAGGGTTTTTGTAAGTAATCTTGTCGCTGCTCAAAGACTACTTAGGTTCGAGCAGCTTGCGTGGCTTGGGGGTATTGGTGGTACCCTCGCTGGCGCTGCTTTGATGCTAGTTACGAGAAAGTACTTGATTTCGCCTACTGATTATCGGTCAGAGGTTTTTGGCAATTCTACCATTCTTTTATACGTGGTGTGGAGTTTTTTTAAATTGGCTCTGCAGTATTTGGATTCGTTAAAGTCTTCAATTACCTTTACCAAGACTGCTACTGTGGAAAGCACCGTGACAGAGAATAATCTACTGTACTACATCGAAATGTTTTGCCTGGAATCGCCCGTGGTGTTGCCTACGATGAGTCCTAAAAAACCCAAGGAAGAACCTCCTAAGGAACGGACAGAACCTACTACTTTCTGCCCAAAACAACTTAATATGAAATCCAAGAACCCGCTTAACCGGACCTTGGCGGCTTCCAAACCCAAGAAGCCTTCGAAAATGGTGATTATCCCAGAACACCAACCTGTCAAGCTTAAAGAACCAGAATCCAAATTGAAACCTCTGCCTTCGGTCGAACGCCCCAAGAAATCAGTTTCATTTACTCCGTTTCCCTTGACAGGTTCAGGTTCAAGTTTCAGAAAGAGAGATGCTGCCGCTGGAGACCCTCTCGCTACGCTTTCACCAATAGCAGAAGACCAGGAATTGGCTGGTGTTGATCCAATCCAGACTGAACCAGTGGTTTCCGAACCATCAGTTAAAGAGAAGCCAAAGAAGCAAGGCAGAGTCAGTGTCACTGGAATCACGATTCCAGAAACGTCCAATCCGTCCATCACCAGGCAACAGTTCAGGGAATGGCATCTCAAGGATATGGAGTCGCTGACACCGCTGCTGCCACTGTCGCCGCCCATGCCGCTTCTGCCGCTTCTGCCGCTCAAAGTATATAGGACAGAGGATTCCGACGAGGTTGTGGGACGTATGAGAAGGTTTACAGACGTCCAGAGCCAGAAGGTGCAAAACGACTGGAAAGAGGTCCGCAGCAAGCTCACGGATCTCAAGGAAAGCTGCTACGAGTCTGCGTGGCAGTACGCCGAGTCCGTGAGCCAGATGGATATGCTGGAGCTCTTCACGCTCTGGTTTTTCATCCGAGTGTTTGTGTTTGTCCCCATCCGGCTCGCCATGAGAGTTGCCTTTCTCTTCTTCCGGCTCCCCTTCATGGTGGCCCGGCTCTACGTGTCCATCACGCTCTTCATCCCCGTGTTGATCTTCAAGATCGCCGTGTTGGCCCCAGCAAGGCTCTTTGTGGCCTTTCTTCGGGACTCCAGCACCAAGGAAATCGGGTTCCACGAGTACAGAATGGCCCATCTGCTCCCGGTGCTTAAGGACCGAGTGACCCTCAAACTTCTCCGCAAGTTTCTTCGTCTTCTTCAGGTCGACGTGGAGGACTCGCCTCGGTCCCACCCGACCCCTGTGGAATTGCTCTGATCAAGTTAACAAATTATCTATGGTTATGGTTATTTTGCAGCCATATGTGCCGTAGTTGGTGCACTCCATCTTCTTTTCCTGTGCATTATCACGCATCGGTATCTGATAGCGAGGATCACCTAAGCACCTCCATCTACTACTTTGCTTCCTTTGGATCTTCTGTCCTGTTTCCTTCTTACCTCTTTTCATCATGGCCAATAAGAGAAGAGCAAAGAAGATCAGGCCTCCATACCGGAAGTACGTCTACAGATCCAACTTCACCACCAAGGAAGACCTGGAAGACGAAGAAGAGCATGAAGAGACCGTCACGCCAAGTGGGTTTGCCTCCTGGGAGGACTTTTCCATGAAAACAAACACCAATATCCATCTGGTGTATGTGTTGACCGAGAGAGAAGGCCCCCAGGGGAAGAGATGGCCAGTGCTGCAGTTTGAAAAGGTGGATGTGTTGTTCTGGTGCCTTTATAGCAGTTCTGATGAGTATAAGCGGAAGCTCGAGGAGCTCGAGGCGAAGAAGATGGTGGAGCTCGAACGGCAGAAGAGGCAGCAGAATCTGCTTACGCTACCGGTGGAGATCATTATACATATATTGGAGATCTTGCTATATCAGAATAGGCTTAGGCCTCGGTTTCTACGCTTGCTGAAGCTTTTCTATGCTATTACCATGCCGTTGATTTATCGAAGGCCGGTGCTTAACGGCAACAACTTTTTTCAGTTTGTGGATACCATTCTGGGCAAGAACACTCATGGCATGTACATTCGAGACTTGGACTTATCGTCCGTCAACCAGCTGGGCAAGAATGCGTTTGTCGCTAAGCTTCTCAAACGGTCCCGGCCCTTTCTTGAGGCCTTCACCGCTCCACAGACCAGTTTCGGGCTCGGCCCGCTTATAGCACTACGAAGCTGTGAACACCTACGGGTTCTTGACCTACGCTTGGTTTCAGAAACACTCAATTTGGAGGAGCTTTTTCACTCTATTCGTGATTTGAAGCAACTCACGCATCTTCTGTTTCCACGGTCCTCGTTGGAAATCGAAAACTACCTGAACATCAACTGGCCTCCGAAATTGGAGTTCCTCCGTGTTTCAGGCGGCATCTCAGACGACTTTCTCATCCGTTCAGACTTTCCTCTGTCCATCAAACACATGGAGTTTGCCCACTGCCCCAAAGTGGCTCACTCTGGTTTCCAGCACTTGCTCCTGAAACTAGGAGCTAATCTCAAGTCATTACGTATCCAGTTCCCCATGCCGGGTCTCCAGGGTAATTCTCTCGATACGGTATTTATTTATTGTCCCAATTTGCAGACCCTTGAAGTTACAGTTGACTACTTATCGCAAGCAATCTTTGACGACGATTTGTTGCCCATGTTGCCATACCAGCGGCCCCTTCGCCGGTTGTTTATCAGCAGCAGCGGTATGCTTGGCACTAACGATAAAGTTGATCCTGTGGACTTGGCATTGGCGCTTTCTGAAGAGAAGTTGCCCTTGCTACGGTTTGTACGGTGCACGGCCAAACTTGGCTGGGACTCCAACTCGGAGTACGTTTCATTCATCGCCCAGGAGCTCGAAGAGCGCAAGGGCGGTCTTTACATAGGTTATTAGGAAAACATCAGGGATTTAGTGTAGACTTCTTCCAAGGAGATGCAAGTAACTGTGTTTCCAGGGTTTCCAAAGGGTTGGTAGCATTGGAGACCAATACAAATAGCCTTCCTGGTAAGTACTTAAAGATAGCAGCTTTTTAATCTTTCCTTGGTGAAAGTAGAGTTCTTGTTCTTTTTAGGGCACAGTGGCTTCTTCCTGGTGCTTCCTATTCCCTTACGTACTAAGAAGGTATACATGTACTGAGAACCTTCGGCTTCTAGTAAAACTGGTTCCGATCAAATACATGAATACCAAAGCCTTCACTTATTTGGATTTCTCGGGCAGAATACAATTTTTGGTGTCCCAAATATATATACTCTACTAGTACCTCTTCTGTATGGATATAGAGAAGGACTACCAGTATCCCAAGTTGGAACTCCAAACTCTCTAAAAAAGCCAGTTTCTTGATAATCTCAGCTCAAAAAAACCATTCCTTGTAATCTTTGAATTCAAATATGTTGGTTTCCAAATATATATATATGCCATTACTACTTCTAATTAGATAAGAGACAGAGCACAGACCATAACCATTCCACTCCCCAACAAACTTACCCTAAAAAATAACCTAACAAAAACATTCAAATCCTAATAAAGAATCACAAAAACACCTTTTTCCAAAGCAAAATAGGCCTCCCCTTAACATTCCCTCCACTGCTTCCTCTCACTATAACTGACCAAGACATACCACCCGCCGCCAATCCCCATTCCCCAACCCAAAAACCCCCAAAACAAAGAAATCATAAACAGCTTAATTTAAGTAGAATCACTACCTTCTTTTTTCAAAAATAAATTCATCAACTTTCCTCCACCCAAACCTTCCTCTTCCTCACACTCACCCAACCACCCTCCAACATCCACCACCTGCCACACAAAACCTACTAAAACCCAAAAAACCAAAACCACTCCACTAAACCATTTTCTCCAAATCTATCTAAAAACTTAAAAAAGACAAACCACCTCCAATTTCCCCCTCCAGAACTCCCCCTCCACTGCCTCCCACTGGTGATATTCCTGCACTGCCCGCACAGATACCACCTAACCAAACCTCAGATCAAACCTACTCCAACTTTTTCATCCAATTGGTCCAGTCGCTTCGTGTCATGCAGGAAAAGCTCCCTCCAGGCTATAAAAGAGGAAACCTTCGGGCTTTTTATTCCTCGGCGGTGCCTCAACAGGTGCTTGCACTGGTGAAGGCGTCTAAACTTGACCATCTATACCTTTTCTTATTGGGAGCGTTGGCGTTTGTGTTACGGTTTTATCGACTTCCCAACCCGGCGAAAGTTGTTTTTGATGAAGTGCATTTTGGTGGATTTGTTAGGAATTACTATAATGGCGAGTTCTTTGTGGATGTGCACCCTCCATTGGGGAAACTTATCTTCTATGGCGTGGCTGTTTTGTTCAATTGGGATGGGAAGTTTCGCTTTGAAAAGATAGGCGACGCGTTTGATGAAAACGTGCCGTATGTGGCCATGAGAGCGGTTCTGGCGGTTTGTGGGATGTTGACGGTGGGCCTTGCTTACGGTACACTTCGGTCTAGTACGTGTAGACCGCTTGTGGCGTTCTTTGGGGCGTTTTTGGTGCTTGTGGAGAACTCGTTGGCGACGCAGTCTCGGTTTATTATGCTTGATAGTCAGCTTGTGGCGTTTGTGGCGGCGGCTGTGTATTCATATAAACTGTTTGAGACGTCGTTGCCGTTTACTAAGCAGTGGTATAAGTACTTGATGCTTACGGGGTTGTCACTTGGTCTTGCTACGTCGGTGAAGCTTACAGGGCTCTTTGTGGTTGCATGGGTGGGCCTTTTGTCGGCTTACCAGATCTGGTTGATTGCAGGCGACTTGGATGTCTCGTTTAAGCAGTTGGCTGGGCACGTTGTGAGCAGACTCGTTGCGTTCTTGCTTATTCCATTGACAGTTTACTGTGGCATTTTTTCTGTGCATTTTATTTTGTTGCCTAAGGGTGGCCATGACGCTGGTTTGGTGTCTCCACGCTTTAAAGCTCAGTTTATTGATTCAAGCAAGGTTAAGGAAACCGCCGTGGACGTGTCTTACGGAAGCACCATCACTTTGAAACACCACCGTCTTAACCTGTACTTGCATTCCCATAAGTTTGTTTATAAATCTGGTACTGGCGAACAGCAGGTGACCATGTACGACTACGACGACGATGGAAACAACGAATGGGTGATTGAAACGATTGGAACAAACTACGACGGTAAGTTTGACAGCAGATTCAGACCTATCAAAGACGGTGACCATGTCAAATTGTACCATAAGTTCACCAAAAAGTACTTGCGTGCCAACAACGTCAGACCTCCTAATTCTGAGCACGACTACTCCAACGAAGTCTCGTGTAAAGGTAACAGAACAGACACTCAGGAGAGCAACTACGAGTGGAAAGTGAAGATTGTTGGCAGAAAGCCACATGCAGAGAACCAGTTGCCCAACATCAAAATGAGAGCCACTGAGTCTGTTTTCCAGCTCGTTCACAGAGGCACAAACTGTGTTCTTATGGGTCACGACACTAGGCTTCCTGACTGGGCGTTCCACCAGTACCAGGTGCTTTGCGTGAACGATCCAACCATGCCAAACACTCTTTGGTACGTTGAGCACAACAGCCATCCAGTTATTGATAAGGATGTGGAGAATTACCCACGTGTGAAGCTTCCAAGAATGCTGCTTTATGAAAAACTCCTTGAGTACCATAACGCCATGTGGAGAATCAACAAGGCTTTCGTGAAACCACACAGGTTTGCTACTCTCCCATACGAATGGCCATTTGTTACTAAAGGCATTGCTTACTTTACTACTGGCAATGCTGATGTCACATTGAGCGACGAACCAGGCAGTAACATCTACTCTTTGGGCAACATCGCTATTCATTACATGGGCATTTTCTTGGTCGTGTCATTCTCTGTAAAGTTTGGCCTTTATGTTCTTGGACACTTGAATCCGTTCCATATCCCAGTGGAGCCAGTGTCAAAGACCGTTTACTACTATTCCACGGCTAGTTACCTTCTTGGCTGGTTCTTGAACTATTTCCCATTTTTCCAAATGGACAGACAGTTGTTCAGCCACCATTACCTCACCAGTGTTTACTTCTTGATTTTGGCTATTGCTCAGTTTGTGGAGTACCAGATGTTCAAAAAGAAGTTCACGGGAGCTGTCTTTTTGCTCTTTGTTGCATTGGCTGCGCTCTACTGTTTTGTGTCTTTCTTCCCATTGATATATGGTCTGGGATGGACAAGAGCGAGATGCGAGGATGCCAAATGGTTCCCTGGATGGGAATTCGATTGCAAAGCATACCATGATTAAGCGTGTTATGTTCGTGTTTTGAAGATGCCATGGGAGACATCCACTATGAGCTCTTCACACCATTTGAGCAATTCGTCCTTTTCCTTGATTTTGGCTTCCCGTTCCTTTTCCACCTCATCCAACTCATCAACCAAGTCACCAATCGTCTTGAGCTGGGTCTCTGGAAGCGTTCCAATGCCCGGTAGCGAATCGATAATCATGCTTATTTGACGCGATTTGAGAATGATATCTGTGGACAATTCGTTGATGACACTATCAAAAGACGGTTTTGGACGTGACGTGGCACCGCTGGCTTCAGAATTTCCAGCCTGGCTAGGCTGTTCGGTGTTCTCTTTCTTCGTTCCTGGAAGTGGAGCGTTAGCAGCCAAGTTGATCACTGACGATTTATCTTCATCAAGTGGAGCCAACTCGCCTTGGGTATTGACGTAGTTGATGGTCGCATTGAACTGCGCCACAAGCTGGTCTAGACAGATCTGGAGTTGTGTTAAACGGTCAGACATGTCTAGATGGAAGCTTGTTGGAGAAGTGTTTTCTGCTCGGTTGAGTAGGTGGGTGGGTGGTGTGGTGTATGCAGGTCGCTCCAAATGGCTGCAAAACAGGAACCAAAGGGGAGTCCCCCAGGAGGCAGGCAGGAGTCGATGTGAAATGAAATTTCATTTGCTTTCTCTTCGTGTACCTGGAGGCTGCTTTCGGCACTTTGTTTCAGAAAGCGTCCAGAATCATATCCCCAACCATCCGCTGAAACTACAACTGGTCGTCTATTACATGCATTTATAAATTACCTGAGCCTCCTAGAGCCTCCTTGACCTCTAGCTGAAACAGAAATCGGCAAACTTATACCAGGCCTTCCAGAGCAAGCCGTTTTTTCTGGGCTGAAGCGCCAACTCGGCCTTCTCGGCCTCTTCTTCATCGTCAATCTCCTCCTTCCCTGAAGTTATATCTGCCTCCATATCTGACCTCCAATGTGTCTTCTTCCAGAACTTCCAAAACACAAAAAGCACCACAAAGAACACTGGAGCAAAGTATGAAGTGAACAAGTTGGCCACGCTAAACTGCCCTGGAAAGAACACCCAAAACCCATTGAATATCAACACAAGACCGTTCAAAAGTGCAGCCCAGTACGTCACCCACGGATAAAGAAACCTATTCACCTTATAGTACTTTTTATCCTCATAGTCACATACCTGAACCTGAACAGCTTTCTTAAACTTAAAGTAGCACATCCACATCACAGCAAACGTACAAAGCAACCCCGTAGTAGCCAAACTGATAAACCAGTCAAGCACCGTAGACGCCTCCTTAGACACTGTCATATACGAAAGACACCCTATAGCCATGGAAAAAAGCACAGCTACTATAGGACATCCACTCTTCAAGCAATATGAGAACACTCTAGGAATGTACCCAGCCAAAGCAGCAGAGTAAGCACTTCTGGCGGCACCATAAGTAAATCCATTTCCACATGACCAAGCTGAAGTCATAACAACAGCATTCACCACAGAGTCCAATCCATAAACACCCACAGACTTGATTCCAATGACCCAAGGTGAAGCAGCAGCACCAGCCTGGCCAGAATCACTGGCTGCCACAAGATCTGGGTTATTGGAAGCACACATGGAGTTCATGAAAAATATACCACCGACATAAAATAAAAAGATTCTAACGTACGTTCTTTTGGCAGCCATGGCGATGTTCTGGCGAGGCTGGGAGATTTCGCCAGATATCATGCCTAGCATATCTGGACCTCCACAAGAAAAAGCAGCAAATATCATCACGTTCCAGAATCCTAGAAATTTACCTGTAGATCCTTCCACGAGGTAAGCTTTCACGAGTCCTCCTTCGCTCCAGTTTCTAAACCCATAAGCATCGCCTTTAGGGTTACCTCCACACATGGTGATCAACCCAAAGAACATAAGGCCTACTATAAGTATCACCTTAAGCATGGACGAGACAAATTCAACCTCTCCATACCAGTTAACGCCAAAAACATTAAAAAGAGAATGGTCGCTAGGCAGATGGTCACAAACACTGCTGGACTCAAGTCTGTCCAGTAACCAGCCACAGAAGCAAAAGCCACGGCTTCCACGCAAATAAACATAAGCGTCGTGTATAAGTACATCATGGTGACGGCAAACCCCATGGCTGGATCAAGCCAGCGTGCTGCAAAATGCAAAAACGTGCCTCTGACTGGAAGGTAAGAGCACATTTCGCCAGTTGCTAGCATCAATGGCCATATCATAGTAGCTGCCCATATAAAGAACCCTAAAAATAAGGATAACGAGCCAGAAGTCATCAATGGCGTTTTCACGCCCACAAAGAGCCCAGTTCCTATAGACTGGCCAATTATCATCAACAGGACGTGTCTAGCTGTGAGCTTCCGTTTGGTCAGTCCATAATCAGGTACTATTGTTTCCTGGAAGTCTTTTATGGATTCGTTTTCGCCCAAAGCAAATTCTTCGTTTACGACGACGGCAGGGGATTTTTTTTCAGTTTCCATGGGCGAATTTTGGAATTGTGTTGGTGGAAATGCTGGTGCTTTTATAGTCCAGCAGCCGCCATGCGTAGATGCAGCTGGTGCTGATAACAGAGGGTTGGTTTTTGTGGAAATACAGGGGAATTAAGGTTTTGGGGAACTTTAGACGGGAAGGATCTACGGAATTTGGATATTTGGGGATTTCGATTTTTAATCATGTTTATGGGTTTTCTGGGTTATGGACGTTTGAGAGCTGATAAGCTGGAGATAAGAACGGAAGGTGGGTTTTTGAGGGAAAAGTATGAAAAATGGTGATTTTGGGATTTTGAAAAAACCAAGGGCCTCAGAAAGCCGAGCCCAATCTGCCTACATAAATGCCCTGGAAATTACCTCCATTTTTGGGATTCCGCCTTGGGGACCATTTGCAGCCGGTTTTCGTTATCAGCGTTTATCGTAGATACTCTGCATGGGATCGTGGCCTGCATATAGATCGAAAAAATCCAGCGCACTTTCCTAAATAGGCAAGTAATCACGTGCCACATCACGTGACTGTTGATCCCCCATCATAAGCCGGAGCTCCACGAATCACCCCCATCTACTTCCTACTATTCCTCCATGTCGACTACAACGTGGCAGCCAGACAGCGCTGTCTCGGCGTGTGTCCTCTGCGACACGCCCTTCACGATTTTCAACCGTCGTCACCACTGCAGAAAGTGTGGAAGAGTGGTGTGTGGCTCATGCTCCAGTCAGAAGGTAAAATGGTTCCCAGGATCCCGAGTTCTACGCCCTGAAGGTCGTCTGGTGCGTGCTGAAGAAGGAGAAACTTATCGAACGTGTGACGAGTGTGTGGAGGAGATCCAGATGATCAGAAGAGCTCTTTTTGAGCCTCCAGCGGAACTGGCTCCTGAGAACGAAGAGGCAGAATCTACACAGAATGTGTCTGTGGCAAATACTCGAGAGGAAAGTCCACCGTTGGGGAACTTGGTGGGTTCAGAGAATAACGACGAAAACTTGTGCCCCATCTGTGGAACAAACCTTCTTAAAGCATATGTCAAGAAAACACGCCATGAGCATAAGGAAACATCCCACACTGAGTACGAGCAGTATAAAGAGTTCCATATAAGCGACTGCTTGGTGCAGTTTGACTTTAGCGGGTCCCACCAGCGGCTCATGCTGCCTCCGAACGCCCTGCTGTCGGTGGCCAGAAATAGAATGTTGGTGTATCACGTTCCGCCACTCCCACAGCCCACTTACGAGTTTATTGATGAGCTGAACAGCACAAAGGATGGAGAAGGCGACGGCAACGGCAACGGCAACGGCGAGGGCAAGGAGGATCCACCGATTGGCTCGGTGAACTCGGTAACAGAGTATAAAGAAAAAGACGAGTTTGAGCCCGAGTGTGTGATTTGCCTCGAGGAGCTTCGCCCTGGCGATAAGGTGGGCCGCCTCGAGTGTCTTTGCGTTTTTCATTACAAGTGCATTAAGGACTGGTTTAACAAGAAGGGCTATGGCGAGTGCCCTGTGCATTTTCTGCACCATTAACATGATTCACGATATGGGATAATCTGGTGACAAATTTTTTTTCTTCATTTTACTTCTCTGGGTGCAACGGCCAAGGATGGTTTGCCGTTTGCTTCGTTCTAATATACATTTTATATTTCTCCTATGCTTATCCTGTTACTTCTCCTCCCTGTCGGCGTCGTCTCTCGACTTCTTCTTACCTCTCTTGTCGTGGAAGTCCTTGGTCTGCCTGATAGCTTCGGCAGTGGCTCTGTCCACATGCACATGCAAAGCGTCCAAAACGTCTCTTGGAGGCGATGGGTCCTTTGGAAGCTTCTTCTCCAAAACAGCCTCGATTCTCAAGTACATCTCCAAGTCGTACTGGGTGACCAACGAGATCGACTTACCGGAACGACCAGCACGAGCAGTTCTGCCGACTCTGTGAATGTAAGCTTTTGAGTCAGTTGGGATATCGTAGTTGATGACAACGTCCACAGAAGGAATATCCAAACCTCTGGCAGCCACATCTGTGGCAACCAAGATATTGGCCTTTTTAGACTTGAACTTGTTCAAAGAACCCAATCTCTGGGACTGGGTAAGTTGACCATGCAAAGGAACAGCAGAAAAGCCCAAAATACGTGCTAGTAGAGCAGTTCTCTGCGAGTGGGCACATGTTCTGGTAAAGATGATAATCAGCTTACCCATAAACTCGTTAAGCAAATGGATCAAGTATGTGTTCTTGTAGCCGTCACTGACAAGCATCATCAGCTGGACAAGGTTATCGGCGGTCTGGTACTTCGAAGAAACAGCGATTCTGACTGGGTTTCTAAGCGAAGCTCTCTGCAACTTCTCAATCTTACCGGTCATCGTAGCAGAAAACAAGTACGTATTTCTCTCTCTTGGAATCACACGCAAGATCTTATCGAGCTCAGGACCAAAGTCAAGATCCAACAATCTATCAGCTTCGTCCATAACCAAGTACTTAAGTCTTCTCAACGAAAAGCCCTTGGTGTTCTCCAAATGGTCCACGATTCTACCTGGCGTGGCCACGATAATATGTGGTTTCCTCATCAAATCACGAGCCTGGTCCATCATATCCATACCACCAACCACACAGCATGTTCTGACGCCCATGGCAGCTCCAAGAGCATCAAACGTCTCCTTGATCTGGTACGCCAACTCTCTCGTCGGAGCCAAAACAAGCCCATAGTATGGGTCCTGGTCATGCCAAAGCGACTGCAAAATAGGAATGGCAAACGCTGCCGTCTTACCTGAACCAGTCACGGCAAGACCAATGATATCCTTCCCTTCCAAAGCATGAGGAATAGCCTCGGCCTGGATCGGCGTGGGCTTGGTAAACTTCATCAGCTGGATCAGCTCGATGAGCTCTGGAATAAGCTTGAGCTCGCTGAACGACTCGAACTTCTTGGAACTGTCTGAAACAGAAACCTCTGTGGCTTCAGGCTTGATGGAGTTATCATCAGCGGAGTGTTTCTTCTGGGCCAACTTCTGCTTGTATGCGTTTTCTTTGATTTTCTCTGCCAACGCAAGAGCGTCTTTGTTCTGGGAGACGAACTTCTCCTTCTTTTTATTGGGGTTTGCCTTGATAGCCATTTGGGTGTAGTTGACTTTTTGGAGCAGAGCATCGCTGATATAAGTCTGTGCGTACTGCAGGTAGTCACTTTTCCACCCCAACGTATCTCCACCACCAGACCTCCTACAACAATTCCAAGACCACCACTAGAATCAGGGAGGCTTCTTCTTTTATCAGTCCAAATTCCAACTCAATCCCACCACTTTTGTGGGATTTGGCGGGGGGCTTTAGGAGCTGAGGTAAGCTGGTGTACGGATGTTTCACCTTACAATCAGGCATCGCGATGGGATAGCTTGATTTTCCAAATCTCCATACATATCTTCATCCAACGCCATGGCGAAAAGAAGAACCAAAAGAAGAACTCACCAGGCTCCGTCTACGGAGGAGTTGGCGAAAATCCCCCGTTCCATGGTGATTTCGCTCGGCACGTCCCTCAAAAACCATGCTCTTACTCAACTTGTGAAAGATTTCAGATTCGTGATGCAACCACATACTGCCATCAGTTTACGAGAAAGGAAAGCCAATAAACTCAAGGATTTCATGGTGATGTCTGGACCTTTGGCTGTTTCAGACCTTTTTGTGTTTAAACAGTCTGAAAGTTCAGGCAATGTGTCTTTGAGGATTGGTAAGATGCCTAAAGGACCATGTCTTCAATTCAAGGTTAACTCATATGCTTTGGTGAAAGATGTGCAGAGAATTCTTAAGCATCCCAAGTCGGTGGGCAGAGACTCTGCTGCGTTCCATGAACCACCATTGCTTGTGATGAACGGGTTCAAGAAAGTGTCTGAGGCAGAGAACCACGAAAGATTGATGATCACCATCTTGCAGAACCTTTTCCCTCCTATTCAACCACAAACCACTAAAGTCAACACGATCAAGAGAGTTCTCCTTATTAGCAAACGCGAGGACGGCGAGATCGAATTAAGACACTATGCTATTGACACAAAGATGGTGGAGGAAAGCAGAAACATCAAGAAATTGATCAACTCCCACCAAACGCATAAGAAGCTTCCAATCATGACCAAAGCACAGGATATTTCAGATTTGATTTTGGACCCTTATGCTGTGGGCGGCCAAACGTCAGACAGTGAGGTGGAAGACGATGCAGTGGTGGAAGTGAAGAACGAACAGAACAACCTTGTGCGTAAGAAGGCTGGTATTTCTGCCAACGCCGAGGCTGGCGACGTGACCACAACCAGAAAGAGAGCCATCAAGCTTACAGAGTTGGGCCCTAGAATCAACATGAACCTTGTAAAGATAGAAGACAGCATGATTGGTGGAAAGACGATATACCACTCGAGAATCACCAAGACCAAGAAGGAGGAGGCCGAGTTGGAAAAGAGACACCAAAAGAGACAGCAAGAGAAGGCTGAGCGCAGAAAGGAGCAGAAAGCCAACGTTGACGCCAAGTTGGCAAAGAAACAAGCCAAGAAGGCTAGAAAGTTGGCCAGAAAGAACGGCGAGCCTGTTCCTGAAGGCGAAGGCGATGCCAGCGGCGAAAACGACGACAGTGGAAGCGACTCTGATGCTCCTGAGATCAATCCTAGCGATTACGAGAACGATAGCGATTTGTTCAGCGAATAATGAAAAAAGAATGGGTTTAATAGATGCATGCAAAACTATGAACAGTGTAGGGACCTCCTTTAAGGGGTGTTTTCGGCTTTCTCGATTTGAGCCACCAAGTCGGTTATCTGCTGTCGAAGGTTGACCATACTGATTATATCAGCCAAAGACTCATTAAATGATGCCTGGGCATTACGCAATTGGTAAGGCACAAGAACGCCAAACTGGTAAATCGGGTCACGTAGCAGTTTCGAAGGTTCTTTAACTGTTTCTGTCGTCGAAACCTTCTCTGGCTTGGTCTTGTTGCCTCTCAGTCTGAGTGTAGACTCTTCAGGCTTCTCCAGCTCCTTCTCTTCTATGGCATCCTTTTTGGCCTCCTTTAGCTTATCCTTAAGCACAAACACTGCCAGGCCCTCTACGACCTTACACGCTTCGTATGGCCTTCTATCAAGCGAATCAGTGCCGTACTTCTTGTTTTCACTGTTGAAGTTGGCTCTGCTGAGGTTTTGCATGCCGGTGATGAAATTTACCCGGAACTGGTCGTTGGCTAGTTTCTCGTATTGGTCTAGAAGGTCTAGAAGCTTTATCACGGCTTCATCTTGGTCCAGGAGGTCTGTCATGGGAAGAGGTTGTAGTTGGTGATATGGTATCTTTCAGTGCTATGTACAGTGCGCTCTACGATTTGCACCCATGCCATATGATATATTCTAGTTTTGGATGAAGTGGAGGAAAGAGAAGAAGGGATGGTGAAAATGTACTGGAATTGGTTGTTGGTGTGGTTTGGTTTGTGCTTGGCAGGTGGACCTGTTCAGTGGCCATTAACCATTGAAAGAGACTCCACACTGCAATGACAGATTCTAAATGTTCCAGGTCTCCAACACATTTCCAACGTCTTTCCTTACCTCCCTCTATCCATTTCCGTCCTCCCCTGTTTCCTACATCTTGTAGAGCCGCTTCAAACGAAGGAACTCCGTCCTTGGAAGAACATCACCAAAGGACGTTTTATCAGCAGGCGTTGACGAGATCAAGGCGCTCTCCTGCTCAGACCGTACTTTCCCTTGAAGCTGGCCGTGTTTCCAGAGACTGTGTATGAGTTCCTCTTCACCCAATTGTCTACCCTTGACCGAATGGCCTAAATAAACCACCTCAGCCAAGTCGTGAAGGATATTCGCTGTGAGTCCCCAGACATCGTAAATCTTTGTATTTGTTTCCTCGTCCACTCTGGACCCAAGCTGGCCCCAGGTAGTCAAATCCTTTTTCTGTTTCTTACGGCCTGCGTTAGGTGTTGGTGGAGGAGTCTGCTCCAGCTTAGCCTTTTCGTCAGCAGAAAGCTCATCTTCGCTTTCAGAAGCAGAAATATCCTTAAACTCCTGTAACCACGAAGCTTCCTGGATGTTTAGTTGAGGAAACGTATATGACCTCAAATGCCATGGAATGCCGCCCCATTTGATACAAAAATGGGTTCTTTCGAGTGCCTCCTGGGCAGCTTCCTCCAACGCCGGGTAAAGGAAGTCTCGAAGCGGGCAACTAAAGATCGAAGAGCTCTCGCCAGGATTCACTCTAAGCTTAAGGTTCTCCAAAAGCGCCTGTTTATCCCCACCGTTATTCTTGAAATTCATAAACCCAATGCACGGCCGAACCGCCGACATTGTACGCAGCAAGTAGCACGGCAATTCATTAACATGATCAATGGTAAACCCATAGTTCTTTTCAAGGTACTCGTTATCCTCACTAAGCCCTATCTCTTCACTCATCTCTCTTCTAGAAACCTGCCACGGCAGCTCCAACCCCGTATCAGCTTTCCCTCCCGGCAACGAAATGTGCCCCGGAAACGTCCTAAGCTTCAGCGACCGTTTGGTCAACACCACACGAAGCTCTCCAAGCAGTCCCACAAAGAGTAGAATGAACACCAGTGCTCTTCTAGCGATTGGGAGCCTGTGCCACACGCTGACGTGGCCCAGCAGGTAGTTTTGTGTTTTGTAAGCTCTGAGATTGGCTAGCACGTCTTGGTCAGGCATTAAGATGGAAGAAGAAGAAGGTTGGAGGTTGGAGGTTGGAAGAAGCTGGAGTGGCCGGCATAGCGAGGCCCAGTTTTCCACGTGAGAATCACATGGGGTTGGGCCATTTGTCATGGGAGCCCCCTAGAATTTGAAATGGGTGGGTCAGGCTAAAAGAGGGAGGTCGATTTAGGGGATCAAGTGAATTTGGACGTTCTGACTGCTGTGGTGGAGAAGTGGTGGTTCCTGGTAAGTGTCAGTAATGGCTGCGAAATGTGGAGAACCAGAGGTGGAGCAAGAAGGAGGTAAAGAACGGTATGTGAATGTAAAGGGTACTAATAAGGTTTAGCTGGGATAGAGAAGGTTGTGGGTTTAGTGATTTAGCTTTATTTAGGACTTCTGGATTCTTTTGGGTTCTTTGGTTTGTGTGTTCTGGTGATGCTGCTGAGTGAGTACATCCAATGGAGCAAGGTTAATTGTAAATCTACTGGATTGCTGGATTTTTGGAGAAGGCAAGTTTATCCGTTTTTGTCTTCCTGGAACTTCCTGGAAATCTATGCTTTTCCTCTGGAACGGCTCTAGAAGGGTCTCTCCAGCACGGCGTGTAATCTCTCCATCATCTGCGTTGGAAGCACTTACACAAACCATCTTGCTGTTTCCACAAAGACGATGGCAGTTAGCTTTATGGCGTTTTGGTTGGAAGCGCCAGAGTTTGCTCTGAAGTATCAATTCAAACATGGATTAGCTTGAAATATTGAATTAAGCATATTTCTATCTCTTATCTGTCTCTACGCTTCTACATCTTGTTCGACTCTATAAATATGTTATTGATGACTAATGTACAGAAATGCAAATAGTGAAATTAGGCAGACTCACCCTCCAAGAGAACTGGCCATTCGTTGATGTCGGCGTTCTCGTAGATGACATTGTAGGTGGCCTCGAACAAGGGGAACTCGTGCTGCAACTTGTAGTTGACCAACAACTCGTGCACCTCCTTGGCGGTGATGATACCCTGGGAAGACTGGCCGTTAAGCAACTTCTTCTCGGCTTCCCAAGCGTCAACCTTGTTCTCGATCATGTAACGAGCAACCTTGACGTTTCTACCACCAGAACAGGTAGTGATCAAGTCAGCAACACCGGCAGATTCCTGAGTGAAGGTGGTTGGGTTTGGTGCAGACAAGCCCTTGATGTGGAACTGTTCCCAGTAGGAAGAGAAACGGATAGTCTCGGCAAGACCGATTCTCATGATGGCAGACTTGGCATTGTCACCCCAGCCGGCGCCCTCGACGAAACCAGCGGCACAGGCGACGACATTCTTCAAGGCACCGGCGATGGATGCGCCAATGACGTCCTTGATGACTCTAACGTGGAAGTATGTTCTGTGGAAAGCTTCCTTCAAGATGTACTCATCGATATCCTTACCTTCGCCACGGAAGTCGTCTGGGATATTGTAGGCAATCGAGGTCTCGGACCATCTGCCTCTAGCAACCTCGTTGGCAATGTTGGCACCGGAAAGAACACCACAGTAGATGCCCAAAGTGTCAGTAATGGACTGAGACAACAATTTGCAGCCATTAGCATCAACCTCCAAGCCCTTAAGACAAGAAATAGCTCTGGCAGTAGGCTTAACCTTGCCAATCAACTGCTTGCATGTCTTTGGAAGGAACTGGTGAGGAATGTTAAACACCAAAAGATCAGCGTCTTCCACAGTGGAAACCACATCTGGGTTAGCCACAAGGTTCTCAGGCAACTTGACGCCTGGGAGGTACTTGACGTTCTCGTGCTCAGAGTTGATGATTTCAGTCAACTTTCTGCCCTCAATCTCTTCTTCGAACACCCACATGTTGACCTTCTTCTCGAAGAGGTCAGACTTTTCAGCAGTGTTCTCGGCCACAAGCTTGGCCACGGCGGTACCCCAGTTACCGGAACCGATGATACAGATTCTGAAAGGCTTTGGGATAGGGTATGGAGCAGTCATGATTAATGAATTTGAGATGATTTTTGGAAAATGCTGGGATCCAGGTACCTTTATATATTGTGTGGAAAAGTGGAAAAAGAAACGGCGGCACGGATTAACCCAGCCCAGGTATTCTGCAGGACGGGCGTCTGGACGATGGCTCGAGCCAATGTGGGATTACATCACAAAAAAGAAAGAAAAGGCCTGGTTGGGTGGTGGTGGAAAAGAAACGCGGCAGGTGCACCGGCCAGGCCAGTTGGTCCACTAAGGGGATGTAAGGAGAAAAGCAAAAGTGGAAGAGGGTCATTTTTGGTGGGTGGAGCTGTCAAAAGAAAGTCCGAGAATCCACATCCGGTTGTCCGAGAAAGCATGAACAACACCAAAGGTTTTTCCACTTTGGTTGCTTTCCAGCACTCAGTTTGCTGTTCTTGGTTGCCCACGCAACATCTGGACCACTGTGTAAGCGGCCTACATTATTACCTTGTTGAACACTGAAGGAAAACTAGCCAGTAGGAGGTGGAAAAAGAAATGTGCGTACTGCACACAGTCGGAGAATTTTAGCACCAGATCGTAACCCACCGCTCACCGTAACTGTGAAGTACTGGAAGTTGTAGAAGAAGGAGAGAGATTTAGAAGAAAGTAAATAGTGCAACCCCCAATTGTACCCCCAATTGGCGTAGTCATCAACTTTTTTCAGCTAAAAAGCCTCCTGAACTCCCAATTCCACAGCCTTTTCACTGTAACATCATCGGAACGTTGAGACCCGTTGGTGCAGGAAAGGCTAAATTGCAATACCCTTTTTTCTGTACCGTTTCTTTTCTTTTCCTTTTTCTTCTTTTTATTGTTATGGTTTATTTTGAAAGAAGAAAAAAAAAAAAAATATCCCGCCTGAAATTCGCTTCATTTAGACAGTTTCCTTTTTCGTGTCCCTGCCTCTTTTTCTTTGTAGACCCTGACAGCTGCTTTTGGTCTGACCGTTTTTTGCAACCGTCAAGTGACCGCAAGTGGAAAGACAAACAAATGATAAACGGTTTTCGTGGGCTCAGCGGCGGTGGGATCTCACGACGAGTTTTAACGTGGTGGACTCGAAAAATGACAATAAACCTTTTAGTGTAATTGAGTGGAGGCGTTTCACCCAACAATTAGTTGCATTTTTAGTAGCTCGTGGGATTGTGTACTGGCGCTGGAAATGCACTTATGACGAACCCATGCTGTCATTGAGCGTATGAGCCTCAGGGCTTCTATATCTGACTGGTACCTTGAAGTGGCAGACCGCCATGACTTTCCATTTTCAGAAGGTTCGTAGTCTGAAGGGTAGAGACAGAGGCAGAGAAAGCAAGAATAGGCCTCGTTTATTCGTTAAACATTCCCGATGGTACTGACACCGGATTAATCTATCAGTTTTCACCCTCCATAGTTATAGTCATGGAGCATGACTCGTGGTGGAGTCCCACTACTTAGTGGTAATCATCATCGTGACGGTAGTCATCGTAGACTTCCTGCCAGTGGGGCTCCATTATACTGTTGCCGCTGCTGCTGTTGCCGCTAGGCAAGCCTCCAGACATGCCGCTGGCCACGCCTGCTGGGTAACTAGGGCCAGAAAGCCACGACTCGTCTTCCATCCACGTACGATCGTTAACCTGACCACCACTGATGATCTTAGCGGCTTGCAATGCACTCAAATTGTCCGGAAGCTGTCCGTCCTTGATGTGTGCCAAAGGATCAGGCAAATGGTTCTGCACGTTTTCTGATTCTCTGGTAACTTGTGGCTCGTTGGGCACCACTGACGGTATAGGCGCTGGAGTCGCCGTCTGGGCTTCGTGTGGCTGCTGGTGGTAGTTAGGATCCTTCTCGTACTTGAGGGGATCGCTCAAGTGCTTTCTGATATCTTCACCGGACGCCGTCTCCACAAGCTTATCGCCTTGCTGAGAAAGCTCCACCTTTCTGTCAGAAATGGAGTTCATGAGCTTTAAGAAATTCAGCTGCTCGAACTTCGACGTAGTTTCGTCCGATTTCTGGTTCTTCTCGCTTCTCATCGACCGCTGGACATCCCGAGCCGCCTTGACAAACTGTTCCTTGTCGATTTCACTAATCAGCGCCTCTTCCGAGTCCACTTGCTCTTCCATAGCTAATTCCTTCTCCAACTGGTCAAAGTGGGAATCAAGAGCCTCGCTATTCTCGAGCAAATCAGCTTCCACCTGTGCCTTCTGGTTCTGTGGCAGGTTCATCGCCTGAGCTCCCTGATAACGGTACTGGCCCATCTGGCCCATATGTCCCATTTGCCCCATAGATCCCATCTGGTAGTTTGTCATGTTATGTTGAAGCTGTGGCTGCGCTTGATGTTGCACATTCTGCTGATTCATAAACTGTCTATGCCAATCAGACTTCCCTTGCTGCCCATGCTGACCTTGCTGGCCAGTCTGACGGTTATCTATGGAAAGTCCATTAAAGTCCTGGATCCAACGGTTCTGCTGGTTTTGTCCCTGCTGTGGCTGACGATGGTGTTGCTGGTGATGCTGCTGCTGCGGATGAATGGGACCAGCTCCAGCAAACTGATCCTGGAACATAGGAGCACCACCAGTTCTGCCACTGAAATTCTGAAACTCCTGGTTAAGCGAGTTATCAAACCCAGGCTGGTTTCTGAACCCGCCCTGGCGGTTTTGCTGGTTTTCGTTTCTGTTCACTAATCCATGTTGAAGAGAGGTATCTCTCTGGGCGTGTTTGGAAAGCTGGGAAAGAGCGCTCGAGGGCCCACAACTGGCGTCCATGGTGTATTACTTGGAGATTTCTCGGGGTATTCTTGGAGGTAAAGAAAAGTTGGAAAAACACCTAATCTTATAAGTATGGGGTTTGGTGGAGATCTTCCGAGGATGAGATGTCACAGACGATGGTAGCGCGGGGGGACACTTGTCTGCAGTACCATTGGTCAGAAATCATAAGAGGGTGTGATAGTTAGCTTCAGTAGCCCTTTTAGCCGTAGCATAAGCCTGGCAAAAGGCGTGTTGTTTTGAGATAAAAAGTGGTTCAGGATGGAGGTGACTCAGAAAAATAAGGTTTCTCCGAAAGACCGCTCTTCCGTAGATCCGAGCCAGGGGTAGTCTTATCGTCCCGGCACAGCGGATTGGGTGCAAAAAGTTTCGGAGTTTATCCCACTAGAGTTCAACAAGGCACAAAGAAGTGCAGAGGTATCAAGAAAAGCAAATGGTAACACACAAAGAGTCATTCAGTCGTTCATTCGTTGGCCTTTTGGCCGTATTTCTTTTTTCCGTGAAGTGTGCCGAGGATGTCAAGAAATCACTCATCTCCCAACAACTCCTCATAGGCTTCACCTAAGAATTCATGGACGTTCAGGGTCTGCATTGCTCTCTTGTACTTGTAGAAAGCCTTGGAGCTGGCCACACGAACGATCGAACAAGCAGCAAAACAGGCAAGCAAGATAGACTCGTCTTCGTCAATCTTACCTGAACCTTCCCAGAATCCAGAATTGTAGTGTTCTGTCCATGTAAGCAACGTAGCCAAGGCACCAGTCAATGAATCTCCTTGACCACCTACACGTCTCAAAGAGCCCAGGAACTCGTTCACCACATGGCTATCGTTCCTTACAATGACTTCCTGGCGGCCCTTTTTGATTATCGTAACGCCACCCAAAGCCTTCAGAACGCGTTTGGCAGTTTCAACGTCATCTGTGTTGTCAATGGTAAGAGCACGGCATATCCTGCCAAATTCCACCACGTTAGGCGTAAGAACAGCCTTTGGGTAGCCCTTGATCACATTTGGACGTACAGAAACCAAGTAAAGCAGGTCAGCATCCAAAATAACCGGTTTATTCACAACCTTGATTTCTTCAATCACTCTGATAAGCGTTTTAAGCATAAGAGCGTCTCTTCCAAACCCGGGCCCCACGACAAACATATCCACACGTTCCATAAGGCCCAGAATCTTAGGCAAAACGTGATCCTCGACGATTTTATCGAGTTCGTCCCGAGCATTCAATATCTCATCAAGCGGTTTCTTCTTCAACTTCTCGATAAGCTCTACCGAGATCCAATTGCGTACATCTGCATTTTCCAAATCAAACAAGTACGGATGCACCATCAAATCTGGCGAGTAGCTCTTTATCACCGGCGCAGCCTGTTTTTCACAAACGATATGGCTCAAATCAGCCCCTACCAAAGCTGCCGAATGGGCCAGGAAGAACGGTGCACCCGTATAATCCTCACATCCACCAAACACAGCAATCTTCCCCGCCTGGCCTTTATGATATCCAGGCTTCAATGGCTGGATCAACGTTTTCGCCACCTGGATCAATTCCTTCTGTGATTTCCCCTTAAACATACTTTTAATAAGAAAGAGTTGGTATCACCTGTGCGCTCGCTTGCTGATAGCGGTGCACCGATTCGTGGGGTCTCCCCAGTGGTTGCTTCCCTTAGTGGACGTCCCACACTCTACAACCCATTCAAGTGGGAATGTTCCTCTATTTATACTTTTCCAAAGCGTGCCTGTGGGTTGCCCGGGCAACGACCTGCCAACTATAAATACTGGCCGATTCCCACCATTCTTTTGGGTTTTCCCCCAGTCGGTTCTTAGTGTCTCTGCCTGTGGCGCGGAAATCGCCTTCTGGGCAGCCCTCCCAGACCGCTCCGGCTCCCTGCAGGCCCCACGCTGCTCCACCTATAATCTTCTTCACAGCGCTCTCTTGCTCAAACGGAAACCCTCTTATTGCTCATATATAAGGGACAACTTTTACGCCCACGATTTTGCTTACTACACTACCAGCTACTAAAATCCTTACTCCTAGAATGTTCGCTAGATTGACCTCCAGAAACGTCTGGCCGCTTGTTGGCGCCGTTGGTGCCGTTGGTGCCGTTGGCTTGGCTTACCGCTTGAACAACCCTATTTTGAACGATACCGGTAAGACTTTCACCGGTGGCGACGAATGGATCGACTTGAAGTTGAAGGAGGCTCGCCAGGTTTCTCCTGACTCCAAGCACTACGTGTTTGAGCTTAAGGACCCTGAGCACACTTCCGGTTTGGTCACCGCCTCTTGTTTGATGGCAAAGTACGTCACTGAAAAGGGCAACAATGTCATCAGACCTTACACTCCAATCTCGGACTCTGACCAGCAGGGTACTCTTGATTTCGTGATCAAGACCTACGAAACCGGTAAGTTTTCCAAGCACTTCTGGAACTTGAAGCCTAACGACACTGTTTCCTTCAAGGGTCCAGTTGTCAAGTGGAAGTGGGACCCTAACCAGTTTGAGAAGATCTCTTTGATTGGCGGTGGTTCCGGTATCACTCCATTGTACCACTTGCTCAGTGAAATCGCCAGAAACCCAGAGGACAAGACCAAGGTCGACTTGTACTACGCTTCCACCAGTATCCCAGACATCTTGTTGAAGAAGGAGATTGACGAGCTTGCCAACAAGCACAAGGACCAGATCAAGGTCCACTACTTTGTTGACAAGCCAGACGAAGGATGGGAGGGCCAGACCGGTTACATCGGCAAGGACTTCTTGAAGGAACACTTGCCTCCTCCATCCAAGGACTCCAAGATCTTTGTTTGCGGTCCTCCACCAATGTACAAGGCTCTTTCGGGTATGAAGAACTCTCCTACCGACCAGGGTGAGATCACCGGTGCTTTGGCTGAGTTGGGCTACAACAACGACCACGTGTTTAAGTTCTAAGTCCCCTACAAGTAGCCTATAGATTTGACAACTATGTCTATATTGATATCTACGATGTCTACTATTCCATCTTCTTGTAGTGCGCACAGTATTATCATCAACTCCACCTACCACCCACCATACAACTAAGCCTTCCTCCCAGGACCTCCCCTTAATGGTTACAGTGGCTGTGGAAGGATGTGGCCACGGAACCCTCAACGCTATATATGACAGTCTCAAGCCTGGCGTTGATATACTCATTATATGTGGAGATTTCCAGGCCATCAGAAACATCACTGACCTCCAAACACTCAATGTTCCTCCCAAGTATAAACAACTAGGCGATTTCCCAGACTACTACTCGGGCAAACGGAAGGCCCCAGTGCTTACCATCTTCATTGGAGGCAACCACGAGTGTTCGTCGTACCTCAGAGAGCTTCAGTATGGAGGCTGGGTAGCTCCAAGCATCTACTACTTGGGCGAGTTTGGCAGTGTTTGGTATAAAGGAATCCGGATAAGCGGACTTCTGGGGATCTGGAATGGGCGTACTTTTCATACCAGGGACCAATTGGACTACCTGCTTCCGTATAGTCCCAGTTCTCTACGGCTGGTGTACCATGTGAAGCCCAAGAACTTGTTGAAACTACTTATAAGTGGAAGAAGCGATGTGGTGGTTAGCCATGATTGGCCCAAGGGAATATGGAAGTTTGGCGACGAACGGGCACTTCTACGAAAGAAGAAGTTCTTCAAGGAAGACATGCAAAGCGGGAAGTTGGGGTCTCCAGCAGCCAGAGCTGGCCTAGAGAAACTTGCACCACTGTTCTGGTTCTCTCTGCATCTCCACGTGAAGTTCACTGCCGAGTTTGTGAAGAACGTGGAGGAGGTGGAGAGAGCTTCGTCTTCTGAGATTGAATTGGATATGGATGGTCCGGATACCAACGAGATAAGCTTGGACATGGACGACGAGCCACAGGAAAAGGTGAAAAAACGGAAGGTTGCACGGAAAACGTCGTTTTTGGCTCTCGATAAGTGTCTTCCACGGCGCTCGTTTATTGATTTCGTGGAAATCGATCCCCAGGACCATCCCTCAACGGACTCTTCTTCTTTATACTTTGATCCTCGTGCTTTGGCAGCACAGAAAGTTGTGGAATCCTTCATTAACGATAACAGCGACCAGTGGCGTGGATTGGAGCCCCAGGTGATCATTGACTCTGCTTATAAAAGCATCAGGCTTGTGGAAGAGCTTGAGGCGGCAGTCACAGAAGAAGCAAAGAAGTTCCTGGCCAGCGGCACTGATCTAGTTATACCTGATAACTTTAAACGTACAGCTCCAAGTATGGACGAAAACAAAGAGCCTCCCCTCCAGTACTGGTCCAATCCTCAAACAGAACTCATGGCTCAGAAGTTTGAACTTCCTCTTCCACGGCATGAACGCTAGTCAGCATTTCATCATTTAAAGCTCTGGTTACTTCAAGTTCAGCCTGCTGAACCAAATCCTTCAACCCATATAAGGTAAGAGTAGCCTCTTCACCTTCAACACTTATATCATAATCAACGCCGAGGCAAGCAAAGTCGCTGAATGATTTACCAGCCCTGTTATCCCATATTTGATCACCAAGTATACGAACGATGGCTTCAATGGATAGTCGAGGCACTTGCTTCTTGACTTCAATGCTTCCTTTTTGTTGTAAAGAAAGGCACTCTCTGATGGCTTCTTCTGCCTTTGCTATATTCTCTGGCTGTCCTTGAAGGACTACCTCGTCGTCAGCACGAGGAGCAGGGTTCCGCAAGCCTTCCCTAGGGAACCTCATTTTGACATTATGAATTTCCTGGAATTCGAAGAGACTATCGAATTCCGGCCCTACAAGTCTCTTGTGGAACATGGGATCCACCTGGATTCTCTTGATAGTCTCGCTTTTCAAGGTTTCCACTTGTTTAAGCAACTCCCTCCTTACATGTTCAACATTATAGTGCACGCCTTTCAAGAAAACCGGAGTGGTGACAGTCTTATCTGTAATGGTGCTCCTGCTTATCTTGCCTTTGGAATCGTTCAAGAGAAGCTTGACTTCATGAAACCTTTGGCTTTCTCTCCAAGAAGACCAATGATATCCAACAATCGCCGTTATGAGGTATGTTGGAACCTCCACAGACACAGTGATGATCTCACCTGGACCTGATGCATTCTCCAAAACGTAACAGAACTCTTTTTCAATAGCAGGAAGCATTGTCGTCAAACCTCGAATATGAATACCTTCACAAGGAGAAGACGGCCCTTTGGGGTGAAGGAAGTCCATTTCAAAGTCTCCATTAAAATAGACCTCGTCGGTATCTTTACCAAAGTCTTCTTGGAACTTTGACTTCAACAAAAGGAGAGTGCTGCCGTTGGGACCGTGCATTATATCTAATTGGCCAGGAGCAAGTGCAAAGGTGAATTCACCAATCAGCATTTCTCTGAACGCATCTAGCTTTCGATCAACTGCTTCCAAACGCTTTTCCAACGGTTCTTTTGGTACCGAAGTCTCTGTGGAGAAATTCAATGCCTGATCATACAAGACTATTCGCTTGTGGGGGAAGGACTCATACGAAACATGATTTGAGATACCGATTCGAGAAAGGAATACTGCAAGACTGGTGCTACATTCTGGCGATAAAAAGAATGGGTCTATATCGTCAATAACCCTCACGTCCAGGGGAGAAACGCTCTTGATAGCTGCAATGAGTTCCTCCTTGGCTTTGGATATACCTTGGCTGTTTTTGCCAGCGACGTATAAGATAATCTCCAGATCATCATCCCCGCCGACCATGACACCATGGCGTGTTCGAATATCGTGAATCGGTTCGAACAAAATCTCTCTCAAATGTTTCGAATGCTGATGGTTATTCTTGTGCAATTCGTCACTGGTGATCTTGACCACGGTATACTCCAGTGTTTCCTTGAGTATTCTTTCTTTAGCAATTCTCGTGTTTTCAGGCCTTCCAGTAATCTCGAGTTTGTCTTTGCCTGGCCCCTCGTTTATCCATACGTCTTCCTCGTTTTCAATCCTTCCATCCACATAGCACGGAAACACCAGAAGAAGATTAATGGTCTCGGTAACATATTCCTTAGCAGCAGCTTCAGTAGAAGCCTGGAACTGCCAATAACACTCCAATACATTCTTCCTGGTTCCTTCGATTATCACCTTTTCCATGTCAATCTTCTTTAAAGTCACATCTGGGCATTTTGCCTTGACGTCTTCAAGTACCCGAGGGTCCATCCTATAGCCGCCCCAATATCGAGGAAACCGAGCCTTCCAAGGCAGTTTTGCTGACTCTGTTTCTGCCTCTTTAATGATCTGTGCTTTAGCATTCTGGCAGTCTTCAACAGCTCCCTCCACCAGCACTTTCACATTGGGACAATAAATGTCAGACAAATGTTCGTTTTTTGGTTCCTCCATTGGCACATCAAATTTGTAAACGGTACCTGATTTCAATCTTCTTCGGCCAATTTGAATTCTAACGTTATGTTCCTTCTGAATTGTCTTTATGTGGTTTCCTCTGGGTCCCACCACCACAGGCCTAGCCACCGACGGAATTTCGAAAAAAACAACGTTTGGGGCCTTTCTAGAAGGCTTTTTTCTTCCAATTCCCATTATTAAAGAGATCTCTGTTTCTTCAAGTCTTCTTATCAGCTTCTGTCTCTTCCTGTACTCGATACCGTCAGAGCTGGTGAGTCACTGTGAGTCAATAAGCAATGTCCAACCACCTTACCCCAAATTGAAGCTGTAATCTATAGAAAACAATAAAAGAAGAAAAATCACTTTCCAAAAGCCAAATGGAAGATAAGAGTGGGAACAGCTGGTGGGAACCGTATCACGTGTCTCTACACCGGTATCAGAGTACTACTGGATCAAAAGAACCATCATGTCTGTTCACCAGTTTGTGGCCCATTTTCTAAGAAAAGAAGGGTACAATGATACGTTGAAGGCGTTTGAAAACGAACACGGCAAGCCAATTCCCGCAGAGTTGCCTCACCAGGAAGATCTTCTGGATATCATCAACGATAGACTCAAGTACTTGAGCATTGAAGAAAAACCACAGAGTCTGCATGAAATATTGCTTAGTGAGGAGTTGAAGGAGTTGAAAAGGGCTCAATTCAAGGAATGGCTGGCGCCGTACCCTCGTGCAGCCAAGGAATTGTCGTCAGTTAAGGAATTGGCGGTTGCAAGTGCTGTATTTGAGAAGGACGGGAAGAAGTATGGTATTTTTGCCAGTGCCAAGATGGAATTGAGTGTTATGGATTTGGATTTGGATTCGGGCGAGTTGGTGGTTCTGGTGCCTCGTGTGATTGGACCTGTGGTGGTTAGAAGGCTCCAGGTGGTGGGAAGTACTGTTCTTTTATGTGGAATGAACGGGAAGCTCTATATGGGCCGGTTCAATGATGATATGCTGGAATTTGAAATTTTCCATGAAAAACAGCTCCACAGCAAGTTGATTGCAGAGATGGTGGTGGTTTCATGGAACAAAAGGACTATTTGGTGTCTGTGGGATGGGATCTACTTGTTAAGGTTCATGAACTCCTGGACACTTCTCTTGAAGAGGCATTTGAACCATACACTATTTCGAACCGAGGGCTTTGCATGGATGCTTGCGTTTACCAGGACCAGCTTGTTATTTTATTGGGCAAGTCAGAAATGACACTTATGGATGTGCTTACAGTTAAAGAAGGTAAGGTTGAGCTTGCGTTTAAAATCGCCCTTAACGATGCTGAATTCAGTGCCGCAGGCTTTTCGCCCCATGCCATTAAGATCTATAATGGTGGGCCAGTTCCCTTGGTCGCTGTGGGCACTTCCCATGAACCATACATGCGTTTGGTGCTTGTATCGCTTAAAGAGTTCGGCAAGGAAGGCGACAGTATACGAAGAAATCAGATCATCACCAATATCAACAGCATGTCTCCCCAGGATAAGTTCAGCCAGGCACTTATTACCTGGAGACCAGATGGCAGTGGGGTGTGGGTATTTGGCGAGGACGGAACCGTCAGAGGCATTGATTTACTTAAAGAGGAGGTAGCTGTTGAGCTTAAAAAGTGTCAAAACAGAATCAAGAGTTTTGGAGAGTATAAAGATTCGTTGCTTGTGTGTGATACCAACCGAGAGGTGGTGCTATGGACCCATGAACAGAAGTAGGCAGAGGCAGGCAGAGCATATGATTATACTACAGACGACAACGACTACGTCGTCGTCGCCATTCCCCTTGTTTACCTTTCCCTTCCTTTTGTGACCCAGAGACTAATCCAAAAAGTTACCTTCCAGGTTTGCAGCCATCTTGCGCACAAGCAACCCAAAGTTCGGAAAAATCATATGTCCAGAACCGCCCGAGCCAGGACCACCAGGTAACTTGGGAAGTGGAAAAAGAAAGGAAGAGAAAAAAAGAAAGCATAAACAGAAGGAAAGCAAAAAGAGTCGACTCCATCAAATTAAACCACCCTGATTGGCCAGATTCGTTTTGTTGTGATTTAACCTTCCTCTGGTTGGTATGGCTCTTTCCATTCAAGCGAAAAAAGCTGGGGTCGCAACCGAGCAGCGACTGATACCCAAATCAGACGAGCGACAAACGAGAAACAAACGAGAAATAGGCCCATGCCGGGGGAAAAAAGGGGGAATTAAGAGGTAAGGGTTTTTCCCGGAAAAAACGCTTATTTCCGAGAACAGCTTTCCAACCTCCAACCAAAACTTATCTGGGCACCTTCAACCACCCAATGCCCTATTTCCCAGACCAAATGTGCATGCTATCGCGCACACGCCAAACCAGTGCAAATGCAAATGCCAATGCGATTTACACCCAGCGGCGTGGTGGTCACGTGACGCGACCCAACCAGGTGTCTTAAACCAACGAAACCGGCACCAAAATGGCCGGAAAAAACGGGGTTCCATTCCCAGGGCACAGCCCAAGTCTCCAGTCAACTCCATACTTTGTTACAGTCCCTAATCAGCCTCCTAGACCACACCACCAGTAACCTCGGATTACCAGCAGCCATGTGGGGAATGCGATATCCTCGGCAGGAACAGGGAAAAAAGAAACCGGGGCCCGCAGCAGCAGCAGCAGCAGCAGCAGCAGAAGCAGAAGAAAGCTCCATATAACCTCCTCACTGGGCACATTTCACAGAAGCCGTTATTTTTGCTCACCTACTGCTTTTTTTTCTTGAAACCACATCCCCATACATTAAAAAAGGTCAATTTTGCCCTCTTTTTTTTGTTATTTATTTATTTGCTGGACTGTTGCCTGCTAGAATTTTAGATTTCCTTTCATGTCCCTTTCACCACTTGAGAAGGCTGCCTCTGGCGCCATGGCCTCGGTTATTGCCAACACGTTGGTTTACCCTTTGGATTTGAGTAAAACCATTATTCAAACACAGGTGAAGAAGCACGAGAAGAAGAAGCCCGGTGAAGAGACCGACACGGGCTTTAGCAGTGGCACTACGTCCGCTGGTGAAGACTCTGTGTTTAGACAAAAGGCCAACAACAACGGGCTCAAGTATAAGAACACTGCGGATGTGTTGAAGAAGATCTACGAGAAGAAGGGTATTTTGGGTTGGTACCACGGTCTTCTTTCGTCCATTTTGGGCACTGCTGCTCAGAACTTTTCCTACTTTTACTGGTACTCGGTGGTGAAGAGACTCTATGGTCAATTGACCAAGAAGTCTGCTAACGCCAAGCACTCCACGCCTACCGAGTTGTTTTTGGGTGCTTTGGCTGCTGCAATCTCCCAGCTCTTCACTATGCCAATTGGTGTGATTACCACCCAGCAGCAGACCGATAAGCACCACCGTACTTTGTTCCAATTGGCCAAGGAGATTTATGTCAATGACGGTGTGGTTGGCTTCTGGAGAGGCTTGAGTGTGTCGTTGGTGTTGTGTATCAACCCAAGTATAACCTACGGTTCCTACGAGAGATTGAAGCAGGTGCTTTTCAACAACAAACAGTTCTTGGGCCCATTGGAGTCGTTCAGTTTGGGTATGTTGGCCAAGTCCATGGCCACCCTTGCCACGCAACCACTCATTGTCTCCAAGGCCATGCTTCAGAAGAACCTGCGTAAGGCTCCAGAGGGCAAGAACGCCAATGGTAAATTCAACATCCAGAAGCCTGAAGAAGAGGAAGAAGTCAAGTTTGACAGTTTCATCCAGGCCTTGGCCCACTTGTGGAACACAGAGAAGCTCAGAGGCTTGTACAAGGGTGTGGCGCCACAGTTGATCAAGGGTGTCATTGTGCAAGGTTTGTTGTTTATGTTCAAGGACCAGCTTGACATGCTCTTCTTGTTGCTCTTGAAGGCCCTCAAGTCTAGAAAGGCCAAGATCTTGGCCAAAGCTGCTCTCAAATAAGCCACATTGATATCGTTATGGCATGTATCCATTGTTACAGTATAGAACGGGCGCAGGATCGTCGACTGAGAAGGAACCGATGGACTATCTGTGTTTTTTCTAGCGTTCTGCTTCAAGTTATATAGGTTTAACCTAGTTATAGAGCGATCCATGGTGTAGGTGAAGGCCCAACTGCTGACAGTCAACTAATGTATGTCAAGGATTGGAAGCCACGTTTTGGGTGCAAAAGCTGTTTCACTGGATACAAAGAGACACATGAATTGCTAGGAGGCAGCACGAGATGATATGAATACTGAAAATCTTTCGAAAAGCTGGTAGGATCCGTTTGGTTGAGTGAAACTTGCATTATGGCACATCATGAATGTATTGTAGATCAACTCATATCTGTATAATAACCAAATTGGAAGAGAGAAGAAATGTAATTCATGGGTTCCTTAAGAAACCGTTCTCCATAACTAGACCTAAGCAATAAACTTCAATTCAGGTCAAGAGTGTTATCGCTCTCAACTGGCTTGTGTAGTACAAGCCATTCAACATATGTACTCATGGAACTACGAAATACGTTTCTCCAGCCTCTATTCTGGATTTTATGCTTTAACCAGTCCATGTAAGAGATAAAAAGTATCCTAAGTTCTGCTTCGTCCTTGAAGACTGCTTCTGTGTTTGCTTGAACGGCTGGAGCCGCTTCATGGTTTTCCATCGGGTTGGGCAGAAGAATTCCGAGAACTGATCTAATGAACATACAAAGGTCTCTCGAAATGATTCATTTCTACTCAAAATGATTAGAGAAAGAGGATTTTAAAGCTTTTGAAAAGTATACGGGAAGATAGCTGTAGCTTCAATGAAGGTAGGATGAGCTAAGCATGGCTCTGATGCCTCACATAATGGCACTTCCTGAGGTAGTAAGATGCAAATAATACATTCAAGACGCTTCAAAATCTGTTTTTAAAAAACACTCCTATTGCTTTTTTCCAATTCTTTGAATCCATGTCAATCTGTCATGGTCCATTAACGATCTCTCATACTAGCCAGTCTACGATGATAGTTATTCCAACCACAATTCTGTCATTCAAAGCCATACCATCACTAAATCAATAATGTCAAAAGGATGAATATTTTGAAGATTCACCGTCATATAAATTTAAACCTGAAGAAACCTCCATACTCTACTGCTCTCCATGTATTTTGCAGCCATTAAACTACATCCATACATGGCCCTTTTTCCCCTCCAAACTACTGATTCACCGCTACACCCGTAAATAAACCCACCTTTCAAACAACTTAACCAACCCCTAAACCTACTCACCATCTTCACTTTTATCCCTCCTCTTCACCGCCCTCTTCTTACACTCAGCATAGCCATACTAACCATACACCAATTCCCCACTTACTTCCTCCTCCCCTCTCCCCTTCCTTTACAATACTCATTTTTCTAAACTTTCCCATACTATCCACCATCTTTCCTGTTACTAGCATCCTCTGTTCGTCCCTTTGGTGTCCCTTGTGATGGGTGTCTAGGGCTGAAACCCTAGCTTCTACCACCCACGTGATCCGATCAGACGATGCTCGGTCTTGTATGGGAGCGGCCATCGCACTTTCTTGAGTAGTGGGACGTCACATGACCAAACCCGCGAGAAAAAATTACCCACCAAAAATCTTCACTCCTTTCAATCAGACTTTCCCCTTCCTCATACAACTTCTTCAAACATGGGTAACGGTAAACCAAGAGGTCTTAACTCGGCCAGAAAGTTGAGAGTTCACAGACGTAACAACAGATGGGCTGACCAGGCTTACAAGTCCAGATTGTTGGGTACCGCCTTCAAGTCTTCTCCATTCGGTGGTTCTTCCCACGCCAAGGGTATTGTGTTGGAAAAGATTGGTGTTGAGTCCAAGCAGCCAAACTCTGCTATCAGAAAGTGTGTCAGAGTCCAATTGATCAAGAACGGTAAGAAGGTTACTGCTTTCGTGCCAAATGACGGTTGCTTGAACTTTGTTGACGAGAACGACGAGGTCTTGTTGGCTGGTTTCGGTAGAAGAGGTAAGGCTAAGGGTGATATCCCAGGTGTCAGATTCAAGGTTGTCAAGGTTTCTGGTGTCTCCTTGTTGGCTTTGTGGAAGGAGAAGAAGGAGAAGCCAAGATCCTAAGCGTACTCAAGCACGTTTGCTGGTCGCTTATGCTGTGCCAATCCTGTGTCATATATAAACTCGTTAAATCAAAATAATCACGTTCAAGACTTGTAGATTTACAGACGATTGATTTAGGAATTATTTGCTATGTGCTATTGTTACATGGAGAGGTTCTTACCTTCGATGGATGGTCCACTCTTCTTGACCACCTTCTTCCTGGAGTTGGTCATCTTACGGTTGATTCTTGTAAACCGCTCGTCGTGGCCACCTTTGCCTTGTCTCATCAACAAGCTGGGATCAACCCGCGGAGCGATCTTGTAGGCTGTGGTTCTGGCGCTTGGAATAGCAGCTCTGTTTCTACGCTCAGCTTGCTGCTCGTAAAGCGACTTGGGCTCTAGCTGCTTGGCCTTCTTCTTCAGCTGCAACTGGTTGGAGAAACGCAGCTTGTTGTAGTCGTGGAAACGGATCGTTCTGTCCTTGTACGAGTCCGATTTGTTGAGAATAGGTCTGGTCCAGTCTCCGATCAACCTGTCGACGATCTTCTTTAACGTAGGCTCGGTACGCTTACTTCTCTGGTAGAACACCAACACTTTGCCAATACCTGAAGCGACCAAATGGTCGGTTTTAATAGGCAATGTCGTCAAGGAGTGGATCAACTCTTTCTGGATCTGGTATGCTGGCATAGATGCATCCGGCAAAGGCTCGAGCCACAAGCGGACAGCTTCAAGAAGGTTATTATCCAAAATAGAAATAGCCAAGTCGGCCTTGGACATAGTCTCCATGACTTCCTTTAGAAGCTTAAGCTTCTCGGTAGCGATCTGGCCGTTGGAGTTCTTCTCCACGTCTAGGTTAGCAGCCTCGATCATCTTATTCTTAAGGAAATCAATCTTGTCATCTTGCATACGTTCCAAGTCATCTTCGTCAGCCTTCTTACGTCTTACGGTCTTGTTCTTAACCGCCAAGTCCATCTTCTCCTCCAACAAACGACGTCTTCTGGCAGCTGGATCCTCATTCAGGTAATCAATGCCATCGTCTTGACCGTAGTCATCGTTATAAGTAGCAGGGAATTGAGCTTCAGCAGGAGCAGGCGTGGCCAGGTCGTCACGGGCGGTTTTTCTGATATTCTTTTTCTTTGTCTGTTCACCCAGAGCATTCTTATGGCTCCTCATGCTGTATATATCTTCATCGTCGTACTCCTGCTGTTGTTCGTCTTCTCTAGGAAGCTCTGGATCGAACTCAGGCTCGGGTCTAAGCTCGTCAGCTCCAGATACATCGTTTTCAGGCATCTGGTCGTCCTCTATGTTCTCTTCACCAACAGTATCAGGAAGCTCCTTGTCATCGTCGTCTTGAAGAAAGTTTTCCTCTGCACGCTGCTCAGCAGTCTCAGAAGCAGAAGGTCCTTCAGTAACGGGCTCCACTTCTTGTTCTGGGTCCATGATGTAGAAGGGTAGCTGAAGTATTAGGAAGGTTGGTGGTTTATCGATGTTGTATAGTTATCGTGTGGTGAGGAGGTACGGGTGCGCAGCCCTCACCAGTCCAACACACTAGCTATTTACTCCAAACTCCAAATATCCAACCACCTTAACACCACTGGCTAATTGCAAATGTCCCAGTACATCGGCAAAACGATCTCGTTGATCTCCAATAAGGGGCTTCGTTATGTGGGCATTTTGGAGAACATCAGTGCTGAGGATGCCACTGTTTCCTTGAGACTGGTCCGTCCTTTTGGTACTGAGGGCAGAATGGCTGCCCAGGGTCTTGCCCATATGGAGGTTATGCCAGGCGCCGATGTTTACGATTACGTTGTGTTCCGTGGAACTGACGTTCGTGACTTGTCTGTTTTGGATGAGGCCATTGAGGATGTCAAGCCTCAGCCATATACTGGCGCCACCTACCCAGCTGCTCCAGCTGCTGCTCCAGCTGCGCCAGCTGCTCCTACTGCTACTCAAGCTGCTGAGCCTGGTCCTTCTACTGCTCCTCCTGCTGGTGTTGCTAATGCTGCTGGCGGTGTCGCTCAGCAACAGGCTGTGCCTACTGGTAGTCCACAGGCTGCACAGGCTGCTCCAGGCCCAAGTGCTAGAGCTCCAGTGGAGACTGGCGCCCAGAGACCTGCTGCAACGACTCCTCCAGCTTCTAAAACCACCGACCCAGCTCCTACGACGACAACTCAGAACGAGCTGGTTCCAGGTGATAGACCAGAGCCTGATTCCGAGTCTGGCGAGTTTGACTTTGAAAAATCTAATGCCCGTTTTGAAAAGAAGAGTGCTGCTGACCAAAAACCAAAATACGACAAGAGCTCTTCTTTCTTCGACAGTATTTCGTCTTCAAACACTGAGCGTGGTAACATGAGATGGAACGAGGAGAAGTCGCTTAACATGGATACATTCGGACAAGAAGGATCGCGTGGCCGTGGCAACTGGCGTGGTAGAGGCGGCAGAGGCGGCAGAGGTGGTAGAGGCGGTAGAGGTAGAGGCAGAGGCAGAGGAAGAGGCCGTTCTGAGCCTACTCCTGAGTGGGCTTGAGCCTGGCCAGGTGCGAGGACCAATCAAGCTACAGCTACATAGCATCGCACATAATACACGAGACATAGGTTAGGAAAGACTGGTGGTGTAGGTAAGTTGAAGCATATTCTCATTAGTGATCTCTACCTGTTTGCAGCCAAAGCTGCAAGGTGTATGGGTAACCAGGAAGGACCCATCCCCTCTCGACTATATAAGGAGCTCGAAATCCCCCAAAACTCAATCCAGTAAAATTTTCCAATCCTCAAAAAACTCCCCATTTTTCCACCCATTGGCCATTTCCATGGACCACCTCCCTCGCACCTCTGGACTACTCCTCGCCATACTCAGTGCGAACTGAATTATCACCAACCAGCTACACATGAGTAGACTCAGTCCACAGCTCCAATACTTCTGGAGCACCGGGACGTGGGCAGCTCGGATCCTCTGCTTGGTGCATTTCTGCAATGTCAACTTATACGAATACACCGAAACAAAGGGCGAATCAATGCTCACTACCCTAGCTGCCAGTGGAGACTTTGTTCATGAACTGAAGGCATACCGTCTAGGGAGAGGAGTGAAGATGGGAGATATGGTGGTGATGGCCAAACCTACTGATCCAGATGCACGTGTGTGTAAGAGGATATCTGGGATGCCAGGAGACATGGTGCAAGTGGATCCATCTAGTTCGTCAGACTTGTCTCACTCAGCCAAGGACTGTGCACTGAACGATGGATTCAATCTGTATATCCGAGTGCCTGAGGGACACGTGTGGGTGACAGGAGACAATTTGAATCTTTCTATGGATTCCAGAAGCTTGGGGGTTGTGCCTATGGGACTAATAAAGGGTAAGATCTTTGCTGCCAGTTCTTGCAGACACGGATTCTTAGGCGAGGACGGCCGGTCGTTCCTCAACTCACGGTGGATCAAAAATACGTTTGTAGACGAAGAATGAACGATGTTCTATATATTTTATGTGGAAGCCTCAACAACAGTGCGTTGCTTGGTCAAGGCCTTCAAGGCCTTGGAGCCGAAGATGAGGGCTGGGCCGGTAAGCAAGCCCACGTAGAAGATCGTGGTGAAGATTGTCTCCGACAAGTAGTACCTGAAGAACGTGAACTCGATTAAAGCGATGGTGGTGAGGAAACCGCCCTTGAATGGGATGCTCTGGTTGGCCACGAACAACGAGTCGCCCAACACCGAGACCCAGCTGCCGAGCAAGATGACAAGCAAAGCCACAGCAATGCCTCCAAAGAAAAGAGGTACAATTGGAGTAACAGTCTTTGGATCTTCACGGAAAATGTGGTGGATTTCAGGCAACGCGCCGAGTCTGGTTGGAGCCTCGTAGTTGATGGAAGCCTTCAAGGCATCGCTAGGAACCAACTCGGCCACCAAAGTGTACAAGTTACCCTTCTTCTTCTGGCTCTCGTCAGCAGCAACAAGGTACACGAAAAGTCTCTCCTGGCTAAGCAAGGAGCCCGGGATCTTGTTCACGAGAAGCAGCGACGACACAGTCTGGGCCTTGGAGTCAAACAGCGGGAACACAGCAAAGTCCAAGCCCTTACCGTCCGAAAACACATAGTTCAATTGATGTGGTTTGGCAGCGTTAGCGCCCAGAAGCGACACGCTAACCGCCACTTTGTCTCTGACAGACTCGAGCGTCAATCTCTGGACAGTGTCTGAGCCAGGCACAACGTCAAAGGCCTTATCGCCATTCACAGACACAGTTCCTGTTTTTATAGTATAAGCAAACGCTCCAGCTAGGAGCATGAGCCACTGGACGGTGGCGACGAGGGAAAGTTGCATTGGTTGGCGTTGGTAGGATGGTATTGGTATTCCAACCTGGCGTTTGACGTGGTCGCACGGTGCCCCTACACAGGAGAGACTGGGAGAAGGAAGATAGACACAAGAAAGGGACACACAAGGCGGTATAAACGAGGTATATTGGGGTTTAGAAGTGGTAGGAGTTGGTCTTTGTAGTATGAGGATTAGGTTGGTTCTTTTGTTTTTTGAATATTTAGGGCAGGATGGTGAATGGCTGGAGGGTATTGAGAGTGACAGAATGGGTGCAAAATGCGGTACAGTTAGACTACTTGGGATGGATACCCCAGTCAGTGGCCCCAACCACCAATTATTAGATGCTAGAAGTATATACTTCTCCTCTTAAGTGCCCTCGCTTGTCCTTGTCAATCCTCCACTACACCCCCTGGGGGCCTTACAACTTTGGACCGGGCTATGGCTTCTCGAAGACTTATAGCTCTGCCAGGCGTATCACACACTTCGTAGCCACGGCCTTCTGGACGTCCATACCGCCAGCGGCCATTCGCCATAACCTGAGTATTCTCCTGGAAGCGTCCATTGCCTCGGCTCTTTTTGGAACTTCGTGGCCAGAGAAAGAACGCAAGCACCATGGGTGGAGCGAGGAAGATGAATGCACTTACTATGAAAGGAAGCGCCAACGCCGCTGTGGTTAGTCGATGCAGAAGGGAAACGAATTTGGGGACGTACCGAGAATAAAAAAACCTATGAAGGTGGGGAGGAGAAAGAAAAGTATAACGAAACCAGTGAACCCGAACATGGAGTAAATGGAAGAAATGGTTGCAAAATCGCGAGCCTGTGGTGTCTATGTATGGAGACAGAGGCAGAGATGAAGAAGCAAAGGTTCTTGGTATAAAAAGGAAGGTAGTTGTTAATTGGACGTGAATTTTGTTGTTTTAGTCTTTTTTGACTTTTGATGTTCTTTTCTTTTTTTTTTTATGTATTTATTATTCTTATTAATTACTATATTGGTTCATAAGTTACCACTGTTTCTGCCTTTTTAGCTGCGAATCGTACAATTACCAGTAATCTATAAACACATACCCGCTTATAAATCAAAAAACATTGAAATTTTCAACTTTTATTAAATATCCTCTTTTCTTCACCTTCAAATTATACGCCCTCCAAAAACCAGCTCCAAAACAGCTACAAAACACGTCTGGCGAAGTACCCTTCTCAACCGTTGCTTCTTTCACCTACACACGTCGCGACTGTTGAAATCGCCTTCTCAAAATCTCAAGACGCCTTACTCCATCACCACTTCTTCCAAACCTACAAAATGCAGTTTTTCACCGCCAAATCTGTTCTATACTTCCGTATAGCCGTCATGCTATGGTTGTCTTTTATGCTCCTTAAGAATCCGTTGGCTCTTACTAACGCCAACTTCTCTCTCCTTTTGGGTCAGGCAATGCGTTTGCCTACCGTTCAAGTGACCGCTTCAAACCCGTTGTTTGGCCTTCTTGCCATGTTCATCACAGCATACGCCTTGGGCGACTTGGTGCCTATCTTGTCTGAGAACACATCATACTTTGAGACTTACGTTCCAGTGAGATTGATGTTCAACTTTGTCCTCGGCGGTTTCTGCATCTTCTCCAACTTTGGCTTGATTGCCAACAACTTGGTCTTCACGTTTGCATTCTTCGAGATCTGGCTTAACTTCTTGATCTATAACAACTTGAAGGATGAAAAGTATAAGCGTGTGAAGACGTATCTTGAAGAGCACGGCGATGAGCTTAGAAAGACCGCCGATGCCCAGGTTGTCCCTCTTTAAGGCAATCAGCTCTGAACGAAGTTAAGCACAGTCCAGTTCAAACTCTCCTCGATCTCAAAAATATCCGTAAAGGATAACTGAAGAACGTTGGTACCCTGTTGGTTCAACTGAAGGTCATCAATGTTCGCGTATTTAGACACGGTCAAGTTCATGACCAAATTCACGAAAATATCTCCTGCTGTCACGTCAAGCTCAACCAAGAGATGCTCTTTGGTTTTAAGTTTTTGTAGAATGATTTTGAATTTCGAAAGAGGCTTTTCAACTGCTTTCTGGAACGGATTCTTGATAGTACCGGTCTTCTTGAGGTTGAGGTACTTATCTTCAATGATCTCATAGGTGAACTCCTCTGGATCGAGCTTTTTGTAGATTTTGTTGATGATGGTATGCATGTTCCTGACATTGATTTCGTGCCTGATATGTCCAATTAGCGGCCGAAGAATCAAAGGATGCGAGTTGTTCTGTTTCCATTTGGTAAAAGACGTTGGGATCTTTTGCTTCAATTCGAGATTATACTTGTAGTAGCAGCACAACATGAGCTTAAGGAATGTCAAGATAGCCTGAGCCTTTTCGTTGTTCTTGGAAGACTCTTTGTTGATGTTTTGATAGGCATTCTCGAGTTCCTCCTCGTTATTCTCGTCAAAGATCACAGACTCTATTTCGATCACCAGATCATGGATCTCAATAACGATCTTGTTCGAAATGATCGACACGTTATAGTTTATAAGATACTTTGCTTCTCTTATTAGATGGTACAAGAGATCGTCTTCAAAGAGAAAGTACCTGGCTTTTTCAATGTCGTTGATGACCCTAAACGGGCTCTTATCCTCCAAAACACTCTTTTCAAAGACGGATTGGCCAGTCAACATATAATCGTCATCAAACTTGCTGAGAATCTTCACTCGCGTGTACTTGTTGGACTTGATGCTGAGCTTATGGTTGCCTGTCATGATAGGACTAAAGCTGAGATCACCAGTCTGATCGTCCTTTCGAAGAACAGCCAAACCCTGGTCAAAATAACTCAGTCCAGAGTCACCGTACCCATATTTCACACCAATTGCACGCGATCCCGTAAGTGGATCTCTCACTCTAAAGAGAACCTCGTCGTGGCTCAACACCTCATTTATCATATTCCAATACGTCTTTTCGATATCCACCTGTTGACGCAACAGCTCTCCAGCCGACTGAAACAACGTCTTGATATGGTTCAAAGACTGGTATTTCCAGCCAAGACCGATATTCTCAGCCTTGGATCTTTTGGCTTGTTTTTCGTTCTTCTCTTGTTCCTGGGCATCAGCGTCCTGGTTCAATCTGTCTGAATTCAACGATCCCAAAGGAGCAATCTTACTTAGATGTGGAGAAATGGTGGATTTCGTAATGTTTGGTTTCACCGCAGACATAAGAAGCGAAATGAAGTCAAGTGAAAGTGATGTTTCGTTCATGGCAAAGTTGATATGGCCCAAAAGCTCATACTTTTGTTTCTGGAAAAGCTGTGACACCGTCTCTGTATCTTCTTCGGTTTCAACAACCTCCTGGACCTCTTCTTTGGTTTCTGGAGTGCCATTCTTATTGACAATCTCCTCCTCTAGCTGTTCTTCAGTGATGTTGAGGAAAGACTGTCTTTCTAGTAATATCCTGGGGATCAACTCGGCAATGGGGATCTTTTCTTCATCTTGCATGAAGGGGTCTTCGGCAGTGCCGTAGACATTGGAGTCGAACCTTAGAGTGACGTTTTCTGGCTCTGTCATTGGAGTATTTGTTGAATGAGTGGTTGACTGTTTGGGTGCGAAATAACTTTTGATGCTTGATAGTCTGTATAGTGAGAGGCAGTGGTGGAAACTACAACATAAAGGCTTCTTCAGGTTTTTACTATTTTGATGATCTATGTACTTACTCCATGAAGTCGTCCAAGTCACCGTCCTCAATTGCCTGCAATAATCCCATCTCGTCGTCTCTGGACTCCAAATTGTTCTTGGCCAACTCGGTCTTGCTGTCGTCAGATGGATATCTCATGGCCTTCACGGAATCATTATGCAAGGACAAGCAGAACCTTATTCTCTGGTCAAAGTCGTCTTGTGGCAATTTCGTGGAGTAGACGTCCAATAACTCCTTTGACTTCATGTAGCTCTGTTCGTGATTAAGACTGGCCTCAATGACACCGTCTCTGATAGCCTTGGACACAATGTACTCAGTAGCTTCCTCGGAGTCTAGGTGCAACTTGATACAGATGTCTCTCAAGGAGATCTTGGAGTAGGAAAGGGAGATGATACGGATACCTGTCTTGATGACGTTCTGGCGCAATCTGGAAACCAAGGTGAAGTTGTCGTCTTTAACGAACACAGCTTCGTACTTGTTCAAGACCTCACCAAAGAGTTTCAAATCTCCAAGACGAACGGCCTTGGTCACCTGGAAGTATGGTTCAAGGTTGCCTGAGGTGGATTTGAAAACCTTCAACTCAGGAATATCACCCATCAACAATTCTATGATTATGTTCAACTTGGTAGCGGCCTGAAGGAAACCAGTAGCCAATTGGGTCTGTGGAGCCTTTCTGATGGCAGCCACCACACATTCGTGCGCTTGGGAGTAGTCCAACTGGATAGTATTGATTCTCGACAAGTAGTAGTAGTATCTTGCAGTGAGGGCATTGGCAGCATTAGGAGGGAAAACAACCTTTTCACACAAGTTGGAAGCCTGGCTGATCTCGTGTGTGAGTAAGTAATTGCGCAACAACAAGTTGATCACCATGGCGGTGGTTTCGTCGTCGTGTCTCAAAGTGGCCGTTCTCAAAGCAGCTAAAAGAGCTGGACGGATAGAATACAAGTCGCCACGCAACTCGTGCGTTCTGGCGATATAGAACCAGACCTTGGCCAGGGCAAAGTCCAATGTTCTGCGGTTGTAGGAAGCCAACAAGGTGATCACCAGCTTGTTGAACTCGTCCAACTTATCCAATTCATGTGTATCGAGAAGGTAAAGCTGAACAAGAAGGTGGACGAAAACATTGATTTCAGGAAGCACTTCACCGGAAGATGTAGGTTCCAGCGTCGACTCTGGAGCAGGTAACTGGCTCAACAAGTTGCTTCTGGAGGCATGTTCCACAGGAAGCGTCTTGGCAATGACCAGAGCCAAAGAGACCGGATCCTGAGCGATTTTCCTCCTCAAACCACCCAAATCTCTGTGGACCTTGGAAACGTATCTGTTGTCGAAGTTAATGGCGGCTTTCTGCAACGAGCCAAAGGCCAGTTCAATTTCCTCCACCAAGCTCAAAGGCGTGGATTCTTCTTCTTTAGGCTGCTCCTGGACCTTCGAGGCCGCCACAGCTGAGGCGTCTGCCATTTCTACGTCGGCAGTCATGGCGTTGTATCAAGATAAGTAGTGGAGGTGGTGTAGTTCTGGTGATATGATATTGCCACTACCAGGAGGGCAAGGGTGCGCGCCCAGTAGTTAGCAAGAGGTGGACGACTGGGATGAGGAAGGGAAGGGTGGAAGGCTGTTTGGGGGATGGGGATTGGCTAATTTGGTTAATTTTTGGTGGATAAAAAAAGTGGGAAATTCGTGGTCTTTATATATTGCAGGGCGGGGCAGTTGGCGGGGTAGGTGGTGTCTCAGTATAGTCTGACTAAGACCTGTAACAGCTTTTCGCAGCCATTCTGGACGAAGAGTGGAGCAGTAGAGGGAGTGGGATCTGGTATGGAAAATGTATAGGACTTGAGGGGAATTTTTTTAATGGATTCTGGTAGGTTCTAAAATAGGGGTCTTTCTTTTTGATGTCATAGAAGGTGAAGATTAGAGCTTAGGTGATGAGTGTGGCAGCCATAGTAGTCAAGGCAAGAGCAAGTGGGTGTATCTACTACTACTAGATAGTTAACTTAAATGCTTAATTAATTTCTGTTTATTGAAGAAGCTAGCGTATGTTTCATAAAATCCTTCACCTTTTAAACCAAAAATGTATGGATATATAGTCTTATATGGGTTCATAGTCAAGCGTATAGACTCTGTCTCATAGAGTCCTATCATATCCACGAAGACCAACAAATCGATTGAATATACACTAAAGATACAAAGTTCTGGCTCCTTAGCTAAAGATATGAATGAAAGCAAACATCGATCCTTTCGTGTCCAATTTGGACCATTCAAAGACAGCCTTTTCTCTACTGTTACTGTCCATCCTACTAACCACAGAAGCACTCCGTCACTTTCACTCCTTCCTTCGATAATGCCACAAAAAGAACCCAAACATATACCTCATCCTCTTAACAACCCACACCAACACAATTGACTCTCCCACATTCACCCAAGCACTACTTCCACTGGCCCTCTTCCTTCATTAATGGCTGCGAATCGATAACCACCATGGCCCAGAAGGACCCGCCACTCCCAAACCCAGAACCACCAAACCAACCATCCTCTTCCTTCAACTACTTGAACCCTCTTAGTCTCCATCTTCTTTACCATCCCACTTCCTCTTATCATCGTCCCTCTTCTACCTCCTCGTCTCCGTCTCCTGACGTGGTTCCGCATTATCAGAGCGCATTTCCTAATCTCCACACTTGATTACCTACTACTTTCTTTTCCAATGGACCCTTCAGTTACACCCTCTGTGCCCAAAACTCCCCAGCTTGAACCTGTGTTTCTTGTTAACTTGAAGTTGGACCCGGCTCCTTCTTCTGTGTTCACCGATAAGACCAAGGATAAGTCCTTGACGTTGGCTAGAGTGGCTGATGGTTACATTGAAACTGTCAAGAACAAGTATGGCTTTGAGCTCGAGGTGAAGGGCGTTACTGGGTTTGACGATATCACTACGAACATTGCTGATGGTTATAACAAGTTGGATTGCAAGTTGTACGGTAAAACGCCTGAAGGCGCTGGAGTCTACATTACCTACGACGGTATTGTTCAATTGACAGAGCCAACGTTGGCTGTGCTTTCTGGAAAGACAGACACTTCGGCTTTTGAGGAGGCTTACGTGACCAACAACCCTAGAGTCCATTTTGATGGCGATGTGCCTGACAAGTATAAGTGGGCAGTCAAGGAGAACTTGGTTGGCAAGGGCCGTTTCGTCAAGGACGGCTCGGGCGTGTTATACGTGCAATACTATGTGTATGTTTTCCGTTAATAGAAATGCCAGATGATTATATCTTCTACAGTAGGCTTGCTAAGTGATGTTATTAGTAAAGCATAAACGCTATTCACTGGGCCAGCATCTTCGCCTCGTAGGCTTTTTGCAAGAGCGGCTGGTGCTGAAGAAAGTAAATCAAAGAGAGAGAGCCAAGGAGGGCATGTGTTGCCGTCTTAACAGCACAGGTTGGACTGGTTGTTGGTCAAAGACTGGCCCCTCAAGTTGACGTTGGATTTGTTGTTGTTGGCAGAACCAGAACCGGCACCAGCATTGCTGGTCATCTGGGCCTTGATCTGTCTGGCCATGGTGTAGAAAGCTTGCTCAACGTTAGACGACGACAAGGCCGAAGTCTCCAAGAAAGGAATGTCCAAAGCCTCAGCAAACTCCTTGGCAGCAGTGTACTCAACAACCTTCTTGTCGCTCATATCGGCCTTGTTACCAACCAACAACTTCATCACTCCGCCGGTAGCATAACGGTCAATCTCTTGTAACCACTGCTTGACATTGTTGAAAGATTCCTGGTCAGTGACATCGTAAACAATGATGATACCGTGAGCGCCACGGTAGTATGAAGAAGTGATGGTTCTAAAACGCTCCTGGCCGGCGGTATCCCAGATCTGCAACTTGATGGTTTTGCCGTCGAGCTCAATTGTTCTGATCTTGAAGTCCACACCAATCGTGGAGATATAGTCTTGCGTGTAGGTGTTGTCAGCGAAACGCAACAATAAACACGACTTACCGACACCGGAGTCACCGATCAATAATAACTTGAACAAGTAGTCGTATTCGTTATTCATGGTTCTGTTTTGTTTAGGAGAAGGTGCTGGGAAGATGTTCTAGGAAGCGACAAAAAAGAAAAGGGTAGGAAACAGGCGTGCTTATTAGGTGGAAATAAAAATATGCGAGGAAACTGGGTTTGTTGGCCTGGGGTGAATGGAATCTAAGTATGGAAGATGGGTCCCCTGAAAACAGATGATTATCGAGGTTGGTAACGTGGAGGAGAGAATCATAGGAGTGAGGCGGTGCGCGCACGACCCGAGTAGCATAACCCAGCCCCGATCCGAGACCAGGAGAAGGGGGAAGCTGGAAGAGCAGATGGAGCAAATAATAATATTGATTATGACATGACTATGAGAGGTTAGTAGAGTGAGAGCTGACTGTGTCTCTGGCAAAATTAGGTGCATTCCTTTCTGCGGTAGCTCGGTTTCAGGCATGCTGGAGAGCGCATAATGGGTGCAACGGTTGCAAAATCAAGTAAACATTGAAGAACCAGAAATCGAAACGGCACCGTCTTCTGCCTTGGCGCTGCATCAAGCGTTAAACTTAAAGGTTAACAGTGAGTACCATGATCGGAAAGCGCATTGGGGGAAAACGCAATCTGGAAGCGCTGTTTCGTGGGTCCCCACGGTTGCGCTTGCATTGTGGGTAAACCTCTGCCATGGTATAAGTAGGCGTAAAATTTTCCAATTGTCCAATGTCTAAACAAAACTTTAACAACTCCTTGTCTATTCGTACTTGGCAGCTTCTTTGGCAACAGGTCTCGTTTTGGCGCCCTGGGCCTTCTTCTTAGCGATAGCCACCATCTTCATAAACCAGTAGACGTTCAAAACGTCTAAAGAGAAGTTAAGAATGAGAATGGACCATGGCCAGAAAAGCGACGCCAAGTGGGCCACACGGTACATGTCATAAGCGACCAAGCCCACGGCGTAGAAGCCCCATATAATTCTGACAAAGAAGAAGGTTGCAAGCAAAAGCAAACCATTGATGAGAATAACCTTATCCGGGACAGTGCCAGCGGGAAGTCTCGAAGAAAACCAGTTGATGTTAACAAACGGAGTGCTCAATTCGAAAAGCAAGAACGCTGGCATCCATGGCATACAATATGGCTTCAACAAGGCCACACCAAACACATACAAGGCAGCAAAAGCGTGCAACAAGAAGCCCACGCCAAACAACTTAAGATAAGCCAAACACACAATCAAGTCCCAGATAAAGTATCCGATAGTAATGGCAGTAACGAACCCAGAGTAAGCGTTATACCCAAAGATAGACGCATACGGATCAGCAACACGGTTCTGAAAGTGTTCATGGCCCCAGGCGGGAATAAGCGTCACCACGGAGATAATACACTGGACCATCGACACCACATGAATGTCAAAATTGAGTTTCGTCTTATGGTTCAACCCAGTATACGACTTCCCCAACAAGGCGGTGGAAATGGCTGGAGAAACCGCCTGGATAGCACAGTAAAAGAGAAACGATCCAAGGATCTCGTGCCAGTGAAGAAGAAACGTCGAGTCAGGATTAGCCGGGAACGGTCTGGCCCAAGCAAGCGGGTCCTCGTAAAGTACAAACATGGAGAAGTGAAGAAAACCAGAAGTAGGTGGGTTTTTGGGGGAACCAGTAACTTGGGTAGATTATAGAGGGTGCACCGAGCTCGCATCTGCAGAACGCAGCATGTGGATATTTGGGGAGGTGGATTTACTTTTTTGGGTAAGTATAGGGAAAAAGAGGTGGGAGGAGGATTTTGGAGATTTGGATATGGAGGGGTGGAAATTGGTGGATTTGGGGGTTTTGGCGATGTTTAAAGGTCAAGGTGGGGGGAATTGGAGGAACTGCTTATCTGTAGTTGACAGCTTTTCGCAGCCACCAGTAGATCCAGTGCACAGTTGTAGAAGGTTATGGGTGGTAGGAAGGTGGTAGTGATATGGATATGGAAATTGGTTTGTGGGTGATTGTAGAAGGAGTTGGTTTCAAAAAGGTGTGTTGTTTAGACGAAGAGTATTTATGGCTGCGTAGATAAGCAAGATAAGGCTTGGGACGAGTCAGGCTTTGAACAAGGACAGATAGAGTTAAGGTTTGGGGCTTGGACTGGGGAAAATGGATCCTTTGAAGGATATTCTGCCTTTTGATAGGTTTGGACGTCACGCAAAAGCCATCATTTTGCCGGTATTCATGTCTTCTGGTAGGTATACGCTGTTTAAACGCTGTGCTGGGTTTAGCCATGTGTCAAGGGTTCTTGGTGGTTTTAGTGGATTAGGGTTGCATGTGTTGGAGAGGGTTCAAGACGGCTGGAATGTTTATATGGAATGCCAGGAGAACACGATTTTTGGGAATTCAGTTATCGTTTGCAGCCATTCCAGGGGACTCTCATCTGCCATACATCCACCAAATACACAAAACCAAAGATGGTCCCAACATAAAAAATGATATTTTACAGTACTAAACCACGAGAAGCAATGCTTTGATACTTTTTAGTGGCACACAAGGTGCCACCCTTAGTGCTCCTTAAGTGCTCCCTAAGTATATGTCTCCTGACCTCTTCCCTCTGTATATATAACAGACCCTCGTAGCGTCGTTTGCAGCCACACCAGACCATCCAGTAAGGTCCCACCAACTCCCCAACCACCACCAAAAAACGTCCAAATATCCAGATTATCCAAAACTTATTCACCATAAAACACTCCCAAAAGACTTCATCTTTCTTTTCCCCTCCATGTTGGGACTCTGTGGAACCATCCGCCTGAGGCTCCCTCAGACAGCCTCATTTTTCAACCACGGTGCTCATTTACGCACTGGTTTTTTTCCCAACGTCAACCACCTCAACCACTACTTCTTTATATCCACCATGTCTTACCCATTGGTCTGTTTAGGAAACCCATTGTTGGACTTGCAAGTCGACGTTGACGCCGAGTACTTGGCCAAGTACGACCTTAAGGCTGACGATGCCATCTTGGCTGATGAAAAACACATGCCTATCTACGACGAGGCTCTTGCCAACAAGAGCTTGAAGTTGGTTGCTGGCGGTGCTGCTCAGAACGCTGCTAGAGGTGCTCAGTACATCTTGCCTCCAAAGAGCGTTGTTTACTTCGGTTCTGTTGGTAAGGACGTCTACCTGAAGCAGTTGAACGAGGCCAACGAGCAGTATGGCTTGAGAACTGAGTACCAGGTTCAAGACGACCACGCTACCGGTAAGTGTGCTGCTTTGATCACTGGCCACCACCGTTCGTTGGTCACTGACTTGGCTGCTGCCAACCACTTCAAGGCTGCTCATTTGCAGAAGCCGGAGAACTGGGCTCTTGTTGAGAACGCCAAGTACTACTACATTGGTGGTTTCCACTTGACTGTATCCCCAGAGGCCATTGAGTTGCTTGGTAAGCACGCTGCCGACAACAACAAGATCTTCTCTTTGAACTTCTCTGCTCCTTTCATTCCTCAGTTCTTCAAGGACCCATTGGACAAGTCTCTTCCATACGTCGACTACGTCATTGCCAACGAGTCCGAGGCTGCTGCTTACGCTGAGAGCCACGGTTTGGAGAGCATCAAGGATGACATCACTGCCATTGCTAAGGAGGTTGCCAAGTTGCCAAAGGCCAACACCAAGAAGCCTAGAGTTGTGGTGTTCACCCACGGCACCAAGCCAACCGTCACTGTCACCTACAACGCCGAGGCTGACTCTTTCGATGTTAACGAGTACCCAGTTAGACCATTGCAGGAGGGTGCTGTTGTTGACACCAACGGTGCTGGTGACGCTTTCGCTGCTGGTTTCTTGGCCTCTTTGGTCGAGGAGAAGTCCTTGGAAGAGGCTGTTAAGGTCGGTCAGTGGGCTGCCGCTTTGTCCATTCAGGAAGTCGGCCCCACTTTCCCATTCCCTAAGCAAACCTACAGCGCCTAACTGCACTAGAGTCCTCGCCTCAGAGAGGTGCATTCAACATGTCAATATGTCAGGTCAAAATTTTAGAGGGATAGTTGGAAGGGTTACGGTTTATTCGCTTCTTCTGTGCACCAAGCAAGGTGCCCACTTTGTATATAAGCATTAATTCAACATTGTTGCCAGATCTAGGTACCCATCACCTACTACTATGGTGGTCAACGCATCTCATCGCGACTCTCTGGAAAAATTCACTATTCAGCACCTCCACCATCAACACTCACTCCAATACCCAGGATGTCGGTGCTGAGAGACCACTACTACCGCTTGAGCTCTGACTTGCCCGAGGAGAGAATCCAGGCGGCAACTGCTCTTTTGGGCGAGCTTCAGGCTGCCAACAAGACCGAAGAATGGGACTATGCCTTGAACAGATTGGTGAAAGGTTTAACTACTTCTAGACAAACCGCTCGTTTTGGCTTTTCGATGGCCTTGACTGAGTTGGTTCGTGAGCTTGTGTTGAAGGCTGACTATGAACTTTCCATTGCTTCGTTTGTTGATAAACTCATCCAGACCAGTCAGACCCTGGCTTCCATGAAGGGCTCTGAGCTTCGTTCAGTGTTGTTTGGACGTCTTTTCGGTTTCCAGGCTCTTCTTAACTCGAAATTGCTTTTCGATACGGAGGTTTCGTCCCAGAAGGTTTTGGAAAAGTACGTCAAGAGCTTGGTTGAATTGGCTGGTACCAAACCATGGTTGAGAGAAACCGTCATGTTCACCTTGTGCCAGTTTGTCACTGTTTACTTGCAGTCTGAGTTATTCGATAAGGACGGTCTTGTTTATGTTTTGCAGCGTATTCAAGATGAACACTTGACTCTTACTGTGGAGGGTCTTGCTGTGTACTTGACCATTCCTCAGCCACTTAGAAGCCAGTCTGCTGCTAAGTTGACTAATGCTGCTTCTGGATGGAAGAACGGTGACCCTCTCAGCAAGGGTAACTTGCAGACTTTGGCTTTGGTGTTGAAAGACGCTGGTCCTGTTAATGAGCAGTCTGAAGAGTCAGAAAAAAAGGATAAGGGTAAGAATGGACAGAAGCAGAAGGGTTCTTGGAATCCGCAGATTCCTTTCGTTTGGGAACTTCTCGTTAAGCACTTTGCATCTTCGAGTGATGACGTTGAAGACGAAGAAGCTGTTAGCAACGGCAAGAAGAGAAAGAAGCATGGTTCTTCAAAGCAGAAGAAGCGTGCTAAGGCTGACGACGACTCCATCCATTTCAAAGAATTCTGGAGAGCTTCTGTGGATGAGACGTTATTTGCAGACAAAGCATCCACCGAGAGAAAGTACTGGGGCTTTGAAATATTTATTTTGTTCTTCAAGCAAGTTCCTGCTGATTTGGTTGATGCTCTCTTCACTCCTAATCTCATGAGATGCCTCATGAACCATTCTGCCCAGAATAACAGAGTGCTCAACAAACTCAGCACCAAGGTGCTTAACACAATTATAGAAGAGACCAAGAAAGATCTCACCAAGGTTACGCCGACCCTCAGATGTCTCATTAACAGTGAATATGGTGGAAACTGGGCTTTTGACAACATCACCAAGTCTAAGGTTACCGATTCGCTTGTGGGCATTTTGAGTTACATTGAGAACATTGACAGTATACCTGCTGGTCGTGCTGAAGCTCTTGCTTTGGGTGTTAAAGAGGTACTCATAGAGTTGTTCGATAAGACTCTTGAACAGCAGAGTGAACCAGACTCGCAGGAGACTGTGATGAAGAAGTCTCATGATAATGCTCTTAAATGGGTTCTCGATAAGCTTCTTTTATTGCAGCGCAGTACTAAGAGATACCAGTTTTCTGACAACAAGTTCATCGAGAAGAACTTTGAGTTCCTTCTCCAGCATGCGTTTTTCAAGTCCAAGAACGGCAAGAGTGTTTCTGGTAATGTTAGCAGTATTGCTCAGGATAGAGTCAACTCGTTCCTTTCTGGCGTTATTAACCAGAAGAGAAAGGGCCACTCTTGGTCCTTGTACTGTGTTAAGTACATTGCCAAGCTTGAGAAGAACGATAGCTTCGAGCCACGTCTTGAACTTAATGAAGAGTTGGCCTTGGTCAGAAGCCAAGTGTTGGATCTTTTAGACACTATCAAAGCACATGTCAAGACCGATGATGCTAGCAGTGGTCCATACTACTGTTTCGAGCTTCTCTTTTCCATGGTTATTCTTCAATTGCTTTCTGGTGAAGGGGAAGCTGTGAATGTCTTGCAGGAATTGCAAACATGCTACGAAGACTACCTTACCAAACAAGACGACGAGGGCATGAAGATTTCTGTCGTTTTGACTGAAATCATTTTATCGTTCCTTTCTAGAAACTCCAAGTTAATGAAGACTCTTGCACAGTTTGTCTGGGAGTCGCTTCTATGCGCCAAGGGTCCAGATGGTAAGATTCTTGTTGAAGAAGAGTGTCTTGAGCTTCTTTTCGATGTGTTGAAGACCAAGGAGAACGAAGAAGGTCTGCGTGACTTGTTTGAAGGTGAAGAGGAATTTGAAGAAGAGAACTCTGGTAGCGAAGATGGAGATGATGAAGAAAACGACAGCGACGACGACGACGATGACGAAAGTGGTGACGAAAGCGATGCTCCTGATCTGACAGCCAAGGTGGAAAAGGAAACTACCATTAAGTTGGCCAAAGCATTGGGTGTTCCTACAGCCGAATCTGGAGAAGTCAAATTCGACGAAATCGATTCTTTCGGTGAGGACGACGACGACGAAGCTTCTGACCTGATGGATGACGAGCAGATGATGGCCATGGACGACCAGCTTGCCAGAATTTTCAAAGAGAGAAGAGAGCTTCTTTCTGCAAACACCACCAACAACAAGAAAGCACAAGCTGCACTGGCCAAGCAGTCGATCATGCTCTTCAAGAGCAGAGTTCTTGATCTCATGGACTCGTTCGCCAAAGTTCAGCCACATTCCCCATATAACCTCCACTTGCTTCGTCCATTGATCCTTCTCATTAACACCACCAAAGACAAAGACCTCGGCGTCAAGGCCCACAAGATCCTCAAAACCCGGATCAGCAAGGCCAAGGTAACCAAAGAAGAGCTCGAAATCCACTTCCCAGGCAAAAAACTGGAAGCCTACAAAAAACAGTTCCTACAGGAAATCACCTGGCTCCAAGAACAAGCAGGTCGTTATTCGTCCCACCAGGCCCATGGCCAGGCGTGTGGCCAGTGCAGTATCACCATTGCCAAAAGCTTGGTTTCCATTGACGAAAAGTACCTTGAAAAAGTTGTCCAGGTGTACTCACAATCTTTACTTGAATGGGCCACCAACCCTAAAAACCGAATCCAGACGTCTCTTTTCACCTTCTTCCTTAACTGGGTGAGTACTATCAGAGAGCGTAAGGCGAGCCACTGAGGAAGCCCTGCGTAAACGTCATCACCAATAAAAAGTCTCACCGCTGGTGCGCACCGGGTTCCGAAAATTCAACTACTACTAACAACGTAAAGTGTTTAAAACCCTATCATATAACCAGTCATGTCTGCCTACAAGCAAGCCGGTATTTCGTTGAACAGAGCCATGGCCATTGCCGCCAGAACTGTCAGATCCTCTTTGAAGAGCGAGTTGAGAGTTGCTGCTGAGAAGAGAGGTAACTCTGAGGTGAAGGTTGCCAAGTTTGAGAACGGCGTGGCCTCTGAGGCTAAGAGCTTGCTCGAGAACAAATAGACGAATGTCATGACCTCTTTGGGAGTGTTGACCGATGCTTCAATGGATTAAGCTTTTTTTGATGGCTTCAATTGGTGTTGGCTCAATGCTTCATACTCCAAATACACATACAATTACGAAAGAAAGTGGGGCCGTGTTTCCCGCTGTAGTTTCCGTGTAATAAATATTCTATGTACATGTTTCTTACGACACTTCCTGACCAGGACGCAACGATGTCTCTGTGGAGATCGTTTTCTTCTCGTCTTCGAGTTCCTTGGAGAACTGTCCGATGAGCTCGGCTCGGATCTCGTATGGCAAGTCGTCGATCAACGACCTGATGATATCCACTTCTGATCCTTCCTTCTGTCTCTTTTCAATCTCTTCACATTCGTGATCACGCTTCTCTTGTTCTTCAACCTCGTCCTCGGTCATGTTGTCTTCAAACTCCTTGACACTGGATTCATCCAACAACTTGGACAATTCCGACGATGGCTTGCTGAAGAGCTCGACGAAACGGCCCAGCTCGACAACCTGACCGTGTTTGCCAAGAACAATCACGTTTTCTGACTTCGAGATCGTCGATAATCTATGGGCAATGGAGATGATCGTCATCTTACCTTGCGAAGTCAAGTCTCTGAGAGTCTCATTGATAAGACTCTCCAGCTTGGAATCTAGAGCAGACGTAGCTTCGTCAAGTATAAGAATTGATGGTCTCTTTATAAGGGCACGAGCAATTGCAATTCTCTGCTTTTGTCCACCAGAGAGAGAGGCTCCACGAGAACCGATCATTGTGTCGTAGCCATCAGGGAAAGCCAGGATGAAATCATGACAATTGGCTTGTTTGCATACTTCTTCAATATCATCCATGCTCAATTTACTGATCTGATGAGGTGTCAATCCGTAGACGATATTCTCAAGAATTGTACCAGACAAGAGAATTGGCTCTTGCTGCACAATGCCAACAACCTCACGTCTCAATTCTCTAATCTGAAAGTCGTTGATGTTTCTGCCGCCAATGAGGATCTCACCACTGTTGAGATTGTAGGAACGAAGCAAAAGAGTTGCAACGGTGGATTTACCGCAGCCTGAAGGTGCCACGAAACAAGTACTTGAAGATGCTGGCACAGTGAATGAGCAGCCGTTGAAAATAAGATCATTCGGACGTGTTGGGTAACTAAAGACAACGTCTCTAAATTCAATGCTGTTGTCTAAGTGGGCGGGAAGTTTATCACCCTTCACCGCAGGCACTTCGTTCTCGTGATCAATTAATTCAAAAAGCTTGATACCAGCACCTGATCCTTTCATGAGTTCCATGTAGGTGGTTGTAAGACTGTAAAGGGCCAGATTAAATAACTCTGAATACATTGTGAAAGCCACAACATCACCAGTAGTCATTTGGCCATTGATGATCAAGTAAACACCCAATGCAACACATGACAAGTAGCCACTGTGATATAAGGAATAGATGGACACAGCATAGTTTGATTGAGCCAATGCCTCTCTTCTGGCGACATTGACCACGTTTCTAAGTTGGGTTGAATATTTGGATAACTCCTTCTGTTCGCCTGTGAACGCCTGGATCAACTTCACCGAGTTAAGTGTCTCTTCACTAACCTTGGTGAGTCCTGCAGTGGCATTCTGGAGTCTAGTAGATAAAGATCTGATTTTTTCACCATACCACACAGAGCCAAAGGTGATTGGTGGCGAGATCAACAACATGACTCCAAACAAAAGCGGATTGATGGTGAACATCATGTAGGAACTGATGAAGCCAAAGAGTAAGTTCTTCAAACCGTCTGGAAGGTTATTGGTGATGGATCTGGAAACAACATAAGCATCACTGGAAAGTCTCGATATTAGATCACCAGCCTTGTGCTTATCGTTATCAAAGAACGCAGAATCGTGACGCAACAAGTGTTTCATCACACGAAGTCTAAGTCTTGCCACAAGTCGTTCTCCAAGCACCTTCAACACCCAAATACGGGCCCAGAAGCATGCAGCACTAACACACATGAACGGCACCATCACCAGGAACACAGTCGAATACTTGTAGCCCCAAATGAGCAAATCTCCGTCTGCATCCTTATCGCCAGAATTGAAGGCATCTATAGCAGCACCAACCAATTTGACCGATGTTGTTGGATACAACACCGCAAAGAGAATAAACCCCAAGGCATAAAAGAACAACTTCAAGTCGGGACGACCCAACTTCAAGATCCTGGCTATCGTTTTCAAGTTCTTCCGGAAATCTATCTTTGTATTCCGCAACTGTTCCTTTTCCTCAGCTCTAATCTGTTTCTTTCTAAGCTGTGCTATCTCAAGATGCAGCTTCACCGACGGACTGTCCGCCAAACTTTCTACCAATTCCTGGTTCCTCTTGCTCTTATCAGTCGAATACCACTTCACCTGGGGAATTTGCAACCTTAGCGTACTGGATGGCGTATTACTTATACTTCTATGAGGCAGTAGGTTGAGCTGCAAACGCGTAGATGGAGGCACTGGCAGACTCAAAAACCGCCAGCAGCGAAGCTGGAGGCTTTGATTTCTTATAAGGGGCCGCAACCCTAGTCCAAGCATTAGGCGGGTATGGGGAGCTTTTGGATAGGGGGGAGTTGTAAGGTCGAGGTAGAGAGGTAGACTCAGTTTTTGGTTTTTCAAGTGCGTGAAGTCGGCCATACCACTTTTGCACAGGCCGGAGCCGAATGGTTGCGAAATTTACTGAGGGAAGTCAGAGAACTAGAGGTGGTGGGGAAGGGGCCAGAGGTTTGGGTTCCTTTTTATATTATGGTTTCGTTGCTTTCCTGTTGGGCGTTTAGACTGCCCTGTCGACGAAACTCTGGATCATGCCGACTTCGGATTCGTCGTACTCACGTACTTCGATGGAACCGTCGCTGTTGACGAAAGTGTTGGCCTGGATGAGCTGTTTACGAGGCAATTTCTTCTCGAGAACGACATCTCTGTACTGGGCGTAGTCTTCGGTCACGCCAGTGATGTCGCTGTAGTAAGCCACACCTTCCTTGACATTGGCAGAGCACTTGAAAACGTGCAAGTTGCGCAAGAACTCGCCCAAAGCCTCAACGGCAACGTTGTCCAACTTGGACTCGTCCACGACAATCTCCAAGTCGTCGAACTTCTCCTTGTCTTCGTATTTGAGGGATACCACACCGGCCTTGTGCAAACACTTGAAGATACCGAAACGGGCTTGCATGTGTGCCTGGCCCCACTTCTTGGACTCTGGGTCCCAGAACTCAAGTCCAATGACACCGGCACGAGCCATCAAAAGCGTAGCAATAAGCTTGACATCCTTCTGGTCCTTCTCATCGGTAATGCCAAAGATTGGCAAGACCTCAAGTGGCTTGGACAAAATGAGGTACAATGCAACCAATTCAGCACGGCACTCCTCGAAGGAGCCGGCAGTGGTACCGAACAAAGAGCCCCAAGTCTCACTTGGACCGTAGTATGTAGCCAAGTCAGGGTTGGCAGCCTTGTCGAAGTTGAACTCACCTGGAGCAGTCTCCTGCAACAATTTACCTGTACCGTGGCCCAACAACTCGTGCAAACCAACCTGGACTTCGAAAGAATCGTCTCTCCATTTACGGAAAGTCTCTTGCAAATGGGAAGAAACAAAGCTGACAATCTCCTCCTTCTTTGGCTTCTTAGGGTTGGCACTCAAGACGTTACCCAAGGAAACGTTCTTGAAACCAACATTCAATCTGACGTCATCGTAGTTAGGAATGTTGATACCAGCTGGGACACCGGAACCAGCGAAGGTCAAAACCTCCAAGGAGGTGAAGTCTGGTGGAGTGAAGGTATCCTTCTCGTAGAACTTGTCCCAAGGCAAGTATGGGATCAATGTGGAGGCATTTTCAACCAAGGTAGAGAACTTGGCGGTTCTGTCCTGGTTAACCATGGCGACCAAACCTTCCCATTCACCACGAACACCGGATGGGTCTCTGTAAGTCTCGATGAAACCAATGTTGGACTCCACCTGTGGACCCAAGTCCTTGACCCAATGGATCTGGGATTCCTTATGGGCCTTCATTGAGCCAGTCTCGAAGGATTGAGCGTACTTCTCGATCATCTTCTTCTGTGTATCGTTAGCAGCGTACTTTCCAGCTTCCTTGATGTTCTTAGCGATCTCCTCGAACTGCTTGGCATGGTCACCAAACTGGATGGTCACCAGAGCACCAGAAGCAAGCTGAATGGCTTCCTTGGGGTAGTAGTCAACTGTGTTATCCTTCAAAGCACTGGCCACGAGAACGACAAACTCCTTATCGGACTTTTTCACCACTCTGGTGTTCTCAGGCATGATAGAACGTTCAGCCAAAGCAGCATTGACGGCTTCAACTTCCTCCTGCTTGATCACAACGGCATTATCAGGGTAATAGTTCGACAATTGACCCTTTTCTGGCCAGCCCAACAAAGCTGGTTCGGTGGAAAAGATGATCTCCTTGATGGAATCATACAAAGAGACCAACTCGTTCTTTCCAGAAGCCTTTACAATAGCAGTAAAGTCGTCCTTGCTCAAACGAGGCACAAACTTGCTATCACCAAAAGACTTATAGTTACCCAAGTTACCCAAGAACTGAGAAGCGTACTCCAAGTACTGAGTCACAGCTTCAGCAGAAGCAGCCTCCTTCAACACGCTCTGGTACTCTTCATTGGACTTTGGCAGGCCCAACGCCACGTGCAAGTTCAAAATCAAATCAAAGATCAGTTCACTTTCTGGCGAAACCGACCTCAACACAGCTCTGGAGCCATAGTGGGAAGCTCTAGAAAGGTAATGGGCATAGAGCTTAGCGTCGTTTGTAGGCAACTGCTCAAAGTGCTTTTTAGCAGACAACAAAACGATTGGCGCCTCAGCGTCAGCAAGGAAAGTCAGCATGTTTTTTAAAGAAAAAGTGGTATAAAGAAGAAAGGTAAGTGCTCCCCAGACTTGAACAGCACGGATCCAGTAGGGCCTTGGGAAAGGCCTGTGCAGTCTGTTGAGCCCCAGTGCCGTGTAGTAATAGAGCCACAAAGGCGAGTGGCCATGGCGCCACGAAAAGTCCCCCAAAAAAAACAGGCGACAGGCGTAGAGTTGAAGAAACGGTTATTGTCGGGTGTCCAGGAATGGAAAGGGAGAGGCCGTAGGTGGTAAGTTTATTTGTACAGTGTATTTCTTGAATGGCTGCAAATGGTTAAGCGAGGTGGACGTACATAGACAAGGTGAGGCTGCGGCTGGAGGAAGTGGACAGTGAAGGTGACAGCGACGATGTATGTTTTGTGGCAAAATCAATGTGGGTTGTCTGATTGGTTGGGATGGCGGGGGATGTTGTTTTGTGGTGGTTTGGGATTGGGAGATCCAGTGGTGGATGGTTTGGTGAGGTCTGGTGGTGGACAGTCTGGACAGTCTAGTGAGAGTATGGAGGTGAAGTGGTGGAAGGGAGGAGGAGAGGTAGTTTTGGTGGGGAGGGTGAATTGATTTGAAGGTGAAGTGGGTTGGGTAGGTTGGGAATTTCTGGTTTGAATGGTGGTCTTTTTTTGTGGATTCGATGGGTTTTCTATTTATTGGGTGGTGGTTGGTGGTTTCCATTTTGGCTGGGATTAGGAATGGCTGCGAAAAAGTAGAGATGGTATGTGGAGTAGTTGGGAGATCTGATGGATGTATGAAGAGATGACATAGGGTAAAGAAAGAAAATAAGGAGAGGATAAATGAAAAGCAAGGAAAATAAAGTCGTTTTTGGGGTTAAGTGGTGATGGTATTTACTGTGAATTTATTGTAGATGGTTGGTTTTGGAGGACTGGGTTGGAGGTGGTGGCTGGAGATACTGTCCAAGACTGGCTGCGAAAGACTACCAAAAGCAATGGACGTGCCTCTTGTTCTTGAAAAATCTTAGGAAGTGAACCTTTTTGAACTACTTAGATTAGTTATCAGCCTTTTTGGATTGTCATTTTGCTGCCTTTCTGGATTTTTCAAGTTTTGCTGGTCTATAATGTGCCTTTTTCATAGTTCCATGGACACTCCTCTCACCAACTGCCAACATCATTATGACAAACAAAACAAAACGAAAATGACTCAAACGAGAATACGATATTCTTCTAAAATCCAAATAACCAACCCTTCTCTATGTGTTCCGCTGATTTATCTATCCTACTGCTTATGCTTCCTGGGGCTCTTCTGGTGGTGATCTGCACGCAGTACTCAGACATCAAAACTACTTCTTCTTCCTACCATGGCACGTAAAGCTGTCCGCCAACAGGACCCGAGCCACAGCTAGATCCTAAAAAGGACGGTAACAACGAAGAAAACGAAGAGGAAGAGGATTATGACGAAGATGAAGATGAAGACTACGATCCTGAGAAAAAGCAACAAGACGAGGAACACGAAAGCGAAGCTTCAGACAACGAACCTGAGCCAGACTATTCTGCTATCAATACTGGAGTGAGTCAGGTCAGAACACGTACTCAGAGGTACGAAGAAGAGCTTGGTGGCGGTGCTAAGAAACGCAGACTAGATCCTAGTGGTCTACTACAAGACGAGCTGAAGGTGGACGTGAACGCCATCTTTGAAGCACTCAAGAGTGGCAAAGACGACAGTGACTGGACGAAGCTAATAGATAAAGATGCTGTGCCTGAAGAAAAGCCACAGGAACCTACTACAGAAGACCCACACGAGACGAGAATGGTGAGAATCGAAACTTCCTATACATTTGCAGGCAAATTGGTCAAGGAGCTGAAGCTCGTGAAGGCCGACTCGGCCGAAGCCAAGGCTTACCTTAATTCTACAAGTGGAATCACGTTAGCTGGTGAAGGCGAGGGCCAGAGGAAGCTGTTTGTTACAGTGATAAGACAGATAAAGGGTACAGAAGAGCAGGTGCCGCTCATGATCAAACTTAAAAGACCTTCCCTTATAGACAAGTTCCTCCAAGGCGACAAGAAGAATAAGCTTACGACACTTGAAAAGTCGCGTCTCGACTGGGCCAGTTATGTTGACGAAGAGAAGATCAAGGACGACTTGGAGCTCCACAACAAGGCCGGTTACTTGGACAAGCAAGACTTCTTGGGCAGAATGGATGCCAGAAGAGACGTCCAGTACCAAAAGGCCAAGGAGCTCGAACGCCAGAGGCAATGGCAGCTCCAGCAGAAGCAAGGATAGGCCGGAAAGTGACTTGTACAGGGAGCAGGAAGAAAGCAAATCAACCAACCAATATACATAGAAGGGAATTGCTTCCCAGAGACTTATTGGTCCCGATTGTGTGGAATCTGAAACCCAATCCAGTACACGTGACTCGGTAGTCGGTGGATGGTCTTCCCCCCCAGAAGCGCACATTTCAGGACAGGCAGGAAAAAAAATACAGAAAAAAGAGGCCCACATACAAACGACATCTCTTCCCGCCACCAACTCATATTCTTCCTCTTGTGATTCCCAATCATCAAATTCCCCCCCTCAAACATTAGGTTTCTCTCTATAGCCAATGTCGAACATCCTCAAAAGAAAAAACGAAGAGGTTGAGCCTCTGTCGGCCGACAATGACCAGCTCAACAAGAGAGTGGCCCTCGACAGTGAACAATTGGAGGAGTCTGAAAAGAAAGAAGAATCATCCCAAATGGCCCCTACTCTTAGTGACAATGCTATCAACTCTGACAAAGACACTTCTACTTCCTCTGAAGACGTGACCAGTAAACAAGAGGAGCCGCCTTCTACTGCTGCTTGGACCGACAACTCGCTAGCTTCTTCTGACAATGCTGAATACGATGCCGCCACTGCTCTGGCTGCCGCCGCCGCCCTGAAACCCGTATATCGGGAAAAAGAAGATAGCACCACTGTTTCGCTCCGGATGTACTGTCCGGTGAAGGAAGCGGGTGTTATAGTGGGTAAGAAGGGTGAGACCATCACCCACCTCCGTGAGAAGGCGAACGTGAGGATCAATGTGAGCGAGAACTTGAAGAATGTTCCTGAAAGAATTGTGTCTGTCAAGGGCTCGGCAGAGAATGTGGCTCGTGCGTTTGGTCTCATCACGAGAACCATCTTGGAGGAGCCCGAGGACGAGCCTGCTTCTATCATGAGTAAACAGTACAACTTGAGACTCTTGATTCCTCATCCTTTGGTGGGTTACATCATTGGTAAGCTGGGCGTTAAGTTCAGAGAGATTGAGGAGAACTCTGCTGCCAAGCTCAAGGCCGCCGAACAGCCATTACCTTACTCTACCGACCGTGTGTTGGCCGTCAACGGTGTGGGCGATGCTATCCACATTGCTGTCTATTACATCTCTCAAGTGCTTTTGGAGCACAAGGAAACTCTCAAAAAGCATAAGATTGTTCTCTACAATCCTGCCAACTACCGTCATCAAATGCCTACTGCCAATCCTCTTCAGAACATGGCAATTGCACCTCAACAGCCTCCTCAAATGCCTTTCATGAACGCTCCTCCTCAAAACATGTCTCCTTTGCAAGGTCTTACTGGTATCCCGGGTGTAACCGATCCAAAATCCGCTTACCAGCAGACCGCAAAACCTTACAATTTTCAAATGATGTTCCAGCCCTCTGTCAGACCTGAGTTTAGCTCTCCTCAGCCTCCAGCTCATATGGGCCACCAGCAACACATGGGCGCCCCTCCAGTTAACGTACCTCAGCAAAACTCTTTCACTGATGAACACGGTAATACTATCGTTGGTGATGTGATTACCCAGATGCCAACGCAAATCAGTCTGAGCCCTGAGAAGTACAACGAGGACGTGTTCGTGGCCAACAGTAACATTGGCTCTGTCATTGGTAAAGGTGGTAACAACATTAAACAAATCAGAGAGACTAGTGGCTGCACTTATGTGAAAATTGAGCCTGACCAGAACCAAACCCTTCTTCTAGGCGGTGGAAAAGGTGTTACTAATGTCAGAAAGTTGACATTGACCGGTTCTTACAACTCCATCCAGACTGCCATTTTCCTTATAAACCAGCGTATCAGTGCTGATAAGGAGAGAAACGGTATCCAGTAAGCTACTGACATATCATGAAACGAACAAAATAACTGCGGTTTAGTTGTCTATAAATCATCCGACTACCCTAAGTTTGTATAATATTACTCAAAGATGAGGCACCCCCAAACTAGTCAATAGCATTGTAAAACCGCTGAGAAGACCCTCCCCAAGAACAAGGCCACTGCTCACAATAACCATCTTAACCTTTTCGTCTTTCCGCTTTCCAGCGTACTTGATCCACACATATGCAATGAGTCCACCAAGGAATCTAGCCAAAGTGAAGTTTGGCGTGTTGTAAATACCAATTCCCACGGCAACACCATTGGGTAGGTAGACCAAGTATTTGTGATACTTATGATGAGCAGGGACCATATTCTTGACTGCTGATATCACGCCAAAAACTGCAGCAAAAAGAATGCAGAATTCAAAGGCATGAGGTGGAAGTCCTTCTCCAGTGACAAGCCTGGAACAATCGATCCATACAACTGCAGTGGGGATCCTAAACATTTGACTTGGAATTTCGTAAACAGAGTTGTACACCTTGTACATGATACTGCTCACGAAAACCGAGTAGATTGTTCCAATCAATTGTGCAGCAAATTGAGCTTTTGGAGAAGCTCCAAGTAAGTGTCCTGTTTTGAGATCTTGCATCAAATCACCAGCTTGCTGAGCTCCAGCCTCGGCAATTCCTCCAGCAATCAAGTTGATAAGAATACGAGAAGGATGATTGTGTGGAATGATAGCGGCAAAGATAAGTTGCGACAACTTACCAATACCACTCACTGGGTTAAGGTCTGTTTCTCCCAAGGCACGAACACCAAGGATGGAGAAGAAGAGTGCCAAAACAATGGCAATGAACGTCGCATAGTGAGGGACGAGAGAACCAAAAACAGAATTGATTGCCCACATGCAAATGATAGACGAGAAAGCGATACCGATGATGGTCACTTTGCTGCTTATGAGATGCTCCAGCAGGAGGTCAGCAAACGAGCTTTGTACGGATACCGCCTCACTTTGGCTTTCCACAGTATTGTAGTTTGTAGAAGAACTTCCAAGCAATCTTTGTTGGACTTCTGAAGATGAACGAACGAGAAGAGACGAAACTCCATTATGCAAAGATTTGTAGGTGACCACCGCAAAAGACACCAAAGAATCGGCTATCATGACACTCAAACTCAACCAAAGGATCCAGCCCTGGCCGCCTGTGACCCAATCGTCAATGGGTCCTGGTGCCCACTCTAGGTATTTAGCCAAGGGAGCAAGTACACCCCAACCGAGAATGGCACCAAATAACATGTATGACACAGACGGAAGACCCATGATGATGCCTTGGCCAATGTAAGCTGGAGAAGGTTGAAAGTTCCACTGGTACACGCTAGAAAGTTTATGACCAAAGATTGGAAGCATCTTAAGCACAGGGACGAAATATGCTGTGAGCGTGTAAAAAGCAGAAACGATGAATGTGATCACGAGAAACCTGATATTGGTACGGTAAGCTTCCTTCGTCTGAGCAAGTTTGATGCCGTTGGACTCAGAAGGACGAATCACGCCTCCATGAGGATAGTCAATAGATGAGTCTGAATCTGTAAGAGGTTCCTGGAGCGTCTCCTCGTGAACGTCCGTGTCTTTCTTTTCATTGTACAATTCTGTTCCGTGCAAGACCGAAATAAGTGTTGCAGTGGCGCTTCCTGAAGGAAACGGAAGCTTCTCCTTGATGATAACCTGCTTTCTAAGCGGAATAGCGAAGAATACACCGAAAAGAGCCAATCCAAGCGACCATACCATCAACTGGGACAATGAAAGCACAATCTTCGAGCCAGTCCCGCTTTCGTCCTCAGTTAAAAACTTCTCTATCGCCGGCACAATACCAACCAAGCCATATGCCAAAGGACCAGTGCCCACTGCAACAGACACACTCTGGATGTAAACGTTCTCCACATCAGTAAACAGCTTTGCCATCGGCGAACACTTGAACAAAGTAAACCCTAGTAACGCTGATGGAAGCGACATCATCGAAACCCAGCCTGTTTGAAGGCCAAACTGGAAGTTGGAAATAAGCACCACAGTTCCGATAAGCAAACCAACAACGGTTGATCTGAAGGTCACTTGCGGTAGATCAACCTTTTCGTTCCATTGGAGCCGTTGTTGCAAGCCTGCGTTGCCGTCTGGGTCTTCAACCTCGTGGTGGATCAGCTGGACAGGCAGCAGGCTCTTGTTGGTAGGGCTGTCCATGAACTAGGTGTGGTTGCTGAAGGTTGAGATGAGCAATTGGGGAAGAAGGTGCAGATGTATCCGGAAGTAATGGTTATAACCTGTAGACGGAAATAAAAAAAAAACAAGGAACAAAAAAAAAAACAAGAGACAATCTGTTTTGAAAAAAAGAGTGGCGGTGAAACACTGCAAGTATGCAAAAAGCAAGATTACACCCTTCTGCCGCAAAGGTGCTTATTAATGGCACTGACTCTTTTTTTCAGTGCCCTGTCGCATCGGCTCAGCGATTGCGAAATCTATATCAAAAGTTAGTCGAGCGCGGGGGTGGTGGTTGACTCTCGGGTTTACTTCCCGAATGCGGCAATGCTTATCGAGCCACCAACCAAGACCAAGCTTCTATCCGCTCCGTGCCTGTTTTGTAACTATGGTACAATCTGTAGAGTGGAGGTCGTTGGCGGAGAAATACCGTAGCCTCCAAGCTTCATCTCCGAAAACAAGTCAAGATATCTGCTTAATCCTCTCCGAAAAGCAAGTAGTTCAAGATATCGCTCAACGTAATCACACTCACCAACTTGCCCTCGTCGTCAACCACAAACAATCTATGGAGTCTCAGCTTTCTGATGGTATCCATGATCGTGCTAAGTCTGTCGTTCTGCGTGCATGTGTGTACACCTTCGAAGTCTTCTGGTCTCCTAAGCAAGGCCTCACCTACGCTCAAGTCCAAATCAGTGTACATGCCCGCCTTGACTAAAGCCAACACGTCCACGGCTTCGTAGACATTGACCAACTTGCCTTGTTCATCCACAATTGGAATCGAAGACACAGACTTGTGGGCCAAAAGATGAATCACCTCAATAACCGGCGTGCTCATGGTACAAGTGCTGATATCCTTAGGCTGGTTCAAGCCTGAGATGTCACGAATAGGCTTCAACAACATCTTGGTCTCCTTACAGTTTAACGCCACAAACTTCAAGATTCTGTACTGGGTCAACACGGAAACGACAATTTCACGGTGAGTCTTCTCGTCCTCGTCAATCAACGGAATTCTTCTGGCTTTCGACTCCAACATCTTCACACACGCCTCGTAGAGCGACTTGAAAGGATGAATGTAAACAGTTTCAATAGGGGCCACGCCAATGTCTTTTTCAATGTCCCTCAACCCGTCAAGAGTCAACTGGTCAACAAACTCAAACTTCTCGGGAAACTGGAAGTAGTACTGGATAACGTTGATAAAGTCACTCGAGGTCAACAAACCAGCAAAACGGGAGGTCTTGTTACTCCACAACGGAGCACTCACAATGTTGTTTTGTAGCAAAATGTTCAAAGACTTCTTCACCAACAACGACGTGTCCAAAACAATCAAACGGTAAGACACGGGTAAAACATCATAGGACGTTTTGCTCTGCAAGAACAACCTGATGGCCTTGATACCAATTCTTTGGTCATGTTCAATTTGTTCAGCCGAAAGACTTTCAATGTAATCGTTTGGCGTGGAAGCCAGAGGGTGGGTAGAAACGTCAGCCATATCTTTCTCTTTATGATGCGCTTAGGGTAGATTCAACAGGTTCTGGAAGAAGTCCCCTTTCGTTGGCTTAAAGAGGTGAGTAGTTGTCTTTGAGCGGTGGAGCATTTCTGAGGCGGTCCACTGTGTGCAGTACAAACACCAAAAAATTTACCACCAGAGGAAGAAGAAGGTATATTATTTGGAGGTTAAGGAAAGAAAAATTCAAAAAATTATTATAAAATAGGGAAGGAAACCTGAACGAACCCCGTTGCTACCCAGAGTTGTTCTTTGCCTTGTGTTGCTAGGCTTTTCTGGCCTTCGCATATCCTTTGCCCAGGAGGGGTAGAAGCACCGTTTCGTAATTTGGATGCCCCAGTTCTTCTCTTGATGTCATATACTTATTCTTGCTAACGCCTGTGGGCTTAAAAAATCGGGAGTGACGTTTTGAAAAATGGGTTTTGATGATGAAGAAAATCAAGGGATGGCCAGAAAAGTAGGGATGCCAAATCCGACCGCAAGACTTGCAAATGTGGAAGATGAGGAAAGAACAATAAGCTTAGTAGCCATAACCAAAGTTTGCAGCCCTGTTGTCTTCTGTCTTTTGTTCTACGAATTTTTTCTTTTTATTTAGCCGGCACTGGCTCTTTGTTCATATCCAGTGATTGACGTATAGGATAATCAGGATTTGCAATCAACGCATTGCTATGTTCTAGATTAGTCCATCTAAGTCTACAAGTAGTTATTCAATCGACCAAACGATCAATCTATTAAGCGCATTGTAAGAAAGTATGAAGAAAGAATTAATGGTAGATATCCAAATGAGAAAATTAAGCCCATCTACCCAACAAGGCCATCAAACCAGCACCAACAGCCATGATAACGTAGGCAACAACCATACGCTTGAAGCCCTCGTCACCCTTGAACTCGTCGGTGAACAAGAACTCACGGGCCATCAACTCGATAAGACCAGTGTAAAGCAAAATACCAGCAGAGATGGAGTCAAAGACACCGTTGACAATCTTGGCAGTACGGAAGTCCTCAGAGTAAGTGTTTCTGACACCAAGACCAATGGCAATGGCAATTGGAGTGGTCAAACCGTAAGCGGCAGCCAACAACCATGGAGTCCATCTCTTGTTTCTTGGCCATGGAGTAGCAGCGATTCTGGTACCCAAACCCAAACCTTCGAAGAGCTGGTGGAACACAATGACTGGGTACAAGGTCTTGAACTCGTCGTCAGCAGTGGCAAGAGACAAACCAACGAAAACAGAGTGGAAAATGATACCGAATTCCAAGACAAAGATAGCCAACAACTTACTGTAGAAGTTAGAAGCGTCTTCAGTGTCAGACTCTGGAGCAGTAGGGTCGACTTCTTGTCCAGCCTTAGGGTATGCGGTATCAGAGTCCTGGCCAGAGCTAAGCTTGACCTCCTCGTCAGACTCAGTGTGGTTCTTCACGTAGTTGTTGGTGTCGCCAAAGTGAGAGTGGGAGTGACCGCCAGCACCGTTGTCAAGCTTCTTGTCGACGTATCTGAGAGCAAGCATTTCAACAAAGAAAATGATGAAAAGCGTCACAAGACAGATACCGTATGCATAAGGATAGATAGTCCAGCCGTGGCCCAAACATTCATCGCCCAAGTTATCAGCAGCAGGCTCCAACAAGTGAATGAAGGCAGTAGCGATAATGACACCGGAACCAAAGAACTTGGCAATGAAGAAACACCAGCCAGGCATTCTGATGAAAGAGTATCTGGAAGACAAGATTGGGAACACAGCACCAAAGGTGGATGCAACCAACACCACGAACACCGACGAGATACGGGCACCCAACATGCCGCTGTACTCGTTCTCACCACATTCATCTTCTCTCTTCTGGAGAGTGTCCACGACGGTAGCAACGACGGAATCCATGATGAAGTATATAGGGATAGTGAAAAAAAGGAAGATTCGAATTGGGGAGGGAAGAGCCGTTCTTATATGTTTCTCAATGGTAGTCAAGCAGAAGGAGTAAATTAATTGCACAATGGAAGAAGATGCAAGGACTGGAGCCACGGGCTTAATGCCATTCCCGAGACGCTTGACGTATGTAGAAAAAAAAAAAAAAAAGGAAAAAGCATGCAAAACGCCCTACCACTACAACCACCAAGGTGTCCCTCTGCATCCCAGATGCGCACGTCGCATAACCAGAGATGAGCGGTTGACCAGGAGATGGTGAGAGGAAATTGAGGCTAGGTAAACTTCAGGAGGGGGTGGCTGCAAAAACCCGTTGCAAGGGAACCCTGCATTGGTCAATACCTGTCAAAGCTGTGGAAAGCTGTCAAAAGTGAAAGCCAAGACTTGGGGTGTTCTTGGCGAGCATGTTATCGCTGATCACAAAAAAAACGTAAAAAAAACCAAAAACCAAAAAAACTGCGTGAAAAAAAAAATTACTACCGTGCGGCACCACCAAGCCATGTCAGGTGCTTCCCCAATAAAGACTGCTCCTGCCGCACCCTCATTGGCTCACAGCTTACCCTGGTGGTTGTACAAAGCGTAACGGGTTATATTCACGAGGTGCCGACTGGCAGATGGCAGGGATGGCAGGCAGACAAAGTGGGATGTGGGAGAGGTTAAGCAGCCTGTGGGCGCGATGGGGATTGTTCTTAGGTAAGCGTTAGAATGGATGGACAAGTGATTTTTTTTTTTTTTTATTGTTGGTTTGTTCACTCTTCGAAATGGGTTTCTACTGGTCAGAATGTGCATTTGCATTCTGTAATGGGTGGTTGTTCAGGGCAATATTGTAGGACGCAGAGTGGCTATCTTCATTGCGAAGAGTCCAGATGGGATAACTCCAAAAGATCCACAATACCAGGCATTTGTGGGCGGGTCATTTGGTGTTCTGGGTCACAAAGGAGAAAAGGCGGTTGCCTATGTCATTGGCTCAGATGGACTTTTGTCCATCTTCGCTTACTTCGTCCATCTTCGCTTACTTCTTCCATCAACGCTGCAACCGCAACCTTCAGCCTCTCGGTAGTATCCATTTCTTTTTGCTTACTTCATAATGCCGGACCGTTGGTGCCGCTTGTGCCTAAGCGCCGCAGTCACTAGCTTTAAACTGTTGGATTTGATGCCATACCGCCTATCGCTTAATTTGTGAAGCCGCAGACTACGTTGATTTAGGCGAAGCCTACTTGCAAGAATAAGTCTTGTCAATTGCGGTCATGTTCCTACTCACGCGATCGTTATGGGAACCTTGCTTGTGGAGAGGTTTGCTTTGAATGCTTGGCTTGGCGTTGATGGTGGTTCTACTACTTTTTCTAATTGCTTGCCGAATTGCTTGACTACTTCATCATGGAGATAAATCCGACGGTTTTGTATCAAGCATGGCCTCATGTGTAATGCATCTTGGAATTCCACAGGGGATCTGGGATGCCTGGGTTCCGTTCGAACGGCAGTGGTTTTCAATCCCAGCGAATCAGATGAACTACCCAACCCATCTACGTATTTCGTGCTTTTTCTCGTGTAATTTGCAACCGTTGTAGTCCCCGAACAATGAAAAGCTTTGTCAACGGTGATTTGTGACACAAGAACGGCCAGACGCATGTCTACACCGAGCTCCAAGTCAGGTTCGGGCCGAACCAGGTGCATAACGAACGAACCCGAACGAATAAGGTTAGAACCTCTAAGGTTGGAGGCAGCAGAGCAACTGGAAAACTGGTGCAAGCGAAATCCAAGCATCGCTTGGAGTAGACGAATTTTTCAGGCTTCCCCTTGTTAGCCTTCCATCATTGTCCCTCGAGACCATTATACTCCTAAATAAAGTTCAAGCACTGCTTCTTAAGCCCGCTAGATTCGTATTTTGCCGTTTAAAAATGCCCACCGGCTCCAATTGCGCTTTCCCCTTGTATTTCTATTTGTGTAACCAGAGAACCAGCTCCTTTTGTCCATAAGCCTCGGGGCCCCAAACGCCTTAGATAACGAACGAGCCACACCATATTTAGACTATATGGAAAAAACACAAAGCATACGAGGAACACACAAAAAAAGCCTTCAGAGACTTGTGTCTCAACGGCAATAGAAGGTTCAGTTCACCGATGCCAGTTTGTGTAACCAGAGAGTAAGGCCTTACTGGTTCCTTAACTATGAGGAATAGAGAGTATCACTATGAGCACAAAGCGTACTTCCTGATGCAAGCAAACAAACTATTGAAACTTGAGACCCTAGAGTATTCCAAATAATTGCCATTTTCTTCATTTTTTTGCCAATTGCAATTTTTCACTGGAAGCTGTCTATCAGCTTGGAGCCGGTCCTCGGCTGACGGCTAGCGCTGTTAAGGTGCGCACACGACCATCGTGTCCAGATACCACCATTCACTGATTTGCACCCATATCAAGCGTATTCTTCACATCAACACCCCAATTAGAGATGTCTGAATCTCCAGTTCCCAAAGATGAGAGTATAGACAGAGAAGCCAGAATAGCAGCTGCTCGCAGGAAATTCGAAGAGGCCAGAAAGAGGATAAGAAAGCTGGACACGTCAAGACCTGGCAGTGTTGAACCAAGCTCTTCTCCAACTTCCACAGATGGTGCCAGCAAGAACAGATTGCTGGAGCAGTACCAATTGCACCAGACTATTGAGGAGCAGAGGGTGACAATTGATAAGCTCAAGGAAGAAAACACAGATCTTAAGCTTACCAATATGGACCTTAAGGAACGTATTAAGACGCTTGAACAGAACGTGGAAAACCTTAAGGCTGGCAAGGCAGAAGTGGCCCCGCTGAATGCTAGTAAGTTTGACGATCTTTTAGATGACGATTTGCTTGACGATGATCTTGACGGGTTACCTGCAACCCAACCTACTGCTGGTGGCTATGGAGGTGCTACTGGCACCCCAGAGAGGTACCCAAGGTCTGCTAGTCGAACAGAAGTGCTCAGAACGTTTTCTAGTCACCTGGAGGCAGACCAGAAGGACTTTGAGGATTTCGATAAACAGATGGATGCTGGTCTTCTGGACATTGTGCTGTCTATTGTGGGCCGTGTCAGTACTGATCAGCAGATAGGTGGGTTTGATACGCCTTCTGCGTCTGAACAGCAAACGCCAATTGAAAGGGTAGAGCCTGTGGCCGAGAAGGAACCTGTTCAAGCTGACAGCAGCGCTGCTGAACCTGCTGCTGAGTCTCCAGCTTCTAATGGTGATAACTCAAGTGAAAGCGAGGTCAAGGAAGAAGTCAAGAAAGACGGTTTTGACGCAATTGGTGATTCTACGAGTAAGGAGGCAGAGACAGCCCAACCTGAGTTGCCAGAAGCCGAGGCAAAGAAACCTAATCTCGACGACTTGGATCTTGGTCCTATAGACGATCTTGAAGACTTGAATGACGAGCCAGAAGATCATGCTGCCACTGCTCCACAACAGAACGGAGATACTACTGAAGACGTCGACAATAACCTTGATACGCTCGATTTGGGTCCATTAGATAACGAGCTGTTTGTCGCCGAAGAGGATGTAGCCGGTGACGATCAAAAGGCAGGCGACCTCACAAATGACGTGGGAGGACAAACTAGAGAACTTGGCGAGCCCGACCAAAAGAAGCAAGAGGAGCAGGAAAGGTTAGATGAGGAGAATGAAGAACAAGAAAAGGCTAAGCAGCTAGCTCTCGAAAAGGAACAGGCTGAAAAGGAGCAGGCCGAGAAGGAGCAAGCCGAGAAGGAACAGGCCGAGAAGGAGCAGGCCGAGAAGGAGCAGGCCGAGAAGGAACAGGCTGAAAAGGAAGAAGCTGAAAAGTTGAAGGCCGAAGAAGAGAAGGCTGAACAAGAGAGAGCCGAAAACGAAAGAATCGAAAAAGAGAAGGCCGAACAAGAAAAAGCAGAGCAAGAGAGGCTCGAGCAAGAAAAGGCTGAACAAGAAAAGGCTGAACAAGAAAAGGCTGAACAAGAAAAGGCTGAACAAGAAAAGGCTGAACAAGAAAAGGCTGAACAAGAAAAGGCTGAACAAGAAAAGGCTGAACAAGAAAAGGCTGAACAAGAAAAGGCTGAACAAGAAAGACTCGAGCAAGAGAGAGCCGAGCAGGAAAGAATTGAAAAGGAACAGGCCGAACAGGAAAGAATAGAGAAAGAAAAGGCAGACCAACAGAAGAGAGAAGAGGAGGAAGAAGCTGAGAGACAACGGTTGCAGAACGAGAAGGAGGAACAGGAAAGACTTGAGAAGGAGAAGGCCGAGCAGGAGAGAGCTGAAAAGGAAGCCCAGGATCGTGCCGAGCAAGAAAAGATTGAACAAGAAAGAGTTGAACAAGAAAGAGTTGAACAAGAGAAAATTGAACAAGAGAGAATTGAACAAGAGAGAATTGAACAAGAGAAGGCCGAGCAAGAAAGGGCCGAGCAAGAAAGGGCCGAACAAGAACGTGTGGAACAAGAAAAGGCTGACCAAGAGAAAGCCGACCAAGAGAAGGCTAGGTCTGCTGCTTTGGCAGATCTTGAAGATGTTAGTTTGGAGCCGCTAGAACCAGCTGCATCTAAGGCTGCTGATGTCGATTTTGAAGACCTCAATCTCGAAGACCACAACCAAGCTCCTTCCCAACCAGCTTCCCAGGAAAGTGCACCTCAACAAGATCAAGCATCCAAATTGGACGACGTTGATTTGGGACCTTTGCATGACGACGAAATCCTAGACGACACCGAATTCACCAAGGACGTTGAACCCGCTCCAACTGAACAGAAGCCCGACGACTCTCTTTTCGATTTCTCCTATGATGATCAGCAAACAGGAGAACCTTTCGTCGCAGACACAGACTTCCCCAACCCATACGCTTCAGAAGAGCAGCGAGCACTCGCCATGTTCTCTACTGAGACACAAGACTTCAAAGAACGTCTCATGTTGTGGAAAGGCTGGCAAGTCGACATGACAGGCTGGACCACACAAGGCATCCCACCAAAAGTGGCTCTCTAATGAGATATGAATACAACACATACTTTTCCTAATGCACATTATTTTCCTATATCTATTTACAAAGTGAAAAATTTACTTGACTCTGCACAAGGCCAAGCCATGCAAGTCTCTTTTAGCAGCTTCCTGGATCTCCACCACTTCTCTTTCAGGAGTCCGAAGGAACATACACTCAGCAGGCTGGAGTGGTTTGATAAATCTAACAGGGAATCCCGAAGCCAAAGCCTTGACTTCTGTCAGACTCAAGTTGACTTTTCTGCCTGGCTTCGAGACCAACGAAAGGTCTCTGATAACAGGAAGGTTATCTCTGTATTTCAAGCCCAACCATAAACGGCGAGTGGCAATATTGTCTGGAGTAACTTCAACAGGTTTCTGGTCAGGACCAACGGTGGAGCCTCTTTGTATCGACGAAAGGAAGCCTTCCTTATATAAGTTTCGTGAGATCTCCAAATGCAATCTGGACAAAGGAACGGAGGTGAATCCAATGTTGACGTTTGTGCAGTTTTTCAAGTGGGCACAGTAGTTAGCTAGACTTGACAACGACATGGTGATACTCCTGCTGCTTCGGTCTTCTTCTTTTTCAGATTGGTAGAGTGTCTGGAAAAAAAGAGATCGAGGTCACGTGCGCACAACAGCGCTAGATTTCCCTTGGCTCCTTTCCTCTCATAGTGAGTGGTGCGATTTGAAATTTACTTCAGGTCTTGATAGTAACCCTCCCCAGTTGCAGAACCACCACATTACGTTCCCAGATGTTCCGTGCTTTGGTGCCTAGAATCCGTGCACCCATTGTCAGACTGTCACTTTTGACACGTCAGTCGTTTTACTCGACGGCTCCAAAGAAGATTCGTAGTCCTGACCAGGGCCCAAAGTTACGGTACTTGTTCATGGTGGTACTTGCATCGTATGGTCTTTTGCACCTTGCCACGCAGAGAATGGACAAGGTCAAAAAACCACAGACGAGTTTTTCGGAACGTGAGTTTCAGGAGCACGAAAAACAGAATGTGTTGAAAAGAAGAACGAAGGTGGTGCCTCCAGAGAAGAGGGACCAGTACAACTTCTATGTGGTTCCTTTCGTCAAGTCGAAGGAGTCTATTGTCGATGTGTTGAAGGGGAAGCTTCTGCTGGGAAGGGAGGTTAAGGTGATTGACCCAGCGGAACTTTTGGAGAAGGAGCTTGAGCTGGAAGGTAGATACTCATACTTGATTGAGGATATCAAGGCCACTGGAAGACAAGTTCCTAAAGGTTTGGTCACCGCTTTGGTCAAAAACGAGGTGAATCTTTTCATGAACACCACCAAGGGCCAGTACGATACGGATATCGTGTTGGTGAACTACCCACAAACCACAGACGAGGCCATTAAGTTTGAAAATGATATTTCAGATATCCACACCTGCTTTGTGCCCGAGAACGAAGACGTGTTCAAGAACAGTTTTGACAAGGAAGAGCTTAGAAAGATCACCAACGTCAAGGGATACTTTGATATTGTCAAGAAGGTGCAAAAGTTCAACCAGGAATGATCCATAGTGTCCCAATTCATGTAAATAGATAGATACATTCACTGAAAGAACTCTTCGGGAGTGTAAAACTTGACCTTCACGGCCTCTGCAAACGCCTTATCGGAATCCAGAAAGTCCAATTCCCTTCCTGCTGCATCTCCCACGTAGAATGACTCTTGCTTATCTATAGCACCTCCATCAAAAACCTCCTCCAAGTACTCTTCAACCTTTTCCCACATTCCAAGGCCTGGTTTACGCATATGCTGGTGCTCTTCTTCGCTGCTGACGATCTTCTGCTTCGCTTTAGGCCTTTTAGGTGCTGCCACCACAAGTGGATACGGTACATCCTTCCCTAACGACGTAACCACCTGGTTAACCCTCTCCTTAAGATTCGTATACGACTTTGACGGCAGTCCCTCTGAAGCCACAACCCCGCCCTGGTTCGTGAAAATCACTAACAAGTAACCCTTGCTGACCTGCTCAGCAACACTCTGTTTAGCCTTATCAGTAAACCACACCCAATCGCCAGGTGAACGTGCAAATGACGAACCTGACCGTGTTTTTACAAGCGTCCCGTCTAGATCAAAACACGCCAACTTAAGTTTTTTCACGTCCTGGCCTTGGTCCTTGACATACTCTCCAAACGCCTTCTTCTCTGGAAAGTTGGTGATACAGTGGGAACCCTCCACTCTCCACCTTGCTGGAAACGACAGCGCAGCCAAACCGGCATTTTTAGAAACCTCTCGCTTAGCAGTTTTCGGTTTGGCCACTTTCGTGCCTCCCAACATAGATGCAATGTCTCTACCCATTCTTCTCGGTAGCACCAGTTGCAACATATGGCTTCGCACCTTCGCATAATGTGTATCTCACTTATCAACTACTACTCCACATAAAGCATACATGGATAAGACGTCCACAGACCAGTACGGGCGAAAGTCGTGGAACGTGGAGGCGTATGAGGCCGAGGCTAAGAAGGGTCAACAGAAGAAGGGGCCTTCTGAGGAAGCTAAGGCTGCTGCACTGAGGTTGGCAGCTTCTGGTCATCTACAACAGAGAGCAGAGCTACTTAATGAGTCTATTACGCTGGTGAAGAAAAGAACACTTATAGCTGATCTGGCGCTTAGTGGGAGGAAGAGATTTGGGTTTACGTGTCCGATTTGTGATTTATCGTTTCGTGATACTTTGGCTCTTGTGGACCATATTAACTCGCCTCAGCATGCTAGGAAAGCACAGGAACTTGCTAGAATAGCAGGTACAGAGGGGACAGGCGAGGTTTCGAATGGAATACGACATGCTACGCCTGAGGAGGTTTCACAGACGATAGAGTTGCTTGTGGCTAAGAAGCTACGAGAGAATGCTGCTTCCAAGACGATGGAGTCTATGCAAGAGAGAGTACGTAAACGGGCTGCCTTCATGGAGAAAAGAAGCTCCAGGAGGAAGGAAAAGAGACAGAAGAAGAAAGGTGGCCAGGAGGTTGCAGAGGAAGAGTCTGAAATGGCAAAGACCATGGGTTTCGGTGGGTTCGGGTCTACGAAGGTTGCGTAGGCAATAAGAGGGATAAGTTGTTGCATCAAAGGAAAAGAAGAGAAAAAAGAATGCATTTTAATTGCAATGGATGCAATATGATGTTGCCAAGGGTTATTAGAACGCTACTGGGTGCTGCTGGAGGATAGAGTGACTGCAGTCGTTGGGCCTTGTGATAGACAAGGCTTTTTAATGGATGCTACAGGAAATATCAATAAGTCGCATCCTCCATAAGTATTCTAAGGGCATTCTGGGGGTCAACTACAACGTTTGAAAGCACTTGGATGTTGAATGTCCCGAGGACACCAATTTGCACCATCTTCCTCGTATTCTCTCTGAACGGATCTTCAACCCACGACAGAATAGTAAAAGCTGGTTCGTTCGAGAACTGGCCACCACAACAGCTCATTGCCTATTACAGGGAAACTCCTTGCAAGGCCACAAGCAGCATTAATATACCAGGAAATATAAAAGGAAGGGAAGACAAAACACTTTGACCAAGTATATGTAGAGTACTTCTGGTCTTCAGAAGTATTAGATACTCATAGACTTTGTTTTCATAAAATATGTATAGTTTACTGGATCTTCTCAAATGCCCATTTGCAGCCATTTACACTGTCTAGGAAGGCCAGACGGAACTCTACACCCTCCACCAATTCACCAAATCCACCTGAAAAGATAAAAACCAACAAATTCAAAGAAACAAATATTCACCAAAAAATTCACTTTCAAACTCCCCAAACCCCTAAACCCCCTCCCTCCCTTCTCTTCACCAACTCTTTCATCTCCCATTGGGCTCATCTCCCGCACCCAAAATGCCATACAAATGCCATACAAGTAGCACACCAAAACCCCACCATTCCACCAAAAATGGTCAAAAAACAACCTTTATCAACGGAAACCAACCAATATCAACACCCCCATCTCAAAAAACATCTCACCAAATAAAATCCATCTCTAACTGGTCTTTCGACAGTGGCTGGTATCCACTGGATCTGGGCCTTACCTGCAGTGCCCGCAAAGAATTTTTGTATGGTGCACACGGTCCAATGAAAATTATAGAAAAGCGCTTTATATCAACGAGCTCAAACAGGCCCCTGTTGACACACAAACCAAGACAGAGCCCAAACCAGACACACACACTTCATGGTCAAATTCAACTTCAGCGTGCCGTTCGGCAGCTTGTTCAAGTACAAGCCCCAGAAGTTCAACTTTGCCCTCGAGCAGGATATCAGGTCCAAGTTGGACTCGTTGCCCTCTGTGACCAAGATATACAGTAACCCAGACGGAACGCCCCGTGTTCCTAGCGACAGCGAGTTTAAGACGATTGCAGATTTGCAGAACTTGTACTACCAGCGGAACTACTCTGAGTGGAACTTTATTCTTCCTGGGATCCCTAAGGAACAGTTAGAGTTGTTCAAGGACAACACCCAGGACTTGAAGAACTTCCAGTTTGTCACCAAGGACGCAGGTAAAATCATCGACAAGATTCCATACAAGGACGAGACTACTGGTGAACTAAAATGGAGAATTGTGCGTGAAACCGAGAAAGCTGAGGGCTGGGAAGTGCCTTACTTCTACATCATCTTGCCTGCTTTCATATACCTCTTATACTCCAAGTACACGGCACAGCAGAAGAAGAGAGAGCAGGATGGACCTGAGTGGGCCGAGAAGGAGTTGCGTTTGAGAGCCATGGAGGACTACTTCCACGGCGACACCGAAAAGGCCAAGGAGTTCTTGTCCAACGAGGGCAAGTCTGCTAGAGAAGTTAGAGACAGAGACGACTTGGTGGTGGCCAGAATCTTGGCCGGTGACTACGACCGTTTGTCTGAATTGAAGAAGAAGTTGCCAAAGGACTTGGTTCCAAAGGTAGAGAAGGATGAGAAGGTGAGCATCTGAGCCCGCTTCTGTAACATACTCGTGTGGTCTTCTTTAAACGGCCCAGCATCTCATCTATGTACTACAATGCATGCCCGGAAAGATACAACAAGTCGTAGTTTCGTATATATACACTTACTCGTCGAGCTCGCCAGACTCCTCAACGACAATGGCAGAACGAGTCTGGCCACTGCCAGAACCTTCAGCTTCAATAGCCTTAACCACATCCATACCCTCGATAACCTCACCGAACACAACGTGGGCACCGTCCAACCATGGGCAAGGAACAGTGGTGATGAAGAACTGGGATCCGTTGGTGTTTGGACCAGCGTTGGCCATAGACAACAAACCTGGCTTGGTGTGCTTCTTGTCGAAGTTCTCATCTGGGAACTTGGCTCCGTAGATAGACTTACCACCGTAACCCTTACCGGTTTCAAAGTCACCACCTTGCAACATGAAGTTTGGAATGACTCTGTGGAAGATGGAGCCGGCGTAACCGAAACCCTTTTCACCAGTACACAAGGCTCTGAAGTTCTCAGCAGTCTTTGGGACAACGTCGTCGTACAATTCGAACTTGATTGGGGTCTGCTTGACACCGTCAATGGAAGGGGTGATGAAGACCTTCTTGCCGAAGGCTCTGGCGGTGTTGGAGAAGGATCTGATGGAGTTTCTGAACATTTTTTAGTGAAGAAGTAGGTAGAAGGTGGAGGTGGAGGTGGAGGTTGGAAATTTCTCACCTACTTAGTCTGTACAGGTACTACAAGTGGGACATGAATATAGTAACATTTTTAGCACGGAACCGGAATAGATATACGGGTCGGGGACGTGAAATTGACAACGTGGCCCTTGGAATTTGCAGAATTAGATTTTGCAGTGTACATTGTTTGTTCGTGGGGAACCGACGAGCTGCCGGTGATGCTGCCTGGATGGACTGCGACAATTACCGGGAGCAGAGCTTAGAAGCTCAACAAATCCACTTCACCGCTGTTATTGTTGTTGTTATTGGTGTTGCTGGGCTTGTTGCCGCCGTTGCTGGCGGGTTGCGAAGACGAGCCAAAGAAGTCATCCGTGGGTTGGCTGTCTTTGGCGGGCGTCGACACAGAGCTAGCAGGCTTATGCGTGGATTTCGTCTTGGCACTAGAGAAGAGCGACGAGAACGCATCGTTCGATGCTGATGGCTTGGCTGGGCCTGTCAGCACGGCACCGCCGAAAGAACTGCTGCTGGCTGGAGTATATGTGGGTTGCTGGAAGGCTGGGGTTTGACCGTACGTCTGTGAAGGTTGCCTCAGCGCAGCTACGGGCTGTGAAACGTAGAGGTTGGCCAAGTTGCTTGAAAGACTACCGGTACCGGTGTTGTTTGAAGAAGGAGCGGCCTGGAAGTCGTCGAAATCGTCATCGTCATCATCGGCGGCAGCTTCAGCAGGAGCTGGAGCGCTAGAAGAGGCAGCAGCATCATCAAAGTTCATCAAATCGCCCAAAAGATCTGGCTCAGGAGCAGCAGCCTTCTTGGATGACGAAGCATTGACCTTAGACGAACTTGTAGTGCTCTTGGAGCGGCCTGGGTTGGACGCCGTGGCGTCCACATCGTATTCTTCATAGTTGTCGTTACCAGAACTGCCGTTTCTATATTCGTCGGCTGGGTCGTCGTAACGAGCACCGTAGACACCACCATCACCGTAAACTCTATTAGTGAAGTCATCATCGTCCTGGCCGTAACCAGTGGTTATCGAAGAAGCACCGCCAAAAGCAGCAGACGACACACCGCCAAACTTCTTCTGGTTGGCACGGGCCTTCTTTCTCTCTGATCTGATCAAAGCATCGTCATTCAAGAAAGACACAAGGTTCTTGGACCGGTTTCTCACATTAATACCCTGATCACGGCCCTTGGAGTCAATGTAGTGGAAAGATTTCAACATCTGGATCAACGACAAGTTGGCCCTCACATCGTCCACAATGCGCTCAGATCCGTTCTTGATCAAGTAGTCCAACAATTGCAAAGACTTGTAGATCTGCCTCCACTCATTGGCAGCCTTTTCAGTAAACCTTCTAAACACGAAACTAAGGATCTCCTCACGTTCTCTGTAATTATAAGTGCCTGCGGCGATCTGGGCCATCAACGTGGTCAGTGCTCCCCATGGCTCGTTGTTGGTGGCCTCACGGACCTTGGCCTCCATTTCCGAAAGGTTCATGGCGACTAATGTTAGTAATGCTTTCTGCTGATTTGGGTGGTGCTGTTTGCTACATACCATTCTGGGCCTTACGGACGTAGTGTTTGGCGTCGTACAAAGAGAAGTTCTTTGCGGCGTCTTTGAAGTAGTCCATTTTCCTAAGACAGTTTAAACTGGATGTATGGAGGTAAGGGGGATGTTTGGTGGGAAGTGGATGGGTAGTTCGGAATAGCCAGGAGCCGATATTTGTTCACTTTCTCACTCGGTTTCCTCGCCTAGGGCTAGCCTAGGAAGGTTTGGTGCTGTGTACAGGAAATAGCTCATGGTTGCAAAAAAAAAAGTGCCTAAAACTCCTTCTTGTGATTTGTTTATATACATTAAGCGGGCTCAAGCGGGTTTTTTGTATTTTGCCCGAATTGATGCTGTGAGTTCCCGCAACTCATTGACTTTCTTGGGAAGCGCTCCGCGGGAAGAAATGCTTGGTCTGGGCGATCCGAACGGTGTGCTCTCTTCCAATACGCTCACGTTGTTGCCGAAGGAACCGAGCACGGACAAGTCTCTGGCACCTTGGCTGGTGTCGTGGTTCAAAAACGAATTGTTCAAATTGAGCATGGTCTGGTTGCCGTTTCCGAATGTAGTGTTATTAAGGCCACGTGTGGTGTTGGCGGCGGTCCGGAACGAGGCATTACTCATGTCGTAGGAGTTGTTGATGTGCTTGTTGAGGTACCCAACTTGTCTGCTTTGTTCAGCTCTCTTGAGCGCATCAGCTTCTTTTTGACGAAGGGTCAATTCTGCCTCTTCGGTTGTCCGTGACTTCTTAGCTTCTTCTTCTTGTAGTCTGCGTCTTCTTTCTATCTCGGCTTCAAGCTTGGCCTTCTTTTAAGCCCACGAGCAGTGAGCTTACCCTTGAACCGTCCACTCATCCGCTCCATTCCTTTATTAAGCGTTTCAGCAACGCTGTCTTCGCCTGAAGACATATCACAAAGTATCACATCTTGTACGATATCCTTGGGAAATTCGCTTAAACGCATAATCTGTTTCACTTCCATAGGACTCAATCCAACATTCTGTACATCCCAAAGAACCAAAAGAATCTGCACTTTGTAAAGACAGTAGCGACTGCAGATCTGGAAGATTTTATGAAGAATGCTTCCATCTCGCTCGAGCTTGGCCCGCAAGCTTCCGAAACTCTCTGCTTGTCGGTTGTCAACCAATCCACACTCAAACACTAAAACGCACTTTGCTGGAACGAGCTTTCTTTAAGAGCATTGCCGCTTGGTAAACTCTCGAAATCGACCTTGAGCGACTGGTTTGAGATGGTATTCTTGTAGTACTGTCCATCTTCAGCAACTTGCAACTTAAACTTTGTGTTCAACCATTTCGAATATGCTAAGCCCCAATCTTCCACAACAATCAAGCACTTGAGATCAATCTTGTTAGAGGATACCTTCACCTTTGAGGTACAGTTATCGACAAAATGCACGAGGTCGAGTGGTTTCCAGAGGTCTTCAATAGCCAGCTGCTTTTCACTCATGCGACTGAAACTCTCATTTCTGGGTGAATAGTTGGCACGCTTTCTGAACGATCCATCCACAGAACTGGATGCCAGTGCAACTCTCTTAAGTGTCGGTTTCTTGAAGGAAATGGATTGAAGCTCCTCGAGTTTCTGCTTCCTTTGGTCATTCTTGGCCCGCTTCTTTTCATAAGAGTTGCGCAAGGCTTGCAACGTCCTTCTAACAGCAATTTTCTTTTCGTATTGGTCGGCTATAGCACGTAACGAAGATTCGTACGTTACCTCATCAACAAATGCTCTGAAGAGCTCACCAGCTAAGCCGTCGATCAACTTCTGTCTTTCAGTTGCCCTATTCTCGTATTTGATAATTCTAGGAAGCATCTTGTAAAGTTCCTCATCGATAGCTCTACCGAGAATGTCATTGAATGCTGATTTGAGAGCAGCAGGGAACTTGGCAGCGTCAACTAATTTAGATGGAGCAGTTGGCACAGGGGGCGCAAGAGGCTGGGAAACCGGTTTAGGTTCGAACTTTGGAATTTCTGATACTGCTGGAGTAGGAGGCTTGGGAAGCGTTGGAGCTGCGGGCTTTGAACTGAACAACGGAGGTTTCTCATCCTTCAAGTCAATGACCTTAGGTTGTAAACCCGTGTCTTTATTGGGCTGTGCCGTAGAATCAAATGGAATACTAACAGCTGCACCAAAGCTCACCTTAGGCTTCTCAGCAACGGTTGATGGCTCAGGCTTTGTGAAATTGAACTTTGGTTCTGCTGCTGGTTTAGGTGCTTCAACAGGTGTAACAGCCTTCTCTGCTGGTTGTCCGAATGAGAACGCTGGCTTTGCTTCCGTCTGCTGAGGCTGTTTAGCAGTACCGTTCTGCGATTTCAAAAAGTCTTCTAAGTTCAAGGAGCCCACATTTTGGTTACCAGTGGCGCTCAGTCCAAAACCACCAAAACCTGCTGATGGTTGCACGGGAGGTTGGCCAAACTGGAACGTTGAAGAAGGTGTCAGACCAAATCCTGACAGAGGAGGAGCGACGGTATTTTGACCAAAACCAGTCGCTGTTTGCAGCGTTGTAGCCTTGGACGTATCTGACCCAAAAGTCCCAAAATTTGACGCCATAGAATCAGCAGCGTGGGATGCTTGACTTGCCTTTATAGGTTTCTTCGTAACCAGGGTGATGATTGGCTGGGACTGTCTCTGTAGATGCAAATCAGCGTTTGAGAGTCCAGAATTGACATAACTTCGTAATCTCAAGCCTTTAGACTTTTGGTCAAGCTGTATGGAGAAAGCCTGGGACAACTTTGGTTTGTCCGTATAACAGTTGAGCTTATACTTGGTTTCCAACTTTTCCTTGTTGAACAAATCGATAAGTAGCACACCATCCTCATGAAGCGTATCGACCTCATAATATTGTACAAATGCAACCAACTTGTCTATGGAATCAAAACCAAGCATATCCTGTAAAGAAGTAGCCAAGAAGGCACGGCCCTTGGTGTGGTAAGCACGGGTCATAGACTTGAGCGCATAGAAACGGTACTCATTGAAGTGTGTCTCCAACAAGCATGCGAGGAGAAATGGAGTCTCGGGGCTGTAGACAAGTCTGAAGAATTCAACGAAGAAATTAAGGGCTCCGACAGCATTAGTATACCCTCTTTCAATGACATTATTCTGCGACATCAACGCCCTAAAGCGAAGGGCAAGCTGAACCTGCTTGGATTGAAGAATTTCATCTGGAAGTGTCTGAATCTCTCTTTCTAACTCGGGATCTCTAAAATGACTGATAAGGTTATATGCTCTGAATTCGGCCTCGTTGGGACAGGATCCGCCATGGTTCCTGACATCCTGGTAGATTTCTGTAAGTGTCTGTAGAGCCTTATTGAGCTGTTCAAGCTCTTGCTGCTGGGAGTACTCAACATCACTACCGGCCATGATATGGAGGGAAAGTAAATGAATGCGGACGATTCTCTCGTTACAATCTATGGCCTGAGGACCGTAGAAGTTCTGATAAATGAAGTCTTGACGGATAGATCTTGTTCTGTCCCAAATGAATGAATGTGCTTCAGGAAGCTGCTCTATGATATTATCAACAATGTAGTCGAGTGTCTGTTGCAACACATGCGGAGGTCTCACGTCAGAAGGCATCAGCGGCGGCTGGCCGGCTGCTGGACGTGAAAATGCTTTGATGGCTCTTTCTCTGGAGATCTTATTAGTTGAGGGATCCTTTTCTAGATTTTTAACGTTATTTTCAAGAGCTCTGCGGACTCTTTCGAACGTAGGACACATATCTAAACAAGTGCCCTGGAATGCAATTGCTTCGTTCAAGTCCTTGGTGGTATTTTCGGCATCGACGAGTCCCAATTCCTCCATCTTCTTTCTTTCCACGTCTCTCATTTTCTGGAAGTCCTCGTAGATGCCCTGGTAGTCTCTACCACCGTTAGCCTGTTCCATCTGCAACATCTTCTCTTGATTCTGCCTATCCCATTCGTTAGGATTGAATTCAGGCGTAACGAGCATTCTTGGTTGTGAAAGCATGAACCTAGGAGTTGGTCTTTTGGGCTGTGACCTGGGCTGCATCAGGAACCCATAACTAGCTGGATCATCAAACAAGCTACCTAGTAGCCCAGAATTCTCCGTAGAAACACCAGGAGCGGTGCCATTAGAATACATATCCAGATTGAACTTCTGATTTGGGCGTTGGCGCCGCAGTAGCTGGTTCGAGTTGGGATTATGGTACTGGTATTGATTTGACTGACCTGACTGGCTCGACTGATTAGACTGATTAGATACATTTCGTTGGTTCGACTGGCTAGATTGTGGTTTCTGCCCGTCCCGAGGCCTCCTATACGTTGTTCTATTCGTATCACTTCTAGGATTGGTACCTTTGGCTCTAGTATACACATTGGGGTTGCTTGAAGGTGGTTTACCTGTACGCCTCGGCTGCTGGCCATTGCTGGGAGGTTTCTTTCTGCCACGTTTTGGATCGTGGCCTGCCTGGTTCTGAGCTCCTGGAGCTCTGGCTGTCTGGATGCCGCCTTGCGGTGCGGACATATGAGTAGTGGAGTAGCCGTTGGAGAAGTAAGAAGCTGGTTCTGCGGTTAGTGTAGTAGTTTGCAATGGCTGCACGTGACCACATACCGTTTAGACCAATATCTATTTAGTTATATAGTAAACAGCAAATCCAGATATTAGTTCTGGCGAAAGGAGCTCCTCTTTGATCGTATAAAGCTGTAATTTTTGTGCAGCGAGCTCCTCCACGAACCTGGCTGTGATAGACTCGTCCCTCAACTGGACTGTTACTAGTGCGCCAGTAGTAGTACCCATCAGAGCAGCCAAAGCTCCAACAAAATACGGAACAAGGTACTCGTTGTAAATTGTGTCTGTGGCAATGATAAGGTCGGGGGTGGAGTTCATCAATTCAAGCACTTTTTCGACGTCTCCATGGTTCTCCCAGTCATACTCTACCACCTCTATCTGGGCTTTCGCAGCCGTTTGCAGCCATTCCAACGTCTTGCTACTCCATCTCGAAGACAGCACGTTTTGAAGGAAGTTTTGTTTCATAAGTTTTAGTATGTGTTTCTGGTCGGTAGCAACGTAAACTCGGCTTCTGGGTCCAAGTAGTGATGCCAATACAGCACCTACGCCAGCTCCTAGCTCTAGTACTGCTAGCTGAGGGTCTCCCTTGAAGTAGCTATAAAACGGGCATTTCGGGTCGCCCAAGATCCAGTCTGCCAAGTACTTCACCAGTTGCCAGCATACAAAGCCTGTGCTCAGCGATTCCTGACCTGAAAGGGAAGATCGTGATTGGGTGATGGTGAGCTCATCTCCACTGGTAGGAAGAGATAGATGGAGCGTATCTGTTGATTTGTCGACATAGCCGAGGTTCTGGGCATCTGGAGGCCGGTGGGTTATGTGGATATCGTACACATGGTCGTCGATGTCGTCTAGGTTGACTTTGATGAGCGAGTTGGAGATGTCCATGTAGTGGATTGCAGATAGGAAGGTGATGGTACTTGGAGAGGAAGATGTCACCAAAAGAAGAGCATATACTAAAAAGGATGAAAAGTTTTTAAATGGTCGTTATTACACTTCAAAGGTTTCTTGGTAATTTATATCATTGGCTTTTCAAGTGGTACTTATTTGCCCTGTGGATCCTAGAGTACCTACTGAAGCTTCGTCTTGTCTACACTCATTTTCATAATTTCGAATTGTCTGGGTATATTTACATCAACCATCTAGCGTTTCGTAACCACTAGATGACGTTCTTGGCCTTCAAGATCTCGGCGATCAAGATACCGGCGCCAGCAGCGCCAATGACAGTGTTGTGGGACAAGACAACCATCTTGAAGTCCAAGACTGGGTCTTCTCTGACTCTGCCGACGGAAACACCGTAACCAGCGTCTCTGTCCCTGTCCAATCTAGGCTGAGGTCTGTCCTGTTCCTCCAAAACGTGAATAGTCTGTTTTGGAGCAGATGGACAGCCCAACTTGGAGGCGTCACAGACGTACTCCTTCATGGTCTTCTTGATGTCCTCAACAGATGGAGCTGGTCTGTTGGCGAATCTGAAAGAGATACATTCAGTGTGGCCATCGCTGACAGCAACTCTGTTACACTGAGCACTGACCTTCATCTTGTCGTGATCCAAAAGCTCAAAGGCAGTGTTGTCAGAGTTAGGGTGGCCCAAGATCTTTCTGGTTTCCCACTCCATCTTCTCTTCTTCACCACCAATGTATGGCACAATGTTGTCCAAGACGTCAATGCCAGAAACACCAGGAGAGAAACCAGCACCAGAAATAGCCTGCAAAGTAGTGGTGGTCAAGGCATCAATTGGACCGTACTTCTCCACCAAAGGCTTCAATGGAGCCACCAAACCAGCAGTAGAGCAGTTGGAGATACACACAAGGAAACCAGGTTTCTGCTGGCCAGCCTTTTCAGCGTCAGCGACCTTCTTCTCAACCACAGACAAGTGCTCTGGGTTGACGATTGGCACCACCAAAGGAACCTCAGGCTCTCTTCTGTAGTTCTTAGCGTTGGAGATGACAGCCTTGCCAGCGTTGACAAAAGCCTTCTCGATCTCGCCAGCATAGTCGGAATCCAAACCAGAAAACACAACATCACACTCAGCGAACTTTCCTTCAGGCTTACACTCTTCAACCTTGATGCCTCTGGCGACTTCTGGCAAAAGAGCAGTCTGCTTCCAAGTAACAGCGTCCTTGTAAGCCTTACCAGCCGAACGAGAAGAAGCACCCAAAGCGTGGATCTCGAACTCAGGATGCTCAGCCAACAACAAGATGAAACGCTGGCCCACAGAGCCAGTGGCACCTAAAACACCTGCTTTAACCATGTTATGATATATGTATGTGTAAGAAGACTATAGTAGTATGGACCGGCTGAAAATTTCCGCGGCCTTGTTTAGTATGTAGTCAACGAGCACTGACTCATGGCCGGTACCGGGGTGGACAGGTAATGGGGAGGGGAGGTTGGGTAAAAGGTTGTAATTGTAAGGGGGTGTTTGTGAAGTTGTCAGAACCAGATTTGACTGGTTTTTACGTTTTTTTATGGTGCTGGTGGGTTGGTTAAGTGGTGCTTTCGTGACTCTGTCTTTGCAGCCAATGCAGGAAACCACCATGATGTCATGGACGAAGAGGTGGTGGGTAGACAAGGAAAGGCAGTGATATAATGGGTGGAAATGTTCAAGGTTGCTTTAATTTCTTAGGGAGATTTTATGCTTTTCAGGTTTTTCGTTTTTTTGTTTTTGGGAGATATGGCGAAGGAAATGGTAGATGGTAAGACGACATCAGGTGGTAGCAATGGGGTAGACTATTCATATGGAAAACAATTATCTTACTAAGGAACTATAGATATTCCATTTGTATTGGTATTATTTAAATCTATTAGTTGGGTCATTTGAGAATCGGATTATGTAGTGATATGTATGGGAATGGTATTGCCTAAGATAAGCCATAAATACCAAAAGGTAGATCGATTGTATTCCCAGTAAATGACGGAAACGAAAACCTTAAAGTGTAAACGCCAAAGGAATGTTTAAAATTGGATAAATGAAATCAATAATGAAGAAGAATTTTCTTGTTTGGTTCTGTTGATACCTGGTACTCAAAAGCTTATTACCTCTGTGGTGGCCACTTGAAGAACTGAGAAGACCCATAAAATGGTCTGAAAATTCATTGAATTGCATTGATAGGATCCAATTCAGAACACTAAAACCATTTATATAAAAGCCCCTCCCGTTCCCATTCCATAGTATATTCACCATCTCTCGTCGTCCCGCATCTCACCAATTTGCACCCATTTTCCACCACACATCACCAGTCCAATCTCCCACCAACCACTCCAAAAATAAAATATAAATTTATAATAGATACTTTTTCCTCTAAGAAAACTTAAAAACCGCTTTTCAGTATATTTCCCTCCCAGTATGGCCCATTTTTCACTGCCTCTTCTGCCTCCCCCAGTGGCCCAGCCAAACAGTCCTACACACAACTACAACGCGTTTTAACCTCATGGCAAATCTACCAGTCTCTTCCAACGCAACAGCTTCTTTCAACCATGGCCAACACAGATTTCGAAAAAATCTACCTCAACCAATCAAGGTTGACTGGGCGTATGCGTGTGGCCGACTCGGGTCTCGGCTGGAAAGCGGCCCAGAGTTCTGGCGATGGAGCTGCTAACGCTCCATTTCTTTTACCTTCAGAAGAGATTCTTAATGCCCACTGGTCTCGTGGCTCTCGTGGGTATGAATTAAGAGTTCAGACGAGAAACCAAGGTGTGGTGCTGCTTGATGGTTTTGACCAGGAAGATTTTTCTAAGATGAAGCAGGAACTACAAAGAAACTTCCAGATTGCGTTGGAGCATAAGGAACATTCGTTGAGAGGATGGAACTGGGGGCAAACCGACTTGGCCAGAAACGAGTTGGTGTTCAATGTGAACAACAAGCCATCTTTTGAGCTTCCATACTCGGAGATTTCCAACTCGAACTTGACTGGTAAGAATGAGGTTGCAGTGGAGTTCAACTTGGGCAACGATAGTAAAGCCGGTGACGAGTTGGTCGAGATGAGATTCTACATTCCTGGTGTTGTGGAGAACGAAACTACAAAGACTGTGGAGGGTGAGAACGGCGAAAAGAAACAGGAGGAAGAGACCGAAGAGGTCAGCGCTGCCTCTGTATTCTATGACCAGCTCAAGGACAAGGCAGACATCGGCCAGGTTGCCGGTGAGGCTATCGTTTCTTTCAGCGATGTGTTGTTCTTGACTCCAAGAGGTCGTTACGATATCGACATGTACGCCACATCTTTGAGATTGCGTGGTAAAACCTACGACTACAAGATTCAATATAAGCAGATTGAAAGAATCTTTTCTTTGCCAAAGCCAGATGATGTTCACCATTTGATTGTTTTGCAAATTGACCCTCCTTTGAGACAGGGACAGACAAAGTACCCATTCTTGGTGTTGCAGTTCTCCAGAGAAGAAGAGACCGAGCTCGAGTTGAACTTGTCTGATGAGGTATACGAATCCAAGTACAAGGAGAGATTGAAGAAGAAGTACGACACACAGACTCATTTGGTTATGGCTCACTGTTTGAAGGGCTTGATGGAGCGTCGTTTGATTGTGCCAGGCTCGTTCCAATCTCGTTTCATGCAAGCCGGTGTGGCCTGTTCTTTGAAGGCATCCGAAGGTTACTTGTACCCATTGGACAGATGTTTCTTGTTCGTTACGAAGCCTACAGTCTACATTCCATACTCTGAGGTGAGCAACGTCACGATGTCTCGTACCGGAGGCGGAGTTTCTGCTTCACGTACGTTTGACTTGGAGGTGAACTTGAGAGGGTCTGGTCCTTCGCATGTGTTTGCCAACATTGACAAGGAGGAGCAAGAGGCTGTGGAAAGATTCTGCCTGGAGAAGGGATTGAGAATCAAGAACGAAGAGAAGATGGCCAAGGCTATGTTGGCCAAGGCTATGAACGAGGAAGACGACGACGACGATGATGCTGATGTCGATATGGGCAGTGCTGGAGACGATGAGAGTGACGAGGACGGGGACTTTGGATCCGGATCGGATTCCGATGTGGCCGAAGAATTCGATTCCAACGCCTCTGCATCCGAATCAGAGGACGAAGCGATGGACGGACAGCAGGACGACAGACCACCCAAAAAGAAGACCAAGAACTAATAATGTAATATAGAACCAATGAAAATTCCAGATACTCTAGCCGCCGGTACCGGTACTGCCGTCGCCGCCGCCGCATGTAGTAGGGTCTCATGAAGAGCATTCTTCACCAGCGCGACGCGTTCCCCTAATGGAATTCCCCTTTCCCAACAAAGCACGGCCGTCCCCAGTACTAATACCAACGAGCGAGCGGAGTATGAACCCCAGCCACTACATTTGCTCCTAAGCCCCAAGTATAGTACCCCTTATTACCATGATGAGCAACCTCACTCCCCAAAGCCTATTTATATCGCATCCTACCCCTGTTCTGTAAAACACCCCCAAAACCCACTAAACCCAAGACGATCCCACTAAATCCCATAAAAAATATACCATCGCAAGATCTGTAGAAACCCACCCCCTGCCATTGTACAATGGAACGCTCTTTTTTCGCTTTTTGCACCCAAACGGTAGCCAGCACGTTTCGCACCAGTGTCACAATCTGACAGCTATTACCCAGTGAGGTAATCTAAGTATCCCACTTGACGCAGTCGCGCTGGAAACACTATGGACTGCCCCATGCACATGGCTGTATCACTGCAGGAGGCACATATTCGCAGCCAGCGTTCGTGGGCTTAGGTGCTGGTTATTTAATTGAACCAGCCCCCTGGAAGAGAAAAAGGTTAACTGGATTCCGGTGGTCGCTACTGCTTCTTTTACAAACGTTTGGTGATCATGGCACCGTACGACGACTACGAGCTGTGTCTTAGGTTTCTTGAAACCGTACCTGAAGAAATGCAAGTTCCTGAGAGATCTGCTGCTAGACCAAGAGCTGATTTGGCAGGCAAGGGAGTGTTGCAGAGTTATAACCATGATGATAGTGACGATGAGGTTCTGTCGCAGGAGTTGAACTTTAGGACCCAGGATTCGTCTGATTATGGGTCGCCGAAGGAGTCTATCTTTTCCGCTTGCTCTTCGCCCAAGATGCCTTCTTTGAGCTTGCACCAAGAGGAAGTTCAAGATGAGGATCTTGATTTGTTTTTGGGAGAGCTTGACGAGGTGGAGATTCATGAAATTACCAATGTGCTTACGTACGTGAAGGGTGAGGTTCCACGGCTCAAGTGAGGTGACCCCAGCAGCAAACCTAACGATACTATGACCTTTTGGCCAGAGGCCCAACGGGCATAACGGCTCGAAAGTGAGTGGCTGGAAAGACGTGTCTCTGTATGGTTTTGTTGTGTTCTGCCATCCCCTGCAAGATCATGTTGCTATCGGTAGCAACGTTCTGCAAAAGCAGATCCAAGTAAGCCATACCAGCCTTAAAGGCACTCAGAGAACAGCAAATTGGCGTCTTCCGGCTTCTTACCAGCCAAATCAAGGCTCTGAAGCTTCAGACATCCAAAAAACACCCACATTCACGCAAACATACCCCATCATTCCCATTATCATACCCATTCCATACCACGGCCCATACCAACCACCATAACCCAATGCTTACGCAGCTTCACGCATGATATTTTCTTTCCCCTGGTTTCCCACATTTAATTGGCGGTTTCTTTTATTTTCCTTTCTTGCTCGACTCGATGTCTTATCTTCATACCCAGTGGTCCCCCACGCGGGGGCACATTTTTCAGCCTTTCCAGGCCACCTTAATGAACAAACGATGAACAAACAGTTACTGTAGATATTATTATTTTGTTGAATGGATTGTAAATCCCGTTTTCTGTCAGAACCCAGACCTCCTTCGGTCTTATCACTTATTTTCAACAAACCCGTTTTGTGACACAAGTGTCCCCCAAAGTGTCTAAAGCCACATAAACTTGCGAAAAATGACATTTCTGTACGAACGCTACAAACCTCTGGAAAACTTGTGGGGGCACCGAAAAATACACCACTCTAATTTTCCCAACCAATTTATCCTTTAATACCTGCCCACCCTTCCCAGTCACCCCACTGCCAAGTCTCACTCTTCCTTTCGTTTTGTGTCTCTTCTTTATCTCGCTTTTTCCCCATCCTCTTTTTTTCCATGGTCTTATGTATAACCACGGCGTCGCTTCGCTTTATCCTGCCGTGCACTGCACTCAAGACTTAAATGCCATGCCTGATCTCCAAACTACCCACCACTTTTTTTTTGCTTGGTTCATTTCGTCTTTATAGAGTGATTGTGGAAAAGTTGAGAACGAAGCGTTTCTTAGACCTGCCCAAGTTTTATTAAGAGGGTCTCCAGTTTACATTAGTCCAGCGTTTTCCCCACAACAGATGTCTCCACAATGGGCGCTCCACTAGGTACCATCATCTATGCTTCGGTGAAACCCATCTTTAAGATTTACTTTATTATAGCGCTAGGGTTTTATCTAGCCAGGAGGAATATTCTATCGGTTACAACGTGTCGAGACATTTCAGATGCTATTGTCACGGCCATCATGCCGTGTTTGATTTTTGATAACGTGGTGACGAACCTTAAGAGCTCAGATATTAAGAACATTGGTGTGATTTTCTTTGAAGGTACTATTTTGTTTTCGATTGGTGCTTTGCTTTCGCTAGCGACGTTTTACATTTGCAAGTCGCCAAAAACGTGGTTTGGCGGGTTGATCTCGGTTGGTTTGTTTCCTAACATTTCTGACCTTCCCATTGCATACTTGCAGACTCTCTCCAAGACAGGGTCTCTTTTTTCGAAAGAAGAAGGTGATAAGGGCGTGGCCTACGTGTGTATCTTTTTGGCGTCCCAGGTTTTCTACCAGTACTCCCTTGGCTTGTTTAGGCTTGTGCGGTATGACTTTAGGGACGAACTAGATGGACGCCAGGACCAGGAACAGGAAATAGACGGTGGTCCGTTGCATTCGGTCTCGTCTTCGCCGCAAGTAACCAAAGAAGCTCACTCTGGAAGCGTAGCTTCAGATGAAGAGTCGTACACTGCTGACTCACCTACGCGGCCTCCCACAGCAAGAGAACCACTGGAGTTCCGCCAGCATGACGATTTTTTAATGCAGCGCAACTCCCATGAACTTGATTCTATTGCTTCGTCGGTGAGACAGAGAAGAGGTACGAATACTTCAGGCGCCACGAACTACTACTCTTTGCATCAGACACATTCAAGATCTGCTGACTTGAGAAGAGCCAAGTCACAGGATGTTGAAGACGTGATCCAGGAATACTCGGAATTTGATAGACTTAAATCCAACGAAGCTCGGAGCATGCATTCAGGTACCAGCGATGTTGGTATCAGCGTGGCTCCTCTAGAAAGAAATGAAAAGGTACAGGAAGAAAAGGAGGAAACAGAATCGAGAAGAAGACGGTGCTGGAAAGGCTTCCTCAACACAGTTGTTAATTTCAAGACGCCCAACTCGGTGTCTTTGATTGTGTCGCTTATTATTGCCATGTCCCCACCACTCAAGGCTCTTTTCGTGGAAACATCTTTCAGCATGCCCAATGCGCCAGACGAGATGCCACCGTTGTCGTTTCTCATGGACCTCACTAGTTATGTGGGTGCCGCGTCTGTGCCACTAGGCTTATTGCTTTTGGGCGCAACCATTGCCAGATTGAAGGTGAACCAGATCATCCCCGGCTTCTGGAAGACTGCATTGATGGTGACTGCCAGCCGTTTGATCATCATGCCTATTTTCGGCGTGGGGTTCACCACGGGGCTATACAAGGCTGGGTGGTTTGGTGAAGATAAGTTGGTGCGGTTTGTTAGTGTTCTAGAGTTTGGCTTACCCAATGCTACTGCCTTGGTCTACTTCACTGCATTCTACACCGACCCCAACTCCCCAGACCACGTCCAAATGGACTGCTTGGCCATTTGCCTCATGGCCCAATATGCAATTCTTTTCATCACTTTGCCCTTTTTGGTCACCTTCACAATGAAGGAGTCCCTTAATTTCTAATGCATAGAAGACTATCACAAGTCTCAAGAACTATAGATTACGGGACCCGCGCCTCTCGAGGTCCCTCCCCAGAAGAGAAGGATTGCACACCTCGCGGCTTTTCTCCTGCAGAATTGCCTTGCTAGCTTTTTTGACATCACTTGCTACTTAACAGAGGCTCAGCATTTTACATAAATAGGCTGCCTGGTCACCCACAAAGCTTTTTTTTTTCTTCCTTTGTTATATACATATAAAGTTTTTCATTTGATCCCAACATGGCTTTGTACTACAATATGGTCTTTGGCTTGCTTGTGGTGGAGATGCTCTTCTTCACCATCTTGTCGTTGCCTTTCCCCAGACGAGTGAGAAGAACCGTCTTGGCCACCGTCTCCAAGCCATTCACCTCAGAACATGTCCAGATCATTACTAAATGTATCTTTGGGTTTGTTGCAGTTCTTTTTATTGACTCTGTTAACAGAGTCTACACTGTCACTTACGAGTTGCTGAATGCTGGTGGCGAGCATGGAATGGTTGACAGATCTGAGATCAGGGCAAGAAAGTTCTACGCCCAGAGAAACATGTACCTTTGTGGTTTTGCGTTGTTTTTGACTCTTCTTACCACCAGAGCTTACTCGTTGGTGGCTGAGCTTGTGTTCACTAAGGATAAGGTGGATGACTACAAGAAGGAGCACGGTGAGATCACTCCAGCCACCGGTGACAGTGACGAGATTGTTCAATTGAAGAAAGAGTTGGCTTCTAAGGATGAAGAATTGACCAACTTGAAGGAACAAGCCGAGGGCTTGTCTAAGGATTACACGAACGCTTCTGACTTGGCTGACACCAATGCTGCCGACTTGGCCAAGGAGACCACTGGCATTTCTGGCTCAGCTATCGAGACGGCTGCCGACAACGGCACCAGGGCTTCTGTTTCAGGTTTCAAAAAGGAGTAGTATATATTTAATAGGAATTACTCTTGTGTTTAGGCACAAACTGGAAGTTTGGCGATGCTTTGCCGAGGAACATCTCGGTGATTTTGATCCAATCCTTGTAGTCGGTAGATCCAAGAAGCGTCTCCAACTCGTTTCTACCACGCCACTTAGGTGGTCTCTGGTTCAATTTGGGTGGGAGCTTCTCCAAGATACCAACTGGAATGTATCTGTGGGTGAAACCAATGAACTCACAGAGGAACCTTCTTGCAACCTCAATACCGTATTCGTCAGATCCCCAATGTTCAACAGCGAAATTGGCAAATGTACGAAGATGCTCGAGTCTTTCACTGGCCAGCTTATCAAGGTACTGCTGAGCTTCGATCTCCTCAAAGATCCATGGCTTGATAAGTGCACCTCTTGCAACCATCACAGAGTCAATACCGTCTGTGTTGATAGCATCGTACCATTGCTCGTGAGTGAAACAGTCACCATTACCAATAAACCATGTTGGCTGTGTGTCTGTCAATTCTTTGTCTTCCTGTTTCTTTTCGTTTAATTTCTTTACGGATCTGGCAACCTCTCCAATGTAGTCCCAGTCGGCCTCTCTCGTGTATCTTTGCTGTCTAGAGCGGCCATGCAATGTTACTGCTGCAACATCAGTCTCTTTCAAGACTCTGTTGACCAACGAAATGGCAGTGTTTTTGTTATCCTTAGTACCGGTTCTGATTTTAAAGGTAACTGGGATATCACCAGAACAAGCGTTCATACCGTTCAAAATACGAACAAGCTTGGCTGGTTGGTCTAGAAGCGCTGAACCTTGACCTTGACGGTAAAGAAGGTCAATTGGACAGCCACAGTTTAAGTTGAGCTCCGAAACATGTGGAGCTTCGTTGTAGATGGCTTCAGCAGCTCTAGCGGCTTGCTGATGGTGGTTTGCAGCCAACTGAACACCAAAACCAGGGTATTCAGAGACATGAGCCTTAGGCAAAGCCCATTCAGGTTTCGTTCCTTGGAGCAAAGGAAGCGCAAGGGCCATCTCACTGTATGTGACATCAGCACCAAGAGTCTTCATCAAACGACGGTAAGGCAAGTTACCCACGGTCGTAAGTGGAGACACAATTTTGGCTCTGTTAAGGTTGAGTCTCTTCTTTTCAGCCGGCTTGAATGGAGGCTCAGTGTAAGATGCAGCGTTCTCTTTGGTGGCATCCTCCTTCTCTGCTTCCTGTCTAGCAGCGTTACTCTCGTTCTTGACCAAAGAGTCCAAGTACTTGTTATATGGGTTAGCCTTTTCGAAAACGTAACGATGTTTCTGAAGATCCATTCTATGGTCAGGCGAGATCTTGTTGATTTCAAAGTTCTTCGAATTGGTCTCGGTCTTCAGAAGCTCCTTGGTTTCTGCGTTATAGTGGCTGCTCAACCATCTACACTTCAAACCAGCAGGACAGTACCCGATGGCAACATAAACAGGACACTTACCATCAATATCAGCAGGTTTCGTCAGAAGGTAAAAATCAATATCATGTGTGTTCTTACACTTCTCATCACCAAACTTGCACTCTTTAGGGTTAGAAGGGTCCACCAAAGTCGAACACAATCTCACTTCCTCCTTCTGCTGTTTAAGATCTCTCTTCTTATTCTGTCCTCTATTCTTCTTGGACCTCTTGGAACCTTCCTGTTGCTGGCCTCTGTCTCCACCTTCAGCTTCCTCATCATCATAGGCTTGCTCCACCTTGACACTTTCCACCACAAACTCAGGCTTGATAGGTGCGAGGCCTTTATCGAACGTATCAGTACGAGCCTTTTTAGCTGCTGGCTCGACGACAACTTCGTTTTCACGCTTATCGGCTTCGGGCATGATAAGACAGTGGTTGATGGAGGTAATCTGAGCTGCTCACTTTTCCACCAATGTATGTACACTCTGGGGTAACCACGATATGGGTTGCCAAAAAGAAATTTGAAGAAAAGAGTTAAAATCAAGAAACTATAGACAGAGGAGATACCAGGAAACCAAAAATAAAATTAAATTACTTCCATTCACCTTCCCATACACTGGTCTTCTGTTGGTCCCATCTCATCTCTCCATACTGAGGACGCATTTGTACGCAGCACCTCATCGACTTTTTCAGATACTACTCTCGAGCGACGTTACTTGATCCTTGGACTATCCTTAACCATGGCTAAATACACTGCAAAAAGCAGAAGGTTCAGCCGCCAAGCCAGGTATCGAAACCATCGAAAATCTTTAGTCCCTTCAGGGCTTTAGGTAATGTTTCCAACGAGGTGCCGTTTGCCATAGGTACTTTGGGTGCAACCTTCTATATTGTCACTTCTGTGGGAAGATCTTTCCAGATATACGATGCTGCCACTTTGCACTTGCTTTTTGTTTCCCAATCACAGACCCAGGCCAAGATCACTGCTTTGGCTGCTCATTTCCATTATGTGTACGCTTCTTCTGGTAATGTTGTGGGTATCTATAAGAGAGGCCGCTTGGAAACAGAGCTTAAGGTTCCAGGACCACAGTCTGCTTCTGTTAATCATCTTCTTGTGTTTGGTGACTACTTGGTTGCCACTTCCACTTCTGGCGATATCAACGTGTTTAAGAAACCACTGGGCTCGAAGATTCCTACTGAGCACTACACCACCATCAAAAGCATCAACACGAAGTTTGATGGCGACATTGTTGGTTTAATTCACCCTCCAACTTACCTTAATAAGATTGTTGTGGCCACTACGAACGGTATCCATCTTATTAATATCCGTACTGGCAAGACTATCTTCAAGTCTCCAGAAGGTCAGTTTGGCGAGGTTCTTTCCGCTATTGAATTTGCACCTGCTCTTGATATCATTGCATTGGGTACGGGCACTGGTGGCGTTTTCCTTTACAACTTGAAAAAGGGTACCATTTTGGGCGAGAGAATTATCGCTTCGCCAGCTGATGTGGCTGCTAAAGTGAACTCCATTTCTTTCCGTACTGATGGTTCTCATCACCTTGTGGCTGCAATGAGCAACGGTGACCTTTACTTCCACGATTTGGTCAAGAAGGCCAGAGTTCACGTTCTGAGAAACTCTCATGCTGAAGGAACTGGTGGTGTTGCTAACGCTAAATTCTTGAACGGTCAACCTATTGTCGTTACCAATGGTGGTGACAACCAGCTCAAGGAGCTCGTTTTCGATCCTCCTCTTTCGACTACCAACAGTGCTGTTGTTTCACCACCTCGTCATTTGCGTTCCCGTGGTGGTCATTCCGCTCCTCCAGTGGCTATGGTCTTCCCTAACGAAGACAAGTCTCATTTCATTTACTCTGCATCAAAGGATAGATCTTTGTGGTGTTTCTCTATGAGAAAAGATGCCCAGGCTCAAGAAGTCTCGCAAAGACCTCCAAAGGTGGACTCCAAAAAGAAGGGTGGCCCGGTTGCCCTGTTGCGTGAAAAGGTTCCTGAAATTACTGCTTTGGCTATGTCGGTAGCTAGAGAAGGCGATTGGGAGAACATGGTCACAGCACACAAGAACGAGAATTTTGCCAGAACTTGGGACTCCAAGCATAAGCGTATGGGTCGCCATGAACTTGCTACTGTTGATGGTGGTTTTGCAAAGGCCGTTTGCGTCTCTCACTGTGGTAACTTTGCTCTTGTGGGATCTTCCAACGGTGGTATTGGCGCTTATAACTTGCAATCTGGTTTGCTTCGAAAGAAGTATATGTTGCATAAGAACAAGGCTGTCACTGGTTTGGCCATTGATGGTATGAACAGAAAGATGGTCAGCAGTGGTCTTGACGGTGTCATTGGTTTCTACAATTTCTCTGAGTCTAAGTTCTTGGGCAAGTTGCAATTAGACGCTCCAGTGACAACTATGGTTTACCATAAGGGTTCTGACTTGGTTGCTTGTGCACTTGACGACTTGACTATTGTAGTCATTGATGTTGTCACCCAAAAGGTTGCTCGTGTGCTTGTGGGCCACAACAACAGAATCACAGACCTTGACTTCTCGCCTGACGGTAGATGGATTGTGAGTGTGGGTCTTGACGGTACTTTGCGTACATGGGATATTCCTACTGGAGGGTGTATTGACGGTATTCGTCTTCCTACTGTTGCAACCAGTGTTAAGTTTTCTCCAATTGGTGACTTCTTAGCCACTACTCACGTTTCCAGCAACGGTATTTCTCTCTGGACAAACAGAGCCCAGTTCCATCCAGTTTCCACTAGACAGATGGAGGACCATGAATTCTCCACAGCTCTTTTACCTAATGTCTCTGGAGAAGGCGGTGCTTCATTGATTGAAGGTGCTCTTGAAAGACCAGCTGAAGACGAGTTTGACATAAACCAGACATACCGTTCTATGGATCAGATCAACAACGATCTTTTGACATTGCACGTTGGTGACAGAAACAAGTACCTGAACATCTTGCATCTTGATATTATCAAAAAGAGAAACAAGCCAAAGGAGGCTCCTAAGAAGCCAGAGCAGGCTCCATTCTTCTTGTCTTTGGGCGGTGAAGTCGTTGGCGACCGTGCTGTTGTTGCAGAAAACGGTGCAAAGAAGGACCAGAACGGTTCCACCACCACCACCGAAGAGTCTCGTCTCAGAGCACTCAAGGAAAACGGAGAACACCACAACTTCGAGTCTGAATTCACCAGGTTGCTTAGAAACGGCAGCGAGTCCAATGACTACACCAAGTTCATTGAGTTCTTGGTCAACGCAGCTCCTTCGCTTATTGACCTCGAAATCCGGTCCCTCAACTCCTTCCCTCCATTAGACGAAATGACCAGTTTCGTGAACGCCCTCAACCAAGCCATGGAGCTCAACAGCGACTACGACGTGTTGCAGGCCATTTTCGGTCTCTTCTTAAAGCACCATGGAGACGTTATCTACGCGAACGGTAAGGAAGAGCAGTTACACGAAGCCCTCGAACAATGGGGCCAACTCAACCAAACCAAGGGTAACAAACTTGACGAACTTGTTAAATACTGTTCAGGAGTCGTAAATTTTGTATCTATAGTATAAATAGCATATGGTACATCTAGTCCATGAAATACCCAGTATTAGTCAAGGCGCACTGTATAGGCTGGTGCATCTACATCTACTTCTCAAGGTACCTACTCCAGCATAGACCGTCCAAGCAACCAGCATTCGCCATGAATGTCGACATTATGGCGCCGTTCAATCGGCTCAATCTCAATGGGAATGCCAAGGTGACTGCTCTCCATTTCCAGGACGAGAAGCTTTTCATTGGGTTCTCGAATGGCGATATTACCATCATGAAGGTGAGTGACAATCCAGAATCACTTAAGACTCCGGCTCGCTCGATGCGAAGCTTCCGTTCGTTTACCGATATCAAGGGACTTTTTCACGACAATGACCTGTCACTGTGGTATAATACCGAGAAGACATTTAAGAATGTGAATGGGTCGCTGGCTGCCATAACTGCGTTGAGACTCATACCACTATATAAGGACGGCTCGAGGGACGTGCTTCTAATTGGCAGTTCAGATACGCTACAGGCGTTTGAATGGGTTGGGGCTCATCTTAATTTGATTAATTCGTTCCTGGACTCAAAGTCGTTTAATCAGTTCAGGTATGTGGAGACGAAAGACCGCAGGCTAATATTGATTGGGTGTAAGAAGCGCTTGCACGTTTATCAGATCAAACAGAAGTCGAGAAACATTTTCGACTTTATTCTTATCAAAGAGCTTAATCTTAAGGATAAGCTACGTGCCATTGGTGGACACAAGAACCATGACATTGTGGTGTTGGGCATGACCAACTCGTTCGCTTACTTGGAACTCGACGAACCATACCAGTTGAAAGACCTTCCTACCGAGCATTCTGGCATTAATAATCTTTCCCAAAGCACATCGTTTAGCTACTTTGGTATTTCAAGCACTGGGCCTCAGATCTGGGTGGTTGATATGAAGAATTCAACGTCATTAGTCATCCGTGATTCTCAAGTGGGAACTCTTACGTTTCAGGAGAAGTCTTGCTCGCTAAAGTCTTCTAATGTTAACTTCCAAGCTGTGCCTGTGGATGTGGCTTTCCTTTCTCCCTGTTACTTGCTAGTCTTGTACAACAGGAAGCTCGAAATCATAGACGTTGCGAGTGGTGCAGTCGTACAAGTCTTCCACCACCACATGAACAATTCTAATATTAGCCTTACGGTCAACGAGGACGTTGTTATCATTGGTGCGGGCACCAATGTTTTCCAGTTTAGAGTGCATCCGATTCGTAAACAGCTCAACCAGTTTCTTTCCATACGAGGCTCAAGCTCAGGCGCTAGAGGCCTGAAAGAGCTACATCACGATCTTCGTTTGATAGGTCTTGAGAGGGCATTGACTTTGGTCAGCAATCTCGATAACGATGACAGTTTGTTCTTTCCCTTGGGCCTGTTTGAGGCTGCAACCGACAAGCATAAGCTTTTATACCTCCGCAATTTGTACTTGGAGAAAGCTCTGGTTTTGTTTGAGCTGTATGGGAAATACCACGAAGCTTTGATCAACATAGGGTCCGAGTGGATACTATCGTATAAGGAGGTCTTGAAGCTTTTCCCAGACTTTCTTAACGGTGAATACCAGAGTGCTCAGTTGAAAGAGGGTGATACTGAAGGTTCAGAAGAATCCAAATCCAGCGGGTTTGTGAATCCTGTTCGCCGTGTGAGCGTTCAAGAGGTGGACGCTATAAAGCAGGATCTTATAAATAACACTCCTCCTACAAACGGTGATCAAGCTCCTGTGGAAGGACAAGCCAGTCATTCGCCTAGTGTTGCGCCATCCATAAACTTAGAGGAACTGAAGTCACTTAAGATTCGCAAGTTCAACAAGGCTGTCGGTGATCTTATCGTTTTCATGACCGATCAAAGAAGAATATACTCCATCTTTTTGGGTTCCAGTGATATGATGCCTACATTACCATGGAAAGGTGTTGAGATCACGCCTCTTGATTTCGATCAAAGCTTAAAGGAAGAGGATATGTGGGATCGGATCAAGAGTGATGCTGCTTATATTGATACCACTCTTTTCCTTTGTTATTTCTATACTAAGCCAATGTTGCTTGGCCCGCTCCTTCGTTTACCAAACAACAAGTGTGACTCAAAAGTTGTCAATCATTATCTTCTAAAAGATCTACACAGTCATACGAAAGAGTCACAGGTATTTATTAGAGAATTGCTTGACTTTTACTATGGCAGAGGGCTTCATGAAGAGGCTTTGAGCATGCTTTATAAGCTCGCTCACGACGAGTCTTCCCATTCGCATGAGTATGATGAGTACTTCAGATCACCAGACCTTACTATCACTTACTTCCAAAAACTTGACAACAGCCATCTCGATTTGATTTGTGAGTATGCAAAGTGGGTCTTGTTGGACGATGATCAGAAGATGATTGAACGTGCTGCTTCTACCTTTATGAACGAAACATACGAATGTGAAAGCTACGATACAACAAAAATTTTCGAATTCTTCAAGAGCTCGATAAAGAATGACGATTTAGCCATCCGTTACCTTGAATGGCTCTTGAATGAAAGTGATGTTCTTCAATCTTCAGGAAGAGCCAGACAAAGATCAACATTCTCCACCAAATTATGTTTGTTCTACTTGAAGAAATTGAAAGCACTCGAGTGTACGGATGAGGAATTTTTCGAGAACGAGGTGTACAAGAAGCTATTTGGTTTCTTGAAAGAGTCTTCAGACTATGAACCATGGACTGTTTTAAAGAACATACCAACGAGCCAAGACAAGTTCCTTCGCTTCACCATCTTCATCTACAAGCGTCTTGGAGAACACCAGAAATCAGTGGACGTTTTATTCAACCAACTTTCTGACCTAGATGGAGCCATTGACTATTGCTCTGAACTCTACGACAATGACGAACGCCAAGCGGGAACTGACCTTTTGCATAAACTTCTCGAAGACTTGTTGCTCCACTATGAAGAGAACATAGACTCCATCACGAAGCTCTTAACAACCCAAGGAACAAAAATGTCGATGACCAGAACTCTTCTCACGTTGCCCAGCGCCTTTCCGCTCCAAAAACTCGACAGTTTCCTTAGTGATAATTTGGTTATCACCGAGAACGATCTTCAAGAGAAGATGATCAGTGCGCAGCTCTACAAGGTAGGCGCCGTCAAGGTTCAATACGATCTCCAAAAGGAAAGATCTCGTTTTTACAAAATCCCTAGTAAAGACGAAGAATGCGATACTTGCCACCAGTCAATTGGAAAAAACGTCATTTGCATTGACCCCAAAGACGAAATCTCCCACTATAAGTGTTATCAGAACAATCGCGAATGAGGAAGATACCAGTACTCCGGACACAAGCCTAAGATTAGCGCAAAGTGGAGTGCATGCAAGAGAAAAAGTGCCATACAATTTTGAACAAAACATTGTCGTTTCTACAGCGTTTTTCAAGACAAGCGGTATCAATTGAATCAACCTCAGACATTGGGGTTTCCATAACATACGAACTCTTTGTAAGATCAGGTAACGCTTCACCATGTCGAATTCCACCCCTCCGACTCTGGGCCACGAAGAAAAGTATGGCGCCAAGCCGTCCAGCGGAGGCATCAAGCTTCCATCCATTGCCTTCTTATCCAACCAGAATGATGGCTTCCCACCAATGCCTCCACAAGACAAACCGTTCCACTCGAATCCCGAGGCCAATGCTCCACAGCCGCCACAACCGCCTCAGCTGGCAATCAGTCGTCCTATGAGTTCCACTGATCATCTTCCATCGGGTACTCCTCCTTCAATGACAATTAATAACCCCCATGAACTGGAACCACACCATCACGAAAGCTCTCAATCGGTTACTCCTACCGGTGTTAATCATAGCCCAGGACATCCACATTCAGAGGGTTTGCCAAAACACGTGCACCGTTCGTATGATCGTCAACATAATCCCAATCCCCATCACCACCACCATGTTAGAAGAGTAAGTAGCGGACATGTTCATTCCCATGCTCATCACGGTCATGCTCATGGCCACCACCATCACCATCATCACCACCACCATCATCGCAATCCTACTCCTGCTTTGAACCAAGTGCAGCAAGCGGCTGAAATGTTGGCAGATGAAAGCCCTAAACCAAAAGAAAAGACCCCTGAGAAGGAATTGAGCAAGTCTGCCGAGCCTGAGACGACGGTTACTGTGACGGAAAAGAAAGCAATTCCCTTTGTTCTCGATAAGGGGCCTCTAGAAGAGCTCTTGAGAGAGGTATTCCCTAAAAGAAGGCATCTTGGGTCCATTGTGTATAACCCAACGACGACGTGGGCCAGCCTTCAGGTCCAGGACTTACATTTTGATGAACACGATAAGCAACATCTTCTTGATATACAGCGCAAATATGTGGAAAGAGCCAACGAACCATACTATCATGAAGAACCAGAATACATCCCTAGTCTTCCGCCGCTCACGGAAGCATGTATCAACAGTTTTGTCGAGGTGAAAATACCGTACAAGTTTGTCAAGGAGTTTCTAGAAAACTGTACTACAGAGAAGGTGCAGCGGAAGCGAGAGCTCTGGGGCGGCGCTGGAGGGATCTACACGGACGATTCCGATATACTAGCCGTGCTTAAACATCTCGGAGTGTTTGATGATAATGCTGATCTCAGCGAGATCAATGGCAATTGGAAGAAACAAGAAATCGTGAAGCCGCTAGTGGTGCACAAAGACGCTGACGGCGTGGAACTACTTGATCTTTCTGTGACACTTCTCCTACTCCCCACACTCAAACAATACTATGGGTTCTACAAGAATGGGCTCAATGCCAGGTCGTGGCTCGGGGACGAACCACACAGTGGACTTTCCTACGGAGTGTGGAGCGTCAAGTGGGAGACGTACAACGCGTTTGCAGGCGACAAGTACATACGAAAGCGGGCCCAGCGGGAATTTGAAGAAGATCGGGAAATCCAAAAGGGTATAGTGGAGAAAGGCCGAGGGTGGAGATTTGACTACAAGTGTTATCGGGAACTCAAAACCAAGTTCACCAAGCTTGACGCAGGCAAGAATTCCACACAAGAAAAACCCTAAAACTATGGACGCAGGACAGACAAGCCACGCAATCCCCAGCATTGATGACCTGGACCATCATCATTTTCATTGATTTCTGGTCAGATGGCAAATAGTCAGTTTGCAGCCACTGGTCCCACACATTCTTGCCTCGGGACCCCGTATCTGTGGTCAGATGACCGTTCATCGAATGCGTATGCGCTGAGCTCGCTTGGCCCTGGAGGGATAGTCATGTGGCCCCAAGAAAAAAAGGTGAAAAAAAGGAAAAAGCCAGATAGCGATACCGAAGAGTTTTAAGACGACCAGCATGACAAACCGGGTGTGCCGACAAAAAACAAAAAAAAATTGAATTACTGTGGTTGTTAAAACAAAAGGGTCTGGTCACTAGCAAGCTTCGCTCACAGTGAAATTGCACCCTTTGTTATTGCTACTTAGAATGAGGGGTGAGGCTCATAATGGAGGAAGGCAGAGAAAAAAAAAAAGAGTCCCCTAAGAAACGATCACAAAGCTCTGCACACCTAGGCCGAGTACCGGTACAGAAAATGCAGTTCCTCTCTTTGCCTCACACGCTGGCCCAAAAAAGAAATCAATCACCAGGGCGACCCATTACGCCATTTCAACCCACCTTTCGAGGCTTTCTCCATACGACCACCTTCTTTTTTTCCTGCTTTCCCAGCCCATCACCTGCTTGCATTTACCTGAGGTTTTTAAACGAACGACGAAGGGCTGGTTACTTCATTTTTTTTTTTTTTTTTTGCATCATCATCATCACCTTTTTTTTGCTTCCCCATGATTCTGAGTAAACTGTCTTCACCACAACTCAGCTCGCTGCCTTCCAAACTACGAACTTCGCCAACGCTATCCAAAACGCCCCTGGCTAATCCCCTGAGGACATCCTCCAACGCACCGCTGAAAAAAGGCTCGAAAAAAGTTTCCTCCTTCTTTAAGAAAATCGGCTCTGAGTGGTCGGGGCTTCTATATCGTCTCAAGGACATCTCCCACGACGTACACTCGGAAGAAGAAGAGGTGGCCGAGCTTTTCGAAGATACCGGGCCTCTTGATATCGATCGCTTGTCTAAGGTTGGAAGACAACTTACCGACGCCGAGGAGCAGTTCATGAGAGACTACAAGAGATACAAAGACTTGAACAAGGTGTTTGAAATGCATCAACTAGAGAACGGCACCGCTGCAAACAGCGAACAGGATATTGAAGATATCGACCGTCTCATGTTTAAAGACTTGAATATGGTTAAGCTCAAGGATAACCTCATCAACCAGGTGCGTGCATCTCCACAGTACAATTCCGACTCCTCCACAGATACCCGTTGCAGTCAAGTCGAGCAACAAACGCTGAGTGTTGGAGAGATCTTATGGGAGTACAGAAGAGCCAAGTGGCTCTCGTACGGTAGGGTCACTGACGAGATGATCGCTGAAAAGGTCAACCTGAGACGTGAAGAAGCGTCTATCAAGCATATTCCTAAGGAGCTCTACCCTAGGATCTACACCAACTTGGTGGATAAGGGGAAGTGCTTGAAGGATGATAAACGCATAAATTTGGAGGATCTCGTTGAAGTGATCAACGAAGGTTGGAAAAAGGAAGAGAGATGGACGCGTGCCGCCGAAGGCTTGCCATAAAGTCATTGCACCAAGGATTTAGAATAGCATTACCAGTCATTGCATGGGGAGTATTTTCGTTTGCCGAGCAAATCCCACACGCTTCTTAATTCAGTTACATACTAGATGATTGTACGATCAATACGAACGAGTCAATTGTAGTCAGGCCTGCTTTAGCAGGCAAATAACGCCTTGGTTAAACTCCTCCTGCCCTACCAGCTGCCACTAGCGTGTCAGCTGGTAGTGTCAACTGGTAGGCTGCTGCTTCAACAACAGAAGCGTATTCTCTAGCACCCGCAAATCCTGGTCCAGCTGTTCTGCCTTCCGTTGTAGGATATCCACCCTTGTTTCTCCCTCCTTTTCCACCCTAAACGCCCTATTCGCCCTGGAGATCTCTCTCCCTAGCCTCTCCTTGGCCTGAACGAGCTTCTCATAGTTCACACACACATCCTTCTTCAATTGCCGGTCTATCTCCTTATCTAGCTCATGTATCGTCGTTATCTTATCAAGAAGAGGCGGACAATTGGGATTATTAGCCACAGAGTTCACCTTAACTATAGCATTCACCGTTCTAACTAGTGTCTCTGAGAGCCTAGCTGAGTCAGCTAGATCCTGCTTCTGCTGCTGTTTGGCCTGGATTAGAAGGTCCCTATGCGAAGGAGCCTCTGAGTTCGTACTAGCATTACTCATAATGCTCTTTCTAAAGGTAGATCTGTGAAAAGCTGTGTGGTACCGATAAGTGTTGATAGTGTCTTGATCTGTACCCCAGTGCGCATTATCAAGCGTATCTAGTAGTACTACCAGAACAAGTGGTTTCCAGTGTACTTTACCTATATAACCATGGCTGAGCGGCTTACCGAGGAGAACCTTTTCGTTCTTCGTCCACAGAACCCAGACGTTTCTGAAGAGACTGTTTTTGACCAGGAATTGCTCGACAAGGCCTCGAACCAGGACCTCCTATCATGCACATATACACTATTAAAGGGCCAGAAACTCTCCAAGGCAGAGGCATTGACCTTATGGGAGCTTCGCTTGGTGCTCTTGATGTTTGGAAACCAGCTTGCTGCGGCTAGAAGAGAGGCGGTGAACTTGAACAATGCCTTGTACTTGCTGGAGAACCCTACGGCTGCTCCACCGCAACAAAGTATTCCTAGACCGCAAATTGGACGGAGTGATTCTACGGCTAGTCGGAGACTGGGCTCTTCTCCGGGGCCGAATGCTCCTGGGAACGTGGTTTATCCGTTTCCAAAGAATAACGATGGAGCTATTGGTTTCTCGCTTCTACTGCTTATACTTAGACTTAAACTGGCGCCTAATCTTTCGTTGGTGAATGAATTGTATAAATTGTGTTACCAGCTTCGTTTGAAGGGATCTAGTGGCGAAGAGGCTGAGATTCAAAGGAACTTGATTAGTCTTAGTTACGAGATCATTATGGCGCTTATGATAACGAGAAACTTCTATACGCTTTTATCATTTGTGGAGTCTTTGGAGGCTGGTGTTAAGGCTCGTGAAGATTCAAGCTCTGAAGAGTATTTGCATTATTCGTCTAATGTTTCGTTGACTATTGTATTGGCGAATATGATAATACGCCAGAGTGAGGGAATTGATGATTTTGATGTGGCTGAATTGCGCCAAAGGTTTGAAAACCTCGACCAATTTACGCTTGATTGCTTTGTTAATGTTCTTCGGAAGTATCTGCCCATGGTGGGAGAAAGTGGTGGTCCTTCTGTGGGTTCAGATGAGGATGTCGACTACGATAAACTTTTAGAATTGGTAAAGCAAGGCAAACTCACAGGCCGTATTGTATGCTCTACATTGGCATCTTTTGAGCTAGGAAACATGTACAGAGCTGAATTCCAGGAGGTAGATAAAGACAAGCGGTTGGCTGCAAATCCAGCTCCTCATACTGGAACTCGTTTTGAGAACGTCTACACCAAAGTCATGTCTCAATGGGGCAATTACATTGAAAAAGTATACGGACTTGAGTAATGGAGGGCAAAATCAGCTTTCTATCATGATCCGTGTTGTTGGTGGTAGGCATGTCTCTAGGGCACAAACCCTAAAGTCTTGGTTTCCACGTGATCCACAAAATTCATCTGGTGCACACAATCCAGTCTCAGATGAAGGTCATTCCGGCATATTTCACGCAAGTGAGGTCGCTCAGTGAGGCGGCTGCCACTGCTAGTACCGCACTAACAAATTTGAGCTCAGCACGTCTCCCTGCGAAAAAATCCTGAAAATTTTAATACTAGGCCTTTTTGAATTCCAACCACTTCAGACATCTTCGATAAAATGGCTTTGCAGGACGTTGTTACTCGTGAATACACCATTAACTTGCACAAGAGAGTATGTGAATCCATAATCCCACCTTGATTTCCGTTTCCATGACAAAAGACGCCGTTCAATCCCCATCCCGTTCCTTAGATATCATCATCGAATCCCATCCACCAAGAAAGCATCAAGCTACAAAGACATATATAATCCATCATGATAGAGCAGTTCTTTTAAGACAGCTCATGTCCATTTTATTTATTCCACCAACACAGAACGGGTCATGTCAGTCCGGAAGTTTCGTTTCTTAAACAATTATACTAACAAGCAGTTGCACGGTGTCCACTTCAAGAAGAGAGCTCCAAAGGCTGTCAAGGAGATCAGAAAGTTCGCCAGCAAGCACATGGGTACCACCGATGTCAGATTAGATCCTAAATTGAACACCCACTTGTGGAAGAGAGGTATCCAGGGTGTCGACTACAGAATGAGATTGAGAATCTCCAGAAAGAGAAACGACGAGGAGGACGCCAAGGAGGCCATGTTCGCCTTCGTTGAGCCAATCATTGTCCCAACCACCAAGGGTTTGCAGACCGTTGTTGTTGAAGAGGATGAGGCTTAGAAAGGCTAGGTTCTATAATTATCATCTTTAACTTCTCATATAATACATAAAACTGACTCAGTTTGTATGGTGTATAATAACGAATAGGTCTCCGAAATTGCAACAGTAGAAGAGGGAGTTGGAAGTAGAGGGGGAGGTCTGAGGTTCAATGGGTAGTGAAGTAGTGGTTCCTGGTACCTGGAAACCACGGCCTGGTATATCTACGTATCTAAAGGAATCTAAGGGAACGTTCACGTCAAATTCAAAGCTTCATATCTTATCCTTAATTGTTAGTAACATCGCTGGGATGGCCTGCCTGAGGTTCAGTGTAACTATGACAAATTACCAGGTCATTGCAAGTGAGGCATAGTGCTGCCAAAACGGCTGCTCCTCGAGAATGCTCAAAGTTGGTAAACGAAAAAAAAGAAGTTTTCATCAACACGTCAGGCCGTAAAATGTAGATTAAACATACGCTTTGTTATATCGTTATCGTTACGGTTGTAGATGGTACTGAAGGAACTGAAAAGCTCTTCTTTCGCACACTAGTGTTTGTGTGCGGGTAACCACCAGAAGGCCCATTCTAGGGAAGACTCCAAGTAGAAGTTGGCAAAGTCAGGTGAAGAGGAAGGGGAACATTAAGGGTGTAGTTTGGTTAATGGAGAGATTTGATGGCTAAAAATTGTGTTTCTATGATTATTTGAAGTTGGCGATGTATAGCGTAGGCATCCATGCTACTGTAAGACTATAGTAAAAGGCACTGATAGAATTGAGCTAAAATATGGATGAAATTTCGTAAAAGTCATTTTTAATGGTTACTGATACTGGAAAGTGAATGATAAAAGGTTTTCCAGGTGAAACATACTGATGCTTGTTGTTAAAGTAATGGCTGCAAAATGTAGCTGGATCTCACCAATGAGACCAGCAGATGGCAAGAATTCGGTCTAATGGTGCATTGCATTGCATTTTGAGATTGACAGCAAGTTAAGGAGTTGATATATAGTAGCTCTGTTATATCTTGATCCTTTTGTGTTTTGGGGTTGACGGACGATGGTCAGGGGAGCATTATCCTACGATATAAGCATCCCAGGTAGTCCAATTGGTTAGCTCAACGTAGAAAAGCTTACGTGAAAATGTTTTCTATCAAAATATTTGCATAAATTTGACCACTTGAATAAGTAAACAATTTTTAAGAAAATCAACTTTTCGATTATTTCGAACTGTAGTTATATATTCGCAACTTTGACGTGGTTTTGACAGGTGAAGCAAAAGACACAAATTAAATATAAACCAGAAATAATCGAAAATAACCTGAATCTATAATTTTAGCGAATTAATGACTATTTTTGATCAATTACATGCTATATAATGCCCAAAAGGCCGTTTCTCATGTTAACTAAGTACCTAGTGGTCCACCACAGAAATGGTTGCAAAATGAGACCCAGACCAAGCTCCACCCATGCCCCAAAAAACCCCACAAAACTGAACAGTTCTCTTCAAAATGCCTCAAATCATCAGAATTGGCAGTCCTTTATAACAAAAATCACATATTTTTATATTCTGAACCAATAAACATTTTTCCCTCTGTTACACTAGACTGGCCTTTACTTCTCAATCTACCCCACCAGACCAGTCAACCAAAGAGCCAAACCTATCTACCAATTCTCAATCCCAACCTAATATCAACAATCAACCACTACCCTCCCAATTCCTCCCCAGCCAACTATCTTCCCTCCTGCCTCCTCCCTCCATCCCACACTTCCAGCACCAACCGTCCATCAGAATCTCATGCTCTATACTTTTTCGCAGCCGAGCTACCATTCAAACTGCCCCACCAAAACCTACCGCTTCCTTCCTGAAACCTATAAATACCACCAAACTCGAACCTTCTTTGGACTCCCCCATTTTTCCATAATCCACTTTCTCCTTACCTTCCCTGCTCCCTCGGTTGTGGTCCACTTGGAAAGGCTGGTGCCCCACCTTGGGTGTGCCGACTGCATACATGCCATGTGCTTCCCCAGACAAAAGGGCCTCGGAAGGTCCCAGTCAATTTAGACCCAACCTGTTGATCTCCATCTACACACCACATTCTTTCCAAAATGCCTCTGTCGGTGGAAGTGAAGGATCCTTCCATTGCGACGGTCGCCAACGTCCACGTGATCAACGACCCGACCTTCTTGCAAACGGACTCGGTCGCCTTGTCGTTTGAACTTTTCGTCAGACTCTTCCCCAATACCCAGAAAGATGTACCTATAGACGATAAGGAGCCCAAGTTTGTACTTATAAAGTTTATTGGTGTTCCTGATTACTTTAACGAGTTTGTGGTTTACCGGGTCACTCTTATAGATAACGACTCGCCTACGTCATCTTCGGTGACGATCACCAACCACTCGAATTTGGTGAAATTTGGTAATAATATTACTGTTAACGGATGTGTCATTCAATCGATTGACTCTGCTTCTATCCCGCTGCTTTCTAAGGCGTACGTGGAGGTTCCTGATGGAATTTTTCACGTGTTGCAGAATACTCCTTCTCTGACGGTGAAGGAGAACTTTGTCAACCAATGGGCTGCTAGCAGTGCTTCGGTGGTTTCCATCAACAGCTCGATTAGAGAGATCAACGGTACAGTCAAACTCTGTGAGCCGTTCTTCCAGGGTAAAGTTGATTCTAACACTGAGCTCATCTTTGTCAAGAGACCCCACGAGAACGCTCCTGCTGTGGTCGAGGAGGTTTCAGACGATGAAGTTGATGAGGATCTCGACTTTGACGTGTCCCAATACCTCTCGAGAAGTATGCATTTGAACGCAGACGAAGCTGTTTCATCGTCTTATCCATTGAAGGCTCGCCCATTGCCAGAAAGGATCTCCATCAATGATCTTCCGTCTTTCTTTGCTCGTGAAGACTCTGACTTGTACGCTTACCTTAGTACGGATGATCTTTCCAGAATTGGGTTCCCGCTTTTTAATGGTGACCTTGCATCACTTTCAGTGGGTGATCTCGAAACAAAAATCAAGGTCTTTACTGTCTTGGAACCCAACAAGTCGTTCCAGCCAGGTACCATCTATTTATCCCCATTGCTTTTGGTGAACCTTGATGTTGACGAAGACACCAAAGTCACGTTGAAGCCAATTCAATCCAAGAACAATACCTTTACTGATGCATTTCCAATCGCCAAGACGGCCACTATTTCAAGAATTGCATCCCCAATCACCACTGATAGAACCTACCAGCAAAGCTTCCTTTCTGAGCTCAAGAATAAATTCCATTCATGTGTCAAGGTGGTTCGTCGGGGTGACGTAATTCCAGTTTGCATCGACACTGTCCTTGCTAAGACCATCTTCGATGTTTCTACTCAACAGCAGCTGCAACAAAACCAAAACGGTCATAACGAGGAAGAAGGTTCGGGCCTTCCTCCTGTTCCTCTCTCCGGAAACCCTGACGCCGTCGCATGGTTCAAGGTTCTCGAGGTAAATGGTGAAGATGACGAAGATATCCAAGGCCAATACCGTATTGATCCAAACCAAACTGCGCTTACTTCCTCAGGCGTGGAGTTCTTGAGGGCTCCTAAGAATGCATTCACAGACTTCCTGACATACCTACAGCTTCCGCCTATCTTTGACTTTGCAAAGGCTATCGAAAATGCTCCATCCCACTTCAAGTATGCAGAAGAGTTTCAAAGAATCTTGCAGACAACTGTGGATTCCAAGACCAACATTCGTCTAAAGACAACGATATTGTTGAACTCTATGTCGAGAGGTCTTGGTAAAACCACCATGGTGAGAAGTTTTGCTCAGAGCATGGGTCTCAATCTTATCGAGCTAGATGCATTTGACTTCGTGAAGCCTGGTGCTGAATTGAAGTCTGTGGGTCTTTTATCTGGACGTATCGAGAAGTACCTCAATGGCCAGCTAGAGGCAGCCAATTCCAACTGCTTCCATATCCTTTACATCAAGCATATTGAGAACTTGTGTGTTCAGACAGACCCTAACGAACAACGTGCAAGCAGCTCCACTTCACTTTCATTGAGAGTGGTTCAAACACTCAAGGAATTCTTGGACAAATACGAGAACATGGCTCTTGTGGCCAGTTGTAATGACATTGACAAGTTGAGTGAAAGCTTTACTCAAATTGTGAAATTCCAGATTGATGTTACTGTCCCAGATGAACAAGAAAGACGTCAAATTTTTGCATACCTTCTTGACAAGGAGACGAAGGCTTTTAACAACGAGGCATTGCCACAAGCATTTGAAGATAAGGTGGAGTTCGAAGGCCGTCTCGACATCTTTAGCTTGAAGTATGCCAAGCGTTCTGATGTGAGCTACCAATCTTTGGCATTACTGTCTGCTGGTTTGACCCCTAGAGACTTGGGCTCCATTGTTAGAAAGTCTAAACAACTTGCTATCAAAAGACTCATGGCTCAAGCTAAGGACGTTGGCATTGCCTTCGAGAAAATTGTGAAGATTGCCAACGGTGGTCTTGTACAACTCACTCCAGAAGACTTTGACAAGGCTATCAATGATGCCAGAAACCAATTTAGTGACTCGATTGGTGCACCAAGAATTCCTAACGTCAAATGGGAAGATATTGGTGGTTTGGATACCGTCAAGGGTGAGATTTTGGATACTATTGATATGCCATTGAAGCACCCAGAACTCTTCAGCAATGGACTTAAAAAGAGAAGTGGTATCTTGTTCTACGGTCCTCCTGGTACTGGTAAGACTTTGTTGGCCAAGGCCATTGCTACTAATTTCTCGTTGAACTTTTTCAGTGTTAAAGGTCCAGAATTGTTGAATATGTACATTGGTGAATCCGAAGCAAACGTCCGTCGTGTTTTCCAAAAAGCCAGAGATGCCAAACCGTGTGTTATCTTCTTTGATGAGTTGGATTCCGTCGCACCAAAGAGAGGTAACCAGGGTGACTCTGGTGGTGTCATGGACAGAATTGTGTCGCAACTTTTGGCTGAGCTTGATGGTATGAGCGGCGGTGAGAGCAACGGAGACGGTGTCTTTGTTGTCGGTGCAACTAATAGACCCGATTTATTGGACGAGGCTCTTTTGAGACCTGGTAGATTCGATAAAATGTTGTACTTGGGTATCTCTGACACGGACGATAAACAGACCAAGATCTTGGAGGCATTGACTAGAAAGTTCAAGCTCAGTGACGAGGTTGACTTGGCCAGCATTGCCGAAAAATGTTCATTCACATTGACAGGTGCCGATTTCTATGCGTTGTGCAGTGATTCTATGTTGAATGCTATGACTAGAACTGCCAACGAGGTTGATGCAAAGCTCAAGACGTTCAATGAGCAGCGTATTGCTGAAGGCAAAGAAGAAGTCTCAAGCAGATGGTGGTTCGATAATGTCGCCACGCCGGCAGACATTAATGTGCTAGTGACGATGCAAGATTTCGAGAAGTCGCTCAGCGAGTTGGTACCTTCTGTGAGTGCCGACGAGCTTAATCACTACTTGAGAGTGAAGGAGAACTTCGAGGGTGGCAAAAAGAAGGCGCAACAGAACGATGGACAAGCTGATGCTGAACAGCAACAAGACGGAATTCCCCAGCAGTTGATCGAGGAATTGCGTGCCAATGGCCACGACGTTGCTGGTTTGGAGAACGGGACCGTGACGATCAACGGCAACGGTAACGGCAATGGCAACGGCCATTCATAAGCACATAGACTATTTTTTAAGTAAATAACTTTTTTCAAGAACATCTTTTGCTTCGTTGATCTTCTGTGAAATGTACTGAGACCCATTCTTATCTGGATGGTTCATCACCATAAGCTTTCTATAGCGTTGCCTCAAGAGGTTCCTGTCTAATTTCGAGATCTCGTTTGCCTCGATCCCCAAGACCAAAAGCGCCTCATTCTCCGTCATTCTATCCTGAAATCCCGTATTATTGAACCGCCCCTTGAGGTACCGTATATGCTCTGCCTTTGCTCCCGAGTCATGTAGCGAAGTATCGTTTGAACGTTCTAGTCTGATGTTGTTTAGCGTGGCTATCATTTGCGGCGATAGACGGCTGTATCGCTGAGCAGTAGCAATAGCCGCTCTAGTAGTAAGAGCAGCTATCGTGACGCCTATCCCGACGATGATAGGAACAACCATGGAAGAGTGTTGGTAGTAGAGGTTGATACTGGAGTGCACATGAAGCAGGCAAGGCAAGAGGCAAGCGGTACCAGAGGCAAATGGTAACACAAAGAACAGGATGGGTTTACATATGGGGTTGAAAATTAAAGGATATTGGGAATAGCTGGTTTTGAAGGATGATAGAGGAAGAACTGTAAATGTGTATGTGGATGTAAGATGGGTTCATTGGATATTGGTAGGTTGATGGATTTGGCTGCGAATCAGAGGCTCCATATTAGTGAAGCAGGGAAGGTATGAATGGCAGTAATTGATTCCAGCTAGGGTAATTTTTCACCGAAAGTGACATAAAGTGGGGTGAGGATTAAAGCTATGTTAACATAGTAAAGTTGGAATTTAGACTTGCTATGAAGTTGGCCCCTACATCGTGTAGCTTGTAGTAGTACTTACTATGGCCTCACTGAGTAACGTACACTCACCATAATGTATGTTTCCCATTAATTTATATAAAAAATAAGCCAAATCAGCATACCCAGTACAAAATACAAGCACTTAAAATCGCCAACCCCGTCTAACGGATATTTTTAAGCGTTTTACGTCAACTGTCGTTCAAGGGTCTCCAGTTACTGCTACACAGGCCAGGCAGACAGTACACATTGTCATACTACACTTTACTCGTATTCAAACGCACCGAACCATCCAAAGACGAAAAATTAGTCAAATCCCAAAAGCCAAATCCCAAAACCCACCTATCAAGCGGCCAGCGCCGTTTGTTGCAACCACCGGTTGGCATGGCGTGGTGGGCTCATCTGTCAAAAAAGTCACCTTTTCGCAGCCAAAAGGTAAAAAAGCTTCTCATGCGTTTTGTAACCAGACGTATGCGTTTGACATGGTTACAGAAAACGCCTAAACAATAATAGCAGTGGTGGCGAGAAAAGGCTGTGTTAACTAAGGAATTGGTTAGAAGATAGGATAGAAGTAGGACGGCCCGGTCTAGACACTAACCGACTGGCAGTGACCAGTAGCCAGTGGCTGCGATTGCTGCAAATGGATCTCCAGGGAGATTCCACCTCCACCAGGTTTCATTAAATCTACATTTGACTACGTACCCACGTAACCTACAAAACCTAACTCTTCCTGAGACTTCCACAAACGGAAATACTTCCGTTTCACTCTCCAATTTCCTCTCCGAGTGGACCACCACAAAACGGAATTGTTGCCATTTTTCACTCGTCCTAACCGTGAAATTAGAGCTGGTGCATCGGTGCGATGAGGCAAAAAACCACTGGCGGGTCACCTTCAAGTCGTGACGTCGTGTTTAACCGCATTGACATGAAAAACGCAAGAAAAGAGGCCAAAAAATATTAGTCTTATCTGGTGGTGGTTTGCTGTGGAGTCATCTGACTGGAGACGTCAGATGAGGCTAGATAAACCGGGGGCAGGTTGCGAAAAATTGGTAGCGTACTGGTAGATTGGATTGGAACGATAGGGATGAGCCGAGGGCGCTCCTTGGGCATTCCGAGGGTACAAGTAAATGACTTTCTGGGGGTGCCACAAACTTGGGATTTTGTTTATTGGAGAGCTGCTTTCATGGGGATCACAAATATGTAAAAATTATTCTCCCTTCATGCCTGGAAGCTAGGATAACTGGGGGTATTCTCGGCGGCTCGGAGTGGACTCCGGCCTGGGTGCAGGCGCGGCCGGTCGATTGTCAACCGGATGAGACCCACCAACCTCTATATATATCTATGCAAATTCTCACTCAATTTTCCTCCCACCACGTTTTTTCCTAAACAACATATACACATAACATGTCCCACGCCGCTTTGCATTGGTTGACCCAGTTGAACACCGCCGAAACTCCAGACAAGGTTTTGCGCCGTTCGTCCATCGTCGGTACCATTGGTCCAAAGACCAACAGCGCTGAAGTGATGGTGAAGTTGAGAAAGGCTGGTCTTAACATTGTCAGAATGAACTTTTCTCATGGCTCGTACGAGTACCACCAGAGCGTCATTGACAACGCCAGAAAGTCGGAGGAGTTGTACAGAGGTCGTCCATTGGCCATTGCTTTGGACACCAAGGGTCCTGAGATCAGAACCGGTACCACCATCGATGAGAAGGACTACCCTATCCCACCAAACCACGAGATGATCTTCACCACTGACGAGGCTTACCTTAAGAAGTCTGACGACAAGGTCATGTACATTGACTACAAGAACATCACCAAGGTGATCTCCAAGGGTAAGATCATCTTTGTTGACGACGGTGTCTTGTCTTTCGAGGTGCTTGAGGTTGTTGACGACCAGACCTTGAAGGTCAAGTCTGTCAACGCTGGTAAGATCTGTTCCCACAAGGGTGTCAACTTGCCAGGCACTGACGTTGACTTGCCAGCTTTGTCTGAGAAGGACAAGGCTGACATCAAGTTTGGTGTCAAGAACGGTGTCCACATGGTGTTCGCCTCTTTCATCAGATCTGGTGACGACATCAGAGAGATCAGAAAGGTCTTGGGTGAAGAGGGTAAGGACATTCAGATCATTTCTAAGATCGAGAATCAGCAGGGTGTTAACAACTTTGACGATATCTTGACCGAGACCGATGGTGTCATGGTTGCCAGAGGTGACTTGGGTATTGAGATCCCAGCTCCTCAGGTTTTCGTTGTCCAGAAGCAATTGATTGCCAAGTGTAACTTGGCCGCCAAGCCTGTCATCTGTGCTACCCAGATGTTGGAGTCTATGACCTACAACCCAAGACCAACCAGAGCTGAAGTCTCTGACGTTGGTAACGCTATCTTGGACGGTGCTGACTGTGTCATGTTGTCCGGTGAGACCGCCAAGGGTAACTACCCATTCGAGGCTGTTTCCATGATGCACAACACTGCCATCATTGCCGAGAAGGCCATCTCCTACTTGCCATTGTTCAACGAAATCAGAACTTTGGCCATCAAGCCTACTGCTACTACTGAGACCTGTGCCATTGCTGCCGTCTCTGCCGCTTACGAGCAAGATGCCAAGGCCATTGTTGTCTTGTCTACCAGTGGTACCACTTGTAGATTGGTCTCCAAGTACAAGCCTAACGTGCCAATCATGATGGTTACCAGAAACCCAAGATCCGCCAGATACTCTCACTTGTACAGAGGTGTCTACCCATTCGTCTACGACAAGCCAAAGGTTGAGAACTGGCAGGAGGACGTTGAGAACAGATTGAGATGGGCTGTTGCCGACGCTGTCGACTTGGGTATCATCAAGAAGGGTGACGCCATTGTCACTGTCCAGGGATGGACCAGAGGTTCTGGCCACTCCAACACTGTGAGAATTGTCCAGGCTTAATCAGACACTATACATTTTTCAATTCGGCCATTAATATTATAAAAATTTAGAGCTGGCTGCGAAATCAGCAGCACGTAGGGTTTAGCGCGTAGTAAATCCGCAGGCTATAGGGAAAGACCACAGCAACGACAGTAACAACATAAAGAATTACCTGATAATCCAAAGATCTCTTTATTTAACATATCAGCAATAAAGTTAGAAAAAACCAATCAAAGGAAGACCACCTTAAAGTGTGTCCCTCTGTCTTACCCTCGGCTGGCTGCAGGCGCACGCTAAGCGAGAGTGATAATTTGCACTTTCTTCACAAGCTCTCTACTTCTCCCAAACTCTGAAGAAGCTACCCACATCCTATGCTTTCCCGCTCGTTATTGAAACCGTTAGATAGCGGGCTTCTTAGAATCCTGGGTCTCGCCAGCCGGGGCTCCAGAGCCTACTCGGCCGGTCCTCAGGGCCAAGATGGGAATACGACGCACTTTGGCTTCAAGACAGTGAACAAGGATGATAAGGAGCTGATGGTGAGAAACGTGTTTTCGTCTGTTGCTTCGAAGTACGATGTGATGAACGACGCTATGTCGTTTGGCGTGCACAGATTGTGGAAGCACCACTTTATCAACAGATTGGATGCTGGCATGAGACCTGGTGCTACTAGGCCGTTGGACTTTTTGGATGTTGCTGGTGGTACTGGCGATATTGCTTTTGGTTTGTTGGACCATGCTGAAAAGAACTTTAACGATGTTCAGTCTACGATGACTGTGGCTGATATCAACACAGAGATGTTGGCCGAGGGAGAGTTGCGTTTCCAGAAGACCAAGTGGAACGATGGCTCGGGCAGAGTGCTGTTCCTCGAGCAGAACGGTGAAACCATGGACGCTATTCCTGATAACTCGAAGGACGTGTACACTATTGCCTTTGGTATCAGAAACTTCACCAACATCCAGGCTGGTTTGGACACTGCCTACCGTGTGTTGAGACCTGGTGGAATCTTCGCTTGTCTTGAGTTTTCCCACGTCGACAACCCAGTTATTGACTACGCCTACCAGGCTTACTCCTTCAGCATGTTGCCATTGATGGGCCAGTTGATCGCTGACGACAGAGACTCGTACCAGTACTTGGTGGAGAGTATCCGTCGTTTCCCTAAACAGGAGGATTTCAGCGCTATGATCGAAAAGGCCGGTTTCTACGTCCCAGACAAGGGCTACGAGAACTTGACTTTTGGTGTGGCCAGCATTCATATCGGTGTCAAGCTCTAGGTTTTTGTTATATGTATATACGTACGCTAATTCACGACATCCAAGGCAAGTAAAAGGTCCTCACCTAAACTCAAAGCTTTTACAAAGTTGACTGAAGGTAAATCGTCTGCAAGGCCAGTTCCCACTGTCTGTCCATTCTGAAGCAGGAAGTTCTTTTGAATGGGCTTACCAGATTGAGTCTTGCCATCAACAACAAACTGAAATTCGAGTTCTTTTGTTGTAAAATCGACATCGTCAAAACAGAGCTCCATAAATGGTCCTTGTTCAACCGGGGTCACTGCCTTGCTTTCGCCATTATCCTTGTCCATATTTTCGTCCTCGTCTTCCTGTTTGAGGAAATCCTCCAAATCTGTATTCGTGTTGGAGTCTAGTATTTGGACACCAACGTAAGTGTTGTTTTCTGCCATACTGTTGATTCCAAGGAGTTCGTCCTCTGTAAGTTCGGGACGGGTGTCCCTCTGCTTCTTCGCTTCCGTTGAGTAAGCGTCAGATATTTGGCATTGCGTTTGCAATACTAAACTCGTCAACCAAGTAGAATACACGATGGAGTTTCTCAATGGCGGCAAAAGCTTAGAAATGCTGTTCAAGCTGGGTAGAGTCACCGCAGAAACGGGAATAAAACTGGAAAATGAACTGTGATTTAGCTGGAAAGCAACATTAGGATGTGAATCAAGTGTTAAGTCCACCACCTTAAACTGTTCTATAGCTTCGAATATATCCTTTAACTCGTGATCCTCGGCCACCTCGAAGTCATCAAAGCCCAAGAACTCAAGAACCTCTTTCGGTAGATAAACGGGACGGTTGAAACTAAACTGTAATTGCCAATTACGGGTGTTTGGCCCGCTCACTGGTACGCCTTTAGGCAAATGTTTTTCGTCATCAAATGTGATCTTGTACTCGAGGAAGTTTCCATTGGCGTCCTTTGGTTCCCAAAGTGCTTTTGTTGATTCTCTAAGGTAATCCTTTGCAGGTGCGTTAGACTCGATCACGGAAAGACGACCCACGAACGATTGAGGTTTGAAGTAGTCAACCTGAGGGAGTTTGTTCGTTTTGTTGTATGATTTCCAGAAGTGAAGGAACACCCCTAGTTCATTGGCTTCCTCATCGTTATACATGAGTTTTCCAATCAAACTGGATTGTCCAGACTTGATATTCTCATCCTCTGGCGTCAATTTACATTCTTGAATATGAATCACCTCCAAGTACTTAGCAATATTATCCAAATACAACACCAAATCACCTTCTTGAGGAGATAGACGGTCAAGGTTAGCCAAGTACCTGAGGTTGAGTGGAAAGTTCCCAAGTTTTGATCCCTTGAGATTCTCCTTGAGAATTATCTCGGCCACAGACTTTTCATCTGCATTCCTGATATTCAAAAACGATAAAACATTCTCCTCCAAGAAGTTCACTCTCACTATAGTCGTATTGTCTATCTTTGTCGTTGATATGACCGAGTTCAACTCCAGCTGAGAGCTTGCCGTGTTGACAGCGCTTGTCGAATGGTTACCCAGCGCCAAAGAGACCTTGGTAACCGTATGAGGGTCCTTAAAGTCAATATCAACCAAAAGCAAAGACCCTGCAATGGAAAGTCTCTTAACCAACTGGTTCGTATCAGGGTCTTGTACTTCTGAATCCACAAACGTATCGAGCTTCAAATGCTGTGCAAGTTTTTGTATTAGGTCAATTGAAATCTGGAAGTTCGGCAGGTACTCATATAGAAGCTTCAGTGACTCGTGGAGGTAGTCATTATAAGAAGGCATGGTTGGTGGTCAGAGTTGAGGTCCTGTGTTTAGATGGTTGCAACACTTGGAGGTGGAGACAAGTCCCATGACAAAGTGCAACAAAAGAAGAGAAGAGAATTTTCGATATGCTAGTTAAATAAGACCAACTTAAGAAACACCTAGGTTAATTTTTTCATCAAGATACACCCTACATTGGATATTTCACTAAGCCTGTTCCCTTCCATACTAACTACTCTATAGTGCGGTATATGGAAAAAAGTTACTCATCTACTACTACCACCACCAACATGACTACGCTGGTGACGCCAGAGATCTCGGCTATTGTCGACCCGCTTGTGTCGCAAATCAAAAGAAGACAAACTATAGATGACAAGGCGTTGGCTTTGGAAGTGGCCCATATGCTTATGAGGGTCATTTCAGCAGTCAGATGGACCAACCCGTATGATTTAATCGCTGTGATTAGGAAAGTGGGCATTGTCCTTGAAAACGCTAGACCTACGGATGTCATTGCTGGCAATATCGTGAGAAGAGTGCTTGCGTTGATCAGAGATGAGATTGAAACTGAAAACAGCACAGACAGCACACCTATGATGAGTTCCATGTTCAGTTTACTCTCCACCAACCACCAGGGAACGAAAAAGAACCAACAAACACACAGTAAGAAGCAGTCTAGCGATATGAGGTCGCTTATTATCCAGGGTATTAAAGAGCTTGTGGATGAGATTTCAAATGTCAAGGAAGAGCTTGAGTCTATGGCCTCTGACCTTATTCATGAGAATGAAACTTTACTATGTGCTACGCCTACATCGGATACGGTGTTGCAATTTTTAATTAAAGCCAGAACAAAGAGAAAGTTTACTGTTTTGGTGACGGAGAGTTATCCTAACGACTTGCAAGATGCTCAGAAGTTCGTAAAGACGCTAGCCCAGAACAAGATTGAAGCTGTGCTTATACCTGACAGCACAATTTTTGCTGTGATGTCCAGAGTTGGTAAGGTTATACTTGGCGCCAACGCTGTTTACGCTAACGGTGGTGCTCTTTCGAACGCTGGTGTCGCTAACGTGGTGGAATGTGCTAAGGAACATAAAACTCCTGTTTTCGCTGTGGCCGGTTTGTTCAAGATCTCTCCTAGATATCCTTTCAACAGAGAGGACCTTATTGAGGTTGGTAATTCCGGAAAAGTGCTCAACTATGACGATTTCAACCTTCTTGAGAACGTGGACGTCGTCACCAACCCAATGGCAGACTATGTTCCTCCAGAACACATTGACATCTACATCACGAATATTGGCGGTTTTGCACCATCATTCATCTATAGAATTGTCTTGGACAACTACAAAGCCGAAGACAGTAACCTTGAGTAAACGGCCTTCAGCAGGGTTTAGCTGATAATGGAAATAAATTAATTGCATAACTACAAATCTGGTATAACCGTGTAATTTCATCACATTGCTCTGCATGTCTCATAAATACAATAAAAATACCTTAAGCGTTACCGGACAAGATGTCGAGGGCCTCGTCGTCGTACTCGAATCTCTGTCTCTCCTCCAAGCTGGATCTGTTCAACATACCCTGCAAGGCTGGGGCGTAAGGTGGCTTGGTGATCTGTGGTGGGTTGTTGGTGTTGACGATCTTGAAGTAGTTCTTGTAAATGTCACCGTCGTAGTTACCAATGGCAGAGTTGATCAACATGTCAGACAACATGAAAGAGTCAGTCAATGGAATGACGTGTGGTCTAACTCTAGAACACAAATCAGCAATGTGCTCGGTAGAGTTGTGGGCAATAGCCTCGGTGGAGGCAACGGAGTAAGTCAAGAAAGTACCAGAGAAGCCCTCCAAGACAATAGAGGCACCGTACAACTGGGCCAAGACGTCCAAGACGTTGTACAATTCCTTCTGCTCCTTGATACTGTCAATCTTATCGAGGAAAGACTTGTACAAGAAGAAGTGAGCCAACAACTTGGACAAGACAACGAGGTCAGAACCAATGAAGTCAGTGTCACCACCTCTCTTGTCAACAATCTCGTTAGCTCTGGCAGAGGCTCTGATAAGAGTAACCTCAATGGCCTTCAAGATCTTTCTTGGGCTCTTCAAGTCAGCAGCCTGCAAGACTGGCTCGTTACCAATGTACTGCTTGTAGTTACCCAAGAACTCAAGGATACCAGAAGCCTTCTCACCATCCTTGGTGATACCAGCGTACTTCTTCACCAACTGCTTACCAACGGACATACCCAAGATGTTGTTGTCACCTTCCCAGGTACACTGGACAGCGAAATCGTTGAAACCTTTACCGAAACCAGCGTACGAAGAGTAACCGTGACCACCGCAAGCCTGCCTGCACTGGTCGATGGTGCTCAAAGTCAACCAAGTAGCGGTGGATTTCAAAGAACCGGAAGCAATGAAAAGAGACTTGATACTCTCGACACCAGCGTCCAAGAGTTCCTTGTCCTCGTTCTGGACAGCCTCGTCCAACTGGTCGTTAGAGGTGTCAGCCTGCTCCTGCAAGACGTTAGCACCGTTGGAGAAAGCGTAAGCCATAGCCAACAATGGGATCAAACGACGCTGGTGCAATGGGTAGTCCAACAACTGGGACTCGCTGTCGTTCTCCTTGGCCAAAGCAGCCTTAAATTGCTTTCTACCGACAGCGTATCTAAGAGCAATGGTGACGAATCTGGAAGACCATCTGAAGGCATCCTTAACCATAGCAACTCTACCGGTCAACAAGGCACCGTAGGACAACTGGTTGAGAGGAGGCTCGGTAACCTCACCGTCCTCGTTAACCTTGGTGTACTTCTGCAACATGAAGTATCTTGGGATTCTGACGTGGGAGAACTGGATCCAACCGTTGTCAATACCGTCTCTACCCATCTTGGCACCAATGTCACCAATGGCAACACCAGGCATCAAGTTGTGCTCAGAGTCTCTCAATGGAACAACGAAGGTCTTGACACCGTAGTCCTTACCCTTGACGATCAATCTGGCGTAGACGGAACAGTGAGTAGCAGAGTGGGCAGCACCACCAATCCACCACTTGGTGGCACCAAGATGTGGGGTGTTGACGATAAACTCATCGTTCTCCTCGTCAAAAGTGGCGGTGGTCTCCAAACCAGCGACGTTGGAACCGTGAGCCAACTCGGTCATACCGAAACAACCGTAGATGTTCTTGACGTAGGCACTCTCCTTCTTCAAGATCCAGTAACCCAACTGGTCAGAAGTACCGGTACCTCTGACACAGCCGACGAACAAACCAAAGTGGACACCGATTCTGGTGTGGAACTGAGGGTCCATCAAGGAAATGATAGACATACGTCTCTCAAAAGAGTCAAAGGTCTCAACCTCAATGTAACGAGTAAGACGGTTGATCTTCTTCAAAGTGTTCTCACGGTGCTCGGCCTTGGTGGCGTCGTAGTCGTGGGAAGAAGCAGCCAAGATAGGGTCGGTCTCCATCTGGTGGATGAACTTTCTCACCTCCAAGGCTCTCTCTTCAGAACCCTCAAGGAAGTAGTTCATCTGGTCCACATCGAACTGAGCCGAGTCTCTCTCCCTCTGGATGAGAGACTTTGGGTCAGGGGCGTTAGAGTAGTCGACCTTTCCAGTAACTTTAGCGTAAGCGTTAGACATGATAAAAAGAAAAGGTTGATATTTTACAAAAAAGCTACCCTGGAAAAAACCACACCTCTATATATCACGCTGAAGCTGCTGCTTCACATGGTGGGACACGCGGTGCAGGAGGGTGAAAGTATCCTACCGTGAGGCGCCATGTGAAAGCCATTTTCCCCCACATTTGCAACCCCAGCACACAATAAAGTGGTACGAGAGGCTGCAAAACCATAGGAAAGAGGTGGTTTAGGAAACTTACCGAGCCGTGTCTTCTGATAGACACTTCTACCAAAAAAGCGTAATTATTTGTCTTCTTTATCTCTCGTTTGCGCCATTTGCACCTGCTTTCCTTTCGCACTTTGCATGCTCTCTTACTCGTTCTTTTCCTTCGCTTACCTCACTGGCGGAGTTGGAGCTCAGACACCGAGGCCCATGGAGATTACGTAGCAGGGTCATGAAGAAAAGAAATGTGAGGAAGGAAGGGGAAGTATGGTACCGCTACGGACCGAGCAGCCGCCGAGAGTCATCCAGATGGAGTTCAGAAGTAGGAATTCCAGGGTAGTTTGTGTTCTGGTGGTTTTGAGTTATCGAGTTTTCGCAGCCAGCTGTCAGTGTGGAGGGTGAGGTACCAGGTCAGAAAGGGTCCGCCAAAACGGCAATACGATGGGTAAAAGTTTAAAAAAGTTGGATTTCGGGGTAAACAAGGTCCCCAGATTTCATTCCTACCATTTATTTCCACGATTTTTAACGCCTTCCCATCATTCACTGCCCCTTCCTCACCACTAGTCCTCCCGATGGGCCTTTTTCACAGCCATTTGCCGCGGTTTTTCACTGTCTTTTTTTCAGACCCCAGCCAGTCCCTCATTCCCTCATACTTTCACTCTCTTTTTTCCCCAGTTTTCAGCCCGCGCGAGCCGAGGTCTACTGTCTCTACGCTTAAAAACATCACAAAAACGGACTGACGTTGAAGGAGGGGTGGACTTTCCGTATACGTTTTGCATGGACTCTGGAAGGTTTTTTCGCCAGGCCGTTGGAACTGTAGGGGCTTTTCTGGCAGTTGTTTTTGCTCCCGAGGCATGGTAAAGTCACCCCATTTCGCAGCCAATTGGCAATTTGGGGCACGAGGAGGGACAAGGGTCTGGAGGGAGCAACAATCGAGGGAGGTGGTGGGATGGTGTAGGTTTTGGGGATTTTGGTAGATGGGGTGTTTGGGTGGTGGAATTATGGGAATAGGGGGAGATTGTGATTTTTAGGAGGTGTTTTGGGGATTCAGGGTGGGTTTGGTTGGAGTGTGTTCTGTAGATTTTGCAACCATTTGTCTCGTGGTGACGAAATGTGGAGACAAGATATGGTAGTAACGAAAAATCAAAAAAAAAAAAAAAAAAAAGAGTAGATCTTCTACTTTTATTGATATTGGCCAGAAAATAGACCTGAAATAGACGTCTTTTGGTTGTTTGGCTGTTTAGTTGCACTGTTTGCTGTGTCTTCCCTGACAGGGTCCGTCTCGTATCGCTGCATCTCTGAGGAATGCTAAACGAGGGGTTCCTTCCTTACCTCGGTCGGTGTCTCCACGATCTACCTACTAGTACTATTGTCCTATTCGGAGCCAGAGAACCTCGGTCTTTCAACGGCGTGACACAATATAAGCCACTCACAACGGACCGTTGACCCCACTTGCGGTAGCCATCGGTTCGGTCCAAATACACCGGTAAGGCTTAAAATAGTCAGATCTTGTGATGCTCTCCATAAGCCGCTTAACATCTACACTCACTCGTTTCATCAACACCGTATGCATTAAATCAAACTACACACTGAGCACTTCAGGTTTCAGATTCCTTGGGGTGCTCAATCTTATCCTGCTTCTTCGAGTTGCCGATGTCAATCTTGAAGATATTGTCTTCATCACGCTCCATCTTTGGAACTATAATGACTACACCTTCAGATCCCACATCGGCAGTGATCTTTTCAAAGTCCACAGCCTTGTCAAATCCAACTCTGCTGGTCGCCATGGACAGCGACGTGTAGCTGTGGTTTCCTTCAGAGCTCTCTTGGTTGTGCGAGATGGTCACCTCCAACTGGTTCTCTTTCTTATGGTAATTCACTTGCAAATCCTTAGTAGAGGCGTTAGCGTCCCGCACCTTCACCAAATACTTGTCTGGCTCTTCTTTCAATTTCAAAACATCACCCAAGTCTCTCAAGTGGCCAAAGTCGTCATACCATCTACCAACAGACTGTGGGTAGTTTCTGTAGCCGGTAAGCTGTCTGTCACCAACATCATCATCGTAGTTGATGGCCCTTCTTGGACGTCTTTGCCTGTCGGGTTGGTCGTAACCAAAGAAGTTGTCAAAAAATGGATCGCTGGAGCCAAATGGTGGTACGTATCTGAACATTGTGAATCTTGCTTGTATTGATGGTCAGAGAGTAATAGATCCCATCAGTCCTTATATATTCGAGATTTCAGGGGGTGGAGCAACACAGTGGTGGGACCTAAGCCATCTAGAAATTTCTCGACTAGCCTCGAATACCCCTTGCTTTCCCAAGTGGTCATATCAGGCGAGGTGGATACCTCCTCAATAGAACACTCCAGAATTGTCTAGATAGGACCCTTTTTTTGCAACCAGCGCGCATGCATGGTCACGGCACTGAAAGCTTATTCCACGATCCTTTGCAACCACTGGTATGTTAATCTGGAAAATTCTAAAACCTCTTATGATGCGTTGGAACAAGTGAGAAGTTTCCAGAATCTCATCTCACCTCACATCTATCCCTTCACGTAGGTGGCGTCAATCTTGGTGATGCTCTCGCCCAAGTTGAGCCTGAGCTTTCTTCTGTATGCTGTAGGATTGCTGGTTTGCAATGGGTTACCTTCAAAGTAAACGGTATCAAGTTCGGGCAAGCCGCCCAACTCTTTACGAACATCGTCGAATGAGCTGATCTTGTTGTATGAACACCAGAAATCAGTAAGTTGCTTAAGGTGGGACAAGTTCTCGAGTTTTTCTAGTCTGTTCGCCGTGACGTCCAAAACAGTCAACTTCGTATTGTTCTCCAATCCCTCGATCTTCTCAATGCCATTGTGGGAGACATAGAGCTCCTCCAAGTTAACCAACTTATCGAGTCCTTCGAACTTGGTGATTCTATTAGACTGAATAGACAAGACACGCAAGTTGACGAGATTTTCAAGGTTCTGGAACTTTGGAATACGGTTCTTACCCAACCAGAGCTGCTCAATTGACGGTAATTTGAGAAGTGTCTCATTGATCTCCTCAACCTTGTTACCACCCAATTCCAAGTTACGCAACTTCTGCAACGTTTCAATGCCTTTAATCTCCTTGATTTTGTTTTGCACAAAATAAAGGTTCTCGAGTTCCACGAGGTTATCAATGTTCTTGATGTTCTTGATCTTGTTGAATGAAAAATCCAAGTTCTTAAGATTCACAAGCTGGTTAACCTTACTACTGATATGGTTAATTCTGTTATCGTAGAAATCCAACTCTTCCATAGTTTCAGCAGGCAAATCAGCAACGGCACTGGTAGAAGTGATCAAGTTCTGACGTAAGCAAAGGGACTCCAACTTCTTGAACCTTGCCAAGTTCAAATCCTCCAAGCAGGTAATCTTAAGGTGAATCAAGTCCAAGTATTCAGAATCTGAAGGATAATCAGCCGCCAAGTCAGCGTCGTTATCAATGCTTTCAGGATGTGGATCTGGGAGAACTGTACCAGGGTACTCTACAGCGCCATTGTCTTCGTCACCATCCTCGGCACCAGAGTCGTCATGCTCTTCGTCTGTTTGGGAGAGGTACAAAGCCTCAGTCTGGTCATTGAGCGCTTGTTGCTCTTCGTCTGATTTAGTCATGGCTAGCTGCGTGGTGATGGGTCAGCCATGGTAGTATGGAGGTTGTGGGAGAAGTCACGTGCGCCAACTGGGAGTGGGCCATATATTTGCCATCAACAATAGAAGACCAATTTAGAGGTCAATACTTAGTCCATATTACCATATAGATTAGTTCCCCACTGCTTGTTGGATGTGTCTTGGAAGTGGTTGGTGGAGATCTCTACCTGCACCTCACTGACCAATAACAGGCTCTAAGATAGACATTACCTGAGGGCAGTAAGTGATGTGATGTAGAAGTGACAAAAACGAGTTAGAAGTAGAGGTAGCTTTATTTGAGCGATTTGGACCAAAAAGAGGCAAAAACCGATGTTTCGGTGTTCTTGACGGAGAAAAGCACATGGCTCTGCTTATATCCGCAACAGAGTCAACACACACAGACCCAGCAGAAGTCAGTCAGGGAACACCAAACGTCAAAAAAGATGATTAAACAGAAGAATATGATGAATTCATCTTCATCTTCATCTTCGTCATCATCATCCCCTTTGTCTTCCCTTGGCGTCCAGTGATCATCTCATCACCCACCTCTACAAACCATAGTATATCTTTAACATTTATTATTTACATAGTGAACCACCATGCCCCTACAACTTCTGCTCTTCCTCGAAAATGTAGTCAACAGCCTGGCCCACGGTCTTGATCTCGTCAGAGATCTTGTCTGGAATCTCTATGTCAAACTCCTCCTCCAAGGCAACAAGGGCCTCGACAGTGTCCAAAGAGTCCAAACCCAAGTCCTTCTGGAAGTCAGACTCGATAGAGATGTTGGATTCCTGCAAAGAAGCAACGGTCTTCAATGCCTCGAATGCTCTGTTGGTGACTTCCTCCTTGGTGATTGGGGCAGCGGCGTAGAAACGGATTGGCTGCATGGTTCTGAAAACAGGGGCCCTGGTCACGGTGACAGGGGCTCTCATGGCAGGGGCACGGAGGGCACGAGCAGCAAACTTGAACATGGCGGATGAGTTGTGGTTGGCGTTTGGTGGAAGAGAGCTTTGGTAAGCGAGAGAAGTTAAATTTTTAGCTGTGAGATTCCGCATCACACATCCGTGCATCACCAGAAGCTATCTGGCTTTACTACTGGTACTATTTGAAGACTGGTTTTATTTAGGTGCTTGGTACTTTTATTTTTCTTAGCGGGCCACGTTCCTCCAGTTAAGAGCTGTACGTTTTTGGTTACTGCCTGGGCCGTTTTGGCTCGAGCTGTAGCTGTTCAGAAGACTGGGGTCGGTGGAGTTGGAGGCTGCGGAAGACAGTCTACTGACAGACCTTTGCAAACTGGCTCCATACGTAGACAGGTTGCCTGGCTTGTCTGAAACCTGGCGGTCTCTGGTATGGGTGTTTCCAGAGAATTCGTAGTTTTGAGCGTCGTAGTTGGTGTCGATTTTCAAATTGGCGATCTCGTCTCTGAAGTTCTGTCTGAAGGATTCAACTAAGACATTCTGGGAAGCCTTCATCATTGGTAGGATCAAAACGCCATGGAGATGCAAACACCTGCTCAAAACTAGGGTCAAGTCGTTGAAGGCGTTTCTGAGCAATCTGACGCTGTCAGCGAACTGGGGCTTGCCAGCGTATCTTGTATCTTCAAAGAATGCTCTGTATTGACCCACACCTCCATTGACTGGAGAGTCGACAGTACCAGCCAAATGTCTGCTCAAGTCGCTCAACAACGAAGCGTAGTCGACCTTTTCCTTGACGGCAATGTTGATCATACTCTCCAACTGCAGCAAGTCATCGTTCTTGGCCATGATAGATCTGATGGCGTTCTCCAAAGGCGACAATCTCACCACATTGGTCTTCTTAACGTCACTTCTGTTCATCAACGTAGGGAACGAAAGGCTGGTTTCGTAAGTCACCTCCTCAGTCCATAAGTCAAAGACAGACGTAGCTCCACTGAGCTTCTTAAGCGACGAGAAGTATCTCAAGTCCTTGTTCTTCACGTACTGTCTCACACCAATAGAGGTGTTGAGCAACTTGTCTGAAATTTCATAAACTGGCTCGACGACATTGATGTGTAAGTACCTACCAGTCTGGTTCTTGCTTCTGAGTTCACGAGCTTGATCATCATCAGTGACAATTCTGGCACCAGGGTACATCTTCAACATTCTTTCGTGAACTGAAGTAATATGCTCAAATGGCTGGCCTTCCAAGATCTGATCTTTGCCTCTGATGTTTGCAGGGAAACCAGCACCAATGAAAGCAACTCTGAAGTATGAAGGGCTCAATTTATCTGACGATTCCAAGTCCAAGTAAAGCTTGGCCAACTTGTTATGAACAAATGCAAAACTCTTCAAATCATAAGTATGCTCACTGTACGCTTCAAGAAGCTCATTGTACACATCAATGGCTCTTTCCAAACTATCGCCCTTGACGTAATTATGAGCGATTAACTTCACCAAGCTTTCCTTACGGTCAAAGGAAGACTGCTCAGGGAACTTGGGTCTGTATGAAGCTGGCTGAATCAGATAATGATCCCATTCGTAGGTGGAAGACAAGAGCTCCAAACTCAAGGCAGCTTGAACAAAGTCCTTCTTCTTGAGGTTATCCTCGTACATCTGGTTGATGAACGAGTGGAACAATTCTGGCCTGTTGGCTTGTTTCAAATAAGCATTGATGTTGAGCTTGTGGAATGTACGATCATCCTCGAATTCTGCTCCAACAGGAACACTGTTGTAGTCGTTCAAGACGGCCAAGAACCCAGAGATATGAGAAATAAACCTCACCACAAATGGATAAGCAACGTCTTCTCTATCCAAACGGATAGTGGTCTTCATCCTTTCGACAAAACTGTTCTGCTCAGGAAGACCAGGTTTGTATGCGTTTCTGTAGTAGATGTTGTACAAACCAGTCAAACATTCCTTTTCGACGTCAACGATGGAGTTACTCAAGACATGCTCGGAAACCAAAATAGACCACAAGATCTTAATACTGACAATCTGACAAGCCTGGTTTCTTTGCAATGCAAAAAGCATCAAGTCTTGCAAGATTCCGTAGTCACTGTTGATAAACTCAACCTGGTATCCACCAAACTTGGTAAGATTGAATCTAACAATATCGTTCTCGGTTGCAGTCCATGCCAAGGCATCCCACACTTCGTTGATGATGTCTGCAATTCTGTCTCTCATATCACCCGTAATCTGGTGGCACGCTTTTCTCGGGATGGTAGATAAGTGTTCAATGGAAACAGGTTGCAACGTAGCCAATTTGAGAAGTCCCTTGAGGTAACTTCCCCAAATAGATCTGTCGAAGAGTTCAGGGTTGTCGATACCTGGAATTGCAGTCGTAACCAAAAGCGGCTTAAGCATCTCGAAACACAGCAAACTGCTCTCAGCAATAGTACCGTAGAATGACAACCATTTGTCTTCAGGGAAGAACTTACCTTGTCTCATAAGAGCAATAGCTTGCAAAACAGTAAGGACATTCTCGTTCCATCCGTTCTTAGACAAGTACTTCGAAGAGTCGAAGAACGAATCGTCATCCAAGTTGAGGAAGTGGTGGTATCCATCTTCACTGGTCACAGTCTTCTCAATTTGACAGATGTAAGCAATCACAGCAGCCAACTCAATAAGAATCTCAACCACCACTTCTTCCGGAACAACAGAATCAAGGAAGATTTCCTTAAATGGATAGGTGCCTGAGAAGATCGGGGTAAATGCCTTCCTAGGCTGGAAGAAGTTATGACTTCTGGTGAACTTGTTGAAGCGAATAAATGTTCTGGACATGGGGAAGATGAACTTACTCAATGTCATGGCGATCTGCTTGACTTCATCCCTATGAAGGTTGTTGGTGATCATGTTACAAACGCAATTCATGATGGAACAAGCAATTCTGGATGCATCAACGTCAATAGGGCCTGTGAAAATTTCCATACACCAAGTAACTGAACGAGAAATCAAGAAGTTGAGATGTTGGATATCTCTAGGCATGTTGCTGCTGAAGAGTCTGTATATGACAAGCAACTTGGTCATAACAAAGCGATGGTCTTTAAGAATGGCAGTAGTCTTCTTGCTGTTGATACTTTCATCATCAACTCCCAAACCTCTGAAGCTGATGGAGTCAATGAATCTGATAACAAGCGCCAACAACTTGCCATCTTCAAAGGTAGACTCGAAAGCCATGACAAAGTCAACTAACTCCATGACCAAGATCTGATCGTTGATGAGGGCAGGTGCTTGAAGCTGAAGGAAACGAGAAGCACTGACAAAAAGAGTGTTTATGTATTCCAAGAACTGAGATTTGTCGCTGACGATGGTCGAAGGGTCAAGGGCTAATCTTGTAAGGAGCACAAGAACACGACAGACAGATCTGGACATAGCGTTCCAGTTGGTCTCAGCCAGGCTAAAGACCTCAGCCATCCTCTCCAACAAGAAGAGACCAATCTTTGGTGACTTCTGATAGTCCTCCAAGAAGGTGTCGAACATGAACAAGTATTGATCACGTTTACCGAAATTTGTATCCAATAAGTGAACCAATGCCTTGAAGGTGGTAGCCAATACAATCTCATAGTTAAGACCATCGGTAGCACCCAAACATCTTTCGATAATTTCAAAGAGACGGGTCAAAGATTCCGAAAAGAATTTAACCAAAGAAGCAATATCCAACTTGCAGAAATCAAGCAATGTTTGAGTAAGATCATTCAAACCAGCTTGTGTTCCGACAAAGAAACGGTTGTTCTGGAACAAGTTATCAATGGCGATTTCGGTGTTGAAGATCTTACCAATGTAAGTTGTATGAATATCAAGCTGAGCGAGAGTCTTCTTAGTGCCAACCGAAACGACATCAATGTTTTGAGTTCCCTGCTTGTTGAATTCCACAAGGCGGTTGCCTGACTTATACATGATGTCAGCTTCACCGGCCAAAACGCCATTTACGTACAAAGCGAGATGGAGAGCGTCTTGTTTAGGTGCTTTTCTGTTGTGGTTCTTAAATGAGATACCATTCACCTTGACGATTTCTCCAATGACCTCATGTGTTGCAACAGAAACAAATTGCCAGGAGCGCTTCTCAATTTGGTTCGAAGCTTTGGCGAAAGTGATAGTGTCGTTGTTTGGAGCACTCACTTCAAAAGTCAATAAGTCGTCCTTGTTGACAGGGTTGAGCAAGGAAACCTTACCCATCTTGAGATAAATACGTTCATAGTTCTCAGCAAGTGGATCATAGAAAATAGGCTTGATCTTTGCAATAGGAGCAGTCTTCATGGAAGCATCAACTTTAGATGAATGGAAGTTTTCCTCATCCAGGGAGTCATCAGCAAGCTGGTGTCTGAACTCCTTGACAGTCACAACCAACTTCTCAGCTCTAGGGTTGACCGCAATACCATGATTAGAGCCCTTGATAATTCTATCAACCAACTCACCCCAACCATTGTTCTCGATCTTAGAGCTATCCACATGTCTCTTGTGAGAGACGTGGGAACCAAATAAGTTGATCGCAAACTGGTGAGATTCACCTGACGTCAATGAACCCAGGTTTCTGGAGAAAATTCTTGTAATATCAGTCACACCAGCAGCAACACCTTTATTGATTCTGTTGATCTTGGAAGAGCTACCTTCCTTGATAGGCAAGTCAAGTTGTTCCACCAACACGGCCACCAAATAGACTCTGTTGTTCTCAACCTCACTAGCAGGAATGTTTCTGAACAAAGCAGCACTGATCTTCTCCACGAAAACCAACTCATCAACAGTGTCAGTATGGACAGCAAAAGCTTCGGTCAATCTTCTCTGGGTATTTCTCACATACATATAGGCAATCATACCCGCAAAGCCTGGTGGTTGGTACTGAGAAGAACCACTGACCGACTTGAAATCCACCAAGATATGAGAAGGGCTTCCATGGGTAAGTTTCTTGTTTGGAGTTGCGTCAAGAAGATAATCGGCTCTTTTATTATGAGCGTTAATTGGGAACTTAGGAAGCAAAGCACAGTACTGCTGATAAAGAGCCATAATGGAAGGCGTAGAGTTTCTTGAGTCCAACAAGTCACCATTGAAAGCATCTCTTGCCAAAATTGCCTTGTATCCATTCACATCAGTGCCCTTGTTATCCAAGTCATAAGACTTTTCATTGACTCTGGCTGCCTTTGACGCAAGCAGTTTAGGAATGGTGCTCAACAAATGGTTAGCAGTTTCCTCAGTGAACTGGATCTCGTTCCGGGTCAAGTCTCCATGGGTTAACTTCACTCTGGTTTCATCCAAATCAACATAAAGCAGAGTGAGTTTCTGGAAAAGACGGAACTCGCCAATCGAGTACATGGCATAGATATGCGACGTAAGCAAGTTCAACGTATAGGTAATTTCCTCAACCAAATCGTTAGCAAAAGTGAATGTTTCAAAAGGCAAAGGCGGTGGCTGCACCTTTCTTCCAGTGCCATGACCATTACTGCCATTGGCACCAATAACCTCGTCAGGATCAGTAGTAGCATTCTCCACGTACTGCTCGGTTTCTCTCAAAGTAGGAGCCATGTTGTTGCTCTGGTGAACATTGTTAAAGTCATCAGCAGCATTGATCATATTCAATGGCACTTTTTCAACCACCTTCATGTACTTCAATGGGAACACGACTATCTTTCTGTTCAAGCCAGGCAATTCGTCCAAATTCACAGAGGTGATGGTGAAGTCACTAGGGAACGGTCTGGTCAACGAATAGCCTCTAGCCCATTTGGACAGCTTTGTTTCAAACACAAACACTTCATCACCAGGGTACAAGTTACGGAAGTTATCGTTTTTCAACGACGGATGCTTATCAAAAGGAAGGAAAGGCTTGATAATCCTTCCATGGAGAAACTCCTCGGTGGGAGTCCACGACATGATGATTTAAACGTAGATATAAACTGGGAAACCCGGGAAAGGGGGCTGGTTATATACGAAATGGGGGATTTGTGTCGTTTCAATAGTCAATGTCGTCAGAGATTAGACGAGGTTGAAAAAAACCACCCTGGGCCTGCACCGCGCTCAGGAACCAAATCGAGCATTTACCCTTTTTGTCAAATTATCCTAACCGTGTGGAAAAAATTTATGCTTTCTTCCCCAACATTCAAGGGCTTAGGCCAAAGTGTTTAAGACTCTGCGTGGCCATTCTTTTAGGTTGCGGACATTATGTTCTTTACCTCCGTCCCAGATATAAATGTCATGCTCTCTTCTGCCTGAGTCGTAGTCGAGCGCTTCAAGACTGAGAATGCGAGTTCCCTTGATCACTTTGTAGCCGAGGTAAAGCAAAAGCACCAAGATAAGGGTTCCGTAACTCGAGAAAAAGAACATTATGTCCCATTGACCGTCAAGAAAAACAACGTAGCCCATTGCGAGCAAGATCACCGCCGATCCTATAAGCCCCACTATGGCGCTGTAGGGCTGGAATGGTGATTTGTAAGGGTACGACTTATCATTTCTGTCGATAATGTCTGGCCTCTTTCTGAGACCGTAGTAGAATCTGATGAAGGAGAGGCAAATGGCGAACCAGACGAATACGCCTGACGAGGAAATGACACTGGTGAGGTTCTGGAACACCAGCGTAGACAGCTCCGAAACACAGGTGAAGGCGAGTAAGCCAAAGATGAACGATAAAAGAACGGCATAGTATGGAATCCCAAAACGGTTGCAGTTCATGAGAATGGCAGGTGCTTTCCTTTGGAGCGCCAATGAATACACGGTTCTTGAAGAAACGTATAACTGGGCATTTCCACAAGACAAGGCAAAGAACACTAAAAAGCCGTTTTGAACTGCACTCCAATCACAAAGCCCCACGCTCTGGAATGCAACAGTCCATGGACTCTGTGATCCGTTTGCCACACCGCCGATGACTTCGGCAGGCAAGTGACAGTTGTTTCCACCAACATACTTGACGGCGTAGTTATCGTTGAAAGTGCTTGGATTGACACCAGAAGTTCCTGAATAGTAACGAAGAAGTCTTGGATCGCCAGCGTAGATATTCAAAGAAACAACAAACACAGCGATCACGTAGAAAATAAGGATTCTCCAAAATACTCTTCTTGTAGCAGATGGAAGGGCTTTTCTCGGGTTCTTGGCCTCACATGCGGCGACGCACACAATCTCTGTACCACTGTATGAATAAGAGGCAATAACAATGGCTGTCAAAAGGGACATAAACCGACCCAAATCACCGCCAATTCCTTCAGTTTCTCCATTCATACCATTGTCTTGAAGATCAAAAGTTGGCCGAAATAGACCAAATATAAGATTATGTTCAAAGTCTGATTCCAGTCGCTGCCAGTACTTGAAGCCAACCGTGCCCTGAGATCCTAAGCCACCTCTATTAATGATAATCATCACAATGATCATAATAAGCGTAACAATCATTTTGATGACACTAGACCAGTACTCGATCTCGCCGAACACTCTCACATCGAACAAGTTACTCAACAAGCAGAACAACAAGAAAAGAGTGACGAATCCCACAACCGAGCCTTTACTCCGCGTGATCTCTAAATCAGGGAAGTAGCTTAGAAGAATCACGGCTGCCACTATCTCACCAGCTAAACCTAGGGCAAAACTTAGGAAATATAGCCAACCTGTTGCAAAACCAAAGGCTTCATCGACAAAACGAGAGCTTAAACCAGAAACACCGTCAACAACTGAAACGAACGTCACCATTTCACAGAAACTGACAAGCGTGGCTAGCACGATCACTCCCACTATAATGAATGCAAGAACTGTACCAAAACCTCCAGCGATCGTGAAAGCTTTACCACAGTTAAGAAATAAACCGACACCGAGAGTTCCACCAAAAGAAATCATCTGCAAATGTCTCACCTCTAGCTTACGCTCAAGAAAACGGCTATGTCCATCTGTCGTATTAGAGTCCACCGAGTCGCCAGCGACCCGGAGTTCTGAAACATCAGAATCGTTCTGCACCCTCTTTTCTCTATCAGCAGCGGTATTATTCCAAGGGTACTTGAATTTAAACCCGTTCCTCAGCGGAGAGCTAGCAGACTCGTCTGTGCCATACGAATAAAAGTTCTGTGCCAAGTCAGACGGCTGCACTATAGAAAGCATATTCTCATCACGTTTAAGCTGGTCCCGTCGGAGTTGCTGCTGGATATAGTCGTTAATCTCAGCTCTCTTAACATACTGATTAAAGTCATCTAGCGCAGAAAGATCAAACAAAGACGAGTCCGACCGGGTACCTGACCCAGCCATATCCTCATACATATCGAGGTACTTGAACTTCTTATTCTTGGGATCTTTCGCCACGTATTCCGAGCTATTCTGCGGTCGTAGTTCTGCCATCTTCTTCATCACGTCCTCCTTCAAGTCCACCCCTAAGTGTGAGGATGTACTCAAGTCTAGTTCTTCATCTGGGTACATATCACCCGTAGTAGAAGCGTCCTCGGCGACCAGCTGAGGCTGAAAAAGCTCATATGGGCTTCCAATATCGATAGACAGCTCGTTTTCACGTTCCTTATCCCTCGAAGAGCTCTCCAGCACGCGAACAGCGCCATCACCAGATTCACTAGCTTCTCCAGAAACCACCTTAGTATGTCGCAGGGCGCCTCGTAGGCTTGGAAAAAGGCCAGCCCGATGTGAAGACATCGACGACAGCAGTGACGCTGCCGAGGAATCAACTGGCATGTTTATGGTTGGGTTTTGTGTAGGTATAGTACAGTTTCAGTAGGGTCCTGAAGTAGTAGGTGAGTAGATAACCGAGTGCGCACCAGATGATCGGCTCGGTTCCAGAGGAGGAGGAGGAAGGGAGGAGAAGGAGAGAGGGAGAAAAGAGGAAGAATAATATAGAATAAAGAAGGTATTTTATTTGTTAGTGGGAGGGTAGAGGAAGTTGTTTGAATGTGATGAGAAGGCAAGGGAAGGCAAGGGTGGTGCTTAGTAAGTGGTTGTTGGTGGTGGATGTTTGCAGCCAGTGATGGTGAGACTATGTATGGAGGGACTGAGTATGGAGAGAAGTGTCATGGTAAGACGGAAGTGGGGGTATAACGTATGACGTATTATTGATAGGCGAAGTGAAGAGACATCTTTTGAAGTAAGGAAGATTTTGTTCTGGTTCCTGACTTGTCTTTGGTTGTCATGGCTTGGACTTATCTTGTCAAGACTTGAGCTATCAGTTTACTGATTCTCAGATAAAGTAACCAGAGACAAGGAGTCTTCAGGAAGTATACCAGTTTGTAAGCTTATAGCTGAAAATTTCATAGTATTGCCTTATTATCTAGGGTCATTCAGGATTTTGGAACAGGGACTTGTAGTTCCCTATGAGCTCCTGAACCCTACTTGGCCCTATCCATCAAACACAAACACCTTTTAATAGCTGCTATGGCCTCACAGCAGATACTAAAAGAGATTTGCGTCAGAAACCGAGTTGTGCAATGGTAACGACACTGTGGGGCCAGGTGTGAGCAAGCCCATCGAGCCCGACCCCGAAAATTCCAAAAATCGAATATAATCTTGAGTCATCATTGATGACGTCTCAGCTGTTACACTGAGAAGAACAGATACTACACTTGATCTAAGCCAAATGGCAAAGAGATTTGATTAGAAAAGTTTGGGTTCAAGGGGACGCGGGCCTTTTATAGTCCTGAGGTTAGTGGCCGGGTAACCCTCTGGTCACACAGGTATATGCACTATTGCGACATTTTTGCAGCCATTGCCTCCAGATGACATAGGGTTAGGAGAGGTAGTTTCAGGATGTGGTAAAGGAAACAATCAAGTGATAGAAAAAGCGTGTGTGTTTCTTTGGCAGCTTGTGAAATGTCGTGGAAGCTGTGGGTGAGTTTCAAACAAGCGTCAACTCGAGGGTGATGTCTTATGTCATATCCTAGATGAGACCATCGAGAAGGATCCCTTAGTACTGGAGATATAGAACACAAATTCAAAGTATTTCATGTTCAGAATGTAGGGAATCCACTCGTAGACAATGTTAGCAAAACAAGAGCGGAAGCATTACCTAGACGGTATTGAACCCTACCGTAGTATGTAGATCTAAGATGATTACACCTAGAGGTCAATCAACCAAGAGTCTACTCCAGCTAAAGATCGATTTCTTCACTTCAACCTTACAGTAGAAATAGAAAGACTCTTCAGCCATGACTATCAAACACATCGTAGCTCCATTTACCACTATATTGCATTATATTACTAAACCACAAGTGGTTAGTGTAGCTGGCGTGGGACCTCATACAGTTTCCAATTCGAAGATCCAACGTCAGCCAAAGAATAACCTTAAAAGCTAAATGATAAGCGGATCTTTCTGTATTCTTTAGTAAGCGATCAGAATTAGCTACATTAGTGATGCAAAACAGCCTTTCATCTTCTCACCTCTTCAACCAGAGACCCTACACAAAACGTACCTAACAAAACAATAAAACCCCAGCTTCATCACCATCTTCATCTTCATCTTCACCACATACTTAACCATACTTTGCCCTCCCAAATGCTCCACCAAGAAATACATGCCCCAACTGGTTCCCACTGTCGCCTCGGCTATGTGTTCGGGGTTGCGAAAAAAAAAAAAAAAAGTATGGTCCCAGCATCGAACAAGATGACGCTACAAAAAACTGGTGGCAAACATCTGCGGCTGTTTCTCGACGGAAAGATACATGAAAATAAGAAATTTTCACTACCAAGACCCAAAAAAGCAACCAAGTAAGTCGACCAGAAACGGAAGCCCAATAAGAATGTAACAGTAAATGAGTACTCTTCATAGCGACATTCCAATGCCAGTGGAATGCCAACAACTAAAGATCCCTACTATTTCTCTATCCATAAACTGCCCACCTCTTAATATTTCCTTAACCACCTAGACCCTCTTTAAACCCTCTTTAACCCGTCTTACATGAGATCTTTCAACCCACTTAGCCTAGTCTTTGCCTTCCACCGAACTACCTCGTTTGCAGCCATAGTTAACCAACAATGGGCCATACAAACAGTAAAAAAAGTCTGCACCTGCATGAAACACGCTACTAAACCCACCAAAACCATCTCAAACACCTATACTAAACTTCTATAAATAACCTTCCCATGCCCCTACACCCTGTCCCTGGAACCGCTGGAACACAGTGGAAGGTAGACGATGGCAGCAGAAGCTTCGGTGGGCGCGGTGTACGGGTGTTTTCGCGTCCCACTATAAAAAAAAACGAAAAAAAGACCTGGATGTCGCGCTCAAAGCGGCAAACGCACACGCCGCACGCCTCATCGCATATCTACCTCAGCAATTTTTTTCCAGCTATAAGAGATGCACCATTTCTCAGTCTTTTCTACTACTTCTATATTTTTCCCACTAATGTATTCTAAACCAAGATACAACACTAAATCACACAGACGTGCTGGCGGCAGAGCCAGAGCCGGCCACAGAGCTTCCCACCACCACAGAGGCCCTGCTAGCTACCACAGAGGTGGCAGAAGATACTCTGGTTACCATTACCCACAGCCTTCCAACAATAAGGTGTACATTGAGGAGCCAGAGACTGAAACTGAGGGCGAGGAGGAGTCTGAGAGTGAATACGAGGCTTACGCTTCTCCAGACGAGGACGAACAGGTTTATGAGTTTGGCCTTGATGAGAATGAGCCTGAGTACTATGATGATGAGGAAGAGGAAGAGGTTCCTAGCGACATGGAGGAGATTTTCATCATTGCTGACGACAACGATAATTTGGTCGACATTAACGATATTTTGGCCGACGAAGCTTTGGATTACATGGAAGCTGAAGGTTCTCTTAGAGATGTGAACGACGACTTGGTGCGCTTTTACGATTCTGACACCGAGTCCGAGTCTGGCGATGAGCTCGAGCTTGTGGCTGCTTCTGACGTGGAGTCCGACCTGGATTCCGACTTGAGCTCGGACGTGTCCGAGGCTTCTGGCGACGACTCTGAAATTGACGTTGAACTTGATAGCGAGATCGAGGACCTCCAGAAGACCTTGTACCTTTTGTCTGGCGAGGCCGAGGACGACGAGAGCGTCACTGACCTTGAACTTGACTCTGCTGACGAGTTGGAGGATGTCAGAAGAGCTTACGCTGATGAGCTTGAAAGCAGTGACGAGGAGCAAGTCTCTGAGTTGCTGAGCGATGAGGACGATGATGTTTTCTTTGAAGTCGGCTCCGACTACGACTCTTCTGATGACGACCTTTCCGACGACGACGAGGACGTCGCTGTTAACGACCTTGCACTTTACGACTCTTCTTCTGAGTCTGACTCTTCTGATGACGAGGGTATCACGATCTACAGGCATAGATTCGATTTGCCCGACCGTTACGACAGTGACAACGACTCTACCGACGAGGAGTTGATTTCTTACGACCCAGACCAGCAATTGCTCATAGCCAACGACTCTGACGACGAGTTTGACGTCATTGACTTGACCAGAGACTTGAAGGACTCTAAGGACTGTGAGGTTCTTGAGCTTGACGACAACACTTACAAATTGAACCTCAGATTGCCATCTTTGATCAAGGAGGACCTCAAAATCAACTTCTCCAAGGCTCAGAACGAGTTGGTCATTACTGGTAAGTTCAGCTTCACTGGCGAGGAGTCTGAGGACGAAGACGCTGAAGAAGCTGAGGAGGTTTCTGAAGTTGACAGAATTGCCGAGGCTCTCGAGGCTGAGGATGCTCAAGCCGCTGACGCCGATGTTCAGGCTGCTAAGGCTGCTGATGCTGCTGCTGAAGACGATGACGAAGACGATGAGGAATACGAGAGCGCCGACGAGTCTCTGTCCTCTTCGTCTTCCCTGTCGAGCTCTGACTCTTCTGATTCCGAATCTGATTCCGACTCATCTTCTTCTTCCGACTCTTCTGAGTCTGAGTCCGAGTCTGATTCTGACGAGGAGGACGAGGTCATCGAGGATGCTCAGGACCTCATCAAGGACTTCCAGAGCCAGGAGATCCAGTTCGAGAAGCATTTCGTTTTCGACAAGGTCATCAAGGCTGACGAGATCCTGGCCAAGTTCTTGGCCAACGGTGAGTTGGAGATGATTCTCCCCAACGAAGGCGTTGAGGTGAACAAGGACGAAGACAAGATTGACATTGCCATTGAGTCCGCTGAGGATGTTGCTGAGGCCGACGCCGAAGTCGCTGAGGACGTTGCAATGGAGGAATAAATCCATGGACTGGACATATTTCCAAAACTACATGGGTTAACAACTGTACAATAGAGATAGACAGCCCTAGAGGGCTTGCATTGCCATATGGAAGGACCCAGTGTCCGACTAGGAAAGCTGCTGCTGCCACTAGCACGCTTCCGCATATAGATATTGCAACCATATGATGTATACGATAATAGAGTGACGACATGTCATGATGACTATCAAGAAACAACCCGCAGGCTTATGCCCTCTAACTCTGATTGATTTAAGATAAAGAAGAAAAAGAAAAAGAAAAAAAAAAAAAGATATGTTTGTTGAAGTTGCAAAGAACCGAAGTCGGTTCTTGCTTGATAATTGTTATAGAAAAGAATAAAAAAAATGTCTATCTTTACAAAAAAAAAAAGCCGTAGTTTTTCACTTGCTGTAGTCTTCCTCAACCCCTCATCAGCAAGGGTCCATCACAAAACCTTAATCTGCCCCAACCTCCCTGTGCTTGCTGCCCATTTACGAGTCCAAGCCGACCCAGCACAGCCTCGGCAGTTTCTAGAAACCTGACAATACATAGTTAAAAAAAAAAGCATGAACCACCACAAACAGCCTTGTTTGTGCCAGTGGACCATCTGTTGAAGCATCTACCATTGCACAAAGTGGAATATGCATTGGCTGCGAAAAACAGGCATTTGCCAGAACCACCAACCACCAACCACCAACAGCAAACGACCAACTACATAAAAAAAAACGATATTCCAAAGCGCAACCAAGGAATTCAATAGTCACTTTTCTATTTCCATTCCCTCCTTTCCTCTAAACCCGCAGTCCCCAAGAGGCCAAAGCGCAATGTGCTAAAGAGCCACAAAAACTTGCATCGCTTACCCCAGGAACAAGAAGAGGTAGATGGACAGTTGCATTGGGGAAGGAAGTAGCCAGGGAATGAGCAAGAAAGAAGGAGAAGAAACGGAAAATATTTCGTTTCTGCTGATTTACTGATTTACTATTCTTTCTCATTTTACTTTGTTTGTATGGAACTGTTTGGTACTTGTCTGTCTCTGCCTCTGGTACAACTCAGCACTGCAACTCACTGCCTTACGGCAGCGAGTTTTGGCTGAGTGTTGGCTTAGCTGTCCCACGGGACTCCGTCTTTCGTAAACCTCCCACTTCCAACTCACTCTCCAACTCACCGTCCACCGTTAAGCCTCATTATTTACCTGCCATGCATTTTCCCACCTTCGTTTGGGCATTCTTTTCTTGCTAGAGTAAGGGCCCTGGCTGTGCGACAAGCAAAAGACAAACAATGAGACTTCCGAATCTGGGGAAACATTTTCGCAGCCACTGCCTTGCAATGTATATATATATAGCCCACTTCGCAGCAGCAACAGCCTTGTGCTTTTTACCAGATTTGGATCGGCTATCGATAGAAAGACGGTTTATTAGTGTTGGTGTTGGCCTGGGGGTTTTTGTAATTTTTTTTTCCATTTTCCATTTTCCACTTGTGCTACTTTTCATGCGTTTGACTTATTCGCTAGTGGCGCTTCTAGCTACTTCCCATGCTATATCTATATGGCCCTTTGGGGGTGACGACGACGACAATTCCAGTTCTTCGAGTGTCTCAGAGAGTTCTACGGAGAGTTCGAGTGCTGAGGCTTCCAGTACATCCAATGCAGAGACTTCCAGTTCGGAATCTTCAAGCTCGTCTTCTGAGTCGGAATCAACAACGTTTGGCGTGCCAACGACTGAAACAAGTACCGGTGATGGCCTCGCATATGCTCCACGACAAACAGAATGCCCTGACTTTGATATCGTCAGAAACGCTTCGTCTTTGAACGAAGCTGAGGTTGAGTATGTTCAACAACGTCAGGAGATCACCAACGAGAAGTTGATCGATTTCCTCGACGATATCGCCCAAATTCCTGATTTCGACGCTAAAAAATTCATCAACGATAATAAGGATACCCATAACATCTCCATCGGCTTGGCTTTCAGCGGCGGTGGCTACCGAGCTATGCTTTGTGGAGCTGGTGAGCTTTTGGCGCTTGACGATAGATATAAGGATTCTAAGCTGCGGGGCCTTGGTGGTCTTTTACAGAGTTCTACGTACTTGGCAGGTCTTTCGGGTGGCGGCTGGCTTTTAGGTACGCTTGTGCTTAACAACTGGATCTCTGTAGCTGATATTTTGGAACCAGACAGTGGCATTTGGGACTTGGAAGATCTGATCTTTAACCCTAATGGTCTTAACTTGGTGAGGAATATCCGTTACTACAACGCCCTCAGAGAAGCTTTGGATAAGAAGGATGAGTTTGGCTTTGCCACTTCACTTACTGACGTTTGGGGCCGTGCATTGTCCCTGCAATTCTTCAACGAAGATGAGGTTCCTCGTGGTGGTGAGAACTTGACTTGGTCTGGAATCAAGGAATTGGGCAGTTACAAGAACCACTCCATGCCTTACCCAATCATGATTGCAAACGGCCGTAATCCAAACACGGTAATTATCAACGAGAATTCCACGGTTTATGAGATTTCACCTAACGAGTTGGGCTCTTGGGATCCTAGTCTTCGAAGCTTCGTCAATATTGCCTACATGGGTACGAAGCTTGAAGGAGGTAAGCCAAACACATCAGAATGTATCTCTCATTTCGACAATGCTGGCTTCATGATGGGTACACTGTCTTCACTTTTCAACCAGGGTCTTCTTCGTTTGCCAGGAACTGACCTTAATTGGGCACTTAAACGGATAATCGAAATGATCTTAAATCCATTGCTGAAGAACGAGGTCGACATTGCTGTTCACGAACCAAACCCCTTCTACAAAACGGAATATGGTGACCTGGAGGAAATCTTATCCGACTCGAGCTTACATTTGGTGGATGGTGGTGAGGATCAACAGAATGTGCCGCTCTACCCTCTCATTCAGAAGAGTCGGAAGGTTGATGTGATCTTTGGTTTTGACAATTCGGCTGATACCGATGAAAACTGGCCCAATGGTACTTCCTTTGTTCATACTTTCCACAGACAATTTGCCAAGCAAGGTAAAGGTACACCATTCCCATTTGTCCCTTCCACCCAAGACTTCCTTAGAGGAGGTCTCAACGAAAGACCTGTCTTCTTTGGTTGCGATGCTAAGAATTTGTCCGACTTGGTAGCATTCCACGATGACGATTACAAGACAACTGATGTGCCTTTGGTGATCTACATGCCAAATAGCCCTCACTCCCACGAAGCTAATTCAAGTACTTACAATATGAGTTACGACGATGAGGAGAAGCTTAACCACATCCAAAACGGATTTGAAGTTTCTTCAAGAGGCAACTACACCAATGACAGAGAATGGCCTACTTGCGTTGGATGTGCTATCATCAGAAGACAACAAGAAAGACTTGACGAAGAACAATCCAAGGAGTGCAAGAGGTGTTTCGAGAGATACTGCTGGACCGGTGACATCGAGGACACGCCTCAGCTGAGTATTGGATCTGCCTTATCAGGAGCTGCTACTAGAACAACCTCTGGTGGTACTGAAAACACAGTGGACACGAGCTCGACCCCCACGTCCTCGTCCACTGGTTCAGGATCCAGTGATGAATCGACAGGTAGCGATTCAAGCTCTACTTCCTCAGAGGGTGGAAGCAATCCTGTGTTCGTTGAACTAGGAAGTCTTATTGTGGCAGCTCTAGGAGCCCTTTCAATTCTTTAGAACTCCAAAAACTATTGTAATGTTACCTTTTAATAGAACATTTATGAACTAGGATGCACCTTAGTAGACACTTTTCGCAGCCATTCTTTAGCGTTCATGTCCAGTAAGTAAAGACATGAATAATACAAAAACAACAAGCAAAGACAGCTAGTATATAAATGCTGCTTGGTTATTCACTTTCTGATATTGGATTTAAATTTTCTGCTCAGTAGGTATCGATACTGGACTGTCCATACTTTATATGGCTTTTCTCAGTAGAATTATACCCATGTTCACTAGTACCCCAGAGGGGAAAAACACTCCAATAAGCATACCATCTAGTCTAAGTTCCTCACAATAATAAACCCTCTTCTTCGAAATCCAAAATTCCCCTTTCTTGCCTTCAAAACAGCAGTCTTGGTCCAGGTCCCAATGAGGTCACGTGCGTCTCATCGCAGTTGGGGACTTGAAAAATGTATATGGAGAAGTCATCTCAAGATTATCCACATCAAAGAATGGTAAAGTCATACGACCGTTACGAGCAAGATGCCTGTTTCGGTGTCATTGGCGGCACGTCCAATATCCTTTGGCTCCCGCCAGCGCCTACCCAGTCCAACAAGTCCGTGGGAAGGGCTGTTCTGGGAGGCCTAGAAGAGATTTTGATTTGGGACATCAAGACCGGTGAACTCATGACAAGATTGAAAGATGGCCTTACTCCAGGTGCTTCGAATGCTCCTACTGCTTCTCCCCCAGCCACTGTTGTTGCTCTTGCATTCCACGAACCAACCAATATCATTGCAGCTGGTCATAATGATGGTACTATTAAGATCTGGGATTTGACTTCTGGGTCTGTGATGGTTACTTTCCTGGGCCATCGCTCTTCGATCAGTGTTTTACAGTTTGATAGAACGGGAACCAGAGTTATTTCAGGCTCTGCTGACTCGTCCATTATTATGTGGGACTTGGTCGGTGAAGAAGGTTTGTTCAAGTTGAAGGGCCACAAGAGTCAAATCACAGGTCTTTCTTTCTTGAGTGAAAACCCAGAATCTAAGCAAGATGATGAGTTTGAAGATTATGTGGTTAGTGTTTCCAAAGACGGTTTGGTAAAGATGTGGGACACTTCTTCTAAACAGTGCATTGAGACTCACTTGGCTCACTCTAGCGAGTGCTGGTCTTTGGGCTTGAACTCCTTGCAAGATATGCTCATTACATGTGGCAGCAAGGACCAGGTGAAGATCTGGGAGATCGACCTTTCTAAGGAAGATGGCCAGAAGATCACCAGTAAAGGTGAATTCGAGAAACAGAGTAAGAGCAGATGCACTAATATTCAATTCAGCACGCTCAAGGATACCAGTAGCAGTTATGAAATGTTTTACTTGCAGAATGCCGACAGAACAACAGAAATCTTCAGAATTCGTTCTGCAGAGGAAATCAAGAAAGGTATTGCAAAGAGAACCAAGAGACTCACAGAGAAGGGACTCGATGAGGATGAGATCTTGCAATCGCTCAGAGAATCTGAAATCAGCATGCTCATAACACCATTGACAACTGTCAGAACCATCTCCAAAATCAAGTCTTGTGTATGGGTGAAGTCCTCCAGAAAGAGCATGGACTTGCTTCTATCATTGACAAACAACAGCATCGAATACCATAGCATTGCTCTACCCGAGCAAATCAGAAAGGCCCAGGCCAGCGAACTTAATTCTGTTAAAGTGCACTCCATTGACCACAGAGGCCACAGAACTGATATCAGAGCCATGGACCTTTCTGACGATAACCGTCTCTTAGCCACTGCTTCTAACGGTGAGTTGAAGATCTGGAACACTAAAACCGAAAACGTTTTGCGTACATTTACGCTTGAAAGCGGCTATGCTTTATGTTGCAAGTTCTTGCCTGGTGGAACCTTGGTTGTGGTTGGTTACAAGAATGGTGACTTGGAGCTTTACGATCTTGCCTCATCTTCTTTAATCGATAAGGTCGAGAAAGCTCATGAAAATGCATCGGTGGTTGTCAACGGTAAGGCTGACGATAACCGTTCGGCTATCTGGTCCATGGACCTTACTCCTGATGGTAAGACTATCATCACTGGAGGCAATGATAAAGCTGTCAAGTTCTGGAACATCAAGGTTGGTCAGGAATTGGTAGCTGGTACAGGAAACACCATTTCCACATTAAAACTTGTACATACCCAGACACTTGAATTGCCAGAGGAAGTGTTGTGTGTTCGTGTTTCGCCTGACTCCCGTCTTCTTGCTGTTTCTTTGTTGAACAATAACGTCCAGGTTGTTTTCATGGACTCATTGAAATTGTTCTTGACGCTCTATGGTCATAAATTGCCAGTCCTTTCCATCGATATTTCCCACGATAGCAAAATCATCATCACATCTTCTGCTGATAAGAACATCAAGATCTGGGGTTTGGACTTTGGTGATTGTCACCGTTCCATCTTTGGTCACCAAGATTCCATCATGAACGTTCGCTTTATTCCTGAAAGTCACAACTTCTTTTCTTCCGGTAAAGATGGTATGATTAAGTACTGGGATGGAGACAAGTTCCAATGCATTCAAAAACTCCCAGCCCATCAGAGTGAAGTGTGGGCACTTTGTGTCAGTCGAAGCGGCACATTTGCTGTTTCCACATCTCACGACCACTCGATCAGAATCTGGAGTGCCACCAATGACCAGGTGTTTTTGGAGGAAGAGCGTGAGAAGGAAATGGATGAGCTTTATGAGAATGAGGTTTTGGATTCTTTAGAAGCTGTGGACACTAAAGGCGGTAAAGCTGATGATGACGAAGAGGAAGAAGGTGACGGTGTTGAAGGTGTTAGTAAGCAAACTACTGAGACCCTTAAGGCTGGTGAAAAGCTCATGGAAGCTCTTGATATTGGTATTGAAGACTTGGATGCCACCGAAGCATACGAATTGCAATTGCAGCAGTTCAAGTCCAAGAAACCTGGTGTGATGAACCCACAGAAACCTACTCCACACTCGATTTTATTGGCATTCGGCGTCACCGGTAGCCAGTATGTTCTCGATACCATGACGAAAATCAGAGCCGCCCAAATCGAAGACGCATTGCTTGTGATGCCATTTTCCTACATTCTTAAGCTTTTACGTTTTGTGGAAATCTGGACCAACAAGGATAACATCACGAGGAACCTCATCAACCTTCAGTCAATCTGCAAAGTACTCTTCTTCGTTGTCAGAACCAACTCCAAGGAGCTCGTCAACCAGCGTGATCCAAAGATCAAGACACATTTGTTAAAGGTCAAAGAACAGCTTCGAGGCGAATTAACCAAGGCTTCTGGCCAGCTCGGCTACAACACCCAAGGCTTAATGTTCAAGCGTAACCAGTGGAAGTTGGAGCACGAGACCGAGTTCATCGACGAAGGAGAACAAAGGGAGCACGAAGACAAAAAGGCAATCAAGAGAACGTTTGCCACAGTATAAACCACAAGTATAGAACGAATAGACACGAGGGTAGCATGCCAATTGACGAATAGACTCGTAGGCCGGTTCCGCTCCGAAAGGTTAAATTTTTCGCAGCCATACAAACGGGACCAAGAAATGCAGCTACCAATGAACGCCAAACAAGGCCATTGTATAGTGTCTGGACAATACTAAAAGGGTTTACCGAGTACTTGTTTTGGAAGGTGGACGAGCGAAAGGAACGGAAAACGGAAGGTGGAATAGACGAGTGGAAAGGAAAGGGAAGGAAGGGAAGGCGAAGAGGAAGAAATGGACTAAACAGGTCCAGTAATATTACAACGCCATATTTAGTTACCATAATTTACATTCTTAGTTGATATAATATAGTATTTGGAGTCTTAATAACTGCCTTTCCTGTCCTACCTTCATTGGAGGGACTTGCTGGTTGCCGGTCTGAGGCTCATGGCGGTGCACTGTGGCTGATTGTAGCAAGACAAGACAAGACAAGACAAAGACCAATCATGAATCACCAGGGACAGATAAGTTAACGAAAGAGGAAAGTTACAAATTTTAGAACCAAAGCTGGTTTCATTTATTTAGTAAGAAAATAGTGCTAGTCGAAAACCAGTGGTATCTGCTGACAATTCTGTGTATTCTTGATCTGTCTTTAAATAGCTGCGGTATATATATGTAGCAGAGTGAAGAGAACCACAAAAGATGTAAAGAAGCACAAAACACCAAAAAAACAAAAAACAGAAAAAAACACGAATTTCGGACGTAGTTCACCCAATAACCACCAGTTTAACTTACCCTTCTTCCCTATCCCTCCTCCCTCTTTCTCCCTCTCCGTCGTCAAGTACAGTCGTCTGGGTCTCCACCACGTCAGGGTCCAGTGTCCAGCAAAAAACAGCGCCACCCCCCAAACGTCTAAAACCCACCTAGACCGCTTCGCCACGATGCGTTTACCGTATATCCTCGAGGAATCCCCTTAGCTTCGTCTAGACGGCCTGTTTTGTACTACTCTTCTTACACAGATTGGGTGCAAAAAAGAGCAAAAAAAAAAAAAAAAAAAGAATGCGCCATGGAACGGCTGCATGATCAAAGAATGCTCAAATGACCCAGCATTCCACCACCTCCAGCACGGAAAAGTGGTATTTTCCTCGAGCCATCGAAACCCCAAGGGTCTGTTTCGGAAGGAAACTTGTCTTGTTTAAATAAAAAATGCAGCAGATGGCGTACTTTCTTGGTGGTCCGCTGACTCCATTGACTCTGCCACACGCAGGCCTCCAACAAGGAAAGTGGTAGTCAAGGAAGAATGAACAAGGAGACGAAGAAGAAGGAAAGGAAGAAGAAGCAGTATATTCCAAAAAATAGCCTGGGAAAGGTGGAAACCAATGGCAGCTAGAAAATCCCTGGTCCCACCGTTTCCATAAAGTAGCAATGTATTGGTCTCCAGTCACCGTCACCGTCGCTGCCTGTCCCACCCTCCACTTTCCACTTCCTGCCTCAGACACTCCAGGCAACCACAAAACTGGCATTTGAACAAACAAGGACAAAACAAAAGAGAAAAAAAAAACGAACAACCATAAGAATAGTCTTCATTCGCTAAGTATCTAAATTGCCTTCATCGACTTCTTCTCCTTCCTTCTATTCAACATGCCTATGCTTTTGCTTTGTTGGTTGAGCGAGGTGCGGGAAATCGAGGCATTTTTTTTTTTATTTGTCCTGCTTGTCCTTCACATTTATCTCTGTCCCTCAAGGTAGCCCATTTTCCTCCCTTTCCTCACGATCCCTCACAAAAAAAAGATCTTTTTTTCCCTTACACTTCCCCTTGCTAACCCTCCCTGAAAAAAAAAAAAAAAAAAGTAGCCCACCCCACTTTTCCCCCAACAACGCTTTCCATAAACCACACCTTTTTCCTTGGGCTCCTTCTTCTTTATTAAACCATGAATAACATGCCCAATGCGCCAATGGGCGGAACGTGGCACTCGGAACAGAACCCTGACGAGCGGCAGAAGATCATTCTGATCGTGGTCCAGACACTTCGGGACTTGCAAGGATCCAACTTCAACGAGGCCGCCGCCAGCAAGATGGCTCATGATTTCGAGAAATACGTGTTTATGAAGGCTCCTTCTCGGGATGACTACCTTTCGGCTATCAAACAGAAGGTTCACCAGATGCGGGGCAGTGTGAGGAACAACTCCCAGGGCCAGAATGCCAGCAATGCCCAGATGGGACAACGGCAACAGCAGCCTCAGCAGCAGCAACAGCAACAACAGCAACAGCCTCCTCCGTTCCAGGCTCAGGCTCAAGCTCAGGCACAGGCGGCCAGAGCTCAACAGCAGCAGCAGCAACAACAGGCTCAGCAACAACAGTCCATGGGAATGGGTATGAATAATGACGTTTCGGGCCAGGGAATGAACTTCTTTCCTCAGAACCAAATGCAAATGAGGAACGGAATGATGCCTCAGCAACTGCCTCAGCAGAATCATCAACAAGTGCCTCAGGCTCAGATCAACAGGCCAGCGTCTCAGGGAATGCAACAACAGAACGCTCCTAGCCAGCAACAGCAGCTGAACGCTCCAGCTCAGCAAAGTGGTGGGCCTTCTCAGACCCAAGGAATGAACCGTTCTGCCGGAAATCAGCTTACCCTCAGCAGATTCAACAACTTAGCGCCATGATCAAAAACGTTCCTATTCCTCCGGTCTACTTGAATAAGATTCCTGGCTTGCCTCCTAATGTGAATACTTGGGCTCGTATTTATGATCTTGCTCAGAAGAAGGTTATACCTCCTTCTAGTTTGCCTGCTATCAAGGAGGTCCACAATGCCCATCTTCTGATCGTCATGCATCAACAACAACAAAGACTCGCTCAGCGTCGTATGAGCAACATGAACAGTGGAACGGGCTCCGGAAACGCTGGTGCCGCTGCTCCAGCTAATGACCAGAACACTGCTCAGGGTAACATGAACAACATGAATAGCATCAACAGCATGAACAACATGAACGGCATGAATGTTAACAGACAATCCCAAGGTCTGATGAACATGCAAAACCAACGCATGCAGCAACAGCAACAACAGCAAGCTGCTTTCAAAAATAACAATACCAACAAGGCTCAGGGTAACCAGAACAACATGCAGCTTCCTATGGGTATGCAGCGTCCTCAACAGCAACAGCAGCAGCCCCAGCAAAACCAGCAAACTCCAATGATGAAGCAGCAGCAGCCTCAGCAACAGCAGGCGCCTGGTAATCAGACCAACATGGGTATGGCTAACCAGAACACTGGTGGCCAACAGCAGCAGGCTGCTGGCATGAAGGTCCCTAATTTCCAGATTACCCCTCAGGATATGATGGATTACCAGGCTGAGGCTCTTGCTTACTTGAGCAGGGCTCAACAAGACGGCAAGATCCCGCCTAATTTGGATAACAATGGAAAGCAAAGCTTCATTCGTAAGTACATCTACCATCAAAAGATGACTGCTTGGAAGAATGAACAGATTAAGGCTAGCAAGGGTAGTGGCGGGCAAATGAATATGGCTCAACAGCAGCAACAGCAGCAGCCACAACGTACTCCTCAACAGCTGCTGATGCAGATGGGCAACATGAATCAGGGCGGGTTCCCTCAGCAACAGTTCCAACAGCAGCTTAATCAGCAGAATCAGCTGCAACAACTGCAACAGCAGCCACCATCTTCTCACCAGGCTCAACAACAGCCTATTGGTGGTATGCAGCAAGGCATGGGCCAATCTCAGCAGTCTCCTATGATGGGTAATTTGCAGCAGCCAAATGCTACGCCATTAATGAACCAAGGCCCCAATCAAGCTATGTTTTCTCCAGTGGTGCAACAGAAAGCTCCTGGTCAGGGTCCTCAGGCTAACGCTGCCGGTTTGAATGCACAGCAAAACCAGGCCAGACGTCCTCAAGGTGTGCCTCCAGTTACGGATGAAATGAAGATGAAATTGAAGTCTCTCTTTGACGAGGTTGCTCGTGGTGATAGTTTCCAACTCAAGAACCATACTATGAGTTTGTCAGACAAGGACAAGTTGCGGGTAAAGGAGCTTATGGTGAAGATCAACCAGCAATATACTAATGTTGATCACGTTCTTACCTACTACTACGCTCTTACTCGTGACTTGGGTGGTACCAAGAAGTTGATTCAGATGAAGTTTATGACGAAGAATATCATAGACAACTTCCAGAAGGGCATTTACCTTGCCGGTCCAGAGTTGCTTGAAAAGATGGTACAGCATTTCCAGAAGTACTTTGATGCAGTTAGAAAGGAGCTTACAGCTCGCAGGCAGCAGCAGCAACAGCAGCAACCACAAGCTCAGAAGCTTGAGCTGACATCCGCTCAGATGTCTCCTGCTCAGCAGCGCCCTGCTATGAATCAGCCCTCTGCTCAAGTACCGGGCCAGCGTCCATTATCTGCTATGCAGCCTATGCAACAAGGTGATCAGCGGTTCATGGCTCAGAATGTTCCTCAAAACAATCAGCAGAACTTTGGACCACCAGGTATGGGTCAGATGCCTATGACGCAGAACATCAGTCCCCAACAGCAGCATCAACAACCTCCACAGCAACAAGCACAGCAACAGGCTCCTCCTCCTTCGGCTCAGCAGCATTTGGCAAACCAAAGAGGTCCTCAGCAACAACAAACGCAACAGCAGTTTGCACGTAATGCCACCTATGGACAGCTTTCTCAAGGTCAGCCAGATTGGCTGAAGGCCGTCAATGGACCACAGAGAGGTGCCAATATCTCGCCTATGCCAACTGCGCAGAGCGGAACTTCTCCACAGTTGCAAACACAAACAGCTCCAAAGACTGCTGCTAAGGGAAAGAAAGCTAGCACAAGCGGAGCTGCTGGTCGGAGAAAATCTACAAAAGCAGCTGGTACGATGCCTACGCCTGGCAACTCTGCTCCAACTCCTGCTACTTTGGCTAATGCAATCAAGACGCCTAACAGTATGCCCACTCCACAAGTCATCCAGAGCACAAGCAATAAGGGAACTCCTATTGACGTCTCTCCTAATAGTGATAATAAGGGTGCTAATGTTATGGCTAAGGAGCCGATTGTCGGCGATGTGTTTGGTGCTAACAAGGTGGACTCTAAATTGGACAAGAGAAGAGAACTTTCAAAGTCTGATCCTCAGCAGTTCTTTTTTGCAGCTTTGTCGAATCTTCTTGAAACTGACAAGACTGAAAGTACTAACGGCACGAAAGCTGGCGTGGCCAATGGTGATCACACAAAGTCACCGCTCTCGCCAAACTCTGCCGAATGGTCTTGTACTGTCAAGCCTGAAGCGATTACGTCTGCTTTCTGTCAGGTTGACTTCATCAAGGATCTTACTGCTTTAGAGGTATTAGAAGAATGTGCCAAGCTAGTGGACAGGGACGCTAAGAAGAAGGAAGAGGAGGCTCTTAATTCCAAGAAGAGGGAGAGAGAAGAGCCAGACGACATTGATTTGTTGTTTGACGAGAGTGAAACAAAGAAAGTCAAGACCGATGACTTTGACCGGTTCATGTATGAACCCGTTGAATTTGACGAATGGAAGCAATGGCTTACTGGTTTGCAACAAACGAAAGTTTGATTTTGATGGGGCTTAATGTTAGCTATAATAAATGAAAGTTTACTGAGACATGTTATCTATGATGGTGATTCTTTGGATTCGAAAAAAAAAAGTATTAAAGGACCGACTTTATGGTTTTCTAGATTTGTATAGATCCTTTATTAATACTGTAATTCTAAAAGACTAATCTTACTTTTGACTATGTGATCATATGAGGTTGCTAAACTGTAGAGACTTGCCTGTATAGCCTGCAGATACCCTAAAGATAAACCCCCAGTATTTCGGTACCACAAGAACTTATATATTATTGGAAGTTACGATCTGGTAGATCAGATATTTCTTAAGATCTCTATATTTTTTAATTTTGGAAATATCGTTGGGTATAGTCTAAATTAGTGTATTTCCTAATGATATCACGTGACCTGCCTAGAAGTTCCATTACGTCAAGGCCCATCTAATCTCGATTTCCAACTACACCTTCTTCATGTCTTCCGATAAGAAAATCTCCGTTGCGTTCGTTTGCCTCGGTAACATGTATGTGTAAAACTCGAATCACATCTTCACATAACTAACATCCAGTTGCCGTTCGCCAATGGCAGAGGCCGTGTTCAAGCACAAAGTGAAAGAACTAGGCTACAGCGACCACTTCAAACTCATTGACTCTTATGGAACCAGTGGATGGCACGTTGGTGACAGCCCTGACTCGAGATCAGCCGCCACGTGTCGTAAACATGGTGTTCCAGTGGACCACTCTGGCCAGCAGATATCTACCAGAGACTTTGCCAAGTTCGACTACGTGATTGGTATGGATGAGTCCAACAAGGAGGATTTGATGTTCATGAAGCCAAGAGACAGCAAGACCCGTGTGGCCATGTTTGGCGAGTGGAAGACCGATCCTCAGTTCAAAACGATTGTTCTGGACCCATACTATGGAGGCAGAGAAGGGTTCGAGGTTAACTTCAAGCAGATCAGTCATTTCTCTGAGGAGTTCTTGAAGCAGGAGATTGGCGAGAAGAATAAGATTTAAGGAAAGAAAGGAAAAGTGAAAGTATTGGCCTAGAGAAGGTTGGTTCTAGATTAGATATCAAGAATTAGATATATAGCGTACGTTTCGTTTCCGCAATGAAAAATAACTTATGATAATGCTTTGAAAGAGTAAGAAGATGTAGAAGTAGACTTGGAATTGTTTTCTGGACAAGCCTTGTCTGGTGCTTGTCGGTGATTATGTACGGCACCGTTTGACGTCATTCTGGAACACCGGTTGCAAATATGTTGCTGTTTCATGAAAAACGTGAAATTTAAAATCTAAGTATATGATGCATTTTTAAATGCCCTATCGAACTAGAATCACGTTAATTTCACCTAAAAACGCCATTTGTTGAAGTACAACATTCCCTTGCCTTAACCAGCAGGTCGTGTGAACTTCAAGACATCAAAAACCATAAGCGAGCACTTCAACCAAAGTCATAGAACAATTATCACCATGAGTTCCAGAAAACTACAACAAGAGTGTGATAAACTACAGAAAAAGATCGTCGAAGGGCTACAGATATTCGACGACATCCATGACAAGATTGCTGCAACCGACAATGCCAGTCAGAAGGAAAGACTTGAAGGTGACTTGAGGAAGGAAATCAAGAAGTTACAGAGATCTCGTGACCAAGTCAAGCAATGGCTCAGTGATAGTAGCGTGAAGCTTGATAAGAATCTTTTACAGGATAGCCGAAGCAAAATCGAGAATGCTATGGAGCGGTTCAAGGAGGTTGAGAGGGTGTCGAAGATGAAGCAATTCTCGAACGAGGGTTTGGAAATGCAAACTAAGCTTGGTGCTTCTGATGAGGATGAAGCCAAGAAGAATGAAGCTTCTCGATACCTTACGGATGTTCTTGATGAACTAGCCAGACAGAATGAATTGTTGAGCGGTGAACTAAGTACTTTCTCCGGAAAGAAGAAACTGGGTAACGCTCAGCTGGCTATCGAGGAGATTAACCTGAAGATGGAAAGAAACAACATGCATATCGGTAAGATCGAACAAGTTCTTCATAGCTTGGCAAACGAACAGCTAAAGCCAGAGAGGATAGACGAGATCAAGGATGACTTGGATTATTATGTTGAGAATAACCAGGCGCCTGATTTTATCGAATATGACGAATTTTATGACCAGTTAGAGCTAGACGAGACCCCAGAGAGCTTCCCTGCGGCCTCCCTTCCGGGCACAGTACCTGAAGAATCGAAAGAGGTTAAGGAACCTCCTAAGGAGACTAAAGAACCACCTAAGGAGCCTCAGCCGAAGAGCCCTGCAAAGAAGGAAGTTACGAGTAGTGCTCCAAGTACATCCGCCTCGCAAGCAGCTCCTCAGCCTCCAGCCTCCGCTCCTTCGACTAGCATCAATTCAACCCTGAGCCAACCGCTGAGCCATACGCAGCCCATCACAGCCCCAGCAAAGCCACCTACTGGTACGGGGCCATCTGCTGCTGGTCTCGCTCTGGTTCGTGCACCTCCACCAGGATTGGGTTCAAGTTCGAAATCTGGAAGCCCTGCTCCTCAGGGTACTCCTGCTAAGTCAAATGCTGAAGAACTTAAGAAAAGAGTTATCTCGTCGCAAGCTAGTGCATCTGCTTCTGCTCCAGCTCCAGGTCTCACCGCAGCTGCTGTTCTCTCTAATTCTGTTCAGAACAACACCGCGTCGCCTAGAGTGTCTAATGCAGCAACGAGCTCGTCTCCAGCACAGAAGGCACCTTCCGAAGCTCTGCCATCTTTGCCAAACGCGCTTACCCAGGAAACCAAGTACATGAGTGATGCAGCTGCTCGTGTCAACGCCATTGCACAGAATAGATTGGCCAATCCATTGCCGTTCCTGGCCATAAGTCAACTTCTAGAGACGTCTTTGCTCAATTGTCCTGATTCTTCTGATGCAGAGAAGCCACGCCAATATAACCCTCAGAACGTGCATCCTCTGTCGGTGGACTACCCACAAGAGCCAATGTTCGAGCTTAATTCAGCTAAGATCATGTCTAAGTTTGACAATGACACGCTATTTTTCTGTTTCTACTACAGCGAAGGTCTGGACGACCTTTCCAAGTACAATGCAGCTAAAGAGTTGAGCAGGCGAGGATGGTTATTTAATTCGGAAACGAAGCAGTGGTTCTCTAAGGACGACCGTGCCAAGAGCCGTTCCGTTTCTGTTGCAGCTGGCGAAGAGGAGGAGCGTGGAGACAGCTACAAGTACTTTGATTACCAGAGCAGCTGGCTCATTCGTCGCAAGGACAACTTCAACTTCAAGCAGGAGTTGCAGCAGACGTTTTGAGCCAAACAGAGAATAGTCATTTCCCGGGATATAACAGCTACATAATTTTAACAGCGTATCGGAGAGTTCAGCAGAGTAGATACCGTTGCACTATAAAGGAAAGGTACACTTGGATCAATAGGTTAGCCTATAGTTTCCCAGATCACTTGCAACAAAGCAGGAGCTGTGGAATGCCAGTCCTGAACATTCCCCAGCCCTGATCCACCTACCAATCAAACCAGGCCTACTCAGCACCAAAACTAAAGGAACCACTTCTATAATATCTCCCAAAATCCTTTTGGTAACTCCCTCACATTTCTTCCCAAAACAGCTAAACCGTGTTAAGCTTTAGTGTCTGAGGTATACCGTTCCAATTGCGCTCTGATCCAACCAACCACGCCGAGGAACCCATCACACAAAACCAGCCATTTTCTTTTTTTACAACCAATTTCCTAATACTACTTTAAAGAATAAACTTTGGCAAGTTGTTTCACAAAGGCAAAATACAGCCTTCGTCTGTTTTTGTTCCACACTGCAAACGCCATACTACCGTTTTTGATCTAGATCGAGTGAAAAAAAAAAAAAAAAAAAAAAAAAAAAGGTACAATCAGGCTTAGCCAAGGACGAGCCTGGACAATTGAAGCCAAAAAACGACGACGACGTACCGAAAAATAAAAAGCCCACTGGATCCCTGCCCTCTCTCTATTTTTCTACATCTTTGTCTTTTCTCTACGTGAAAAACTCACCCCCTTCTTTTTTGTGCTATTTCGTGGTAATCGGTTATCGAGTATCTCGTGCCGGGGACAAAAGCTTCTTTTTTTTCTCCCTCCCGCAAGAAATTTGAGATTTTATCGATCCATCTATTCTTAGCCTGAGAAGGACCAGTTTTGATATTTTTGAATAACGCCAGACAGAAACACGGTTTGGAGTAAGCGGCTTTAGCAGATACGGCTAGAGACGACAAATACAAGGTTTTACTTGAAATCGGGAAGGCTTTTTGTGTGGTTTTATCACGCCTGGGAGGCACGGCTAATCTGTCTTTCTAAGGGTCTCCTTTTGACTTATATTCAACTTTTCAGTTTCCCCAAGAATCTTGGGCTGTTTGCATAATGGAGCTAAAACATAGGTTTGAAACAGAACTAACGTTCCAGAGAAGGGCTGACGGGTGTATAGACTGTCCTTCAAGCATAGACCCTTGTCCCACATGCCCTTCAGGTCAGGTCTGCCATCAGATCTCACGAACATGCGACCAGTGTCCGAAAAACGTGTGTGTGGAGAACAAATCTAGCTCTTCTGGAGGCGGCACGCCTGTTGGGGGTATTGTGGGTGGTGTTGTAGGCGGTGTGGTGGTGCTAGCGCTTCTTCTAGGTGGGCTATGGTACTATAAGAAGATATACCGCAAGAAACACCCTATGTTGGAGGATGATTTGGCCATGGACGATTATAAAACAGATATGGAGGATTCAGATACGCGTTCGCCTAGAAACACGTTATCCAGTGGTGAAATGGACGGTGCTGGCGTGGCGGGTGCTAACGGAAGACCCGTGAGACCACAAGCCAGACGTACGGATTCGAACAACTCGCTTAAGAAAAACCATCGTGTTTCTTCGTACGAGTCGTTTATGCGTCCTCAAGCAAGGTACGCTCGTCGTGGAGGTGCTAACCTGGCCAGGGGAGGTCGTGGAGGAAGATCTCACGCTCAAGGTAGAAACTTATCGCCGTACGGTGATAACGACTCATCCAAACGTAACTCCATTGCTACGACCATTTCCACGACCAACGCATCTAACATCTTGCCGGTGGCTTATATTCCTGGTGTCACGGTGAGACCTACAAAGAACAATACTCGTTCGATATACTCGTACGAGTCAGACTCTATTTTCTCCGATATCAACACGATCGAGAATGCATCTATTATAGCCGAAAGAACGGGCCAGCTGAAGTCGGCAACCATGACAGCTATTCGTGCCCAGCCTAAGCTTGTGAATGTGGCTCGAATAGACGAGGGAGATGAAGAGGAGGATGAGGAAGACGACGACATTGAGGACCACAACGACACCTCATGGAACTCTAACACTAAAGATTCTGTGATCACCAGCACGCAGGTCGTGAATGAGCTGACGAATACGCTAGATCATCATAGCGACACGGACATCGATTCCGATGTGGATTCGGACATTGGCGAGATCAACCGCGCCACCAGCGTAAGGCGTCCACAAGGAGAGGTGGTTGCTCCTCCTCAGATCTTGATCGATGGAGATCTTGAGCAGGATGACCATCTGAGCGCCGGTTCTTTCATCTTGGATATCGGTAAAGGGCCCCAGCAGACAGAATGATCCGGGGATGAAGATGAAGATTAACTACGTATAGAGCATGTATTAAATGAGACAATTGCATTGGATTGGTGTAAGAGAGGGAGTCTGTGGTAGCTGTTTTGCAGCCATTTCCGGAAGGAAGCGGAAGGTTAATCAATGAATGGGATCAGCGCTAAGAGTAAATCGAAGACGCTTAGACGGTAAGGTAATGAGTTCATCTCTTTACCGATCCCTATGGACAACCATCTGCTTGATAGGTCACCGGGTACATCCATTATCAATCAGATCTATACCACCTACTACTCCCCAAACCAATGCTATCTCAATTACCCACCAAAACAACCTACTCATACATAAACCACCAAAATCCCAAACCCACCCACTTCTTCCAAAGTAACCCTTTTTCCCTCCTCTTCTATTAACCTTCACTGGGGCCCAGTCCCTTTAGATCCACCCAATTGCGCTACAAGAGCTAAATCAGTGCGCAGGGCTTTTAGCAACCAGAGAACCAGAGATATTGGCACTTTTGCATCTAGCTGCAGGAAACCGAACCCCCCAGACCCATTCTCCAAGATTCACCAACCCATCCTTCAACCTCCTCCAATGTCCCCCAAAGTCTCCCCCACGCTTTCCCCAAACCGTTGAGTACTAAACCATTACTCAATCCCACTTCCGAGGGCACGCCGAACGACCGGTGCGCACAGGCCCGGTTTCTAGCACCTCTGCAACTTAGTAAGCGCTGTATGAAGTCAAGAAACCAGGGGACAATTATCGAAGAAAAAAGGAATTGGAGTAGGTCACGTGGACACATAATCAATGGGAAAAAGGAACAAAGCAGCCTTGGAACTCCTTTCGCAGGTGGAGATCCAATCGAGGGGCTCTGTAAGTTTTCAAATAGTGGTATTGGCGGTTGAGCGTTGGTGGAGATCCGAGGGTGGGTGCTGAAAAGTTGAGACACCAAACCCCCAAAAATCAAATGGTACCGCTCAAGCGAGGAAGCGGGTACTGCAGGTAGGTACATTCGTTTGACACCTCTACACCAGGCTACCCCCTATGATCTCGTCCCCTGGCGAGGCGATTAAGAAGAAGATGTGGTAGAGTTGTTAAATAAAGGGCAGTGAGTTTGGTGGCGCTTTCTGATTTGTGTTTGGACGTTTCAGTGTAGAAATGTAGGGGCGTTCGGGTTGACACATTGGTGAGGTAGCTGGGCCCCTCGGCAGTACCCCCGGAAGTACCCCCGGTTACCCTCGTAGCAAAAGCCTTTTTGCCCACCACCCAATATATAAACCCGTCGCCTCGCACCCACTCTCCAACCTCCCTTTTTTCAAATACCCAGTACTTATTAATCCACGTGATGACTGACATTGACCAATTGTGTATTTCCACCATCCGTCTTCTTTCTGTTGACGCCGTCTCCAAGGCCAATTCCGGCCACCCTGGTGCCCCATTGGGTATGGCCCCAGTGGCCCACGCTCTTTGGCAGCAAATGAAGTTTGACCCAAAGAACCCCCACTGGGTCAACAGAGACAGATTCGTGCTTTCTAACGGTCACGCCTGTGCTTTGCTTTACTCTATGTTGCACTTGTACGGCTTCGACATGTCCATTGACGACTTGAAGCAGTTCAGACAATTGAACTCCAAGACCCCTGGTCACCCAGAGACCCACGAGGTCCCAGGTGTTGAGGTCACCACTGGTCCTTTGGGTCAGGGTATTTCCAACGCTGTTGGTTTGGCAATTGCCCAGAAGCAATTCGCTGCTACCTACAACAAGGATGACGTCACCATTTCTGACTCGTACGTCTACGCTTTCTTGGGTGACGGTTGTCTTCAGGAGGGTGTCGCCTCTGAGGCTTCTTCTCTTGCTGGTCACTTGCAATTGAACAACTTGATCGCTTTCTGGGATGACAACCACATCTCCATTGACGGTAACACTGACTGTGCCTTCACTGAGAACGTTCCTGAGAGATACAGAGCCTACGGCTGGCACATCATTGAGATTCCTCACGGTGACACCGACTTGGCTGCCGTTAAGGACGCCATTGAGGAGGCCAAGAAGGTTGACAAGCCAACCTTGGTTAGATTGACCACCACCATTGGTTTCGGTTCCAAGCAGGCCGGTACCGGTTCCGTCCACGGTTCTCCATTGAAGGCTGACGATGTCAAGCAATTGAAGGAATCTATGGGCTTCGACCCAGAGAAGTCTTTCGTTGTCCCAACCGAGGTCTACTCTCACTACAACGAGCACGTTAACAAGAACCAGGAGATCTACAGAGAGTGGCAATCCAAGCTCGAGACTTACAAGTCTAAGTACCCTAAGGAGGGTGCTGAGGTCGAGAGAAGATTGGCCCACAAGTTGCCAGAGAACTGGGCTGACGCTTTGCCAACCTACAAGCCAGATGACAAGCCATTGGCCACCAGAAAGTTGTCTGAGAACGTCTTGAACGCTATCTTGCCAATTATCCCTGAGCTTATTGGTGGTTCCGCTGACTTGACTGGTTCTAACTTGACCAGAGGTGCTGACACCACTGACTTCCAGCCACCAAACACCAACTTGGGTAACTACGCTGGTCGTTACCTCAGATACGGTGTTAGAGAGCACGGTATGGGTGCTATCATGAACGGTATTGCCGCCTTCGGTGCTAACTACAAGAACTACGGTGGTACTTTCTTGAACTTCGTTTCTTACGCTGCCGGTGCCGTTAGATTGGCTGCCTTGTCCCACCTTCCAGTCACCTGGGTCGCTACCCACGACTCTATTGGTTTGGGTGAGGATGGCCCAACTCACCAGCCTATCGAGACCTTGGCTTGGTTGAGAGCTACTCCAAACATCTCTGTCTGGAGACCAGCTGACGGTAACGAGGTGTCTGCTGCTTACAAGAGTGCCATTGACTCCACCTCTACTCCTCACGTCTTGGCTTTGACCAGACAGAACTTGCCTCAATTGGAGGGTTCTTCTATCGAGAAGGCTTCCAAGGGTGCTTACACTATCCACAAGGCCGAGAACCCAGACTTGATCATTGTCTCTTCTGGTTCTGAGGTCTCTATCTCTATCGATGCTGCCAAGAAGTTGGCTGACGAGGGCTTCAAGACCAGCGTTGTCTCTGTCGCTGACTTCCACACCTTCGACAAGCAGACCAGAGACTACCAATTGTCTGTCTTGCCAGATGGTGTTCCAATCTTGTCCGTCGAGGTCTTGTCCAGCTTCGGTTGGTCTAAGTACTCTCACGAGCAGTTTGGTTTGAACAGATTCGGTGCTTCCGGTAAGGCTGATGACCTTTATAAGTTCTTCGAGTTCACCCCAGATGGAATTGCCGACAGAGGTGCTAAGACTATTTCTTTCTACAAGGGTAAGCCAATCCTTTCCCCATTGAACCACGCTTTCTAATTAGACTGAACGTGTGTGATATAAATACTGATTGATATACTATGAAATAGTTTGTAGAACTTTTTGCATTTGGATAAACTAATCTGTGTCATAGCTAGGTAGGAGGTCAAGCAAGGCCCGCTTACTTCGAGGTGTCAACCACGTACCTACCCAAGATCTTACCGTCCTTCATCAACTCGTAGACGCTTGGCAACTCAGACAAGCCCACGATCTTGATTGGGCACTTGATCAAACCTCTGGAGAAGAAGTCGATTGCCTCAGCAGAGTCAGCTCTGTTACCAACGTAGGAGCCCTTAATGCTGACGGACTTCACGACAGAGTCGAACACAGAGGCTGCAACCTTAGCTCCTGCTGGCAAACCAACAAGAACAACGGTACCAGTGGATCTCACGTACTCAACGGACTGTTGCATAGCAGCCTCTGAAACGGAAACGTTGATAACACCATGGGGACCGCCGTTGGTGATCTTGACCACTTCGGCGGGAACGTCCTTGACCTTGGTAAAGTCGACAAAAGCCTCGGCGCCCAAACCCTTGGCAAAGTCCTCTTTTCCTTCACCACCGTCGATACCCAAGACTCTGTAACCCATAGCCTTGGCGTACTGAATAGCCAAAGAGCCCAAACCACCAGCGGCACCAGAAATGGCGACCCATTGGCCGGCCTTCAAGTTAGCAGTCTTCAATGCCTTGTAGACAGTGATACCAGCACACAAGATAGGAGCAGCAGTGGCCAAGTCGGTGCCCTTTGGAAGACGAGCAGCATGGATGGCATCAGCAGTAGCGTATTGCTGGAATGAACCATCGTGGGTGTAACCAGACAAGTCAGCAGCAGCACAATTGGACTCGTTGGTGGTCTGGCAGAACTCACAAGAGTTACAAGAAGAGTTCAACCACTTGATACCAGCAAGATCGCCAATTTCCCAACCTCTAACGTTCTCGCCCATGGCAACCACAACACCAGCACCTTCGTGACCACCAACCAATGGCAACTTGGTTGGCAATGGCCAGTCACCCTTCCAGGCGTGCAAGTCGGTGTGACAAACACCCGAGTACTTGACGTTGATCAACAACTCAGTTGGCTTTGGGGTTGGCACGGCAATGTCTTTGTACTGCAATGGACCACCGTTGGTCTCGAAGATAACAGCTTTTTGGGTAGTTGGGACGGACATGTTTGGTATTTTCTGATTCAATGATCTGAAGATGATGGGATAGAAACCAGGAGATTCAGCTTTACTTATAGTTCATCGTTTGTGGGGAAGCATTGCCCATGAAAATCCAATTGAACACGAAAAACCGAGTGACCGACCCAACGAGGTTCGGGGTTTGAAAGATAATATTCAACCTGAAACTTAGCTTAGATTGGTCCAAGCGGGCCGTCGCACCGTCTTCTTGGAGGAGAGACCGGTATGCGCATAACGCCGAAAGCACAATCTCCACCGATAAGCCATGACCTTAGACAGTTTCACCTAAGTCCCGAGCAGGTTCGTTGAACACCGAATTTCATGTTATGGAGGTGGGGGCTGGACTTGAGGTGGCTGCGAAAAATCGGACCGTCTTAATCCCGAGCGTGCATGCACTGGCCGAGTCCGATACGTCCCCCACAAAGCTAATCAGATGCTAGTGGGGCAGCGTAAGGCCATAACAGGACGTAAAGCATGCTAAAAGCGAAGACTAAAAGTAGGGGGCTAACATGAGGCTCATGGGCCAAAAACGGTACCCAAAGGGGGACCCAAAAGGGGTTGGGCTAAATAGCGAAAGTAGTATGGGGGAAATGCTAAAAGCGAGGGTGGTTGGTTAAAGCCCGTTGAATGTCTGTAGAAACACCCAAGTGTTGGATGAAATATTGTTCTCTGTCACAATTCAGTCCATATCTTGTAAAGACTTCTTTTGATGGTTGTTCTGCCACCATTGGTGCCTCAGTCGAACCTGAATTTCAGTGGCTTTCCTGTAACAGGCTGCGCTTCCAGGGCCCTTATATACCTCTCACCACACACCTCTCAGGTTATGCTTCTGTGACCCTGGCGGTTGCCAATTGCCTGTCGTTTCAAGTCTATGAGAGAAGTTCACGTGGTTCAAGCGGGTACCGTGGCTCCCAGCGATCGCTCTGGATGAAATCACGTAGAGTGGTGGACTTGGTCTGGAGAATCGGGTGGCCGCTGACCACAATCAAGAACTTTTCAAGCCCTTGTCTTCTGCTTTCGATATTGACATCATTGAAACGATTCAGGTTAAACAAGATCTTCCCTGGCAAAGGCGGAATTACAACTCTCAGTGTCTCCAGTTCAAGGATCTTCCGGAACGTGACAAAGTCGCTGTACCGTCTTCTGACTCTGGATTGTCTTTTTCTAAAAGCAGGGATATTCGTTCGACATACGATCTCGTAATCTGTGTAAGGTTCTCTTCCGTAGTGGGTCTGAGGATTGCGTACCTGGAAGGTTAGTAAAGGCTCTGAATGGCTGGTTGAACTGGCTAACATACTTCGACTTCAAGGAAATTCTCTGGCTCGCCGTAGATATCTTCAAACGACTGTTCCTTATGCTTGTCTTTGAGTACTTCGCTGATAGGTTGGAATGGCTTGGACATGGTTGTCTGGTGGGCTGGTTACTATGGACACTGGAGCCTTAGAGATTGGGGGAGCGTGGCTCGATGCAGGTTGTTGGAGAAGGCCCAGCCCAGTTGTGGCTGGAGATGGCAGTTGGAGGATGGAGGAGGGGAGGGGTGGGTGGTAGAAGGTAGTGGGATTAATTATTTGATGAAAATAGAGGTTTCTTTATTTTTGGTGGTTTTGTGATTATTGTGGTGTTTTGTCTTTTCGCAGCCAATGTGCTGAATCCTATGGAAATAGAGAAAGAAGGTAGGTTGACTGGTAATTTGGAAAAATGGTAATGAGGGAATTTATAAATCTATAAAATGCTACCAATTGGGAATGCTGTGAGTTTTGGCTTGATTCAGAGGTGTTTTGAATGTGGTACTTTGGGTGCTGTGGAGGCTGCTGTGAGCGTTGTGGTATTCACCAAGGCACGTTGATGGGGGTTCGTAATAAGCTGAAAAGCTAGAAAAAAAAAAAAAAAAAAAAAAGAAAAATAGGCAAATGGAGATTAGCAGTGATCTAATCTGTCCTCAATACCAAAAAGTAATCTGTAAAAACTCACTTTACTGTGATGGGAGTAAAGAGAGAGACTGGGGTAGATTTTCTGAATCTGTATGGCACCAGTGGCCCCACTCAACGGAGCTTGGCCAACGAGGCAGCGTTTGAGAGATATGGGGATATTAGAAATCACAAGAGAAGATCGTCAAACTTCCTTAATCAAGCAATTGATATTAATCTCGCAACTGAGTGGCGAAAGACATACAATGTAACTACACAAAAGAAGCTTTGCCAAACGCAAGATCCATGCAAACTCCCATGCTTTTCATGTTTAAATCGCCACCATATTTAATTTCACAAGAATAAGAAATAGCATGACCCAAACGACATAACATAATAGATCTGTATTAATAATAAAGGAGTGGTTGTACGATTTACCCCAGATCTCTCCACAAGGCATGTACTTGCTCCACCATTAATACACCGTCCCGAAGCACCCCATAATCAACACCAATACAAACAAAATCTCCTAGTCATAGTTCTTCTATCTCCCTCCAATCTCTTCATCTACAAATCATATATCCTAAACTTTTCATTAAATATACATGCATTGAATTAAAAGTAGGAAGATACTCTCCCTCAAATGCAGAAATGATGCTTATTCCTTGTTAATTTGTGGAATCTTGTGGGCTCTATTCTGGTAGCCAATGACAGCAGAGGGCCAGCCCAAGATCACAGCGACACCAACTCCCCACTGGACAACAGCAGGAGCACGTCTGACGTAGTTTTGAAGCAAAGTAGTTCTTGGAAGCATTGTGAATATAATTGAATTTGTATGTGATGAAGAAAAGAAAAAGCAAGTGGAAAAGCTTCTCTTTATATACTACGCCATTCACGGTGGGCCCCCTTGGGGTTTTCCCCCCAGAAGTGGCACCCAAGTGGAGTGGTCATATCCCGCGCTGGGTGCAAAAAGCAGAAAAGTCGCACCATGGTGATGCACAGTTTTATGCGGAGAGCTCACAAATCTCCTGACCCAGAAAGCTTCCAAAGAAGAGCCAAAGCTTCCATCAGGAAAATCTCTTAAAAGTTAGAAAGAGGGTTGAAAAATAGTAATCATGGGAACGGTAATTCTGGGAACGCCCATTGTCTTTTTAAAGATCCCTCTCTATCTCTTTCTATGCTGCCCCTTCTGCTGCCTCCTCTGCTGGTGGTCTGCGCGTGGAAGCCATTTTTTTGTGTTTCGCAATCTTCTGTGCCTCGAAATTAGGTGACTTTTTGGCTTGCCTGACGGACTTTTTCGGGTCTCACCGAATCGAACCACCTCGACTAATCAAGCTTTTCTTTATGTATGGGCCAAGATTGGCTGATCAAGTGGGCTCACTTTTGGTTGAAAGTATGGGGGGTTTATTTTAGAAGACCAGCGTTGAGTCTGGTAGGCAGGTTGGGGTAAAATAAAAAATATGGGTTTTGTTGAGTCAAGTGGGATTTACGTGGACTGGTGGGTGAAATTTGCTGGGCCAACCTTGCCTTATGGGTGCAAATCTGGAAGCCTGCGAAAGTCAGCCTTGCCTTGACACATTCTATGCGCCAGAAGGGACAAAAGAGAAGAAGATAGTGGGTTTTGTGAATGGCGGTTAAATGAAAAATAGCTTCTAAAGAGAATTTTGTGGGTTTTGGTAGTCAAGCGTTGTGGGGTTTAGATTTGTGTAAGAAGAGGTGGATATGGTAGGGTCTAAGATGTAGTCGGCGAGACCATCATACCTCTTTTCATGAATATGAAGAGCAAGTAAGCCTCTGTTGACGAGCTTCAAGACCTTGAAAAAGCCAACTTTCATAAGATTATTCTTGTAAGACTCCGTATGACATTGCAGTCATGAGTACCAACTAATCCTGTTGCTCCCCTTATCCCACTTACATCTTCAATCTTCAATGCTCGTTTAATATAAATACTCTACACATGTTTATCTTAATCCGTTAATTCAACCATCCTATGTATTCTGTCCTGGTAATCAGTTGATTATCTCATATGTAGCCCAACGGCGAGGATTTGCGAGCCGCCAACTCGACGAAAAGAAAGAAAGCTTCTTACGTCTCCTTCTTGGCAAGCATCTCTTCTTGCAAGTCAAAAGTGTTACCGTTCACTTCGGTATCCTTAATGACAGCGACTCTCATAGTGGCCAACAAGTTGTGGGCAGCGTTAGAATGGGCATAAACGTGGCCATTGAAAGCCTTGGTGGCATCCTTGCCCAACGAAGCTCTCACCAAAGCCTGACCACCTGGGTGCTCCTTGATGAAGCTCTTGACGTTGTGCACAATGCCGGAAATGATAAGAAGACCCTCCTTCTTGGCAATCTCGTTGAAGTGTTCCATGTCCCAGACAGGCAATTCGCTGACCTGAGCACCCCAGTTCAACTGTTGCTTCATCTTGTTCAACTTCTTTTGCTGCTGCTGGAACAAACCCTGCTCGATGGCATTCTGGGAGAAAGTCTTCAAGTTCCAAGTCAAACCAAGCTTGGAAAGAGCCAAGATGGTCAACTTGGTTGGGTCGTACTGGTACCACTTCAAAGCGTTTCTGTAGTCAGATGGGAACTCGTGGTGGAAGTTGTGGTAACCTTCACCAAAGGTAACGAAAGCAGTCAAGACGTGGTCTCTTGGAGTTCTTCTGTCATCAAATGGCTGGGTACCGATCCAGTGAGCCAAGGAATTGACACAGAAAGTAACCTGCTGAATGAAAAAGTACTTCAAGATACCAGCGTAGACGAAACCACCATAGTAGTCACCCCAACCGAGACCAGCAACCACAGTTGGCAAACCAATGGCAGCGGCAAGCATAAGCATCAAGTAGTGACGATGCTGGAACACGACAATTGGGTCCAGGGTCAAGTCGGAAATGTCAGCTCTGGCTCTGTTCTTAGGGTTAGCCTTGGTCAACATCCAGCCCATGTGGGAGTACCAGAAACCTTGTCTGGCGTCGTAAGGGTCTCTGTTTGTGTCGGTGAATCTGTGGTGGACTCTGTGAGAGTGGCCCCACCATTTGATAGAACCCTGAACGGCGCCAGCACCAAAGAAGGCGAAGAAGGATCTCACGGTCCAGTGAGCGTCAAAAGACTTGTGGGAGTAAAGACGGTGGTAGCCAGCCGTGATGGAAATACCGGAGAAACAGTACATGACAAAGGCAAGAGCCAAGGTCTTGAGCTGAGGTGGGAAAGTGTAGGCAGACCAAAGGCCAAAGGCAGGAATGGCCACCACCAAGATAAAGTTCAACCAGTTAATGTGCTCGTGCCAATTCGACAAGGTCCAAGGCTTATCGGAAATGTGTTGTTGCGTGGACCACTTCTTACGAGCCTCTTCATCCTTTTCAAAGAAAGTCTTGGAGTCAGCGGCGATTTGTTCAGCAGTGACATTAACCAAAGACTTGGTGCCCATCAACTTACCGCCCAAACCGGCCGCCACAATTCTTGGGTTCTTCTTGTTTGTGCCCGCAGCGAGGGCGTTCAAGGAAGTAATATCCACAGCGTCCAAGTGATCAGCCATAGTGAAGAAAGGTGGTTAATTAGAACAAGTCGAGACGAATAAGTGGGAAAGGGAGGCCCTTTAAATGGGTGCGAAAAGGCGGAAAAAGAAAACTGGGTTAAAAGAAAAAGGGCATCTTCTGTACAGGCGCACAGGTGAAAGATAGGTTTTTTGGGTAACCAACTGGGAGGGTCAGTGTGCCGGAGAGATTAGTGGTGTGTGGACGAACGGAAGCGGCTCGCCAGCCTGAAACAGGACTGGTTGTCAAGCGAAGATGATAATAAACAGGCAATAGAGGTACCAAACAGAAATACCACCAAAAATAAGCAACTTTTATTGGATGTTCTGGCAGTTTTGGGGCCGTTGATGGGCACTCTGGTGGACAACGTTTTGTGCTCGCTGTGGCCAGTGCTAAAGGTGTGCGTCCATGTGCATTGACAGCCTGGCGAGCGAAACCAGGCAATACCAGTCCATCCATTCCATCAATACCAATATCAATCCATACCAGAAGTCAATGGAAAGCGAAATCCAAAGCGAAAGCAAAATACATAATGGGAGCGAAAAACCTACAAATGCTTAGACAATGCAAAAAGTGTAAAGTTACCAAAAGCGAAAGGGCCATGAAGGAGCGAAATTTTCGTTAATAAACGCTCTTCCATCTGTGGCTGCCGCTGCCGCCGCCCTGGCAGAAGTAGCCTGTGCAATTGTTGGGCCTGGGTTTTTTTCGCACAGATTTGCCAGATAAGGAATTGGAAGGGTGGATGTATTTCCATGGGTAGAAGAGGTAGAGAAAAATGGAGGGCAGATTCGGATTGCTGGAAACTTTACGAACATAGGGGTACCTTTAAATTTTCAAAATGTTGCCTGGAACAATGGATGGATGGGGGTTTCGGGTCCCATCGGGGCCCACCTGGCCACGTGACCAGCCTCGGTGTTGCCCTTTGTCTCTTCCCTTTCTTCCACTTTGACCTCGGACTTCCTGCCCTGTCCCTATCCTATCCTGGCTTACCTGAATAGGGGGACCACTTGTGCATTCATCCATGCACAGCCTTAGTTTCTTTTCCAGGCAATCCATCTAATTACACTTACTATTTAGATTTAACCGGGGTGCTTTTTATTACCGTTCACGTGGAAATCCCCTGCCTCCAGGGGAAAGAAGAAACGGAAAAGAAAGAATGCCATGCCATTGGCCTTTTGTGGTTCCCTCTGGACCTTTTTCGCAGTTCCTTTTGGCTTGCTGCCATAAATGCCTCATTGGGTATACACAGATTATTTTTCAACCTGTACTTTTGCTTTATTTTCTACAGGTATTTCTGTTTTCTTTCAGTTTCACTTGGTCCGTTGCTACGTGGATACAAAATAATATCGTAGTTTCTACGTCTTCTATGCTTCTAAATGACCGTATTTCTTTTAGTTATCTGGGGAATGGCTGCGAAGGCTATGCCTGGGGTATGCGCTTGTGCCTGGTTGATCGTATTTGCGTCTTTTTCATTGACAAGAAAACAAGAAGGTGTCGAAAAGGGTATTTGTGGAATGGAGGGTTCGTCATTGGACGATTTTTTACTTACCTCTGGACGTTTCCTGTTGGTTGGGTTGTTTTTTTCTTTTTGGTAGCTCGGAACCGTAGTGGTTGTGGGAAGTCAATGGTGGATGACTTTTCACACGAAACAGCGCAAATTAGATATATACTTGGGGGTTGGAAGTTTTTGCAAGTTTTGCCTGGGTGAAGGAGGATCGGGCGGAAACTGGTCAAGCAAGGGTTATGGGGTTGAAGGAGGTGGAGATGGAGGTTGGAGAGAAAGCGAAATACCGATGCCACGGGGCCGTTGAGTTGAGGTGTGGTTGTAGGAATGGGTACTTGGGTGGATCCGGGTGGAAAAGGTGGATTTTGGAGATTTATGAGTGGGTCAGAGGGGTTCTTTGGTTGGCAATTGGATGGGGTTGGATCTCCAGGAGGTTTTGATGGAGATGGTTGTTCAGGTATCGGTTTGGAAAACAGGAAGATCCATTGGAATTGGAAAGGATGTTTTATGGGATGACTTGGTGGTGTTTTAAATAGGTGGATAATGCTGATCTAGAGATCAATGCTTACCACTCGTCCATTGATATACACTTTGCTACCATGGAGCTCGATAACCAACCATTCAGCTCAGGAACAGATCTATGACAATTACAACACCTTGAGTTGGCTTTGAGAATTTTCAATTGGTTCAACAATGAAACTATTGGAACAGAAAACTTGAAGATTTGATCTGGTGCTGAGCTCATCATTATAGGTATGAGAACCAGATCAGATTTAAACAAATAAAAGCTCCCAGAAATCAATCGGCCTACTCGAGATAAAATATTGTCCTATGATTTGACCAACCCAAGGACCAGCCGATATTGGAATTAACAAGTTCCCAAAACAATTACCAGCTGGGACCAGTCTTCTACAAACCAAACTCGAATGAAAAACTCCGAATAGCCTACCCAAAGACCAAGATCCTTGCAAAACGGCCAATAACTAGATTACTCATCCGATACCGCTGGAAAGCCCCTCCCATATTCTACTGTTCCATCTACTGTTCCCTCCTCAACGACCACTCTTTAACCAGTGCCAGCCAATTCACATTCCTCGGCGATAGACCAACCCTAAGACTTACTACAACTCCCTACAACTCCCTACAACCCTCTACCTCCAACCTCAGCCTTCCAACTCCCTCCAACGTACTCCAGATTTCAACGTACTTAAGCCACTCCAATTGACACCAATAGCCACCACCAGCATTTAGCCGCTGTGCTACACTTCCAAATCTCAGGCCCCACGATGTTCCCTTGGAATAGGGGCACCCCAAGAATCCCAAAAACCAGCCACCAAAACCACACCAAAGCCAACTGAACCATAAAAATCCCACCCATTCCGTGCCTTAACCCATTCCCCTGATCCTCCAATGAATGTGCCTTAATTACACAATACCCAGTATATGGTTTAGCCGCATGAAGCTTTTCGCAGCCATTTGGTATAGGGAGAAGTAGAGGCCACATTAAGGGCAGAAGAAGGAAGAAAAGGAAGAAAAGGAATTGGGTAATAGAGGATTAAGCGAATTCAGTGAATTGAAATTTCTTATACCTGATTCGCCTACTTCATTTCCCATCTCCCCATGAGTGTCTTCGTGGACCTCAGTCGCCCCAGACATTTACTTACCTACCGGCTACACCCTACCAACAGAAAAGCCTCCATACCACCAACCAGCCAACACCCCAAGCACAACCCATAAAACACAAACAAACAAGAAAAAACACAGAAATCCAACGACGGTACGAAAACCTCCAAAACATCCAAAACATACGAATCCTCCAAAAAGTACCAACCACCAATTACACTTCACTTCCTACCAATCCATCCGACTCCCAATGTCCACTTTCCACTTTCCACTTTCCACCACCACTACGGGTTCATCCACCGCACATTCCTCTGGCTGGGGCGCCTGCCACCTCAGTTCGCCCCAAACACGCACTTTTTCCACCGCCAGCGCCCACCGCCTGAAACAACCAACCCCAACGTCCCCAACCCCCAACGTCCCCAAACTCCCCAAACTCCTCGGGCCCCAACAATTACCTTCCCTCAATGACCGGTCTGGTTATTCTCTAATCTTCTACCACAATCTGGCGCCAGATTTCTGCCTTCCTCACACCACTTACGCTTCAACCTTCTTTTTTCTCTCCTGCTTCCGGCCCCACCCGCACATGGCTTAAACACTGGGGGGCCTCTGGAGAGGGCCTTTTTTTTTGTTTGCCTGCCTGCCCAAGTGACTTTTTCTCACGCTTTCTCTCTCACAATCATCCATTTGGCTTTCCCCATCTTTTTAGTTTCACCACCCACCACCCACTTTTTGCTTACGCTTGCTGAGCAGAACTAGTGCTTGAACAATTGCTGTGCTTTAGGAGATTCCAGAAATTGCCCTCCTGGTTTTTCACCTACCCCAGTTTTTTTTTTTTTGTCTGTTTCCAGTGCTCGTTTGCCCCTTAACGTGCCTCGGGTTCCCACACTGAAAGGCAACCTCCATTGACTGGTCACCAAGTTGGAACGACCAATACAGAGCCTCAAAATTTCATAAACTGCCCGTTTGCTAAACAGCCACCAGGGATGTCCTTCCAGAGATCACCACTGTCGCCCCATCAGGGCAACCAACAGCTCCACCAGCCTTTGGCTGGCCACCACAGCTCCCTGTCTCATAGCGGCTCGGTTTCCAGAAAACACTCCATTGTGGAAATGTTGCTGTCGCCTCCTCCGCTTCCCGTAGACGGCCACCAGGCGTCCATTGACGATTTTTCGTTATCAAGAAACACCTCCGTTTCATCTAGAGCGCTGTCAGTGTTCCAGGCAGGCGGCAACACTCGTAACGACTGGCCCGATGTGATTTTGGGCGATTTGGCGGAGTCCAATAAGCTTATCGCCATCAATAGAACATACTCCGTGCAGAAGGCCTTTGAGACGTTAATATCACATAACTTGACCTCCTTGCCGGTACTGTGCTCTACTGACTCGTCTGATTTATCCAATTGCTTGTCGTTTGACTATTCTGACTTGAACACATACCTTTTGTTGATTATGAACAAGATTGCCATTAGCGACTTGTGCGTGGATGACATTCCCGATGAGAATGGTGATACCAACGCCTTGACCCCGCAGCAGAAGCATGAAAAGCTTCACCAGCTCGTGGCTAGGGCAAAGAAGGGCGAAGAAGTTCCTGTTGACTTTATCGTGCGTTTGCATCCTAAAACGCCGTTCGTAAGGCTTAAGGATAACGAATCATTATTCAAGGCTGTTGAGTCCTTTGGAAATGGTGTTCACAGAGTTGCAATTGTCGATAATGCAAACAAAATCACAGGTATTCTTTCCCAAAGAAGAACAATTAGATTCCTTTGGGAAAATGCCAGAAGATTCCCATCTCTTGAGTTCTTGCTTAACTCTTCATTGCAAGATTTAAAGATCGGATCTACATCTCCAATCACAATCCAAGGTGATCAACCCTTGATTGAGGCTTTGCAAAAAATGTTCGACGAGAGAGTATCATCGCTTGCTGTTATCGACAAGAACAAGTCCTTGGTTGGAAACATCTCCATTGTCGATGTCAAGAATGTCTCATCCACAAAGAACTCCCATTTATTGTTCAAACCAGTGACAAATTTCATTTCTTACAACTTATCTCAAAAGGGTATTGAACGTGGCCAGGACCAGTTCCCCATTTTCCATGTCAGCCAGCAGAGCTCTTTAGGTAGAGTCATTGCAAAGTTGGTGGCCACAGAATCGCACCGGTTGTGGATCGTGGAGACCAGAGGTGCCTCTCATATTGGATCGGCATCTGGTCCTCCAAGTACCGTCGAAGCTGCTCTTTCCAATGAAGGCATTCAGCCTGAAAGCGGACGCCCAGGAAAGCTTGTGGGTGTCGTTACATTGACCGATATCTTAGGCTTATTTGCCCATCATAAATCGGGCGTCAAGATCGATCCACAAACGGCAAGAAACCACAGAAGACGTTCTTCGACTTCCACAACTAGATCTTCCATCGAGAGCTCCCATCTCCCGTCTGGTAACACTACGGCATCTACACCAACATCGCAACCACATCTCCAGCCCAACCAAGACATGTTCAGAAAGACATACCAAACCGGGCAGAGAGAAAGCGCTTTTGAACAGTAAAAGGGCTTTTGGTGGTTCACTTATTTTTTTTGCAACCAGTACCTAACTAATTCCAGGTACTTGTCCAAATCCTGCACAATGATTATACCTATATGCTTCAGTAGTCAGCCAAGAGGTGCTGATACAGCAGCATTGACTTTGCATGCTTACTAGTCATAAATACATGGTTACATATTACGAGGTAAACAGAGGGTCTTGGTGACAGTGTGCTTATAGTGTTGCTGGTGGAGCTGTTAGGGCTCGCGCCCGCACCGCCCAGTGCGCACGTGCTTGCCACTCGGAAACGGAGTATTGCTCCCCTCTAGCACAATGACTCACTTGATCCAACTAAGCAAGTGTACATCCCGCTCCGTATTTGCCACCCCCATCCCTTAAACACCTTTGCAAATAAAAGTGACTAATCTAAGACATTTACTCTATCTATATCACAAACTAGTATGTGTAGGATAACCACCATTGGGCGTAAATTTCATCCCACAAGGCGTACGCCCCATACCACATCGGGAGTTACCCGGCGCCGCAAATTTTTCCCACCTTACCGCTACCGCCATCACCTCTCCTATATAAGTCGCACCCTGGAAAAAAAATTTCCCCCTTTTGATCTTTTTCTATATCACCTTAGAATCTAACAAAAATGGGTAAAGAGAAGCAGCACGTTAACTTGGTTGTCATTGGTCACGTCGACTCTGGTAAGTCCACCACCACCGGTCACTTGATTTACAAGTGTGGTGGTATTGACAAGAGAACTATCGAGAAGTTCGAGAAGGAGGCCGCCGAATTGGGTAAGGGTTCTTTCAAGTACGCTTGGGTCTTGGACAAATTGAAGGCTGAGCGTGAGAGAGGTATCACCATTGATATCGCTTTGTGGAAGTTCGAGACTCCAAAGTACCACGTTACCGTTATTGACGCCCCAGGTCACAGAGATTTCATCAAGAACATGATCACTGGTACTTCCCAGGCTGACTGTGCTATTTTGATTATCGCTGGTGGTGTTGGTGAGTTCGAGGCTGGTATCTCCAAGGATGGTCAGACCAGAGAGCACGCTTTGTTGGCTTACACCTTGGGTGTTAAGCAGTTGATTGTTGCCATCAACAAGATGGACTCTGTCAAGTGGGACAAGGCCAGATACGAGGAAATCGTCAAGGAGACCTCTAACTTCGTCAAGAAGGTTGGTTACAACCCTAAGACTGTTCCATTCGTCCCAATCTCTGGTTGGAACGGTGACAACATGATTGAGGCTTCTACCAACTGTGACTGGTACAAGGGTTGGGAGAAGGAGACCAAGTCTGGTAAGTCCACCGGTAAGACCTTGTTGGAGGCCATTGACGCCATTGAGCCACCAACCAGACCAACCGACAAGCCATTGAGATTGCCATTGCAGGATGTCTACAAGATTGGTGGTATCGGAACTGTGCCAGTCGGCAGAGTTGAGACCGGTGTCATCAAGGCCGGTATGGTTGTCACCTTCGCCCCAGCTGGTGTCACCACTGAAGTCAAGTCTGTCGAGATGCACCACGAGCAGTTGCCAGAGGGTGTCCCAGGTGACAACGTTGGTTTCAACGTCAAGAACGTTTCCGTTAAGGAAATCAGAAGAGGTAACGTCTGTGGTGACTCCAAGCAGGACCCACCAAAGGGCTGTGACTCTTTCACCGCTCAGGTTATTGTGTTGAACCACCCAGGTCAGATCTCTTCTGGTTACTCTCCAGTTTTGGACTGTCACACTGCCCACATTGCTTGTAAGTTCGACACCTTGGTTGAGAAGATCGACAGAAGAACCGGTAAGAAGTTGGAAGATGAGCCAAAGTTCATCAAGTCCGGTGACGCTGCTATCGTCAAGATGGTCCCAACCAAGCCAATGTGTGTTGAGGCTTTCACTGACTACCCACCATTGGGTAGATTCGCCGTTAGAGACATGAGACAGACTGTTGCTGTCGGTGTCATCAAGGCCGTTGAGAAGTCCGACAAGGCTGGTAAGGTCACCAAGGCTGCCCAGAAGGCTGCCAAGAAATAAGCTAGTTTCATTTTAAGTGTCATTTGAAATATTATAATTTAGCTTGAAAAAAAAAAAATGCTGTAGCCGTAGATCAAGAAAATACCAAAAAACCACCACTATCAATTTAGATCTTGCAGATCAAAATTCCCATTTTTCACCTAATTTTCAGAATTTTTCACAGATCCAATGCCCACTAACCGATCTAGCAATCACCGATTAACCTACAATCCACGTTTCCCTACCTTCCTCCCTTCCCTCCCTTAATCCACCAAAGACCACAAAAACCTCTCCCAATCCAAAAAAACCCTATTTCGTAGCCCCACCGAACGGAACATTTCCCCAGAAGTCAACCTGGAGTCAGAGATGATATATTCATTTTCTGCGTCTACGGCTCGAGGGAACCAACCGAGTCAGCCCCGGCCTTGACTGGGCCCGCGACCCAAGGCGTTTCTGCCGCGCACTGGCCCAGCGCAGATGCCGTTTTTGACTCTGTTGCCTGCAACCGACTCCATCCGTGCAAAACTATATAAAACGGGCCATTCCCCAAGAAAACTTCCACTCTCCAAAACACTCCACATCCACCTTTTTTTCTTTAATTATCAAATGTTTAGAGCTGGGTCCGTGGCACGTGCCTCTAGACAGCTTCAGCTTCGCTTGAGATGCCCTCGTCTCCCTTCGTCTGCAGCTGCGTTATCGCACTTATCGAGATCAAGGACTCTTGCAACCGCTAATACCCTGAGTGCCAATTACCAGAAGGTGCACAATCCAGCTAAGGAAGGTGCTTCGTACGGTGAGCTTGACACTTTTGCCAGACGCCACTTTGGTCCTACACCAGAGAATGTGTCTCACATGCTCAAGTCTTTGGGCTACAAGGATATGGATGAGTTCCTTACTGCGTCTATCCCACCACATGTTCTTGTCAAGAGACCATTGAAGGTGCTGCCTCAGGATGGATTCACTGAGCAGCAGATGCTCCAGCACTTGCACGAGTTGGCTGGCCAGAACAGAATCGCAAAGTCTTTTATTGGTAAGGGCTACCACGGCACCATTGTGCCTCCTGTGATTCAGCGTAACTTGTTGGAGCTGCCTGAGTGGTACACTTCTTATACTCCATACCAGCCTGAAATCTCTCAGGGCCGTTTGGAGTCGTTGCTTAACTACCAGACCATGGTTTCGTCCTTGACTGGCTTGGACATTGCCAATGCTTCCTTGTTGGACGAGGGTACTGCTGCCGCTGAGGCCATGGCCATGTCGTTTGTGCATCTGCGTTCTAAGAAGAGAAAGTATGTTGTCGACACTAAGTTGCACCCACAGTCTTTGGACGTGATTGAGTCTCGTGCTGGTAACCTTGGCGTGGAGATCATCACTCTCCCATTGACTACCGATGAGGGTATTGCTGAGCTTGAGAAGATCTCTGGCGACGTCTGTGGTGCTTTGGTTCAGTACCCAGCCACTGACGGTTCTCTTCACAACTTCACCAAGATCGGTGAAATCGTCCACAAGAACAAGGGTCTCTTCTCTATGGCCACTGACTTGCTCGCCTTGACTGTGTTGAAGCCTCCAGCTGCTTTTGGCGCCGACATTGCCTTGGGTAACTCCCAGAGATTCGGTGTTCCATTCGGTTACGGTGGTCCTCACGCTGCTTTCTTCGCTACCACCGATAAGTTCTCCAGAAAGGTTCCAGGTAGAATTGTTGGTGTTTCTAAGGACAGATTGAACAAGCCAGCCTTGAGATTGGCTTTGCAGACTCGTGAGCAGCACATCAAGAGAGAGAAGGCTACTTCCAACATTTGTACTGCCCAGGCCCTTTTGGCTAACATGGCTGCCATGTACGCTGTTTACCACGGTCCACAGGGTCTTAAGAACATTGCTTCTCGTGTTTACGGCTACACCACTGTTCTTGCTGAAGCTATCCAGAACTCTCCACACAAGCTTCTCAACGACTCTTGGTTTGACACCTTGTCTGTTGAGTTGAGCGGTACTAACGCTGACGCTGTGTTGAAGGAAGCTTTGGACAAGTACAACATCAACTTGTTCAAGAACAGCGACTCTTCTGTCTCTGTTTCTTTAGATGAGACCGTTACCAAGACTGATTTGGAAGGCTTGGTTTCTGTCTTCACCGGTAAGCCAGCTCAATTGCCAGAGGAGTTGCCTCAGATCCCAAGCGAGCTCTTGAGAACTGACGAGATCTTGCCAAACGAGGTCTTCAACCAGCACCACTCTGAAACCGCCATGTTGCGTTACTTGCACTTGTTGCAGTCCAAGGACTTGTCCTTGGCCAACTCCATGATCCCATTGGGTTCTTGTACTATGAAGTTGAACGCTACTGTTGAGATGCAAACTTTGTCCATGCCAGGTTTCGCTTTGATCCACCCATTCGCCCCAACTAACCAAGCTGAGGGTTACAAGAAGTTGATCTCTGAGTTTGAGCACGACTTGAACGATATCACTGGTTTCGCTGCTACCACCTTGATGCCTAACTCTGGTGCTCAGGGTGAATACACTGGTCTTTCCTTGATTCGTCAGTACCACAAGGCTAACGGTGAGTACGAGAAGCGTAACATCTGTTTGATTCCAGTTTCTGCTCACGGTACCAACCCTGCCAGTGCTGCCATGTGTGGTCTTAAGGTTGTGCCAATTAAGTGTTTGGACAACGGTTCCATCGACATCAATGACTTGAAGGAGAAGGCTGAGAAGCACAAGGAAAACCTTTGCTCCATCATGGTCACCTACCCATCCACCTACGGTTTGTTCGAGCCAGGTGTGAGAGATGCCATTGACACTGTCCACTCCCACGGTGGTTTGGTGTACTTGGACGGTGCCAACATGAACGCTCAGGTTGGTCTTACTTCTCCAGGTGACTTGGGCGCTGACGTTTGTCACTTGAACATCCACAAGACCTTTGCTTTGTCCCACGGTGGTGGTGGTCCAGGTCAGGGTCCAGTCTGTGTTGCCGAGAGACTTGTGCCATACTTGCCAAAGCACCACTTCATTGAAACTCCACATGCCACTGCCGAATCCATCCAGGCTGTCAACTCTGCCCCATTCGGTTCTGCTGCTGTCATTCCTGTCTCATACTCCTACATCAAGATGCTTGGATCCAAGGGCTTGCCATACGCTTCTGCTCTTGCCATGCTTAACGCCAACTACATGCTTCACAGGTTGAAGGATTCTTTCCAGGTGTTGTTCGTGGACCCATCTGCTACTAAGGAGCAGGGCACCAAGCACTGTGCTCACGAGTTCATCATTGACTTGCGTGAGTTCAAGAGCATTGGTATTGAGGCCATTGACGTTGCTAAGCGTTTGCAGGACTACGGATTCCACGCTCCAACCATGTCTTTCCCAGTCGCCGGTACCTTGATGATTGAGCCTACCGAGTCTGAGAACTTGGAGGAGCTCGACAGATTTGTCGAGTCCATGTTGTCCATCAGAAGGGAAATTGACGCTTACGGTAAGGGCGATTCTTTGGGCCAGGTGTTGAAGAACGCTCCTCACTCCCTTGCTGACGTTGTCTCTACTCCACAGGAGGAGTGGGAGGCTCGTGGATACACCAGAGAGCAGGCTGCCTACCCATTGCCATTCTTGAAGACCCAGAAGTGCTGGCCTACCGTGGCCCGTTTGGACGATGCTTTTGGTGACATGAACTTGCTCTGCACATGTCCATCTGTGGAGGAGGTTGCCAACAACTAGGGAGGTTATTAGTGTACTATAGAAATTCTCACGATAGAGTTATGTTTCGGCGTTGTAGAAGTGAAATTAGCAAACCGGCACTGGTACTGTTCGCCTATTTGCACCCAAAGCTCATGCATCTGAACATTTGTTGCAGTTTATACGTTTCGCCTTGCAGCGAGGAAATGATGCCAGAGAACTCCCTATGCCAATTAGGCGCCGTAGAAGCCGTGGCAACAGCATCGTGGGCAGTTTATTGGACCTTCTTGGTTGACCTGGTCCACCAGCTGCATACTCAGTATCAACTGATAAGACCCAACAACAGCTAAAACTCAAAAACCCATAAAATTTCACTCCAAGGTCCACCCTCTCCTTCCTCTCCATCTGCCAATTCCAATTCCACGTTCCAGAATGGAGTTCCGCCTAATAGGCGCCGTACCTCCACGACTTGTCCTGATATAAGCGCTTGTGAGACCACCATGTTCGCCAAAACAGCACCCAAACCAAAGCACAAAATATAAAGCAGCTTGTTCAAAATCCAACGCCAATAAGCTTTCCTAATATACCTTTCCCCCGTCCAATTTCCCATTCCACCCGTGATCATCCATCATATGTGGTTGCGGTATGACTGCCCTAGCTGGAACTCTATTTCGCAGCCATTTCAGGCCCACGCTGGATGGACCCCTGGACGGGGCCATTTGGTCAAGAAGGGGTCCAACTAAAGATAAAACTACCCGATATGTAAAATCTAACTTTATTCTGGCCTTTTCACCGTAGTGGTTGTGGTCTACAATTATGGAGAGCCCTGCACAGAAACCTCCTCCTCCACCATATCAGCACCTTTTCAATCTCTCCCAACACTCAAAGTATCCACACCCAATTGCCTACATTGCCCTTAAAGCCCCCCTGATTCCAGCGTTATTTTCTTTGTGATGGAGTGGCAGCAACTCAGACCCAAACGCAGCTCCATTTCGGGCTTGTCCCAATCCGGTGGCTCCTATAACTCGTATCCACTTTCTCCCACAGGTCCCCAGGCCCAGCTGAACCTGCGCTTTGCTTATCCAAACTACCCGCCAGACGAGAAGACTGTTCAGGATAACCTTTACTTTCAGAGCGGAACGGCTGCTAGTGATCGAGCGTCGTACTATTCGTCCCAGCATCCCCTTTTCTGTGCTGATTGGGTGTCTTCTGATCCTACCAATGACTGGGTGGTGCTTAGTTCGTTTAGAGAAGGCTACCAGAACCGAGTCCAGGTAGTACATGGCCTGTTGTATACGCATAAGGAAGAGGAGGAGTCTGACGAGAAAGACTGTTCTTCTGGGATCGTGTCACCTACCGTTTCAGAGGAAAGCTCTAGTTCTGAAGAGCTGAGAGCTAAAGATCTGCCTTCGTGTCTGACTGGAGCATTTGACTGGACGAATGTCGCTGAGACGGCGGTGGAATATCCTCTTACAAACGTTCAATGGGATCCACAGATGCAACATTCCTCTGGTGGTGTGCTCAGGTTGGGAGCGTCGTCTGAAGTGTTGAGATTGTATAAGGTTGATCAAGATCCAGAGAAGCTTAAAGTCGACGGCAGGTTTCCTTTAGTTCAGACGCATTTGTTGGCAAATAACTCAACTGCCAATACGTCTTCCAATGGTGACGCTCACGATATCAATACGTTCCCGCCAGTTACGTCTTTTGACTGGAACAAGACAGATTCAAGCATCATCATTACTTCTTCCGTTGATACAACATGCACAGTGTGGGACCTCAATAGATCACACTCCTTGGGCAAAGACAGAGACACAGCACATGTTAAAACGCAGCTTATTGCCCATGATCTGGAGGTATTTGATGTGAAATTCCTCCACCAGTCAACCAACGTGTTTGCTAGTGTGAGTAACGATGGATCAATGCGTGTTTTTGATCTTCGTTCTCTTGAACATTCTACTATCATATACGAACCTACGCGGGCCCCACCCTTGGCATCCTCCGTGCCCACCACAGCTCAAGCACACTACAACCCACAAGCTTTACTCAAGCTTCTGACTTCAAACATTGACCAACACAACTTGGCAACAGTCGGGGTGAATCTGAACCAGGTGCTCGTAATTGATATGAGAATGCCTGGCCTACCTGTAGTGAAGCTTGATTGTTCGTTTGGCGGCATGAGCCAAGCAGCAGTCAACACCATTCAATGGCACCCTGCAACGAACTGGCTAGCAACGGCTGGAGACGATTGTCAAGCGCTTGTATGGGACCTCCGCAATGGAAATTCCACCAAGGCCAGCGATGTTGGTACTGTCATGGATACACCAATGCTCGCATATAATGAAGAATTGGAGGTGAATAATGTATGTTGGAGACAGAACAGCGGCGACTGGCTTGGTGTTATAAGTGGTAAAGGGTTCCAAGCGTTGCAGGTATAGGCACGGCAAAACAACAAGAAAAAGGTTGTTCCATGAGGGGAGAGGGCCATTTCTTTATGCTTGGAAAGATGCAACGATTTTGAGCAGTGGCTGCGAAAAGAAACGATTCGATATTGTATGGGATGGTGGAATGACATCATGGTCGCGGCGGAACGAGGAGCGCTCAAGATTGGGGGAGCACCCCCAAAAAAAAAATGTGAAATCTCTTGGACATCCACATCTATCCATCACACCATTAGACTTTAAAACTTCACCATTTTCGGATTTTCCTAGCCTCGGACTTGAAAGGAGGCTTCAACAAGGCCCTGGGCCCTGGAAAAACCAGGCTTACATTGTTATTAAGCTTAAGATTGAAAAGCCTCCCGGCAGGGCCCCTGCGGCAGGTCGCACTATGCCACTGAAGCAAACCCGAGCGGTGGTACGAAAGTATGTGCAGATGTGATGCGAGTAATTTGCACCCAAGGAGGGTTCGAGCAATATTCAAGGGATATAAGGAGGGCGGCGCTGATGGGATAAAATATAAAAAGGATATGTTTCGCCCCCCTCCTGGAGGTGAAGTGGAAAGTAGCAATTTTTACCAAATTGCACTTTTTTGCATTGAAAAAGCGCCGGCGGCCCCGTACGCCCAAGAGTTTTTTTGTCCTGGTACTTGAGTGGTCCCCCCAGCTTGAGCCTCCAACCTGCCTCCCGCCTGCCGCCTCCACCCTGTCACAGCAGCACAGAAGTTGAAGAACACCTTACAAACCACAACCACTTGACTGAACGTCCCGAGGGAACCAGCACAGCGGCAGTTCCTCCCCTACGGGTACTTTGTGGTTGTTCCCAGTCCTGCGTGTTTTGATCCCTCTGAAAACGTTTTCAGCGATCCGAGACATTAGCAACCATCGCACAGGCACGGGCGGTTAATCCCAAGGCATCGCTCCAAAACAGACATTGTCGAATACGGAAAAAATCCTACATTCCGGAACAAAAGTGCCACCTCCCAGTTAACCTTTATTGCAAAACTTCCCCCAAAGAAGTCCAAATTTCAACTCAACGCTTGCACACTTTTTTTGTCCTCCACCCGCGCCTGCCCAGCCGTAAGCGCTTGCAGCCAATTCTGCTTCCTGCCTTCCTTTTTTTTTTTTGTTTTCCGCCGCACCCCTGCCGAGCCACCCCTTCAGACGACACACCCGCCCAGCATCGAAAAAGGCCCCATATGCCTTGGTCTGTTATATTTAGTGCCCCCTTTGTGCCCCAACGTGCGAGCGGATCGAAGGCAACAAAACCAGCCTATCTCCCGCATCCACGTCTTTTTGCAAACCTCAATTTCAAAAGAGAAGACGTCCCCAGTCCGCTGGACCTTAACCTGACCTCTCTGTTTGCAACCACGAGCGCCCTGCCCACTTCGCAGTCTTCCACTATTAGCTCCTCACAGACTTCCCTGGATCCACCAACGTTAACGCCCTCATCAACTGGCACATTCCCATCAACTACATCATCTTCGTCATCATCGTCGTTGCTGACTTTTTCCCCATCAACCTCCTCCCTGTTCATGGCTTCCCTGCCAGGGTCCTTCAGCCAGTCTATTTCGCACAGTGATAATTTTAGCACTCCCTCGTTCCTGCCACTGCCAACAATGTCCTCCGTGCACTCTCCCTCTCCTTCACTGGAGTCACCTACTACTACTTCATCTTCAACACTTCCGTCCCTGGAACCTTCACCGACGACTGAATCCACATTGTCGCTGCCGACTGACTCCCTGACGCCGTCTTCGTCTGATTTTTCTGAGACATTGACGCCTTCGTCCGCGCCCTGGCCGCCTTCTTCGTCTGAATCCTCATTTTCCCTGCCTCAGCCGCTGCTGCTGAGCTCTGAAATGTCTTCCAACACAACGTCCCTGCCACTGCTGCTGGCTTCGTCCAGCCTGCTGTTTGTTTCGCTGACGTTTCCATCCTCTTCAGAAACGACGACTCCTTCGAAGTCTTCTCAGCTACCCCTGCTGACGTCGTCATCTGAACAGCCTCCGACATCTTCTTCGACGCAACCATCATCATCGTCTTCGTCGTCATCGTCTTCGCTGTTCTCGTCATCTTCTGAACTGTCCCTGGAAACGTCTCTGTGGGTGCCTCCTTCGTCATCTGCTGATCCAACCAGCTCATGGGAACCACCTTCCTCGACTCAAGAGAGCTCGGAACCTTCCTCAACCTTTCCCTCATCGTCATTTATTGCATCTTCTACTTCGTCATCTTTTTCGCTGTCGACTTCGTCTGAGCTGCCAACCTCCAGCTCCAGCGAGTTTTCGTCTTCTACAGAGCCTTCTAGCTCAAGTTCTAGTTCCGAAGATTCTTCCAGTTCTTCCTCAAGCAGCTCGTCTCTGAGCTCTGAGTCTTCCCTGGAGGAGGAGTCTTCCCTGATTACATCGTCTTCGTCTGCCCTGAAGACTTCTTCAGTTCTGCATTCGATGACCCTGTTCACTTCAGGCTCGTCTCATTATGCTGGCTACTACTCCACGGTCAGCGTGCTCCCAGACACTACAATCACAACCTTGGTGGCTGTGCCCACGACCGCTGATGGCAGCGACTCTGACGGTGGAACGTCACAGAGAAACGCTAAGCTTATCGGAGGTCTTGTTGGTTCCATCGGTGGAACAATCTTGATTGGTTCTCTCGTGGTGCTCTTCTTATTCCTCAAGAAGCGTCGTTCTAGAGTTACCAACCATTCTCCTGACTTTGCAGATGACACTTCAGGTGAATCAAATGAAAAATCCGGTTTCAAGAAGCTTTTCGGCCTTGGAGCTGGTGGTGCCGCTGCGGGCGGTGCTGGTACGGTGGATAACTACAATGATCTTGAAAGGCATCTCGATTCTAGGGCTGCTGTTTCTGACCCATTCCTAGGAGGTGCTGCTGCCGCAACTGCCGGTGGAGCAGCTGCTCATGATACTTCAGAAGACTTTGCATACCGCGGTGTTTCGAACAGTAATAACCTTGACTCCATTTTCCACGGCAGCGGCACAGCTACTGGTGGAAACTCTAATGATGGTACTGGTGGAATGAATTCTAGTTCGGCCAGTCACCGAGGGCCAGGACACTCACGCATGAATTCGGACATCAATCGAATGGATACAATGCCTGAACACCAGGACAATAACCAAAACTACGGAGCCATGGGTGGTACACATGTGCGAGAAAGGCTGTCAGAGTTTGAAGACGAAGACGAGCTTTTCTTCCAAGCACACAATCATGCCCCTCTATTGATGGAGGAGAACCATAGCAACAATTCTCGACTGAGATTCTTTGAAGAAATTTAGCATAAAAAATATTAAGTCACTTTGGGTTAGATAATTTTATTCTACAATGTTATTTTTAATAAAATGTTTTGATAATGAAAATAATAATCAACAATGGTCGGCCTAGAATAGAGTTGACCGTTTGGATTGTTTGTTTACTATAAATAAGGTTGTTGTTTTGGTACAACTGCAAACGTTTGTATAATTGGGCTTTGTGATCTGAGCCTCCTTAACAACGGGTAAGCCACATGGGATATGATATAAGGAGAGACATTTGTCGACATTTGGCAGGTTCCTGATAATTAATTCTAGAACTCAGCCGTGCCTGAAAGTTATTATTAGGTATCGTGGTACATTTAGAGATCCAGACAAGCAAAGTGGAATTGATGAATTACGTCTGATTCAATGGAAATGGTGATTTAGTGAAGGGAGTAATTTAATAAAGAAAGTAACAGATTGGCAGGTATGTGTTGACGGTAGGCAGAAAGGTGTAGTTCAGATTCCAGCTTGCCCAATGGCTTCCTTCAATAAACCTAATTTACAGTAGACAAGGTGATTTTCAGAAGATCATCAGGAAATGCTTACTTCTTGGTTATTATGATAAAGGAGGGATTACAGTCTGTAGAGGTATGATCATGATCATTTCAGTTATGCTCCTTCTGCTGGATCACACATTCCTGGTACGGGTAACACCATGTAACCAGTAAAGTTGACTCATACCGTTGTCTGTCAAGATTTTTTTTTTTTTTTGTTGAATTCAATTAGAAAAGTTATTTTCCATGAAAGTAACGTACTACGGTTACGAATTGTATTTTTGGTAACAGACTTTGTATAATTAGGAATTCTCATAAACCATAGAAACTGACCATAATACAGTAGAACTCAAGGTAGTTTGTTGGAAACATATAAATAAGTGGTCACTTTGTTTTTTAAGAATAATAGAAAAGAAGGAGGAATCTTCCACAGCTTGGAAATAAATAGAGAAAGTGAAATCGACTGGTTGATTCTGTATTAGCCATCTGAACCTTAAAAGCTTCATAGATACTGTTTGACTAGAGTAAGCACTGAAGAGTGGGTCAGGCAGCCGCCAAAATTGAAGAAGTGTTGTACAATAACCAAAATTATATAACCGGTATTGTCAGTAAGAAGGTAATCAAATGCTCTGTTGATTCAGAATAATATACTGGAGGTTTCAGCGAAAGCACTCATCCAGTGAAATGGCTGCAAAACAGTGGCCTGTCTCTACCAGCCCTTACTAGGCAGTCCACAGTATCCAATACAACCACACCATATACAACACGAACCCGATTACTTTTCCACTAATATACTTGAAAAACAGCTCCAACCTATTAGATATTATCAGCCTTACTGTATATTTAGTGTTGGCGTCCCATCCACTTTCTCCTCCTCCCCTTGGTATCCACCTCTTAGCTTAACAGTGCGGGCCCAATTTTTCACTCCCTCAGTCAAACCAAGACTCTGGAGGGTCCCGCTATTCCATCCAGTTTTCCATAAAAATAGCTATAAACCTGGAAATCCACTTTTCCAACCCCATTTACCCTAACCCCATTTTCCTTAACCAATTTTCTTCCTCCCATCCCCCTTTCACTGTCCCTTACTCCCTCACCTCTCTGTCTCCTTCATATATCACACATCAAATTTTCTCATACACCAAGTGAAAAACTACTACCCTCTCCATTCCACATCGCCATGTCTGCCAAAAACGTCTTGGTCAAGTTGATTGTGGGTGCTGGCCAGGCTGCTCCAGCTCCTCCTGTGGGTCCAGCTTTGGGTTCGAAAGGTGTCAAGGCCATCGACTTTTGTAAAGAGTTCAACGCCAGATCTGCTCATTACGCTCCAGGTACTCCCATTCCAGTTCTTTTGACCGTCAAGCCAAACAGGACGTTTACATTTGAAATGAACTCTCCTCCTACGTCGTGGCTTCTTTTGAAGGCCGCTCAGGCTCCTCAGGGTGCTGGTAGACCTACCCACGAGTCTGTGGGAGAGACGCTTTCCTTGAAACACATTTATGAGATTGCAAAGATCAAGAAAACCGACGAAAGACACAAGGATTTGTCCTTGCAGCAGATATGCGGAGGGATCATCCTGACGGCGGAGGCCATCGGTGTCCGTGTGGAGCCATAGGTGCCCATACTCTAATGTATCATAGACATGTAAATACAAAAACACGAATTTAACGTATGCAATTTCTCTATACTATATGACAGGGTTGATGGGGGTGTCGTTTTACTTCTTCTTGTTCTTGTCGAAAGCCGCAATGTGGGCCTTGGATTGGTCAACCGTGGTGTGGTCGTGGTCGGGGCCCTTGAACACTTGGTAGTCAAACAGACCGTCTTCGTTGATGCGCTCTTCAACAGCACACATACAAATGCTGTTCAACCATTCGTCCTGGAAACACTCTTCGATTGAAATACGGCATGCGGGTGCCAACTCGACCATCCGTCCTATCAAAGGACGACAGTCTTCAGGCAATGCAAGCAAAAGACGCCCAAGTCCAGTCTCGCTGGAAGTGTGGGACAACCCTTCTCCCAGCTTGCTGTCGCCATTTTGGCCTGGGGATTCGAGCATGTCGCTAGCATCAACTTCGTCTATAGCTGATCCGAGTTCTGGCATGCTAAACGTGTCAGGGGTCTTCACAAGCATCTCACTCAATGACTTTCCTTCATCACGAGTGGCAAAGAGCTTGAAACTGTTGTCGATCATCTTTGGTACCTTCCAAGGGAACTTCTTCAACATCATGCAACAGAAGATGATCGCCACAGACCAAACGTCTACCGGTCTAGGATCATACTTGTTGAAGACACAAACCTCAGGAGCAAGGTAAGGATCAGATCCGACGATGCCTTGAGCTTCAATCAAAGTTTTGGAAAATGGATAGGAGAAAACAACGGCTGATCCAAAGTCAATGATTTTGACAATACCACGTGCATCGACAACACAGTTATCCAACTTCAAATCTCTATGGGCCAATCCCATAGAATGCAAGTAGTTGATTCCCGATAAGATCTGTTTAAAGCAGCAGTTGATCTCTTCACGGGACATTTTGTTGGACATGACAATGGCGAACAAGTCGAAGTCACAGTATTCCATCACTTGGAGGATTCTTTCGTTTTCGTAGCAAATTTCGACGGTCTCAATGATGTTAGGATGCTTCAAGGTTGAGCCGATACAATATTCGCTGGTGATCTTTTTGGCGTAGTCCCTCTTGGTTTCGTTTTGGTACTTTTGTCTAAATTCCTTGACTGCAAAAGTCTTTTTATCGGATAACCTGTTGACAAGTTTAACAGCACCACCAGCACCAGCACCAAGGCTCTCACCATATTTACTGTATCTCTTTGAGAATGGCAACTGCTGGGATTGCTGGTTGTTGATACCGTTAATTGAACCTCTTCTGTCACGCACCAACGATGGGGTTCTGCTGATTGAAGCCGAGCCCACGGCAAAACCAGTGACAGGGGACTTTGAATACGAATTTTCAGAAACATTAGAGCCGCCTGATTGACTTGTATAAGCAGTAGCGAAAGAACTACCGGCTGGAATACTTCCAGAGTTGGTCGACCGCATGGAAGTGGACATTTTACCCACAGGAATTGGCTGGGATGGCGACTGGCTCTTCTTGAAGAAACGCTTCAAGTTGGCCATGGAGTTATGTCTGGAAGAGCTGTACATGTTGGCTGAGTCTGCGGAGGAAAGACTCGAAGGCGATGTTCCCATGACGGCATTTTCGTTTATGGTTGTAGGTGCGTTGTTGTAGAAGCTTCCAAGATCAGTGGAAGAGCCTGGTTTCTGCAGCCCTCCTTTGTTTTTGGAAGAAAAGAAGTATGAAAGACCCAGTTGGGAGCCTTGACGTCCAGAGCTTGATAAAGAAGCTTGAGCTTGGGCCTGAGCTTGGGCCTGAGCCTGAGCAACACGTTGCTTGGAAATAACAAAACGAGGCTCGATAGACATTGAGTTGACTTGTGGCGACAGGAAGTGGATAGACAGAATAGGTTGGCCATTAGGTAAGTTGGGAACGTGGTCCAGTGACTCAGAGGTAACGCTATTGCTGCGTAAAGCCTTTGAAAGATTAGAAGTGCCATTACTGGCAAAACCGTTGTTTCCCTTATAAGAACCAGTTGGGTCATTGCTTGTTACACTGTTACCACGTCCGCCAGGAGCAACGTAGGGAATAGAAGATGACAAACTCTCAGATCCGTAGCCTCCAGTAGCAAAAAACGAAGTATGGGACACAGAGTTTGTTCTATTCACTCTAGGACTCTGGCACGCCTGTGGTGGTCGTATAGGGATATCTTTGGATCCGTAGGAGCGGCCGCCAAAGGGAATGTCACGGCCTTGGTTGGACTGGTCAAACCCACCATTCATAATGACAGGATTCGAACCGGGGTGATCCAGGCCAGGAGCCACCGAACTGGTCTTCTGGCGAGGCAGGATGCTGCTTCCACCTACAGCAGTGTCATTTTGGTGTTTTATAGTGGTTGGAGGGTTGATCTGGAGAGCAATACCGCTATCATCAGAGCTTGTGTTCTGAATAGCCGTGGATGGAGATATCTTTGGTTCGGAAAAGCCGGGCAGGTTCAAACTCGTCAGCGAGGCGTTTTTCGAGCCCACATTGGAATTCGACTCGTTCAATAACTTGGTTAACGAACTGACAGCCTGTTGAGGCTGTTTATGGTTCGGCCCCGGCTTGCTTTCGGTCATGCGGGGGAGGATCTATATGGAAACGGGAGATATGATGGCGAAGGATCCGTTGATTCGGAATGCAATTAAGCAGCGGACGCTTCCAGGTTATGGATATGGATTGTGTGCCTTTGGAAGGTTATCAAAGGCTGTGGAGGAAGGTGGAAATCGCCGGCCAGTGATGGGTGAGCAGATGAGAGATAAGTGTGGTCACGTGACTTTGTCTTCCCCAGCCTTTGGATCCAATTCGTAGCCAGTAGATGGAGGTGTTTCGGGTCGACTATTTGAGTGGCCGTAGTGACTAGTGGCTTTTAACAAGTGGGGTTAAGAATATGTCAGAAGTTGGTGGCGGTGTGTTCCAGCAGTGTGATGTTATCTGGCGTTGCTGCTATTGGGTGTGAAAAACTAGCGCAATCTGAGATAAGCCGTCGTGAGTCTTCAGGAGAAGCAAGATAGAGGGAGATATTTAGATTTAATTTGGGATTTGGTAAAAAGAAAAGGAAGAAAATGCAGAAAATGGAAGAAAATGGAAGTGGAAGGTAAACACTGCAATGTCAAACGGCATCTACAACCCACATTCCCTACATAATGAAAAATGTCCCACCTGGTGCTTAGCGGTACCGGGCCGGCCTCAGACGAGCTGGGCAGACGAGCTCAGACGAGCTGTGGCGAGTCTGAGAGTGAGACTAAGTGTGGAAGAGAAGAAGAAGTATTAATTAGAAAGCATAAAATAGAAAGTGAAAAACCCATAAACAGCTCAACACTGAAACGTTCTGGATATGTAGTTTCGGGTCGGCACGGCAGTTGTGGGTCGGTCAGTCCACCAGAGTCAGATTCAGGCATTTTTTTGGGCACCTGCGCTGGACAGTATAGGGGCCTTTTCGCACCCACTTACTCTATATACTTTGCAGCCATGACCGGTGGGCGGTTCCGTAGACTTCCTTCCGTATGTAACCGCTGTGGGGTATGCTTTTATGGTAAGGGATGGAAATGGATGGAGGTGGAGGGGAAGGAAAAGAAAGGGCGTGGGATGGGATGGGGAGGGAAGATGAGATGGCTTGGGGCGTGGAGGGTACTATGGGGAGTAGGTGAGGTCTGAGCGCTGGTAATGTAGGAGGGTAGGAATCTGATAAGATGTTGTGGTTATTTTAAGTGGGTAGTCTGCCGGGGACTGAGGTGTATTTAGGGCAAGAAATGAAGACATATTTATTGATATGAGCTGTTTTCGGTTTGTTGGAGTGCTTTTTGGAGTGCTTTGGTGTGGTACTTACTGAGAAAGAGTTGTTTGCAGCCATTCCATATGGTGAGAGAACGATAGGAAATATACGATTTAGATTTTAGTAATTACTTAATCGCTTACAGATGCCTGGAATTCCATAACTTGAGACAAGCTGGTGCTGGTGTCCCTCTATTAGAGCTATTCACTTTGTTGGGTGGGACTACTGTGTCATTGATCACTGTTGTTCGAGTGAACCTGACTTAACTGAAGTAACTGAAGTAACTTGAGCCGTTAAGCACTCTTCTAGGAAGACTAGAGTCTGCTATAGCCAAGTAGCCTTTTCTAGTAGCAAGTAGAATGGCAAGGCCCATCAATTGGGCCATAAGGGACATCCAAAAAACCTTCAGCATCTAGGCAATTCCACCTCTCTTAGCGCTTGCGGGCTTTGCCCCTAGGCTTCTTGCCGGTGGCATTTTGCGTGTGCTTCTTCTTGGCCTCTTCAACACCTTCCTCTGGGAAGAGCGGCATGTCCCCATCTTGCGACAGTATACCCATACTCTTACGGATCATGTCCAATTTGTATTGCAAATCCTCTTCGGTTTCAGGTTTTTCATGGACATCCTCCTTTTTCTTCTTCTCGGCTTCCTCCTTCTTCTTGTCAAGGCCTAGCTTCTTTTCTTGCTTCTTTCTTTCGATCGCAGACAGCTTTTCCAACTTTTCGATATGCTCAGCAGTCTTCTGGAAGACCTCTTCTTGCAATTCATCATCAGTCAACTCCGCTCTGACCTTGGTTAAAATCTTGCACTCTTGAATGATGTTTCCTCCATCTTGGGCACCCAACATTGGGGCATAAATAGCAAAAAGAAGCGACTGGGCTCCCTGGACGGTATCCTTAAAGAAAATGTACCAGATTGGGTACAATAATATGTACAAGAACAAGCCCCAAATGGTACCCATTGAGATGAAACGGCGAGTGGATGGCGATCTCATGGTGCCAGGGTTGACAATGCTTATCTTGATATTGCAAGGAGCGTTATCTTTTCTCTCGTAGTCGTTAAGCAAGCGTTGGTACCTGCGTCCAAACATGCCTAGTAATAATTTAGAAGTACCAAAAACCTTCCATGGGGAGTTGACAGGGTACTGGCGAGATTCCCATAAGATATCATCCTTATCGATCAGTCCAGCTGCTTGGGAAGTACAAGTAGTTAAAATGACACGAACATCACGGTCAGGAGGCTGGACCTGGAGCGAAGGTTTAAGAAGCGTAAGCAAGTGGTAGTGAGCCAAGTAGTTCACCGCAAGCTGGTTCTCCACGCCGTCCACAGACACTTGTCTGTCTCTGCCTCTTGGGAGACAGTCAGCAGCACAGCAAATGACACCGTCCAAACGACGTGGCGGCTGGTTATCAAGCCATTTAGTAGCAAAGAGACGAACCGAATGAAGCGAACTCAAGTCACAGTGCTCGGCGTATATCATGAAATTGTTCGTCTTGTCCCTAAGGTCCTCAATGAACTCCACCGTCCAAGCATCATCTGTAGATCTAGACAAGAGAATAATCTGAGCCCCTTTAAGGGCCAACTCATAAGCTACCGAAGCTCCAAGTCCCGAAGTACCTCCAGTGATGATATAAACGCGTCCATGTAACTCTCTCTTGAACGTGTTGGAGGCGCCAGCGAAATAGTACTTGGTGGCGGCAGCAGCAGCCAACGCAGGGCCATAAGTAGTAAAGTAGTCCCAGCCTGGAATAGCCTGAGTACCATCAAAGATGGCTGTAGACACAATATCAATAGGCATTTGAAAGTGGCTTTAGTATGGTGGTATGAGGTTGGTTGGCGAAGTAGACTAGGGTATAGGCGAAGAGCATCTGGTGAACGGGTGTTTTCCAGGCCAGGCGGCTAAAGCTGGACTTGTGTTCTGGAGGTGTTGCTAGATGGTTCGGGGAGGTTGGAACGAAGGAGTGGTTGATGAAGGGGGTTTGATTGGATTTGGGGCGGTTTGGTGGTTTTAAAGTGGTTTTGTTGGATAGTGTAAATGGCTGCAAAATGGAGGTAAGACGTAGAGGGCGAGCAGTCGGTTTGTGGTATACAGAAGAAGAGGTTGTAATTGGGGTTGTGAAGGTCGAGATTGGTATCATGCTTGCTAAAAAATGCCATGGTTTCGAATTCCTTGCCTTTGACTTTGAAAGGTCTATGGAACTGCTGGAGTAGGCAGTAGTATGAGAGAAGTGAGCATGTAAGATCCCATTACCTCTCGTGGACGGGCACCTGGTTGAGTTAATAGCGAATCTTCAAGGAGAACGATGAACGTTTATTTAACAGTTGAATGTAATTTTCAGATGTCTAATACCAAGATTTGGTGTTCACGTTCGGTCAATGGTATGCGCTCTGCCAAGGGACTAGTAGATGGAAGCATGAAGAATAATTCCTTTACACATACAGCAATGAATACGTTTACGTCTTAACTAATCTTCATTGCCTTCAATAAGACGATACTAGTATTACTAGGATCTTTCTTGGCATTGTTTACATCCTTTACTTTTTTTTTACCAGGTCTACTGTACTGGCCTCCAACGCAACTAGAAGTCCATCACTTACGAACTTCCTATTCTCCATTTTTTTTTTTTTTTCAGTCTTCAATTCCAGTGTTCCAATTTACCATATTTCAACCAATAGCTATTTTTTATAACCTTCTCTTCTTCTTCTTTTTGCCTTCTCCTAAACCTCCAACCTGCTTCCCATCAACCACTAATTTTTCGCAGCCATTACCAGAGCCCAGCCAACCCAAACTACCTCCACCAATTCACCAAAAAACCCTAAAAAAAAAAATATCAAGCAATTAGAAACGGACCAAATAGAAAACCATTCAAAACTCATTATAACAACCTCACCATCTTTCCATCCCTTCTCTTCCACCCCTGCCCCACCTCTTCAGTACCTCATCTGTGGCATCTCAAGTTATCTTCGTATGCAGAGCAGGCATCACCATCAACTACGTCTTCTTTACCAACCATGGATGAAGTGGCATTCTACGTAACCCAGGGTGATCCAGAGGATAAACACTCCAAGGAGTCGCTTGGAGCTGCCCAATCTGTCCATAAATCACACACTTATGCTTCGTTCAGAAACGCAGACTGCCCTCTTAATGGTGCTGCTATTACAGGCATGGGCCGTGGAGAACGTCTATTTGTTGCTGGAAAGAACAAGGCGCTTATTTCATGTTACTCTTGGGGCAAGGAAGGTGTCGACCAGAAGTTTCCTGTTCCTGAAGATATGTCTTGTTTGAGCATTGCAGAGCATCCACGAGTGGGCTCAGAAGAAGAAGAGATCTATGAAAAGCCTAAACAGCATATTCCATGGTTACTCGCTGCCGGTTCGAAAACTGGTAAACTTTACATTTGGGAATTAGCTTCGGGAAACTTGCTTTGCGTGAAAGATGCCCATTACCAGGGCATTACGTGTATACGATTCACTCACAACAGCACTTTCTGTGTTACTGGTGGTTTGGATTCCCGTGTGACGGTATGGCGAACGGCTGATCTTGTGTCCTTTGACGAAACTCCAGCTAAACCATGGGCAACCTTTTCTGATCATACTTTGGCTGTTACGGATATCTGCGTTTCAAACTCGCCAGCTCCTAAAGATGTCAAGATCTACTCTTCGTCTAGGGACTCTACAGTGAGAGTTTACAATTTGGTTGCCAAGCGTCTGTTGGGCACATTTGTGTTTTCTTCTCCAGTTGAGTGTATTGCCAGGGACGAAGCTGACAGAGTTTTCTACGCTGGTCTTTCAAACGGTTCCATCAGACAGGTTCCTTTGTACGTTGTGAACAAGGTTTCCAATGCTCTCGAAGCAGTTCTTGGAACCGGAAAGATTGTCACTGTGGCCGAAGATCCAGATGCCAGAGAGACTTTCGTGTACCATCAATCCGCAGCAGGCACTTATCCTACGAGAATCAGCATATCTCTTGACTCCATGAGCATTATTTCTGCAGACACCAGTGGACAAGTGTTTGTGGGAGACGTCGTCACAAAACAAGTCATCAAGGCGTTTACGCCATGCAAATCAGCAATTGCATTCCTTCAGGTTGAAGCACATTCCGATGAATTGCTCAAGTCTCAGCATACATACGAGAAGAACCAGCGTCTTTTGCTGCCGTTAAAGAGAGTTGTATTCTCTGGTGAACCTGACGAGCATGTCGTACCAATGGAGATCTGTGCAAAGGTCAAGCCGCCGCAAAGCATGAACGACTTCTTTGCTGAACTTGCAGAAGAAGAAAGAGAGTACAAGACAGAAATGAGAGAACAAGCTGCTCAAGCAACCAAGGCCGAGAGCAAAGAACTGGACAAAATCAAAGAGCTTGAAGAAAAGCTCGAAAAGGTGTCGGGAGCATACAACTCGCTCAAGGGGATGTACGACGACCTTTACAACGAAACGCAGAAGTAACATAGACCATGTATATTAATTATTAGTAATTAGAATCAAATTTTAGAAAAGTATGGTAGTTTCGTCACCGACGTTTCAGAAGGTGGATATGCTGGGCCAGTTTCTGCAAGTGGCTCTGGGGATGTATATGCTGGGTATGCATCTGGCTATGGATCTGGCCCTGACCATGGCTCTGTGAGTTCAGTTCCAGCTCTTTCCAATGGCCTACGCCGCCAAACCCCATAAGTGAAATCTCCCCCGGATCGCTTTCACCCTGTTCAGGAGTAGCTCGTTCCTTGGACCTGCCACGAACCGCCTGTTCCCTCTCAGCTTCAGCAGACGTCATGTTCCTCCCCTGTTTGAGTCTCTTCACCGTAGCCGCAAAATCCTCGTTCCCGCCTGATCTACACCTTCTAGCCGGCGACGATTGCAATGGATCTTGATAAACACCCTCCGCAGCTCTATTTACCTCTTCACCCTCTCTATCAGCCAACACAACACCCACAGGCAGAGCTGTGCCCAGCGCCAGCGCCAGATCCTGCCCCAGCCCATGCCAGAGGCTCCCGGTTTGGGGATCTCTTCCCGTAGTCGCCAATGATCTGTCTGTATGTTCTGAGTGTCCAGAACAGTCCATGTGCTACAGTTGGTGGAAGAAGTGGTAGGGGTATTTAGGCAATTATACATGGTAGATTCGCACCATAGTTAGGCCTGTCTGGTGAAGTGAGTGCGTTGGGCATCGACTACTACTTCTGAGAAAAAGACCATGGGTGAAGAGAAGGTTAGTAAGAAGAAGCAGAAGGCGCTTTTGTTTAGAAAGTCTAAGGATGAGCGTGAACAGGAGCAGGCCGTGAAAGCTGAAAAGAAAGAGCAAAAGGTTAAGAAGGAAGAGGAGGAGAGTGTGAAGAGAAAGGCTGAGGAAGATGAGCCTGAGCAGCCTAAGAAGAAGAGAAAGACGAGAAGAGGTAAGAAAGGTAAGGGTGTTAACGACGGCAAAGGACCCAGGTTTCTTCTTTTCGTGGGAAACCTCCCGTACGATATCCAGCAGGCCGAGTTGGTGGCCCATTTCAAGAACGCTAATCCTGACAGGATCAGGATCAGAAAGGAGAAGGGCATTGCATTTTTGGAGTTTGATAACGATAACAGCGAGATCCAGAGTAAAATGGAGCTTGCGCTAAGAATGCACAAGTCGACGCTTCGGAACAGAAAGATCAATGTGGAGCTCACGGTTGGTGGAGGAGGTAACTCTGAGGCTAGACAGCAGAAGTTGAAGGATAAGAACGATAAGTTGGAGGAACAGAGAAGAGAGAGGATCAAGAAGCAGGCGGAGGCCGCCAGGGCGGAAAAGAAGGATGACGACGCCGAAAAGCCAACCACTGGTCAACCATCGATGCATCCAGCCAGAGCAGCTCTTCTCAAGTGAAGAGACCATAGACTATTTTCATATCAAGATACTTTATTAAAATATTAGCCTATTCTATAGAGAAGAAACACAGGCAGCCTAAATAATACACAAAAACATGGTACAAAAGCGAAGTAAGTCTACTTCCGTAGCTTTGCCTCGAGCCTTTCGAAGGGGGGGAGCACCACGGGCCAGCCAGCAGACCGAAAAGACGTTAGAATGCAACAATGCAAGAGGAAGCTTCAGGTTCATGGCGTCGTTAGATTACAAGATGGCACACTTCTTGGCCTTGCGTACTTTACGCTTCTTGCCGGCTTCTAGCTGTGAAGCACTGCTTGGAGTGCTAGTAGTATCTTTGGTTGTGGTGGCTGCAGCAGCTGGAGCTTGCAGAGGAGGGTTCAAAACACTTCGAATGGAGTAGTCAAAAAGCTCGGAAACGCCCTGCTGGGTAGCAGCAGAACACTCGATGTAACGAATGGCGCCAACATCCTTAGCCAACTTCTCGGCCTGCTCCTGGGTCACCGGTTTCTGTTTCTTCACGGCCAACTCGTCAAGAAGATGCAAATCGTCTCGCAAGTCGGCCTTGGTGCCCACAAGCACAATAAGAATGTCTCTTGGCGAATGGTGCAAGATCTCGGGAATCCACTTAGCTCTAACGTTCTGGAACGAGTCAGGGTTCACCACAGAGAAACAGCACAAGAAAATCTCTGTCTGTGGGTAAGAAAGCGGACGCAATCTATCGTACTCAGCCTGGCCGGCAGTATCCCAAAGACCAAGCTTGATGGGCTCACCATCGACCATCACCGAGGCCGAGTAATTGTCAAACACAGTAGGGATGTAGTCGTTGGGGAAAGTGTTGGTCGTGTACGAGATCAAAAGGCACGTCTTTCCGACGCCACCATCGCCTACCACAACTGCCTTGATACCTCTCATTAGATCTTGTGTAGTTTAACTGATGGTTGTGAGGTGAGTTCTAGGATGTAAAGATATATGGGCGCGAAAAGCGTTTTTAAGCCAGCATAAGCCCACTGCGTGAGAACAGAATGGGAGGAACGGTCCAGCGCCAGGGGGCCATAAACAAGGGAAAACAAATCCTACAAGACGATAGAGAAAGTGGGAATTCACTTCTTTATATACCCCTGACGAAAAAAGAAATTTGTAGTTGGGAAATACCCTTGGCCTGAACCTCCCCTGGTTTGCTGGTGTACGGGTGCACATTTTGTTCACTCTCGCAACCAACCGCCCCCAGAAAATTCGTCCAAATGCCAACCCCATCACTCCACATATAGCCATGGCTTACAAAGATTTGGTTCCCGTTGGTTCGGCTCTTATTATTGCCGCCACCTCGTTTGGTCTTGGTGTGGTGTACTCCAATTCTGCCTATGACTACAACACGCTTTGGAAGTATGACGAGGCAGGCTTTGCCAGGTCTTTGGCCCATTACTCCAATTGGGCCAATGCTCCTATGAGAATCCACCATATTCTTCACTTTGTGATTTTTTTGGGTCTTACTGGCTGTTTCATCAAGTTGTACAAGCCACATGAAGACGTCAAGTACTTTGAGTATGGTACTTTGGGCTTGATGATGGTGGGCATTGTGATCTACTTGACCAACTTGAGAATCGGTGTGAACAGTTGTATTACTGGCGAATGGGGTGAGGTTGACCAGAACACCGGTATTAACGTGATGGCTGCTTCTCAATTCATGATTGTCATTGCCTTGTCTGGTGTTCTTATCCTTCAGGCTGGTTTGTACTATGCTGAATGGTACGACAACAAGCTCAAGAGAGACTTCTTGGAGAAGGAGGCTAAGGAGGCTGCTGGTAACGCTGGGGTTGACCCAGCTGTCACTGGTGCTTCTGAGGCTTCTGCCTCTGGCGTGGAGACTAGATCCAAGGCCAAGGGCAAGGCTAAGAAGAGAACCGCCTAGGCGGAGAGCTCTGAGGTGGCTCACGAAGTGACTCGTGAGGTGTATAGCTTTAAGAAACGATTTCGTATAGACCGGTTGGTGTAGAATGGAGAAAGTATAGGGAGCAGGTTACTGTAAGTACAGAGTAACAGTAGGCAGCATTTGTCAATGATTTAGCATTAAGAAAGTGGCAAAGTCAAGGTTGAACCCTCACTGGGGTAATTGATCCAGTAATAGCCACTTTTTAATTTCTAAATTAAATTCATTTTTTTTTTTTATGGCTAGTCTAATCAATTCCAGATCTGACTTAGGTTCGTGGTTTGGCTGCGAAATACGTAGTAGATTGCATTTCACCATACTTTGTGAATATGAATAATATAAATAAAAAAAAAAGAAACTAATTGAAAGAAGTCAATAACATAAAGTCAGCCCTCCAATGAACCTCCCAATAACACCCATATCTGCCCTTCACTCCCCGTATCTGCCTCTTTAACGTCTCTACCATTCCTACTTGCACTGGAGCTGTAAAACACCCGGACACCAGAACCAACCAATAAGCGATTTCTCATTCATAAAACACTAACCTTTAAAAGAACTAACCATGGGTGTCACCGACAAAGTCTGGGGCGAGTACCCCGTATACTACAAGCAGCCTATTAGAGTATGTGAATTCAGCTGAAGTGATGTCTCTTTTTGGGGACAACTCAGCATCGATATATGTTGTGCCTCTGCCAAACCGAAGCCAAGCACCATCTTCAACCTATACTAACAAAACCAGTGGGCCCGCTACCACGCTCATACCAAGCCACATTTCTTCTTTTCCGTCCTTTTGGGTGTCCTGGCTCCAGTGTTGTTGTTGTTGACTCCGTTGAGACAGAAGCTTCTCTACGAGAACCACGAGCCAATCCCATTCGTGTACCCATTGCCAACGAGGGCCAGAGACACGAACTTGAAGGGTTACGACGACGAGTAAATACAGCATATCATATAAAATATAAAAGAACTGGAATTTAGTGTAGATGGAGGAGTGTCTGAGATGATGAGAGGAGACAATAAGGCAACCGTTCACCTAAATGGACAACACATAATGACACAGCATAAATGAAATATTCAAATTTCAGAAAACTTCATATTTGAATGCCTTAACCACTTTCTGTTAACGTCTTGGGCATCTGAAGACGGGTTGATTCATCATCAAGGGTAGTGTGCGTACCGGTACATCCAGTGAAAAATCCTTCTTAGTGGATTCAACCTCACCATACAAAGCTCACGGATTCACCATGTTCAGACAGCTTGGATGGATCTCGGCGAGAGCTGGCCACGTGCTACGTACCAGCAGCCCACTTGTATCCCAACCAAGCATTGCCAGATCACTTCATTCCACCAGCAGGCCGTTCGCTCAAGGCAGTTTGTTCGGATCGATCACTGAAGAGGAACCAGAAGCTCCAGCCAAGCCAGAGGAGGAAGCAAAGACTGGCGAAAAACCACTCCCCAAAGATGATAAACCTTTGCAGGAACACTACCTTAAAGAAGTCAAAGAAAAACAGCTCAGCAGTGATAAGTTTGTGAGTCCACTCAAGAGAAGACTCTTTGCGTTGAACGTAGAGCAGAACGGATTCTTCAAGAACGAACAGTATATCCGTGACCCAGAGTCCAACAAGACATACAAGGTGTCGCTTACAGGTGAAGAAATTGACATTTTGGAGCCCACCGTGTACATCAAGTCGTACCGTATCAAATCGTCCATGAAGAAAGCCACAGTGGTGAACAGATTTGTGCGTGGGTACAACGTCAAGACTGCCATTAACCAATTGCATTTCAACCCTAAAAAGATGTCCACTGAGTTGGAGAAGTTCCTAAAGCGTGCACTTGGCCAGGCCAAGGAGGTTGGCATTGACGAAGACGAAGCGTTTATCCAAGCACTCTGGGTCGGTTCTGATGGAGGGTGGATCAAAAGACCCGATATCAAGGGCCGTGGACGTACAGGTGTCATTCACCACCCATACGTTCACTTAAAGGCTATCCTCAAGGGCAGCCAAACCAAGCAGAGAATTGCGTGGGAAAAGGCACAGAAACAGTTGGCAGCCAAGCCTAAACTGTTGTTAAACAACGAGCCTCTTAACTTCAAGGTTCACTCTTACTACAGATGGTAAATAGATACATGTACATACAGCATTGACCGGATACCTCCACTACCTTCGCCGTTAGGACCACTGACTACAAAGTAAAGTACAATGAGATTGTCCAAGCCGTGGTAATCGTAGAATGTACACAGCTCTTTGTGGTTACACTGCGGCAGCAACATCCAAGTTACCAATAACCTTTAGAGGCGGGGCCCGGCAGTGGCATAAGCAATAAGAAAGAGACAAGTAGGAGGCAAGTCCGGAACGGTTCGGAACACCAGAGTATGTATGGTGCAAGGGAGACTAACAAGAAAGTCAGACAGACAGACAGGCAGGTAGAATGTGAGCCAAGCTGATGCCGAGGAAGCATCAGGCGACAACTTACACAGAAAAGGGACGATTTAGGCAGCTAAAAAGATGTTTCATCCTCTTCCCCTTCAATCCCTTTTTTCGTGATTCCACTTTTTTCTTACGAAAAAAGCAGAAGACGAAAAAAGCAGAATTTAACCGCTGAGCCAGACCGTTGGCCCGTTCCGTTTCGCAACCACTGAATGCACTGCGAAATGCGACATTGGCGCAAGAAAGAGGAACAGAAGAGGCAGGACCAGAACGAAAAAGGGAGCCACCCACCCCCCATCCAACCTTGCCCAAAGCTAAAAAGAACAAGGCAAAAAGCGGTCAAAGTGGGTTCCAAAAAGTGACAGATCCCCTTTATTTATAGTTTCCCCAAACAAACTCCTTCGTGCCTGTTTTTACCCGTTCCTCTTTCTTCCTCTTTCTTCTTCTTCCTCTTCCTTTTGGCTTGCGAATTGTCTCCTCTTTGTCTCACCAGAATGGGGAATCTTATGACTGGAACCACCAGACCAATAACCACCAATAGAACGCCACACAAAAACCATTACCCCCTAGATCGCCCCCTGACCAATATAAATAGACCCGATTTCCCTTCAAAAAATCCCTAATATTTTCTACCAACATCCTTCCCCATGTCCTTATCTTCTTAGTCTCTCCCTGTTCCTCCTCCTCCTCGTTCAGCCTGCTGCGCTGCTGCGCTGCCTGCCTGACTACGACATGACTCCTGGTGCGTATGCTTTATGCCTCTCTCTGCATTTGGGCCCCCTACACCGTAACCAGTTGGCACACAATTCGGCCCATTATGGCAGTCTGTACTACTACTACTTTTTTTTTTTTGTCATTCTGCCAACTATTCTTTTTACCTCCCTTATTTATCTTCCGCTACGGGCCCTGTGTTACCTGCTGCTTTGCCCCTGATACCCTTGCAGTCTCCTTATCGTACTCCGAGGCTCCTCCGATTCCAGGCCCTCCCGAATTCTAGAACCCTACCGCTTTTCCCCAGAATCCCACTTTCTGGACTCTCCAAGGCGTCCACCACATCACTTTTCTTTGGTTTTCATTAGCGTCCATTTCATCTCACGCTACAAAGTTCCCCTTGGCTCAAGTTCCGCCTAAAGGCCCTCCCCCATTCCCTTCAACCCCACGCCTCAACTCAAATTCATCATGGGGTTGAAAACTACAGAGTTCTTTGAAAACACCTCCTACGACTCAAAGAACAATAAAATCTTTGTCTGCAACGAATGTCTGTCCCATTTATGCCTTTCGAATTTGGTTATCTCTGACCAGTTCACTGGTGCTTCCGGTAACGCCTATTTGGTTGATAAGCTTATCAATGTTCAGCCTGACGGGCCTGACCAGGAGAAAACGTTTCGGACAGGCGTTTACGTGGTCAATGATATCCGCTGCTCCCAGTGCCGTACCCGTTTGGGCTGGTACTACAAGAAACTGGCTGCCTATGCTGAAGCCTACAAAGAGGGCAAGTATGTAGTGGAAAGGGCATTTATACGTGAAGTTCCCAACCACTCCTCCACCGCTTCTCTCTTGCAACAAGCTCGCCTGCTGCGCCGCCGCCGGTCCTCTGCCAATAGCGTTGCTAGTTCTGTGGATGACGACTCTCTGGTTGAGTCCTTTCGCAGAAGACGCTCGGATGACTTTAAATTTGGCACTGTTAATATCAAGATCGACCTGGCTCGGATAGTCCCTGGCGCTAGAACCGCTCTGCAGCGGTTTCTGGCGGTGAAGGACGACTTTGACGAGCACGACGAGGACCCCAATGTCTTTGTCGATGCCTAGCTCTGGTCGCTCCTTCTCTCCCTCATCTTTTCTTCTCTCTATACATTGTTTGGTTTTAGTTTTTTATAGGTTGGTTTAGTGCTTAAATAATCGAAAGGTTTTGTGAATAGGTGTAGTCTGGTAGCATGACGTGTAAAAGCCTCTTGTAGATCTACATCCCTCAACTCGTCTACCATGCTTTCATTACCGATTTAAATTATGCTATGATGATGCTAATGTTTGGCTTTCTTAGCCACAGATCCGCCTCTATCTCTCTTTCTCTTCCTGCTTACCTCGCCATTAGATGTACTCTCGCCCTTCGGCGTGAGTTTCGTGTAAATTAAACAGTATGCTGAAGGATCGCTCATGGCCTTCCTCTCGTCTGTTTTGTTGATGTACTCGTCGTCGTACGTTGACCACGAGCCATCTGGCTGAAGGCAATGGCAAATATAGTGTCCGGACAGAATCGACCTGCCCTCGTGAACAATGACCGAAATGAGCTGATACTTGGTTGACTCTTGCGTCATGGTGTATGGGGCCAAGTCTAGAAACCCGGGGTATACGATGGCTTGTTTCACCTTGGAGGACGAACTGCCGTTGAACTTAAATCTCTTTAAATGGACCATGAGTGTTTCTGGACTGCGTTCGATCATGGATTTTTTAGATGCCACAGTACGCTTTTTGCATTTTTCACAGTGGTAGCCTGAACTCTCGTCCACTTTATCTTTTTTAATCGTTTCCGTGGAGAAATAGTCGTTGATACTCTTCTCGATGGAGTAGCGGCCACAAGGGATTTCTTCCGTTTCAGAGCTGCGTCTTTTCTTATTGAGCCCGAGCGACAAGTCATAAAACTCTTGCTTCGTTGTGCTGACGGTGTTGCATTCACGACAAGTCACTTCCTGCTGTAATAGACCACCAAAGATATCGTAGATGATGCTTTCGTTTAATTTTTTGCCCTTAGGCGTAGAGTCTTCTTGGAAGCGGGACATCAAACTCATGAAGTACTCATGAGAGTCCTCTTGCTGCCATTCACTCATCATGCAATTGATATCGAAAAGCCTCTGAATGACTTTCTTTGGGTTGACAAACTTACGTGGCCCCTTTCCGTGACCCGAAGAGAAACCCCACATTCTGCTTGAGAGTTCCGCCACAGTATGCGTTACGCTCTTAGCAGGAAGCTCGTGTTTACCTTCAAGCACTTCTAGGAGGTAGTGCTGAACAGCAGGAATGTGTACCATCAGCTGGATGGCCGAATTCATGTAGCAGGTGACGCCAAAGTTAAGGAGACCCACAGGATGCTTCCCTTGAAACTTCTTTGTCCAGTTCTTTATTATTCTCTGGGAACCGTTCTGGCCACGGTCAACGGCTGTTTCTGTGATGTTATAGTGTCCCTTGGGGTGTTTAGCCAACGTGACAGGCTTTGGCTTGGATTCCGAGTCTTTAGGTTCAGCAGCGGTTTCTGGCGATGTAGGAGGCGTAGTCTTCTTAGCGTCATCAAGCAAGTCTCTTCTAAGCTGATGCATGTCTTCCTTGACCACGGAGCCGTTGCTGGAAGCGTCATTCACCTCCAGAGCGTCTTCCTCGGCGTTGGACTCGTCTGAAGCGTCCTCTTCTTCTAAGTCACCTTCAGGTTCATCCTCCTCCTCATCGTCATCGTCATCCTCATCGCTATCTTCAACCTCGGCAGCGTCTCCATCGTACGACTCATCGTCCAGCTCATCCTCTTCGTCAACCAAAACGTTATCGTTATCACTAGACGTCTCTTCCTTAGCCTCAGCATCAGCAGTCTCTGACTTGGACTCCTCTTCACTGGAACTACGAAACCCATGGAACGACGAGTCAGTCTGGAACTCAGACGCCAGCTCATACTGTGATTCAGAGTCAGAACCTTCTTCCTCCTCCTCTTCACTCACATCAACATTACTACTCTTCTCGGGCTCCACAGGCTCACCTTCATCGCTCTCCACAGGCTTAGGCGTGCTTCTCTTGCGTTCAGCCTTGGTCATATATTTTTTACCCGTATAAGCAGCAATAGCATCAGCCATGGACCGAGGCTGGAGTTTCTTGAGCGGCTGTTTTTTAGGTTTCAAAAGCGTGGACTCGTCCTTCTGCGATGCCTGAGGAGCGTCATTACCGAGGACAATATAGGATGGGTGTTTTTCTGCGGCGGTTTCTTTTTCGGGAGCTTTGGCCGTGACAAAAGTCAACGGATTGCCTAGGATTCTGTCGACCAATGGGTTGGACATGGCAGAAAATATGGACGGGAAACCAGTGGTTTTTGGGGGGTACAACTGGGTCTTTCAGAAACGGTTGGTGAAGGTGTTGCTAGGTGCGAAAAACGCCATATAGAAAGCCAAAAAAAAAAAAAAAATATGATTCTTGAAGGCAGGAAGGGAAGAATGAATCGGGAAGGTGATGTGCGCAGGAAAGAAACTCCAGAAGACCACCGAAGGTGGGATTTTGGAGTTTTCCAGGCGATGGAAATCCAAAAAAAACCATGAAAGTGTGGATTCGAAGAATCCATGGTCTGCAAATACCAGAGACAAAATTCATCTGACCACATTTAAATCTCCGGCAGCGCTTGCTGGCAGGTGGCATGGATGGTTGGGTTCTCGTTCCTGTGGCTCGCGCTGTACCACTGTTGCGTGGACTGGCCTGCCTTGGCTGGGCTGCCTGCCTCGCATTTTGCAACCATTTTTGAGACACCCACTGTGGACCACAAGTACCCTGTTGAAGGAGTCAGGGATTCCAGAGGGCCTTGAAATTTGGCTAGGAATGTAAACAGCAGGCAGCGAGTTCCTGGAATCACCAAATATATGGTATCCACTGGTCCCTCCGTTCTAGGTCTAACCATGGACCACCTCCATATGCTGACCCTCACCCATCAAACCTGGTAACATAGTATATACATAGTCAACACCATTGACCTTTTCTCGTTTCTTCTCTTGGCTCTAGCCCTTCTTCTCTATGCTCTACCCCTTCTGCATCGCTAGGGCCCTCTCGCCATGGCCTACCCAAATACCTTCCTCTGTGCTCTCTTCACAAGCATCTGTAACAACTCAGCATGCCCAACGCCTGCAACGTGCTTTTCCTCTTCACGAAGCTTATTATGTGCTTTTTGCGTCTTGGCTTTCAACTCGTTGCTTAGCTTCAGATCAGCATCACCTGTAGCAACTCGTTTCCGCATCGACTGCTGTTGCCTGTCGTTTTCCCTGAAAAGACTCGTTCGGCTATCTTCAGTGCTGTGCAACCGCTTCTTGGCGTTCCCGATCTCGAGCTGTTCACCTTCTTCTTCAAACGACTGGTTCCCATCGGTATCCATCGTCTGCAGAGCCTCGTCTTCAACGCCAGTCTCTTCTTGATCATCGCTTGCAGCTTTAGAAGTTTGCTCTTCATCTCCATCATCGTCGTCTTCTTCATCTTCATCGTCATCATCATCGTCATCCTCGTCTTCAACGTCACCTTCAACATGCTCACCTACGACTTCCTCGTCGCTTTCACCTTGATCTGGCCTCGTCAGGAAAATCTCTCGAATAATACGGTCTGCTCGTGGAATATCTTGTCCTGGTAATGGCCGCTTAACCATGTCTTCAAAACGTGCGTTGAACATAACCGACTCTCTCGTGGTTGACTCCTTTCGTTCCCTAGCAAATGTAAGGTCACTTAGAAGTTGCTCCACACGGTTCACTAACCTTCTATCGTACTCTAGACTCGAGCTTTCAGTGTTGAAAAGGTTGGAAGCCCAGGACTTGTTCAAGATCATATTGATACACTCTTCGTCGTTCTTACTCTTGAACAACTCAATATCTAGAGCGTAGTACTGATCAGCATGAATACCAAAATCCTTCATCTTTTCCTTGGACCTGATATTGACGTTCTTACCTTTAGACTCTTCCCTTGTTTCATATTCCATAGGCAACGTCCTGAAAGCACCAATTTCTATCTTTCCCTGGTTCGACAGTTGAACAGGATCCACCACAATGGCCAAGTACGGATCCTGGAAGTTCTGATTAAGACTCTGTGTAGCCACATCAATTCCACTGAGCCAGCATCCGTACCCAGGATGTGAATGGTACCAGCCAACAATGTGTTCTTCTCGGCCCGCCGAATTCATAAGATCAAGGTACTGAACCATGTACTCGTAAGCTTCATTCTGGGCATTAACTCTGGTTTCAGTTCCCTCAACAGGTAACGAATAGACGTCCATGACGATGATGGAGGTGCCAATGACCTTTCCAGTAAGCATTCCCATGATCTCGATCGATCCTCCCAGCTTAGCATGCATGCTCATCTTCACCAAAGCCAAAGACGATATAAGAACATTCTTGAAGTACTTGGGCAGGCTCTTCCAAGGCTGGGTGCTGATGGCTGCATAGTCTGGTTTCTTATCGTAGAGCGACTTGAGTCTGAGTTCACTAAGTTGTGATAGTTTTTCGTGGCTCAATCTGTAATTGAGTGTTTTGCTGTTATCAGGCGACACATTCTGGGCCAACTTATGTAGGGAACAGCTGTGCATTGTGGATGTTCAGCCTTGGGTGTGATGTAGTTGATATTGCTCAGATACTACTACGCATTATCGCGGCCTCAGCTAGGTGCGTTACATGGATTCATTAAACAACATGGGGGAAAAACATGCAGACTCAGGTAGCCTTTGAGCTGGGGCTAACAACATAGTAGCGGTTGATATCGCCGCCATCGGCTTGCACTTCGGCGCCGCCAGTGCCAAACCTTGACCTGGGCCAGGTTGTGTAGTCACCAGCTGTATTGGTCCAATCTCTGGTGTAATCCCTGTAATGGGTATACAGCGACGTTCTCCTGGACCTGAATGCCGACTCGTTGCTACCTGAGTAATCTCTTCTGTAGCTGTAACCTCTGTTTGGCTCGTAGCTCTCAGGGTCATGCTTCGATCTGGCGGTAGCCTTGAACTTACTGTTCACAGGCGGTGGTGCCAACACTATAGGCATCTCTGACGACAAGATCATCTTAGGGTAATTGCTAAGCTCACGGTACTGAACGTTGATGTTCTTGTCCATGAACATAGTGTGGTTATCTTTGGCGACGGCACTGGCAGCAGACACCTCGTCTTCAAAAGTAACGAAACCGTAAGAACCAGGGATCTTGTGGATCACCGAAACTGACTTGATAGCGCCGTGTCTGGAAAAATGGCGTTCCAAATCAGCATGGGTGGCATTTCTGTTCAACAGACCAACAAACACCGTATATTTGTCGAAACGGCCATTAGGACACTGGTCCTCGACGTTCTTGGCCCACTCGACATGAACCAGCAAATCCTCCGTTAAGCTTGCAAAGGCCCTAATGGCATCGTCACGGTAGGAGAACTTAACGAACCAGTAACGGCACTTCTCATCACCAGCGGTGTTCTTGATTCTGCCATGTTCGTCACTGGCAACAACCAATTCAGTTTCACCAAAGGCACTGGCAGTACCAATTACACTCTTCTGATCAAGGGAATCAAAACTGGAGATAAAGATAGTACGGTTGACCTTGGCAGCCTCACAGCGGATGACACGACCATCAAGCATGTAGTTGTGACTTTCCCTGATCGCCACCTTACTATCAATTTCACTGGCATACTGAACGAAAGCATACGGGCGACCAGAGTAGTCTCTCAAGACCTTAACATTAAGGATCTTACCGAACTTCTCAAAGTGGTCAGTGACGGTCTTACACAACTCAACATCAGTCTTGGTAGAGAGAAGACTAGCGACGAACACGCAGGCAGCAGGCTTACCCTTGTGTTCCTTTTCGGTTGAAGGTACAGAAGGTTTGGGGCTGGCCTTAACGCTGGTGTTGCTGTTGTTGAAGTTTGCCACCAAGTTCTCCTTAGCCGTATCACTGTAAATAGGGAACTTCAGGGCCTCCTTCTGGTCCTCCTTGGCGCCATTGAGCTCCAAGTTGCCGCTGTTGTTCTCTTTCTTAAGAATAGGAAAAGAGCTAAGATCTGGCTTCTCCGAACTGGGGCCAGTAACATGACAGAGCTTTGAAGGTTTCACTTTAGAGGCGTAAGGTGGAAACTTGACAACATTTGGGTTCCAGGCACCCAATGGTTCTGGCTTAGGGTTAATAGAGTATGACATCGAGGTGAGTGCTTACGTGGATGAGTGTGACGAAAAGAAAAATTAAAATTTGTGAAAGAAAAAAAGGTGGTGGGAGAAGGCCAGAAAGTGGGAAACTTCCTGGGTTTATATAGTTTCCAGGTGCGCGGGGGCAGAAATGGCTGCAAAAAAATGATAAAACAAGCCAGAAGGGCAAAAAGTGCCAAAACCGAAAGAAAGGGGGTAAACGATTAGAAGAAGAAGAACGAAAGAACGCCAAGGACGGAAATACCAGCAATTGCCTTGTTTGGAGAAACCAAGCTTCCTCCATTGGCAAAAGCACATACCTGAGGTTCAGGGACGTAGACGGTAGTAGTGTCCACAGGACAGTCAAGGGCAGCAGACGTTGAGGTAGCGGGTAAAGCAGCAGGAGCAGTGGCGCCGGCGATTCCTGGTGTTCCAGGTACTCCAGGGGTACCAGGAATGCCAGGGGTACCGGGAGTACCATCAATGCCAGGAACTCCATCAGTGCCAGGAGTATCAGGAACACCAGGTACGCCAGGTACGCCAGGAGCTTCGGCAGTAGGACTGGAACCACCATTTCCAGTTGGAGCCACCCCTGGAACAGTAACGGTAGTCTCAGTGGTGATCACACCCTCAAAAGTACGAGTAGATCTGGTCTCGTCGCATGAGTATGAGGTGAAGTAACCAACGGCAGTCTCAAGCCACGACGAGATGATCACTGAATAGACAGTATTAACATTCGAATAGATTGAGGTAGAGCAGCTTTCGGTGATCTCCACGTACGAGCCGTTCTCGAAGTTGAAGCCAGTTCTGGTAGCTGGGTCGAATGTATAAGTGAACTTCGACGTGGTATAGGAAGTGTGGTAGTCGGTGAGGTAAGAAGTAGTAGACTTTGTAGCCACATTGGTCGTCAGCAGAACATGTGGAGAGCATTTGGTGACTACTTCAACTGAAGTCAGAGGGACCACGATGGTGATGGTAGAGACAGACCAATTAGGAGCGGTAGTTTCTGGAGGAACCTCAGGGCCCTGAGTAACTGGAGGTGTTTCACCAGCATCAGTGGGAGGAGAGGTAGTTGTGGGTTCCTCAGGACCTTCAGGCTCCTGGGGTGTCTCAGTTACTGGTTCCTGGGTAGTCTGAGGTGGACCAGGCTCCTCAGTCTGAGTTGGACCAGGGCCAGGACCAGGACCTTCAGTTGGTTGAGGATTCTCGGTTTCCCCTGGACCTTCAGTAGGACCTGGACCTTCAGTAGGACCCTCAGTAGGACCCTCAGTAGGAGGGTCCCAGGTTTCAGTAGTAGGCTCCTGAGTCTCAGTGGTTGGTTCCTGGGTAGTTGGTTCTTCGGGACCATCAGTAGTCGGCTCCTCTGGCTCTTCCGTTGTTGGTTCCTCAGGCTCTTCAGTTGTCGGTTCCACTGGCTCTTCCGTAGTCGGTTCCTCGGGCAACGGCTCTTCTGTTGGCCCAGTATACGTCAAAGTGCCTGCTAGCGATGACGGAGTGGTAATCACCAGACAGTCGTCACATTCTTCCCAGTCTGGGTTTGGCTATTGGTGTTAGACAAGATAAATCAAAGGCGGTCTACGTGGGGGTGGGTCATACTCTAGCAGCAAGAGCTGCAGTGGCATAAAGAAGAAAGAGCATTGGGTAGGTAGAGAAAAGACAGGGGAAATCCAGGGGGGAAATGGTCGTCCTTATATAGTTTTCTCGAGGTGAAATTTGGTCCAGATCGGGAAGGCCCCTGGCAGCCGCCAGGCACGGTCCCTGGAAGAGAAGGAAACGAAAGAAGGTGGGTCGTTGGAGGTGATTGGATGGTAGTTGTTTGGTATAAGGTAGTAGAGGACCTCAATTGGTGCCTTCTTTGGTATGTGTTCCATTATGGTGGTACTCATCGCACATAGTTAAGAACTGGAGATACCTAGCGACAGAAGGTTGCCAGACAGCATGTCAAGTCTTCTTCAAAGTATAGAAGCTTTCATTATGGCATCTCTTCTTCATACAATTCATCGTTAGATGATCCTTAAATATGGGTAGTATGGAGATCAATGTGGCAGTTAACTATCACTCCAAAACTTCAGTGACATAGACTACTCCAGCTTCCACCACCCCCACATCTACCTTCTACTTCCAAACAAAAACATACCCTCCCCAGAACACGCTTTTGCCAACCACCAAACTCAATTACCCTAAATGGCCCAATTGACCAGCCAAACTCTAATCTTAGACGCTTTTCGCAGCCATTGCTTATCAGTGATAAGCCTCTAGCGACATACCACAAGCGATAGATCCAGAGCAATTACGAACACTTAAGCCTCGTGTGGTACTAACAAGGGCTTACCCGAGGAAGGCCAAAATCAGTTGCCAATCGAAGAAGGCCGCACAGATGCCCCGTGGCCAGAGCCTTTATTTAATGGTACCACACGAGACTTATAACCATAGCAGCTCGGCTATCACGGCTAAATATGCCCAGAAGTGGTTTAGAGTGAAGAGACACGTATGATAAGTACAATACCAATTCAATTGACTTTAAGTCAATTGCCCAATACGAACAGAAAAGTACCATTTCAGCAAGGAATGTCTCTGAGTCACCAAACGCCAAACTCTAAACCACATTCTGCCACCTCCTCTCTTTCCCTCCCCCTCCATTATCACATCCACATCCCGTGGCCCGCTTTTATGACTCCGTGGGCCCGAGTGGCTGCAAAACACTGGTTGTATCGTGATAAAGACGCTTATAATTGCCCCAAGCCCGGCGTATCGGCCCCTGAGGCGTTTGCAGCAACCATAGCATAACATAACCAGTACGTCGTTTGTTTATCAGGCGTTACGGAAGAATGGAACACATCGAAAGACCCTGATCTACGTAGAGTGTCTTATCTGATGTGAATGTGATTTTGCCATATGCCACAGTAGAACCAGAAGCCAAGGGTTAGTCCGAACCCGGCCGGGAAACGATGACGTTTCATATGAACGTAAGGCCACCAAGCTGAAGATTGTGGTACTTTTTGTGGTGAAATTCGAAGAGGGTTAATTGCCTTATCAGTTTTGTGGTTCTTTCGGAACAAACCGGGTACAGACAAGGGTATGTTTTTCGCAGCCACCCATAGCGATAAGAAGAAGCCAGGCAGTGGGCAGTGAATGGAAGGCAGTGGACAGTGGCAGACAATAGCAGGTGGGGTGACGCCTGGTCTTATGGTCTAGAAGAATAATGTGTAAAATAAGCAGAAAAAGAAGAGAAGAGGACGAAAAGGTGGAAGAGATGGCTGTGCGGTGACTTCACAGTCAAGAGTCAATTGCTACGGGTCTCCACCTCTCGGAAGGTTTCCCGGAAGTTGGAGAATTGGGGTGTTTGGGCAGAGGGTGAAAATGGGGAAACCAGCCAATGGCTGAGTTTTGAATGTGACACAATACGAAAGGGACAGAGCAAAAGCAGAGACATCGGGAGGACACAGGGAACAAGTAACCAGGTAGCCAGGAAGGATGTAGATGGTAGTACCAAGCGAGAAACACAAAGGGAGGTATACCAAGAATTTGTAAACCATAACGGGAAGTACCAGCCCCAGGTAAAACATGCTTTGCCATGGCTGGAGTCAACAAACAGTGTAGACACCATTTGCAGCACCGTTTGCAGCCATAGTAGAGTAGTAGACATAGTAGACACAGTAGGAGGAGCGCCAGAGCAACTGCCATATCCACCTCCACCTTCCATCCACCCCACCCCACCCGAAAAAGACCCCAGAAATCGCCAACCCCCAAAACCTCCAAAACCACCATAATCACGGTTTGCTACATTCCATTGCTTCTCCTCCATGTCTCCAACGTCCCTTCCTTGCTGTTGCTCCACATTTCAGGTTCCTGGCAAGCGCGGCTATCTGAAAAAGACCCAGCAGACCGCAGGGGCCCAAAAACACCCGAGGCGCACAAAACCCCAGCCCTGGCCACCACAGGGCAATTTGACCCACGAAGCTTCCGAGGAGGGAACGATGGGAGGGGAGGGAGGGAGAGGAACTTGAGAGGAGGGAAGAATGGAATGTAGTTATCGTGTTTTAGGTTTCTTCCTTTTTGATGTCAATTTTATATGTTATTTTATTGAATGGCTGGTGGTGGTTTGTGGTTTTTGGAGGGTGGTGGAAGTTGGCTGCGAAATGGGATGGATGAAAAACACAAACAGTGGAAATAGAGGGAATTGATATGAGGAGGTGAAAAACGCGAGCAACGAGGAAGAGGTGGAAGAGAAAGGGGATAGGTATTTTGGGAAGGAGGAACGCTAGAAAGATGAAAATAGGTTGGTTTTGATGCGGTGACGACGACGAATCGAATGGTGGTGGTTTCGTTGAATTTGGATGAAAACTCGTGGAAATACACTGCCCTTTATGGATGTAGCCGGTGAGCTCCAGCACGCTCGCTTTTCTTTTTTTGCACCCAATGGCCCCATAACCCATGGCCCCAGACTTCTCCACAAGTCACCAAGCAACCCAAAACCGTCTACAGAGGGGGCATACCAAAACACGAAAAGGCAAGAAAAGGCAGAGAATCCACGAAGTAGAGTACCGTTTAAATCAAACCAAGTAGCCCTCGCCTCGCTATGGCCTTCCTTCCAGGGCTTCCCAGGACATCCAGTCCCATCCATCTCTTCCTATTTCTCCCGGGGCCATGTTCTTTTTTTTTTTTTTATTTATTTTTCTTGCACCGTTTTCTGCCTCTTTTTTCCCTGCCTTTTTTTCTGCCTCTGCCCTTCCCGGACCCGCGCGCGCCTTACATTCTATACATTTTTTTCCCTCGTTTCTCTCGTTATTCCCTCATTCTCGCTGCTGCTCGTCCGGTGCGGGGGAAAACGGCACCAACCGTTCCAGAAAACCCACTCCACCGGTTGCAAATAATCTGGAAATGTCGCCAGAAAATGTGGGAATCCTCTCCTTTATATACCCCGAGGGGAGAAGTCTTCCCCTCCTTTTGCCCCTGACTCTTGTTTTTCTTTTAAGGCCTTTCAGACCCCCCACGCCTAAAGGCGATGGGAATCCTCAGTTGTTCTCCACTCACTTTTTCTCACCTTTTTCTGCACTGCTCTTTTTTTTTTTTTTTTTTTTTTTTTTTTTTTTTTTTTATTACCCCATACTTTCCCATCTTCGCACAGACTTTTTTCCTCATCAAGACTCCTCCACCTTCTACACTTCCTTACCTGGCACTCTTCTTCACCCATGATGTCTTTAAAGCCTGAAAAGAAAAAGGACCCCACACTGAGGCCATATCGGTGTCCCATGTGTGATAAGGCCTTCCACAGACTAGAACACCAAACAAGACATATCCGAACCCACACGGGCGAGAAACCCCATTCATGTCTGTTCCCAGGATGTAACAAACGCTTTTCTCGTCTGGACGAACTCACGAGGCATTCGAGGATCCATACGAATCCAAACTCTCGCCGCAACAAGAACCTCCTGAAACTGCTGTCTTCGTCGTCTTCCTCCATTTCCACATCCGCTGCATCCACAGCTCAACCGCTGGTGACTTCGCCTCAACGAAGCCCTGAACTCCAGTTTGCCCTGCCGCTTCTGCTTCTGTCGTCGTCGCTTCAGAACGGTCTGACGGGTGGTCTGAACGGCATTCAGCTTCAGAATGGTCAAAACGGCCCCTCAGCATCTAACGGTACCAAGCTCCCTTCCGCTTCGGCTCATCGTGTATTCCTGGCTCCTACAAAGCAACCTTCCTCCATAGCAGCACTTATGAACGAAAGTGAATCCAAGGATCAAGCTGTGTCTGAACCACAGCCGCTTTCCGAGTCTTCCTCGTCCTCGGCTGCATCTCTTTCTAAGTTGCACGCTAGCAGGTCAAACGAATCCCTAGCGAGCCTGCCACCAACGGCAGAGGCTCCAGTGCCCGAAGTAAAGAAGGAAATCAAGACAGAACCCAAAACTTCCCCTCCTGCTGCGGTCAGAATCAGACCAAAGCCCAAACAACTGCGCTCAACCATGAACATCGACCTTTTGGCTTCTGCAGCTACTGAAGAGCTCAAGTCCTTGGAGAAATTCTCCTACTCACAGCCTCCTTCCGTAGGCGAAGATGCCCCTCCCAACTCCCGCTCGCTTCCGTCCTTAACAGACTATTTCAACTCAGGCAAGGTCCACAAGTTTGCTGGCTTTGATGCTTCCTCCTCCTCCAACAGCTTGCAGTATCTTTCAAGCGTGGCACTTAATTCCGGGCCTCACAGCAGCAGCTACACCACTCTTTCAAAGGCCCCCAAACTGCATCTCAACACGCTACTGGCTCTTCAGAAGATGACACCGCTCAACAAGTCTCATGTGCATCAGCCCACACCTTCCAGAAACCACATCATGGAAGACTCAGATTTGGACTATGTTCAGTCGAGACTTAAAAAGAGCAGAGCCAGCTCCCCCACGGGTAACTTCACCTTGCCCAACTCTCCAGTTCTTGGGCTTTCTACAGCGACAACTCCCATAATTTCCGCCAACAACTCTTCCACAAACTTATCCAGCTTCTTCATGACTCCAGTCATGGGCCACCACAGCAATGTGTCAAACAATTCGACTTCGTCTATTCTTGAAAGACAGACATCGAACCCAGTTGCCATTAGGCAGATGAACACCACTCCTCCTTCTTCCACAGCTTCAGCTTCAGGAGAAAACGGTGAATCGCCAATGCAGGTGGATCAGCCCTCGACATCAACACATTTACCGCCCTTGCGTAGCCTCAAGCTTGATTTACCTTCTAACCTTACCATGAAGGAAAGCAAGCCCTTGAGGACCACGTATCAGCAGTTTCTGTCTGGGTCGTCGGATGAGCTAAAGAGGGTTTTGGAAGAGTAAGTTCCTCGGAGTTGCTCGCTTTATATTCGGTTTTCAGTTTCTTTTTATATGATGATGGTTCCAGCCATCTATCGGTTGCATTATAGACTTGTGATATGGTCTCTCCGCCGGCAATTCCTCCGGTTGTACACTAGTGTACCATAATAACATGACGCAAAGGATGGCTTAATAAAAAATTTGTTTTAATGAATGGAGTGTTTATGATTTTAAAGATGACGTAGGTTTGACGGTTATCAACTTTTGCGCTACTCCCAAATGCGCTTCTACAACATGTCAAGAATAACCGTTGCTATGTACATAAAAACGTATAGTTACTTTTATTTTAATAATTTAGCATTCTTCTTCATTAGTTACCGCCAACGGCCCAGACTTCGTTCTCGTCTTCGTAACGGTCACTGAACAACGTTTCATCATCTCCTCCATCTTCCAATCTCTCTCTTTCAACAGTAGCCAATCTCGTAGCGACTCTCTTTGTGTAGTCACCGATAGATCTTGGCTGGATAGCAGTTCCAAGAACAGTGTTGATAGTTCCCTTGGATGCCTCTGCGAACCAGTCGTTGAACTCCTTCATTTCGGCATCTTCAACCAAGTTGAACACAGCCAAGTATGCCTTTTCAGCAGCCAATCTGATTGGAATGATACCGTCTCTCAAACAAGAGAAGACAGATGGTCCCAACTCGTTCAAGTGGGTGCTGATAATCTCCTTGTGCTTGAAACGGGCCACAGTACGCATAACCACCAAAGACAATCTTCTAGAGTCAGGAGAGTTAGACTCTGGCTTAAGAGCACACTTGGACAACTGGTGAACCAATTTGTTGATACACGTTTCTGGAAGTTCGAAAGGAGAAGACGCCTTCTCGTCACCGGCTTGCTTAGGCGATGCAACTTCTCCATGAAGCAACAACAATTTACCAATTGCAACAACACCATTGTCACTGATATATGGCACAACGTTGTCGGAACAATCGCCAATAAAATGGACAATTTCCTCAATCATACCAGTCTCGAAAATATGTTTAGGAGCATCTCTCAAGAAAGAGTTGATAGACAAAATGGCAAACTTCATTTCCTCACTGTCACGACGCTTGTTCAAGATCTTGTTCAGCAAAATGTTGGATGCTTCTTCGGTAGACAAGATCTGGGAAAGCGATCCAAGAAGACGAGCGTAGGCGACAGCAGATTTATCGCTGACAGTACTGATTTCCTCTTCAACCAATGCCATGACAGACGATTTAGAAGCCTCACTCATGTTCTTACCGCCCTTGATGACAACCTGGAACAAGGCCTTCAACATGGCAGTCTTGACGCCCTGGTCCTCGGCGTTCTTGGTACCCTGGACCAATTCAGTCACCAATGGGTCCACACGAGGCTGGAACTCAATCAAAACTCCCAAGGCGCTGACAGCACCAAGTCTCAACTTATCGTTAGACACATCGCTCAACGACCTGACGAAAGTTCTTTGAAGCTGAGGAATAAATGGTCTCAAGAACTGAGGAATCTTCACCAACAAGTTGGTCAACGCAGTCAAAATAGCAGACTTGATATCGGATGAAACTCTCTCACCAATAACACGAATCAATGGACCAGTGATAGTAGTAGCAAATGGTCTCAAGTTGGCAGCTGGAGTTCTCAGAATGATTTCAGCAATGGAAGAAGCCGACAATTCTCTTTGTTCAGAGTTACCGTACATCAAACCGTGGGAGAAGATTGGCAAGACACAGCTTGGACCCTTTGGCAAGGTGAAACCAGCCAAATCCTCGCCTCTGACACCGGCAATCGACAACGACTGGTGAGCAGGCTTGACCAACTTCTCAAGCATAGACTTGTCTTGAGCCTTCACCAAAGCACTCAAAGCATCGAAAGTACCAGCAACCACCTCTGGGTCCTTGTCACCCAAAGACAAGATGAACTGCGTAACCAAGTCTGGAACGTAGATCGAGTAGTCGAGGTTGGTGTTGGAGAAGAAAGGTCCAAGACGCTCGCAAATAGCAGCTCTCTTGTCGGAGTCCTGGTGCTTGACCAACGACATCAACTGTTGCATGATTGGGTGAACACCTTCATCATCTTCAATGGACAACAAGATCTTGTCGAAAGACTCCTTGACTTCTTCCTGTTCTTCTGGAGTACCGTTCTTCTTAGCATTGATAACAGCTTGCAACAAGGTGTTGACAATGGAGCCCAAACGAGAGTACAAGGCGTGTCCAGCAACAGAAGCAAGCGAAGACAAAGCCTTGACCTTGGAAACATCGATTGGAGGACTCAACAAGGTAGGAATCAAAATAGGGAAAATAATGTCTGCCTTGGTTTCCATGATATCCTGCAAGGCCAAAAGAGCATTCTCTGAATCTTCCTTGGATTCCAAGAGGTTCAACAAGTTTGGCAAAATTTCGTCAATGACAACCTTACCCAAACGGTTCTGGAGGGCCTCGAACGCCAGAGCTGCAGCCTTTCTGACTTCAGAGGAAGAGTCGACCAAAGAGGAACGAACAATTCTGATAAAGACATCTTGGTGGGAAAGCAAAGCATCCTCTGAAGCAGAATTGATCAACTCTGTAAGAGCAATACAAATACCCTGCTTGGCGTCGGTATCGCCAGAAACAAGAGACTCTTCCAAACTTGGCAACAACTGGTTCAAAGCGTTGGCACCAACTCTGCGGACAACTTCACCAAGAGTAGTAGCAGCAATGACTCTGTGAGTCTCATCGCTAGAAGCACATCTTCTGACAATAATCTGTGTCAAGCTTGGAATGATCTCCTTGACAGTACGAGGAGTGTTGGCAACCAAAGCCTTCCAAGTGTCAATAGCAGCTGCACGAACCACACCAGTAACATCAGAACGGCAAACGAACATGGCAGCCAAGATTCTATCACGACGCTCCTGGCCTAAGACCTCAACAAGGTTACGGTTGACAGAGCTCTGTTCTTCAGTAAGCTCGTTCTTACCAGAAATACCAGTGACCTGGAACAACAAGTCGGCAGTAAGCTCGAGGGAGGAAAGACGAATTCTGTAGGAAGAATCGGACAAGCCAAGCTCCAATTCTGGAAGCAACAAGTCGATAGCCTTGTTGGCGTAGTTCTTGACAATCAATCTACCAGCCTTCAAAGCGGTTTCACGGATTTCCTCATCAGTATCAGCCAAACCAGACAAAATAGGTGGAATGATGCTGCTCAAGTAAGGAGCAAACTGAGAGCCGAAACAGACTGGCAAGAACAACAAGAGCGGCAAGAAACCAGCACGAACATGCGAGTATGGTGAAGAAGCAGACTTCAAAATGTCTGGAAGCATCTCGTCCAACTTGGCAAGACCAAGACCACAAATGACCTCTGCAAGAGCCTGGGCAGAACCCAATCTGTCACCAGCCTTGCTCTGGTCCTTCAAAGTATCAATAAGACGAGGAATCAAGTCAGGGAATTGTTCTTCACCCAACTTCTCAACCAAAGAACCCAAGGCTCTGGCACCAGTAGACCTTGTAGCTGGAACAGGATCAACCATGGCAATCTCCAATTCAGCAACCAAGCTGTTCAAGTATGGAAGAAGATCCTTGCTGTCAACCAAAATGGCCATGTTACCAACAATCTGACAAGACTTCTTCTTGGTAGAAGCAGACCTGTCCTTCATACCTCTGTGAATGACATGGATAATAAGGGCAAGAGAAGGACCGTCGATGTAATGGACGAACTGGGTCTTGATCAACTTGTCCAAGGCCAGGTCGGTGTGTTTAGTTGGATCACCAATGGCATTGATCAAGTCTGGAACAATGGCCTGAATCTCTGGGTTTCTAATAACCTCACCAAAACGTTTCAAAGCCTGTTCAGCAGCCTTTCTGACTTCCTTATGGGAATCGTTCAAAACAGCAACAATTTCTGGAACAATAGTAGACAAAGAAGCAGACAACTGAGTAGGGTCAAGGTAAGCCATGGAACCAAGCAATTCCACAGATCCCTTCTTGGTTCTCCAGGCAATGTCATCCATATGAGAAATGGCAAGAGGAATCATCTTCTTCACACCGTAACTGGTACTGCTCTTCATGATCTGTCTGGCAGCCATATCGGTAGCTTCACGAACAGCAGCACTAGAGTCACCCAAAGACTTCAAGATAATTGGAAGAGCCTCAATAACGTATGGTTCAAACTTGGAGCTCAAACTCTGCGACAAACAGTCCAAAGCAAAAGAAACACCTTCTCTCATACGTTCACCACGCTTGTCTTCAGCAGCAGACATGATGTTTCTCATGACGTCGTTGCTAAACAAAGATCTGATACCAGCACCCTTGACCAAACCAGCAATACCATAAGCGGCACCTTGTCTAATAGCAAGGTTCTGGCCCTTCCAAAGCTTCTCGAACAAAGTGTCAAGGTGGTCTTGCAATTTTGGTTCAATGGACTTCACAAGAGGAGCAATACACTCAGAAACAGCATACTGGACGTCTTCAGATGGAGTGTCCAAAGTAGCAAGTAACCTCTCCACAATAATACGCAAACGGTCGTCTTCAGCATCCAAGTAACGGCCCAAAGTACCATACAAAATAATGACACTTTCTCTGATACGATCTTGCTTCTTGGAACCTTCGTCCTTCTGACTAAGACACTTTTCAAAGATAGGAATCAATACTTCAACGTGGGTACGGCCGTGCTGCTCTAAGATTGCAATACCAGCCTCGAGAAGTTCCTGACAAACAAGACTCTCCTTGTCACCCAAAGTCTCTCTCTCGACCAAGAAGTAGAACACCTTCTCGGCAGATTCCTTTGACTCGAACATAGGAGCCATTTCCTTCAAAGTCAAGGCCACAGTAGATCTGTCTTCCCACGAATCCTTCTGGCTGGCGTGGTTGGTGATTGGAAGACCAAACTTATCAAGCGGCGGTGGAGGAGGGTTCTCTGTTTCGTAGAAGAGGGTGATCAACAACTCCAAAGTGACGTTGAAGATATCAGGCTTGGAGCTCTTAAGGAACTTAACAGAAGAGGCAAAAGCCTTGGCAACAGTCAAACGCAAACCAGCATCTTCGTTACCGTAGAACTTGAAGAGTCTGTTTGGAGCATCGTCAACAAGGGTAAGCTTACTGTCTTCCCAGATAGTCAAGGCAAGTTCAGCAACAGCTGCATCGTTGTCGTGAGTTGCAATCCAAAGCTCGTTAGAGTAAGTCAAGTCTTCGGATAAGTCAAACTCAGAGTCGACGCCTTGCAAGATAGCATGCTTGACGAACACATCAGGAGTTATGATGTTTGAAAGTAAAAGATCAATGTCAGACTTGGAAAGCGAGACAGAGATATGCTGGCAGATGGTCAAGAAGCACTCCTTAGCAAGCTTGGCCTTTGTAGGGATCTTCATCAAAGAAATCAACGAGTTAAGGATTGTGTCACGAGTGATAGTCTCGTCGTTGAAGCATTGGGCTAAGGTGGAGATGATATCGACAGTCAAAAGAAGCTGCTCCTCTTGTGGATCTTCTTCTTCGAACTCAGAAGTAACTGTACGTTTCTTGGAGTTCTTGAGAGCTAGTTCACGGCCTTGGACCAAGATTTGAGTAAGCATAGGCAAGACGTAAATGAAGGAAATCTTGTCAAACCAGTCATCAGCCAAGATCTTAACTCTGAACAAGACCTTACTCAACAACTCGATCAAGGACAATTGCAAGTAGTTCTCTGGAATTCCTTGGACTTCGTGAACTCTCAAAATAGCAACACCAGTCATCTCCTTCAAGGAGCCAAGTCTATAGTTGATCAATCTTGAAGCGTCAATGAATACCTTGATAGCAAATTCACCAAAATTCCAACAGACAATGGGTGCTTGATAACATTCAACATACCGTTAACTGCATTCAAGAACCAACGACTACCACCATTCGTCAAGATATCTGGACCCTTTGTAAGAGAATGAACAATGTGGAAAGCCCTTAGGTAGACACGAACACGAGAATCAACTTCCTTACGGATATCCAGTTCCTTGGCTAATTGCTCCTTAACAAGCTGTTGTTCCTCTCTTGTGAGCTTCTTAGCGCCCTTCTTCTGAGCAAGTTCCTTCTTAAGACTTTCCTCCCATTTTCTGGTTTCGTAGTCCTTACTGTTCTTATTATCTTGAGCAGCTGGTTTGCTGTCGCTAAGGACATCCACCACGACTTCATCCTCGGCAGCCTTCCAGATCTTAACAGTAGTTTCGTCGTAATCGTCAAGTGCTGCGGTATCAAAGTCAGTCTCGAGAATATCAGCAATCTTAGGAGCTGCGACCTCTGGGTTAACGAAACCGACAGTGACAATGGCCTGTTTGGCGGCGTTGAAGATATCACCATTAATCTTGGAAGTAGAAAGGGTATTAAGAAGGTGGTCAAGGATTTGATCAGCATGAGAATCAACAACACGACCAGGATCAAGAGATGCTCTCAAGGCTACACCAATCCATTGCTCCTTGACTGGGATTCTAGGATGGTGGGCTGGAATAATGATATCAATGAGGTTCTTCACAGCCAACTCTGGTTCGATCTGTTGAACAATGGCATTAAGAACCTGAGCAAGGTGCTTCAAATCGAGGTTAAGCTCGGCGACTTCCTGAGACTTGTCTTCAGCTGAACGTAAAATATCCTGAAGAGCAGGAATGGTCATGGCACTGGTCTTAGCACCATCTTTGCTGACCAATGAACGAAGGCTGGTCAAGGCTTCAATGCGGACATCGTAAGAAACGTTACTTGAAATAGCAAAGAAAAGAATGGAAGAACCATACTTTGTGTTTGCTTCCTCGACATGGTCAAACGATGCAACGAGAGCTCGGAGAGCCCATTTCTGTTCTGGACCCTTGAGCTTGGCAAGCACCTTTGGACTTAACAAGATGGAAAAGTTCTCAGAAGAGTCGTCGAGTGGTTTCTTGAAAAGCTTTGCAGAGTCCAACTCAATCTTACCAACAAAACGGTTACTAATGGCGATAGCAACGTATGCACAGGCAATGCCCTTGTTGGAAACAGTCAAGAGTGGTGATTGGATGGCTTCGTCCAAAGACTTGGTCAACTCAGGAAGAAGCAGTTCAAAAAGCTTAGCAACAGCATCATTTTCTTCTTGTTCTCTGTAGAGAGAGTCTCCCAACAGGAGTGCCCAGATCTTCCTAAGATTAAGCTTAGGGTTGGCAAGGCCAGTCTTGATCTGTGCCTGGACCTTAGATGAATCGTCAGCAGATAAAGCTTGGTTGTTACGCAATGCAAACACGTAGTTGTCGATCAAGACAGCAGTCAAAGCAGAAAGTATATTTTCGTTCAGTTCTTTGGAGACTAATGGAAGGAGAGATGCAAAAAGCTTGGATGATTGTTCTTCAGAAACACGCAAGTCGCCCAAGCTTCTGGCAAAGAGAACCTTGGCTTCAGCATTGGTTGTACCTTTGAATGCCTTGACAATCTCCTCCACGATCTTTCCTGAATCAGCACCAGAAACCGAAGGCAAGGCGTTTTTCAAAATCAAAGACAATCCTTCCGCAGCCTTATCCCTGACATGCTCCTTTGTAGATTTGATACCACTAAGAGTATGACCAAGAAGCTTGGAGGATGCAAAAACGGTGCTCAAATCGGTAGCCTCTGTCTTTTCAGAAAACAAAGGCTCCACGAGATGGCAGAAACCGATCTCAGAAGAACGCAAAATAGCCTTCTCCAAGTTCGGAAGAACCTTATTGATGAAGTCTTCGTGAGTGAGGATCTCTGCAATGTACCATTTAGTGAATTGAGTCAAAGCGAATGGAGAAGGAGCGACTTTAGCCAAAAGCACCTTTTCAGAGAAAAAGTCGACAATGCTAGCATTCACCGACGACTCCTTCAAATGAGCAATGTAAGCAGGGTGAGTAGGCTGGAGATCATGAAGGGCCTCAGCAAGAACAGCCAAGTATAGCGTAGCTGCGGAAGCAGTAATTGAAGAATCTGTGATTGTAGTCTTGACAATCTCGTCAATCAACGCTGGCGACGCCAGTTGCAACACCTCAATAAGCGCATACTTTGACTGAGCCAAACTCAGCTCAAGAGCTCTTTTCTTATGTGTGCTTTTCTTGTTGTTTCCTTCAAAACTCGATCCAGCACAGCTACCAAGAAGAATGGCATGAGTGGCAAACAAACCGGTCAATTCCGGGTCCTGGCGTTTGCTTTCAACCGAAAGAAGCGTACAGATCCATGTCAACAAGGAAAGAAGGTCAGTCAAGGCCAAGTTGCCCAGTTTCACTGCCACTCCATGAATATACTTAAGCGACGCTTTTCCAAAGCCAGGATCCAACCTGGAAAGATTTCCAAGCACCAATGTAGCCTCCGACCTCGATGCCGAGTCCTGGTAGTAATTGTAACTCTTCAACACAAGCGTGGTCAAGTGCTGGAGCAAGGTCTTGTCGTCGACGAGCGAGTGGTCTTCCTTCGACGTCAAAAGACGGTTTATAAGTTGCAAAGCAGGCACTCTCCTGCTCGTAAGTGAATCCGCAAGTATAGTGGGAGCGTCATCCCGAAGATCATCGAGAGACACGGTGTTGTGTGACTCCGTGGAGGCCATCTTTAGAGAGTAGGGCTGAAAAGAGGTTGGAGTTCACTATGTGAAAAATTGGTGGTATGAGAAAAGTGAGGTTCAGCAATGGGACAAGAAAAGGTGGTTTTTACGAAAAAGTGGTACCTAAAGAAACGCCAAAAGTGGGAAACATCCCGTTTATATACTTTTCTTCGGCCAAACTTCTCCCTTGATGGCGTTGGCTGGGTTTGCTGCCTGGTTACCCGGCCAGCGATGGAGGTATATATGAATGCGAAAATCTGCCCAAACCTCTTTTTTTTTCCTTCATCAACTATAACAGTCGATGAAGAAAGGCTACAGTTAATTCATCCGTTGCAGCAAGAGCGGCTTGCCGTTCGACTCGCCTTTGTTGGCGGGCGCTGTGGACACCGTCACGGCCCAATCACCACTCGATAGTGATGTATTGTCAGAGGCTGTTGTTGATCACTAGCTGAGGCCGTCAGGCCGAAGCTAGTCCAACTAGTTAAGGCCAACTAGTCGAAGCCTCCAGGCTGAGACTAGTTGCGTTGGCTATCAGAGGCTAGGTCAATCAAACTAGTTGAAGGCCTCGAATAGTGGAGGCTAGGACCTTCTGTTAGCACTTAGTTGGTTGACACTAGCCTTCAATTAGCAGCTGGGTAGTAGAAGCAAGTGATGTTCTCTTATTTTGGCAAAGTTCTATACCGTATGGTGAAGAACGACAGTGAACTCTATGGCTAGTGCTATGTTTCAAGGCATTGGTAGATCGTTAGACTTGTAAACTATAAGAAATTGAGTCCCAGTGGGGACTCCATTATGTGACACAGACTATACAATTTACTTCATATGGTACCAACAGGTTATCTCTAGTTCCATTCTATGATCGCTACTGGACTCATTAGAGTGCCAGTGAAGAGTTTTCGAAGCTGAGGTTTAACCTTAGTATCTTCTCCAGGTACCGATATATGGCACTCGAGTCTTATCTGTAACCACTGAAAAATTGAACTTTTCTATGCCTTTTTAACTATCTAACGCAAATTCGTTGCTTTCTCGAATGAATACGTTTAAGCTTGGCGCTGGATCAATTATCTTTAGGTTGTTGTCAATGACTTTTACTCGTTGTGCTTTAAATATGGCCTTATCCTTGTTCACAGAGTAAACTTATTGTATCTGCTTTTTTCTTTATCAAAGATCTATCTTCAATGTACCTTCTGATCTGCAATACCTCGCTTATTTCAACTAAAGCACCAAAACTTCCCTTTTATACCGAAACCAGTGCCATCGTCTCTTCCATGGCTCCAGCCCAATTGGGTGCAAAAAACACACCTTCCTTCCATTCAAGACACAACTCTCCCCATTAAAGACAAAAGTAGATCAACCCCATTTACTTCAGCCCCCCTTCTTCCCATTCAACCCACTAGTCCAACATAATTTACCTTACCTACTTTGTTTCTTCCTCTACTTGACTTCCATACCTGCCTCTCAGTGCAATCCAACTTCCACTAAAACCCACACCACGCCACCCCCAACACCCCAAACCTCCCAACCCCTCTACCTCCTTCTTCCCGTCAACTTCAAACCCCAAATACCCCTAAACCGCCCTCCTCCCTTCAATACTGCCTTTCAACCACCTCCATAAAACACCACCCTCTAGTACACCCGTGCACCATCAACAACCATATCACCAAACTCGCTTTCCATCAACCTTACTAAACACACCATGTTGGTCGAAGAAGTGCCCAAGCTGAACGAGAAGAACAGCTCCACCATATACTTTTCCTCTTCCATCAACCTATCGGCACGGCCATCTGCGAAACACTACGACACGGGAAACGGCGAGGATGCTAACAGAAACTCCAAAAGCAGACCTAAGGTCAACTACAACTTGACAGATCTTTTGAATGCCCAAACGCAAGCAAACTATAGCAACGGTACCATTACAAGTGGTAATTTCAAATCCTCACAGCAGCTTCAGCTTGAAAAACTTATAGTCAAGAGACTTGGAGAACTCAGTAAGGAAACGCCAAACGCCAACTTTGAAATACCCAAAACGTTCGGCTACAACAGTATACATAAGAACTTGTCGGCTGCCGATAAGAAGAAGGTGCGTTTGGGCAACACGCCGTCGACCAAGAAGATTCTTGCGGCTAGGAGAAACCTCAACTCGTACTTTGAGGAGGAGAAGAACCTTATTTCGATTAATACCATTCTTGGGGTGAACTTTCTGTTTGCTGAGCAGAACGATGAGGTTCTACAAGCAACGCTGGCGAAGAAGAGAAGGGTGGGGGAACGTGTTTTCAAGCCTAAAGCGAAACTATGCTGTATTTGTGGGAACCTACTGGGGTACCTGAGATGCAGCAACTGTGGGCTTTACTCGTGTAGTGTGAGATGCATTCGTCTCCACCACGAGCTGCGGTGTAACTAGACAAAAGGGTTAGGACTCTACTTTGGGATTCATGGCACATATGTATATTAGGGCGGTGGTATTATCCACAGCATGTCAGGAAAATGAAGGGCATGAAAAAAAAAAAATAAAAAAAAAATCCAAAAAAAAGTGTATGTCGTAAAACTTCGTCAAAGGTCAGAAGACTAATAAATAAATGTAGTTTTGGGGCCCGTTTTGGGGCGTCAGGGCGTCTTTAGGTTGCAAAGTTAATCGCCATGCTTGAAACAACAGCGTTTACCGTACCGACAAGAGCCAAACTTGGCCCAATTGGCACAAGGCTTCAGTCTCCAGTTGGCAGGTCTCTCCACAGTCTTCAAATCGTGCTCACCATGAGCAAACTGGCACTTGTTGCCATATGGACAAACGCCCATCTTCATATATGAAACACACAATTCTGTCTTGTACAACTGGGTGTTGATGTTCTTTTGTTGTTTGGGCAGCGCCGAGTTTGTAGACGAAACCGAAGCGTTTCTCAGTTTATGGTGGTGATGTTGGTGGTGGTCAGAAACTACCGAACACGTAGAGTTCAGTTTCTTGCTTCTAGGCGCTGGCACAGCACTAGCCTTGGCCTGTTGCTGCTCAAAGTTAAGAAGCTCGTCGGTGGCCGAGTACTGGAGCCTCAGCGACCTCTGCTGGGCATTCAAATCAAGATTCTCCTCGGTAAGAGGCGCCAAAAGCGAATGTGGAAGAAGCAGCTGGGCATACTCAAGCGAAGCGTCTCTCATCATACTGGTCTGTGTAACCTGAGCAAGAAGAGGGTTCTGGCTTCTAGGCGGTTCCTGCCATGGCCCATTCTGGTACATGTACAGCCCTTGAAGCGGCACCAGAGCCATTTGCTGGTGCTGAAGCGTCTGTGGGTTCAGTCTGACCGGTTCCAGCCACAAATCAGGCAACAAGTCTTCCTGAGAAGAGGAAGAGGAACTGGACGCTGAAGGGTCTGAAAACACCCTTCCGTTGCCGTCTAGCGAGGACGAGTAGGTCTGTTTCTTGTGTTCCGGGAGGGAGCCGAACTGGTAAGGGCTCTGGAAAGTAGTCATTTGGAGGGGATGGACTGGTTGAAGGTGAAAAAGTAAATGGGTGCAAAAAGATGGCTGCGCAGGCTATTATATATGGGCGTGAGGCAGAAGGATGCACCAAGTGAGGAGTGAGTCCTGAACAAAGAGAGGAGAAGGTGAGCGGAACCAGGGTTAATCCGAGGGGAAGGGCAGTTGGGGAAGGAGGGTTTGGGGAGGGAGGATTTGGGAGGTAAGTGATTGGTAGGTGATTGGGAGGATGGAGAAGCAGGGAATTGGGAGGATGGGCGGGTTCTTATAATCTTGCCATGCTGCGCAGAAATAATCCGGCGAGTCGGTTTTCAATGCGATTCGGGGAAAGTGGCGCTATGGATGAAGACCCGAGGGTAGAGCCGAGGCCGGTACCGGGGGTACCGGCGAGGGTATTACCGAGGGTGACAGATGGGCGTCTTCCAAGAGAGTTCTCCGCAGTCGTGCTACTTTTCCAGAATTTTCGGGGAGATCCGGGGGGAACGAGGTCCGAGGGTGAGGGAGGGGTGGATGTACCCAGTGGGAGGCAGATCCGAGGGGGGAGAACACTAGTCCGGACACCGGCCCACCCTCGACCATGAGAGTGCCAAAAAAAAAAAAAAAATAGCCTAGTCGACCCACCCTCGGCATTCAAGAAAAAAAAAAAAAAAAAAAAAAAAAACCGCAAACAGAGGGGTCGACGTACCAGCAAAAGTCACCCTATTCTCCAGTCTCTGGCCCTGGACAGAGGCTGGTAAGTCCCCAACGATAGAAAGCCCCCAAGCAACCAATACCATACTAATCTACACCCATTAACACAACCCATCTCCAACCCCAATCTACATCTCAACAATCTCTGCTTTAAACAATGCCTTTCTTAATCTCAATGCCTTCTTGTCACTGCCCTCTTGTCAATGCCCTCTTGTCAATGCCCTCTTGTCAATCTCAATGAAATTGTATCTCAATCTCCAATTTCCTACCGGAAATTGTCGATTTCGATCTCCTCAGTTCCCCTCCAGTCGCACTTGTTCGCTGCAGCACCGTTTCGTTTCCCTCACGAGAGTCAATGCAACCCTCAGCGAATGTCCACCGCCCCCAGGCAACCTCCAGTGACTTCCACCAATTGCCAGCAACCAATGCCCTGAATTACAATATACCTCCATTTAACTACTACATTCTAATTAGTCCAATCGATTACTTTCCTCCCTCCTTGTCCATCTCGGCTTCCTTCTTGTGCTTCGTCGCTACTGGCTGGTTTCTGCTTCTTCTGTCTATGGCGTTTTCCCTGGCTCCCTGGCTCCCTGGCTGTCCCTGCCTCTGCCTCTCCCTCGCTTTGGCTCGGGCTCGCTTTCGCTGCCGACTCGGCCCTACGCCCATCCCGGTTTCTCCCGGCGCGGCAGCCCCAGGCGAGGCAGAATCTGAGAAGGGCAGAAATAGCCACCACGATGGACTGTCCACCCAACAACTCTTACACTAACCACTCCACTAACTGAACTACCTGAATTAAATGAACACCAAACGTAAACAGTAAACTACTGGTAACCTGAAACGGAGTCAAAAAGACAAAGCCTTCTGCAAATTCCCTGGAACTCCTCCACTTTCGCTGCCTCCACTTCGCCTTCTCCTTTGGCTGTCCATTTTCTGTGTCTCCAACTTTTTCACTTTTTCCAACTTTTCACTTCCAAAGTTTTCTCACTTTTCCCGACTCTTCCCTGCCTTCCCTGGCTTTTTCTTCCCTGCTTGCTTCTCCTCAGATCCCCGCGACTCCACTGAAAAATACCTGAAAATGCCCTCAAATTGGCTCAATGCCTGAAAAATACCCTCAAAATGCCAAATGCCAAATCTCAAATCGCTCTTTGACATCCGCCGCAACCTCCATCTCCAATTCTCCAAACGGCGCCAAAACACCCAAAATAGCCATTTTTAGAGGCCATTTTCTGTAGAGGGGTCTCCGCTACGCCCCTATTTCGCCTAAAATGACGTTTTTCTTCCTCGCCTTCTCCTATCAAATAGACTTCCCCATTCTCTCCACCTGAACCTCCACCTCCTCTTCATTTACCACCACTTGCGTTTTGTGTGTTTTCGGCGGCAACCTCCGACCTACGTAAAAAACGGTTAATGGTTGGCTGGCGCCGTTTGGTTGCTTGCTGGACAGTGCAATGAACCAGAGGAGGTCCATTGCTTACTGAGGTAACTGTGAGATACACCAAACGTTTAAGCTATTACTGGTCCCACGCTTAATGTAAATAAACTTTCCTGGTACTCCCGTTTAGCTACTTCCTTCACTTTTGTCACAAAAACACGCCTTACCGTCTTTACCTGAATCAGTAACCGTCGCTTCTCCTCTGGGACATTCCTGGTTTGTATGTGCTTCCAGAATGGCTGCAAACACCACTTGTGTCTCAGAAACGTCAACAAACTACGAGAACACTATTTCTTCTACTTCTTCCACTTCTTCTACTGCATCAGATAACCAACTAACTACTTCGTCAACGGCGCTGGACTCATGCAATGGCTCTTAATCTCTAGATGGGCATCGCCGTGCCACTGGCGGTCTCGGTGGACCACAAAAGGAGCCAGGCGGGAGGAATGGACGAAGTAAGATTGATATGTTCTCCAAATGTTCATTTCATGAAAACGTAAATCACGAAAAGACAGCCTGCTTTCTGTATCACAAATTGCAACCACTTGAAGTCTCGGCTACATGGGTATCCAGGCGGTACCATGAACTGCAACAGACTTCCACAAAGATCGACGTTTTAGACTTCAACAACACGTAGACACCCAATTACAGATACACTATAAGCTTCCCAGCTGGTATTTGTGTCATCCAGAGGGAAAGTGACAGTCACAGTCACACTAACAGTACCAGTCTCAGTCCCCATGGACTACTCACTACCAACTACCAACTACCATCTACAATTTACATGTAGCCTAAACTTACCACCCAATTACCTCCCCGGTCACTCTTCCCTCTCCCCTTTGCCTTCTGCCCATCCTTACCCTCGTTACCCTCCCCTCTACATTCCCTTAACCCACCCCAAGCCTTCCCAGCCATTCCCCAGCCATTCCATTCCACATGCCAATTCTCCCAGGTCGTCTCCACCTCCAGGAACCATAATTGCCCGGCCTCCCAATCCAGCCATCCTCTTCAGCCTTCTTCTTCCTCTTCCTTATCTTCTTCCTCTGTCTTGCGTTCCAACTACCTCTTCTTCATCACTTTTCGCAGCCATTTGGCACATGCAACCAATAACCAACCACCATCCAACTCCACATCCCACTTTCCCCCTCCACCTCTCCACCTCCAGCTTATCTATATCTATAAAATCTCTACCCAATAAACCCACCATCTTGCCATAAACTGCCCTTCACCTTCTCTTTCACATGCTGTCTATTGTTCACCTTCTTCTGGACCTGGTCCTATTGTGCGAGAACAACGGATTTTGCAACAACCCACACCACCAAATCCCACAACGGTACTCTCTGAACATTCTCTGAATAACCACCGTAAATCGAACGTATATCCAACTAAACGGTCACTTAACGTAACGTCTGGGGGCTGGTGACTTTCACAGGCCTCGGCTACTCCAGACATGTAACCTGATTTTCCCGCAGTGGTATGATTCTGGCAACGCTTATACAGTTACAACTGGAACGTTTTAAGGTATGTGGCAGCGTGTGACCTGCCCTCGGATTTCGAATGTCGTCAGGGGCAGCAACAGTATGGGTATTTTGTGGTTTTTAGAAGCAGGGGAACGTGGGAAGGTGGGGGACGGTGCTACGGAGTTTATGGGGTTTATGGCTCATATGAAAAGTCCGAGCATTCTTGGTGAAGGAGTGGAAGCGTGGAAGAGAATGGCTGGGCATTGTATGGGTTTTTGGTTTTATTCCCTCAGAAGGGAATGGGAGAGAGGGAGTTTGGAGGGAGGAAGGTTGGAGGGAAGTTGACGTTGGTTGCTAAGTGGTGGTTAGCGGAGGTGGTGTCACTTGGCTGAAGCTGGGGCTGGTGGGTAAGTATGTGGATTTGGATGTTTGGGGACGTTCTTAAAATGTATTAAAGTAGTTTGGGATTGTCTTTGAAGGATTGTCCCTTTTAGTGGCTGAAATTGTTTGGTGAATGTTTAGTGGATACTATAGTCCAGTATATTCACTTTCTTCCAGGTTAAGCTAACTCTTCTGGTAGCGTCTCTTGTGACTTTCTGCTTGATTTATCGGCTATTGCTATCGCTCTTAGTTGTACTAATGCCCGTAGAGCTATTATCTTCACTTGTAGAGTTACCTCTATATCATTAGGGTCTGGCTTGATGTTAATGTCTCCTGTCTTGTAGGTTTCCCACCAACCTTACCATATCTTTTAGTTTGGTTGAAAGTCAGATTATCATCCGTTATTTGTTATGTTCCAGTAGCTCCCACTTATCAATGAATTGTACGTTTCTTGATACTTGTTCTATAGTATTCTCCAAACCACCTAGAATGTCTTTCTCTGGATCACGTAATACCTGATTAAGTGAATAGCGTCCAAACCTTACATCTCATTAATTTTCATTATGATCTTGGAGATAGAGAGTACTTCTTTTATTACTTTGGCTGCTGTAGATGGCCTTCCACAAAATAGCAATAAGAGACGCTGTTTTAAATAATAGAAACAGAGCTTTTGCTTAGGATTGAGAGGACTTCAGAAATTGCAGACCCTTTCGAGGCATTCATTAAAGGCAAGTCCAGGCATCCACTGTGCTTGCCTTATTAGTTCGACATCACGTTTCAAAGCCCTTTTGCATCCTGGAGCTCTAGAAAACCTTTCCAGATCCCAGGGCCACTTGAATCATGAAAACCCCATTTCGGTCTTGTCTCGAGGAAGTGGAGACATGGATTTCAAACTTGTTCCCTCCTACTGAGCGTGTTAAGCGTCTTACAGCAGTTATACTTACATGGCTTGGTGTAGGTCTTCATCTATGGGTATATTTCCCAACTCTCCAAACATCAACAATGAAAGTCACTCTCCAAGGACCCAATGATTGGTTTGACTACACGAGAGAATTCTTGAATACTTGTGAACAAGCTGCCAAAGGCTCAACAGGCAACATGCTTTCTAAAGTTCCCGAAAAATGGCCCTATGGAAAAACAGATTACTACGTTAGTATTTTCGGTTATTGCAGAAAGTCTGAAGGTTCCAAGCCAGTCTGTCATAGGACACTGGCACAGTATCCATTCGAAGTCATCATGCGTGATATTGGGTCAGTTATTGCCGAACAGACATTGGAGAGGAAGCTGGAGATAAAGAAAACCGCTGAAAACTGGAAAGACCAAAGTATTCTCGCTTTAAACCAGGCCATAAGGGCGTCACTGTCTGGCGAAGTAAACAAATATGACAAGTTTAAACGTACGTATCGTCACCCAATAGACGGTTTTAGCTTGGCTTTATTCACTATAGTCTTTACTTCCATTGCCTTGGTAATGTTACGTTTACTTGTTGACACAACCCTGTTGGACTGTCTGTTCTCTCTTATTGGTCCATTCTTCCATTCTTGGATTGGGTTTTTTGTTATATTTTTCCAGAAAGGTGTCGACTTAGGAGCTGTTCAGGTAATAAACGACTGTGGGGGGCTCATTGGTATATTGTTTAGCATTTGGGCTCTTCTATTTGTGGCCTTTTTTATCACACGGCCCAAAATCACTCGGTATTGATGAAGTTGACCTTTCTCGAGAGCCACCAGCGGGAATCTAATATGGAGTGGGCATTTCTTGTCACTGGAATCCAAACACGCTTTTGCAAGCTTCACCTAATACACTTACCGCTCTTTATTTCAATTTAAATTCAAGCCAAACTGATATCAATTGGTAATCAATAAACATAAGCCTTTCTCCACACTCTGTTCTTTTGCTTAAAAATATTCCCTTCACATTCTTGTGCTTCAACTTGCATGGACTATACTTTCCCTCTGGAGATTCACGGGTATAAAACTGCCCAGTTGCGACCTTCATCGATCCCCAACCAACTACAACCTTTATCCACTCAGCATGAATTTCCTCAGCATATTATCTTGGTTTCTTATGCTTGGAAGTCTTTTCCTTTTCATCTACCTATTATACCCTGCTCAAAGCCATGCACTAGTTAAATGTACCGTTGACTCGCCAGATACCTGGTACGACTATGCCAGATCTGTATTGGAAGCTTTCGAAGAGATTTCTCCAGGCTGTACAGACAACATGGCCGCATCCATTCCAAAGACCTGGTCTCGGGGCAGAACTGTGTACTTTTGCACTGCTTGGGGGTTTATAAAAGCTGACTCTACATCTTCTTTAAGCAAACTTGGCAATCTTGAAATAGCTCCACTTCGTCTAATCATACACGATATCATATCGATGATGTTGGAGGACCAAGTGCCTGGGAAGCAAAAGAGTCAGTACTATGCCTCGTCGTGGATCAGGCAATTTAACGAAGCTTATTACAAATGTGAAAATGTCCTCGATGAATTTAGAAAAAGGAACTTGAGGAATTTGAACGAGGGGGAAGATATAGATGGGAATGCTATTGAAGTATTCACAACTCTTGAAACTAAAATAGGTTATGACGAAGTGATATTTCCCTATCTTTTAGTACTGCTTGGCTCGCTATTCGGTAGCTGCTTGTTGTTTTTGGTGCCTTTATGTTATTACTTTATGAATGTGTTATCGTGTATGCTAACTCTCCTCTTTTTGGCTGTGTTGTATACGGGCAATCGGAAGTTACCTGCTTCCAAAATTGGGCTTCTTAACATGACAAAAGATAAAAACAATTTCGGCTTTCTTCTTGTTTGCATAGCTTATTTCCAGGTCCTTGCCAACGCTATAAAGATTTATCGTCTGTACCACGAAGACAATTCTTGTTGAACCAGTTACAAGCATCCACACTCAGAGAATCTCTGAAAGCACCTTAAGCTGCATGTCAGTTCTTTAAGTATTGATATATGGTACCCAGAAAATATATGTTCTTTTCTTCAACAGTAAGGCTACAAAGGCAGTGATCAGAATTAGGGCGTTCATGAATAGTAACGCTGAGTCTACTTGCCAATAAATTGCCTTTTTGGTGCATTGTAAACCAAAATCAAGTAATTCTGGACTTCTTTCAACCCTGATTCCATTGATGGCTCGAAATAAGCGTTGTTCTCTCGTCAAATGTGACATTCCAAGCGAGTGTGGAAGTTAATGGCATTTTCCTGTAACTCTGCTTTCATTCATTTCAAGCTAGAAGTAGCACATGTATAGTTGAAGATTTTATCATTGGCCTATTGAAAGCTTTAAATGAAACTCTTCTCTTGTTCCATTCTGAAGATTCCTGGGTGCTTTCAGATTACGTATGTGATTGTCTATTCCCCTTTGTACATGTTCTCGTCGCCTAGAGCTAGTGGCTTGTCATGAAAATCTAAAAAAAAAAAATTTTTATCATTTACGGCTGCTTGGTAATGTAATATACGAATTGTTTCTATCTATATAGTAATTCATGGTATGTAGAGTTCCTAGAATCACCCAGACCAAGAGAATCCCAAATCTCCAATACATATTCATCCCTAATGACCATCTTCCTTCAGTTATACCCGACGACTTTCCAAACTCCAATCCCAGTAACTTTAATTCACATTCACATGAGGAAGCATATACATACATATATATATAAGTAGCTTCCCTGGAACAGCCCTACTCCACCTCCACTTCCCAACAACTCCTCCCAGTGCCACTCCAAAAGTCCAATCCACCTAACCCAGGCACCACCTAAACATACACTTACTCTCTTTCTTACCCATTTTCTACCCCCTTCCTTTATCCAACCACTTCTTCCTCCTCCACTCCCCAGTTAACCACTTTTCGCAGCCAATCTGCCATGCATACATTGTTTACTCGTTTGCAGCCATTCCACCTCCACCCAAATCCACCCAACCCCAGCCAATTCCAAATCACCTCCCAAACTCGTCAATCCAGCATCTGCCCAAACTCATCAAATCCACCCTCCATCCCCCCAACTCGCCAACTCCTCCAACTGGTCCACCCTCCACGTCTTCAGACTCGTCCCAGTTTGCATACGCGAAAGGGTCTTTTGCAGCTTCGCGTAAACATCAAAACCTCGAATCCATCGCCTTCACTTCCTCCATTTCCAAAACACACCTTCTGCCGCTCAGGCCTGAAAAGTATGCCTGTTCAGAATAACCTAAAAGAGTTGAAGGCCTGGTGTGACGTGTCCAAACCGTACCTGCCGCCGCTGTGGCATAAGGACATTCTTCTACGCCTGGGAGGACTGGAGCCTCGAAGAGACCCGATCTTTAAGTTTCCTACTCAGACGCTACCGAGGGACCAGGCGGTTGGTGATCCTGGAAATTCGAATACAGAGCGTCTGGTGCCGTTTCTACCGCCGCCAGCGAAGAGGGGCTCGTCGCCAGTGCCGCTTATGGCTTCTACGCAGCTACAGAACCAGCTAGACGAGTTATCTGACTTTAGTGACTCGGAATCGTTGAAGTTGATCGATACGAGGGCGCTACCGCCGCTTAGGGCGGGAGGAACGAGTCCTAAGAAACAGAGCACGATCGACTCGCTACAGGCCCAGGCCCAGCTGGTACAGCTGGGACTGTCGGGGTCAACTGCTCCAACGAGGCCAACTGCTCCAACGAGGCCTTCTGGACAGCCAAACACGTCTTCTAGACCGTCTATACCGCCTAGACCGTCCCTACAACGTCAAAATACGACCAAAACCCATGGAGCAGATGAAGACGTGGAAAAGCTACAGGCGTATATACGTGTCTGCGAGGCCAAGATCAATTTGCTAGTCAAAAGGCACTCGGTGAGTGAATCCACGTCTCTTTCGCTAGACGCAAAGAACCAGTGGGTTTCAAAGAACTTTGCTACGAAATATGGCGCTGTTGACGCGCAGCATACGAAGATGAGGTCCATGTTCACGTTTCTTGATCCTCCTCCAGCTGAAGAAGACCTTTCGAAGATATCCAGCTTTTCTTCTGAAATACCGCCTACGCCATTGGGCATACCGTCAAGCATACGCATAGATTCGCCTGTTATTCCGCCGTCTTCACAGCCCCAGGCTCGGCCAGCCCAAAATATTGATAATAATGAAGTCCAGATCCCGTTTTCTCCAGAACCTGAGCCAGCGCCTGCGGTTTCTCCAGCTCGTGAGGGGCCTACAGAAGTGCCTACTTCGCCATTTCAGCTTTCTCCGTTTTCGCCTACTCAACGTACTCAGGCTAATGACTTTGAACGTAATAAGGAAGAGGCTCGCCAAATCATCATGGAAAACCGCCGAAAGAAAAGAGACGGTGAACTTCCCCCTCAAAGTTTATTTGTTGATGAAGATGATATGGAAGACGACTTTGGTGAGGATTATATGGATGGTTTAAGATCGTCTCAGGCAGACGACCAGGAAACTGATTTGAGTGGTTTCATTGCAGCCGATGATGCTGAGTCTATCGATGATACTTACATTAGTGCTCGAGCATCGCAAATGGAATCTGGACAAGAGTATAGCGATATTGAAGATAGTGCACCACGTCTGCCAGAAAGAAACGATATAGAAGATGAACTTCAAAATATCAGATTGTCTCAAGATGTCGCTGAAAGATATGGCGTCAAGTATGCAACTCAGATGGCGAAAAAAGCCGCCGAGGAAAATATTGAAATGGTTGACCTCAGTGACGAAGAGGAGGAAGAAGTCAACCCTATGGACTTTACTACCCAACTTAACGAAGCTCGTGATGAGATTGTTGAAATTCCATCTGAGGACGACATGGAGGACGAAGATATGGCGGCGCTTAATGAACTTTCCTATACGAAAGTCAAGGTGGAGCCTAACCAGGTCATTATTAGTGATGAAGACTTCAGCGATGACGACGATGAGTTACTTCAGCTTTCAAAATCTGTGGGTAAACTGAGCCAGACCGAAAGGAGAGTTATCCCTGGATCTGAGAAGTTTGCAAATGAAGTGTATGACATTTTAGAAAAGACATTCAAGCTTAAAAGTTTTCGTCCAAATCAGCTTGAGGCCGTGTGTTCTACGTTGAATGGAAAAGATGTCTTCGTGTTAATTCCTACGGGAGGTGGTAAGTCGCTTTGTTACCAGCTTCCTGCTCTCGTTAAAGGTGGAAGAACAAAAGGGACAACACTTGTCATTTCTCCGTTGATTTCGTTGATGCAAGATCAGGTTCAGCACTTGATGGATAAGAATATTCGTGCTGGCATGATCAGTTCGAAGGGATCGAGCGCAGAAAGAAACGCCACTTTCAAGTCGTTGACTTCAGGTCAGCTCGACCTTGTTTATTTATCGCCAGAGATGGTTAACAATTCGGTAAGAGTTCAGAAAGTGCTCACAAAGCTTTATGAGAATGAAATGCTTGCAAGAGTTGTTGTTGACGAAGCTCACTGTGTTAGTTCTTGGGGACACGACTTCAGGCCAGATTACAAGGGCATGAGTATGTTCAAGGAACAGTATCCTAATGTTCCAGTTATGGCGCTTACTGCAACTGCAAACGAAAAAGTCAGACTTGATATTGTCCACCATCTTCGCATGTCGAATCCTGTTCTACTCAAGCAAAGTTTCAACCGTACAAATCTATTCTATGAGGTCAAGAACAAGCCCTCTAATATTTATGAGTGGATCAGAGACTACATCATGCAAAACAGACGTGGGCAGACTGGTATCATCTACTGTCATTCCAAACAGTCCTGTGAAACTACTGCTCAAAAGCTTAATGAATTCGGTATCCGAGCGATGTTCTACCATGCTGGTATGGATCCAAATGAGAGATTTGATGTTCAAACCAAATGGCAACATGATGAGTTGCAATTGATCTGTGCTACTATTGCTTTTGGTATGGGTATTGATAAACCTGATGTTCGTTTTGTTATTCATATGTACATCCCACGTTCTTTGGAGGGATACTACCAAGAAACAGGTCGTGCTGGTAGAGATGGCAATGAGAGTGAATGTATCATGTTTTACTCGTATAAGGACGCTCGAAGTCTTCAGAGTTTGATTCAAAGAGACGATAAACTTGAAGAAGAGGCCAGGGAATCGCATCTCTCAAAATTGAAGCAGGTTGTCCAGTATTGTGAAAATAAGTCAGATTGCAGAAGAAAACAAGTTTTGCATTTCTTCAATGAAGAGTTTGATCCAGCGAAGTGCAACAAGAAGTGTGATAATTGTTGCAGCGAGACCGTTGCAGTGGTGAAAGACGTCACTGAGCATTGTCAGAATATCGTTAGGCTTGTCCAACAGATCCTGCTGGATAAAGTCACCACCATTCATTGTCAGGATGTCTACAGAGGTTCAAGAGGCGGCAAGATCTTGAAAATGGGCCATCATGAGAATGAGTACCATGGGCTTGGAAGTGGCCTTGATAGAGGTGCTATTGAGAGAATCTTCTTCCACTTGCAAAGTGAAGGGTGTCTTTTGGAATACCAGGTAATGAGAGGTGGATTTGCATCTTCTTATGTTAAATGTGGACCAAACGCGAGAGCATTGTTAAATGGCGGCAAAAGAATCAAGCTTAGTTTTGCCCAGCCAGAGTCTGCCAAGAAGAACGACAGAGTCAAACTCGTTGCTTCTGGAAATGGAAATGGCCTTAATACTTTCAGGTACCAGGATTCGTTTGTCAGTGCTAGAGAGATGAGAAACCAAGAACAAGAGAAGGAGAACGTCTATCAAACCACAAAGAGCAAGATCTCGTTGCCTCGACAAAACTTCAACGGAATGGTTACTGCCAATAACGAAGATTCGGTGGAACGAGCATTTGTTGAATTGAGAAATATCAGGCAGCAGAAACTGCAAGAGCTCAGGTTTGCAAGGCCCAACTACCTCGTTGCAGACGATGCACTCAAAGAAATGGCCATCAAGCTTCCAACCAACGCCAGAGACTTTGGCAAACTCGAAAGTATCAGCAAAGACCAGGCGCCGTATTTCCAGTATTTCAAGAAAGCTTTGGGTACCTTGGCAAGAGAACGAAAGAAAGGTTCGTCTGATTTCCGTTCGCAGAGCACGCAGGGAAATAGCACAATCAGTGAGACTACATCACAATACTTCCCACCTACGCAGAAGAAACGATCTCAATCGCATAAAGGCCCATCTCAAAAAAGACACAAGGGTAGCAACAAGAACGGAGCAAGAAGCCAAGGCGGGAAGAAGGCCGGTAGAAGTACCCAAAATGGGTCAGGAAGCGGGCCCGGGCTCGTAAGGCTGATGCCCATATAAACAGCGGCCATTAATGAACGAATGGCGCTGGAACATCAAGAAGTGGAGAACTACCAGACCGCTGGCGGTCGGTATACCCTTCACGAACATATTCCTTTATAGACGGAGAATAGAGAACTTCTCGAACAAAGGCTGGACATTAACCAGCGATACAGGAGGTGAAGAGAAGGCGAAGGTGGAGACCAGCAGTGAAGAAGGTACTACTATTTGTTGGTTGTGTCTGACACAGCCTTTCACCTTCACTGACCTTCTATCTCCTATTATCAAAACATCCAACCATACCCTTCTCTCATTGGTCCATGATAATCAACAGGGCTCCACCACTTCTTCTCATGATAACAATAGAAACGCCCCAAAACGCCCTATATTTCGTGTTTCCAACTGTTTGGCCTTCCTCATTGGTCAAAATCCAACATGCAAAGCCCTGATTTCTTCTCCTCATCTACGAATGCCCGCCAAGCGATAACCTTCATACATCTTGCTTTTTCTTTGTCTTTCATGCGTGAGTGTTTATTCAACAAATTTTCGCTCGGAACAATTAACAAGCGCTGAGAATTGTTCCGGCTCGGACTTGCACATTCGCCCCGCCGAAGCCCCACCCGCACCCACCAACAGAAAAAAAAAGAAAAAGCATGCCCCGCCTGAGATCGGCAAGCCGTCCCACTGGAAAAACTCCCCTTCTATTGGTCCAAAACACTCATTTATCTCATGTGGCAACTAACCCACACGATCTTTCCAGAACATTGCTGGATTGTTATTATTAATAATTAGACGTCAAACGGCTTTTGGGTACCCTGCATAGACATTTGCTGCGCTGCTAACTCATCGAACAGCACGTCAACGTCATACCTAAGCTTTGGCCATGTTGGGTCCAGAAGACAAAGTAAACAGAAGGGGGGAATCCAGAAGATACTGGAGACTCTAATATATGGATTTTGTGGCTCCCTGGTCACCAGCTCCGGGGAATCCCCGGAACTGATGCCCTGGGGCCATCCAAAACACCCATTTCGCTCGCGGTTGTTCCGTAAGCGTATTGCAGGTTTGCTCCTGCATGCAAGAGGGGCTAATCCAAAACTTAATCCAGACGATTCAATTTACCCCTCCCAGGAATTTTGCAGGAAGGAAAGGAAAAAAAATTGGTACCGAAACACCCAGTGCAAAAAATAAAAAATAAACCAACCTCACTTCACTTCCTGTTCTTCCTTTAGTTTCCAACGACACTTCCAGAACTCCTTCCCCCTAATCTTCCCGTTCCTCCATTTACCCTTGCTTCTTGCTGCCTGCTACCCGCTTCGCCCGCTGCCAGATCATATTTCTCAGCGTGATCTTGACAAATAATTGGACAACCAACCCCAATTGAAATACCACTAATCTTTTTTTCCACCTCCCAGTATGTCCAGAAAAGAGTCCCCTCGTCGTCGTCGTCCAAGCTTGTCAAGGCTGAACCTCAGGTGGTGTCTCTACAATTGCCCCAGCCCACGTTGGACCAACCCTCATCTGACTCCGACTCAAAGTCAGAGTCTCCAGACGACGTGGCCATAGAACAGGCGTGTGATTCGTGTCGGAAACGCAAGTTGAAATGCTCCAAAGGGTACCCTAGATGTACCAAGTGTGAACAGCATGGGTGGTGTTGCTCGTACCTGCCACGCACCGTCAGGTCACCGTTGACCAGAAGACACTTGACTGAGGTGGAGAATAAGTTGGAGAAAGTGAGTGAAATGCTAAGGATCATGTTGCCTTCGCATGTGAGTCTTGACCTGCTTATGGATAGTCCTGACTATGTGGAGCAGTTGATGAGCTTGAAGGCTAGTAGTGGTGGGTCTACGGCTCAGTCTACGGCGCAATCGCCTTCAAACTCGATATTTTCCAATGCTGGCAGCCGCCACGACCACGAAGACGATTCTGTGGCTTGCGATGCCCAGGAAACTGCCAATTGGGATAAGGTTCGTGTGAAGCAGGAGATTATTGATGATTTCACGTTGAACAACATCCCCACGTCTCCGCAGCTGCAGAGGATCCCCACGGCGCCAATTGCCAGTGGTAGCCGAGATCTGTGTGCAACGACCCACGGCCACTCGTTAACCAGTCCTTCGTCGGTGTTGTCGTTGAATTCCATTGAGAACTTTGACTACGACGAGCATATCGACTCAGGCGGGTTCCTGGAGCCTGATTTCAAAAGACCGAAGCTCTCGGCGAGTGCGTTCTCGCCAGAGTACACGTCCATATTTAACGAAGTCATCAGCGGCGACTTCTAGACGGCATTGACATTGACATTGACATTTGCATTGATCACCTTATTCCCCAGCACACATCCATTTTACGAACCAGACCGCCCCAGCGCGGAAATCACGACCAATATACGATTCATATGAGCCAGACCAGAGGTTTAGTAGACTTTGTAGGAGAATTGAATGAGGTAAGGCTAGGCAGGGTATTTTGCAGCCAAATGTGAGGCATGTATGGAATGCCTAAGGTAGAAGCTACAGTCAGGCAATTGAAGGCATAGAAAGGAAGAATTCAGTCTTTACATGTAATTGGGCATCAAAGAATGTTAAAAGTCTACTTTGGATTATTTTATTAGTTTTTCTAGAAACTTTAGGTTTACAGTGTTGGTGAGAACTGGTGATGGTTTCGCAAAATATAGTGAAATATCAAGAACTACTACAAACCACAAACATTCAAGTCCCCCTAAAAAGGTATAAAAACGTGTAAAAGTAGCCAAATTCGAACTTAATCAATTACCGAATCCCACTTAATCCCCCTATTTTCATTTCTCCCCAAATCCTACGAACCAAGTTCAACTTCACCAATTAAGCCCAATAAGCTCCATCTGAGCCATTCACCGCTAACAACCACCAACCAAAAAAACCCCCAAAATCAACAAAACTCAACCTCCACAAAACCCTTGTGAAACCGCCACGCTGGCGTTTCGTCCTTCCACAAATTCCACCTCTCGAAGCCGTCCATTGCCTGTTTGGGTGATTTCGGCGTTTGCCTTTTGTGTACCAATGGCTGCGAAATTCCAAATACCGCTATGGCATCAACTGATGTGGAAGGAAAGGGAAGGCTAAGGAGGGGAAGATGATCAGAAGAGAAAGTCAAGAAAGGGAATATAGTGGTGCTTTCGAGTCTGGACTTGAAGTACTTGTTAGGTTAACTGTGAGATCTGAAAGGTAGAAAGGTAGAATTCCAGATCCAGAGAAACACACAGATGGTGGTATCAAAGAAGGACGCAAGATAGGTAGAACTGGGGTTCAATGGCAGATTAAAAGTGAATTTGGAGGTAATATATAAATGTAAATGAGGAAATGGACGCTTGTGTTTGGGTAAGGCTGACTCATAATATATGGTGCACTTGAGGTGACTAGAGGTGACTAGAGGTGACTAGAGGTGACTAAAGGTGACTACAGGTGACTATTAATTTCCAGATCCCAAGGGCAAGTATAGCCAAGGGGTACAAGAAATGGGTTCTTAAACCACGTAGTACTAGTAGGAACCCAGTAAGTACTTTTAGTCAAAGCAGACGTACTTATCAGTCCAACTACTGTCTCTATTCACCTCTGGCTAGTCATGAACTAACACTCAACGAGCAACCTTAGAGCACTCTAGAGGAAGATAATAATAGTAATAGTCTTTTAAATGAAAGAAAACTGATCTAAAAAGATAACATAAATGAGCCTTTCATCGGTTTCTGGTCATTCTGGGTCACTTATACAACTGGCCAGCCTCTTATCACCAACCGGCACCAATCACCGACCAAGTACCCCACCAGTCACTTCAAACCTAAACCTGGAATAGCCAAAATGCACATATGGAGAGAACTCATCACTTAGAGCTTATCAGCAAAAGTATTTCCGCAACTCAATACTACTGGCCTCTTTATGCTACCCCAGGCTGACCAGATCTACTAATAGGCATATCTAGGAAGTACATCCCCCAAACACCAACAACAAACAAAAAGCACCACTTCCACCGCCAACCCATCTTTTCATAATTTAAAGGTACAAAGAGCAAACCGTGAACCCAACCTACGTCCCTTAATTCCCCATTTACGCCCAACAGCAACCACTTCTACCACTTCTACCACTTCTTCACCTTCCAGTCTGATTTCGCAGCCAGTGCTATTTTCCGCATCCAGGGTTATTTTCCGCAGCCAGTGACACTTTTTCGCAGCCGACTGTCATTTTCACGAGCCAGCCTGACAACGAGGACAGCTCTGGCTCCATCAAACGAAACACCCACAGAATTAACGAAGAAGAAATAACAAGAGAAGAAGAGATCGCCAAAAATAGAACAAAAAAAACAACAAAAAATGCCCAAAATATGTGGGAATTTCCTCCCCTTATATACCTCTTTTTCCCTGCCTCCTCCCTCCTCCCTCCTTCTACCTACGTCATTTCTCACTCTCCAGCCTGGCCTGGCCAGTCCAGAAGCACATGGACCCAGAACAACCCCCTCCCTTACTTCTTCACTTTTCACGCTTTTCTCTACCCCATATTCACCTGACCATAGTCAGCCAATAATCATCTTTCCTCTACGTTTCCTTTGTCCTTGCCTTCCGACTTCTTCCTGTCCCCTCTTGGTCGGTCGGTTCCGGGACGGAGCAAGGGTGATGGGGTTTTTGGGAAAACGGGTCAGGGTCGTGCGCGCACCGCTCCAGCCTCATCCAGACCCCCAAAACACACCCTAAAACGGCTTTTTGTTTCTTTAGCTACCCTTTCTTGACTGGGTTTCTTAACTTACTACTTTTTCCACTTTTATATTAGAATGCCATGTCGTCTGCGTTGAAAAACCTCGCCGCGTTGAAGAGGAACATCTCCAGACGCTTGAAACAGGCCCTTGAAGAGCTCCAGGAGAACTTGGGCCAGGAAGGCTACTGGGGCCAGAGTCCAGCTCCGGCTCGGATTCCAGTGGCGGTGCCTCAGAGGTCTCGTGGGTTCAAACGAATGAATATCACCAGCCATAGATGCTATAGCACGTTTTTCGGCACCAACCATCTGTTCTGGAGCTGCCGGAGCATTATATTCGAGAAATGGGGTGCTTTGGGTAAGAACTGTGGGTTCAAGGGCCACCAGTTCCGGTTTTTCAGCAGTTTCTGCCCGTTCAGTAAACACGGAGCTCGGTACCGTGTGAACACGGCGCTTTTGACCCAGAACTTCACCGCTAGAAACGGTTACCACTCCCTGAGCATGCTTAGGCTCTGTAAAGTGCCTTCAATTACACATTTAGCCCAGAAAGACCTTTGCCAGGCGTTTGAGGAGGAAGAAGACCGCAAATGGAATATGAATATGCAAGGCGCCGTAGCGCAGCTCTTTTCCAAGAACGAAAAGGCCAGCATGGTCTCTGTGTTGCACGAGGCTGAAAAGTCCATCATTCTGGCTGTTGACTCTGCCGCCGCCATCCCTTCTACCCTCAGAACAAACATTCTTTGCTCCCCTCGTTACCATGATCTCGTGAAGAGACTCGCCGGATGGACTTCCTCTGAACATGGAGAAGCCAACCCAGCTCTTGATGCTCGACCTGTCAGCTCAACTGGTGTTTATGTGGATTTCAGATACGGACCTCGTATTCTGGTGCCCCAGAAGTCAATTTTGACCGCTGACGTGGTGGATGAAATGGTAGACAGCTTGGCCAGATACCGCGAGAAGCTTGCTGAAGTCCAGGAAGATTTGGCCCGTTTGAGTGAGTTGGGCGAGTTGCCTGTTGAAGTGATTGCAGAAGAAGGTGTGATACGCGTGTTTTTCCCTAATTGTGACAGGGAAAGACTCGAGACTCTCTTGGTGGAGAAGAACGTCGTAGGAGGCGTGATCCACGAGGGAACTCCCGGTGACGGCAGCGGAAGCTCTTATGAGTCGGTCCTATCACTGGAGTCGCTTTCTGAGCTGGATTACAATTACTCTGGAAGTGAAAGCGTCCGTTGTTCTTCGTCAGAGGAGCTCTCGGGTGGAACCAGCTGGTACCTCAGTACCTTCACCTCCAACGACGCCGCCATGCAGCTGCCGCTGCTAAGCTCAGGAAGCACTGCAAGCTCCCAGGATAACGATATCTTGTCGCTGAACCTGCTGCAACGGATGGTTCGCTTGGACGAGTCCAACATGTTAGGCCCCGTTCCCACGTCGCCAGTGGCCGTGCGTATCGTTGAAGAGGAGCCCGTGTGGGCACTTTAAGACTGTGATGAGAAATGACTATAGTACGAGAATGACCAACTTTAATGATCCCTTTTTTTTTATACTAACTCGTAGCCACCCTTGTCAGGAGATATATTTGGGTGCAAATGTCCTGCACCCAAGCAAAAAGCCCAGATTCAACCGTCTTGGTCCCGGCTGCACACCAGTCTCAACCTAAACCTACTTAACTATTGATACCCCAGCACTTCTGTGATAGCAATGGCCAAAAAAGGTGGAAAGAAGAAGCTGCAGAAAGCCAGGGCCGAGAATGGCGCCGAAAGTAATCCCGAAAACGCTTCCCAAAACGGAAACTTCGACCAGCCCTCGTCCACCGAGTCTAACTTAGACTCAACAGGGTCTACTGAAGAAAGAGACAATGACGACGATGACGAATTTGCCGATTCCCACGAGGCACATACTCAGGAGGATACTACGGTCTTGGAGGAGCCCGTGGCAGAAGAATCTGTTGCTCCTGGAGCTTTCCCGGCGGATCCAGAACCAGAAACTACCATAGTGGAAGATACCACGTTACCTCCAAGAGATGGAATCCATACCGTTGTGGAAACTGGGTTATCTAAAAGTGATGCTCCGCCTACAGAGGCCCCTTCGTCGTTGCTTGCGGCCAGACAGAACGAGATTACCATTAAGTTTGACTCGAAGGATGCTGCTGCCCGTTCAGCCATTGAGTCTGGTCGTGAGAGCATTGTAAAGACTTTCAATGGCATTAAGAGCACTATAGGATCAGCGCCCGAGCTTATGGGCGGCGTGGATATCGATTGGGACTTCTGGGCACGTGTTGTTGAAAACTACGACGAGTTAGTCCAGGAGGAACCGCAGTCGGTGCAGCGTGCTGTGGCAGATGGTATTCCTAAAGAGTTTAGGGGTATTGTGTGGCAGCTCGTGAGTCGTTCGAAGAACCTTCAACTCGAGGAGCTCTACTTCCACTTAAAGAATGAACAGTCTGTCCATGAACGGGCGATCAAGAGAGACTTGTCTCGTACGTCGTTCTTTACCAACGTCAATGCTGCCAATAAGGCTGACGAATTGTTCAATGTGATCAAAGTATATTCGCTTTTCGACCCTGACGTCGGGTACACTCAGGGCATGGTATTTATTGTTGTGCCGTTGGTGATGAACATGAACGAGGCTGAGTGTTTCTGTTTACTTGTCACCTTAATGAAGGACTACGGCCTTCGGGATTTGTTCTGTCCAGAAATGCAAGGCTTGCACTTGTTGCTTCACCAGTTCGATCGTTTGCTTGAACAGTGTCTGCCTATTTTATATAACCATTTGGTGCGCCAGGGCATTCGACTGCTGATGTACGCATCCCAATGGTTCCTAACGTTCTTTAGTTATAAGTTCCCATTGGATGTGGTGTTAAGGATATTTGACATGGTCATAACTCAGGGCATTGAAGCTGTGCTTCGTTTGGCGGTGAATTTGATGTTGCGCAATGAATCGAACTTGCTTCGACTCAACTTTGACGCTCTTCTTGAATTCTTGAAGCTCAATCTTTTTAATATTTATGTCAGTGATGAATTTGTCGCTTCGGCAGAGAAGCCAGAAAACAAGAGATTCTCTCTTTTGGGCCGCAAGAATACCACCAAAACCGGTGCAAACTATTATAAACTTGATGCTTTCGTGAAGGATGCTATGCTTGTGGATGTATCTCCTGCTGATATTAACCGTTTCAAGGCAGAATTCCAGCTTCTATGTGAGAAGGACGCTGCCAGAACCGAGGAGATCGAGGAGTACAGAAAGAAGAACGGCGAATTGCGCTACGAAATCAAACAGCTCGAGACCGAATTCTACACCATCAACAAAGACCACATGAACGTGGTTCAGGAATTGGTGAACACAAAGGTCGTGTTGCCTGACGTTCTAGGCGACATTGAAGAGCTAGAAGCACAGGCCATCTCGCTTGAGAAGGATATCCAAGAGCTAGAAGCCAAGGTTGAGAAACTGAGCACACTGCTTCCGCAAGACGTTGACTCGAAGATCCAGGATCTTTTAACGGAAAACGCTAAAGAGACAGAGAGGTTTGCCGAGCTCGAGGAGAAGTTCCACGAGTTATCGATAGAGAACAAGAACGTTGACGCAGAGTTGAAGCAGAGAGGTGGGAAGAAGTGGTTTTGGTAAAAGCATTAGAAAGAACATGGTAAAGGCAATAAACGCAAACGGTCGTTATTGATGGGGGATGTAGGCAAGTGGTTGTTGAATGGCTGCGAAGTGGTGATCTTTAGCTTGATGAGCAGCAATTGGTGAGCGGAGAACACAAGAAAGAGCGAAAAGAGTAAATGACTGTTTCTATTGAAGGAAACTAGAGGAATTAATTATTATTTGTTACTTAATATTCCTGGTTACTTGTGTTCTGGTCTTAGTATGAGATATGAGACATCACCATATGCTGTGTGCCAACACCAACCAGGAACAAAGAGGCAACATAAAGGATACAAAAAGATACACTCAATAATAAAGCCTTATCAATAGCTACGGAAAAGCCTTTGGGTTGACGTTGGGGGTGGTGGGCGTGGATTTCAATATGATCACGTGCCCAGGGCTTCAGCCCTAACGATCAAGATGTGCGCACTTGACTAGTGAAAAAAAATTTAAATCTCTTCTTTTACCTACTACACCTAATCAAACCACAAACATGGCTAGAGGACCAAAGAAGCACCTTAAGAGATTGGCGGCTCCATCCCACTGGATGTTGGACAAATTGTCCGGCACCTACGCCCCAAGAGCCTCTGCTGGCCCCCACAAGTTGAGAGAGTGCTTGCCATTGATCGTTTTCTTGAGAAACAGATTGAAGTACGCTTTGAACGGTAGAGAGGTCAAGGCTATCTTGATGCAAGAGCACGTCAAGGTTGACGGTAAGGTCAGAACCGACTCTACCTTCCCAGCCGGTTTCATGGATGTCATCACCTTGGAGGCCACCAACGAGAACTTCAGATTGGTGTACGACGTCAAGGGTAGATTCACTGTCCACAGAATCACCGCTGAGGAGGCTTCTTACAAGCTCGGTAAGGTCAGAAAGATCGCTTTGGGTAAGAGAGGTATCCCATACGTTGTCACCCACGACGGTAGAACCATCAGATACCCAGACCCATTGATCAGAGCCAACGACACTGTCAAGATTGACTTGGCCACTGGTAAGATCACTGATTTCATCAAGTTCGACACTGGTAAGTTGGTTATGGTTACCGGTGGTAAGAATATGGGTAGAGTTGGTGTTATCACCCACAGAGAGAAGCACGAGGGTGGTTTCGACTTGGTCCACATCAAGGATGCTTTGGAGAACACTTTCGTCACCAGATTGACTAACGTTTTCGTTGTCGGTGACGAGGCTGGTAAGCCATACATCTCCTTGCCAAAGGGTAAGGGTATTAAGTTGTCCATCACTGAGGAGCGTGACAGAAGAAGAGCTCAGCAGGGTTTGATTGCCTAAACAGGTCGGTCACTCTTCTGTTTCCTCTTGTAATCATAGGTATTTAAAATACTAATCTTATTCATATTATATGTGATTTGTAGGGATTGTGGGGTGGGGACTTGAAGATACAGCATAGAGGATGGTTAAAGATGGTTCCAAGGGTGCTGGAGAAGAGAAAATGGATTAAAAGCATTGACGGGAAGCCCACTAGCTTCTAGTAACCAAGACAACCGGAGATTATAGCTCATTTCAAGTGCTAATGGTGCTAGAGGTCATCAGATGCCTATCCGAGTCTCTTAAGCCATTATCCATACCCAGATGTCCCACAAAATTCACTCAATGTTTCTAAGTATTCCAGTAAGTCCAGAATAGCCTTACATACTCTTAAAGTAACCTAACCACAATCATAAATGCCCCTTGTGGCTATTATCTACCCTGGTAAGCACTTTTCGCAGCCATTTACATGTACCAGCAGTAGCCCAGTAGCCAACCAAAGCACCTCCCCAAGACTTTCCAGCCCCAGGAAGATCAAGGGACAATCCAGTAGTGCTTATTGAACCACCCAGAATGTTTGTTACCTCCCCATACATTTACCATACCTTACCACCACTACCCATAACTACCACTACCCATAACTACCACTACCCATATCCACCACTCACCAGCCATCTACCCCAACCAACCACCATCCACTCCCATCCCCAAACCAAATCCCCCAAACCAGCAACATTTCCAACCTCTTAATTACTCAACCAGATTAACTCTCAACCGCTAATCACCAATCCTCCATCTCTCCCTATTGTGGCTCATCTCACTGGCCCAGCTGGCGCGCTTATCTACCTTCTCCAGTTCTCACTACTTACTGATAACCACAACTACCTACTCCATGATACTCCACCACTTTACCACCTTCATTGGCCTTCTCGCCCTCTCATTGGCCACAGTCGCCTCCAATTTACGAAACCTCGAATACGGCGACCTCAATTTCCTCCACACCACAGATACTCATGGCTGGTACCTGGGCCACTTGAACCAGAAGACGTATAGTGGAGACTGGGGCGACTTTGTCTCTTTTGCACACCACTTGAAGGAATTGGCTCATGAGAAGGGGCACGATCTTTTGCTTATTGATAGCGGAGACCGCCACGACGGGAATGGCCTTTCTGATATCACTAGTCCCAATGGTGCTAGGTCGCTTCCTATCTTTATCAAGCAGGACTACGACTTGTTGACTTTGGGCAACCATGAGCTTTACCTTGCAGAGAACTCAGAGCAGGAGTACGATATAGTGGCTGCTCACTTTAAGGAGAACTACGTTAGCACGAACGTGGAGTACTTGGAGAAGGATGAGTGGGTGCCGTTGGGGAATAAGTATAAGTACTTTAGGACTCCTATTCACGGCACGAGGATTTTGGCGCTTGGGTTTATGTTTGATTTTGCCAGGTATAACGAGAAGACGAGGGTGACTTCAATTGCTGAGGTTATCCGGAAGGACTGGTTCCAGGAGATTCTCGATAAGTACCCTGCTGAGAGCGTGGACACCATCGTGGTGGTTACACATGTGCCTATTACCAGGGACTGGAACGAGTTGGGTGTTTTGCATGCCGAGTTGAGGACCCATTACCCAGAAACGAAGATTGAGTACTTTGGCGGGCACAGTCACATTCGGGACTTTGTCGTGTATGATGAAAAGCTGGTGGCACTTCAGAGCGGCCGGTTCTGTGAAACTGTGGGCTTTTTAGGCGTCAATTTGAATTCCTCGTCGCTGGAGGCTTCCGATACGTTTACCAGAAGGTACATTGATTTCAATACTGATCTGTTCTTGCACCATACGAAGAAAGAGTCGCTTGAGGCGTTGGAGACAAAGAAAGGTAACCACGTCAAGCAATTGATCGCTGACGCTCGTAAAGATTTGGGCTTGGATGACGTTATTGGCTATGTCAACAATTCAAACTACTATATGGACTACGTGCCCGTGTCTCATCCCAAGAACCTCTTTAGGTTGCTTGCCAAAAAAGTACTTCCAACGCTTGATGCCGAGGAAGGCGTCGAAACCAGTGACGAAAGGCTTATCATTATTAACACTGGTTCGGTGAGGTACGATTTGTACAAGGGCCCTTATACTATCGATACTCACTACATCGTCTCGCCATTCCAGAATCAGTGGGTCAAGGTGACTGTTCCAAAGTACATCGCAAGGCAGATTGCCCCACAGTTAAACAAGAATGGGTACATTTTGGCCCTGGCTGAAAAGCAAAACAAGGAGGTTCGTTCGCTTAAACCACCTCATCAGACCGCCAGAGATATCAACAACAAGCGTAACCAGCAGCCAATTGATTTTGACGGGTTTGACGAAGATTTGGATGTACATGTCACCAAGCTTAAAAAAGGGTATGTGACGTACGATGACTTTGGAAATAAGGGTGACGATACTCCTCACAAAGCTGTGATCAACTACCCTATTCCAAACGTCGTTCAGAGTGTTGAGCTTGACCATACCGACCGTAGGGCTCCAGTGGATGTGGTCTTTTACGATTTTATCACGCCAAACGTCAAAGAAGTCTTTGAACAGCTCGACTACCCAATGCCAGAAGTGGAATTCTACTCCAACCACTACTTGGGCAAGTTACTCAACGACTACGTTGCCAAGAATGAAATCTAGTTTATTGGTATTATATGCTAATGATGCTGTCTGATGGCTTGTATGTGATTCTATAATTAAAGCTGTTTATGAGCTCAATGTCTGGACCACGAACAACGGCTTCGTCGATAACCATGTTCAAATTGAAGCCGTACCATGAACCCCAAATGGGTCTAGGTTTGGCATTACCATCTTGCGTCTGTACAAGGTCAGCAGACTCCCCTAGCCTCGACTTACCGCCTTCGTCGAAACGCACCTTACCGTTGACACTGATTGTGAACAAGCCAGTGCCTGGGATTAGGTGGCAGTCGAAGGAACTGATTTGATGTGTCGTTAGAGGAGTTGCTAGCCATTTCTTCTGGAATTCCAACCTGGCATCATTGGCTGGCGGTTGTGGTGCCAACGGATTACCGTCGAATATTATACCACACGTGGGTTTTAGCTGCTTACCAAACTGGGTAGCGTAAGCTTCAACATTAGGGAATTGTGGTTGAGCACTGGGTCCACTGGGGAAATACAGAAGATCCAAAGATGCCAAAAGGCTTTTCAAGAAGGGCTCTATGGGTTGGGCTATAAATGTTAGCTGGCCTGATATGCCAAGGGTTAAGGAAGATACGTACTTGGGTCTTGTTGGGTATTAGCTGCTATGTTCATGGGGCTGGATACTGGTTATCTTGACTTGAATGGGTGAAAAGATACCGATGGTGAGAGTGTCAGACCTGCAGGTAGTGCCCAGGTGCCCAGGCAAGAAGGCCATGAAGAAGACTAATTTGGATTAGTTGGAGAGTGAAGAAGTATTATTAAGGGACTACAGAGGATCTACGTTTGTTGTGAACTGCAACTTGATGGTGGTGGGCTTTCTAATCGATGAAAATAAGCAAACGTCCTGCACACAAGACATCAAGGCTGGATCCGGATACAAGTCAGAAATCAAGAAACACCAAAGAAGGCTCTATAAAAGTGAAATTTGAGCTTTATTGGCATCCAGAGGTCAAGAAATACGTACCCAGAAAACCATCTTTTTTGTGGTTTATTGCGAACCGTTGGACGGACCACAAAGTACTTAGGAGCCTGACCGCAACGGCGCTTGCCTATGCAAAGTCTATGCAAAGTCTATGACAATTTCACAATTTCCTCGTATACTGGAAGTCAAAGTATCTTTTCAGGGGATTGAACTTTGATGTCCTTGGATTTTCAGGTATTGCTCTTCAAGGCATGCCTAACCTCACTGGTGTTATACAAGTCTACTTACTCCCATTCACTGTGGCTGGGGGATATCTTCAGAAGAACTAACATCCACTTGGTCCTTCTGCAATTCCTTCGGTCACTTCACAATACTAGCTGACAGCAGAAGAAATGGTTCTTTATACTTTTATGTCGTCCAAATATGGCAGAGAAGACAAGACACAAACCACTCCACCGAACAAAAAGGGGTTAACTGGGCTAGGTCTAGAAGAGTCTTTACCGTCTACGGCTGGCCCGAACTATCACTAAATTAACAAAAAAAATTAACAGCCTGGAAGGCTTGACGTCATCCATCCTCGGAAGTCCCCTTATCGAAATCCAGCCGCATGACGAAAAATGCACCAAAGAAGATTACACCAATCCTTGTGACAAGCTGTGGCCCAGGTTTATTAGGAACGGCGCCAGGTAACGTCATAGGTAATTTCTGTGGAGCAGCAGCAAAGAACATTCTACTATCGGCCACTAGCACGTTGCGCAGGAACGATAGCAATCAAAGGCCCCCGGTAAATATATAAGGGCAGGGGCTGCTCAATCCCGGGAGGCTACAGATAAAGAAACAAATACTTTATCATGACTAACATTGCTGGAACAGCTAAGGATATTGGTGTGGGCCTCGTAGGTTCCATTGGCGGTAACAAGGTTGCTGACGCCGTGGGCGGTGGCCAGGCCAGCCACATTGTTGGCGGTGTTGCTGGCGGTATTGGTGCCGGTAAGCTCAAAAACAAGGGTGAGCAGAAGGTCGAAGAGAAGAAGAAGGATTAGATTTAGACTTAATATACTGATTCAAGAGTGACTGTGTAGGTAGTTATGGTAAGTGACACAAAGACAAATCAAAACGCCCAGGGATCAACCAGAAAAGTGGCCAAATCGGGAAGAAGCCCATAGCAAGAATATGCCATGGCCTGATTTGAACAATTCCAGAGCGTTTCCGATCCCGTTGGGAAGACATTGCGATAAGTAGCTGTACTGGCTGCAAACGCACTTGAAGCCAGCCCCTTCAGCAACCGTTATCTGAGTTTCTGGAAGCCTAAGTACTAAAAAAGAGAAAAGAATCAAAACCCAAATATAGTATACAATAGAAAGTGTGTACCTTGATTTGATCCCATTGCAAATCTGCAGCTGGCTGGGGAACAAGAAGGGGAAGGGAAGGAAAAGAAAAGGTTGCTGCGGCGGCCCCATAAGGTTTAACTATGACAGGGAAACGAAGTAGGGGCAGAAAGAGGGATGGAAAGAATAAAGGAAGGGAAAGTCTATTTAGAGTTTAGCGTAGTAGAGGGCCAGGAAGACTAGGGAGGGCTTATACCAGGCCTCCAGGCCAATAGGGGTAACCCAATTCCCCAAGTATCCAAGTAACCAAGTGCAAAACGTACAAAACACAAACCTCTACTTCATCTCGTCTATTCAAAGACGTCTTTGTCTCGTGGTCCGTTTTGGAAGACCCCCAGCTCTTTCCATATGGAATGGCTGCAAGCGCAACAGGTCTCACAAACCAGCACAAGCCAGCAAAAAAGCACCCTCAGTTGAGCTGAACCCCCAGTTATTTCAGTCCACACAAAGCAAAAAACAAAAAGAATTAGTCCATTCGAGTCGTAGAAACCCCTAGAATTCAACTATACCCTTCATTTTATTTTTTTCCCACTTTCCATCAACAACCACTGTCACCTCCGTTTCAGCACCCTGGACGGACGCTGCAGCTCGTCAGGCGCACCTTCCACATCGAGCGACCAACTCGCTGAATCGGGCCACGCTCCTAAAAAACATGCGTGTACCCGCATGCCACCTTATATAGCCAGCGCCAGCGCCAGCGCCAGCCGCAAAAGACAAAAAAAAAACTTCCCAGTCCTCATAGTAAGTGGTGATTTGTAGCCAGCAATTGGTCGAGAAACCGGTAATTTAGGAATTCTGACGTTTTTTTGTTGCCTGGCGTTTCCGTTTTTGGTTTTCGGTTTTCGGTTTTTGTCCTTGTGCTGCACTTTTATCCCAATCCGTGCGGGTTCCCCTTGATCTGAGCCTTTGATCTGATTCCCCAGCAGCTTGATTTAAACCGCCCGATCCGCTCTTTTGCATCCATTTTATGAACTTGAAAAAAAAGAACAATTCTGCTTCGTTTTATTATTGATTGTCATTTCATCCTTCGCTTGTCCTTCGCTTAATACCCTCCTTCATCTTCTTCTGGCGTTTGCAGCCAACCGTTCGTTTCTACTACTTCCCTATGAGTCTTGTGAGCCCCATGTTCGATCTGATCAATTACCCAAGGAACCCTTATAATATGCTTAATCTGCTTAAGCTTCGGTCCCTTACGCCGCCTGGCCTCACCCTGACCTACTCAAAGAAACGCTCCCATAGTGACTTGGGCACCGACGCTGACCTGCTGCAAAACCAGCACACTTCTACGAAAAGGTCCAGAACGGCTCCACCTTCGCCACCTTCCGCTCCAGCTACCACTGTTCTCCCCAAAACTGACCTTTTTAAGGCCCCGCTGTCGTCTGCTGTTAGGGTTTCGCTTCCTAGTCTTTCTACTGCCTTGGAGCGCGCTAAGGACCCTATAGTGCCTACGGTGTCGCTTGACTACTTTGACACTTATAAGCCTAACGATGAAAACTGGCGGTACGGTCTTTTGGATTCGATTAGATCCACCAAACCTTCTTTCAGCCTTAACTCGTATAGTTACCTTGAGGCTCACGCTCATAACAACACCACTGACGTGAGACCAATGGCTGCGAAAAACCACCATCAACATACTGCTGCTCCTACTGCTCCTAAGGAACCAGTTAAACTACCGCCTATTAGTGAACTCAGCAGTGGCGTGAAACCACAATTTGACTCTCGCGTCAGTAAGCCTTTGCCTACGTTGGCTGAACGCAAAATCAACTTCCCATATGAGTCTAACTATACGTACCTCAACAAAACGTACATGAACGATGTGGAACGGTACCCAGAGTACTTGGAGTTGGCCCAGTCGCTTATTCAACTTTCCAGGCCTGCTACAGGCGGTTCTAGTTCTTCTGTGAGTGCTGGTGCTGGCGCCAGTTACTACCAGCAGCCTGAATTTAGACCACAACCGCCATTTGCTGCTACTGCTACAGCCACGGCTGCCACGGCTGCTGCTGCCGCTGCTGCTTCATACCAGCCTGTGCCGTTCACTCCAGAAAGCTCATTCACGGAAAACGAACCTTCGTCGCCAAAGAAAAAGCAAAAGACGAAATTCATTCCTATCACGCCGCCTTCAGTTAAGGATAAGTCTAGATCCGAGTTGATGCGGTCGCCGCCCCGTCATGGCCAGCATGTGGCCAGAGTTTGCATTTCTTGTGGTTCAGACCAGTCGCCATGCTGGCGTCCTTCGTGGTCGATCAAGGAAGGCCAGTTGTGTAACTCTTGTGGTCTCAGGTACAAGAAGACGCTGGCACGTTGTTTGAACAAAAAGTGTAAGAAGATTCCTGCCAAGGGCGAGTGGTCCTTGATGCAGACGAAAGGAAAGACTGATTTCGGTGACGAGAAAGCATACAGTTGTTTGGACTGTGGCTGGAAAGTGGAGATCAAACTGTGAGCCAAGCTGCTTTGACGTTCTTGAGGAGGAAACGTTCATTGAGCTTGCCGGACAATCTCTTTTCCAGTTCGCCCTCCCATACTTTGCATTCTGGAGGTTTTTAACTCTCCATCGTTATCGAAGCTCTTTCAGTCATCAGACAATTACATGGCCTCAGACTCAAAGCCTCATAGAGTGCTGAAGTCTACAGACAGCATTGACTCCAACAGATTATACATCTAGGAGCGGCGTCCCAGGTCATTGCCGGCACTAAGCACCTTCTGCTGCCAGCCCAATTTTTTATCATATACAGACGAGTTGCTTTCCATTATGGAAGCTTATTTTAATGGTGTATAGCACCACTTTGCATAGAGAACCGTGTTCTCGAATATTAATGTGTTAATTGTGAGAAATTGTAGTCAAGTTGTAGATGATGATGAATAATTTGGAGAGTAGGCAAAAAGGTTTTTGGTGAAAGTAAGATCCAATTAAGTGTTGGTTCCAGAAGGTGACTTGGACTATTGCAGACATTCAAGCTTCACTAGCAGCCAACAGACGAATGTCCACTGCCCTCCACAACTCAATTGCCTGTCAGACGTTAATACAAACTACAACAAAATATAAGACATTCATGGGTAAGCAATTTTCTGAACATCTGACTACCCATTCCCTTTAACCGTAGTTCAACTGTTACCAGTCCATTCACTACCCAACCTTCTCCATTAACCAACCCCCAAACCAGACCAAATAGCCAACCTTCACTCCCCAGTCCCCAAACCTTATCTTTCTTCTATCAAGCCTCTCTTTAGTCTTCTCCTATTGTAAGCGCCCACTTCCAGGCATCTCCAGCCGAGCTCGCACCACCCACCCACTCCAGCAAGTACCAATCATGTAACAAGTAAAGTATTCTAAAACCAGAAACCATCACTTTCACGTAAAAGCTCTAAATATACCCAGCATCCAAAAACCAATTCATCATAAATTAGCCTCTGCTTCCTTTCCACTGTCCACCTTACTTTCTCCATATCCACCGTTTCGCACCCATTTTGCAACCATTCCTGGTACGCCCCACCTCCACCAGTATCCCCCACTTGCACCACTTCCACACCAAATAACCAAAAAAACGAACCCACCCAAACATCCCCTTAACTATTGTCATCCACGTCAAAAAAACCCTTGCACCGTGCCGCCACCTACCCTTTCCCCCACCATCCCACTGCCACTCCATGGAAGCCAGTGGAAACACCCGCACACCACAATCCCACACTACCTGTTCGTCCTCCTCGCCCTCACTAATCTCCTATCGCCCCAAACCTGCCAATCCACCCTTTTCCCTCATAAGCAATGTCTGAGCAAATCACCATCCACGTGAAGTCTTCTGGTGATAAGAAGTACGAGGTTTCGGTCGAGACCTCGGCCCTGATTGCAGACTTGAAGGCGATTATCTCCACCCATGCTGATGTTCCTCCAGAGCGCCAACGTTTGATTTATAGTGGTAAGGTGCTTAAGGATGAGGAGACGGTGGCTTCGTATAAGATCCAGAATGGGCATGCTGTTCATATGGTGAAGCTGTCGGCTCCAAAACCTGCTGCTGCCTCTAGTACTGGTGCAAGCACTGGTACCTCTGATCTGGCTGAAAGGTCCACTTCTCCTCAGGGCCAAAACGTTCCTTCCAACATTGCCGCTGGCCAGGGCTCATTCAATCCATTGGCTGACTTGACGGGCGCCCGTTACGCTGGCTACACTCAGCTTCCTTCGGCGTCGATGTTCGGTCCTGACGGTGGCATGGGCCAGTTGCCTGACTCAGACAGAATGTCTGAAATGATGAGCAGCCCGATGTTCCAGGAGCAGATGAATGCGTTGTTGCTGGACCCACAGATGTTGGACTTCATGATTAACCAGAACCCACAATTGCGTGCCATGGGACCCCAGGTCCGCTCCATGCTACAATCGCCCATGTTCAGAGAAATGATCAGCAACCCGGAAACCATGCGTAGCATGATGAACCTCCGGAACATGCAAGGTGCCGCTGGTGGAGCCGGTGGCGACGCTGCTCTGGCTTTCCCTGCGCCTGGAGCTAACCCTACTGTTGGAGAAGAAGGCGGCCAGAACGCTGGATCTGGCACTGACGCCAATGCATCCGGTGGTGCTGGCGCTGCAAACCCATTTGCATCTCTTTTCCCTAACGGTATGCCTCCAGTTGACCCATTCAGCTTGTTCGGCGGTGCTGGCGCAGGCGCTGGAGGCGCTGGAGCTGGTGGTGCCCCTGCTCCTCGTGACGACAGACCTCCAGAGGAGCGTTACGAGTCCCAGTTGAGACAACTCAACGATATGGGTTTCTTCGATTTCGATCAGAACGTCGCAGCACTTAGAAGAAGCGGCGGTAGCGTACAAGGTGCTATCGAGTACTTGTTGTCTGGTGGACACTAGACATGTTAATATACCAAATACAGGTAAACCAGGAATCTGGAGTAGATAGGGTTTGCAGCAGTAGTAACTAAGTACGGTAGGGTCGTGCGCGACACGAACTATCACCATAATACCATATTCTCAAGTACTCATTACAACAACACCCACAAATGGCTGAATCGCCGAAAAAAGAAGAGCCGACAAATGTCGCTCATAGAACAAGGAATGCCGGACGTCGAGATTCCGTATCGTCTGCTGAAAAAGAGTCCTTTGCCAAAAAGAAGGAAGATAAAGAAAGAGCCAAAGCAATAAGAGAAGGTCTAAAGAGTGACTATGTGGACCCCCTAAAACGCCATTTGGGCCCACTACAAGACCTAGTTGCTCCCCATGGCAACAAAGCTGCATACATTGAACCAATGGACTTCCATCTACGGAAACTCGCTGGTTTGATCGTCACCACACAAAAGTCCAAACCCCAGTTTTCTGAAGAATTCATAGACGAATTGGGCAACTTGGCGTCCGAATACTTGCATAAACTAATATCGCTGCTTCATAAGTACACAGAAGTACAGAGGCACCGCAGACCTGGAATCCATGACCTAGAGTTGAGTTTCCAGATGAACAAGGTTAGTCCCAGCTCGTTGTACCTGGAGTACGAACGGAGCAAAGAATTGCCAGAACAGACTATAAAACATAAAAAGACGCTTGATTCTCAGGCACAGAACCTCCTACAAGACTTTTATGCCGAGGAGTTTAATCTAGAAAAAGACGACCCATCGTCGGTATTCCATGCTAATGACCAGTACGAAGTGGCCTCCTTAATCCCACGTCAGTCCGAAAGGCCATCATATATTCCAGACTATTTTCCTACCCTCCCTCCAGACTATACGTACCAGAATACTGGTAGTTACATGAAGACCATCACCGAATTGAAGCAGATCAAGCTCAAGTTGGTGGAAGAATCCAGACTCAATGAGAGGTCATTGTATAAATTAATTGACCGTGAAGTGCCACAGGAGTCCACGGCAGTGGCGTTGTCGGATGTCGATAGTGACAAGGAGGATATCATGAGTGTATCAGGCGAAGGCAATGCTACAGATGTGGAGACTCCCCAGGAACCAAATGCTGAAACAGCTATGGATGTCGATAAGGGACATAAAGATGGTGAGGCTCCTGAAGAAGGTGATGCTAAACCTGAAGAAACAGCCGCGACTGATGCAACGGCTGATGGTACTGCTGCTGATGTGGTTGACCCTACAGCTACAGTCAAAGAAACACCAGTCAACTCCAAGAGGTTTGATTTCGTGGACTATGCCAACAGACGAAAGTTGGCAAAAGAAAGAGCGGCAAAGAAACTTGCTGCTCACAGAAAGAAAAGAGAGGACGATATATTACTCAGAAGAGAGAAGTTATACTCTCCTTATGCACAGGCGTTCCCTAAGGCAGAAGACAATGCTTTCTATGATCAATTCCTTCAGAAAAGTCTTAAGCGTGTTATTAGAACAACTAGAGACGCTTACCAAAAGAAGAGAGCTAAGATTACTGAGTTATTGGAAGAGAGAGCCAAACTAGAAAAAGAACAGGAGAAGAACAGTGGCTCCTTCGAGTTTGGCTTTGCATTCAACCCTAACGCCAACGTTCTGGATGAAAGTGAGGAGGAGGATGAAGTTGGCGAATTGGACTTCGGTGACGATTTCAAGCTTATAGAGAACCGTACCGATGTCGCTGGCAAGAGACCTTCGAGTGGATCCAGCCTGGCACCTCAGACAGCAACTCAAGATACCGAGGCCCCTGCTGGTGAAGCAGCTGAACAGAAGAAGGACGATGAAGACGTTGTTGACAATATGGCGCCAATTGACCACGAAGATGATGTTGATGACCTTGAAAATGAACTCGATAATGCATTGAACGAGACCGAAAGTAACAACTTGCCTGCGCCTATTCCATTTCCAAATGACATGGATGATTTTGAACTGAGCGACAGCGAGAGTGACGACGATAATAATAACGCTGGCGGCATCAACTTTGGAGATAACGCCAACGCGCCACCACAGACATTCCAGCCATCCACGCTGACCACGTTCGAAATGAATTTCCCACCTGAAGAGGATTCTGAAGAGTCTGAAGAGGATGAAATGGTGGAGGTTTAATGACCAGAAGCAAAGTCAATTGGCCTACAGCGTTGGTTACGCCACTCCCACGAAATGGTTGCAAAAAGCGCAAGCGCCTTCCCACTTCAATCACCTTCCTATGTCAACCTCAATCAGCATACAATGGACAGCCTTTCAAAGGCCAATACTACGAAAGAAAACGAAATCTACGAACCCAAACCGTAGAACCCCATTTATTCACCTCTTTTCCATGCTCTCCACTCTGAAACACTCGCATCCACCTCTACGCTTCAACCACCACCACCTCTTCCCACCACCACTAAAAACCCACCATAACCTCCTCATAAACCACTCCAAACCGCCACAATCTCCACCCTCCTATCCTCCCCCATTGCTTGCTCCATTCACAATGCCTTTGGGGTCTTGGAGGCTCTTCGGGGCAAACACCCGTGCACCCATATACAATAGGATGCATAATAACAAGAAACCCAGCTCAGGCAACTAGCCATTCTGAAAAAACCAATTCCATCCATATCTCCACGGGCCACGTCCCATGAACTATAACTCCCAATTGACAATTCCCATTACCCCTAGTCTATCTGTGATTGCCGCTTTCCCCAAGCTATAATACCCCATCCCACAGATTTGCGACTCCCTCGTTGTTCTACCTTATACTCAACCTTCTCCAACAATAGCCATGACTACGGTCTCCCTACCACCATCGGCGCCTTTCCCAGTCACCGTGACGGCCATTACAGCCAGACCAGGTGAAACCATCTCGAGGTACGCGCCGTTGATCAAATACAGATACTGGGACTACCAGGAAGACCCCAACTCGAAGGAAGAGACCCCGCCTAAGATACGTGTGGAGAGGATCGGGTCGTTTGAGAGTCCTATTGAGGGTGAAATTACTGAGGTTGCTGTTGACGTTGGCGAAGAAATTACCCATAGTGGCGTGATCTTGTGTTCAATCCAGGAACCGTGTACTCATGATGTTCAGTACGGTGGGCTCTGCGCCTTGTGTGGTAAGGCAGTGGAAGACGAGAAGGATTACACAGGGTACAACTATGAAGATAGAGCGACCATTGCCATGTCTCACGATAACACTGGGCTTCGAATAAGTTACGATGAGGCGACGAAGATTGAGCATAATGCTACGGAACGGTTGGCCAAGGAGAAGAAACTTATTTTGGTGGTCGACTTGGACCAGACAGTTATCCATGCCACCGTGGATCCGACCGTGGGCGAATGGCAGAAAGATCCTCAGAACCCTAATTACCCGTTTGTCAAGGATGTGCAGTCGTTTTGTCTTGAAGAAGAGCCCATGGTGCCTCCAGGCTGGATGGGCCCTAGACCAGCGCCTACAAAGTGCTGGTACTATGTGAAATTACGTCCTGGCTTGAAGGAATTTTTGGCGAACGTTGCCGAACGCTATGAGCTTCATATCTATACCATGGCCACACGAAATTATGCTTTGGCCATTGCATCGATCATTGACCCTAAGGGCATTTATTTTGGCGACCGTATTTTGAGTAGAGACGAAAGTGGCTCTTTGACGCATAAAAACCTTAAGAGACTTTTCCCGGTTGATCAGTCAATGGTGGTGATTATTGATGATAGAGGTGACGTCTGGCAATGGGACCCTAATCTTATCAAGGTGGTTCCATATGATTTTTTCGTCGGCATCGGCGATATTAATTCCAGTTTCTTGCCTAAAAAGAACGGTCAGCTTGTTGGACCAACAAAGAAAAGAAAAAGTCTCGCCCGTCTTGAAGAAGCCATGGGTGATGATGATACATCTGCAAATAAACCAGTGGAAGTTGACGAGCGTCTTACGCAAAATTCTACCCAAGAAAGCGATAGTATGGACGATGGAAGTGAAAGCGAGCCCGAAAGCAGCCAGCCTCCAGAACAGGAAAAAGACCAAACGACAGACAATACCAAAAACGGCCTGGAAAGCTCCGCTTCACCTCCATCTGGATCGTCTTCTCCTTCTGACGACTCCGCTGAATCTGATTCCCATGAGTCTGACTCTGAAAGCTCTTCACCAGTTGACCGTATGGTTGATCTTGCCGGTGGAGAGAACAATAAAAACTTGCTTCTTGAACAGCTGATAACACGGACCCAAAACCTCGAACAGCAACAGCACGATAGGCCGTTGGCCAAACTTCAAGATAAAATGGACCGCATTGCCCATGACCACGAGGACAGTTCTGTCTCCAGCAAAGATGAAGAGGAGGAGCATATTTTGTATGATGACGATGCTGAACTCATAACATTGGAGAAAGCTTTGAATTACATCCACGACCAGTACTATAAGTCATACGATATCTTCAAGAAAAACCAGGCCCTTGAGCGCCCTGATCTTACAACAATAATACCGAGACTTAAACTTGATTGTTTGAATGGCATTGTTGTCTTACTTTCAGGTATTCTACCGTTGGGTATGAATATGAACAACGCCGACATCGTTATCTGGTGCCGCCAGTTTGGCATGAAGGTTGTGAATGAAGTGTACCCTGAAGTCACTCATGTTGTCTGTAGAGACCCCAACGCTTCATACATGAAGACTGGTCTCACTCTCAAGGTAAGAATCGCTAAGAAGACAGTGCCAGATGTGAAGGTGGTTAACCCTGACTGGCTTTTTGCGTGCTTGAGTCTGTGGAAAAAGGTTGAAGAGAGAGACTACTTGATCGAGCTTCCGGATCAGGACTGGTATGTCTCCGAGAACGATGTCACAAAGTACCAGACCGCTCTAGGCTCTCAGCAAGAAAGAGAAGAAGCACGCTCAGCCGCAGCCGAAAATAGACCACGGCAAGGGTCCCTTTCATCGATTGATGACTACGACTTTAGCGAGGCTAATGCTGAGGTTGACGATTTCTTGGCTGGCATAAGTGATGATGATGAAGACGGAGAGGATTACGAGGCTGAGGGGGACGAAAGGCTGGGCGAAGATGATTCAGCGGTTAACGGCAGCGGAGGCGCAGGGGTCTCGTTCGTTAAAAGTCTTTATTCGAACAAGCGCAAGGCACCGGAAGACGAAGAAGACGAAGAAGACAGTGCAGAAGAAGACGCAAGTGATAACTACAGCAACGGTGACTACAAGAGGCAAAAGATCGAGGCGCATGAGGGAGACAACATTGATGAGCTTGAAAAAGAGCTTCTTGATGAGCTTGACAATCTCGATGAATAAGTGTTGATCAAGACATTTCAAAGACACCAAGAATTCCAGACAATGGGGGGCACGCCAGGAACCAAGGAAATCCCAAGGGTTCACTTTTCGTCCCGGATATAACAAAAGCCCAAAATCAAATGCACTAAAGCCTATCGGTCCCGCAATACCCCTGATCCGGCCTCATTCACAGATGGAGGCTTAAAACGGTGTATCGGTCCATTTTACCCCATCATCAACCGTCCTTCTTGATTTGCGCAAACTTCTATTTTTGATCTAAGTCGCACTCCCATGTCAACACGCTCGCACCCAGCCAGCCCCCGCTGACCAGCAAAGAAGACTGATTTCTGCGCGGCACAAAACCAAAGTCGAGAAATTTCGCCAGATGGGCACATCATGGCAACGAATTTAGCTTTTGATGGGCGTTTTTTGTGGCTCCTTTGGCAACCGAACGAAAAGAGGAATAAACTACGAGGGAAGAAAAAGAAAGGAAAAAAGTGCAAATTCGTAAACCCTATTGGTACCTTTTCCAATTTGCAACCACTGAAGTTGCGCTGATCACTTCCAAGCGAGATGACGCTATGGATTATTCATTTGGCTTTTATTTCTTCCTACCTACCGCGCCACGCCTCTGCCCCCCAGGCAGAAAAGCTCACTAAATCTTTGTTTTTTTAACGCTCGCTGCGTTAAGGTTTTGTGTACAGGCAATTATGCAAGCTTGACCCAGCAGCGTTTATATAAGATGGCTTCTGTTTGCTGTGAATTTTTGTTGTTTCCCATATTCTTCGTTCATCAATGTTTTTCCGGTTGTTGGTGCTATTCTTTACTATCTCGGCTGTCACGCTTACCCCGTGGGCTATCGTGGGTTCTTACAAGAACGCCAGCCATCTTACTAATAACTATTTGATTGGAGTTCAGGTCACAGGGCTTGATGTGGGTGCACTTTTCGCTGGAAACCAGAAGAGAGATGCTGTTGTGAACCTTCCGTTGGACAACAAGTTCGTGGACGCTGTGCCAACGCCTACCACTACTGAACGTGCTTACACTACTTCTTTTGAGAAGAAAGACTTGGCTGATGATATCCAGTCGCTTGTGGGCGGCTTGGGAACCGAAGTGAGTTCTGCTATTGACGGCATTGACTTGGATAAGCTTACTGCCGACGCTGCTTCTGCTACTTCTCAGATCGCTGACGCAATCGACACCGACGCTATTATCAGTGACATTGGTCAATTGGCCTCCAGCGTCAACCTTCCAGACGCCGTTGCTACCTTGGCTGAGGGTCTTGCTAATGGCCTCAGCATTGAACAGGCCGTTTCCAACTTAGAGTACCACGATTTGGGTTTCGCTGACTACTACAGTATCAGTTACTGGGGCTACTGCAGAGGTTACATGAGAAGTCTCAATAATTCCGACGACCTCATTTCAAACTTGGGTGATTTCGGTAAGAATTTCAACCAGGATAAAGTGAACTACGTGTGGTGCAGTCTGCCAGTCGCTGGTTATAAGTTCGATCCTTTGGAGCTTGTCAAGCGTGAGATGAGCAATGCTGTTAGAGACGAAATCGATGGTGTCAATGGTCTTCCCCTGGGTATCTCCGGTACGCTTAAAGCCCAGTTGATTGCCCTTATCGCGTCGGTCGACTATGAAACGCTTAACCTTCCTGGTGAGTTGCAAGATATGTTAGGTTTGCTTAACAACATCACCACCGCTGGTTTGGCTATGTTGATCGCAGGAGCCGGTTTGGGATTCATTTCCTTGATCTTCCAGCTTGTAGGCTTGGTCTCGTCTCCTCGCAATAGCTGTCTTTCGTGTTTGAACTACATTCTCATGTTGCTTTTCTTCCTCTGCATCCTTCTTGGTGCTGGTTTGACTACTGGTGTCTACATGTTCGCGAGAAAAGAAGTCAACAACCACATTGACGAGTTCGGCTTGAAGTCGTACTTGTCCATTCAATACTATGCGTTTGCTTGGTCTGCCATGGCTGCTTCCTTCATGGCAGTCGTGCTTGCAGCTCTCGGATACTGCTGCGGCTGTTTCCACGGCAATGGCAAGAGAAAGTACAAAAGGGTTGACGAGCCAAACATGGCCTACGACCATAAAGGCTACCAGTAAGGGTAGCGATATTTTCTACAGGGTTCAGCGGCGGTCGCTGTTTGATTTAATTTATGCGGCATGATATTTCAATAACAAAGTGTAGAGTAGTCATCTTTAACTAAAAATTAGAGCATCGCCAGTTTGGAATCTTTGCATAAGTCAAACAAACAGTCATCGAGGCATGTTTCGCAGCCATTTAGCAACTTTCAGATACTTCCACAAAAGCGAACGTCGATGCGGTCCAGGCTCAGTTGTCGAAAAAAATGGCTCAACAAAGCGATGAATAGCAATAAAACAAGCCTAACAAGTAACGTAAAGTGTTCTTTTAGTGTCTTCTTTCATGCATAAGCCGTATTGGTGAAGCCTCAGCAAGCTCAGCCATTTGCAGCCATTTCTTGGAGGCGTAGGCAGCATTAGAGTTTGGCAATTTACGTCGCTGGCGTGGTGGCTTTTGTGGAACATGATGGACGTGGACTGGGAAGAGCAGAGGGAAATGTCTGGGAAAAGGTCTGTGAAGTGGGAGGTGAAGGGTTGGTGAAGACGTAATGGAATGTATGTTTAGGTAGACAAACGAAGGTAAAGGTATTAAGTTGAACGTTTGGATAAAGTAAGAGTGAGATGGAAAGCTGGAACTTGTAGGGGTTTCTATGGGCTGATTGTGTGTTTACTTGCGGGTAGCTATTTACTGTGGTGATGTAGTACATAAGCACGTTAAACGTCAACACCATCACACAAAGCTACGGCGGATTGCTTGATTGGGAATGGGAATAAATGGAATTTTTTATTGGAGAGAAAGTAAGTTATTAAACATATTGAACTTCAATGGATACTCCAGGCAACTTGGGTTTATGAGGGTAGCTATACTGGTTAACAGTATATGTGGTTCACTACTGGATAACAGTATCTTTAACCTGGTAGGCAGCTACAGGTATGAATGTAAAAATATTCAAAAATCGGCCGTGAGCCCCCAAGTTTTTAAAAAAATGCTAGGCTTTCAAAATAGCAGAAGATAATACTGGCCAGTATATCAGTAACAGAGGATATCCAGACTAACAGACGATATCCAAACTATCACACAGATCACCAAGAATCGTCAAAGTAAAGATAATAAAGTCAAAGCTTTGGAAGCAATTACTACGTAACATCTTTACCCCTTTTACTTGCTTAGACCAAACGCTCCCACTAAAATGCCGATGTATCTGTAGCTTCCACAGAGCGCCCACCACACACTATCTCCCTCTATCTACTAGTACCATTCACCCATTTCCTCTACCAGTAAACCTCTCCCACCCTTCCTGCCAAACACCAAACCACATCAGCCTCCTATCCAAACCACCACTTCACCCCACCCTCCCATCTTCCTTCTTCCCTTCTCTTCCTTCTTCTGGCAACTCTCATCCATAGTATACTACCGCATTGTCCACCACTTCTCTCCATTTGCAGCCACCAGCCAACCTCACTTCCCCTTCGAAATTTCCCAAACCAAGCACATCATTGGATTCCATATCTTCCAAGCATTCCCCTTCAGCCACCCAAAACCTTTAAATAACCCACCCTACTTCCCAACTACCCTCCCCTTCCATCTCCTCTGACGTCCATTGGGGTGCGCAAAAACACATCTTCGCACTGGAAAACTCCATCGCTCAATCTACCCTCTAATCAACACATCCCTCCACATTCCCATCATGCTCTGCTCTTTGTCGGGCGAAGAGGCCCAGGAGCCCGTGGTGTCGCCCAAGAGCGGATGCATATTTGAAAAAAGACTCATTGAGTCGTATATTTCGACCACAGGGAAGGATCCTGTTTCGGAGGAGAGTTTGGCAGTGGAAGAACTCATCGGTGTGAAAAGTAAGGATCCGGTGATAGTGCCGCCTAAACCAGCGGCGTTCAACTCGATACCGACCATGTTGGCGGCGTTCCAGAACGAATGGGACGCTTTGGTGCTTGAAACGTTTACGTTGAGGAAAGAGCTTCATAATACCAAGCAAGAGCTCAGTGCTTCGTTGTACCAGTACGACGCGGCTGTAAGAGTTGCTGGAAAGGCTTTGAAGGAGAGAGACGAGGCTCGGGAAGCACTTGCCGAGCTTTCAAAGACATTTGCTTCGTCAGATAAGGAGAATGGCATGGAAGTGGATGAAAAAGCCGATACCGGACTGGCGCCTCTGGAGGAAGCTCCAGCGGTGGAGAAATCCGAATCGATAGAAACCTCAGGCTCGACTAGTGGAGACTTGGAGTCCAGAATCGAGCCTGTGGACACTTATAGAGACAGTCAACTGGGAAGTCCACGGGACGACGACTCAGAGGGCCTGAGAGAGCTTCAGAGAGAACGCAACACTGCCCCTAGATCAGACGCTGAACTCGAAGACGAGTCTGCTACGGTGCCCATGCCGGCAGACCACGCCCAGGATATCTTGGCAGGCCAGGAACGTTTGTTTGGAATTCACAAGAACCTCCGACTTACCGTGCCAGGCGCAGTTTCTGGGAAATTCGAGGTCCACTACGAAGTGGAACCACACAATTTGTCACCCCGTGTTCGGAATTACATCGCTGTAAGCGGACACGGCCACATCGCCATCTACGACGAAACTTCCATCTACCTTCACCCTGAAGGTAAACATATAAGGAAGAAATCAAGAATCAACTGTGTTGGCTTCACAGGCAGCTCACTCCAACTAGTGATCTCCTGCGCCAACAGTTTGCTCTACGTTTATACCATGAGAGGGGCCACAGAAAGAGCCATCCGTCACAGACAAGGAGAAATATACTGGATCATGCCTCATCCCTGTGTGCCAATGACTATTGGTGTCAACAGAGACAGATGGGTTGTGTTCAACAGCAACAGGGAAATCCACAACCCTGGTTTCATACTTACAAGAATATGTGCCGAAGCACTTCACGTTGACGGAAGACTACTAGCCCTAGGCACCTATGCGGGCCAGATTGTCATTTTCGATATCGTCAACAACGAAAAAGTCGCCAGTATCAACACAAGATACAACCGAGTGACCAAAATTGAATTCGCCTTCAACGGGTACTGGCTCTTTGCAGCCTCATACAACGACAGCACCAAGGGATCAGTGCAATTGTTTGATCTTCGTAAGAACACTCTTTTGCATGAATTCCCATACGACGGCAAGACCGAGTTCTCGATCGACCGGTCGTCGCTGGTCCTCGCCACCATCGTGAAAGGCACCAAACACGTCAACATCAGTATCTACAACAAAAAAGAGAAGAAATGGTCCGTGGACCATAAACAGGTAACCTTACCTGAACCGCTCATCCAGGTGGAACGCAGCGGCAACGTCAATGTCCCGTTCCAATCTTACAAACCCACATTTGCCGGGTTGAGCAAAACCGCTCTTTACCACTTCACGGTCGAATCGCTCTAGAAAACCGTGTGTATCATTATAAACCAATGTATAGTAGTAGTATATGGTTGCGAAATAAAATCACCAGGTGCGCATCGCGAGTTGAACTCTGGGGAAGTTACCAGACACCAACAGATGTACAACGACGAACAAAAGCACCAAATCGACCAATTGGTCTCTCAGTGGTTACAAGTGGACCCTAATGAGGTATCCAGACAAGAAATCCAGACCTTGCAAGCCCAAAACGACTACCTGACATTGGACAGTAAGTTATCCAAGAGAATCGCTTTCGGTACAGCCGGACTCCGTTCTTCCATGGAGCTGGGTTTTGCCCATATGAACGATGTCACCATTTTACAGGCATCCCAAGGTTTAGTGGCATACTTGGTTTCCACTTTGGAAGGCGCCCCTGGGTCTATCGTGATCGGATACGACCATAGGTTCCATTCTCAGAGGTATGCAGAGATCACAGCCAGTGTAGCCTTGGCCAGAGGGTTTACTGTTTATTACTTGGGCACCGCCAACAGCCTTTCCGATGAGTCTGATCCAGATTCGAACCCGAAAGACGACAAACTGTATGTGCATACTCCAATGGTGCCCTTTGGTATCGACTACTACCAGGCATCAGCAGGTGTGATGGTGACTGCTTCCCACAACCCAGCCAAGGATAACGGGTACAAGGTTTACTACGGCAACGGGTGCCAGATCATCCCACCGCACGACGCCGGCATTGCCAAAAGCATAGATGAAAACTTAGACCCCTGGTTGGACCGCGGCGTATGGAACGTCAAGGGTAACTTTGCCAAGGGATTGGAAGAGAAAAATTTGGTGCTTATAAAGGACGAACTTACACAGAAGTACGTCAGTGCTGTCAGGGACCAGCTTATCCAGAACAAGAGTATTTCGTATGACTTTGTCTATACGCCCATGCATGGCGTTGGGCTTGAAATTTTGTCTAAAATTTTCCAACAGTTTGAAGCCAAGCAGTCAGCCGTGGACGTTGTGCCTGAACAAGCTGTTCCTGACGCTAAGTTTCCTTCTGTACCATTTCCTAATCCCGAGGAGAAAGGCGCTTTAGACTTGGCAATTGCTCGCGCAGAGGCGCAGGGTTTCTCGTTGGTGGTGGCCAGCGACCCTGACGCCGACAGATTCAGTGTTGCTATAAGAAGAAGAGAAAGTGGAGATTGGCAGCAGCTTACTGGAAATGAGATTGGAATCTTGTTTGCAGCGTTTGTGGTGGAGGAGCTCACCAGTGCTGATGACTTGCATAAGACATGGCTTCTTAACTCAACGGTTTCGTCTCAGCTCTTGAGGTCTTTGGCAGAAAAGGCTGGTTGTCATTTCCAGGATACGTTGACGGGGTTCAAGTGGATTGGCAACAAAGCCATTGACCTTAAGAAGGAGGGGAATTTAGTGCCATTTGGATATGAAGAAGCTATTGGGTACATGTTCGGTGTGGTCAACGACAAGGATGGTATTTCAGCCGCTGTGATGTGGCTCCAGCTTTACGAAGCGTGGTTTAGCAATGGCAAACAAGACCCGATTGACAAGTTGGAGAAAATTTACCAAAAGTACGGCTGGTTCAAGGAATGCAACGGGTACTACAAGCTTGACGATGTACTGAAGACACCCAGAATTTTCAACGAAACCATCCGCAAGCTGTACCCATCCAACGAGCATTACCCCCAAACGCTTGGAAAATTCAAAGTCGTCGAATGGCGTGACCTTACTATCGGCTACGAGCTGGTCACCGCCAACAACGTCCCCATTCTTCCCCTGGACCCTCTGTCCCAGATGATTACTGCCATTTTGCAACCACAGGACGCCACAAACAATGCAGAACAGGTGCGTTTCACCTGCCGAGGCTCTGGCACCGAACCCAAACTCAAAGTGTACATTGAAGGCCGTTCAAACCAAAGTGAAGAATCTGCCATAAAATTGGCCAGAGCCTGCTGGGACACCCTTAGAGACGAATGGTTCAAGCCTAAAGAGAATGGTATCCAAGAGGTGGTGTAAGGGTGCACACAGTCTACAGTCTACAGTGGTGGATAAAAATGGATATATTCATTCCCTCTGGTGTTTTTTTTATTGTTGCGCACCAATTTTTGGCACTGCACACAGACCGCCGACATCTACTGTCTGCCACTGTTTCTGTGAAGTTTTCGGTTGTTTTGCGTGGTTTCCCTTAGTTCGACTTGTCCCCTTGAGTGCCACTCCCCCAACTGCTTCCTACCACCTCAAGCACAAATCTCACTCAAGGCTGCGTCCTAATAATTGCCCACAATGGTTTTCAAGGATAAAGCTTCGGACCTCCCAATGTACGTTTCTTCACTAGCCCCCCTTTAGTCGTGTTCCACCTACTAACTGCCAGATATAACAACCGGTTTCGTCCCAGACGACCCTCCAAGGGCATGCTTCGAGGTCTTCTTATTGGCGCCATGGCCCTACTATTGGTGTGGGGGCTTCTCCATAGAAGCCTGGGGTTCAATCCGTCCATGCTGGAAAAAGCTGTCCTTACCGAGGACTATGATCTATATACGGTGACCAAGGATGGTGTTCAGAAAGCCGAGCCGGAAGACGCGGCCAGCACTGCCGAGGCAGAACAAATCTATAAAGACACTGTTCATATTCACGACTTGAATAACTACCAAGGCACTCCTGCCGGTGAATCTGCCAATGAGGTGGTACTATTCTTGATGCCCCTTAGAAACGCCGAGCACGTCTTGCCCATGGCTTTCCAGAACATCATGAACTTGACCTACGACCATTCGTTGGTTGACATTGCATTTTTGGTTTCTGACTGCTCTCCTGGCGACACCACGTTGGAATCCGTGTTCAAGTACTCTGTTTCTTTGCAGAATGGCACTTTGGCCGACGAGCTTCTAGCAGCAGAGAGAGATAAACGTAATGACGCCGTGAGAGGCACAAACGACTTGTACGAGAATTACATGGACCAAGCTTATATGGAGAATGTTCGCAAAGCGTACAACTCGCCCGAAACATGGCACAAGGGCTACAGAACGCCATTTAGATCTGTTTCCATCTACGTGAAAGATTTCGGTCAGGTGATTGGCCAGGGCTTCAGTGATAGACATGCAGTTAAAGTGCAAGGTATTAGAAGAAAGTTGATGGGCCGGGCTAGAAATTGGCTCACGGCCAGTGCATTGAAACCACATCATTCGTGGGTTTACTGGAGAGACGTGGATATTGAAACATGCCCTGGTTCTGTGATTCAGGACTTGATGAAATTCGACTATGACGTTATGGTGCCAAACATTTGGAGACCATTGCCCGGCTTTTTGGGTAATGAACAGGCGTACGATCTTAATTCGTGGGTCGAATCAGAACCTGCTCTAGAACTAGCGAAGAAACTTGACGAGGACGATGTTATAGTCGAAGGGTACGCCGAGTATCCGACATGGCGAGTGCATTTGGCATACATTCGAGACGCAAACGGAGATCCAAACGAAGTTCTTGATTTGGATGGTGTAGGAGGAGTTTCCATTCTCGCCAAGGCCAAGATTTTCAGGCAGGGCGTCCATTTCCCGGCCTTTACGTTTTTGAACCACGCAGAAACTGAGGCGTTTGGCAAGATGGCCAAGAAGATGGGATTCAGAGTTGGAGGGTTGCCCCACTACACTATCTGGCATATTTACGAGCCCAGTGAAGACGACCTTAAGAAGATCGCAACCATGGAGAGGCAAAAGAGGCGTCAGAAGAACACCTAGAAGGTGTAAGGTTCCCCCTTATGGTGGAAAAATCATTGTCATCATCCAGCATCTAGTGTAATAATACAATAGCAAGAAACATCAAAAAAAAAGAATAACATTCTCAGTAGGAAGGCAGGTGTTTTAATCTATGTGAGCTCTTATAGAGTCACTCAGAGATTGTTCACATCCATGTTGTTCATCATAAAATGTTGAATATTCTGCTGAGGGAGTCGAACCCTCGCCTGGTGGTAACGCTAGGTTAACCGGCTAGTCCAACGCAAAAGAAAATCATAGGATATATCGCACCCGGTTGTGTAGTAATGCATATTGGGAAAGCCTTAGAAATGGGTATTTTTGATGATTTAGACATGGAAAGTGGTTTTGGGGGTTTTTTGTGGAGCGTTTAAATTAGCCAAATCGGCCGGGATCTCGAGATATTTCAATTTTCGTTTTTCGACTTGTTTTGGTCGATTTCTGGCGACTCTGTTTATCCCAGTGGATGCAAAACCACCAGTGAACAGACGTCCATATATTGTCGGTAAATGGATGAAGAATCCAACTAACGGCATTTCAGTACATTACCTGAAACTCCCAATCCACAATTGACCTATTTATAGTTTCAAAACACAAAAAAAAGACCACTTTTCGTGGATCTAACGCACCCTCGTCTGTGTCACCTCCACTTCCCCAAGTCTCCATCCTCCACATCCCAAAACCACCAAGTCTCCAAATCCCCAAAACACTCTTCGTCCAAACCCATTTTTCTTTTAATTCACCACGTTCATCCTTCCCTTCCCCACTCTCGTAACTCACCACCACTTCTGGGCTGATCTGCCTGGTTTGTTTACCAAGGAATGTTTTTCGCAGCCATTCTGCCTCCACTCAGCAGCACCTCCAGTGACGTGAACCCCCAGCCAAAAAGCCAAGAGAAAACTCATTTAGTTGGATTTCCATTGAAGTGTTATTCTTGGGTCGAAAGTAACCCAAATGTATCAAAAACAGACCCAGAACGCCAAATCTGTACAATATACCAATCGGTGTTTCCATGTTTAGCAGCCAGCCGAGCAGACAAGCAGAAATAGACAAACCGCGACTCGACTCGACTGGACTGGTACCGATCGGTCTAGTACAGAAGTCCAGCCAGGCCCAATAAACCTCCACCAAACCACCAAAATCCACGAAAAAAGACAAAAATAAATAGCAGTATTCCTCTTTTTCCCCCAAACAAGTCAACTTCCACTTTTCAGTCAATTTAGAATTCAACCTCCACTCACTACTTCCACTTCCTCAATCTCTGGATACGTCAATTGATCTACACAAAAACAGCTGCGGCAGCGCCGGGAGCGAAAAAAGCGTCCTCCCCAGGTCTCAAGTAGTCTCTCCAGTGTCCAACAACCCCCATTCATTTCCACCACCAACCCCTATTTTCCTTAAAAAAGCATCAAAATGGACTTATTCCCGTCAAAGTATCTTCTCCATCCACTTTTTATTCTCCCTTCTTCCACCCTTCTTCCTCCACCTCCCCTTCTGCCTCCTCCCTCTTCCCATGGTGGACTCGCGATTTTTCACTCGGCCTGGCGTGGCTGGTCTTCGCGAGCCACCAAAACAAAAACCACTCCACAATGCCACTACACAAGCCCAGTTTTCCTTCCCATTGTTCCCTTCTTTTCTTCCTTCCTTTATTTGTCTTTCCCTCCCCTCTACAATCTCTGGTTCTCTAAATAGACTGGGGACTGGCGCCTGAGGCTGTGCCTGGTGGCTGCGAAAAATCACTAAACTACCGCCGTACCGCGACTTATATACCTCTTGTTTTGCTCGCTCTTCTTCGTGTTTACCCTTGCAAAGAAGCCCTTCAGTACCTCCTACTTCTTCCTTCTTCAATGCTTATCCTTTGGCTTTGGACGCTTCTTGTGGCCTCGGCTCGTGCGCTTGCGCCAGTGCAAGACTTCAGAGTGCCAGGTATGGCAAAGGTGGTTTCTAAGGCTTGGAGCGTGCCTCGGTTGAACGCCAACTCTAACCAGGCCACGGTGCCTGCGGCCAGAACGGTGCTGGCGAAACTGCTGGGGCCGGAAATTCGGTTGGGTGACTCGGTGCTTCCGCTTTGGACGGATCTGGCGAACTCAATTTACTATGTGAACCTGACGGTGGGCGAGAAGGACGAGGATATCAAGTTCCCGCTTCTTTTGGATACGGGGAGCGGGATTTCGTGGATTATGAACGATTCGTGTTCGTCTCTGGCGTGTGGGAACTCTGCTAAGTTTCAGCAGACTGTGGTGCCTAAATCGCTGTTTTATCTTTCGTATTCGGGGAGCCCAGTGCTGGGCCAGATGGTCGATACGGCTGAAAACGATTTGGAGTTTAATATTGGTGGTTCTTTGAAATTGACGAATTATTCGTTTGGCGTGGCTCTGACGGCTCCGTCGTTCTTTGAATCTTTTAATTTAAGTGGGATTCTCGGTGTTCAGGCTACTTATGATGATAAGGAAAAATCAAATATGATCCACCAGCTTTACTATGCTGGGGACATTGACAAGATGGAGTTTGCTGTTCTTTTGAATGGTATTTCAAATGTAAGCCATTCCCTCGGCGGAGTGTTCATTACTGGCTCCGACGCTACAAATTACGCCTCGAAATTGGCTTCTTCTGAAATACAATACTGTGACGTTCTTCAAAACGACCAACTGTTCTGGATGTTGAACATTTCCAGCGTCCATTCAGGTGAAAACCACGCCATCAACTCCAGCAGAGGAGCTATCATCGACACAGGCACTACAGGCATGGCACTTTCTCGTGATGATGCCGACGCGTTACATAAAGCTGCATTTGGACTGGACTATGTCGGCGACGAAGAGGGAAATTTTGCATTCAGATGTAACGCCACGGGTAATTTGTCCTTTGCTATTGACGGGCACACGTTTGACCTTCCTGTGGCACATATCAGAGCCCTGGAGTACGACGTACCAATTCTCCAAGGTTACTGTGCATCCAAGATCCAAGGCAAACCTAACTTGAACACCTGGATTCTCGGTGCCAGCTTCCTCGGCAATTTTTATACCATTTTTGATCTCGAGAAGAGCAGAGTGGGCTTTGCACCACGCGTGGAATCTTTCCAAATAACCTCACCAGATAGCACTGCAAGCCAGTCTAGTTCATCCGCCACGCTGTCAGCCACAAAGTCCTCCTCGTCTGCTTCTTCTTCCACAGCATCTTCATCCACATCGAGCTCCGGAGCTCGCTCTTCAAACAATACTTCACAACCAGAGCAACATAATCTGGCGTCAAGCCTTTCACACATAAGTTGTCTCGTGGTTCTTGCATTCAGCATCTTGTTACTTTCATAGACTATGTAATAACAACAAGCCAGCTAAGCACGGCATACATCAATGCCACTGGATAAATTGCTAAGAAAACCCTTCCTGGAAGGACGCCCAGGCACCGTAGACTCATCGTAGCGGCATAAACGCTCCAGGCATTAAGTATAAACATGATGATTAAACGAAGGAAACGCCATTTGATCAAAAGGCCATTGACCAAAGCTCCAACCACCAAAGGAAACATCGAATAACCTGTAGCTGAAATAGCAGACAAGAAAGAAATGGTTCCACCCAAAAGCTGGATGTTCAAGCCCACCACCAAGTAAAACAACCAAGTAAACGAAAACGTGCCCGAAAACACCACATTGGTCTGTGACTTTGGCGCCAAAAGACCCATGGTCACCGAGTACGCCAAAGAGAATGTAAGTGGACCCCACAAGTCCCAATCCAAAGCAGTCACCTCATCCAGGCCAGCAGACTCCTCGTCATCCTCTGGAACAGGCGTAGCGTGTGCAAGCTGAGAAGGAATACGAACACCATTATTAGAAGCAAAGTTAAGCAAGTTCTGCTGGTTCTTGTATGCCAATTGTTTCAACTGAGCAGGCCATACGACCACCGCCAACCGTCTACCGATCTGAGCCAAGTCTCGTTTCAAAGTATGCCACACTGGCTCGTCTAACGTATCGCCTCCAGTATACTGGCTTTCTCTAATAGTGTTGTTTTCCTGGAACTGGGACGATTTGATGAATGGAGTGAAGGCAGACGAAAGGTCCACTTTAGGAGCCCAGAAACTGGACGTATTTTGTTGTGGCTGTGTCGAGCCCTGATTGGATGAAGCTTGTGGAGCTGGTTCTTCGTCGGCAATGACGAAATCTTGGACGTCAGGTCCAGAGTTCCAGTTTGACATTTGGTAGTTGTGGTTTGGTGAAACAGTGTGAGATCAGACAGTATTTATCTGTCTCGAGACCATGCAGGTAGAATGGTAGGAAGAGAAGGAAGAAGTGATAAATGTGCTATGAGAATTGTATGTCCTTGATGGAAATGGGATTAGTAGATGCAATTGGGTTGTTTTTGGGTGGTTGATTGGGGATAGTTGCTTTGGGTGGTGGATTGGGGATAGTTGCTTTGGGCTTCTAAGAGTCTATGCTTCTTCTTGCGAGTACTTAGTCATATAAGAAGTAGACCACCACCAACACACATACCCCCAAATCACTTCCCAACCCGGTCAATTCCCATCTACACTGCTACCTTTCTAATTGATGCATTTATATAGACTGTCGGATGAAGGCCATATAGCCAGTGCTAGATACTACCTCCTCTGGCTCCATCGTCGCTTCGTATCCATGCTGGAACACTCAGAACTTCAAGTTCGACTTGATCTCCTCGATGTTATCCTCAGGAGTCAACTTCTTCAAAACTCTAGCTGGGTTGCCCACAACAACACTGTATGCTGGGACGTCCTTGGTCACCACACTGCCAGCACCAACAACACAACCGTCGCCAATGTTGACGCCAGGTAAAACCACAATGTTACTGCCAAACCACACGTTGTTACCCACAGAAATAGGGAATGCCATCTCCTCGCCCTTCAATCTACTAGTAGGATCAGTGGGGTGAGTGGCCGTGGTGAATGTCACGTTAGGTCCAGCCATCACGTTATCGCCAAACGTAATAAGAGTACAATCCAACAAGGTAAGGTTGAAGTTGAAGTAGTTGGCCTTACCAAACTTGGTGTTGCACCCGTAATCAACATAGAACGGAGCCTCAATGACAAGATCATCCTCAATCTTACCAAAGAGCTTCTTCAAGTAGGCGTTTCTTGCGTTGTAGTACTTTTCAAAGTCGTAGTCGTGGTCCTTCATTCTGATGTTGGAGTAGTCCAAGGCCACTTCCGTGGAGAGGTTTCTGGCCAACCACAACTCCTTGTTGAAACAGTCATAGTGGACGCCCAGAATCATCTTCTCGTACTCCTCTCCACGAGGAATGTTCAGAAGGTTCTTGTATGCCCAATCGACGAGCTCCTTGTTGATTTCAGTGTTTGCGCCAGACATGAAAAAGGAGAGTTGTTTTTTAGAGAGAAAGAAGAGGAAGTGCTGGGTGGAACGTTTTGGGGACGGTGTCGGTGAAACTCATTAGTGGGGCTCGTAAAATATGCACCTTTTGCGTCGCCTTAAAAGTGCCAATTCCTTTCGCAGCCAAACGAAACACCGAACACGAAGTATGTGAAGTTTGGGGATTGAAGAATTGGGAATTGGAGATTGGAGATTGGAGATTGGAAGTTGGAGATTTAGTGTTTAGAAAGCCTTCCTCCTCTTTATCTACACTTCACTGCTGGACAGTCTATTTTTATACGTATTTCTAGGCATTTAAAACACATTCCATGGAGGAATGTTGGTTCTCTGAACGCCGTACTTACCGCTCAAGTTGTTCAAAGCTTCAAAGTCCTCCTTCTTCAAAGTGAAGGTCTTGTGGTTGGAGATGATTCTCTCGTCGTGAACAGACTTTGGCAACACAATGGTCTTTCTCTGAACAGCCCAAGACACAAGCACCTGGCCCACGTCAGCGTTGTTCTTCTTAGCAATCTCTTTAACCACTGGGTTGTTAAGCAAAGGAGAACCTTCAGAGCCCAATGGCGAGTAGGCCTCGACGAAGATGTTCTCGGATTGCAAGTAGTCAAACAACTCAGGCTGGGTCAACAATGGGTGGGCTTCAATCTGGTTCACCACTGGCTTAATGGTGACATCCTTGTCTGCCAACAACTTCTGGACTCTCTCCTTGGTGACGTTGGAAATACCAATGGACTTGACCTTACCGGCCTTGACCAATGGCTGCAAGGCCTTGTAGGTTTCGTTAAGGTCAAACTCCTCAGGCTTAGCAGCTCTCTCGTCCTCAATGTTCACTGGCCAGTGGATCAAGTACAAGTCAACGTAGTCAGTGCCCAATTTCCTCAAGGACTCGTCCAAAGCAGCCTCTGGGTTCTTATGGTCTGGGTTCCACAACTTGGTGGTGAGGAAGAAGTTCTCTCTCTTCACACCAGACTCCTTGATGCCCTGGCCCACACCTTCTTCGTTACCGTAGATAGAAGCAGTGTCGATGTGCTTGTAGCCGTTCTGCAAGGCAGTCTTGACGGCAGAAGCAGCGTCGCCGTTCTCGGATCTCCAAGTTCCCAAGGCAACAGCTGGGATTTTGTTACCGTCGTTCAAGGTATAAGTTTGGGTGTTAGTGTCAATAGGAGGCATAGTGGTTATGTTTCTAGATACTTTCTATAAAAGTGTGGGACTTCCCAGTATTTATATTCCCTGGCGCCAAATCCACAACGCCATTGTTCAGCCTGACTGTGTCAGTCAACAGAGGTTATGAATCGGAGTCCCGCTTTGGAACACTCCGGTTGCTGTTGCTGTGGTTGCAAAATGCAAAATTGCGGTGGCTGCAAACTGCGAATAGGGTAAATTGCGGTGGTTGCAACTGCCACACTCTTGAGGGTTAGCCTTGTCATTGGACCTATTTTCTTGTGGCGCCTTGGGATGACTAGGGATGGCTTAGCCAGGGTCTGGGACTTCGAGGGTTGAAAAAGCAGACTTTAGGGATTCTGGTTCTGTCTTCTGTCTCCTCGGAGTTGCTGGGTTATGTCACCGAACATACAAACGTCAGATCTCCTACATTGACGGGTTTGACGGTTTGACGTGATCGTTCGGGTTTAGTCGTGCCTGGTCTTGCTTTTGTCAGAGGACCCTTGCAGATGTGATGTTTGGTTGCTCTCGCAAGGAAGGGTCCTCTGACAACCAAAGTAGTCTGGAGTAACAATTGACGGGTCGCTGACAAACATCGCTTGGTATTTTGTTTTCCGTGCATATTTTCTATTTGTTTCTACGGTTTCGATGGGATACGGCTTTGTGGTTTTGCCGAAATCAATGGCTGCAAACGGCTATGCAACCGGTGAGGCCGATCGCTTACGAAACCTTATTCTCTCCTCTTCTTCAACTTATTTACTTTTAGTAGGTGTCTTAGTTTCTCTTGCGCAAGCCAAACAACCCTGTACGACGGGCTGACTTCTTGCTGGTGTTTGACGTCTGGCTGCTGGACGACTTGGTCGTCGTGATACTTCTTACGTCACTGTCACCGGAGTCCGTTGTCTGCTTGGGCTGTTCAGGGTGTCTGAGCTTGTGCCCAATACGCAGCATGATTCCTGGTTTTTTGTCTTTGGAAGCAATGGATGGCTTGGAGAAGATAGACGAGGCGTCGCCTTCCTCGTGTCTCGGGGTGAAGAAGCCTGGCTCGGTGTTGTTTCTCTCGAGCGCAGTGGATGTATGTTTCAGTGATTGCTGCGATAACAGATCCGACTTATCTTCCTTGTCACTCTTAATAGCTTCTTTTTCAACGGTCTTTTGTTTGGCTTCTTTGGCAGCGCGTTTCTCTTCTTTAGCAACCCGTTGTTTCTCTTCCTTAGCGGCCTTCTGTTTGGTCTTTTCCTCTTGCTTGATAATCTGTGCAATGCGTCTGTCCAAGTCCTTGTTGTCTTCAAGCAGACTCTTCGAGTTTGTCCTTCCGCCAGTATTAGTAGACTTCAATGGCGTGAACTTGAAAGCCGACGTGGTAGTATTGAGCGAAGTAGACGATCTCATCGTCAGCGGTTGTGGGTGTGGAGATCCCAGATCGCTCAAATCAACTGTTGGCAGACGCTTAAATGGAATGGCACCACCAGATCCAGAACCTGGTCTAAGCGTCGTCACCGAAGGTCTTTCGCTTGTGGATCCTCGTTGAGTCATGGTCACTTGCAGTTGATTATCGTCGTCGTTCGCGTGTGCTTGACGTGCAACTCTTTCGAGCTTGTAGTAGTCTTCTTCGGTCTGCTTCAATGCCCTTGACATGTGCTTGACATTGAGAGAACGTAACATAAGCTTCACGTCCGTACAGATCGATGAAATTTCATGAATAAGATCGATCACGTAGTCACTTGGTGGTGGAGATTCAGGCGACACAAGCACTTCCAAGGTCGTCATGAGCGACTTCTCTTTCTCTTCCTCTTCAGCTTCATTTGTCATGTACGTCACAGAATCATAAGCCAGGCGATCAAACACGGACTTTGAACGTGGATTGAGGCCAAAACTCTTACTTTCATTGAAATCAAGGAAATGAATATCGCTTTGATAAAAGTCATCCTCGTCTTCCTGTTCGGATCTAGACTCCTCTCCATGGTGAATGTCTCCTGCAGCAAGCAGTCCTGACTTGGGTGACTTGGGCTCTTCAGAATTCAAACGCTTAGTTCTCGATTGGAAGTAGTCCCCATCATTAAAACTCGTCTTCTCTTCAGGGATGCTAGCAGGCGTAGATGTAGTCTTCTTTTTGCTTCCTTGACTCGACACACTGGCCTTGTGGAGGCTAGAAGATTTACGCAATAATGCAATATCCAAGTAACCGTCGTCAACTGTATCCATAAAGCCCTCGTATTCATCAATTGGAAGTCTGAGGTTCGTATCGACACTTCTACCGAGATCAGCAAAGCAGTCCAAATACTTCCGCTTCAAGCGTTTTCCTTCCTTGATGATGTGAGCTTCTTTTCTGCCAATAATACCATACAACACCTCACTGATCAAGTCATAAAGCAATGGCACTTTAAAATATCTCGCAATCAACATGCAATCAAGTAAACAAGGTCTGAGCGTCCACTTATTTCCGACCTGACCAGTGTACATGTACTCTGCAAAAGCTTTAAGTGAGCTTGTGCAGAAAGGAATATACAACTTTCTAGGAATCAAAGAAGGTTCCATTTTGAAAGATTCGGCATCATTGCTATCGAAATCCAATAATGCATGGTGGTATGGTTCGTGAGCCAGTCTTGCGTCGAAATCATCTTCATGTAGACTTCTAGCGGTTGCAGGAGTCTCAGCATTGAGAGTAGACAATGATGCCTTCTTGCTCAGAGAATCGGAGTTTGACGATGTCCTTGTAGATGATGAAGCACGTCTATCAGACTGAATTTCCAACGAATCAAGTGGACTTCTCACGGGTTCATCTTGTGGCTTATTGAGGGAAGTTGTTTTGCTCATTACTGGAACAGCGACTTCAGTGATTGGAGGATCCAGTGAGGCAGACACAGAGCCTCTTGGAGAAGCAAATGGAGATGCTCTTGGAGATTTACCACCATGCGATGGAATGCTTCTCAAGACTGTCAATGTATGAAGAAGAGATGCCCTTGGCGAGGTAGCATCGGTCGAGTTCTTACGAGATCCTGGCTTGAACGTCGTTGGAGTCGCTGGAACGGCAGGCAATGGCTCATTAGGCATAGGTAACTGTGGAGGAATATCTTGAAGCTGCGATGTGAGTAAGGAGTTTGCTGACGAAAACGACGACACTGAAGCCTTTCTGTCAGCAACCTTTTTGTGAGGATCTATGGAACCAAGCTCCTTTGAAGTCAAATTGGCGGTAGTAGGTGCGTCCTGAAAGGGAAGTCTAAACTGGGGAGGTTCCTTCTGTGATGGCTTGACTGACGGAATAGAAACATGGAACGTTTTCTCCTGTCTGTCAGCAAGTGGCTCACTGCTTGAGATATCTTCACTGGAAGTGCCATGCCTTGTACTCTTAGAATCCAGACTACCGCCACTGCTCCGTGAAGCTCTGAGCTTCTGCGAGCTTTCACTTTGCAATTGGTCAAACTCGAACTTGTCAACAGCTCCAACATAAGCTTTAGCGAGAAGATCGATGAAGTATTTACCCCATCTCTCTCTCAATACCGCCATAGAAACTGGGATTCTGTCACCACTCGTTGAGATCAACTCTAAGTCGGACATCAAGTCACCGTACCTATCAAAAGCACTTCTTCCGAGCGTGATAGCAGCAGGAGGAAACACCGATCTAATCTTCGTGTAGCTAACTTTTGGTGCAGCATAGTGAACATACTCGTTGAAACTCATGTTGTTTGCTGGCGCTCTATCACTCTTTGAAGACATTGTGGAAAACTTTCTTGCAGGATTGAAGTCAGGAATGTCTTCTTCGTCTAGCTCGCTGAGGGATGATGTATCCTCAGCAGAAGAACTAGCAGAAGCAAATTCTTCCGCGGAACTTGTCTCGTTGGTTAAGTACTTCTTACCGTCTGGACCGTGGAAGTGACTTCCAGCCAATTCAAAAGATGCAAGGATGTTGGTGACCGGTAGACTGACAGTTATCATGGATGAAAAGTAACGAACACTGCTTGTGGTTCTTGAGGTAACGTAGTTTCCTAGTAGAACAACTTTGTGGTGGGAAGTCCATGCGAAGCCGCCCAGAACCTGTGGGAGCCGTAATCATGGTGACAGAATATGTTGAGACGAGACCATTTACCTGTGGGTTTGTTGTAAATGAATATGGAAATATCAAGGTCGTCTGGTAGGAAGCCAACAATAACAAGGTTTTGACCGAACAATCCACCAGTTGGAAATCTAAGGTTGTGAGGAATAGTTTGACGTAAGATGTTCGCTCTTTGTTCGCTCACAGATGCTCCAACTGACTTCTTTTTATGTAGTGGCATCACTTTGCCTCGACAGATTTTTTTACCGATTCTGAACGAAAGTAATGGGTTGACTGATGGATCTTTCTGTGAGGAGCTTGTTGGCGAGTAAAGTATTATGGATTCTTCTTCGGCGGTCGAGATGTCTTGTACTATAGGACCGTGGTTCTCAGACTCGCGCCTTTCGTGACTATGCCCGTGGTTATGATGATGGAGGTGGTGATGGTGATGCTCGACTTCTTCGGAAAAGTTGACAATGACGCTGTTTAAGTAGTTAACATTGACGGTCTTGTCTTTACTAACAGACTCAAACTGCGATAACCCCGACGAAGCATCTTTTTGCTTATCGCCAGAAGATGCACTGAAAAAGATGGGATTACCAGCATCCACATACTTTTTCTCAACAAGGTCAAAAGCGTAATTATCATATAACGGGTTTGAGTCGGCGTCTTGTCCACCGGCAATGACCAACCCGCAATGGTCTTTTTTCTTAGCAAAATGAAGGCTATTGATAAGCGTCATTTTATGGCAGTATCTGGGAGGAGGAATGCTATGGCCCGAATTAAACCCTATGCCTTCGTGGAGCATGGACCAAGATTTGGAGCGCAAATCGAACTGCCAGAGGTCGTTGCACGGTACCAAACGGCTAGCTTTCTCGTCGGTCAGCTCGTCTCCATCCTCAGGAAACACAAGCCCGCCAAAAATGTAAACGCAATTATTGCCCTTGGCCATTTCATGGAACAAACGAGGTTTGGGTCTAGGAGCCAGTTCCGGGAGCAGAACCCTGGACCAGCTCTTGGAAAGCAAGTCTAAATAAAACAACTCGCCCGAAAGGTATTTCCTAATCTTCTTCAGCTTGTTCGGCCCCAACTTCAGCAAAAATGTCTGCAGAATATGCTTAGCATTCACGTCGGTATCCAAGTCCAACCCCACAGTAAGCCCACCAAAAGTGAACACCATGGAATTATGAAGAATGGACGCCGAACCCGTCCGCACGTTCAAGTTGAGCCGATCATCTTTCTCTGTCGGAGGCAACTGCAACAAATGGCAGGCGCTGGATGTGGGTAGAAAGGTGGTCATTGAAGACGGGGTAGACGAGGCATGAAATGAGTACGACTGGGGAACTGGAACTGTTTATATAGTAGGGATTGGTTGGATAGAAAGGATGAAGTAGCAAAGGAATTGCCAGGCACGCCGTCAGGAGGTGATGTCGTCGTCCGGAGGCGTGTGTACCGAGATGTGATGATGTTTCTTTCTAAAAAGATGTTCTTCTTTTTTACTTTCACCTATACATTGAAAGTGCGCACAAGGTAGAGATTGCACAGGGTGCCGTTTGACAGGTGGACTCAGGGAGAGATGGAAAGAAAGAAAAGAAAAAAAAAGTGGATGGTAAAAAGAAGGGGAAATCGCCTGTTTATATAGTTTTTGGGAAAGGGGCGGTAGGGGCGGTTGATCTTTGGAAGGGTCTTTAGGTTGGAGTGGGGGACTGGTTGGTGTGCATTTTCGCAGCCAGTAGGGCGCTGGCTAATTTGCATGGAATATCTACAGTTACATTTGTGGAACAAATGTGGAAAAAATGAAGAAAAGGGATGGGGAACAAATAGAGAAAAAAAAAGGGAATTTGGGGTTTTGGGTTACTGGATTACAAAAAGAACAAGGAATTCTCTTACCACCTGTTCATTTCGTTCCTGGAGGGCTGAACCACCGAGATCTCGGCGGTAGCAGCGGTAACCCCGGCCAGTCTCGGGAGCACAATGGGTTCAGGAGAGATGGGTGTTGAGAAGAGTGGTGGTGGTGGAATATATGGATGGGGTGGATTGACGTGGGGATTTGAATTGAGGAGGTCGGTTTGGGGTATGGACGGTGTTTCGATCTTGGCTTGGCTTGGAAGTGTATTGGCATTTGCAGGTGGTTGCCTGTTTGGGACTTAACGCCGGGGTGGTTTAGGAGGGTTGGTGGACTGGCAATGGATTGGTGGGTGTAGAAGGGGTAGCTATTTGGCACTTTGGTTGGTAATAAACGGGTTCCGTTCGCTTTAAGCTTAAATTGGGTGTCCAATGGCATGGTATGTTAGTTATAAGGCTTTTCGTGGGCTTTCTGAGCTATTGAAGGCCTTAGCGGTTCCTTAAATCCTCCGGAGACTTACTGAAGCTTTTTTGCACCCTTAGTTACTTAGTGGAAATTTTAGGACTTCAAAATATTGATTATTGACGGATTTTACACCACATGTTTGCTTTTATTGGTCTTGCAGGGCGTCCAAATTTGTCCGAAATTGAGCCTTTAGCCAAGTTGGTTAAGGCGTGGGCCCGAAAAAACAACAAGATCGCCAGTTCGATTCTGTTGGGGACTACTTCTTCAAGGGCGTGTGGCGTAGTTGGTAGCGCGTTCGCTTAGCATGCGAAAGGTCTCCGGTTCGAATCCGGACTCGTCCATTTTTTTTCGATAACAGACGCTCTGACAGGCTCCTTTTTGGTTGTAACCATTTCGTTGAACATTCAGGGGCTCCCTTACCCATAAATCTCACTTTATTCTTCCATTCAAGTCGCACACCTACCATTGTCGGACTATAGTAGCCATTGTGGTGAAGCTGAACCTTAAAGGTTAAGCACCTCATTATAGACTTCTTTGTCAAGTAGTAACAATCAACAACACCCTCACTCTAAGCTAACAATGGAAGAATTGATCAATGCAACATTAACATCATTCAATTCCTCTCGTCAGCACCTCCTCGGGAGGTCAACATGAAGAACCTTTCCACCGAGTATCTATCGCGAATAGTACGAGTCTTTAGCGAACAGAATGTATACTTAACAAGGCCCACAATCATCCATGCAAGAATGTATTGAATGTCATAGAAGCACATTATTAAAAGAATGGGCAAAGCGCTAATTACCATTCGTTTCTGGGACCTCTTTAGATGTGGCAAGGCCTCTTTCCCGTGGGAGAGGCCAGGATACTTCAAGCTATCGAACGCAATGGGTTTCTTAATGCCAACTTCCCTAAACCTGTAAATGATACAAGGGATATCGATCAGTATGATCATGTTGTAGCCGAATAATGCAACAATGGCGCTCGAGACGCTTCGAGGAAGTCCGTACGCTTTGCCTTCACGATTCCAGAAAAGGCAGATGTCGAAAGCTACACCACCTAATGACGAATAAAGATCTTCAACATCAAACAGAATCTCAGTACTGGTGATTGGCGGCGTGGACAATTCACCTGCGATAAGGGTGAGACAGGACTGGATCTTGTTGAGTGACGCTGGCATTTCAACAAGTTTCAGGAGGCCATCAAGGTAGTTCCCAAAGCTCTCTATCCTGTAAAGTGCTATCATTCGAAAACGGTGGCGGTCATCCTTGCAACATTCGATATCTTCTCTGAATGACCGAACTGCCACGAAGCAGGCTTCTGCTGCTGGTTCCTTCAATTCAGCCAAGTCGATAAACACAGAGTTGAACTGAAGAAGAGCGCCATCTGATACCCCCAAGTTCATAAAAGTAGAACCAATTTCCGTCATTTCGAGGATCAAGGCCATCCTGTTAAGTAGCTGTTGAAACACGCCTTCCACGGACAGTGGGGATCCAGGGGGATGAGCCAAGGCCATGGATTCGGATGGGATTTCTGCTATGTCTTCGTCATTGCCAGAAGCGTGGGATTCAGAGTTGGAACCAGGCATGGCGGTTTTTGGTGGTTTTATAGGGAAATATGGGGAATAGAAAATGGGGAAATGCGAGCTATATATATGCTCCAAGGCCCTTTTTTGCAGCCATTCTAAAGGCAGGACAAGTGATAAGTGGAGCAGTAAGGGCATAAGAAAAGTCATAGAATTGGTGTAAAGGAAGTATGTGAGGGTTGATATGATAGAGATAGGTACATATTTAATGTCTGTAGGTTTATAGTGCTTCCAATACTTAGCTTACATTTGGGTGAAGGCCCAGCTGGACACCCACAGTATGGCCTTGTAAAGCCTAGGCAATCTAGGCCAACAAAATATCTAAACCATGAATACCAGTAATTAATGACTACCTAGGTAAGTAATTCAGCAGCCATATATGTTGCCTTCGGGCTCTGAACAATAAATGACCACTGTTTTAAGCTACCATACAAGTCTACATGTTTTGTCACCCACATCCAAATCTCTCTCCAGCCAGTCTGAACCCTCCAACTACACCTCTCAATCCCTTCCAATCCCATCCAAACAACTACACGCCACATAATAACCTGTATTTCCTTGTTCACTCAACCGCCACGAATCTGAGACACCATGGCTCGTGACACCGCCTCACCCCCTCCACTTCCCTTTCACCTCCTCTAACAAAACCAACTGCCCTATCCAGCAAAATCCCCATATTAACCCCAATCAACCACATTCCCTTCCTTCCCTCCAATTCCCTCCAAACCTTATACCAACCCTATCAAACACACCATAAATGGTTGCAAAACGGCTGAGGCGACAATGTCGTGGCTACCTCAGCAGGGTCTACCCAATAAAGCCCCCGCCAAAACCACCTTCCCGTTGTCCAAACGACCCCAAATTTAAACCCCCTTGTCTACTACCCATCCTTACTTTATCCACCGTTTTTGAGGCTTCCACCTTCCCTCGTTCCCTTTGTCTCTCAAGCCACATCCTGACAAGCCACGACATCGCTCAGTCGCACAGATAGAAGCTTTCCAGATAGCCTGCTGGACATGCATCAGAGAAGAGGCTGTCAGGAACCAAAGAAGTCGTCACGTGCGCCAGGCACGCCCCATAACCCTCCCAGCACTATAAATACCAGGCAGTTCCCCAAAGAAAATACATTTATAAATTTTTCATGTTTTCTTCGTCCCTGTGCTCCCATGGTTTATCCCTGGAAGGGGCATTCTTTCCTACACGTAGCGCGGCAACAGGTTCCACAGAAGGCGCATTGCGGTTTCCATAATGGGCGGAAGAAAACATAGAAGTAGAAATTTACTGACTTTTTGCTTGCATGCCAGCAACCTTCCCGCACCATAGCGTCACTGCCCTCGGAACTCTTGGTGTTAAGTATGCGAGGGTCACGTGCATCGAAGGCTTCCCAGCACTCAGGCATGGGGCAACTGGCCAGTTCCGAGGGCACGGCCTGATACCCCCAATTTTCTCTTTCACCAATTGCTACCATCTCATAAAAAAACATATATACTACTTAATCAATTCTTCCTCCATCCAATTGCACCCCACCCAATTGAAGAACATTTTGCCAATGTCGGAAGTCGAACTGAACCAAACAGAAGATTACGTGATTGGCGGGAAACCGCAACCTTCCAGGTTGAAGAAGTTGACTTCGGCTTCTTCGTGGACCTCGCCCTTCAGAAGCTCTGGCGCCACCTCCAAGAAGAATGTGTACCAGGAATTCAAGGACCAGAACTCTGTTTCTCAGGTGAAGGTGCCTAAGAAGTTTGCCTCGCATCCAACGTTGGAAGCTGAAAAGAGAGAGAAACAGCTTGCAGAGAAGAAGGAAGCCGAGAGGAAGAAGAAGAAGGAAGAGAAGGAGGCCAAGAAGGCTGAGGAGAAGAAGAAGAAGGAAGAAGAGGAGGCCGCTGAAGCTGACGCTAAGGAAGCTGACGGCGAGGTTGACTTGGAAGAGGCAGAGAAGGAGGAGCTTGCTGATGAAGCTGCTGCCGACATTGCTACTGCTGCTAAGGAAGACACTGCTGTGGTGGACGAGGCCAAGATCGAGCCACTTGCTCCTGAAACCACCAAGGAAGGTGAAGTTTCTGAGGCTAAGGATGAGTCTAAGCCAGAGCCTTCTTCTACTGAGGCTAAGGAGACCAAGAAGGCTGACGCTGCTGTTTCCGAGGCTAAGATCGAACCTCTTGCTCCTGAGACCACCAACACTGGTGCTGGTGCTGCTACTGGTGCCGGTGAGGTTGGCGACGAGACTGAAGCTGCTGTTGCTGACGCTCACGTTGAGCCACTTGCTCCTGAGGTTACCGATAAGGAAGTCGAGGCTGAGAAGCTCGAGGCTGAAGCCGAGGAGAAGGACGAAGCTGCTGAAGAGAAGAACTCTGCCGTTAAGGAGCTCTACGACCAGGACCTTGCTGACCGTACCGTCGAGGGTGACGATAACATTGTTGAGGAAATCAAGGAGAACCCTGTTGAGGTTGATGTGCCTAATGGAGCCAAGTACGAGTCTGTTGAATTGCCAAACCAGGCTATCTTGGACAAATTGAAGGACAAGCCTGTGTTGTTGAACAAGTACAAGCAATTGAACGAAGACGCCATTGGCTCTGTTTCCAAGAGCTTGGACGACCCTAACAAGATTGTCGAGTTGGGTAGCGGTTTGCGTTTGACCCAGGCTCAATTGTTGGAGATTGCTTCTAAGCGTGTTGCTCCTGTGATTGCTACCATCAACGAGGAGGTTAACAAGTCTAAGACGGAAGATGACATTAACAGAAAGAAGGAGTACGACGGTAAGGTTGCCAAGCACCAGGGCAAGCTCGACAAGGACTTCGGTAAGCACCAGGACAAGGTCAACAAGACCAAGGCTACCTTTGACGCTCAAATTGACGACAAGCTTAAGAACTTGGAAGAGCAGATCCAGGCTGCCCACGATGAAGCTGAACGTTTCGAGAAGCAGACCAAGGAAGAGATTGAGACCGCCAAGACTGAATACCAGGAGCGTGAAGAGAAGGCTGTTGAGCAGCACGAGACCGACAAGGAGACTTTGATCAAGAACCACGAGGAATTGACCGAAACCAAGAACCAGGAATTGGAGGACTCCAAGACGAACCAAGAGACTACTGCTTCTGAGATCGAAGAATTGAAGGAGAGAAAGACCGACTTGGAAGAGACCAACTCTGAGTTGTCTAAGAAGCTCGAGGAATTGACCGAGAAGTTGAACGACCGTTCCGCTCACTTGGACGACTTGAAGGAAAAGCACACTTCTCAGCTCAATGTGATCTCCCAGCACGACGAAACCAAGGAAGACTTGAACAAGAAGATCGAGGAAAGCAACAAGCAGCTTGACGACAAGAGAGCCAAGCATGCCTCTTTGGCTGGTGCTGTCGGTGTCTTGGGTGGTGTCGTTGCCGCTCACACCAAGAAGTTGAACGACTTGAAGGCCGACAAGAAGTCCAGAAGTCAGAGACTTGGTGAAGCTAAGCAAGAGAACACCAAGTGGGAGCAGGAGAAGAAAGCCATGGCTGAGAAGACCCAGAGAGAGCACGAGCAGAAGCGTTTGGAGGCCAAGGAACAGGCTGAGACCGACAGATACAAGCAGGAGCTCGAGGAAGAGAGACAGAGATTGGAAGAGGAGAAGAAGCAGGCTGAAGAAGAGAGATTGAGACATCAAGAACAGCAAGAAGAAGAGCAGCGCATCCTTAACGAAGAGAACGAGAAGCTCGAGGAGGAACAACAGAGGGTTGAAGAAGAGAAGAAGAATGCCAACGCCTCTGCTGCTGCTGCCGCTGCTGCTGGTGGTAGTGCTGCTGGCCAGGCCACTGCTGATGGCAACAAGACTTCTGGCACTGGTGGCCAATCATCTGAGAATGCTACTCCTAAGCACGACCTGGGCGTCAACCCATCTCTTGTTCCTCAAAACAAGGAGATCCACAGCACTGGTAAGGCTCTTCCACTCAACACCGAGAAGAAGGAGCAGGAAGAGAAGGAAGCTAAGGAGGCCGAGCAGAAGCAGGCTGATGAAGAAGACAAGAAGAAGAGCAAGGGCCATGGCGGTATCCTCGCCGGTGGTGCCTTGGGTGCTCTCGGCGGTGGTGCCATTGGTAACGCTACTTCTGGTTCTAACTCTGGCTCCAACTCTGGCGGTAAGACCTTTGGCTCTTCTGCTCCAAACGTTGGTGGTGGATCTAGCTCCGGTCCAGATGCTGGTGTTTCCAAGGAGGCTTCTAGCTCTGGCTCTAACTCTGGCAGCAAGGCTTTTGGCTCTTCTGCTCCAAATGTTGGTGGTGGATCTAGCTCTGGCCCTGACGCTGGTGTTTCTAAGGAAGCTTCTTCTAGACCTCCAGCCCAGAGACTTGGCTCTTCTAAGAGAAAGCTCAAGACTCTTGTGAGCGGTGGTAACAAGGACTCTGATGCTGGTAAGTCTGGCGAGAGCAGCAGCAGAGCTTTGACCGGTGGTGCTTCTGGCGGTGCCGTTGCTGGTGAAGCTGCCGCTCAGCAGGATAGCAAGGGTTTCCTCAACCAGAACGACAACTCTGACTTGCAGTCCAACGCTTCCACTGAAGTTTACTCTGTTTACGAAGAAGTTTCTGACGATGAGTTTGAGAGAAACAGAAACAATCCAAGATACATTGAGGTTGAAGAAGACGAAGCCCAGAAGTTGCTCCGCAAGAACAGAGACCTCATACAATAAGCTTTTTTTTATGATGATAAGCTTCGAGATCAATTTTTCTACACTACTATGATCATCCATTGACCTGTGTCCGATGCATTGCCAAAAGTTACAATGGGTTGATTTCTATCATTTGTACTGATATAACTTGTTTAATTAATATTCCATGTTGAAATACTTACTCCGTAAATACCACGCCTCCCATAATCTATCTCGAAGTATCAACCGAGTAACGTCCCAAGATGATACCCTTTTCCATCTCATCAAAAATCCTAGGCAACTCAGACAAGCCAGCCACTCTAACTGGAGACTTGATCAAGCCTCTAGTGAAGAACTCAATTGCCTCCAGTGTATCTTTCCTGTTTCCCACTTGTGAACCGACAATCTTAAGATTCTTAGCCACCGTGGGGATCACGGGCACTTCTAATGACGGCTTGCCTGGGATGCCAACTAAAACCACCGATCCTGTTGGTCTCACATAAGAAATAGTCTGTTGAAGAGCCTCAGAAGAAGCAGAAACGTTCACCACGCCGTGGGCGCCGCCTTCTGTTACTTCCAAAACCTTCTTGGGCAAGTCAGGCGTGTTTGTGAAGTCAATAACTTCGTCAGCGCCCAAAGACTTGGCCCATTGTGTCTTATCTGTTCCACCATCAATACCCACCACCATAAATCCCATTGCCTTTGCGTACTGGACTGCCAAACTTCCCAAACCACCTCCAGCACCAACAATGGCCACCCAATTGCCTGGCTTGGCGTTGGAAGCCTTCAATGCCTTATAAGTTGTGAGTCCAGCACAAAGAATGGGTGCAACTTCAGCCAAATTCGTGCCCTGAGGGATCCTAGCAGCCTGAATGGCATCTGCCACAGTGTATTGCTGGAACGTGCCATCCTGATGACACCCAGAAATCACCAGTGATGAGCAAACTGGTTCATGCCCTGAAGTACAATACTCACACAGCTGGCACAGCGAGTTGATCCATTTCACACCAGCAAGATCACCCACTTTCCAGCCTTTAACTGCATCGCCAACCGCCACCACCTCTCCAGCGCCCTCGTGGCCTCCCACAATCGGTAACTTAACCTTAAACGGCCATTCACCTTTATAAAGATGCAAATCAGAATGGCACACTCCAGAGTACTTCACATTCACAAGCAACTCGTTTGGCTTAGGCTTAGGCACAGGCACGTCCTTATAAAGCAAGGGCCCTCCATGGGTCTCGTAAACCACTGCTTTTTGTGTTTCTGGAATAACACGAGCCGTACTGTTCAAGCGTGTAAAAGAAAGACGTTCAGCCAGAGGTAAAGAATGGCTGCAAAGTGCTCTGGCTGAAAAACGAGCACTTTTGGCAAACAGCAACATGATTCAGGCTGTAAAGAGTGAAATCCAGTCAATTGAGGAAAAAACTTGTCTCTTTATTGCCCTGGGGATTCCATGGCTTTATATACTACAGAGGGGGAGGAAGTGCACGTTCTTGGAGAAATGGGGTTCTTTTGCGGGGGAAGCTTATATAGTGAAATATGTTCCGTCTGGACAAGAGCCCTTGGCTGGGTCTTTTTAGATAAGGCACTGAGGAGACATGAATAACTCCGGTTCCCAGGCACACTTGGCTTTAAGAAAATGCCTAAAAATTGACATTGTTCGTCATTAAATGTCCTCGGTTTCGAAAACCCCCACTCATCCCTGATTACCTTCCGTGGGGGTCTAAATGGTTGCAACTTCCCTTCTGTAAAGCGTCTAACGCACCTCGGCACTTATAGATGCCGACTTTTGCCAAAAGAGTGATTTTGTGGAAGATGGCGTCAACATATTTTGCGTTTGTCTAGTCAAAGGTGGTCTTTTTACCTTGCGATGGCACGATGGCGGCTGATGCTCTTTGGGCGCCTGCAAGAGCCACAGACGACTTGATACGCTTGCCTGGAGGTGGGGCGTCGTTGAAGCTTCTCTTTTTGGGTCTGTAGTTCTCTTCAGATGCTGGTCTTTCTTTGAAGGTAGGTCTTTCTTTGAAGGATGGTCTTTCAACAGGCTCTGCTGGAGATGATTCCTTGACCTCTCCCTCCTGGACCTGCTGCTCTCTGACTCTGTTTGGCGTTCTCTTGGATCTGTCTTCACCATATTCAAGTCTCAATGGTCTGTTTATGAGCTTCTTGGCAAGCTTAGACTTGAGGGCAGTGGTTGGACCAACCTCATCCTTGAAATCAATAAACGCAAATCCTTTACACTTGCCTGAATCTTCAAAAGTGGCCATTCTGATCTTCACAATATCGCCACAGTGTCTGAAATGCTCCTCCAAATCGCTCTCGGCTGTGTCAAACGAAAGGTTACCCACAAACAAGATTCTCAGAGGTGGGTTCTTGGAAAGCAGTTTCAGCGCATCGGCTTCAGGTCTGCCTTCAAACGACGTAGAGCTCTTGATAAGAAGGTTTCTGCCGTTCAAGTTAGCTTCACTAAGCAGAACAACGCTCTCCACATGTTTCTGGCTTGGAAGATCCACATACGCAAAACCCTTGATCTTACCGTTCTTCTTTGGAAGGTTCACTCGCGTGATATCGCTCTCCACGACCTTCTCCTTATCGTCGCCAAACGTCTGTGACTTACCCACAATAAACCTGATAAGGTCTTCCCTGGTAGTGTCGAACGATAAGTTACCAATCCACACACCAAATGGAGACTTGCCAGACTTCGGTTCAGTCTCCTCCTCGTCAGCACGTCTAGGAGCAGGGTGTTTCTTTGCAAGCTTCTCAACGTTCAACTTGCCTTTCTTCAACAATCTTTGTTGTTTCTTGGAAAGTGGCACGCCAGCGTTCAAGTCGATCTCGAGCTCATCTTCCGCTGCCTCTTTGGTTTCACTGTCTTCAGACTCGGCCTCTACCTTTTCTTCAACTTTAGCCTTCTTCTCCTTCTGCTCCTTCTTCTTCTCCTTTCTCTCCCTCTTTTCTCTCTTGGTCTCTGTAGCGGCTTCAGACATGGTTAAAGAGATGAGATGGATGTAGTTTTTCGCGATGAGCAGAGGTTACTAGTAGGCCATGGAGGGTCCAGTGGAAGTCACACCAAATAAGTGCTTTTTTTTTATTATAATGGAAATTCGATTTAAGTGGGAGTCGTCTTAGCTTGGTCTTTTTTGATAGTGTTGTTTGACTTTTTTGGGGTTTGGTGGCAGATGTTGTACGGCTGACAGGGGCTCATAGTTAGTGAGGACAGTATATGGAAGAGGAAGGTAACGCAAAGTATTTGAAGAGTAAATTCAATGGAGCTGTCTATTTGGTGGCTGATTGGAGTAGTTGATGACTTCCTATTCCCTCTTGATTCTACATAGTATAGTAGTTAATTGTCCTTGAAGTAAGACATGGCTAGATATAAGAAGGGTAGACAGCTTTTGGTAAAGAGACTCTAAAATGACTACCCATGTCTTTTCCTTAGCAATAAGGAAGCTCTATCCACTTCTTTTGACCTCCATTTGGGGAAACCTGACAATTGTATGGTATACCAGCATGAGGTCTCTGTGTCCATCATTTTGCAGCCATTTCAATATGGCCAACAAAGCTCCCAAGAAATTCCTTAAAAGTATCAAGTAGAAGAACCACCTCCTAAAAGCCAATCCCAGTGCACTCCAATAAAATATCAAAGCCTGAACCTTATACTGATGTACCGTCTACTCTCAGCACCTCATGGGCATACAACTACCCACAAAAGGGAAGAGAACTGATAGCAAAACCTACATTTCTACTTTTATTGCTTTTCAAAAACATCCCAATGAAACAAATGATCTTCTCTTCCTTATCGCTTCTACCACCCATTAATTGTATCCTCCCATACTTTCCTTCCATGTTCATATCTCCCCTTCCACCCACCAATCCCCTTCCACCCCTCCAAACCCTAAATCACCAAATCACCAAATCACCAAATCACTAAATTCCACCCTAACCACCTCCCTCCACCCATTCTATTGTCTACCGAATGTTTACGTGACTTGGCTTATCCATTGTTGCTCAGTTGCATCTCTCCATACATTCGCAGCATATCTCTATCTCCAACTTGCAGTTACAAAATGGCCAGAAAAGGTGAAATCTGGGGAAGAAACGTAAACCAAAAAAACCACAAAAAACGCCCATAAAAATCGAAAACAAAAAAACACCTTTCTTCAAATAAACCTTTAAATTCCATTCTCCAATTCAGGCGTCCCGGCACCCACTTCCTAACCATGACCACTGGCGCTGGCCCTGTCAAGCTGTCAAACTTTCCCATACAATGCCAGCTGCTGCTGCTTATCAATTTGCAACCACACGTGCCCATAACAACGTGTTTCGGCCCGCCACAGACAAGGGCCCCCCTTGGCCTCTGGGGTATATAAACGGGACGAAATCCCCTTCCTTTTTTTTATTCTTTTTCTATACTTTTTCTTCCTGTTGTCCACCATCTCTTGCTGCTTCCCCAGATCCCTTGCGCGCCTGTCATACTTCTCAGTTGTGACTCCATCAACTACTACTGATTGCGGGTGATGGGTCTGGAAAACACCGAAGCTGCGCTGGCCGAGGCCTCGGGCGCCGAGCCTTTGTCTGTGGATAATCTTAACAGAAAGAACGAATTGGAAAATGGCACTTCGGCCATTGACGAGGACGAAGAGGAGGACGAGTACTATGATGATCGCAGCAGCACTTACTCTTCAGGGAAGCTTGCCAGGTCCGACTCGTCGCTGTCTGTGTCGTTTATTGATCTTTCGAAGCTCTTGGTGATGCCAGACTTTGATTTTGGGAACGGGTTTGACCAGGTCAGTGGATCTACCAAGAAGAAGTTTAAGGATATGAAGGATAAGACAAGACAGACGTTTAAGAAGTTTACGCCTGACGGGAAGGGCGTGGGCGGCAGAAAGTTCACGTCCCAGGAATTGGCAAAGTATCAGGAATCGCTACATGCTCGGTTGACCAAGTTCGACAGGAGAGTTCATGATAGCTTGCAGAGCTCTTCTACAGAGAAGTTGTTCTATGCTGCAGCGGTGGCTCTTGTAGCAGCTGCTGGGTTTATCATTGGAAAGTACCCAAAATACTTCCCCGTGTTTCATACTGTTCTTTTCTGCTCCCTTATGCCGATCAGGTTTTATACGTACTTCAAGTTGTCGTTCCAGTACTACTTGGCTGACTTGTGCTACTACGTGAACCTTTTGGTTGTTTTATTTATTTGGGTTTTCCCTCAATCCGAGTCGCTTTTCATTTCGTGCTTCTCGTTGACTTTGGGTACGCTTTGCTTTGCTGTGATCACCTGGCGTAACTCTCTTGTTTTGCACTCGATTGAGAAAACCACAAGTTCATTTATTCATATCATGCCGCCAATTACAATGTTCGTGTTGGTCCACGAGCTCCCAGAGAGCTATATTGCTGAAAGGTACCCTGGAATTGCCAATATTGAAAAATGGGATTTCGTCAATGGTCTCGTTTGGACCTCCATCTACTATACCATCTGGCAAGTGTGCTACCACTACTTCATTACCGTGCGTAAGAGATCCCAGATCGCCAAGGGTAAGGTCACATCGTTCACATACCTCAAGCACAAGAACAGTGATAGCGTGTTGGGCAGATTTGTCAATTCTCTTCCATACACTTGGATGCAGATTGCTGCTTTCACGTTGATCCAGTTTGGCTACCAGATGTTATCCATGCTTCCGTGCCCCATCTGGTTCAGATATAAGCATGCCTGCGGAGCATTTGTTGCATTTATTTTTGTCTGGTCCGCTTACAATGGTGCCACATACTATATTGAAGTGTTTGGCAAGAGATTTGAAAAAGAAGTGAACCGTCTCAAGACCGAAATCAACGATTTGCAGCAAAGAGTCGAGCGTCAAGAACTGCTCCGACTGACGCCACAATTTCTGCCCGTGAACGCCAGCTCACTTTCAAGCACTGAAAACATTGCCGAGTTCAGTCTCCTGGATAAGCCAAAGGACAAATAATTCTCTTTTCTAGTTCTATTCTATAGATCAAGTATGGGTACACTGGTCTTGTGCCTAGACGCCTACCTGCAGTACATTTTTACATTTTTCGTGAGGATACAAAAAATTTCAAACCTCACATCCTGCCAACGACAAACCAAGTACTCACAGATGTTCAGGAATTCGGTGAGCCGTCTTGGGCTAGAAAGAGCCTCTCAGAGGTTCTTTTCCCAGACTTTGAAAAATACCCAGAAGTCTCAGGGTTCCCAGGAGTACTTGTCCAAGTTCTACTCTCCAGAGATGCTACAAAGTCTTAAAATCACAGAGTCCTTGGTTGACCCAAAAACATACATCGAAATGAAGAAAGGAGGCAGAGGCGAAAGATCCAAGGTTGCTCCAGACGCCAGCAAGCGTTTTTCAGAGACAGACCCTAAGTGGGACGAACCTATCCTTTACCCTAACCAGGGTCTTGGGCTGACTCCATACGCTCCAATCCCTAGAGAAGCTAATCCAGACACATCCGACTTGAAAATGCGTTTTACGGTTGACGAGAGCACAGCTGAACGTAAACCAAGAGTGGACTTCCGTGCCAACCGTGTGGAAAAAGTAGCTCTTCTAACCGGGTTCAACAAGGACTACATTCGTCGTTTGCACGTTGTGAACGTGCTTGTCAAGCGTGTATCGTGTCAGACATCGAAAGGTAAAATTCCAAACTTCTACGCCATGACCATTGTCGGTGACAGGAACGGTATGGTTGGTATGGGTGAAGGTAAGTCTAGACAAGGTGTGAAGACCGCTTTGGAGAAGGGATTCTTCAGTGCCGTCAAGAACCTCCAGCCTATTGCACGTTACGAAGACAGAACCATCATTGGTGAAATCGACTACAAGTTCCACGCCGTGAAGTTGCTGTTGAAGTCTGCACCAGCTGGTTTTGGTCTTAGAATCAACCCAGTGCTTTTCGAGGTCTGCGAGGCCGCCGGTATCAAGGACTTGAGAGGCAAGATCACCAGATCGAGAAACAGAATGAACACAGTCAAGGGCTTTTTCGAGGCCTTGACCAAGGAGAGATCCATTGAAGAGTTGGCTGCGGGCAGAGGTAAGAAGATTGTCGACTTGAGAAAGGTGTACTACTCGGCATAAAGCACATAGACGGTTACTTCTGCATCCATGGATGGCTCATGCAGAGCCATAGTGTCACATATCATCAATATCATGTATATACGAAAAGGTAAACTTCCAAGTGTAGATGGTCATCTCAGAAAGCACATTTCGCAGCCACACCAGGGCACCTACCAAACGGCTGAACCCGAAGACCCTTTAATTTAAATTATACTACTGAAACCCCCTTTAGACGTAGATTCCAAAATACCCCCATTCCATACCACCACCCTTCTCTCCCCTCCATTGTACCTCGGCCCCTCGGCAAACCCACCTTTCCTCACAAGCACTTTTTCGCACCCATATCTCTCATCCAACAACCACTAAACCCACCCAGCCAATTACTCCCTACTTATTACTATCATGGTCGCTGACACATCTTACTACGACTTAATGGGGCTTCCTCCCACGGCCACGTCGCTTGATATCAAGAAGGCGTACAGGAAAGCTGCCATCAGATTGCATCCAGACAAGAACCCAGATGACCCTACGGCGGCAGCCAAGTTCCAGGAAGTGGGGGAAGCGTACCAGGTTTTGTCTGACGACAGGTTGAGAGAGAAGTATGATAAATACGGAAAACAGGAGTCGATTCCTACGGAGGGCTTCGAGGATCCATCTGAGTTCTTTAGTATGATCTTTGGTGGCGATGCATTCAAGGACTGGATTGGCGAGTTGAGCTTGTTGCAGGAGATGACCAAATCTGCTGAGCTTTCTGGATTTGGCGATGAGGAGGCCGAGAAGAAGGAGGGCGATAAGGATGCTTCTGGCAATGCTAAGGAGGGTGATGCATCTACTGCTTCTGCTCCTTCGAGCTCTCAATCACAAACTACATCTAAATTGTACCTAGAGCACGGAGAAGGCTCTGGCGCCGGCGCTGGCGAAACGGCGTTGACAGCTGAAGAGAAGGATAAACGTCGTAAGGAGGAGGAAGAACAGCGCCGTAAGGAAGAATTAGAGAAGTTCGAGGAGGAGTGCAACCAGAAGAAGATAGAAACAAGACAAGAGCTCTCCAAGAAGATGGTCGATAAGCTTTCGTTGTTTACAGAGACGGATATGGCCGATGATGTGGCTGAATCGTTCAGACAGAAGCTCAAATATGAAGCCGAGTCTTTGAAAATGGAGAGTTTCGGTTTGGAGATCTTGCACACGTTGGGTTCTATTTACAAGACCAAGGCTAAGATTTTCTTGAAGAAACAGACGTTTTTGGGCAGCATAGGCGGTTTCTGGTGGTCTGTCAAGGAGAAAGGCGGTATGGTGAGAGATACATTCAAGACGGTTTCTTCTGCTCTCGATGCCCAGCTGACCATGCAAGAGTACGCCAAGATGCAAGAAGACAACGAGTACCATGCTAAGAAGGAGGCCGAAGAGAAGGAGCTTACTGAAGAAGAGAGAGATCAGGCTCGCAAGGAGAAGGAGGCCTTGGAAGAGAAGCTCCATCTGCTTCAGCAAGAGAAAGAACAAGCCGGTGCCTTAAAGGAAAATTCCAAGGAAGAGAAGGTTCCTGAAAAGCATACCGCAGAGGATATCGCCGAGATGGAGAAGTACTTGATGGGTAAGGTTTTGGCAGCCGCATGGTCTGGGTCCAAGTTTGAGATCCAAGGCACCGCTCGTGGCGTCTGTGACAGCATTCTCTACGACGAAGAGGTGCCCGTGGAGAAGAGAGTGGCCAGAGCCAAGGCACTTAGAATTGTTGGAGAAGTGTTCAGCAAGATGACCAGAACCGAGCTTGAAGACGAAGAGGCCCGTATTTTCGAAGAATTGGTCGCTGAAGCTTCCCAGAAGAGACAGAAGAAGAAGGCACACGCCGAACCAGAAGCCGAAACCAAACAGAAACAATAAGTTGGGTAACCTGGACCTCTTTTCGGTGCCGAACCGATAACTGCCGAATACTGTGGCTGCATTATTTGGGTGCGAAAAAGCGAGGCGACCAAAATGGGCTTATCTGATGAGAAACTTCAACCACCATACCTCCACCAAAGACACTTTTAATGGAATACTTGACTCATTTGAATAAGGAAAATCCCGAATTGGCCACCACGCCAAAGTACCCTGACTTGACATGGACAGATCCTGTGGTTTTCTGGGACTTTCATGTATACTACGACGGTGAAACACGAGACGAGGCCAACGCTCTTAAGCATAAGATCTTGGAGGATTTCCCCAAGGAAGCAGAGGAAGGGTCGATCATAGTGAAACAACTCAAGGTGGAGAAGGCCATTGGCCCACACTACGATCTCTTTTGGGAGGTGGACGTGGCAAGAGTGGACGTTTTCGCCAAAATCCTCAGCTGGTTTGTTCAGCACCACGGCAACTTGTCTGTGTTGGTGCATCCCCAGACTGGCTTTGATCTCTTGGACCATACCACCCACGCCCTCTGGTTGGGCGAGAAGAAACAATTAAAAACATTTATTTTCCCCGATCATCCGACGGGGGTTCCGGCGTTCGGGGTGCCTAGCAAACCCCAGCCGGAGAAATAGTCTAAGTAAAGTCAAATGCAGAAACTAATTGTCCTTCTTGAACTTGTCCAATCTGGACTGGTGCTCCTGGATAAACCGAATCACCTTCTTCCTGTTGTCACGCAAAACCTCGTTGCCATCCACATCAATGCCGTCTAGCTTCATCAACTCTTTCAATAACATTTCCTGAATGTAGTTGTATGTGTTTTCCTTCTTGTCGTCGCTCAATTCCTTATAGTTGTCAATGTACTCGTCTATCTGAGCCACAAACGTCTCCTCCACGTTATCCAAGATCTTCTGGATCTCGCCGTTGGCGATCTGGGCCTTACTCTTCTTCTTCTTTTTCGTCTTGGGCTTCTTCTTCGACGCTGGCGCCAGACTGCCACCTAAAAGCTTACTGGCTACCAAAATCGTCAAAAACGTCGTCAACACCACCGTCGTCGTGGCTGGAGTCACTCTCAAATTACTGATATCGTCAATGAGCTCTTCTCTGGACGTAGACGTTATATCATTGAAATACGCCAGCCATGACGACCTGCTGGTGTAACCAGGAATGCGTTCTTCGAGATAATTGATACATTTGTTGAGGGCATTAGAGAGACCGCCATTGTTGGAGGTCAACTGTTCGTAGAAGTTGCTCATAGTTTGAAGGTTGGAATTGAAGTATGGAGAAGTAGGTGAGCAGATGGTTCCCGCACAAAAGGACTGAAAAGATTCAGAATGTGCCGAGCAACAACACCTGGCGTGTATGTACAGGAAAAGACCCCATTTGGGCTTCACTGAAATGGTTGCAAAAAAAAAAAAGATATAATAGAACGGGATTAGATAAATAACTCGCCACTGACGTTGCGTGGCTTTGCAAGAATGTCTGGTTTCTTAGCCTTGATTGGTGGTGGTTTTTTCGCAGGCTTTTTGGGTGGGATTTTGGCCTTGGGTTTTTCCTCCTCAACCTTTTCTTCCACTTCAGGCTCAGACTTGGCCAGAGCTCGTTCAACGTCAAACAGCTCGTTTTCACCAACAGAAGCTGATTTGGGTAACTTTCTCTTGGGGCCCTTGGCTCTGGATTTGGTGACATGCGAGATTTTGGCCACAGCCGGCTCCGTCTGCACCTTTCTGAGGGTATTTCTTGGTGGACCATTGGTTGAAGTTTCAACCAAAGAGCTGGAGGATGCATTAGATGGAGCGTCGGCCCTCAACGAAGGCTCGGTGCTCGAGCGAAGTATACCAGATAATTCGGCTTGAAAACTAGGCTTCCCCTTGGGTTCCTGGAGGTCACTGGATGTTCTTGACACGCCCTTCATGGCAGAGTACTTCTGCAAGGCCTCTGGCTTAGCGGGAGCCTTCAATGCGGATGGTTTAGCAGGCTTGAGGGAGTTGCGGGCTCCAATGGCCTCAGCTTCGTCTTCTTTTGGTTCGTGAAAGGAAGGTTTCGAGGAAGGTTTGGCAGGCTTAGCTGGAGGCTGCTTTTTCGTTGCAAGCTTATCGAGCTGGTTCTTAAGCAAGTCCTTCTGCTCATTGTCGAAATCCTTCTTGGCTGGCTTCTCAGGGCCCTTGTCGGCCTTCGTAGGAGAAAGACGCAGAATCTGGTCCTTCACCTCTTGCGAATCCTTCTCCTCGTAAGCCTTAGTAGAAAGCTTCGCTGGTTTTGGAGGAGGAGCAGCCTTAGTACCAGCAGAGCCAGGTTTAGCCAAACTGTTGATTTCAGGTTTGGGGAATGTCTTAGCCGCAGGCTTAGGTTCCTGGTTAAAGAACACAGGCTTGGAACCAAGGCTTGGTTTAGATTCAGGCTTTGGAGCTGGCTTGAACTCAGGTTTCTTAGGCATTGGTTTGGCAGCAACCAGCTGTGGCGTGTAAGTCAAGGAAGAAGCAGATGGTGTTCTTGATGCGGCAGCACGAGGCTTTGGAGCTTCCGGTTTGGAAAATGACGCGCCAGATCTCTTCGAAACTGGACTTCTAGGAACTTCGTCTTCTTCTTCCTCTTCAGAAACCTCAGAAGCTTCAGACACTTCAGAAGCCTCAGACTCCTCAGGCGTAACTGGCCTAAACTTTTTCACAGGCTTCGATGGCTTCGATGGCTTGGCTGGTTTAACAGGCTTGCTTGGTTTATAAGTCTTGGGAGACTCTGCCTCAGGCTCAGAGTCGCTGTCGTCGTCAGCTTTCCACACCATTGGTTTACGTTGAGGTTTGTTCTCAGCCTTCCACGATGGTTGTTCTTTTGGTTGTTGATCCTTGGCCTTCCAGGCAGGAACCTTCTTTTCAGCCTTACCACTAGCAGCAGCCTTTCTTTCAGCTTCGAGTTGGGCTCTCCAGACATTAACTTCTTCTTCCTCGTCCTCTTCCAACTGCTCTTGGTCGACCTCTTCGTCGTCGTCGTCATCGTCAGACTCAGCTCTCCACACATTATTACGGTCCTCAAGCGTCAACTTACGAGCGTCTCTCTTGGCTTGTTTCTTGCTAACCTTAGGTTCACCGTCTTCTCCCACACCTCTGCGTCTGATCTTACGTTCCATATCGGTAAACGAGCCGGAACCCTTCTTTTTCAAATCATGCAACGAGCCTCTCATATCAGTAAAAGAACCCTTGACGCTCATATCCGATAAGGAACCTCTCATATCGGAAATGGAGCCCTTCATCGATCTCATGAAGCCAGGTCTTTCTTCCTTAGGCGTCTTAGGGCTCTTGGGCGTTCTAGGACTCTCTTCGCCAGATTCCCTAGACACCCAGGACTTCAAGGAAGAGGAAGTTTTCCTAGCCACCGGTCTTTTCAAGCCAAAATCAAGATCAAGCTCATCGTCTTCGTCTTCCTCACCCTCAGAAAGCCGTCCCGGTAGCGAAGGCGACCTGGAGCGTCTGGGAAGCTCTATTTCCATATCCTTATTGGCCAGTCTCCTCGAACCCTTAGGCCTGGAGTTCTTCCTAGGTCTATACGGAAGCTGGTAGCCCTCATCGTCAAACTCATCGTCAGACGCATATTCAGATGTCAGGTTCAGCCGTTTCTCAGGGTTCCGATTTTTCCACTTTTCTTGGAACTTGCTTCTGGCACTAGCAGTCCGGTTAAACACAAGCTCCTTGATATCGTGCCCCTTCGACGAAGCCCTCGAGCTCAAACTGGGTCTCTTAGACGAAGCCAGCGAGGAAGTAGGAGAATTGGCACCCGAGCCGCTCCGGCTCCGGCGACTCCTACTCTCACTCAACCGGTCGATATCCCGTTCAAGCAGCCATTGTCTTTTCTGGTCGTCCATGAGCCGTTCCTGAGAGAGTTTATCCAAAGTCTGAAGAAACTCGGTGACTTTGCGGTTCTCAGAAGAAACGTCGCTCATTTAGTGTCTAAAAAAGGCCACCTCAGAGCCGATGCCTATGGAGAGTCCGAAGTATGGAGAAGGTCTCACCAACCACAAGCGCGAAAAAGTATCAAGAAAGCTTGGCTTTCAAGAGCACAGCGCCAGATAGAAGCAGAAGCCAATCACAAAGAGGGAAGTTGGCGGAAAGTTGCCGAAAACGATATATTTGCTACATTACGTCTTTTATTTGCGGGAAAGCGATGACTGCTGTCAATTTTGTCTCGCTTATTTCCAGGGACGACAGGCCTCTTTATATACAGCTGTTTGATGTGGCAGCGCCATCTGATGACGGCGGCGTGTCCAAAGACGATGCTAATAAGTTTTTGAAGTATAACTTCCTATCGCATATGGCGCTAGATGTGTTTTCGTCGCCCATGTCGCTTAACCTAAGAGAGCAGCAGCAGCAGCAGAAGCAGCAGCAGCAGCAACAGGGTCTGGCTCAGGGTCTGGCACTGGCTGATGGAATCCTTCTATTGTTCATTCAGGACGAAGTCATGGTTTATGGAATGGAAACGAATAATGGGCTTAAGATCGTTGTTGGGTTGAGTTCGGGCGAACCGTTGATGACGAGCTTGAAGACCTTGTTCTCGTCCTTGTATAAGTGCTACTTGAAGACGATTTGTAATCCGTTTACGGATCTTCAGAATGCTGGCAGCGATGAGATTTTGCAGAGCCCACGGTTTGATCTGGGCGTTAAGGGCATTGTTGAGCTGTGGAAGGGTGGTGCTGTTGCTGCCTAGACAAGACGGTTGGTTTTGCAATGTACATTACGAATGGCACGAGAGAGTACTTAAGCGTAGGGTAGGTGAGCCACTGGCCGTTGGCCAGTGGTAGAAGTAAGCATGGAATTTCGTTTATTCGGGTTTTGGGTTCTACGGTTGTGAACTCCTCCTGGGGTTCATTGTTCACTGGTGATAATGCTTGGACAGTTTCCGTGGTCTCCGCAAGACCCCAAAGGGGAGGCCCAAAGGGGAGGCCTAAAGGGGAGGACCTAAGAGGAAATCAGGGGTCTGAAGTGGAGTGAAGAAGTGGAGTCCAAAGATTGTCCAAAGAGTGGAGTCCAAAGAGTGGAGTCCATGAAAACTAACGTATACTGTATTCTCCCTCTCCCCAGCCAACAGCCTTCCCTCTCGCCTTACCACCAGGCCTTACTTGAGCACCACGTTGGCGCCACGCAAACTCAAGTACTCCTGGTCGACGCCTGGCGGCATATGTTTGATCACCTCCTGGTAGATTTCCACATTGTGGAACCGTAACGCATTGGCTGGACTCTTATACTTTCCTTCAAGCCCAGTAATGTCACAGTAGTGTTTCTGGGGCTTCAAGCTGGGAGGCGCCACCACCGACGTCCACGTGGGCGTGTCAATACCTAGTTTCTTAGATTGAAGGTACCGTATCTCGTCAGTGATCAACTGCTTGGATGTCTTGTATCTCTTGTATGTACGTGGCTTGGGCGGGTACTGCTTGAAGGAGTGTTCTTTGGTTGTTATGTAGGAGAGCTGGTGGGCTTCTGTGTTGTCGCTGGGCGTTTGCAGGCCCAGGTCACTCATGGTTGTGGAGGTGGATGTAGTTGAAGATTGGGAATGGGTATATGCGCACCAGAAGTGGTAGTAGTGGAAGATCACCAGGTGCAAGTGGCCAGGATGGAAGGTAAGAGGAGAGGAGAAGGAAATTGATTTTGAATACTTAGTAATTTGTTGTTCTTTGTTTAAATTTGGACTTTCGCTCCTGGAACCTGGGATATCCAGTACTGGCTGGTCTCAGTCTACCATATCTACAACCACTGAAGAACAAACAGCGTTTTCTATGTATCTTCTATTTGCTTTGTCCTTCCACTTAACAACACTTCTGGACCTCGTGGACATGGCCAGAGTTGAGGTGTTCGTCGAGCTTGTCGTGGGGATCAATCTGGATAACCTTGTCTGGGTTGAGAATAGCCTTAGGGTCCAAGGAGAACTTAAGATGCCTCATCAAGTCAACGGCATTCTTACCCACTTCAGATTCCAAGTACGCTCTTTTGCCAACACCCACGCCGTGCTCTCCAGTACACGTACCTTCGTACTTGATAGCACGTTCGACCATCCTGTCAACGTACTTCTTCGCTTCCATGTAGTCTGGAGTGTTGTAGAGAATTAAAAAGTGGCAGTTTCCGTCACCAACATGTCCCATAACGGCAAACTTACCGTTGAAAATAGAGTTCTTCAAGTCCTCGTTGGTTTCATCGACAACCTGTGCCAATTTAGATACTGGAACTGCCACATCGGTAGTCCAGACATTCACGTCGTTTGGGTTAGCCAACACCTTCGATCCGTAGTCAAGAGTCAGCCAAAGTCCCTGTCTTCTGGCTGTCCAAAGGATATTGTTTTCTTCTTTGTTCAGTGACTGTTCGAACTTGATAAGGTTGTTTTGCTTGCTGATTTGCTCTACCACTTCGATTTGCTCCTTGACGGTGTTTTCAGAAACTCCTCCAACCTTAATAAGCAACGTGGGTCTTTCCAAGAACTGCTTTTCCAGGTTTCCCGAGGCATTAACAAAGGTGGTAGTGGTTTCATCCAACAATTCCAAAGCATTCACCTGGAAACCTGATTTGTTGATGATGCTTTGTGCCGTTGAAGCTGCGTCTTTGATAGTAGGAAACGATGCAATACAAACAAGCTCCTGTTTAGGACGAGGCTGGAGCTTGACGGTAATCTCTGTAATTATACCCAAAGTACCTTCAGAGCCAATAAAGATATGGGTCAAATCGTACCCAGCACTCGACTTCTTAGGTCTCTGGCGAGTCTTCACCACCGTACCGTCAGCAAGAACAACCGTCAAGTTGACCACATTCTCCTTCATGGTACCGTATCTATAAGCATTTGTACCACTAGCAGAAGTGCCGACCATTCCAGCAATTGCAGCGCCCATACCTGGATCTGGGCCAAACATAAGATGCTTTCCGTCTTCTCTATCAAGCAAGTAATCGTCTAGATCCTGCCAGCCAACGCCAGGCTGAACCACAGCATCTAGATCATCAGGATGGAACTCCAAAACCTCGTTAAGGTTACCAAACGCAAGCGAAATCGAATTGGGACCTCTTGTATGCATATTATGGCCCTCCAAGGACGTCAATCCCGAGTTGGCAACCACAGGAACCCGATACTTATGAGCCACCTTCATGATTTCAGATACTTCCTGAGTGGAAGAAGGAAACACCACAATGCTTGGTCTTTGGTGTTCAGGATCTGGCGGGTGGTGAGTATTGAAAGGCGTATCGTTGTGAGCCACAAGCACGGCCTTATCGTAAGTGACGTTTTCTTTACCCACTATCTTTGTGATCTGATGCAAGGCGGTATCGAAGTCTTCGTCATTGGCGTACTTTGGTGTTTCCAAAGAGTCCAACGGAGTCGTCGAGGCCAGCAAGTGCTGGAGGCCCAAAGCCCCTTTCCGACCTTCTTCAGGCTGCTTTCTTCCCGCAAAGTAGCCTCCAGCAGCTACTCCACTGCCAAAGAGAAGCGCTGCAGCCGTCCACTGTAGCGGCGTTGGTTTGGCCCCAGAAGAGTAACTTCTGGTTGAATTCCTTGCTAAATGTAGCCTTTTTGGAACGTGTCTGAGAGTCCTGGAAAACATGAAAAGAAGGTGGTGGTTGGTAGTTGGCGGGTATTCGTGATAACTGGAGATATGTCAAATTTCCAGCCACAGTGAGCGCCGTGCCGATACAGACCGAGTGGGGGCCATTTGTGGGGACCAAGACGTAGTGTAAAAAGTGGGAAGGAAGGTTGGGAAGAAGGGTTGGAAGTTGAGGTTTTCAAGGGAAGTGAAAGAGAAGAGAAAATTTGCTAAATAGGTTTTTGGAGAAGACAGGGAGGCTTGAACTGGAGTTGGCTGTTTTGGTGGCTGCGAAAGATAACGGAATTTGGGAAGCTGAGGGTGGAGGAGCTACTGGAGAGGGAGAGGAAAAGAGAGTAAAAATGAATGAAAAGTGATGGTTTTTATGGGAGTTGGTTTTGCTTGGTGGTATAGATTTGGGGATGTGAAATGGAGGTTTGGTGGTGCTGGGTGGTTTGGTAGAACTAGATGGTTCACTGGTTAAGTATGGTACTTTTTCGCAGCCAGTTTCCATTTTCCATTCCCAGTCACCTTATACCAGTTGTATAGACTCTGCCAGTTTCAGTGCATTCTAAGTAAGCGTGTCTTTAATTTGCCAAATTTCATTAAGTGGTAAGGAGTGTTATTTACTGACTCGCCTTGACCTTTTTATTGGAATGTTCTACTTTTTGTGTCTTGTTCTGCTGGGCTCATCGGTGGCTGGTACCAGCTCCTCGAAGGAAAGACTGTAGAGTCACACGAGTTGGTAGTCGATGGATTATGGAAGTCAAAGAGAAACTGCTTATCGTAACTGTTGAATTCCACTGGTTATATAAAAAGCGAAGTAGTTTTATTTTCAGACGTTAGTTGAGATAAGTTTTAGTTTTCTTCTTGTTCAGTAGTAGTACTCTTGATCCATTAGATAACTCAGTAAGATAGTAAGACGACAACCAGTACCACTAACACTTCCCCTTAAAGAGTCTATAAAAGATATTTTATCCACTTTCTAAGCACTACAGAAAAAGAAAAGCGTCTTAAGTTAAAAAACTGACCTCTCTTTCCTTAGTCTGTTCTTAGTATACATGTCTCCTAGCTCTTCTTATCCCCAGCCACATCTACCTATCTATGAGCAGTAACCACCACCACTTTCCGCCACTTCAACCCAAAAAGTACCCTAAAAGCTGGAACCCCAAACCAGAAGCACCAAAGTCATATATCTGTAACAAGCTGAGAAAACAAGAACAACCAACTAACATGGACACAGACCATATGTTAATCTCTCCATGCGACATCCACTAGACACATCCACTTACCCAATACACCCAACACACTTCTTCTTCTTTTTCTTTTTCTTTTTCCTAAAATACCCATCCAGCTTCCTTTTCACCGTCACTGGATCCCTAAACCCATACCCCCATACCCCTAGTCCCTCTCCCTCTCCCTCTCTACATGCCCAATCAGCGCCTCACGAAATGCGATTTTGCAACCATTCCTGGGTTTCTCATACTGAAAATTGGCGATAAGATCACGTGCAATACATCATATCACGTGACCACCCATAATTTTGCAGGCCCTCTATCCCAGCTCCATCTTAAACCTTCCCCATCTCAAACCACCAAACGGTTCCTTACTTCCCTATGAGCCCTCACGCTATCCCTAACGGTGTCAAGTCGCCTGCCTCGGCTTCTGAGGCCTCGCTGTCTTCCACCCACGTCGTCAAGGCTAACCCTTTTGGTGCCTCGGTTGATCCTCACTTGGTGAAGAACACTGCTTATACTTCTCCAGCTACCATCATCAGCCAGTCTGTGTACGCTTTGGCTAGCTCGATTTTCTCGTACGAGACTGTGGGCGCCCCAAACTTGGTGGACGCTCATTTGCAGCTCTGGGCTCTGCACTTTAAGAGACAGAATGCTGTGGGAGTGGTGCCTCCATTCCATAGATTTGAACCTAGAGCTGGTTCTGCTAATGCTATTTTGGGTTACGCTGCTAGTAACATTTCTTCTACTGGCCCACATACTGCTGTGTTGGGCGCCAACGCTTTGCCATACATGCAGCCTACTTTGGCGGTGGCTGCAAAATTGCCTTTGAGCTTGAACGTCTCGGCTATTGACTTTGATACTGCTACGAGCTCTTTGGTTTCCAACTACCTGACTCCTTTGGCCGTTGCTCGTAACTTGGGCTTCCCTGTGGTGGGCCCTGTGGACTCCCATAGCGCTTTGGAGTTGCAATACACCACTGTTCTCTCTCACTTTTTGGCTGCTTTGATCAAGGGCCCATCTTTGCACGTTTTCGATGGCCCTGAATTCGCTCGTTTGTTTGCCAAGTACGAGGACATCTTGTCTGTCGCTGATGTTGGTCGTTTGTACCAGCAGTTGGTGTCTTCTGTTGCTCACGGTGACCTTTCTTTGGAAAAGGCTGTGGACACTGCTTTTGAGACTTTCAACAAGGTCGCTGGCACCAACTTGAAGCCTTTTGAGTATGTTGGACATGCCAACCCAGAAACCGTTTTCGTTGCTTTTGGTGCCCACGAAGCTACTGAGCTTGCTGGCGTTATTTCCAAGGCTTCTACTACTTCTCCTGTTGGTTTGGTTAAGGTTAGAGTGCCTTTCCCATTTAACCAGGAACAGTTTGTTGCTTCTGTTCCTTCTTCTGCTCGTAAGGTTATTGTTGTTTCTGCTGAAACTGGCTCTACTTTGAAGGCTGACGTTGCTGCTGCTTTGTTTATCGGTGGTCGTTTCGGTTCGGTTACCGTTGACGAGTTTGTCCATCCAGCCAACTTTGTCTGGGCTCCAATTCCAACCTTGAAGGTTATTTCTGAGTACGAAGCTTCTGTTGATCCAGCTGTCGTTTTGGCTACCACTGTTTCTGCTCCACCAGCTCAGATCACTGCCAACACTTCTCCAGAAGGCTCTTACTTGTTCTGGGCTCGTGACAACAGTGACACGGTTGAGACTGCCAGCAAGTTGGCTCTTTCTTTGTCATTGGATGACTCCAAGAACGTTGCTTTCAGAAACAAGTTCGATACTACTGTCGCTGGAGGTATTGCTCAGTCTCAAATTGTCAGTGCTGCTAAGAACAGCTCTGCTTCTACTTCTGTGGACGCTGCTGATGTCGTTTTGATCGAGGACGTTTCTATCCTTAACCACTACGACGTTTTGGCTACTGCTAAGCCTGGTGCTAAGATTATCTTGGCTAACCACAAGAAGATCAACAACAACATCGAACAGGACTTCGTTGAGAAGTTGCCTCTTGACTTCAAGCGTACTTTGGCCAAGTCCAGATCTTCTTTGACCGTCATTGACTTCTCTCTTATTGAGGAGTTGGACGCTGTCAGCGACTCTACCAAGGGTTTCTCTGCTGACTTCTTGACCCAGGTTGCTTTCTGGAGAGCTTCCTTGCCTGAATTGGACGGTTTCATTGTCAACAAGTTGTTGCAGGCTAACGGTAACGATTTCGAATTGTTGGCTGCCGTTTTGGACAAGTTCGTTGCTACTGTTGACGAGAAGAACGCCTTGAAGCCTGTTGAGATCCCAGAAGAATGGGTTGACTTGGAGGACGTTGTTCCAGAAGCTCAGATCGAGACCGAAGAGGTTGACGAGAAGGCTGAAAAGGAAGACCACATTGGCGACACCAAGTCTGAGAAGGAAGCTGAGGAGAAGAAGGAGGCCGAAGAGGAGGCTGTTCCATTGCCTTTCTTCCCTACCGAGTCCTCCTTCTTCCCTAACCCAAGAACCGAGGTTACTGGTGCTGAAGACAACTTCCACAAGGGTAAGCTGGACGCTGCCATCAAGCTTGCTTTCCCAGAGGCCTACAGCCTCAAGAAGGACTTGAGACCAGACTTGCCAGTCCAGAACTTCGTGGTTAAGGTCCAGGAGAACAAGAGATTGACTCCATCTGAGTACTCCAGAAACATTTTCCACATCGAGTTCGATGTTACTGGTACTGGCTTGAAGTACGAGATTGGTGAAGCTTTGGGTATCCACGGTCGTAACAACAGCGAGCACGTTGAGTCTTTCTTGGAGTTCTACGGTGTTGACGGTGACTCTTTGGTTGAAGTCACCAACAGAGACGATATCTCCTTGTTGGAAGTCAGATCTGCCAGACAGGCTTTGACTGACAATGTTGATTTCTTGGGTAAGCCACCAAAGCGTTTCTACGAGTCTTTGGCTCCTTATGCTACTGACGAGAAGGAGAAGGCTGCTTTGGAGAAGTTGGCCAGTGGTGCTGGTGCTGAGGAGTTGAAGAAGAGACAGGAAGTTGACTTCTCCAGCTATGTGGATATCTTGGAGGAGTTCAAGTCTGCCAGACCAGCGTTTGACGAGTTGGTCAAGATCATTGCTCCATTGAAGAGAAGAGAGTACTCCATTGCCTCTTCCCAGAAGATGCACCCTAACGCTGTTCACTTGTTGATTGTTGTTGTTGACTGGGTCGACAGCAAGGGCAGAACCCGTTACGGTCACTGTTCCAAGTACTTGTCTGACTTGAGAATCGGCGACGAGTTGGTTGTCAGTGTCAAGCCAAGTGTTATGAAGTTGCCTAAGTTGCCAGAGCAGCCTATCGTTATGTCTGGTTTGGGTACTGGTTTAGCTCCATTCAAGGCTTTCATCGAAGAGAAGATCTGGCAACAGCAACAGGGTCACAAGATCGGTGAAATCTACTTGTACATGGGTTCCAGACACAAGAAGGAGGAGTACCTTTACGGTGAACTCTGGGAAGCTTATAAAGATGCTGGTGTGTTGACCCACATTGGTGCAGCCTTCTCTCGTGACCAGCCACAGAAGATTTACATTCAAGACAAGATCAGAAGCTCCATTGAGGACTTGACCGATGCCATTGTCAAGAAGGAAGGTTCCTTCTACTTGTGTGGTCCAACCTGGCCTGTTCCAGACATCACTGCTTGTTTGGAGGACATTGTCAAGAACGGTGCCAAGAGAGCAGGCGAAGAGATCAAGGATGTTGCTAAGGTTGTTGAGGACATGAAGGAAGATGGACGTTACATTTTGGAGGTCTATTAGAGAAGTGGTATTTATTAGAATTAGAATACAAGGCACATCTAGTGAAAAGTGTAAGATCAGTATTGGTATTAAAGTCATATCGAATATATGATTATATAAAATGTAGATTAAGAAAGAAATTAAAGAAACAAAACCCAGGCAACAACAGCCATAAGCGAAATCAGCTTCCCAGAAGCACCGCCCTCCCAAGACGAAATGTCCAACGTAGACTGAGTAATCGTCACAGACTCGTTGATCGAGTATGTGGTAGTACAGTCATCTCCAGTACAACAGTCATCGCCAGTACAGCTTGGAGCAGAGTACGACAAGGTCGAAGGAGTGAAAGTCTCCTCTGGAGCTGAAGCAGATGGTTCCTCTGGCGATGGCAGGAACGTCTTTGGCAAGACAGACTTGAATGGCTCCAGTTGGTGAGGACTTGGAGTTTCGGTAGCGTCTGGTGCTGGCTCAGAGTGTTCTGGAGTCTCTGTAGCATCTGGAGCAGGTTCAGTAGCATCTGGAGTTGGTTCAGAGTGCTTTGGAGAGTCAGCTGGCTTGGATGGTTCTGGAGAGTCAACTGGCTTTGAAGGTGCTGGTTCATCAACTGGCTTGGATGGTTCTGGCGACTCTGGAGGGTTCGATTCCTTTGGAGACTCTGGAGGAGTGGATGGTTCACCAGGAACAAACACGGTCAGGACAAGACTGGTGGTTTTCTCTGTGGTGTGGTCTTCTGGCGTGGTTGTCTCTTCCTTTGGAGTCTCAGTAGAAGGAGATTCAGTAACTGGAGTGGTTTCTGGAGAAGTGCTTTCCTTTGGAGAGTCTGGAGGAGGAGCAGAAGCCAGAGTAGTAGTACCTGGAGTGGTTTCAACTGGAGTGGTTTCAACTGGAGTGGATTCCTCTGGAGTCTCTTCAGCTGGAGTGCTTTCCTTAGGCGTAGACTTAGCTGGTGTAGACTCGGCTGGAGTCTCCTCAACTGGAGTAGACTTGGCTGGAGTTTCTTCAACTGGGGTAGACTCAACTGGAACTGACTCTTCTGGAGTAGACTCTACCTTGGTAGAGGTTGGAGTCTTGGTGGAAGTAGTAGTAGTCTCTTTGGTCTCGTCAGGCGTGGTAGTCTCTGGAGGGTTCGAGTCCTGAGGAGTCTCCAGGGTGGTAGTTTCTGAAGTAGTCTCTGGAGTAGTCTCTGGAGTAGTCTCTGGAGTAGTCTCTGGAGTAGTCTCTGGAGTAGGTTCTGGAACCTCGTCTGTCTCACAAGACTCAGTCTCTGTAGTAACCACAGTGCTTGGTTCTGGGTAAGAAGTAAGCGTAGAAACAGTGTAGCCGCTTTCACATTCACCGCATGGAACAGTCAGAGTGACGGTGACTGGTTCTGGAGGAGGAGCTGAAGATTCGACCGAAGTAGAAGGAACTGGCTTGACTGAGGTAGATGATTCTGAGGACTCTGCTGGGCTGGAAGTCTCTGGGGCAGCAGACGACTCAGGAACTGTAGAAGATTCTGGGGTCTCTGAAGACTCTGGAACTGGAACACTAGAAGATGTTTCTGGAGCTTCGCTGGAAGTCTCTGGAACCTCTGAACTGGTTTCTGGGACGTCTGAGCTGGTCTCTGGAACTGAACTGGTTTCTGGAACCTCTGAAGTGACCTTAGAAGAAGTCTCTGGAGTCTCAGACGAAGTCTCTGGAGTCTCAGACGAAGTCTCTGGAGTCTCAGACGAAGTCTCTGGGGTTGTCTCTGGTTCACTCGAAGTCTCTGGAGTAGGCTCAGGTTCAGAAACCACTGGCTCACTGGACGTCTCTGGAACTGGTTCTGAAGAAACTTCTGGAATGGAAGTCTCTGGAACTGACTCTGAAGAAACCTCTGGAATGGAAGGCTCTGGAACTGTAGATGGCTCTGGAGTGGTAGACACTTCTGGTTCAGTGGAAACCTCTGGAATAGACACCTCTGGCTCAGAAAAGGTAGTTGGCTCAGATGGAGTTGGCTGTTCACACTCTTCACAAGGTTCATTGATAGTGTTGGTGATTGGCACTGGAGGAACATCAGTAGTGTCACAGTCAGTAGTAGGAGTCTCCACGGGCACATCAGTAGTTTCACAGTCAGTAGTCGGTGTCTCTTCAACAGGAGGAGTTTCACAGTCAGTGGTTGATTCAACTGGAAGCTCTGTAGTTTCACAGTCGGTAGTTGGCTCCTCTGGGACATCAGTGGTATCACAGTCAGTAGTAGGCTCAACAGGAGTCTCTGTAGTCTCACAGTCAGTAGTAGGTTCAACTGGCGTCTCCTCAATTGGAGTCTCTGTAGTCTCACACTCAGTAGAAGGAAGCTCTGCTGGTTTCTCTTCAGCAACCGGCGTTGTGCTTGTCTCCTCGAAACCAGTCTCCTCAGAGTCTGGGCAGTAAGTAGTAGTAACCCAGTCAACAATAGTACTCCTAATAGTGGTGATATCCTCATCAGGAACATTCTTAGTACATCCACCATTAGGACAAGAAGTGATAGTAGTGATATGAGTCCTAACCTTGGTCTCAGTGACATATTCAACTGCTGCCACAGCAGCTATCAAGAAGGTCCATGGAAGCATAGCGAGAGAATAAAGTGGGTGGAGGTGGAAGACCCCAGGAAAAGGCAGAATACTTATACTTTTCAGATGAGGTAGATTCCGGGCTGGATGTTAGAGAGATCAGGTTTGAAACAAGCAACGACCAATAAAAAATGCTACTTTAATGGTTGCAAAAAAAAATACTTATGGCTCTTGGGGAAACCCCAAACGTCTTCCTGCAGTCCTGGCAAACCTAAAACACCTATATTTTGCAGCCATTTGTCTCAGAAGTGGTAATGTGCCGGTCGGCTAGCACGATATCATAGACGAATGGTATTTATAGCATTGCCGGGGAGAAAAAATAACGGGAATCTGGGCTTAAGGGAATGTTTTAAACGCGTTTGACATTTACCTGATCTGCCAATATTATGCTGTTCCAGGAGGAGTCCAGCCACGGCCATTCCACTTACGGTAGGTGATTAGACGGAAGGGGAAGGTAGATTGGGGAGGCAGCGAGATAAGCCAGAGAGGAGGTTCTAGTGGATGGCTAGTTGGATAATATGACAGTTTGAAACGTTTTCTCGTATTCCAGGTGTTCTAGAAGGCAGACATCTGGTTCGAAGTACCAGAGAGTAGTAAACGATTACAAGAAAGGGCTAAGCATGTGCTCTGGTTCGAAGAACCAGAAAGCAGTAACTCAATGGCTTTTCTCTTACTTTCTAAGATTGGATTCCAAATCAGTTTCGTCTACTTTTCGTCAATTGGGGGCTTGGGAGCCTCAGGATGACTATGAACCCTGGGTTGATTCACTTTTCGCAGCCACTCCATACCACTGGAAGACGGTAAGCGAAGAGAAATAGTGCCGTGAAACGGACGGCGGAGGGAGACGGTAAAAGAGAAAAGAGGAAGGATCAAGGGATCGAGGGGAGTTCGTAAAAGTGAAGGTTCCTTGGAAAGTCTATCTTTTCAAGAAAAGCTTACTTTCACCCTCTCCTCTGTATATCCATACCACAGACTCCCCTTCTCCTGACTTTCTGCAATTTCTATTTATTCCAAGTTTTCTACGTTTTCTGTATATTTACAAATTGATCTCTTTCCCTGGCATCTTATCACATTTCAAAATCGCTACTCTGATTGTTTCTTGTTTCACGGAGAGATGCAACTGGCTCAATTCTTCACCGTGACCATTTCAACTCCCCACCGCCAAAACTACGCAAATTACATAAAATGTCTAATTGTATCATCTGAAAATCCAAAAAATGCCATTCTTTTCGAGAATGATATTTAAACGGGAGAATGAACGTGAGGCATTTTGGAGGCTCCTTGTCGAAGTCGGTTTTCGGGTTTTAGCCAATCAGCCAGAGGTTCCTTATATGGCGCCATTGGGACGCCCAAACCTCCTTAAAGCATAAACTTTAAGCGTAGCCAGGCAGCGACAAGAAAAGTGGAATTTTAGGGAAACCATAAGCGTATAGGTTGTGTGTGGCGGATTGGCCATTTCCATCTTTATGAGTTTCGCACGACGCCGATCTCGCTCAGCCCACACATTTTCACCCAAAAAAATGTATAATGAGGTGGAACAATCGCGCAGAGGTTTGAAGCCCTGGGCAGTGGTTGCAAAAAAAAACTCACTTTTCCGTTGATTCTTGGTATCTACAACTTTTATTGGTTTCCTATCGTGTATTAGAAAAGGGAAATTAAATGGTCCGTGTGAAAGTTAGTTATTTTTGATTCGCAATCAGGTCGAAAGCGAGCGAGTTACCTGCTCTTGTGATGAAAGGGCAAAGTGGAAAAAAGTGAGTCCCGTAAATAAAAGTGAAAGCCTTTCTGAGGTCAGAAAGGGCATGTATAAGCTTGTTGAGCGTTAATGCAAAGAAAAAAAATTGTTGGTAAAACATCAGCCCACTTACAAAATGTAAGCAAGAGGAATGGCAGCCAATGCGAGCAAAGAGCCCTTGACAGCGGCAGCAGCACCCTCGTAGGTGGAAATACCAGACTGGGTTGGAGCTGGAGCACCTGGAGAGGAGATGAAGGTAGATGGACCAGCCACAGTAGATGGAGCACCCTCAGTTGGAGCTGGGGCACCGCCAGTTGGTGGCTGCTCAGTAGCCTCCTTGGATGGAGCTGGCTGTTCTGGAGCTTCTTGGGTTGGAGCTGGCTGTTCTGGAGCCTCTTGAGTTGGAGCTGGCTTCTCTGGAGCTTCCTGAGATGGAGCTGGCTTCTCTGGGGCCTCCTGGGTTGGAGCTGGCTGTTCTGGGGCTGGCTCAGTGGCACCTGGAGCCTTGGTGGTTGGAGCTGGCTCTGGACCTGGCTGCTCTGGAGCAGTCTCAACTGGGCACCAAGTGGTGTAGACAGTCTTCTCGCCCTCAACGGTAGTGGTAGTTGGACCCCAGGTAGCTGGCTTGGTGGTCTCCTCACACTTGTCCTCCTCACAGTGGGTAACAGTAACAATGGTGGTGTGGGTGTTGGTCTCGGTCTCGACTGGGCACCAGGTAGTGTAGACGGTCTCCTCGCCATGGACAGTAGTGGTGGTTGGGCCCCAAGTAGCAGGCTTGGTGGTCTCGTGGCACTTGTCGTCTTCACAAGAAGTAACGGTCACAATGGTGGTGTGGGTGTTAGTCTCAGTGACAACTGGGCACCAGGTGGTGTAGATAGTCTCAGTACCTTCAACAGTGGTGGTGGTTGGACCCCAGGTGGCTGGAGTGGTGGTCTCGTGGCACTTGTCGTCCTCGCAAGAAGTGACAGTGATGATAGTAGTACCAGTGTTAGTCTCAGTGACAGTGCCAGATGGGCCAGATGGGCCTGGGGTTGGGGTGTCAATGTCAACAACCTCAATGGTAACTTCAGTACCCTCACCGTCCTGGGCCTTGATAGAGGCAACAAGGTCGTCCTTCTCATCTCTGGCCTGGAGCATCTGGGCGTTGAATCTTCTTCTCAAAGCAGCGGTAGAGTTGGAGCTTGGAGACTCCTCGGCGTGAACGTGGAACAAGTTAGTAGCGTCCTTACCGTACAATTCCTTAGCTGGGACATCAACGGTTCTACCAGCGTTCTCAATGTCGTTCCAGTACTTCTGGTCAGCGTTGACGTAGTAGGCGTCAACCTCGTAGTCATCCTCAGCGTCGAATCTGAAGGTGACTGGGAGGGACTCTGGGATGCTGAAAGGACAGTCACCAGTGTCCAAGTCGACCTGGGCGACCTCCTGACCGTTAACACGGCAAGAGACGTCCTTAGCAGAGGCAGCCATTGCGAAGGCGGCGGTAGTAACGATAGAAGAGAACTTCATTGGTAAGCGAATGTAGAAAAAGTGTGCTAGGTAAAGGAGAAAAAAAAAGCCACTAGGAAGGGGGCAGGGCGGCTGGTTTATATAATCGAGGGAGGGAGGGTGGAAAGCTTTGGATGGGACATGGATCTGGGATGGCATTTGCAGCCTATTTGCACGGAGTGTGTGTAGTCGCGTTTACCGCAGCGACCCGCATGGCCCGCATGGGTACGACACTAAGGTTTTTGGTGCGTGATGCATGCACTGGTTGTATACAGGTACATTGTTTGGAGGTGACTGGTGGGATGCATGTCACCCCTGCAGTGGTTGCGACATGGGGCTTTGGTGGAAAAAGGGGTGTAAACAGTGGTAGGGTGAAGCTCAATCAATGGAGGTTATCCGGGTCGGAGGCCATAGAAAGGGATACGGAGTGCTAGAAGGATAAACTTGTAAAAAAAGCATATAGTTACATTTTGTTACCATGTATTTTTGTTGACATTTACATGGCCAACCAGCCAGGTATATAATTAGTAACGCTGGGTGCAAAATCTCGTTTTCCGGTCACTGGCAGTTTGCTAGGGTGTGTGCGCCAAGGCAGGCACGGTACCGAAAAAAAAAAGGCCAATTAGCACAAAAAAAAGGCCCCAAAGGCCAAAAATACAGGCAGTACAGAGAAAAAATAAAAAGTGAAAAGAAAACACTGGCCTGGCAAAAAAGCAGATCCCACCAGCCTCCCAGTAACCAAAAGGTCACCACGCCAGAACCCCAAACCCCCCAAAACCCCCCAAAACAAAAGCCAAACATGGGGGAAACAAATACGAACTTCCAAAACAACCCAAACGTAGCCTTACCCTTCTAAATCTACAAAAGACGCCAATTCCAAAATACCTCTGGTTGACTACGGCGTGGGTGGAAAAGTAACTTTCATCGTGGCTTTGGTCCTGGCTTTTGTCCTGGCTTTTATCCTGGCTTTGGTCCTGGCTTTGCAATCGCATTTGGCCTCTTTTTTTCCATACTTTTCTGCGCTTCATGGCTCTTCCACTGGCTGCGAAAGTGCCCAATCTCCCTCCCCATCCACTTCGTCCACTTCGTCCACTTCCAAATCCACATCCACTTCGTCCCGACTTGTCTTTTTTTTCGACTTTGTAATCTCTCTTTTGTAATCTTTTTATTATTTGTTTGTATTCTTTTTGTCTTTGTATTCTTTTCCTTTGTCTTCACTTGCTTTGTTGCTCCTGTCTTTGTCACTGGACGTCTTTGTCTACAACCGTTGCGGCCACTCCCATCCGAAGCAGACCTCCAAAGCGACCACCTCCAAAACCTCTAAAACCACCAAAACATCCACATACCACCAACCACATACCACGCTGGAATGTCAACACTATTCTATGGTGGCCACCGTTTAAAGTCTATCACTTCCTTCCACCTTCCTTCCACTTCCTGTGCCTGCCTTTGTGTCGTAGCAACTGGCTGCAAACGCCAATACCACTGGTAAGTAAGATATTCCGCAGCCAACGTTCCCTGGTTTTGTGCCTAGTTTTCGTGGATATTCAAGACTTGGCGCCTTCACTGGCAGCCACTGGAGCCTCGGAGGACACTGACAGTGGCTGCTTTGGCTGTACCACTAAACCACTGAAACTGCCCAGTGGCTGCGAATAGTAACCACAAACTGCCTTGCCCTGCCTCTTCCACTTCCTCTTCCACTACGTCGACGTCTCCCTACTACTCCCTACTTTCTGCACTTCCTGCTTTTCTTTGTCTACTTTCATTAATCCCTCCCTCCTTCATCCACTCCTATCTTCCTCCTCCCTCCTCCTCCCTCCTCCCCTTGCTATTCTTATCTCTACCGCACTGGCCCTCAACCCAAATGTCGTTCTTTTTTTTTCCCGCCCAGCGCCCGCACGATAGTCCTTTCTGCGCAACTAAATCATTCCCTCCCTGTCTGCCAGATACTCTATATGCTTCTTTCTTTGGCCCCACGGGCCACAAAGTTGCTGCCGAGTCACCGACCAAATGCCGTTCCACTTCTCTTTACTAATATCTCACACACACTCTGTCACACACGTAATACCGTCTTGATTCCTTGGTTGCTGTTTATACACCCGGGGGCTGATGTCATTGTGCCCAGGTCCAAGCCTGCTCCTGGTTCGTCACCTGAGCCTGGCTAATGGGTTCTTTGCTTCTTGCTTTTTGCTGCCCGACCACCCTGGTCCCAAATCGGTAGCTCTACCTACTCGATTTGAAAAGGGCTTATGAGTGGTGATGGCGGCGATCTTGAGCAAACTCGGGGCAGCGCTTTCGGGACAGCGCTTTCCGGGAGTAGAAGGATACCTATTCCATTGATCAGGCTGTTGCCAATTGAATGTTCTGATTTTTTTGGTGACTTCTTAAAATACTTTTCCGTCGGTCTGCTTTGTTTGTTATTGATAGTGTATTCTTAGATTGTGGCCTCATTATGCCCTATTGGGCTTTGGGCCCTGATGCCCCTTGAGCCCTTGGAACCCCTTTTGCCTGAGACACCGACGTCAGCGAAAAGGCAGAATTAGCCCATGTCGCTTTTCTATTTTTTGCGTTCCTCCTAGTTATCTTTATCTCGTCTTGTTGCACCATCTACGTATGGCTGGTTATGCTTGCTTGGAGGATGGATTTCCGTAACCTCCAAATCCGTCCTTCACTCAATGGGCTTGGTTAGGGGTTCGCCCGACTCCTCCATCCCCAATTAGCCCAATTCACCTCCATTCGGTGCTCCGTGTGGTTGCTGGGTACTGGTTCAGCTTGTCGGTAAAGTCCCCGCCCGCAAGTAATGAAAAATCCATTTCTTGACTTGTCAAAACAGTGTGAACCTCTCGGCTTTGTCTAATTTGAGGTTTAGGGGGCTCGAGGGGGCTCGAATGGGTGTTTTGCTTTTGTCCTTAACGGCTTTTTGACTTGTACGGATTATTGTAAAGTCTAAAGTGGTACTTGACTCGGGGAAACTCGGACACCGCCCAAAGCACCCACATCGGCCAGATTTGGTTCCAAATGGGTCCAGTTACGCTATTTGTGTTTGGGGCGTCCCATTGGAGCGAAACGATGTGTTTTGGGATAATCAAGATCCGGATTCGTTTGGAAATAAGGTTTGGAAACTTGAAAAATCACTTTTTGGACATTTCCCGGGGCCTAGGCCAAAATGGGCCTCGGAACCATAATTCTGGGAAACTCCGCTTGAGGTAAAAAATCACGAAAATTAACATTTCTACGGCTTTCCCAGTTTACACCATATAATTTTGCCCAAAAGTATCTCTTCCAATCTATGGCATTGTGGCCGAGTGGTTAAGGCGATGCACTCGAATTTACTTCGGGCCATGCATTGGGCTCTGCCCGCGCAGGTTCGAATCCTGCTGATGTCGATATTTTTTTGCCCTTCCAACCCAATCCCAATCCCATCCTTGAACGTTCTAGGCAATCTCTCTTTTTGCCCAATCTACGCCTCCCTTCTGCCCCCTCGTCTCCCTCGGCCGGCCCAAGCCTGGCATTTACGGTTCGCGAGGTTTGCAGCCAAACCCACCCAACTACCTCCCATTGCCTGCACTGCGTCTTCAATCCACAATCATTCGTACGCCGTCGCCAATGACACTTCCCAATTGGAAATAAATTGCATCCCCATTAACCTTCACTCGCCGGCGTCCAGTGGGCCCAGATTCCACAAAACCACCCCTGAGACAAAAATGTCGTCTGCAACACGAAATACCCATATTCTTTCGTGTTTGAGCCTCGCGTTTTGCAGCTTAAAAAAACGTGGATTGTACGCCAAAACGCGCCCGAACCAAGGGGCCGCGAAACGGTTGGCAGTGAAAAAAAGGCACAAAAAAGGCCCCCCATCAATGCAAATGCATCGATTGTAAAGTGTAATAAACCCACTATAAATGCAAATGCAAGAAAGACAAAAGGACAATTAGTTTCTTCGCTGGAACGCGTGGGCGGCAAAGACGCCAGGGATATTTATCGAAAACGGAAAAAACCATGATTTGGCTGGGATGAGGCGACTGAGGCTGCCAGGCCAAGTCGAGACTTCACAGTCCCAAGAGACTTTTGGCGACTGGCTGCGAAAAAGTTGCATTCTCAGCCTCCAAGTCGCTGGCTGCCGTGAAAAAAATGGACTTCGTAGATTTGGCGAATTGGTGGGTTTCGGCGAATTAGGCAAGTAAAACAGAACGTAGGCCAAGATGGGTTTTTGCTTGGGATCGTCGGTTGTTAGTAAACAGATTGCCGTGGACTGCTCGGTCGTGGACTGGACGTGGATGGCTTGGGTGGACTGAGGAGGCTGGTGTTCGCCAGAGCGTGGCTTCCAGTGTTCGAGGAATCGGCTTCCAGGCTTCCTGGGATGTTCCCGGTTATGAACTTCAAGGAGTGCTTAGACTGCGTTGGTTAGAAGACCCAGAATTTGCTAATTTGTGGGTTTATTAAATGCGTCGAAGCGTTACTGGAGGCATGGGTTGGTTACGATGGCCTGGACTGGACTGGGCTACTGGTTATGGCCTAAGCGAGCCACCACGAAGCGATTACCCAGATTCCTTACTTCCAGTTCTCTAAAGCTTACTATTGGTTTTCCACTTTTCCCGCCTCGTTCATCAGCGCCTTCCAGGCTTGCGTTGTTTGTTTATTTGGCCTCTGGTTGTTCCCTTCCTAGGCTGAGCACTCACCGCCAACGTCTTTCCACACACAACACTGCCAACGCCAACACTGAATCGGTCTAGACATTTCTTGTCACACTTTCTTGTCTAAGAATTTAGACTTAGAATGTTTACGTCTGGATCTGACTTGCCGTGTTCTAACTCCCCTCGTTCCATGGCATAGTCGTATTTCTCCTCCTCTATCTTCTCTTGGTCTCCTCCTCAACCCAACCCTGCTTCCAACTTTCCAAAACAATCAGAATTAACCGCCTTCTCTTGTTCACCTTCCAGAGACAAGCGCTGACGGGCAATGTTCTACAATGATTGTATCTGAGATCTACTGGGTGGATCGACATGAATAATGGAACTTCCAAACAAACGGTACCGCTACGGAATCTTATGAAATATTAGGTTTGTTAGTTTTTGGTGGCAGTTGGCGATGGCCTTTAAATGATGGTAAATGGACACTTTCTGGTGGCTGCAAAATCAGCTAAACCTGGTCTCCACCCCACCCAGATTTGTTTGTTTGTTTACCTTGTCTAAGCCAACTTACACATTTAAAAACAGAAAAATTACCTATATCACCACCTGCTCAACCAACCTTTCGCTTCGCTAGATCCAGAGATCTCATTATGCTGACGATCAAACGACATCGAACAAAACGCTGGCCAATGGTTGCTATAGTACCGTGATGATCTGTTGTGAATTTTCTTATGATAAATATTCGTGTCTTTTTTTATCACCGTTCTTTTCTTTTGTTTGTCAATGCAACGAGGCTCAGCTGAAGATCCTTCTTCCACAGCCCATCAGGCCCAGCAAAAAAGGCAACAAACAGGACGTATTGGTCTTGACGCAGAGAATGTTCAGCGAACTCGTTAATTCAGGTACTATTGTTGATGATTTTTTTGCCCACCAGCGGATTTACTTGTTGACGTCGATGTCAAATCATGGAAAACGACCATTACGGGAACTCCAGAGCTGTCTTGTTTGCATTCTTTAAAGCGAGTGAACGATCATCAGTCTAACGCCAACTAAGTAGTTTGGCTTCTCCTCCTGGACGCCCTTCAAACAAAGAAATGGGACGCCTTGTCTTTGTTTTACCGCTACGAAGCCGTACTTGATTCCTCTTCAGTACGACTCTTGGCTGTGATTGAGTGATGGTTGTTTTTCTATTTTTCTACTGATTCCCCGACTTATTGTGGTCCTTTCCAGCTTTCAGCAAGCTATGTATGGGAAGGACTGTGTGTTTTAGGAACAATTGGGCATTGTGTTGACTGGTGAGTGCAAGGCTGAGGGCTTTGGATAGAGAGAAGGAAAAGTATTGGTTGATGGATTGAACAACGGCGGTGGAAAGGGCAAACATGTGATATGGGATGATTTGATCTCATCAGATACGATTTTCCGGTTTCTGTCGGCTTCTACTGCTGCTGCTGCTAATTTTTTTTTTTTTTTTTTGTTTTTTTTTTGGTTTTGTGACTTCTATCGAACAGATCAACACCGGCTAATACCCGCCTGGGAAGATCTGCTTCTGAAATCAATGGCTATGGCCTTCTCTGCTGATTTCCGACGCTTTGTGACCTGTTAGGATGCTTTTACGGTTACTGCCTGGCTGGTTGAACCGAACCAGCGGTACTTCCATTTATCACAGTCATCTGGAAACCCTTCAGATCCTAAAACTTCCGAGGGTATTATAGGGCTCTGAACGTGGAAGCGACAGAATGCTGTCCATACTGAGGCTTCTAGGTTGGTTTATTCACGGTTTATCAGAGAGTCTTCCGGTTTAGATTCTTCTACAGCTTATAACTTTCCCAAAGAATTCCCACAATCCCTAAAAGTGTTTTAGACCGTTTTCAGCAACCGTCCTTAACAGAATCACTTAATTTTAATCAATTTTCGGCCATTTTGAGCCTCTTCCTCAACCCCATATATTCATCTTCCTGCGTATATTCTACGAATTTAGGCATTGTGGCCGAGTGGTTAAGGCGATGCACTCGAATTTACTTCGGGCCATGCATTGGGCTCTGCCCGCGCAGGTTCGAATCCTGCTGATGTCGTTATTTTTTGGACCCTCATCGCACAACCTAACTAATCTCATCTCCAACTACTCTTATCTATAAACACCATGCCCAAGCTAAAATCGAAAAAAGTACCCGAGGACTATGACAAGGTCAAGCCCACCATCGATAGACTCCAAGAAAAACTCAAAGAAGCCCAGCGCAAGTCCATGAAAACTGAATCCAAGCAGACCTCTCTATGGCCCATACTAAAGCTTAACCATCAGATAAGCAGATATGTGTACAGCATGTACTACGAAAGAAAACTCATATCTAAGGAACTCTACGACTACTTGCTCCGACAGAAATACGTGAATGCCGACTTGATCGCCAAATGGAAGAAACAGGGCTACGAGCGGTTATGCTGCGTCAATTGTATTATAGCCAAAGAAAAGAACCATGGCAGCACATGTATATGTCGTGTTCCACGGCACGAGCTCAACGAGGAGCAGCAACAGACCGAGGGGTGTATCGCTTGCGGATGTCAAGGATGTGCCAGCACAGACAAGGAATAATAATACACAATATTCATCACGGTAACAAAAATATAGTAGTGGAAAAAATCAAACTGTAGCGCCCGCCTGCGCTTTAATACCCAAATAAGAATCCCAATCCGTATAGTAAAAAAAAAAAAAGATAGTATGCAGCTTCGTTAATCTTCATCTCCATCGACATCAGTGGCGTCGCTAGAAGGCGCTTCTGGCTGTTTGTCGTCGTCGTCATCAGCACGTTTCAACTCATTGATGAGGTTGACCCGTCCTTCTCTGGAAGTAGCAGGACTGTCAAATGCTCTCATAAGCATATCGTCATCATCGTAAGAATTGAGCAACGCTCTGCCCGTACCGAATGGAGAGTGGTAGAACTCTTCGAGGTACGAGGGAGACTGCCAGAGCTTCCTCACCAAGGTACTACCCAGGGGAGTCTTGAGACTTCTAAGAGGCGTCTTGATAGCGGCAATTGGGGTTCGAGCCGAGCCAGCGGTTCGAGGAGTAGTGGTGTTCTGCATTGATGGTTGGAGCTGGGGAATATGTGGAGGAGCAACACGGTTGAGTGTAATGGACGGGAGCTGCACGCTCGAAGCAGAACCGGTCTGCTGGAGAACGACATTGGTGATTGCAGCTGGGGTGAGAGGCTCAAGAAGCGGACCTGTTTCCATTGGATGAGCAGGCAGAAGCTCAAAGTTCAGGTTGCAGCTGAAGCTGGAAGTGAAGGTCATATGCTTCTCGGCCAAAATGGGCTTATCTGAGTCAGAACGGGCCTTGACAACGGGAGTTCTAAGGAGGGCGTTATCTAATGGGGAGTCGTCAGGCAAGTCGGTTTGTTGCAGGTCTGTTCTAGCGCGTTTGGCAGAGGGTTCAGTCTCTAAAGACTGTTTCCTGTCGTCAAAGCTGCCACTGGTTGGTGACAGAGGAATAGAAGCAATTGAGTTGTTGCGACGAGCCAGGGCCAACTGGTCCATCACCTCATGGTACAGACTCTTCTTGTTGTTCTTTGCTTTAAGGAAAAGGTCCTCACAATCAGGCTTGATGCACCAGAAATGGCCCTTTCCATCTTTCGATTTCATTCCTTTGACAAACGCTTTATTAAGAGACAAGTTGTGACGAATGGAGTTCTGCCAGCCCACGTCTTCACGGCGGTAGTACTTGAACGTTTCAGAGATCCACGTATAGATCTGAGAAAGCGTAAGCTGTTTGGCAGGATGGGAAAGAATAGACATGCCAATAAGCGTAGCATACGAGTATGGCGGTTTTTCATGGGAATCAATGGAAAACGACGTTTCAGACGCCTCTCTTCTAGGTTTCTTAGGACGCAGTTTCTTCTTGGGAGGTCCAGCAGGCACTGCAAGAGACGTGGTTGGCGCTTCAAAAACGCTACCAAACGCGGTGCCAAACCCCGAATCTCCACCCTGGGTCTGAGTAGGACGAAAGCTAGCAGCAAACGGAGGCGGTGGAGGCGCCAAAGTAGCACTCCCACTACCCTCAGACGTCGCCAACAGCGACAGCAGCAGGTGATGGTCGAATATAGGCGGCTGGGGAGGCTGGGGCGACGAAAACGCCGGCGACAAAAGCACGTTATTCATGGAAAACGTGCCCTGAGTATGATTCGAGTGGTCAGGACGTACAGGCGTCTCTAGCACGGTATGGTTACGTTTAAGGTGGACAGACCGAGGAGGCGTGGTGATCTTAGCCGAATGAGCCTTGGGAGTATCGGTGAGGACGTTCACGCTGTGTTTATGAAGCGGTCTTCTTGACATGTGAGGAGGGTTGGGTGAACTGGTGGTAGCGAGTGAAGGTGTGAACGTGAATGGATCCCTTGAGGTGTCTAGAAACCGAACACGGTAAGGGAAGTGGACCAAAGGGAAGGTGAATCAAGTGAAGGGGATTGTAATAATTTCTTGTTTAGTGTGGCTTCAGATTCTTGGAGAGTTTTCTTGATCTTTCTTGGATGCCTATTTTCTGGTTTCTTCTTAAGCACTGGAATGAAGGAGGATATAAAGGAAGCGAAGAGGTGGGCCTGTTGGGAGCAATAAGAGCAAAAACGCGGTATTTGAAGATGCGGCGGGTATGAAAGAAGGACAGGTCGCTGTGTGCAGGTCTGTCTACCCAGACAGCCAAATAATCCCTGCGCTTCCTGCGCTTCAGGCGCGGCGTGAAGGTCAAATAATGCAACGCGAGCGTGGCTCCAGCCATAATACAATACACTGGCCATGCACGATAAAGCGTGTCGCACTGCACACATAACGAAGGAGATTGCAGCGAAAGAAGCCTTTTGCAGCAATCTTGCTTTGGATGGATGGGTCCTGGACTTTCTGGCCTCCCTGACAGGCCTCCCTGGCAAGGGAGGACAGGAAGGGAGAGGTAGCCGTGGCTGGAATGTTAAGGAAGGAAGAGAAAGACGAAGAGAAAGAGGAGGGTTGGAGGGTTCTGAATCGGTGGCTGGATAGGTGTTCTGGAACAAATGGTGGTGAACGTTAGTAAAGTGTGAAAGTGGTTTTGTGTGGCTTTGTGTGAGGAAGAGGATCGGTTGTTCCGGAAGGAGAGATAGGGTTTGATTGCTGTGGCCAGAATGTAGAAGACTAGACGAGTTAGAATGTAAGTAGTATATTCCTTGCATGGCATGGAGGTCGCAGGGCAGCGCTTGTGACATGTACTTGTCAAGCCTTTGTCGGGTTTCCAGAAAAAGAAAAAAGGTTTGGAGGCCACAAGGCTGACATAACGTCGTTTTGTAGTTGTTCATGCAGAGGGCATGGTGGTGTATGCTTTGCTTTCTTCGGATTGGTTTACGACTGGGAGGAGTGGAGTGTCTCACTGTTCTGGTGGTTTGTCTCAGAAGGCATGCTTCTTCATGGGGGCTAAGTAGTACTACTGGCGTGTTAGTGAGCCTTTTACCTTTTTATTTGTTCCAATTGGGTTTTTTCTGTGCCTTGGGTTGTTGGAATTAAGGTAGGCTTTTGAGTATCGCTGAGAAGCATGTTACTTTCATGCAAATGGTTAGACAACCTAATGTAGAAGGCATTTTGTAACACTAAATTGCTCTTTGAGTGTACAGACCTATATGAAGCCTACTTTCTATCTATTTTTGCATAGTAAGCCTCTTTTAAGTTCAATACATTGGTCATGTCTCACTGTGACAGGTACACCAAATATCCTTCACTTCTCTGTATCAAGGAAGCTAGATAAGACTTCTGACTTCCGCTTTTAACTGTTTATAAGAGGACCTGAATATTCTTAGAGTGAAATTCCAGTTCTGGATAGGACTTGATTGTTACTTTCGAAGTAGGTTAACGGGGAGCCCTAGCTTCGTTGTTAGGTGGACAGTTTAACCGATCGTGCTGACAATTCTTAGAGCATAAATCTCTTTCATTATCTTTCTTGCCCCCGATAACAGCTATTTGAAGCTGGTGGATTTTGAGGTTTGAGGTCTGTTGGCACACCCTCATAGACAAACGGCTGTCAAGCTAGGTTGGTCTCCTTTCTTATTTAACATGGTACTTCACTTGTTTAGAGCTTACTTTTGTCATGAAATTGGCAAATTCGAGTCTTAATTGTGCGGAAAATACCGTCAGTCTGCTTACCTGATTTGTTCAACTGCCTTGGGTTCTTTTCGTCCCTAATCCAACCCCAACTAAATGTCGGTCTTTTGGAGTAGTTAAATGGTCTAAATATCAGTCAACGGATGTTCCAAAAATTGACAAATTCCCAATTGCTAGCCATCATCAAATCTTATTCTGAAATAAGTCCATTCATTGTAACCACCACTTCATCAGTATACCCTCACTCACTGAAGAACATACATCACACAAAGTGAACTCACACCACCCACTCAAAACCGCCAGAAAACCTCACCCAACTCCAAATTTCTCTTCTCTTCACAGCCCTCTCGCTTCCTAGAAACCCTCTCCATCCTCCAAATTTAAATCACCAAATGTATACTCCTCCACCTTCCCTCCACTTGGAAACCCACCTTGGTTCTCTTTTTTCGCAGCCATTTACCAAACCACTCCAAAACTACACACCACCAGAACAAATCATATCCCCTCCGAAAGCACATAAAAAGGAAAAAGTACCAACCCTTCCATCATACTTTCCCCTCCCAACACCCCAAACAGCATTTCTCCAATTTTTTCCCTCCACGTCTCCAAATCACCAGTTTTCCACTTCTTCCTACATACAGCGCTTCCAGCTTACCTTACCACAGATTTCCACTACCCATACCTTACTCATCCAACCTCACTGGCTTCTTCCAAATGGACGATATCACCAGATCCCTCATCAGATTCGTGGTGCGTGCTTTCCACTCTCGCCCATGTATTCTTGTGGCCGATGCGGTGATGCTACATTCGGTACTTTCGGAGGACGACTTGATCCATCTTTTGGGCATCCCCAGGAAGGAGCTTAGGGCTTACTGTGCCAGGCTTGTGGAGGATAGGCTTCTTCTGACACATGTGCAGAAGGAGGAGAATTACCAGCAGAGACTTGCAAACAGAACATACTACTATATCCATATCACTGAGGCCATCGATGCCATCAAGTGGAAGGTGCACTCGATAGTGTCTAGCATTAAGGAAGAGATGTCCTCGTTTGGTAATCCGCATGGGTACTTGTGCCCAAGATGTGGAAGGAAGGTTTCTCAGCTTGATGCTATTTCGTTGCTTAGCGATGATAAGTCGTCGTTTATTTGTGACCAGTGTGGAGGTGTTCTAGTGGAGGACGACTCGCTGCTTAAGGCTACTGTGAAACAGGAGAGGCTCGAAAAGCTTATGATCCAGATTGATCCGATAATTGGCTACTTGAAGAAGATTGACAATTCGAATATTGAGGATAACAACTTTGAGATTGCTCTTACCAAGGCTATTCCAGCACAGTCCGGCTCTGCTGCCTTGTATAATGTTTCTGGCCGTGGTACCGGCAAGAACCGTGGCCAGATGTCCCAGTCTCTTCAAAACGCTGCCTCCAAGGCAAACGCTACTTTGCATGTCTCTATTACTGCCTCTGACGAGAACTACGAACGTGAGCAACAAGAGAAGGAAGAGAGAAGACAGAAATTGGAGCAAAATGCATTGCCTTCATGGCACTCTTCTTCTACTGTTGGCCAAAACGAGTACAACGGCACGGAAGATGAAATTAAGACCGAGCCAGTTATTAAGGAAGAACCTGAAGTCAAGCAAGAGAACGGCGCTGAAGCTCCTGCCAGCTCGGCATCCCCTCCAGTTGACGATGCTGCAAAGAAAGAAAAGGACGCTCAAGATGTCCTTGCAGCTTACTATGCCGATTTGGCCGAGAGAGAAGCCGAAGAAGACGAGGACGACGATGATGACGACGAAATGGACTTTGAAGATGTCTAAACAGAGATCTGAAGCTGACATAAAGTGGAGATCGCCAAGACGGCTTGAAGTCAAACAGACGCCTAGAAGTAACTCTAGGACATGACAGCCGTCAAGACCAATTAGTCCAATTCACTGGCCTCCTCCAGCTCCCACAGCACATCCAATTCGGCTTCTTTTTCCATGAAAATTTGATTTCCTTCATCCCATCATTTCCCCCCTCCCATGAGATCACAGAACAGAAAAGACCAACATCTCTTTGATCATCCTCCACCATCCTCCCTTCCACCCCAGAATGAGTAATAGTGGGCGTTTTTCGCAGCCGTAAGTCAAGCTGGTACACGCCGCACTATTCGCATTCACAAGACCCCATACAATTTTTTCCTACTCACATTGAACGTTTTAATCTTTGACTGCGAACAGAAAATTTGTCCGATACCGGCCTTTCACTTTTTCAATAATGGCATCAGACAAGCAGGTATGAATTCAATGAAATCCAGGCATTGTGATGGGAGGGGTGTGTTGGAATCAACACGTCTGTCTTTGTCGTTATGCTGCTTCGGTTGTGTGTGGACTAGTGTACTAACATTTTTCAGCAAGTCGATCCTTTCAAGTCCTTCATTGCCGGCGGCACTGCTGGTGCTGTCGAAGGTGTGGTGACGTATCCATTTGAGTTTGCAAAGACTAGACTACAGCTTGTGAGTAAGACATCGACGGCTTCGAGAAACCCATTGGTTTTGATCGCTAATGTTGCAAAGACCCAGGGCGTGTCTGCCTTGTACGTGGGCTGTCCTGCTTTTATTGTGGGCAACACAGCCAAGGCTTCTGTTCGTTTCCTTGGATTTGATTCCATTAAAGCTCTTTTGGCTGACAGAAACGGTAAGCTTTCTGGCCCAAGAGGTGTGCTTGCCGGTTTGGGAGCTGGTTTGTTGGAGTCGGTTGTTGCAGTTACGCCTTTCGAAGCTATCAAGACTGCTTTGATTGATGATAAACAGGCTGCTAAGCCTAAGTATCAGAATGGATTGCTTTCTGGAACTCTTAAGTTGGTGAAGGACTTGGGTTTCAAGGGAATGTATGCTGGTGTGGTGCCTGTCTCCATGAGACAAGGTGCTAACTCTGCTGTCCGTTTGGGATCTTACAATGCCATCAAAACCATGGTCCAACAAGCTACAAACACCAAAGCCAACGAACCATTGTCCTCAGCAGCCACTTTCGCTGTTGGCGCCATTGCTGGAACTGTCACAGTGTACACGACGATGCCTATAGATACAGTTAAGACAAGAATGCAGTCATTGGACGCCGCCAAGCTCTATACATCGACCATGAACTGTTTCGTCAAGATTTTCAAGGATGAAGGTTTGCTCACTTTCTGGAAAGGTGCCACGCCGAGGTTGGGACGTTTGATGTTGAGTGGAGGTATTGTCTTTACCATCTACGAAAAGATGTTGGTGCTCATGAACTAGGTTATCTAAAAAAAATATCATAAATAGTAATTTATTAGCTGCATAGCAGCGATGCATTAATGGTATACAAATGTTGTAGATAAAGAATGGCTGCAAAGAAAGTACGAGACCAGCTCGGCTCCTATTGACTGTGTTAGTGGTTCTCTACTCCTGAGTATTGACTTCCTCAGTTGTAGTGTTGACCTCAGCCAGAGCCTGCGGAGCTAAGATACGCTTTTCTTTTTGTTTCACCTTGAAATAGTCGACCAGTGCCTTGAGCATGATGAAGATGCCAAAAGCTATTAGCCCGTATGCAAAATATGGCGTTTTGGTGTTTTCCAACACAGCAAAGTCCTGCTTGTTAAATAGCGACAGATGGTACTCGTCTATCTTGCTTCCAGCCTTTATCGACAGCGACTTCGTGACATCTATCATATTAGGATCTTCGGGCTCATATCTAACGGGGATCTTGTCGGCTCTACCAAAGTTGGACGGGATCCGGTCGTAGCCGTACATGAGTATCATGATACCCAAGCCTGCTCTGGTGCCTTGTTTGGCAGCATGCGACGTATGAAGAAGGTAGCAAAGAATGAAACCAACTAGCTGGAAAGCGACAGTGACAAGTGCATTCCACACGAAATTAGCCAAGTTACCCACTGGAAGACCCTGAACAAACACCTCATTATCGTACATTGGACTGATCATCGTCGTCTCCCAGTATTCAGGCGTATTATCAGCAGCAGCCTCGTCATACGTAGGCGGATGTTGCTCTTGCGTATTAATTTCAGCCTGGGTGTCTGGTTTAGCCATAAGGTTTCTAAACACACCGTCGGTGCCCTGACCGACAAACCGACCCGGAACATTTGCCTGGAGCCGTCCCGTCGTGATACCGTTATTTAGTCTCTGGTAAGTCTGTTTAAACGGGAACACATAGTGGATCACATTCAAAAGCCTTTGCGATGGAGATAAACGGACCTGGTTGGGCAGACGCTGTTCTTCCAAGTCAGACGACTGGCTAGGGGCGTTGGCGTCACGGTTTTCACTCAGCGAAGCCGAATCCCTCAAGTTAGCCGAAGAACCCTCAGCAGCGTTCTGAACGAATAGCGGCGAGCCGGATTCAGACCCATCAGCAGCATCCTCAAAGTCCCTCACTAACGAAGTCTCTGAAGATGACGCCATCTCGTTCACGCCCCGGTCCATATGAGCCTTGTGCCCGTTTCCCAGATCGAACTCAGAATCCGAGTCCACCAGCTCGAGCTTAGTGTATTTTCCCGGAGGCGACAGAACCATCGGGAGGGGAATATATGAATAAGTTATGGGGGAAAGAAGGAGGTGGAAGGAAAAAGTAGTCCGTGGCGGTGGAGACTCTAAATGTTGATAATGCGCACTCGTGTGCTTACACAGGCCTGATACGACGAGGAGGGAAGAGGGAGGAGACAGCTCGAGAGGCCGCCAGGGACGGGAGGTGGTTGGAAAAAAAAGGAATTTTTGGGGAGTTCAAAAAGTGGGAAATGGCCTCTATTTATGTACTTTTTGCCCGGGAGGGTTGGGTGTGATGGAGTGGTTGATGGTGGATGTAACTGGTAACGGTGCTCAGCTGTAAGGGGCTCCAGAAAGTGGGTACAATAGAGAAGAGAGAGAGGATGGACAGTTTTTAGGAAATAGGCGAATTGGTTGTTCTAGTGTCAGATAAGCAGAATTAAGGCCATTTTATGGGTTTTTTAGGGAAGACTTCTGGAGGGAGTAGCAGTGAAGGTACTATATATAGGGGTTGGCCCACAGTAGAAGCTACCAATGGATGTTCCCTAGAGGGTCGTTCCGGACGTCATATTTAGCCAATTGCCTCCTTAGCAGCCTTTCAAAGTTATACTCCAATTTCAGCCTTTAAGGCTCAATCTTGGTGGACATTGATGGATACTATGGATGTCCCTCTGAAGGGCCTGATTCGCGAGAAACCCATTTTGCAACCATTTATTTATGGCAACTACTCCTTCAACTCTCCACCAATTTCTACAATTCAAACCTACATCCCTTTTCTGATCATCAACGGTCGTGAAAGCTGAGTTTAAAACCATAAAAACCAAAATAGTGTCCTGAGTTACCCTTTTTTCTTGGCTGTGACTTTGTTGCTCAATACAAGAATATCACGGGTTCTTGCCTACCTGTAGCGCTTCCTGAGCTCGGCCAATGGCTTATTCTGCTTGAAGAAGCTTCCAATAACACGGTATTGAAGCCAGAGCGGGAACCAATTCAGTATAAACTTGAGCAAGCGAGCTCTGTACCCTTCGTAGATATTGAATCCCCTATGCTTAGCAAGAACCTTGTTCAACACGCTTCTGGCGTACTTGTTTGGCTTCGTACCATGGCACGTCATGTTGGCACTGGCACGGATACTCTCCTCGAGGCCTTGAATTTGGTAAGGCAATTCACCAATACGCTTAGAGATATCACCCTTCTTCTCTTTGGCAATGTCCGTATCAACACCACCAGTAATCACAGAGTACACACGAACGCCAAAAGGCTCAAGCTCAACCCGAATACCCTTAGCGTAAGCGTTAATGGCAGCCTTTGTGCTGCAGTAAAGCGATGTCCAGCAGAGCGGCACAATGCCAGCCACAGATGCCGTATAAACGATAGCACCCTTCGCCTGGATGACAAACGGCGTGAAATACTTGGTCATAAGCATATGGCCAGTGACATTGACAGCGAAAATGTTCATCATGGCCTCGTCTTCAAAATCGAACCCTGGTCCTCCATCAGCTATACCAGCGTTGTTATACAAGATATCCAAAGAGTCACTTCCAGAATGCTCTCTAAAGAACTCCACTGCTTTTTGCACACTTTCTGGTTTTCTGATATCCAAAGCAAAGGGCACCACGCCATGCTGGCGCAAAGGCTCCATCAAGTGAAGCGTATGTTCTGGAGCTCCACCGTACACTTTGAACCCACGCTGGGCCAAAATCAATGCCAAGTTGTACCCAATGCCCGAGGAAGCACCTGAAACCAAAGCGTAAGGCATGCTGAATAAAATTAAGTTACCGAATAAACATCAGGAAATCCTCGTCCTTTTATACCTCCTGTCACATGCGGTGCGGTTGTGAGGGGGACATTGTGTTTTGATGGTGGAGGAGGGGGAGTGAAAAAAAAGCACTGCTGCCGAGATCTGGAGATGCATGGAGGAGTAGTAGGACAGGTACAAGGGTAGTATAAGGAACCGAGGACGCCGGGAGGGCTGAAGTGGTCCAATGAGGGGATAAGAAATGAAGGTTGGGGTTTTGGTGGCTTTGGGTGGGCAGGTAGTGGGAAATTAGATGGTGGAACGGTTGTTATGTCCGGTATTTCCGGGGTACAGTAGAGCCTAATATGGTAAAACGGTTTTTTTCACAGGATGGATGCAATTTCAGTGATAACTGAGCTGAAGGTGAGGTCATTGGCTGGGGACGAATGGATGGGTTTGAGGGATTTGGAGGGTGATTTGAGTTGTCTGGAGGGTGGAGGTGGAGGTACTGGGATCGGAGTTGCAACAATAGATGGTTGACAGTGGAAGGCAGTTGACGGGACAGAACAATTGGGAATGGAAGGCAGGGAAGGCATTGAAAGGGTGTCTGGGGAGGCTTTTTGGGAGTGGGTTGAAGCAGGTGTTGCCATGGGTAGTCAGGGTGGGCCTTAGTAACTAGGCATCACAAATGGTATCAACAGAGTTGTAGATTTGCTTGATGATGGACTTTGAGTGGCTTGGGGTCTCTTTAAGATCACTAGTGTTCCTGGGGACGAAATGTATCTTCTTCAATGGCCTTGGAGGTATTGAATATGCATTTTGCTAGGACAGTTCTAACCTTCTCTTCCTGTTTAGCACAGAATGTCCATGGAAATCCTTCAGTGACTATCAAAAAATCAATTAATATGAGGTTTGAATTCTTGGAGGCCAGCGGTATAATAACCAACCAGGAATGGGTTACCCATGGCTATTCCCTATGTATCAACAACCTCAATACCTCACCAACAGTATGTTCTGAGTTAAAATTAATAAAAACAAACCATTGAACAGTTCTCTATCGCTATTCAACACTGGTCACTACCATTTTTATGGGATAAATAGAGCAAAAACTTAACTTTCCAAAGGGATCAAGACTTCCACTACCAAGTAGGACAATTTTAATAAAAACATCGAAAAGAAAAGGACTTGGGAAATTTATCACGCCCTTTATGAACCGTGAATATCAATTTAGGGATCTACTAAACGCTGGATAGCGCAATTCTTTGTATTACCGCCACGTATTTCAATACAATATCCAATTCTGGTTGTCCCGAGTAACACCAATTTCCTACTATTATTGCATTGTTCTGGGCGGAAACACTTTAATCTTCTGCCTTAACAGAAACCCTCTTACAAATTACAAGAAACCAAAGACTCCCTAACACCATTGACTTTGTCAGAACCAAAGGTCATGTACTACGGCTGGCGGCTAGCAACAGCATACCTTTGATGTATCTATCCGCCCAGATTGCCGAAGCGGATCCACAGTAAGGCAAACATGCTTTTTTAAAATACCCAGAATCAGACAAAAAAAGCTTATCCCATGGTTATGAACTGGGGAAGTAAATTTTTTTCATCAAGCACTAATTTGCTCCAAAAAGGCTAAATGCATCCACAAAGTCGTAGGAGCCACTCGTAAGCGAGACCAGTACGTTATCCGTCTGAGGCGACGTGGTAATTAGTAGCACAAAGTGTTATGATGGAAAAGAACGAGCAAGAAGGGTCTTCGTCTATATCTTTGTGGCACATTGAACCATCACACCCAGAGCAACAATCACCAAGCTGCCCACGCCTGACAAACTCTTCAAGACCCAAACAGACAAAAAACTAGCTCATCTCTGCCTGCTTCGGGTTTGTCGTTCCATAAAAAAAGTATACACATCATCTGTCAGGCGTTACGATACATGGCGCACAGCGCTTGATACCGCCATCTCGCATCGGTATATTGAAAGGTGGACCCTAGAAACTGATGCCATTTGCTGTCTTTTGTAGGGAATTTAACCGCCCTTGACGAAAGGTGAGGCTCTCCTGGCCAGTTTGACCTGGCGCCGCGTTCAGGCGGTGCTATGCCTTCGCTTATAGACAAGGTCTAAGGAACAGATAATTGGAGGGTATGTTGATGGAGTAGCCGGTGGAACGACCAGAAGAAGTATAGCAATACCGAAATGGCCTTCACAATACTTGGGTAAAAATGAGAGCAAAAAGCTGTTTTGAAAAAAATTAGTGGCCATGGCAAAACAGCGGATCGTCTGGTCTTTAAGTGATTTTCCTACAACTCCAAGAACTGTAACCACCACCAACACCACCAGCCAAAGCCTCCATCCAAGAAACCACCCCCAGAAGACTTCGCCTTTATACGCGCAAGCAAACTCTTTTCTGTAACACAAATATCAAGACAAGACTTGCCAGCCAGCCAGAACCAACACAAAGTTGCAAGGCATCAACACAGCCTCTGCCCAGAACCCTTTGAAAGGATAATTCAGGAACGGTCTTGGCTGGAGGTGCCAAGGGACGAGGGTTCTGGGGAGCCTTCTGTGACTTGACAATACGTTGCTCTACGTCATGGGAAGAAAGGGGGTGGTTTGGTGGAAGTTGAAGTGGGATGTTATGGTTCCAGGTTATCCAACTGGTAGTAGTTATAGTTCCAGAGCGGCACGTATGAAGCAGGTAATTAAAAAATCGAAGAAAATGGCCATCGACCTCCACTTTGTACCACCTTCAACGTCTTTCTTCCCTTTTTCCCTCTTCCTTCGCTTAATGGCTCAAAACTGGGTTTTCCTTCCACCCCAGCCTGCCTCACTATGACATACCCGCTGCTGCACTTCTAAGAAAAATAACACATACCAGCATCTCGGCTAAACCCAGGCCATCCACGGATCTCCAAAGTACTTTGGAGAAGTACTTCTCCAACATCTTCACCTCCATAGTAAAAAAATAAACAAATAGCCACCTCTCCACCAATAAAGTCGTCTTCCACTAAATGACAGAAACGTGCGCAAGTTGGTGTCAACCCATGTGGGCTAATTGAGTCGCTTATTGTTAAGCCTGAGGCGCTTGCATACGCCATACGCCAACCGCTTGTTCCCAGGTTAGTGTGTGCACGCCGAGCGCCCATGTGGGTGCAAAAAGGGTATTATGGGAGGGAGGGTTTATAAACGAGGCACGTTGCTGGTTGGATTGGGACATTTTGGAGATTTCACACCATGAAGTTTTTTTTGCTACCGGCTGCGTTGGCAGTGAACATTCTTATAACGACGACAGACTCGTGGGTGGCCAAGGGGCCTCGGTACTTGGAGTGGGCTTTGAGGGAAGAGGGCCACGAGGTGAAGGTGGTGGCTTCGTTGAACCCAAACACTGAGGTGCCGCCGCTTGAGCCTGAGTACCATCAGGACTCGGAGGTGGTTGTGGGTGCTCCAGCTGGGGGTGATTTCAACCACTTGTTGCCTGCTCACCAGACGTATCATAGGAACATGAGGAAGCTCAAGACGGTGGCTAGAGGCGCCAGAAACACGATACTGAAGAAAGACGCAGAACGGTTTGACGAGGAGTTTAAGAGCCAGGAGCTTGTCCACGAAGAAGCGTACGGTCAGGACCCGCTTAACCCTAATTTCTGGTTCGTGGACGGTCTGCCACTCCAGGCGCTTTCTGTGGCCTTTGGCGAGATCTTGCCTAAGCATATTCCAGACTTCCAGCCTGATTTGGTCATTGTGGGCCCTAACGAAGGTCTCCACTTGACGTCGGCCAATACCAACGACGAAGTCGTTGTAGAAGACCTTGATGATATGGATAACCAGGCCGAAGCGTTGGCTTTGCTTGCACAGCTGAAGAACATGCCTGTCATCACTGTTTCCAGCGAAGACCACGACCGTATTTATTATGGCGACGAACGGTACTTCAACGTGGAGGAGAAGAAGTATGACGACTCTTTCAAAGCCAACCCTGTGGCCAAAAACGTCAAGTACATCAACCAGAAGGTTGTGGAGCTCGTGGAGGAAGTAGCACCTACTTTGACCTCCTCGCTTCTGCTTAACGTCAACTTCCCATCCATGAACCACCAGTACTCCCAGTGCGTGGGCAAGTCATCCACAGGACCCCTTTTTTCCCAGATAACCGCCGAAAAGACCAAACCTCACCTCGGCAAGATCCTCAGCGTGCCCAGAGTGTCTGGCAAAAGAGACCTCGAAAGCGAAACCACATACGTGAAGATGTCTGACGAAATGAGCCGTCCCGAGCCGCTCCTGAAGCTCGAGTTCATGAGGTTGCTGGCCATCCTCTCGAAATCTTCAGACCTCCAAGAACGTCTTGCCAAAGACGATACCCAAGAGTACTACAAGAACAAACAAGAGCTTCGTGCTCTCGACAACTGCCAGATTGCTGTTGCCGTCAACCACATCACCAGGGGCAACAACCTCGGTCCCGAGGTATATGCCATTTCCACTCGTTAACTTATTTCACGTCCCATACACTAATAGATACGCCATAGATAAACAGTAAGAGCAGTAGTAGCAGTAGTAGTGAGGCTGCGAGTTACCATCAATCACACGTGACGAAAGTTCCACAGTTCTTCAGACCCTACTACTTTCCTTCAGAACCCCGTCCAGTATGCCTACTTTGATCCCGTCGGTCTCCATAGGATCAGAGTCGTACTCCCGGCTTTCCCGTTCCGAACAGCAAAAGTCCCACAAGTTGGGCACGCTTTCTTGTGTTTCGCTCATCACCAACAAGATGATAGGAACGGGTCTTTTCAGTACACCGTCCATTATTTTCAAGTACTGCAATGGTAACGTGCCTTTGTACCTTGGGTTGTGGGTGTTGGGAGCGTTTATTATCTTCAGTGGGCTTCTTATCTACTTGGAGTTTGCGCTTAATCTTCCGTTGCAGAATGGTGGTGAGAAGAACTACTTGCTTAGGGTGTTTAGACAGCCCAAGGGCTTAGCTGGGTGTGTTTACGCTTTCCAGATGGTGTTTTTGGGGTTTAGTTCAGGCAATTCGTTTGCGTTTGGAAAGTATATCTGGTATGCTGTTTCAGGAGCTCAGGTTGGTGATGACGACTGGACGTCTAAGATAATTGGCGTGGTTTGTATTACCATGTGTATCTGGCTTCATATCCAGTACCCGAACCAGGCGACGTCGCTTTTCAATTTCTTGGGGATGTTTAAGATCGTCATTTTGGTGCTTATCATTGCAATTGGCTCTTTGGTGGCTGTGGACGTTATTCACGTTCCTGAAACACCTCCAAACGCCGAGATCATCACTTCAGGCGTGTCCAGCAACTTCTATTCGATATCTGTGGCTCTTTTGGAGATCGTGTACTCGTTTAAGGGCTGGGAGAACGCTAACTATGTGTTGTCTGAGATTGAAGACCCATACCATGTTCTTACTATCGCTGCACCCATGGCCGTTCTTCTTGTCACGCTTCTTTACTTCTTGGTGATCATCAGCTACCTTATTGTGATTCCAAAAGAAGAACTCTTAAACAGTGGTGTGCTTGTGGCGGGCATTTTCTTTAATAAGGTGTTTGGTGAGTCCGTCACATCCACATTGTTACCGCTCTTCATCGCCTTGCTGACGCTTGGAAACGTCATGGTTGTTTCATTCGCCCATTCTATCGTCAACCAAGAATTGGCCCGCAACAACTACCTCCCATTCTCCAAGACATTCGAGAACTTAAACTACTCGCTTATATTACACTGGTTCGTCACCGTGGTGATTCTTGTGGGACCACCCAGTGCAGACGTTTACGAATTTGTCGTCAACTTGTACATATACCCAGGCACATGGATCAACGTTGCCATCACTGCTGGACTTGTCTACTTGAAGCTCAACGCTAAGAAAGAAAACTGGGGTAATTTGAAGTACGTGGAAGACCTCGAGATCGTCCAAGACGACGAAGAAACCATACCGCCCGAGTTTCTGCCTACGGCGTCGCCTTCGAGTACGCCAGAGCTGGAAAACGCTTCAATCCAATCGTTCATCCCCCAAAACCACGAAGATGACTCTGCATTCACCGAGTTCAACCAGCTCATCCTGAGCCATGCCCACCTTACCACCAAGCATAAGTCATTTTCCGCCTCGTGGGTCTGTGTGATACTTTTCCTCATCACCAACATCTTCCTAGCAATTTTGCCATTTTTCCCACCGCCAAAAGGCACCGTTTCCAGTACCATCCCATACTGGTGCTTCCCAGTGGTAGGCACAGGCTGCCTTCTCATTGGTGCCGTTTTCTACTTTTCCCGCCAGTACTACTACGAAAAACAAGGCTGGGTCCCTCCCGTCTACGAGGAAGAGTACCAGGATTAAAAATTGCCTTGAACCTCTGTCTTCTGCCAATCCTAGTCCATTTGCAGCCATGCCTCGGTGCCCCCACAAAGTGCGAATTCTGTCACGGTCCACCGTCGACTCTGTGCACAGTACTGTGGAGTATGATAATCACCTCGGTCCTTCTTTTTCCAGTTACTCCTAGGGATACATCCAGAGAAAGCAGATTTAGTTGAAGCATTGTCATGGAATCGCTTTCTGAGTCTTCGGCGCCACAGTCGGTCATTTTGAACGACTACAAGTTGGCGGTTAAGTTTTTCATGAATAAGGACTTTGAAAAGTCCTACCAGATCATACTGAAGTTGCACAATGTCGCTTATCGGAACTTTGCCAAGGGCACAATCCTGGAAGAGGTGTTTATTAAGATTGTCACGTTGTACTTGACGGAGCTTGGGCTTTTGTTGAACTCTAAGGATGCTGCTTCGAGTTTCCAGCTATCACGCAAGGAGAAGAAAGAGTTGATTGGGAAGCTTAGACTGAGCAGTTACCTTGACTCGCTTCATGAGATTTATGGTAGTGTCCGGAAAGTTCCATCGGAATTGCTCTACCAGGTATTTCTTGTCAATTACTCTTGCCAGCATGAGATCAAGCAGAACGACGAGCGCTTCTTGGTTAAGCAGTTCGACAACTTGTACTCGATGCTTGACTTCCACGGAAAGGCTGACGATAAGTACTTGAAACGTCTTGTGGACATGTACATCTTCAACGTGTTGCCAGACGCTGACGACTTCTATAAGGCCCAGGACCTTGTGGACTCGAATCCTCTAGTCGACACTGAGAAGGGCAGAAAGAGGATAAAAGAGTTGAAGGAAGTGAAGAAGCAGGAGAAGAAGCTTAAGGATAAGCAGGCCAAGGAGCGTGAAGCCCAGGAAGCACAGAGACTTGCTGACGAACAGGCCAAGAAGAAGGCTGAACAGGAAAACGCCAACTTGAAATACAAGTCCTTGAAGCAAATCAAAAGAGAGCATGAAAATAGCGAAGAGCTTGAAAGGCAGGGAAGAAGCCCACCAACTACAGGTGACGGCAAAAGCAGCATTCAACAACTTCGTCACCGTCTCGAGTACCTAATGCGGTTGACCCAGAGGTTCTGCGAGAAGAACTACCCTGTTCTTATCGTCTTATTTATCGCCAGTCTCATTGCCCAGCGTTTCATTCGTACAAGAAGAATCAATGTGCTTGAAAAGTTGCAAGAAACTTTCAGAATGGCATTCAAGATTACTTACCTATAAGAAGATCGGAATCTCTACAGGGCCATTGACAGAAACATCGCGGTCGTCTTGATCGTCGTGCCTGCTCTCCAGGTGCTTTTGTCTTTTTGACGCTTGCGTTTCTGAAGGTTGCCCTGAACGCTGAGGTTTCTTAAATGATGCATACGAAAGAGTGCCGAAAGGAGCTGGAGGTTCTACCAACTCAGCGGCATCCTGTGCCACTACTGATTGAGCAGCCTCTCTAGCCAACTCGGCCGCTCTGACGTCTTCCGTAACCAGCTGGTCATAGTTTTCAATATAATGATAATGATTGTCATCAAAAACTCCATTAACTTCAGCAGCGTTGAGCTGCTCCGACTCGTCACCAACCAATGCTTTCTCTATAATGTTAAATGTAATTAAAGAACCAGGGTAGTTTGCCACGCCTGGATGTTTGCAAAGAAGCTGAAGGGATAATATACCAGATACATCCTTCATAAGCTTGCACTTTGACGAAAGCTTCACCGCTTTAAAGATCTTGATAAATGGAGAAAAGGAAAAACACGAAAGCACCGAATCCTTGGTTGGCTCCATCGTCCCATTCTCCACCTTAAAGATCTCGAGTTTCTCCATCATCGTTTTGGCACTAGGAAATAGAAGCTTCAGGTACCCAATTGCGCCCGTAGAAATGAAATTGAGCTGATTTGTCTCTCTCTTGCTACCAGAAGACTTGCAGTTCGACACGTATATGTACAAATTCTCTGTGTTGATATGCTGAAGATCTTGTAGAAGAACAGTAAGCAAGTCACTCTTCACAATAAGCTCAAACTGTACCATATCATGACGAACAAGCAAGTCTGCCCCACTATCCTCAGACTTGTCATAAGGATAATCAATGTCAAGGTAAAACGTAGCGAACTCTATCTTTTCACTCATTAGTCTATCCTCAAACTCTATCACCAAAGGGTTACCTTCACCGCCATACTTGATATAGCAAAGCACAGTTTCAGGCTTGGAAGAAGTGGAACTTTTGAACTTTGGTACCAACGTAGAAGCAGCAGCCGTAAACGAATCTGCTATCATCTGTATATCAACGCCTAGGCGTAGCTCCTTAGGTTCATCGTCTCGTAGACCCAGATCCAGAACTAGCGAGTATGAAGAGAACAAGCTCAGGTCAATGGTAAGCTGGACATTGGAAATATGGTTATACTCGCTGAACACCACAATGCCATTATCTGAGATGATCATCAAGGCGTGAGAGCTGATGGAAGTAACTGTGTTTAGTAGATCTGCAATGTGACCTACTTGAGATGTGGATGCTGAAAAAGTCAAGGTAGGAGCATGTTGCTGGGTATTAGAGGAGCTCAGATCAGGCTCGGGCGAAGACGGTAGAAATAGCTGGGACATTGGAAGAGTGACAGTGGTGGAAGTAGCAGATCAAGTAGTAGCAGAGGTTGATGTTTGATATGCGCGCTAACATTTTTATTGAATAGACGTACAGCCAGAAAGAAGCTGCTAGCCATGAGAAGTAGATTGGGCCAAAGGGATGGCGAGAAAGAAAGGGGACCTTTATTGATTATGGCAGATTTCTAGGGGGACGCTGGAGAGGCAGCGTTTCTCTGCCCACAGGGCTGTCTAGTAGACAGAGATGTAGTTGTCGATTCTGTTTTTCTGGTTCTGGGCGATACATTCGGCGATCCAGGTGATGTTACGGACCTCCTGCTCCTTGGAACGCAACCATGCCCACACGGTAGACAAGGTGAACTGCTGGGTGAAGGCGTTCTTGTTGTATTGCATCTCCAACCAGTAGAACCAGTCCTCGATGTTCTTGTTGCCGCCGCTCAGCGCATCGGCGAACAATTCCTTGTATTCGCCAACCAGCTCCACGATACTCTTCACCTGCTCAACGTCTTCAGCGGTGGAAAGCTGGTTATGGTAGACAGGGTACAACTGGCCGTAAGATGGGAACAACGAAAGCTTATCCTCAGGGGTCAAGTCTGGGTTGTTCAACGAGTTCAATGCGATGTTGATAACTCTCTTGTCAGCCTCAAAGTTCAACAATCTAGTCATGATCTCCTGGTCTGGGCCATCGAGCTCTTCGTTAACAAACTCCACAAATGCCTCAATGTAGTTTCTGTACAATCTGTTTCTGATGATTTCAATGTTCAAGTCGTCCAAATCGTTAATTGTCAAGCAGTCCTTGAAGAAAGGTGCCAATGGCGTGTCAATCAACACTGTATCGTATAAAGACTCAATGTCAGTAGCAATCGACAAGGTAGGCAACGTTTCGAACCAGCCCAAAGGATGACATTTAGGCAAGATCTCCAGGCAGTCTCTATCGTGAAGCGTACCGGTAATCATCAAAGAAACATTGTCAATCATGTACCCGTAACAGATGAAGTCCAAGAACTTGGTCAACTTGCCAGCACTCTGACTACGCAAGTACTGAAACTGCTGGTACAACTTCCCCGAAAGCTTTTCTTGCATCACCGAAGTCGAAAGAGGCCCGCCATAGTTCGACAAGAAGTTGCCATAGTCGGTGGCAGATAACTGCAACTTCAAGTCCTGGAGCGAGTCACACTGGGTCAAGTTGACGTACTGGCTCAGGTTCAAAAGCCCGTTTCTGTAGCCACGAACCACACCCTCGACGTATCCGTAGTCGATATTGAAGTAGAGACCCTCCATGGTAGTGGTTTGGTCAATGGGGAAAGAAGGTTAGTCGTTGGCTTGAGGACAGAGATTGCAATTCAGCAGTAGGTAGGGTGGTGTGCTTATATGCAGGTCGCCTTATTCGGCACCTTCAACCCTCCATCAATTCCCCCAAATTTTCCCCTTTTTGGATTTTAAAAAAAGGATTCATGGTATAGCGGTTTCGAGGATTTCAAATATGTAATTACTTTTTGTTTTTTGGTCCTCCCCGCGGAGCTAAATGGACCTTCTTTTCCTCCAGATCTACTATCAGCGCGCTAACATTTACCACTAACCTCCAGCCCACCAACTACTACTACTGATTCTCCAAATGTCGTCCATTCTCCTCGATACCCTCAAAGAGGGCCTAGATTCGGGCCTAGCCGAGATGCTTGAAAAAGACTCTGCCCTTAAAAATGACACCCAGCAGTACCTCGAGGAATTGTTGGTGAATGCTGAGCTTCTTTCCACTGAAATGTTCACTACGTCTTCTGGACAGAGTGAAGGAAAGAATAAGAACTTGGTGGAGGAGATTGCTGAGCTTGACCACCAGCTGCGCCAGATCGAGCTTCAGTTGGCGTCGATAGCTAACGACAATAGAGACTTGATTGTGGGAGTCAGTGAGGATGTTAGACACGTCCATAAGACTATAGGGGAGGAGCTTGACCGGAACATTGAGGCTATGAAACAGAGCTTTGGGAGCGGGAAGATTGCTGTGGATAATAAGGCGGTGAAGAAGGTAAGCCATTCGATATCTGCCAACAACTCGCTTTTGAGGAATATGGACTCCATTCTAGATATCTACGAGCTTCCTACGCTCTGTGGGCTTTGTATCATGCAAGGAAACTACCAGGAGGCGCTTGAAATCTCGACGCTGGTGAAGATGCTTACGGTGAAGTTTCCTAACCTGAAGACGTTCAAGAAACTTCAGTCTCAGATCGATAACGAGTTGAAACTTATGGTTAGAGGGCTCATTAAGCTTCTTAACACGAACTTGAAGCAGTCCAATATCCTTAAGATCTTCCAGATTTTGAATAGACCGAATTTGGTGGCTACTCATGATGATTCTTTGGACGAGAGCGATCAGGATATCTCAGGAAACAAGACATTAAAGCTTATTTACCTCAATTCGAGGTTCAAGTTCATTATGAACGAGGTGGCCAGTCTTAAACCGCTTTTGAAGCTCAAGAAACTCACCTATCTTAAGCGTTACATCGAGATCTACCGTGAGCATCTCTACAATTCGCTTTCTATCTATCATGCCATTTTTCTATCATCGGGTCTAAATTCCGATGCCAACGACGACAAGCTCTTGTTGCACATGTATATAAAGAAGTTGGTGTACTTGATGGTGGAAGAGCTTCGGGCGTACCTTCCTGTGATCAGCGAAGGAGACAATGATGCTGACACTGTTGAAGCTAACAGCTTGAGGGACGGTGTCATCTTGCAGGTTATATACCTTTGCAGATCATTGTCCAAGTATGGTCTTGACTTTGAGAGTCTCATAACGTGGGAGCTTTGCACGAAAGAGCCTGTGCTTATCACACAAGAGGACTGGATGAGGAACTTGTCAAAGTTGAAGAAGTTTAAATCCTAGGTCCCATGTTGTTCAAACCGAACAAGTATCCCAATTCTTGTCTGCCAAGAGCACTGCTCTTCTTCAACTCGGTACTGTCGAGCGCCGAGTTGACAAGCTCCTTCTTACGGTCTTGCAAGTTGATGATTCTGTCCTCCACACTGTCGGTGACAAGCATCTTATAGACAGTGACTGGCTTTTGCTGGCCAAAACGATGTGCTCTATCCATAGCCTGGTCTTCCACGAAAGGATTCCAGAACGGATCCATAATAATAACATGTGAGGCGCATGTCAACGTCAAACCAACATTACCTGCTTTAAGAGATATAAGCAACACCCTTTCATCTCCTTGGTAGAACCGCCTGATGACTGTGTTCTTCATATCAATGTTCATCGTACCATCGTAACGCAATTGCTTAATCTTGCTGTCTTGGAGCGCTTTAGACATGAGATCAAAAGTGCCAGTGAAGTGAGAGAACACAATGATCTTTTCGTCACTAGAGTTCTTCACAACATCCCGTATAATATCTAGAGTCTTCTGTAATTTTGCAGATAGCGTGAACCCTCCACGATCATGTATAATTTTGTTGATCTTTTCCCCTGTAGTTGTCTTTCTTGCACTGCCCAGTCCATACTGAGCTTTCAAATCGTCGAAGTTCAAGCTCTCGTTGACGACCTGGTTATAGATGGAATAGCTGATCAAGGAGTTCTCCGAAACTTTCTGACGACACATAACACACGGTACGGTATCATCATCGTTTCTATCGCTATCGAAGAAGCCATCAACACAGCCATCACAAATCATGTGTCCACATGGATGTAGAATAACGATAGACGACTGGTCAACCACGTCAAAACACATTGGGCAGGTCAACTGGACATTGCTTTTATCAACATAATCTGCGTCACCTGTAAGATCTTGTCCGTCTTTCCTCAACTCTTCAGATATTCTTCGTTGCACATTTTGTGGTAAATTCTGTGCAAGTGCATACATTGTCTTCCAGTTTTGAACTCCTCCAACGCCTTGATTTCTCTCTGTCGAATTCATTTCACCCACTTCGACAAGAATCTCATGAATGCATGCTTGTCTCAATCGTAAAAGCAAGGTAAGAATGTTGCTGTGGGAATTCTTGTGCTTGCTGTTAAGAAGCTTCTCGGCCTTCTTTTGAATACCAGCTTCCAAGTCTTTGTAAGCTTTTGACTCTTCGCCATCCATAGAAATGACGACTTTCTTAATTGTCTTCTTCGGTAACACCATCAATGGCTTACCATCGACTTTAGAGTCCTTAGTCCGTCGAAGCATGATTGCCAGGAGAATAGCTCTTAACTTCTTCATGGAAATATTTCGTTCGTAATCATCTACCCTATCATCATTCGCACGTATGGGCACAGAAATATCACGTTTGAACTTGACCTCATCATTATAAGGTCTGGTTCGAAGGAAACGAAGGATTGGATAAAGCTCATCAATGCTATTTTGCATTGGCGTACCGGTCAAACAAAGACGCTGTTTTGATCTTAGAAGCGCAGTGGCCTTGGATGTCTGTGAGACCTTGTTCTTAATATATTGGGCTTCATCTAGAACAACTCTGTAGAATTTAGAGTCTGGAGAATAAAACGGCGAGACGTAACTCTGTCCACCCAGACTAAATGAAGGAAGGACATTCTGCCCATGTGAAGCCATTGCCTGTTCCATTGCCACACTATAATGCAGTTTAAATTCGGAAGCCAATGTAGTATACGACACTAAAACAACATCAAAGCGTTGCATCTTTTTGAAAGTGTTGATCTTTTTCTTTTCCGCTCCATGGTAAAATGCAACCTTCTGCTTATGCTCCATATTAATCTTTGCACGAAGTTCGGCATTCCATTGACGTAAAAGCGACACAGGACCGACAATAAGGGTAGTTTTTTGATTCGAATCTTCAGGCTGGTTGGCCATCAAAAGGGCGATGGTTTGAACTGTCTTACCGAGACCCATATCATCAGCAAGAATACTTCCCTGCTCTTGTTTCTCACGATTTAGAAGCCAATGTAAACCTCTTCTTTGATGATCTAGCAACTGGACACTAAGTTCAGAAGGCGTCAATGCCATACCTTCGATCTTTTCTTCGTTACCGACATCCTTTAAAAGCTCTTGAAGATGTACAGAGTCATCATACACATTCTGTGTTTGTTGGCCATATCCCATTGGTTGCTGTGTGGGTCTAGGAGATGGAGCATATGGAGCCTGTGGGTTGTAGGGATTAGGTAAGGAGCCGCCTGGAGGCACTGAGTAGCCAAAGAAGCTAGATTGCAGTGGGATTTGGTACGTGTTAGGAAATATCAGCCTCTTGTAGCGGATAACATGGTGCAAGATGTTCTTATACCTTCTGATCTTCTTTGCTCTGAGAATGGCCGTATTGGCGTCAGAAAGCGAAACGTTGATTTCTCTAATCAACTCTGACCTCTCGTCAGACTGTGTCAATGAAAGACTCTCCATCCGAGCTCTTGCATCACGCATGTTGTTCAAGTTATCGTCTCTTAACTTGTCGAATCTTGAAAGCTGTGCATCTAGAGTACTATCGTAAGCTGTAAGTTGGTCCACGTTTTGGGTATCAAAGTACTCGTGAGCTTTCCTATCCTGCTGTGCCTGCAGTGGGTCCGATGAGTATAGTTGTTGTGGAGGTGGTGGCTGTAACAGCGGCACAGGCTGGTTGAATGATGTATTTGCCAAAAGCTCACGGTAGTTGTGGTTCGGGTCTGGAGGAGGGGGAGGCCTCTCAAACGTTGTAGGTTTAAATTTACCAATCCTTTCAGCTTCTTCTTTGGAAAGCACGGCGATTTCATCGTCAGAGTCCAGTTCAGCATCCTGTTGCGTCTGAGGTAGCTCGCTGTGACCGTTATGGCCGTTCTGGACAACCTGACCTTCAGGGAAGATCTGACGTGGAGGATCTGTAGTTTGAGTCCCGTTTTGTTCTGGCGAACGAATAGACTCCGAAGGAGGCAAAGGTTCCACCAACGCTGGCGAACCACCCTGAACAGGTGACTTTTCACCTGAATCGTCAGCATCAGGCCCAGCGTTCCCTCCTTCATCGTCACTCGACAAAATCACAATCACAGAGTCCGTATCCAGCTCAAGCGGCACAGACCGCCGCAGTCTATTAAAGTACTTGGATTTCCTCTCTCCATTCAGAACCAGTCCATCCTCGGGAGACTCCACGGAAGCCTCAGTTTCCACTGCTTGTTGGTTTGGCAAGCTTCGTTTCGTGCCTCTGGACATCAACAGCCCGCTATTATCATGGTTTCGGCCCTCGTTATCATACTGGCTCAACAGTTCCCACCATCGGTTCGGCTCCTGAGAGGGAGAGCTGATCTGGCGAGGAATGCTGCTTCCAGGGTCCTGAGTACCGTCAAACGAATCTTGGATGGACTCGTCGTCCGAGGAGACCACTATGACGTCGGATGAACGGACCAGCATTCTCGGACGCTCAGGTGTTGTATGCTGTTTATAAGTTGAGAAGGATGTGAGTGTTTAGATTTGATAATCTATCAGTGCGCATATATGTGTGTACGTGAGACACGGCCCAGATCTCCAGATGTCTAGTCAGGAGGGTCTACAAATGAATAAAGAACTAGTGTCCTTCTCTGTCTAATATACATTTTCGTGTGGAAAGGCCACGCGTCTTGCAGCTCTTTCACTGTCTGTGTGTGTGTATGTCCAGGCTCTAACCATTAGAGGTAGTCGCCGTTCTCCTCGAGAATCTTATCCAAACAAATGTCCAACTCGGTGATAAGTCTCTCGTTGTTTTCCGAAAACGCAAGCCCTCTCTGGTAGTCGGCTCTGGCGTCCTCGTAGTTGCCCAAGAAGTAGTTGGCCACGCCTCTTCTTAAGAAGTTCTCTGGAGTGGTCATCATCATGCCAATCAACATGTCTGCATCGTTGAATGCCTTCAAGTACTCCTTACACTTGAGGTAAGCGTCAGCTCTGCTCATCAACAAAAGACTGAGCTCCTGTAACGTGGCCAGGAAAACCTCGAACTTGTTTCTTCTGTTGATCACCTCAATAGCAATGGTAAACTGCTTGGCCAGGTCCACAAACTTCTCCTGCTTGAAGCTCTGCACACCACCTTCGTATAGTTTCTTGATCATCTTGGATAAATCCTTGTTAAAGGACTCGCCAGTAGGTTTTGGTGGGTATGGCTCGTTGATACCGATAAGTTCAGTTGTGAGGGTAGAGAGCTGGTCAATTTCCAAGTTAAGGCCTGGGATTGGCTCTTCGGGTTCTTGGGTGAACACTACACCCTTTGTCTTGGGATCGTACCTGATATCGAACTCCATGGCTTGGTGGTTGGTGGACTTGGTTATTCACTTTTCGACAAGTGGAGGTGTAGACTGAGGTTGTCTGGTGCACGGGTGTAAGTTATGCCCCAGTCCAGTAGGTCCAGGAGACAACTTCCAGGTAACGGCACTATTATTTGGAAATAAAAAAAGGTAAGAAAAGGTTTGTAATATGGGACTTCCAGGACCACAATGAACCTACTTTGGTTCAATTACCATGTATTTTGCGTCTTTTAGCAGACCCCTCTAAAACTATACTGTGCTCGGTCTTTTGGCTTTTTGCAACCATTTCTCTTCTTCCTACAACTACAAGTATGGCAGCAGTGGGCCAGTATCCGATCGATATAAGCGACCAGGTATCTGTCCAGAGTATCTCGGCGTCGTCGCTTGCCCATTTAATTAATTATTTTGGTTCTTTGGACGGAAAGGATGGGACTCAACAGAAGTATATGCTTAATGATGATGTTACCAAGGAAGAAGACCTTTCACTGCCAGAGGAATATGTGAACATCACTAAAAGACAAAAACTTGATGAGCTGCAAGGGTTTTCCAGCCAGCCGCTTCCAAAGGCGAAACCGAAGGGTCTTTCGTTTGAAGAGCTGGATGCTAAACCTATGCTGAAAGCTGTGAATGGAGACAAACCACATTGGCTCAAAAGGGCTTTTTCAAGCAGGTTCAGCACTTGGGCTTATGATAGAAATTCACAAGCAAAGAGCGAAGGAAGCCCACTCGCTACGAGTCCTAAAGTGTTGGAGGAGTTTCCTAAAATTCGAATTCCTGGTCTTGATAGCACTTCTCCAAGCTTTAACACCAAAGAGAGCGAAAGCAAGAAAAGGGCAGCTACACTTCCACGTCTTTCGCTTGTTAAAGAAGGCGGCAGTCCTAATTTCAGGCCTTCACGGTCAAGGTCGCTTGCTGGGCGTGGACTCACTTCGCTTTTCGTGTCTTCCAAAACCCACGTTATGCCTGACGATCTTATGGAGAAGACAGTGTTTCTGCCTTATAATCACGAACCGCAACCTAGCGATTTTCCTTCAATTAAGGACGTCGAAGATATTTCTGAAGGCAGAGCACAGTACTCTACGCTTCCACCACAGTGGCATGGATACAAGCATGAAGACTTAAAGTCTTCTATTGAAGAGTTCCAGCCAGCACGTACAAGATGGGCTGAATGGAAGAGAGCCAGGAAAGGTATTCTGATGCTTAAGGGTAAGCTCAAGCTGAGTTTCAGGCTGGGAACCAAGAAGTCCATGGGGCTTAAAGTACGGTTCTTTTCTCCCAGTGGACTGCCCAGCGCAGGTAAGGGGAATGTCGTGTCTACTGAGGATGAAGTGGTGGATACGATGTTTTCGCCTTTTTCTGAGAGCAGTTCTGAGTTAAAGATATATGTATAGAACAGATTGCTAGTGCTATGTTGGTGTAGAAGTAGATGTCTAAGTCTAGATATGGCTTTCTGGCTATAAAGTTGATAAATCCTTGAGCTGGTTATATGACTACCTTTTATTTGATGACCTATGGTAGTTTATGACTAATTCAGATTATACTAATACTGTTTCTACACCATTGGCTATGTCTCTGTCAAGCTTATATGGTTATAGCATGTGTTTCGCAGCCATTAAGCCAGCAGCCTATACTCCAGTATTTACCACTAAAGGCCTAAAAACAGTACTAAAAGTAAACATTTAGCTATTCTTGATACCCCATTATTCCCTTATAACTCTCCTTTTCTTTCTTATCTTCTTGTATGGGCACTTCGTAGTGACCCATCTACATCCTCCCACTACCACCATACTTAACCAACCACTCCATACGAAAACGCCCCCAAACCCCCTACCACGCCCAAACTTCACCGACACCTCCAACCATTCCCGACCTCCCTAGACCATCCCATTTCTTCCTTTTAATTCCCTACTTCCGTCTTCACCCTCCAACCTCCTCCCACCTCCACTCCCAACCACTGACTCATTTCGCAGCCATTTTTTTCGCGATAACCACTACTCTACGCCTATAACTTCACCTACTTCCCAACCAACTACCATGTCGTTCAACCTAGAAACCCTCATTCGCCCAAATATACGTACTTTGGAGCCCTACAGGTGTGCCAGAGACGACTTCAAAGAAGGTATACTTTTGGACGCCAACGAAAACACCCATGGCCCGGCTCTTTCCAATATCTCCAGCTGGGAACTGGCTTTGGAGCTTAACAGGTACCCGGACCCCCACCAGTTGGAATTGAAGCAGCAGATCGCCAATTTCAGGAATTCGGCGCCAAACCAGCTTATAGAGAGTTCTACGGGAAAGCTCCAGGCAGACAACTTGTGTCTTGGAGTGGGTTCTGATGAGAGTATAGATATGTTGTTGAGGTGTGTTTGCACGCCAGGCAAGGATAAGCTCTTGGTGTGTCCGCCAACATATGGAATGTACTCGATTTGTGCTACTGTTAATGATGTGGAGATGGTGAAGGTGCCATTGACGACGCCTGAGTTTCAGATTGACGTGGATGGTATACTTGCTAAGCTTACTGGGGACCCAAGCATTAAGCTTATCTATATCACGTCTCCAGGTAACCCTACGGCTAAGCTTATTGATTGTGATTTGATTGTGGATTTGCTTACAAAGGCCCAGCAGAAGTGGAACGGGTTGGTGGTTGTTGACGAAGCTTATATTGATTTCGTGGACCCTAAGGCTGCCAATACGTCTCAGAGTGTATCTACGTTGGTTAACCAGTTTCCAAACCTTGTGGTTTTGCAGACGTTATCTAAATCGTTTGGTCTTGCTGGTGTCAGATTGGGTATTACTTATTCCACTCCAGGCTTGTCCAAGTACTTGAACGCCATGAAGTATCCATATAACATCTCTTCCTTGACATCTGCAGTGGCCGTGAGGTCTACTCAGGCAGAGGATGGATTAAAGGTGATGCAAAACTACGTGACGAAAATCAAAGACGAAAGAGCTAAGCTTCTTGAACAGGTCCAGAAAATCCCAGGCATTGGCAAAAATATCGGCGGTTTGGACGCCAACTTCTTGCTTATACAGATCTTGGACTCTGCTGGTGAACCATCTAACGAAGTGGCTGCGAAATTGTATAATACCTTGGCTGTGGACAACGGCGTGGTTGTGAGGTTCAGGGGCAAAGAGTTGAACTGTACGGGCGCTTTGAGACTCTCCATTGGCACCGAAGAAGAAAATAAGGTGTTGTTGGAGAAGATTGCCCAGTGTCTTCCCCAGTTGAGACAGTAGGTGTATTAATACTATGTATTTTATGGTGCGCGCACGCCTCAAGTGTAGATTTTTTTCAAGCCTTTTAGATACTCAAAAGACACCAAGAACCATACAAACATTCCTAAATGGCTAGACAGAACTTCGTTGGTTTGGTCATTTCCCAAGGTAAAATGAACAAGACCGTCAAGGTCAGAGTTCAGTCCACGGGTTACGACAAGAGAGTCCACAAGGAAGTGTTGAAGAGAAAAGACTACTTGGTTCACGATTCAGGTAACCTCTGTAAAGAAGGCGATATCGTCAGAATTGAATCGATTCCTAAAATGACCGAGAGAAAGTACTTTGCTATTGCTGAAATCAAGGTCAACAAGGGTCAGCAGTTTGCCCAGTACCAGGAGTTGGCCAAGAAGCAGGTTGCCAAAGAAGAAAAGGCCAAGATCGAAGAGTTCCTCAACAGAAGAAACGAGCTCAGCAACGTCATCAAGAAGGTCGAAGACTTGAAGCAGCTAGATCAAATATCAAAGAGTTTCCAGAAGGCTACTGAAGAACAGAGACCAGACCTTCTCAAGCAGATCACCGATATCAAAGAAAGGTACAACATCAAGTCATGGCCTTCTACAGAAGAAGTGCTCCCACTAGCGGTCAACGAGGCCGCCAAGGACCTCAGCATTGTCGACAACAGATTGGCCAACATCCGTGTCATCCTAGACAAGTTGATGAGCCAGGACTACAAGAGCCAGAGACTGGAGATCTTGGCCCAGATCGGTAGAGGCAGTGAAGAAGAGTTGAAGCCTAATGTCATGAAGAACATGTTGAGGAAATGGGTCATGAACCCTAGAAACGATGTCCCTGTCTCTCTCTAGACAGAGACAGTTCAGCACAACTGTAAATAGTCAGCATACACGGATAGTTAGGTTAGATGTAGGCAAATCTTTTCCCAGATCCACATGGACGTATTTATTGCACGCTTTCAGTGTCTGCTTGATGGTCCCATATTTCGCAGCCATTCGCATATCATCATATACTGATACTACCAGACTCCGGATATGCCGAATGGCAGCACCTCCAAGAACGAAGCCCACGTGGCTCTCTAAAGCTGCTACTTACGTTGGACTCAACCAGAAGAACGCCGAATTGGTTCTACGAAGAGCCCACGTGGAATCACATAAAGAGAAACTAGCACCCTTGTTTAACCAGAAGTACTTAGATGAGCTCAGTTCCAAGTCCTTTGAAGAGCCATTGCCCCAGACAGAGAAGTACTTGAAGCATGCTTTGAATGTACCGTTAATTACAGTGACAAATTTGAACGTCGAGCCAGGCCAGAAACACTTTATAGTGTGGCTCTGTGTGTCCTCATACTTTCCATTGATATCTGCCTGTTTGGCGCCTTTGGGGAACCTTATATCGCTCGTGGCGTTGATAGAACATTGGAGAATTGACCTAAATACGGAAGAGTTGGTGGGGGAGGATACTGCTGCTAAGGTACTCAATTGGACAGCGTTTGTGGCTGGTATTATAGGTAACGTCTCGTTGCTCATGAACTTTTCAGGAACGCTTCGGTACCTTGTCACACAGAGTGTTCTGATATTGTGTTGGATTTCCGCTGCTTCTATGCTTCTTATAGCGGTTCTTTTGACAAACGCTAGCTTTGTGGGTGGAGATGTGGAATATAGACGCTCTGAGGGCTTCTGGCTTGCTGTGTGGACTATATTCATGTACTATTCGTGCTCTATTGTCCAGTTGATCAACCTTATAGGGTATAAACTCAAGAAGTACCCTGCTTGTTATAATCTTGACCAGCAGCAGCGGCTGCTTATTAACTATACTATGGTATTTGCTATATGGCAGGCTATTGGCACTGCGGTGATGAAACATCTTATAGGTGGGTTATCATATGGGGCTTCTTTATATTACTGTGTTGTTTCTGTGTTTACTGTGGGACTAGGCGATATACACCCTGTGTCGACTGGAGCCAAAGTGGTTGCACTTATATTCTCCTTTGTTGGGATTATAAACCTGGGTATGGTCGTAACGACGATAATTAGAGTGGTTGTACATTCAGCTGGACCTAGCGTGTTTTGGCACCACGTAGAGGTACGACGCTTGAAGCTTTTGGATAGGTACGAAAGGAACCCAGAAGATCCTATTTTCCAGGACTCGTTTCAGCTCATGAGGGACATGAGGGAAGGCGTCAACCGCCGTCAGATCCGTTTCAACGGTATCATGAGTTTATTCATGTTCGTTGGGTTCTGGCAAATCGGGTCTGTGGTGCTATATGTCGCTGAAGACTGGACGTACTTCAACTCGATGTACTTTTGTTTCCTTTGCCTTTTGACGATCGGGTATGGAGACTTTGCACCTGCCTCCGTCTTTGGACGAGCTTTCTTTATCCAATGGGCCATGGGAGCCGTTCCCCTTATGACGATAATCATATCGACAGTAGCAGATGCAGCTTTCAACACTGGCGACCGTATAGAGCTAATGTTGAAGCTCTTGCTCCAATGGAGAACATCTGACGAAGCTGAACTTCAAGAAGACCTTGAATCTCCATCCCCCAAAGAATCAACTACCCCTACATCCTCCCAGGATCCCACCCAAAACTACATCAACAAGACCATCGCAGACCTCGAGATCCTCGAGGCTATCGTTCTCGACGCCCTAGAACAACCTCACAAACAGTATACCTACGACGAGTGGTCTTCCCTTCTACAAAGATTCCACCTAGACACTCAGAATGCCCAAGACGCTCCATGGGTTAACGATGCATCACCTCTACGACTTCCACTCAAAGAGCCCCACTACCTTCTCATGAACATGTTTTCCCGAATGAAACATGACCTCGAGCATTTACACCTGAAACAAGAATTACCCGAATTCAAACAAAAACAACCATAACAGTACCCTCCTGTCATTCCTAATGGCTGCAAATCAGAAGCAGCAGGCACACAGCTTATCGGTGCGCACCCACTTTTGACATATCACAGACGCCCTATTGATAAGACGCGAAGAGCACTACTTACTCTGGGCGTGAATTACCCATACTAACCCAAACTTCGTTCTTTTCAAAAGTGACCGAAGAATTCGAATTGGAGCCCATGTCGTCCCCGAGTGGCTCCCCTAGCCCACGTGCTGCCCACGACCCGGTGGTGTTCAGGCTCTCTTCGTCTGTTCAGCTTCATCTTTCACTGTTGACATATGCTGCTTATACGCTGATAGGCATAGCGTTGCTCTGGCCGTGGAACTGTTATTTATCTGCATCAGCATACTATGGGGACCGGTTTAGCGATACGCCTGGTCTTTCGAAGGCGTACTCGTCGACGTTCATGTCGGTGTCTACGGTGACTACGATGTTGACGTCGTACTACTTATCGCAGAAACAGGAGGGCGTGAATTACCATAAGAGGATATTCACTGGTTTGGTGGTGACGGTGGCGATATTTGCGTTTTTGGCGTTGACGTGTTATGCTGATTTTTTTATTTTCATGAAAGATTACTCGTTCTTTGGTCTTCTTATGGTGACGGTGCTTTTGAGCGGTATGGCGTCGAGTTTGGCTCAAAACGGTGCTTTGTCGTCGGCAAATGTGCTTGGAAGCATTTATACGAACGGTGTGATGGTGGGACAAGCTATCGCTGGTGCTCTTCCACCGTTGGCGCTTATATGTTCTCTTTTATTGACTGGAAAGAACGAAAACGAGGATTCGGGTGAATCTCATCCACACAAGGCAAAAAACGTCGGGCTTACGATCTACTTCCTTAGCGCATGCCTTGTGGCGCTTATCTCGGTGTTTATGCTTGGTTTGGCCAACAGATACAAGAATGCCAGTGCCTATGTATCGTTAGACGGCGAAGAAGGTCAAGAGGACGCCGAGGAACCTATCCAAATCACGCAAAAGAAGCATGTACCCTTTGGATTGCTCTGGAGCAAGCTCAAACTCATTGTCATGGCGATCTTCATCACTTTCTGCATCACCTTAGTGTTCCCAGTGTTTGCATCCACCGTCACGTCAGTCAGACAAAACCCCGAGTTTGTTTTATTCAAAAAGAGCATCTACATCCCGTTCATCTATTTGGTCTGGAACATGGGCGATCTCGTCGGCAGAGTGCTCTGCGGTATGCCCAATTCGTACTTCCTCGTCAGAGCACCGAAAAAGTTGATCAACATCGCCATACTAAGATTAGTATTCATCCCACTCTTCATGACATGCAACATCCACCCAGGCACCTCCTCTCCCGTCATCTCCTCCGACGCCTGGTACGTCTTACTACAATTCCTCTTTGGCTTCTCCAACGGCCAGTTGTGCACTTCCTGCTTCATGGTGGTTGGCGACAACTGCACCACTGACGAAGAAAAAGAGGCCGCCGGAGGCTTTGCTACAGTGTTCCTCACCTTCGGTTTGGCAGTAGGAAGTCTCCTCAGTTACCTCTTTGTGCCGATTGTCGGCTAAACCAACTCAAGAAAAATCATAAAAAAAAAACACAAGAATACAAAAAAATAGCTTATTTCACCAGCCGCAATGACGTTGGCTTTTCCCAATTTTGTGTCTCTCGTCTTTCGCAGCCATTTAGCTTTCTTTATGCGCGCGACACCTACTCCTACTCCACTATCTGTCACAGCCTCCAATCTCTAACTACACATCACCAGAAACGCCCAAGAAATCGAAACGACCAATAGCATGTCGTTCTGGGACAATAATAAGGACTCTTTCAAATCATTCGGTGCTTCTACGGCCCGAGGAATTAGCCGAGGAAGCAAGGCGGTGGCCAAAGCTGGCCACGATACGTATAAGAAGAACGAGGCTAAGAGGAAAGGGTTGCCTCCACCTGATCAAAGTGGTGGCAGTTCGTCTGAAGGTGGTTCTTCGTATACCAATTACCAGTATACGCCGCCAGATAAGGAGACATTGGCTGCTTTGCCTGGGCCAGTGAAGAGAAACGTTGGAGCTCATGAGGTGCCCAAGGCAGGCGAGAAGTCCAAGTATCCAGCTCCACAGAGGACTCAGTATACGTCTGGCTCTCAGCAGCCTCAGCAGCAGCAGCAAAACTACCAACAGCAGAATTATCAGCAGCCTCAGCAACCCCAGGCCTCTGGTCAGCCTCAGCAACCCCAGGCCTCTGGTCAGCAACAGTACCAGCAGCCTCCCCAGCAGCCTGCCCAGCAACCTGCCCAGCAACAACAAGGCTACCAGCAACAACAGGGGTACCAGCAGCAGCCAGATCAACAGCAACAATACCAACCTCAACCTTACCAACCGCAGCCGTACCAGCCCCAACAGTATCAGCCTCAGCCGTACCAGCCTCAACCGTATCAACCTCAGCAGCAACAACAACCTCAACAACAGCAGCAACAACAGCAGCAACAACCTTACCAACCGTATCAGCCACAAAATAACGTGCCTAGCTACGAACAGGCTCCAGGTACGACTCCTTCATACGCTCAGGCTCCAGGTACTGGTCCTAATGAACTGAGAGGACCTCCACCTCCACCTCCTCCGAGAGAAAACTCTTATAGCTCTCAGCAAAGTGGTCCACCTCAACCTCCTCAGTATGCTCAGTATTCACAGGCTCCTCAGGGCTCTCCAATGCAGAATAATGCCCAGATTGCTCCTCAGTCTACGGCTCAATCACAGCCAGAACAGGTTTCTTCTGAATCAAGCACTGGCGAGTCGAAGAAAGTGCAAATGTTCAGGCCTGACGTGGATTTGAGCCAGTTTGCTCCTCCTCCAATTCATAAGGGTAGAAATGGTGCTCCTAGTCCTGGAGTGCCAAAGTCTCCTGCTGGTCTGACTGCGTCGCTACATTCAAGAGAGTCTAGGGCTTCGCCAGAACTTCCGTCTCTGTCGGGTTCGATTAAAAGGTATCAAAGCACTGCTCCTGATCCCACGCTGTTTATTCCTCCTCCAGGTATAAGAAAGGATGGCCAACCGCCAGTAGGATACCAGAAGATCCCACCAAAACAGCCTTCGAATATCCCACCACCAACTCCTAATGCCCCTAATCCTGCTGCTCCTAATCCAGTTGCTCCAGGCCCTCCTCCACAGTTGCCACTGAGGAATTCGGATTCTGCTTCTGCGGTTGCATCCAAACCAGCCAAACCAGCTCCACCTAAACCTCAATCGAAACCTGCGCTTCCTTCAAATCCTGCTCCATCGGGCAATGCTCCTCCTAGTCTTCCATCAAGGGAAGCACCACGCGCTGCATCGCCTCCTCCTCCTTATGCCATGGCTGATAATGAGCCAGAGACGCCTAGTGCACCTCCTGCTCCGGCTGCTTCATCTGATGGGACCCCAAATTTTGCTGCACAAATAGCTCAGTTAAGGAACGGTGCTGCTTCACCAACGGCTGAAGCATCGGCTCCAGTAAAAAAGGCTGCTCCTCCTAAACCTGCTAAGCCAGCAAAACCTCCAAAACCAGCTAAACCAGCTCTTGGTCTGAAACCAGAAATTGCTCCAAAGCCTGCCGTGGCGCCAAAACCTGAAATAGCTCCAAAGCCAGAAATAGCTCCAAAGCCAGAAATTGCTCCAAAGCCTGAGGTAGCGCCAAAGCCTGAGATAGCGCCAAAGCCTGAGATAGCGCCAAAGCCTGATGTCGCTTCGAAACCTGAAATTGCTCCAAAACCTGCTCTTGCTCCAAAGCCACCGGTTGCTCCTAAACCGGCTTCAGAACTGGCACCAGATGCGGGACAATCAAGTGCTCCACCAATCTCTAAGGCACCCCCTCCAGCTTTGCCTAGAAGAGACTCTCAACGTTCTAGCTCGGGACAGAATGATTCTACTACTTCTCGTGGACTTCCACCACTCAATGCATCTGTGCCGCAGACTTCGAATCCTCCAATAACTCCAATTGTGCCTCTCGGTACTCAAGGTGGCCCTCCTTCTCAACCAAGCCAGCCTCCACAGCCTGCTCAGGCGCCTCAAGGTGAAGCTGAGGCGACTGCTCCACCACCTCCTAAAAGGAATTACGAGAGAAAGGCTGCTCCACTTCCACCTCAAAACTCTCAGCCTCCAGCTCCAGCTCCGGTTCCAAACCCGGCGCCTGGCCCAGGTCCTGGTCCATCGCCTTCTCAGGCATCAACTAATCCTCCTGATCTCGATTTGGAGATGAGCACGGGTTGGTACATGGCCACAGATAAGCCAATGGAGCTTCCAAAGTCTCTTCAGGGTCTCAACTACTCCACCTCGTTTATGTACTCTACGCAAGGAGGACTAGGCGGAAGGAAGAAGACATCTACGAGAGAATTGACAGTTCGTCTTAAGGACTTATCCAGAGTCAAGTACAGCTTCACCTGGATCAATGAAGATATCAGTACTGCTGAGGTGAAGGTGGCAGACTTCATGCCATCTCCAATCACCACCAGAGTACCTCCACATGCTGATCTTGTTACTTACAGTCAGCAATTCGGAGTGAATGTTGCCGGATATTCCCTCCACAACGAAGGCCAACAAGTCGGTCGTGGTGAATGTTGGGATCTTGCCAAGTATGCCTTGGAGCAAGGTTGTGCCAACCAAGCCTTTGTGTCTACCTACTACCATCACGGTTTCCCCATTCTTGAAGTACAAGGCGGTGCTAACGGCGCTATGGTTACACGTCCACAATGCGACGATATCCGTAAAGGTGATATTCTCCAGTTCACCACTGCCAAGTTCGAAAACAAGGCCACCGGTGCTTATCAGACCGCAGGCGACCCAGACCATACGTCAGTGGTGATAGATAAGGTTGGCGAGAAGATCCAAGTGCTCGAACAAAACGTGGGCGGCGTCAAAACCGTCAAACGAGGCGAATACGAGATCGGCAACCTCACCCAAGGAAAAGTCGTCGTTTATCGTCCCATGCCTGCTGGGTGGGCCGAATAAGCCAGTAAGTGGGCCACACTGTGGAGTGCGCAGTGGGATGCTCTTCTCTGAAAAAAGCGCACCCACTGGGATCTCATCAGATCTTCAAGTCTTCTCCACATTCTTTCCACTCAAGATGCCTCTGGCCGAGCTAGTAGCGCCGGCGCTTTCTACTGCCCAAGACGAACAGACGTTTAGTTATGCGAAAATAGACAAAACAGAAATCAAAAGAACCCATCTCCATCTCCAGCCGGGAGAGAACTACCTAGACAAGATATATGAGTACTACAAGCTAGATGAGGTAGCAGCGTTTTTGAGTGAAAAGGAGACAAACGAAGAGGGCCAGGAGGTTCCAAAGCACAAGAGAGTGACTCTCCAGTTCCCAGATTCCTTGGTTTGCGACGCAGCTGCTGTAGCTCAGCAGTTACAGAAGAAGCTAGGACTAACTGCTGTACCTGAAGAGATCAAGACAGAAACAGAAAAAGAGAACTGTAACAGTTGTCAGACAGATTGCTGCAAGTCCAAGGATTCTCCTGATATAACTACAACCCAGAAACTCTGGGTTTTGGCAGATACGTCTTACTCATCTTGCTGTGTGGATGAGGTAGCAGCAGAGCATGTCAAGTCTGATTTGCTTATACACTTTGGCGATGCATGTTTGAATGCTGTTTCGAAGCTTCCTTGTGCTTATGTTTTTGGTAAGCCATACGTTGACGTGGACGAGTTGGTCCAAGAGATAAGAACCAGGTACCCTGAGGACGATACTAAGGTTGTGCTTATGGCTGATGCTCCATATACGTATATTTTGCATGAAGCGAAGAAGCGTCTTGAAGACTATAGCAATGTTGTTGTTGCAGATGTGGAAAGCAAAGAGGCTCCAATTTTGGGGTACCAGCCAGTGCAAGGCACTGAGGCACAGTTAAGAGCATTAAACAGAGTCTTCCATACTATTGAAGATGAAGAGAGTGATGTTTTGGCAGAGTACGAATTATTCCATGTCACGAGCCCAGAAACGCCTCGTTTGCTCCAGCTCACCACCAAGTTCCTGCTGGTGACGTTATTCGACCCTTCTACCAACTCCACGTCCCAAGGCCCATACCCTAACTTGATGAGACGTTACAGATACATGCACATGGCCAGAAGTGCCGGAACGATTGGTATTTTGGTGAATACGCTATCGCTCAGCAACACCAGAGAGTTGATCAACGGGATAGGCAAGAAACTTAAAGAGGCAGGGAAGAAGCATTACATTTTCGTGGTTGGTAAGCCCAATGTTGCCAAATTGGCCAATTTCGAAGCCATAGACCTTTGGTGTGTGCTTGGATGTGACCATCAAGGTATTATTGTGGACCAAAGCAACGAGTACTTCAAAGCTATCGTTACTCCATATGAGCTTTTGCTAGCATTGAGTGACGAATTGTCATGGACAGGTAAATGGGTCACCGACTTCAAGAGCATTTTGAACGAGCTTGGCGAGGAGCCTGAAGAAGCACCAGAAAAAGCCCACAACGACGATTCAGACGACGAAGCGCCCGTTTTCGATCCCGTCACCGGCCAATACACCAGCATGTCCAAACCACTCAGACGTCTCCAGCATCTCCAGATCTCCCAGGACGGCGAGCCCACACCGACCGATTCCACAGCTCTCGTCCAGAAACTCTCCCTGGCCGTTGCCCTCAAAAACACCGTTTCCACGTCAGCAGCACATTTACAGCAAAGAGCATGGACTGGTCTTGGAAGTGACTTTAAAGACCAAGAAGCAGACAGCGACAGTGACTACGACGAAAGCGGTGCCGCCATTGAAGAAGGAGCGTCAGGAATTGCCCGTGGCTACGATTTCGACCGGTCCTCCCAAAAACCACCTCCTTCAACAGCTAACTAAACATAAATGGCCCATCCATCATTTGATGGCTTCCCTCGTCCTTCCCTGTTTTTCGCAGCCAGTTTTGCATCCAGCTACTCATGTGCGCATTGCCAATTCCTCAATGCATTTCGCTTAGCTCCACCAACCACTGGTCTTTCCACCAATCATTATGACCGTGGACAAACTTGTTCAGGAGGCCGTGCGCTACCATTGGCTGCTTTACCCTGTGCTTTTTTTGTTGTGGTATGTTCAATTTGGATTTCATGTTGAAATGGGAATTTTTCACTAACCTCACAGTCTAGTTACTCGCTTCCACTGGCTATATGTGATAGCTTACTTGGTTCTTTTCGTTATAGACGCTGCTGCCATATACAGCCAGGCGTATAAACTACCGTCGGAGTGGGTTTCGCTTGGACTGAACGACATTGCGTTGGTGACGGGCGGCTCATCGGGGCTAGGGCTAGAGTTGGTGAAGCAGTTGCTTTTTGAGTATAAGGTTGGTAAGGTGATTGTGCTAGATATCCGCAAACCAGAGTTTGAGTTTGGCTCTTCGCAGCTTGAATTTCATCGCTGTGACGTTTCTCGTGATCACGATTTGCATTATACGCTCAATGGAGTGTTGCACAGCTTGGATGCTCGTCATGAGCATATCTCGGTGCTTGTGAATAATGCTGGCGTCAGGAATAGTGGCCTGCTACTAAACCTTACCGATGCCGATATCCGCCAGACGTTTAATGTCAACACGTTTGCGCAGATTACTTCCCTTAGAAAAGTCATTTCCCATCATATCAAGCATTATAAGCACTCACAGCTATATGTTGTGAGCGTTTCATCCATATTGGCAGCGTTGGCGCCAAAGAACGGTTCTGTCTACGCTGCATCAAAGGCAGCCATTTTCCAAGTCCACGAAAGTCTCACACAAGAGCTTCGCTCCCTACCGAATATCCGTCTTCTTCTCGTGGCTCCAGGCCAATTGACTACAGACATGTTTAAAGACGTTACACCTAGCAGGACGTACTTTGCGCCGCTAGTCAACCATATCCGGTTGGCCACAGATATCTTGAAGAAAGCCAACATTGGCGAAATGGGCGTTCTATGTGCTCCCTTCTACGCCAACTGGCTTCCCTTGGTCAAGGTACTCCCTGTGTTCCTACAAGACTTGTGTCGCTGGTTCTCCCAGATGGACGATAAACTTCCAGATAAGTAAACTTTATAGACTAATGCATCATTGGCTCTTCTTCTCGACCAAGTCGCCAAACTCCTGGACGGCAGCGTCCTGGTTGAAGTACCCGAACTGGTCAAATATCTTATTGAATGGAATCTCCTTGGTCACAGCTCCCTGCTCGTTGCCATTAAGCACCACCTTCACATTATAAATCGGATCGTACTTCGTCGTCCATGCAAACACTGCAATCGTGTCCTTCTTCTTCTTACCCACATACTTGTTGTTCTTGTAGCCTGGACCAGAAGTAAAGTATAGTAACACAGTACTAATCACAAAGTATAACGCCACCGAGCCTGCAATCACATAGTACGAGTCATTGAACGAGTAGTTCTTGTCTAGCCAGAAAAGGAACCCAGCAATGGCCACAGTAACAAGTCCAAGGCCAAGTTTTATATCTATCAATGTGAACGACTGCTCATAGCCGTAGTGGCCAAAAACCACAGGAAGATGCTCTTCCACGGCATTTTTCAACTCTTTAACCGAACTGTTATGTTAGTATACAATTTTTCACCTTCTTTTTGCCTTACATACTTGAGGTTCACCTTCTTTCCAGTAGACATGGTGTTGTACTTGAACCACCATTTCGGGCGCGATCTATGTGTCCAGTACACTCCCAGGCCAGTTGGAGGACCTTTTGGGAGGCCATTGAGAAAAGCATATAGTATACAATGAATAAGAAGAGAATGGTATTCTGGGGTAGTTCCTGGTGGAGGATAAAGTCGAAATGTCTTCGCCTCCACCTGCCCTGCGTGGTATGCTGTGTATTGTCTATTGCCTAGGAAGAGGAAAGCAAGATAAGCTTCTTCTTCTTCTTTTTCTTTTGCCGTTGGCAGTACCGTTGGCTTCGTGCTTCTCCATCTCTTCTCTTGCCTTTCTGATCATTTCCTCGGCATCCCACCCGTCATCTTCGCCTTCGATGCTTTGGAGCTCTGATTTGGGTATACTGGTTCCCCAGACGGTCCTTTGCATCTGTGCTTCTCTGGACTCTTGCAGCTCAGGCTCGTCTAGCGAAGCGTCGACTTCTTCGGTGTGGGATTCAGCACTCAATGCTGGTAGGTCTCTGTAATCTGAAATGCTGAGGCTGCCGAAGTTGGCAGGCGGCATCCAGTCGTGCTCTTGTTCGTGGTGGCCATTATTCTCGCGATCAAAGAACTCTCTAGTACGTCTCTCTTCGTCATTGAGCGCCCTGCGCCGCTTAGACTCTTCGGAATGGAACTTCTTGCTTGACTGCTTGCTTCTTTTCGTGAGATCAGCCTTGAACGTGTTCCATGTTTCCTTGGTGATGTACTCGTTGTTCTGCCATTTGCACTCTAAGAACCCAATCGTAGTGCCTTGTGGTAAATGCAGTAAATATTTGTACTTTGTTAATGCTGTTTCTGCGCTTAGTTCCTCGTACCGAATGTTTTCAACTTGTGCAATGAGTGAACTCGGAAGCAGCGCGTAATCATTGTTGTAACTAGACTTCAACACCTTGATATCTAGCGGTGAAAGTACGTACACCGTCGATGATTTAAACCCTGTTTGGTAATAAAAGAATGTTGCACCGGCACCCTGAAGTTTGTTAGCTTGATGGGCTTTGGCAACTTCAGGGAGGTCAGATGCGAACTTAGTAGACCAAAGAGCCAAGTCGTCGTCGATATTCTTAAGTGCCATTCTGGTAAACTTACCGTCATCGTGATAAAGCTCCTTTTCTTCATCGTATGCGCGTTTGATTTGCTCTTTCTCTGCCTCGTACATGCTAACCAAGTATGAGAGATCACCTTTGAAGAATCTCAGGTACTGGCTCAAATCAGGATCTGTCTGTGCAGCCCAAGGGAATGTATCGATAGTTTCTTGGAGCTCTTCAAAATGACGAGGCAAGGGAAATACCCTATGTGGTTGCCTACTCATTAGAGTAAGTACCACTTCATCCTTAATCTTGGGCACTTCAAAACGCTCGTCCACGTTATCTATCTGTACCGGTTTGACATCCTTCTGTCTGATAATCGATCCACATAACGGACAATCTCTATACTTCTCCACAATCACCTTGCTCTCCTTCTTCATCAGGGCAGGAACCTCGCTTTCTAAAAGCGATAGCAAGCATGTGAGACACAAGATATGGCCACAAGATGTAATCATACGAGGAGCAGTCAAATCTTCAGATAAGCAAATAGGACAAGCGTTACCCTTAGGCACGATAATCCTCAATATGTCATCTGTATCCACAGGCACATTCGGATCAATCTGTTGCACGTTATAGTTCTTTCTGTAGTCTAGCACAAACTTATAATTCACGTTGATAAACCTCATACCATGCAAAAACAAGTTCTGTTTCCGAGGCTTATTATCGTAACCTGAGCTTCTTCTTCTCTGGCGTGGTCTCTGCAGCTTCTGGTACTCTGGCAGGTCTCTATACAGCTGGAAGTCAAGCAAATGGTTGATGGAGATCTGGTTTTTGCGTGAGTTGGCGTTCACCTTCTTCCCCAGCTTTGCCTGACGTTCCAACGAGGAAATGTCATTATTCAACGACCTGTAATCGTTCGATCTCCTCGAATGGCGATGGCTATGGCCATGCACAGCTTCCCCCATGTTCGAGTCGTGGGAGTTTGCTGGCGCCTTTCGTGAAGGGTTCTGGTTGCTCATGGTATCCCGAGCCAAAAGTTCATGTTATGCCGAAGCACAAAAAAGTCAGGTTTAACTGGTTCTTAACTAAAAGAATACCGGTGGTGTTCCTGGTATCTTGCGAAGAGAAGAAAGCCATGCCCAGCAAGTGCAGGAGGAGCCCACGAGGAACACCACCACTGATGGCAAGGGCCCAGGAAGGAAGAAGTGGTGGTGGGATAAAAAGATGGGTTATTTTGTGAGGTGAAGAAGATGATGGTAAGTTTGGTTTTTTTGATTTTTGGGTTTTTGATAGTCTGGGCTGTTTATAGGTGTATTGTTGTTTGGAGTGGTAGGTGTATCTGGATGAGTCAGCAACTGGAGGAGGCACATTTTCAGGAACGAAAGAATGCTTTTTGGGAGAGTGATGTTTGAAAATGAAACGAAAGACTCCGGCTGAACTAGGAAGTGGTGTTGCTTATTGACGTTTAGGCTTTTGGGTGGAGGTGTTTCGCAGCCATTTGCAGCCATTTATATGGGACAATGCTGGAACACAGTGGGGAGGACCAGTGGTATAAAGATCTAGAAGTTGGGTATATCATTTAAGGGCATTCAATAGGCAGAGAGTTGGCTAATTGGTCGTATTTATTTGGAAAGAAGAGGGGATCTAAGTGTAGCTAGTGTTGTAGCGTTTGCAACCAAGAAGAGGTAATCATACTGAGTATATGGTAACCGGTTAACTTCACCTAACTTACAGAGTTTATACCAGAGAAGAGTTTTGAGCCATTAAAGGCCACTTCGGAAATACTATAACCTTTGAAAACTTCGAAAAGGTTCAAATGATTTCTGAAGAGAGAAGTACCTGCTTAGCTTCTATTAATACCCATAACAGCAATAGGGTCAACCGTTCTTTGGACTCATTGTATATTCAAGATCAAAAGGCTTAAATTGCCCTCTTAAGAGTAATCTTGTCCAAATCATAAGTCTTCCCTTAACTTCTCTCTTAACTATCAACCCTCTAACCCTCTCTTTCCATTCCTCGTCTCCAGTCACAAGACCATAACCACCTTCCAAATACCACCGTCCAGTTCCTCCAACCCCACATTTCCTACCATCTTTAAGTCTGTAAAAACGCAACCTCCACCCCTAAATCACCCCTAATTCATTCCTCTCCACCTACCCACCTCGCTTCTCCATCCACCTTCACGGTTTGGCTGCGAAAAGCAGATCTCCAGCCAGAACCCCAGAATCTCACCAACCACAGTACCAACCACCACTCTATAAAATCCAGTTCTCCCCCAAACAGCCCAATTTTCATCCAAACCGTTCCTCCCCATTCCACCTCCAAATCCACCAACCTTCACTTTCCCAACCCTCCCCTAACCCTCTTCTTCTTCACCTTCCCTCTGTCTTGTCTTGGCTGACCTGCGCCTTACGCCTACGCTTTTCGCACCCTAACATCAATCCGAACCGTATCGTATCTCATAACCTACTACTACTATTCCCCACCAAATGTCCTACGAACGGTTGTCGAACGGCTCGTTGCCGTCACTTCCGCCTGCGTACGACAGCAATAGTGAGTCGCCTCCTCGCACCCTGCGGGACGGGGACGACGACGATACTGGCTATGGCTTTGCTTCGGGTTCCGGAAGTTCCAATGTTGCACCTCCAATAGAGCAGTTTGAGATCGACGACGACGAAGTGTACGAGCCCGTGAAGCGGGATAGCGTGATTAAGCGGTTTGTGTTTGTTTCAAAGAGATGTGCTTTCACCTTTAGGGATAAGGTGGTGGACCCGGTGGTTCGCTGTCTAGATCCGATATATGAGGTGTATAACTACTTCCACCGCCACTACGAGCTGCTGTTGCTCAAGTTGGGCAATCCGTTGGTGGTAAAGCGGTTGTTGTATGTGTTTTTGGTGGTGATGTTGATGTTTGTGGTGTCGGAGAATGAAAACACTGATGGCATTAACGGCACCTCTGGAGGCGCCTTCTCTTCGGGACACTTTTACGATACAGACAAGTTGGGCGATACGTTGGCCCATTATATCGAGGGGAGAACTCTCCAGGAGAACTTGCAGTACCTCTCGTCGATGCCCCACATGGCTGGTACTATGGGAGACTTGGCTTTGGCTCGGTATGTGGAGAGCTACTTCACCAACAATGGTATCACGAACGTCGACTTTCATGAGCTCGAGACGTTTTTGAACTTCCCCACGGGCGATTCGTACCTCAGATTGGCTGACGGCTCGCTTCTGGCTTCTTTGGGCGGCAGAGACAATGTCCATGAGCAACTTATGGCGTTTAACCCTAATTCTCCTAGCTCAGATGGTGAAATTGAGGCTCCATTCATTTATGGTAACCATGGTGATCCTGAAGACTTGCAGAAACTCTTGCATGAGCGCATGGACCTCAAGGGAGCCATCCTTTTCGTCAAATATGGAGGCGAGACCCCAGAAGCAAACAAGGTTTATGCAGCTACTCAGCTTGGTGTCAAGGCTGTGGTGTTCATATCTCCAAAAGTTCCATTTGCAGGAGATGCAGCTGATGATACTATCAAGAAGACGAACGTTGGTCTCTGGAGATACAGCGCCGGTGATGTGTTGAGACCAGGTTGGTCCAAGCATGGCACTTACTTCTCTAATACTGACTGGGAACATTCGAAGGCCACTCCAAAGATACCTTCTATTCCTGTTAGCTGGAAAGATGGTATGGCTTTTGTGAGCAAACTCAAGAACCAGGGTGTTGATTTTGGTGATGGCTTCTTTTCGGGTAGCCTTGATAAGAATCCTAAGATCAAGCTTGTTGTCAAGAATACTGAGCGCATGACCCACCCAATCTGGAACATTGTTGGCCACATTCCTGGTCGTGAACAGCCTGAAAAGGGTGTTCTTTTCGGTGCTGCTCGTGATTCTTCTTGTTACGGCGCTATGTCATCCGCCAGTGGCACCGCTGCATTGTTGGAGCTTGTTAAGATCTTCTCTGGTCTCCAGAGAAAGTACAACTGGACTCCTACTAGGTCATTGTATTTCGTTTCTTTCGATGGTACTGAGAACAACTTGGCTGGATGCGCCAAGTGGGTCGAAGCCAGAAAAGATTCTCTTATTAGCGAAGGCTACACTTACATTGATATCAACGGTTTGGTCACCGGTGACAAATTATCAATCGAGGCCCATCCATTTGTTCAAAATATTATCAAGGATGCCATGAAGAAGGTTAGTCTTACTGAAGACCAGAAATCCGGCTCTCTCCAGTCGCTCTACGATCTTTACAAATCCCGGAACCAGGGCAAGGATGATATCTCCTATAGCATGTTGGAAGAGAGAAACTATGTGCCTTTCATCAACGAGATCAACATGCCCGCCATGGAGGTCGCGTACAAGGGTGACTTTGTTGAGGGAACCTGTGCTGATACTTTCAGGACCTTCACCGACAAGAAAGTCGACCCTGAAGTGAAGAAGCATAAGCAGGTTGTTGAGGTTCTTGCTAGAGTGGGCCTCGAACTTGTTGAGAACCCCATGATCCCATTCGACTTTGAGAGCCTTGCCAATGACTTATCCGATCACCAGAAAGATCTTGAAAAATACATCTCAGACCAAATAAAGGCGTACCCTTCGCCAGTTACGACTAAATTCTCTTTCGATGGGTTAAAACGTGCTATTGATAAGCTCAGACGTGACGCTCACCAGATGAGGATTAGGCAAGTTGATTGGAAGAACTTCATTGAACACAGTGGTATGGAACCACCAGTGTTTGCTGCCACAAGACGCCTGATGAACCAGAATATGGTTCTTTTTGACTCATACTTCCTCAGCAACGAGGCTCTGCGTCCAAGAGTGGGATATGCAAACTATCTTTTCGGTGCCCCATTTGATGCGCCATCTACGGATGACTCTTCAAAGTACCACTGGAACAGTTTCCCTATGGTACGTGATGCTGCAGCCAAAGGAAAATTTGGAGACGCTCAATCTGAGATCGATCGCGTCGCTAGCTTGATAGAATCTGCCTGTGCAGCTATCAATCCCATGGGTTAGGTTTATGTTAGATAGGGTAGTTTAATGGATAAGGAAATGGACTTTTCGTGTAGTTTCGTTTTGAAAAACCTTCTTTTTTGGCTAAAAAACTTTAATTTCGATAATTTCAGCACTGGAATTGTAATTCTTAAAATACTTTCCGGACGTAAAAAGAACTGAAATCATGACTTTTGTGGGTTTCTCAAATATAGGTGATATATAAAAGCAAAAATAGTTCCCTTCAAGAGATCCTCTCGGTGGCCAAGCTGGCTAAGGCGCGAGACTGTAATGTGATTGTAATCTTGAGATCGGGTGTTCGACTCACCCCCGGGAGATTTCTTTTTGTTTTTTGAAGTTCTAAGAGCTTTAACGGCTTCATTTTTACATCAGGCTTCTTTTTAGCTAATTTTTTTTTATCTATGTGTATACTTTGATCTATTTTGCGGGTTCAGCAAGAGCGACGAGATCTTCGAGGTAGAAGTCTCTAGATCTGAGTTGCGGATCAAGAGCTCTTACTGCTTTAGTAAGCTCGTTCAAGTACTCAAAGTTAGGACCGCTGGGTCCACGGCTGGTTTTAATGACAGCAGCCGTATCCTGGACGCTCTCAGGACCAACAAAGGACTCGTTATCTATGGTGCCGATGTAGATGAATGACTCAATGAAAAGGTCTCCATCTTTGTCGCGAGGAATATCACTTATAGCCGCCTTTGCCTCATCAGGAACACTATGTACTTGGAACTTGACCTGGTGAAGCGTGTAGCCATCTTGTTCTCTGACATCCAAATACGCCTTCATTTCATCCACATGTTCTGGCGGAACATAATATGCCACTCCCCACACCTTCAAATCATCCTCCTCTAGTTGATCTATTCTATGTTGCACGTCATGGATCCCATTGGCCAATGCACCACTGGGAAGGTCAGCCACCGACGTTGTAGCTATATTAGACTCTCCCAATTTCGGATTGAGTTCATAAGTACACAAATCATTATGGAATCTGTTGTGGCTCTTCAAGTCATCGAGAGACATAAGCGTGACCACTCTGCCTGGGCTTTCAGGAGTACCTCTGTGATCTGAAGACGACTGCCAGAACCGGCGAATGTAGCCCTTGAGGGTTCCAGTCACCTTGAACTCGTAAAGTGGTGGTGGCTTAAAGATAAGCAGGCCGTAGCCAATGATCCACATTCCTGACATGATGGAGTAACTGTGGCTTGGGATGTGTTGGAGGTGTATTGGGTTCTATAAATGTATAAGGGGATGGAAATCCGTTTATAGTACTGACTATATCAATGGAAAGTCAATGCTGGGTTGAAATCAAGAAAAGTATGGGGTATGTACTTGTTGGTAACTGTGCGTAATCTGTGGAAACATATAGATTCGTCTAACGTGTGCACCAGTGCCTCCTGGACGAAATGATGGAAGTACCAAAGGGAGGGAATTTTATGGAAATTTGTTATTAGGAGTGTAATAAGTCATCTCTTGGCTTGCTGATGGGTATATTTGTTGATGTGATTTGTTCGTGGTGCTGCTTGGTTGGCGAGTTTTGAGCCCATTTTGCAGCCATTTCGCAACCACTTGAAGCACCATGGATTATCTGGTGGTGGCTGGGAAGTTGACGGAAGGGATAGAAGTGGAGTTGTTTTCCGTTTAGTATTCTATGGGGGTCAATGAATTTGGCATTGAACGGGGATTCAGAAGTGGGATTTGGGATAGGGCGGTACTGGGTGGAAGTGAGACATATTTTGGGTCTAATTTACGTCATATAGCACCAGGATAAGGCATTACCAGTCCTAAATAGCAATTACTATTTCTTCTACAATTTTAGGTGTTCAACAAGTATATTGCTTTCGGGCTGCGGCTCTTGAGTTTTCGTTCTCCTTTAGTTACTCTAGTTTCTCTGCTTACTCTGGTTGGACTAGTTCTCCACCCAAGTATCCCATACTTTAACATTAGCAGCTTTGAATACGTTATATACACATGTTTGGGCCCTTCTTGTAGTCTATAAGCCCAGAAGGATACAATGAAGAAGCAGACTTCTTCTCGAAAGCCAGAAACTCTTAGTTTAATGTCCTCCAGCTACCAACCAAATCCCCCAAGACCAAGTCCCTTGGCCCTGATCTAACCCACCTAACCAAATCCTTTCCACACCTTCCATCCAAACATACCCAACCTAGTACACACACTCTCCCAAGTTCGATCTAACCCACCACTTCCATGCATGTTCCTTCGGTCACCAGGACCACCTCTAGACCCTCCTCCCCTTTCACCCCTGCATTCCCAATCCCCCCAATTAACCATCATTCTCCAGTTCCCAACCCCATTCCATTCCCCACCCTCTCCAAACACGTTCATCTAAGAAACATTCACTTGTCCAACACTCCAAGCCCTAGGCTTCTTCTTCCTATTGTATTCAGCAAGCCTACCGTCCCTCAACATAAGCGCTTACCTAAGCATGCCTGAACGGCGTCAACCACGCAGAACGCAGCCTCTGCAGAGCTTATCGGCATCGCAAAGTCCTCTCTTACCCAAAAACCATAACTTCCATGAAAAACAACTCTCTCGCTTATTAAGAAGATCAGCAGCTAGCCTCACGTCAAATACCTGTCAAGCAACCTTCTATAGTACTTTGTCAGGCTCGCCAGACGCAGCTTCTTCTCTTGGCAGACTGCACACACTGCAGGTGACAATCCTCTCCCCAAGCATCACAAAAACTGGTTAACCGATACTACCAGTGATAAACCTGATCCTGTTTCCACCTTGCGAGCATAATCTATTGGTCTACGATGTGGTCGCAACTAGAGGTATGTGAATACTGAAACCTTCTGTTAACTTTTTACTAACCCTTCAGATAGAACAGTCACATATAGCGTATGCTTGCGTGGGTATCTTTAGCACGCTATTTTCGCTAGCGTCGCTTTTCGTTAAGGAACGTTTATATATTGGTGAGGCTACCGTTGCTACCATAGCAGGGTTGATCTTTGGTCCTCACTGCCTTAAATGGCTTGATCCCCTTTCTTGGGGTAACTCAGACCATTTGACGTTGGAGATCTGTCGAATAGTCTTGTGTATCCAGATTGTCGCTGTGGCAGTCGAACTTCCTAGAAAGTATATGAAGAAACATTGGCTTTCCGTGACCATCTTCTTGCTTCCAGTCATGACTTGTGGCTGGTTAGTCGTGGGTCTTTTCATTTGGGCCCTTATACCGCACTTCAACTTTGCAGATGGCCTTTTGGTCGCTGCTTGCGTTACAGCTACTGACCCTGTTCTTGCTGCTGCTGTGGTTGGTAAGGGTAAGTTTGCCGAGAGAGTGCCGGGCCACTTGCGTAACTTGCTTACTGCTGAGTCTGGGTGCAATGATGGTATGGCATTCCCATTTATTTTCCTTGCACTTAACTTGGTCACTCAAGCGAATCACGCCAGACACGTTGTTAGAGACTGGTTTACGCTTACCATTCTCTGGGAGTGTTGTTTCGGTGTTGTACTTGGTGTTGTGCTTGGCTATTCCCTTAGAAAAGCTGTGGCGTTCGCTGAGAACAAGGATCTCATTGATAGAGAGTCCTTCTTGGCCCTTTTCATCTTTCTTGCCTTTGTTTCTGCTGGTGTGGGCTCCATGCTTGGAGTTGATGACCTTTTGGTCTCCTTTGCTGCCGGTACGGCTTTCGGCTGGAACGGTGAATTCGCCAGAAAGACTGAAGAGTCGCATGTTTCCACTGTGATTGACTTGCTTCTAAACTTGTCTTTCTTCGTCTACTTTGGTGCTATTGTGCCATGGCCAGACTTCAACAACAGCGAGCTTGGTCTTGATGTTTGGAGATTAATCATCCTTGCCATTGTCATCATTTTCTTGAGAAGAATTCCGGCTGTATTGGCTCTAAAACCGTTTACACCAGATGTGAAGACATGGAGAGAAGCTTTGTTCTGTGGTCATTTTGGTCCTATTGGTGTAGGTGCCATTTTTGCTGCTATTCTTGCCAGAGGTGACTTAGAAGCACATTACACTGACGAAGAAACTCCATTGGCTGACCTTAAGGATATCAGCTTCCCCCATTACCAGCTCATCAAGTGCCTTTGGCCAATTGTCTGTTTTATTGTCATTACATCCATCATTGTTCATGGTTCTTCTGTCGCTGTGTTAACCTTGGGTAAGCGTTTGAACAGAATGGCAATCACCATGACAACTACCAATACCCACGATCAGGGTCCTTCATGGATGTCCCGTTTACAAAAGCTCGACAGAACCACCACGTCTTATTCTTTGCATAGCATCGATACTGCCCATCCTGACCTCAAACCAGAGGAGACAGTTACTTCTCAAACAGGCGTTAAAGTCAGGCCTGCTGGAGGTGCCAGACGTAAGAGACTTCAAAGGAAGCAAAGACAACGTGAGGGTAAGGGACATGCAGATGATGTTCCTACTACCGAGAGACATCGCCCTCAAACTGAGGTTTTGCAACTAGGCAAATCACAGTCTTATGCTCCATCAGGCAAGAGTGATGCTGATGACTCTGGTGAAACCTCGTCAACATTCGCTGAACACGTTCCAGAAAAGAGGGACGAAAATATTAATGAAGAAACTTTGGGTGAGGTCAGAAACAAGATTGCTGAAAAATCGGGTAAACCTCTTGATGAACTCGACGCAGAAGAGGATCAAGTACCTGCTACTATTTACAAGGAAGGTCGTCATATCATTGTTGAAGACCAAGATGGAGAAATTATAGAGAGTCTTCCTTTGCAAGAGCTTGAGAAGTGCAAGGTCACTCCACCTAATGCTGATAATGTCAGTATCCACTCTATGGGCTCTTTGAGACGCCAAATGTCACAGTTCTCGGCTGCCTCTCATCCACTGATGGTTTCTTCTGGTTCTGAGAGTGGAGAATCAATTGGAAAGAAGATCACAAGAACATTGAGCAACAAGAAGAAGGCTTTCTACAAGAAGGACGGCGGAAAGAAATTCTTCGCTCACCAGATCGATAACTTGATTGTAATTGAAAACTCTGATGGTGAAGTTGTTAGACGTTACAGAGTTAACAAGCATATCAATCCCAACAAACCGAAGCCACAACTGGCCGCTAGAGCTAGATCCGGTTCGATTGTTAACAAAGCTTTGTCGCTTGTTGGTATCAAAAATAAGGACACTCCAGCTGACGCCAATGCAGCAAAGGAAGCCGGTCTGCCAGATACAGCAGCGTTGGAGTCTCCACTTCCCGTTCCTGAAGAAGAGAAGGTGGAAATTCCTCATAACATCTCTCCTCATGATGACGAGAAAAAGTTTAACAAGTCAATGGAACGTAAACTTACTGGCATGATTGAGGAGGAGACTGGCGTTGGTAGCCATGCTCTCGTCTTGGAAGAAGAGAACCCATCCAGTGTTGAAGACACTGCAGAGTCAGATGAACTGGAAGGAGAGAAAGAGACCGAGGTTGAAAAGAAGAGAAGATTGGCAGCATTAGGGCATCTGTCCAACAGAAGAGACCTGAACGATGAAGAGAGGTAAGGACAATATGACCGTGTAAATCAGCATTAGCTCTATATATTTAGCATTTTTTTGGCATTATTTAACAAAAGACATTTCACTTATCATAAGAGAAGACCCATTGTAGAAATGAATGCAAGCCCTCTAACGAACATTACACCAGATTCTCGTGAAGAGACATTAATTTTTTTGGAACCACAGGAATGCAACATACTTAGTGAGCAGCCTTTGGAGCGTTTGGCAACTTAACCAAAGCAGCCTTGATACCTTCAACACCCTTGAGCAAGTCCTCCTCAGAAATAACCAATGGAGGAGCCAATCTGATGATGTTGTCGTGGGTTGGCTTAGCCAAAACACCCTGGTCCTTCATGAGCAAGCAGAGGTCCCAAGCGGTCCTGCCGTTGGTCTTAGCGTCGTCAATGACAATGGCAGCCATCAAGCCCTTACCTCTGACCTCAGCAATGATGCCATCGGACTGGGACTTCAACTCCTCCAACTTGTTGCGCAAAAGCTCACCCAAGGTGTTTGATCTTTCAACCAAGTTCTCATCCTTGACAACCTCCAAAGCAGCCATGGCGACACGGCAGGCCAATGGGTTACCACCGTAAGTGGAGCCGTGAGAACCTGGGGTAATGGTCAGCATGATGTCCTTAGAAGACAAGACAGCGGAAACTGGGTAAACACCACCGGAAATGGCCTTACCCAAGAGGATAACATCTGGCTTGACGTTCTTGTAGTGCTCGTAGCACAACATCTTACCGGTTCTGGCAACACCGGTCTGGATCTCGTCACAGATCAACAAGACATTGTGCTTCTTACAGAGCTCTTGCACTCTGGTGAAGTAGTCAGCTGGAGGAACGACAATACCGGCCTCACCCTGAATTGGCTCCAACAAGATAGCAGCGATCTTGTCACCAGCATTGGCGAAAGCCTTCTCGACATCCTCAATGACACCGTATCTCAACAAAGAGCCCTTTGGCTCACCTGGGATCTGAGGACCGACACCGTTCAAGTATGGACCGAAGTTGGTAGTGGCCTCGGAGTCGGTAGACATGGAAATGACACCCAAGGTTCTGCCGTGGAAATTGTCAACCGCAGACAAGACAATGGCCTCATCTTCCTTGATGCCCTTCTTGACGTAACCCCATCTTCTGGCCAATTTAAGAGCAGTCTCCACGGCCTCGGCACCGGTGTTCATTGGCAACACCATCTCGTAGTTGAAAAACTCCGTGATGTACTTGGCAAACTGGCCAAACACATCAGACGAAAAAGCTCTAGAGCACAAGGTCAACGTGTTGGCCTGGTCGACCAAAGCCTCAATGATCTTTGGGTGGCAATGGCCCTGGTTCACGGCCGAGTAGGCAGAAAGAAAGTCCAAGTACTCCTTACCCTCAGGGTCCCAAACGTGGGCACCTTTAGCCTTTTGGAACACCACTGGGAGAGGGTGGTAGTTGTGAGCGGAGTACTCCTCCTCGTACTGTTTAGCGGTAGCAGAAGAAATAGACATTGTTGTTTATAGAAAAAATGGATGTAAAAAAAGTGGATAATTGCCCAACACATGGGGAAATCATGGCCCATTTATAGTGTCCCTCTGGATCGCTCTATCTTGCCTATAGGTGTATTGCGCGGTGTTGGTTGCCCTTGGCGGATGCATGGTGACCACGGAAATTCTGGGGACGCTTCACGCATCGAAATGCCGTCCGTAAGTTGCAAGTCAAGGCGAGGCGGTGAAAAAAAAAATGGATGGAGAAGTGGGTGGAAGAAAAGTGGGGAATCTAATTTGAATGGTGGTAGGTTGGCGGTTGGCGGTTGGCGGTTGGGGAATTCTGGTTTTTGTGGTGGTTATGGAGTGGCTGCGAGGTTTCTTGGAAGACCTGGGGACACCGAGAATCACCAAGAGCAATCAGATGGACCACTGGAGGTGATGGTAATCTGGAGATAGGGATAGTTAAGGTTATGGGAGACGTATTTTGGATGGTATTCTTCTATTTGTATGTTTTCTTTATATATATTTATGTATATTTTTAGGGCACTTCTGGACCGCTTGTCTTCGGTGGTTGTACGGCTGCAGAAAGTATGTCAACGTGTGTCCGAGCAGGAATGGCTGCGAAAATTGCTACTCCAGGGAAGTGCCAATAGGGAAGCACTGGGGAAGGGGATAGAGGAATGTTTTGGTGGTTTTTTTCAAAGGTTAAAGGGATGGTGGTATTGAAGGAGAATTGGAGGAAAGGTAATTGAAGCGGGGGAGGACGCTGTTGGTGGTGGTGGTGGGTCAATGGTGGAAGAGAAGGCATTGGATGGTTAATGTAATGTTAACTATAGAAATTGAACTTATTCAAGAAAGCAAGTTTCAGTTTTACAGTAGATCTTCCTGTCATTATAGCTTCAACTTTGGAAACATCTGGCTTAGCATCACCTTCTGTGGTCCATTATACGTATAATATTGGTTCAATGAGCTGTATTATTGAAGAATATGATGAGCTACCTCCTATAAACGCTATTTAGCTAACTCTTTTTACTGTAAAGCTTGATCTTTAAGTACAGCTCAATGGTACAATTGCCATTGAAGTGCTCCTTAGAAGCACATACTGTGTTACTCGTAGTATATGCTACCATCACCCATTCCAGGTAGAAGCCTAACAATGAAATCAGATTACCTTCCCTTTAAACTCCATATAACAGCAACACAAACCATCATAGTATTAAGTTCATCAAACTTCTTATTGCCCAGAACCATAGCCTCTGCTTACACCACTCTTTGTTCTCTTCCTGACGCGGTCCATCCATTCACAGCCACCATCAACCTCACCAAGTATCCCCCACCACTAAACCTCCCCAATCAACTGAAACACCCAAAACACAAAAACTCCAGAACGACTTCTCGGCCACTTAAATCTCCCCCTATATCCCTTCTTTTGCCCTATTCTTGAAGGTACCCACTTCTCCACCCTGAGCCTCACCTTATCACACTGGCTGCGAAAAGCCTCAAGCGCCCCATGAGTCTCATATACCAGGCCAGCCTACGACCCAGGAGCAATAAAAACTGAAAAAAGTACAAATCCCAGAATACCCGCCTCCTCTTCACCTTCTGTCCCCTTATTCAAATTTTTCCTTCTTTCTTACGGTGTCTTTTGGTCTCCCTGGTTTGTTTTGGTGTTCCTCTATACAGCCCAGTGCCTGTCGCTCATTTACATCCTATTAGGAAACGCACAGAAAAAAAGTGATCTCGTCTACGGTTAACCAACGTCATCCGACACTCCATCCCCATCACATAAAACACACTAAAAAGGGACCATCTAACTCACATTTACTCATACTTCTATTGCACATTCATTTACATTACCATGGAACAACCAACGAAACGCACACAGATGCACTCTTTCCAGCCTCAGCATGAGAACCCTGACATCGCTTCTTTGGCTACCATTGGCATGAGAATAAGAAAATCCGTTGCTGACGGCTACTCTGTTTCTCACGATGCCTCTTATAACCACGGCTTGCCACAGACGCCCCAGTCTCAGCGTTCTTTCAACAGAGTGCCTCTTCCTTCCAATATGGATATGCCTCCTGCCTTGACCAACCAGGGCTCTACATTCCAGTCAGGCTCCAATGTCTCCGAATGGGGAATGCCATCCATGCCAGTTCAGACGATGCCATTGCAGGGCAATGGTTCGAAGAGAGGATTCGAGGAGGACGAGCCTCGCCAGTTTGGCATGGACAAGCCATCTTTGGAAGCGTACAACAACGCTTACGGGCAATTGAGATTTGACGAGGAATTTTAGCTTGATTGGTTGAAGACCTTGTCTTTTTCGTTGCACCGGTTGCTTCTATCGCTTGTTTTAATCTTTTACTTTTTTTATACGATTGGTACGAAAATCTGAATATAGTTATTGGGAATTCTTTGTAGGTGACGAAGTGGGCTCCAGATTTAGAGCAGTTGTAGGGGCACACTATTCAGACGAAGTAAGGACGAAGAGGGTCTTCCTCTTGTAAGCTTCTGGACTCCGATGAATGGCTATGAAATACTGTAACCTGCTTCTATGGCTAATGGGGCATCTGTTAGCCCACTTCAGTCTTCAAAAGTACAATTATAAAATCTACCATGCCATTTATAGCTACATCTACGCTAAATCATCTTCACCTGAGGTAATAGGTTGCAAACCACTACAAGTGAACGCGATAAGATCCCACCTATTCGAAATAAACGCCCAACTGACTGAAAAATGGCTCAAAGAAGAAGCGTAGCCGAATACCTTCGCTCAGCCTTGGCCTTGACTCAAGTGGGCTCTTTTTGTGTAATCTATAGCCCCAGTCATTCCACTCGCTCTACCCAAAACCCATATTTCAGCCCATCACCTATGAAGATCCAAAGAAGATCGAGTCTAGAAAACATCTAAATCCAATACCTGTAACAAACCACCCCATCTGCCTCTCTTCGCCAACTCTATACCATAGCCAATCTGTGGACCCGCCAAGAATCGCATATAGTGTATGCCCCTGCCATGGATCTCAAAACGACACGGCTCAAGCCAAAGCAGGAAGACACTAAAAAACTTTCCTTTTTTTTCATAGACTTCGTTCTACAACACAACACCTTCACCTTCAGCCCTTCACTGACCCACCTTAAGCCTACTCTTGTTTGTTTACCAGACGGCTTCTTATCTAGTGGCACCTCACCTGGACTGCACTTTTTCGCTTCGAGAAATCTTTAAGCCTACTCACCAGAACCGCTTCCCAATACACCTGCCACATTCGCTACGGGTCTATACCAAGGGCCTTTGACAGAAGGGAAAGCTTATTTTTAGTTCTTCGTGGACCATCCATGGAAAATGGGCTTCTTTAGAAGCTTGAAGGGCCTGTGCATGCGGCCTTTTCAGAACCTTACTGTTCAGCAGCGTTTACTACAGTTCCTCAGATTTGGTTCTCCCATATTGACGATTGCATTTGCTATTGCTTATTTGGCTTCGGGCCCAAACGTGCACTCTGCTCATTTGGCACGTATCAACTGTGCTCATTTGGATGTTGCTTTGGGTCTTTATAAGTCTTTGAGAAGCTCCATCTCGTCTACTGGTTCCGTCAACCAGGACATTTTACCTGTCGATAATGAACTTACGGATTCGGAAATCCACATTTTGACTGATTATACGGAGAAACAGGTTGCTGACGCTGCCCAGTATATCTTGCTTGGTGTGAATGAGTTTTGTATGATTTCTTACCGGACGACTTACAGCAGCTCACATATGGTCGAAGAAGACGTTAAGACAGTGTGTAAGTCCTACAAGGGTTTTGGGATATTTGATTACAGAGCTATTATGCTGGAAGCAGGGCTTGATATCATTTTGGCGTATGCCTACGAGTCGAATTATCAGAAGGACGATGAGTACTCACGAAGAATCGATGCGCGTAATAAACGTTTCCTGGTTCTTCAACCTGTGATGATCTTCCAAGTTCTAGTACAGCTGGTTATCTTGGTCTATGGGATAGTATTGTACAGCAACAGAAGAGGTGCAAAGGATCTCTCCAATATACCTAGCATCACGGTCAACGTGCTAGCGGTGTTGGCCGTTTCCGCGGGAATCATTATGATTGTGGCTGCTTCCATCGCTACCAACGAGTTGAGGTCTGTGAAGAAAGAAATTGCCAAAGGTATGTGGAGTTATGGTGTGAGAATGGTTATTGGTGATGTGTTCCTTGCCCTTGTATGGTGCACCTTCTCCTTTTCAGTGTTCACAATGTTCGCTTGGGCTTTGCCGTTATGGTGCTCGAATCCACCAGACGATGGATACAATTCGGACGACGAGATCACTTACCACTATCGTGATACAGTGGACGATAACGACAAGGATTCATTCGTGGTTCGTCCTTACCAAGTCTCAAGACAGCTTAAGCGTAACAAAACAAAAAAGTCTATTTCACGACTCTTTGACGACGCTGCTGGCTTCGAAGATGAACCGCATGTTCACAGATCGACTTCTGTTGATAACACTGGATACCGAGATGAAGGTCCATTTGCTTCTCCAGAAGACTATGAGGTTAACGAGCTGCCATTCCAGCCGGAGATGGTCGAGCTGAGTAGCCACATGCATACCGAGACTGAGCTCCGCAGGTTGGGTGCTACAATTACTCGTAAGTTCTCTGGCAGACGCAAAGGAGAAAAGAAATCCAAAAGAGCTTCTAAACGGGACTGGCTCCCGGAGAGGTCTACCACGCACAATTTGCTCTATGGCGACAATCACTTTTCTAATCATCAATACCCACTGACGCTTCCAGGAGTCTCTGAAAGCGGCTCGCTTACTAGAGCACCAACGCTCGATAATTTGGGCTCTTTTAATCGCTCCAGAAGTAATACTGGAAACGGTCTTCAGTCGCAGCCTCATCAGAACTTGTTGATGCCAGAAGGGTCTAGTGGCGGACATAATCGTTCAACTGACAATGTCTCTGTTCTTGATGAACAAGAGATGGAATTATTGAATAACAATCAGTTTATTAATAAGATTGTTTAGACGTTCTTGAGGAGCTGTCAAGAACTTATGGCTTCATTCGCATACTACGCATATAAATTGGACACAAATAGAATTATATTACTTTCTCTTATACTTCTTCTGTATTTCGAAATATTTGGCCAAAATATGAAAGAGAAATTTGATCTTGAGCCGTACTTCGCCCGGCCACTTACCCGTTTCAAGACTTACTGTCTGAATCTTGCCTTTGAAGATATATCTCTAATCAAGAGGTTCACTTACTGGGCCTGGTTTCTTCTTGGCTTCTTTATCTTCTTTGGAAGCCTCTTTCCCTGTCCTTGCACTACATCAACGTATGTAGTTAGAGCCAATGAAGGCGATGCCTCTTGGACTATGATTGCAGACGAGGGTCTTCAGCTTTTTGCGTATTTCTCAGAAGGTCTTGGAGGAGGTGCTAAATCAAGCATCCCAAGAGAATGGCCCATAAAGAAAAGCGACTACTATTTTGGCCCCCTAGGTATGTGTCGAGTTAATACTATATCTGGCGCTTCAGCTTGCTATAAGGGAGATGGGCTTGACATGCCTGGTATGATCGTGCGTGATCTTGGTACACAATTGGGACTCATTGGAGGAGTAGAAGATCCATTTGAATTTGGCAAGACTACAGCCGACATTTATAAGTCTGCCATCAAGGAAATTAGGTTGGTTATCGAGAAGAATCGATATTCACCGATGCTGGAACCTTTGGATGAAAATAAGACCAAAATGATGGTGTACTTGGAAAGCGCCCGCTTAGGCGCAAAGGCCATTAAGATAGTATGGCTATTACTTCTATCATTATTTTCTAGCGTTTCTTTTGCTGATCTAATGGTCTTTTTTGCCACTGGTAAGGGGAAACGGCATCTGAGGAACATTTGGCAAGCGATAATCTATGTGTTCATGATCCTTGAGATAGCATACATGGTGATAGCTATTGGTCCGTTAGTCGGGGATGGTTACTTTGACAACTACGGGTTGGTATGGAAGAATGCTTCCACAATCTACATTCTCTTCTGTCATTGTTTTTTGACGGTAGCTTTATTCTGCCAAAGTTTATCTAATACATAGTGTATTTATCTCTAAGCTCCGTAGACCTTCTTGAACGACTGCTCAAAGTCGGCAATAATATCGTCAATGAACTCAGTACCAACAGACACTCTAATTAACTCCTTGGTAACACCCGAGTTGAGCTTCTCCTCGTCACTCAATTGCTGGTGAGTAGTGAAGTATGGGGCAATAACCAAAGTTTTGGAGTCACCGACATTAGCCAAGTTAGAAGCAACCTCCAAGTTGTCCACAACCTGTGCGGCAGCTTCCTTGAATGGGTCGTCCACCTTCTCCTCGAGGTCCTTAACACCTAAGGCCAAAACACCACCGTAGTGTTCTGTGTTGAAGTACTTCTTAGCCAATTCGTGGCTCTCGTGGGAAGGCAAACCAACGTAAGAGACCCACTTGACGTGGGAAGACTTCTCCAACCACTGAGAAAGCTTCAAAGCATTGTAGGACTGTCTTTCAATACGCAAAGACAAGGTTTCCAAACCTTGGAGCAAAAGGAAAGAGCCGAATGGGTTCAAAGCTGGACCCAAGTCTCTCAACAATTCAATTCTAGCGTGGCCAATGAAAGCAGCCTCGCCCAAAGCGTCGTTCAAGACCAATCCGTGGTAACCTTCAGAAGGCTTAGAGAATTGAGGGAACTTGTCAGGGTATTCTTTCCATGGGAACTTACCAGAGTCCACAATGACACCACCGATGGTTGTACCGTGGCCACCAATCCACTTTGTAGCCGAATGAACCACAATGTCAGCACCCAATTTGATTGGACTCACCAAGTAGCCGCCAGCGCCAAAGGTGTTGTCCACAACGACGGGAACGCCGTTATCGTGAGCGATCTTGATGATCTTGTCAAAGTCAGGAACGTTATACTTGGGGTTACCAATAGACTCAACGTAGATAGCCTTAGTCTTGTTGTCAATCAACTTGGCAAAGTCGTCTGGAGAGTCACCATTGACAAATCTGGTCTCAATGCCCAATCTCTTGAAAGCCACCTTGAACTGGTTGTAGGTGCCTCCATACAAGTAAGACGTGGAAACGATATTATCACCAGCATGGGCCAAACCGCCAATGGTGATAAACTGAGCAGCCTGACCAGAGGCCACTGCCAAAGCACCAATACCACCTTCCAAAGCAGCAATTCTCTTCTCAAAAACATCATTGGTAGGGTTCATGATACGAGAGTAGATGTAACCCGGGGTCTCAAGACCGAACAACTGGGCACCATGCTTGGAGTCGTCAAACACATAAGAAGTAGTAGCATAGATAGGAGGAGCTCTGGCGCCGTGAGGCTTCTCCACCTCCTGGCCAGCGTGCAATTGAAGCGTGTCAAAGTGAGAAGGCATTATGTATAGATATATCTACAAACCCAAACCGGCACGGCTGGGGAAACCCACATGGTTATATAGTGGCTCGAGCCCCGAGCCCCAAACGAACAAGGGAAAAGATGCAAATGCACGTGATGGCCCCTACTGATTGTTCCAGGGGCCCCAGGCAGGCCGCCCGGCGTAAAGGAGCCTCTGGGGACCCCAGTGTGCATGGGTCGTTCCAGCTAATAGATCTAAGGATCTTGGGGTATGCGACGAAGCGTAAAGTGTGGGCCCCAAACTGTGGCTCAGTTGTGGACTTGGTCTCGGACAATAAGCGCGGTTCATCAAGAGGGACGAGAGGAGGGAAATGGGAATGGTATGAATTGCGCCCGTGGACCCTGTGGCGTGAAGAAGTCGGTGGTGGGTTGTTTTGGGAGAAGGTATTTGGGTGGGTTCAGTTGTGGGAGAATTCTTGGAGGAGGTGAAGTGGGTGGAGGTGCTGACTGGTGAAGGTGGTGCAAGTAGATGTATGGATATGTGAGAGGGCAAGTGGGCAGTGGTTTTAGAATGCATTTAGGTTGCTGGGATTCCTTGGATTGGTGCTTCGTTTGTTCTTTATTGATTATGGCTGGAAGGTTGGGCGTTGGGCGTTGGGGTTCAAGTGTATGGGTTATTTGCACCCAAGACGCACCTTCCAGTCACCAGCCACAGCAGGAAGTGGAGGTACGGTGATGTGGGTTGGCACTAAAGGCATTACAGATTTTTTTTTGTAGGAATTGCGTTTGTCTATTTTTCTTGAAATCCATTTTTGAGGGTTTTAAATGGTGGTTATTACTTACCAGCTGTTACCTTGGGGTAACTAGGCACTGTGAGTAGTGCTCGTACTGGAACAAAGTAGGTTGTAACAACTAGCATCATAAAACTACACTATTTCTATCAATTAGTCATTCTATGGATTCCTTCCCGGTTAATGTACCATTTCCACAATATTATTCCACTTTTCCATATTATTTACCATTTTATTTTGTCCATTCTCTGTTTACGATTATAACCCAAATCGGTAACTGCATCTCAAAATACGAATTTCGCAGCCATCATCGCCGGATTCCATAATTTTTGGAAACCACCGAGATTTTCAAAATTATTAATAAAAAGAAAAAAGGGTAGCAAGATAAAGGTTTAACTACATTCAAATATAAGGATATTGTTTGAACCCAACACAGCCTCCATCTGAGTAGAAGTGACAGCTGCCAGACCAGACCACTTCTGACCATGCATTGATCTCTACAGGATCATCACTACGCGTCTCTAACCACCATAGTGAGTGAAAATCAATACTTTGTTACTGTTACTATCGCTTCCACATGTGCACGAAGCAATGCTCTGGTATTGCTAAGACAGGGCTCCAATGCAAAATCAATGTTAAAAAGGGCGATTACTGCCATTATCATATAGGCCAGGCGAAGGGTCTCAGTGGATCTGCTGCGCTACCCAAGACACCTACTCCAAAGAGCTCGCCTAAAAAGAAGCTCCCTGCTACTCCTAATAGGGTCGTTGTGACTCTGGCGCCATCAAAATCACCGTTCGGCAGTCTGCCTCTAAAACCGGTTTACAAATCGCCAGGACGACCTGCTAAACCAAAGGATAAGAAGGCTGGCTTCATTTACTTATACACATTGGCATCTCTCATGACGAAAAACGGTGGTGATTTCTTCAAAACGAGGAACCTAGAACCACGGAAGAAGGGTGAATGGGTCAATTTCTCGCCAAAGAAGCTGGAGTTCATGTTTGTCAAGGTTGGCATGACGACCAAGACTGTCCAAGTAAGACTACTGCAATGGGAAAGGCAATGCAACCATAAACTCATTTGCTTGCATCCTGGATGTGAAGGTCATGAACAATCGCTTGTTGAGAAGCTCAAGAGACTTACTATCAGTAAGAGCCACAACGACAAGTATATGTACCATACATTCAACCTTTCAGATAAAGGGTTCTATGCAGCCAGGAACGTTTGGCTGGCTGAACAAGAAATCCATGCATTGCTCAAGAAACGATACGGAGGCGGACCAGTCTACTGCCAGGGATGTGTTGAAAAAGCCCAAGAAGATAACAAATTACGCCGTGTTCTGCATTTCTTCAGGCGTAAGGAAGATTTGCTGAGTGAAGACTACAAGGTTCATGTTGAATGGTTCCCCATTCCTAAAACAGAGCTAAGAGAAGTGTTCAAGATCATCGATAACGTTTGCATGCGCTACACCGCTTAAAAAAGCATTTCACCGAAATTTTTTAAAATATAGATAATACAGACTATAAAAACATTTTCTTTTGTAATTGAGAGATCCCTTGACCAGCTTAGGTGTTCATGTATGTAGATGGGTCAACACCCTCCTCTGGGAAGTCAGAAATCTTGACATCGAATCTAGACTGGATCTTCTCCAAGACCTCCTCGTCTTCCTTGCTGGAGACGAAAGAAACAGCCAAACCCTTGGTACCGAATCTACCGGCTCTACCGACTCTGTGCAAGTACTGGTCGGCCTCGCTTGGCAAGTCGTAGTTGATAGCCAAGTTAATTCTCTCGATATCGATACCTCTACCGAAGACATCAGTAGAAACACAGATACGCTTGTTGAACTCCTTGAAAGACTTGTATCTAGCAATTCTCTCCTCCTGCTTCATGGCAGAGTGGACAGCAATGGATGGGAAGTTACAAGCACACAACAACTTGTTCAATTCGTTAGCTCTCAGGGTAGACTTGACGAAGATAATAACCTGGTTGAACTCCAAGGAGTCCAACAAGTCGGACAACTTCTTGTTCTTTTCTTTCTCGTCCAACTTGATGTAGTACTGTTGCAAACCGTGCAAGGTCAACTTGGCTTCGTCGTCAACATAGATTTCCAAGGGGCTCTGCATGAACTTCTTGCAGACTGGACGAATGTCCTGAGACAAAGTAGCCGAGAACATCATCACTTGCTTCTGGTGAGGCGTGTTTCTGAAGATGTCCTGAACGTCTCTTCTCATGTCCAAGGACTCCAAGACCTTGTCACACTCATCAATGACGAAGGACTTGACGTTGTTCAAACGGATACCCTTCTCCTCGACAAGAGCGTGCAATCTACCTGGAGTGGCAACGACAATGTGAGGACAGGTCTCCTTGTTCTTCAACTTCTCCAAGTCTCTGGTCATTGGAGTACCACCGTAGAAGACCTCGGTCTTGACATCAGGCATGTACTTGGAGAAACGAGCGTACTCGTTACGGATCTGGTAGGCCAACTCTCTGGTGTGACAGATGACCAAAGTGGAGATCTCACCTGGAACTGGGTCCAACTGCTGCAAAGTGGACAAGACGAACACGGCAGTCTTACCCAAACCAGACTTGGCCTGACACAAAACGTCAGTACCCAAGATGGATTGAGGGATACAGACTTGCTGGACTAAATATGTTAGTTAAGAAATGAAAAATTACGCGGTTTTTCACCGCCTGGCGTAGCTGGAGAGAAAGCCACGGGAAAGGACAAACAGGTATTAGATAGCTCATAGATAAGCTCATATATCAACAGTAATAAATACAGCCATTCTAAAAGATGTGGCTGGGTTGCTGCCAGCAGCAACACAATGCGGTCATGCTAAGTAAAGCAATAAATAATTGTACAAGTTCCTTGACCCTGGCTTCCTCTCAGCTCGCTAATTGCAAATACGAACCTTCAGAGGGATGTTCAAAACCACAGTCACCAATAGCTCTCAACAATTCTGGCTTCAAAAGGAAATCTCTGAAACCGGTGGCGTGGATACCAACGTAAGAGCCCTTTTTGTCAGCGCTCTTGTTGTTGGAGGCGTCACCTTCAGCGGTGGCGGTGGATGGCTGGACAGCGATCTCCTCGGAATCGGAGTAGTCCAACAATTCTTCCTGACCTTCGTGAGACATGGTGTTAGTGAGTTTCAAGCGATGTATTAGGTACTAGCTTGGGGATTGATAGCACTAAAGCTTTTCAAGTTTTCGAGAGTTTTTTTTTTTTCTATCGCGAGGTACAACGTGGTCGTGCATGCACCACTAGTACAAGTAGTTGCAACCAGCAAAAGAACCGAGTGGCGATAGACCATCTAGACGGTTTCCTTACATAACCTTTTATATTTATATTAGCAGTATGCTTTCTAGAGTTGCTCGTTTGGGCCTTACAAGAAACTTGGCACCTCGTTCTGCCGTTGCATTGAGGGGATCTCTTTTGAGACCTACTGCCATCCAGAGTGGTAAGCCTCAGGCAGTCTTTACCAGATATGCTTCGTCTTCCAATGAAAATGATCTTCCAGATGACGATATCCTTAAGGTTCAGGATGTGGTTAGCAAGGTTCAACAACACCCACACATTCGTGAGCTTTTGAACGAGTTCCAGGACATCATCGTGAAGAAGGGCTTCAATCCAAATGAACAGCCTTCCATCACTCAGGTTATGAGACTTTTCGCCGATAAAGAGGTTAGACAGCTTATTTCTAAGTTGAAGGATGCTTTTGAGGAGGCTGGCATTAAGATCTCCCCAGATGACATGGGCCTGTTCATGAAGATGTTCAAGAAATAAGCAACTTTTACAGAAACATATTGGCATACGAACGGGCATGTATGTACATAATACCCACTTGCATTGACATTTTGTAGATTCTATTGGTGTGTAAATAGATTACTTTTTGGCAAAAGAAGCAGAGATGTTGGCAGCTTCCTCCACGGCTCTTGCGATCGAACCTCTAACACCAGCATCTTCTAATTTCAACAAACCACCAATTGTGGTACCGGCAGGAGTGCAGACCTTACTTTTCAACACAGCAGGGTGCTCACCGGTCTGAAGAGCCATTTTGGCAGTACCTTCCATAACCTTAGCAGCAGCAGTCTTAGCAACATCGTGAGTAAGACCCATTCTAACACCACCATCATACAAAGCTTCCATCATAAGCAAACACATGGCAGGACCAGAACCAATAAGAGCAGTGGCAGCGTCCATGCTCTTCTCAGGAATCTCCAGGGCAGCACCAACAGAGCCAGCAAAGTCATTCACAAACTGCTTATATTCACTAGCCTTCTCAGAAAGAGCCACCGCAGCCATACCAGCACCAAACTGAGCTGGAGTGTTGGTCATGACCCTGGCAATCTTATCAGAATAGATGCTCAAGTTGTCAATTGTCACACCAGCCAAAAGCGAGATCACCAATGGGTTATGCTTAAGGTGATCCTTAACCTCAGCGTGAACAGACTCAAAATGGAATGGTTTACATCCAAGAAGCACCACGTCGGCCTTTTCAATCGCAGCCTTCTTCTTCTCCTTGTCAGTGATCACCTCCACATAGCCTTGCTGGAACTGCTCCTTCAACCTTTTCTCAGATTTCTCCAGCTGGGAGCACAAGATGACTTTGCCTGGGAAAGGCTTCATTTTTGACTCTGTCACGGCCGCAGTCACAGCGGTGCCCATGACGCCGGCGCCAAGCACCAACAAAGTGTATCCGTCTTCAATGGCCATATTTATACAAGGAAGGTTGTTCTTAGCAAGGCTAGATAGTGAAAAATGTGTAGTGTATGTGGGGGTGCCGCGAAACGTGGAGGAAGGTTTTCAGGAATGGAGACAGCCAGAAGGGACAGCTATTTTGGAGGAAACTAGTCCTAGCTGAATAAAAATTACACCACTGAACTCCCCTACTTCTTCTCATTCCGGCAATCCAATTTTTATCCCAAAACTCCAAATCCTTCCGTTTATCATCTGACCTTCTTCCGGAACACTTCCTTGGCTTGTGTACACTCCACGTTAACAGCCCAGACAGTCCTTGACCGGTTTTCGGGAAGAAGAAGCTGTCACTTTTTTCTACGGCTACGCCATTTTACACTTTTCTTGGTTCCAGCGTTGTCTTCAATTTATTCACGTTTGGGAATCTTCGGGACCAGAGCAACATTTTTCCTTCCACCTTCTTGGATCTCCTGCGAGGTGACGCAAAAAAGTAATCTGCCTTCTGAAAAAGGCAAGACTGTTCTCAACGAAGCTTCAGACACCGTTTCTCCAACCTACACTTCCAGAACCCGTCTGGCTTTGGAAACCGTTTGAAAATACAAATTAGCGGTATAATTTTATAACCAGCCTATTTTTATTGCTGAGTTTGGCTCTTTGGTTGGTCTTTTGCAGCCACTCCCTCCCTTTCGATAATGACCTTCGACAAGTCACTTCTACAGCCTTGTCCGGTTCTTAGACCTAACGAGGTTCAATTTAAGAGCCCCATTCAGTACTTGTCGAGCCCAGAAGTTCGTGCTTTGGGTGAAAAGTATGGGTTGTTGAAAATCGTGCCCCCTCAGGGCTGGAAACCACCTTTTGCCTTATCGCCAGAGTTCAAGTTTCATACAAGGATACAGAAGTTGAGTGATTTGGGTATTACTACGAGAAGTAGGAAGTTTTTTACTGATAATATGAATCGCTTTTATAAGATGATGAAACGGAGTGAGGTGAAACAGTGGTTCAGAGCTGGTGATAAAAAGGTCTACTTTTACGATTTGTATTTGGCTGTGCTTAATAAGTTTGGGGAGTCTCCCGATTTTGCTAATATTTCTAATGAGGAGCTTTCCAAGTTGAACTTGTTGTTTGGCGTTTCGGCCGATTCAAGGTTATTGGTTGATGAATGGATGTACCACATCAAGCCTTATGCCGAATACCTCTTTAACAATAAGGATAACTATGATTTCCCAGAAAGCGATCCTGAAGATGAAGGCGGTGCTTGTCTTATCTGCCGCAAAAACCATTCACCCACCCTGACCTTGTTGTGTGATCACTGCAACAATCCCTACCACATGAGATGTCTTCAGCCTCCTTTGGAGGAGATTCCTCAGGGAGCGTGGTACTGTGATAGATGTCTTGTTGGCAATGGTGCCTATGGGTTTGAGGAAAGGCCAGACGTCAAGTATAGTATTTGGGACTTTGTGGAACAATGCAAGGCGTTTGAAGACGACTTTCTTCGCAAATACCAAACTGATGGTAAACCATTGCTGCTAGATGACATTGAACGCATATTTTGGAGCTTAGTGGAGACTGAAAACTCTGATATCAAGGTCAAGTATGGCGCTGATATTCATAATCTTAAGCCTGGTGAAATCAGTGGTTTCCCAACTCCCGAGTTACCTCATTCCCCATACGATCCAACCGCAGATGCATCCAAATATATCAACGACCCTTGGAACTTGACAAGGCTTCCTTTTGCTGAAGGATCCCTACTCAACTATATCAACAGCAGCATATCGGGAATGACCGTTCCCTGGATATATGTTGGGTCGCTTCTTTCCACTTTCTGCTGGCACGTTGAGGACCACTATACCCTTTCAGCCAACTACTGCCATTTTGGAAATGTGAAGAAGTGGTATGGATTTCCTAGCAGTCATGCTGATGCTTTCGAGCTGATAATGAAGAAGTCTGCCCCAGATCTCTTCCAAAGACAACCTGACTTGTTGCACCAGCTCGTGACGTTGATATCACCGAGCCAACTCGCTGCTAAGGGCATTCCATGTGTGTATGCTGACCAAGGTCCAAACGAGTTTGTTGTTACCTTCCCAAGAGTATACCATGCTGGTTTCAACAGTGGCTTCAACTTCAACGAAGCTGTAAACTTCACCATGGATTCGTGGATCGAGTTGGGAGAAAAGTCGATCCAGGATTACAGAAAAATTAAGAAAGAGAACGTATTCGATCATTGCCAGTTAGTTGAGAACATATTGAACAAATTCATCAACAATGACAAGGATATGACAATAGACCGCATCAAGTTGGTTGAACAGTCTATCAGGTGTTACGAGAGAATCTTAGTCAGAAACCTGCGCTTGGTACATGATCTCGATAAGGAAAGATTCCAGGAAGCAAAGTCTTCAAAGAAAAAGAACAGGAGCGGTAGTCCTCTTACACCAGGACCTGAAAAGAGCAGCAGAAGAATTCCAGATCTAGATGAAGAAGATGATGTTCTTTGTGACGTTTGTCGAACATACGTCTCCTATCAGTACTGCAATATCAACAACCAAGCACATCGTTTTGGCAAATGGTATGGAGGAAGAAAGAAGAAGGAATCACATAGCATAGATTTGAAGGATCTCCTTACTCCTGAAGCTTCGCCAGCCAAACTCCAAGCTTTGAATGACGACGAAAAGGCTAATTTTGTTGCTGCTACTATATCAGCAGACAGATTAGGAGAATTGCAAGATAAAGTGCCATCCAACGAGGAGTTTGAGAAGCTCATAAAACAAGCAAAGAGGAAAGCAGACGAGGAAGATAATAACACTGACAAGAACAAGAGGAGAAGGCATTCGTCTAGAATTCTGCAAAAGAGCCAGCTGCCAGAGATTGTGAAGGAAGAAAGTGAAGTGCCTCATGAAGCGAAATCAGACATGAGTCAAATGAAGAAGGTTCAGCACAATACTCTTTTCAAGCAGCTCAACAGGTACGACAATGTCAAGTTATGTCTCGAGTGCTGCGTGCAAGTTTGCGGTGAACATGGTAAAAAGGCTCCTAGAGGATCATATGTGATTTTTGAAAAGTCTTTTGATGATATGGAGAAGACATTGGCAGCAGCCAAGCAGAGGTACTACGAGGTCAGGGTAGAACGGGATAATGTCACTCCCAAAGGAAGAGGAATGGTCACGCCGACAGATGCGGTGGTGAAGACGGAGGTAGCATAGGAAGCCGAGGTAATAGGTTAATTGGATAAGTAATTTCATGTGGAGGTGGTGTCTATACTGGTTGTATCAGGACGGTTGTGCCAGTGGGGGTTAGGTAGACTAGGGGGAAGGTCGTTGCTCGTCAAGAGCAGCTTTAGAGGCAATTGAGTGGATTGTAGACGTTTTAGTAGAGGAAGAAAGCGATAACTTCGAGTACCTTGGTGCCTTGACTATACCATAGTTTCTACTAAGCAGTCCAGCCAAAAAGCCATAGGAAACCAATTGAAGAAGGAAAAAACGGTAAGGAACCCCATATCAAACCCAATGTGACCCAATTATTCCAAACCACCAACCTTCCAACTCTTTCCTCGAAAACACGGTCCCTTATACTTCCACTCCTACAGCCTCCTACAACCAATGCATGTTTTTCGCAGCCAAACGGTTCCACCCGGCTCCATACTTAAGGCACCACCAACCTCCCAACGAACACGTCATACTTAAAAAGAAATAAATAAAAAAAAAAATAGCCATATAAAAGGAGACGAATTCCTTTTTTATTTTCCACTCCCAGTTTTCATCCATCCTCTTCTTTCTTCCTCTCCCTCTCCCTTCCTCCCTCGTGCTCCTCCGGGTGCCCAGCATAGTAAACCGTTTAGGCTGCGAAACACAGTTACATAGAGACAGCCAGAACCCCATCAATTTCCACCCAAACACCTCCAAAACCCCAGAAAAAAAGGGGTTCCCCTATTTTGACCCCAAGAAATCCATTGGTATTGTTATCTTTTTCCAATTACCTCTCCCTGCCCCAACGAACCCACCCTCTGGCGGACCCACCCGGCGCCGGGTAACCCGCACCCGCCCAATAAAAAACAGCTTCGCGCCCGGAAATCCCAGCACCTTTTCTCATTGGCCAGCGGCCCCAGTGCCATGTCCGCCGACCGGTATGGAGCACCTGTGGTGAGCGAGAGAGCGAAAAAACCATATAACTCTCACAGTTGGGCACGCTCTTTTTACCCTTCTTTTCTTGTTCTTTAGCGTGAAACATCCAAACAGGTTCTTTTGAATCCCAACTACGATGGTTCTTCCAAGAATGTTCTCCACTGCGTCTCGCAGCGCTTTCACTGCTGCTAAGAGAAATGTCATGTTCAACAGAAGCTTGGCCACCGCTGCTGCTGGTAGTGGTAAGGTTAGGTATGTATTTTGAAGATTTTTGATTGACGAATGAAGATTGATGGTGGTGAGGAGGTGACGAATTGGCCAGGTTCAATTGCTTGGGCTTTGTTGTTTTGGTGGGGGGAGGTTGGAGTTTGAGCAATTGAAGTTTTTTTTTTTGGGGGAAGGAGGCCACCTGGCCCTCGACGAGTGGCGATAGATGTGGATGAAAAATCGGTCAATGTGGATTGGAAAAGGTGAATTGACCAGCAATGGGTTGTCTATTGCCCTGGATCGGCGGTTTCGGAGGCTGAAAATTTTGGAAATTTCGTGTGGTGTTTTGAAAACATGGGATTTTCATCTGGCAATTGCTTTGGCATTGCTGGACGGTTCAATTCGGTTTTGATTCACTGCACGATGTTTTTGAAAGATTCGGCATCCGCCGGTGATTCTTTGAAACACGTTTTTGACCAGGTGTCGTGAATTGGACTCTGTTGGTGGAATCGCCAGAATTTGGAATTCCGTACACCAGACTCCGACACGGGCCCGATCCCCATCCAATACATCTCCAACTACTTCAGGCTTGTTCTCCCACAGCTTTTCAACGCCAACAACGCCCAAAACCCACGTTGGTGAAGTTCTGGCGTTTTCTGTCCAGTGGACCAATCAAGTGCGAGCTTCGCGCCCACTTTTTTTTTCCACCAGCCTCGGCAACACCAGCACAACCAAATCAATCAATTCGGACTCAATCCCCTTGTAAAACCTATACTAACAATACAGAGCCGTCATTGGTGCCGTTGTCGACGTCCACTTTGACGATGGTAACTTGCCAGCCATTTTCAACGCCTTGAAGTTGAAGAACGGTGACCAGGACTTGGTCTTGGAGGTCGCCCAGCACTTGGGTGAGAACACCGTCAGAACCATTGCCATGGACGGTACCGATGGTTTGGTCAGAGGCGAGGCTGTCACTGACACTGGTGCTCCAATCTCCGTGCCTGTTGGTCGTGAGACTTTGGGTCGTATCATCAACGTTATTGGTGAGCCAATTGACGAGAGAGGACCAATCAAGTCCAAGAAGAGAAACCCAATCCACACTGACCCACCAACCTTCGTTGAGCAGTCTACTTCTGCTGAGGTTTTGGAGACTGGTATTAAGGTTGTCGACTTGTTGGCCCCTTACGCCAGAGGTGGTAAGATTGGTTTGTTCGGTGGTGCCGGTGTCGGTAAGACCGTCTTTATCCAAGAGTTGATTAACAACATTGCCAAGGCCCACGGTGGTTTCTCTGTCTTTACCGGTGTCGGTGAGAGAACCAGAGAAGGTAACGATTTGTACCGTGAAATGCAGGAGACCGGTGTCATCAACTTCGAGGGTGACTCCAAGGTCGCCTTGGTCTTCGGTCAGATGAACGAGCCACCAGGAGCTAGAGCTAGAGTTGCTTTGACCGGTTTGACCATTGCCGAATACTTCAGAGATGAAGAAGGTCAGGATGTGTTGTTGTTCGTTGACAACATTTTCAGATTCACTCAGGCTGGTTCCGAGGTGTCCGCCTTGTTGGGTCGTATTCCATCTGCTGTCGGTTACCAGCCAACCTTGGCCACCGATATGGGTACCTTGCAAGAAAGAATTACCACCACCAAGAAGGGTTCCGTCACCTCTGTCCAGGCCGTTTACGTGCCAGCTGATGATTTGACCGATCCTGCCCCAGCTACCACTTTCGCTCACTTGGATGCTACCACTGTGTTGTCTAGAGGTATTTCCGAGTTGGGTATCTACCCAGCTGTCGACCCATTGGACTCCAAGTCTAGATTGTTGGATGCCTCTGTTGTCGGTAAGGAGCACTACGATGTTGCTACCAACGTCCAGCAGACCTTGCAGGCCTACAAGTCCTTGCAGGATATCATTGCCATTTTGGGTATGGATGAATTGTCCGAAGCCGACAAGTTGACTGTCGAGAGAGCTAGAAAGATTCAGAGATTCTTGTCCCAGCCATTCGCCGTCGCCGAGGTTTTCACTGGTATCGAGGGTAAGTTGGTCAGATTGGAGGAGACCGTCAAGTCTTTCAAGGAGGTCTTGGATGGTAAGTACGACCACTTGCCAGAGAACGCTTTCTACATGGTTGGTGGCATCGAGGACGCTGTTGCCAAGGCCGAGAAGATGGCTGCTGAGGCCAAGTAAGCGTTGCGATTGCATTAAGTATGACGCCACGTACCTTAAACGAAAATAACTTAACGTTCACTAGATGTTCGCAAAAGATATTCATTTGCACTATGACTGTTGTAGATTCCTATACTAGCACCTTCTTAGGCTTCCCTTTCTTTTTTTTCTTATCCACCTTATACTTTCTCCACAGCTCTACTCTGGAGTCTCGATCGTTTTCCCATCTTGTTTCCCACTTCTTTCGTAGTTCTCTATCGTTAGCAGCATTCTTCACCTCTTCGTTCCTCTGTGCATCTTCTCTCTGCTGATATAGTCTTTCCACCTCCACCGACTTCTTCTGGTGCTCCAAAGTCTGGCTCACTTTATCCCTAACCAAAGCGTTCTCTCGACTGCCAAAATCCTCAATCACATCTATATCTAGATTATTAGCAATGGTCTCATATATCTCCTGGAGAGCCTTCTTTTCCAGCACCTTCTTCTTAGTCTCGTCGTCCTCGTCGTCTTCACTTGCCGAGAGAACCAGCTCTGCTTTTTTCAACAAATCAAACGCTTTGGGTGCATCTTCGTGTTTCACCTTATCTGGGTGTATTTGCAATGACTTCTTCTTGAATGCCCTCTTCACCCTACTGTCCAAAGAAGCAGGTTCATATAATGGATTCAATTCAAGAATAGCATAGTAGTCACCTGAAGCACAATTGAGAACCCGAGCAACTTCAGCTTCCCTGGCCAAGTCCAGCTCCTGTGCTTTAAGTACCTGTTCTAAGCTCATGGGTAGTTGATACTCCATCTTTTCATATGGGTGCGAAAAACTCCATACTACCTTGTATTCCTTATATGAGAAGACTAAGTATGGCTGCTAAGAACTGGAAACCTCGGTACTTCGATATAGGAGTGAACTTCTCCGACTCTATGTTCCAAGGATGCTATAATGGCTCTACGAACGCCAAGCACCCGCCAGATGTGGAAAAGGTGATTGAGCGTGCCCAGCGGTTCAATGTGAATAGAATGCTCATCACTGCTTCGTCTATTGCGGAAAGCAAAGAGCATTTGCTGCTTGTGGAGCAACATAAGGGTTCTTTTGGATCAACTGTGGGCGTTCATCCATGTACGGTTGCCCAGGAGTTCTATGGATCAGTGGAGAGCACTGAGCTCTTGGAGAGTACAGATGACAAGCTTAAACAGCTTAGGGAGATTGCCGAGGAGGGACACGCTGCTGGCTTGATTAAGGCGTTTGGAGAGATTGGGTTGGACTATGACCGTCTTCATTACTCGTCGGTGGAGCAGCAGAAGACGATGTTCACTAAACAGTTGGAGGTGGCTGCTTCGCTTAAACATCTCCATCTTCCGTTGTTTCTACATATGAGAAGCGCCTGTGATGACTTTGTGGAGATCATTAAGCCGTTTATTGAGCGGGAGGAGATTGGTGGCGGCGTGGTGCATTCGTTTACGGGCACTAGTGAAGAGCTAGAGAAGCTTCTTGCCTTGGGTTTCTATATTGGCGTCAACGGATGCTCTTTGAAAACAGAGGAGAACTTGGACGTGGCGAAACGGATTCCAAAGGATAGACTTCTTATAGAGACAGACGCTCCATGGTGTGAGATCAGAAAGAGCCATGCTTCTCATAAGTTCTTGAAACCATACCCTAATTTATTCTATCCAAAGGTGTGTGGTTCTGAAGAGTTGCGTTCTCCTACACCTCCACCAGGAAAAAAGCAACAGCAGCCAAAGCTTGACGATTTCTTGCCTTACCCTTCAATCAAGAAGGAGAACTACTATAAACATACTGAGGCAACACAGAAACGTCTTGAGAACTTGGGCGAAGCTCCAACTACTGAGGTTGGCGAGTTTGCATACCCTTTGATGAAATCAAGGAACGAGCCAGTCTTCGTTGGCCATGTGGCATGTATTATGGCTTCCTTGTATGAGCTTAAGAGCGACGAAGAGATCGAGAACTTCATCGATACCGTCTACGAAAACTCGTGCAAGCTTTTCCAACTATAATACAATATAGATAATATAGACACTATTATACACTTACATCCTATCGCCTTCTTGAAGAGCGACGTAGCGAACCGACATTGTCGGGGGATGCAATTTTGCTTATGCTATTCTGTATGGCCGACCTTAGACGGCGTGTTTGCTCAGGAGAAATTGGTACGCCCGTACGAGCAAAACGGGCTGATGTTCTTCTTGGAGTTGGAGGTTCATCTAAGGGTCTTTTGGATGGGGGCCGCGAGCGTAACTTTGACTTGATAGGTGCTTGATCTTCATCGTCATCTTCGTCACCAGATACATCGTTCTGATTATCGAAATCGCTGAGTACTTCAACGTCAGAATGGTCGTCAGTATCGAGATGCTGGCCATTCGATTGGCTTCTTAAAGACCTTGGTGCGACTCTACCATTAATACCGTTAGGAGTACTTTCCTCTTCCTCTGAATCACTTTCTTCTTCCTCTTCTTCATCTTCATCGAAAGCATCATCAACAGCAGGTTCTTCATCCACATCCTCTTCCTCCAAAGCGACTTCAGATGCTGTATCGAACTCAGGATCTACCGCGTTATCCTCTTCGCTCAGCTCCTCATCATCAGAAAGTTCCACGGGTTCGGCGGCTTCCTTGACTGCCTTTTCGCCTCCTGCGTTAGCCAGTTTAATTGGTATACCGTCTTTGAATTCTGGATGGCACACCACGTATTGATCAATATCGATATCGAAAGCAGATGGCTTTTGCTCGATAAGAGCATCCGAGAAATGTTCGATCTCCCGTTGAGCCTCTTCTTCATATGTAAAAGGATTGTTGATATCGTCCTTCAAAAAATCTGAAATCATTGAAATGCTGTTGTTGAGTGGAACAATAGGTTGACCAGTAGTACTGAGCAGCTGCTCTAAAGCAGGTGCCTGTGCCAACATAGCTGGCGCAGAATTAATACCACCAGAAGGACCAAAGATCATTGGCTTCCATAAGATCAACTCTGGTTTGATCGTAACGTAATTTTTCAGTTCAAATTTGGTCACAACTTGGTTAATTTTGGGGAGATTAAGAGCAATAGCGTATTCGCCAGTCTCGGGGTTCTTAATCAAACCCTCAAGCTGTTCGAGGCCAACGACAATATCTGATGGGATCATACCGGTAAGTTTAGATAAAACCTCTAGAGAAAGCACGATCTTCTTCCCTTGCTTTAAATAAGCCTCGTAAATAAGTTTAAGCGTCTGGGCAACCGTGATCTTCCAATAGTTACGGTAACTGAGAAGTCCTAGATCGCTCAATGGCTTTTCAGGTGTACCAAACTTGAACTCGTTACGCGATAAAAGGTAACTGAAGTCAATTAGAAAGTTACCGTAACCTTTTCTTTGATAAATTGGCAAGGTAAGAATACAACTGACGTTGTAATCTGAATTATTAAGTTTCTCCTTGGAGAAGTACCCCACGAAATGGTACATGGATGGATCCTTTTCGTCGAGCTCAGTCAAGACGTAAAATGTAAAGGGCTCAACGTCATAGTACAAGGTTTTGGAATTAAGAAACAACTTCGCGAGAAGACACAAATTCTGGCAGTACTCGATGTTCTTCCTGCCATCGACTTCCCACACGGCCACTTTACTGTCCTGATCTCTATAAATCTCCACGCCAGGCGGATGTGAGTTAGACAGATTGCAGTTCTTTAGTTGATGTCTTTCAAAGGAAACAGGTGAGCGCATATACTTGAGGCAGTGTTCGCAGATGTATAAGATCTTCAGACGAGAGTACTCTTCTGGGTAAGGCGACGAGTACCAAGTATCTATAACATAATCACGGAACTGGATTTTCTGAATCTGAGACTTGAGAAGTCCCACACTTCTATCAGAATCGTTCGAACCCGCGTCCTGAAATATCTCGCTTTCTGCCCTCTGGCGACGCTGAGCAGCCTCAACCGAAAGCCGATCAAAGAGCGCCCTATCCTCAAACGTAGGGTCTGTTTCGTTTATAGTACAATCAGGAAAAGGAAGAACACCTTTATATGGCAATTCAGGGAGTTTTGGTCCAGTGGAGGCGGCGCGTTTCTTGATCTTGAAGTCTACTTCGTCTAGGTCAGGAACTTCAGGAGTGACGCTGATTTTCGGCGCTGGCCGTGGACGCCGTTCTAGTTGTCTGGAAGTGCTTTGAGTGGCCAGCGCAGAGCCATTGACCTGGTGGTTTCGTTGGATCACAGAGCGGGTAGTCCGAGGAGCATTGATATCAACAGGAGCAGCAGACGACGACGACCTGGAGCCAGCCCCAAGAAGTTTCTGCGCCTTCCGATTGCGTACATTATACTTGATCCTCACCACAAACGCTTGGTCGGTCATTTCAATCACCGTCGCCAGGTACAACCTAGGACGGCCTTGTTTTCGAGGTTTGGACGGGTCGTGATCTGTGCCAACACTGGCAGGTCGTAGCGGCGGCGTCAGCACCGCCCTCAGCGACACAAGCCCGTCCCTTTGACGTCTCGGTAGCGAATGCAGCAGGGAGCCACGGCGCCTCTCAGTTGGCAAATGCTCATAGATCTTGTTATTGGTGATTTTGATTTGATCAAGCAATTTCTGCTGGTGAGAGGACATCAGTGGCGGCAGACATGAAACGGGAGGATATCAAGACGCAAGGAATTGCAGAGCTAATGGGAAGCAGGGAAAGGGGACAATGGAAAGTGCTTGGAAGGGCCAGCGGTGGGAGTAATAGGATGGTTATTTTCAGAGATGGTTTGGTGAGATCTTGTGTTACGGTGTGTACTGCAGGAAGTGCACTGGGTCCAGTGGGTTCTACGCGTACCTCATAGGCAGAGGGGACAGTGAATGGGGGTGAAAGTGGTCGTAAAAGAAATTTAAAAATGTGGGTGTACTCCAGGGAATCAGGAGAATATGGTTATGTAGTTTGTTTATTGATAATATGTCACTGTTTCTGAAAATCATGGGGTGTCAACTGGGTACTGCCTTTTGGCTGCGAAAAAGACGGTGTTCTTGATGCTCCCAGGCCCAGAGCCAGACCGTGCATGGTAAGAAAAGGAAGAAGACGAAAAGCAGTGGAAGTGAAGAAACGGGACGAAAAGGGTTTCTGGTGGTATTTTACTGAGTTTGGGTTCCCTGATTGGTCAGTTATGGAATAGGAGGGGAACTGGGAAAGATACATGGACCTTCTGGGGATGCCTCTAGTCCACTTTTCAGGCCTCACTTGTGCCTTATATATGGCAAGCTGAGTACTATGAGTATTCAGTCTACGCTCAGGGAAGGGAAGTATGTATGGGTTAAGGCTGGAATGTGGTAATAAACTGACCACTTAAACAAAGCAGCACATTCACTTTTGAATCGTTTATTCCAATTTCCCGTAGGTATACACTTTGTATGGGCCTTCTGTTCTCTGTACGCTTAGTCTCGTTTCCTCAGTGTCCGACTTACTGGTACTGTCCAGGACACTAAGGGTCCTTCAATATAGGTGGTTCCTATGAAAAACCATAATGTCCTCGGAGAGTTCAGTCCACCCAACAGCTCCAAATCCACTAAATAAACCACATTTATGAAACCCCACTGGATGGTCTTCTGACTGTTTGCTGGTGACACATGCAAGGGACTGCGCTGTGCGTAAGCGAAAACGGCCTTGCATTCTTGGTCCAAAGAAGGGTCTTCAAAAAGGAAGATAACTATATGGGCTTTGGTGGTGTTGTAGAGTGGTAAGGCATGTTGCCAGAGGAGGTACAGTAGATTAGACGTTATTATCATTAAATATACAAAGCAATCACCCTATTTGACAGGTTCTAGTAAGTCAATGGCCACCAGTTTAATGAGAAATAGAATGAACAAAAAAAGTGAAAGTGGCCTTGCAATTTCGGCGATGTAGTGATACATGAAAGTACCATGGCGGGGGGATGGAAGAAAAAATAAAACGATTATGAAGCTGGCACCAAAGTGGAATAATAAGTGTGTCGTCTCATGCCGTTTCGAAACGACTCGTCATCTCGTCTACTCGTTAGTCTTGCTCAGTGACTCGGGCTCGCTCTCGTCCACTTCCTCAATATGCTTTTCGTGCACGCTATCCTCCTCGTCAGACCCATTCTCGTCCAGCGGCTCGCCAGTAGGCATACCAAAAGATGCCAACAACGATTGTGCTGAAGAGGTGTCCAAGTATATGACGCCGTTCTCGTTGGTTATGACGTTACTGGACAACAATTTCTGCAAAGAAATGGCACCATTGTTGAGGCCGTCGCTGGCAGAAGTGGCAGGACCAGCAGGACCAGAGTTGGCATTCTCTTCGTCGTCGTTACTGTCAAGCTCATCTTCGTCAGCGTTCTTGCCGTTACGCATACCCATGTTCCCGAACATGGAGTGGCCAAACATAGAATCACGCGAAGCGCCGCCACGGGTGTCGTTGTTGGCTTGCTGGCCAATCTCGTAGAACTCGCCGAAAATCTCCTTGTACAAGTCGTTGTAAGGAGGAGAAATAGGACCGTACTCGTAGTTGGCAGCCTCGATAGCATCAGGGTTGGCCTTGACGGTTTCCTGCTGCTTCTCGATCTTAGCAATCACTCTATCGTACCATTGGTCCAAGTTCTCGTTGTTGGTGTGGTCCAACAAGGCGACAATAAGAATAGACATATTGTCACAGCCGATACCCAGGCCATCGGAGGTAGGAGCACAACAGAGCTCCATGATTTCCTCACAAATCTGCGTAAGTGGCTTTCTCTCGTAGAGACCTCTTCTAACACACTCAACACAGTTCTGAGAGCTTAGACAGTCCCAAATACCGTCACAGGCCAAAATGACAAACTCGTCCTTGGCAAAATCAATCTCGTGGTGGATCACGTCCGGGTAGCAAGTGACAATCTGCTCCTCGGCAGGCAAGTCGTCGTTCTTCTTGAACATAAAGTCACCAATACCTCTGGACAAGGCCAAGTTACCGTTGACACGGCCCACGTCCACGTAGCCGCCGGCAGCACAAATACGAGCCTTCTCGCCCTCATTGAACGGTTTATGGTCATACGAAAGCGCCTTGGCGTAACCGTTCAGCGACATCACCGTACGGGAGTCTCCAGCGTTGGCACAGTAGATATGGTGGGGCGTGACAATGGCAGACGTAGCAGCACACCCAGACTCGTCGTTTCTCGTCTCGTAGTCTTGCAAAATCGCCTGGTCACACAGCAAAAAGCCATCCTTCAACGCATTCACATAGTCCTTCTCCTTGAACGCCTCAGTCAGTGCCACCAACTCGTGCAAACGCAACCCGGTGAAAATTGCAGCCTTCTCGCCGCCGTGGCCATCGTAAACGCCAAAAAACGCCGTATGGTTCTCGTCGCCATTGCTTTCGTCACCTTCACGCTTCAAGTCCATGATCGTAGCATGGGCGTCTTCCATGTTGATTCTCCATCCTTGCATGCAACTCAACCCGTAGGCAACGTACTTGTCGCTGTCTTTTTCAGAGTGTTTCTCTGTTTCTGGCTGGGAAAGGATCTGGCCCATGGTGGTAATAATCTGAAGGGGGTTACTTGGTGGTGGGAAGTGTTGGTGGGAAGTGTTGGTGGGAAAGGGTGGGTGTTTTTTCTCAACGATGGGTTTTTTATCTTTTCGAGGTGCCTGACGATCGATGCTTTTGCTTTTCTTTTTTTTTTTCCCTCACTTTTCTCGCACTACTGGACCGAGCTTCCCAGGTGGCCTTCTACTAACATTACGGCTGTGAAGGAGGAAAAGAAAAAAAAGATACTGTTTTACGATTTGAATCCACTTAATCTTATGTTTCAACGGCTTTCGTGACATCTCTCCCTGTTTTGGGGAAAGGAGGGGTGGGTTTTCTGACTCGGTTGCAAATTCACGTGATCTGGGCGCCGCTGGGACGGTTCGGTTTCTGCTACCACACCGGTTGGTGGCTCACTTTTCCCTAACTCCCTGTGGCATCCTTCTTTGCAGCCATTCTTATCTCCACCAATCTACGCTCTACCTGTATTCAATGGAAGCTTTATTATCATTTCAATAAATAGAGATCAAGACGCCGTTGCTGCTGGGAACAGCTTGCCTTGAGGTACTCTGTTAGTTCATTAGGTGCATTAAAACATAAAACATCGCTCGTTTCGGAATCGCCGAAGCTTCTTCCTCGTCGTCATGTCATCTTTTTCTGTTTCTTGTATCTCATGGCGTATCTATAAGTTTCGTGAAGTAGTCTACTTCTTGGGGCCCCAGATCCCACTGCCACTGCTCTTGTTCTGCTCGTATCCGTTTCCTAAGGTCAAGCCGTTTAATTTGGACGACATACCGTCACCACCCAACGAGAACTCTTCGCTGTTGGCAGATGTTGGCTGCAACGAGCTGAAGCTGCCGTTAAGGTGGGCATGCTGTCCGAAAGGAGCGAACCGGTTGTTCAAATCAGCATTTCCCAATGGAGTGCCTGGCTGACTGATTTGAGCTCCTTGACCAAAGAAGTTCTGACCTTGCTGGCCCTGGTACACATGACCACCGTGGGTGGTAGTGTGCTGAGGAGTGGGCGAGTCAGATACGGACTGAGAAGGCATGGTGCCTGCTAATGGTGGTGTGTTTCTAACATCCACAAACAGCCTGTTGTTGGAAGATCTCAACAAGGCTGCTGCACTGCTGGAGTTGGGAGTGCTGAGCTGAGAAACCTGGTTCTGGTTGCCAGCAGAATTTCCGCCGTATCCGACAAACGACTGGTACTTGGAGTTAGCACCTTGAGATGCGGGCGGATTCTTGTGACCAGGCATTCCTCCTGATGGGTACTGTGAGTACTGCTGTTGGACAGGGGTAGAGCTCAGCTGTCTAAGTCTAGTCAATGGCAACGCCGATTGAGACTGAGATCTCAACAACTCGGGAGCGTGAGGGTTGGGGGTCTGCAAATTATTTGGGTAACCACTGAGTAAAGCGGGTAATTGGTTGATGTTCATCATCGAGTTAGAGTGCTGTGGGTGACCGCCGCCATTATTCTGACCCTGTTGTCCAGCCAGCTGAGGTGGCTGCTGCAGCTGTTGCAGTTGTTGAGACTGATGCTGCTGATGCTGCTGCTGATGCTGCTGCTGCTGCTGTGAATGGTGCTGAGGAGTAGTGGCGGCTGGTGCGGAACCCTGTTGTTGATGATGAAGATGTGGGTTAAATGTGGCGCTCTGTTGCTGGCGCTGCTGAATAGTTTGTTGACCAGGCTTTCTGCGGATAATAATCAAGCCGTTGTCGTAAAGCTCCAACAAGTTAAGGTAGGAGCACAAAAGAGAGAACACCTTACGGTGTTGCAATGAAATGTTAGCTGGGAAAGCCAACTCGAAAATGAGCTTGGAGTTGTCATCTCTGTAAGTGAGCAACTGGGAGTACAACTCAAGCACGTCAGGGTCGTTAAAGTTGACCTCTACTGGAGGAGGTGGCATGTTGGCGTTGCTCAGAGGGAAATGAGTCAATAAACGCTCTGTTTGAGAGTTGTACTGAGCACCGTTGACACTAAGGTTCTTGGTGGCAGCAGTAGTAGAGGCGGCACTTATAAGCGAGGCCAAAGAGGCGTTGGAGTTTGAACGGTGCTGTTCTTCCAACTGGCCCCTCTTCTCCCTCTTTTCTCTCTCGATTCTCTCTCTTTCCTGAGCAGGCAACATCTTTTTATACTCAACTCTCAACTTTCTGCCGCCAATCTCTCTACCATTCAACTGATTCACAACCATAGAGGTCTCATCAGTGGAAGTAAAGTTGGCAAAAGCCAAACCACGGAAAACACCGTTGTCAAAGTGGTAGTTGAACGCATAAGGCAAAGGCAAGTTGAGTTTCGTCATGACATCCAACAACTGCTCCTTTTTAATGGCAAAAGGGATATTCTTGATGACGATAGCAGTAGGAATCAACTCGTCATCGTCATCCTCCATGGTGGTAGAGGCGTTAGCGGAAGTGGTCACCATAGGTGCAATGCTAGGAGAGGCGTCAGGCCCAGACAACGGAGCCAGTTTCTGCAGCGAGCCCTTTTTCCCGTTATCCAACGAGTTCATGGTCAAGGCCTGCTGTTGTTTCTGTTGCTCGACCCAAGGGACCACGTTGCTCACCACCAGAGCAGGAGGAATGCCACCGGCGGCAGCCAAGTTCGTACTGGACGAGTTACTCAGCATTCCCGAGTACATGCGATTGCCCTGGTCGCCAGAAAGCTTTAGCAGAGACATCTGCGGTGTGTGGTTCTCCAGGTTGGAAGCCTGATGCATAGGGTTGGCGCCCCCAGCAACAACGTTCGACGAAGCCTGGCCGTTGGCCGCCGAGGCGCCGCCAGCGTAGCTCGACAGGGCATAGCCTGAAGTTGAAGATAAAGACGAAAGCGACGGTCTGCGTTGCATGACCGTGTCCAACTGATTAGGTGTGCTGGAAAGGTTTCTCAAGTCCATCAGTACCCGAAACAGAGGGGTTTTGATATTGGCGAATAATTCAGACCTTTAACGTAACCAAAGATGCTGAACTGATAAAAAAGGGTACCCGAAAGAAGTTGGAGCAGACACCCAGGTGGTATGAAGTGAAAGGAGGTGAAGGAGGAGGTGGGAGGAGTCGTGGATGGACTTTTTGGATGAAATGGAAATCGGCCTAAGTCGGTGAGGCAAAAAACCAGAATATAAAAAAACACTGGGGATCCTTCCTTTTTATATGAGAAATTGGTCAAGGCCTTTTTAGTAAGAAGAGGTACCAACAGGTGAGAGTGATTTGGGTTGAGAAAATTTATAAATGAAAGGTTTCTGGCAGGACAGGACGAAAAAAACGAGCCAGACAAAGTGCAGTAAAAGGCGAACAAACAGAAAAAAAAAAAAAAAAAAATAAAAGTGAGCAGAATGGATGAATGAAAGTGCATGGTTTTCCACGCCCTGTGCACGTGATGCAGTGGATGGAAGAGGGTGATGAAATAAGGGATGGAGGCGTTGGCAAGGGAAATGAAGTTGATGGGCGTGATCTAGGGGGTTGGTTTAGTGAGGTGTCCAAATTTGGCGGCTTTTGGCTGAGTTTTGGCCGAAAACGTGGGACCTTTAGCCAACGCACGGCTCTGGCTGGTGTGGTCAGTATGAAGAGTCAGAAGGTCCCAGTAAATCCACTAAATGCCCTTAAAAATCGCCAAAAAAGACATAGAATGTCTTTTTCTACTCATGAACTTTCCTTACTGGTGCCTTCCTTTTTTCTACCATCCACCCCCAGCGGAATGTCTTACTGTGTTTGTCCACTGGTCATTGTGTGATTTCGCAGCCAAACCACTCCCACCACTACACTTTGCAACAACCCACCAAACGACAAATAAACATAGTTTTTGTCCTTTTACGTTTTTTCTCTTTTTCTATTGCCCACCTTTATCCGTGGGAATCCGGTTTTGTGGTTTACTTCTCAGCGTTTTCCAAGCTTTTGTGGACTTGTGGAGCCCCAGCGAACGCTGAAACATGCACTGGGAGATAAACCGGTGCGCCGGTTGGACAGCCCAAGAGAAGGGAAATGCGGTAGTTAGGGCGTCTAAGATGGCCATTTTATACTTGAAAAAGGTCTTTTGGGTTATGGGCTTCCTTATTGGAAGGGTGCTACTGCTCGCTTAGAGAAGACAGCTTCCGTGCATAGTGCGGCAGATCCAGGACCAGACCGTGCTTTGAGGGAGTGGAAGGGTCAGAGATGGATGGGGATTGGGTGGGATTGGAATGGTAGTGGTGGATTTGGAATCAGGGGGTGGATTAGTGTGGATGGGTGTTTTTTTGGGAAATTTGGAGGTGTTTTAGGGTGTTTTGGTGGAGGTTTGGCGGAGGGTTGGTGGGAGTATATGGTAGGTGAGTTTGCAGCCAAACGAGGAAGAAGAGAGGGTGGACTGTAATGGGCAGAAGTGGACAAGAAATGAAAGAAAGTGGGTTAGGTGTTTTAATAGGGTATTTTATGCTATAAGAAACCTTTATTGGTTTTTAGGGGCTGTGTTGATGCTGATTGTTTGGTACTTACTGGCCTAGTATATGTATAAGTGTACATGCTCAATCCATTCATGGGACCCCAGTAGGACCAGATTCTACCAAAGAGCAAGAAATCTCTATAAACAGAGAAATTCGATAAATAATGAAATATTTAGTACTCTTAAACTTGGCTGAGTTCTGTCTTCCTCTTGTTTTTTGCACCCAGTGTTACGTCACTCTCGTACGGCTTTTGCCCCACAACTCCCCCATTTCTCCACCAAAATCACCCCCAAAATCACCAAATCCCGTCAGTCCCTATACCATTCAAATTTCTCCATTTCAAACTCTACGCCCTTTAAATTACCTCCTCCTGGGGGTCCAAATTCATCTGGTTTCTGAACTAGACCCAGTCTCACCTGCATACACGCGCCTGAGTTACACGCCAACGATTTATCTCAACACCGAAAATTCACCTTACCTTATACTTACTTAACTACACAAAATGGTATGTATCCACACATCTGGCCCTAAAACACCTTCCCATACTAACCGCTAGTCTTCTTCTGCTGTGGCCCCAGGTGGCTTGAGAAGTGCTGCTAAAAGAAAGAGCGCTGCCAGCAAAAAGGCCAAGGAGTCCAAGGAACAGCCTTTGTCCACCAGAGCTGCTGGTGCTGGCGGTTCTTCTGCTACCATGTTGAAGCTTTTCACTGATGAGGCCCAGGGCTTGAGAGTCGACCCATTGGTTGTTCTCTTTTTGGCTGTTGGTTTCATCTTTTCCGTCATCATCTTGCACGTCTTTGCCAAGGTCTCTGGCAAGTTCTTCTCCTCATCTGTATAATCAATGTGATGCTTTATTAAGGTTCTATTTACATGTCGTTGAGAATCGCTCTCATCACCGTGGCGGCCTGGTCGCTGTGCACGGTATGCTTGATTGTAGTGTTTGAGTCGAGGTTTCCGGTGATTTCCCACTCAAACGACTTGCGGGCGAATAGCTCGCTTGTGGCACTCAGAGCCAGTCTGATTCCACGTTCTTCAATCTCTATAAGTGGCCACTTCTTGCCCACAACGGCGACAAGTGGTATACCCATCATCAGGGAGTCTTTGATCTTGCCGCCTAAACCTATCTTGGCGCGAGAGTCAAGACGCCAGTCACACCCTTTGAATGTTTTAGAGAGAGACTCGTTGTTTTCTCCTTTTAAGTTGAAAACTGTCACTTCCCAGGGAGCAATGGCTGCTGGCCAGCGTAAGCCACGGTCGTCACGGTTGATTTCAGCGACAGCTGCGATGATTCTAGAAATACCAATACCGTAGCACCCCATAAGAACGTCCTGTTTTTTCATGGTACCATTATCTGGAACGTCAACTGTGCATCCCAAAGCGTTGGAGTATTTGTTACCTAAGTAGAAGGTGTGGCCCACCTCAATGGCTTTCTGTGATGTCAAGGTACCCTCCTCGCATTTATGGCACAATTCTCCTTCATCAGCCATCACAATTGGAATGTCTGTAAGTGTGGTAATCAAAGAACGGTTAATGAAGTTGATTGGAAAGTCAGGGAAGTTCAGACGCGAGTTGAGTCTGGAGTCCATAATACGGACGATCTTCTTACTGATCAACGTATCTTCGTCTTTAAAAAGGTCCAAGATCTGCTCTTCGCTAAGACGGCCAGACAAATCAATATCTGGAATTTCTTCTGTAAGGAACAGCGGTTGAAGTACACGAGAGCCAGGATAATAAGCGCAAACAAGCGTTTTTTCATCCACCGTAGTGAAATACCTCACCCTAACATCATCGTGCTGCTGTTCTTCAAGAGGATACGAGAGCGTACGTTCAATGTTCGACGTATTGCCACATTCAGAGCACGTAAACAACGTATCTTCACCTGAAGGGTGGACATAGTGCCATTCGTGAGAAAGAGACCCTCCAATATCGCCAGAATCAGCTTCAGCCTTGACAAACGGAACCCTAAGTCTATTGAAAATCGTAGCGTACGCATTAATCATCCCATCATACGATTTCAACGCATCTTCCTCGGTCAAGTCAAACGAATACGCATCCTTCATGACAAACTCTCTTCCTCTAAGAAGCCCAGCACGAGGCCGTTTCTCGTCTCTAAACTTGGTATTAATCTGGTAATACGTCACCGGCAAATCCTTATACGACCTCAATCCCGTCTTCACCAAATGCGTAATCTCTTCTTCACAAGTAGGCACTAAACAGTAATGAGCACCAGCTGAATCCTTCAACTTGAAGAGCTCATGGCCACCCCATCTTCCTGTTTGTTCCCATAAAGCAGCATGTGACAAAGCTGACATGGACAATTCTTCAGCGCCATTTTTATCGATTTCATCTCTTATCAATGCTTCAAGCTTTTGTCTGACTCTGATACCAGCAGGTAGCCAGTGGACTAGGCCTGGCTTGGGGTACATCACGAAGCCAAGCTTGGACAACACGTCATGGGTCGGAGTCAGAGCTAGGATATCTGGTTTTAGCAAATCATAAGGGACGTTATATAGCCTCGGCACGCTCCTACAGAGCTGTCGAAGGCATGTGGATGGGAACATTTGGTGGAGTGTTGATACTTGGAAAGTGGGTACTTTCGCACGATGAGTATGTACTATTGCGATCTACAATCCATCCCATCGCACACGACAAGATATCTACAGATAAGACATTTCTACCATTGATGAACATTGTTACTAATTAAAGCGCCCGGCATGTTGAGGGGAAGTCGGGACGTTTATTTGTTGTTGCCACGGATGGCTCTGTCGGCTTGGTCAACCAAGTCACCACCGTACTTGCTCAAGTTGGTGAAGGCGTTCTGGAGGTCCTCCTTGGCCTTGGTCAAGTAGCGGTCGTCAGGGTTCACCTCCTGAGCCTTGTTGTTGCCGTTACCGAGGACACTGGCGGTCTTCTCGCTGGCCTGCTTAGTCAAGTCCTCGACTTGCTTCTTAGCACGGTAGTATTCGTCCAAAGCTCTCTGCTTGCCGGCTTCGAGACTGTCAGACAATTCCTTGCTCTGCTGGTTCCAGGTCAGGTTGGCATCCTTTTTAGCGTTCTCAGCGTCCTTGGCCAACTGGTCCTTCTTGTCAGAACCCCAGTTCAACCAAGAGTCCTTCTTCTGCTCGGCATCCTTCTTAGCCTGCTGAGCCTTGTCGTCGAGCTCCTCCTTCTTGTCTTGGCCCCAGTTCAACCAGCCATCTTTCTTGTTCTCAGCGTCCTTCTTAGCTTGTTGAGCCTTTTTGTCAAGTTCCTCCTTCTTGTCTTGGCCCCAGTTCAACCAGCCATCTTTCTCCTTCTCAGCATCCTTCTTAGCTTGTTGAGCCTTCTTGTCGAGCTCATCCTTCTTGTCCTGGCCCCAGTTCAACCAGCCATCTTTCTCCTTCTGGAGATCTTTTTTGGCATCCTGAGCCTTCAGGTCAAGCTCATCCTTCTTGTCCTGGCCCCAGTTGAACCAAGAGTCCTTCTTCTGCTCGGCGTCTCTCTTGGCTTGTTCGGCCTTGTCGTCAAGCTTGTCCTTCTTGCCAGAGAACCAGTCACCCCAAGATTGCTGAGATCTCTCCAATTCGGCTCTGATCTCTCTCTGTCTACGAGGGTTTGAGGAAGCCAATTCCTTCAACTTCTCTTCGTCGGTCTGGCCCAAGCCATTGACAAACTCAATGTACTTTGCAGCCAAACGGTGACCGGCAGGCTTGTTCTCAATCTCCTCAGCAGCAAGCTTAACATCGTCACCGTAAGAGTCCAACTTCTTAGACCACTTCTTGTAAAGATCCGAGTCCTTGACGTTCTCAAGAGTGGAGTCAGTCTTGCTACGGATCTCTTCAGTGGACTTGTTGGCAGTGGTCTTCAATTGAGAGCCAAAGTCACGGGCCTTGTTGTCTAGCTTACGAAGCTCCTTGGTGGTTTCGTCAGAAGGCTGGGCCTGCTGCTTGGCGTTGGCAACCTGGTGCTGCAACTTCTCGTCGTTGGAGAAAATAGGGTGGATGTTCTGGTCGTAGTACCAGACACCGCCTCCGACAACAACTAAACCAGCGAGTAATTTCTTGGACATGATCAAACGATTATAACAGTATGGAAAGACGAGATGCGGTGGAGTTTAATAAAACAGCGTCTTGTTTCCTTATAGATTCCCAGCCCGAACCCGGGATTCGGATCCCTATTTATACTCAGGCATAGAATCACTGGAGGGCACGGCTTTTTTTGCCTGAGGGGCCATATGGTTGCTAAATAGCCATTATAGTGTTGCGCATAGCAAGTTGGCCCCTTTCTTGTTTTGCGAGCTGGCGAGCGAGAAATTCCAAATTTTGATATGTCCATACTAAAGAGCTCCCCCAATTGAGCTACCCTTGTCTTTTTCCTTTTCCTTTTTATTTCTCCTTGTTCTAAAACACCATGCCCTGGTTGACTTCTCCATAGTTGCTTTGCGTGCATTGAGTGCCTGGTGCGCAGGTGAGGCGCATATGGATGTGGCTAGTTTTGCAGCCAGATTGCGACCGGTGAGAACGAAGAAAGGGTTGGTGTATATGGCCAAGAAGAGGGAAATGGGGCTTTCTGATTGGCCAATTAGACTTCTGGGGGTGGACTTGGTGGGATGGAAGGTTTAGCTGAGTGAAATAGGCAAGATTTCCGTCGTTTACTGACCCTTCAGTGCCAGCCGCAAGCTCTGGGTAAGCGAAAAACCATGGTCTCGCGAAAAATGCCGGTTCCTAGAGTGTATGACTTGTGACGGGTATATTGCTGGTACTCAGTTGTTGACGTACATTCTCTGTGTGTGAAGGTATGCTGCCTAATTATAGAAGGGGAGTTTGGAAGGTTAGTTGGAAGAAAGAGAGCGTTTGGAATGAAGAGGAGGTAGTGGGAGCAGAGGTGGAAGTAGAAGCATAGAGTATTGGCTGGAGAGAAAGCCTTTCTTTAATGACGGTAAAGGACGCTTTTTTTTTTTTTTCTGCCTTCTTTATTTCACATTCATTGCTGGTGTGGCCAGGGTAAGACAAAAGGCGGTGGGGGCTGCGTTGGCGGCTAAAACATGATCTGACTTTTCTTCGATGCCTTCTCGTAAGCGTAAGCGAATAGGAGGTTCTTTCTTTTTTTGAAGGTGGGTTCTTCTGTTGATAATTCGGTTGGGGAAATTGAAGTTGGGTTTTGTGGGCGTTTGGTTGGACGTAGGTAAAAGTGGTTGTAATGATGTTAAGGCGGTACGTTGCATGTACTGTGTTGGACAGAAGGAACTTAGAGGAGCTGTTGGGCATTTACTTGGAATTGGATTTTTCTAAGGTCGAAAGAAGCAGTGGTTTCTTGTGTTGTTGGTGGATTCACTGAGATCTATTGACGAGGCAGACACAGCAATGGAAGAACAATAGTAGATATACGTCCGATGAAGCGGTCAAACTCTGGTCTAATTTCACTCTATGAATACTCTCTATGGCAATGTTACACCTCCAGGTGAAACTTCACACCTACGGTTATCAGAACCTTAACTATTGTTCAATACCTGTGAAACCCTCCACTCATAGCAATGTACCATCACACCGCCAGCCATGCCAATACAGAAAACACCCCATATTCATATAAACCCAGGAGAACCTTCAAATCATCAAGATCACTCGCCATCATAATAAACTTCTACGCCTTTTTCTCCACCGTCTTCACCTTTTTGTGTTACCATAAACCGTTTTTTTGCAACCACCCAAGCCTACCAAAATACCAGATCCCAGATCCAGCCAGTCCCCAGTGCCTCAGTGCCCCAGCCATTTCCACTTTCCACAAAAATTCCCCAAATTCACCATACCTTTCCACACCTTCTTGGCTTGCTCTGGCTCTTTTTTCCACCTGAAATTCCCTCTCTTCACTTGCCTTACTGGAAATCTAGAAACCACAGGCTCTGTGGGTGCAAAAAAAGAAAGAGGTAGTCAGTGCGTGAAATATTCGCAACCACATGACGTCAGCTATAGACAAAAGGGCAGCCAAAGGTGATTAGAACTGTAGAATTGGATGAATCGAAGTCGTTATAGACAAATTGGGGGCCCCAATTTGCCCACAACTCCTTCGCTTCACCGTCTTTCACCCTCCAAACCCTAAACCACTAGGTCGTGCACTGCCCAAACTGTCCCCCTCTGAAATAGGAGGCCTAGGCGAGCATGGCAATGGCGGTCATTCACTGAAAAACGGGCCCGTCACGAAAGATAGCGATAGCGCGTAAAAAAGTAACAAACCTAGAAATGGGCCTTCCCAGTCCCTGGCTGCAAAACAGGAAATACCAGTAGCTTCAAAGAAATATTCATAAAAAATTCGAAATCCAAAAACCTTTCCCCGTTAATCCCCTACCTCTCCCAAACTCTATTCTACCTCTGGACATTGCCTGGTGGGACCATTGGGCGACCTTTTCTCACGTGGGTGCGAGACCGTCATTGCCTACTGTCAGTAGTGATCACTGATACTGCAAGCTGCCTACTGCTGTGGTTGTGAAAATTCTCCACTGCTGGCAGACACAGCTATACTCCAGCGGGCGGACAAGCTAGATATATTATACTTCTTTATTCATTTTTTGCTCATCCACCGCCTTCTGGCATGGCCTCCTTGTGTGAATCTTCCCACTCGTTACCGCCTCCCGTTGATCTCACCTACGGCCCTCCGCTTGACCATATCCACTTGTATCACTTGTGGAAAACAGCTTCCCATACTGGCAGACTGGGCAAGACTGGCATATCTCCTCGTGCTGAAAACCGCCTGTGGCGTTTATTGAACGAAAAGCTTCTTTGCCAGCGCCACAGACTGGCTTCTTCTTCGATGGCACTCCAAGAAGTGCCTTTACCGCCCAAGGCAGACAAACTGTCCCAAACACGAGCTGCCGAGGCTTCCAACCAACACCTAGACGCTTCTGAAGGTCTACCCTCGAGCCGCCCTTCGCTTTTCCTGAAGGATCTGAAACCATACGCCCTGGACTCTGGCGATGAGACCTCTGACCTTTCTGAGGACGATGATGATGATGATGATGACCACGACTGGAAGTCTTATAACGGCAACTTGAGCCCGCTGCATATCCCTCCAGAGACTAGTCGACGGCAACGTCTCCCCCAGCCCTCGGCAGGACCCTGTTGTTCTCGGTACTTGGAACTGACCCTGTCACAACTGGACCAACTGGCGACCCGCTCGCTTTCTCCACCCAAAGTCACTCCTCCTGATCCAAAGAAGAATATCTTTTTTATTGAAAATACCCCTTCTCCTTCGGCTCGTTCGTCTAACGATAGCAGAAACTCGGCTACTTTTCAGTCCGGTGGTACCGGGCACACCTCCGCTACAACCCATGAAATTTCTAATTCCCTTCAGGCAACTACATCTTCGCCTACGAAAGAGACTTCATCTGCTGACGAAGCCAAGGCGGAGCTCGCTCCACCGCTTAACGCTCTTCACGCTCCTTTCAAACGTCAGGATTCTCTCTTTAGCGCTCAACATCTACGCAGAGCTACTCCTGACGATGTGTCGAGTGTTTCATCATCTGAGCTTTCTGAGGACGAAGAGAGAGACGACCTTCATGAACTTCGGATTCGTCAGCCTTCTACTGTGTCGAAGCTGAGCAGAAGCATGAAATCAGATAACGAGAGTGAATGGGTGTCCATATCATCTGAAGACGAGAAGAACGGCCAGGGCTCGCCTTCCAAACCACTTACCTTTGCCAAGGTCATTCCTGTTCCTGTTCCCCTTCCTAAAGCTTCGACTACTGACGCTGCTGATTTATCAACTGAGACTGTCAAACCTTCGCCCCTCACAAAACCCAGATCGCTTCTATCGGGTCTCTTCCTTAATTCCATGGGCGAGCAGAAGGGTGGCTCTCCTACCGGCAACGATCATCTGCTTATGGCTGCTCCAAAACCTGTCTTGAAGAGGTCGTCTACAACAGGTGTCATAACTATTGATAAAGGGAACAACAATAATGCCCCTAGCACGAAGGATAAAAAGCAGCTTCTCCGGCCATCTATCATGTTTTCTAAAAGGTATGCTTCCTTTTCAGACATCTCCAAACTGTCACAGCGGTCACCGGTTCTTTTCGTAGAAGAAGAAGAATCGGCCGGGGACTCGAATGCTAAAGATGATTCGGGGCATCTCTTCGCCAAACAAACATCAAGCGTTGGCCTTCTGAACTTTATGGTTAACGCTAACTCTACCACCAACCTCAACAGCATTACGATAGGCGAGGATTCCATGAACAAGGGATCTTGTGAAAATTGTGAGAACGCCATCTCTTCCAGTTTGAGCAAATACTCCAATGTTCCACAGGGAGGAAGCTCGCTTAAGAACTTTCTTTCCAAGAGTTCCCTCAGTCTTACATCGCTCTTTGGCCAGGGTAAGACTGATCGCAAGTCGAGACCTAATGGTCAACGTACCTTTTCCAACGAAAGTTTGAAAGCGTCCAAGGATTCAGTCAGCGACAAGTCTGCTGTTTCTGGAGCTTCAGCACCGTTGGTCGAGGACTCGACCGAGAACCAGGAATCTTCAGCCATGTCTAGTTCTGTTGGGAACCACAGCAGGTCTGTCAAGACGTCGTCCATACCGGCAAAGGGTTTTGAGCCGTCTGTCGAAGTGAGTGGCTCGCTTAAAGACTCGTTACTCATAGACCACAGATTGGGAAAAGTGCCACTCCCAGAACGAGTAATCAGCGACGACGACTTATTTGGTGGCCAAGAAAGATTGGTGTTGGACGAAGATAATGATGACTATCACTCCAAAGGATGGTAAATAGATGCAACAAAAAAAAAATAATGTAAAAAAAAAAAGTTAATAATACACTTATCTACCTGTAAGTATATGGTTGCAAAAAGGCTTCGCGAAGTACTGATAAAAACTACAGGCTCATCTCTCCACCAGTCCAGATCATGAAGACATGCTACTATGAACTTCTACAAGTGGAGTCCACAGCTACAGAAACAGAGCTAAAGAAAGCATACAGAAAAAAAGCCCTCCAATTACATCCCGATAAGAACCCCCATGACGTGGAAGGCGCCAATGCCAGGTTCGCTCTAGTAAGAGCAGCCTACGAGGTTCTCTCAGATCCCCAAGAAAGAGCATGGTACGACAGTCACAAGTCCCAGATTCTTCGTGAAGATGAAGACTACGAGGAGGACGGTTTCGTGCCCGAGATGGTCATTCCTAGCATATCTGTGGAAGAGCTTCTACGATACTTCAACCCATCGTTCTACCAGAGAGAAGACGACTCGCTAGCTGGGTTCTATAGTGTGGCTTCGAGAGTGTTTGAGAGATTGGCTTCGGAAGAGGTGGCTCATGGTAAGTACCAGCAGCTTTCTAGTCATCAGAAGTATATGGATGATTCACCTAATGTCGCTGCGTTGGATGAGTCTGTGCTTATGTTCCCTAGGTTTGGCAATTCCCATGCTGACTATAGTTCGTCGGTTAGGCAGTTTTATGCTACGTGGAACGGGTTCCTGACAGTTAAGTCTTTCTCGTGGATGGACCAGTATAGGTACCTGGCGGCGCCAGACCGTAAAACTAGACGTCTTATGGAGAAGGAGAACAAGAAGGCTCGTGATAACGCCAGAAAGGATTATAATGAAACTGTCAGGCGGTTTGTTACGTTTGTGAAGAAGAGAGATCCAAGAGTGAAGAAGGGCGTTGAACGGTACGAGGCTAGTAAGAAGAAACAAGAGCGTGAAACCTTGGAGAAGCAGGCTAAACAGCAAAGGATCCAGCAGCTTGCAGAAATGAATGACTTTGAGGTTCAGGATTGGCAAAAATTTAGTAATGAGGAGTTAGACGAGCTTGAGGCTTTGTTGAAGGAGGAGTATGAATTAGGCAGCGATTCGTCTACCGATAGTGAGTATGACGAATTTGCCGATACAAACGAAAACTTCTTCGAGTGTGTGGCCTGTAACAAGGTGTTCAAGTCTCAGAACCAAATGGATGCACATGAAAGATCCAAAAAGCATAAACAAGCCGTGCAAGAGCTCCGTGAGGAGTTGCTACGGGAAGGCGCCGAGTTTGGCTTCGATAATGGCGAAGAGGTTCTGTCGTTTAACGATGATATTGAAGAGCCTGAAGTTGAGCCTGAAGTTGAAGAAAAGGTGGAAAGCCAGCCAGTTGATATAATAGATGAGGAACCAGTCGTCCAAAGTGAAAATCTTGATGATTTACAAGTGGATGACGATATCAACAGTGATGAAGAAAGCGATGAAAGCATAGAGGCTGTTAAACCTCAAAGTAAAAAGAAATCACGTCGTTCGGCTAAAACACAGCAGAATCTCGATGATGAACTTGCACAACTTGCAAATGGCATGACTCTAGACGACGAAGACGACGATTGGGGTTCAGGAAAGAAGAAAAGCAAGAAAAAGAAGAAGAAGGCTGAAACTCTGGCTCTGAATACCGCATCTCCAGCACCAGTCGACGAGAACATCGAAGTTCCTTCAAAGAATAATTCAGAAGTATGTGTTGCTTGTGATGAAACCTTTCCTTCGAGAAACAAGTTATTCCAGCATGTCAAGAATACGGGCCACGCGGCGCCTGTTAACAAAGTAAAGAAAAAGAAAGGCAAAGGCAAGAAATGATTTTCCGGTCATGGAGTCGTTAATTCTATGTCTATATTTATATAATAATGCATCAACCACCATCGGTTACTTCAAACCTGTCTTGGACTTCTTCACAGTAGCCATAAGAGGAACACTGATACCCTTGTTACCGTGTGCACCAAGTCCTTCACCTCTGACCCATCCTAACTTCTCAAGCAATTGTCTACCAATATTATTCTGGGCAATCTCTGGAGCTTCACCACCAACAACATCACCTTCCTTGACATATGCTCTATTCTTGGGTCCACGTCTGCCGCTTGCTTTCTCGTCGGTCTCTTCGATTTCTTCTCTAGTCCGCTTCTTAACATCAGATCTCTTGAAGATAGGACGCTGCTTCATGACGTAGTTTATCAGGTTGTAGTCCGGAAGATAGTGGAAAGTCTTCCGAGCCTTGCTAATCTTCATGAAGATGTGGCGGCCATTGCCACACCTTGTGCACTTCATGTTGTAGTGTTTAGCAAGTTTGCTTATTGTCTTGTTTCCATGAGGATCCAATGGAGGGAAACTGACATTCTCTCTGTCAGCATCCTGTAAGAAATCCTCCAACTCTCCTTTAATGTCTTTGATGTGTAAGGAATAGTCATACTTGACAAAGAGGTCCTTCTTGTCAAGGCCTTCCATCTTGAGTCTCTCCTTCTTTCGAAGCTTCTTGTCTCGCCTCGATTTCTTTTGGTACTGGAATTGTTCAAGGAGGGATTCACGAAGCTCAGCATCGACGGCTTCCTCGAATTCAAGCCTAAGTTTCTTCGTACGTCCCTTAGCTCTGAGTGTCTTTGTAGGTGGAACATCAAGGTCAGCGAAGCTCTTCTGTTGGTTTTGAGTGAAGGCTAAGATATCCTCAAGGCCATCATCATCGCCTTCAAGGCCATCCTGATCGGAAACATGCACGTCATCAATGTCATCTTCGTCGCTGAAGTAAATGTCGTAGTTATCGTTGTCACTCTGGCTGTCGTAGTCATCGTGAGCATCGCCGTTTGCTCCCATGATTTGAGCCAAGTAGTCATCAAAGGCTCCGTCCTCGTCAGAATCGGAGAACTCCTCGTAATAATCACTATCGAGATCCTTGAAGCCAGTACCCTTTCTAGGAGCTCTTCCACTTGGCATTTCTGCCACCACTGAACCATCATCGTCGATCTCAGTGCGTATAAGGACCTTTCCAACAGATAGATAAGGATCGTGCTCCAAAGATGCAACAGGATCAGCTAATTCAGCGGTAGCAAATGAGTCATCGTCATACAGAGTCTGTCTACGGCGAGCTTCGTGAATAACCTCACTGGTAGATGCTTTTGGTGCTCCGTAGATGGCAGAAATGGTCTCATCGCCCTTATCATCAATCATGAAGGCAGGTTCATCGTCGTTATACTCTGGCTCTGTTTCTTGTTCAACAGACGTATCCAGATCTTCTTCTGGCGTGTATGCCATCTGTACGTCAATAGTAGATTGTTCTTGGTCATCGTCAGACGAACGGATCTCCTTCTCGGCTTCCGTTTCACCATCGCTCTCCTTAGCACTCTCAGACGACTCTTCCTTCGGAGTCTCGTCGCCAGGACCAGATAACTCACCGCTACTAGATACTTCTTCATTGGCAGCGTCACTATCCAGCTCTCCCTCGGGAGATACCAGCTCGTCATCATTCATGCGAAGCAGCTGGAGTTCTTCGGTGATCTCGATGGGCTCCTTCTTCAAAAGCTTATCCACAGTCAACTTGCTTGGATCGTAAACCTCCACCGACTTCACAAACACTAGCGGTTTATTTCGAAGCGGTTCCTTCATGGTATGTCCCAGGTGGCGATCCGTATACCTCGCCTCCTCCACCATAGATCTATTTGGTCTTCTGGAAAGCGCCTTCATCGACAGAGGAGCTGGCGAAGAGTCAATATCCACCGCAGGCATATATTGGCCCGAACCAAGATCCATGAATTCCGGATCGTCGTATCCATTGGAACCACCCGGGTTAAACCTGCCTTTCCCCTTCCGTCTAGCAGACTTGCTTAAGTAGAAACGACCATAGTTGGAGCCTCCTCCACGAGAACCCCCACGGCCGCCGTGTCCTCCACGAGAGCTGCCCCCACGAGCGCCTCCACGAGAAGAGCCCCTTGAGTTTCCCTTTTTGCGTGGCATATATGGTGTTGATGGAAATACAATAGGAAAAAAAAAAAAGTGGTGGGTCTGTCTAATCGGACTAAGAGGCAAAAGCGGCTTCTACGCTGCTACCGATATGTAGTCTGCGCGCACAGCAATTACTTTGCAGCCACAAGGCCCATGAGGCTAGTGAGGAAGGGGCAGAGGGTATTGGGTGATAAGGGAGAAGGAGACGAAGGGAGGGAAGGGAGAGAAGCGGATTGTAGGCATATTCAAGGTAATATGGAGGGTTTCTGGTTTTCTTTTTTCATAGGTTGGTGCTGGGTGATGAGTTGGTAATGTGTGGTGGGTGCAAATGGCCGGACAGTGTGAGTGTTCATGGTGAGGTGACACAGGTGTGTGGTGTTTAAGGTGAGGACGTAGCTGGTTGGGATCTTCTATAAAATACCATAAGGTGACGTTTTAAGGGGATTTGGAAAGGATTTAATGACGTTTATGGTTTAGTTTTGGGGGTTTGGTGGTGTTGGATGGACTGGTGGGAGACTGTAAGAATGGCTGCGAAAAGGTAACAAGAGGTGGTGAAGAGAGGAGGGTGGGAAGGAGCGAAGGGGAAAGGGTAGAAGCTGGAGCAGTTCTTGGTATATTAAGGAAGGACTGGTTTGCTGGTATTTAGTGGTTGGAAATAGAAGTAAAAGAGTTGGAGTATTGGTCAGCTCGGTGGGTCTCTATGGCTGGGAGCCACATGTGGAGGGCACTAGAAGAGCCAGTAAGAAGGAGAGAAGAAGGGAAGAGGCGTATTTACAGAATACAGAAGGTGATATAAAATGGTTAGAACGGTTGCTTTTTCTTGTTAATGCATCTTCAAATCTATGGTGTATTTTTGGTGGACTTGGGTGGACATCTCCTGGTGCTTCTAGACCACATCGACCCAGGCCATACATGTATAATTCAAATGGTAAGATAAGGCCTGGGTTGGGAAATATTGGTCAACACCCTTATATTCGACTAGATAGTTACTTTCTGGTGAATTCTTATCCACAAACAAATAAAAGGCTTCTCATGTTTAGCAGTACCAGAGCACCATCTACTCTATAAGCATTGAGCCTTCCTAGACTGACCTCCATTCCTAATGCTCCTCTTAAATCCCCTAAAATCTGCCCATTTCCAATAAACTTCAGAATCTCCCCCACCTAGACCACTCCCCATATATCCAATAAAACCAGATACAACCTACCCGTACTCTTCTTCCCTTCCACTATGTGGCTTCCAGTATACCCATGTATGGCTAATGGCTGCGAAAAGCCAGACCAACAACCAGTCCACCCAAAAAGGGAACCCCAAAAAGACCAAAACGAGGAAAATCAAAGAAAACGAAAACCACCATAAACAACCTCATCCATTGCATCCCCATATGAATACTTTAGAAGACCACAACCTTTTCCAATACTTAGGATGTACTCTTACTTGTATCCTCTGATAACGATAAGCTATGGCATGTGGGTCCGTGCACTCCCGCATCCAGCGCTCCACCATCACCATTCTCTACCTAACCACTACTACTACACCTTTTTCTTGTTATTTACATCGTTCTTTGTTGCCTGATGTCGCTGGAGCCTCTGAAAGAAGAGCATAAAGCTTCATTGGCTGAACCTGTGCCTTCGGCTGCGTCTGACCTGAAAGTTCCCCTCGAAACGTCGCCTCCACACCTGAACCTCCAGGGTCCACAAGAAATCGTGGATTCTGGGACTAAGCTGGCTGCTGAACAACCTAATCTGTTTCAAAATGCGCTTGCTCAGTTCTGGCAAAGACTAAGGTCGCCGGACGCGCCAGAGACTGATCCAGAGTCTTTACAGCCGGTTGTTATCATGGGAACTTCGTATAAGGGTACATTGACCCTGGCGGGTATCGAGGAAGCCATTCGGAGACGCCTTTGGTTTACTTATAGAACGGGTTTCGAGCCTATTCCAAGAGCCCTCGACGGGCCGAGCCCGCTTTCGTTTATCGGGTCGATGATAGTCCACGGAGTGAACCCTCATGGGGCTTTGGCAGGGTTCCTTGATAATACTAGTTTCACGTCTGACGTGGGCTGGGGATGTATGATAAGAACGGCTCAGTGCTTGTTGGCCAATACTCTTCAAACCGTGATTGCAAGGAAAGCCATTCAAGACGGAAATACCCCAGATTGGCTGTCAATAAACACCCAGGTGGTTTCTCTATTCAGAGATAACTACAATAGCCCTTTTTCTTTGCACAATTTTGTTGGCGTGGCATCACATCTGCCTTTGAAGGTGAAACCCGGTCAATGGTTTGGCCCGAGCGCTGCCTCCTTATCTATCAAACGTCTTTGCTCCAAGGCTAATGAAGACGCAGACTTTCCGAAGTTAAACGTAATGATTTGTGAAAGCTGCGATCTACACGGTGATGAAGTCAAGCTGCTACTAGAGAAAACCTCCCGTCCGCTACTACTTTTGTTCCCAATACGACTTGGTATTGAAACGATCAACGCCATCTATTACCCCAGCTTGTTCCAGCTTTTATCGCTTCCTCATTCTATGGGTATATCAGGTGGAAAACCATCATCCAGCTATTACTTCTTCGGTCATCAGGGCGACCTGCTTCTTTACTTGGACCCCCACACTTCGCAACAGATCGATGAAACGAATGGGTCATATAGGCCTCTTTCGTGCAACACAGTTCCTATCTCGGGTCTAGATCCTTCCATGGTTGTTGGTCTTCTAGTGGAGTCGTACGCCGACTACGAAGCCCTTAAATCAGAGCTCAAGGGTAAGAACAAGATTGTCCATTTCCATGACCGTGCACCTACAAGAAGATCTGTCTCGGTATCCAATCAAGACAAAAACGCGAAATCAGCGGAGCCAGATGGCAATGGAGCTTCAGATATTGGTGATTTTGTTGACATTGGCGATGATTTTGCTGGTTCAGAGGTTGAAGAAGAGATTCAAGAGGATCCCAATTCGTCGGTGACGGCAAAATACGACATCGTGGAAGGTCCAGCGCCCGTGACTGTCCTTGAGGACGAGAAATGAAGAAAGATCTATGCCACTGGAATATACTCGGCAGGCTCCAAGATAATTCCCACATTCTATCTTTTGTCTCTAGGGGCAAGAAGTAGTCGGTCCCTGCAACCCTACGCTTAGTAGTGCATGCACCGCATATAGCTCGAGATGTTTCCTACTACCATCTCCATCAACAAGACCAATTGGTCAACCATTCCACGTATTTAGAAAAAAAGCATTAACTGTATTATCCACTCATTATGGCCGTTGACACTTTCAGGATTTGCACAGTCTGTGCGTCCAACAATAATAGATCTATGGAATCACATAAGCAGCTTCGAGACGCAGGGTTCGAAGTCAGCTCTTTCGGCACAGGCTCTTCAGTGAAGCTCCCGGGCCCTTCGATAGATAGACCTAACATTTACGAGTTCGGAACGCCGTATGAGAAAATCTACCAAGACTTAATATCCCAAGACTACAGAAAGATGTATGAGGCCAACGGCTTGATATCCATGTTAGACAGAAACAGACAGGTGAAGAAAGCGCCTGAAAAATGGCATGCAAACGCAGCATCGGGTAAGTTTGACCTTGTCATTACCTGTGAAGAGAGATGTTTTGACTCTGTGTTGGAAGATCTCATGATGAGAATGAACAATAAGCCTGAGGAGGCCGAAGAGAAGGACGTCAGGCTGGTGGTCCACGTCATCAATGTCGATATCAAGGATGATAACGAAAACGCCAAGATTGGTGGAAAAGGCATAGTCAAGTTGGTTAGAATGATAAACGAATACAGAGAGAAGGAGAAGGAACGCAAGATCAGCGAAGGCGACGAAGACCAATACCCAGTCATCATGGAAGACGAAATCATGAAGATCCTAGCGCAATGGCAGCTCGATCATGTCCATTTGCCCACGCTATACAGTGTATCATACTACTAAATACCATAATACTCACGAACCACCGATAAGAGAAGTCCAGGAAGTTGTCAAACGTAGAGTACAAACTTCACCAGTAGTTTAATATATAAATGCAATTTGAAGCACTTTTTTGAAAAATAGGAATTTTACGGACCATCTGAATCACTTCTCATACTCTGTCCATGCCATTTGCAACTTCACCAGTCTAAAGCGCGCGATGAGAATAACTCCAACTAAGTATCATAAACTTCAACCTTCACTTTACCCATAAATGCCTCCCAAACCGCCGCCAAACTCTCGAAAGGCGAAGCTCTACAACAGTAGAACTATACGGTCCGAGACGGTCGATCCAAGCTTCAATGACGGCGTCTTGACCATTCCCCAGTTCCTCTCTTCCAGAGAGTACGAAATCAAAGCATTCGAGCATAGTCAATTAAATACCAAGTATGCTTCTTCAAATAGGGTTTTCCAGAGTCTTCCAAGAACGCTTCGGCGGAGAACAGCATCACATAATGTCAAGAGAGTTCCAAAGAGAATGAGGAAGAAAGCATTGAGAGAGATGCAGAGCACCGTGAACGGTGTACCACCAAAGAAGAAGCAACCCAGAGGAAGGGAGCGTTATAGATTGAAGCAAAGGAAGAAGCTTCTTATTTTGGCATCGAAGATTAAGAAGCTTAAGGGTGCTGCTGCGGTCAATGCTGGTAAATCTATACCAGCTAGACTTAAAGAACTCAATGTTCAATTATCTGATTTGCAAAAACGTAAATTGAAACCGTTGAATAACGTTGTTGGGGCATTTGACCAATCCTTAGAGGGAAAATTGGCGCCAAAACCACAGGGTAACGTCAAGTATGGCAAACGCCAGACAACTTATACATGGCAGCCTACACATGTTTGGCATGCAAAGAGGTTTCATATGAGCAAGAAATGGGGATTCCAGATTCCTTTCAGCCCTAACCAAAAATGTTTTAGAGCCACGAGTCGAGCTTCAAAGCAAGGAACGATACTTTTTGATACGTCTTACTACAGTGAATTAACCGTGGACTGCGTTGACTCCAAGCGGCTTGAATCTTTGTTACTGGAGGTAACGAAATACAATTCACCAACTCCTGAGTGGTTATCTCGGGGTAAGAAGGCATACACGGGCTGGATATATGGTGCTGAAAAGAAGGTTAGCCCAGGACAAGTACTCGTTCACGGTAATACAGTATTGGTGAGAACTCACCCATCAGTCTATGGCGAGTTTTTCCAACACTTACTTACCTTCGCCAAGACACTTAAAGTGACGGTTACAGACTGCCGTTACGCAATTGGAAGTTTGCAACTTATTGGTCCAACCGCTCTTCAGACATTGGGCAAGATCATTCATCATAAAGGAGCCAAGACTTCAACTTCTCTGAGTTGGCTACTATACTCAAACACAAACGACGCTGCCCTCATTCCCGAGGGAGCTACATTTGCATTTTACATCGAAGATCCTCGTTGTTGGAAACGTCCCGTCTCGCCGCCTCTTCCTCCAAAAGATTATAGAGACATCCTCCTGATGATATCGCAAAACCAGCTGTACATAGACGACGATGCCATCAGTGGCCTTTTCACCAGCCAAGGAAGGACGGGTTCATACAAGGATATGTATTCCATCAAACAGATCGGCCAGCAGTTTGGCCAACTGGATCCCTTCGCTCAAAACATTAAGAGTTCAAGCGAGATACCTTTGGTTATCACAAAAGGAGCAAATCAGACATGGATCGTTTTAGCGCCATGGTTCTGGATCCAACCTCTTTGGAGCAAGCTTGTTCAAATTCCTGGCGTGAAGACCGGAGGAACTCGCCAAGAACATCAGGTTAATTTCGAACAAGGCAGACCTTCATTCCCTCATGACTACCCGTTCCTTCCTGAGGGATACAAGCATAATGATGCTTTACAAGAAGCATCTGATCTTAAGCGAAGCAAGTTGCCACCAAGTAAAAAGAAACCTATCCCCATGGAACACGGACTTGAATTGGCTGGTGGTGACTGGTGGTTTCTTAGAAAATGGACATTCACTTATCCGTTGATTGAAAAAGATGTGGTTAGAACACATCCTTTTGGAGAGTTTACAGACGATAGATACAGAAGGATCCTTGATGAAAACGATGCTCTCACTGTGGTTCACGCTGTCAGAGAAGAGTGGAAGAAGACCGGCAAGCCAATGAACATGAATGAACTCCCCATCACCTTGTTCAGAAGAAACGATCCAACACACAAGTCTATCGCTGACGGGACTTTCAAACCTGATGTCTCGAAATTTCCATCCTTGCCTGTCGTGCAAAGAAGCTTGCAGTTAACCGGTAAGGGTATTATCAGAGACTCTGCCAGAATCTATGAGATTCCAGAGGGGTCTAAAAAGCAGCCTGAACTTAGAAACCTCATTGGGTTTGTCACCACAGGTACATTTAATCTTAGCGGAGGTGTACCAACGGGCCTTGGGTTAGTCAATGCCAGATTTAAGGATAACAAAAGGGTCATGGTAAGAAATGTTGGCTGCACTAATTTCTATTATGCCAGGATTGACTCGCTCAAAGACTGATCATCAACGATTATATAGCATAATGACTAATACTACATGTCACATCTTTCTTGATCGATATTATTAAACAAAAGACTATAAACTGAACCAAAAGGGCTCTCGGAGCCTGGGGTTCTAGATCAACTAATTATAAGAAGGAAAGACGCTCTGTAGTGGAAGCTTAACTGAATAATTCCCACACGTCTCTCCTATAACGTAACAACAATTAACTGGTTAACATGGAGGTCGCTAATTTTATTGTTTTTTTGACTTTCAACATGGAGGTCCGCCTTGTTTAAAATCGAGGGGATGAACCGTATTCTTCTAGTTCTTGTCAATAGCCTTCTGCCTTCTCTAGTACACCAAATGACCAGGGTTCCATTGAGCCCGTTCCTTCACAACGGATACCTAGTCTAAATGATGAACCAGAGGCATATTTTCATTCAAGATTCGCTGGAGTCACTGATAGATCAACCTGGAAAGGTCTTTATTGCGCAACCAATATACTCGTCAAAGGCTTATCCCAGAGCCCATGGGGTCCCAAACCGATAGCATCTGGATTATTCACCTTGACGAGTCCCACAGCTGATAATGCCACTTGGATTCCGTCCAAGGGCAGCCACCAGCTTCGACTCCAGCGCAAACGTGTGTGCCAATGCAATCTATAGATTCACATGGTATTCACGTTAAAAAGTTTTCCTGCCAGATCCAGTAGTTTACGCCCTGTTCACTAACAAGACTGACAAGAAAGGTGTGTTGATTGGACACCGAAATCCGTCTCCACAGCGGAAAACTGAACTTCGAGTGTGGAGACAGCATCAATTGATGTCGGCGTCCAATAAAAAAAAGAAAGGCGGAAACTCAGCACTAGCTGGCCTTCCAACGACTAAAACGAAGTGAACCGGCTATGGGTCCCTGGTTAAAGTCAGCTAGGCAATTCGAACAAGTTTCCTTGGTTTGAGGAGGGCGAAGAAGACAAGGAAAGAAAAAAAAAAAAAGTCGAAAACTCAAGGGAATCTTGGGGGTTTATATATTCCTCCAGATTGGCCTGGACCAAATCGGCTTCTCACTGGGATCGCATCCAGCACCCAAGCGGCTGGTCTGTTTTGGTCCTCAGCAGGTAGCCAGCCTCACACCTGCGCATGCACTAGACCAAAAGGTAGAAAAGGCACCAAAGACGAACCAAAAGGGTCTGGACTGGGAATGTTCGTATCAATTGGGAAGCCAGAAGGGGGTGTTTAGATAGTCTAGGCTGGTCTTTTTTGGTATATGTGGGAATATTTTGTGGATTTACGAGGTGTTGGTAGGTAGGTGGCAGAAGGCCTTGCGTCTACTACGCACTCTGAAACATGGAGTAAGGTTTGATCAACATTTGAAACATATGGGTTTGCCAGATTTGGGTTATTATTTCGGTTTCTCCACTCCACCTGAAATTGCCACTAGGCTTGCACCGACGAAGGCGTCCCATATGACTAGGCTACATCAACGCTCGAGTGTTAAGCGCCATTTGGTACAGCTGTGCCTGTTTTTGTGAGCGTTTATGAGCCCAGTGCTCATCTTGCCAATTGGCTGAACTTGGAATTATACTGGCTACTTTCTTTAGATGGCTAAAAATAGCCCGTGACACGTCAACGGTACACTTCTCAATTTTTGGGACCAAACCGACAGCCAGCCATCGACAGCCAGCCAGAAAGGAACCCACATCAACAGCGAAAGACTCGCTAGCTAACTGTTGAATATGAAGACGTGGATCATTGACCGGGGCTTTTCAATTTTTCATTAACCGGTTGAGGACCATACTTGATAGATCATAATACGGGACGTGTACGGGAACGTCATGGGTGTTGGCAATAGTGGCTACGGAATGACTGTAAAGAAGGGCCCTCTGGGATGCTTCCCAAGGTATAGGAAACCCTTAGTGCTTACGCAGCTCGCGCGGTTGACACTACGATGGGGATGATATATTTGTGGAACGTCCACCAGGTGTGGAAGTCTTAGAAACGATTTCCAAAGGCATTCTGGATTCATGTGGAGCCCTTTAGGTGGAGACATGGAATCAAATTTCCAGGAACTTCACCTAGCTTCAGATTGTACAGAAGACGTAAGTATAACCACTGGCTGCGAAAAACAGGGCACTGCGTTTTCCAACCGTCCACTGAACCACATCCATCCCACCAAACTCCAGAAAAGATTAAAGAAGAAAGTAAGAGAGCTTCACCAAATCAATCAAAGTCCTTACTTTATTCGACCCATTCATTACCATATGTCAAAGAAAGAAAAGAAGACCACTTCCGAAACAACACCACCCTCCCCTAGATCTCTTCAACCGCCAGACACGCCTCATACCTCGAATCCCTCTTTCATTTTAACCAAAAACAACCTTATACTGCCCTGAGAACATTATCTTTCATCGGAGAAAAGTTTGAAGCATAAAAGTAGGTTTTGGAATATCCTGCATATAATGACATATACTCTATATGACTGCTCACAATGGTCTGTCATACAACTTGAAGGACTTCGTGGCCAAGTTGGCTAAGGCGTAAGACTGTTAATCTTAAGATCGTGAGTTCGACCCTCACCGAGGTCGTTTCGAGTTGCCTTTATGGCCAAGTTGGTAAGGCACCTCACTAGTAATGAGGAGATCGTCAGTTCGAATCTGGCTGAAGGCAATATTTTTTCCATGATCTATCTTTTAGTTCTTGTCTCTTTTTTACGTGTATTACCTACCCTGATTGTGTGGTGTAGTATCGTGTATCGGTCTATATAGTGTGTTTACACACTTTATTGGTGGTCTTGGTGGAACGCAGATCCAGAAGAAACAAAAACGTCAAAGACGGTGCTAGCTTCTCAAAATCAAAGCATTCGATATCATGAACCAGCTCACTAAAAGATATGTACAAGTTGAGCAAATGGGGAAGGGTATACGATCCAGACATCAAGACCTGCAATGAGTGGCAGTCGTTCACAGTGAAGATCCGAAGATCTTTCAACGACGAAAGGGATCTGAGCTGGTTTTCCTGAATCCAGCGGGAAGTAACAGTAATTGGCAAATGGAGCTCTAAAGCGTGTAAGTTAGACTCGTCACCGCGAGCAAAGGAGAGGTTTGGAATGGCATAGTTGGACATGATCTTGAGCTTGGAAAGGCCAGAAACGTCGAAAGAGACCTGCTCCTTCAGTTCTGGCATGCTTCCGTTGCTCTTGATGTTGAGTGTTTTGAGTTTGAGCTCAGAAAGGTTGGCTGCAAAATACAGAAGATGGTCTGCCTGGAGACATAACTTGAGGTGGCTTGTACACCCAGCAATAGCCGTAAGACACTGCAACGCGTTGAGAACCGACTCGGAAAGCTCTTTATCCTTATATGTCAACGTAACGTGCAAATGCAACTCCTTCGGGGTGGAAAACACAAGCTGGGACGCCAAAAGCGTCAAGTTTTCAATAAGCGCAGGCGTGGAAACCTCGTCAAAACGCATATTAAGCGTCACCTTCGAAGCTCTTTTAAGTATAGCTAGCTTCAGCTTGGCTGGTTTCAAGCAGTGGTGCAACTGGCACTTCAAAGTCCCAGTATCTGAGCACGAGGTGGCTCCATAAAGCCCAAAATCGTAGTGGTCGTCCATCAGCACATGCTGCTCCAGACAAGTGATCTGAATGGTTCTGCCAGAAAAGAGTCGATGGTAAGCCGCCGTGGATGTCCTTTTGCACTGCAAGAACGGCTGGATATCGTCATGAGATATACATTTCTGGGAGAGCACCAAATGGATAAGCTCCTGGGGAAGATCAGTAAAGCCCATGGCAATCCACGTCAAAAGACAGTATTAATACACGAAAAAGAATAAAAATACGAAATCCAGGCAGAGCCCGTATTTTTTATATAAATACGACGCAAGATCTAGGGATGCCGACCTCGGGACCATGCATGCGCTGTGGTCTCAGGAACCACCCCAGGTTTTTGCAGAGACATACTGTTTTGCACGTGGCAGGGGTAAAGCCGGGGTGAAAAAGAAAAATGGTTCCGAAAGTGGCTCTTCTGAGGGTGACCATATAATTTTTATTACAAAAACTTCCCCCCAACGTGAAATACACTGACCCTTTTCGGCCTCTACTATGGCTGTTTATCCGTGCCAAGTCGCACCACCTGCCGATAAATGGATCGGGAAAATGGCTCTTCTCGAGGATTGGCGCCCCATACATTAGTGTATTGTTCGCAGCTGTCATCCCCTATGCTTAATACAGACTTGGGAAGCATTTTGGAGGTTCAAAGGTTGAAAGTAAGGGGTCGAAAGGAGGTCATTTGGTGAGTCACATGGAACGGCTGGGGAGGTGGATGGGTGACTTTGATGGTTTCTTTTGTGGGACCTGTGCATGTGAACCGAGGAATACGGTTACTATGGCTGCGAAAAAAGCGGAACATCACGGGTACTATTGTGGTTTATGGGTTGTGGGTTCGAGGTTGACTAGTAACCAGAAAGTGCTTGTGTGGTTGGTCTGCTTCTCATAGAAGGTATTCCCCTGAGGCTGCCATTATCTGTCTGTCTGGTGAAATAGCCGCTGTGCTAGGGAAGGAATAAGGTTCGTGGGGACTAAGGGGCCGACACAACCGAAGTGGAAGCCACAATTTGGACAGGCTTACAAACGATAGATAGAAATGGGCAGGTGGTAGAAGTGTTTGGGGGATATGAAGAAGTTTGGCGGGTAACTGTGTTAGGATGGTGAGAGCCGTAGAAGAGGTGGTAGAAGTGTGATAGTAGTGCCACATGTGTATGGGTGGAACATGGATGGCTTGGGTTGGGCTTAAACTGGCTGATATTGCTATGAAGAGGTTAAGGAGTTAACTAGATAGACGAATGTAAGCGTATAAAGCTGAAAGATGTCGTTCTTGGGGCATACACAGAGACATATCTGTTGTAGTGGGTGGGATATAGCCAGACGTGGATATCTAACTGCCTGCTAATACTGTAGTCACAAATGACTGACAGAGGCCGTGAAATAGCTTCAAACCGCTTCCTGGTCTAGCAAATATACGAAGTTGCACCAGATGGACGGTTACTGGTATTCCAAAAGAACCTTGGTCTTCCAACACCACCAGAACCTTTTCTGTAGCCCATGATACGTTCACTTCATCTCCTCAATCCCCTATAACTCACCAGGGCAGCTACAATATGGCAGGATGTTGGCATAGACTCAAACGCCCTCTTCAGAGCTGTCTCTCTAAACACCACCCACTGCCTAAGTCAACCTTTTTGTTCCATTATCTAATTATGCTAGCGACTGTCACGTTTACTCTCCGCTCAACACGGCAGAAATACCCATAAGTCCAAGAAGAGCGTACTTCACGTAAACATTCTCTGTAATCAAAATAGTAGCGTATCCAAGCTTAGGAACGTACGCCTTCACCGTGCCCACAAGGTCCGTCTTCTGGTTCAAGTAAGCCTGTTTCTTAGCGTAAAGAGACAAGTCGTTCAAAGCGTTGTTGTCACCTTTCGTAAGCAAAAGCTGTTTCTGGTCATTATGGTGTTCGTTAAGAACACGATGCACAATAGGAATCGAGTGGCCCTTGATCTCGTAAACCACAACATCGCCAACCTTGGCCTGGCTATCTCTGTTCCACAAGAACAAAATGTCACCTCTCTGGAAAGCAGGTTCCATGGAGCCCGACAACACCACGACAATGGGGGAGTGGGAGTTTGTGAATACACCTAACCCTTTCCACATGACAAAAGCCGATGTGAACACATATGCTAGCGTGAGAAACTGTGTCAATTGTTGGCGAAGATTCATCTCTGGAGTGGTGAAGTTGGAGTGTTGGCAGTTGGTTTGGTGTCGTTTTTCGCGACACACTATGAGGAGGAGGAACCATTTGGGAGGACTGAAAGGGATTGGGAGACTATGCTTAGGGAATGAAGAGGAGAAGGTTGGAAATAGGTTTTGAAGAACTTTGGTGAGTTGGATGGTTTGGTTCTATGGATATTATAGGGAAAGTGGTGTTCGATGGTGGTGCTGGCTGAGTTGGTTCAGTGAGGAATGCGGTATTTTGCAACCATTAATAGAGCCAGGGTGGACGCCAGTGGTGGAGAAGACAGGGTATTAATGGCATGAAGGGTTCTAATGGTGTCTCCAGAAAGTCCAAATATCAATATAGGTGAATTCTTAGAAAGGTAATAAGATTGTGTTGGGTTTGGTGGTACACTTGTGCTGCTCACTATGGGTATATAGTATACCAGTAGAGACATCCACCTTCCAACACCAAAAGACCCCAGAAACCAACTAATTAACTAATACGGGTGTTTCTGGTCTAAGCATCCGTAGAGACCGTAAAGAGCGAATTTCTTTCCCTAAATCTACACTTCTATAGTGAAAAAGGTAGCACTTGGCTAACCCTAGCAACTCATACTGACAAGCCCTCCAGCAGTGCCATCAATGCCTCTACATTACATTCCAACATACAGTAAAAGTCGTCCAAACACTTCCTTCACTTCCCGTCCACCCACCTTTAGCCTCTTGCCCCCTCCCACCCGTTTAGGCCAAACCGTTGGGAGCATCTTGATCTAAGTGACATATTTAAGAGGCGTCAATGGGCCAAGACGAAACGCTTGCGTTGTTTTCCCGGTTGCCACAAAAGCCCCGGCAACTAAGATAAAAAAAAACCACTCAAAATCTGTAAATGCAAAGAAGCAATGTGTTTCATCTGGATACTTCTTCCACGGTTGTTACCATAGTAGTAGCATATTTCGCAGCCATTTAAGCAACCCAGTCAACTGAGACACCCCAGTCATTTCAACCACAGCACCAGCTAAAGAGATATAAAGTATATCAGTGTGATAGTTAGTCTTTTTAGAAAACGAAATAGCCACTAGATGCCTCTAACTGCTTTGCTTGCACGAATTCACTGACCCTTCTGTCACTTCTCCTACTAGTGCTCACTACACAGTGCGGTCCACCCACCATCCTCCAAAGGTTGCTTTAACCTGGCAATAAACATAATCCAAGAAAATAAAAACCATCTTTAAAACTCACCCTCCATTAAACTCTGAAATTCCTTTTTTCCACGGCCCCTGGGGACTCTGGGGGACCGGATCTTCCGGGAATTCCATGTTTCACTTTTCTTGCTATGTAGGTGAATAGGTGAGACTTTTTTTTTTTTTTTTTTTTTTTGTAGTGCACTTTTTTAGTGCTTTTTTTTTTTTTTTTCCTCCCCCCACCAGATTTCGCCCTCATTTTCTCGTACTTACTCAGCAACTCTTAACTCCCACCTCCAGCAACCTCTTCATTTCCCACAAATTTCCATACTTTTCAGTCCTCTGAACCTGTCAGAAATCATGGATTCTCAATCTAAGGATAGTTTCGCCGGCTCGTCCGATCCGAATCGCCAGAGACTGCCCCAGAAAGGTGAAGCTTCTCTCGATCCCGCTTCTCAGCATCAACATCCATCTTTTGATGCTCTGGTGGTCAGACCACAGCCAAAGAACACATGGGCGTCCCAATCATCTTCTCCAAACTCATCCCGTGTCTCTTCACCGGGTGAGCTCCATATGTCTCCAAGAGAAACACAACTCCCGTTCCATCTTCAACTTGAAACTTCCCTCAATGCCCATAATAACGCCTTGCACGATACTACCCCTTCCCACGCTGCATCCCAGAGACTGAACGCTGCCCCTGGCTCAAATACCCTGCCTGTGCATCTGCTGCTTTCGCCTCAGAATGGTTCCAACTGCCACTCTCCACATACTGTCACTGCTCACCACAACCTCCCGTCTCCTGACGCCCACCAAGCTGTTCCACAGCCTCCACTATTACGTATGGGAAGCTCTACGCAAACAGGAGGCTTCGATCCACGCTGCAGAAACCAGTCGGTGTCGTTTTCGGACCAGTACGGTTCCGATAGATCCAGAAGGTTCACTATCTCATCGCAGCCTCTGACATCCAACTTGACTCAGCAGCAGAAACTTCCTTCGCTGTCTCAGAACTCTGCCAATTCGGGTTCTGGACCTTCTAGAAAGCTGTCTTTGAGAGGTGAAGGTGTCCCAGCTCTGCTCAGCCGTAACAGTTCAGCTTTGAACGCCAATAGCCTGTCCCTGCAACTCCAACAGCATTACGCAGACCAGCAGCAACTGCAGCTAATAAACCAATTTCAGAGACTACACGCTGGCAATGATATTCCTGAAGGTGAAGATGACCAGTCACAGGGCCAATCCACACATCAGCATCTTAATCCTACGGCTCTTTCACAGACTGGTCAGTCTCAACCACTTTTGCTGCCACAATCCCTAGCATCATCACGCAACGATTCCCCTGTACCTGCTAATAATCAGGAAAAGAGAACATCTCCATCGCCTCCACCGCTCCGTCCTACATTTTCCACCACTCGCTCTGGTTTGAGAACGAGTAGCCGCTCTGCTGTGCCTCAGGTAAGCCGCCTGGAATCAGGAACCGTTCCAATCAAGATTGGAGGAGGCTCTTTGCTGAGAAAGAATTCAGCTAACAAGAAATCCAACAAGACTGTTGTTGCTTCTCCTGTGGGCCCTCCAGTTCCTTTCCAGGAGTACTTGACCAAGGAGGACGACAGAAAGTTCCATATTCTTCTTGGATGTACTGGAAGTGTAGCTACTATTAAGGTTCCTCTTATCATTGACAAGCTTTTCCAGATTTTTGGCAACCAGAAACTTTCCATTCAACTTGTTGTCACTAAAGCAGCAGGCCATTTCCTCAAAGGTTTGAAAATTCACAACGACGTGAAGATTTGGAGAGACGACGATGAATGGGCAAACTTCACAGAGTGGAATAATTCAAATACAACAACCACTGCATCCACTTGCGAGCCCCATCCTTCTACTAAGAAGTCTAAGAATCCATTTGATAAAATGATATTGCATAACGAACTCCGGAAATGGGCTGACATCATGTTAATTGCACCCTTGAGTGCCAATACGTTAGCCAAAATCGCCAACGGTATCTCAGATAACTTGTTGACATCCATCATCAGATCGTGGGGTCCAACGGGAGCAATTAATGGTCAAAGCACAACTAAAAAGCCGATCTTGGTGGCACCCGCTATGAATACCTTCATGTACACCCATCCTATGACAGCCAAACAGCTCAAAATGATTGCTACTTCCGATGAAGGCTTCGGAATGGAGATTTTGAAGCCTGTGGAGAAGGTGTTGGTCTGTGGAGATATTGGTATGGGAGGTATGAGAGAATGGATTGACATTGTCGAGAGGCTTCGTGTCAGAGTTAAGCATGTTCTCGCAGAGCGGGCTGCTTCTGATGGACTTGACGTCACTTTAGAGGAGCAAGATGAAGAAGACGACGAAGATGATGACGACGATAATAATAACAATAATGATGGTGACGATGACGACGACGACGACGACGATGATGACGAAGATGACGACGATGACGATGACGATGATGACGATGACGACGATGACGGTGATGATGATCAAGAGGATGAGGATGACACTAATGAACTCGATGAGAAGGACGAGGAAGACTCTGGAGCCTTCAGAGGCAGCAGACGCGGATCAGTCGAAAGAGCGCAAGAGAAAAAAGCCGGCAGGGGAAGATCAGACAAAGACGACGGTCTTCTCTTTGAATTATCAGAGGATACCCCATCAGATGTTGTCAGTGAGATCCAGCGCAACATCAGCCCCGTCAACGAAGAAGCACAGTCCATCATCTAAGCATATCATTTACTAGAAAAAGAAACGGTTATGGGTGTATAGGTATATACACGATGCAAATGCAAAAGGTTATGTAATGAACTCCGGTTTGAGTTTGAGTTCGAACTCTTCGAGCAATGGTTTCAAGTAGTTGATGTGCGTTTCGTCCCATGATTGAAGAAGTGGAAGAGCGTCCTCTTCCTTTTTAATGTAGTTTTGCAACTCATAATGATGGGAAAGTTGCAGATAAGAAGCAATATTGTACAAAAGACAATCGATCAAATCGTCAGCTTTACCTGGACGACACTCGAAAGAAAACGAGTCTATAAATGCAGCGGTTTGTTTCCTGAAGCTCAACTCTGCGAAGTCTGAAGGTAACCTAGCAGAGATGGAACTGAGGTCTACAGGCGAAGACTCAGGCTCAGATAACCAGCCAAACAAAAGCCCTGCCCGTATTTTTTCGAGAACGACGGCGACATGCGGTCATCTTTCTCTATAAAGCGATTGATCCAAAAGTTCACCATTTTTGTAGAGTTGGTAGATATAATAGGCGCTTCCTTCCCTGGTATAGTCATTCTAGCTGCATAAGCAGCGTATATCATATGTTCCAAGGTATAGTTAAGCAAAACATTGGGCAAAGTGGCCGAATTCATGTTAGACCGAGTTCGCTGACTCTCCATAAGAATCAACGACGGCTCCCATTTACCCCCTAGTAGTATCTCATCCACCACCTTCACAGCTATCTGAGCCATATAAGGCTTCAGAAGCGACTTCAACGAATTGGCAGACGTATCGCCAAACCGGTTATGAAGGTTCACATGGTTCCAGTCGTGCAAAACAACCCCCCTTCCCTTCTGCTTCACCTTATCGTACAGTAGCTTAGCATACGAGAAGTTCTTGATTCCCACGTCTATAGACAAGATATTCAAAGGTTTCAGTCTGAATGAGTTATAGATAGCGGAAGACTCTTTTATTGCATTCAATCGCTCAGCTTTGGCTCCCATGGCCGGATAGCCACAATGGAGAGCAGCATTATGGAGAGGAGCCAGCTTTAGACTGGCTAGCATTGGTGATGTTTATGTTTTCCAGATACATATAGATTTCGCGTTTTGGTGATAGTATGGGGAAGAGATATGGTGGGTAGAATGGGCAGAAACGAGGTTGGAGGAGGGCCTTTTGGGATAAAATTTAGGGGAATAATAAAATGGGTGTATTCAATCACTTTCTGTTAATTAGGGCTCCGTTTGATCCTGGAAAGTCTGTTTTGGTGGATACTATTCTCATGGGGAGCATCCCTAGGGTACTACCCAACCTCACTTCCATGGAACCCGCCTTAAAACGCCCAAAAACCTCAAACCACCCACGTTTTATCCCTAGTTCCTAACACTACAAACCTAATTGTTTGTCTTGGACCAAGAGCCACAACTTGGTTTTGGGGGACAAGCGATGCGAGATCACCAAGCTTGCTTTGCGGGCGAAAGCTTGGCTGGAACAGACCTAAAAAAAGCTTAAATATCAGGAACTACAGAACGATTTTTCCGGCTTGGTTTCCGCTTAGTTCGTCTGGCAGCTTCGTTTGCTTAGCCATTCTAGGCTTCTATAGTGCCAAGGCTGTGAAAAAATGGAGCAATATGGCTTACAAGTATCGAGCCATAGTACACACGGAACAAACGCATGGTTTGCTTATAGAATGTCTTGGATTTTTTTGTGGACGATTCGAGAAAAATCTTTCGACGAACCAGAATCAAGCTATTGATAAGAATAATGGGAAAAATACCAAGACAAGCAGGAAACACCCTAATGCATTACCTCTGGGGCTCACGAGAGCTTCGATGCCTTAATTACACCGCCATTCAATAGGGCAGGGCGAGGCGACTGAGGAAAACTCTTCAAACATCCCCTACCACGGGCAAAGGCGGCTTTGTGTTACTTTAAGCCCATGTTCTTCTTGTTGTAAATTAATGGCTGCAAACTCTACAGCCCATAAGGAAGCCTCTCGGTTGGACCTCCTCCTCGTCCAAAACCCCACTATCACAAGCTGCCCCTCGACACGCTAACTTTCGCTAATTACTCCATCGAAGTCGACGCGACGCCCATTGACTCTCTTCCTTTTGGTTCTGTGACCCATTCACGAACCTTTTACCGCTAGGCGTCGCTCCCTCTTCTCGATGCAAGCAGAAAGAGAAAAAAAAATAGAGAAAAAGCAACTATACAAGGGGTTCCGGAAGAGGAGAAATTAATTAACAAAAAGGCGTCATCTTTTTGACTTTATTCGTTTGCATCTCTCGGTGTACCGAACAACATAAAAGTAGGTGCTTTCACGTAAGCGACGAAGCAGAGTACATATTCGAAAAAAAGGCACGCTGTGGTCGCCCCCACTCTTGTCTATTAGTCGATGAGCAATGCTACAGCCTCGTGTACCGGGCGGTTTTATTAATGGGGTGGCGACAAATCCCACCCCGTGAGCTGCTCAGCGGTAGTGTTGAAGCATTGCCTGAGTTTTACCCATCTGCCAGTATGCTTCCCTCCACGCTTCTTATTGGCTTCGTAAAAGGCATTTGTAGTCTAAGCCTTCAGGGGTCACGGAGTTGGAGCTATTTTCAGAGCAAAAAGCCCAAATGTGGGCGGCGTACTGATAGTTGCGCTTAGAGCCTTGTGGTTGCGATATATGGTTACATGGATGGGAGCCCAGAGGTACGGCGGGACCCTCCCCCAAGAATAGCGTCAGGCATTGAATTTCTTTTCTAGGCTTCTAGGGTGGATTTCTTGTCGAATTCGTGCCGGGATAGGTTGTAGAGTGTTCTGATAACGCCTTAGTTAGTGGGTACGGAAATTTCTTGATAAGACACTGACGCATGTTACTTTTGTGTAAACGGAAACTATTGGGGGCGACCCGTGGAGCCATTTAGACGTCGATCCAGATGGAAAGTATTAATAGAAGTTTCCAATACACTAGTTTCTTGCTAGTATAGCCTCTGTTAGCAAGTAAGTGCCATATCTACAGTAGATCACCAAGTACTATTGCTGTGCACGAAGCATCCACAGTTAATGGTAATTTCCACATGTAACTTCAATAATTCCACTGTTTATGGACTATTCTTCTAGAAGACCGATGTTTACGTGAGTCAGAGCGTGTTTCGTATCCCATCAACGCAAAGTGAAAAAGTGACAAAAGGTAAAGACGAGACTTTGAGTCATTTTCTCCAAAAAGAGACTTGTGCGCTAGAAAGGGACCCCAACCACGCTTGCCGCCACACTCAGACGTAGAAGGACGAAATACAGTAGAATTCAGAGAAAGCAGCAAAAACAGAAAAAAAGAGCAAAAAAAAAAAAAAGCCTCATTCTTCCCAGCAAGTGGAGATTCGCATTCGCTTCAGTTACCAAACCTCTTTCGCAGCCAAACTACCCACTGTGCTTTTCGTGAAGTGGTGCCTTTTCTTAAAACCCCCATTAGGCAAAGACCCCGAGAGTGGTGGGTATGCTACGATAAGACTTTCGGATGCACGAAAGAAAAGAAAAGAGAGCAGGGCGTCCGAGTCAAGCTTTTTAGGAACGAGAGACAAAAAGCCAGGAGCTTATCTATAGAGAAAGCAGCAGGCCCAGGAAAGGATTTGCAAGAAAGCTGTCATAGTACATTTTTCTTCTGCTTCTTGCTTCTCTGTGGCTTTGACGTTTGCTCCTGGTTTTCTGGCGGATGGTGAAAAAAAAAAAAAAAATACACCTACCGTTTTCGTTCATTTTTTCCACTTTGGGCTACCGTGACGAAAACCCACGAAATTTGCAACTTTTTTGGCACCCTGCGTCACAAAAAATGCACACTTTTTCGCCTCACTTTCCCTCGCCTTCCCTCACCTTCCTTCCTCAATTTCCACACCAATCCTCATTTTTCACGTATTGGGTCATTTGCTTCCCTTTCACCTTCTCTTTTCTTTTTCTATCCTTTTTTTTTTTTTTTTTGCCCTAGGGCGCCCCACTCCCACCGTGCGTCTCTGCGCCTCCTGCAAATCATGCACGGCCTCCACACAAGCCCTGACCGCCTCTGTCAACATCCTGCTGGTTCCCTCCCGCCTCAACTATCCCACATGTCCTGCACCGGTACGTCTCTACTTTTCAATATAAATATCCGAGCCATCCCCCTCCAAACCAGGTTTTTTTTCCTTCTTTATCATCACATATCATATAATGCAATTCTCCACTGTTGTCCTTGCTTTGGCTGCTGCCTCCGCTGTTTCTGCTGCTAACTCTACCGCCGGTGGTGCCGGTGCTGCCGGTAACTCTACTGGTGGTGCTGGTGGTGCCGCTGGTAACTCCACTGGCGGTGCTGGTGGTGCTGCTGGTAACTCTTCCGGTGGTGCCGGTGGTGCTGGTGGTTCCGGTAACGGTTCTGGTGCTGGTGCCAATGACTCTGGTGCCCAGGCTATCGGTGCTGGTGTCATCGGTGTCGCTGCTGCTGCTGGTGTCGCCATGTTGTTGTAAGTGGGTTACTGAAACTAATAATATAATAGAGCTTTTAATGGATAATCGGCAATACTTGTTTTTGTAGAAGGCCTTTGGCTTTGGCTTGGCTTGTAGGGTATAACTGTGAACTGTGGCGGCAGGGTATTTTTTCCATGGCTTCTTTTTCGGAACGCTTCTTCCTATCTTGCTCTTTGTGTCATGTGGCCGCATGCAGGTTCAGCTGCGTTGCCTGCGTGCAGATGCAGGTTCTGCCTCTTCCTCTTACTCTTTTTCCCATTGTTTCATGCAGGTGCGCCTGTCATGAGATTATCCGGACACATTTTCTGTCCTTCTATTTTTGCTTCCGGAACTCCAATGGTCATATCCTCCTCCCTCACGTGAAATACAGAAACTCTTACTCTCCTCCACTTTCAATGACTCGGCTCCGCCCCCAGCAACCGCATACTTGCCCTTTTTCGACATTTCCTCTTTCGACTCTGCCGCAGCCTCATGGGGCCATGCCATCCTGTGAAATGTCCCTGCTTTTCCCTAAGCTTGCTTTCTTCTCTGCTTTCCGTCCTTCCCGTTTCCTCTACATTAGCATATAAACAATCCCCTTCTAGAAGCTTCCTCGATATACTCTACCACTCTACCACTCTACCTCTAACTATACTCACCACTCCTACAACTTCAAGGATATCTGTGCTTCTGAAAATTCACCAAAAGTAGGCTTTGTGTGATAGCTAATTATGAGACCCACATGCCTTGTTCCTTGGAACAGTACGGATTCTCCGTTTACGGCCTTGCACTGGGCGGCCTTCATTAACGGTTAGTAACTCTAAATGGTTAGAAGCCTACATCTCCTTTGGGGTATCTTAAACCCTAAAACCACGCTATTTGCTGTGGTTGGAGCGGATTTGGTTTCCGCAGTTGATTGTCTATGGTGAGCACTTAGCCCACGGTGCAGCATACCTCTTCTTCTTGCTATGTTCTCGAGGCAGGTACCAGGCAATGACTTGCAATTTCTATGTATCTAGTTACTAAATGTTGGCAGAACAAACAAAAGCCACAAGGAGGGAGTAGCCAACCATTCTAAGCCACCCGTATGAGCCACTGGTGGTTGCAAAAAGCGAGGTGGCGGCACTGACGGTTCTGTTACCGTTATCTTCGGTACCGTTGGTAGTACCGTAGGTGGTGAAGTTCACAAAAGGTGACCTGTCATCCAAAGTTCCGTCCCAGCAGTATCTGCTGAAACACTCTTTACATTGCTCGGTTTGTTCAATGCCTTGTCTTTCTTGTTCTCTTCTGACGATGGCACATCCCACACAGGCTCTCCATTCGTCGTCAAGCGTCATGTTTAATCTGGAAGCGACTTCAAATCCATTCTTGATCATTCCGTACTTTTCAGGGTCTTCATAGGAAAGCTTGAATGTACTTCTGTTAGCATAGTATGTGAACGGTCTGTTGGCAGTGTACACGATCAATGGAGACTTGTAGACATCATCATCACTCATATCATCGTCAAGCAACGATGAGAGGTTCTTAGCATCACATCCAAAGAAAGCTGGACGAGCAGTCAAGTTTCTGTTGATAAATGAGTTCACGTCTGGAACGTATGGGAAGATGGAACCTTCACCTTGAGGCTCAAACTGTCTCTCAAAGGTCTTCACCAAAGAAGCACCATCTGGCCAGGATGCATCTGTGTCTGCAGAGTTGTCGTAGGCGAAAATGACATCCACATCACGCACAGGTTGGATCAATGGGTACAAGGGCACGTTCTGTCCATCCTCACCACCATCAACCAAGTACAAAGTATCGTTTTGAACAATACTAGTGTAGCTTGCATTGTCGACATCGTAAAATGGGTTAGGTGCGTACACGGCAATATCATTCTCGTCTTGTGAAACCAGGTTGAGAATGCTGCTGATAATACTCTTGACCGTGCTGGACAAAGAGGTAGTGTTGATTTGCAAGACAAACTGGTTGAACAAGGAAGAAGAAGTGCCCATAACAAAGCCAGCATTGTCAAAACCACCAACGCAAGTGCCGTTGTTTTTGCCTTCTTTGGCTTCAGTACCCAAGTACTTTGTCTGGAAGAAGGAATGCAATGAAGGGTCCCAGGAGCCGAGCTCGTAAGGACTGGTCTCGAAAACAGTGGAGTTTGCAGAGATAAGCTTGGTTCCTGGCGTTCTACCGTTGGAAACAACAATGGGGAAAGGCATCTCGTGGTTGGAGAAAGCTTCAATATCTTGGATATCTGACCATAACAAATCAGCGCCATACCCGGACTCTTCAGGGAAAAACTGGTGGGACAAGGCTCTAGCCCAAGTGTCAGTCAAGGAAACCTCGTAGCCAGCTTCACGTTTATCGTCCACAGTGTCGCCCAAGTTCTTATAGTAGTTGTAGATTTTGATTGGGTTCCAGCCGCCCATGTTGACGATGGAACGAGAAAGGTCCCAGATATCGTCCTGATCGAGAATATCCTGAACCGAAGTGTAGTTGTTCACAGCAATGGTTCCCACGAGCCAATTACCACCAGACAAACCAGTCAAGTAGGTAGACGCCTGGAGCAAGCCGCCAAGGCCCTTATCGTTAGCACCACGAGTTCTGTTATCCAACGCTGCCATTTGGCCAGCGCCAGCCAACATAGCTCTATAACCACCACCAGAGAAAGCCACACCGATCTTGATGGACCTTCCATCGGTAGTATTCGAGAGGAACTCGTCCACGTCAAAATCGTCCATGTTCGACTCGCTCAAGAAATGCTTAAGGTTCTCGTCGGTGACCTTATTTCTCTCGGCCACCCACTCAGCTTCGCTTTCCGAAAGGTTATGGGCATTCCTTACAAGCGATCCACTAGGACAGTCCACCTTGCCTGGGGCATAACCACCAGTTGGGGACTTAGCGAGGGCTGGCGCCGTCAATGCAAATAGTAATAGCAGCCACTTCATGAACTTGTGATAAAAACAAAAAAAAAAAAAAAGAAAGCTGAAGCAATTGGTGGCTTGTTGACGCTGATATACGATAAATCGATGAGACCGCAACAAAGCGAAAAAAAAAATGTGTAGATATGCGTGGAAGCAACAATGGCATATGTCAAACGAGTCCAAGGCGCAGTGAGAATGGAATTTGCAGCCACGGAAAGAACAGATGGAAGTATAAGGAGAGGAAGGGGGAGAGCCACGTGGCCTAATTGCCCGTCCCCAACTATATAAAGAGGTCCATTTCCTGGTAAAAATCCACCCTGAAGTAATTGTGAAACACCGGTTAGAGATGGTGAGTGGGGGCCGATGGAGCCGAAATAATCGCAGTGCGTGTTTGCGATGCAGTTGAGGCTGAGGCGCTTAACTGTAGGACATCGTTAGATCCACTGGAGGAGAGAAGAGGAAGTGGAGAGGAGGGAGGAGGGTTTACTTGGAGATTAATATTTGGTGATGTATGGGATGTTTGGAGGCTTGGAGGTTTGGGCTGGAACGTATTTTCGTTGGTTTTTTTTTTGTTTGCCTGGGAATGGGAGGTGGATTTGGGTGGAGTTGCGGCGGATCTGGGGAAGTGCGATGGATCGGTTGCGAAAAAGCGTAGAAGCGAAAGTGGTGAGATTGTGAGAAGAGCAAAGCGAAAGTTTGGTTTTGTGGACTTTTGGCGGGGTTGAAGGGGAGGATTTTGGGGGAGGATTTTGGTATTGCCTGGTGGAAAGTTTATTTGACTGGAGTTTCCTTCAAACGCCTTTGGAAGTGCCGTTCCAGTGCCGTTCAAGTGCCGTTTATGGGGTCCCTCGAATGTGTCTCAGTTGACGTAGAGCTTACTCCACCTTTGTTGCTACGCATCTACCTATTTCAAACTTTATTTCAGTTTTGTTTCCATTTTTTTGCGTTACTTTATTTCCTGTTCCGCTTCCCCCCTGGTTACTCTGTCTTTTGCTTCTTGCCTGGCCTGGCTTTGGGGCCCCAGTTGGCTGGCGTCTCTTGGAACCTCACCATCTTGATCTTTCTGAGCTTTAAAAGACGGTCGCTGAACTCGTTCGGCGTCTCGAAATCAACTTCTCTGGTATCCTTCTCGAGGAACTTCTGTACATGGAACCCAGGCATGTTTTCGGTGAGGTTTTTGGTGGCATATGGGTTCTTTTCGATTTCTTTGATAGCCTCTTCCTTTTGTTTTCTTTTGTTTTCGTCTGTGGTGGACTCAAGGCTAGCTTTAAGTTCCTGAAGACGCTTTTCGTTGCTTCGGCGAACCCATCTGTGGGCCACAAGCAAAACGTCTTCTCTTGGTGCTGTGGTTTTAATGGAATTGGCTTTGGCGTGGGTCAACGACACTTCATGGCCCAAGTTGCCCAATGCCTGTGCAAACTCTGTGATTGGAATGGTTGATGCCTTGAAAAGACTGGGCAAACGACCAAGATTAGTATAGAATGGCGTTTCGAGCTCTTCTTTGGCCAACGTAAGCATACCCTTGATTCTGTCTGTCGTGCCATAAACTTCTTTATCGGCTTTGGCGTTCACGGAGAGAACCTGCTCCACAAACTCCTTGTTGTGCAATTTACCGCCCCATAATGGACCGGCAACGTGGAATGGACTGTTGCAGCATGGACAGGTGGGTCCTACAGAAACAGCTCTCGGCGTCTGGAACTTGTGGCCGCTAGCTCTGCCCATTCTCTGCTCTGCCATATAGCCACAGCCAATGCAATGGTGAACCATCATGGTGGTTGAAGATAAATGCTTGACTTGGGCTGCACTGGTACTGACCTTCACGAATACACGGAAGTAGTAGTCTATGCTCAAACTGAGCACTGGTTCAATGAACTTCTTGTGTCTGGCAGCGATATTGGCAATAGTGGAAAGCAAAAGACGAATACCTGCCTCGTGGTTGGCGTCCAGGCCAAACGTGGTGTTGCCAAAGTTACTTCCACCATATAAAGCATAACACTTCTCAGGGTACCCGTTTCCAGCAAGAACACCAGCATCTGTACAAGTAACCATAAGCAACCCGTCGTCCAAAACCAGGCGAATGGCACTCTCCAAGAATGGTGCTGCCGTTCCGTAAGGGTCCAAGTCCACCACATGGAACCTATCCTTATCAGTAACAGACCCCATATACGTGATAGCGTCACCCTGGTTACCCTTAACCAAATCATCAAGCTTATTATACTCAGCCGAACGGTTAATCGACGCCACAGCAGCAGGAAGCAAATCGTTAGCCACAATTCTCGATACCTGAGGCACTTCATGGCCATATCTCAAAGCCCTGAGTCCCGACGCCGAGAGAGCCTCGAGAATACGAACAAACTTGCGATTCTCTGTACTCACAGCTGGAGCTGCCTTTTCGCCATTCTCTTCCTCGGCCTTACGCTTCTTCAGCGCCTTTAGTTCCCTCTTTGCATTGTACCCTTCAAGCCAGGCCTTGATAGCCATCACCGAGAGATCTCTGTTGAACTGCTGGATATGGTTATAGAAGACCGTCTCTTGTTTAGGTACAAGCACCGAGGCTTTACCTTCTTTGATGACATTGAAATCCTCGATGTTGATGGTCATTCTTCGTGATAGTTTGTTGATCCACCGTAGCATAGTGTTAATTTTTCGCACCCGTTGCGATGATCATCGGGAGGGCCAGAGGATGGAGAGGTGGTGGGACAGCTGAGGAAAAAAGAGGAAGGGAACGAAAGTGAAGGGGAATTCCTGGGCCTTTTATACCTCGACGGTCATTGTTTACTGTTGCCCGTTCGCCGTTGACTTGTTCCCTGGTGGTGGTCAGAGTGTGGTGGTCATAGTGTAGTGGTATATACTAATGTTACATATAGAATTGAATGGCAACGCGTAAGGGCAGTGTGACTGGGGATTATAAATGGGCTATCAGCGACGCCAGGTTCGCTGGAAGGAGTATTGTATTTGAATACTGGAAACGGTCGTGGGATATGGTCCGTCCCTGGGTATTTTGCAGCCATTGTTGTACCTGGTGCGACCCAACCAACCCCAACAAGCCCGCTTTCAACATACAGAGATTATCCTCTTCATACTGACAGCGGAATCATCTCCCAAACTCCCCCTGAACCTCCTCTCTCCCTGACATTCTTCCCTGGTAAAGAGTGTCTGTGTGGGTGACCTGCATACTCACACCAGTCTCGTCTCGTAGAAAACCCGTTTACCCATTCTCAAATCACCAGTTGCCAATGTCTTACCCCAGCCTAATAGAAAACCTGGACCTAGCTGATCTTTCAGCGTTTGCCCAGGGCTCCGAGCCCCATGATGATGATACCGACATTGATTACTATTCCGAGCTGGATTCGGAATATTACCTTCTGGCGCAGGAGCAGTGGGAAGAGTCACTCAAGCAGATCGAGGGACTTGTCAATTTTGTGCTAGTGCCGCTTATTGGAAAGCTCCTAGGGCGTAGAACGGCACATGTTTTATGGCGTCGTTTTGCCGATTGGTACTTTCCTTGAGGTTTAGATGTTGGTAATGAGGGTTTGAAAGCCAGCAGCCACGTTCGTGTCCACAAGTTCTGTGACCAACGTTTGCACGAAGGGACCGACAATACCAGCATCTATACGGTGTAAAATAGCCCGTGATAGACGGATATAGTCGTCGGTCGACAGCACAAACTCAGAATTGGGCGTGCCGCTCAGGTTGAGCGATGTATACGATAAGATAGATGACGTGTCTGCGTCACTCCGCAGGCCTATCCTGTCAATGTTATTATCTTCTGGAAAGTCTTGTAGCAGCTGAGTGAGGATATCGTAGATCTGGAGGAGAAGAAGGAGCACCACTTTATAGGTGAACAAGGCGTCTAGACGGATATTAATCTCCAACTTTTCAATAAGCAATTGACGAGAGCTGAGCTTGATAGGAGAGCTGTTGACGCCGCCAGCGCTTGTCTGAGACCCATTAGCCGATGTCTGGTCGCTATCTGTTGGCACTGGCCTGGTTCTCTGGGCTGAATAAGGCGAGGAGCCTATATCGAAGTTCTTAAGAATATGAAACAAGTTCTGGGCAAACCTTATATAAAAAGCTTGCACTTTTGTAGATTTCTGAGCCTCGTAGCCATCGCTAAACGGGTCCACAGCCTGGCTGGGAGCCTTATTCCTTGCCAACTGGGCCTCCCTAGCCTCTTTCGCTTCATAAGCCCGCTGCTCGTTCTCAAGCATCTTCAACAAATTGCCAAACGAAATCCCCAACTTCAATAACTTATTCGTCAGAAGCGAAAACCGCAGGTCCCAGGCACTTTCAGAGAAGTCTAGTGCTGCCATATCTTCTGTAGATATGTTATACACATCGAGAAAACTCGGTCTCTGCTCGTTCTTTCCAAACGGCACCGCCGCAAGAACATGGTTCACAAGCTGCCGCTGGGAATCTATATCTTCAGTAATAGCCATATTCTATCAAAGTGGTACTTGGTATAAGGTAAATACTTAGGAAACGCGACATGGTCTACACTATATATGTACGGATGCGAAAGACCAGTACTTATACTCTTCCCATATCTCCCTGCTAAACCAACCGAGGAAGATGTTCCTCTTGGGCCTGACGATCATTGTGTTCGGTGCTCTCGTGGCGATTCTTCTATTTGGAGACCAGCCTCGGTTTCGAGGAACATGGATCCATATATTGTACACTGGTGTGAATAGAGCTAATGGAAGAGCAGCTCTGTGGATGGTGAAGACGACCATGAAAAATCCTGTGGTGGGACAGGTTTTGCGTTGGCTGGTGCCGTTGTTTTACGTGGCGATAGTTGGTTATTGTATACACTTGTTCTTTGCTAATGTGTATGGACAACTACCAGTAACTGTGCTGGGGTCGTTTCTCCACAACTTATGGATTGGGGTTTCGATTTTGGGGTTGATGGCTGCTACGGCGTTGGTGACGTTTACTGATCCGGGGAAGGTTACGGCGTTGAATGCTGAACATGCTTCGGTGGTGTTTCGTACGAATGGGCTTATATTCTTTGAGAAACACTGCTATACATGTAACTTACCCAAACCTGCTAGATCTAAACACTGCAGCACTTGCAATAAGTGTGTGCTTTTATATGACCATCACTGCTTGTGGGTGAATAATTGCATAGGGCTTCGGAACTACCGCTGGTTCATAGCGTACTTGGCGCTGAATATGAACTTGATGGCATACGGTGGGGTGCTTTGTTATAAGCAGCTACGTCACCAGAAACAATTACACTACTTAGAGTGGGGATGGTGGAAATTCATCACCAGCTCTACGGAAAACAATCGCATTTCGGGCATTTTGGCGATTCTAACGGCCATTTTCGTGCCCATCACTTCATTCTTTACTATATTGCACATCAGGTACATGTACTTGGGTGTCACCACCAACGAGGCCGATAAATGGGGTGACATTGAACATTTGGTTCGTCTAGGTGCGTTGTACTATGTTGACGAACTACAACAGTACGCTGAACAGGCAACCATGAGAGACACTGACGGCTCGTTCACTAGAGCATACCTTAATCTCGAAGACGACTCGATATTCTTCACCGCTGACGAGGAACAGAAATATACTCTAAGGAAGATCTCTCTGATGGAGGACGACTTGATCAACATATACGATAAAGGTTTCTGGAACAATGTCCAAGAAAGAGTCATCCACGTTCCCCAGATCAGCAACATATGAGTACCATATCACATTTAAATAACATAATTGCATCAGCCACGCCAGTGGTCTACTCACCATCAAGAAGCTGTAAGATGATGCCAGGCACCTCTATCTTTCTTGTGGTACGTCTAATTGACCTTGGGTCTCTGTTTCTTTCCTTCTGTTCATCCTCCCTGCTTCCATACTTATCCACAAACCTCTCCCTGATACTTTTCCGAGCCTCTTGTTTAGCCAAACTGTCTTTAAGAACCTTGACAAAGAGAGCTTCACGGATCTTCGAAAGACCAGTATCTTCATACGGATCGGAGGCGACCAGTCTCAAAAACCGCCTAAACTCTCGATTGATCTCCTGGTCTGCAAACAAAAGCCCAAGCTCCAATTCCTCATACTTGTCTAGCAACTCTTGACATCTTCTGCTCACATCAGGAATCGAGTGTACCAGCTTCTCCTTGGCCAATTCGGCAGATTCAACCACCGCAGGAAGGTCTTCAGCATCCTCTGGATCCCTCTGAATCTCCAATTCCTTCTTTTTCTTCTTTCTGGGTGCATTTACCTGTTCCACCTTCTCATGTAACAGAACCTGCTCAGTCTCATCATATGGATCCTCCAGCTTCTTGGGCCGCTTGGCCTTTTGCTTCTGGCGTATCACAAGCCTATCATATATATCAGCATCGTCTTGGATATCAGAAAACCCAAGCTGCTTGCGTTTCTTGTTCAGCATCCATGGAGCAGAAGTTGTTGATAATGTTACTACACAATTGTTCGCATTCATTTTGCACCCATTTCTATCTAAACCTCCAAGCTCGAGAAAAACACAAAGCTTGGTTCTCTATATAAATTATGATGATGCGCCAACACCAGCACAGTATGCCAAAGACCAAGTTTTCGATTGGCCGCCGTCCAAGTGGTTTTCGTTGAACCCTGAGTCGCTGAAGAACTTCCAGGCGGTATCTGGGTCAAAGAGAGCGACGTTCAACATAAGGATACCTCTCCAGCCGTCGTTCAAGTTACCAACAAGGCCCTTGAGTCTCTGGTCCCATTCCTGCTTGACAAAATCAGGTCTTCTAATGAACGAGGACACTGGACTGATTGGAATCATGTGGATACCCTGGATATACTCTTCATTGGCACCAAAGTAGGTGGTATGGTGAGCCTTATTCTCGAACAAAATACCAGTGACCTTGTTCTTGATGAATTTGGAAGGCTGGACCTTGTTGTCGTCGGCAAGCAAGAAGTACTTATTCATGCTTCTGCTCATGATAGCCAACATCAAGTCTGATCTCTTTTCCATGTTACCATCGTTGATCACCTTGGCCCAGAGCTTAAGAGCATAAGCGTGGTTGTAATCTTCTGAAGAGCTCTCCTCGTCCTTACCGTCGGCAGAAGCATAAAGACCCTTGGCCCAGCTATGGCCATTGTAGAAATCAAAAGCACGGAACACTGGGAAGTGCTTGTCGTCAGTCGAAGGGTTGGCAATGTCTCTCACAAGAGAGTTGATCCATGGCTTGACCTCGTCCAACCATTTACCACCACGCTCCTTGTCGACGAAAGCAGTGATAGCAGCCGCCTGGATGTGGTATCCCCAATGGAAATGGTGGTCGTTGTAGTGGCCATTGCCAAAGTCGCTTCCTTCCTTCGCCAGCGACACAATACCCTTGAAAGACTTATCGTAGAAGAGAGGGTACTGCTGCTTGTTAGACTTGAAACGGTCAATGGCATCCTTCATCTTCTGCAACAAGGTCTTGGTGAGCCCGTCGTCCTTCAATATGGTGTGGCAGACGGAAAGCACAATGGCGTACTTCGCCAACATCTTACCGCTGAAGTACATGGAATCCATATCCAGCTCGCCCTTGACGTCTCTGTTGGCTTCCTTCTGGGCAGCTTCCTTGATGAGTTTGAGAGCATTGTCAGAGTAGTTCGCCTTCTTGCCATTGATGGTAGTGGCTGGATCCCAAGCAACGTCCTTGGTCTTCAATTCTTCCACCATGGTGATCTTATTCAGGAGAACACCCACAGCAACGCCCTTGGTAGTAGTAGGTAACTTCACCGATGTAGCCTTGTCCTTGGTGGCAGAGTCAAACGCTTCCACATGGTGAGGCAACGCAAAGAAGAGCGTAGTGTTGCTATTCAGCTTACCCTTGGTCTTGAGCAGCAACGAGTAGGAACACTTGTTACCATCCATAGAGGCCAGGATCGAGGCGTCCGTAGCGTAACAGCCAGCAGCAGCATCGTAGTGCTTGGTATCAACACCAGAAGCAAAGCAGAGCTGGAAGAAACCATCGTCAACCGACTTATCGGCAATGATGTCGTTCTTTCCCTTCAACGCCAACTTCAACGAAGCGTTTCCAGAAAGAGTAACGAACAAGTGCCATTGAGTGCCATCCTCCAACTCAATCTTATACTTGTTGGTGCCCAGACGAGGACTCTTATCGCCAACAACAGACTTGAAACCGACCAGGGAACTGATCTTGGGAATACAGTTATGGTACACGCCAGTAACAAAGCCCATACCCTGGACCATAGGACAGTCAAGGTAGCAGTCCTTCTCTGACTTGGACGAGAACCGAGCCGTGGCTGCAAATTTGGACAAGCCATGCAACGAGAACGAAGGTTCCTCTTTAAAGTCAGACGACGACAACACAAGCTGCTGAATCCCCACAGGATGGGTAAAGTACTCAGCAGGGTCGCCGTCGCCAAACACTCTGTCTGACTCTCGTGCAAGGTACAACCCAAGGCCAAAACGGTTATCCCTCTTGTTGTTCCAGACACTGTAAGGGTGAGTCCAAACGGCACAGTCCTGGCCCTCCACAAGCATGTTCGAGTAGAACGAGTTTGTTTGAAGTGGCGAAGAGTTGCTTACGCCGTTTGGAACTCCAGTTTCACCGTCTCTGCGTTCAAAGAGGGAGATTGGTTCGGCAGTGTCGATGGCAGAAGCAAAGATGTTGGACATGATGAAGAGAATGAAAGCTGAAGAAAGGTGGTGGTGGTGTTAGTAGAGGTGGGTGGTAGCAAAGAAACGAATCTGATAGGGGGCCACAAAGAAAGACGTTTGGGCCAGAGAAGAAGAAAGTGGTAGGTAGGGGAAGAAAAGAGGAAGGGGGAAATCGAGGGTTTATATACTTTTTCGCAGCCACTGGGAAGGCACTGGGATGAAGGGGTGGTAGTGATTGGGCGTCTATAGGTAGTTTTAGTTGATAGGAAGAGTTTGGCTGGGGTACTTGGGGCCGTCGACATTGATTTGGATGGTTTTTATGGTGGGTTTTTTGTTTTTTGGTGGGTTGGCTTGAGGTGTAGCTGAGTGCTTAAGAAGGTACCAATGAGGAAGGTAACCAGATGGTGAAGTGAACCAGTTGGCTTATATTTCCTGGTGAATGGGTTTCTAAGGTTTATAATTTGTATTCGAAGTGCTTCGGCTGCCATTGACTTCATATCACTACGGAAAGGTTGTAGAGACATAGATACTGGGATCTTACTACCACTCACCACCAGTGTACAACAAGTTCAGGAAGAATGTCTCTAGAAGTTAGAATTAGAAAGACTTGGAATTTACTTTAAGACGGCTGCTGTCGCCGCCATCGAGCTTTTGTCCATGAACATCATCTTTTCATCTTCAGGTCTGTTCATGAGTGCATGTCTTAGATGAGCTTCTGGCCAAACACAGTAAGTAAAGCAGATCTGGCCTCGACTACCTTTCCTTCTAAGCAGTAAGGCTTCTCTTGGAAAGCTTCGTGGCCACTTTTGTTCATTCAAGGTTGAAACAGGTTCGGTGAATGGACCGTTTCGAGGCGGTATGCCTCTATCAGAACTACCCATTAAGAGAGCCAGTATCAGATGTTTTACTGCTCTTAAAGCTACTTTCACCTTTCCCTTTTCCATATCTTTAGCTTGATATTGCTTTCCCTGGAAGGCATCCTCTCCCTCGATCCCTCTCCCTTTTACCTCGCCTTGTAGCCCTCTCCTCCTATAACCAACCAGATCCTGCCAGATCCAGCCAGATCCAACAATCCCACCTTACCCTCCATTTCATCGAAACCCACAAACTTCTATTCTCTCCTACTTCTCACCTCCAACTCTCCCCCTTTTCTTCCTTTCAGTCTTATCTGCACCAGCCAGCTTCGGAGCCCTGGCTGGTCCTGTCAGACTGAGACACACCACGGACCACACAACTCACCAACACACGAAACACCCCCAAATAAAAAAGTGGTTTTCGAAAATCCCCCAACCTCACCCTCCAACCTCCAAACTACCTCTGCCTCCGTGGACCCACTGCCTCTGCCACTACGCGTCTGTGTGGTTCCTCGGTACATCTGAAACAAACGTATGTATCCACAGTCCATCCCCAGATCCACGCCAACCCCAGATCCAAGGAACCCAAGAATCCTCAAATCCACCAATTCAGCCAACTTCAACCCACACCCACAAATCCCTTCTTCAACTCAAATAGCCCCCTTCTATCTCTCTCCATCTTCCCCACCACCTCTTCCTGAACCCCAGCTTTTTTTTTTTTTTTTTTTTCGCAGCCAAATTCCTCAAGCCACTCCATTTCAGTACACAAAACCCATCCATGGAAGACCACAACTAGGGCACTGAAAAATCCCACAAACCACCAAAAATCAGGGGGAAATCCTCCTCCTTATATAGTCCACCCCCTTCCCCTCCTTTACCCCTTAAACCCTCTTCTCTCCTCCCATTGGTCCTTTTTGACCCCTGGCATCAACCCTCTATATCTTTAGGGTTATCGCGATACAGAAGGGGAAAAAAAAAAATCAATGGGACAAGTGATAATCTATGCTCACAAAAACCCAATCTCAACTTTCTCACTTCAACCAAGTTACCACCTCTCCTTCAGTCCACCCAAGGAACCAAGGAACCTGGAAACAGGAATCTAAGGAAACTGCAACGTCCCAATAAATCTACCTATTTTTTTGTTGCCTTTATCAAGTGAGACTGTCCGTGCACTTTCCTCGTCCTTAATAGGAAACACGAAAAAAAAAAAAAAAAAAAAAAAAAAAGGGACCTGAATAATCAAAGAAAGTAACCTTTTCCCACCATGAACTCCGAAGATCATAGGCTATCTCACGCCACTGAACCGCCCGATAGCCATGGAACCGCTGATTACACGAACCTGGGCAATGGCTCGGGGCCTTTGGATGATAACCAGGGCGCAGAGTACCTTGATGTGAACTGGGATCTGAACTTGATCCTCGATGCCAACTCTGAAATGCTTCTGGCGTTTGATTTTCATAGCCACGGTGGGCCCACGGCAATGAACGTGCCTCAGCTACCGGGCCAGGGCCAGGCGATGCCGCCTGGATCGGGGTTATCAGATCAACAACTCCAGAACTATATTCCACAACAACATCAGCAGCAGCAGCAGCAGCAACAACCTCCACAGTCACAACAATCTCAAGTCCAGCGACAACCCCATGCCGAACCAGTCAAGTCTACGAAACCTAGAAGACCCTGTGACCACTGTCGAAGACGTAAGACAAAGTGTGTCATCATCCCAGGCACGAATAACTGTGCCCAGTGTGAATCCAAATCCATAACTTGCACGTATAATCTGCCACCAATACGTGACGACTCCGATAAGCCACAGGCCAAGCGGGCACGTAAGAGCCAGGCTGAACCCGTCCCCAAACGAGGCCAGAACCCTCCCATGCAAAGCAGAGTGTCCACTCCAGACCAATTCCCTCGTAATAATAATAACGGCTATGGTATGAGCAATATCGTGCCTCCTAATGTCTCCATCCGTGATGTCCAACCAGTTCAAGACTACTCCATGATGAATAATTCTCTCCTTAAGAAGACCTTATCCTTACAATTTCCTCGTCTGTCATTTTACATTGGTCCAACCTCATACTTGTTTGATAATAACCTATTAGATGTCATTCTTGCGCAGAAAGCGCTGACTGATGATGAAGCGTCTAACCCTCGTCGTGCCAATAAGGTTGAGCAGGTTAATTTAAGTGATACTATATCCTTGCGCAGGGTTGGTGATAAGACACAGTTCATTTTGAAAGACGATCAGTCCCCTAATTCCTACCAAAACATGTCGAACGATGTCGACGCCATCGAGAAGTTTGTGGCTCCTCATGGCCAGATATTAATTGATCTTTACTTTCGCATAATCCATCCTTCTTACCCAATCTTGCATAAGAAAGTCTTCTTGGAGAAGTATTCTAGAACGCATCGTGAGTTCAGTGCTCCTTTGCTCGCAGCTGTGTATGCCCTAGCCATTCAATGGTGGGATTATGATCCACAGTTGAATAGGTTTGCCAAACCAAATCTCGATATGATGCTCAAGATCGCCCTCAACAACTTCATGCTTGAAATCCTTAAACGTCCCAAGCTCAGTGCCGTTCAAGCAGGTTTATTATTACTTCAGTGCAAGCACATCTTCCGTGAAGCCAATGCTGGTGATAGACAAGACGCGGTAGCAAGTGCAAGCGCTTCATTGAACTCATCTTTCTCAGATTCAGATTATAACGAGTGGGTTCTTTGCTCCCAAGTGGTTGCAATGGCAGAGGAGTTAGGCCTTGCTCTCGATTGCGACAAATGGAAGCTTCCAAAATGGGAGAGAGGTTTGAGAAAGAGACTTGCTTGGGCTGTCTTCATGGAAGATAAATGGTTGGCACTCAAGAACTCCAGACCGTCTCATATCAGTGAAGACGACTGGGTTGTCTCTGAACTCAAGGAAGAGGACTTCCCTGAGAAAGCTGGAGATGGCGACTTGAAGGAAGGTTCGTCTGATATCAATAACGGAAAGAAGAACTTCATGAATTTGGTTGGCCTTTCGCAGGTTTTATCCGGAATCTTGAAATCCTTGTATTCCATGAAGGCTATGAAGAACATTGTTGATATTAATGAAGTACTCCTGATTGCCAAACCCATCCAATTGAAGCTTAGAACTTGGTACCATTCCCTCCCTGTTGAACTTCAGATGACATCGGTTCAGCCACGGAAACTTTGCCCCAATGGCTACTTGCAGTTATCGTACTTCGCAACCGAGCTCACGCTTCACAGGAAAATCATCACAATCATGCATCAAATGACGATCAACAACAAGCCTGTTCCTAAGGAACTTATTGAAGTTTGTCGTACTGCTGCGAAGACTAGACTTTTGGCTTCCATTGAGTTCGTCAGGGACCTCAAACCCGAACACATTCATTCCTTTTGGCACTCATCGTCATCCGCCAACTTCACTTTAATTGGTACATTTGCCGCTCTTTTATTCGTCTCTGCTCCAACCAAGGAGGAAGCTGATTTCTATAAGGACCAAATCTTCAATTACCGCTGGATCCTTAAGATTTCCTCCAAGGGTTTTGTCCAAGTTGGAGACGCCCTTAATCAACTTGACTTGGTGCTCAAGCATATTCCAGGACTTCTTAATGATACTCAAGAGCAGCCCGGTGTGGCTCCTCAAGTGCCAACCGTCGACTACAACCAGATTTACGAACAACAGATGCGAGACCCTACTCGGAATGCTGGAGACCAGTCTCAATACAGTGGTTCACCTTCTTCACAAGCCACTTCTGTCGACGGTAACCCGAATGGATCGCATCAAAATCCGCGTCATCTGCAACTGCAACAACAGCCTAACCGTTTCAATGCTCCCAACTCTCAATTTGTTCAGAAAGGTGGACGGCAAGAGGTTAATTACGGCAATAACATGACAAGGCCTAGCTCTGCCCAGCAGCATCGTGGACAGTTAGGCGCAGTTGTTGCATCCCCTTACGATTCCCCACAAGCTTTTAACACGCCCGGCTTCAGCGCTAACGCTATTTCTAGAGGAAGTCATATCAATAATTCCCCTCAGCATTCACAGGGGATGTCACCTAAAGATGTCATGACACAGCAACGATCAATGTTAGGAAACAACAGTCCAGAGAACAGCGCCGGAGGTTCTGAACGAAGACAAAGCTCGGTGAGCCATGCATCCGAGGCCCACAGTCACCTCGAAGGAACCTCTTCTAAAGGGAATAGTCCAGCGGTTACCCGCTCGCCGTTGACTACTCGAAAGTGAATTTAAAGAAAGCGGTTTTCATGATATGTCTGCATCAACCCCCTATCCCTTCACTTCCTACTCTACTTATGTATTACTACACGCTTTTTTTCGTCTTATTCCTTTCATTACTGTAGAGGTTATCAAAACCATTGTTTTCTTTTCTAATCAAATGGAGTCAAGTAGCTTTCGGCAATGACTCTGGCACGAGCGTTCAAGAACAACTTCATTTCACTGATTTCCTTGTCAACCTCTTCCATGAACTCAATGATAAAGTCAACCAACTTGTCCTTCAACATCTGTTCTGTGTGGAAATTCGTGATCAAGAACGAAATATCGTAGCCCTTAATTGGCACTCGCCTTAAAATAAAGAAGTTCTCCGCTCTCTGGGTCAAGAAACGGGTGAACTGGTGCACCAAGATCTGCTCAATCTCGTCTGCCTGCTTGATTTTAATGGACACTCTCACAGAGTTGATGGATGGCTCAATCAAGATTCTCTCATTCTCGTTTCTGCAAATAGTCACTGGGTTAAGAATAAGCTCTGGGTTGTGGCTGTTGTCGACCTCGATTTCTGGACGGTTATGTCTCTCAACGAGCTGCGACGAAAAATCCTCCAAACAGATGGCCGCCGTTAAAGACGTTCTCACCGCGGTTAAGTATGGTTTCAACGATTGAGACTGGGGGTTAGTAAAACTGGAAATATAGGCGTGGTGTTGAAATTGACATACCATTTCTGATGAAGTGCTTGAGAACAGCGATACAACGGAGAAGTTGTTCTTGATAGTGAGTGGTTATGTGCACTACCTTTTGGCAGAAACCACCTGGGCACACAATAGGGAAGACCAAAAGAAGCGTCAATGAAGTGAAAATTAATAATTAATAAACATTGGCTTCTTTTCAACTTCTTTGCGTGGTTTCTTTAATTCTGTTGGTTCCTTTTCTGGTGCAGATCTCTTCTTCTCCTGCTGTTGGTTGAGCAATGCGACAAGCTTAGTGGTACTGTCGTGGATTAGCCTGGTGAGTTTCTCCAATTTTTTGTCAGGTTGGTCGTGATAGATTTGGATAGCGGTGGTTTCTGCTTTCTTGAAAGATGGGGCGTTTTGGAGCTTGGATGACCAGGCATCTAGGTTGTCGTGGTGCTTCTTCAATGAGTAGGTATGGGACTTCTTTAAGATGATAGTTTTGTTTTCCACTTCTTTTTCCTCTTCTTGCACTTCTATTATATCGAGCTCTGGTAGATGCTGATGTAGCCAGGATGCGAGCTCACGAGCTTTTTGCGGAATAGAGTTCTCGAACTCTGAAACAGCCTTTTGAGCCTGGAGCATTCGGGTATGCACGAGCTGGCTATAGATGACCAGGACTTCACTGTCTTCAGAAATATCTTCCAAATCAAACGCATTTAGACGGTCATCCTGAATCTCTTGAAGCTTTTCAACGAAGCTTTCCCTGGAAGCGAACGTCACATCGTTATCGGCTTTAGAATCACGCAATACAGCCTCAATCAAGTCCTTCTTCACCTTCAACTCTTGACTCTTCTCGTCAACAATATCCCAGAATAGCTCTAACGGCGTAGATCCGTTGCGCCCACAAAGTTCTATGAAAACATCTTCATCCTCAAACTGCGGAAGAAGATCTTGAAAGAGTGAACTAGCATTGATCTTGACTTTCTTTTGTAGAAGCAACTTGAACGCCTCGCGTGCTTTTCTATCGGATCTGTAGTTTTCCTTCTCCATCTTTCTAACTTGAGACCCGATGTTCTCCTTGATCTTGGGGTACACTTTGGCCATGTACAATTCTAGAATATCAAGTTTCTTCAAAATGGAAAAATGCTTGTTTGCCTTGAACCTGGCGTCTGTTTGAAGCATCTCGTAGAGTTTATCCCACGATATCGTCTTTGTATCAAGCCCCAGCACGAGCTGATGCAAGTAAGTCTCCAACTCAGCCAAGGCTTCTGCTTTCTTCTCCTCGTGCTTCAGATCCTCCTCCTTAGCAATGCCATTGATCACCTCCGTAAAAATAGCCTTGAGCTGGCCATCTCCAAGAACAGAATGCTTGAAAATAGGATTATCTTCCTTGATCAACATATCCTTAACCGAGACCCATCGCGTATGTCTATTAAGCTTGCCCTGTTTACGATACTCGTCCAAGACCAGCGTAAAGTTTGCTTTGGCGCTTTCAACCACCTGGGTCTTATTCTGAGCCTCCAGCTTAAGTTTATTCACCAAGTACTCGTCATACAACTGTTTCCTCTTCAGCGGATCAGAAACAGCCCAGTAAGAAGGGTTCTTCACAAACGTCTGGATCACCTTCTCAAACGACCACGTAGAATCAACCCCCTCCAGCTCCATCATCTTAAAGAACAACTCCTGTGCCTCTTCTTCAGAAACACCCTTATACTTCTCCAAGTCTCCAGTTTCCACCTTCTGCGCAGCCAATTCCTTATCTAGCTCAGTCAACGTCTCCTCCTCGGGCTCAGCGACCTCTTCAGCCACCTCCTTTTCCTCAGACACCTTCTCCTCCTCGCCAAACCCTTCAGGCTTATCCCAGGTGGTTTCTCCAGTTGCCTCGTTATGATAATACTCTCTTCCATCGTCTGTCTTGTACGCCTTCCACGTTGCCAGCGGCGCCAGTTCGGCTGGTTTCTCCCACGACGTCTCGTGCGTCAACACATTATAGTAGTACGTTCGACCCTGGTCGTCGTGGGCTTCTTGCCATGTACTCATCTGGGGAAACACAGAGGATGTTAGTAGAGATGGGTATATGCGCGCAGAGCTGGTGAAGATAAGGCAGCAGAAGTGGATAGTGAATGGGGGATGGAAGGAGGGGGGAGGTAAATGAGGAGGTTTTTTGGAATTCTGTGATCTTCTTTACTGCTAGTTTGGCTTTATTTTTTGTTTTTATGTGGTTTTGGGGGAATTGGCGGTGGGTTGTTGGTGCTATGGTAGTTAACTGAATGGCTGCGAAATATGGGTATTTACATGGACAGACTGGGATGAGCAATGGAGGGATAAGAAGGGATGGAAAAGGAATATAGGAGGATTTAGGGTTTTATTTGGAGTCTTTTCTTGTATTAATTAGCAGGTTGGAGTGAATGTGGTGGGTTTACTGGGGTTTGGTGGAGGGAATAGTTGAGTACCAGAGGATCTAAAGGCTACCACTATAAGACAGTTATATGAAAATAAATGAGGAGTTAGTGTTACCAGGTAATTCAATTGGAGTACTTTGGCTGAGGAGTGGGTCATTGGTGGTTTTGACGCTTCCAGAAGGGGAGAAATAGGAGTTTTTCGTACATAAATCCACCAAAATGCCCAAAATCAAATTTTTAAGGTCTTCGGATAAAACCTTCGGCATTTTCAAAACTATTTCAAACTTTATTTTGATTGATTGTCAGTTCAATCACTTATAAACTTGTCTTTTCCACTTTTTGAGCGATTCCGGGGCGATACATTAATTTAAAGTTGCACACCTTAAACCTCAAACCTTTCTTCACACTTTCCATATTTCAAAATATCATAAAACACACATTTTCCCAAAACAACCATTTATACTTACTTTACAGCTACCATCAACATCTACGGCAACTTGTCCGAGCGGTTAAGGAGAAAGACTTGAAATCTTTTGGGCTCTGCCCTCGCAGGTTCGAATCCTGCAGTTGTCGTTATTTTTTCGCATCCTCTCCCCAGCTTCCTTTTTTTTTGCAACCATTTCACAAACCACTATATTCCCATTCCACCGCCCAGAATGTCCACTAAAATCAGGTACTCCGTAGCCGAACTCAAATTGCTTCGCCACGAGTACCGCGTCCATATGGACGAAGACGCTTTCCCAGGCTATACCGCCAGAAGACCATACCACAGGCAGAACCATAGATCCTACTATACTTCCAGTCCATATAGTCAGAGTCCTATAGTATTGGATCCTACTTTGTTTCCCCCGGGTTCCAGAATAATAAGGTTGAAGCCCGGCCAGCGTTTACCCAAGGGGTGTGTTCCTCTTCCGTATGCCATAGACGAAGGTAACTCCAGAAGAGGCAGAAGACTGGATAGTTCTATCAAGTATAAGTATAATAAGGTAGAACCGGCTATGCCCGTGCCTGGAGACTCCAATTACGAATTCAAGTATGCTCCGCTATTTGAAAAGTACATGACAAAAAGAGATCTGGGCGAGGAGAGAAACAGATCTAATGGGTCTATGGAGGGTATTGGGTCATCCATGGAAGTGTCAGAGAGTTCCAGTGAAAGCGTGCAAATCAAGTTGCCCCCTCAGTAGGATGGTTATTTTTGGAAATTGTATGTTTAAAGAAGGGTTTTAATGAAATTCGGGTAGAATTGGAACAAGTGTAGGGAAGTTGGTGGACACTGGCTGGTTGTCTATGTTAAGGAAGTGTACATCTAAGGGTCATGTCAAAACCACGAAATCACCGCAAACAGAAAATATAAATAGTTCATTTGGTCAATTCACGAGTCCTCTTTCTAAGATAAATCTCCAATCACCTTTCTCTACCACCACCGTACGTAAACAGCCCCTCTTGCCTTCTCACCCATTTTGCAACCATATACTGCGACATACCAATACCACATCCTCATCTCCCCTACCCCTTCCTTCCTTCTTTCTTTCTTTACTTTTTATTTTCCTATCCTTATTAACCTTAACTGTAAATCGCAAGACCTTCCCAGCAGGGTCACTCTTATCTTATCGAATGTTCTCTCCAGGTTGGCCCACTGCCTACTACTACTTCCTGAGTCTCCTGCACTGACTCCAAAAGATACCACCATCCATGGATACTGAACTTCCCCCACAGTGGGAGTACCTCCATCTCTCTGTGTACGTATATCCATTGAAAACTGCTTCCTTGACGGTATACTAACTATAGTGCTTGTGATCCTTCGCTCCAACAGACAAGACCTCAGCTCTACGACCAGCTTAACATTGACCTACTCACATGGAGAACACTCATCAGCAACGCTCTTGCCGAGCTTTATGGGATAGTTGGTGAAGCTAGGCACTTTGATATATTGGCCAAGCAGCAGAAACCGCCGGCGCTTGATGCTGTGATTAGGATAGCGCCTGAAGATAAAGATGTGTTTGTTACCAGTCTAGCCAGTTATAACTTTGACCTTAGTGGGCATCTAGGCAGGGAATATGATGTCACGGCGTCTATTAAGGTGAAGAACTCTAGCCCGTACCTTGGACAGCTAGTGACGTCCGATTTGGCTGATTTGTAAGGGGCTGGAGATGTGGAGGTGGAAGTGGAAGTGGAGTTGAGATTTGGGATCTGGGATCTGAGAATTGGGCGATGTTAGGGGGACAGTTTGGCTGGCTTAAGATGACTATGTGGCTAACTATATGCTTCATTGGCCATTTTGTTTAATTGCCGGCCATAAGACAATGCTAGAGACGACCAATGGGTATTGGAGTTTCTGCTCCATGTTCCGTTGCAGCCAGCGATAAGAACTTTTTTCCTTGTCAGAAAAAAGTGCTTGAAGCCTTGTCATATTGCTGTTTCTTCTCGTTCTTCTCGACTTAGTGCCTGTGAACCCATGTCATAGTCTTCCCACTGGTCACTTCCCTGGCTTCATTCCAACCCCTAATCAATACCACCAAACCACTTACCTTCCTCGACACCAAAAGAATCAAATTACAGAAAAAACAATTCAAACTCTTAAAGATGCCCGAGACATCGATACTGAACCTCACACAGTTACTACCGCCCAGTGTCAAAGACAGTGCATTCGCTACAATGGCCAGGGCTAATATCTAACCGAAAATACTGTATTCCTCGTCAACACTACCAAAAATCAGTCTTGCCCTTACTCAATGGCTTTGTGTGTGGCTCTTCTCCGTTACTACTCTTATCTGGTGGACTAGTCTATGGAGGCCCTCTCAATACACCAAACCCACCAAATTGTCCCCATACAAAAAAGAAAAAAAAAGAATGAACATATAAGACAGGAACCTCAACCCCTCAAACCCCCCTATATCTCTTCTTCATCTCTACCTCAATCAATAATGGCCCTCCCATGGGTTCCCCTATCTCATGGACCCTCCCCCAGACTGGTCGGCTGCGAAATCCACCAACTGTCCTGTACGCTTCTACTCCCACTCACTGCTGATTATCACCATTTATCGAACCAACCATTTCCATCCACTACCGTTCGTTTCTCCAAACTTCGTTATGCGTTTTTCGTTGTTGCTCTGGCTAGCAACAATGTTGCATTTTGCGGCCGCCTTCGAGCCCAAAGTGTACAAAACTGAATTCGAAGGCGCCACGAGAGACGTACATTTCTTCGAGGACTCCTCCCACATAGCCACGGCGTCTGGCAAGGGGCTTCGAGTCTCCTTTGACGATGGCGCTTCATGGGAGGAGGTTAAGGCGACGAAAGGAAAAGACATTGGGTTTTTTGCTGGCGATCCGTACATGAAGGAGAGGGCACTTGCCTTCAGTATGGCGGTTGGTTACTATACTACAGATCGAGGAAAGACATGGAAGGAATTCGACTGGGGAAAGAAGGACGGCAATTCGTTCATGCGTTATGATAAGCTTCTGTATAATGTTGCAGACAAGAACATGCTTCTTTTCATGACTACTCTGTGTCCTGATGGCATGTTCCCTGGAGATTGCAAGAACCAGTACTATTATACTACTGATGGGCTCAAGCTGGTCAAGAAGCTTCCTGTGGATTCCGAGCTGTGTATTTTTGCCAAATCCAACAAGGATTTCGATTTCTCGGGCGATTCAAAGACTATTATCTGTGTTAAGCATAAGCTTAATTCATTTGGTCATGTCATGGAGTCAAGCATTGTCTCCAGTAACGATTTTTTTAAGTCTGAAACAGATATTCTGAATCCAGGCCTTAAAAATGGGAGAGTTCTCGATTTGACGATCGACGCATCTTTCATGGTAGCCACTGTCCTGAGTGACCGTTTCAACCAAGACTCCCAGGTTTCTTTCTTCGTTTCCAAGAATGGTAAAACTTTTGAAAAATCAAACTTCAAGGCCGAAATGAACCGTGGCGCAATCAAGTTCTTACCGTCTTCTAAGCTGGGTCTTTTCGTCGAGGTTGCGGAGATCAGGTCTCACCTCCGTCGTGCACCGGTTGCTAAAGTATTCAAGTCTGACTCTCAGGGCATTAACTTCGATGTTGTTGCAGAAGATGTCATGTTTCGTGGCTTTGAGAAGGTTGACAACTTTGATGGCGTATGGGTCGCTTCAAAGATGAAGATGTCTGATGCTGATACAGGAAGACATATCCCATTCACATCTATGATAACATTGAATGACGGTAAGGATTGGCAGCCTTTACTGATGCTTGATGACGACAGCTGCAAAGTTGAACAGGGCTGTTCATTGCATCTCTATCTGGTACGAACTTTTGACACTGATCATCAGGCCAAGACGGGCCCTACCGCAAACATTTTGCTTGGTATCGGCAATGTGGGCTCGGAATCTGGACACTTCGACGATCTGAAGACCTTTGTCTCAAGGGACGGTGGGCTCACGTGGACTAAAGCCTTAGATGAACCTGCCATGTTCTCCTTCGGTGACCAGGGAAATGTCATCTTAGCTGTACCACCTCGTTTCAAACAGAGGGATAAACAGGACGTCAACTATTATTATTCCCTTGACCAAGGACTTACATGGGACCAAGGAAGCCTTGGTGTCAAGTTCTCCCCAATGTTGCTATCGACTACTACAGATGGTACGACTAGTAAGTTCTTTTTGGGAGGTCAGATCGATTTGAATCAACAGATTTATACGATGCTTGATTTTTCCAAGGCTTATGGAGCTACGAAGTGTAAAGACAAAGACCTCGAAAAGGTCTATGCTCGTGTCGTCGACGGCAAGCCATTATGTCATTATGGTCACAAAGAAAGTGTAATGAGAAGAAAGCCAGATGCTAAATGTTTTGTTAGCAAGATTTGGGAAGACTTGATAGTGAAGGAAGAGCCATGTGAGTGTACCGAGGCCGATTTCGAATGCTCGAAGTACTTCAAGCTTTCTCCTAAAGGTGCTTGTGTACCAAATGAGGAAAAAATCAAAGAGGCTTGCTCCTCAAAGAAGTCTAAGAAGGTTAAGCTCGCTGACAAGCAACTCTCGGCTGGAAATCTTTGTAAGCAAAGCAACAAGGAAACATTTGTCGCTGAGGAGGAGTTCAATTGCGAAGACTACGCCGACGTTGACAAGCCGCTGGGGAAGAAGTTGGTTAGTGTTCTGCATGAGTTCGAAGGCCGCCTTGAACAGTATTCTTATGTCAAGGCAGGAGACAGAGAAAATCTCCTTGTGAGAACTTCGAACAAGGTTATGTTTGCCTCCAATGACGGAGGCTCGAGCTTCACAAAAGTACCTGTCTACGAAAAGATAGACTGGTTTGCAGTGGGTGCTACTCCAGGATCTGTTGTTTTGATCACAGATAATGAGATCTTCTACTACTCTAAGGATGGAGGTAATTCCTTTTCGAAGCTCAAGGCTCCTAGTAAGCTCGTGCCAACGCGTCTTTTGAGGCCTTCTTTCCATCCTACGAATGATGATAAGTTTATCTGGTACGGCTCAGATGGATGCGATCCAATGTCGAGTCCTTTCTGTGAGGTCACTGCTTATCATACAAGAGATGGAGGCCAGTCTTTCGACAAACTTAGAAGTGGTGTGCAATTCTGCGACTACATTTCCATGAACAACGAAGGCGAAACAAACTTGATCTATTGCCTTACTTCTGGTGAAAAACCCCAGTTGTTATCCTCCACGAACTACTTCCGGGAATCGAGTCCAAAGGTTTTGTTTGATAATGTTGCTTCTTATGCTCTCAAGTCGAATTACGTAATTGTCGCTACGGTTCTTGAGGGTGAAAAGGAGATGCGTGCTAAAGTGACCGTCGATGGTTCTACATTTGCAGATGCTTCATTCCCAAAAGATTTCAAAGTCGAAGCTCAAACTGCCTATAACATTCTTGACTCTGCTGACCACTCCATTTTTATGCATGTCACTACAGATGGACGCCAAAATAAGGAAGTTGGATCACTTCTCAAGTCCAACTCAAACGGTACTTACTATGTCCTTTCCCTCAAAGATGTCAATAGAGGCAAGTTTGGATTTGTGGATTATGATAGGATCCAAGCATTGGAAGGTATTATTCTCGCCAACACCGTTTCGAATCCAGGAAAAGATGAGAAGAAGAAACTAAAGACTGTTATATCCTTCAACGATGGCAGTGAATGGGCTTACTTATCGCCACCAACTGTTGATAGCGAAGGTAAGAAATTCAAGTGCTCGGGCCTGTCCTTAGACAAGTGCTCATTGCATTTACAGAGTTTTACTGAGAGACCTGACTTCACAGATACATATGGCTCTTCTTCAGCCGTTGGTGTCCTTTTCGGAGTAGGCAATGTTGGAGAATACTTGGGTGAGAATGATCTTGCAACCTACATGTCTCGCGATGCTGGTCTTACCTGGAAGGAAGTGGTAAAAGGACAACATATGTGGGAGTTCGGTGATCAAGGTACTGTTCTTGTCCTTGTCGACCAGCTCAAGGAAACGAATTCGTTGACGTACTCCACTAACGGTGGTGAAGACTGGCAGGAGTATAAGTTTGCTGATAAAAACATCGTTGTTCTTGATTTAGCCACAGTGCAAAGTGATACTTCGCTCAAGTTCGTTATTTTCGTTGCAGAAAAACTGGATCTTCAAACCACTCACGCTTACTCCATCGATTTCACTAATTACTTCAGCAGACAATGTGAGCTCGATTTGGAAAACCCCAAGGGAGGCGATTTTGAATACTGGAGCCCTAAGCGTCCTTTCTCAAAGGACAATTGTTTGTTTGGTCGTGAAGTGAAATACTTGCGTCGTAAAAATGATCGGGTTGACTGTTTCATTGGAGCCGCTCCTCTCAAGGATGGATTTGAGGCTTCCAGAGTTTGCACATGTACCAGGGCCGACTACGAATGTGACTACAACTACTACAGGGATAGCGATGGTACATGTAAACTTGTGGATGGATTATCTCCTGCTGATAGAATGAAGGAAATGTGTGAAAAAGAGGGAACGTTCCAGTACTTTGAACCTACTGGATACAGAAAGATACCGCTTTCCAAATGTGAAGGTGGTAAAGGCTTTGATTCTCTCAAGACGCGTCCTTGCCCTGGCCATGAGAGTGAATACAACGATCACTACGGCGTTGGACTTGGTGGTGGAAGAATCTTTGGAGTGATCTTTGCACCTATTGTGATATTTATTGTCGTCTTCCTTCTTGCATCATGGTTTGTCTACGAAAGAGGTATTCGCCGTAATGGTGGCTTTGAAAGACTCGGTCAGATCAGACTAGATGACGACGACGACTTCCAGCCAATCGAAGAGAATGCCGTTGATGTTGCCGTGAACAAGGTTGTCAAGGGTGGTATCGTTGTTGTGGCTGGTACCGTTGCAGCGTTCAAAACTATTCGAAAGATCGACCGGGCGTTACTTGAAAGAATCTCCCTGGCTCTCTTCGGTCGCCGTTCAGGCCATCGTAACTACGTTCGTGTCCCAGATGATGAGGACGAGTTGTTTGGCAACTTCGATGATAACTATGAAGACGAACTAGAAAACGCCCATGACATCGCATTTGAAATAGAAGATAGTCCGGGAGAGTTCTCAGAGTACGCTGACGAGCCACCAGTTGGAGACGACCAAGCTGCTGAATCAGACGAAAGGCTCTTTGACATTGACGATCAGTCGGAGGATGACAATGACTCGTCGCGTAGAGGAGAGGAGTAGCTGCACATTAGTTACTCAAAATAAATGATAGATTTCGATGAAGAAAAATGTAAAAGAACGATTTATCAATGGATAGAAGTGCTTTCAGGTAGTTATGTTGGCAAAAAAGTAAAAAGATGACACGGACAGGAATCGAACCTGCAACCCTTTGATTTGGAATCAAAAGCTCTGCCATTGAGCCACCGCATCTCTCTGTATAGTGTATTGCTAAAGAGTAAATATAATACCTGTTTTAAACCAGCATATAAAAAAGCATAATTTTGTGACTTGAATGAGTTTTAATATTATTAAATAATACTCATGAGAAATTTGAGCAAAATTCGACGATTTTTGAGCGATTTATGACCAAAAAACAAAAGGATATGCCATGAATGAGGTTGTTAGGAAACACAACTGGAAATCACACATCCAAGGTGTTTATAAACAATTAAGCTAAGAGCAGGTGTGAAGAAAGGTTGGAGAGGCATCAGCTCAATATGTGCCAGAAACATAGAGATTGAAAAAGTGAAAGAAAATAAATTATTATGCATAATATTCCGTCTATCTATCAAGTATTTCTCTGCAAGTCAATCTCGTGGAATAACTCTTCAGGATTGACAACATTCATCATCTCATCTTCGTGAATTCTCTGGCTCATTCTCTCTTCCTTATCCGATTTTTTAAAAAGATACATCATTGGAATAAGGTAAAGGAGGCCGATCAAAGCAGTTGATCCAATGGCACATGCTAGCGAGACACCAACAACTTGGCCCTTAGACAAATTGCTTGAATCTGTCTTGAGGTCCTTCGAGGACCGGAAAGAATAAGTGTCCTTCACCAACAACAGCTGGATCAGACCAAGCTCGTTGGCCTTCACCAGGGTGTAAACATAAGGCGTCCAGTTTTGGCCATCAAAGAAGGCAGCATTGACAGGACCATACTCTGTAAGGTTGAATTGGCCCGAAACAAGAAGAATCTTGTCATTATCAAAATAGTTTGAGACCTGCTCTTGTTCTTCGACGTTAACAGGAGCAACTTCATGTCGGTAAAACGGGTGCGGTCATTGATATCAATGCCACCACTAATATCTGACCACAGAGAACCATTGTAAGCCTTCAAGAAACCGTTACCGTACGCTGTCATTCTGCTCTCTAACTTTTGACTGGTCTGCTCGTTTATGATGAACTTCCTGACGTAATCATTGGGTTCGTCTATGTTTCCAAGCTGCGAAGGTGCCGCAGTGAACAGGCCAGAAGAGAAATCGAAAACTGCAAAATTAAGACTTGAGTCGTTTACAGTAAGATTTCCACTCAACAAAACGGTATCGGAGTCAAAGAACTTTGCATCAGTAACAGTACCACCGATTCCTCCGCTTGAAGGGTTCTCCCAACGTGTGTTTGCAACATCATAAATACATGCAGCTTCACAGCCCAAAGAGCCTGCATTGTCAAAACGTCCACCAACAAGCAATTTTTCATCGTCATCGTAAAATACCATAGCATTCACCAGGATTTCACCCAGTTCACTTGAAAGATCAGCAGGCTGGACAGAGGAAAACGACTCGTTTGACAAATGAAGTAACACAAGCCCAGTAACATTCGTGTTTTGGGCCTCCACACTTCCGTTGGTGCCAAGGAACAAATAATCAGAGCTGGAATCCACATAGAGGTAGTCGACCAGGGTGTCTTCTCCCCAATTTATATCGCTCACAGTCGAAGTGCGGTTGTTGTTGATGAATGCAACATTCCTCCGGGTGTCATTCACGTCGAATTTTCCGCCGAAAACACTAAAAGAAGAATTGGCATGAAATGAAGTCAAAATTTCGCCACTAGTGATGTTGAGCCCATAGCTATTAATTTGGGAATTGTTGCGAACAAATGCTTCGTTGGCACCATAGTAATCCATCAAGTTGAAAAATGTGCCTCCTATGACCTGCTGTTCTTTCTTTGGTATATTAGCAGCCGTAGTGACATTAAGATCATTTCTGTCAACAAAACTAGAGCTTTGCTGTTCCCAGACCTGATAATTGTCTTCATCTGCTGAAAAGACGTAGTAGTTCTTACCGTCAATTGTCACATTTATGAACAGATCATAATCAGCTTCCACATAGTCATTTCCAAAAGAAAACCATTCGCTTCCAGAGCGAAGGGCAAAGTTATTGAACGAGGAAGTAGAACTGTTTGAGTCTTGGAGGTTCTTGAAACCATTGTCATCGTTCGATTCTGCTGAGAATGCACCTAAAGCGATAATGCCGTCTTCAACGTCGTGTAATCTTTGGATAGAGCTGTTAAAATTCGCTCCTAAAATCTCTTCATCTCTCTTGACGAATCTTTTCTCTCTTAACGTAGCTTCAGACAGGTTCAGTGTCAGATTGTAGTCGTCAAGTTCAAAGGCTAGCAAATTTCCATTGGAAAGCGTGATATTTCTAGAGCTGAAATCACCCAACAAAAGCATATCCGAAGAGTCAGAGGACTCTTGGAGAAGAATTTGCTCAACCGTAGAATTCTTTAAAAGCTTGCCACTGACTTCATTAATCGATGAATTGCCGACAAAACGGTTAGTGGGCTTGATAATGGTTCCATTATCCGTTTTCTCGTACACCAAGTTTTCAGAAAACAGCGAGAAATTTGCAAGCGAATATTCAAATAAGCCATTGAGATAGACATGCTCTAGATCACGTTTCCTTCGTTCCTCTAGGGAGGTATGGTTTGACAGATTCTTTTGGCTGTACGTATCGAGTGATACAATGTTTGCGACAGCACGATCAACAACCATCCACGGGTCAGTGACAGATGGATCAATAGGACGAACAAAGTCAATGTTGATACTGTTGCGGCCATTGTCATTCGAAGATCCATTCATATGGCCAAAGAAAAGGTAATCAAACTTATCCCCAGCGTTGTTCTGGTAGATTAATTTATGCTCTAAAACGTTCAGCTCGATATCTAAGACAGACACATTGACAATTGATCTTTTGTCACAGGAGTTATCAGCTTGACACCCTGGTGTATACAAAAGGAGGGAGTAATCACCATCATAGGATATGTTCGGATAAAGCGTAATGCCAGCATTGTCGTCTCCGACAGAAACAAGATAGTCAGTATCGATGGCGCCGTCGACTAGAGATTGTACCGATTGCCAGTTACCGCCTTGTGATTCGGCGGAATTCCTCGAAACCAGCGACTCCGAGCCGCAATTAGATTCGTTCAAAGTGTCGTTACCAAATACACTGATGGCATTCGTGTAGAGCTCGAACCCAGCAAGCTCACCATGGTTACCATACCAATCAGTAACTGTAACACCGATTCTGTCAATGGCGATGTTATTCACGAGGGCAAACTCCATGTAGTTGCTACCGTATCCAAGATTTTTAGATCTGGTGGAGCTATCATAGTACATGGAAAACGAGCCATCTTCATTGACGAAAATGTCATCGTCATCGTCCATCATATCCTCGCCATTGTCCTTGTTATCATCGACGAGTTCCTTGAGATCATTGGCTTTAGGTAGTGGGCAAGATGCATCACAGAATGCCAAATCATTAGTCTCTGGGTTCACATACGTGAGGTTCATGATACCATTGTTTGGATAGGTATAGATACGGAATGTTTTTATGCCATTATCATTGTCATCAGGCAAATATAGTCTTACCTTTGTGGGGCTGATTCCTGACATTGCAGACGGTAGTTTGACAGACCATTGGCCACCACTATTAGGTTCTAATGTCCACACGCTGCCTGAGTCAGGACAGATGATGCCTTCAGGGTCACTGTTGGAATTAATTGAGGTGAAGTCACCATGCTTTATGGAAATCTGCTGCTCGGCCGATATTAGGGACACGTTGGTCGAGTTTGAATGGTTATAATGGGATGAATTGGAAGACATGTTAAGACTCAAGAGCTCAGAAAGGCCCAAGGTATTGAAGGAACCACCGAAAACAATGGAACCGTCCTTGTCGGAGTCAGCCTTCAATTTGGTTATGGCATTCACAACCGAATCATTACCGAAACCTTGGAACGGTAGCAGCAGAAGCTTCTTTGATGTTATGTTGTACACCACAGCGCCTCTGGAGTTGTTGAATTCCAAGTCACCACCCATATATATAAGGTCCTTGTCGACCAAAGTGACCTTCACGGAGCCACTATCTAAGGAGTCTCTTTTTTGGTTATTTGAATCGGAAAAAATGCTGGATACCTCGTTGGACGTGAGGTTGTATATGATTGGAGGGGTGTATTGTTCGTTATTAAAGGAAGTGAAGGAGCCTCCAAGTAGGACACTGTCGTCGCCCACGGGCAGAATTTCCGTGACTCTTCCGCCATCCACGGATCCAATTTTGATGTTTGCATTATCGCTAACGTTTCGAAGGTATATGGACGACAGGGAGTCAGAAGGAAGTAGGCCAGCGGAAGCGTTCTGGTATGAATAAAAGGATAAGGCCTCGAAACGGCCCAAGAAGCCAATGGAACCGCCCAGGTCAGAAAACTGGATATTCGGAAGCGAGACTTGTTCGAAAGCAGCCGAAGCTAGGGAAGTGAATAACGGTAGAAGGAGAAGTCTCATGATGCAAAAAGGAAAAGGGAACTGGAATGGGAATGGAAGTTATGAACAGCAGGGGGAAATTAACGAAAGACGAGCTGATGCGAGGGCGTAGCGAGGGATGTTTATGGACAGTGGATGGAAAAGATGGGAGTGTCGAGGGAAAGCAAAAAGCTGGCAATCCCGGGATAGGTAGGAAAGGGACCTTTTGGAAAAGAAGAAAGAAAAAAATAAGTCTGTTGATGATGGAGCACACTAAAGAAAAAAAAAAAAAAAAAAAAAAAGGCTATTATGTCGCGGTTAAGAGGGAGGACAGGAAAAAATAATACAGTCTAAGGCCAAAAAAAAAAAGTGAACTAATGTAAGTTACGCAAAAAAAGGTGGTTGTCGTTGGCTGCGAAAAAAAAAAAAAAAAAAAGAGACGGCAACGACAACCAAAACGGCAAACGACATTAAAGCTTGTTTGAACAACCCAGAATGTAAAATGTGGGGGGGCCCTTTTCCCTTCCTTTTCTATTTAAGTGGGTCATTTTCATCGTCCCTCCCTCCTCCTCGTCTTCCCTCTTCCTTCCTCGTCTGTGAATCGGGAGCGTCTGTTTTGGGGCAAAACGTAAACATGCCGCAAGTCGAGGCAGAAATACACGAGCCATTTTTTTTAGTGTAGAGCGCAGAATTGTGCAGGGCTGGAATGGACAGACGTGGTGAGACGTGGTAGGACGTTTCAGAGCAACGAGGCTGAAAAGAGAGAAGTTTGGGTGGGAAATGGATGCGTGGGTGGAAGTGAACGGGAAGAGCTGGTTTTTACACGAGTTTGAACGTTCTGGTGTGCCATTGGCGGGACTTGTTTGGGGGATGTTTTGTGGGAAGTTTTGCAGCTGGAGTGTTTTGGTTGGTGGTGCGCGGTAGCAAAGGGCATTGTTAGAGGCCACAGACGGTGATTGTTCATTGGGTACTGGGAGAGGTAGTGGAGGAAGGGAGAGGTTGGAGGGTGGGTTTGTTATGGATTGGGGAAAGAGAATTTGGCTTTGGAGATTTGCTTGGGTGGTCTTTTTTGGTTGGTTTCGGTTGTGACTGGGGTGGAGAGGGTTGAGGGTGGGTTGATGGTAGAGCTGTGGTGGATTGGCTGCAAAACGCCGCAAGACGAGGTACTACCAAGTAGAAGGAAGCCATGGCCAAAGGCCATGGGTTTCTTGGTTACATTCTTTGTTTCTCTTCTGTTGCTTTCTCTTTCTTTTTCTTCCATTTGCTTTCAATAAATCTGAAACCCATGCCAAACACTGCCCATGCCAGGATGTCGCTGACTCTGACATTGGTACTGGTTGCACCCGTCTACATGTATATCATCAGAGATCGACGAACGCAACGGGTTAGGTAGCCGGAATCGTCTATGTATATAATAACACTGCTGTTTTGAAGATCGTGTGCTTGGCTGATCCTCGTATTTTGTCTGTCGTGGGTGTTTACAGTGTCTGGTATGGTTTCACAGGCAAGTACAGTGAATGGCACTGAGACTGATGGTATGTCTCCAGAGACCAGTATTAAGCTATATGTACGGTGAAAGAAGGGTATGGGAATGTGGATGGGGTTCTTTGCCGTCATTCTCGTGGGAAGTTTATTTTTGACTTTTTTGGTTTTCTTGGTTTCTTGGAGATTGGTTATCTAGCTAAGGTTTCTGATTTTTCACTGTTTGAGCATAACCACTGCAGTATGGTAAACCGTAAACTTACGCTTAAAAATCCAAAATTTCCACAATACTTCTATTTTCTATATAAACGGAATTAAACGACAGTAAGTTTGATCCTAGAGCCTTCATTTTGGTAGAATTTGCCGTTTTAGTGTCCATATCCACTAGGGTCTCTTTTGCCATATTTCGCAGCCATTTCTTCCTAGGTACCACCAGACTCCCACCAGACCACCACCACACGCTTCTCCCAATACCTCCATTACATCCCACTCTATATGTTTAGTATTGAAGTATCCATAAAGCCAAATACATTCTCCCTGAACTACATGCCTCCTAGACACTCCAACCACCTCTTGCTACCCATGTTCATAGCGCACTGGCTTCTTCCACCACCAAACACCACCCAACCAACCTCCACAATTCCACATCCCAAAATCCACTTCAGAGGCCTCCCAAACCACTCCTTCCCCTTACTTCTTCATCCCTATCCAATTCCCATAGCTGCTTGTCCCACCTTCCTGACTCCACTACCGCCTCTGGTGTACGGGCTCTGAAGCGCATATCTAACCTTACCTGCTTCACACTGTAGCTACTCCCCATTAATGCCTTTCCCTTCAGGAACAGACCCGACGACTGTCCGGCAGCTCTTACTCCAGCATAACTTCCTGCCCCTAGTATCTGTACAATCTACGCATAACGCAGATGTGCTTTTCCAGCGACAGTGTCTAAACGATCTGGTCTCGGTACTCCAGGTTCTCAAGCCTTATGGCAACAATGCCAAATACTCGGTGCCTAACCAGAGGTTCAAAATCACCAATTCTGCATTGATCACAAGAACGTATAGTCTGTTTCCAGTCAGGTTCGAGCCGTCCCTTCCGGAGCTCTTGCTGGTACACAATGCTGATACAAGCTCCTCCTCGGAACAGCTCAAGAGTCTCTTCAGCATATCCAGTTTGGAACTTTTGCTTAAAAGCTCTAACCAGGCTTCCTCAATTTCAGCAAGATCCCACGATAAGCTCTACTTGGAGTTCTTCCGCATGGTTATTTCCTCTAATCAGGTTGTCCTGTTTGATACGTTGAACCATCCAGTGTCTCAGATCTTTGTCATTGATTACCATACAGATACGCTAGAAACATTAAGAAAGCTTATTGTTGACTTCCGAAACTACAATTTTCCGAAATACTTCCAGATCTCAGACTTGCTTATTCATATATTCGTTGTGTACGACTCGCAGATGGTGCTGGAACAAGACGTCAGCACTTACCAAACCAACATCCAGGCTAATCTTTCTGTATCTTCCACTGCCGTTCCCCTCCTGATGGTGGCTTCCAACGATACAGCATACGTGAAGCTTTCCAAGTTGGAGAGTGCAACAATTGAAGAAGAGGTCCAGAGTGTGCAGTTGCAACATTCGAAAGAGTTATCAGACAATGACCTCTATCTCAAACTACCAAAAGCATTGGACACTGTTCTCAAGAGCCGATGCCACGACTTCATTAGCCGCTTCTTAATTCCTCATATGGAAGCGAAGCTCCGAATCTGGGGAGATCAGATATTGGCCCCCAAGAAGTCCATTGCTGGCCGTTTCTTCTCGGTGTCCCGTAAGTTATTCAACAACAATAGCTCCAGTGATCTCAGCCAAACCCAGCAGAGTCAATTCAATCATAAAGAGAACTTCTATCATCGGTCAAGCAATGAGCAGGCTATTAGAAAGCTCGCAGACTGGTCTTTAATTCTCAAGGACTTCAAATACGCCTATTCCACCTACGACCTCATCAAGAAAGACTACATTAACGACAAAGCCTGGGTTTACGTTGCTTCAACACAAGGGATGTGCATCGTGTCGCTCTTGTTAACACAGACACAGCCACTTGCCTCAGACACTCCGCCACAAGCGCCAGATAAAAATACCTTACGAAAGATACGCCACGACATCATAGAACCATACATTGACAATCTTTCCTATTCATTCAAATCCCGCTTAAATGTCAAGACATATGCGATCCGGGCATACTTGGTGGTCGCCGAGTTACTTCTAAGCATGGGAATGATGTTTAACATCCCCTGGTGGTTTGGCGACTTGATAGAAAGTTACTACCTCAAATGTATGGGCGAGATCGACTCCCACCTAGCGTCCAATATGAACAATCCCCAAGTGATTAGAGCCTTGCTTTATGAAAGGCTTGGGTATGCGTCCAGCCAGAACCATTTAGTTCCTGGAGAATTCAAATGGCTTTTGGGAGAAAAGCATGAGATCATACCAGAAAGAGAAGTAAAGCAGGACACCCAAGAGATTGCTGATGAAAAAGAGAACGAAGCAAGTGAACAAGAGATGTATGTGAACGAACATAAATTGCATTCCGATAAGCCTAATGCTCTTCTTGGGCTAACTAGATTCAGAAAGAGTGCTGCGTGGTACCTATTGTCCATGAGGGAATGGTTAGACCTTAAAGACAAGGAGTACGTGAAGTTGCTCATGAACAACGTATCTGAATGTTTTGAGGTGCCTAAATTGACAGATAATTGGTACGACAGACCCGAGAGCCTACTTGGTATTCTCAAACTTAAGCTGAAATAAGGCTATTCTTTATTTACATTGAGCTTGTACTGGAAATTACAAGCTCCTTATAGAAGCTAATGCAAAAATCATAATCAGAGAGCCTTTGTATCAACTACTCCAATTGCCGGATGGCAAGTTTTCGTCTCTTCTCCATAGACATTTTAATGCTGTCATTCGTCTCGTCTTTCTGGGCCAACCCAAAAAAGCTCTTAAATTTGTCGCCAGCGTGTGGCATCATTCCAACGTTCTCAGCTCCTTTGAGACGAGACAAGCTGAATAACTTGGAATTGATTCCTCCGACATGAGGGTCTCCCATGTCGTCCTCATCATGGCCTATGAAGTCTTTAGCATTGAGAATACCATGGTGTACGGCTGACTCAAAGAGAGTGTTGCTGATGAGCTTAACAAACGAGCCAAGGTAGCTGGGGAAGAATGTGTAGAGCGCAAACAGGTTAGACCTGTCACCCTTCGGTAGGTTTTCGTCAAACTTGAGTTTGGTGGGTGAGGCCAATGGGGAGGACTCCACATGCGTGTTTTTGATGGAAAATGGAATCAAGTAGGACTGTCTTTCGTTGGCGCCCTCCTTGAAGAAACGCAAGTAAATCCATGAAGCGGCAAACGCCACTAATGCTTCACAATGCATGATGTGCCAGTCTGGGAAAGGAACACTGACAATGAACAAAAACACATACCAACAAAAAGGAATATACGTCACCTTGATGCGGAACAAGTTTTTGTAGAGAATGACATAGTGGTTGGCAATCCGTTGTTTCACTGCAACCAAGCATGCCATGATGATGGCAGTGGTAGACGAGACCACAGGCGGCACCGAAGTCAGATGCCAAAGGGCGTTCTTAGCAGCGTACCAGAAGTAAAGCCCCATATTCGTAGTCAAAACAGCCACTAGAATGAACTTCAAGAACGCTCTGGCGCCCCACTTGGCCTCCAAGTACCACCCTAGGTAGAAGACAGAGGCTGTAGCGAGGGTAAGGCTAAAGAAGCTTTCTTCAATAAACGACGCCGTAAGGAGCACCCACGGTCTTAGAGCCACTGGAGACCTCGTAGGCACGAATGTGAGGAACGGCACATAGAGATCATGAGGATGTGGGACCTCAGACTCACTGGCTGAACTGTTGGCGGTGTCCTCCGATTTGTGGGCTGCCACTATAAGCAGAAAATACGTGTAGTACTTGAGCACAGCGTTAAGTAGTGAAAGCAGCACGACCGCCACGGTGACTATAGAAGCCACTTTGGGCGGGTTCATGGCAATTAGTGGGTTATGGGTAGGTTACTCAAAGTAGGTGAAGTATGTGTACTTTAAAGCTCACAACCGCGAAACACCATCTACAACTTTCAAACCATGTTCAGAACAATACGTGCGGGCGCCAGAACGTTCAGGCTGTATTCTACAGTTGAGCCTCGTCCAAAGCCTACGTGGAGGCAACTTCTTCGGCCACTGGTTTTCAAGCTGCTTTTTCTTACGTTCGTTTTTGGTTCAGCAGTGGTGGATGCCACCAGGGCCCGTAAGGAACTAGAGGGTTTGAAGGCTGCTTATGAGGCTAAGTTTAGGATTATAAAGGATGTTACGGCGAAGATAAAGAACAGAGAGCCCGTGGACGTTGCGCTGGAGCTTCGTATTGCCAATGCTATTACCAGAAACAAGTATAACTCGGTGACTGATGTGGAGATGGATGAGCAGTTTGAGGATTTCCTTAAGATGGCAGACGACAGTCTTGGTGGAGCGGGAGGAGAAGGTTTAGAAGCTGGCAAGGCTCCTAAGTTTCTTTAATAGTTTAGGTGGATACTTGAGACACGACATAGCATGTACATACTGATATTTAACGATACCGACCAGTGGGTAAGTAAGGGGATGTAAAAGTGGAGTTAAGAGATGAACAGTATACGTGTTTTATCTTCATAAGGCCTTAGGGCTCTACAGACCAAACCATTAATATATCATTTATTACCCAATTACTAAAACAATTATGAAAGAACAACCCTAGCTTAGACGACTGCCAACTTCCTGATACTTCTTCTGTGAGTGTCACCAGCCTCGACGACCTTACCCTCCAGCTGCAACCTGCGAATACACTCGTTAAGGTCGCTATTCTCTATTCTGATACTCAGCTTCTCGTTAAGCTTGGCCACAAGCTCATTGAACCGAAGCTGCTGGTTAGGACTATCGTCAAGCAAAGAAAGCAACTCATGAGACAAGTCCTCTTGCATTCTTCTTTGAGCTGACGTCGTACCAGTTTGAACCATATCCATATCAATTCTTCCGGTAATAGGATCAGTGGCATAGTCTTTGATGGCAGACTTGATCAAACGAACAGCTTCCTTCACGTCAATGAGGTCCACAGTAGGACTCAATCTCATCTTGGCATGGGCTTCAGCCAAACGAACCATCGACTCAAGTTGTCTGGTGGTGGCTGTAATTCTCTTCTCAGAGGATCTGGCATCGTCTCCAAGCTTTCTCATATCGACATAAGCCCTCACCAACTCAGATTTACTTTCGTTGGTGATCTGTGGGTTGATGTTCTCCTTAGCATATTGGATGTAGACACTAAGGGTTTCAACTGGAAGAATAGCATTAGCAGAAACGCTTTCTGGAACATCCTCCAAGTACATGTCAGTAATATGACGAGCCAACTGTCTGTCGATAGATTCATCAACCTTGTCCAAAATCAAGTACACAAGATCAAAACGAGACAACAATGGTGGTGGCAAGTCAATGTTACTGGTAACTGGCAAGTTAGGGTCGTAACGAGAGTTGATAGGGTTAGCGGAAGCCAAGATGGAAGTTCTGGCATTCAATGTAGTGATAATACCTGCTTTGGCAATAGAAATAGTCTGCTGTTCCATAACTTCGTGCAACACAGATCTAGTAGCATCACTCATTTTATCAAACTCATCAATACAACAGACACCACCATCGGAAAGCACAAGAGCACCGGACTCCAACACAAGCTGCTTGGTATCGATATCTCTGGTGATGTAGGCGGTCAAACCAACAGCGGAAGAACCCTTACCAGAAGTATAGATACCTCTTGGAGAGATCTTGTGAACATACTGCAAAAGCTGGGACTTGGAGGTAGAAGGATCACCGCAAAGCAAGATATTGATATCACCTCTGTATCTACCACCCTTCTGGAACTGCTTGTTGGCACCACCAAAGAGCTGAAGCAAAATACCCTTCTTGACATCGTCCATCTCATAAATAGATGGAGCCAAAGAACGAGCTAACACTTCGTACAAGTCATCTCTTTGAGAGATCTCCTTCACACGAGCAATGTCTTCAGCGCTCAATTGTCTAACTTGTTCCACCTCGTTGGTATCAGTAGCTCTCTGCAGCATGGTAGATGGATCAGCGCCCAATTTCTTCTTGTCAATCTTTTTAATATGGACCACATCCAAATAAGTCTTGTACAAGTTCTTCAAAGCTCTCTGGCGGGCATTGACACGAACAGCCAAGGATCTGAAGATACCACAGACTTCAATACGGTCACCAGCACGACAACTATCAACTAGCTCGTCGTAGACACACAAATTGATAGAGTGAGGAGTTTGTCCATCAGGCACCAAATCAGGAGTTTCTTGCAACTTAATCACCTGCTTATCGGCAAAAGAAGAACGGTTGTGGATAAGAGACATGGAGTTCTTCTGACCACAGACCTGTCTTGGACACTGAGTTGGTTCAGAGATAACACCGCGGTCAATCTCCACGGCCATGGTATGGTCACAGGCGTTACACTTGAAGAAAGCCACCTTCATGTCGGGAATAATGGCACTGGCCCGCAACACCAATCCCTTGACGCTGACCAACTTGTCAATGTCGTTGGGGTTCAACTCACGCATACCACGACGCACAGAGTTGATGTTGTAAGGACGAATAGTATAGATGTTGGTCTCGATATCGTCAATAGAGGCGGGTGGATTGGTGGTCAGGTCCAGGAAAAGCGACACAAGACAGTCTTTCACGGTCTGATCCATAATAGGAATCACTTCTTGTGGGTAGTTGATAAGCTGGTAGTAGAGCTTACGCGTAGGAGGGTAAGCCAACAAGTTAGCAGCGTCCAAGTTCAAGTTTGTAGTACCCAAGTCTCTCATATTGTTGAGCTGGCCCACATAGTAGAGCTCCAGGTCCTCTGGCTCCACAGGCTGCTCGTCCATAGCCTTTCTGTGCTTCATCTTGAACAGCATAAGAAAGTCTCTGAACGAGTTGGTACAATCCTGAATCGACACATTGGTACCCCAAATCACTCTAACAGGCTCAGCAGTATCTTCAGAGCCCAACAGAGACGAGCCCAAAGCACTAGACAGACTGGGCTGGTGGCCTCTCTCACTGGAAAGCTGACCACCATCGAACATTCTTCTTCTTGGCGATGCCGACGCGTCTCCGTACAAGTCGGATCTCACTGGTCTTCTTCTGATTCTGTCCACGTCTGAAGTCACATTATCAGAACGTTGTCTCGAGCTTGGACCTTCCAGGCCAAGAGTACCCTGAGATGATGGATACCTAAGAGGAGACGAAACGCTTTGAGACAGACGAGCATGGTCAGACGAAAGGTTATTCGAGCCGAGGTGGATATCAGAAGCAAGATTGATATCAGAAGGAGGGTTGATATCCGAGCCAATGTTGATATCTGAAGGAGGATTGTTGTCTGAAGAAGGCTGGAAGAAAAGAGGCGACGAAGCTCCTCTTTGAGTTTGGGATTGGGAGTTCAGGTTCGAGTGGGAACCCGAATCCTGAGGAGTGTCATCGTTAGAAGGCCTCACTGGCGACGACGACATGGTGGAGGTTGAAAAAGAAGGTGGATGTGTGAAAGTGAAAGAAGTAGGAGATGGAAAACGGTGTACATTTTTCTGTCGCGACGCGCGTAATTAACCCGAATTGGGTTAATGCGGTACAGGAGGCGTCTGGAGGGAAGAAAAGACAGTTAGTGGAAAGTGATAGGGAGGTAAAAGAAAAAAAGAACGAGTGGGTAAATGAAGGCGGTTTACCTTGAAGATATAGATTTCCCGCTTTTGGTTCTTCTCTGGTCGATTGGTTGGGTGGGCTGTGGAAGTATGGCCGGGTGCGTGTCTCACTTAAGCGAGACGTTCCCTTTTTCGCAGCCATTGGTGGATGTCTCTGGAGGGTACTGGTAGAGGAAGACTGGTTAAGGACTAGTGGTGGATGAAGTTTGAATGTAACTTTTTTGTACCGGTTGATGACTTTTGCTAGGCTGGGTTTATGTTGGAGAGTTGACGTGGAGGTGTTGTTAGTTGCTTTCTGGATTCTACGGGCCATACAGAGAGCTACTGGTAGAAGTAATGTCACTTCGACTTCTAGACTTCTTTTCTTCATTTTGTAGATTTTTTAAGCTTCCTTGAATTTATCCCTTTCGTTCTTTTCAAATAATTGCCAAATTTAGGGTAAATAGTATCGGGTCTTAACTGTCCATGGAGTGTAAGAGCGAAGATTCAGTGAAGCACCCAAGCAAAGCCGAAGTCGAAGCTAAACTTTTCCCAAGTGTAACTAGACCATATCTAGTGAGCCACTGAAAATGTTACAATGACTTTGGAAGCCTAATACACGCTTCTCAGATTGTATACTCGGTTGGTACTAAGCATTAGGCCGAGTAGCATCACTACAGCAACATATATAGATGGTGAATGGAACTCTCCAACTTTCCTCGAGTCAAATAACAACAAATGAAAATAAGACCATTAGAAGACGCTCTAGTTGTGCTTTCTTGGCTGGGGGTTCCATGTATGGCCAGGAACCTACTTACACTACATCGACTCACTGAGACATACCGAGATAACCTTATAACACATCCACCTTCCAAGACATCCCACCAATTGTAAACCCAAATAAAACCCGCCATAAACCAATCCCTTTATTTCAATTTCCCTATCAATTCCGCTGATTAAAGCCTCCATTTTCATTCGTCCTCACCCATTCAGTCCATTCCTCTCGGCTACCTTCCACCTCGAGACAGACACCTAATAAATACAGATTCAACACGAAAAACACTAAACAGACCACCACCAAACACGAACCCCAAACCATCCATTTCCCTTTCCCCTCTACAACCACCCTCCTCACTCAAACCACCCCTTTAACTAACCCCCGAATAGCCACCATCTTTCCACTTTCCTCCCTTCCTTCTCCCACCACTCCATCTTTCCACATTTTCCACATTTTCCACCTTTTTCGCAGCCACTGCCCCTCAGCCGTTTTTCACCACAAAGTCTCCCCCTCCAACCACCTCCCATATAAACCCACACCCTTGCCTCCCAACCCTTCCAAACAACTATAAATACCCCCAGTCCCCCAATAACTTGACCTCCTTTTTTTTATATGTTTTCTTACATCCTCTCCCTCCCTCTGCCATTACCTGGCCTTCGTCCTCGGTCCCACGGGCCCTCCCAGTGAGGGGAGTGCATGCCATGTGACGTGTGTAGCCCGGGGACCCACCCCCCTCCACCGCACCGCGAGCCGACTATATAACGACCGATTACCCAGATCTCCATATTTTCCATTGGTTCAGTAGAACGTGCTAATACTAATAATATATCCCTTGATCCAGAATGACTAAAGTTACTGTTTGCGGCGCTGCCGGTGGCATTGGCCAGCCTCTTTCGCTTTTGCTCAAATTGAACCCTAGAGTGTCTCAGTTGTCTCTATACGATATTGTCAATGCTAGAGGTGTGGCTGCTGACTTGAGCCATATCAACACGCCTGCTGTGGTCACTGGCCACCAGCCTGCGAATAAGGAGGATAAGACTGCTGTGGTGGACGCATTGAAGGGCTCAGACGTGGTTATTATTCCAGCCGGTGTGCCCAGAAAGCCTGGTATGACTAGAGCTGACTTGTTCAACATCAATGCTTCCATTGTGCGTGACTTGGTGGCTAACATTGGTAGAACTTGTCCAAACGCTGCTATTTTGATTATTTCTAACCCAGTCAACGCTACTGTTCCTATTGCTGCTGAGGTTTTGAAGAAGTTGGGTGTGTTTAACCCTAAGAAGCTTTTTGGTGTCACTACTCTTGATTCCGTGAGAGCCGAAACTTTCTTGGGCGAGCTTATTGGCGAACAGCCACAGACTTTGAAGGGTAAGATTTCCGTCATTGGTGGCCACTCCGGTGACACCATTGTTCCATTGACCCACATTGACTCGGCTATCGCTGCTAAGGTCGATAAGCTTTCTGCTCAACAATATAAGGAATTCGTCCACCGTGTGCAATTTGGTGGTGACGAAGTCGTCAAAGCCAAGAACGGTGCTGGTTCTGCTACCTTGTCTATGGCTTACGCTGGTTACAGATTCGCCGAGTCGATCTTGGAGTCTATCTCCGGCCCAGGCTTCTCTGTCAAGGTTCCAGACTCTGCTTACGTATACTTACCAGGCTTGCGTGACGGCGCTGACTTGCAGGCTCAGTTGAACGACGTGAGCTTCTTCTCTGTGCCCGTCCACTTGCTTGCTGGAGAGATCCTGTCCTACGAGGATCCATTGAAGTTTAAGATCACCGACGGAGAGAAGGAGTTGGTGAAGGTCGCCTTGGGCGGCTTGCAACTGTCTATAGCTCAGGGCACCAACTTTGTGGCTGGCTCCAAGATTTAGTGCTAATACTACGGACTGTTGAATTATAACATTACATTCATTTCAATCTAATGGTAGATTCCATGTGCTCTCCGCTCTTCTACCATTCTCCAAAACATGGGGCCTGTCTTGGCTCTCCAATACTTACCTGTAGCCATCATGATGAGGAATGTTCCAAGACAGAAAAGGCAGATAAAAGCAGATGCAATAAAGGTATTCTGCAATCCAGTATTCTGGACCCACGGCGTGATACCGTAACTCACTGCAAAGCTCATGAGGTTTCTTATCACCACAACAGCACTGATGGCTTCTCCAGATATTTCATGATAACAGTCAACCACATAAGTTATTGCATTAACACAGCCAATGATACACAAACCAGCAGTGATACCAAAGCCAATAATAACACCTATCCAGTGAATGCCATGGTAGGCACCTACGCCCCAAAGAATTAGGGAACTAGGTCCCAAGATCATATAAAGAATTAAAGCCCATAGACGGTCTTCTGCTTCAGACACACCGCCTCTCTTCCTGGCGATCTTCACCTTTAACCAATCGACGACCCAGCCGGCGTAGAAGTATAAAAGAACTGTGAAGATGCAAGGTGAAATGTACGCTAGCCCACACATAGCACTGGAGAAGTTATATGGTGGAGCACTGAGTACCATTGCTTCTGTAGCATTAAGTACAGTGTACCAAATAAGGGTTGAGCCATAGAGGAAGCCACCCCAAAGGACTATTGGAAAACGAAACATAAGGAAAGTGGTTTTAATGAACTGCCACATAAGGAACTTCTTCTGGATTGCAGACGTCACTGAGAGTTTCTGGATGAACGTCTTGGGAGGGCTATACTCCAAAGCGTTATCTACAGAAACTAATTCTGCCTGGTTACCAACGTTAGTGATGGCTGTAAGCTGTTCTCTATCCGAGCTCAGGGAACCAGAATTGACTGTCACCACCGTATGGGTCTTTTCCCATTGGCCTCCAGAAGTCACCACCGCTAATGTTCCAGAAGCGTTTTTTGCAACCTTGAGTTTCCTTTCATAAGTCGTTTCTTCCATAAAAAAGAAGAGAAATACAAAACTGGTGCAAGCAAAAATAATCGACCAGAAAATAACCCATCTCCAGCCTCCAACATCAGTGTCTGCAGAGTTCTGGTTAATAAACCCAGCTACCAAAGGAGCAATATAGTTTGAGGCATAAAGCGAAACAGCATAAATACCCATATACGTTGCTCTTTCATGCTCAAAGTACAACTCAGAAATGGAAAGCTCAGGTAAAGCTTCAATAGGCGAAGTGAATAAACCAGCAAGGATCTTCGAGGCAATCCACTCTCCATTGGAAGTAACCCATGGCTGCCATAAATTAAACATGCCTCCTCCAAGACAAGAAATAAGATACACGGGTCTCTTTCCAATTTGCAACGCCAAAGGCTGAAAGAAGATATTTCCAAGACCCATGAACAAGAAAGCGTACCCAGTGCCAGCATTGAGATTCGCCAAACTGATACCAGTGCCCTTGGATATTTCAGGCAAAATGGAATAAATACATGTACCTGGAACTCCAAGGGCAAAAGTGTAAAGAACAATACAGAACATATGAAGGTTCTTTCTTCCTCGAGACCAGTTCAACGGGTCGTTTGGGTCATCGGAAGGTGTGGGAATAAGAATAATATCTTTCTTGGTCTTACTTTCATCAATCAAGTACCCGGTGCCAGGCACCACGCTATAGTCTATCATTTTTGTTTGATACAATTTGAAAGTGGAATTGTCTCTGTTTTATAGCACAAAAGGGCAATTCCCGTTACCACTATCGTCTCCAGCCCAATTCGTCTCTTATCAGGCAGTTACGAGCTCTGCCATATCTAGTAGGCATATCGGCTACTACCGTTTTTGCCCCATTATTTCTCGATGTACTCGAGGAAGTGTCAAGCCAAGACCTACGAAGACAGTTACAGAACCGGTGAGATTAGACGTGCTCCAATTTGGTATTCTTGCGCTTATCAATTGCGCCTATTATAGATAGTGGAGTAGGACAAAGGAGGTTGCACAATCAGCTAGAGTTACTTTTTTGACAACTATCAAAGCCAGGAATGTTCTCCTGAATTCCCCTTTATCTAGTATCAACCCCAGCAAAGTGTACCAGGGCTTGTCAGGTACTAGAACCCGCCTTGTCGTGTAGTATAGCCGCCTCACAGTAGCCTCGGCTATCTGTCATGGTTACTAATTATGTTTCGGCGGTATCAGCACCCCAAGGGATTCTTTAGGGGTGATAAGAAGAGATGGGATGATAAGGTTGCTCTGACGTTGAGTTTTGCTCTATTCTCTGCTTCTTTTGTTCCTTAAATTTATGTTTTTGGCTGCAAATGGTGGAACGTGGCCAGCCAATGAATGCACAAGAAACGCTTCCATGTCACAATATCCATCCACAGCAACGTGGAGATCCAACGTAATCTTCTTTGCAGTGATCAATGCACTTTTCGGCTCGGTTTCCCAAAAGTGATGTCTAATCGGCAAGCCTGAAACAGCCCAAGAGTCACAGAAGCACAAAAGAGTGGATTATATCTCAAAGACGTTACGAGATGCTTTTCAGTAGTTTTTCTCGGCTACCGGAAAAATTTAAGGTTCTTTAGTACTTTGCTGTGTTCCTAACCATCAGCAAGATTTAGACGATGTAGGTTCTTATCTATGGCTAGTGCCTCGGAAGAGGTACACATGTAACGCTACAAATGCTGGAAAAACCTGGAAAAATGAAACACACAGAGGAGAGACAGAAATGTGGTTCAAGGCCAAGAAATTTCCAAACTGGCCCAAAAGGAACATTCTGTGGTTCCATCCACCAGTCTCTTCCATCACTGGTAAAGTACCACTCCATAAGCCCTACACCATTATCCCATACAACTTTCATGCCCTAATAGACCAATTCCCAGTTCTTTCACCTTCAAACCACAACTTCCAACCATACTAACCTCCCAAAGCAAAAACCCCCAAACACCCACTTTTGTGTTACCGTTATCATAAGAACCGTTATCCCATACTTTGGGTGCGACATGCCAAAAAGAGCCCACCCAGCAGCACCCAACGGCCATGGAAAGTTCAGAAAAACACCAGAAAAGCAAAGCATCAAAAACAACCAATGCCTTCCCTTTTCACTAACTGGTCCCTTTTTTCCACCAATTTCCCAAGCCATTCCTTTCATCCCCACCGATCGGAAGTAAACTATCTCCGCAGCGCTACCCCAGATTTTTCACACATCGGCCTTTCACGTGTGTTTTGCGCCGGCTGGGAGAGCCTACCCCAAAAAGGCAACCCTCCACTTGAAACATCCCAACGCCTGTTCTTTTTTTTACTTGAATCCCAGGTGATACTATTTCCAATGAACTCTTTGGATACTTTGCTCGAGGAACTCGTCATTCCTCACGACGGAAACTCTCTTCCTGATATCAATGGTATAGTGGCTGGCTTTACAGACTCCAAGAGGACCAAGTACCTTGCTGCTAAGGGAGTGAAGCGGTTTGACAAGTTGGACCCGGTGACTACGGATACTCGTCTTGCGTTCTTTTCTTGTACAAAGACCATCACTGCCATGGCGGTGTTGCAGCTTTATGAGCGTGGGGTTATTGATTTGGACGCTCCAGCGAAGAACTACTTGCCTATGATCGGAGAGATTGGGCTTATTGAGCCTGGCCAGGTGGACGATGAAACGGGTGAGTTTAAAACACCTCCAAGGAAACCAGAAAATGATGTTACGGTTCGCCATTTGCTTCTTCATACCGCTGGCTTTGCCTATATGTTTACTGATCCAGATTACTTCAATATTGTCATGAACAAGCATAAGGAACACACCGGCGCTACGCCTTCCTTGCGTATGTTCGCTACAGACGTCATGCCTTTGGTGTTTGAACCAGGTACGCTGTGGAGATATGGCCATTCTCTGGACTGGCTTGGTTTGGTCGTGGAGAAAGTCAGCGGCAAGAAGTTCTCCCAATACCTTCAAGAGAATATCTTCGACCCAGCGGGTCTTAAATCGTTTACATTCCGTATAGATGACGAGGAGAGGTTGGTCCCTATCAGCATGAGAAAGGACGATGGCACTTTGCGTGTATTGAGAAAGAAGCCTGTTCCACATAAGCCAAGCATCGATATGGGTGGCCAGGGCTGTTTCGGTACCGTCGGTGATTTCTTACAGTTCATGAGAATCTGGCTCAATAAGGGTCTTTGCGTGGAGACTGGTGCTCAGATTTTAAAGAAAGAAACAGTAGAGTACGCTATCCAGACTCATTTACCTGAAGGTGTCCATGTGGAGCTCGATACTGCCATGACTGGCGAGGCTCCCTCTGACTTTGTCCCAGATAATTTTACCCTTACAGGCTGTGCCTATAACATGAATGACTTGCCAACCGGTAGACCTAAGGGCTCGATTTACTGGGCTGGTTTGGCCAGTTTGTATTTCTGGGTTGATTTTGAGAACGACCTCGCTGGTTTCTTCGGATGCCAGATCCTTCCTTACCTCGATTCCCCTTGTCTTGTGGGTTACATTAGATATGAGCATGCTGTTTACGAGTTGTTGCGAAAGCAAAAGGAAGCCATCAAGGGCAGACTTTGATTTTGGCATATTTAAATACATTTTTTCTGCATTGCAGCAGCTCTATGAATAGTATGGACAGAATATATGAAAAGCAGACTTGTTTAGTGTAAGCCCAACTTATCCATTCTAACTTGAACGGCGTTTCTGTGGGCCTCCAAGCCTTCCACGGCTGCTAGCGTCATGACGGCCTTACCAATACTCTTCAAACCTTCTTCAGTGACATTCTGTGACGTGATGAACTTCTGGAATGTAGCAGTGTTCACACCAGAGTATTGTCTGGCGTAACCGTATGTTGGCAAGGTATGGTTGGTACCACTGGAGTAGTCACCACAAGATTCTGGCGACAAGCCACCAATGAAGACAGAACCAGCATTTTCAATTTGGCTTGGAACGTAAGAATCAGCATTCTCGATCTGCAAGATCAAGTGCTCTGGGGCGTATTGGTTACTCAAGGTGAAGGCTTGTTCGTAAGTATCAACAAGCAAAGTACAAGAGTGAGCCAAACACTTGGCAACAATCTCCTTTCTAGGAAGAGCGTCAGCCTGTCTGGCCACAGCCTCTTCGAACAGAGCAAGCTTAGCATCGCTCAAGCCAACACCAAGAAGAATGACTTGAGAGTCCACACCGTGCTCAGCTTGAGACAACAAGTCAGAGGCAACAAAGTCAGCATCAGCGTCTTCGTCAGCAATAACTAGCACTTCAGATGGACCAGCAGGCATATCAATAGAACACAAAGCTTGAGTGTCGTTCTGAACATGCATCTTGGCAGCAGTGACAAACTGGTTACCTGGGCCCAAGATCTTGTCACACTTGACAACGCTCTCTGTACCGTAAGCCATAGCAGTGACAGCCTGGGCACCACCAGCCATAACAATAGCAGATGCACCAAGCTTGTGAGCGACATAAACCACCTCAGGAGTCAATTTACCAGTAGCACGCAGTGGAGGAGAAGCGAGAACGATGTTTTTGCAACCAGCGACCTTGGCTGGAGTACCCAACATCATAGCAGTAGAAGGCAAGACGGCCGTACCACCTGGAACGTACAAACCAACGTTTTCAATAGGTTTAGCGAAACGAGAACAGTAGACACCAGGAGAAGTCTCAACGGTCATGACCTCTTCCTGTGGTAGCTGGGCTCTGTGGAACTTTTCGATATTTTGCATAGACAAGTCAATTGCCTGTTTCATGTCTTCGGTAATGTCCATCAATTCAGCTGGGAATGGAGCTTTAAGAACAGGTTCGTTCAACTCGACACCGTCGAATTTGGCAGTAAGCTCGACCAAAGCCTTATCACCATTCTTTTGGACGTTCTCAACAATCGGAAGCACCAACTTCATGATATCAGAAGTCTTCTGGTTAGGTCTGGTCAAGGCCTTCTTGATGTCGTCTTCAGAAGCACTAGAAGCTCTGATGATCTCCATTTTGTACAGTGGTTGGGCTGGCTCTTCAGGAACCTCCTGCTTTCTCTTCTTGGCAGCTGGCTCTTCAAGGTATTGTGGCTTTGCGTCACCCTTTCTTCTAGTAACCTTCATCGACTTGATATCCAAGTTTCTCTCGATATCAGCCAAAGAAACACCATGCTTGACAGCCCAGGTCATGGCGAAGTAGAACAAGTCAGCAGCCTCCCAGGCGACTTCCTTGGTGTCCTTCTTCTGGCCAGCCTCAATAAGCTCGTCCAACTCCTCCTTCATTTTAGCAATGAGCAAGTTGTCATCGCTAAAGAGTCTTTTAGTGTACAGCCCTTCAGGAGCATTGGCCTTTCTCTGAGCCAAGGTGGCATCCAACTTTGGCAAGCCAGCGCCGTTAGCATTAGAGTTCTCTCTGAGCTCACCATCCTGGAAACAAGTGTAGTTGGTTTCCAAGTGGCAGAAGCCGTAGCCAGTTCTAGGCTCAACCACAAACTTAACCACATCGTTATCACAGTCCTTCTCCAACTTAACAAGCTTTTGCGTAGCACCAGAAGTCTTACCCTTGTACCACAATTCCTCTGGTCTCTTTCTGGATTGGTAGACGCCCTGGCCTTCAGCAATGGCAGCCTTAATAGAAGCCTGCGATGAATAGACCACACCCAAAGCAGTATAAGAAGGAGCTGGGGTGGTGACAAGCGTCGTATAAAGACCGTCTGGTCTGTCAGTGGTCAAAGTAGCGACGAAAACAGACGAAATAGAAATCTGAGCACCAGAAGCTTCGGTAGCCAAAGTCAACTGGTCAGTAGGCAACACCAAAGTGTAGCCCTGGGCGGCCAACTGTTGGGCCTGTTCTTGAGACACCTGAGCCTTCAAGAAGACCTCTCTGTTGCCCTTCTGTGATAACGTTTTCAATGTCTCTTGTTCCAATGCTTCGCTGACCACCAATGAGGCCAGCGACTGGAGAACTTCCTGTGGAGCCAGAGAGTCAGTTTCCACGGCCAATCTGGCTGGCGGCACACCAGCACCAGTGAATTTAGCAAATTGAGCGGTATTGACAAAAATCTGAGAAACGCCCACGTTCAACAAGGCAATGGCCTCGTCCACAGAAGCATCAGCGGTAGAAGCATCCACCGATACAGTTATGGAAGAAGGAAAGCTAGAAAGAAGGTACTTTTCAGGCTTCACAGCAGAAAAAGGTAAAAGCACTTTGCCGGTGACAGCAAAAGCAGCAGCATCCTCAGGCGTGCTAGCAAGTGGTAGCACGGGAAATGTCATGGATGTGGTTGGTGAAAATGTAACGCTCAAGGTTGACTTTTCATTATTTTTCAGCCAAGATAGATAAGATATGCGCGGCCTCTGAGTCATCGAGACTCAGATTGGACAGAGGGAGAGAAAGAGGGACAAAAAGAGAGTGGGTCAGGGAGAGAAGAAGAGTGTTGTGGGAGTACTTTAGGGAGCTGTTTGGTTTTGGATTTGTGTTTTTGGGGATTTTGGGTGGTGGTTTTGGAGGAACTTGGGGCCTTTTCGCAGCCATGGGTTGGTGATGAGCGCCAAGATGGAAGCCTGCGACCAAGAAACCGTTGGAATCTTTGAAGGGGATGATTTAAAGGCATAGAGGATGAGGTGAATAAAGAGCATTTGGAGGTCTTTAGAATTTGCGTCTTTTTTGTTTTTCTTGTTGTCGAAGGGATTCTTAGTCTGGTACTGAGGTGAGGCCTGAGGACCCTCTGGATCACTAGAGGCCATTCTAGGTAAGTGCCGTTTATATTGAAGTTCAATAGTGATGGGTTTTATAGAGCCATGCAAATAATGTTGATTATGGGTCTTAGGGTTCTTTTCGTTAGAAACGTTGTCTGGATCAATGGGTTGCCTTGTGACTGGGGTAACCCAATTAGCAGCCAGTGATCTCACCATGAAGAGTAGCGAGATCTTTTTTAGTTCCATGGTATATTTGAAAGTAGGTCATTCTTTGGAAAGTGATGTGAGGGCATGTTTATTTTTTGGATTTCGGCATTATAGTGGTCTACGGAATTCCTATAAGTGTTCTTGATTTTATAACTTTTGTATGGAGAGGTAGGAAAAGTAGAGAATATCAAAAGCAGCCTGAAAAATCGAAAACTGACAATAAACAAATTATTTTTGGATAGACCGAAATCTTAATCTTCAAAGATCCACATAATTAAATCTCTCTTTAAAAGGGCCTTTTTTGTGTAAGTTGTTGCTTGTTCTTCTTCCATCCTCAGTGCGTCTCTGGTATCACCTACTAATATCCTGAGTGCGTCTCTGGTATCTCCTACTATATCTACATTCGCAAGATTATCCCTAAATTTTTTTTTTTTATACTCATGCATTATTTACTGGCTTCGCGTCATTAAAAGTTGAACTCACCTCTGAACTGGTCTAAGTTCATTCCAGGTTTCACGAGCTCAACCAAATCTCTTCTGTCCATGGCAATGAACGATCTCTTCAATGTCTCCATCAAGGAAGACGACTGGTTGTGACTAAGGGTGGATTCCTGACCTTCAACTTGATGCATTGCCAATCCACTAAGCAAGTGCTCGGCTGCCTCCTTGTAGCAGCTGATGTTGATGCACGACACACCCAAGTTGTATCTGGCACGGACAAAGGTTGGTCTAAGCTCCAACGCCTTAAAGTATGCATTGACGGCCTCCTCTGAACGGTTCGAGTTGGCCAAAGATGCACCCAATCTGTTCCACAAAACGGGGTCATCTGGTCTAATTGAAAGAGCCGCCTTGAAGCAGTCGATAGTCTTGTCAAAGTCCTCGTTGGCGTAGAAGAGCACACCGAGACCCATCTGCACATCGGCGTTCATGTTGGCCTGTTCTGGCGACAACTGAGCAGCCTTGATGAACAATTCAGTTACTCTCTTGTGCAAAGTGAATCTGTCCTCATCAGAAATGGTTGGGTTTTCTTGACGTGCCTGTTCGGCGATAACTGGGTAGGTGGTGGCGATCCAACGCTCCAAAGTAGCAAAAGCAGCGTTGTCGTAACCTTCGTTAATGTAAGAAATGGCCAAAGTCATCAATGCCTCGGAGTTTTCTGGGTTCAACTCAAGACACTTTTCAAGAGCAGTGATACCGGCAACTTCCTTTTCGTTTTGAGTTTGAACCTCACCAAGCTTGAGCCAGGCCTGGACGTGGTTTTGGTCACGGTTGATGGCAGCCTCGAAAGCCAAGGCAGCTTCTGACAACTTGGCACCGTTCTCCATCAACTGAAGACCAATCTGGTATGGGTCCTCGGTTTGAGGCAAGTCAATGAACTGGTTCTGCTCGGCAGATTCAAACTTGTAGTCACCGAAGTGAGCTCTAGTGGAGGCGTACTTGGCGAAATCTCTTTCCCACTGCAGCATGCTGGCAGGGTAAGTCTCGCCCTGAGAGTTCTTAAACTCTTCGTACTGTTGAGAAATAAAGTCATTTTCAATGGACTCCAGGTTCAACGAGTCCCACACTTCCTGAAATGTGGCCTGGTACTTATCGTCGATAACTGGATCGGCTTCAACATCTTCTTGTTCAGCCGTGGCCACCTCTTCGGCAGCCAGAGCGTCTGCGCTGAGCTCCTCGATCTCCTTGAACTGGTTATCCCAATCCACAGCAGTTTCTTCAGCCTGAGCAGGCTGTTGCTGCTGCTGCTGCTGTTGCGAGGTTCCAGCCATAGTGGAGCCCATGCCCATACCCATCATAGGTCTATAACTCATCATAGGCATTCTGTTCTGTTGCATGTGGTTTTGCTGTTGTTGGTGTTGAGGAGCCTGGGAGAACTCAGACGCCCACTGGGCGTTATTCAAAGTTCTAGGAACGGCACCCTGGGACTGGGTATGGCTATGGACAGGTTGGGAGGACTGGGCATTAAACTCGTTTAGCCAGTTCTGTTGGTTTCCAGCCTGAGGCTGCTGAGGAGTCTGTTGGATTCTGTTGAGTTCATGGCGCATAGGTTGAAACTGGAAAGGCGAAGGCGAAGGGGACCCGCCACCCATGAACTGGTCCAAATCACGCTGGTTCATCATCTTGTCATTCTTGAACCCCTGGTTGGCCACCTGACCAGGCTGGTTCGTTTGCCGTTGAAGAGAACGGTCTTGTTGAGTGTGTTTGTTGAGCTGGGCCACGGCATTTCCATTAACGGAACAGTCGGCACCGCCAAAAAAAGACATGATGTAGGATTAGTTGATCTGGGGAGGTGGAAGAATTATGGGCGGTAATAAATAAAAATCGGAATTAGCCGCAGGGCGTGGGGGAACACACGACGACCAGGGAAATATAAAGAACTTCTGAACTTTTGTTCTGCCAAAAAAAAAAGGGTAAAAAGTGTCAGGGGTTGGCTGACTAATGTGACTTTTTTCGGTTTTTTTCCGATCTGTGACTCTGGGGATCCGCTGCTTCTTATATAGTCCTACTGCCTCGGGTGTGGAGAGATCCTTTTTTCACTACCACCGAGGCAAAAAAGCATAGGGAAATGGGAAAAAACGTCACTCTTGGACGCCCCCCATGTTTCGGTATGTGCACTACCTGGCCATAGTTAACCCTCGCGCTGATTTGTGTACTGTGCTTGTGATAATGGAGAGGAGGGGTGGGACTGGGAGATAGTAGAGGGAAGGGATATGGAGGGTGATTTGGGTGAATTTGGGTGGTTTTGGAAGGGGGAAAAAAGAGGGGGTTGGGAAAGCCAGGGGAGTCACGTGGGGGCTTATTTTCTGGATTTTGGGTGGAAGAAGGTGTTTTGGCGGAGGGTTGGTGGAGGGTTGGTGAAGGGCTATATGGATGGAAGTGTGCTGCGAAAAATGGGAGGGAGTAGTTGAGGGAGTGAGGGATGGGTTGGGACAGTGGTTGGTTGATTTTGGGGAAGGGGGTTTGGGGTTGGAAAAATATGGAAAAATGGGGCAGAATGGGGTAGTTTGATTGGTGGGTTGGGGGTTTGTGGTTTGTAGGTTTGTGGTGGATTGGTTGGGTGAGAATCGGAGGAACACCGAGATGGAGATAACCAAGGGGGAGTGTAGTAATGAGGTTAGGGCGGTGGTAAGAGGAATTAGATGATGTGATATGGGGACATTGCTTCTGTTTTGTTTCTTTCTGGTTTATCCAAATATGAAGTCTCTGCTTTGTGGTATGTATTGAGGTGTTATCTGATAAAGGTGCAGTGATTGTGCAACAAAGGCACTTTTGTGGTACTGAAGAGGCATCTGTAGATATGGACAATGGAAGAGGTGTAGAAGAGCATTCTTTTGGGAAACTGTTCAATAAGACTGAAATATCCGCTCGTGTTCTTCGAAGGCCGGTTCATTGGTCACTGGGTTGAAGCGTTTATAGGGAGCCCTAGCTTGGTAATTCGGTAAACTTCAAGTCTTTCAGAATCTCCTCTTGCATTTCTTTCCAGATCGAATAGACTGCAAAGGAAGAAAATCTACATGGCATCGGCCTAAGCAGTACTGCTTTAGTTTATGCTAAATGTAACTATTATCTTGAACATCATAACCCCATCAATTACCATAACTCACCTCTACCCCTACATCCCTACAATGTCAATTCCTAAAACATCGTAATAAATACTAACAACTATTTCTCTTTAGAACAGGTAGAACCAGCAAACCCGCTTCCTTCGTAAAATCATCATCACCACTCCACTTCCTTTCCTCCACTATCACATTCAAGCTTGTTGCAAAGCTCATCCAATTCCCGAACACTCTCGTTAGTCAGACCACCCAAAAACGCTGGGTTTACCATTCCACCTCTCTTTTCTTCAAGAGCAAAATGATCCTTAACCATATCTCTGACGAGACCCTGGTAATACAAGACCCCTCTTTCTTTCTGGGGGTGCAAAAAGCCAGAGGAGTAGATTCCCTGGTTCAAGTTCTTCTGTGTCAACTGGCACAAATTGAAATCTTCCAATTCGACCAACTGCAAGAAATCCACAAATTCGGTCTTTTCGTCCTCAGGAAGACCCTTCTTGGTGTAAATGTCATATTGCAAAATCGTCCTGGTAGCACTGATTGGAAGCACTCTAATTGAGTACCATGCTGGCGAGTAGCAGTTGATACCGTTGGTGGGGTACAAGTAAACCCACAAGCCGTTGAATTCACCACCAGGGTTTCTCTTTGGCTCTGGTTTCTTTGTTTCAGCCTTTTTCTTGCCGAACCCAAACCACGAGGATTCCAGCTCTGGCTCCTTCTCTTCCTTTGGCTCGTTTCTTACAATCTCAGCATAGTGACGACAGTATCTGGTTTTAGGCACCACTTTGTACGTTTCCATTCTGAAAGCGGTGTTCAAACCTGGATGGGCAGTTGGACAGTGGTAGCATTCCTGGTATCCGTCCATCAAGGTCTTCCAGTTGAAGTCGCCGTCCAATTCATAGGACATGTGGTATTCGTAATCGGAAAAATCGAATTCACTCATTTCGGCTGTAACACCTTCAAAGAACTCCTCAAACTCCATAAACTGTTCTGGGTCGTTACAGAAGTTAACGAAAACCAAACCCTGAGGAGTCACATGGGTCTTTATTGGAAATAAAGAGTTTTCAGACTTTTCAAAGCCTTCCACGTTATCAAACTTAGGTGCTTTGGTTAATAAACCATCCGAGTTGTAACTCCAACCATGGTATTTACATCCAACAACAGTAGAAGAACCCTTTTCTTTCTGAACAACAGGGTAAGCACGGTGACGACAGACGTTATGGAAAGCTCTCAATTTACCGTCAGTCTTGGATTTGATAACGAAAAAATTGATACCGGTAAAGTTGAATGAGTAGTAATCACCAGCTTTCTTGAATCTCGATTCGTGGATACAGAACAACCAAGATTTGTTGAAAATGGCTCTTTTTTCCAATTCAAACACCTTGTCTGACGTCCACCAGGAAGCTGGAAGAGTGTGTTCTCCAGGCAAAAGGGACTCCTTTGGGTCGTCCATTGGAGGAGCAGCAGGCTTGGAAACTTGAGCAGTAGCCATGATATATTGAAGAGTAGTAGAGTCTGAAGAAAGAAAACCAACTGGCGTGGTCCCGCAAAGCAAGCCATTATATATATTAACGATTTTTTCTTATTTTTTTGTATTTTTTGCAGCCATTCTTATCGGGCCCGCAACACATTACCAGTTTTAGCAGCCAAACCCTCTTAATGATAATGGGAGGCACGGGTGCACATTCGTCAATTATTCCGTCAAGATAGTCGCTTATGCGGCCTGCCCCCCACTTTGACACCAGCTATTCCGCCCATTATGGCTTATCATTGCGTAGGGAAAAATGCTTATCTATTTCCCCACGATAGGCTGTTTACTGGAATTGGTCAAGTAATCCATGAAGTCTCACCACTTCTTGTGCAACATCGGGGTCGATGGAAGCTGCCAAAAGAGTGTTGAGTACGAATTCGCTTTCTGGCTGCACTCTGTAAAGAGCTTCCAATTTGACCAAAGCTTTCTGGATATCAGCTTTATCAGTTGAGTGATCGTAGGCTCCTTCTTTTAAGGATTGCTTGATAGTAACTGCCTTTCCAAGTAAACTGTTCACCACGGTGAGCGACTTCGTCCCCACACATGATAAGATCTTATGCTCCTGAGAGTGTCTGGGGAACTTCACGGACTCTGTGATAAGCGAGAAGGTATTCTTGGTAAAGTTAAACATAAGCAGCTGGATGTTATCAGTCAACCACCAAAGGGGGAGCTTGTTGAGGTGTGCATTCACTTCTTCTGACGGAATTAAGTCGATTATGAGTTTGGCGCCAAAAAGTGCCTGTAACGTAGTTGAGGACCGCTGCAAAGCAAACCTGGTAAACTCAATCCCACTGACAGTAAATGGCATGATGCTCATCATTAACTTGAATGCCCTGGTGATCAAAATACCCGATTTGAGTGCCTGTTCGTCGCCCTTAAGATATGCCAATGCCAACTTCTTCGTTTCGTGGTGATCTTCTGGAGTCACACTCACTGCACCCGCACTTGGATGTTCCACCGATGAAATCACATTCAAGGATCCCGTCAAGACGGCTTGGAAATAAGCCTTGCTCTTTGGCTCCCTCACTAACAATTTAGCAATGGTGTCCACACCATAAGGTAAGTACGTGTGGACATCAACAAGGGCAGCTGGAATAACACAGCTTCTCTCTGGATCATTTTCAAATTCATCAAGCTTTGGAGCAAAGGCACTGACAAGCAAGAATGTAAGGAATGCCTCTTCAAGATTCTGGAGTTCCATGTGGAAAGCAATTTGATCCAACATGACAAGCGAGTCCTTAAGCAAACAAAACCTCTTTCTTTGGAAAATGAAGACTTCTGGATGAACAGAAACGGCCTTGATCGTTTTGAAAATCAATTCACGGTAGAAGGAGTTCGATGCCATGAGAGCTCTGCTATCACCCGTGAAAGAGAGGTTTCTCAACGTCATAGTAACTGTGATCAACAAGTCCACAAGGAAAATCTGTTCGTTTGTGGCACTCTTGGTTTGGATCTTGCTGAAGTGATGCTTGTTCTCTTCTCTGAAAGTAAGCAAGCCGGTAAGGAAGTCTGGAACGTTGAGAGAGCTGTAGTCAGAAGAGCTCGTCACAGTGTCTGGCAGATCTGATTCACGTTCCTCAGGTGAGAAGACCTCATCAACTTCAATATCAGAGTCCTCATCTTCCACCAACTCTGCAGTCAATGAGTCAACATTGTACACGATATCCTCGCCGTGCATATCACCAGTCTTCACGTACTTCTCAAAGATAGCATCAATAGGACCCTTTGGCTGAGACTTGACTTCCTCGTAGGTTTTCTCTGGCTCTGCAGTGTTTGTAATCTGGCTCAAGACCTTTAGACCAACATTAGTTAAGGCATCCAAGAGCTCAGGGGCATCAGAAACCTTGAATTGACAGTTAGCGTCCGTAGTTGTCACAAGCAAAGTATTGAGAGCGGAATAAATCTCGCCAGGGTTAGAAAGCGTGTAGTTCTTGAGGGACATGGTCAAGGCATGAATGTTCAAAGAACCCAATTCTGGAGCAAACAAGTACACGGGTTTAGTAAGTTCGATCTCAGCAGAGATATCGGAAATACCCTTGAGAGTGACAGCGCCGTAAGAATCAGTGTTCTCCTTGATAGGAACATACTTCTTGATGGTATTAGGATCACCACCGTAGCTCTCTTCACCAGTACCAACAACCAGTCTTCTTGGAGTAGCAGAGGCCTCGTACCTCAGTTGGGCAGATGTCAGGCGCTGTGTCACACTTCCAGAGCGAGAAAGACCTTGTTGCTGCAAGTATGGGGATTGAAGCACAGCAGGCGAGCCTTGGTTAGATCTACCAACTTGAGATTGCTTCCTCAGAAGACCACCAGGGGCAGGGGATGGTTGGTTGATATCTATCGGCTGAGGCTGGGGCTGGGAGATGCGACCCGAATGCTGGGCAGAAACGTTTGGAGTTGGCATGGAACTTGTATGTGGGGACTGACCAGGCGCCTGAAACTGATTCACGTTTGGAGAATTTCTATCATGCTGTTGTTTCATTTGCTCTTCCTGGAGCTGCTGTGGCCTTTGCAGTAGGTTTTGGTTTGCAGCCAGATTCTGTGGCTGTTGACCCTGCTGTCTTTGTAGTTGTTGTTGCTGTTGCTGGAAGCGAAGGTATAGTTGCCTTTGGAACTGAACACGACGACCTTGAAGGTCTTTGCGGCCCTCCTCAGTCAGATCGTACTGCTCGTAAGGAAGAATATATTGTAAGTAGACGGTACCGACCAGTTTTTCAATCTGTTGCTTGGCCATCACGTTAGACAGCACATCAACACCCTCTAGTAATCCCAACTTCTTACACAAGTTCGTCCAGTCCGTGATTTGAGGAGAAGGTTGGTTCAATGTCTGTAGATGTCTGAGCACTGCCTGAGCGCCACCAATCTTTCTTGTCAACAAATGAAGTATAAGCAAGTTGATCTTTTTGTTATTCACCATTGGTGGTTGCGTAATCGGCGTTCCACGACGGTTCATGAAGTCGGTGAGCGTCATCTGCAACAGCTCGTACTGCAACAGGGCAAACTGATTTTGTGTGAGTTTTGGAGCATTAGGGTTGTTTCCACCAGGAGGGTTACCGCCTTGGAAACTGCTTTCCGAGCCAGGAGTAGGCGCACCTGGCATTTGCTGGCCCTGGCCCATAAAGTTCTTGTTCATTCCACCAGGACCCTGCTGGCCGCCAGCCATGGCAGGATTAGCAGAGCCAAACTGTCCCATCTGAGGGCTATTCTCAAACCCACCTTCACGCATGTTCATATTCTGAGAAAGGTTCTGATTAGCACTCATTTTATTCTCACCAAGCAGGTTCTGGTTAACCATATTCTGAGGAGCACCCATGCCCTGGTTAGACCCACCTCTTGGCTTATTACCCTGAGCTTGCATTCCATGAGGCGAGGCACGGCCCATCTGGTTGCCCCCCATTTGATTACCCATGAATTGCATGTTGCCAGGCCCCTGTGGACCACCCATACCGCCAGGCCCAGCCGAGCCAGGTACGTTGAAGCCACCGTTATTAGCATTGAAGTTTTGGTTCAAATTCTGGTTAACATTTCCTCCCATACCGCCGGGAGGAAAATTCCCACCGAGCATCTGCCCGTCATTGTTCATATGAGGCGAGTTTCTTGCACCTGCCAATTCAGGCTGCTGTCTATGCTGAGCCTTCTGTTGGTTATGGACCATCTGCTGGTGCATTATCTGCTGTCTCATCTTTAAAAGCTGTTCCTGCTTCTCTCTATTAAGCTGCTGTGACGATGCATTGCTACCGCCATTATTACCATCGCCTCCAAGTCCTCCCTGGGGCATTTGGTTCTGGCCCATAACACCACCCTCGTTGCCTCTCATAAACATCTGAGGCAGCTTACCGTCGAGCAGAGGACCACCCAGAGAATGTGGATTGGACTGTTTTTGTAACCCAAATTCACCCAAACCAAGGTCGCCCTGGGCAAACAAGTTGGCCTCGGGGCCTTGCTGGCTTGGAGGTTGTTTTTGGTGGTTTTGAGGGCCCATGGCGTTGGCGCCTGGAAGAGGCTCATCGAAGATAGGACCCACCATGTCTGAGTCACCCAGCTGGCCAGGGCCTTGGAAGGCGTCTTCTTTGAACCAGAAGTTGGACATTTGACGAGATGTAGGGTTCTGTGGAAGGGTAATATTGGCTGGGGGAGTTTGATATGAAAATACCGGTGCGCAGGTCACGTGACACCCAGCACCTATCCACGGTTGGAAAGCCACCAGAAGCCCCTAAATAACGGTGATTTTATGTATTTTGGTATTTTACGGTGGTAGAGGAAGATTTTGGGAATCTTTTAATATACTTAGCAGGTCGTGTTGAGGGGGGTGCTGGAGGGTTGAGGCGCGGCTGAGGTGTAACGCAGAAAGTGTTGATGCAGAAAAACCAAAAGGGTGTACCAACATAATGAAAAAAAATGTTGAAAAAAAAAAAAAAATGAAATTTTGAAGGTGACGGGATGAAAGGGAGGATGGGAAGGTGCCAGGTGAACGTTGATCGCGTTGCCACTTGATTCTTGGGAAAATCGTATGAGAACATTATAAACCAGTTTTAGCTGTTATTGATGTCTTTCCGTATCAGTAGATGGTCATGCTGCTGTTTAATTCCGACAAAAGCCACGGTCCAAATAGACCGCCTTTCAACGAAACAATCCCATTCTTCGCTGTCACTAGAAAATAATGAACAACTTCATATCTTTAGTAAATTGTCTTCAGCACATATATGCTATGCATCTGTCACTCAAAGAATAATGTCCATTATAAAATGGTACGCCTTAGAAGCTTCGCCACCATGCAACGCCCTGATAACTCCGATGACATGGAAGAGAAGAAGATGCAACAGCAGCCACACGAAACAAAGAAGCCTTGAAACAAACGGGTTTGGCGGGCTTCCAGAGAGTTTCCTATTATGTTAGTCGCCTAGCGGACTTCGATGCAACGCCTAGAAGCATTGTTTCACATGGGCGACTGTGACTCGCTGGCGTTCATACATCTAAGGCTACCTCAGGCGACAAAATATGCACAATTTGCTCGAACAGAAAAGCGACCGGCTACTATTGCATGCTTTTGTTTATCTGGCGGTCAATGAGGCAGCTGATAAGCTTTGAATTGGACATTGTAACGTAGGGCTGATAATGCCACAAAATTTCAACAAATGCTTGGAACATCAAAAGGAAGGACAAGGAAGACGAAAATGCACCTCAGACATATTGACGATGCTTGTTCTATGTATTATGAGCTGAGGTCGTTGGAAAAGAAACGTTTCAATTGTGAGCCTTAGCGAACGACCCCTAATCATATCTTTGTTCGTGACCCAAGATAATTCAAGAGATGGATCCCTCCGTTGATCCTAGGTAGAAGTGTGTATGGTTTACGACTGACTGGCCTTGGGATGCCATGGTTCAAAACCACCAATTTTGCATCGCGTAGGAAACCAGGGATGCTTCAAACCTACTCATTCTCACAACCACAAGGTTATGATGCGTCGCATGACAGCCTGCAACGTCCAGCAATTTGATTGTAGCATGCGGGCTAAAGATTGCAAGGCGAGCAACAATACGCCCCAGAACATGCATGAGCTTCATAACCTGACTATACAAAGTATCCAGCAGTGGAAACAGTAGCTCCGTCGTACTTTAAATCTCCGTTGCCTGATTCTGGCTCTGCATCAGTATAGAGATTCTTCAGGCGGGCCACGATCTGGCTAGGTTGACTTGCTCAGCTGGCTGCAAAAAATGATCCCCAGAGCAATTCCTCCAGTTTTCAAAATCCACTATATTTTTATGAAGTAATGATTGGTTTTCTGTGCTTCAGACTAGTAGACAAGGCCTAAATCCGACCAGCACGTTTCTATAAGGTCAAAAAAAAAAATCCACCAAATGACGCTTGATCACCATATCCTCCACCATTTTTGAAGCTTTCTCAGAAGCGCCTTGTAATGCTCCATCTCGCCCCAACAGTCTCTTCCAAACTCACAGCCTGCCATATTTATGAGGAAGTCTCCACGGTGATAGAAGTACTGAGGGTCGTCTGCCTTGTCAGCACAGGCACCAGGTGGGAATGCATTTATGGCACGCAAAGGCACAAAGCCGACTCTTTCTCTAATCCACGGCTGAGTTTCATAGAGTGTTTCCAACGAATCTTGTTCCTTGTGCTCCCACTGCATGTGCATCTGCTCGTACATGGCTGGGTCCCACCAGATATCTAGGAGCATGTCAGACCACTCAGATCTTCTCATAAGGAAAGAACCCAAATTGAATCCACCGCAGTCTTGGGTGATCACCATATCCACAGGCGCCGTATAGTCCACATAAGGCAAAGGCACCTTCAAGTCAATAGGGTTGAACGTCTCCAAATTACGGTACGTGACATTGTCCAACTTGTTAAGAAGATGCAGCTCCAACGACTTATGAGGCTCCATAATATACGTATGCAAATCAATCCACCAAAACCATTCAGTATTAGGAAACTGTCTCATTGCCTGCTTCATCAAATCCACCTTCTCCCACAGCTCTCTCCACTCATGCGAATAACGCTTCTTCAGCGTCATATCCTTAATTGTAAGCCCATAACCGTGTCTCTTCGCGTACTGCTTCTTGTTAGCAATCGAAGAACGCTCAACAGACCATTCCTGAGGCCCCTTCCACTTGAAAACACCTCCTCCCTCGTTAGCAGCCAATATGATCACCACCTTCGGGTCGCCGCCATTGAAAACATGCGGCACGTACGGCATCAGCGTGAAAAACGAAAGAAATAGAAAAACTGCAATAAGCAATGTGAACTTCTTATGTGTAACCACCAAATCATTGATGTCTTCTGCAATGCCTCCTAGGACTCGCTTGGGCCAGGTAAGCCACAGTTTCCTCTGTGGTTTGTATGTGTTCAGGTAAGTGTCGTCACCTACGGTGAACTCGACGCGTTCCTGGTCGTAGCCACGGGAATGTTCGAGCGGGAAACTCATTCTGGAGGTTGGTTGGTATTTTTGGTGTTTGAGAGTTTTCGAAAATTGATCTGTTGATGTTTGATGGACTGTGTGCAGTACACACATACAAGAAACGGTTGCAAAACGATAAAAACCAGGGGCAGTGAGGGGGCAAAAGGGTTTTGTTGATTGGGGTTGGTAGTTGGTAGGTTAGAGGTGGAGGTAAAGTTGTGGGGAGGGTGTTGGTGGGCCGGAAGTAGCCGTACTTCTGGTGTCTTACAGGGGAATGGAGCTCTGGACGAGACCAAACGGTAACGGTAGATGCTAAATGTACGATATAATGACATAGGTCCGTGGCTGAAGTTAGTTGTGATATTATGGCAAAGAAAAGGGCATGGCTGATGCTGGTGGACCAAAACCTGGAACGACTTTAAACTTAGCTGTAGGCAACAACGAGTGGTGTTCTCGAGGGAGCCGTATCAAGTCGATTTGGTAAGGGGGTAAGGATTTTCCATGGAGAATGAAGATCCCGTGGTATCCACACATCCTCTGTCAACTCTTCAAGCGTTCATATTAATGAAGAGTATATCATTTTGATCCCGAACAAGACCGTAGTCCGTAACGTGTTAAGTGACAGCAAGCTGTCACATAACTGAAGGAATACCCTGAATTACCTCCTAGAGTGTGACCTCTTTCAAACCCTGGGACACAAAACCTTTCCTAAATGTCCCCCTCAACCTAGCGCAAAGGCAACAAGTTCTGCTCCAAGCACACTTGTCTACACAAAGGGCACTCGGGATGCTGGCGAGTCCAGTCGACAATGCAATCCCAGCAGAACATGTGTCCACAGTTAGCTGCACATGGGTTAACCATAGGCGAAAGACAAAGCATACAGCTTCTTGCACTTTCAGGAAGGTACGGCAACTGCTTAGAATCGCTCAAGTCAATATTCACCTTCTCGTCCACATCGTCATCGAAATGCTGTCTCAAGCTTTCTAGCTGCTGCACTTTTCTGAAGTTCTCATATGATTCGGCCTCTGCCTTAGCGAGGTTCTTCTCCTCTTCTGTCCTGTTACTCTCATCTGAGTATTCCTTGAATTTGATCAAAAGCTTGATGGCAAACTGAAGCAAAATGATCACACCCAAGGCTGAATAGTTACCTGTCTTCTGGAGCTTCTTAGGGTCCTTATTATGGCCAAAGACGTACCTGAGACCAAATATACGCTTGGAAATCGAATAGAAAGACCCCTCAAAGTAAAATATAGCCACATGAACATTAATAATCGTATCCAAAAGCTTCGGATACGACGTGAGGACCTGCTTATACCAAGGATCATTCTTTGACTCATCAGAGCCCATCCTAGACCGTATCTTCTTAATGATTCTCGTCGCCACATACGGCAACAATGCATACAGCAAAATAAACCCCAATCTTGGAAGAAGCTTGGGAAGCCTCGTTCCGGCCCTATTCACATACACAAGATCAACATACTCTTCACCCAAGGTTCTGGCTCCTATTAACGTCGTAAGGAAGAAGTATATCAGCTTTGTTGCGACGCCAATCTCTTCAGGATGCAAATTAACAAACTTCTGGCCCTTAAATATATGCAAAGCATCCACGACTTGTGACCTTAGCAGGTTTTCAAAGTAGCTGTCTTTCTGGTTCGCTCTGACTGGAGAAGTTAGTACCCCACACTTGAAAAACGGACCGTTTTGGGAGGAAACGGGAAGAAGGAGATTGGATTAACATACCTATAGTGGCTGCGTCGGCGAAGGGTAACGCATTTTCATTGGTTTTCGACATTTTGGGAAGTTGGACGTGAAATGATTAGTGATGGAAGTTCAGATTTGAATCTGTCCGAGGTATGAGAACAAAGTGGACTGCAGGTAAGACAGTCTGGAGAGAAGTCACCAGTCAACGAAAGAACCAGTTGAAGATGATTTTGGTGAATTTAGATTCAGATTGCGGTATTAAGAGGTGGAAGGGTTACGGGGAACCCAATTTCCGTATAAATAGGTGAAGTGAAGGTGTGGTTTGAGTGACTGCAAAATCGCACTTTCAACCGAAGCAGACCTCAGAAAGGAAGCTGGGTTTGGCCCTTATCGAGTCTTTGTTTCTTCTTTGGTCGAGATTTTGGTTTCTTGGGCGAAACCAGTGGCGTTTTGGGTGTGGCCTTTGGCGCCTGCGCCGCAGGTTGTTGGTCTCCATTGAGCTTCAGCGAGAGTTCAATGGCGACATGGTAGTCTTTATGCTCGAAAACGTCTTCTACAGAGACGTTGCAGAGGGAGCAGAAACGGTTCTTTATGAGCTCTTTGAGTAGCGGGTCAGACAGTTTCTTGGGGGCATCAGCTTCGTCTGGTGAGGCAGAACGTGAGGCCTGCTTTATGCTGATTTGGTGGTTGACTGGGGTTGGACTGGACTGCTTGTAATCACTGAAAAGCTTCTCCACGTACTCCTTATTTTCTTTGAACGTAGAAACAGGTTTTGCTGGTTTTGGTGGCTCGACCTCTTTATGGTCAGCTTCCTTATGGTAATCGTCAAAGAGCTTCTTGACATATGACAAGTCGGTTTTCTTCTTTACTTTGGGCGGAGGAGGAGCTGGCGGCGGCACCACTTTTGGCTTATACTCTTCTGCCTTTTCAAATGCCTGTCTGATAGCTTCCTGAGTGGGTATTTCAGCCGTTGTAGACCCTCCATAAGAATCAATCAAGTTTGCATCTGACGTTTTAACGAAATTCGTAATTACCAAGCCCATATTGGCGAGTGAAGGAATGGCGATCTTTGAAAAATCGTGCTTATCGGTAGGCCTAAGCTCTTTGAAGTTGATCAGCGGGTTCATCTCGGCAGCTTTGGTTCCGTCCAAAAGCTCAGAAAGCAATTTAAAGCCAGTAATTTCCAACGAATGCCTTAGTTTATCAAGCGACTTCAAAACCGGAAACAGTGTCTGTTTTGAGTGTTTCAGCCACAGCTGCGTAGTGATCTGAACACTGGCGGTACGAGGTCGATAAATAAACCGCTTGTTCTTATCATCAGCGGTCTGCAGCATGGATAAGTTCATATTCTCGTCGTCAAGCTCAATCAATCGTCCGTAGATATCACCCACGTAAACTTTGATCCAGTCGTAGGCATCTCCAAACGTCTTGACTGGTTTTCTCGGTAGGAAGTTCTTCCTTGACATCATGGACTTGACAACTGTACGAGGCTTCATTTCCTGATGATGTACGCCCCTCACAAGCTCATAAACCTTTTCCATGAGCTGTTCGTCCGAATGCATTGCCTGTTTCATTTCACCCAAGGAAAAGTTATCACGAATGTAAGTGATGGAATTCTGTTCTGGAGGCACACCGAGTTTTTCAACAATAACCTCGCCTGTCTTTCCACCCATAAGCGTAAAATCAGACAATTCAAAGTTCTTAAGAAACGTATAAATCAGCGAAGGACGGATGATCGTTTGGAAATCGGGTTTATTAAACCCACCAGCAAGCTTTGCAAGCGTTTTCGTAGAAGATAATCCGCCCGACGTCGTAAAAGAAAGCTCATCGTAAACACACTGGCGGATTCTGCAAAGGTGCATGCTTCCAATCAACATAAAAACATCATCCCAATCGGCAATTTGCGGTGGAACCGTACAATTATCTCTCTTTGAAGCATCCACAGGCTTTTCCAACGCCGCCTCGGCTTCCCTGGCCTCGATATCATCCTCATAAATACGTCCCAGCCAGCTGAGACCTTCGTAGCCCGAATCTTCAAGGCCAGGCACCGTCGGTAGCTCCTCCAGCGTCAGTACCCCCTCTTCAAACGCCTTATTCAACACAGGAAACCGTTCCCTCGCCTCTGCAAGCACCAAGCGGCTCAAGTCAAGGTAACACTCATCCACACTGGCCTTCTCAGTAGAATCACATTCCCTCAGCAACACCTTAAAGATCTTCCTCAGCTCTCTTCTATACGGATCCAAAGAAACCTTATGTATGCCCTGATCCGGCAACCCGTTCAAGTACTGCCAATGAGAATCACCTTTCTTAAACACAGCAGCATGCCCCACCACCAAATCAGGACATTTCTGCATCGCAGACTGAAGCGTATCCATCCTGCCTATCCCATACTTCCTAGCAGCATACGAAACAGCAATAAGCGACTGCCATTGGGCACAAACCACCGGGTCGTCGATCGACTTACCCAACCGAATCTGCTCACACTGAGCATAGAAAGCATTAAGATCCACATGTGCTATAACAGCCAAGGGCAGTTTGTAAGCCAGCAGCACGTCCTGAAGCATATGGAGGTCTAGGACGGAGAACTTCGAGTTTTCGAGGCTGGGCGATGTAGCGAGTTTTGCAGGCGGTATGGACGGTTCGAGAATGGACATGACATGGGCACGAGAAGTAAAGGGGGAGCCGGTAGATGGGAAGCAATGGACTATGGGAGGTTAGTATGGGATGACATTGGGTGCGAAATATGGGTTAAAGTATGGGGAAACCTTGTTTTTGCTCCTGTGGGCTCAATTTGGGGGTGAGCGCTCCAAAAGTTGGAAGGACGAGTTTTGAGCAAGTAAGGTTTACAATGGTATTTTTAGATTTTAAAAATTCCAAGTTTCAGCTTAAAGACATAGGAACAACAAAAACCGGGTTCACTAATCCCCATAGTTAAGCTCGTATGGCGCAGTGGTAGCGCAGCAGATTGCAAATCTGTTGGTCCTTAGTTCGAACCTGAGTGCGAGCTTAATTTTTTGCAATCTACAAGAAACCAACCAATTTTTTTTTTTTTAGAATTACCGCTTCTCCATTAGTCTATATCACATATCGTACAATTCCTCAAACACCTGAACGTTATTAAGCTTGCCCCACTTTTTCACAGATTCAATTAAGGGCGTGGGGCCGCAAACCACAATCCATTTATTACCAGGCTCCTCGGTTTCTGCAAAGTGGTTGAAGATTTCGTCAAAGATAGGACGTCCTTTTTGAAAGTTGACAGCTTTTTGCGGCGCCTTGTCGTCGCTTGCAAGGGGACTCTGTTCGCCAGAGTCGTTGTCTAAAGATTCGAGCTCCATGTCTTTCCCGTTTTCGTTTAAAAGACCGTGGTCTTCTTCGGTATTATTATTCACGAAAAGAGTGTTTTCGCTTTTCGTCAAGTAAACGTCCACTGGACTCAGCACGCTGAGCTCTGGAAGCACAAACACATCGTTGGAGTTACGCACACACCATGTCATTTTGGAGGTGACGGAAGAGTTCTGTTTCAAGTAACGATAGATAGGAACTCCTAAAGAAATACCAGAACCGCCGCAAATGACATGGACGTTTTCGGCGGTCTGGTAGAAGGGTGGAGGCACCAGGCAGTAAGGCGTGGAGATGGAGTATTCCAAAGACAGGAACATTTCGAACCTGAAGCCCTTTTTGATCACCAAATCCACGGTCTGGTCACCAGGCAACGAGCAAATGGAATAAGGGTGGGTAGGCCACACCCAGTACCTCCAACTGGTGAGTCTCCATGACATACGCAAGTGGGAGCCTGGGATCCAGTCGACAGGGTACGTAGCCGGTTTCTGGAGCTTGACCAAACGCAATTGAGACTCTTCAGGGTCCACAATGGTGAGTTTCTCGAGGCGGTGGGTATATTTAATCCGCAAAAACACCTGGAGACCGTAAAGACAGAAAGAAAACACCAAAACGTCTGTAACTCCCGGTCTGGCGTGCCAGAGCATAAACGCCGTGAATGCAAAAACAGTTACATTATGCCAGATATAAAAAAAAGCATAGATTTTCCGGCGAACAGGACGCAACGACACCGCCAAAAGCAAAATCGACATCCAGAAAGGCACCACGCCAAGGAAGTTTCGCCATGCCATGGACCTATTCCAGAACCTGCTTTCCATAAGCCACTTTACATAGTACCCAATTCCATGAGCAGTAGTAGCCGCCAATATCACCCTCGAAAGCCATTTGTGTAAGCCCAAATGCTCCAAATACAGCGCGTGGGGGCCAAGAAACGCTGGCCTGAGCGCCAACACGGCATCCAATGGTACTAAGCAGTAACCGACTCTGCCCAAGCGCTTAATGACGATGATCCAGGAGGTTTTCAAGTTTGCAATGTTGATGAACAGGAGAAGAAGGAGAAGAAACGTCCATACGAGCACGTGGACCCATAAGGAGCCAAACGCAGCTGCTTTGATGGCGCCAGTGGGCGTTTTACCTTGCTTGGTCCATTTCCTGAGGTATAAGTACCGAGCTACCGATATGTAGAGCATGTAGGCGACAGAGATGCCGACGATGATGTAGCCGTATTTGAGGTTGGCAAAGTGGTTGCCGTGGCCGTGGCCGTGGCCAGGATGCCTTATTTCGTTGGACATGGGAGTAGAATGGGGTTATAATGGGGGATTGAAATTTGGCTGGTCGCTATTCGTTGTAGTTTAAGTCACGTGACATATCACGTGATACCCCATTTTTCTGGGCATCGATAAAATCAGTGAAATTTACCTTGAAAAATTCCCTTAGGGATGTACGGGTCTGCTCCGATCGGACTCGTCATATATTGGGAAAATTCAAACCCCCATTCCTAACCATCCATGTCCTGCAGGTAAGCATCCCCCAAGGCTCTACGGGTTAAATGTGCTTTAAAAATCGCTCGGGACCATCCCTTGGTACACAAAAAAAAAATACCTCATGGGCTCGCTTCGCCCGGTGTGGTCCAGACGTAATGCTCCTCACTAGCCGCTTGTGGCGAGTGGAGGCCTCCAAATAATGCAGTCCACTTACAGAATATGCATCTATGGCGCCCCTGAATTAGCCACAACTCATTGTCGCCCGCATTTCTGTGCATGCATGCGCAGTGACGTGCATTCTTGCACATCGCACACTTGTGGCGAATGCACAGCTATGCAAATCCACTGCAAAATGTATATCCATGCTTCTGCCTCTCTTTTTAGGTGTCTAGCGCCATGAACCCGCCTTGGACCCGAACCCTGGAGGTCCTCGAAGCTGCATGGCCCGCCCTTGGCGATAAGGGTTTATGGGCATCAGCGAACGTAGAGTGAGCGTGGAATGAGCGGAAAAGGCCCTTTCAGCATGAAAACCACTATAAATAACCTCCCTGGAATGCTATAAGGAGCCACCTAAAAAGTACAACTTCCCGAGAGAAGATCTGCTTTGTTCGCTACGTCGTGGGTCCAATTTTGTGCTCAATTTTGTGCTTTTTCTGCCCAGAGAAGGTCCGCATGGGCTATTTTTAAGCCCCGCCTCACGGAAATCCAGCGTTGAAAGAGAAACGGGACCAAATAATCAATTTTGCATTTTGCATTCCACAGAGAAAAAATTTCTCCCTTTTGTGGCTAGTTTCATGTTGTTGTTATGATTTTTTTTTCTTCTCTTCAAAGATTCTAGCCACTTTTCATGCATCACTTCTAGTTGTGGCGAATGCACTTTTTCTTTGGGCTGAAATTTGGACCCGTCTCCTTTTTGTACTGTTTTCCTTTAATCCCTCCTCTCTCTCCAATGTGTACAACCGATTCCCCCCAAGTGGTCCCGCAGTCTCCTATCCATGGAAAACCATCTTACTGTGCCGATCCTGAGCCTCTTGCAATCGGTGATTAACCACTGACATCACCATGCACCAGATTCAACATCAACACAGCCATGCTTAGACAAGGGGAAAACAAGGGGAAGTGAGCCACGGTTATGTTCTCTTGCTGATAATGCTGCTTAGCTAGACAATCTTGCATTTGGATGGGTTTTTAGTCAGGTGGATGGGGAGGAGGAGAAGGAGGGGTGGACATGGTCCACTGGAGTGACCGGGTACGAGCAAGACGTCATGGGAAAAGAAACGATTAGGGGTTTTTGGAGTCGGTGGATCAACGGAGCCTTGGAAAGGGCGTTTCTTTTTCTGGCTTTTATGGCACCAGTGGCTAGGATGGATGGACCACTTTGGAGCAAGTAAAACTGGAAATACCAGGTCAGAGATGGTTGCAATGCGTTTGGAGAGCCATCTGACGGGGTTTGGTGGGTTTGGGCGGGCTCGTGGGCCAATGGTGATGTGGCAGTTATGGTCATATGAGCGCCATTTGTAGAAAACGCCATTGGTGAACACCACGAGCCAGGAATAAGGTTTCCTCGGTCCCAAGGACTTCTGGTGAGTCAATTAACCGCCCAATGTTGTTTTTGGAGCGTTGAAGGTCCTGGTTCTCGAGTAGGATGTTTTCTTGAATTCCGTTCCTCAGGCACTGAGAAGTATTCCACATAATACATCACCAGCGCCCAAATAGAGCATCTAGGGTGGTCAATTGTGCCTCAAAATACTCAAATGCATTTTCTTTGAGTTGTTTTAATGCCTTTCTTCCAGGTGGGTGGTTTTTCGTGTGGTATGTTTGGGGTGAGAGAAGAAAACATCACATTTTGACAACAGACAGTGCAAGAAAACACCATTCACCCATCCTAGAAGTCTCTAGAGCATAGGAAAAATTTTCTCTACCGTTTGCCAATTTTTCACACATTTTGTGAATACCCATGGGTAACCCAGGTAGTAGAAACCCATCACCACATCCACCAATTAACACTTAGCCAAAGGACAGGACCCCTGGCCCCCCAAAACCCCCCAAAACCCCCCAAACACGGCTGTAACCTCGGCATGGATGACCAGCAATACCAACCTAATTTTCAACAAAGCGTATGCGTTTCATAACCCACCCCTTCCACCTCTTGTTCGTCCTGTCGTCATCCTCTGTGCTTCCATGACCTACTCAATCAACTACAGTACCACCACAGCGCCTGAAAAGTTGCTGGAAGCACCCAAAATAATTACGAGATTGGCCTATCAAGCCTGGCCAAGCCGGCACTTCCCATTGGGCGGGTCGGGGGCCTCCTCATCTGGTGCTTGGAACAATAGCCGGAACTCCGTTACGCATCCTATGATGTGTTGGAACCCGCTGCCGCCTTTGACTCGGGAGGAAGCAGAACAAAGGCGACGTGGTTTTTAGATAGTGCAGTGGTTACGAAGACCAAGGTGGTGCCATTTTTTTTTATGCTACTAGAGAAGGATCAGCTCTGGTCGTAACCTTGGTGGGTTGGAGGAACCAAGAACTGGCAAGATTTAGAGAATCAAGGAGCAGGACCACAGGAAGCACAGGGAAAGGGCATGAATGGGGGATGGCTAGGCCCATTTTTTTTTGGGCAGTAGGGGATCCTTGGGAAGGCATGTGGTTAAGCTTTTTCTTGTTATCTTGTTTCGGTTTTTGGGAAGGGTTCATTATTTGTGAATTTTTTTTTTGAGTGTTTTTTTTTTTATTTTTTTTATTTTTTTTTCTTACGCCCTTCTAACCTCACCAATTCTCCCATCACCAGACTCCAAACCATGGTTTTGAATGAATATTCAGTAATCTAAACAAATAAGTTACCTTTTGCCGTGGCATGCTGGTGCTTCGGCTCTTTCTGCTATTCCTCACACCCTAGCGGGAAATTCCCACCCCAATAAACCCAATGCGTACAAGTTTTGTGGCTTTCAAAAGGCTTTGTGGCCCCCAGCACCGTCCAGGCTCTTCCAGGCAATCTCTTGGATATTCCTCGGGCCTTCTAAGGGCGATAAGCCAAGGCATTACCTCATAGCCTCTTACAATGTCTTTTCGTCACCAGACAGCAGATAACACTGGCGATGCCGTGCCTCAATGCGCCGTGTGATGGTTAGATAAACTCTGTTTGGGGGGGGGGGGGGGTTCCAAGGTTGGAGGTTCTAGTTCCCGGCCCCGTCCGGTAATAATTGACTACTCTTTCCATAGACTATGGGTTTCTGGAATACAATGTTCCCGGGAGCACTACGTCACCAGCCCAGCCTCTCAGCAATTTGCTACGGGGTGCCTGAAGGTCTTTCTACGAAGAAAGAGGGCATTTCCATGGCCCAACAGAGACTTTTGCAATCTTCACCGTATCGGTATTAACCAAATTCTATGTGCTCATGGCGCCATATATACTATCTGCGATGCACAGATAAAGGCGGAAAAGTACGTTTGAATAGTAAGAAACGTAGGGTAACCAGGCCGCCTGGGAAGTCAAAATGGACAGATTTGGGCTTGAAAACCAATGGTTTTGCTGGTTTCATGTTGGTGGAAGGCTGGAAAAGAGCTATTTTGGCTTCTGGGAGGGCCAAAAATCCCGCAAAAAAAGGGGACTACACTTTGAGATCTCACCACTACGAATCCGTTTCCAGTTTCCGTTTAGTATCTATAGTTTTGGCTTTCTGGTAAATGGTTAAAAGAAGTAAGGTATCATACCATGTGGTGCCACTGTAGGCGTCCTGCACAATGGTAATAATAAAAGGGTAAAAGAGATTAGAAACGCAGAAAAAGTAGAGAATATTCAAGAAGGGGAGTGCACATAAGTATATGCAGACGCGGTCGATCAATACCATTCAAAAAAAATAAATCAAACAATAAAGCTTTCTATTATCATCGACACCGCATGAATAGTAGTGTAATGCAATCATTTCTTCAATCGCATAACCATGCATTAAGCATCAACGATGACAATAAAACCTTAAACAATCTCTTATAAATGCCTGGCTTCCATGAGTGCAAGCCTCATTCTAGAAGACTTGGAAAGCTGCAAAACTGGCGTAGAAGGTTATTCCTTGTAAAGAAGGCGGGTGACGTTTGGCCGGAATTCAGATGAAATTGGGGGTGAAATTTGGTGTAAAGGTTTAACCCCTCCAACAAAAAAAAAAGGGATCGACCCTTTTTTCTTACTAAAAACGTCAAACCGCACTGGCGATGGAATTCCAGCGAACACTGCCACGGCCATCCTTTTTTCTTTCATATAGTATAGCTATTCTTTAACACTCCCAGCTTATCCTGCTGAGTTCATGCAGGGAACATGGGATGTGTTTTTTCTAAGCCATTGTGATGCGGAGAGGGATACCCCCATCGCTTATGATTGCCTGTGGCCTGCACAGAAGGTGCGTCATGACACAATCCGACAGAAGGCTTTTCTCACCAAAAAGTTAATGTGTGACCAAGAAAGCCTATTTTTCACATGTGGGCCTCCCTTTTTTCCATAGATTTCCATCTATGATGCAATCTGCCTGGAGAAAGCCACATCCTCCCATTATTATCAAATGTGTCGCTTCCTTCTCATTATCTAAGCAAGATTCTATCAACCTTCCACGTCATCTCATGCAGCCCTAACCCCCCCCTTTTATGGTTAAAAAAAATATCGTTATTACTTTTCGGAACTCCGAGGCCCCTTGTATGCGCATTACATCTATTGTACCATTTGTGCCCTGGCCACAACCTTGCCTGATAAATCAAGTGTGTTGATGTGGGTACTAAAAAATATTTGTCGCTTAATACGCCCCCTATTTCGCCGAAATAGGCCTCTCAACTCTACTAGCCACAATTAGCCACGTTTCCTGAATCACCCTTAGAGTCTCTATTTCTCCAGTATTTTGATCTCTGCCTCCAGGGCTGCAACCAGTGCCCTGTAACCAGTGCCTTGACAAGATCTCAACGGCGCAGCCATTGTTACACCGTACTGGTTATCCACTCCCCGACCAAGTCCAAACCCAGGATGTCGGAACGGGTGCCACGGGATGTGGCGGTGAAAGGAGGTTGGTGATGACGATGACGACGCTTCGTGCGACGACTTTTGTCTAAATGGGAAAAGAAACGAGAGTGATTGTGAGTGGTGCAACCGAGAGAAAAAGAAAAGAGGCCAAAGCGAAGAAAATAGGGACAAAGAGTCTCCAGGGGGCAGCGACAATCGCCGATTGTTAGAGGTTCTATCTCCCAGCAGCACTTTGCAGCGGCGGTGGGCTTGCAACGAAAACGGAAGCTTCTTGTGCTCAAGCGGTATGTTTGTATTTAGGCTTATCGTTTGATGATACTGGTGATTTGCATCCACCAGGGTACCACCTTCAAGTAATTGTACGATTCCACAGCCAACCCAACTGGCTAATTAATTTTCTGACTCTTTCCACTTTCCCTTCTTTCCTTTTTTCTACTTTCCTTTTCCATGGAACCTTCTGTACTTATTCGCTAGCGCACGGAAGTCCATAGGGCGCCCTTCGGAGTCCCTTCGGAGCACCGCCAAACTACACCGACGAGCATTTGGTCCAGCGTTTGATAGGCTCTTGTGCTATACGGTATTCCGAAAAGCCGGACCAAATGAGATTAGGGAGAAATTTGCAGAAATGTATATATGGTCCGGTCCGTCCACAAATAAGTAGCTTTTTTTTTTCCTTTAGAACCCTTTCTCCTTACAGGTGGTCCCAGTCTTTCCTTAATTTTTCACTTCCACCTTACAACCTACAATGAGTCTCCAGCTGCCACCAATCACAGCCTCCCACCGCCCACAACTCGTTAGGCAAGCGCCCTACCACAGAAACCAGTTGGGCTCGCCCAATGAGCGGATGGAATTTCTTCTGCTGCTCGTTTCACCGCCAGGTTTGGAAGGTGAATCGCCAGTTTCGAAGAAAGGTATGAAACTCTAGTCGGTCTGGCCCCTTCGGCTACGCAACTAAATGTTCGTTACTCGCTTGTGCCAGCATGACTTTCCAGATCCGGTGAAATTCTTGTTTTCATTGGCGTCGTCATTTTTACGTCATCTACATCAGCCTAAAGGCAAGAAGAGCTACTCGTGGCGGGTGAACCCGCTGGATATGTGGCTGGAGTTAAAAGGCGACGACGAAAAATTTTTTTTTATGACGACGACGGCGCCAGTTGAAAACGTCACAAAACAACTGCACCGCTTGCTAAAAAAAAAAAAAGAGGCCACCCAAGCACATGGTAAATGGCTCACTTGGGAAATGGGCGGTGAAAAGGATTGAGCCCGCTGGGTGTCCGCTATCATCAACGGGCCGTAGGGCGCTATGGAAGCCCGCCCTTTGCTGCTTTGGAAGCTTCATGCCATGCTAGTGTTTGAAGCGAAGGAGCTGTTTTCGAAGCTTCTAAATCCAATGCCCGAGGATGTTCCCAAAGAAGATATAAGCGGTTGTGCTTTTTTCTAGTTAGCCCAAGTGGCTAGTTACACTCCTCGCGGCTCAGGCGACCCAAGAAGGGTCTTTTTCTCGCAGTGCATGGCCCTTTGCGTTTCGGCTAGGCCTTGCCACATGGGCGGGAGGCCGAGAGGGTTCAGAAGGGATGAAGGGTGAAATTGGAAGAGCTACAAGGAACTTGAAAGATTTGAGACATTGCTAGTCAGGGACGGAGACGGTTGACCGTACGTCATGACGGGGCAGTGGTCAATAACCAGGAGTGGTTTTGATCAATTGGCGATCTACTGTGGGAAGACCAGCATTAAGTTAATTTTTTTTTTCGATGGGGTTACCATGTTTGTACGATAATGCACTAGCCACAGGGTGGAGGACGGCAGAAGACATCCGCCACAGGGAAACATGCCGCGGCCCCCCATTCATTCATGCTCCCGCATGCAGGGTGCGCTATTCTTCTCTTCACTTTCACAGACGTAATAGAAGCGACGCATGTGTCTGCACCCAGCATGACAATAAAGCCTGAGCCACAGGACAATATCAGCCACAAGCACACCTGCAGGAACACACAAACCCTCCCTCCCATGCACAAGCCACAAGCCCCAAAAGCCTCATTTGCATCATGCATTCGCATACTATCCCATTTCGTCACTTGTGCATACCAAAGAAATCCCCCATATATCCATATCATTACTCCAAAGAGGCGGCTTGAGGTGTAGACGTATGCGTGCCTCCTCGCCTCTGCACCCTTAATTTATCACTTGGGCGTGGGGCGGGCCTTGCTTTTTCGCAGCCTTACCAGGACTTTATCAACATCAAAAAACACATAAAAGAAAAAACGTTGATTTCAAGAATTCCATCTCGCTTCCACAAAAACGGTAGGAAACGTCCCCTGCTATTTTTGCCCCAGCCCCAGAATCTCAGGTATATGTGGAACGTCTTTTTGTTTTTCTTTTAGCCCTACTTGCTTGTGGCGGATAAAAAAAAGTGGCTGGGGAGGATCCAAATAGCCGCTTGGGCATCCTCCTTATTCCGAATTCCTCCTGTAGGCGTCTGCCTTGCCGTATCTCCCGGGTGGCAGGAAAGCGGGAGCCTTTTGGGTACGTGGAATTAAAAAAGTTGTGTTTACATTAGCGGATTTGTAGAAACGTGTGAAAATTTGCAACTACAACGAGCTCTAAGCCCAACAAAATAAACCAAAACCCGGTCAACCACGTAGAAATGTCTCAAATCAGCAACCTATTTCGTTTTCTACCATCACTGTAGGATCTAAAACATTGCTCTTGGGTTGGGAACCAGTGACTACCTCCTTTCTCTCAAGGGATCATGTAAAGCTCACAAAATAGACGAAAGCAGAAGACAAATACCAGATTCGTCGAGCCAAGGGAATCCCCCCCAAAGGGAAAGTTCGGATCTAACGACCACGAGAAAATAAATAAGCTCCTCCCTCGCCACCTCGTACTCCCGCCATGCTTGTACGTTTGTGTGCTTATTGAGAAAAGGCTCTAGCCACGAATGCAACATGGGCTCTCGATGCTAACGGTGCTAACTTTGCAAATTAGAGTTGCGGCCTAAAACATGCATACCCAGTAGGAAAGGAAGGAGGAAGGAGAAGAGGAGGCGATGGAGAGGGTGAAATAGCAGCGAGAGGAGAAGTAATTAGACGACAACGTAGGCCTCGCCCAGGCTTTATGAGGTTTAGTGTGTTTTTAGGAGAAGCCAGGCCTGGAGTTCCGGAATGTGTCCACTGTGGATGCACTTTCTCTTTCGTCACCTACACTTCCAATGTCTCAGACAGTGTGATATCCGTGCCTCGGCTACGTTTAACCTTTCCCAATGACGTTACATCTGAAAAAGAACATTGACGAACACCGAAAAATAACTGAACTCCGGAACGTATTTAGACTCAAGACGTGAGACAACAGGCATATTAACCAGCCACGAGGCGAGGCGAGTATGCAAAAGTGGAACATACCACCGCTATGATGCTTGTCGGCTATATGTTGTTGCGGTGACGCCGAGAAGTGGCCGGAAAGTCAAAAAAAAAAAAAAAAAAAGTGACTGGAATGAGGAGATGAGGGAAAAAAGAGGAGGATGTACTTCGGGAGAAGTCAGTGAAGAAAGAAGGAAAAGGGAAAAAGTGAGACAGACTTAATAAAAGAAAAGAGCAGCGAAGGGTGTTGGAGGGAGGTGAAGTTAATCCGTATTTGCAGCCGTTTAGGAGAACAAAGGCTGGGGAGGGAATTCTAAGACAATAGTAGAAAACAGGAAAATAGGATTTCTAACCAGGGGCAGGGAAAACGGCTTGTACTCTAAAGTCCTTCCCCTAGGTAACTCCGGATTGGGGCATTTGCCTCGTGGAGAGTATATGAGCCCGGGTGGGAAATGAGGCAAGGGCGAAGCTATTTTTTTTTTTTTTTTTCCGTTTGATGTCATGGCCTCTCTATTAGCTTTGTGTTTGTGCAGGCCCTCTCTCTCTACAGCAGCGCATGCGCATACATAACGCAGCATGCAGCGCGCATTGCATAATTTTTTTTTCTCAAGCAAGAAGGAAGGCCCTGTAAGTAACTGTGGTGGGTGAGGTTACAGCTATATGCAGGACCACCCAAGCCCTCCAGCCAGAACTCCCTTTCCTCCTCAATAGACGTAAGATGATGACGACTATGAGGGGAGAAAAAAAGGGTATTTTAGTGGGTACCGACCTCCTCCGTCTCTATACAGGCTATCCTTAAACACTCAGTAGTTCATGACTTGTGGCGGTGCCACTGGACATTTGCAGGCCTTCAGTTCAGTCTTCTTGGCTCCTCCTTTAGGCCCTTCTTAGCGCCCTAGCCACCTCCCGTTTCACGGACAACTTCAACCTCGGAACCCGCTGTCTTCTATGCACCCGGCTTCCAAGGAGAAAAAAAAAAACACTCATTTTGTTGTGTTTCCTTACACGTTTTTTTTTTTTTTTTTTTTTTTTTTTTGGCGGTTTACCCGCCGCACGCACCAAGTCTCATCTTCAAGGGTAGAAGTGCATGCATCCCTTTTGTCACTGCCGCACTGCAGCGCCCCGCATGCCTTGGTGCGTTACACCCATTATGCTACCAAGACACACTCCCTGCGCCATGCATTGCATGGATGGGTAGTGTCCCTGCACGTCCACCCGCAGCTACCTTGTCCCACATTTGGCGCTCCCGATACCCAATATATAAATACCGCCACTTCCCCCATATCTCTCCCTTCCTTTCTTTTCCAGCCTCAAGACTCTACACTACTGAACATTTACCCTTGACTTGTGTATCTTAAGTGCCCATCCATCCAACACATCTATCCCCCCTCCTACACTTACTCACACAATGGTATATTCTTCTGAATCTGCAAAGTGGAAAGCTTACCAGTTCCTGGACCCCTTTGCTGCCAACTCGTTTTTCGTGTGTAACAAGACCAACAAACGCTTCTGTCGCCCTGACTGCGATGCCTACCCTGTGTCGGAATTGAAGCTGGAAATTGAGTTTGTTGATGACTGCGCTCAAGCCATGGACTTGGGCTACCTTCCATGTGAAGCCTGTGATCCTACGCTGACTCCACACATTGACGTTAACCTTTTGATTCAAACAGTCAACGACGTCAATGCTCTGATTGGGTTCTCCTTGCCTGCCTTTGACGAGAAGCCTGAAGAGAAGGACTTGAGAAGACAGAGTGCTCCAGTGTCTGGAGCCTCGAGCAGCAAGAACAACTCTGAACACTACCGCCTTGTGGACTTGGCTTGTCGTCACTTGGCTCTTGCCGCTGCCGTGTCTATCATGAACCCACAGCTGCCTTCGAACGCCAACCTGCCATCTTCTGATGACGGTGCTGGTTCTGCCTCTGACTCTGGCAAGAAGAAGAGAAAGAGAAGAGGCGGTGTGCTTGGCTTTAAGGAACTCGCTGCTAAGCTGAAGCTCTCTGCTTGGCACTTTCACCGTGTCTTCAAGTCTGTCACTGGCATGACGCCAAAGACTTATGGAGATATGTGCTGGGAGTACTTGCACGACGAGAGACCATCTGCTGGTCTTACTGCTTCCCTGTCGAGCTCCAACCTTCTGCTTGCCCTGAAGGATGCCTCTTCTTCGGTGTCCTCGGCCCACTCGCCTGTTTCTAGCCGCAAGAGATCTCGTCCTGAAATCAAGGAAGAAACCCCAGAGTTGACGCCTCTGCCAAAGAGACAACTCACTTCCAACCAGTACCAGACCCCACACATGCCGCCAGCTATGGTTAACCCTGCTTTCTCGCTCGACGAGACTGAATTCAACAATGCTACAGACTTTGGTGCATCGAGAGCCTTCTCGGACACCGACTTGACCATGGCTGCTCAATTGCCTTCCAAGAACCACTTCAACATGACTCTCGAGAGACCTTACTCTCTCTTCTCCCACCTGAAGCCAGCCTACTACCCAGAGGAGTCGTCGTTGGCCATGCCAACCATGCCTTCCATGCCAGAACACAGACCTGACGGTGCTTTGGGTTACCACTACGATGGAAGCATGCCTCCTCCAGAGACTATGGCTCCTCTTCCGGACGCTCACGATCTTCCTTTCACAGACATGCCTGATTTTGTTGCTGGTGCCCCTGCTGGCGCCAACGGCTACTGTACCGATGTGTTTAACGGTGCTGGCACCGACTTCAACGGTGGTGGCTTGGAAGAAGATTTCTTGAGAATGGAGCCAGACGCTTCAGACATTAACGATGCGCTCAACTTGGGTCTTTCGACCGAGATGTTGAATGTGGGCTTGTAAGGCCTGTTGTTACGACTTTGGTATTATTTTTTGATTATATGACTACTGGGCCAAACGGGGTCAGTATTAATGGTAAGGTTTATAGACTAATTTCACGGCTAATGACTATTTGACTTTGTAAGTGAATTAATGTAAGTAATTAAGGTGATGCTGGTTTACGAGAAGCATGAAGCAGGGATGGCCTGATATAACCTCTGTGGTCACTTCTCAGAGCATAGAGTTAGCATAGAGTTAGCATAGAGTTAGCATAGAGTTAGCATAGAGTGAGTCCATAGTGTTCAGTTCAAAAAGATATACATGCGAAGAAATAATCATTTCGTCAAAAAAATCCACCTCCAAATAATCTCCCAATATAATAGAAGCAGCGAAAAAGCTTGACCAAAAAATGGTGTTATCCCGCAACGGACTTCCGGGAAGCTCCTCGCCTCAACCTGAGGGCCATATATTCAACCCACGATGCATAGAATGTGCAAAAAGCGTCTAAAACGCAGTGTCTTACTTTATGGCAAGGGGCATGAGTTCCACAAATTTGAAGAGTCGACTGTTCGAGACAAGGATCATTTTAAACCACCTTGCGGGTTTCCAAGAGTTATGAACTGGGAAGACTCTTCAACACACAAGACAAAAAGAAAGAAACACAAGGTTGATAGCGAAGAAGCAACCACCGCAACAGCAAAGAAACTCCAAAGAAAAAATTTTCCTCGCACCACACCAAGAGTAATTTTGCCCCCATTTCCGGCCTTGGTAACACGAGGACTTGTGCAAGGGATGATACGCTTCTTAGACATGAAGAAGCATGGCTGCAATCTTACTAAAAGGATGTTCCAGCCACAACTGGCCAAAAGCAGAAAAATCCGCATTCGTTAAAAAGGCAGCAGTACAAAGCCAGAACCCTTAATTCCTAAAACCTCGTAACGTGTTTGAAGTAGGGGTAATGGCATTTTGGTGGTGGTGGTAGTAGGCGGTGTAAGACACTTGCGCACCGGGCCGTGATATTGGTGTTGCAACATCATCATGGCTGCAAACAACCCATAACCTCTATACCGCAATTCCCCGAATTTTTTCCCACACCCAGAAGACCCCCCTTGGCTAAGGAGTGTCTCCTCACTTAAATTCCACTAAGCGGTAGTAAAGTAAAGGGGCTTTTTGGAGGAGGAAATAAGAGACAGCCTTTGCCGCCATACATGCCATGTATCTATTGCGTTTTCTCTCCCACTCTTTTTTAACCTTTTTAGCCGACAAACACCTTCCAAGACTGTGTCTCGTGGCTGGGTAAGACAAAACAACCGCGATGGGGAAAGTACAAGGAAAAGCCGGAATCCACTGAGCCGCCTTACTTTCACAAAAATGGGATAATTTTTTACCCGCTGGCTGCTTCTGGATCGGGATAATTCTTGTCTTCCCGTTCCACGGCGCTATCGCTCACCAGCCTCAGGTTCTAGTCATTTTGCACCAGCCGTTTTTTCCTGAATCGTATGTTTCCAAAGAATCATTTGCAGCTGCTGTAGAATACGATCATGGAAAGACGCATGGAGCCCGAACAAAGGATAACCTTAATTTTATTTTGGTTGGGCGTTTTCCGGGGTCAATGCCCGGTTAGAAGCACCCCATACTCGCTTTATGAGCCTTGATATCAAATTTCTGAAAAAACCACCTCCTCTTGAAAATTCACGGGGGCACCCCGAACTACCCGGAAGTCCAGACTTTCTGGGGCGATAAGCGGACTGCCCAAAGCTGTCTTCCTTTTAGTAAACCCTACCTTATGCTGTCTCACCTAAACCCTGCAGCATGGGTTAAACCACCACCAGGGTTCAAAGACACAGACACACCCTCCAAGACAATCACGTGCGTTTCTTCGTTACTAACTCATCCCTGAATTAGGTCAAGAGCCTTCGGGGTCTCGTATTGGCCTGTTTTTTTGGAGCTTTTTTTTTTGGGGCGTTTCATGTACACTTCATGACCAGTCCTTGTGCATTAGCTTCAAACATCACCGCTCACATTCACATTCACACGAACACCGAACTCCACCTGAAGGCCAAGGCGTATCACAAAAGTGTAATGCATCCTCATCTCATCGTCTGCGCTGTCTCACCCGAGCTGCTTCTGCTTACGCATTTCTACCCTCCAACATAGTGCGTTATGTAAAATTTTTTGTTCTGCTCTATTTTACTTGTCTGTCTTTCCAGAATCTTCTCTCTTTTGGTACTCCGTGACACGCTCCTTGTTTTCTGTGGCGGCCTGAACCAATTGAACGAATGCACTGGATGTTAAAGATGACTTATCCTCGCTGGTGCTCTTAGAAGATTTGGAATCTGGCGATGAGCCTCCCTCGGTTTCTTTAAGAGCCTCGCTAATCTTTTTCCAGTCAAAGAGCCCGCCGCTCTTGTTTTTAACCTGGGCGTTCTTGTCTTCCTGTTTTGTGTCAGGAAGATCGCTATCGCTAACCACAGATCCCTCGTCGCCAAAAAGGTTAATTTCATTAGGATCGTCGTCCTCTTCGGTTTGCAAGTGCTTGAGCTTCTTGATGCGGTTGGCCAACTTGACAACCTCGATGGCCTGGCGGAACTTGCCCTTCGCGTCGAAGTTCTGCTTCAAGTTAGGCAACAAGTCGGCTTCACCGTGCTGCTTAGCAATGCTGACGAGCCATGGATCGTTCAAAAGCAGATCTGCAGTTGCACGGCGCTCTGGGTCATACTGAAGTGCCTTGATAATGAATCTACGAGCGTCTTTAGACACACTTCTCCAGTAGTCTGCGTGGAACACCACAGCGTTATTGTGTCTCACTTCAGCGATGAAATCCTGAACATTCTCAGCCCTGAATGGCGAGTACCCACACAAAAGCGTATACGTAACCACACCCAAGGACCAGATATCGCAAGGCTTGCCGTGGCCCGTACCGGTGATAACTTCAGGCGCAGCGTAGCCAAACGAGCCAGCAGAGCTCATGAGCTTCTCCTGAGGGTCCTGCAACTTTTTGGCAATACCAAAGTCCGCCAAAACCACATCCGAGTTGGCCTTTTCATTAAGATAAAGCACATTCTCGGGCTTAATGTCCCTATGGACAATATTCTGATCGTGCAAGTACTTGAGCGCCTCGAGCATCTGGATCACCACGATCGAAGCGTCGTGCTCCGTAAAACGGCCCTGCTGCACGATTCTATCGAACAACTCTCCGCCAGTAGCCAATTGCGTCACCAAGTAGAACTTATCCTTCGACTCGAACCAGTCTCTAAACCCCACAATGTGAGGATGCTTGAGCTCTCTAAGCAACGAAAGCTCGTCCACGATAAACTGCTCATGCTCTTTACTCTTGAGAGCCTTTTTCAAGATGATTTTAACCGCCACGTCTTCACCCGTTTGGTTATCTCTGGCGTACCGAACAATGCCAAACGAGCCAGCGCCCAAAGTCTTGCCGAAAGTGTACCTTGCTTTGCGGGAGTACAGTTCCGGCTGGCCGCTGAGCTTGTTGATGAACTTTTTGATATGACCGTCTTCTGGCATTGGGTAGTTTGTTATGGGGTAATATTGGTTGATGCTGATCAGGTTGCGATAAATGATGTAAGTAGCTGCTAAATGATTGCCTTGTACTGCAGGAAGGCTCCCTTCCACACCTTATCTACCTGTAGTTATCTGGGCATGGGAAGAAGATATGGAGCTGAAAATTGGTAGGAATGTAATTGGGGACTGGAAGATTGGTCTGTCTAATTTTGGTGGGATTTGGACGGCTGGAAGGGCAGATTCATGGAGCCTTTCACTTCCAGCAATGGCTGCGAAAAGCCAGGCACAGCCACGAGGCTGATGCTTTCTATAGAGATGCCATAGTCGACGAAGAATGTGAAAAAGTATAGTGTTCATGAAAAAGTCCTAATTTCCAGCTTTTTAGTGGTGGTTTTTGATTTCCTTAAATCCCCTGGAAGGGCCGTTTTCTTGGGGTCTCCAGAACAGCATAGCCGCAGCGGCTGGCCAATGACGTATGGCGATTAGTGGCACCTAATAAGCCATATAATAGAAGTTTCTCGAGGCTCTGGGGGTCAAAAGGAGCAGAAGGAGTGGAGGGAAAGGATGGGGGTGGGGGTTTTGAGGGACTTTGTTTGGAACCAAAGAAGGTGGAGGTTGGAGGTTGGAAGGTGAGCAGGGAAGCCAGGGTCTGGTGATTAGCTTGGCGAATCCGATAAGCATGTTTGTCGGTAATTTCTGGTGGGCTGTGGAAGACCAAGAGTTTTGGGGTTGGTTTGGTTGGATTGGGGTGGTCAGGGAGTCTGGAAGTCTGGGTTAGATAAGCTGTAAGAGGGATGTAGGTGGATGTGGTAGTAAGTGATCGAGTTGCGTAGTAGAAAGATGCATGTAGTTGGTGAAAAGAGGTAAATGGTAGGGCTTGGGGGCAAAGTATTGATCTTGTATTATTTTTTTGGTCATTTTGGAGCAGCTCAAGTGGGTGATGGTGGTGTTGTTCTGGTAAGACTGAAGGTACAATACTGATAGTTACAGGTGCATCAATTAGTTCGAGTAGTATGTAGAAGTAGGTTGAACTATGGACAGCTCATCATCTGCTTATCTATATTAGCCGGTTGATCTCTTTTTGACTGTAATGATTAATATTGGTATGGTTGCTCAGTTATAGATGCTGATCTGCCTTTGATAAGAAGGTATACAGACAAATAAAGTAACACAGGGTATTATCTCTGGTCCAAAACAGTACAGTTATCGGTTGAAAGGTACACTTCGAGTGGTCAAGAAGTCAAATAATAGCAAGCACTGCTTACATCACAGGATATGCTAGTGAACAAAGCGTGGTATCTACCCCAAGCTAATCTCAACAAACGGTAATCTTGTAAATCACAAATGACCAAATTCGTAATGTTTAATACGAGAAATACCATCAAACTGGCCCTTTCTGCGTCTAAATAGGTTAAAAGTAGAGTACAGAGCGACATCACCTTAACCGATCAAAGGCTTCCTAGCCATTAGATAAGAGCAGAGCCGATAACTTCACCAGCCCACTGATCCTCTAACTGTCCATAGAATCACCAAATCCACCAAAACCCCTTGAAGTAATAAATAGACAGTGAAACCAAAGAGTTAGAGCAGGATCTGCTGAACCACCTAAACCCCAGCAGCTCTTCAAGGCATCTCAGCCAGCAACACTAACCACACCACCAACTGTTCCCCAAGTACCATATTTCCGATTTTCATGTTTTTACGTTCTACGATGTCTACCAGTCCCAGCTTCATACCATAGCTCTACACTACAAGTGCCATAACTAGTAGATACCAGCCAGCCATACAACTACTCCATACGGCTACTCCATCCACCCCTCTCCTCCATTAAGCCTCTCCTTCAACCTCCACCAAACCACCTGTCAAACACAAACCCCACTACCTTCATCTTCTTCACTTACCACCACCCCTACTTTCCCACTTTAAACCACCCTCTGCCTCTGGCTCGTGTTGCCATAATAGGAAGGCAGCCACTTCCAACTCTCCATCCACACTCGCGATTTTGCACCCATTTCCCCCTCCCTCCAACCACCAACCTCCAATGAACCTCCATACTTAACGTCCAAAATGCCCATACTTAACGTCAAAACGTCTAGACTCCTTTTTTCCTTCGCCTTCTCCTTTTTCTTATTTTTTTTCTTATTTTTTTCTTCTCCTAACGAGCCCCTAACGGGTCTCGTTAGGGTCTCGTTGGAAAGCGGGAGCGAAAAAGCGAACCCTCGATGCCCTCGAAAACCCTCAACCCTCAACCCTCATTTTTTCCACCTCAGCCGTGCAAAGAAGGAACGAACAAGAAACGGCCAGTGGCCCTTGGACTATAAATACTCCACGATTTCCCCTTGGTTTTTGGATCCAGGGATTTTTTGAAACACCAGGGGACGTTTTCTATTGGCTGGTTTTTTCTTCGTTTCTTTAATTTTACGGCCTCCTTCTTCGAAGAAGGCCTGGCGGAATCGCTGGGCCGTTCGGAATCGGCGGTCCATTTGGCCCCTCTATTTTTCCTCCATTTCTTCCATTTCCATAACGCGCGAGCGAATCCGCTAAGGTGGTTACTGCTGAGTGGGGCCCTTCCTGCAGTCCTTATCAGCCCAGGCTCTGCCATATATAAATGGCCCAGCAACCTTCCATTTTATTCAGTAACTTTCCAATTTTGTTAACTATGCTTAGAAACGTTTCCAGACTTGCTAAGAGAAGCGTCAGGGGCCACGCCAGTGCTGCCCACGCGGGTTCTTCTTCCACTGGCGGTGCGGTGTCGGTGGCTGCAAAATACTTCCCCAACGAGCCCAAACAGCCTACTTTGGTCACTGAACTGGTGCCTGGCCCTAAATCTATGGCCATTAACGACCACTTGGGCACGGTTTTCGATAACAGAGCGGCTTACTTTGTTACTGATTTTTATAACTCCGTGGGTAACTACATTTCCGATGCTGACGGTAACAAGTTGCTTGATGTCTACTGCCAGATCTCCTCTATTCCTTTGGGCTACAACAACCCAGAGCTCTTTGTCGCTGCCACTTCGCCTGAAATGGCTTCTGCTTTGATCAACAGACCTGCTTTGGCTTGTTTCCCTCAGGCTGACTACGCCAAGATCCTTGAGGATGGTATTTTGGCTGCTGCTCCTCCAGGCATGTCCAAGGTCTGGACGGCTCTTTCTGGCTCTTGTGCTAACGAAACCGCCTACAAAGCTGCATTCATGTTCCAGGCTGCCAAGTCTCGTGGCGCCATGGACTTTTCTGATGAAGAATTGCAGTCTGTCATGCTCAACAAGACTCCAGGTGCTTCCGATAAGACCATTCTTTCCTTTGAAAAGGGTTTCCACGGCCGTCTTTTCGGTTCTCTTTCCACCACCCGTTCCAAGGCTATTCACAAGATGGACATTCCTGCCTTTGACTGGCCTGTGGCTCCATTCCCTGAGTTGAAGTACCCATTGAACGAGCACGTTAGAGAGAATGCAGAGGAGGAGGCCCGCTGTTTGGCTGCTTTCGAGGAGATTGTCACCTCCCACCCTCCAGGCCACATTGCTGCCATCATCGTTGAGCCAGTCCAGTCTGAGGGCGGTGACAACCACGCATCTCCAGAGTTCTTCAAGGGCTTGAGACAACTCACCCGTAAGCACGACATTCTCATGATTGTTGATGAAGTCCAGACCGGTGTTGGTGCCCTGGGCAAGTTCTGGGCCCACGAACACTGGAACTTGCAGGACCCACCAGACATGGTGACCTTCTCCAAGAAGTTCCAGGCTGCTGGTTTCTACTTCTCAGACCCAGCTTTGCAGCCATCCCAGCCATACAGACAGTTCAACACCTGGTGTGGAGACCCATCCAAGGCTATCATCGCCAAGGCCATCTACCAGGAGGTTGAAAAGAACAACTTGGTTGAGAGAACTGCCCAGACCGGTGACTACTTATACAAACAGCTCCAGAGCCTTGCAACCAAGTACCCAAACAAGATCAGAAACTTGAGAGGCGAGAACTTCGGTACCTTCATTGCCTGGGACTGCGAGAGCCCAACCCACAGAAACGAGTTGTTGTTGAAGATGCGTGGAGCTGGTGTGAACATTGGTGGCTGTGGAGAACGTACCGTCCGTTTGAGACCAACCTTGTTGTTTGAGGCTACTCACGCCAACGTTCTTCTCAACGCGCTTGAGCAGGTCTTGGCAAACTGATGGCGTCTACGTTTTGTGTGATTTTCCGGGGTAGTGTGATAAGCTGGGAGATGAAGAATGGTTGCAAAATGGCACAAAGAGCCTTAATAAACCCCTTACGTGGAACCAAATCCCCAAATTATTGAATAGTTGACGTCGCCTTCTTTTCAAAATTCGCCTTTTTCGCCCTTTCCCCTTTCCATCATCAATTTCATGTAAGTTGACCAATATCTGTCATTTTTTTTTTTTTTGCCCACTGCCTCAAAAAAAAAAAAAAGCCGCCTTATAACGGTCACACGAGTATTACCAGCGGAACAGGTTTCCCGGCGCCCCAAGCAAAATACCCCAAAATAAAGACCCACCCAGAAGTCTAAATTTACATTTCTTCACCTATTTATGCCCTCCCTCTTCCTCCCACCCCTTCTTTTGGTATCACTTTGGTTCGCCCATAACGGTATTTAGCCTCCGTACTGCACATAACGCCTCCGCGCTAAGCGAAAGGGACTAACCGGTTTATGGAGCATCCTAATTAGGCAGACATCAACGTAATCTACCCATTCCCGAATTCTCCATAAAACCATCCAGCGCTGGCTCGCCAAACCTTGATTACCTGTGCTTTATACTGTTGTTTTACCTGTCACGTGATACCCTCCTCCCCCAAACCTTTTCTTTATTCCCTCCCTTCCACGCCTTGCCTTCCCCAGAATGATCCACCATGCTAGGTCGTCTATTTAAGCAGCAACAGCTGCCTGCTCCCCTGCCACTAAACCCTCCTCAGGGCCCGGCGAAACCGGCTCCGGCGTCGGCAAATAGCTATGAGGATTCTTATACGAGAGAGATACTATATGGACTGCTGTCGTTGAGCCAGATACGGCCTCACAGTTTCAGCAGACGGCGGTTTCGGTTAGTGGTGGCGCAAGACGGCGGGAACCTTCGATCGAAACAGGTGTTGTTTGATTCGGCAGACCGCCAGGATTCCGGTTTGGGCTCGGCTCCGGGCTCTGGGCCTCATCTGGAAGCACCGCTGCCGTCTAGACCTAGATCCCAGCTGGATAACAAACTGAACCTCCAGAGCCCTACAATGAGCACTCCGGCGTCGCCTAAGACTGAGGACGACCTGTTGCAGCAGTCGCTTTCGAATTTGCTGTTTCTGCGTGGCCTGGCGTCGAAGAATATTCTTACAACGAAACTTCTCCATAATGCGTCTGAACTTAATGAGTATATGTTCGGACGGGGGCTTCCGTCGTCTGAATCGCATACGGCAACGAAAGTGCACCTTCTTCCGCAGTTCAATTCGGTCCACGGATCGTTTCTGGCGGTTTTGGTGACGAAATTGTTTCTGATTCCTGATAATGGAGGCATCATGGGCGAAACGCTGCACGATACTGACCCTTCATGGCTGCCAACCCCGACGTTTCCTATCAGAGAGACTTCTTATTCGTTCCCGCTGTCGCTTCTGTCAAACCAGGCGTCGTCTTCTCCAGAACTGCCTTCTTTGGGTGTTTCCAAGTATACTGTGAACAGTCGGTTTGCCATTGGCATTGTCATTCCGTACTCCCAGGAACAGTCTGTGGATGAGGTGGTGCTCCAGAATTGGGAGGTCTTATCGCAATATCTTGTATCTTTGCAGAAATTGGTCACCAAGAAACTCCTCATGGTGATCAATTACTCCACTGTCAACGGAATGTGCCCATACATAGCGAACAGACGCATCCTGTTCCCCTCGGAACTTCTCCAAGCGGACTCTGAGCTACCTCGACAGCTCCACAAGCTCTACCGGTTGATTCATTTTAATTATAATACTCCAAGGTTAATTAATTCCAATAGCATCATGCGGTATTCTGCTTCTCATGCGGATTCCCGTTTCAAAGCCTTGTTGGTGAATTGGGCTTTGGAAGTGATCAACTGGTTGGAGTTCAAAGACGGCCGCAACATTGTCTCTTCAAACCACCCCAACTTTGCATCGAACGCACATTTCCATAATTATCTGCATAACCACCACAATCTACATTCCCATGGCGTTCATAACGAGTTTGAAGGAGTGCCGTCAAATACCTTTTTGGCTAGTTTGTTTGCCCTTTTGCATTCACTAAGAGATCTGTTGTCTCAGACTTCTCTGGAGACATCCGCTAATCGGGACTCTAAGGAAGTCACCAGAATTTTGGTCGTCACTGGAAATTCCATCGTCGCCAAAAGCTCATATTTATTTTGAACGGGCTTATACCCGATGCCCAGTTTGAGGCATGTATCAGTGATGAAGACTACAAGAGAAGTTTACAATACACTGATAGTAACGACACCACAGACGCTGAGAACTTTACGTCCCCATCTTCTCAGGAAACTTTTTATAATTATAGCCATTGTGCTGCTGATCGCTCCAAGAGAGTTACCACGCCATTTTCAGACCCTTCTGCTACTCCGGGCTCGATTCCTGAGACAGCTTCAATCCGAGAACTCTCGCGTACGCCAGAAATTGGCAGCACTCCTATGGCTCAACCTATTCCTATCAAAAAGGCAATCACGCTCGCGACAGCATCGCTGGTTCGTCTGACGAATCACTTTCCGTCCTGGTTTCATCCCAAAGAGGTTGGGAAGTACCAGGAAAGTCGGGACCAGCCGCGAGCGTATCCTTTGCTGAAAGGCCAGTGCTAGAGACATCTCATTCAACCACTCAGCACATACCTATTCACGGCAAGCCTGCCATGTCTACATCATCATCCATGGCCCAGCTTTCATCTTCGCTCAATTCCTCGCTTTCATCGAGTGCTTCTAATTATTCTTTCTCGAAGTTCGGCTCGTCATTCCTTGATAAGTGGAGAAATTCGTTCGTTCCTGGGCCTAACAATTTACAAGAACCACATCATCATATTCACGAGGGCTTTGATCATCAACATGCACCAGATTTGAGTAAGAGGCCCTCATACCACTCGCTTAATTCGCCTTCTCCAGCGATTGAACAGGATGATTTCCAATGGGACGCTGCTACAACAGCCACCAGCAGAGGCAGAGCCAAGCTCTCTAGAGCTCAGTCTATGCTTGATTTGTTTAATCTCACGCTGCCTGTTGAGGGACAATCTCTGCATTCGACAGAGTTTCCAGCTCTCAATCTTAAGCGTTCTAGAGGCGCGATGGTTGTTCCGCTTGCAAACGACCATGCAAGAGGTTTGGTAGATGTCAGCAGAGACGCTATCCATAGGAAATGTGAACGTGTGATGGACGCAAAGCTCACGTATGGTGAGCTTAACAACAACACTATGGAAGTCAACTTTGACAGTCATGATGACGAGAAAGTCTACAAGCAGAGACCTCTTTTGCCCAATGTTGCGTTTGTCGAAGAGTTCAGACCAGAATACACCATGCAGCTGTGTCCAGTTAGTCTGAAGCTTGAAGCACAGGTCACCACTGCAATGAAGAACGACTTGCTATTCTACCACAACGATTGTGGTTACTCTAAGGTCACGACAAGGTCGGTCGTGATTAGTTTGCGTGCTAGGGAAATCAAGGTGATTGAGATGAATGTGGGCGACAAGAATGGCAAGGGAAGATCTTCTTCCACGCCTGCTGGCTGGGTAGCACCTGCGCCAGCCTTTAGTCACGGTCACACGACACCACCAGTTTCTTCACATTCACCTACATCATCTTATTTCCACGGGTACCATGAACATAATCACACGAACGGAAGCCACGGAAACGGTGATAAAGGTACAAGCTACAAGACGACGATTCGCAAGGTGTTTACTCCACATCGTAACAGTGGTGACAGAGAACAGATAAACAGGATAGAGTCACTTCTAGACCGGTTGACGGAAGTCGTGGCGAAGATCAATGCCTACAACAACGAGGGAGCTTCTGACGAGACGATGAAGGATTTAAATGGGAAACTTTTCACCACCGTTTCCAGTCTTCTACAGTGAGAGAGAAGGGTCATGTCTGGACTGAACTGGCCTTGGGTGCAAGAGCGCCCCCAGAGATCAACCCAAAGGGAATGAAGTGCCACAGAGTATTCCTTCCGTCCTAAAGCATCCTTTTGGGACCGGTCTCCCGTTGTTCACCGTGTTGATCATGGTGCGGCAGTAAGAGACGCTTTGACTCCCACCACCGCAGCCTCAACCTTCCCTCCATCAATTCAACCTCTGTTTCTTCAACATCCCCGATCCACCGTCGCCTCGACTCGGCCACGTGAGATCTCCCTCTCGTTTCTGGATATTACTAATTAGAGATTACCATATCGCCTTGGAGCCCGATGTAACTAAAAGCGCGAACTGGAAAACTGGAGAAAAACAGGAATAGAAAAAAAAAAAAGTATAGTAGAAGAACCAGCCAGGCAGACTACTACCACCAAAGGAGAACCCACAGTTACATTTCCCATATTCTGCTGCTGCCCAGAAGAAACTACTACTTTTTTTTACGTTCCTTTTCGGGCTCCCTATAAGATAAACCTTCCCATTTCAAGCACATCTACAAAACCCACAAAACATGTCAAAAGAGCTGACGCCGGCACTCTTCAAAGACGCCGAGGATAAGACCCAGGAGGCCAAAGGCAAGTTCTCTGAAATCGCAGAATGTTCATATTTATCAAAGAGCCTTGGAAGTATAGGCCTGAAAGAGCTCATGGCATGTGATTGTACGGAAGACTGGGATCATGAAAAGGAGATGAACATGGCGTGTGGCGAAAACAGCCACTGTATCAACAGAGTGACGTCGGTGGAATGTACGAATAAGCTGTGTTTTTGCGGCAAGGATTGTCAGAATCAACGATTTCAGAAGAAACAGTACTGTGAAGTGAAGGTGATCCAGACAGAGAAGAAAGGATACGGATTGGTCGCTGAACAGACGATTTCTGAAGGTCTGTTTGTGTATGAGTATATTGGAGAGGTTGTGGACGAGGAGACGTTCAGAAAGAGAATGATCGATTACGATACGAGGAAACTACGCCATTTTTATTTCATGATGCTTACGAAAGATGCATTTATTGATGCCACAGACAAGGGTTCTTTGGCCAGGTTCTGCAACCACTCTTGTTCTCCAAATGCGTATGTGGATAAGTGGGTTGTGGGCGATAAGTTGAGAATGGGTATTTTCGCTAAGCGTGAAATCTTGGACGGCGAGGAGATCACTTTTGATTATAACGTTGATCGTTATGGTGCTCAGCTGCAGCCTTGTTATTGTGGTGCTCCCAACTGTCTCGGCTGGATGGGTGGAAAGACCCAGACCGATGCTGCTCTATTACTTCCAGAGGGTATTTCTGAGGCTTTGGGTGTGACCCGAGCTCAAGAAAAGGCATGGTTGAAGCGTAACAAGCAAGCTCGTGTTGCCCAACAGGAGCCAGATGCCACTATCAACGAGGACTTTGTCAAGAGTCTTGATGTGGAGGCTTTGAACGAGCACGATGTCAATAAAGCCATGGCTGCTTTGATGAAAGCTGAGGATAGTAATATTGTTTCCAAGATTATTGATCGTGTTTACTTGACTGAGGATGCTAAGCTCAATTCTATCATTGTGCGTCTTCACGGTTACAAAACGCTCTCGCAGATATTAAAGGAGAACTCAGAGGTTGATGAGTTGACGAGGAAAGTCCTTCTGATCTTGAGAAGGTGGCCATCTATGACCAGAAACAAGATTGAGCTGTCTCAAATAGAAGACGTGGTGAAGAAGATTGTTTCCAACACCGACAACTCTGAGATTCGTGAACTAGGTTCCGACCTTCTTGCCGATTGGAGCAAGTTAGAAATGGCATACAGAATCCCCAAGAACAGAGACGGCTCGGCAAAGACAGAAAAGGTGGCCCGCGGATCCATGTCTCCATTGTATGGAAGAACCGTCCGTTCGGCCTCTCCAACTTGGGGTTACGAGGATGTTACTGAACCTACCACCAACGATTCTCCTCCTAGTGAAGCTCCAGATGATGATGAGCTTCCTCCAGGCTGGCAAAAGGCTGTTGATCCAAACACCAACACCGTGTACTATTATCATTCCGAGTTGGGTATTTCCAAATGGGAAAGACCTACCATTGCTGTGCCCAAGGGACCATCTATTCCTAAAGGACCCAAACAGAAACAGAACAAACAGCAAAAACAGCAGGAGCAACAGTCTAAGCAAAAGCAGAAGAACGGAAAGCCAAACCAGCGAGAGGGCGACTACTCTTCTGTTGAAGAAAGCAAACTTCAAAAGCTCAAGGAAGAGCAGTTCAACGAGATGCGCCAAAGAGAGAAGCTCCTCCAGGATCTCATTGTACAATCACAACAAGAAGCAGAAGAAAAGAAAAGGCTTGCTGAGCAGGCCAAAAAGGATAAACTTGACAAACTCAAGCAAAGGCGAAAGCAGAAGGAATTGGCCTGGGCCAAGTCTAGGACGCCGCCAGTTAAAGATGAATCTGTTGAGGTGCTCTGGACCAGAACATTGGCCAGATACATCCCCAACATGGTCAAGAAGCATGAGGCCGAAATCGGGCATGAGAATGTGAAAGGGTGTGCCAGAGATTTGGTAAAGATCTTGGCCAGCAAAGAGGCTAAGAAAGAGACGGCACCACCCAAAGAGCTCGATAACGCCAAACTCAAAAAACTCAAAGAGTTCACCGGCAGTTTCATGGAGAAGTTTTTGATTAAGTTCAGAAGCAAACGGCCACGGACAGATAACAACAGCAGTAATGGCCAGAAAGACAAGACGACAACTACGTGAAGCATGCAGTGGATATCTATCATTCTAATATAAATTAATAACTGCGTTCCCCCCAAGGAAACCCACAGAAGGGGTCTCCAAAACACACTAAACTCTATCTAAACAGGGAGCGGGTTGGTTTTGAAACTTTTTTAATCGCAAGTTTCCAACAACTTAGGCAAGTTCTCGATACTCTCGGTACCGTAGATGATCTGGTAGGTGGCCTCGAACAATGGGAATTCGGTGGTCTTGTTCACGTTGGTCAACAACTCGTGCACCTCACGGGCGGTGATGATACCCTGGGAAGATTGGCCGTTCAACAACTTCTTCTCAGCAACCTCAGCGCTTTCTCCGGTCTCGGCCATGTAACGACCAACCTTGACGTTACGGCCACCAGAGCACGTTGTGATCAAGTCAGCCACACCGGCAGACTCTTTAGTGAAGGTACCAGCCTGGGATTGAGGGAAAAAGGTCTGGGAGAACTTGATGGTCTCCAAAAGACCAACTCTCATAATGGCAGCCTTGGCATTGTCACCCCAGCCCAAGCCTTCGACGAAACCAACAGCCAAAGCGACAATGTTCTTCAAAGCACCAGCGACAGAAACACCAGCAACGTCCTCCACCACGTTAACGTGGAAGTAAGGTCTGTGGAAAGCAGCCTTAAGCACGAAAAGATCAATATCGTAGCCAGCACCCTTAAAGTCCTTAGGAATGGTGTATGCGACGGTTGTTTCAGACCATTTACCTCTGGCAATCTCTGGAGCCAAGTTGGCACCGGAAAGAGCACCACAAGAAAGACCCAACTCTTCGGTGATGACAGTGCTCAACAACTTACAGCCCTCAGGCGTAACCTCCAAGCCCTTAAGACAAGAAATGGCTCTGCAAGTAGGCTTGACGTGGCCCTTCAACTGCTTACACACCTTAGGCAAGAACTGGTGGGGCAAGTTGAACACCAAAAGGTCAGCGTCCTCAGCCACCTTGACAATATCAGGCAAAGCCCTCAAGTTCTGAGGAAGCTTAACGCCAGGAAGGTAGCGGACGTTTTCGTGGTCCGTGTTGATGATCTCGGTCAAGTTACGGCCGTCCACCTTCTCCTCAAACACCCACATATCCACAAAGTGTTTAAACAAGTGAGGTCTAGCAGAAGCATTCTCCGCAAGGATTTTGGCAATGGTGGTACCCCAGTTACCAGAACCAATGACGGCGATCTTGAAAGGCAGCGGAGGCAGCAAGGACTTCTCAGCAGAAGTCTGAGATCCAATGATCTGAGCAAGATGTTGCAATCTCTGAGCAGGGGTAGACATTGTTCTTCGAAAAAGGTGAAGTATGGTGGTTGCAAAAAGAGACAGAAGTCGGTGCGATTTTTCCGGGTCCCCAGACGTTTAAGTATGCGCATCCAACGGTGCGCAACCGCGCCAACCGAGGCAGACGGCTGTGGCAGGGCACCGACCTCGGTACAGTGGAAGGTGAGGGAGAGAAGGTGAGGAAGAGAAGAGAAGGAAAGGGATTTGTGAAGGTAAAGGTAAGGATGTTGTATGGGTGGAAGTAAGGGTTGGAAGGGTGGTTTGGTTTGGCTGAGGGGGAAATGGGCAGTCGGGGAGGAAAGTTGGGTGTGGTGGACTGAGGCCATGTTGGGTCCCTAGGCCCTCCCTAGGACCGTCCCTAGGACCGCCAGGGCCTAGGGAGCCTAGGGGAGGAAGGACTACCAGTAAAGTGACAGGAGGGAACAAACTAAAAAGAGTGAAATTACGTTTACTATGGGTGGACGGATGTTTTCTGTTAATATAAAGAGGATTGGGAGGTTGGTGGTGGAAATGAATGGGGGTTTGGGTGGCAGTTGGTGGTGGTCAGTAGAGGCTCATTGGGGCCAGTTGGGGCCAGTTGGGGCCATTTGGGCGTGGAGAAAGTGCGAAAAAAAGAAGTCTGGGGTCAGGAAAAGAAAGGTGAGAGGAGGAAGAGGTGGGTGGATTGGTTGACCAATGGGAAGGAGGATTGGGGATGGTAAAAAATAAAATTCAGCGTGGAGTAGGTGAGTTTACGGTGGGACAGGTGGGCGTGGGAGTTTCGTGGATGTTTAGAGGAGTTGCGTGGTGGTCGGTGAAGGTATGAGGCGGTGGAGAGGTATTGGAGGGTGCTGTGAGCACTGGTCTGGGGAAAAAGAAGGAAAGGAAGAGGGAAAAAGAGGAAGAGGAAAAGCAGAAAAAGATGAAGAACTGAAAATCCAGGGATTTTTCTCTTTCTCTGCTTTTTGTCGTTTTTCAAAATCCTCAACTTTTCCTGAAACCTCCCTCTCTTCGGACTTTCTTTCTTTTTGAAAGTCTTCTTTATTGAGTCTGTACTGGCTGGCTGCTAACTGCCTCCAAAGGCTGCCCTCCCTGGCCTGCCACTGATTGTCCCACCACTGCTTTCTTGTCCCGGAAAGTCACAAGAAGCCGGTGGGCCCCCTACGTCATACTTCTCCTTCTTTCTCTCTCTACCGTGGGTACACTATATGTGGGATTACGTTACTTTGCTTTCCACAGTGAGTGTGAAATTTGCCCTGGAAAATTCCGGCGATGCATCGAAAAGGTGGAAAAAAAAGAAACATCCGGAAAATCACGGATCCTGTCATATTTTGTGAGACTCTACATCTCGTGTGAGTATTGACATGTGAAGGGGCACAAAAGAAGGATGTGGGAATTCAACGGCACCTGCTTCCCCTCCTTTTCCCGTGTTGCTGCTTTTTTTCCCTTTTTTATTTATCTTTTTTTCCTTGTTATTACTTTACGGTTTAACCGCTAAGCTGGCTTTTCGGCAGAGAAAATCCGAACCGTTATTTTCTCCATCCGTCCGAGGCGCATCCGGTTGCAAATTGCTTATGAAAAGGTTTAGCGATGTTTAGCGAAACCGTCAGGTTGAGCTAAACCACTGGAATTGACCCTAATAGTGGAATTGAAGCTAATAGTGGAATTGAACTAAATACTGGTAAATCCACTTCACCTGACCCTTTGGAGTCCAGCGGCAGCTGGACTTCCCGAAAAGCCATACGCATAGATAAGCTTTTGGGTGCCAGGCGGTAGTATGCTATGCAAAGTGGAAACAAGCAAGGTAAACAGGAAACGGGTATCTGCGGTGGAATTGGGTCTGCTGGGTGAAACATCCTGGAAAAGGAGGGGTAGACTGTGGAAGGGATCAACCAGACTATGGTGATCAACCAGACTATGGTGATCAGTTACTACCACTTATAGCCAGTGTCTTCATTCCTGTTTTGTCTCTTTCTGATATCATTCATTTTCTTCACGTCTTCCACTACTACCCTCGGTTCCACCACTCTCTCATAACCAACTTCTCTTGATCCCATCTGGTAACAGCCCATAGCAATATTGTCTTGTGAGCAATCTGTGTCAGTGGTTGCCGGATCTATGGATCACTAAATCTTCCCCCAGCGCTCCTACGCTTCGATAGGGTGAAAATACGAATGGGAGTAAAAAAGCAGCGGTGCAGAAAGCCGATATCTGGAGAGCAACGATCTTGGTTTGATCGGTGATAAGGAGATGAGGCCTTTCTGGGGCTGTTTGGGTATTCTTGCTTGTTTTTCCCAATACCCCTGCGTTTCCTGGTATACTGGGTTCCAAGGCTTTATTCAGCCGTGGATGGTGGTAAGGTGGTTGTTAGGATAGAAGTAAAGTCATTGGTTACCATGGTATTTATGTCTTTGAGGAAGGTGAGTTATCGACTTCTTGGTAGTGCTATATGTCAGGAAAGGTAGATAAGAAGGTCCACCAAGCCATATATTCAGAACGATATCAAGAAGAGAAGAATGAAGAAAATGTTAGCAATTGACTGCCTCATCATAATTGTGGAGTATAAATGGACTTCTTCGATAACAGACACTAGTACTCACCAGAACCACTGATCTCCACCAAGACTTCCAACAACCAAGCCTTTAACCTTCCTTATAAAAAGGTCTCTTCTACACCCTTCCTAATTCATACCTCTATAAGTTATATAAAGCCACGGGGTGGCCATCTGCTGTACTACTCTCGTAGGTATTGAAGGTTCCGCTCATATAAGCCCTTCTGTTCGTTTCTTTTACAAGTAAGCGTGCCCTTGTGCCTCTTCAAAGCGTCCTTCCTGGCAAATCCTTTACCACAAGAAGGACAAATATTAGCAGGGATCTCCAAGTGCTGTTTGCCATGACGCTTCAAGTCACTGCTACGACGAAACAGCATATCACAGTTGGGACAAGGAAACTTCCGCTGAGGCTTATTTTTCCTATCTAGCGGAGCCACCTCGTCCTCTGCCTCCAGTTTCAAATCCACTGGTTGCGGTGGCGGTGGTTTTTCACGCTGGCTGCGGAGCTCTGGCGGCTGTTCTTTCCTTTTATCCTCGTCCAACAAAAAGTTCCAGCCTGTGTTGTTGGCGTTCAGCGGATGATTATGGTTGCCTGTGAAGATATCGTTGCTCATGTTGGGGAACCCTTCGTAAAAATTCTGGATCATAAGCTGGCCATTTTCGTTGGCAGTGATATTCTGGGACCGTTTGATAGGGTTTCCATGCGGCAGCGAAGCGTACTGGAGTCTGGTAAGAAGATCCTCTATCGTTGGATCCACTAGCATATCCAGTTTAGCTGTAGTGGCCACCAACGCTTCGTGGGCCAAACGAAGAAACCTTGCATCTTCGTCGTTACCTCCAGCACCACCAGAACCACCTCCAGGAGGTCTATCTTTATCATCAGCATCTCGAACACCATCCACCTCTGAATGGCTGCGAAATCGGTTCAAATGCGGTAGTCTGCGTGAGTTATCTAGGTGATTTGGATGGTGTTGATGATTATGTTGATGATTATGCTGATTCTGTGGGACCTGGTTCCCCAGCCGTGTGTAACTTACATTATGTTCAACCACCACAGGACTGTTTCGTCCCACAAGAAAGTTATCAGGCAGCTGGATGCTTCTCGGCGAGTCCTCGCCAAACATGGAGAAGCTCATACTAAGATTCTTATAAATATATGGTTAGTAGGCCAGTCGACCTTTCTGGATCTTTAAATTGGTGACGATATGGTATAACGGCATTTATTTGCCTGGTATTGCAAGAGAAGCAAAAGTAACAAAATGTTTTAAAAAAATGCTTCCCCTTTACTTTAAGAACGTCTCCCTCTTTTTTATTTTTCTTTGCTATGTTTCCCAATAGATGTCGTTATATGGGAAGGAACTGTGGCTCACCGAAACCCAGAGCCCTTTGACTGGGAGGGGGGTGAAAAGCGAAAAATATACGTAAAAAACCCTCGATGCTTCCGCAGCCACTAAAAAAGGCAATTCAGTTGATAAGCTGTAGCTTTCTAAAGAAAAACCCCCTTCAAAAATGCCTGGTTTCTGGTCCTTTCCACTCTTTGGCAGCCGGACTCTATAGAACTATGGCTGCTAAAAAAGACGTACTTTGGTGGAGTACTTAACTTGCAGCGCGATACTGGCGGGACAAGACGTGATTTGGGGTGAAGGAGACACAAAGCTAGCCGGGGCGCCAATGAGGAGGATACTTTAGGACATGTAATATTGGGGAGTTTTTTTTTTTTTGGCGTTTTTTCTTGCAAAAGCAAAGGAATGGCTGTGAGAGCTGGTTTCTGTGGCTCACGTGACATTTTGCAATAAATTATGTCATCATGATCATGAGGGTGGCACCAACCCTGGGATCGTGGGCCATTGTGTGGTGAAGTGGGGTGGGACAATAAAGAGAGGGGAGGGAGGTTCTATGTTTGGGGATTACTGGGGGCCCTGACAAAACTGGGGTTGGAATTTTGGAGTTGGAAGAGGTGTTTTTGATGAAATGTCACGTGAATGGTCATGTGTTTTATATCACGTGATCTAACCCACGTTTATCGTATCCCGATTCGGTTCCGTCTTTCTAAGCCTTATCAGTATGGTTAGATCGTCGATTCGTATTGTCTTGTTAACTAAGAGCAGGTAATGTCAGGTGGAATTGGGCCATGAGTGGTTCGATGCATGTGAAAAAAAAATCCAGGAACATAACTTCCGAAGAAAAGGGTCCTCGGGACCCTTGACCCTGACTCAGGTACACTTTTGCAGCCATTTAATAGGTTGGGTAAATTGTGTATAAACTGCTGATTTGGGGTTTGACGGTCATTTCATTGTCTTTTTTATCACTTTCTATTGCAATTTTTGAAGTACTGGTTGGGCAGCTGGAATAGGCATTCCAGTCGATCTAGCTCTATTACTTGAGCGTAGATCATCTACTTGATGCTATTATTGTAAGGAATGTTACCCGGTAGTTCTAAATATCTCCAGTAAATTATTTCCTTCTCCCTTAATCTTTCCTTGGTCTTCCCTGACGCTTTACCTGAAAGAAACCAGATATGTGTGTATCCAATTACTGTACAATGGCAGCTACACTGATGATTAGCATAACCTACAGAACAGAATCGTTTGTTGCCATAGCAACGAAACAAACCAGCTGATCCTCAGTAATCCACTCTTTCGCTTCCATTCAACAAATACTATTCAAAACGTGTTCTATCTTCTACTGCCATTATCTGTACTTTTGTGTCTGTATTACCCAGTGTATCTAAGCGCTTCGGTTGAAAATCTTCCATTGCAGATCATACCGGCATTCCAGTAAATCCCAAGATTAACGTCAATCCGTAGCTTAAAGCTTACTATTGATGTGGGTGCAATAGCAGCGAAGCTTTTGTGATATTTGGTTCAACTGATCGTATTGTGGATTGAGTGCAAACCGGAAGTTTATGATAAACTTTGGGAAGCAGCTGGATTTGGTTCCAATGGGGTAAACAGGAATCCTTTCTAGGAAGCTTTGGAGGTTGAAAGACGAAGAAGTGGAAAAATATGCCTTTATACTGGAAACGTATGGTATATCTTTGGCTGCAAACTTCACACACATCTTCCATTCATTCGCCGAAACCACCCTATTGTTGAAAAACAACCATTATACTTGGTTTCTGGATATTCTGAGGATGAAAAGGACCCTTCAAATTCGTGTATACTACCCAAATTCCCTATTTACCTTGGTCATGTCTCCTTGCTGTACTTCCATGCGACTCATACCCTTCCCCCAAAAACCACTCAAACCCAAAACACCAAAACAAGGGATCACTCGCCAAATTTCAACCTCTATTTTCCTCCTTAAACCCTTCCTTAACCCTCTTTTCTAGGAAGTTTCCTCCCTGGAAAACCCACTATATATGGGGAAGCGTGCCGCGCACGACCTTGGTGATGCTCAAAAGCCAATCTTCACTCTAACTAAACCCACAACGATGCACCAAGATCTTCCGGCCAGACAAAAGTCCCAGAGACTTGTAAACAAAGCCAGAGCCGAACAAGGGCCTGGTAAATACTTCCTGCAGTTTAAACAGAAAGCGAGGACAATCACCAACGCCAATGAGCTACTTCCAGGCTTGAACGATATCCTGGACGCTTTCGAAGCAATGCCCATGGATTTGGTGAAGTACATGACGCTTTTAAAGGAAATCGACGCCAAATGCATAAATTCCATTCCTGCCATCAACAGACAAATCGCCACGTACATTGAAGACCTCCACGAGGACGGCAAGAGAGACGCTCTTTCAAGTGATAGCAAGACACAGAGACTTGGAAGGATCAGAAAGCGTATCTTCGAGGTGATTCCGTGCTTGGAAGAGAAGATGCACGTTACTTCGGTGGCTGCAGACGTGATGGCCAAACATATGCACAGAATCAACAACGACTATAAGGTGATCGTGGGGAACAACGAGATTCCTGAACTGGTCAGGTTAGGTCCTTTGAACCATAGAGCTATGATCCAGGATCCTGCTGCTGCTGCTGAAGCAGCTAAGCTGGCCCAGTCTCAGCGTCTGGAGTCTCGTAGAGAGGCTCTTGCGGCCAGAAAGGCTAATAAGGATGGAGATGAGGAAGATAACGGTAAGAGACGCCGTGGAGGTGCTGGCAGTGGACGTGAAACCACGCCTTTAGAGAACCATGCTGGCGCCGGCGCCAACGGAGCCAATGGCAATGGAGTTCTGGCTGGTTCCAAGAAGCGTAGGGCTCAGGAAGATAAGAGTCTGGTGCCTCCCGAGAAGAAGCGTGCTGGGAACAAGCCTAGAAGAGATAGAGAAGAAGAGGGCGTTGCTGGAGCTCGTCTGGCGCTGCTGGGACCTTCTGGTGGAGAGCCCACGTACTGTTACTGTGACCAGGTTTCGTTTGGTGAGATGGTGGGCTGTGACGGCGAAACGTGTAAAAGAGAATGGTTCCACTTGCCGTGTATTGGTTTCAAGAACCCTCCAAAGGGTAAATGGTACTGTGACGAGTGTTTGGCCAAGATGAAGAAGAAGCCAGCGAAATAAGGCGTCAATGGGGGAAAGGCTAAGGCAAGAACGATGTCATCTCGGTGGCTAGCGAATCACAGAAAAGAACTTTGGTTTGGGTTCAGGCAAAATTACTTCCATGTTTGGAAGACGCCTTACCAGACCATATGACTAGCCTCAAGGGAACCAGTCATTACAGTATAACAGACGATTAGGTGAAGCCAGGGCTGCTCCCGCTGCCCTCCACATCATCGGAACCGACCCGTCCCTTTCCCTTCTTCCCCACAATGTCCATTCCATCACGCATCTTCCACCACCACTTCCCTTCGCTTCCCTTTCCTCGGACCAAGCCTCTACTCGTGGCTGCGAAAATGCGACCATGAAAAATCGTCATGCCCCACCAACCACCATCAGCCGCCTCGCGATAACAACGAATGCCGTATTACTGGGAGTCATCAACAGTTACCAAATTTAGATGGAAGCCGCCAACGGCATCGTGCCAGAAAATCTCCCCCCTCTTCCAAAAAGCTTCAAAAAAAAAAAAAGGTCTTATCGATAAGAAAACGGTGCCCCTCCCCCGCCTTCCATCACCATAATCAGCCACCAGCATTTGCCAAGGTTCGCCCCACCGAGGACAAAACCAACCTCCTCCACCGTATATGTCGAGGCGTCCTCATCAGTGCATGCGGCGAGGTCCCATTTGCGGCTGTTCCATGTGGAAGAAGCATCTACTAAGCGTCCAATGGAACCTTCCAAAAGAAGCTTCTACTTGTTTCAATTATCTAGAAACTTCCAGTCAATCCACCCTTCCACCAGAAAAACCTCGCTTGACTGAAAGTTGGTCCATGCATAGCTGTGCAGGGGAAAAAACAGGCGCCAGACGTGAAGAGGAGCCAAAAAGAGAAAATGAGTCGCCAACGGAAAACGCTATTTCGGAAGGAGAGACCGCCACCGAGGCATTTTCTACATGAATGATTCAAGAAAAAGTGGGTGCAAAAGGACTTCCTCAGCCCTCCACATAACCCAAAAACGATCGGAATGTTTTTTTTTTCGCCTTGCATAAACCCATACTGGATTGGAAGTGGGAAAAGTTTCAAGCATGTTCCCAAATATGTGCACCCGTACCTCCGGTAACATTTTTTTCCCATGGTGCGCCAACAGAGGATCGAGCGGCCGTCCCACCTGGAACTTTATAAAAAGGCATTAGGCACAACAAGCAAGTCAATCGGGGCAACTGCCAGTTCCTTCTTTTGCAAATTCTCCCATATATAAGCACGCAGCTGTTTCCCGTTCATTGGTCATGTTGAAAGAGTATAAATTGGTTGTTGTTGGCGGCGGTGGTGTTGGTAAGTCGGCACTCACCATTCAGCTTATCCAGTCACACTTTGTTGATGAATACGATCCTACCATCGAGGACTCATACAGAAAACAGTGTACTGTTGATAATGAGCAGGTGGTTTTAGATATTTTGGATACTGCTGGTCAGGAGGAGTACCTGGCCATGAGAGAGCAGTACATGAGAACTGGTGAAGGGTTCTTGTTGGTGTATGCCATCAACTCCAGGAATTCGATAGAAGAGTTGCAAACGTTCTACGAGCAGATCCAGCGTGTTAAGGATTCAGATAACGTGCCGGTGTTGGTGGTGGGTAACAAGTCTGACTTGGAGATTGAGAGACAGGTGAGTTATGAGGAAGGTGCTGAGTTCGCCAGAGCCTTGAACTGCCCGTTTTTGGAAACTTCAGCTAAGCAGAGAATCAACGTTGAAGAAGCTTTCTACGGGTTGGTGCGTTCCATCAACGAAAAGACTGCTGCTGCCAACCCACCATCTGAACCTGTCGCTGCACCAGCAGCTGGAGGAGCCGACGCGTCAGCAGAACAAAACGACAACGCTGTGGAAGCTTCCAAGGCTGCTGAACACAGCAGCAAGCCTGCGCAGGCCAGCAAACCAGCGGCCACCTCTGAGAGGAAGACCGCCCAGAGCCTGTCCAAGGCGCAGCAGCCCAAGGAGAAGAGTGGATGCTGTGTGATTGTTTAAAAAAACAAACGGCTGTGCCGTTACGACAACGACTGAAGAAGAAAAAGAAAAAGATAAGAGCGTAATTAATTAATCAAATGAATGTCCAAAGACGACTCGTAAATGCTTCTATTTAGTTGATAAAGTGGAACACGATAAAGTGCAAGATCAAACTGGCAAACACATACTCGCCAAACGCCACCTCGGGCGAAATCAATTTGAACACACTCGACGCCCGATCCTTGTCGGCGGTGGCATACTGGAACCTCAAACTCACCGTAAGCACAAACTGGCCCACACATGAAATAAACCCACCCAAGAACGCATTGAATGGGAAATTGCCTATAAGCAACACATACACAAACTGCAAAACGCCCAACGCCACAAGAAACACCAATAGCGTATCGATCAACTTCAATCTAGGCGTCAATGTCTCGTGGTAGTCCTTATAAGTAGCCTGAACAGCGCCCACCACGTCGTTGAGCGAGCCAAAAACCAGTTTCTGGGATCCACCCTTGGATGTTTTAGGAGCCGTAACGCCGTCGTCCTCTGTGTTCTGAGCCGCCACGGCAGCCTGTGCAGCGGCAGCAGCCTTCTTGGAAGCGTCCTTTTTGGCCATACTGGAGAAGATGTTAGGGTAATTTGACACGCTTCTTTGATAGTGCGGTTGACTTGGATGGTAGTGCGTGGACCGTGGAGGGCCCAGTAATGGAGGGTGGAAGTATTTGGGTGGTATTGGCTGGTGGGAGGTTTTTGGGGGGTTTTGGGGTTTCTTGGGTGGCGAAGAATATAAGAAAAATGTCTTTTTTACGGGTTTTCGATGTGGAAGGGTGGATTGGCGGAGGGTTCAGTGGGTTCGCTTTGGCTGCGAAATCTGGAGAGGCAGGGCATGAGGGAGCCCGTATATGGTTGGTACTTTGAAGGAGGGAAGGCTATTTGGTGGGGAATAAATGGAAGACTTTAAGTGGAATATAAGCTGTGGTTTCCTTTTTATGTGTTTTTGCTCTTCGTTTTTTCAGTGGGTGTGCTGGTGATGTACTGAGTATTGTTCGTTGCTGGAACACTGATTCTGAGAAGGGAATGTATTAAGCAAGGTTGGTTTAATTTGTATGGTTATTGGAATTTTATTGAATTGAAGGGGTTTGCTGTTTTGGGTGTTTGCTTGACCTTCTGTTGATTGAAAGGTATAGTAATGCTGCTATTGGTGTTACTGTGATGGTACTACAGTAATACCAGGCGTCAATTGGCAAAGGAGGAAGGGAAATCAAAGAATAAACCTTACTTCCAAACGTTTGGTCTGACGTCAGTTTTGTATTTATGAGTTTATTGCTAGTATGTATTATTGATTACATTGTTATAAAGCTGAGGAATGACAATGGATCATATTGCCATTCTTGAAAACCTTCAACAATAAGATTTAGGTAAAGTTTTTGAAATATTTGGAATTAGCTTCCATGTTAAAGGAAACTTTATAGGACTTCTATTTATCGTTGTATCTAGCGATTTTGTAGAGCCTTAGGTATATATAACTATACGACTAGGCCACAACAAACGGTCCAATAAGAGAATGTAGATTATAATTTTCACTTAAATTCATCTCAATTTTCTTAAAGATTACCGAATTTGTTTCACTTGATACTCTACCATCAGTACTACTTGCTGCTCCACTTCACACGCACCAGACGAAACCAATAAGGTCCCCTATAAACCAAACAAATCCACTAAAAATTCAACTTCCCCTGGACCCCTTCTACTCATTCCATCTCTCTTTAGCCATTATCATTACCATAGTTTCCCCCACCACTTACTGATCCACCTATTACCATCCATTATGACTCCACAGTGAGCACTGTCAAAAGGCCCCACCAACAGCCCCCATTGCCAAAAACCACCCACATAAACATACATAAACAGAGTCCCCAACCCACCACCTTCCTTACAGAACCCTCCTCATTTCCCTACTACCCCTCTACCACCAATTCTTCTCCATCTAATTAAAGCTTCCGTCGTTCCTGGGCCACGTGACTTTCCTGCCAAATCCAAACTGGGTAAATTCAACCACCAGGAACATCCAACACTGCCATCTACACCACTTAATTGCCTGATAAATGTCTACAAAAACCACTGGGGAGGACCACCCGGTCGATCCTTTACAACCTAAGCGCATCACCACAGCTCCAGTGCTGCGAATAATCCCTCCTTTGAACTTCTGTCCGGTTGAAAAACAGCTCTACCGATCCGGCCAGCCGCTGGTGATAAACCAGTCTTTTTTACAAGAATTGAACCTTAAAACCATCATTTGGCTTGCGAGTGAAGAGCCTGCTGAGGAGTTTTTGGACTACTGCTCCCGGCTGAACATCAACATTGAGTTTGTTGGTATGATTAACGATTACAACTATTCTAATATAAATCCATGGGACCTGTTGGATGAAAGAACAATTAAAAACGCTTTAGAGCTAATGTGCAATAAGGATAACTATCCGCTTCTAGTTTGTTGTGGCATGGGACGCCACAGAACCGGTGCTGTCATTGGGTGCTTGAGGAGACTACAGGGATGGAACTTGGCAAGCGTGTCGGAAGAGTATAGAAGGTTTGCGGGAGCAAGAGGTGGTAGAATTTTGGTTGAGCTTCTAATAGAGAGCTTTGATGTTCTGACTGTGGAAGTGGAGCCGCTGAAGCTTCCTGATTTCTTGAGGTAGGACGGAAACGTGAATGAGTGAAGGAGAGATACGATAGAAGCGGTGACTGGCTTGCTTTGAGTCTTTTCGGGTTTCGGCTGGAGCGTTTTGTGGGCACTGGAAACAGAATAATCAGCATAACAGTCTGCCAATTTCAGTCTCTAGTATTGCCATCTTTACACTAAGGCATGGCTAGAGTGCCGAAATGCTCCTTACAGTATACTTAAAGACTGAACATCAGCTAGAAACGGTCTACCATGCTATACCTTTCCTTTGAGCTCTTCCGATTACATTCAAACGTTTGTTTAATTAAACGGAACATCCGGAAGTGGAATTTCAGGGCCTGGAACGAGATTCTTTGAACCTTGGTGCCTTTTCAATGACCACGCCATATCCTCCACCCCACTTCATCAAAAATACATCATAGATTAACATAGTCCCATCTTGCCTGAGCTACAGCTTTAGCTTGGTCTGGGTATTTTGTTGGGTTCCCACTTTACTTGGTCTAAAGTTGTCAATAAATTGACAAAAGCTTCCACTCCACCACACTCGCTATACAGAACAACACTACGCTTTCTCCACTTTATTTCTATGCATTTCCAGAAACATCTGTTAAGAGCAGCCTTAGGCAGATTCAGTCCAGGGAACTCTGGGGAAACCGACTTTGCACCCGTACACCAGGCGCCCTCCCAGGCTTCGCGGTGGAGGCAAACCCACCCCCTCATTTAACTCATTTGCTTTTATTATCACCATTGCTTTTGTAGTTTAGAGGACACTGTATTCCAAAAAGACCCTTCCAGTGTTCAATACTTTCATAAAAGCAACCTCACATACCTCACTAGCGTCTCCTCCCACAGCCACCGGTGCCCTGATTGGTCCTTTTCTTCACGTGACGTGCATCCCGCTTTCTACAAACACTTTACCCCTACTGAGTGACTCCAAAATCCCCCAAACAGTTCATCCTCAATTTCCTTACATCTTAACATGGGCACTTGCATTACAGTGATTAAATTCGCCGGAGCTTCTTCCTTGGGGCTCTTGAGCGGAAACTTGGCTTTCCAGTCATACAAGAAGATCCCTGACTTGATAAGACAGATTAACAATCAAGTTACCATCTCATCCACAGCTGCAGCTTCTGTGTTGAAGTCTGTGACACAGAACATCATTGTTTCTGGTTCTGCCAACGTGTTCTTCGCTGCTTTGTCCACATACTTGTTTTCTACCGCTTACAAGTACTCGCCTCCCTCTGGCAAACACCCATATCTCTTGTACTGTGCTGTGGGTGCACCATTGGCGCTTATTCTGTACAGCTTGAAGGCTTGGGGCAGTGACGGTAAGATTTTGAAGCGTGCTTGTGTTCAGAAGAAGGTTTTGGATAAGAAGAAGACCGCCAAGAAGCCAGAGGCTGCTGCTCCCGTGGCCCCAGTGGATTCTGGTAGCGACGACAGCTCCTTGGGCAAGTCATACATCCATGTGAGTGATTCTCTGTCCAGCACCACTACTCCTTCTAGTTCCACGCCCAACTCGCCTCAACAGCCTGCCACTGACCTTCAACCCACCACCTCTGCTATCGAGCAAGAAGTAGAGGAGGCATTAAACAAGAAAGAGTACATCAAGAACATGGAGACTATACGCGGGTCCCATAAGACCGCATTGGCCTTCTCTGGTGCTGCATTTACGGTGAGTGCCATTGGCCTTGTTGGAGAGTACTTCCTCAATTGAGAGGCAGCAACTTTTTTGATTTCTGCCCTGCGGCGGATGGTGTGACTCTGTGCGGCCACTGACCCCCTAGAGAAAAACCGCTAGCACCGCTGCCGCTGTAGCATGTGTTTAGGTGTATTGGCAAAAATGAACAAAACAGAAAGGCTGGTTTATTCTAGTATCTCTCCCATTGTCTCCTTTGGGAGCCTTGGCCTCCGGGATGTGGGTAGGGCGGCCGCTGCGCTTATCTCCAGCTTCTTGGTAAGCGCACGTGCACCTCGGTCACGTTTGCGCACCCTGACCGTTAGCCTAGGGCTTTTAACGGGGTCCCTCGGTACGATTTCTAAACATCCCTTGACACCATCATTAACTTACCTCGTTTAAGATTTTATTCCTCAAGAATCATGTCTTCTTTTTATGATCTCAAACCATTGGACGCCAGAGGCGAGCCATTCCCTTTCGCTGACTTGAAGGGCAAAGTTGTTGTGATTATTAACGTTGCCTCCAAATGTGGCTTCACTCCCCAGTACAAGGAGTTGGAGGAATTGAACAAGAAGTACGCCGAGAAGGATGTTCAGTTCATTGGCTTCCCATGTAACCAGTTTGGTGGCCAGGAGCCAGGCAGCTCCGAGGAGATTGCTTCCTTCTGCCAGCTTAACTACGGAGTGTCATTCCCAGTTCTCAAGAAGATTGACGTGAATGGCGATAAAGCCGATCCCGTGTACAAGTGGTTGAAGGAGCAGAAGAGCGGTCTTTTGGGCCTCACCAGAATCAAGTGGAACTTTGAGAAGTTCTTGATTGACAAGAATGGTAAGGTTGTGGAGCGTTACTCTTCGCTCACCAAGCCAAAGACTTTGGAGCCAAAGATCGAGGAGTTGTTGAAGGCTTAAGTTGTTGTTTAATAAGTAAGTAATTATCGTAATTTTAATCAATGGACGATGTTATCAATGTTGATTCTCGAGCGTTGTAGGAGTTTTGGGGAGGTAGCAATGTATCTGGTTGAGGTAATATGGCGTGATCTGGCCATCAACCAATTGAACTGTGATCATTGAGTATGGAGTTGGGTTATAGAAGAGTTCTTCTTCCTTTCCTTCTTTTTTTTCTTCCAGGTATTTATATTTTTCTAATCCTGGTTGGTGGAGCTGGATATTCACTTCGCAACTGGCTAACCTGAAGAAAAGTTATAAAACAAACACACCTTAAAAATCGAAAACCCATGGAAAGCCAACAAAGAGCATTTCCAGAGCATTTAAAGAAGAAAAATATTACCCTAATCCCAAACCACCGCCAATTCCATCCCCTACAGATACACTCCCAACTGTCATCTACTCAACCAGAGGTCACCAGAGGTCACCAGTCAGTGAACACCAGATCAACATATCCAAAGAACCACCCGATTTCACCCGGAACAACCCTTCTTCAACCAACCCTTCACCCTTATTCCCGTTTCTTCTTGCCTCTATTACCGCCCCTAGTCCCACCCCCTGACCCCATCCAACAATGAACCTTCTTATCTGTTTGGGTGCAAAATGCGATAAGCGTATCGGATCGCCTCTGCAAGCGCCGCTTCCCAAAGCCACCTCCTAACGGTTGCAAACGCGACAGAAGGAGGCCCCAAACCAGGCCGGATGCCGTAGGCAGAAGGCCTGTAAGAGAGAAAGGGACAGGCTCAGTAGACCAGGAGACTACGAGAGATGATAGATATGTATAGGCTGGAGTACCGCCAGGACGACCTGTCCAGGCTACACCACCTCGCTCCCTGCCTATCTACCTCGTAAGGTTTGGCTGTGCATTGGCTGTGCGTTGGACTCTGCCTCTGGACGTGCAATCCACGTACAATCCCTAGTGGAACAGTCTCCGTAAATCTAAATCACCATTACTGCCCAAACAAGAAACACGTCCGTACTTGGGCCCTCCCCATGCCTGGTTGTTAGCCAGCGTGCAGCGAACAAGCACAGCAGCCTAAGCTCCACACTGACCAGATCCTTCTGGGTCAAATACCAGAAACATACCGGGAGGAAAGTCTAATACCGTAGGGTTTTCATCCAGTGAAACAAGCCACGGTTGGTATTTTTGTCTTTTCTGTTTCTCATTACCCCCTGTTCCTTGGCTACCTTCTCCTTGGCTAGTTGTCCACACTTCTCAGTGTGGCAGCGTTTCAGGTCCAACCACACCAGCCACAGGGTCCATTCCGAGGGGGATAGTTGCTGGAGCCATACTGAGGAGTAGAAATGGCGTTTTGGGGTCTACAAAGGGATTTTCAAAAAAAAAAAAATACGCTTACTCCAGTTCCAGTGGTGCCACTGCCTGAGTCCCCCAATTCCACCCATAACCACCATATTCATGCACCCAGTGAGGGAAACGAAGAGAGGGAACAATACAATACAAAAAAAAAAAGAACGAAGAACAGCTAAGACAGAGAAAACACAAAAAGTCCAATTCCAAATGGAACCCAAAAAATATACCAAAAACCTGGGCCCAGTCACTGCTCACTCAACAGAACCAATCAGTCATGGACCGGAACCGGTCGCGCCAGATAGTCCCAGTGCCGGCGCCAGCGCTGGGGCCAGCGCCAGGTGAGCCCGAGCCTTATCAGTACACCCAACACCGCACAAGACACAAAAGTGAATCAGTCATCGATGACAAGGGAGGTGAGGGTAGCAGTAGGGAACACATTTAGTAAAAGAGAAGATAGTATGAATAAGTAAATGAATAGATAGAATTAAATAAATTGAATAAATAGGGACTCGCCTCAGAGTAACCTTCGGTTACTCTTCGGCTTCGGCTTCGTCTTTGTTTCTTTTTCTGCTCACTCGCTTTCGCTCGTGAGCAGCGCAGCGCATTCCTTTGGGTTCCACACTTTTCTCCTATCTTCCAGACCCAATCCCCTCTACCGCACCTTTTTATACCCCAGCCATCGCACTCTCCCTTTTCGCACCACCCCAGATTCCCATATACCTTGTTCAGACCTCCACCAGACAAGAGCATTATACCTTGATCCGCTCACTAAACACATTTTTTTTTTATATCCTACCCACTTTTTTTAATCTGTACATATTTTCCACAGCTTTGCCTGTTGTTTCTGTCTTGCAGGCCAAGATCTAGACCAAATACTTATCCCCCCACTGATATTCCATCCTTACTATGACTGATCAGGGACATAATGCGTATGAGTGCCAGCAGAGCCTATTGAATGGCAAGTACCGCTACGTGGCGCCTATCCAGAAGGGCTCCTTTGGCAAGGTCACCTTAGCTGAAAGTGTTCATTCAGGCAAGAAGTTTGCCTTGAAGGCCATGCTCAAGTCGTCTAAAGAGGTGGCCAGAATGGCCAGACACGAGATCTCCATCTTGCAACTGTTGGGCTCGGAAAACCCCCACATTTGCCTGCTCGTGGACCATTTTGAAACCGACGAATACATCATTTTGGTGTTGGAGTACTGTGACAACGGTGACTTGTACGATATGATTCATTCGGAATCGGCGTCCCACCCGAGAGCCGTGGACGTGTGGAAGTTGGCCAGGGAAATGTACCTGGGTGTTTCCTACGCCCATTCCAAGGGCATCTACCATCGGGACTTGAAGCCGGAGAACATTTTGTTTACCAGTGATGGATCCGTCAAGATCTGTGACTGGGGCTTAGCCACTCGGTCAAAGCTTTCGAATGATTTCAATGTCGGTACCGAGAAGTACATGGCGCCGGAGTGTTTCTCCAATAGCATTCTTGCGGCTTCTTCCCAGAAGATCAATTGCCAATATACGGATTATTGGTCTTTTGGCATTACCCTTTTAACCGCAGTGTTTGGCACTTCTCCATTCAAGCCCATGCGTGCTAATGATGATGTTTGGGGTTCTGCCGATACTTTTCGTCGCAAGAACAAGTCGGTTAAGAAGTCTTTGGAGAGTGATTACAACTTCAAGAACTTTGTTTTCTACAACAAACCCGAGGTGTTGTATGATATTTACCCTTCCATGAACGAAAACTGCTTCCGCATCTTCATGAACTTGTTAAAGGTTGCTGGCGTTGATGAAGATATCGACCACTACGTTCGCAAGCTTGAACGTAGAAACCTCGACGAGTTCATCCGTGACCTTGAAGAGAACTGGAAGTATGGTTTGACGGTATGGGAGGAAGACGAGCTCTATGCTATTGAGGACGATGGCGTTGAGGATCTCTTTGACATGGACGGGTTCACCGATTCAACCAAGAGAACAGAATATGAGGAAGAAGAGGAAGAAATTGAGGAGAAAGATAGCAGACTGAGCGTGAGCTTTTCCGGTGCAAGGCCTATGGCTGCCGTTGAAGTTCCGCTGGTCAAGCAGCATAGCATTCCTGTGCCGTCGCTCGTGGAGTCCACGTACCAGCCCAAGCTGTGGTACGACTTGGAAGACGAGTTGGACGACACAGAATTTAACAAGTTGTTCTCGAGCTTAAGCACCAAGAGCGTGACGCCTATTCCTATTGAAGAGGCTAACAAGGCGGTGGACGAGGATGGCAGGAACATTCGCATCGTGGAGAAAGAGGTGATGGTTTAAGGCATTTATGATAGTTACGAATACGAGGCAGCGATGTCTTAATGAATGATGAAAATAACATTGTGTAGTCTGGCACGGCATTCAGTCGTCCCAGGCCTAATTTGGTAAACGCATATCGATATGATGATGTGCTCACGGTGACTCAGTCAAGGGCCGGAGCGGTACCGGCCTCACCACGCCCTGCTGATAATGCACAAAAAACAGGCCCGGTCCAGGGTACTGTCAGCCTGAGTCACGCCTATATCGGGAAATGACTAGAGTGGAGGCATTCCAGGAAGGGACTCTTTTGTGTTGATATCTAATTTGTGGGGTTTCCAATTTGTGCCATGCGCTTATGGATCCTGATCTTTGCAGCCAATTCGAGGCAGCTAGACAACTGATAACAAAAAATAATAAGATAAAAAAAAAGAAAAAAATTGATAAGAAGTTTATATAGACCAATAGACGGAATCAAGAAAAGAGTGCCAATTCAGGGGTATTCGTAGGTCATTGGTGGCTGGCGTTTTATCTTCACTATGGGAAGCGAGGGAGAATGGCTGCAACTGGCAGCGCAAGCCTCTCAATGTGGCATGTCCAACAAAGCTTACTGGCGTCCAAGGGTAATTAATGGATGTTACAGGTCACTAAAAGATAAACTATCCAAGAAGCCACGTTTTTAAGTGTCTGGAGTGACCCAATGAAGACTGATCTGGTTAATCAGGACCACCCGCACGGCTACACTCAAGTATGTGTTTTCATAACCATACAAGTCGCTGGTTACATCACTTTATGTTAACGAATCAAGGAAATAGAATTGGGGACCGGTAACTACTGGTTAAGAAGAACAGTTTTTCCTGGCTGCCTTTGACTGGAGTATAAAGCGGTGCTCAGTGACTCTGGTAATACTACAGTAACGAGGCTACACAAGTACAGATATTTGAAGAAACAAGGTCACAATGAATTGACATCGTAGAGAAACTGGTAAGGTCCTTTCAAAAAATAAAGGTACCGTGATTGAAGGATCAGTTATCGTTTGAAGATGAATTGACTGGTCCAACTAAGTGCTACTGTAGTCAGTGCTAATTCAGCCAACGTAGGTCCACCATTTGACAACTTTATCTTTATTCATTGAATTACTTCAACATTGGTTGAGTAAAACAGGTGCACTTCCATCCTGCCAACCCTATTCCTGCTATCTCCCCTTTCCCATCACTGCCTATCTCTTCCCAGTAATCCCTCACTTAATGGGTGCAAAAGACCCTAGCCCTGGTCCTGGTCCAGGCCTGCAGCCAGAGAATGAGTAATTCACTGAAGCTATCACTACGGCTCCAAATAACCCAAGAAACACACTAAACCAGACATAGTTAAGGCGGTGCGCTAAACCAGCCGCAGATACCATTGCCTAAGAGACCAATCCTGTGAAAGATGTTGTTCAGAGGCGGCCTGATTCACTGCGTTTGCGGCGACGTTTGCGGGGGCCGGTACCGGGCCTGCACCGGGCACGACAAAAGTTTTTCACTTTTCAACCCGCCAGGCGCTCGTCCGTCGACATATAAAGAGCGCCCAATTCCCCCAGTAGTGACACTTTTTTTTTTTCTCTCTTCATCAATCAGACACATCTATTCTTTTTTTCACATAATGTCTTTCAGAAACGCTTCCATCCGTATGGCCCGTCAGGCCACCGGTGCTGCTGCTAAGCAGATCGCTGCTAAGAGATCCCTTGCTGCTTTGGCTACCAGAGCCACCACCACCAAGGCTGCTGTCAGAGCTACTCCAATTGCTACTCGTGGTCTTAAAACCATCAACTTCGGTGGTACCGAGGAGGTTGTCCACGAGCGTGCCGACTGGCCAAGAGAGAAGTTGTTGGAATACTTCAAGAACGACACTTTGGCTTTGATTGGTTACGGTTCCCAGGGTTACGGTCAGGGTTTGAACTTGAGAGACAACGGTCTTAACGTCATCATTGGTGTTAGAAAGGACGGTGCCTCTTGGAAGGCCGCCATTGAGGACGGTTGGGTTCCAGGTGAGAACTTGTTTGACGTCAAGGAGGCCATCACCAAGGGTACTTACATCATGAACTTGTTGTCTGACGCTGCTCAGTCCGAGACCTGGCCAGACCTCAAGCCTTTGATCACTGAGGGTAAGACTTTGTACTTCTCTCACGGTTTCTCCCCAGTTTTCAAGGACTTGACCAAGGTTGAGCCACCAAAGGACGTTGACGTTATCTTGGCTGCTCCAAAGGGTTCCGGTAGAACCGTCAGATCTTTGTTCCTTGAGGGCAGAGGTATCAACTCTTCTTACGCCGTCTGGAACGATGTCACCGGTAAGGCTGAGGAGAAGGCCATTGCCATGGCTGTTGCCATTGGTTCTGGTTACGTCTACCAGACCACTTTCGAGAGAGAGGTCAACTCTGACTTGTACGGTGAGAGAGGTTGTTTGATGGGTGGTATCCACGGTATGTTCTTGGCCCAGTACGAGGTCTTGAGAGAGAACGGCCACACCCCATCTGAGGCTTTCAACGAGACCGTTGAGGAGGCCACCCAGTCTTTGTACCCATTGATTGGTAAGTACGGTATGGACTACATGTACGATGCCTGCTCCACCACTGCCAGAAGAGGTGCTTTGGACTGGTACCCAAGATTCAAGGACGCCTTGAAGCCAGTCTTCACTGACTTGTACGAGTCTGTCAGAAACGGTACCGAGACCCAGAGATCCTTGGACTTCAACGGTGCCCCAGACTACAGAGAGAGATTGGAGGAGGAGTTGGAGACCATCAGAAACATGGAGATCTGGAAGGTCGGTAAGGAAGTCAGAAAGTTGCGTCCTGAGAACCAGTAAGCGCATCTTCACGATACCACTTTCTTACACCAACAAAAAACAAAATATCAAAAAACGCTACATCCTGCAATGGTCAAGAACGACTAGCAGGGCCGTTCAATTCTTCTCATGCCTATACTTTTTTTTTATACGACAAAGGCTTTGGTTGAGGTTATTTAATTCTGTGCATAGGGACTATCTGTTTGTTGAATAAACATGTTCCACGAAACGAACCAAAAGTGTAGAAACTTAAATTCTTAAAAAGCTTCTCTTTGTGCCACATACCATGCGTCTCGGCTCCAAGAAATTTCCCAGGGTTGGCATTGGCATATGTTAGCCAAACGACGTCGTAACCAAGTGGTTACTGCACAATGATAGATCAATGAGCTCAACACCTCCACAGATTCTTCCCCCACCAACACTCTTTTCTTCCGACAAACTAAGAATGGACGAGGAAGACGACGCCTGGTCGTACTCTTTTCCTCCTTCCACAGAGTTGCTTCCGCTAAGTGGAGACGATAACGACGACGGGAGTGGACAAGACAGTTCAAATGGGTCAGTGAGAAATGGTACCAAGACAGGCTTAGCCCAGCCGATGCCGAAACAAAGGGGCGAGCTTCTGAAGATATCTACATCAGCCAAAGGTGATAGTGTACTGTTTCGCTCGGCTTCTGTAGGGCTGCCGGGTCCATCTTCGGCGTCGATTGGCAATACTAGAGGCAGTGGGTTTATGCCCAAGACCGTGCCTGCCGACCCCCATACTACGAAAAAAGATGCTAGCTCTATCATGTCGAAAGAAGGTTCCACCAATGCGCTAGCTCAGGCTCCTAATGGCACTGAAGGTTCTGCTAGTCCTCCATTGACGCCAAAGACAGACCTCAGTAATTCTGTGAAAATCTGGCAAAAACAGCAAGAACAAGACTCTCAGAGCACGCAGCTTAGCGAGATGGCAGCTGCTGCGGCGGCTGAGAACGCAGCAGGCGGTGACTTCGCTGTTTCGCCAAAGATCATAGCCTACAGAAAGAACCACAAGAAAACACTCAGTGAAGGCCTAGGACCAGCGTTTATTGATCAACAGAACGAATTGGAGCGAGAGAAATTTGATCCGAAGCTTTACGTGGCTGATAAGTTCAAAGATACGCAATACAGGTACGCTACGATGAAGCGAAATGTCGACTTTCATCAGCTCTTTAGAAGTCTTGATTTGACTGATCGTCTTTTGGATGATTTCGCTTGTGCCCTAAGTCGAGAGATTTTGCTACAAGGCAGACTATATGTCACTGAACATTCGCTCTGTTTCAACTCGAACCTTCTTGGATGGGTAACAAGCCTCATTGTACCTTTTGAGGATATCCAGAGAATCGATAAAAAATCGACAGCTGGTCTTTTTCCAAACGGCATTTCCATCGAGACCAAGGATGCAAAGCACAATTTTGCAAGTTTCCTTTCTAGGGAATCGACCTACGAGTTTCTCAGAACAGTATGGCTGGCCTCAACAGGGAAAGAAATAGCGGAACTAGACTCCTCGCCGCCACTACCGGCTAACAAAATAAAAGTCGGTCCTTCTTCTAGCACGGATGGGAAAATAGACTCATACATTCATTCGATAGATGGTGATGACGTGCCTGAAGTCAGAGGTAAGAGTAGCGGCGAGTTTGGCGAGGAACAATTTAGTTCTGAGGAGTCTGATGAATCGGAAGAGGAAAGCGAAAGCGATTACAGTAACTCGGAGGCTCAGCTCGACTCACCCCATACGGAACAAAGTATAGATGATGCTTCACTACACGATTCTGAAACCGTTCCTACCAAGATTCAGAGGTTGAAGCCAGACAGTTCTTATAAAAACATGGGGCCCGAGACTCACCATCCAACGACAGTGAGCAAGAAATTTGAGGACGATGAAAATGAATGTGAGATTTGCTCTGCTACTATTGCAGCCCCAATGGGAACCGTATTTGATATTATGTTCGGGAGCAATGACACAAGTTTCCATTCGAAGTTCTTAGAGACACATGATGCTTCCGAAATCACCAAGTATGATGATTACCATCCAATGGAAGACGATCCTACTAGGTTGGAAAGAAAATATGTCTACAAGAGAGCTTTGGGCTACTCAATAGGTCCAAAGTCAACCCGTTGCATTGTGAGTGAGATAATAGAACATCTCAATTTTGCCGATTATGTGGTACTTCTCTCGGTTACATCCACACCCGATGTTCCATCAGGTGGAGCTTTTACTGTCAGAACAAGATATTACTTCACTTGGGGCGAGGCTAACACAACAAGAGTCAAGATTGCCTACTATGTTAAGTGGACAGGTTCATCATGGATCAAAAAAATGGTAGAGAACCTGACGCAATCTGCTCAAGCGGCAGCGGCCAAGGATTTGGTCGAAGTGTTGAATAAAGAGATTACAGAGCATACCTTTAGCGCTTCGGGTCCACCTGCTCTTAAGACTGAAGTCGAAGCAGCCGAACAGGAAGAGCAGTTGCCAGCTGCACCAAAAGCTGTTAAACAGAAGAAGAAGAAAGAGAAGGTGGTCTCCTTCAGCTTCAGCTCACCACTCGGTATCATCAGCGTTATTGGAGGCGTTCTACTATCTATGCTTTTGTTTGTTCAGTTCAAGCTAATGGCAGATTTGCGTGAAAGCAGGGCCTTGATGAACCGCCAGCTAGCTCTCACTACAAACCTACTTGGGTCACTTAATACTAGGGACCTCAAACATATTCAAAGTAACGCTAAAAACGAAGCGTTCTGGGATTTTATTTCAAAGTACGAAGGCAGGACCTTCAGCAAAGACGAACGGGCATCATACTTGGCCGCACAGGCTCTACGGTTGCTTGGAGATGACGAAAAGAAGTCTTCTAAGAAAATATGGGGTCTCTTTTGAATACTATATACCAAGAGATGTGTGCTTATTTACAGATTTTAATTGTAGTGAGATTCGTCACGGTCATTTCATGAGCCGATGCTTAGCAGATACGGAGCTTCCCATCGACACCTTGCAGCTCCCTGCGTTCGATAACGTCCATGTCTTCGATAGTATGAGCAATGATTTGCGTGTTATTGTCGTTGAGTTCAAAGATGAAGATGCCCAGCACCACTCTTTCCAAAGAGTCAGACTCCTCTTTCTTAAGACCAATAATACCCTTTGTAAGATCGGCCAAAGAAGACGAAAGCGACCAGTTATATGGGTGCTTCAGCGCATCAACAAACTTATCAGTGTCGATACGAGACCATCGGTGGCTGCCTAACTTGGCGTCGCCTGTCTTATGGCTCGTAGATCCATTTTGCATGGACGGCTTGCGTCTTAAATGGGAGCAACCCTCAGGACAAGTAGTCCAGCGAACAAAGATCTTCTGGGAGTCTGGATATACACAAGGAAACTCTGAGATGCTTTTCGTTCGTAAGCTTTGGATGTGTAGCTGTACATTTGGGTTCACCACAACAGAAGTCATAAACAACTGCAACGCTTTGCACGTAGCGTAGTATGAAACATGGCCCTTAATATTAGGCAAAAAATTCTTCATCTGGTCAAAGTGTGAAGGGCAGATCCGTAGCATGATATCAGACAGAATCAATGTCTTGGGTAATGTCTCATGCACCATCCCAGGTACAAGGTGTCTAAGTTCCTCGACCAAAGCACCCAAATTGGCCTTCTTTTCCTGCTCCTCCGGGTCTATTTTATCTTCATCCTTTCCCTCCAGAAATGCAAACTCCCCCGGCTCTTGTTTGGCCAATACCCCAACCCCATGCAACTCGTATGGAGTCAATGCTACGGGCGGTGGCGACGGCGATATCTTGGGAAGAGCGACCAGCGCAAAAGAACGAAACAGGTTCAGAGCATATACTGATTTCCTGAGAGCCAGCAGGCAACGCCGTAAAGTAAAGCTCATGGCTGAGTCAGAACAGTAGTGATGCTTAACTAGTGGGATTAGTTGATGTGCGAAAATATATACATTAGGGTATGCTCATCGGGGTAGATACGAGAAATAGAGTTACGCTAGGGGACGAGAGGAGGGGAGTGTAGTTAAGGGGATCAGACAAGGAAGTAAGTTAAGGCTAGGAATTTTGAAGGGGGTTGGGGGATACGGGTTGGTAGAGAATGGTGGTAGTTGGTAGACTGGGGCCATACAATGAGGAAGTACCGTGACTGTCATGTGGTCCCAGGCAGTAGAGGTGGCTTTTAGGTGGATCGGAGATGGGAAGGTATTGGTTAAGTAGGGTTAGGCTGGTCTGGGGGCGCCTGGGCAATGGGTATGGGCCATCAAAGGTATGCAATGGACCGTGAGTGAAAAATTGGGTCTGGAGGCCTGGTTTAGCCCTACATTCACCTACATCAATTCATTCACGAAACGTCAATAGTCTAAATTATACAGGGTCGCTAGTCAATAGCACTTACTGCTTCTCCAATGGGGTCAAACGCAAGTATGGCTTGATGATACGGAACTTAGGGAACAAAGTCTTGGCCTCCTCGTTAGACACAGTTGGGTGGACAATGACATCGTCACCTGGAACCCAGTTGATTGGGGTGGTCACTCTGTGCTTGTCACCAGTCTGCAAAGAGTCCAACACTCTCAAGACCTCAGCGGTGTTTCTACCGGTAGAAGCTGGGTAAGACAAGATCAATCTGATCTTCTTGGCTGGGTCAATGATGAAAACAGATCTGATGGTGAACTGAACACCCTTGTTGTCGATGTTGGTGGCATCCTGGTAGTCAATCATGTCGTAAGCGTGAGCAACCTTTCTCTCTGGGTCGGCAATGATTGGGAAGGTCAATTGAGAGCCAGTGATCTCGTCAATGTCCTTGATCCAAGCCTTGTGGGACTCGGTACCGTTGGCAGACAAACCAATGAGCTTGGTGTTTCTCTTCTCGAACTCTGGCTGCAACTTGGCAAAAGCACCCAACTCAGTAGTACAAACTGGAGTAAAGTCGTCTGGGTGGGAGAAGAGAATGGCCCAGGAGTCACCAATGAACTCGTGGAAAGAAATTGGACCGTTGGAGGTCTCGGAGGTGAAGTCTGGGGCGGTGGAGCCCAATCTCAAGGTGGTCTTTTCGGAGGACATGTTGGATAAAGGGTTTAACTTTTTGGGGAGAAATTGAGGCACCTTTTTATAATCGCAACCACTGGGGCCCTCCAGAATTCGCAGCCATTGAATGGAAATCACTCGCACTCACGTGCCATTACTTTATTGACGCAGACTTAGTGCATTGGATTGTCGCCAATGCAGCACCGGCAGCAGGAGAAGCACCTGGAAGGGTTGCAAAATTGGGGATCCAAGAAATTCGTGAGGTATCCTAATAACCTGATTTTATTGGGAATATGTTGTGATTGACCAATTGATTGGAGAATTGGTTGTTGATTGCTCATTTGGAGCATCTACAATGGGTAAAAGAGGGGAGGTTCGCTAGCGCGGGAAAACGTCAAGCTGGCTTCTGCTTTGACAGTTTATAGTGGTGGGGCCTTTATTCTTATTTTTTTCCTGTAACTCTGTGTCTCTATTATAAGCTTTTCCACCATTGTGCGGTGACTCCACAGTTTTTTGGCATAGAGACCCGTGTTACTTTTTTTTTTTCTGCTGTTGATAACATATTGTGCTTTTTCCCAATGCAGTCGTTTAATTACCTGCTGCTGCTTCAATGGGCTTCTCGTTCCCTGCTGGTTCCTCTCCGGTAACCAATTCTGCTTCCTCCTCTGCCTCAATGTCAACTCCGTAATCCTGGAGCGTCTCTCCCATGTCATTGACCCATTCGTTGCGTGCCATGCGGCTTCTGGGGTCCAAATGCTTCTTGATAAGCGAGATATCACCCATCTCTTTTAATTCGTCGTCAGTATACTCCTTGGCCACGAAGTCGGTCGATCCCCCGTCTGGAGGCCAAGGAAGGTTCAATTGGTCGTCGTCACCGTTATTCTCGAACTCGTACCCGTTTCCTCGAGCCTTACCCCAGAAGAGAATGAACGACCATGGGTACCCAAGAGCATTGAAGAAGTTCATGAAAATACCGTTATCATAAGGGAAAATCAAATCGTCCGGCGTGAATGTGTCTGGAACTAATGACGGCTCATCGGCTTCATCTTCAAGTGTCCTCAAAGGCACGTCTTCGTCGTCCTCATCGACCTCAAGCGGATCACCATTGTAGAACCTGGCACCCAAGTTCCACGACGTGAGCTGGGGCAACTCAGACCCGTGAATAAGCTTGTAGTTTTTCCTGATTTGGTACCAGAGCTTCTCTGTATGGAACTGCGATTCAATACGCTCCATCTCCCAAACTTCAATCTGCGTCTTACCACTGGCAATGTGGAACACACAACGAAGCGTAAGGATAGTAATAGCAAAGAAAACAAACCCATCGACAAGAAGCAAAATAATCACCGCCGTAAGCTCAGATCTATCCACCAAGTACGCGGGTAAGTCACGGTCCTCGTAGAACTCGTACGCTCTCAACGAAAGGTGGTACAACGTGTAACCCGTACCGATAAGCACCCAAATCAAGAACCTCATGAAATGAGGCATGTTTCCATGTCCAACACAGTTGTTTGTCCATGGACAGTGGTGGTCCATCGCCAAAACACACGTCTTGCACTGCTTGCAATGATGCGCTCTAGGAGGTTTATACAACTTGCACTTATTGCACCATACTTTCCACTGGTTCTTCTGTGGTTTAAAGTCCTTTGGAGGCAGGCCAGCTGGAGTAATCACAGCTAGTAAATATGTAAGACCCACGACGCCCATAAGGCCCAAGTACGCGAGCTGCCCTTCTGGAGACATATGATGTCTAAAGACGAACAAAAGGGAGAATGTTCCGATACCCAGAATTAGAATCAGGGGAATCTGAAGTTAGTAAGAGCCCAAGGATCTGCTTATGTTTAGACATACCACCACGCCGAGCCATGGCCATTTGAACTGCCACATTGTATGGTCTAGGAGTAGGTAATATGGAGATGGAAAATTCGTGCGGGCCAGTATATGGAGTTCGGCTGTGGGGCCCGAAGGAGGCGATGGAACACGAAAAGACAGAATATGGTACATAATGGGAGGGAAAGTGGAGGATATGGATATATGGGGAGTTTAAAGAAGAGAAATAATGATTATATAGGGAAAAGGCAGGTTTGCTGGTGGGTGGTTAGCAGTGAAGGTAGCATGGGTAGTGGAATGTACCGATATTAATAGTAACAAAGGACATTAAGAAAGAAGAAAAAAGGGATGGAAGATGTGATACATTGGGTTCGATGGTCAGTGTCAAATATAAATGTAACTGATTGTAAGGGCAACAGAAGTTGGTGTCTGTAGGGTTAGAGGTTCAAGGAACTGGAATTTCGCAGCCATTAGTAGACCCATGAGTACAGTGTAACCAGTCAATGGGACGAGCGAAGGTACACTCAAAAGGAAAAAGAAGTTACATAGATGGGATTCATTTAAGTTATACATTGCATTATTCGAAAACTACTTTTTCAGTACTTCCACTGGTGAATTGTGCCTACTGCTGTTCGCAAGCTTAGATTGCCATATACGCCAAGTATACCCACGCCAACGCCACCCAAAGCACATAAAGACCAGAAACAACCATCCAAACCTTCATTCTGTCTTGATCTGAACAACTCCAAAAACAAAAAACAGCCTTTTTTTGTCCTTTGGCGCCCATTCCTTGTGGCATTGCCATCTGGGTCACATGACCTTACTGGCTCTGAGTACTCACAGATTCTCATTTATCGACAGTGGCGATCACTATACACCAACGATAACATGGTATGTTTCCAATTGAGACCAAAATCCGTTTAATTCGCTTCTTTTTCTAACACGCAGACATCTATAGGTACCGGCTACGACTTATCAAACTCGGTGTTTTCGCCAGATGGCAGAAACTTCCAGGTGGAGTATGCCATGAAGGCAGTCGAGAACGGTGGTACTTCCATTGGTATCAAGGCCAAAGACGGTATTGTTTTGGCCGTGGAGAAAATTGTCAACTCCAAGTTGCTAGTACCAGGCAAGAACAAGAGAATCCAGACCATAGATAGACACATTGGTGTGGCCTACTCTGGCTTACTACCAGACGGACGTCATTTCGTCAACAGAGGCCGTGACGAGGCCGAATCGTTCAAATCCATATATAAGACGCCTGTGAGTGTGCCACACTTGATGGACAGATTGGGTATCTACGTTCAAAACTACACTTGTTACAACTCTGTGCGTCCATTCGGCGTGGTGTCGATTGTGGGCGGTGTGGACGAAAACGGACCTCATTTGTACATGATTGAGCCAAGTGGAACCTACTGGGGCTACACTGGTGCTGCTACCGGTAAGGGAAGACAGACGGCGAAGTCTGAGTTGGAAAAATTGGATTTCGAGAACTTGAGCGTTAGGGAAGCCGTCAAGCACGCTGCCAGAATCATATATCAGGCCCACGAAGACAACAAGGACAAGGATTTCGAGTTGGAGTTGTCGTGGTGCTCCGCAGAGGAGACCAAGGGCTTGCATCAGTTTGTTCCTGAGGACTTGTTCGAGGAGGCAGTTAAGTTTGCCAAGGAGGACGACGACGAGGACGAAGAAGACGAAGACACCGAGATGGCCAGCTAGTTGCAGTGGTTAGAATGATAACGAAAAAAAATGTGATATACTTGTAGACGTTGGTGGTACAGCCGCGTAGATACTACGGTGATGAGGCACCAAACCGAAAACACCAAAGTGGTCTATAAACGAAGGCACTTCCAATTAAAACAGGTCTAAAGCACCCCTTCAACTTCAATACTTACTCTTTCCTTACTATTTCCCCTTCCCTCATCCCATGACCCGTCTTCCCCCAGTACTTCCCTTGGGTGCGAAAAGTAAACATCAAGACTCAAGCCTTGTTCCCATATAACCACCAACTTACCAACCCCAGAACCGTTCTGGACTTCACTGCCCATGACAAGCCTTGCTGAAGCTAAAAAAGACGGGTTTCTAGCCAATGGCAGCCGACCCATTGCCGAGTCCTCGCTACCTTCTACCCAGCTGAGTTCGTTTCTAACTGATCCATCCAGATCAGCTGCTCCAAGTAATAACACAGAAGATGAGTCTGAGTTTGATGAGTCTGACGATGCTGAACAGAATGGGAGTGTTGTTAGAAACTCGTACCTGAAATCATTTACTCATGGCGGCTCTCCAATACGACCACAGACATCTCCCCTTGAGTCACCTTCAAAGTCACGTACTGACCTCAGCTTTCTGAGTAACAGTTCCAGACATAGCGATACGGGGAAAGAGGATTTGCATAACAGCCAGGATTTCCAGAATCTGTCTTTCATGAACGATACAAAGGCCCAATTCGACTTGGCTATTGATTTGGACGATACCAAGTTCACCCAGAACGCACGTAAACTACTGCTGTGGCTTCATACGAACGGTGATAAGAGCATGTCTTCTATACGGAAGGCTCTGGTCCTTAGCAAGTCGAAATTGGGGACTATGGTGGACTCTTCATCGACGCAAAAGCATGAAGATTTGGTGAAGCAGCTCACAGATTGCAAAATCCAACTTAAACTCTACGATAAGTTTCTTCAGGACTTGATTGATAAAAAACAGATTGATGTGGGTGATATTACTGATTTCCACGAGAACTGGGAGGAGAGAGAGCTGACTGTGGCGAAGCTTCGACACGAGAATGATGAAATGTCGACTTTGGTCGAGGATTTGTATGCTAATCTCGAGGAGAGCCAACAAAAATGGCGCCAGGCTGACCAAAGAGCTGATATTTTGCATAATTCATTTGAGGAATTGAAAGATGAGATATCGAAGCTTCTTCTGGCATCTGGAATCCCGGATAAGTTGGTTCAGTCGCATGATACTGCTTCTTATATTAATCTGGCTATCCCTCTACTTCGAACGCTCATTGATTCCGACAAATCAAATCAGGAGGTGACAGATTTGGAGGAAAGGATAGAAGTATATGAAAGAGAGGCTAGACAGTCTGAAAAGCTCTTAAGTCAACAGACAGAAGAAATAGCATCGTGGAAGGCGAAGTATAACGATCTTGAAATACAAATCGATCAGCTTCAGGAAGCTGTCGATACTACACCTCAAAAGTTCAGCAAGGATGTGGAAGCTAGGTTTGCCAAGTACGAAACCATGATTGATGACCTACAAAGACAAATAGACCAGAGAGAAGACACGAGCAGACAGAGTTCTGTTACTGAGCTTCCAGAACATCAAAATAAGATGGCCCAAAAAGCTGATGCACTCCGACAATACTATGATGAGCTTTCTCGCCAACACGAAGAGTTGGAAGAAGAGCTCAGATCGACCAAACTAAACATGAATTCTAAGATTAAGTCACTCACGACCCAGCTTGATAATCGGAAGAACGAGCAGCTTGCGCTTAGAGACCAGCTTGCGCTGATGGACGAACTAAAGCAAAATCTTGAATTTGCAGTTGAAAAGCAAAGAAAGTTACAATCGGAAAAAATGAAACTCTCCTACCAAGTGGAAGAGCTCAACCAAGCCAAATCGAAGTTGCAGGGAAACATTGATGTTCTTACAGAGAAATTACAAGATGCACATATCGATGATGAGATAAGGCAAGAACCAAACGAAGACGAAGAGTCTAAGTTGATGTTCCACCAATTGTACGAGTTTGACATTGCTCAGCTTAGCAAACTTGGAGAGACATTTGACCGTCTTGTAGATGACAGTTCCATCAATGAGCCAATTGAGAAGATCAAGACGATCGAAGACTTTCTCAGGAAAAGCGATGCCTATATCCTCGATTACCCAGAAGAAGTAATTTCTGACCTACTCCAGTGCCATAAGAGCTTATTCCACTACTTCACTAAGGCTGCTGATCTTTCGGTAGACGACCACATCAGTTTATTATTGAAGAAAGAACAGCGAGCCAGAGAGAACGATCTGTATGTGGAAAGACTCTCCAGCCGAATTGTCGAGTTAGAGAAGCAAAACGACAATTTAGCAAGACAAACCGAGGCTAGTCTGAGTGTGCCTGAGTACGACTTGAGGATCCAGGAGCTCACTTCCAGATGGAAAGCAGAGCGTGAAGCTAGAGTATATGAGAATAAGCTGGCCAAGAGAAGATTCAACGAGCTCGAAGAAGAAATAAGAAGACTTCGAGAAGCCATGAGCGATGCAGCTTAATAACAAAGCATTACACGATTTTTTTCTTCAAGACCCTGAATTCTTCTCCAATGTGTTTCATAATGGCTGCGAAAAAGTCGAACACGCTCAGCTACACCTTTCTTCGCAGCACCTCCGTGCACCTCACCATACTAGAAAAATTTTCCAAAAGCTGCCCTAGCTAAACCACAAACAAGCTTTCTCCTAGTCAATATGCCAGCTCCTACCTACGAGGAACTTGAAAAGGAAGTCAACCTTGACGATCTTGACTTCTCTGATTTGGAGGCCAAGTACTCTGTCAGCTCTGACTTGGGTCTTGACAACTATGTGGTTGTGGATGGTACTCCAAAGGCTCCAGCTTCTAAGGCTCCATTGTTGGAAAAAGTGTTGAGAAAGTTTCTCAGCAAAGCCGGTGAAATCGTCGAAGGCGAAGCCGGTTTGTACCTTCCCGTGGAGGACAACATGACCAAGGGTTACGTTTTTGTTCAATACAAGAAGCCAGAGAGCGCTACAGCAGCTGTTCTGCAATTCCACAACAAGCCTTTCGATGCTAAGCACAAGTTGCTTGTGAACAAATTCGCTGACGTTGAGAAGTACTGTAACGAAGGTAATGTGGCTGACGAATTTGTCGAGCCTGAGATTCCTCCAATGAAGGAGACCGGTTACTTGAAGTCTTGGTTGCAAGATGAGGCTGGCCGTGACCAGGCTGCTTTGCACTTTTCTGAGACCGTTGGTGTCTACTGGACCAACAAGAAGAGCGATCCAAAGGCTGTTACCGAACCAAGAAAGGGTTTCACTTCCAAGTACGCTAAGTTCTCTCCAAAGGGTACTTACTTGTTTTCTATCCACCCTCAAGGTGTTCAGTCATGGGGTGGTGCCAACTTCGACAGTGTTAGTAAATTCGTCCACCCACAGGTTCGTTTGATTGACTTTTCTCCTAACGAGAAGTACATGGTGACTTTGTCTCCTGCTCCAATTACCATGCCATCTAATGCTGATGAGGCCGCTAACTTCCCATTCGGTCCTGAGTCCGAAGGCCACAAGTTGGTTATCTGGGACTTGACTACCGCTGAGGTTGCCAGAACTTTCGCTTTGCCTCCTCACTTGGAGAACCAGAAGGATATGCCATGGCCTCTTGTTAAATGGTCTTACGATGACAAGTACTGTTGTCGTCAAGGTCCAGACGCCTTGGCTGTCTACGAAACCCCATCCTTCCAGTTGTTGGACAAGAAGTTGGTCAAGATCGATGGTGTTGTCGACTTCGAATGGGCCCCTGCCGGTGTCCACATGTGGGGTACTAGAGAAGACGCTGGTGAGCACATCTTGTCTTACTGGACTCCAGAGACTGCTAACCAGACCGCCAGAGTTGCTCTTATGCAAATTCCAACCAGAAAGGTCCTCAGAACAGTTAACTTGTTCCAGGTCAGTGACTGTAAGATGCACTGGCAAGATGAGGGTAAATTCTTGTGTGTGAAGGTCGACCGTCACACCAAGTCCGGTAAGACTTTCTTCTCCAACCTTGAGTTCTTCAGAACGACAGAAAGAGATATCCCAGTGGAGAAGTTGGAGTTGAAGGACGTTTGCATCAACTTTGCATGGGAACCAACTTCCGATAGATTCGTCACCATCAGCAGGTTAGACGATGGTAACAACAACCCTGCTATTCCAAAGAACGTTGTCTCCTTCTACTCCACGGAGCCAGCTACCAAGAATAAGGCTGCCAAGTTCAAGGTGTTGCTGAAGGTTGAAAACAAACACTCCAATACCCTTAACTGGTCTCCAAAGGGAAGATACATTGTTGTGGCCACCATTGCCAAGTCTTCCGGTGAGTTGGAGTTCTTTGATACTAACTTTGACGACGAGAACTCTAAGAAGCCAATTGTTAAGCTGCTCAAGGCCGAGAAGTTCCTGGGTATGACCAACATCTCCTGGGACCCATCTGGAAGAAGCGTTGCCGCCTGGTCTTCTTCTTGGGTGCACGCTATCGAGAACGGTTACAGATTGTACGAGTTCACTGGTGAACAGTTGAGAGATGACTCCATCGACCAGTTCAAGGACTTTATCTGGAGACCAAGACCAGCCTCCATGCTTACAGCCCAAGACATGAAGAAGGTCAAGAAGCAGTTGCGTGAATACAGTGCTCAGTTCGATGAGATCGACGCCATGGAAGCCGATGCTGCCACCAGAGAGGCTATCTTGTTGCGTCGTAGACTCCTCGAAGAATGGAAGGAGTACCGTAACAAGCACGCCGACAAGAAGACCGAAGACCACAATGTGGAGGCCGAGATTGTCGAGGAGATCAAGGAGGAGATCATCGAAGAGAAGGAAGAGGTTGTGGAGTAAATGCATAGAACATATAGCTAATGGTAATGCGACTAGTCGTGAGTAGGCATTCAGTCTATTTACAGAGACGATAATAAATTAGGTAGGAGCAACGAGTGCAAACTTATGCAGCTTTAGTTTTAAGTTGGAGGCCGTGCCACTGGGCGATTTCGTCCTTCAACACTTCGTTCACCAACCGGTGTTGTTTGATCATAGTGATGCCCTTGAACTTGGAGCTCTCCACGGTGATAGCAAACATCGAACCGCAACCACCAGAAATGTCTCTCACCTGCAACGTCAGCGGATCAAAGTGGTCCTTCAAGATATCATAGATCTTCTGTTCATAAGAACCCATTGGTTCTGCCGTCAGAAACGGTCTTGTCCATGTAGCACCAGCTCTGGACGCCAACGGAAGCTGTCTCGAGGAAACTCTCAACGGAGCTCTAAGAGCAAGTCTAGGAACGAATCTCAACATTCTATGACGTTGTATATGCAAATGAAGGCTGGATAACCTGAAAAGTAGTGGTAGCGTTTGGATGCGACAAATGAAAGATGCTGCTTAGTGATGGGTGTGCAGACACTGGCAGTGGATGGTCCAGTGGAGGTCCAGTGAAAAGTTGGAGGGGGGCAGTTCCAGGGGAATGTTGGGGTATCTATATTGATTTGAAAAGCTTCTTCGGATTATTTATTCTTTTTATGGTGAAGTGGAGGGGTGGGCGTCTTCTGGTGACTTCTTCGGTGGCTGCGAAATACTGACTCCGAAGCGCTCCAGTAACTGAAAGTTTGGTCCAGGAAGGTCATTGGTCCAGGTACTGAAATAACTGAAAAGTGGGTAAGCAAAGATTATGAGCTGTGCATGGGAGTCTAATATGACTAAAGTTTTACTTTCTGTGGATACTTAGGGTATTTGAGTTTATGGTGCTGGGTAGTAGAATTGTCTGGTAGCCAGTCATAGGAGGAAGAATACCTATTCATGAATGAAAGCAAAGGTTGCAAAGAATGTAAAGATCTTAGATTATTTATCAGTGCAACTTCGTTTCGTTTGTTCTTCTTTCTTAAAAATCGAATTCTTGGTAAGTCTGAGTCTATCTAGCTATAGCTCGCTTTCACTAGCTGTCTCACTCAATGGCTGCAAACTAGCATAAGAGTATGAGTATGTATGTCTAAGAAGGAAGCATATAACAAACCTCCGAAAGAACCAAAAGAAACAGTAGTCATCTTCACTAATTTCTACAGTCATGTTTAATTAGCTTATTTATACTTCTGCCCACAACTTTTCATCTGTTTATGTACCGTTGGCTGTCTCCATGCCTTCAGTATGGCCTTCACAGCTGTCTGAAACACCCCTGTAACATCTCCACCAAAAACCACAAGTTCACTAAATGAAGATACATTCTTACTACTTCCATCCCCCTGACCTCGAAATCGCCTTCCTCTAGGCCCAAACAACCCCCAATGCCCAAATTGCCTCACCCTCTTCAGTACCATCTGCCTCGCGCATAACATTCATTCGCAGCATTATCAACCATACAATACTGGTAGTACTTGACATATCACCAACCAGTTCCTTCCACTTTCCCTTCTTTTCCAATGTCACTAAGAATTGTCATTTGTGGTGATGACGCGGTGGGCAAGCTGACGCTTTTGGCCTCGCTTGTCAAGGAGGAATACGTTCCTTCAGTGCAAGGCATAATACCGCCAGTGACCATATCTCGGGAAGACTACGTCGGTATGAGTGAAAGCATATCTGAAGATTCAGAAATTGATAAGGATCCGTCGTCTTTGCTGCCTTATATACCCCAAGCGACGGTTATTGTGGATACTCAGGCGTCTGACCAGGTGACGCTAAACAAAGAGCTCAAACAAGCTGATGTCATTCTTTTGGTCTACCTGGACCACTACACGTACGAGAGGATCCTGTTGTATTGGATGCCGTTGTTTAGAGCGCTGGGTGTGAACTTGCCGGTCATTGTTTGTGCCAATAAGAGTGATCTCCATGGACTGAGTGAAAAACCACTTTCGTTCAAGCAACAGAACGCTGAAGAGTTTGTTCCGCTTATCAATGAGTTTAAAGAGATTGAAGCTTGTGTGAGATGTAGTGCTAAGACAAGTGCTAACGTTGTGGATGCTTTTTACTTGTGCCAAAGGGCAGTGACGCATCCCATTTCACCTATATTCGATTCGAAGGAAGGTAATTTGAAACCTGCGGCCGTGGATGCGTTAAAACGTGTATTTTTCTTGTGTGACGCTGACCAGGACGGGTACTTGTCGTTTCAGGAATTCTCAGATCTCCATTCCAAGTGCTTTGGGCAACCAGCCTCACAGGAAGAGTTCAATGACATTGTGCTTAGCCTTAGCCATATGATCTTGCCCCAAGATGGTGAGCCTAGGGGTATTTCCGAAAGCGCTTTCATTATCTTGAACAAAATGTATGCTGAAAAGGGTCGCCATGAAACTATCTGGGGCATTCTCAGAGCCTTTCACTACACTAACTCACTTTCGCTTAACGATAAGTTTCTCTTCCCAAACGTGGAAGTATCTGAACACTCAAGTGTTGAGCTTAGTCCTATAGGGTACCGATTCTTTGTGGACTTGTTCTTGAAGTTTGATAAGGATAATGATGGTGGACTTAATGATGAAGAACTCGCAAACTTGTTCTTGCCAACTCCTGGTATTCCAAAGCTCTGGAGGGAGTCCAATTTCCCATCGTCCATTGTGTGCAATGAGAGAGGCTACGTCTCCTTGCAAGGCTGGCTAGCCCAATGGAACTTGACCACATTCTTAGACCATAAAACGACTTTGGAGTATCTTGCATACTTGGGATTCGACGAGGGGAACTCTGTCAAGGCAATCAGAGTAACGAAACAACGTAAGCTTCGTCAGAAACAGGGCAAGCAGTACCGGAGTGCTGTCAATGACAGAAACGTCTTTAACTGTTTCATCTTGGGTGCCCCACAATCAGGAAAGACATCTCTTCTAGAACAGTTCATTAGAGGTACCTATAGCGAGTACTACCTGCCAACAATCCAACCCAAGATCTGTGTCAAGGATATTGAGCTTCGAGGCGGAAAGCAGTGCTACCTTATTCTTGAAGAACTAGGCCAACTCGAGCCTGCAATTCTAGAAAACAAAAGTATATTAGATAAGTGTGATGTTCTTTGCTACACTTACGACTCCTCAGATCCAGATTCTTTCCAGTACCTTGTGGATCTTAGAAAGAAGTTTCTGAAATACTTGGACGAAATCCCTTCTGTTTTCGTCGCCTTGAAAGCTGATCTCGACAAGCAGCAACAAAGGTCGGATATTCAGCCTGAAAACTACACCAGAGACTTATTTCTTGGGTCTCCCTTGCATATTTCCAGTTCCTGGACAACTTCGCTACACGAATTATTCATTCAATTGGTGGATGCTGCTAAAACCCCGAGCATTTCGACACCAGGATTAGAAACACACCCGGATACTACTGATTTTGAAAACTTGAAACACTATATAATTGCCGGAGGAGCCATTGGATTTATGGCCATCTTCTCTGTCTGGATATGGAGAAGTGCGCAGGTGCTGAATCACTAGTGATCATATGAGCTTCGCACGCACAGACATTTTTTTCTCATAATGTGCTAGCCAAGCGAGATGCGCATCTCAAAGGAAGGCATCTCAGCTGAACACTTTTCGTCTTTCACTGAACTAATAATGTCTGACCAAAAAGAGTTTAAACCAGTCACGGTTTCAAAGCCTATTCCAAACACATATGATCTTGGTAACTTGGCTACCTTTGATCCAAACCCTTTGGACAACAAGCTTTTAAAGGATCCAGAGCAAAAGGAAGAACATTTGGCAGCTGTCACCAGAGACAACTTGCAACTCTTGATCAACCAGGTTTTGTCTTTGCCAGTGAAGTCTACTACCGATGCTCAAGGCACATCCGCTGGTCAGGACGCTACCATGACCCTTATACACTTGCCAGAGCCAACTACTCCATTGCCAAGAGAGAAGGCCATTCCAAAGGCCAAGCCACCTACGAAATGGGAACAGTTTGCTGCTAAGAAGGGTATCAAGGCCAAGGCCAAGGATGGTAAGTTGGTTTACAACGAAGAGACCGGTGAATGGGTGCCTAAGTGGGGTTACAAGGGTAAGAACAAGGACGCTGACAACCAGTGGTTGGTTGAGATTGATGACAAGGTCAAGGGTACTCCAGATGAGTTGATCGACCCAAGAACATTGAAGCGTGCGGAGAGAAAGAAGTTGGTGAAGAAGAACGAGTTGCAGCACAAGCGTAACTTGAAGAACTCTCAAGTCTGAGCAAGCCTCACTGGTTAGAGTAGCTCTCGGACAATAATATCGCATTTCTGTATCATAGCAATAAAGGCATAACAAGAGAAGAGAAGAAGAGTATATGAGAAGGTTGGAAGTGGTCGTTGGTGACTCTCTGGTTCTGAGTCTTGTGATGGAGAAAGATGGCGCCACGGGCATAGAATAGCTCATTATGGACTCTTTATTTAAGTTCCTGTTAGCTGCTGAGTCGCTGTGTCTTGGAGCAAGCTCCACGGCAAGCTTTTGAGTTGTCTTGACTCCATAAAGAAGACTCCTACAGAAGATCCTCTTTTCCAGCACCATCACGTAACCACAGCCTTTAAATCCCACATAAACCAATAAAACAATCAAATAAAGCCATACCGCCTTCCTTGTAATACTGGAGATATCCAAACATGATTTGGCTTTGACTGGGCTGTGTTCGTAAGTGGGTGTCTATAAGGTAGCAAATACGAGAAGTGTGTTTTGCAGCCACTGCACCAAGCCCAATACGTAGTTCCACAAACAGCAGAGAATTACAATTTAAAGGTGCTTCGGGCCTAAGAAACCCCACTAAATTAAACAGAAATCCTATCCTTCTTCGGTCACACCAAAAAATAGCGCTTTTCATTATGCTTACTCTATTCTCTGTCTCCTCTCCCTGTACACCTTCCTGTTCGATAAGCCTATTCCGTCTTTTTCATTCAATCCAGCACTTTTGGACGTAAAAGGCCCCAGAAAAAAATAGAACCATACTGCCATCTCCCCGAAACTCATCCTTCCAATTACTTCCCCAAAATAACTATAGAATCCCCATTTTCATATCTCTGCTTCAGCCTTATATGTGGTGGAAACAGGGAGCTTCGCTAGTGACGTACCTTTGTACACTCCCTGCCTTCGACCAGCTCCCACACTACCACTGTAAAACCACCATCCCCGAGAAAACCCAGCTCATACTTTGGCATAGAGCCAATCAAATACCATACATTGTACTGCCAGCGTCCATTATTATTTTACCTTTCCCGAGGAAGACTATTCTGTGGTTTACAATGGCCACGACCAAGGGTTTCCTGCAGACTGGGCCGCTGGTTTCGATACATTCGCAACTTATTTCCATGTCTTAGGCGCTGTAGATGGAGTAATTCATTCTTCACCAGTCTCTCCTAAAAGGCATGAGTTCCTACGATCCGGACCATTACCGTCCTATGATAGACGTATGTGATTGGAGTGTTTTGTGTGGGTGAAAAAATGTACTAACATCTAGGCTATCCTCAGCGTCGCCGACCTCGAGGAGATTACAGTAAAGAGGATAAGAAATGCTCTCCAGGAGCTATTCGCCGTGGACTTGCTTCCACACAAGGTATGTATAACCGATTTGTTTTTGCTTTTATCACTTGCTAACTTTCAGAAAGAAATGAACAATTATATCCTACAGCGGTACTATAAGCTCCTAGATGAAAAAGATAATCCGCCGGCAGAGACGAAAAAAGACGACGACGCCAAGGCAAAGAAGGAGCGAGAGTACCAGGACCATTTGCTTGCCCAGAGGTTGCTGCGTTCTGAAAATAATAGACCCATCACTCGGCGTGGTGCTACTCCGTCCAAGGTTGTAAAGAAGAAGACCCTGAAGAAAACAGGCAGAACGCCCAACACTGCGTTTAACCAGGAGCTTGTTCTTTCGCCACAGCTTCAGGAAGTTGTCAAGAGCGAGAGATTGAGTCGACCACAGGTGGTTAAGCAGATGTGGGCGTACATCAAATCGAATAACCTTCAGGACCCTCTGGATAAGAGAAAGATACATTGCGACGAGAAATTGAAAAATGTTTTCAAGAAGCTGCTGGTCGGAATGTTCGAGATGAACAAGATTCTTGGCGATCATTTTTACAAGGACGGTGAGCTCTTGAATGGCCATAGCACTAAGCAAGAGCTGAACGATGACGACGACGACAGCGACGAGGAAGAAGAACAAGACAATGACACAAAACCGCCACCGCCGAGCCTAAAACGTGAAGTTGTCTCTGACGACGAAAGCGAGATCAGCGATGTTGACGATTAACCGAGTCTCTCCACACAACTGTATTATTGGGTGCTGAACGTCTGTTTTCGGTACTGCCCTATGTATTATTAAACACCATTGACATACTAACCACTACGTTGTTGTAAAGTGAAGCATGCCATACATTCTTTACCTTTTAGCCTAGCAATTCACGTTGCATTCGGGCCAAATCCGATTGTTGCAAAAAAAAAAAAAAAAAAAAAAAAAAAAAACGCGAGTGCATACCATTTGTGTATAGAGTATGCCAAAAACACCATCTCCATATGCCGTCTGTAGCCTTTCCATAGAACCTCTAACCGGTGAACAATCAACAGCTCACCTCAAGAAATCACCGCCAAAACCTTAGATGATTCCAAAGCACGTGGATCCTGGTCCTCGTTCAGACAGTCTCAAGCTGACTGTCGAGGATCGGCTGCTTGAGAATGTTGATTTGAACAAGTTGTATGAGCTGGTGCTCAAGGTTCTATTGCTTGAGTATATATGTGAGGCCAGGTTCTACCAGCCTATCAGGACGAGCCCGTCACCATCGAAGAAGGGTAGTGCTGATAGAAGATCGAGGTTTTCAAGGTTGGAAGCTGACTGTGCTCTACCTAGCTACTTGATTGAGGACCTTAAGGTGAAGCTTAATGGTGTGGCTATGAAGAAGTCTAACTATGATGATCTCACAAGACGTTCTTTGCTTCGACTTTATGGCGAGATGTTAGCGCCTTCTTTCAAGAATGACGTGAAGAGAGCTAACAATGTGGACATTTTGGTGATGAAGTTCGTTTCTGCTGCCAATAAGGAAGTGCTTAAGGTGGGTCTGATCCCGAACGAAGAAATCAGTACCCGCGTGTTTCAGCAAACGGATGAGTTTATCAAGATCATAGCTTCCTTGATTCAGAGGGATAAGAACAGGGATGCCTTGTTGGCGAAGTTAGAGGAACATAAGGCCGCATTGAAGCCTGCTCCGAAGTCGGACGCTGATTCTAAGACAGCAGAAAACGTTCAGTACCTCGAGCCATCGTGCCAGGTCTCCGATATGGATCGTGCATCTGTGAATCTTGTCATGGAATTATTTAATAAGGACCAGGGCCAAATCCAATCAGACATTTTGAGGTTGAAACCAACCGTTACCCAAAAGACACTTCATAAAGACGTTGACCAAGCTCTTTTCTATCTCGGAAAAGACATTGGGAAATGTTCTCCTAAGCATTTCACTTCCCACGAAGCTTACGACCAGTGGAAGGAAAGAGAACACGGCTTTTGCCAGCAACTATACAAGAAGTATTCCGTACCTTCGTCGATGAAACTTCTTCCTAATCCCCCATTACCAGCTGGTCTGGAGTTCTACATCATGCCATCTTCAGCAATGGTGACCAATTACTACACTATTTTGGCCAAGCTTTGCCTCTTGCATCATAAACAGAAGACCTCGAATCCGAACTCAATGCTTTTGGAAGAGGATGTTCTGCTTCTTTCAAACAAATCTAAGGAAATTTTGCAGGCTTGTGGCAGAGTATGGCGTATTGATTATCCTACTAGGGCCATAGGATTGTTCAGTGCAGCTCATTTAGCAGGAATTCTTATAGATCCACTTTTCCAGAAGAACACCAAGGAATTGGGACCCATAGATCTAGAAATGTCCAAGAAGGTACTTTGTACGTGCAAGCAATACGTTGGGTCTCATGGCAAGCTCGACTGGGAAGATAAGCTTTCTTGGAGTACTAAAGACCAAGAACAATGGTCAAAGTACTTGGGCTATACTTATAGTGAGGTCCTCTATGGCATCAAAGACTGCCTCTCCATCATCATGAGCAAGACAGTTAAGCCAAAGTTTGGTCCATACTTGGCATTCTTGGGTGACTTTGTCGAGTCCGATGTTTTGTTTGATCAGCTTCAGGCCTCTGGTGCCCCAAAGAAATGGGAAAGAAAACTTACAAGAACACTTCTCAGAGTTTCTGAGGCGCTGTATGCTGAAGTCCTCAGAACATTGCCGAGAGACGATTCATTAAGCATTATGCATATCATTGACATTTCTGAAGCGCTCATTGAGAACATCAAAACCCTTCAGAAGCGTTACAAAAACCCTCTTCTTGGTTTCCTTAATGTCAGCAGAACATACGCCGCTGTTGTTACCGGCATGTTCGCCTCGGATGCCAAAAACATATTAAAGCATATTGCAGCTAACACGAAGGCCAAGGGCGAGTTCTTGAACTATGGTGATGCCTTGGAGGCATACAAAACACTTAAAGAGATCAGAAGCATCCATGGTCAAGTATCCCCCTCAAATGCCGTGTTCAGTTTTAAACTTGAAGACTTCTTTTATCCACACTTGGAGGCTTGGGTCGCTGAAAGCAGCAACAAGATTCGTGATTTTGTTCTCAAGGCCATAGAAGAAGATCTGTTTGAACCTATCGATATTGAGAATGATCAGAAGAAGTACAGTACTTCAGTCCACGATATCTTCACGCTTATAAAGTATTATTTGCTGATTCTCAAGAGCTTGGAATGGCAGAATAGATTCCAAGTTGCAAAGGTCTATACTTTATTGATGAAGAGTATATCCAATTGTGCACTTTTGTATTCCAGTCGGATGAGCGAAATGATTATGGAGGACTTGAATGAAGAAGTTTTAGAAAAGACACCGGACGTTCCAGAGACCAATGGATGGTTTGCAGAAGTGAAAAGTAAGGTGGCAAGTTACAACCTCAATAACTCAAAGGTTGAAGTTGAAGAGCCTTTTAATTTCACATCAAGAACATGCATTGGATTAAACAACATCGATGCCTTGATCACTCACTTGGGCAAGCTCGAAGAACTACTCAATCCAGAGGAGGTATCGCAGGTTATGGCGAAACATGATCCCAGCTCTGGTCGCTCATACACGAATCATATCATCTCGCTCAGAGTTGTCAAGGCTGAGGAGCTTAGGTCTTCACTGGATAAATCAAGCATACGGCCTTATTTGACTCTTGTGGATACCAAAGCACGTAAGACGCTTGTGAAGACAAGATCACTCGACGGAGAGAATCCTGAATGGGACGAAGAAGCGGAACTTACCCTTGCAGCCAATTCGTCTTTGACAATGTCTGCAACCGTTTGGGAGGAAAAAATGGGAACGCACTCTGTTTGCGGCAGAGCCTTAATGCAGTTGGAACCACGAAAGTTCAAGCATGATGGTATTCCCCAAGAGATATTCCTTGACCTTGATCCCCAGGGACGAGTCCAAATAGAGATTGCTGTTGAAAGTGAAAGGGATGATGCCATATTTGCAATGGGGAGAGCTCATAGAGCATTGAAGAGAAGCGTTGAGCGTATCACCAAGCTCATTGTTGCAAAGTTTTCCAAGTTTATCAAGCTTTGCTTCTCTCGTAATTCCCTCAAGTCGGTCTGTGGAGCTAGCGGAAACGTGAAGCCGTCACAAGAGCAGATGGATGATGCTATGTTACCACTTTACAACTATCTTAATATGAACTTGCTGGTCTTGGCCCAATTTCTCACGAGGGACCTTTTGCATAAGGTCATGCTTGAAGCATGGAACATTGTTGTTGCTAGTGCTGATGAGCTTTTGCTTCCAAAGCTTGCCAGTGCCAAAGCACTTCGCTTGGCTCAGCTCAAGAAGTTGAAATCTGGAGGCAGCTCCGGTAACTTGATGGCTTCTGGTTGGCAATCTGCTGTGTCTTCTGCAATGGCTAATGTCACCAACTCCATGAGCGTCCTTGGATTCGGTAAGACTCTTACGAACAATGAGATCGAGACAGTTATTGCATGGCTTCACTTTCTTTGTCTCGACTTCTTCCATAACGAAGGTAATGGTCCAGCGGTTTATGATCTCAAGACCGAGCAATACCAGTCGATCTTGTTGATTCCAGTATACTATGACAAAGAGTCTGGTTTCCTCATACATGAGGTAGAAAGGCTCTCGCCAGCTTACCTTCAGATGCTTCGTGACAAAAACAATGTGTTCATCTCCAATCATCCTGATGCAGACACCGCCAGTTTAAGAAGCAGAGCAGGCTCCATTGCTCGAAGCCTGACCATTCGTGCTAATGCTACAGCACAGGCCAGAGCCCGTGCAGCCAAGGAAGCACGAGAACTTCTGTCAGACCCCTTGGTCGCTCAAACATCAGCAGAGAACATTATTCTTCGACTCTTGCTCATCAAAGATGAGAAAGCATTTGTCGCTAAAAGAGTAGAACAGAGAGAGAGATTGGCTCATACTATTGCAACCGAGAGGCTTGCAAGAGCGGCAGCTGAAGGAACATTATTTAGATAGACTACAATTCCATTATCATCATTACAACTTTTTTGACTATGTAATTTTCTATGTTACACATTAATTTTGCCGATTGCCTAGGCTGCATTATTCTCTTGAGCTCCTGCTCCCTCAGGAACTGTCGAATTGGCAGCGTCTTCGTCTTCGGCTCCTGCGTTAAGCGTAACCTCTTCGTTGGTGGTTTCGTTAACGTCTTGCTGGATTGTAGTATCATTTGGGTCATGGTAGATAGTGGTGTCGGCATCGACCGTGGTATCAGGATGTGGTTTGGTTCCCTCGGTGGGTTCGGTCTCCTCCTTGGGCTCCTCATCCTTGACCTTCTCTTCTTCTTGGTCTTGAGCCGTGGTAGTTTCATCTTGCTCTTCCTTGTTGTCCACTTTTTCGGTAGTCTCGTCAGCGTCCTTCATTTCGACGTCTTCATCATCTTTAGCCAAAGCCTTGTATTCAACAGCACCCTTTTCAAGAAGCACGTCGAAGTTCAGCGAGAGTTTCTCGGTCTGTTCCTCGCTGAGGTTTGCTCTCCAGCCAACTTCCTCGTCGTCCAACAACTTTTTGAAAGCACTAGTCCTCTCCTCTTGAGTCGTTCCAAGATCTTTCTGCTTACTTCCGACCAGATTGGCGGTGAAGTTGTCATGAGCTCCAGGCTCAAAGAATAGACGATATGAGTTTTCGCAGATGGAAACTCTAAGATCTGAGGAAGCCTTGCCTTCACATTGCTCTTCTTCAACCGCATCAATGAAAGCTTTGTGGAATGGCATATTAATCTTGGATGCTGGAACACCTTCCGTAGGATGAGACATAACGTAAGATGTGACATAATAGTTATAGCTCTCTTCAGCGTTCTCGTGATCGTTGATTGTCAAATCATCAAGAGCAACAAACTCGATCATAACGGAATTCTCAGGCTCTTTAACGACGATCTTGAACATATTCTCTTCGTTGCTCATGAGCGACCTGACTTGCATACGATACAAGATCTGGTCCTTGGCCGTCGAAGCTGGAGTGTTACGGTCTTGCTCGAACAACACCACCATATCAGAAGTCTTAGAATCGGTAATCATGGTGTGCATGTGCTTAACAAGAGCTTGAACAACCTTGTCGATAGTGTAGCACTTGTAGGCCTTGTTGCAGTAACCTTGACGCAAACTCTCTTCAAACCATTGATGCTCAATTTCACCATCAAGAAGTCTCTCGGTCAAAGACAAGACCTGTTTGTAACAGTCCTTGGTACCAACAATCTGGACTCCCATTTCTTCGAGCTGGTGGGAAACAAGATTAAGGTCCTTAGCGAACTGAGGAATCTTGCGGGCTCTAATCTCCTTAGCAACTTCCTCATCCATGCCCTTGACCTCCTCGAGCCTCTCGTACAAAGTTCTGAAATGACGGAAGAACACATAGATGGTCGTGTTGCAGAAGAAGTTGAATCTATCACGCTTGTGTTCCCTTGACATGTCATCTAGAGAAAACGTTGATGATGCCGTTCTGATCCAAAGCTCTCCAGACTTTTCAACTTCGTCCACAAGATCTGGTTCCTCGGACTCACTTGCCGAAGATGCATCTTTCTCCTCCTTTCTGTTCTTTGACTGCTTCTTCAAAACGTCACGCAACAAGTCTGGGTCACGATTACGTTTCTTGGAGGCAGAAGAGTCTGACGATCCGTTCTGTTCAGTGGAGTTGCCATTCTCTTCAATGGGCTTCGTTTCAGCCTCCTTTCCGCGTTCATCATGAGATCTGGCAGCTAATGCTTCCTCGATGGTTTCTTGGGGAATTCCGAAGAAGAATCCGACAAAGTACTTGAAGAAGGCACCCAACTTGTCTCTGTCGCTGCTCGAGTAGTTCGATGAATGGAAAATGTAGAATTCAGCAAGCTTGATGATGTCGTAAACAACCTCAAAGTCCTCGAAATCATAGTTGAGTTGCTCCTGTGGCTTTGGAGTCAATGGATGCACTCTCTTGTTTTGCTGCTCGACCTTAACTGTGCTGATTTCACTGACAAGCTGCTTGGCAGTTAAAAGCTTTTTGTCGGCCTGCTTGAAAGTCAAACCCAAGTGATCGAGAGATTTGTAGAAGACCTTCTGTTCCATCTCCCTCCAAACCTTGTTCCATTCTCTTTGAGCTCTCTTCCACTCTTCATCCTTCTGCTTCAATCTCTTCAACACAACTGGCACAGCAATTGCTGGGTTTTCATGAAGAGCATCAATGACCTCGAATCCCCTATCCTTATCGTACACCTTCCTAATCACCTTCTTATAGATAGTCTGGGAAGTGTGACCCAAGCCAGGCGGAAGCTTAAAGTTGGCCTTTTGTTCAGCCGTCATGTTAGCAATCCTGTTGGCAATGGTCTCCAAAGTCTGTATAGTACGCAAGTTGGCTTCAATATGGTAGTCAAACTCCAATCTCTCTTCTTCGATCTTGAAAAGAATTTCTTCGTATTGGTTCTTTCTGTGAGAGATGAATCCTGAGTCCTCAGAAGCCCACGTAGGATGACCAACCCATTCGTCATTAAGTACCTCCCAACACATTTCATCTCTTCCGGAACATGGCATGTAAGTCTCAACCTTTGGTAATTGTCTGTAAGAGGGACCATATGCTTTGCAAAGAGAGAGCTCGATCTGATGCTTCTTGAAAGTGATGTCTTCGATGTGCTGTGTTTCTTCCTTGTAGCCCACAAACTGCTTGAACCAGTTAAGCAAATCTTGGTGGGTGTCACCGAGGAAATAGTCGACTCTTTCTATCAAAGTTGCCTTGTCGATGATGTCTTGGGAGTATAAATTAAGGAACTTCAAGAACTCGTTGTAGGACTGTTTGTTTCCAATGGCCTTCTTGACCTTGTCAAAGAAACCCAACTCTTCCAGCAAGGAGGATTGTCTGACTGCGGCCGTTGGTGGAACAGGCTCTGGAATACCAGGAACTAACGAAGGGTTGACCTTAGCCCCATTCTTAGTGAGAGCTGGCTGGGCACCTGGAGTACTATGCTTCAGTTTGTTACCAGCAGGTTGAAGGCCACCACGAACGCTTGAGTACTGAGCTTCGTCGTTGTAGTTATTCTCGTACATCAGTTGCTCTGACCTCCTTCTCATGTCATCGTGCATCACGGCGCCGCCTTGCATTACAACATCTTGAGGAGGCATCTCGTAGTGCCCACGGTATTGTTGCTCGCCGTTCATCATGGGACCACCAGCGGCAGGTTGGAAGTTACCCAAAGGTGGTAGCTGGGAACCATTGTTGCCGGGGAAGTATGGTGGCTTGTCAACATGATGCAAATGAGGTTGAGCACCCTGAGCTAGAAGTGCTGGACCATCATGAGACCTTTGTGGCTGCAAAAGAGGCTGGTTACCACTGTCAGGCAAAAACTGCTTGAAGTCGTTGAGCAAGTCTGGCGAGCTTGAGAAAAGCTGGGTAACCTGTTCATAAACTTCACCAATTGGCTTCTGTTCGCGCTGGTAAGTCTGCAAGATCTCCAAAAACTGCTTGTAAATGTCTGGTTGGTTAGCAAATCTTGTTTTGATCTTGTTGACGTAGGAAATAGCATGATTGAACTCCACCTGGCCACCAGCGCCTGGCTGTTGTTGTTGCTCCGTAGGAAATTGCTGTAACTGATGAGGGAGCATTTGTTCAGCATTCCACTGCTGTTGTGGTTGTTGCTGCTGTTGTTGTTGTGGCTGCTGTTGCTGAGGAGGGAGATTCATGTTTGGCCTGGTTGTAGTGCCTGTAGGGGTTGTCACTCTAATAGGATTAGGGTCAGAAGGGTCCAAGGAACATTCGATCCTGTATCCCGGTGGCAAGAAGGTGTTGAAACCTTGGATCAAGTTGGGATGTCCACGAAACAAGGTGGAAACTCGATCAATTACCCCTGGAGTGTCTATACTCTGCAGCTTGAAGTCCTTCATAATGTCCAAAAAGTTGTTGTACACATCAGCCTGGTTGTAGAACTGGATCTTAACCTGATCCAAGTAAGACAAGGCATCCTTCACGTTCAATGGTCTGTAGGCACTAGATGATGATGAACGGTTCAACACGCCTGGGGGAAGAGGGCCAGCTGGTCCTTGAGGAGGCTGAGAAGCTGGTCCCATGGCAGGTCCCTGAAGCGGCTGTTGAGCTTGCGAAGGTTGCACCAGAGGAGCCAGGGCAGTACGTTGGGGATCATGGTGGCCGATCCCCTGTTGTTGCTGTTGTTGGGGCTGCTGACCAGTCTGTTGCTTGTGACCCTGAGGAGCTGGCTGGGAAGGCACTTGGTGAGACTGCAGAGGCAGAGGACCATGCAGTGGAGGACCCAGTTGAGGCTGCTGTTGGGGCTGGGGCTGAGGCTGTTGAGGCTGCTGCTGCTGCTGTTGCTGCTGCTGCTGCTGCTGTTGCTGTTGTTGTTGGGGCTCTTGGTGTTGTTGTTCCTGCTTGATGTCCTTCTCCTGAGGCTGTGGCTGCGGATCCCTATTGGTGATGTTGTAAATCGAGTTGGATGGCCTTGGTGGAGGGTTCTGCGGAAGCGAAGAGAAGCCCTGGACATGAGGGAGATGAGGAGCCTGGCCTGGAGTGGAACCCTGAGGAGCAGCCGAACCCTGGGGAGAAGGACCTGGCTGGCCGCCAGAGGATCTCCTATCGTCATTCGAGCTAATGGAAGGGATGGTGAACACATGCCCCGTAGAGTTGTTAGCTCTGTTACCCAAAGCAGGGAGATTAGGGAAAGGCGAAAAGGGTTGACCGCCCGCTTCCAAAGTAGCAGGAGGAGGCAAAACCGGCGGGTTCTGACGGCTGGAGGTTAGTACATGTACTGGATTTTCCTGATCTTGCAAAACATACTTGAAAGGCTGGCCTAGCGGGATGCCCTGGTTGGACCAACGGTCCTGCTGGTTCGTCATTGGGAGAAAACCGGGCGAGTTGGGAAAAACAATAACGTTCACAGAATAAAAGCAGGTTGCTGGGAAGGGATGTGTGCCAGCAGACAAATAAACTTAGAACAGATACGTTTGGTTAGACTGGAAGATTCAGTGTTGGATGTCAATTGACAACTCGAGAGCGGGTGCGTTTCGCTGCCTGGGCCGGGTAACCCCAGCGCATACTTTTCGGTGGGAAGCGTGCGTGAAAGAGGGAGATGCATTGGCCCGGGTCTGTGCAGGTGCCAGTATCGAGTTAGGCCACTCCACAGACGAAGAAGAAACAGTCAGCCAGGAAGTTTGAAGTAGGCAGAAAATATGAAAGAGGGGTGAATATGGTGTATTTACTAAGGAAAATACCGTTTTGATAAATTTCATAAATTCTATATTTGGTGGGTTGGTGTCTCTGGAGGTGCCTGTTTTCTGGACCGGCCCGGTGTACGACGCACAAGCCGAGGCGACGACTAAGTAGTACTGATTTGGACATGTACAGATGTAGATATGAGGTGGGGACAGAGTATGGGAAGTTGGGAAGGCGTAGGTAGAGTTGTTAAGGTAAGGGAATTTGGCGATTAGTGGCAAGTTTCTGGCAGTAGAAATGATAACGTATTATGCTTTGCCTTTTTTTTTTGTTTTGTTTTGTATGGCGTTTATCCGTGGATTGGTATCTCGCTTGTCATTGCTCTTGACTGGTTAGGTGTAGACTTATGCTGGGCAGAATATAGTTAGAAGTGGAGCCTAAGAATTTGTTCATGAAGAGAAATCTTTTGAGGACTTGTCTTAAATGATAAAGTCAAGAAAAACGGAGGTCAATATATATGCCTTTGGAATAGCTGGGTTCTTGTTTGTGGACTCCGTACTGGTTGGTTGGGAGCTCTTATCGAGAAGAGCTACGATAGCAAGTACGTCTATACAAGCGACAAAGCGAACTAGTGTTGAAGAAGTTGACAGATGGATTAAAAGTTGTGTAGTTGCCTCTTGGTCTTTGCATAGCCCGACTTGGCCAGTATTTGGCAAAGTGTGGCATCACTATCCAATGAGCAACCGAATAATCATACATAGTAGTAGAAGGTAGCTACAACAATGCTTTTCTTTGGAAGTCTAAACCACGGTGCCTCGGGAAAAGTCTTCTTCTCGGGCTTCTGAACAGAACCCGGCGACATGGACCTGTTTTAACTTCCCACCTTCAATGGCTGCAAACGCCAAAGCACAGCTACCAAGCAACGCAATGCTTCCCATAATGTGGGTATGAAGAGCTACTCCTCTTTGGTAAAGCTGTACTTAGCTAAAATACTAACCTTTGTTGTTGGTTGTTTTTTTCTTCTTTTTTTTTTTTTTTGAAAATTTCATTACTAAGTCAATTTTCCTATTCTTCACTGAATGTTCATGAGAATGCTGGTTCTGTGGTTTCGTAGTGCGGAAAGTGTAAACCACCTTTTAGTAATACCCACTTCAAAAATCACAAATACCTTGAAACAGCAAAAACACAAGTTTTCTGGAAACCTTTTCGTCTTTTTTCCACTCTCCTCTACTTTTAAGCTCCTTTTGTCGTTTTCCAGGGGCTTTCGTTCCATCACTTCCAACCTACTGGATCTGCACGTCTGCAGGAAATTTTTGACGAAACGAAAACTTCACCACCAACTCTTCCATCACAACAGCCAGCATGAACGCTCCAGACAGATTTGAGTTGTTCATCTTGCCAGATGGCGTTGAGAAGTATGTACCAATGATATTTACCGAGAAAAGCACCCACTAACCGCAGAATCAAAATCATTCCAGACACTAAAGTGCCAAACGCTGCCATCATCAAAATCGAAAGAGAAGACCACACTCTAGCTAACTTATTACGAGCCCAACTCGCCAAAGATGACAGAGTTATCTTTGCTGCCTACAAGGTTGAGCATCCACTTTTTGCTAACTTCGTGTTGAGAATCCAGACCGATGACGACTACACTCCAAGAGACGCTTTGAAGAACGCCTGTTCCAACCTCATTTCCGAATTAGATGTTCTCAAGACCAAGTTCAAGGATGAATGGGCTCTTAAATCATTGCTTAACAACGATGATTATTAATCCCTCAACGAAGATAAAAAATACAGCACCTCACTTGTACATTAAGAAAGCCATTTGATATGGTGACATAATAAAAAGAATAAAAAGGAAACTTACATCATCATCATCATCTTAATCTATGCATTCGTAGTAATTATACATTAGTTGGGAATCTTGTCCCTCATGGCTTTTTCAATCATGGCTATCTTCTCCAAACAGTGGGGCACCTCGGTCTGAGGGAAATTGCCCTGCTTCAACACCAATACTAGTGGATGAGTTTGGATCACTCTATTAGGCAGAACATGGGATATGGCTAGCCCGCCCTTTGAAATGCAAATCTTATGGTGGTCTTTGAAGTTGAACTGGAAGTTGCCATTGGTCATCTCAAACATGATGTAGTCGCTGTTTCTGGTGTATCGCCTTAAGAATACAACCTGTTTGCGCAGCTCGTTTTCGCTGACCTTCGACAAGTTGGTGTTCATGTACTTGGCAAAGAAGTCGACGATTTCAAGCTGTCTCTTTGCCTGTGCTGGTGGGTTGGATACTGAGCTTTCAATGCATGCCCAGCCCTCTTTCTCGTGGTAAATCAACTCGAAGAAAGAGTCGCTGTCGTGAAGTTTGAGAATCGTGTTTTCATCGTTGAAAAGAACGCCGATATCGTCGTTATTCAATTGGTACGAGAAGCCGTACTTGTTGGAATAGTCAACCCACTTGGAGATAAGTGTTGGGTTCTCACATGTGGGGAGTTCTCTGACGTCCAACTCCAACTTGGATCTCTCTCTAGTGAGATCCAGTAGACGGCGGATTGTATCGGCTGTTTCCTGAAGACAAAGATCCAATTTGACAATGGTTTTGTTGAACTTCGAGTGGAAATTGAGTTTTCTCATGGTACTTCTTTGGGAGCTCATCAAGGTGGTTGGCACAGCAACTTCCTGATACTTAAGACGGGTGTCACCTGGCGACAACGATTGTGGCAAGACCGTACGTGGTTGGTCTGACTGTAAGTCCAGCTTCAAAATCTCCACAGGGTTCTTGGTCTTAGGGGTGTAGATACCAGCTCTAGTTTTAGCGTTGGCAAAGTTGAGGGCACTTTGGGCACGGGAAACCTCTCCAACACCGTAAGGAGTAGCCGTCAAGGCGTCCTCAGTAGTCTTATTAGGGAAAGGACCTTTGAACCATGGGTAGTCCAAGATTTCGTGAATAGATGGTCTGTTCAATGGGTTCAAGCTCAACAAGTCTTGGATCAACTGCTTGGCTTCATCGGAAATCTTCTTGTCAGGAGGGAACGAGTAATCGGTTTTCTTGATACGTTCGTAAATGACATTGACATCCTTGGCTTGGAATGGAGGCTTTCCAACAAGCAAGGCGTACATCATGATACCAATGGCCCAGATATCCACTTCAAAGGAGTGGCCGGTGGTCTTTCCACCGAGAACTTCTGGTGCAATGTAGTTTGGAGTACCACAGATGGTGTATTTTCTAGACTCAATGCTAGGCAAGACGGAGGCCAAGCCAAAGTCACCAATCTTCAAGTTCATGTCTGGGTCAAAAAAGATGTTTCCAAGCTTCAAGTCTCTGTGGATAACTCTTCTAGAGTGGAGGTATTTGATGGCGCCGACAATCTGGACCATGAAGTAACGAACCTCTGGCTCGGAAACTCTCTTTCTGGTCTTCAAAAGCTCCATAAGAGACTGGTTAGGGCAGATCTCCAACAAAATGTAGACATTCACATCATCCTCAAAACAGTCCACAAAGTTCACAATATTAAAGTGCTTAAGCGACTTGTGGATCTTGATTTCCAGCAAAAGCTTGGTCTTGGTCTTTTCATTCTTGATCAGCGCCTTGGCTACCGTTTTAGCAGCATATATCTTACCCAGAGCATCTCTCATCTGGAAACAACGGGCGAAACCACCTTCGCCCAAGAAGTTGCCTCTACGGTAGTCAATGCCGCTTCTAGTTCTAACAATGGATGGCGGAGTCTTGCAGAGGGCAGAAAGCTTTTCCTTCTTCTTCTTGGGTTTGTCTTGTTGCTGAACATGGGCCTCCAAATTAGATTGCACAGGCATCTGGTGGTGGACTTGGGCTTGTGCCGGGGCATGATGTTGTTGAGCCTGGTAGTTCTGGTTGTGGTATAGGTCGTATTCTTTCCTTCTGGAGGCCTTGACAGGAGTCAAGTTGGTAGCCTTGTTGAGGTGGCCGCTGTTAAGCGGTTGTAAAGGCTGGGACCTGATGCTCATGACTGGGCGGGAGAAAACAGGCGGTTAGGAGGGAAGGGTTGTAAAGAAAGGAAGAAACCTGAAGGTATGAAGAGTGAACTCACCGGGTTTATTGAGACGATACGGCGCAAGTCAAATATATATGTGTTTGCGTCTTTTGACCAAAACGGCAATGTGCCAACGGAGTAATATTATGTTTTGGGCTGAGAAAGAGAGGGCCTCTACAAAAGAAACTGTGACAGATCGGGAAAAATGAATATAGTCGCTCGGTGGATTCCTGGCAGAGATGTGAAGAAAAGGTGTTTACAAATGCGACCTTTTCGGTAACACCATTGAATTTAGTATTTACAATTTCTCTCCATAGAGGCTGCGCCTGCAGTCTTCTCACCAGTGTTGCAACTACATACCACTCCAACGCCCCGTTTGCTAGCAGACAGGCTAGCGTTGGTGGATTGATGTGTTGAGAGAGTTTGACATTAGTTTAAGGGTATCATGGTGGTATCAGTAGTTTTAATGTTCATAAGATCGGTGTCGCTTGGGTTGCTGAAACATGGTCAATGATAGTGTGTGCAGACAAATCCGACTCGTCCCAATTGGGTATAGTTATGGACGTGTCAACAAACAAACAGTCCGCTATAATTCTCGCACACGGGATCAGAGAGTATCTTCAGGGGCATGGACAGAGCAGGGCTTATTGTCATGGAACACTTCGCAGAACTTATTCGGTGCATCTTTCGATCTTCCATTTTGAGCCCGTTTTGCAGCCAATTTCTCTTGCATCCCGTTTTCTTTCGCCAGAGCCTCGATCTGCAACCTAAATTGAAGCCTATTTTTGCAGCCATTAGTTAAAAGCCACCACTTCACATCTTATCAGCACCTTCGTTGGCAAGCCTATCGGCATGCTCATTACCCACATTGCCCTGGTGACCTCTGACATGCGTAATGCCCAACTTGGACTCTCCACTCGCCTCATACAACTTGTTCACAGCTTCGTACTTACCCACAGCCTCCTTGATCAAGTCCTGATTGGCAACGTCACCGCCCGAGGAGCTTTTCCAGCCATTTTTTGCCCAGTTCTTTGACCAGGTATCCACACAGTTCTTGGCGTAAGACGAGTCGGTATAGATCTCGTAACGGTCACTACCTTGCTTCGCTGATTCCAAAGCCGAGTCCAACGCATGATTTAAAGCATGCAACTCGGCACGCTGGTTGGTGGGTTTAACAGTCGAGACGTTATCCACACTTGACAAAGGCACAGCAGCGTTTCTTGAATCGCCTGGGCCATAGTACACTCCGTACCCTGACTTTGGAGTACCATCCTTACCATTACCACGAGCTGCACCATCAACGTAAATTGCAGATCTGCTAGCCTTCAGCTTGGAGCTGCCGGTGGAGGCAATAGGGAAGCTCAATCCAGTGTAGCCACCCTTGGAGACATTAGAGAAGTCGAATCTAGAGAAGCCACCAGAAGACTTCGAGTTACCATCGCCACGAGACTCAATTAATTCAGGAAATCCAAGCACGCTGCTGGTCCCAGAGGAACCCGAACCAGAAGTTCCCAGGCCACTCGAGCCACTTGCACTGTTCGCATTGATGAAGCTCACCGCATCGGCCTCACTGCTAAACTTCTTATACCTCGAGTTGGATACACCCTGGGTGTTGGCACTGCAATCTTGCCATGAGTTGTAGACACCGACATTCTTTCCTCTTGCCACGGCATAGTATGCCTTGTTTGAATTTCTACCCATGCTAAATAGATGGAATTAGGAGGCAAGATCAAGGGTTGGGCCGCGTAGTTTCAGTATATAGCACGCGGTGCGTACAGGTCCAGGGTTAGTCACGTTAGCATAGATATACCGGTTCCTTGGCGTCCGGGACTGGAAAATTGTCTAGACTGGTAGAGGGCCTGTTAATTGGCTTAAGATTGAATTATGGTGCATTTTGGTACGCCTTGGTGGGTAGTGGTGTTACTGTTTAGGTAGGCAGATGTGCGGTCTGGAACTACATACTAGTGTTCCCCAGATATTTACGGGTATCTTGTAGTGTGGCTAGTTTTTATCTTGAAATGAGATATTAATTGTATTGTGCTAGTTACGATGTGGTGATCGCCTGGCCGTCATTCCTGGTTTCCAGGGAAGCTTAAAGGTTCAGATGGGAATGATCAGGCAATGATAATCTTGACTTCTTCACCCGTAGGTAAAATACCCCACATATATGTCCATTGGATGAAGTGCTATTGAATTCTGGTAGAAAAGTCTGATTTTCAAGCGAATATTAACGGAGTTAGTTTGCACGAGAACTGATACCTGAAAGCATTGGGGCCACTTTTGGAAAATAATTAATAATAATAGTCAAGCAGGTTCCCTGAAGGCCTTCTAGGTTGGGCATTCAACCACGCAACTGTGACAGCAGTTGACGCTCAAGCGGGAACAGCCTGCCAATGAAATGTGGTTACGGCTGTGATCATTCGAACTCTTGGGATACGAGCGACAAAGTATACCAGATAAAGATAGGTCAAGTTTCACTTAGATTGTTCCATTCATATTTCCCTTCCTCAACGCTTCTTCATTAAAAGCACTCTCTTTAGTATCGTGTGTATCTGAATGAGCCTGAAGATCATTTTGACCAGGTTTGTCTCTGGCTAAGGACGCCAGTGTTTGTGCTTTTACCAGAGACCCGAAAAGGGCAATAAATAAACTGGATATGAAGAGACAAGCAACAATCCCCTTCCCGTAATATTTATCTAGAAGGGTATTAAACTCACCAGGATCTAATAGACTAATAAAATGGAGCATCACTATATTAGTAGCTCCACCAATATGAAGTGTCCAATCATGGGGTTTGAACGATCGAGGAGGGCGAGCCAACGATGGCTGGACCATGAATATAACATCATAGACGAATAGACCAAGAACCCAGGGAAGCACAAAAGAATACCCAAACAAACCAATTACTTTCTTGTTCAACCAGTCCACTGTGGTAGAAAAAAGACCCATGTACAACCACAGTACAAGAATACCATAAGAATTATTCCATATGACAAAACGACCGAGATTTACACCAAAGATGTGTTTTCCTAGTTCCAAGAATGCTCCAAAAGCTACGGCCCAAGTATCCTTGCCAAAGTATTGCAAAAGCGTAATCATGCTTTGTGCCGAAAGGATGAGTATAAGCCCAACGAAAACGGAAACTTTAAGTCCAGCCAAAGCTCCCATTCTCCATGCAAACAAAGAATAGCATCCACCAAACAATAAACTCCAAATTGAAGTATCTAGATGGCCTTCAGCGCTGCCGTCATAGGTTATAAGCAGAGCCAGAACAGCCAAGGTCAAAAGACCACAGAAACAGCAATGCACAATTTTCTGCATCTTGGAAAAGCCATTGTATCCCTTAAGAACCAACAGAGCCCCTTCGATATCTTCACTGGCTTCTTCACGTTTCATAGTGGGTTTCTGGAGAAGAAGCGGTTATTGATTGTTTTATCACTGTCAAACGCACTATTACGCAATATGCCAAAATGTGACACATTTGGACAGTTAGACGATACTTAGTGAAAAGTAACATGTTATGTGTTGAAGAAGGGTTCTTTTGAAGAAGAAAGTTCCATTTGACCGTAAGACGTTGACTCCATTGTTTTCGTATCTTTCTGGTATGTCCTATATCTCCTGCCAGTCAAGCCTTAACTAGGTTATCCTGAGAGATCCAATGCTCCAAAACCAACGAACAGAGTCCAGAAAATACAAGTCATTACAGAACTCCTACCCTAAAGATCCATTGCCTCCTGGATTACTGAACAAAATGGCCTTCTTCCACTGAAGTATGCCCTTCACGTCCATGGGCCAGGGCTTTTTGCACCCAACCCAAACTGGCTCAATTCACCCCAGATAAAAACTTCAACTCAAGAATTGCCCTTTTCTCGGCAAAGCAAACCTCAATTGAAGCGACATCCTACGATTGGCTCTTGTTTCACCTGCTTATCTGTAAAGCCCGTTGTGCATCGTCCTTGCTTCTCGCAGAGCATCGCAATGGTACATGTTCAAGAAGCCCCCAACCCAAAAGCTTCCAAAACAAGAACGAGCGGGATGAAATTCCATAATTAAGCTTATTCCTGAACCATAATTTGTTTAAGTTTTGGTTATGGCTATTTCCAGGCCATGGAGGGGATATCTCGTCGGTCGTGTACTTCTCATAATAGAATTCATGACAACAGCAATTTTTTTCCTCAGTCTTCTCCAACACGCTTAGACATCTATCAACAGTCGACCATGAGTGACAGTGAAGATATGACCCTCTCTGAGATCTCGTCTCGAAACGGGCACGGTGTGGTGAAGAACGAGGACGACGAGACCCCATTGGCTCTGTTGAACGGGAGAGCAAAGCAACACAAGAGAAAGCTGTCTGATAAGAGTAATGGAGAGCCAAAGGAGAAGAAGAGGAAGAAGCTGAAGGCTCTGTCTTCTCTGAAGGTGAAGAGTGAAACTCCTTCTGCTCCTACAACGCCAAAAAAGACAAAAAAGACACCCAAGGTCTCACAAACACCAGCTTCTGCTACTCCTACACCTACTCCCAAGAAGGAAGAGTCTGAAGATGCCGATGATGGCTACAAATGGTGGGAAGATGAGAATTTTGGTGAGGGTGAAGAAAGGTGGCAAACTTTGGAGCATGCTGGTGTGATTTTTCCTCCTCCATATGAACCTTTACCAAGCTACGTAAAGCTTTACTATAACGGAAAGGCAGTCGAGTTGCCTCCTCTTGCAGAGGAGGTAGCAGGTTATTTTGCTGCTATGATAGAAACAGACCATGCTAAAAACCCTGTCTTTCAGCAGAACTTCTTCAATGATTTCCTACAAGTATTAGAAGAGTCAGGCGGGTGTAATGTTCAAATCAAAGAGTTTGAGAAGTGTGATTTCTCCAAGATGGCTGCATTCTTTGAAAAGCAAAGAGAAGAAAAGAAGAACTTGACCAAACAAGAGAAACAGCGTATAAAGGAAGAAAAGGAAAAGCTCGAAGAGCCTTACAGAACATGTTTAATGGACGGCCGCAAGGAGAATGTCGGTAACTTTAGAGTCGAACCTCCAGGGCTTTTCCGTGGTCGTGGTGCTCATCCAAAAACAGGAAAATTCAAGAGAAGAGTGTTCCCAGAGGATATTACACTCAACTTGGGTGAAGGAGCGCCAATTCCTCCAGCACCAGAAGGCCATACTTGGGGTGCAATCAGACACGATAAAACCGTCGTTTGGTTGGCAATGTGGCGTGAAAATATATCTGATACTTTCAAGTACGTCAAGTTGGCAGCCAACTCTTCCATCAAAGGTATCTCGGACATGAAGAAGTTCGAGACTTCCAGAAAGCTTAAAGATCACATTCAGCGTATCAGAGCTGACTATACAAAGATGTTGAAGGATCAGTTCATGCAAAATAGACAAATCGCTACTGCCACCTACTTGATTGATATCTTTGCACTTAGAGCAGGTGGTGAAAAAGGTGAAGACGAGGCCGATACTGTTGGTTGTTGTTCTTTGAGATACGAGCACGTCACACTCAAGCCACCAAACAAGGTCATTTTCGATTTCTTGGGTAAGGATTCGATTAGATTTTACCAGGAAGTAGAAGTTGACCGTCAGGTTTTCAAGAACCTACGAATTTTCAAGAAGGAGCCCAAAGGACCTGGCGATGATATGTTCGACAGAATCACCCCCACCATCTTGAACAAGCATTTACAGAATTACATGAAGGGTCTTACAGCAAAGGTGTTCCGTACATATAACGCTTCCAAGACCATGCAAGATCAGATGGACTTGATTTCCAACGAAGGTACGGTGGCTGAGAAGGTGGTCAAGTACAATGCAGCCAACAGAACCGTGGCTATCTTGTGTAATCACCAGCGTACGGTCAGTAAGAACCACGAAGTTGGTGTGAAACGTATCAACGATAAAATCAAGGAGCTCGAGTGGCAGAAGATCAGACTCAAGAAGATGATCTTGGATGTGGATAAGTCTGAAAAGAAGAAGAACCCCAAGTACTTCTCTGAGCTTGAAGATCTCACCAAAGACGAACAAGGCGTTATTGTTGAGCGTGTGATTGAAAGACAGAAAGAGCAGGCCGAGAAGAAGTGGAACAGAGATAACGAGAAGCGTAAGATGGAAAAGGAAGAGTTGTTCACCAAGGACGATCTCAAGGAGAAGCTCGACAAGATCGACGAAACCAAAAAAGAGTACCTTGACGAGATCAAGACCGGCAAGGTGAGTGCCACCAAGGGAGCCTCAGTGTCGTCGTTGCAGAACAAGGTCGAGACCGTGGAGAACAGAATCACCAACACCAGCTACCAGCTCAAGGATAAAGAGGATAACTCAGAAGTGTCGTTGGGTACATCCAAGTTGAACTATATCGATCCACGTTTGACGGTTGTGTTTGCAAAGAAGTTCAACGTGCCGATCGAGAAGCTCTTCACGAAAACACTCAGAGATAAGTTCAACTGGGCCATTGAGTCTACCGATGAGAACTGGCGGTTCTAAAGCATATACACATAATAGAATAACAAAACGGAAAAACCGGAAAGAACACAAAGAAAACCTTCTTTGCCAAGCGCACGGCGTTACACCAATTCCATCATTAATTGGCCTAATTGGTTCTTTGGCAGTATGTAATTTCAGATATGTTTTGCACTTTTGCAACCGTGAACAATTCGCGCTCGCTATATAGGGCATAGTGATAACAATCACTTCGCGCCAGGACGCATTCTGTGCATATTTGCACCCACAGGGGTTCAGCAAAGGGCCATGTATTTCACCAATTCTGGGCGTAAAAAGATGAAAAAAGCTGGAATCTAAATCTCCAAATCCCAAGGATTTTATTGGTGCAATTTTCACATTTTTTCGTCCACTAAATCCCCAAATCGCTAGGACCCTTCATGTCACTGTGGAACCTGCCAAACAGCCAAATCGCGTTTCTACAAACCGCGTACTGCCCCATGCGTCAAAGGTTTTAATGGCTGCAAACCTGATTACCAGCAAGTTCCAGGAGGGTGTCTTTTTAAGCTTTGCACCTCCACTTGTTTTAGACTTTTCTTCCTTTTTTCGATCCCAAGCCTTTTACGTTCCTTTTTTGCTTTGCTTTTTTTGCTTTGGCACTTTTCCCCAGGCTCCACCGTTTACTATGAGACTTCCCTTAGTGCTTCTATTGGCATCGCTTATATCTGCTGGGCCACTTCCACAAAAGACCGGGTTGGTCCATCGTCACCATCTCCATGCTAGAGACGACATGCCGGCGGTCACCGACTCGAAGCCAAAGAGCACGAGTACGACTGAGACAAAGGATCTGAAGAAGACTGACTCTAAGGATGAGTCCAAGGATGACGATAAAGATGAGTCCACGAAAGATGACAAGAAAGATGAATCTGAAACGTCTGACAAGAGTGACATGCCTTCGGCAACTGCTCTGCCTTCAACTACAGATATGCCTTCCGCTTCGGAAATGCCTTCCTTCTCCGAGGAACTGTCGCTGACTACTCTGTATAGCTATGACATTACTGTTCCACCTTCGGTGAATACTGGCGCTTATAGTGCCAACCCTTACGTGCATAGGTCGCTGAAACCGGCCAATATGGTGTTTATTATTGTCGGTGGTATTTTGGGGCTTCTTCTGCTCCTTGTGTTGGTTGTATGGTTTGCTTTCTGGCTTATTAGCAGACACAGAGCCAAGAACGAACGTGCAGTTTACCTAGGCATGCACACGCCTGGCGGAGGCTTCCACCTGAGTCTGTCGAGTTTCCTTCTTAACGACGGTAATCTGTCAATTGCTGAAAAGTCCAGTTCCGGTTGGGGCTCGAATTCTTCAGTTCTCATGCTTCATCGTCAATCGCTGACGCTTACTTTAGACAAACAGAGTGTTTTGCCTTCCCAGGGACGCAGTTATAGAGAAATGCTGGGAATGGAGCATTCCAGACGTGGGTCCATGTACATTTCGCCTGTTCTAGAGATGATGCATGGCAGAAGCCGACTGCAAGTGGATTTGGTACGTCCAGACTCTATATATGGCCTTGAGCTGCCGTATGCTGATTCACCGCTTCCATCGCCTATGGGCAATTCTTCCACAGATGCTATCAACACCCAGCCATTAGAAACACAGGAAAAGAAGAAACTGAGACCGCCTTCACAGCTTCTAGACGACCTTCTAGGCGACGGCATGGACTTTACCATGGATCCAGCGAAGAGGTGAGGAGTTTGAAGAGATGGAGAGAGAATTAAAATTTATAGATTTGTCATGGTAGACATGACACTAATAATACAAACGTCATTTACCAGGGAAGTAGGTAGTGGTAGAGTGGAGGATACGTAATCAGTGGTTGAATTTCAAACGCGAGTAACACAAGCGACGAGTAGGGAACCTTAAATAAACAAATATACCAGAAAATTTACCAGCAAATATACCATGTATATATGGTATACTTTTAGACCTTCTGATGGTTATGGAGGTCCAGTGAATGGCTGCGAATTATATATGTCCCACAGCATAGGCTCCAGAAAAGGGTCAGTCAAAACACGCAATTGGCATAAAGAAGCCAGTAAAAGCATCAAAAGGTAATTAAACAGCCCCAAAAACACCAATTGACCACTTTTCTTCATAAAAATCACCCACCATTCACCCAACGGTTACTTCGGCTGTGGGTCTACTGGACCGAGGACTACTTAGCATGCGACATTGCACTGCCCCCAGGTAACTTCATTTCCAGCGCTTTCCACGTAAAACCAACAAAAATAGACATATTGAGAGGTTCCCAATATTTTCCCCAACCCCTAACTAAACCACATTTAGTCACATTTACATGACACTTGGACGTCTCTGAGTGTGACCAGGCAAAGCCGGTTTCGCAACCACGAAGCCGGTACAGTGAGCCTCGCACGACCACACCCCCATAGTTCCCCGGATACGTCAACTGGTAATTACCTGACACTACTCAACTACACAAAATGCTTAGATCCAGAGTTCCTATCAGAGCATTGCATAACACTGTCAGAGCGTTCGCCAAGAACGACCCTTCCACCATCGACTCCTACAGATTGCCTTCGCAGACGTCTATCAATGAATGGGAGTTCAAGTACGACTATATCCCCAAGGTGAGCCAGCCAAAGATCCCTCCAGTGTCGCCAGAGGCTGTGAAGCAGGACATTGCCCACAACAAGAAGCAGCAGGTTGAGCACGAGTTGTTTGCCAAGGAGCTGAACTCGTCGATCAAGGTGGAGGCCAATGATGCTGATGTGATCCATGGCGGTGAGTCTGTTTCCACAGAACCAGTGAACCTTCAGGAACCGGGCTCCAAGCCTGTGGATGTTGCTAACAAGCACGCTGGCAAGCCAAGCAAGACTCCTAACACTGAGAAGTACGTTCAGTCTTCTACCAATCCCGAGATTAACCAGGCCTCCGTGGTGAACATGGGAGAGAACGAGGTCGACCATAAGGTCAGTCCGGTTAACCCACAAGAGAGAGTTGAGAACGACGTGGAACACGACGAGGTGAAGAGCTCTGGCTCGAGCGTCAACCCAACCACGGTTCTTGCCGTTTTGGGCTTGGGCGGTATCGCCGGCTACTTTGCCTTTGGCCTGGGCCCTCGTGAAAGCAAATCCGAAGCTAAGAAATAATCCCTACAACGAAAGGAATCCCTTAGAATCCCTCCCGCAACAAACAAACGTTCATAGATCAATGCATCGATGCTATATACAATGGCTCACGCTGAAAAGCGTGGAAAAAACACTTTAAATAAAAGCCAAGCGTCTAGTAACGACGAGAAGCCTCCTGGCATGCTCTCAACTGTTGCAAGTAGAAGTCACACACTTGCATGTTGCCGTTGTTCTCCTCCAAACATCTGGTGAAGGTTCTGGCGTCAGCATCACAGGTTCTGCTCTGCTCCTGGTTGTTGTACTGCTGCTGAGCAGCCAAGTCCTGCTGAGGTGCCTCAGCTGGTGGAGCAGAAGAGCCACCGAACATGGAGGTGATACCAGCACCCAAAGTGTGACCAATGGTGGAACCAACAGCTACACCAGCGGCGGTGGAAGCCATTTGGCCAAAGAGACCTGGGCTTTGAGACTGTTGGGTCTGAGGACGAGAAACAGACGATGGGTTGTGAGCTGGAGCGGAAGGAGCAGCGGCGGTGTGGGCCGATCTAGTCTGGGATGGTCTAGCTGGGGCGGATCTTCTTTGTCTGGCCATGGTTTATAAATATGAGTTTGGTGGTTGGATAGAGGCGAGATGATGGGTTATATAGTGTTTTTTAGTGGCGGACGCGCGCGACAATGTCGCTCGTTGTGGAGAAGCTTCGAGAAACACGTGACGCCCTTGGCACGGCTCCAGGTGGGAGATATCAGGTTTTTTTCTGGAGATTTGGGTAATATAAGTGGCTGGTGAAGTTTGGAAGAAATACTGGGTCGGTGGGACAAGGGTGGCGGATGCTGGTAGTTCTGGTAGAAGGTCGAAAACGTGACTGTACTGCATATAACAACATACACCTCTTGGTACCGCTACACCGAGATATTCAAAAAATCAATATCACTAGCAATGTAAAGTACCCTTCAGTAACCGACCTGAAAACTTTGGGGCCCATTGGAAGCAATTGAGGGTGTTTCGATGGAGGGTATGGACTGGTGAATATAGCTGGTGTACGGGTGCGAGCGACATTTTTCGCAGCCAAAACTGAGTCTACCAGGACCCGTGGGCAGTCTCTATATGAGACACAGCTAAGGCAAGAACCTAGTGGGGCTAGGTTGGAGGAGGCTTTTCCAACCTTGTAGTCATGTGACGGCACTCACGAGATACGAGTCACATGACCATAAAGTCACCCTTTCCCGCAAAGTCCAAATTTTTTTACCTTTACCCCAGAAAAAAAGAAAAAAAAAACGAATAGTCTTTGCTTGCACCCATGCAGCATCGTCCCCAGTAAGAGTCACTCTCTCAACCTTCCATCCTCAACGTCTCCCCCCCTTTTCCAACATTCCGTGATTTCCACACTTAATCTTTTCAAACGTCACCTTTCTCGTTCTCTTCCACCTCCCATCTCTTTTCACATGTGGCTTCCCTTCGTGCTCTGGCTCCGAATCGGCAAGTAACCGTTTTACGCCAAACTCGCAGTACAGCCCTCCACGCAGAAGACACTTGAAGGCTTCAACACACAAAGTCACCAAAGAAAAGACGTTTGGTGAAGAGATGGACCAAAAATAGTTGTCTTTAAATAAGCTTTCTTTATCAATCATCTTTTCCGTTTCTGTCTCCACATGCTTGTGGAAGTCACTGGTGCGTCGCTTTATCAGATCTCATAAAATCGCGTGCACCCGCCAGTCCCACTCTACCTTACCACATCTATTCATTAGCAACAAACACAGCACCGTCGATGCTTTCGACACTCGCAAGAGGAGCACTTGGAGGGTCCAGACCGGGAACGCTACTAGCGCCATTGGCGCTTCGGTTTGCTTCTCTGGCGCTGGACTTGAACTACTACCAGATCCTTGAGCTTCCTAGGAATGCATCCATTAAGGATATCAAGGCTCAGTTCAGGAAGCTTTCGAAGAAGTACCATCCTGATCTTAACTCGCATCTTTCAGAGGAGGAAAGGGAGAAGAACAACAAGAAGTACGTGGAGATGCTGCTGGCGTACGATACGTTGAAGGACGTCAAGGCGAAGAGGGAGTATGATGCATCGTTGGGGCTCCGGAAGTCTCCTTCGGGCTCACACTCGCCTAATCCTAACCATTCGGATTGGCAGAATAAGTATTATGGCGAGGCAAAGTATTATTCAAAGGGTAAGGCATCGGGGAGCTACTTCTCCAAGGGCTATAATACCAAGAGACATAGGGTGCATAACTTTTACGATGGTTCGGGCGCTGAAAACAAGAATAGTCAATTTAATGGCGCCCATAGGAACTATGGCGATCGGTTTAGCGTGCCACATTTCAATTATAACGAGCATTTGGCCAAGCATTTGAAGTTTGAGCAGAGGATCATTGAGAAACAGTTGACGCCAGAGAACAGAGAGGCCATTATACGGCAGCTTCGTAGAGACGGCGACATCTCCAAAGTCAGTGAAGAGCTCATCACTAAGCATCTCATGCGCCAGGCTCACGGGAACAATAATCTGGGAAGATCGGTTTCTTCCTCTTCCGCAACCGCCCTGAATCCGTACATGTATCAGGGACCACAGAATGGAGGCCATCACGAACAACTGGCCAGCTTGGGTATGACCACGGCACTTGTGGTTGGCGGGCTCGGCTCTATATATCTACTATACAACGCTATAGCGTGAAACTCTAATAGAAATCTGGTATTAAACAGAAATATGGGAAAGAAAAAAATAGTTACAGAAAGACAACCGTAGCGGCGGATGAAACCTGGGTCTTTTATATAATGCAGTTATGGAGGGTTTATGCGGAAGGAGTGGCAATGCTCTAGAGGGAGGCATGCTTGGGTTCAATTAACGGTCAACCTCACCGAACACCAAATCCATGGTACCAATAATAGCAACTGCGTCAGCCAACAAATTGCCTCTGGAGACGTGGTCAAAGGCTCCCAAGTGAGCGAAACCAGGTGCTCTGATCTTACATCTGTATGGTCTCTCAGAACCGTCAGACACAACGTAGACACCCATCTCACCCTTTGGAGCCTCGATGGCAGTGTAAGTCTCACCAGCTGGGACGGAGTAACCCTTGGTGAACAACAAGAAGTGGTGAATCAAGGCCTCCATATCTTCCTTCATCAAGTCTCTTGGAGGTGGGGAGATCTTGTAGTCTTCGACCTTCACTGGGCCCTCAGGCATATCGTTACAACACTGCTCAATAATTCTCAAACTCTGTCTGAACTCGGCCATTCTGATCAAGTAACGGTCGAAACAGTCACCGTTCATACCGACTGGCACGTCAAAGTCAACCAAGTCATAGGCATCGTAAGGCTGGGACTTTCTGACATCAAATGGAACACCGGAACCTCTAAGCATAGGACCAGACATGGAGTAGTTCAAAGCATCTTCAGCAGTGACAATACCAACGTCTTTGGTTCTGGCGTGCCAAATACGGTTATCGGTAACCAATTCTTCGACTTCATCGATTCTGTCACCAAACTGGGTGGCCCACATGTAGATATCGTCCAACAAACCAGAAGGCAAGTCCTGGGCAACACCACCGGGTCTAACGTAAGCAGCGTGCAATCTAGCACCGGAAACTCTCTCGTAGAACTCCATCAACTTCTCTCTCTCTTCGAAACCCCACAAGAAAGGAGTCAAACCACCGACATCCATAATATGCGACAAGACAGACATACAGTGGTTCAACACTCTGGTGATCTCGCCGAACAAGGTACGCACGTACTTACCTCTCAAAGGCACTTCGACGTTCAACAACTTCTCCACGGCCAAGGCGAAAACCAACTCGTTGGTCATCATCGACACATAGTCCAAACGGTCAAAGTATGGCAATGCTTGCATGTATGTCTTGGACTCTATCAACTTCTCGGTACCTCTGTGAAGCAAACCAACGTGTGGGTCGGCTCTGACAATCTCTTCACCGTGCAATTCCAAAATCAATCTCAACACACCGTGAGCAGCTGGATGCTGGGGTCCAAAGTTGATGGTAAAGTGTCTGATTTTCGTGTTTTGCTTCTCAACCTTGGTAGGGTCATCATCTCTGCCCCATGTCATGTCCACCTCGTCCATGGACTCTGTGAATGTGGTTTTGCCAAACACATTACCGTCCAGACTGACTCGCTGCGCTGGCTTGCCCAAGGCGTTTGTAAATGGCTTAACTGGTTCTTCATTGGCGCCTGCTCTCAATGGAGACATACTGGTAAAGAGTCTGTGGGCATGGGCCACTTTCAAGCTCCTGCTGGCGACCCTGGTCAAAGTAGGGATAGGAAGCATTTCTAGTACTGTGAATATACAAGGGAGGAACTGGTTTGGAAAGGGCTGCTAGGGATCTCTCGGACTCTTTCTATCTTTTTTTTTTTTGAACCTTAGTTTGATCTTTTCGTGCGTAAAATTATGGTACTTAGAAAAAGCCGGGTCTTCATTGGATAGACGACATCAGTACACCGCGACATACCCTATAACACAGAGCCATAAGAAGAAGCAGCAAAAGTGGTGGAAATTATGTAAATAGGGCTTTAGGAGATATATGGGAGGTTAAGTAGAGGGATGGGAGGTTTTCTGGGTAATTTTGATGGCAGGGGCGGGAAATGGCGGGGCCTTTTGGCCAGTAGAAGTCGATGTATGGTTGGTGCGATTGGGTGCAAAAAATGGCCCACTCAGGCTGGATGGATTCATGGAGGGTGGAAATGGGTGAATTGAGTTGGGAGTAGATAAAAGGGAGAGGAAAGAAGATGGAGAGGGTATAGAGGGTATCCTGGATCTTCGTTTTTTGGACTTATGTTGAATTATAGCATGGCGCTTTGGTTGGCTGGTGGAGGTAGCTGGACAGAGTCAGTCGTGGACTGGAAAGGTCAGTTTGGGCAGGGGATTTGGGGATATTTGGTGAACAGGGTTCATTATAAGCTACTTAGTTAGGCTGTTAGAGAAGGTAGAAGGTTTTGGATAGTGGGTGGCATTTGGATGTGGGCTGGTATACCTCTAAGGATAAGGCTGTCCACACAGAGTTCTCATAGATATCTGATAATATTTCAGAATGGTAATTCGACCATGTAGATTATAGTGGATTATTTAAAACCTTTCAAAAGCCGCTGTATAATGAGATATTAGCTAAAACGTTCCACCGGCCCTCCAACCCAAAATCGGCGTCGATTTCGTTATCCTGAGATAAAATTAAACCTAAAAGTTGACAAAAAACAGCAAATTTGATGACTTTTGCCATAGAGCTCTAATATCAAAGCTACTTTTGGTAATGCATAATAGCAGATGCGGTGGCTCAATGGCAGAGCTTTTGATTCCAAATCAAAGGGTTGCAGGTTCGATTCCTGTCCGTGTCATAGCTTCTTTTTTGCACTCTTCACCAAACTCATCTTCAACCTCCAACACCATCTAATCCTCTTCTTTTTGCTATCCAATGGCAAAGAAGAAACCCACCCCTCCTCCTCCCGAGCCAAAGGGCAAAAAGAACCAAAAGGCCAAAACCACAGAGCCTCCACCAGCTAAAGGCAAGAAATCTAAGAGCAATACCCCAGAGGTTTCCAACGATGATCCCCTGAAACCACAACGAGGATTGGCCATTGGAGAGAACTTCGGTTGGACTGGTAAACTTCCAGCAACTTTACTTTACGAGTTCTGTCAGAAACAGAAATGGAACAAAGTCATCTTTGACATGAAGAAGACCTCTAAAGGCTTCATTGGCATTGCAGACCTCAGCTGGGAGAACCCAAAGACCAAAGAGGTTATCCATGTGAAGATGATGCCTGATACTCAGGTCCTTCCTCCTAGAGAAACCACCAACGAGGCTCGTCATTTTGCAGCCACTTACGCCATGCACAGATTGAACTATGTTAAGAACCTACGAATGGTGCTACCCATTATCTTCAGAGACTACTGGTCAGACTTGGAGACTCATAGACAAGAATTGCTTAAGAAGAGCAAAGCTGAACACGATAGGATTTATAATGCAAATCCTTTCCAGGTGTATTTGGACGATAAGGCTGCTAGTGAGAAGAAGGCTAAGGAAAGAGAGGCTAGAGCTAATAACGAAGCTAAGACTAATGCTCCAAAGGCTAGCATATCAATTGGGACACCAAAGACAACAACCAAGGAAAAGACGAAACAGGAGGTTTCCAGACCTATTAGGGTTCGCCTGACTGCTAACCTTCCTACATTTCCTAGAAAAGCATGGGACTCTGCTCCGTTTATTGATTTCCCTATTGAAGTCAGAACGTCTGTGGAAAGGCTGATCAAGGATCATATTGCATGGGTTGAAGATGAAGAGGATTCTCCTGCTGACGAAAAGCTCAGGTCGCAATGGAAGAAGGACTTGGTAGGCTTGAACTTTAGAGAAAGTCATGTTGATGAAGCTCTTTCGTATACACATTCGTTCAAGGACGCTTTGGAATGGCTCTTGTTTCATATTCCCGATGACGATTTACCAGTATTTTTTGCCAAAAGGGACGAGGATTCCAGCGTTTCATTAAAGATTTCCAAGGATATCCAAACCGAGTATGCTATCCAAAGATTGGCACAGTCCGGGTGTGATAAAGACGATATTTTGGAGACTTTGAGCGAATGCAACGGAGATGAAAGGAAAGCAGCCATAAGCCTCTGCTACATGACTCTTGAATACGCTTCTGATGCACCAGAAGACCCAAGCGCTCTTGATACATGGTGCGAGGAATTAGACAGTATAAAGATGATTGGGTCAAATGAAGTTAAGTATCTTGATCAGCTGAAAAAGGTCGCTTGCATAGATCTCAATGTTGAACATGTGGAAAAGGGTATGCTTCTGGTGAACCTCTTCATGCCTGATGCCTACCCAAATGCATTCCCTGGTGTTCAGATTGTTGTCAACAGTCAGTCTTTTAAGCTTGCAAACTATATCAAGTTGGCTATCGTTCGTCAACTTTTAGAGTATGTCGTTCGTGATGGGTTGCTTGGTGACTGCTATATTTATTTTTTGGTTGAATGGCTAGAGACCAACATTGCAAAGGTTATTCAGAACCCTGGACCATTGAGTGTGGCACCAGCAATTGCTGCTTCAGACAAACATCAAACGGCAAGCCTGAAGAAGCTGAGAGATAAGCTGTCTGCTAGAAAGCAACCTCAATTGACCGATAGCGATATTAAAGAGCTTCAAAACGCGTACAAGGCTAAGGCATCACTGGCTGAGCTCAAGAAATCGCTTGATGCTCGTGCTAAACTTCCGGCTTGGCAAAAGAGGGAGCAGTTGGTGGACGTCATTAATTCTAACAAGGTTACCTTGGTCACAGGAGAAACAGGATCAGGTAAAAGTACGCAGATTGTTCAATTCATTCTTGACGACTTAAACAAGAAGGGAAATTTCTCCAGCACAATCATCTGCACCCAGCCAAGAAGAATCTCGACTATCGGTTTAGCTGATCGTATATCTGACGAAAGAATTCTGGATGTGGGCAAAGAAGTTGGATACATTATTCGTGGTGAAAACAAGACATGCAAAACTACAAGACTACTGTTCGTCACTACCGGTGTTCTCCTCAGAATGCTTCAGTCTTTCTTGTCGAACGACCAAGATGGCAATTCATCTATCTTTGACAGGCTTGAGTATATCTTTATTGATGAAGTCCATGAAAGATCAGTGGATAGTGACTTCCTTCTTATCATCTTAAAGAAGATAATGAACAAATTCCCCAAATTGAAGATTGTTCTTATGTCTGCTACCATCAACACGGAGTCGTTCATGAAGTTCTTCCCAACCAAGGTGAATCACATCCATATTGAAGGAAGAACTTTCCCAGTGGAAGACCGTTATCTCGATTCTGTACTCGATGACTTGGACTACAGCATTACAAACTATAACGGTGAAGTCATCAAGCCAAAGGCAGACTCTCACTATTTCAAGACAGGCACTGCTAATTATGATCTTGTTGCCAAGCTTTGTGTTTTGGTTGATAAAAAGCTTGCAAATGAGAGAAATAGTGGCTCCATCTTGATCTTCTTACCTGGTATTATGGAAATTAACAAATGTATCAGGAAGATTGAAGATGAATATGATAGAAAAGGATTGGATTGTTGGTGCTTACCATTGCATTCTACGCTTTCTTCGAAGGATCAAACAAGAGTTTTTAAGAAAGCGCCTTCTGGATCTAGAAAGATTGTCGTTTCGACAAACATTGCAGAGACATCTATCACCATTCCAGATTGTGTTGCTGTGATCGATAGTGGACGTTCTAAGAGCATTTTCTTTGATGCTCAATCGAATGTCTCGAAACTCATTGAAAGCTGGTGCTCAAGAGCGGAAATGTCTCAAAGAAGAGGTCGTTCTGGTCGTATACAGAAGGGAACTTGCTACCATTTGTATACGAAGGATACGTTCGATCTGGTTTTGGCTCAGCCTGTCCCTGAAATTAAGAGAGTCAGGTTGGATAACCTTTATTTGGTTGTCAAAGCTATGGGAATCAAGAAGGTCGATGAGTTCTTGAACAGTGGACTCGATCCTCCTGATGTCCTGGCAATCAAAAAGACAAGAGCTATGCTTGAAGAAATTGGTGCAATTGTTGCATCTGACACTCAGGAATCATTGACCCATTTGGGTAAGTACTTATCCTTCATTCCTACGGATTTGCAGCTGGGCAAGATCTTGATTCTTGGATGTATCTTTTCATGCGTGGAAATGTGTCTTACTCTTGCTGCAATCAGTTCTACTGGAAGTCCTTTCATCAATAACATAGAAAAGGGTGATGAAATAAGACTGATAAAAGCAAGAATAGGAAAGTTGCAAGGTGACTTTATTGCATCAGCTTTGGCCTATCATGAATACGCCGAACTTCAGGGCAATGAGAGAAAGAAGTTTATTGCTGCAAACCATTTATCTTACATGACCTTGCAGGATATACAATCCAACCGTACTCAGTACTTGCTGACATTGAAGGAAATTGGGTTTGTGCCTTTTAATTACCTGAAAGATAAGCCTGAAGGAAAGTTATTGAACAGGAACGATGAGAATTTCGATATCGTTAGAGCCATTATCACTGGGTCTTATACTCCTCAGCTTGCTCGTGTACAGCTTCCTGATCCAAAGTACGCCCAGACTCTTGGAGGAGCAGTGGAAGTGGATCCAGATGCCAAGAAGACAAAATTCTGGATCAGAAACGAAAAGTATATTGCAGAGGTGAATGATGGACCAGAAGTGAAGGAATTGCCTGCTTCGAGAGTGTTCATCCACCCTTCGTCGATGCTCTTTTCGAACTCGGCAACAGGCGCATCTATTCCTAACCTTGAAGACCTCACGCTCGAAGATGGATCCATTGACATGCAAAAAGCCAGAAAACAATTTGACTTGACGCCATCTGTGGGTCTGTCTTCAAAGTCCTTACACAAGTCACCTTTCGTGGTATACAATTCATCCAACTTCACATCCAAGCATTTCTTACGAGACATTACGCCTACGAGCACAATCACTGCATTGCTCTTTGGAGGAGATATTTCGTACGATATCAGTGGCCAACTCCACGCTTCAAAGAAGTGTCCAGGTATTGTATTAGACCGTTGGCAGCCAATCAGGACATGGTGCAAGAACGGTGTTTTGATAAAGAGATTAAGGCTTCTTTTGGATAAGGTGATCGACAACAAACTCTCAAACCCACTGTTTGAAAAATCCCACAATGCCGATGAAGAAATCATAGAGGTAGTCAAGAAGGTCTTGACTGTTGATACCAGGCAGAGATAGATATAGACAGGGTCCAATACTTACAGATTGAGTACCCACAAACATAATATAGATATCACGCAATTGGCGACCACGCCGTCACAACACCTTCCTTTCATCTTCATCATTCATCATTCAACTGTGGAAGTAAGACACTGTCTCAGGATGATCTCGTGACAGTATGCTTTTTAGCGGTTTCGCAGTTTTTTTGCAACCATTCGGAAAACCGTTGACGCGCAGAAGATAAAGAGTTGGACTTCGTTGATGAGCCAACAATAACAGTATAAAAAACGGACTATTTTTCAGATGACACAAAAATCTGAACCCTCTTTTTACCCAGTTTGTGCTTACTTATTCCATTTCCTTGGCTGTGTGGCGGTCACGTGCGCTGATCCAAACACCGACCGCATCGGCTGCGTCTTCTCTTATCGTGCTTACTAACCAATGAGCAAAACATAACATGGCCTGGAGCAACAAAAGCTAACGTTCTTTTCATCTTCCACTACAATATAAAAGCGTTTCTAGAGAATACCTTTTTTTTTTATATCATGTCCTTTCGAAATAGGAAAGATACCCAAGCGCTACTTCTGGATAGCTCAGATCAGAACTATGATACTATCCATCAAAGTCGCCAGCCCGAGGAAGGTGTGAATGAAGTTTCTATAAAGTCAGATCTGGATCTGGACCAGCTTGAAGAAGACCTTGAAGATCTACCGAAAGAGGTTAGGGAGACTGTTCCACTTACAGATGATCCAACTATCCCAGTGTTGACGTTCCGCTACTTCGTGCTACTGACAATTTTCATTATACCAGGTGCTTTTATAGATACGATAAACTCGTTCAGAACGACGTCGGCGGTTTATTCGATATTTTTCGTTCAGATCGCTTCACATTGGGCAGGCAAGTGGATGGCTCGTGTGTTGCCTGATAAGACAGTCAAGATAGGACCTTTATCTTTTTCACTTAACCCAGGCCCTTGGTCGATCAAGGAAACGGCCCTTGTAACTATTACAGCTAAATCGGGCGCTACAGGTAATTTGGCGACCAACGCCTTGGCTCTTTCAGAGCTCTTCTTTCACGTTAAAGTTCCGGCTTACGCCGCCATGCCATTCATGTGGGCCATAGTGTTTATTGGCTATTCATACGCAGCCATTGCCAAGCGAGTCGTCAGCTACGATCCAAGGTTTCCTTGGCCTCAGACTTTAATGCAAACGGCACTTTTGCAGAGCCAGGATAAAGCCGATAAGAAGAATAACTCCAGACGTATGAAAGTGTTCTTCTGGTGTGCTGGTACCCTCTGCTTATGGCAAATGCTTCCGGAGTATTTATTCCCCATGACATCTTCATTGGCAGTCTTGTGCTGGGCAGCTCCTACAGATCCCATTTTGAACTTCATTGGTTCTGGAATGGGAGGCATGGGGTTCCTTAATTTCACCCTAGACTGGGCCAACATCACTTCTGAGGTTATGCTTTATCCTTACTGGGTACAAGTAGTCCAGTTTATTGCATTTATCTGTGGAGCATGGATTCTATTGCCTTTGGCAAAATGGTCCAGCTTGTTTTCCTTCAAGTATGGTCTCATGTCGAACCGTCTCTTTACTTCAGATGGAGACTTGTACCCTACCGAGAAGTTGATCACGCCAGGCGGAGGCTTCAACTCAACAGCATACGAATACTACGGGCCAGTGAACCATGGCGCCCAAAGAGCATGGAATATGTTTTTTGATTACGCAGCTTACGTATCCGGCGTGGTATGGGTGGTGGTCTTTGGCTGGTCCAAGATTCGTTCTTCTTTTGGTCAAGGTGGAGTTTATAAAGACAGATTGAACAAGTTACACTCTGCTTATGCTGATGTACCATTGTCGTGGTATGGAGTTTTATTCGGTATTTCAATCTTGTCATTATTGCATGTTGCAAGAGCTGGCTACATCTTTATGCCATTCTGGACATGTGTGATTGCACTTTTCATCGGATCGATTATCGTCACACCTCTTATGTGGCTTTATGCGCTTTCAAACTTTCAGCTTCCAATCGGTACATTTAATGAGCTTTTGTACGGTTACTTGGTTCAAGATCTGTCACACAAGCACCCTGCTGGAGCAGCATTCTTTGGTTGTGTTGCTGGTAATGCTTGGTATAGATCACAGTTCCACTTGGAGCTGATGAAGCTAGGCTTCTACAACCATATCCCGCCCAAGTATGTCTTCCTTTCACAGATTTATGGCGAACTTATTGGTGTCCCGATCAATTACCTCAGTCTTCGATGGGTATTAGCATCAAAGTGGGATTACCTTGTGGGTAAGCTTAATGATCCATTGCATCAGTGGACAGCGCAAACGGTGATTACATACCACACGAATGCTATTCAGTATGTGATACTTGGTCCACGCCGTTTATTTGCAAACTATCCAGCTCTTCCGTATGGTTTCCTTGTGGGCCTTATAGTCCCAGCTGTGATATTCACTCTCCACAAGAGATTCCCCAACAGCATTTTCAAGTTTCATCTTTGGAACAGTACAGTGTTCTTTTCCACCATGAGTCATTTCTATGGAAACTTGTCCACAGGCTACCTCTCAAAGTTCCTTGGAGGCACTGTCACCATGTTCTACGCCTATAGGTATAAGCATAAGGTGTGGAAGAAGTACAACTACGTTGTTGCAGCAGCTCTCGACACAGGATTCAATTTATCCGTCAGCATAATCTTTATCTTGCTTTCCTTAGGTATTTCTGCACCTACATGGTATGGTAACAACCCCAATAGTGTGGAGCGGTGCTTCGCATTGGACTCATAAAAATCACCCCAAAGACATACACAGATAAAATGAAAGCATCAGGCTTCTATATAACGACTAATAATTACATAATACATTAAAAATTGACCAACTCTTTTAACCATTTAGAATCGAATGGGATTGTAAAAGTCGTCCTTGGTAGTAGTAGCTTACACCCGTGCACCATCAACTTATATCAACCTCACTTATAAACTTCTCAAACAAGCTTGTTACTAAGACTTAAGCTCCACACATCCAGAGATCCAAAGATGAGTCAGCCACCGACACAAGGCAACCCACAACAGGGTGGTCAAGGCGGACAAGGTCAGCAGATCATCCAACCTGCTCAGGCCACTAAACTTCTCAATGCTCTTAAGGAACTGCTTGATCAAGCAAAGAGGGCCACTGACCCACAAGTGTCCCAGCGCTGCTACCAGCGTGCTGAACACATCAAACAGATTCTTATGAACTACCAGAGGCAACAGAAAGCTGCTGCTGCTCGTGGCCAAGCCCAGGCTTCGGGATCTCCAGCTCCTCAAGGTGGACAAGCTCAGAGCCAGGGTCAGGGTCAAAGCCAGGGTCAAGGTCAGGCTGGTAATACTGCAGCAACTGGAGCATCTTTCAGTGGAAATGCTCAGTTGAACGCTCAGCAAAGAATGCAAGCTCAGAGCCAGAATGCTCAGCCTCAGGGCCAGTCTCCAGCTTTGGGTCAGCAACAACCATCACAACAACAGGTCCCTGGTCAGCAGATAAGAGGACCTGGTACAGCAGGACTGCCAGCTGCTGGAGCTGGAGGAGCGGCACCCCAGGGAACCAGACCAAACTCTCAGGTTACCCCAGAGAGATACCAGCAAGTCAGACAGAGAATCCAAGAGGTGGAGAGAAAGATCCAATCTTTGGAGGCTGCCAAGAGGGCCGAGCTTTCTCCAGAACAGACAGCACTGATTGATAATCAACTTAGTGAATGGAGAAACAAGTACGCTCAGTTCCAAAAGATTGCCAACTTTATCAGATCCCAGTTGGTTGAACAAGCTCGCCTGAACTCAGCTAACCAAGCCGGCACTAGCGCTGGAAGCATCGGTGCTGCTGGTAGCCCTGCCGCCTCTTCTGCCGGTGTGAATCTTCAGGGTCTGGCTTCAAGTCCAGTTCCAAGTGCTGCAGCTGCCGCGGCCGCTGCTCAAAATTCTGCTCAGAGAGCTTCTGTGACACAACCATCTATGGGTCCTTCTGGTTCTCCTCCGGCCAACCGCGCCGGATCCCCTGGGTCTTTGGGTAAAGCTGCAAGTGGATCTCCAGTGCCAGTACCTGGCGCTCCGACTCCAGGAGCAGGTGGTCCAAGTGCTCAAGGTGGTACTTCTAGTGCAATGGGCACCCCTGCTCCACAGGGAGCTGCCGCCGCTGCTGCTGCCAAAGGCAGAAGCACTTCTCCTCCTCCATCCGCTAAGGAACCAACGGTGCCTGGTGTGAATCTTTCTGGAATCACTAAACCTAGTGTTCCTTCAATGCCTATTCTGAATACCATCAACGTCAAACCTCCAGCGCCAGTGACGCTAAAACCAGGTGCCAACAATGTGCGTCCTACCTTAACTGGTGGCGGTGCCTCCGGCTTGGGTCAGATCATGGGCACTCCAGCTGTTATGAGAATGCCAACCTATGATATGGCTACCACCTCAGCTGCCACTCTTACTGATAATGGCGGGCGCGTGTTGACTAAGCGTAAGTTGAGCGAACTCATCAATACCATAGGCGCAGATGAAGGCGACGGAAGAACCACGATAGATGGTGATGTCGAGGAATTACTTTTGGATCTCGCGGACGAATTCATCTCTTCCGTTACTTCATTTGCATGCCGTTTGGCCAAACATAGAAAGACAGACTCTGTTGATGTCAGAGATGTACAATTACACCTTGAGCGCAACTGGAACATCCGTATTCCTGGCTATGCCATGGATGAGATCAGAAGCATGAGAAAATGGCAACCAAGCTCATCATACAACCAGAAGGTCTCTGGAGTTGAGATTGCCAAGGCTATTAATGGGAACATGAACTAATCGTGGCGGAACCGCTTGAAATTTATATACTTGTAAACAAATCTATTGCTTATTCTATAACCTTGTAAATTCCATTACTGACGCTTAAGACTGAAGCGTCTACCCAATACTTGAGAGCCTGAGTTGCAGCATACTCCGAAAGACCAGTTGACATTGTGATCAACGAAAGCGATAGACCATCATCTTCCTCATCAAATACTTCAATCACTGTGGCTTGAGTAGGTGTGACAGTGAAGCTCTTTAATTTTCCTTCAAATTCGAGGTCCAAAGTGACCGTGCCCAAGGACGGAAGAAGGTGAAGATCTCTACCCGGCTTCGCTTTGTTGAACAGCTCGGTGTACCTGGTAAACTTATCCTGGATTGGAACAGTAAACTTCTGTTCATTTTCTTGCTTTTGACCTATCGATGGCCAGTACATCTTGGACAAGATCGTCACTTCCATACCAGATTTGTTGAATTTCAGATTGAGTTCTTTACTGTCGTGTACATCCTTGATCATGACATCCAAAGCAGAAAACTCATTAGGACCAAACCTAGCCTTGAGAAGCGTAGTGACATGCTCGATGTCCTCGAGGCTGTATTTGTCCCACTGTAAAAGTCGTTCTCCAAATATGCTTGTGAGCTCCTCAGTGAATACCGAGGACAGCTCGTAGATAGAAACCAAAGCTTCCAATACATCCGATATTTTTCCTCTACGGAAATCAGGCAATGCATCAATTGGATCTGGGTTCCATTTGAGATCTGTCAAATCATCGATAGGCGCAGCAGATGGAGGCTGGTTTGCTTGTAACTCATGTGCCAATTCAACTAAAGGATTTGTATCTGGGTTCAAATCAAGCATTCCATTCACCACTTGTTGAACCAAATCAGGACGTGTGCTTAAGTACTGTCTTATAGGACGAACAACCTTGTCTAGTAAAACGCCTGTAGGATCAATCAAAAGGAATGCCTTGATAGTCTTCATATACGTTATGATCACGTCAGTTGTGTTGGTTCCCAGATGTAGAAGTCTCTGTCCACACTCATCAATAAAAACGTCAACGATCTTTGCACGGTGATGAGCTAAGGACTGGAAACGGTCAGCATCCAATGCCAAACATTCACGTAGCTCCTGTAATGCAACAAAACTGCTTGGATACAGAGATACCATACTGAAGATCTCCTTTACCCGAAGCAGCACTAACTCGTCTCTTGCTATCTGAACGAGATCGTTACTAGAAGCACATGCATATTTGGAACCACATCCTAGAGAAAATGATGGATAAAGCTCAAGTCTCAACCACTTCTCCAAATCATGGAGAACAGGTGAGCTCCATTGGCCACGGCAGACCGTACGCAAATGAGTACATATCTTAGCCACTGTGACCTTTACGACAATCTGTCGTAGCGTAGCATCCATTCCAATTGCCGAAAGAGTCTTCAATTTCACGGAAGGGCCATCAAAAAGAGAATCTCTAACATGGATCTCTAGTTGTTCAAGGAAATGCTGTTGCAGAAGGTACTTGGTAAACAATGCAAACAAACCTCTCAAGAAAGAGTCATTGGCCAATGCAGAAAGCTTCATATGCGTAAGTTGTTTGACGTAGAAAGAACGTAGCTGCCAAACAGTATCCAATGCAGTAAAGAGATCCTGATCTGGAGGAAACCGGTCAGTAAGGTCTAACCTTATCGAGTTGATCCACAACTTCATAAAGTCAAGCTGCTGCAGCTGTGTTCGAAGACACCTTCTTGTTGCTACTTTAGTCCTCGGCAGCGGTTCAGCCTGGCTTGGATCAATGGTCCCCTCATGAGAAGGTTGGAGCCAGTGGAGTAGCTGATCTAGATCATTCTCCAAGTCCTGGTGCAGCTCAGGATTGACATCTCGTAGCGTTTGCAGGGGAAATACCAGTGCAATGACCAGTTTGGAAAGCGTCGGTCTGGCCGACATGCTGATATGTGGAGGTGTTTGGGTAACAGGTAGTTGTAGGTATGGTTGATTGTTGATGTATATGCCAAGCGCGCTTTATGTATTGATGGAATGGTTGCAAAATGGCATACACTGTGGACTACTGATGAGTGGGGCAATGAAAGAGGGGTTTGAGCTGGATTGAAGAATAGGAGAGCACTTTGTTTCGCTTGAGTATTGTATTTTTTTTTTCTTTTTTTCTTTTATTCATTTTGGGTTGTGTTGGTGTAAGTGTTGCTTGGGCGTAGTACTACTGCTCAGTACCCAAGCTAGCCCCAATTATGACACTAACAGGGAACGTAAAGTTTCTAAAAGTACTTACTCTAGTATTTTATTTATGACAGATAAATAAATCATTCTGAAAGAAGCCCTTCTGAGGCGTTTAGTGCTATATCAACATACTACTCTGTAATGCACCTACAGAGACTAACCCACGTAACATAGTTACAGTCTAAGCATCAATTCAAGCCTCATTCTTCTTCTTTTTCGGTAGAGCATCACTTTGAATGATCTACCTAACTTCTTTACAAATCTTGAACTTTACTTCACTTAAGTAGCACCATTGAACGGGACGGTACCACACATTCAGCCATTCAGCCATTCAGCCATTCAGCCATTCGCAGCCAACCACACTGGGTATTCAAAGGACACCAACTTGCCATTGAACGGTCCCTATATAACTTAACTTTTCATTCAATTCCAACCTAAACACCTTCACCGTTCCATTTATCTCCCCTTTATATATATGTACAACCCACCACTGGTTCTCCTCGCCTAACTCGTTGGGTCCACCACGGCCGCGCACATAAATCTGATCGACTGCTAAACTCATCTTCCCACAAGCACTAATGGTATGTACCTCAATGCAAAGTTACCCCAAGAAATTATACTAACATGACAGGCTAGACTTCTGAAGACGAACGCCAAAGCCCAATTTGTGGATATCACCCATGCAAAGCCAGCAGTGGCAACACAGTTTCTTGAAGAGGCAGATTGGAACGTCGATAATGCATTGAGAGAGTACTACAACCAGAATCCCCCACAGGATCCAAAGGTTGGGGCTATTTTTGATAAGTATAGAAGCCCTGAAGATAAAGACATTATCCTGATTGACGGGACATTGGAATACTTGAGTGATTTGGGGTTTGATCCAGAGGAGCTCTTGAGTTTGACGCTTGCATATGTTTTAGAGAGTCCCCAGACGGGTGAGTTCCATAGAGATGCTTTTGTTCGTGTGTGGCTGACGCTATCGATAAACACTCTAGAAGGTATGCGCCAGCACGTTGTGCAGAAGCAAAAGGCCATGGATTCTTCCGTGGAGGAGTTTGAGCCGTTCTACCAGTTCGTGTTTGAATTTGTAAGGGGCTCAGATACACGGATCAAGGTCATTGGCTTTGAAGAGTCTGTTATTTATTGGCAAATGCTCTTGGATACTCGTTTCCCTGCTTCTAAAGAAAGACTACAGCAATGGTACGAGTTCATCGAGGAGACTAAGAAAAGCATCACAAGAGATTCATGGAACATGTTCTTTAAGTTTCTCGTGCAAGTTGTGGAAAAAGACCCATCATCCCTTTCAGCATACGACGAAGCAAGCGCATGGCCTTCTGTGGTCGACGAGTACATGGAATGGCTCGAGGAGAATGGAAAACTACAAACATCTGAAGATACGGCGATGATAAATTAATAGAAACGGAAACTGTTGCGCTCTGCGCGAGAATTGAATCGTTAATAGTGTACCTAATTGAGGAGCTTCTCTATGCTTGGTTTACGAAGCGAGAGTAACGTCTTCGAAGCATCTTCAAGCTTTCCGTCTTCGCTATTCTGGTCCTCGCTCACCTCATCCTCTGGTCCTATATGGGCTGTCATGTTGTTGGCCGGTACACGAGACTTGAAGTACATCCTCTTGGGAAACGAAGCTGCACCGTTGGTAGTGGTTTCGAGGTACTCTTCGTTGGTCGTGACTGGAACACTTGTGGGGATAGCAGGATCAGGAAGGACAAAAGAACCTCTCTTTGCATTCAGTTTGATTGGTATCGTGAATGGAGAAGTTGCGGAGGACACTGAACCTGATTTTGGTGGTGAGTTCAGATACAGAAAGGTCTTGTTAGCCAGTTCAAACTGGTCTGCCAGCTGGTACCTTCCAAAAGCTTTCTGCATCTGAAGGTGCTGCTGCAGAAGAGCACTCTTCTGATCGTTGGAGCACTTACTTAGAAGCGAAAGGATTGGTGTTATGTCTGGGGTCGAGTCAGGACTCGGGAGTTGTTCGCCGTCAGAGGAGGAGTCCCTAGACATGTACATCAGGTCGACGCGTTTCAAGGAGCCTTTCGTATTCTGAAGCACATCTAGCGAGGGACGTTGCTGCTGAGGTTCATCGTCTTCCTTGATCGAACCACAGACAGAGCCCAGTGGCTTGGGAGCCGAAGCAGCAAGATCTGAAAAGTGGAATTCCTTATCGATGTTTCTATACTGGTTAACATCAATTGGCACTTGCGTGTAGCTCGTGTCATAGGTATAATCTATCGGAGTCAGCTCTAAAAGCTCATGTTGTTTCTGGATAATATGGTGCAAGTACAAGATATACTCCACTGAAGACTTAAGGATAGTGAGCTTGTACATGCCATCGATCTTGGAGCTGTTGTTAGACGAAGCACCCTTCTTGGTACCGCCTTCGGTATTACGACAAGCTGGAATAATATACTTGAGGGCCTCAAACTCCCTGTTAATCTTGATTCGCCTGCGCTTCTCGATTATAGAGTGGAGCTGTTTTGTCTCGTTCTTCCTCCTGGCCAATTCGTCGTCGTCCACAAAAGAACTCGATCTTCTTCTCTTCTTTTTTGGTTGTTCTGCTGGAATAGCGTTCAACGAAGGGGACGACCCAGAAGACGCTGGGTTATACACATTATTAAGGATCTCATAATTATTATCCTCCGGATCGATATCCTTGTTAAGCTGGATAATGGTCGTTTTCAACGACGGTGGAGACGGCAAGTGCATGGTTGCAAAAAAAGCGGAAGATGTCTATAACTCTAACGCCAGAAAAGAAGAAAAATCTCTTCACTTGATATTCCCAAGCTTTCTTTCGTTGCAAGCGGCGCAGCATATATAAAGGCTGTAGGGACAAGGCGCTCGCGAGCATAAGCGAAATTAGTGCTGTTTGCAACCATTTGATGCACGTTTACTTCTCCCACGTTTTGCTCACACGAAGCCCACCTGGGCTGGTTCTCAGCAAGGGCCAGGAAAAAAGGGAAAAAAGATAAAAAGAAGAGCTTTTAAAGAGTGGCCTGTATAAAGCTACGTTCAGTGATTTGATTGGTCGAGTTTTATGAACTTTCCCTTCCAAATCTTTTTCCATATCGTGTTGGGATCTCCTTGTCTATTGCTCACACGACCAGGCAGTCTACGTCAACAAAAAAGGTCCCACATGTCTTGTGCGATACAGATAGGGAGGCAGAGAAGCATGGAAAAACAATTAATCACTGGCTGTGTGCAGGCCACACGTGGGGCACGTGTTAGCAATCCCAGTTTTCTGAAACACGGAGGACAAAATGGGGTGGGTGTTGTTTGGGGTGGTCAAAGGAGGGCTGTCTTGTTACGTTTATGAGGTTTTCGGATCGTTTTAGGTTTGTTTTTGGTGGTTTGGTGGTGGTGGTTCACCAGGTGGGTGCTGGAGGCTGTGCAGGAATGGCTGCGAAACAAGCTCTGGCCCTGGTCCACGAGCCAAGTTTAAGAAGCGTACAGACTCCTTGAAACACGTTGACACCAACTAAGGTCATAAGTATATTTAGCGTAATTAGAATAGTCGTACTTTTTTCTTTATTTCAGGCGGAGCGTCTATCTTGTCATATTAAGTTTAACTCAAAAGGTAGGACTTGAACAGCGACGCGTACTCGTCCATCACCTTCTTTCCGTCATTCTCCCACATCTCCATATCATCAACGTTAGCGATCGTAAGGTGGAGCCCACCCTTGGGCGTACTCACAACTGATAAGGTCAAGTGGGATGTAGACACACCTTGGGTAAAGATGATATCGGTGACTTCCCACTGACCTCTTGCGAACCTCTTGCATCCTATATTAGAGATCTCAAGACCACCACGAGCATCTGGGTTCTTGAGCTCGTCCTTAAACCAGTCCCAGATGTTCACCCAGCGAAGCATACCGGCAAACTTGAATGGATCACGCGAAGTCATGGCCTTGTCAAGCAGCTCTTTCAAGCTATCACCCACTTTCTTCACCGTGTTAAGCTCTTGAGGCACGAACGGTAATGTCTGGGACATGTAGAGACCAAAACGCAGCTGGATAGCATGCTCAGGTACAAATCGGCGTCCACAGAGCGCAATTGGCACGTTTAGGCTTCGGCCTTGATCTGGTTTATACCCCTGAAGAACATTAGCATAAGGTATCAAATAGTCTTGAGCGGCAGCATGAGCGCAAGCGCCAATGTAAGGGGTCAAAGTGAGACCGTTTTGTTTACATCGAGCCAAGAGCTGGGAAGTTTCTTGCGGTGTAAAAGCCAAAAGGCGGAACCCCAGGTGGTTGAACTTTTTAGGTCCCACGGGATTGAATACCGGGTAGCGATAAGTATTTGGAGTTGAAGACAGAAACAAGACCTGGAAAAAGTGAACGATGAAATGAGGCAAAAAGATCTCGAGAAGCAAGGTCTTGATCATGTAAAACGTAGGGGTGTCATACAACGGAGCAACCTTGTCCAGGGCAGGCTGGGGAGCAAGATTATCGGTTTCAGCATTGAACAACTGAGTACGGACAGTCTTTGGTAAATTCTTTTCCACCTCGTCGAAGCAGTAAAGAAGTTCGTCAAACACGTTAGCACCAGCGTTCCCATCAAAAAAGATGTGGTTACACACGAAAATGAGCGCCGAGGGTTCATTGTTGTTAAGCTTTAAGTTGTAGATCTTCCAAGTAGGTCTATCAACATCCAAAGGAAGTACTTCCGCTGCCAAGCTTTCAGCCAATTCCGAACCAAAGCTTCCAGCTTCCAATGGCTGGACCACTTGGTCGTAAGCGATCTTCAGAACCGATCTGACCACAAAGTTATCACCATTGTGTTGTCTGTCGCCTTCCTTGTGTCTAAAGAAATTAAGCGAAAATACTGGGTTTTTCAAGATCATAAGACGCAAAGCGTTCGACAAGAGAACATCATCGACAGGACGATTGAAGCGAGCTGCCAAACTGAAACCGTTGTTGCAGTAGCCCATCGAAAGCCGGCAAAGGTAGTACCGCTCAACAGGGCCAATTGGACGAGACATTAGGGGCTGCTCTTCACCAAGCGTGGATGAAGGCAATGTTTTATACGGGCCTGCCATAGTGAGCTGCTCCTTGGACTGGGGGGCCCCAGGGCTATAGTTGCACAAGGGATAATGGGGGCAAGCTGGCGGAAAATGCAGTGGCTGCGAAAAACGTAAAACGTAAAACAAGTAAAAAAATGTACAAGGTAAAATGTGAAAACGCAGTGAGTAGTAAGAATAGGAGACAATAGTGAGAAAACAGGCCTCAGATACAAGACCCAATCCACGAGGTCCAGGGCCAGGGCCAGGTCCAACCAGGTCTAGCCAGTCCCATAAAATAGAAAAACTATAAATTGGATTGACTTCCTCATCCCCATCCCCTTTTCTTTCACCGTTTCACTCCCATTTCATGTTCTACATTCCCAAGGCCATTCCTTCTGCACTGCTTGGCTGGAGCCTCGCTTTTCACACCCTCCAGGCAGCCACACCGGCCAAGGTGGACCCAAGCCGAGCGTAGCACAAAAACGGCCCCAGCGCAAATGTTCCGAGACATTCCCAGGCAGTCCCAGGGAGCCCAGGAAGATACAATAACACAAAGTAACCAGGGGTGACAGAAGAGGGAAAGAGAAGATGAAAAGAATGAGGTTTTTAGTGTTGTTTTGTGTTTTGTTATTTTTTGTTTGTTTTTTGTGTTGGCTTGGGAGTGGCTTGCTTCTTCTGCCTCTGCCTCTGCTCAGCTTCACCTGTCACTGCCTCGCAAGAGCACATTTTTTTTCACCGACGGGTTCCGCCCCGAATTTGCGTTTTCGCTTCCGCCTGCACTGTTTTAACCTTTCCATTTGGGTTGCGAAATTCGCAAAATACCTCGCTAAACCCTTTGTCTTTTGCATCCGCCAATGCGTTCCCGGAGGCTGGAATTTCTCTCGATATCATGTCTGGACGGCTACTTGCTAAAAAGTCAAAACTACCGTTTTGCCTTCTTTTTCTTTAACTTGGTAGATGTAGCCGGCTGGGACTTCCATGTCTGGTGCTGTTTACGACCTCTTGCCTGTAATGAATCATGCCTGTCGCCTTACGCACTTAGGGCCCTGCGTGAAAGTTTCGGTGCTTCTATTTTTTAATCGGCCCTCGTACTTGATTACCTTTTGACGACCCAGTCGAAACAGAAAAAACTCTTCGTCTACTTCTTCACCTTCTGCCTCTTCCCACCATGGCTAAGCTGGCGACTCGAAGAAGACACACAAACTCAAAGCTTGGCTGCGCCAACTGCAAGCGCAAGAAGATCCGCTGTGATGAAGTGCTACCGCAGTGTGAAAACTGCCAGAGGGCAAGGAGAGAAACATGCTCTTACTTGTCGTTGCTGAGTGCCGAGATTAATCGCATCAGGTTGACCCACTCCCTTAGAAACTCCCAGAATAAGCTTCTTTCGAGCAACTTCCGTCTTCCGACGTCTACCAACAACTCGTTTGAATGTCGTGATTTGATCCTGGAAGACCCAACAAAGGTGAAGCTGGAACATAGCTCGCTCGAGTTCAAGTTTGAGCTTTCTAAGTTCAAGAATAAGTTCCCTTCCCTGAGGTACTTGTCTATTCAGTTCCACAACACCTTTATGAATACCTTAGAGCTTGACTATAGACTGGACTCGGATGATCGCTCTCCCGACACCAACACTGTAGTGTCGGACCTCGGCTCTTCAGTTGATCTGGCTGTTGCTGTGAACGGTAAGGCTCTCCCTAATAGCATCCATCGCCCGACTCGTTTCCGCAAGATAGACCATCGTTCTGCCTTCGACAAGTCTATAAACAAAAGGAACCCCATGTGCGGTTTACTATGGGACTTCAACCCGAACGCTTTGTTTTCCGATATCTTTTTCATTTGCCAACGTTGTTTCAGTGCATCGCTACTGCTCCAGCGTGCTAGACAGAACTACGCATATGGCCGGCCAATCCCGCCTTCGACCATCACTTCTCTAGAATCAAAGTGTAACGCGGCAGTTAACGTCGTCAGACAGTTATTTCCTGAAGCTATGCGTACGTTTTGTGAAAACTTGGTCGTTGATATTCATTCTCTCAAGGAGATCAACAGACAGAGGTTTTACTTGGTTCTTGCTAACTGGCTCTGTGCATGTGGCCTCTCTGTGCTTGACTGCTCCATCCCTATAGTCTTTACCTTCCTTGTGGGCCAAAGTATCATCTTTGAAGAATATATTGGGTACACTTTGAAGCATAATCTGAAGCAAGGCGATGGTGTTCAGTGGCTTGGCTTCATGAAAGAGAATATTCTTTTCATCCATTTACCCCCATACGAACCCGCCTTTCTCTACGAGATGCGGTCTAATCTAGACGCTTTAAGGGTGGTTTTCGAAAGCCATTCTATTCCTTTCGAAGACCAGTCGGACGCTATTTATTTCCAAAGACTTAAGCACTATTGTTATCAGATGCTAGAGTTCCTCGATACACAAATTTTAAGTATCGTATACCTTTCCAGAAACGAACATTTCGTCACCACTTATCCTCCAACGGTGATGTATAACGCTGCAAGAAGATGGTGGTTCCTCATACCATCCAAATTCACCCATCACAACCCCAAAAGCCCCGTCCATGCATTCCTTGAAAATCTTACGTGTACGCTCAAAATCTACCGTGCCTCTATTTCAGTCGGCTTAGATGCTGTGTTCCCAACAGCCAGGTACCTTTTGTCACTTGGATTTGAGGATCCAACTTTCCAAGTTAAGGAACATTGCAGCGTCACGCGGCCTCACCCTAACGAATTCCATGATCCCAACCTAGCTGAATATTTATGGAGACATAACGTATATGCTCTTCGAATCTACGGTTTCTTCAAGTCTAGAGTCAAGTTGTTCAAGAACAACGTCATTTGGAAAGGACCTTTCAGTGACTTGAACTCGAATAACAGATTCAGTGCTAGACACGTGAAGAACGCTCTTGAAATCCCTATTAGAAGTTTCAATAACGTTGCTTTACGCCCTGAGCATTACGCTCGCCAGATTCATGGACACTACGATTCGATTCTTAAAGATCCTTCTGCTTCTGCTGTTTTCACACGTCCTGACGAACCACAACTTGATCTCAGTCAGAGATACGATCAGTTCGATGTCTTTGACTACAGTCGGGATGTTCAGCTCAAGGACGATTTCTCGTGCCAATTCGATTATTCACCTGTCATTCAAGATTATGTCGAAGAACAGGAATATTCCGTCGAAGACTTGAAGACATACTTCGAAGACCGTAAAGGTATTCTTCAAGGCATCTTCTAATACCACATTACCACATCACCATACATTGCATCCCCCTCCATCATGTTATTACTAGTCATCACATCCATGTGCTCTACGGTCTGGTAGTTGAATCTACTGGGCTTCTTGTCTATAAGAGCACTATGCATATTTAATAAGAGCAAATTTACGACCCACTAGATTGTAGTACACAACCGAGCTTTTCAAAATTCATAAAAAAATCGAAATCCCAAAAAAGCTTGCCCTAAATATCCTGAAAATTGGTTATACCCTTTGATACACCCGTACATCCCTATACACTAAACCGCCAGTACCATGGCATCGCGATATGCATAGTATATATCAAGAGTCAACCACCTACCCTCTTTATACATACATCCTCCCATGAGCAGAATCATAATACCCGGAGACTCCTTATCTTCTGAGATACCGCAGGATGGTGAGATCACCATTGGTCCAGGTATCTATAAAGTCCCCCAGACGCAACAAATTATTCCTCAACAAGCAGGATACCTCAAGTCGATTGGCAAAAAAAGCTCTCCAGATAAACTTGTATATATTGATGCTAACTCGAAGAGATACACGCCGCAAGTTAATGATTTTGTTGTTGGTGTTGTTTCAGGCGTTTACGGTGACTTTTTCAAGATCTCCCTACAAGACTATTCCCAGCAAGTACAGCTTTCCATGATGGCTTTCCCTAATGCAAGCAAGAAGAACCGTCCTAATCTTAAGCTTGGCCAGGCTGTTTACGCTAGAGTCAGCGAAGCCAACCCAGAAATCGATGTTGAAATCGAGTGCATAGACCCAGAAACAGGTAAAGAAGGTGGCTTTGGTCCGCTAGATGAAAGTGGATTCTTGTTTGAAGTGAATTTGAATTTTGCTAGAGAGTTGCTTTTCAACAAGAGCAGTATCTTCTTGGAGAAGCTTGCTGCCAAGTGTGCATTCGAGATTGCTATTGGAATCAATGGTAGAATCTGGATAAAGGTTGGAGAAGGACTCACATACAAAGGAAAAGAAACGAAAGAAGGAGAAGATGTGGACATGGATCAGCCAGAAGCCACCGTCAAAGACATGAGACTCACAATTGCAGCTGCCAAGTACCTACAAGCATGTCAGCGTGCAAAGAAAGAAGACGCAGATGCCGAACTCAAGAAGGCATTCAAGGGCACAGGTGGTCTTTAGATAGATAAACAGAAGGTAATATCATATAATAATGTAGGCTTACAAGTAGACGTGCTTCTCTCCCAGTGTTAACTATGGCGGTTAATGGCTGCGAGGTGGTGAAAAAATCCACGATGATCATCACCTAGCCTACCATCTATAGAACCCATAGACATGCCCCAAACTCCAGAACAAGTACTCGCCAATAACAGGCGAAAAATAGAAAAGGATAAAAGAAGGTTGGTCTACCATGACTTGCAAGTGCAAGGCACAAACAATTCATCCATTGTATCTAAACGGTCTGTTGAGGCTATCTACAATCCAATACTCGAGCCTGGTCTGAAGGAATGGATCAAGCACTTTGTACCCAAAGCCAAAAGAAGGTCTCCTGCTATTAATAGAGGCTACTGGATAAGAATGGAGTCTATCAAGCAGATGATTCTTCGTATACGACAGAAGTACGCTGAGGTAGATGCTCCAGTGCGTATAGTCAACCTTGGTTGTGGGTTTGATACGCTTCCATTCCAGTTTTTGGAGACGCAGCAAGGAAAATACGAGTTTTATGATTTTGATTACCCTGAACTAGTACAGAGGAAGCTTGCTGTTATTAAAGAATCTGAGGAGATCCTACTGGTCATTGGTAGTCCGAATGAGCTTACTCCAGTGCAGAAGGATATGGGTATCACTATGGCCACAGACACATACAAGCTAGTAGGATGTGATTTGAAGGATACAAAGCTTTACCAGAAACAACTTGAATCGCTATTGCCCAGCTCGAAGGGCGCCGCTACTATATTTATTGCAGAGGTGTCGTTGGCATACATGAAGCCAGAAGATGCTAACCCTGTGATCGAGATTTCCTCTACAGTTGATAACTCCCATTTCCTTGTTTTGGAGCAAATCATGCCTTCTGGCCCACACCACTTCTTTGCCGAGAAGATGCTCTACCACTTCAGCCATCTCCGTTCTCCACTTCAGTGTGTGGAGACATACAGCACTAAAGAAAAGCAAACGGAGAGGTTCGCCCAGTACTTCTCAAATGTCGAGATCAGAGACTTATTTGAGTGTTGGAAAGACCTAGTGGATAAAGAAAAGAAGAAGCTCGTGGACGAAGTGGAAGCGTTCGATGAGTGGGAAGAGTTCATTGTATTCTGCCAGCACTACGTTGTAATCCATGCAACGAACTCTAAACACCTTGTTTTCCGTGATACAGTGACTGCTGAGCCTCTAACGGGCTTTAACGAGAATGTCGATCTCTCGTATCAAGCTTTAAATGGAATAGAACTTAAATTCCCAGGTGCCTGCGAAGATGGCCAAGGCAAGCATCTCGTCTTTGGAGGGATGTTCCAGAGCAGAGAAAACGAGATTTTCGAAATCAATGACGGTTCTAGAAAACCGGTGGGTGATCCTTCACTGCAGAAACCATCTGCCAGGATGTGCCACACGTTCACAAACGTTGGAGATGGTTTGGCCATGATGGCAGGAGGACGTAGCCGTCCTGGGCTTGCATCAGACGACATTTGGGTCTACGATCTCAACAAGTTAGTTTGGAAGCAATCTGGAGAATTACCTGTACCCATGTACCGCCACAGTGCTGTTTGCACTGGCGTTGGTGAGTTATTAGTGTTTGGAGAAGGCCAGTTTACCAAATACGACGATGGGGCTCCCAGTCTTAACCTTTCAGTGGTGGGCAACGTACCATCGCTCAAAAGCTGTGCCATGACCTACGACTCCCAGACGCAAACGGGGTACATTGTGGGAGGAATGGTCGACCATCTTGAGCCATTCATCAACAACCAAGTGTACAGATACAGCCTAAACGAAACCCAGGTCACTGTCGAGCCCGTTTTCCAATCTGAGCATCTTGCCCGTGTTGGGTGCAACGCTATCCAAAAAGACCATCTCTTGGTGGTGATTGGTGGAGCTGGGCTGGCCCTTCAAGACCAGGATACTACCATAGTGGTTATCAACACCACCACCTGGAGCCTTGAAAAAGTACATATCCCAGACGACGTCTGGAAAACCGCCCCTGTCTTTATCGGATCTGCTCTCTCCAAAAACACCATCTTGGTCGGCGGCGCCGTGTGCTACTCTTTTGGCAGCGCCTATAGTGGCCAGTACGAGGTGGTGTTCAAGTGAGACAATGGCTGCAAAATACACCTCCACGATCGGTGCAAAGTCGCGCTGCGGCGGCCGTGCCCTGCCAATTCCACCTCGATGCACCTCCAACTGAAATACCTCCCACGAGGATCCCCCCAATCCCAAGGTTACTCTCCATCCACAAATCTTTATCCGAGATTCCCGTTTATTTACCGCACGTCGATCTTTATCCATGCCTCGGTCTTTTAGCTTTGGCTCTGCCTCGGCCCAACAAAAAACTGTACCATCACCAGACTTAGATCTAACCTCACGCCATGCCGGCCAGTCCGAGCAGTCCGAGCGCTCCCGAGAGGTTTGCTTTTCTTTTCGCAGCCAGCAACTAAAGCAACTGAACCGCCACAGATGAAGCATGAGAGGGGCCATCCACCGAAGTAGTTATGACAGACGACTCATTTCTTTTCTTTCTTTTTTTATTTCTTTGATTTCGGTTCCGGTTGAATCCTTGACGTATTCGTTTTTGTACCTTTATTTGCTGTATCCTCGTAATGAACGGTATGTGGGTGTGTCTGGGCGGCGGCCGCACTAGCCTCTATCTAAGGGGGACCCTTGGGCTCGGACCTGCCTGAGCGATTCTTTCCCGTATAACCCTAATTTTCCTTCAGCGGCAGTGCTGCAACCATACCCTTGGGCCCAAGTTCCCCTGGACGCTAGTCTGTCATTGCATCACTTTCTCTCACCATCTTTGCCAAATGACCACTCTAGGTGCTGCTGCTTCCGACAGCCACCTCGGCCCACCGGCCCCAGATATATCAGACAAGCCTTTGGGTTCTTACCCATCTCCCCCATTGAATGGCGCTACTCCCACCAACGACAAGAACAACCATCATCAAGACATGTCTGCTCAGTCTGAGATCCTTAATGCCACTGATCCACATCCATACTCTGCCCCGGCGGTCGATGGCTACTTCCGCCCTTCCCATGCTGCTTACTCAAGCCACTCGCCTGCTTCCACCAAGCTGAATTCGCTACTGTCTGACTCTTCTGATGATGTCCCGCTTTCCATGAGGTTTATGCATAAACCTCTGCGTTCGGGCGATCAGTTGAGGAAAGCTAGCGACCCTACAAGACGTAACTCCTTGATCAACGCTCATATCGATGATTCCAACTTGAACGAGTGCTCGTCTCCTAACCATCTGCGCCTGGCTTCTATGGATGGAGCTCCCTACCGTTTGGTCAGGAAGAAACTGGGCGAGATTGTCAAGAGTCTGTTGAAGGAAGGCTGTTCTACGCATCGCTCAAAGTCGCTCCCTTCGACTCCGTCGTTTAAGCTGGTTCATTTCGGTAGCGATGCAGATATACGTTATTTCTCCAAGAAGGATAGACCCACAGCTATCCTGGCTCAGAACTCTCCTGCTCTTGGACCTGAAGATGATGACATTAGCGGCGACGACGATGAAGACGAAGACTACTTGGCTCGTGCCCAAAAGGAATTCGATTACTTCGATGATGAGTTGAACTCTCACGCAGAATCTTTTACGCCCTCGTCTGGCCCCCAGAAAGCTAGCGGTATCACGAAGTACCCAGCGCCTCATCATGGTCGTCTTATAGACTGGGATGTCAATGTCACCAACTTCCCTACTACCCTGCTTCATGACCGTATTACTAGCATTCGGCCGCCAGTGTTTCTCGAGAGAGTATTTGTCTCCATTGATAAACGCTTCCTTTTGGGCCATATTGCCGTCAGCAACATCACCTACGAAAAATCTGTCACCGTGCGTTATACCTTGGATAACTGGGCTACAATCGTCGAGATACCAACCATATACGTACCCGATATTCCAGCATCATTGCGCAAGCATAATTACGACAGGTTTGTTTTCAAGATTCCACTCGATTCCATGTTTAATTCCTTCCACATGGGCGACGAATCGAATTTCCTGTTCAGCCGTGAACATCAAAAAATTTACCATTTATGCATCCGCTACTCATTGCCTGGCCATGAATTCTGGGACAATAATGGCGGGAAGGATTATCTGATCAAAATCAAAAAGACGATTCGCTCAAGCGAGCAACTGGCTGGTCCAGATTTCGTCTCTGATGATAAGAAGAAACAGACTCCACGTCTCCGTGGAGGTGGGCTGGTACTTCCTAAGACTGCTCGTTCCAAACCAGAAGCGCACAGTCAGAGGCCAAAGTATTCGTCTCACTACATGAAGCGGTTCCATTCCGAGCCCAACTTAAATGCACCCAAATCGGAATCGAAGAAGGAGAATAAATCTAATGACCATAACGATTTCGAGAATAACAACTTCTACCTTTCTTCGCCTTTATTCACGAGTATCAAAAACAATCGCAGCGATGCACTTTGCGAGGATCAAGACAACCTCAAAGATGCTTCTTTGCAACGTGATCTACTGAATGCAAGGCTGAAAGACAACAAGAAGGAATTCTCGAACATCCCTCGAGACTTGGCATCACGCGAAGATATCCCCACTGATTCAAGCTCGACTGCGGGATCGCCTTCACCTATGGAGGGTATTCTTCCTTCTCGTCCTTTGCATGGAAGTCCTGCCGTGAACGGTTTTTCTGATGGCTTCGATAGCCTCATGGACCTGAAATCCTACAAGGAACTCTTAGAGTCCTACTGCTTCTTCACCACCCCCTCACAACACCTTTGTCCAAATTCACCTCAGCATCATGAGAATTTGTCTCATGTGGATCCGAAGGATACGGGACCTGATAGATCTTTGGATCCTGACAATGCATTTACCGTGTCATCCTTTTTGCGAAAGTAACTTTGTTCTATTTGTTCAAGAGCAAAGCGTTCCTACGGTTTCAACTATCTCCTTTTTCTATAGTTGTAAATAGGTTTGCATTCTTTAATTCTTGCTATAGTTTTGCAATGTTATCGATTAATTTATACCCAAATATATTATCATAAAAAATAAACATGACTTTCTATGATGTTTCGAAATAAAACCATCCTCAACTAGTGAAATTATACATCTTGATCATTCCGTTCTCGAGGCCCGCCACAAAGTTATTACTCGACAAACCGACGCAGCTCACGCTGGCATTGTTACCGAAAGTGTGTAAGCACTTACCGTCTTGTAGATCCCAAACTTTAACCAACCTGTCGTGAGCTCCACTGACAATTCTGAAAGTGTCTGCGCTGATAGACCAGACTCCTTCAATATGGCCAAACTGAGTTCTTACGCATTTTCCAGTCTTCACATCCCACAACTTAATGGTGTTGTCTAAGGATGAGGTCAAAAGATGTGTTGGGTAATCCTGTCCCTCTGCAAGTTCCGGCAAAGGTTCAGGAGCCAGACTTGGCAGAGACGATGACCCGTGTTGACTTTGGTGGTGTGTTTGTTGTTCGTATTGATGCTGCTGATGACGCAAATGATTGCCAGTGTTATCCGAGTCGCTTTCATTTTCGTCTTCAATCAAGTCACCACTGACATATTTGAAAGGAATTACTGTCTCGACTTGGCCAACATGCCCGTTATTCTCTATACCTCCAAATACTCGAAGGCATTGGTTGTTTCTCAAATCCCACATCTTCACCGTAGTGTCATCAGAAGCACTGAAGACAGTATTCGATGGCTCGTGAATCTTGACGCAGTTCACACAATCGCTATGTCCACGTAACGTAAAGCAGGTTCTGGAGTCAACATGCCAAACCTTAACAGTGCAATCGGCAGATCCCGAGACAATAGTTTTGCCAGAAAAGTCCACACTCGACACGGCGTCTTCATGGCCTCTATACGTAGCGATGCAATTTCCAGAGTGGTAGTTCCACACTTTAACAGTAGAGTCTAATCCACCGGTAAACAATTTCTGAGAGTCGAAAGCCAAGGCACGGACACCCTTAGAGTGGCCCGTCAATGTCCTTATGCATTCGCCAGTATCAACATTCCACACTTTGATAGTAGCATCATAGGAACCTGATATAAGATATTTTCTGTTGAACTGAAGACAAGTGATACCATCTTTATGGCCCTGGAAAGTTTTGAGCACATAACTTCCGTTTCTCCAATTCTTCTCCAACTGGTATCTTTCACTGTAAACCGATTTCCAAGGTCTCTTTTTACATTCTGTTTTTCTGCGTTTTTCACCACCTGGACTCTCATCATCGTTGTTGTATTCACGAGCTCTCTTCATGTGCATGAGAGGAAGACCCCAGCCACAGTTAGGACACTTTCTATCGATATGCTGTTCACACATGTGATGCCAGACACGATCATCGTCAGCGAGTTCCTTCCACTTTCTCGAAACCTGTGCTGCATTACATAAAGACTTGCAGTCCAAGTAGCATAGAATTTTCAAGGAGATCTCCACAGGAAGGGTAGCAATAAAATCAATACGAATAAGCTGGCTGATCTCTTGGGAAATAGTGGAAAGCTGAGGGAAACAGCACTGTGTAAGCAAACCCCGAAGGATCAAGCTTCTATGGGAGTGTGGAGCAGCGGAGAAAATCGACCACACATGCGAGATGGCTTCCTGATCTCTGGAAGGTAGCTTTTCAAGCTCTTGTTGGATGTTCTTCATTTTTGCTGCATCGGCTTGTTTATTACACATGATCTCTGGGTTATGTCTGTAGCAATACTTGTGGAAATTGTCAGATGGGATATTATTATGGTCGGCAATGTGTTTCGCCAAGAAGGGCGTCACCACCAGCATTTCTTCAGTAGCGGGAACTGGAGGCAGCAAAGACCCCTTAGGATCTTCTGGCTGGGGAGTAATTTCAGCTGTGGACTCCAGCCATCCACTCTGTCGTATGGATAGTTGATTTTCCGCTTTTGGAGCTTTCGTCGTACGTGAAAGGCCCTTGTTAAGAATCAAGTCGAAGTGCTTTGTCGTTTCCTCTGAGTCGTCAGAGGAACACACGTCATGGAGATTCATGCTTTATAGGAATAAAAAGGGTATGTAAGCGTAGACTGAAACGACAGAAAGGAGGAGGTAAGTGTGGTTATTGTGGCTCTAACCGTTTCTTTGCCTTAGACGAAGGACTGCGCGGACCCTGGGGAAGAAGCTAGGCAAAAGGACGACAAGCCGAGGAACACAGAAAACCGCAAGCTGCAGAAGATAAAGGAGAGAAGAGCCTAATTTAATTATATTATAAAACGTTTACGGTAAAGATATTGGCTTCTTCTACGGTATGACTAATTTGAGTGTTGGACAGTCACGTGGAGTCAGATCACAACGGTTTCGTGGCAGCCGCAAGATCTCTGGTGAAGTAACCCATTCAGCATGGCTGCGGAAAAAGGTCCCAGTGTGATGAGCAAAAGAGGCAATGGGGAAGTTGTAGGGGTTGATTTTGGGGTCGTTTGAGAGAGTAGGAAAATACTTTCAGGGCCTTTGGATTTGGTTTTGGACTTTTTTAAATTTTGTTTTCTTTGTAAGTTTTAGGGGATTCTACTTTTTGAGTAATAGTGCTGGTTTTCAGTAATGGCTGCAAATGGGTCTACGTAAGAAAGAAGCATTCATTAAAAATCGAAAAGTGCATAAAAACGTGTCAGAATAGCACCATAACATAAGAATTTGTCAATAAAGTAATTTCTTTTTGGAAAATTGAGCAGATTCTTGAAATTGAAGAAACTTACCATGGTGGTATCTAAGCCTTCTCTATGACTGGGGCATGCAATAAGAGACCAGCCCATGCCGATTGCCACCAGATCCACAGTTAGCCAAGGATACTTTCATTAAGACTGACCCCTTATATCAGCATAAAAGAGCTTTCTGGAAATAAAATCAGACTACTTTTTGAAAGTAACGTCTATGGCCTTCTACTGCGCTCTATGATACTACAGGTGGTCAGTCATTCATAGGTTGAGATCAACACGCCAACTTTTGAAACAAAAAATAGCACGTTTCGACAAACGAAAAAAGGATAAATCTAATCCAGTAATTCTCTCCTTCCCTTATAGTTTCATGAGCTCCTTGATGTGAACCATCTTAGTGGGCTCTATGTATGGGGCTTACAATGGCTGCGAAATGAGCCCAGCAGACCACATCCCACCAAGACGTTAAAAGTACCGAATGATGCAAAATAAGCATGCTAGCACATAATGACCGGAATGCAAGAGAAGAATGACTAATATGTTATTACGACCGAATATGGCCCCATACTTGTCGCTGACTAAGAAGCTTCTGCCCTGCATTCAGGCAGGATGAGAAGAGCATCGACTGGAAAAATCTCTAGCTTCGAGAACCTTCAATGAAGAGACACGAAGATACTTCTATACCGCTGTCGTCTGAAGACAAAAGACCAAGACTAGACATGCCTGAGAACACAGAAAACCAGGAGAACTTTACCAATGTCGGTGACCAGGTCGCCTCTGTCTCCCAAACTGGTGTTGCCGATGCTCAGGGTCACCCAGTCCAGGAGGTGGAGTCCATGTGTATGAGATGCCACAAGAACGGTTGTACCAGAATGTTGTTGACCAAGATCCCATTCTTCCGTGAGATCATTGTGATGTCTTTCGCTTGTCCTCACTGTGGTTTCAGAAACTCCGAGATCCAGGCTGCTGCTCAGATTGCGGAGAAGGGCTCTCGTTACAACTTCAAGATTGAGTCTAAGGAAGACTTCTCCAGACAAGTGGTCAAGTCCGAGACTGCTACCTGTACTTTCAGTGAGTTGGAGCTTGAGATTCCTCCAGAGCGTGGCCAGTTGACCAACATCGAGGGTCTCCTTACAGAGATGATCAGCAACTTGGAATTGGACCAGGAGGCCCGTAAGGAAGCTCAGCCTGAAGTTTACGAGAAGATTAATGAGTTCATTGCTAAGGTGAGATCTTGCCTCGAAGGTGAGAACTTGCCGCTCACATTCTACGTTGACGACCCTGCTGGTAACTCTTGGGTTGAATACTTGCCTGGCCAGGCTGCTCACAAGTGGTCCATGTACGAATACAATAGAACCGCTGAACAGAACGTCTTCTTGGGATTGATTTCCGCTGATGACGTTGCTCAGCATAGATTGGCTGAACTGAATAAGAAGAAGGATGCTACCGATCAGAATGTGTCCTCTTCTTTGAAGAACGATGAATCTAAACAACCTACAGCATCCGGTTTTGCTGCTGAAAGTGAGATCGAGAACTTCGAAAATGAGGTTCAGACATTCCATGCCACTTGTTCGGCCTGCTCCAACCCTTGTGAGACCCATATGAAGACAGTCAACATCCCTCATTTCAAGGATGTCATCATCATGGCCACCGTCTGTGACAATTGTGGCTACAAGTCCAACGAAGTTAAGACTGGTGGAGCAATCCCAGAGAAGGGTAGAAAGATCACTCTTAAGATCACTGATCCTGAGGACTTGGCCAGAGATATTTTGAAGTCCGAGACCTGTGGTTTGAGAATTCCTGAATTGAACTTGGACTTGACTCCAGGTACATTGGGTGGAAGATTTACCACCATCGAAGGTTTGTTGACTCAGGTCTACGAAGAATTGCACTCCAGAGTGTTCACACAAACCTCTGACTCCATGGACGAAGAGACTAAGCAAAGATGGACTTCTTTCTTCGCCAAATTGCAAGACGCTAACGAAGGTAAGATTGGCTTCACCATTAACATGGAAGATCCATTGGCTTCTTCTTACATTCAAAACGTGTACGCTCCAGACAACGATCCAAACATGTTGATCGAAGACTACGAGAGAACTCATGAACAGAATGAGGATTTGGGTTTGAACGACATGAAAGCTGATTAGGATCAGATCAATGGGCGATTTGTAATATAGTATAACGGTAATGCGATTTTGATATTTCTATGTAATTTTTTCTATGTTGACTTCTTGTCGTCATGACTGGTGAAGGAGTGTTCCAGCCCACCATAACTAGATGCTCGGCGTGAAACATCTTTATTGGAAGATGACCCTCTGCTGGTGACTTCTCTATAAGCGTCGGCCCAACTACTGTTCTCCAAAGTTTCTCCAATGGTCGATAAGTCAACCACAGAAAGGTTGCTTCTTTCGTCGCCAGTAGCCTCCCATGGTGGCAGCCTGCCTGATGGATTAAGCAGCGGACCAGAATGCACATCATCAAACGGCAGATGCAATGATTCATGCTCATGGCCAAACTTCTCCATTCCCTTCAAAAGATGGACTGGTGACTTGGGTATATAATAGTCACTCTTCCTTGCCTTAGCTTTGTTCTCCTTACTCAAAGGTACGGTTTCGGTATCAGAATAGGATTCATCTTCGGTTTCTGAAACACTGACTTCATCATGCTCTTCTAATGGTTCCTTAGAAGTATTCTCCTCGTTAGCAAAGTAGCTTGCCCTCTTGAGCTCTGTGTCGAAACCGATATTAGTATCTCTAACACCATGTCTCTGATTCTCGACATACTTCCAGCGACATGTGAAGGCAGCAATGGTCTCATAAACTCTCTTGAGCTTCATTCTCTTTTCAAGTTTTTGATAGAAGAGTCTTCTATCCAAGAAGTCCAAGAGAATAAGACATTGGCCAGCATCAAATGAGTTATAGAGAGGGATCTGGAGGAGGATCCTGGTGAAAGAAATACCAGGTTCCTCATGGATCTCCATATTCATAATAGCTTCCTCCAAGAACCTTTCGTATTCCTTTCTTCTTTCTTGAATCTTGGGAATGTCCATTTGATCGGTAACTTTTTCAACCTCCTCATAATTCACAGAAACATCATAAGGATCATGGGGGTTATTTCTCCGTATCCATCTATGACAGAGCTCAGGAATAGACAAGTCACCAGAATAGAAACGGAAACTTAAAGATCCCGTGAGAGAGTGCAAAAACTTAGGTAAGTCGTATGGCTTTATAAATCCTGTTCCATTTGGATCAAACTTCTGCCATGCTCTCTTAAACTTTCTGACTTCCTCTCGACTAATCAAATCAATGTAGTCAGATCCGGAATTGATGTAACTGAAACTGTCCAAAATAAGCGAGACGAAAAGGTTTAGGAAGATGTACATCGAGATGACATTCCATGACATGAACAAAATGTATGCGTATTGCTGACTACCGCAATCCAGATCATCAATGGTTTGATCAGCAGTACACCATGGTGATTCAACGATAAAATCACTCATAATGTCGTTCCATCCTTCTCCGAAAGAACACCTGAATAAAAGGATCAATGCTTTTGGCACGGAACGCAAATTAATGTTCCCGGTTGTATTAGGGCCTGTCTTAGTCATACCAAAGATCTGGTTCATTGCAATAGCGTAAACCATAAAGACGACAAACCAGGTAAAAATCAAGGATGCCAAAGATGGGAAAGATGCTGAAGCAAATCGTAAAAGCTGTGAAAGCTTGTTACTTCTGGGAAAGACAAAGATAAGCATCGCGACCAAAAATAACTTGTTAAAGTTGATGAAAACCGAGCCCGAATCAATAGGGAAGGACAAGATAGTGGTGACGAAGGCTCCAATCGAAACAAACGCTTGGAAAATATTCCATTTGTTAGCAGCAAAACTCTTGTAACCGAGCGCGTAGGCCAACATAACAGAATTTAACATGAATATCGACGATGAGATCATCAAAATAACGTAACGAGCAAGATTCAAGCCATCAACCTCAGGGAAGGTTTCCAGTAGCAAGGCCACAACATGAAGAAAGAGACAAGTACTCATGATCTGCCACCAAACATTATGCTTTTCAACAGCTAGGTTATAACAAATCTTTTTAATGCCCGAAAGGGAGGACACATCTTTTCTTTTAGATGGGCGGACCTGCTTCAAAAACTTCTTGACTTGGTACCACTGAATTTGGCTCTTTGTAAGGTAAGCCCTACCTGTCACTCTGGAATAATTGTCGATGATAACAGAAACGAATAATGTCAAGATAAAGACGATAGATACGTTGTTGAAAAGAATCACAAAGACACCATTGAATGGCGAAGCAAAAAGTTCTGGAGGAGTTCCCTCACCTGTACTCGACATGGCTTGCATGAGCAATTCTGTCCAACCCTCCAAAGAGACAATTTGATAAAGCGTAGAAATCGAAGTGGAAAAGTCATTGAAATTGAGGAATGGTTCCACATATGCATTTGGCGAGATAACTTGCCAATCATACACTTTATTAGCAAACTCGTTAATACATTCGTAGTCATGAAGATCATCGTCAGTACAAGTTCCAAGTTTACCGTTGAAGATATTGAGACCCCAAAGTGAGAATGGAAAGAGCAAGGTAATGGATATAAGTGCAGCACTTAAAATCTTACCAAAGCCGGATATCATAGTGAAGTGAAAGTTACTCTTTGCTCGCTCTGAAATTGTCAACAATCTTAGAGCTCTCAATGCTTTCAAACCACGAACAATTCTGGACAAATGCCCATCATTTTTGAGTACAGATATGAACTCAATCCACAAAGATGTCAAGGCAATGAAATCAATCCAGTTCCATGACGATCTCATGTAAGCATTAGGGGTGAAGATAATACCATCGGCAGTTATCTTAATCAACAATTCGGAAGTAAAAATACCGATGAAACATGCATCAACATAGAATGTCCAATTCCACTTTCCTTGATCATTCATGATGTCTCTCCTAAACAATGGCGTCAAGACACACGTCGTCACGACAATTCCAACTGTTGAAAGAAACATAAAGCCGATAAAGAGTTCACCGACAGTTTTGTTAGGCTCCACTCCATCAATTCTCTCACCGTGACTGGAAAATACAAGCCTTTGACAAGCCCTTCTTAATCTATGACGAGGGCCTAACATGTAGAAGACAGTGTTAAACATCGGATTCTCTCTCAAGTACTTGTCTTGCTGATTGACCAATTGATTTCTTTCGCTTATAACATTTCTAGCGAACTGGGCTGGATCAAAGCTTTCGAGCGGGGTAGTTTTCTTTCGAACTAGGTAAAATGGATTCCGGATAAGATCGGTTACACGTGTGAGGTTAACAGTAAACCATCTTTGTACTGGATTCTTTGGAAGCGGGCGCATTTCTTCGTTGTCCCCATCCTCAGGCTCGATATCTTTTTCCAAGAATTCATTGACAGCAGTACCACTCAATAAGAGGTTCGTTATCGCCCTTTCAACATTCTTATCATCCTTTCTCCTGAACACCTTTTGTTTCATTTTCGACAATAGACCGGTTTCATGCGTCACACTTTGAAGCCGTTTTGTCATGTCTTCGATGAATTGCAAAAGCTGTTGCTTACGTTTGCCTTCTTCGGAAACTTCCAAAGTCCTTGCGATGACGGCAATGAAAATACCCAAAATAACAGTATTGGATATGACGAACCAAATGTACAAGAAAACTGTTCCAAAAGCCCTCAGGGCAACAGATTTTGCGTGTTCTTGTAACCCATAAACTGTAGATGTCCAGTTCTCTGTAGTTGTAATGATATACAACGACATGAATGAATTTGGTAACGTGTACATCGAGCCAAAGAAATCTTCGTCCGTATCAGACTTAGTAGCAGTTCCTTCAAAATAACGGGTCAAGATAATACTCAGGAGGAACAACAAAATGTAGTAGAACAAAGCTAAATCGAAAATGGCCTTGATGTTGTTCGTAAGTTTCATCCAGAGATTTCTCGTGATTCCAACAGCGAGAACCACTCTGTAGAATCTAGCGATCTGAAATACCGTTAACCAGTAATAAGCATGTCCCAACTTTGACTTCACTGGACCCAAAATGATGATTCCTGTTATGAGCGCTAAGAAAAGGTCAAAGGAATTTCTTCTTGACATAAAGAAAACACGCCAATGGGGGTAATATAAGGCCATTCTCAAGACAATCTCGGCAAATAAAGTAGCAGTGACAGCTGCCTCAAATCTGTATAACCCATGAGCTCTATTATCGGGCATTCCTTGTTGCCGAAGCGCCATAATAATCAAGTCGGCAGCAATTAGCATAACGAAAAATATCTCGAACTTATAGTATATCCGCAAATAAGATCTCTTTTGAATCAATGGATAAATTCTTTCGTTGTGAAGCTTTTCATTGAAGCCAAAAATGGCGAGTAAAGATGTTCTTCTGCCCTCGTCCTTCCTTTTTTTGTCTTCTGCGTCTTCCATTTGGGCAAGGTTGAACGATGTAACAATCACAGCGATGAAAACGTTCAACAACCACACGGTCAAAATGAAGATAGCAAATATAAAAAATAAGGAAGACCCGATGTTGTCGGTATCCATTGTATAGTACATGAGATCAGTGAAAGTATTGGCACTCATTATGACAAACACCAACTGCATGGACTGCAAGATATTGTCAAAATTGACAGTACCCCCATATGGATTCTCACCAGATTGACAAACGGAATACATGGGGCATCTAAAACCTTTAATTGCACCAGATGGGGAGCCATCTCTTTCAAGGAACGATCTAACAAATCCATCTCGGCCAATGAAAGACCCACAGTACAGGTCCGAATTGAGGTAAGTTTCTGTGGGATCATCAGGATTAGTCCACTGACAATGACGGGTCAAAGAAGACTTGAAAGATTGAACACCGATAACACCGAAGATAACCCAGAAGCAACAGATGAAAAGGGAAACATCAACAAGTTGTGGGATAGCCGAGTGAATAGCACGAAGGATAATATTCGTACCAGTGGTCAAGTTACAAAGACGCAAAATCCTGAGGCAGCTGAGTGCTCTGAAGTGGAATATGTGTTGTCTCGCGTCATAATGATCGATAGACAAAAATAAAGAAATCCAAAAGCAGACCATGGAAATAAAGTCTATGACCTGCCAACTTGTGCGTAAGTACGCACGATGCAAATTCATCTCATCCACCTTCCTTCGTATTTTACTGGAGTGAAGGAATGTATTCTGAGTCCTTAAGTTACGGGACGGAGCCGCACCTTCAGCTATTGAAGCTGCAGATCCAGATCTTTGACGATTGCCGGATTCATGGTGATTGAAATGTGACTCCGGCAGCATAAAGCGATCATATTTAGAGTTGAGGCTAGAAGGACTGTCTGCCAGCATACGGGCCTTCAATCTCCTCTTGTAAAATGTACGCTTTATGATGGAAGTGAACGGGATATTGTTTACCACAGTCTTTGCAGATTGAAGAAAGCCTGTCAGAGGGTAATCCAAGCCCAACTCATCAAACATGACTTTATCGAAAAGAAAGCCGTATGCAATTATCTTGGCGAGAATTTCGGCGGTATACACGAAATTGATGCCCATCAAGATATAGTCTGCCCAGTTATTTCCCGCATAGTAGTATCCACCCAACGCCTCTGGATTCCATTCTCGGTAGGCAAGAAGCACTGTTTGAAATATGAGCAAAAGAAGAAGCACTGAGCTTGTCATAGGATGCGACAGTATACGGTGACATAATATACGAAGGTGGCTGTCTTTGGAAAATATGCCACAAGATTTACCGTAAAGGTAAAGATGATCAAACCTCTCCGTTCTTCTGACCTTCGAAAAGAGTGGGGCTGCAGTCGTGGTGACTGGGGCAGTTCCTCCACTTACACCCAGGCGAGCCTCGGATTGCGTTCTTTGAAGTGTAGGAGCGCTGATGTTCACGTTCCCCTCTGTAGATAGCGTCTGTGCTGATCGTATAGAGCTTTCTCCAGCCAATGAAGGGTACACGCTTGTATTACCAACAGAGGCGGTGTCTTCAGGACGAGCATCACCAAAATACAGATCTTGAGTAAACTTTGGTGAAGTCCCGGATCTAGGTGATGGAAGAGGATTAAGAAGGTCATTGAAAGACTGGTTCTTATCCGTCGTCGGAGTAGGAGGAGGGTTGTTGTCTCCCGCAATTCTATTAGACATCCTAGTGAAGATTCCTGGAAGCTTTGAAGGCGATTGTGGTGGTTTTGTAGGCAGTGGGCTATTATAAGCACCGGCTTCCAAGACATCTAGGTCTTGCGTGGAGAGTTTCAACTGAGGTCTCCCTGAAGAATCATTAGTGGTATCGGGCTGGTTGAATGTAATGAGGGGAATATCATACGTTAGGTCTGTATCAGGAGCGTAATCAGGATGTGTTGATGGATAACGATCGAAATATGAGGTTTCGTCCGGTAGTTCTTCCTTAGCTGGGCTATTACCAACTTTCCACGTAGCCAGGTGGTCCTTGGAACCCAAAGCATAGGAAATACCTTGCTGAACTGCCAGGAAATCAGAATCCACAGCATGGTCAAGAAAATCGTAGTCCTCCTGCGGAACATGCTCTTCGACGTAATCTGGGAGAGCACGGTTCACCGACGTAGATCTGGAAATCGGTTCGAGCGAAGACGTGTCCGACCTCCTGGAAGGTATCAGCAGATTCGTTCTTCTCCGGTACTCCCTCGACTCTCGAGCTCTCCGTTCACTAGACGATACAAACGGGTTCTGAGCATGGTACTGACCTTCAAGGTCGTCGTCCAGCCCAGGCTCGTGGATGTGTATTCCAGGAACAGGCATGGATTAAACAGCTGTGTCTATGCAAGAGATCTAGTGGTCCTGGGGCTGAAAATCACTAAGCAGTAACCGCTTCTTGTCGATGGAAAAATGTATGGCTCTGTGTGTACCGAAGCTAGGGCTTATCCTGAGATGGGTGCTGCGAATTATACAATCGTGGTCTGCACCAGGAGTCCACCAGACAGATCCGCAGCGATAGTACAGCCTGCTTGCAAGGCGCAGTGGGGCCACAAAAGCAGGGGACGAGAGAAGGAGGGAGGAAATGAAAAAGAGTTGGATAAAAGATTCAAGGGGAAATGGTCTCCTTTTATAGTTGGCGAAGGGGAGCCCCTTAGAGTTTGAAGGGGGTGTGCCTTAAGCAATGTATGGTGCTGCGATGGGAGGTGAGCCGAAATCGCTCAGTGTATTCAGACACAAGCGGCTAAAGTGGTGGGAAAAGGCGGCGGGCGGCAGCTTTAGGTTTTTTCAAGCGGTAGCGCCAATTGGGAAGGCTGTGGAAGGATTTTTTTTTTTACCTGATTATACTGAAGGAGACTGGATTTCTTGGAGCTTGTGGGATACGTCTTTTTGTAGGCTTTGGAGTGGCTGCGAAAACAAGCAAATGGATGGTAATAATAGCCAAGTGTGAGCACCAAGAAAAGACGTTGAGTGAAGAAAATGAACGTTGCAAGGGGGTAGATTTGGTGAATTGAGGGAGGTTAAATAAACCGGGTGAAGTGACTTTTGGGATTTCTTTTTTCCATTTTTTACACGTTTCTGTCTTTTTTATCGTCTTCATTGGTGGTTGTTCCTTAGTACTGGCTTCTAAAGACACCACGACCTGCATATACCACCACCTCAATATCTTTACTAAATTTTTCCTACTATATCAATCACCATCCATGTCGCTTCTAAAGTCCTTACCGTCCAAGGGCAGAATGGCCCAGGTCAAGAAGCTTCTGGCACAGATCTTTGGCGAAACATATAACCCTCAAAATTTGAGAAACGGAAACAAAATATTGAGACAGCCATTGCGTGGGCCTGAGTTGTTGGCTTGGTACGGTAACAACGACGCCATGCCTACTTTCAAAGACTTTAAGAAGTGGTTTCCTGAGTTGAAATTGGTCGATCCAAGAGAAGAGGAAAGACTCAGAATGGTCGTCGACCGTAAAAAGAGAAATAAGGGTGCCCCAAAGAAGAAGAAGAGTTGATCTTCTTGACCATGTACATAGCATAATATCAAACAGTCCATACGAGAAGTGTTTTGTTAGCGTAGTTCCGGCAATCCTGGTGGTCTTCGCCGTTTGAAGTTGAGCTTGAACGTATCGGTATCTTCCGTGAGCCTTCTTTTGGCGTTCTTACCCCAGTCGTTCTTCTGAGCCTCTTTCACAAGGTTAACAACTTTGCTGTTGTCCTCACGGTAGGATAAGTTGTTCAACAACAGCAAGCTAGAGTCCTCTGAACTACCTGCCTCTTGCTCGACTTGTCTCCATACTTCACCTTGTGGGGTCCTTTCCACCAAAGTCATTACTGGCGCTCCAAGCTTGTTAGTGATTCTCATGTCAAGCAACGAATACCTGCTTGTAGCCAAAATCGACAAGTTCTCCTCTGTATAAATCGCCACATGTTCCCGGAAAAGTAGAATGATACTGTCGTTGAAGAACTGAATATCATGACAGTGCAGTGATGAAATGTATGCTTCTGGCTCGAACTTCACAAGAGGACCTTCACTAGATCTTCGTAGTATAACAACAACACTATTAGTGGCTAGTACAAGGTACTTACCAGAGTCCTTAGCTAGTTTCCATTCAAATGAGCTTTCTGGACAAACGTCTGTGCGCCTATAAGAGACGTCACCATCAAATCCTTCCAATACCCAGATCGAATCAGATTTCTCGAGATGAACAACAGAAGGATAACAAAGTGACAAATGGCTTACTCCGTGAATGCGGAATTCAAGTTTTTTATAGGACTTTAGCGGGATGGCTGCTATGAACAACAGATCATGAATGTTCAACCATGCAAACGTCCAACCTATCCCCTTGGTATATGAAGAATGTAACGTCGGTTGGGCAAGACGCTTATCACTGTTCTCTGATTTTTGGTATACTCCCAAGCTATTGTAAACTCTCACAGTGTAGCCGAAGAGAGATTCTCCTGAGTCAAAGAAACATATCCAGCTGCCCTTTGGGTCCCATGCAATTTGAGCTGACGGAGACGACTGATGATCCAACTGCAAGGAAGCAAATAGAGCACTTCTGGATCCATTATTTGTAAAATGTAGTAGGTATGGATGACTGTCGGATTGTAGGTCAATCATGATAGACCTTGACGTCAGATTCTTGTCAAAGTATGAGGTCAGTAAAAGAGACCAAAAGCCTGGATGACCTGGCCTGGTCAATGACTTTTGAACAATTGGTTTAGGTACCGTGAAGAGAACCCTTGTGCAATCCAAAGAGTATACACGAGCTAACAAACCAAACAGATCAAACACCACTAGCTGAGTGCAATTCTTATAAGCACTTCCCTCCTCTGGTGCTCCCTCGATCCAAGATATATGTGCAATTGCAGAGTCCAGCTCTATTATTACCGGGTCCGTGGACTGAGAAGTCATATCATAAACAATAGTAGCATGAAAGTCCTTGGACGATATGGATACAGCGATCTTGGTTGAAGTATTCAGGCCAGTAGTGGTTTCCCAAAACAAGCCACCAATCTTGATGGTTCGATCGCTCGAGCCAGACCCTTTAAGGTGCCTTCGTATATCTTTAGCGGCATTGTACCTTCGTAATAGAAAAGATGGCAGGATTCTATGGATGGAAATGTTTGTGTCCTCCACTAGAGCCACATAGTGACCACAATGGGACAACGACACCTGGCTCATTGAAAAAGGATAAATATGATAAGGAACGTGGGCACAAAGGTGTGATTTTGGCCAGTGCTATAGTACAAGGTAGGAACGGTTCTTTATAAAGACAAGATGTATTTGTGGATTTGACGTTTGTTGATAACTGAAAGCGCAGTGTATACAACCCGAAGAGCATCACAACAAGTGCATGTCAAAGTACGAAAGCTAAACAAAAAATACAAAAAAGAAGGAGGCGTCTTTATGATTGAAGTTATTTGATCAATTCAATATTGATAAAAATTATCCTATCTTAACAGTTGAATAGAAGAAGTATGGTAGTTATTGGGCTTCTTTCGCAGCCAATCCACTTACGCCTTACAAACACGACTAAGCAATGCCACAAGAAAACTAGATTTTCAAACATAAGTTAAAGTAGGTATTATCAATTTACCAACTTTAATTTCACTCTTTATAGCCCATTTCATTGGTTTTGCAACCAGCTTCTGGGGAAGCAATATCAATGACCTGCATACCATCATCCACCTACTACTCACCTTCACAATCTCATAAACAAACACCCTCTCACAACATCTCCACACCTGCATCGTTCTCCTACCAACTACGCACTTATCATAATTAGGCTGGCCTACTCAGCTATTTATTAATGCAGCCAAATTTGTTGACAATATTATGCCCCCAAAAAAACTGGCGGCACTGAGGGCCAATGGCTCATCCAAGGTACCTAATCTACCCGGGATCAAGCATAATGCTCCGAGATCCACACGCAATTTTTTCCCTTCGGATTCAGACGAATCTCCGCCTGAGGATACCCCCGAAAAGAAAAGAGCACAACCTTCGAAGAAAACAAGATCTATCCTTGGAGGCACCAATAGTCTAAAAGCTATGTTCTCCAACTCCCAAGAAGCTCAAAAAGAGAAAGAACCCGAGTCAAGCCAAGAATCAACTCCTGTTAAGAAACCTGCTAAGCGAGGCCGTAAACCAAAACAAACTGTTGCGAGTCCCGAAGCACCTATTCATGAAGCTAGTACACCTAAATCGATGCTAAAACGAGCCACTAAGCTGCTTGAGCTGCCCAGCGCACTGAAACCAATCAGGTTTGACGATATCGAAGAAGAACCGCCAAAGAGACTGAAGTCTTCTCGATCCAAAGAACAACAAAGCGAACCACTCCCGAAGAAACGTAGAAAGAAGAATCAACCGCGGGAAGACGACGACTACGTCGAACAGCATTCCCAACACACAATTCAACTTGCAGATGGCGACCGTCCTGGCCCTATACGAAGAAGCTCGTACAGCAACCGTGGGAAACGAACACTGTCTATTGGCAACGGGTTTGTTGCCAAACCACATGATGAAATGTCTGTTACGGAATACTACAAGGTAATTGATAGCTCCTTACCTGGTCCATCAAGAATGCGCCAAGTTCTTGTTTGGTGTTTCAAGAAAAAGCTACAACAAGACCGTGAGAGCGAGGGGGCTGAGACGAACACTGCAAAGGGAATCGCTAAGGTGATCAAGAATGAAATTTTGGAGGATTTAGTCTCCAAAAAGATAGACACCAGTTGGCTACTGGCGAAGCGGTTTGACGCATCGGAACTACAAGGCAAACGGGTGATTAAAAGCAACCCGCTTAATGATGCCAATCAGGAAAGTTATGAAGTGTTTAAGCAGAAATTACGTGAACTACGGCAAGAAAAGCTGCATTGGCAAAGTGCCTTTGATGCCAGCGTGAAACCGCTTGAAGGCTTAGCCATCAGCAGTGAAGATGAAGAAGGAAAGTATAGCCGGGAGTTCAAAGAGTACGTGAAACAGAAAGACCCGAAGCTCGGTGCTGTATTGCAAGAGGAACATCTTGAGACGCTCTCGCAGCAGGTGAAGCAAGTGGAAGCGAGCGTTCCGGAGAAACTCGAAGCAAACATGGCGCAATTGTTCCACACTGCGTACCAACTCAGTAAGAGCGTGGAGCTAGTGGGTAAAATCAGGCAGGAGCTGCTAGCACCCCAAGTGACCCAAGTTGTCAAGGAGTTTATGGAGAGAAACCGCCACAGCAAGCAAGTGACCAAGATCGGAGCCCGAGACCTCCTCCGGGGAATTTCACGGGTCGACTTGCGGCAAAGGTGACGTTAATGTGAACAAAGAAGGATGGAAGTGTTGTATACTAGGAACTGTACTATATCAAACTATGTATTAATAGACGGCGCCGGAGCGCAGTCCGAAGCAAATAAACAAAACAATGCAATCAAATCAGGAACCACTCAGTCCAAAATAAGAGTCCCCCCAACAAAAATCGTCAACCCTCCACAAGCCCCCACGAAGTGGAGAATACCTATTCCCAATTCGCCGTTTGCGGTCCTCTATAGACAAAAAGGCTAATCATCTTTTACGAGTGGCATATTTTGCACCCGCCTGCACCAACGCCTATTAACAAAGCATGTCTCACTCTACCTTCCCCCAAACGTAACTCTACCCCAGTTTCTTCCAACTTGCCTTACTATAAATACGTACCACGCCGCCGCCCTTCTGCCATGGCTAGAAATTTCCTCCTGCTCTTACGACGGCCGTCCTATCGGATATACAGCCTAATGTTTCTTGCCACGTTCGTTCTACTCTTCACAGCATTCCTCTCGGTGCCCCTGCTCGGGTTCCCCATCTACGTGAGGACTCCAACGTCACCTTACCCTCAGGGGAAACACCAGGTGAATGGTGATGACGGTACGCGTCTTGGCCACTTGCAAAACTTGGTGGTTTCACAGGAGAATAAGGCTATTTTCACTAAGCTTTTGTATGCGGATAACGCCTACTATGATAAGGATACCCACACGTTGGGCACTTTGGACTGGGTGCCTCAACATCAGTATCAGAGACAACCATACGTTGCTAATGGGTACTTGGGAAGCAGAATTCCTAACTTGGGCCAGGGTTTTGCCTATGATACTTTGGCTAACGGTACCTATGTGGATGTGTCTACCCCAGATGCTGATCTCCCTTCTGATTTGCTGAATGGGTGGCCTTTATTCAACCGTCGTTATGCTGGAGCTTTTGTTGCTGGTTTTTACAATCTTCAGGAAAATACGACTCTGAATAACTTTCCTTGGCTCTTGGAGGATGGCTACGAGAGCGTAGTGGCTGCCGTTCCTCAATGGACCTCTCTCGCTTTGACAGCCAAAAAGGGCTCGAAATCATACACTTTGGACCCAGCAGGTAATCCAGACAGCTACGGAAAAATTACAAATTACGCTCAGAACTTGTCGTTGGCTGATGGTATTGTCACTACTACTTTTACGTGGTTGGGCTCTCTCGATGTGAAGTATACCGTCCTAGCACATCGTTCCAAGCTTTCTTTGGGCCTTGTTAGCCTTCATGTGGAGAATACTGCTGATTCGAACATCACTGTTTCTGTCCAAGATTCCTTGGATTTTGGAACTGCCCAGAGAGCTCGTTTTGATTCGACTTCGGTGGACAAGGAAAATAGAGCTCTCTATATGTTATACTCGCCCAATGACATTGACTACGTCTACGGAGCTACATATTCATCGCTTCGCTACGATACCTCGGAGTCCCACTGCTTGGGCTCTGAATTCACTACCAGTCACTTCAGCCTGGGCCACACTGTCACGTTTGATATTCCAGCCAAGTCTTCCATTGATGTGACCAAACATGTCGGTGTTGTGACATCAGACTTGGACCCCAAAAAGTACACTTCTTTTGATTTAGTTCTTCTGGAAGCTAAAGCGACTTCTCTCGCTAAGGACCTGTTTGAACTGCTCTCGACTAGCCATAGGGAAGAATGGGGTAATTCGATGGATGCTGGTCTCACTGTTGAATTCCCTGACGATCCTCTCTTGTCTTTAGCTGCTAGAGCTTCCATTTACCACTTGAATGCCAATACTAGACCTGACGCTGAAGGTGTCACTGCTGCTTTGGGTGTATCGGGCCTTTCTTCTGACTCGTATGGAGGCATGGTTTTTTGGGATACAGATCTTTGGATGATGAATGGCTTGCTTCCTTTCAATCCATCTCACGCTCGTTCAATCGTGAATTATCGTCTCCATACTCACGATCAGGCTCGTAAGAATGTCGACAGCGACCGTACTCCGAAGAAGGATATGCATGGTGCAGCTTTCCCTTGGACAAGTGGAAGATTTGGTAACTGTACTGCTACTGGCCCTTGTTTCGATTACGAGTATCATATTAACATGGCCGTTGCTATCTCTGCATGGGAATTGTATAAGAGTGGTGCTGCTGATGATCATTTCTTGGAGCACCTGGCTTTTCCATTAATCAACGACGCTGCTGCGCTTTTCGCTGATTATGTCGAATACAACGACACTTTGCAAGCTTATTCCACACATAACTTGACTGACCCTGATGAATATGCCAATCACGTTGACAATGGAGCTTATACCAATTCGGCCATTTCTGCTACGATGAGATGGGCAATAGCTGTGAGTGAACATCTCGGGAAGCCTGTTCCAAAGTCTTATCAAAATATAATGGGCAATATGCATCTTCCACGTTCTGCTGATGATTCAGATATTATTTTAGAGTTCACTGGTATGAACTCCTCCATTGAAATTAAGCAGGCTGATGTTGTGATGTTAACGTATCCTTTGGAGAATGAGTTGATCACACTTGACCTGGCCAAGGCTAGTATGGAATATGCTTCGATGAAACAAGTTAGTTTTGGACCAGCTATGACATTCCCTATTTTTTCGATCGTTTCGTCGGCTTTACTGGAGAAGGGTTGTTCTGCTGATACCTATCTCATGAAGTCTATTCAACCTTTCTTGAGAGGCCCTTTCGCTCAGTTCTCAGAGCAGAATAGTGATGACTACCTCACAAATGGAGGTACCCATCCTGCTTTTCCCTTTATGACTGCCCATGGCGGGTTCCTCCAGGCAATCCTTCAAGGAATATTAGGTTTGCGGTTTGATCATAAGGTTGAAGATGGAAAGATTGTCCGTTTCCTTAAGTTGGATCCAATCAAGTTGAAGACCCTCCCAAGTGGAGTTTACTTTGATGGTGTCCATTACATGAACCAAACATTGGCATTCAATTTGACCTCCGAGGGTTTGGCTGTTAAACACAACGGCCCAATTAAAGGGCTGGTGCCTCACAAGATCTTGATTGAGTTGGGTTCACGTAACCCTGACGCTGGTACCCATACACTTATGCCAGGTACAGATGCGACGTTCAAGCTTTATGAGACAGAGGATACATTTAAGAATAGTCTTTCCGAATGTGGCCGTGCATTATTTACCAACATCACTGAGTGTGCTCCAGGTGACGCTCCAGTGCTCGCCAACGACGGTGACAATACCACTCACTGGCAAGCCAAGACTCCCGAGAAGAGTAAGGTATTGATTGATTTCCTTGAACCAATTGTTTTGCAGACTTGTTCCATCAACTGGGGCGACAAACCACCAAAGCTGGTTAAGCTTTCCGCAACTGCCCAGGACTTAAGTTCTGAGTATCCTGACCTACTTGAAACTGTTGATTTTTTGAGTAACGTCGACTTTGGTACTGATTTGCCTCGCAAGTATAGTTATAATAACCCTGGTGGAAAGCTATACAAGCAAAGCGACATTTTCACCGCAGTGGATTCTAGGGAAGTAAGCATAAATGAGCCATTCAGGCTAGAGGAGCAGCATTTGATTGTGTTGCCATCAAGGCATAACACTACTGACATTAATCTCGACTCGCCTATCAAGACTCGATATGCGTTGCTTGAATTTGAAGGTGTTCATGACAAGCGCTCTAAGGATGACAAGGAGTCACAGAAAGGTGCTAAAATTTATGAGCTCAATTTCTTCTAAGGATAAGGTGTTCAGTATGCGAATTATATTTTTATCAATACAATCAATTTTAAGTTTAAAGGTAGTAGAGCAATTATCTAAAATGGGTTGGCTAGCAATCAATTGTTGAAAGCTTCAGCCATGGTGATTAAACGCTTCACACCAACATGCCATGTACCGATCTCATTAGGATGTTTCAGCAGAATTTCTTGGTTAATGCTGGATGCTTTGCCCCATTGCTTGCTCTCCAAGGCAGATGCAACTTGTCTCAATTCACCAACAGTCTCCTCTGAAAGCAAATCCCTCTTTTCCAAATGACCATACAAAATGTTGAGTCTCTTCTCCATATCCACCACATGTTTTTCATATCTCACTGGTGCTGCAGGTTTGATCTGGTCCTTGAATTTAGTGAAAGTGGCTATGATTGCACCAGCATTGTCACCAACGGCTGCTTGGCCAACGGTAGTCCCATTTTGAGTGGCATGCGTAGGTGCCTGGCCAAATGACTGGGCTGGTGGCTGTGTAGCTGGTGGTTGTTTCACTTGATTGGAAACAGGTGGAGGCTGGACAGCAGCCTGGGGTGCAGATGTAGGTGGTGCCTGGGCTGGTGGCGCTTGAGCTGGTGGTGCTTGAGCTGGCGGTGCCTGAGCTGGTGGGGCACGAGTAGGAGGAGCCTGAGTTGGTGGAGCCTGAGTGGGTGGCGCCTGGGTAGGTGGTGGTCCCTGAGAGAAAGGTTGTGGAGCCTGAGCGGTAGCTGAAGGAGGGGCCTGAGCTTGGTTCGAGACCTTCTTAGGAGGTGGACCCACGGGAGGTGGACCTACAGGTGGCGTTCCTGGGGCAGCATGTGCCCTCGATGGTGGAGGAGCGATGCTTCCAACAGATGGTTTCCTACTACCTCTGGCCGAAGCAGGTGTCGAGAATTGACCCCTTGGACCCCTCGTAGTTGGTGGTGGGCCATAAGGATTTGAAGGTGGCTGACTTGCTTGCGGAGGAGCGTAAGGATTGCTAGCTGGAGGTGCTGCTGTAGAGGCCGGTGGTCCGTATGGATTAGGTGGATGTGAAGGCTGTGGATAGTTGGCCTGTGGAGGAGCCGCAAAGTTGTTTGCTGGTGGTGGTACGAAAGAGCTCTTTGCAGGTGGAGGATTGTCATTCTGGCTTGGGGCATAAGGGTTCTTAGGTGGAGCCAGAGGAGTTGCAACCTTACTTCCTGGGTTAGATAAACCATTCTGAGGCGGAATAGGAATCGATGATGGTGGTGGAGCGTACTTGTTGTTCACAGAAGCTTGACGAGATGCCGGGGTCACCCTTGGGCTCGAAGCTCCAGATTGCGATGCCTGTCTAGATGCTGTTCTAGGAGGAGGTGGAGCCATCGATGGCGCAGCTGAAGGTTGGCCCTTTCTAACTGGAGGAGCCAATGGTGCTGTAGCAACTTGGGGTGTTGGAGCCTTTGGTGATACAACTGCAGCTGCAGCGGGGGTAGCACGTCTAGCCGCTCTTTGGGACTTGAATGTATCTGGCAAGTCATTCCAGCCATCAGTCTCCTGCTTTACATTCGAAACAGGTTGGGCAGGAGCAGGTGGACTCACAACTGATGCGCCTGGTTGGACTGGGGTGTACCTAGGTGCTGCAGGTGCTGAAGTATTGCCAATTGTTGGGCCAGCTGGAGGAGGCACCACCCCAGTGGATGGCATTCTCTGTGCTGATGGAGGAGCATAAGCATTGGATGGTGGGGCAATGGCAGTAGGAGCTGGTGCAACATGAGCTGAGGGGGCGGCCCTGCTGTAAGGGTTCAGAGCTGCACGAGCTGCTGGAGCAGCAGGTGGCGCTGGGGCAGCAGGAGCACCTGGGAATGAAGGTGCTCCGCCCATTCCAGCAGCAGGTGGAGGGCGACCATAAGGTGGAACTGGTGCACCACCACCAAAAGCTGGTGCCGCATTATTGGCCAATGGATTGAATGCTGGTTTAGCAGGAGTGTTGGCACCGAATCTACCATTCTGAACAGCAGTTTGGGGCACTCTTCTGCGACCCTGCTCTACCTTTTGGACGGGTTGAGCTGTTGCCTTGTTAATACGTTCTTGCTCAGCGTTTAATCCATCGTAATTTTCAGGAAGAATCGACAAGAACTCACGAGCCAACTCAAAGTTTCCGCTGTTTGCAGCCATGGTTGAAAATTCGAATACAGCATTGCATGTTGGTTCAATGGCAGGGCCAGAGAGACGACTAGAAATCTTTGAAAGAGATCTGTAGGCAGAAAGCTTCTCGACAAACCCGCTCAAAGACTTGAACTTAGCATCCAAAGGAGTTTCACCTTCTTCAACAGCGTTACCTCCCTCAGAAGCTGATGGGATCTCCTGCAACCAGAGAGCAGAAACCTTGTCCAACGCCTCACCAGCTAAGTAACACTCCAAAGCGTTCTCACGATCAGCTGCTGTCCCCTGCGATGCAAGAATACGGTCACCCAATTCAACAATCTTCGAATTAAACTCGGTTTTATCAGTGCAATAAGCGAATATACTGGATGCAATCTCCTTCCAGTTGGCAATATCGGCGTTCGCGACAAGGTCGACTACGCTCTTCGAAGATGCGGAGTAGATCAAACGAGATAAGACATCCGAGTTAGTTTCCTTGAAGTATTGGGACTTGACTTTGCTCTTAACAGCATCGTTTTGATCTAGGGACAAGACCAAAGCTTCTAACAACTTACCTTGTCCCAAGCACTGGTCGACGGCATCGCTAATTTTGTTGCTCAAAATGAGCTTAGTCAAACGGGCATCTTGTTCGTTATGAGAGCCATCTAAGATCTTGAATGGGCCACTTGGAGCAAATCCTTCGGAGGAAAATGACTTGACGCCCTGTGAATTAACGTCATTTGATAAGTTTGTGAAGAAATCATCCTCGGTCGTGTTGTCAATTCTACCTGATAATTCCTGGGAATCGGGTTTTTGCTCGCTGGCTTCTTGAGAGTCACCAACGACGTCCTTGAGGAAATGCTCTTTTCCAAACTTTGACAAAGCATCTAATATCTTCCAGTCCGAAATATCGGCAGGGTTGGATTGGAGCTTTTCAGAAATGAGCTCAGAGAAGTCATCATTCTGAAGAGACTGGGTGAGCTTGTCGGCAACGAGCGTTTTGGCACCAGCTGTCTTGTTAATGTTGATGACAGGTTTACCGTCAACAGTCCTGACTGTGACAAGCTTGGATCCAAAACCGAAGGATGCAGAAACAGGTCTTTTGAGCCATTGAGGGGCCTGCTTCAAAGCAAACAGTGGCTGCAGGTGGTCAGCAGTAGATATGTTCGACCAGAACTCATTTTCATCGGTAGCTTTGACTTGCTGGGCCACTGGAGGAGAGGTGTCTTGTAACGTCTGAACGACAATTTTGCCGTCGAAAGAAGCAGATGCAATCACGTCAGGAGCATTAGGAGCGAAGCGTACCAGGAAAGTCCAGTTCGTGGCACTAGGGTAGTCCCCAAGTTTCTCGCCAGTCAATGGATTCCATAACTTGGTTGAATTGTCCTTTCCAGAAGAAAGCAAGAGGCCGGCATCCTTACTGCACCAATCCAAAGATAAAACACCCTTTTCATGGCCTTGGAGTACCTTCTCAGGTTCGCTAGCATTTCTCAAGTCCCAAGTCATTATCGTAGGACAAGAATCACTTTGACTTGCAGTGATCAACTTGGTAGACTGTGTTGGGTGCCATGCAACCTGAGAGAAATCTGCCTTTCCGAGAGGTCCATTGTACTGCAAATGTAACACTTCTCTTTTAGCCTTTAAGTCCCAGATACTTGTGAAGCCGCTGTTCGATGTAGAGGCCAAGATGTGGCTGACGCTGTTGTTCCAGGCAACAGAGGTAATTTCATCCATTGGCACCATAGCTCTACCAGGGGAGAAGGGCTCAGCAAAGGTATTGGCGTCCCAGATGAAAATCTCACCTCTTTGGCCACCAGAAACGAGCAAATGGTTCTGATGAGGGTTAAATGACAAGCATTTCACAGCACCAGTGTGTTTTGAGGATTTATGGACAGAAGAAGCGTCCAACGATTTCGTTCTGATAAGTTTCTCTGCATCCCAAAACTCCACGATACCAGTTTCAAAAGCTCCCACCAACAAACCTCTTGAATAGTTACCGAATGGTTTGGACCAGGCCAAAGCGTGGAACTTGTTTTCCAAAGATGCACTAAACACTGGATCGTAGCTCTGGCTGAAAACATCAAAGATCTCAAGCGTAGAAGACGCAGAGAAGTTCAAATCGAGTGCCCCAGCGACCGAGCCGGTTGCCAACAAGGGGATCACGTCTGAACTCCACGCAAACGTGGAGGTACGTGTTATGTCCTTGATTCTCATAGCGGAACACGAGTCAGGCGAATAATCAAGGAATAACGGTTCTTTAAACAGGTAGCTTCAGTGACGGTAGGCGAATCAGAAGTGAGGAATAGTAATTGAGTCGGTCACTTCCACAGCTATACCTGTGAATTCTTCAGACTCTATGAGTTGCTGATGTGTATTTCCAAAAAATGTCAACTATGGCCAACGCACCGGCGTCTGTTATATGCAGATCAGGAACACCAGGCTACGGCATTTGCACTGAAGAAGTAACCGTCTGAGATTGGGAGGCATTGTGGGTACTAGGGTGTCATTAAAGGAGTTTGGTTGGAGTTTTGGGGCTGGCTTGATAAGTTTGGTTGGTTTCGGAAAAGTCAATATTGAGAGGTAGAGGGGGACATGGTTGACGAGAAGGCTGTATTGACGTGTATCAGGCAACCACATGTCCAAGGGTGATTTAAGGCAGGGAAGTCGATTTTTGTATGGCAAAGTGTTAATGAGTTCATCTACGTTTATTTATTTGGCTGTGGTGTTTTTTGGTGGACATGTGTATTTGGACTTAACATGTAATTGGTGCAAATGGTTGCGAAAAAGTGGCCCCCAGAGAGTACTGCTTGACTGAGGGTTGTTTAGAGGAAAGGTAACAATGTATTGCAAAATGGGAGAGGATTTTTGAAGAATATTAAATTTTTTGGTAATGTCAGGAAAAGTGATTGAGAAAGAAAAATGGAGATAATTCGAGGAAATGGGAGATTTGGATGGCTACATATAGGCTGTACCTATGATTCAGCTCAGCAACGAGCAAGTATACTTGATTATATACTATTTAATTGAAGATTTTTAGGGCTTACTTCGTTCATGAAGCGAAAGTTTAGCGTCTAATATGCTCTCTGAATGATTTATCTCTTCGACACTGTACTCCTCGTCTAGGTTAGTCGAACCATAAATGAAATAAACAAAGCTTCCACTAGACTCGTTCAAGCTTCATCTGTTCAAGCTTCATCTGTTCATATAAGACTTCCAGATATACTTCCATTAAATACAAATACACCTTTTATTCTCTTAATGGCCCTGTTCTTCGCCATTGGAATGTCATACCAGCCCCACACATGGCCCATCGTTTTACACCCATATCTTGCCCATTCTCTTAAATAAGCAGTAAACTGCCAAATTCATACATCCACAGTCATTTCCAACCCTTTCCCTCATCTATAGCAACCATTTGCACCAGCATAGCTCACATAGTGGTCTTTCGCAGCCATTGTGGTTACCACTGACATCACCAACCACCACAGTTTTCCATGTACTAGAACCTCCTAAATCAACCAGCCCATAACCCAAACACAAATAATACCCATTTCAAGTACTTTTTTTTTCCTCTACCTAACAAGCAACTTGTGTATCCCAGCAAGGCGGGGCGGAACCGGTGCTAGTGTATGCGCGGTCTGCGAAGTGGTGGTTTTTCAGCTACCAAGGCAGCTCGAGAAGCTACAACCACATAAACTTATTACATATCAACACCAGCTGGGAAACTTGCATGTCAGATATTGAAGACTCCGACCTGCAACAGGTCATGGAGTTTGATATTCCTCCTAACAATGACGACCAGCGTGATTTCTTCACGGCACACACTATACTTCAACAGAAACTCAGTTTGGACTATGTTGATGATCTCATAGACGATATATTTGAAACGCTTGCGGGTCTTTGTGACCCTTACACACAGCCAGAGGACAACGACGTGAATCCATTGAGTGTTGCCTGCTTGGCAGATGTGTTCATTGCACTTGCATACCAACAACTTCTCGAACAACGAGCTTATGAAGAATATGATGACGAAGAAGATGATGATGATGAACTGCAAAAACCTGACAAGGACGATGACGACCCGCCTCCGTCAATACAATCGCTACGGTTCACACTATCGCTCAAGTGTCTCATTATGTTGGATGCTATCAATAAGAATCTTCGAACAGACGATCCGGTGAGAATAAAAGCTCTTTTGAACAACCTGCTTTATTGGGAGCTTCGAGATCCTTTCTGGCTTCCATCTTTCGAGGAACACGAGGAGCATGATACGAAACTATGCTACTATATGTCTTGTGTTCTCGTAATGACTCTCTATAAGCTCTTCCTACCCGAAGATGGAAGTCCTTATAACCCTGCATTGAATCCATATACTGATTATTTCATCCGTCTATGGAAGTCACACACCGGCATCATAAAGCTTGCCTTTGAGCTAGATCATGATCTCGAACAATTTGCATACCTGAATAGCGATGAGTATTTCGACACTCCAGAGAACGTGAAGAGGGCACTTCTCGGTTCCAGCGCTGTTCGTTCTGTCTTGGCTTACGTCCTTAATCAGACCACGCCAGGCAAAGTATATGGCCAAAGTGTCATTGAGGATAGAAAAGCCCACGAGTATGATGTTTGTCAACTACCACTTTTAGATTTTTATGACCCGCTTGGCAGAAAGCGTGCAGCTGGAGGTTCAATCACTGGTGATTATCATCCCTTCATATTCGTTCAGTTAATACTTCGTTTAGGAATGCCTGATGTTAGGCCTGACCTTGATGGTTTAACGTATGCTTTCTGCAAAGAGGACGACAAGTCTCACTTGGGACGGTACACTTGCTTAAGAGGTGATTACTGTGATCAAACTGAATACAGTTACAGCTTCGATAATAACTTTCCATATGAAGATTTTTTGGACGATGAAATTAAGTACGTCTTCTTTGGCTACGCTGACTCTGAAGAGGAAGATGATGCAGAGGAAGAGGAAAGCAAAACTCCCCTCACCAAAGGTAGTAGCGACGCCAAGAAGGATCTTCGAATGGCTTTGCGCTCTGACCCTGATGCTATTGGCATCGACGAAGAAGGCGTTGACTGGAACGACTGTGCCAGGGGAGAAAATGTGAAATATACAGATAAATTTCTTGACTATTGTGCCCAGCACCAACCCCGGACAAATTTGGAAACATTTAAATTAATGCTCAATATCGTGATGAATATTAATGAGCCTGTTATTGGAGATTCCATCGTGTATACCATCGCCAGGTGTATCAAGGATGAAGCAGAAGAAGCTAGTGATTCTTTTGTTAATCCTGGCGAGATATATGAGTGTCTTGTTTCTCCACCAGACGCTAATGCCCGTGTCCAGGTCCCCCATTATAATATTGAAGCTTACCACAAGGAGGTGACTCGGTTTGAGCGCATCCTTACTGTCAGCCCAGAGATTGCTTCCAGTATTATAGATGAGATCTTGATGTGCAATGGCTTCAGAAGGACATTTATTTGGTTTATCACGCACCTTGTGAACTACTCGCCTAATTTGCTCAATTATATCTATGAATTGGTAGTAGGATTAAGAGGTGCTAAAGCAAACGAGAACTTTTCACGACAAGGTGCGTTGGAACTTTCACCAATCGAAAGGCTGATGCTTCTTCACGAATGCTTCAACAATTTGCTGTTATGGGCACTCTGTTGTGAGAAAGTCTCACGTCTGAGAGCTGAATCGGTCATAGCGGTTGCATGTCTCATGATACGAAGACTTATTGATCATGGGATCATTTCCACCTCCAAGAACAGTCAGTACATGGATAATTATAAAGAGGAAATTGAGTTCCTTTTGATGCCTTACATCGGGGACCTTCCAGAGGCAAGAGATCTATTCTTCGAATTTAAGGGCGGATATGGGAGAAACCAGAAAGAAAGAAAGTTGTGGAATAAGCTTGTGTATAAAGAACCGGAGTCCACTGATGAGCTTCTCCGGGACGTGAGCAACCTCGCCCTTGAAGACGTTGTGCTCTTATATCAAGAGTCTTACGCGGCACAGACGGCAGTTACAGACTTGGTCGAATCCGCTTCCGAAGCTCTCAGGCGTTACCATCACAAGAAGAACAAGGCAAGGGCTACCTACACGAAAGAAGACTTTTATGAAAATGTGAAGAATGCGGACCATGATTTCCGTCTTTTCCTCAAGTACTACAATCAAATCTGTCATCATCCAGAAATGGGTTACCTTTCCTACGTGATGAAAAACAGGGGTTTGATAGTGCCAGGATTTGGTGGTACGTTCCAAGCTGGCGACGGAGAGAGTTTCATGACTGTGGAGGTTATGGAAGGACCTCCTCCAGACCACTATGACGACGAGACTGAACCTCCTCGGTTTGAAGAGACAGAAAGGACCGAGCTTGATAAGCAGAAGAAGAAGAAGGATAAAAAGGGAAAAAAGAAGAAGAAGGGAAAGAAAAAGTAATGGTTGCAAAACAGAGTTTGGGAGTATCCGAGTCACTTTGACAGTCTGACTCGCACAAGTCACTATCGCGCTTTACCTGATAAGGAGCGGGATTTTTCGCCAGATATTCGACTCCGACAGGCCAAAGGTCCGTACCCCACGGCCACACTGTTTGTGGAGACTACCTACCCGTGGAGCTGTGGAATTCTGCCAGTTATAATGTTCACCAATTCCTTACGTGCTGCCCAAAACACATTCAGAATGGCTCAGAGAAACCTTATTACTCCAGTATGTGAATTGGCCTCCCCAGGCCTATAATAACAATTGTATATTATCTATCGAATCAATCCAGCATACTAATCATTTAGGTTAAAACCGCTACCGCTCCACCACCAGCTGCCTCTTACTCCCAGGCTATCAAGGTCAATGGTATGTAACTTCTTTACTTTATCCAATTCTTCAACTAACGCCCAGGTTTTGTCTACGTTTCTGGTCAGATTCCATACACCCCAGAGAACAAGCCATTGTCTGCCAATCCCACCATTGCTGAGCAGGCTGAGCAGGTGATTCAGAATGTCAGCAACATCTTGGACGCCTCCAACTCTTCTTTGAAGCATATAGTTAAGGCCACCATCTTTTTGACCGACATGAAGACCCAATTCGCCGAGTTCAACGGTGTCTACGGTAAGCACTTCAGCGACTTCAAGCCAGCCAGATCTTGTATTGCTGTCAAGGAGTTGCCATTGGGCGTCGACTTGGAGATGGAGGTCGTTGCTGTTGAAAAGGACGACAGCAAGTTGTAAGTAAGACAATTCACTCCGACAATTACTTAAGGATGTAGGCATTAAATTGATGGATTGCCGCATGGAAGATGTACAGTCAATTCATTGGCATTTCGAACTTTGAAACATAGAAGGACCAAAAGCTTCAAATTGGAAGTTCCCTGATTACCACGAATATCTCGGGATCTTCCGGGTATTTTATCCTTGTTGCTCCACGTTAGTTCTTGGAAGGTGGAGACATTTCGCAGCCATTGATAAGACGCTCTATATACTTAAGGACTTCCACTACTTTGATGCTCCAACGAGTCAGAAACGCTTGAAGCTTTTAAACCACAAGAGCAGCATATTCTGTAACTCTCTTACCGTCCTTTGAAAGAATGACTTGCCTCTAGACCACATGGTTCTTGTGCTCTTACCACTGACAGTCTGTCACTACAAGTAGACCACCTACCAATCGAGACATTTTATAAAAAAAGAGTTACAGCACTCACCTACTCTTCTCCATATGACTATGAATTACTTTATACGTTCTTCCCCCACCTCCCATACCGTTTCTCCCTGACTCTACCGTTGTAAGTGGACTAAGTGAGCCTTGAGGGCTACAGCCCTAGCTTCACCTCGCATCACATGACCACATTCGCAACGCACACGAAAACCTCACTAACACAGTACTAGACAGTCTCTTGGTGGAGCCTGCACAGGGCCGCACCCACTAGCCGAAAATTTCTTCTTCATCTCTTAATACTCACATTTTGGGAATTCAGTTAATCCAACGAAACAAAGATGGCTCAGCGTGTTACCTACAGAAGAAAGACTCCATGTATGTTTAAACTCTTCTAATAAGAGAGACCTAAAAAGCCTGCTACCGTTATATCGAAAAAGCTCCATGTCCATTCCGAAAATATGTCCCTTCCCTTGAGATTGAAAATTTTTGATGTCCAAAGAAAGTCCCCATGAACAAGCAACGTATCCAAAGCAATCCATTCCAAAAAACGTAATTTATCAATGATAGTCACATTCCAACATATTGAACTCAAGCAGACCCAGGCTCTTACATTTTATACCCCGTACAATTACTAACAAGCAGACAACACCAAGTCTAACAAGATCAAGGTCGTCAAGACCCCAGGTGGTAAGTTGGTTGCCCAGCACTTGAAGAAGCAGGCTACCACTCCAAAGTGTGGTGACTGTGGTATCGCTTTGCACGGTATCGCCACCTTGAGACCAAGAGAGTACGCTCAGGTTTCCAAGACCAAGAAGACCGTCCAGAGAGCCTACGGTGGTTCCAGATGTGCCAACTGTGTTAAGGAGAGAATTGTCAGAGCTTTCTTGATCGAGGAGCAGAAGATCGTCAAGAGAGTGTTGAAGGATCAGCAGGAGAAGGAGAAGGCTAAGAAATAAGCAGTTTATTGCCTCTAGAATAATAGCCTTGGGGTAAAGCCCCCTTCATGTTGATGTAATTTAGCTCGTGTCATGGTCATTCTGTACTTAATAAAACAGATAGCCGAAAGGTGTTTTAGATGTAGACGTAGGATTTTAAGGTTTAGCGTCGGGTTTTAACCTCTGCGGTTGAGAAGAGATGAGGGAAGTCGAGTCCACGAAAGCCTCGTGCCGTTGTGAACCATTGTATAAGTTGATAACTGCAGCTGGAGTTTAACGTTGACGTGCTTTCGTTGGTGAATTAATATTGATGTGAGTTAGGTGCATCCCAGTGGGTTCATCTATAGGTACCAAGAGGTCCACTTACACTACTAATATCCAGAGAAAGAACAACTAGAGCCTCTTACATGCTATTCTCTATCCTTTAAAAATGCTTGGTCAAGGTATTTACTAGCCAAATTGGGTCCTATACTAGTGACCTTCTGGTTACCAACTTCAACGTCTGGCTTGTACCGTTCCACTGCCTATACCTATAATGCCCACTCACTTAATACAAAACGTAGTACAAAAACCTCCACATAATCTTCCAATTATATCGTACCTCTTTCTTTCGCCGCTAGTGCCTTCCTTAGCGCCGTTCATGACTTACTGATAGCAAATTGTGTAATCCTGATCTGCACCTCTCTTATCCGGATCATCATGGCCCCAGAACTAAGTATAACGAAAATGCCAAAATTCAATTATTTAGAGAATTTAAAGGTTACCAAGTCACTTTTGGACGGATCACTAAGTATATCCCTCACTTCTGTAAAAATCCCTGGCTATCTTTGTCGTCTATCTTCACCAATGGTTGCTCACTGATACAGCCATAGCCCTAATTACCACAAGACATACATCTCTAAAACCAACCCTCCTATAGAAAAACCAATGCCATAGCAATCCTTCCCGAGCTCCAATTACCCAAATTCACAAAACAAAATTCCCCCTCCTTAACTATATACATCAAATACTAGGCCCCTCTGACTCATGCTCTTATCAGTGTGTGGCTGCGAAATAGCGGGAACTTGTTCCCGAGCCTGGGCTATAAAATGGCAAACAACGGTATCAGTAAACTGGCAGTAATATATTTTTCATAAACTCCCCAATGGACTCTACACGTTTGGCTGATTGCCTAAAAAACACCTACATTCCAAAAAGAATAGCATCAACTACTCCTCTGGTACCTAACTACCATCCTTGCTTGATAGTACAGGACTCCCAAACAGACCCAGGCAAGACGAAAAGCTGTGGGTGTGCTGATACTTACTGTGTGAAAAATGCACCTAGATGGATTCCAAGGGGCTAGTGGTAGCATGTTAAATATTTATTAATTTTCGTCTTCTAATATATGCTGGGTATAACGTTTGTGTGTTCTTTGTAGGTTTTTTTCATTCACCCGCCAAAGTTGAAGTATTCTTCGTCATTAGTCGTTTGCGTCATCTGCGATTGCACATCGTCGTAGTGGTTGCTTCCGTCGTCATAGTCGTTGTAGTATTGAGGCTCCGCCTGGTATGGGTTGAAGTTGTGCTGGGCTGTGTACCTGTGGGCTTGTACCATTGGCTCTGGTGCTTCTTGGTATGGGCCCGAGTTTGCAACATATTGCACTTCCTGTGGAGTCTCATATGGATTGACATGACTGCGTGTGCTGTTTCTCTGTTGATGTGACTTTCTGACCTTCTTACTGCTTCTGAATGACTCTGCGTGGTCCACCTGTGGACTGATTGATTCGGCTTCTGTGGTTTGAGAGTATGGCACTGCTGCAAACTCTGAAGGCAGAGGAGGTTTTTGAACTGTCATTCTTTTAAGTACCGGCATGAAGGTTCTTCTATTGCTGTTTTTGTCCTGAGGCAGGTCAAATGGGTTGGACTCTTGCGTAGACATGGACAACTCCCTGGAGTGGACCTTCTCTGAGTGCGTAGACTTCTTAGTGATGGAGTCTTCAGACCAGCTAGAGCCTCCCACCAGTTTACCATCGTGAACGTCGTCGGCTTCTTTGTCGGCGACCTTCATGATCGACTTCATGCTGATGTTCAGGCCCTTACCCATAAGAATACCTGGGTGGAATGGAACAAACAAAATCACCATGAGCAACACCATAAGACCATCGAGGGTCATGACAAACTCTTCGTGAGTGATCAAGAATCCGCTCCAGCCTTCTGTCAATTCAACTAGTCTGTAGACACATCTGACGTAGATGAACATCACTGATAAGAGCAATACCAATGGGAAGTATGCAAACGATCTTCTCGACCAGATATGTTCATACTTCTGGTTATAGTGCTGGTTCAAATGCGTATCCATAAGTCTTCTGCCTCTACTCGTAGCAAAAAGGAAACTGAACAAGTTGTGGAAAGAAAACTTCACTTCTGGACTGGCACGGAACCATATTCTTTTCATGAAATCAAACAAAAAGTATAAGAAAAGCGTCATGGAAGCCACCTGGAATGCAATGCCCGCCACCATGGTGTTTGTGCCTGGAACAGTATCGCCAAACTGCTGAAGCTGAATAGCAGCACTGGCGCCTCCAGCAGCCTGGACAATCAAACTGACGGCATCACAAAACACAAAAATATAAGAAAACCAAAGCGGTTTTAGCACAGAAAATTGTCGTCCGTGTACAACCGTCAACTGAGCCAAAACAAAGTAAACACCTGCCATAAGCAACGCAGGCGCCAACGTCAAACAGATAATCTGGCACAAGTAAGCGTCCAGGTTTTCGTAATCGCCAATAGAAACAAGTCTGCCGATATAACCAGTAAATTCACAAGCCGTGCCCATAGAAAGACAAATACCAAAGTATGGATGTTTCTTCCACACACTAAGCACAATATGAGCCACAAGCAAAAGAGCAAACAAGCCAGCAAAGATACCATTGGCAATGGGACTCAACTCCATCTGGTACAAATTAATACCCTTTTCCAACTCCTGAAGCTCCATGGTAGCGTTCCAGATCACCGAAGTCATCTCTGGAAGCCTTTCATTATCAGTAGCCGTAGCCATGAACATCTGGGCAGAAATCACCGAAAGCGATGCCTGGGCACCTTTTCCCTCCTTGGCCATCTCAAACAAACTCATTCTGTTTGTCTGCGTAGGCAAAGCAGAGGTAATCGACATCAACGTCGAAACCAACCCAGCATAGTTTTGTGGTGCAATGTGAGTCAAGGTAGTCTGGGTTGGTAACTCAGTAGTAGACCAAGGCTGCGTGTACTTGGAGAGCCACTCAGACATTTTTTTTGTTGAAGATAAACGAAAGTCGTTAAACGAAAGAAAGTGTGTTGTTTAGAAAAAAAAAAAATAGATGGGCAAGAAAACAGCAGATATTAATGTGGCATTATATATTTGTATCAGTGTCGAATTGGGCTATTCCAAAGGGACTCGCAGAGGCTTCCCCGGACCTTCCTAAAGTGGTAAGCGAGAAGTGAGTGGTTTGCCTAAAGAAGAAAGAAATTGTGGTTTGTACTGTACACAAGGGCAATTTACGACGCCTGGTGGTATTAGCGAATGAACACCAGCAGAGCATGTATGAAACAGAGGGCTAGTGAACACAAAATCGTAGCCCTGGTGTCCCAAAAGAAGGCATTTTCCAAGACTTTTTGTGCTCAAAGAAGGAAGTAGTGACATGTTGGGGAATCGGGCAGACATAAGTCATTGATAACAAATCTGGTGGGGTAGGGCTTTGCTTACACCTTCTTACGGCCAAAGGTTTACAGATCTGGCTTGCTTCGGACACAGCCACCCCGTTTCCATTGAACATTGGAATATGTCAAGCGAGGCTGAAGCATTCCCTTGTTTCTAGGCTTTGACACAATGAACGGTTTCTTTATCTTGCGCGTCTATTAAATTTACACAATAATCGTACTCTGTATTCTATCAGGAGGGCATCGTGGGTATCCCGATTTGGCAAGGACTTGAAAAGGCCTGGGCCTGGGGGAGTGTGGCACTGTTATCAAGGGATCAGTGGCCCACCAAAACGGTTGTCCAGTCCTTGGAGGGAGGGTCGGCTGGCTGAAATTTGGGAATTTCAGTACCAACGGGGATGCCTTGGGTGGTATGCTCTAAGGGCACTGGGGCTCTGGGGCTGGAGAGGCTTCTGCTAAGGATCACCTAAAGAGCCTGAGTGCCATCCCTTGGGGCGGTAAAATCCTGAGGCTTGGCAATCCTTTCGGGAGACTCTAGTGGGAGAGCATATGGGTCTCTTTGCTGCTGAGTATACTCTTCAGCGTCAGCAAAGGCATCCTGTGTTCTGGCATGGTAGGGAACCTCATCTTCGTCATGTGGAATGTCGTACTGGGTGGTGGTGTGTTCAGGGGTTCTTTCACCACTCTTTAACGAGCCGTCACCTCTATGTAACTTCTCAGCATCACCAGCAGAACCTTCTGAAGGGTTCTGATACTGAGAGTTGGAGTTGGAGTCGCCATAAAGCTTCTCGTTATCGTCAAAGTCGTGGCTTTCTGGCTGTTTCTTGTTTCTGAAGGAAAGTGTTGGGTGGTAGTGGCCCCAGATGAAACCTGGGTGGAATGGAACAAAAATAGTACAGGTAAGGAAAACCATAAGAGCATCAAGACAGAACAAGAACGCTTCGTGACGGATAGTGTAACCGGTCCAGCCCTCGGAAAGTTCCACCAATCTATAGATACAACGGATGTAAATGAGGACAGTACCGGCAAAGATGGCAGTGAAGATGAATGGGAATAACTTTCTGGATCTGACGTGAGCGTACTTTGGATCATAGTTTGGTTCCAATTTCTTCTGCAATTCCTTACCACGGGGAGTGTGAAAGGCAAGGGCGAAAAGGTTACCCAAAGAGAACTTCACCTCCGGCAGAGCCCTGAACCAGGAGCGAGCTACGAAATTGCCGCCCACGATAAGGAACGACGACATGGTAGCCACCTGGAAAGCAATACCGGCAACCATAATATGGGTTCCGTCATCGGTATCTTTATTCGCAGTCAAGGCGGTAGCAGCCATACCACCACCAATGGCCTGAATCACCAAGGAAATGACATCACAGGAGATATAGATGTACGAAAACCACCTGGGTTTAAGCCATGAATATCCGCTGCCAATATAAACCAATTGTCTACCAAGCATATAATAGATACCGGCCATGATGAATGCTGGAGCAATGGTAAGGACAATGATCTGGACCAAGAACGGATCCACCAACGTCTCATCGGTGGCACTGATACATCTAGCAAGGTAGCCTCCGAAATCAAGACCACTACCAACACCAAGCACCACAAAATAGTACCAGTAACGGAAGTATCCAGCCACCAGAAAGTGGAAGATCATGAGCAAGCCAAACACCACACAAAAGAAGACATTGGCACCCATATTAAGATCAGCACGGTACATGTTATCTTCATATGCAATCTTGACAAGCTCAGTGGCAGCCGCCATGATCTCATCTGAAGCCAGCAGCTTGTCTGCACCTGAAGCTGTGGCCATGACAGCCTGAGCGCTGATCACAGCGAGGGAGTTACTGGCAGCAGCAATCAGTTTACTGTACTGATAAAGATCACCATCTTGAGTGGCACCAGCGAAAGCCAGGGTGGCGCTGGCAAGCGCCGTTGTAAGCCCCGGAGCGTGAGTAGGGTTGATCGATGTAAGCGACGTGATAGTCGGGTTTGTGGTAGCCATGATTTGCTTAGCCTCGTGTGGATGATAAAAAGGATAGTGGTTGCAAAAAAGTCGAACCTAAAATGTCTGAGGAAAGCGATAAATAAATAAAAAGAGGAAAATCGATCTTTGCGGGACGCAACCTCTGGGGGGATTGTTCGCTAATATACTTCTGTTTCCAGTTACGTCAAAAACGAAAAAAAAGCCAAAAATGAGTGATTTGTTGCCGCCGCTTCTGCTAAGGTTACAGACGTTACTGCCGAGATGCGCAAACATTGCATCCGGCTGTGTCGCATATCCAGAAGATCCGTCCCAAGACAAGCGGGACAAGAAAAAAACGGGACAAGAAAAAAACTTAACCAGTGTGTAAGGGTTAGAAACGACTATACATGCCCAGCAGGAAAATACGCTAGGTGTTTGAAATTTTCGAGTTTTTAGGTCTTCTGGCGTGGTTTCTTGGCCCCCTGTCCCCCACAAAAAAAAAAAAACAGCCAACCCGGTGTCCAGCTCGGTATCCCCGAACCCGTGTCTTCCGTGTGGTCTCGGCACAAAGTTAACCCGTGCGTTGGATATTTTGCTTTCCGACAGTTGCGATTTTGCAGACTGTGGCATGGGCCCTTACGCCTTACAAGCCGTGCCCAGACGAACAATACCTTAATTTAGCCGTGCCATGGAGTCACAAAGGTGTGGGCAGTGGTGGCTTCAAAAAGGAAATCCAAATCTCATATACTGGTCTTACTGAAGGCTGCCCTCCATGGATGGGACCCTGGAGGTGTGTATGGATATATCCCTTGTTTCCAAGGGCCTCAGTAGTCACAGTTAGTTCCTCGAAAGAAACGCACCTGCTTTTGATTGTATGCCTAACGCGCATCTTTATGCAGAAACTTGTGAGGGAGTTTAGTTCGGCTGTTCAAGGCAGCTTTTGTTTGGCGAGGGTTAGAGCACTTTTTGCTAATGTAAAACCAGCGCCATCGTTTTTTTTTTTGGCTCTTCGCAAACCTCTTCTTAACTCCGGCCGGGTGGATTTAACGCATGTAATCTGATTAGCATGTGACGTAAACTGACTTTCCAAACGGCAACAAGAGAAGTTAAACTAAAAAACGGTGTGCTCTTACTTTGTGAATTAATCCGTGGACCCCCATTGTTTGTCGTGTTTTCTTTTTATTTTTTTGTCAAAGCGTAAGAATTCCTTGTGCATTTGACACATGGGCCTCCTGTTCTTTTCACCCATTTTTAATGCTGACAAACAAGCCACCTGTATGTATGCTGCTGGATAATTGCGCTTCTCATGCACAATATGACACCCATGGGTTTTTGTATTACTTTCGAGCATCCAAACGCTGAACTACTTTGCTTCTTGTGTACTTTTCTAGCGCTTATTATTGCACTTTTTTAGACCCTCGAGGTTCCCTCAGATGGGCTCGTGGGTTGTAGGTTGTGGGGCGGTTCGCCCATAAGTTGGTGGTGTAATATATTCACGTATTAGCCGCCGCGGAGCCTGCTTCCGCCTTGTTAGCAGTATCCACTAGGTCAGTGGCCAATTGCTCTCGTTTCCAGAACTTAAGCAAAAGGTCACCGTAGTTTTGGAGGTCTTCAACAGATATCATGAGCTTGAAATCGAGCAAAAGAAGAAACTGCAACTCTAAATAGTTGAGCTCTTCCAATGGGAGTCCTCCAACTTTGGCATACCGAAGGTTCTTGTAAAAAATATCACTAAAGAACTTCGAACTCACCGTGATCCCCAGGATTATGAGCCTGTGGATGTTGTACGAATCCATTACGAAAAGCTGCTCAGCGTCTCCATTCCCGTCTCCACTTCCGTCTCCAAACTCCAGGTTTTTCTTGAGGTTGTTGGCCTTCTTGGCAATTCGGTCAAAGTAAACCAAAAGCGAAAGGAACACTTCGTTTGTCACAGGACAGTACTTGAGCACTCTCGTGAGGTAGGCGTTAAGAGAGATCCCAGGAATGTTGGTTCCGTGAAATGCAAGGACATTTGCCAAGTATCTGTTCTTTAATTCATCTTCGGCGTCTTGTTCGTCTCCGGACGAGTTCGCATAATCTTCGTCAATGTGCTCCACTGTAGTGTTGATGCCATCGTTCGAGTACGTCATACTGTCGATGGAATGTTGTCTGGACTTTTCCTTTTCTAACTTCTTCTTTTTCTTCTCCTCCTTTAGTTTCTGTCTGATAGCTATGGTTGTGTCAAAATGATTAGGATGAAGCTTATCATTAGCTTCAATGATCTTAGTTAGAAGACATGCAAGCATTGTGATGAGATCATTCACGGGGAACTTCACAATATTAAGATGCTCGTCATATCCATTCTCGTCCGTTGGTGGTGCCTCTGCATCACGTTTGTTGAGTTTCTCCAAGTATTCATCATATGTCATGTAATGGTCAGGTGTGTTTATGAATTGATTGATTTGGCTAAAATCTGGGGCACCTGAACCGACAGGAGTAGGTTCTACCAGGGGGGCCTGCGGCTGTGAAGGTTGTGATGCAAAATTCGTAGGTCCACTTGGCGATTCTTGGGCAAGAGACGAGCGCTGGTTTATTGGGGGAAGCGAACGATTGGAAAACCCACCGGTGGGTAGCGATTGAGCCACCTGATTCAGAAAATGGGAGCCTGGCTCAAAATGTGACTGGTACAGCTGTGGAGTAGCAGAAAAGCTGGATCTATGAAAGTCAGAGCCATGGTTGTATGGGCTTGAGCTAGAATTGACTGAATTCATGGTAAGATTAGTGGTGGGGAGTCCGTGGCCCATTGGCGCCTTTGAATATGATGAAGGAAGAAACCCAGTTTGTACATGGGGAGCGTTTTGATGCGCCATGCCTGGCACCATCCCCGTAGAGTTGCTGGTCATATTGCTATCATTTCTATCCATGAACTGAGCAGAAGCACTTTGGAAAGACGGCGTATGGGAAAAGTTCGAGGTGTATGACGACGAAACCATATTAGGAGCGTTATGGCCCAAAGGAATATAGTTCATGTTGCTGTTGGCAGGCTTGTTGCCATTTTGTCTATAGAACCCATGGTGTGGGTTGGAGGTGAACAGAGACGATATCGAATGTGGAGGAAGGCTCTGGGAAGGGTCAAGGTTCTGCGATGCGGAGGTCACCAGGCCAGCCGGGATGAACTTATTAGAAGAATCGACAGAACCTGCTGTAAAAGACGAGGGATCTCTGGAGTAGGAAAAGCCTTCGGGCCGATTGCCATGGTGGTGAGACAGTTGGCCAGCGTTAAACTCTTGAGGAGCAGATTCAGGCTGGTTTCTGTTTTGCCCTGATGACATGAGGTTCTTGGTTAAATTGGAAACAGGCACAGGCTTAAACAGCGAGTCCAGCAGGGCAAATATCGATGACGATAGGCTGTGGTCACCACTGGAGCCAGACTCGGCATTGGGTTCATTAAAGCGGCTCATATACTGGCTGTTAGTAAACAAGTTTCAAAATCATCAATTAAGTGGGCCCCCAAGCCCATATTAACGCATACCTTCTTGTAGTCTATACTTCACTGTTGGAACAAGGTCAATCAAAAAAATGAGCAAGAATCGAGCACAGACAGCAGAACGAAACAAGGCCAAGGAATAAGATTGCAAATATAAACACGTCTCACTAAGCCTGTATCACTAACAAAACGTCTGCTTCTCCCGATAAAATTGCCTGTGAATATGGACAAGATGTGGTTTTTGGTTTGGACAGACCTGACGCAGATATCACCAACCCAGCCGGTGCACGGGTGCTGTCCACAAGGCCATACTCTGGTTTATTGGTGCGACTCTGATGGAGACTTATCGGACTCTGAACGGGAAAAAGGTGGGTGGATTAAAGGGCGTGGTGGATTAGAGATTGGAGGTGATTTATATTGTTTTGGATTTTTCTACTTTTTTGGATATCTCGTTCTCGTAGACCTGGCAAGTATAAACCGTTGGGGGATTCGGTGTATAATTCTTTCGCAGCCATTATGAGACAATGGGGTACAAGGCTGAAGAAGTAAGAGGAAGACAAATGTGGAAAAGAGTCGATACTGGATTTTCAGATCATTCGTATTCTATTTCCCTCTTACTCTGTTTGATACATTTCAGGAGGGCCTTGGAAATGCCGGTTATGTGAGAGGCTTGACGTGCTCACAGATAATACATCAGACATGAATGGCTGCCGCCGTGCAACTCCCTATTCTGGGCGGTCCTGGGTGGATTTAAGGAGTGGTGAGTGTAGTGTGAGTGTACTTGGTGGGTTTGTGGGAAATTTGGTTTCTGATTTCTGTTTGGGTGGATTTTGGGGGAATTGGATGGGACTGGTGGTGGTGGATACGGTTAGGCACCAGTGGCTGCAAATGGTTAGTAGAGTTGGTAGGAGTGAAGGAAACAGGGTTTGACAGAGTCTGAGCTTGTGAAAAAGAACCTGGTTTACCCCAGTATTGCCTCATTATATGTTTTTGGTATACTTCCTGGGCCCTTCTTGGCCTGTGGATGACTGGTGCTTGTTAGTAGAGCACAGTCTATTGGCCATGCTCAGGGCAGTACATGTCCATACAAATACACCACTGAATGCTCTTATAACTCCAAAATCAGAAAAACTCTACTTCCCCAGAACACTCCCTTCATTTACTTAACGTCATTACTTATATTTTGCTTCTTCACTTATCCCTTTCCCTCATTCTCTATCCACCTCCAGACGTCCCTCATTTTGCACCCAATGGTGGTTGTGCACCCACTCACTCGCAGTTTCTCAGATCGAACCATACTCCATTTCTTCTTACCCCAACCTTCAACTACCAACTACCAACTGCCATGTCAACAACATCCAAAGTCACATTCGTCTCTTCTTGTCTCTTCGCAGCGGGCGCGTTTCTCTACATCTCATACGAACAGGAAGTCGACAGGCATAACCAGAGACAGGGCCCTATCAAGGATGCTAAGAGACTCTTGGAAAGGAACTTATCCAAGAAACAAACAGCCAATGATTTGGAACACGTGGAACAGATGGCGTTGAAGAAACAGTACGAAAGCGTTCAGCCTTTGAATGCTGAAATCATACGAGGTGAAGATGAACCACTGAAGTGAGGAGCCCCCAGAGGGACCTTTTAGAGAGCCTTCCGGCTCTTTTTTTTCCATGTAAATAGCAATAAGATATCATGATCTCAGGTTTGCTTGTGTTTCTACGTATGTCTGTGCGCTTGGAGACACCCGTGGTCTTGACATTCCCCGAAGGGGCCGCCGGATGTACTATGATACACTGGGGACGGTAAGTCCGCTTTAATATGCCAACTTCATCGCCTCTTCTGCCTCAGATGAATCACCAAAACGGGTCTTCGCAAAGAGGATGTTTGGCGGTGAACCGCCGGGCCAGGAGCTTGGGATGAAGTTGGGTGATATAGAAGAAATTCTTCTCTGCTAGCTTTTCAGTCTTTTGGAAATTCCGGTGGTGCACGGGTTTCTTGCCCAGGGCTCTCTGCCTTTGGTAGTCTCTCCAGGTTAGGGCTTTTCGCAACCATTTCTACGTTAAAATGAAGCTCTATATATATATCCTATACCTTGGGCCAGCTCTGCTGGCGGTGACTTTCGAAGACTGATGCTTCTTACTCCATCTTGCCAATGATCTCCTCGTCAGACTCGGCCTCGTTCTCTTCATCCTCCTCCTTCACTTCGCTTTCTCTTCTACGCACAATGTGCTCTCGACTAGGTACATCGATGTAACCTCCAACATGGCCTGGATAAAGCCTGGAGATCTCGACCGCCAGCGGTGGGTGACCCGAAATAGACGAGGATCTGTCCAGAATAGAGTGCGAGCGTTGTTCGACTTCAAACCCGTTCGAGCTGCCGAAAGAATCGTTGAACCGAAGAGAGTCTTGCTGTGGCAGAAATGCCCTTTGTGATAATCTTCTTTGCATTCTTAAACTGGAGGGCTCCAGCACGCCGTCTTCGGGCACAGGATCGTTCATGCCGACCAAGATCGACGCAGCTTCTAGTAATTGGACCTGCTGATGTTTCGACATGACGAACTTCTTGGTCATCTTCCACTCGGGTGTATGTTCCCAGAGATGCTTTGCTAACGAAGAGACATGCTTGTAGCCCTTTCCACACTCTTCACAGTTGAGTTGCAGCTTCATTCGTCCCGATTCACCTTCCGATATACGTCTAGCAGCAAAGCCTCTTGAGACAGAAGGCCCTGATTGTGATAGTCTGCTAGGACTCTTGGTACTATACGAATGAGCATGCATTTGGCTGTGGAGATGGTCGTGAGCGTGCCCGCTGGGACCATGGTGGCTCAGAGGGAGATGAGGTCTGTGGTTATGATTAGCTGGGATCGAGTAAGGAGAAGCGGCTGAATTTCGGCGAGCATATGGATGTTGGACGTGGCTCGACATGGTTAAAACGACTGGTCGAGGAAATCTGGGTATCAGGTGTGGTTGTTGACTTTCAAGCGAATCTTGAAACGTCTCGAAAAAATGCCTCTATGAAGAGCTGCGATGGGTTACAACAAATGCCACAATGGAAACTTTGGGCGGGGCACAAAAAAAAATAGAAACTTTGGAAAAAAACGACAGTGGAGGTTAATTTTTCGACACTTTTGCGCTTCAACAAGATTTCCAAAAATCTGGTGCTGCTTTAAAATAACTTCGGAAAATTTATAAGACCCTTTCTCGACGCCTCAGGGTCTCATCTGCTCGAGGTTTTTTCATTACTGGCAGGAAAAAGACTCAACGAGTATGCACAACCTGCTGCCCAGTTTCCATTCTTGCTAAAGAGATTGCGCCTTGTCCAGCTTCAGATCGTGGGGGGAAAAGAGCAAATGACAATCGGAATATGCGGTTCTGGCGGGGGAGGTCAAGTTTGGGAAAGTTTCGATCCGTGGGAACGTCAAGGCGGTATGTACTCTTGATCCATGTATGCCAGGGGTGTAGAGGTGTGGTCACAAGAGCTTTTGGTCTAGAAGAACTCGGCATCCATTTCGTCTGTGTTACTTTCGAACCCCGTGTCTTTTTGCCATAGGATTTCTTGTACTTGCTTGACCAATTCCTGGATAGGCATTTTCTGGATTTCTTTGGAGCTGGCGTCGTCTTTATCGAAAGCAGTTTCGATATTTTGCGTCAAGATCTCGATCTCCCGTAGTTTGTTGAAGTAGAAGTTCCTCTCTGTTTCTAGCGTCTCGACGTTGACTCTGCTATCACTGATTTCGGTCTTGGCCTGCTCCAATTGGGCCATTAGCTCGTTTACACGCTCATCTGCCACACCTCTGCCACTTCCCTGGCTAGAAACACGTCTTTTCGGGACAGAAATCGAAGGCCCTTCGGCGACGCCATTATAACTACCTGAGCTGATTCTGCTAGGTCTTGTGCTGGAGCCAGCGCTTGGAGGGTTGGAAGACATGGTGTTTCTTCTGGAATTTGGTCCCAGAGGCGTCCTGGCACCGCCCAGCTTCCTCCTGGAAGTAGCATCATAAATAACATTCACATCCTTATGCTCCATCCAGTGTCTCTTGAACCACTGTAGAAGCTCCAAGTTATCCTGGAGTCTGCACTTGATGAGTCTCTCCACCTCGATCTGTTTCAGAATCCGCTGCTTATTGAAAGCAGCCTGGAGCACCTTCATATTCGCCCTTGAGTCGTATTCACTCAAGTTAGTATCAAACTTGACTTTGCTCATGGGTACTCCACCGTATATGCTATCCATCAACTGGCAGTAGGCTGCACCGGTCCCACACTGTTCGACCTTGGCGTAATTGAGGTTGAGGGTGGCATTAAGCCAATTAAGGAGCTCTGTTCTGCTTTCACCAACGACCATTTTGGTAGGGTTTGAGTGTGTTTTTTGGCAGTTGTGCTTGTGTTGTTTGGGTCTCACCAAAAGGTAAATAAAGGAAGATGTAGTACCTGTAGGATGGATGCCTCGCGGTTTCACCTTACCACGAGTGGAAAGGCACCCAGGAGGAATGAAATGTGGGAGTATACAAATTGGAAGGTAAAGAGGATGGGAGGGTTTTGGAAATTACTATTTATTGAATTTCTGGAAGTTAGGTTGAGTTTGGCAGTGTTGGGGTAGAAGTGGTTTGCTTAATGGCTGCGAAATCGGATCTACCTGGCAGTACTAATCAGTCAACCATATATGGTAAAGTTGGGAAGCTTTGTTTCTGACTTGGGATGATAATTGGAAAGTTCAATTATTATATTGGGCTTCAAGTAATATCACACACAATGTTCCAGAATCGTTCCAATAGGTAGTGTGTTCCAGATACTCAGGCATGTCTGAAACATGCTTCATGACTCAACCCTACCTTCCCTACACCTGCCCACGTCATATTACTCGTTTTCATTAAAATCTCTACTCTATTTTTGCTTATCCTTTTTACTCCGTAGGCTTCGCAGACTTCTCAGAAGCTTGCGCCGTAAACTGGTGAAAGACGCTCGGGACTCCTTCAGTGGTTTGGGCAGTAGCCCAAGCTCACTGGCGCTCTCTTCAGGCGACAGCCTGTCTGCGCTCGTGGAGGCGTCTAATTTCGTCGACTTGTCTGTCGACTTGGCGGAGAAACCTCTCTTTAACTTTTTCCACATCTTCTTGCGGGTACTTGGTAAGGGTTGTGACAATTTTGGGCTGGGGAGAACTCGCATTTTTATGACAGATCTCTTCCACTTGCTTCAGCACATTGTGGGCCACTTGTTGGTGGACGCTTTGCATGTACATCAGCTGGAAGGTCTCGCTGGGGCAGATCGGTGAGCTGGCGCCTACTTCGTTGGCTTTGTCAATGAACTCCTGAGTCACTTTCTCGCCTAGCTCGTGGATCTGTTTATCATTCTCTATCCTTTCTTCTTCATGACGAGCAATCACTTCAGCTTCGCTTTCTTCCGTAGCGCCGTTGCTGCTCAGACCACCACTTATACTGAGGTTCTGGTAGCTTTCAGATATGCTTCCGCCGCCGTAACCACTGCCCCTGGAAGTCTCCCTTCTGTCCAGACTTCTATCTTGCTCTTCTTCCAGATCAGGCTCATCCTCCTCTTCGGAACTGACATCGTACGCAATAATAGCGTGCAGCTTCACTCCGGAAGGCTCTTTCGTACCTTCAAAGAACGTACCATGGCGCCAGATGTTATACTGAACCACCGACTCAAACGCAGCCTTATCTGAACGGAATAGGTTCGCCAGGTCGATGTTAAGCGGCGAGTCTGGCTCTGGGTCGTCTATAAGCATCAAAATGGCCACAACAATGTGCTCCAAGTTCCATGCTGGCAGCCAGCTCTCATCCTTCAAGATATCCAAGCAAATCTCGCCTGTTTCGATGTTGATGTTGGGATGACAAATCGGCGTCTGGCGGGAAAAGATCACCGCCGGCGGGCTCTTGGGGTAGTCTTCAGCGACAGATATTTCAAGCGTCCACTGGCCATTATAGTACCATTCACTATCAGCTTTAGTTGGTTTTGCTATGACTGCTCTCCAGAGATAAAGCGAGTCCTCACTGCGAGGCTCTATGCTCATGATCTGGGCATTTGTAAGCGACGGGTGGTGTTTATTTAGCTGTTTGAGCTCCTTAAGAAGACGTTTCTGTGACATGGTCTGGGTAGTAGATACACAGCAGCTGTAGCGATATAAAAGGGCCTTGTTACAATTTAACCCATAGAATGCAGGGCATGTGAGAGGGTTAGTTATTCAGTCTCTTCTGCGCAGGCTGACGTCAGGCGACTTCCGGGTAGAACCGTAACAAAAAAAAAAAAAAAAAAACAAGTGACTCCCTACCAAAAGGATATTATGCTTTTTTGCCGCCTAAAGTGTCCATTTCCATGGTCTGGTCATTCCAGTAGTTGTAGTCCACTGGGTGCGGGGCCTTGCCTGGTTCTTCCTCGGCATGCTAGCGACTGCGATTTACAGGGTGAGGCGGTTTTGTGCCTTTCCTAGTATACTGTCAACAAAGCCTGCCGGTCATCAGTAGCAGTAATGGGACAAAAAAGAAGAGGAAAAAAGGACAAAATGAAATGGGACAAATAGGAAGGTGGAGTTTACGAGCGAAGGTTGCTACTGGCGGTGGACGAAGGACGTTGGACATGGGCACTTTCTTGGGCCCTGGGACACCAGGGTGAAAAGTTCCTTCCCTGCTTACACGCCAGACAGGATACAGATGAGGGATGAGGTGGATGGACTACAGGTTACTACGTAATTGAATAAGGTTAGGTTTTTTTTTTTCTAGGTTTTCTTCTTTTCTTTTTTGGGGGCTTGGGTCGTAGTTAGTTGGCGAGGAATGTTGATTTGGTCTGGACTTAGCTGTTTTGTGTGGTTACTGGTTGTGGTTTGTGGGGTCTGAGACACTCATTGTGGTACATCGAGGAGATGGAAAAGGACAACAAAAAAGTACGAGAAATACTGGTTTTCTGGGATTTTTTGGTCAAATCATCTTGGGATCCCCCACCACCTCCAATCCAGACCATATTTGGGGGATCAGGCTTGACGGTGGCTTCTGACTACGGGCAAATAGGCACTGCCTGGTAAAGGCTTAAGCGAGAGAGGCGCCAGTCTTAGTATCCCCCAAAAAGCAATACCGGGAAAGGTAACCTTTTCGATCCAGCAGCTCGACCCACCTCATCGCTTCCTCGACCTATCAGTGGCTCCAAACATGTACGCTAGTGTGTTAGTCTGCTTCTTTCTTTTCTTTTTTTTTTTTTTTCGCAGCCACCAACCTTGATTTGCAACCGTTTAAGCCTCAACGTTCCGATGTCGTCACTGCCCTCCTTCACTTCTTAAAATAGACCGTTCATTTCTAAATCCTCTATAAGTGTTTGTCTAAAAACTGTGCAACTGCGCCAAAGTTGAACTTCTTGCGTTGCTTCCCAGCCAAGATGTCTTTCTGGCCTTGGGCAAAACTCATTCCAAGCACTTCGGCTGCAAACATGGCATCGTGGATCCCGCCAGGATGCATTAGCGTGTTAAACTTCTTGCCGTTTGCCTCGGCAAACTTCTCTTGACTACCACGAAGATGTTCTCTTTCGCCGTATATGTAAAGCACTGCTTCGGGGGTGGTGAATGCTGGAATAGCTGCCCAGTGGTCTTCGAATGACGTTTCGTTGAAATCCACAAACGGCGCAACTTTCTGCTTATCCAGCCCAGTGATGTATAAGTCTCCTTTTGTGTTTAATTTAGGCCTGATGAGATCTCCTTTATGGTTAGCACCAGGGTAGACTTGGGAGCCATTGGTTACTTGCACCCAGGGCGCTATAAGCACTAGCAAACGAGGTGGAGTAAGACCCAGAAAGTTCCATTCAAACTCAGTGTACGGTGAAAACTGGGCCTTGGCTTCTTCAGGGTATGCAGTAAACCGTGCCAATGCAAGGGCCAAATTGCCGCCAGCCGAGTCTCCAAAAGGAATCACTTCGTACCCCAAGTCACTTAACTTTCTGTATGCTGCCACTGCCTCGAAGATCTGTGTAGGGTAGTACTTCTTTCTTGAAGAAAGGGAGTAGTCCAAAACGGCTACAGCCAAGTCTTCACGCTTTTCAGCATCAACTGCGTACCACACTGCAATGATACCTATGAATTGTTGTGTAGCCAATGGCATCGTGTAACCACCGCCATGGAGGTATAAAAGCACCTTCTTGGCCTGCTTAGGTCTAACCACCCAAGTCAAATCCTGGTCTTCCGTCACTGGTTCTCCATAATGAGGAAGGTCCTTGGCCACTGACAGACCTCTAAACTTCTCAATAATCAGGCTCAATTTCGGTAAAAGGTCCACGTCAGAAGAGGTAACTCCTGGAGAGAGATGCACTATGGAAGCCAAAGCGATGTTCTTGAAAAGCGAGCCTTCAAACTCAGCGTCAGTCCTTGTGTATACTGTACCAACCGTATAATACTGAATGGCAATTTTAAGTATCACCAAAGGCACCGAAAGGGCCCTAAGCGTAAGGCCAAATGAAGGAATAGGCATTGGCTGGTGAAAAACAATAGATAACAATGGTCTGGGGAACCCAGCGCTTTATATATGGTTCCCGCGCAGCAACTGGGGTAAATTATCTCCGGATGCGTGGGGAACCGGGATCCACCAGAAGAGTGTGAAATCAAGAAAAGAGACAGTACTAGTAGCCTTTGAATTTAAGTGTACTTATGTTTCCAATGGCTGCAAATACCATGTGGCTTGTGCGCTGAAGGCTATTGTTTCGCAGGCGAGATCTGCCGTAAAGTAGACGATGCGTTACAACAAGAGTCAGAGAGGCCATGTACTTTATGAGTCTTTGGTTGAAGTGTATTCCTGTGAATATCATTGTGTTCCCACAGTGAGCCATGTTTGGGTATCCGCTTGCGCTGTTGGGTTTGCGCTTATCGGGACGGTTTTGGCTGCAAAACCACTTTCTTCTGGCGGCTATATGGCTGCGAATGTCAGGAACAGGGAAGTATGATTGTGGCGTTGTGGACCAGCGAAACGAAGTAATTGTAAGCAGAAAATTATAAAGGGATCAGGGTTAGTTTTAGCATGTCTATATATATATATATATCTTTTTTTTTCTTCTCCATTGGGTAACTTGTCGTTTGGTGGTTCCCCAGTATGGCCTTGTGGTTCACCGGAACTTATCATGGAACGACCCAGAAAACGGTTTTATCCCGCTGCGGCTGGGTGGGGAATAAACGGTAGTTTCGGAAAAATGGTTATTCCTTTGCTTGGAGTTTTGGAGAAATAGACGCCTTTGTTATGTGTCTTTGTATGGCTTCATTGCTTCATGTGGTATTTCTCGTAAACTGCGGTCTTCTTGCAGCCAATTGTTCCACTGGAAGGCAGTAGCTTGCATTGCACCTTTTTCGCAGCCATTCTGGGAAAGGAAGGTAAATGGAGGGTTTCTTTGGTTTGGTTGGTAAGAAGTGGTTAGAGGTTGGCAGTGGTGTTGTTGAGTGGATCCCTTGTTGGTCAGGGAGATCTACTACTTGGATGTTCCAGGTGGAAGTCGCCTGGTTGGCTATGTTAGTATGGCCACCAGATCAAGTCATACCGTAAGACGGTCTATACTACGTTCAAAACTGAAACAGAGAGAAAACAGTTTGTGTCTGAATAGAACCAATGGCTGTGTTTCCATGGCGACTCTTAGTAATGCTACTTCAAAGCGTGATGGCAGAATCATGAAAAGGAGCTACCAGTGAATACCAAGAACCATTTCCACACAGAGAAACCTGTTACGTCCATTCTAGATCGCTCCACTGCTCCTGAAAGCTTTTGAACGGCCTGGCTACAACTTTCATCGAACCACTGGATGACCTCAATACAACCAGGACCAAAGGAACCTCAATTATTCGCCAAATGCCTCTTCGAAACCTCCCGTAAACATCCATCATCCATCTATACGCCAAGACGGAATGTTGACATCTGGCCCGAACAATGGATGGTCACTCACCAGACAAGTGGTGACCTCGCCAACAAGTAAACACCAGTAAGCAACCAACTATCAACACACAACAAAGGCATCAGCACTCCAAATCAACTACCAAAGCCATTGAGCCTAGATCTCCAATCCAACTCACCTTTCTTGACCTTCCCTGGAAAGCCCGCATCAGCCTCCAGAGAAGCCTCAGCCACAAAGCTAGTTTACCCCTGGTCCCCTGTTTCTTGCCACAATTGGCCATTGGCAACTCAATGGCACCTTCAACATCAATGACATACCCCTACAGCCTACACTACATCGTCTTCTAGCCAGCAAACAACCCGTTTGCCCGCTGCACCGTATCAATTCATGACTTGTATTACCATAAATACCATGGGTAAGCCCTCAACAACTATCACGTAAAGTCACACGCTTAGTTCTTGATGTTCTTAATATCCTGCTCGAGCTTGTCGACAACCTTCTTCTGCTCCTCCAATCTCTCTCTCAACTTCTTTATCTGCTCAGCTTCGTGCTTCTTGATGTAGGCACCTTCCTGGGCAGACTCTCTCTCCTTGAACGAGTCAGACTTGCTTGGACCATCGACCATGGCTCTTCTGGAGATCGAGAAGGCTCTGATGGACTTGGTGGTGTTTCTGGCGGCCAATTGTCTCAACATTGTGTGTATGAATATGAGTAAGATGTATCTATTCGAAAGGTATTGCTTTCTCTTTTTCGAATATGTGTGAGCTTCGCACCGGGGGTTTTTATTGGTGACTGTGTCTGTGCAGGCCCGAATGGGCCCATTCCAACCTTCTTTGCTTCTTTACCCCAGATCCTAGGAATGATAGCCTGATCGAAGAATGACGAAGCTTTTAGTATAATGGGCGTGGCGATGTTATGCGGGGAGAATGATCAATTTATGGTGTGAGCATTTTGGTTACTGTATCTGTTGCTTCCAGAGTTGTCCGATTTCGCACTATAAGGCTTCCCAGCCACCAGAGCAAGTCCACTGTGGATGCTGTGGTAGTTGGTAAAAAGTAATGGTTGTTGTTAATTGGTGACCTGGTTGAATTGGAGTGTTTCAATGTGTTCTTCTTTTTTCTGTAGCGGTGGCATGCTCCATATCACTATAAGGTTTAGATCTCCAGATAATGGCTGCAAATGGCATGCACGGTCTCATGCTCAGTGAACTGGTGGAGTGTCAAAGTGTTCTTTGATATGGGGTTTATGATATCAAGGTGTGACTCTTATCTGGTCTGGATGACTACGAGAAAGGGGCAGATCAGGTCTTGTGTAGATCTGGCGTTACTTGCACATGATAGAGTAGGTTGTGGATGGTTGGCTCTATAGCGGTTGAAGTGGTTGAAAAGTGGCATTGAATGATATGTAGTGGTTCGGGAAGGTTCGTATTTCAGATTCTTGTTTGTGTGTTAACGGTCCAACGGTTAGCTTATCGCTGACCCTGGTCATTTCCATCGAATCACAGCTAGCATGATTACCAAGGCTGGACAACCATCAAGGCAACTTCTTACAGTGTCACCAAAATTCGCCACAGGGCATTTTCTCTCTTGACATCTCCCTACGCTGGTCTCTTCCAATGTCGTTTCTATTTACATGCGTTACATAATACGGAATGGCGTAAAGCGGTTGTGCTTGTGCTGTGGAGACAAGAGGCCAAGCGAGCGAGCCCTCTTAATGGCTATGCTGAGTTTCTTTTGGTTGGTAGGGTTGCATCTGGTCTTTTCTCTTGGGTAAATGTGGCCCACTGGCGACACGAACCGAGACAACACCTCAGGCATCATATACAAGTCAAGAGGGCTGATACCAGCACGGACAAACGGGTCGTGGGCACCATTATCGTAATTCAAAATGGATGGTTTCTTCAGATCACGCATCTTATTCTCGATATGACGCTTATCAAGAGTAAAGTCGAATGGATCGTACACAGAGCCAAAGTCAAACCTCTTTGCAAACTTTTTGTCGATTTCCAATGGCGGTCTGCTTGTCTCCTGGATATTTCTAGCCATTCCAACCACGGTTTTCGTGATAGAAGAGTCGGCCTTGCTGGACTCTGACCATGTCTCCAGAGACTTCATTTCTGGCGTAGAAGGCAAGGCTTCACTTTCATTATTGTTGTTGGCATTAAGCACCTTGGGCGTCACCAGAAACGTCCTCCTCAGGCTTCTCACAAGCACCGTTCGAAGCGACAACATGGCCTATCTCCTGTTTTTTTTATAATTAGAAGGGTCGATGTTGGTTAGGAAGTACTGGCGTTTGGGTCGTGCAAGCTCAGGTAAATTTTTCGCTGCCTCACATTTTTTCTGTCTCTTTGTTCTGACCTGTACCTGGCTTCCTCGACTGGCCCTACATCGAATATACATACATCATTATTTGTCATTGAACCCTCAAAGTACCTGGCTTGAGTTTGAAGAGTCTGCTTTGGTACAGAGTTCTAATTGTTGACGATCTAATTTATTAAGGTTCTGGTTTCTTTCCCAGCGCTTGTTCCCTTCTGCAAACCCGTTTTTCCTCGCGCATCCTTGCTGCTACCTGCCATGGGTGAAAGAGGTCCCGACCAGTGGTTGGAACAGATTAAAAATTGCATATCGCTTTCTGAAAATGACATGAAACAGCTCTGTGAGCTTGTGAAGGAGCTTTTGATGGAGGAGTCCAATATCCAGCCGGTGCAGCTGCCGGTGACGGTGTGTGGTGATATCCACGGACAGTTCCACGACTTGCTAGAGCTTTTCAAGATATCCGGTGGCTTGCCCACGGAGGATAACGACACGAATTATATCTTTTTGGGTGATTATGTCGATAGAGGTTATTTTTCTTTGGAGACGTTTACGCTTCTTATGGTGTTGAAGGTGAAGTTCCCCAACCGCATCACCTTGGTCCGTGGAAACCACGAGTCCAGACAGATCACCCAGGTCTACGGCTTTTACGATGAATGTTTAACGAAATACGGCTCCACAACCGTGTGGAAGTACTGCTGTCAGGTTTTTGACTTTTTGACTTTGGCAGCCATCATTGACGGGAAAATCTTATGTGTGCATGGCGGCTTGTCGCCAGAGATTCGTATGTTGGATCAAATCCGTGTGTTGAGCAGAGCCCAGGAGGTGCCCCACGAAGGTGGTTTCTGTGATTTGGTTTGGTCTGATCCCGACAATATTGATAAATGGGCTGTTTCGCCAAGAGGCGCAGGATGGCTCTTTGGCTCGAAGGTCAGTCGGGAATTCAACCACATCAACAACTTGGACTTAATAGCGAGAGCGCATCAGTTGGTCATGGAGGGCTTCAGATACCATTTCAAGGAGAAGGACGTGGTGACCGTTTGGTCCGCTCCAAACTACTGTTATAGGTGTGGTAACGTTGCCAGTGTCATGCAAGTCGGCAGCGACTTGGAGCCTAACTTCAAGATCTTCAGTGCTGTTCAGGACGGAGACTTGGCAGCAAAGAATAACCCATCGAAGCAACAGCGCATTGACTACTTCTTGTAATGCCGTTCACAGAAAAAAAGTCCCCCCTCGATGACACGGTTATGCATTATAGACTCCGTGGAGCCACACAAGTCCTATATCCCTCTCATAACTTTTACCATTCATTCTAGATTTATGCGGCTCTATGTTATTAATGATTACGAACAATAGCTTTGTGCTAACCAGCCCACTTTAACTATATTAACGATGCCATTAAGACTGAATGCAAGATGTAGTTACCTTAGTTCTTTCCCTTTCTGTTCTTTCTCTTTCTTCCGATTATCAGCTTGACATCATTAGAAAGACCGGATTTGTTGTTTTCTTTTTTCTCCCCTTCTTTAGCTTCCTTATCCTTAGGTGCTTTAGGGCCCTTGTTCATGTTACCCTTCTTACCCTTCTTCTTTTGCTTCTTAGATGGGCGTTCGTCGGCATCGTCGTCCTTCTTGTCTCCTTCGCCCTCATCATCGTCTCTCTTTCTCTTATTGTTTCTGGCAATGAAGACCTTGTCCTTTCTTCTCTTGACAACCTGAGCGTTTTCAATGGCAAACTCGACAATAAGACGTCTCTTGGTAAGTCCTTCAAGGTTGGCAACCTTCTTTTCATCTTCATCAAGCCCCGTCAACACCTCTTCGGTAGTGACCTCGTGAGCATTAAGCCAACGAAGACCCATCAATGCAGATTTGTGGTCTCTGAATTCCAAGAAACCGTAACCTCTACTTCTTCCTGTCTCTCCAGTACCCTTGACCTCCATGATAACCTTGGCCTGTTTAACAACACCAGTGTGCTTAGTCTTCTTTTTCTTTTCTTTCTCCTCGTCCTCGACATTCTTGATCTGCTCGTCAAATTCGTGCTTGGCCTTTGTCGAACGGCTGATTTCCTCCTTCGACAAAGGATGTCTCTTTTCTTCCTTGACTTCTGTGGCAAACAGAACGACAGCCTTACGACCCAAAGCTTTCAAGGCTTTTGACGTCATTGCTCTTGGAAGATTCCTGATAGCTAATCTTGTGAGGGATAAATGCAAAGTAGGGTTTTTGTTAAGTTGCTGGACACGCATTTTGTAAGACTTTTCTCTGACCTCCATGTCAGTCTTGGACATGACCTCAGCAAGTTTGGAGTTTTCTGTCACACGACCTTCGTTCAACAAGAACAAGTTTCTCTTATCCTTCTCGCCTTCTTCTTTACCGTAGACCTCCTTTCTCTTATTCAGGTTTCTCTCTGCTAATCTGCCGGCGGAGGTTCTATCAACAGTAGATACAATAGAGAGAATTCTGCCCTGGTAGACATATTCAGGCAGAACATCGTCTGAGATCAACATGGAAGTAGAAGACACAGATGGAGCGTTCAGTAGACAGGAGTTATAAGCATCTTCGGTTCTGAAAGCAACGAAAGCAGATCCTCTGGCCAAACCAGTGGCTTTGTCAATAACTGGCAAGGCATACTTGACAGGACCGAACTGGGTGAAGTGAGTCGTCAAGGATTCCTTGTCGGCGTCGTATGGAATGTTTCTCACAAAGACAGAGAAAGCATCTTGTCTGTTTTGCTTTTCTTTTTCCTCCTCCTCCTCCTCCTCCTCTTCTTCTTCTTCGTCTTCGTCCATGTCTTCATCGTCTTCTTCCTTTACCTTGTCACCATTAAGCTCATCAAATTCAGAATCGTCTTCGGCCTCAGACTCAACATCGGAGTCTTCCTCCTCCTTGACGGCAACCTCTTCTTCGCTTTCAGTCTTGACTTCTCTCTCTCTGCCTGTAGTCTTGTCTTCTTCAGTCTCACGGACCTGTTCCCACTTAGACTTCTCCACAGCCAAATCCACAGCAACTTCTCTGCCGTCAATCTTCAAGCCGACAGACTCCTTAACGGCTCTCTCGGCAGCAGCCTTCTTCTTCATAACCACAAAGGCGAAACCCTTCATTAGGCCACCCTTCTTAGTTGGAATATAAGCATCGTGAACACCACCGTACTTCAGGAAGAGCTTTTTGAGGGTCTCAGCATCCTTACAAGACCAAGGCAAGTTTCTAACAATCAAACGAGATCTTCTCTTCTCAACTGGTGCCTGTTCCTCTCTCTCTCTAGGCTCAGCACCGTCCTTACCCTTTCTGTCTCTTCTCTTAGCAATGTCAACTCGAAGGAAACGGTTCTGGAATTTCACCTTCTTAGCTTCGACCAAAGCAGTCAAAGTATCGTCTTCCATAGTGAAAGAAACGAAACCAAACCCACGAGACTGTTTCTCGTTATCGGTAACCACAACCGCATGCTTCACTGGGACAAACTGAGAGAAGTACTCAGAGAGTTCAGCCGTGGTGGCTTCTTTTGGAATTGCTCTAACGAAAAGAGTCTTTTTATCCAAGTTGTCGTCAACCTCCTCTGTTTTTACGGCCGTAGCCTCGGTAGGTTCAGACATGTATGTGTTTGTGGAGATCTAACTGAAAAGTCCACTGAGATGAGCATCTCAAAAAAAGTGTACTGCGACTGCACCCACTAGTATGGGAAGCCTGTCAACTACATCATCAATATGTATGTAAATTGGAGAAAAGCTTTAAGAAACACTTGGAAATGGTGTATTTGGTGACATTTGAAGAACATGATTTATATGTTTTTCTCTTTTTTATCGGGTGTTTGGAATAACTCTATGTATGGATATTCACCATTTGGCTGCAAAGTAGACAACTACGATCCCTTGTGTTGTTGAAACACATAGTATTCTCATTACTAAAAGATACAATTCGTCTATTATTCTCCACAAATCTCTTAACTCACCTTTCATAGGTCATATTGAGTTCAACCATTCCATTGATGGTACCAAAGTGTAGCCATGACGCGAATTTGCACCCACTCTAAAACGGCCTCCACTACCTTTTTTTAAATATTTTACGTTTTTATTCCAATCACTACTTTAACATCTAAAGTCTCCAACTACTAAAAACCATTCCTTTCTGCCTCTCATAGAGATATTGCTATTTCTTCTGATTTCCTGGGGAATATGTGGTGGTGTACGGGTGTAACTTTGTAACATAAACACAAACATTACTGTCTCAGATCAATCAAATCTACATCGTATGGCGAAAACCAAGCTCAAAAACGTACTACCGAATACATACGTGCCTGTCCTTTCGAAGGATGTGCTTACGGCCGTTCTTAACAGGCTACAAAAGCTGAGTCTCATTGCACTAATGCTGCTATGGCCTCGTCTCAAGAATACTCAACCCCAACTTGATAAAGAAAACGCCCTCAATAGTCAGGTTGAGTTCAATAGAATGGCAAGAAATGATGCCAAGGAGATGAAAGAGGGTGAGAAGAAATGGATCAAGTCCAAGATCATTGATAAGATCTTATTTGAGTACTGGAGTCGAGGACTTAATCTCCTCCAATTGGCTCAAGTTGATTGTCAACTAATAGTGGACAATTCAAATGCGTTCCTTTGGAACCTGTCGACTGTGAAGAACGTTAACAATGAAGAGATTCCTCTATGTTTGGATCCTTCCGTGTTTTTGAATGCATTGGCAGCAGAGTTGAGTAAGCTCTTCATGTCCTATATTTATGTTTGCAAGCATCCCAACATGCCGCTTGTGTTAGTCCGCATACAAGTGTTTGACCTCATACCAAATGTGAAACGTGGGAGAGGACGTTCAAGAACACTGCATCCTCATATTACATCGCATAAGCCATACTTTTTGGCGTTTCCTTCCAATTCTCCACATCTTATACACTCTCCAGGAGCTGATCTTGTATCCCAAGTGATTCTCACGGTGGTGGAGAATTGCCTATCACAGAATAGGAGAAATCAGCATCGTTTGATAACACCTACAAACCAAAAGGCGGTGCGTTCTCTTGAGTCAATGCATATCTTGAAAGGATGTTCTAGGTTTGGTAACAGTTTAGGTGCGTGGACGCCATACGCGGATGGTGAAGTCGATTGTTCTCCTTTGGCTAGCGCTTCCAAGCAGCTAGATCATAAAGCCAAGCAAGTTTCTGTTGGCTCTGTAGAAGAGAAGTTCAGGAAGCTTGCAAATGTCAGATTCAAGGGCTCTGCGGGTGGAAACATCGTCTCTAAGAGATTGTATGACGACATTAGGCCTCTTAAAAAGGCTAAACTTACGAACGGACAGTCAGAAAGCACTGATAATGAGTTTTCTTCTATTGCTCCTGTTAGATTTGCTCAATATGAGTTGAAGGAAAAGGTAAAAGAAAATGACGAAGAACCTTCACTGGTGAATATGAAGCTTATCGGGACAGATGTATTCGCGGGATTACATGAATTAGCTTCCAACGCATTTGATGAAGCAAATTCGGTAGTTGATCCTAGAACGATACCAGGGTGGTTGACAGGTGAGGAAGGCATTAATTGTGGACAGGTTAGAAATGGTCGCTTTTATAGTGACCCGGAGTAGCGTACATTAGGATTAAATGGGACATAACTAAACACGGGAAATGTAGTCCTTGATGGCAGAAATTGTGTCTTCATCAGATCCACGAGCTTTCTTCAATATGGACTGTAGAGCCACGCCATCCTTATTATTGAAAGCCTCTTGAGCTGCCTGCTTGAAATCGCCAATTTTGAGGTAAAGCTCGATAATCTTGTCGTAGGACGCATCCGTTATCGAACTGATATAGACCAGAATGTATGCTTTTGGTGCCCCATAAGTAATACATGTCTCTGCAATGACTGTCATTCCTATTGGAGACTTCAACTTGGCGCCGCTGCTATTCGACGTAAGGAATTTATGAAGGCGTTCGAATTCACCAATCTTGCTGTACACTTCGAGTACCAAATGCCAAAGCTTTTCCTGGGGAAGTTTCTGGTCCTTAACTATTTTACCAGCTGTCTTGATCTGATGCATCTTGATAAGTTTCACAAGAATATCCGTGAGTGCCTTGGCTCCAAAAAAGGATGTCTGGTACATTTCAGATAATTTCTTCTTGAGTTCAAGTATTGCTAGCTCTCTTTGGATTAGCTTAGTATACTTCAGATTGTTTAACAAGGAATGTAGCTTTTGTTTATGGACTTGAAAGACCTCCTCATAGTTGTTGTTACCTGTGTCATCATTCTCTTTGAGAAACTTCTTGACTTTGTAAATACTCCTTTCCAGAGACTTACTCTCATGTTTGTAGTAAGAATCTATAAGAGAAGCATTGTACTTTGCAATATTTTGAACCCAAAAGTTTCCAATCAAGTCTCCGCTCACAAATAGGTTATCTTGTAGGATTACTTTAATCTCTTCATCTTTAAGCAATTGTCTCGCAGGAGTATCCTTGAAGAGACCGCTTTGTTCATTTTGATTCAAAATCTTGAAAAGTTGTAACTTAGGGAGACTATCTTGAAGATGTAGAAGTAAAAGGCGGCAAAGATCAAGGTCACCAGCTTGAAATGTTTTCACGAGCGCTAACTCAGTCTCTTCAATCATCAAGTACTCCTTCATTTTCGCAAGCATGGATGGCTCAAGATTTATAAGAAGTTTGCATAAGTCCACTCTGCCTTCTTGATATGCAACATTGGATATGTCTATGACAGATATGTGGTTTCTCTTCATATCACCTGGTGTGTTCTTTTCCAAGGAGATCAACTTCTTGGCCACGATCTTGAAGAGGTCGAAATCCGATAAATTGAGCTCCTTTCTGATCTTGCAACAGCACCAGTGAGAATACACCAAGTTATTAAGGTCTGGCATCTGAAGTAAAGCAATTACTTTGAGAGCAAGCAAATGGGCATGTCTCCTCAATAACATCTTGATGACACTCTCCCAGCCGATCTTAGTGACAACTTGATAAGTCAAGAAGATTCCGTATTCAGGTGATCTCAACTGATCAAGGACCTTTATGATATTAACAACTTCAAGGTATTCCTCTGCGTTGTAATAATCGTTGTCGTAGATCTTCCCAAAAGATACGGCTTTAAGAATAGCTTTTTGCCATTGTGGATCAAATTCATGCAAAACCGCATCCAAGCAGCCAGCCATTGCCTCACGAAGAGACTTCTCGCTTTTTAATAGCGATATGTTCGTGTCCGCTTTCGAGGATTGTTCTTTAAGTTTGTCCACACAATCAAGAAGGATCTGTGACGGATGAGACGAGCCCACCAGATGTATGTTGATAGATGACTGAGATACACGAGAAAGGAACTCGACTTTATTGGGTGTGATGATCCGAAGTCCATCAGGCTCGGACTTGATGATGGGTATCGTGAAAGAAAGGTCAGAGTCTGGATTCTCGCGAAGTAAATGGTCTAAGTCAAACTCTTCCAGGTCAACGATATCATAGAAGAATGAGATGGAGATCTGGTCTGGACCTACCAATTTGATCTCGTCTCGTAGAGACAAGATAATGGCATCATTTCCAGCCCATTCTATCATGAATGGAGCGCTTGATTCGTTGGAAGTATCATACTCTAGCAAAACTCTATCGAACAGTTTTCTAACAACATAAATCTTTGAAGATTTAGCATTGAAAATAGATATTAATGAGCCATCATGTGAGGTCGAAATCTTCGTGAAGGGACCGTCCGTGAGCTTTTGGTCATCAAAGCTTGCGATTTGGGTAGCTAGACTGATCTTTATGATGTAAATGGTGTTCGAATAGCCTAGTAGAAACTCGATTTCTTGACTATCAGAGGCAATGAGCGCCATGCAATGTACTTGAGACAAGTCCAAGTGATCCAAGGAGAGATCGTAATTCTGGAAAGTGTCTAAACGGGAGAAGGTTATTCTGTTCTTGTGACGAAGCACCAATATTTGGTCCCATACCTGAGCCTCCACCACATCAAAAGCCTCTTCAGTCTCATTATTCTCGAGGTTGGTGATCACGTACTTAGGCGCCCTACTAGGGTCGTCACTCTGATCACCCAATGCCGTAAGATTCTCAGTAAAGCTGTATTCGTTGAAAGTACCTTGAAAGTCAGTGTATAGTCTATACTTCCCACTGCTAAGAACAACAATTAGGTCCTCACCCCGGAAAGCAAAGTCCACAATGTGTTCTTGTGGGGTGGAATTGAAGATCACCGACCAGAGCTTATTGCCACTGATGGAATATACATCAATTACATTCGGATAGTTTGCCGAACGAGACGCTAGCGCCATAAGCGTAGTATTCGTGGAAATAGCCACCCTATAGTTGGCATGTAGGTTGTCGATAGACCAATTCAAGGAGTCGTAACATGTTCTTATGCTATAGTAAACATCATGAAGTTTTTGCCATGTAAGGCTAGGACTGGATAGCATTTGAGGTAGCTATACAATTGGCGTTTGTTACCGGTCGTTAATGGTTTGAGGTGTACGTGAATGAATGAAGTAAATAAGTAGTCTGTAGTTTATGTAGCATTCGCATGTCCATAGTATCGTAGATAGTGGCTGCGAAAGGCTTACTAGGAAAGCAGATACCAGTACAATGCACCATGGCATTTTATTCAGATCGTGATTTTGGTGAATGTTTCTGCCTTTAATCGTCTAAGCGTGTCTATTTTGAATTCTTTATATTACTTCGTTGATCCGATCTACCTTGGCACTGGTCTTCTTCATACATAAGCACTGGATAGGTTGAAACCTACCTCTACTCGAAAACCTGCCAACCCCAACTTAATCTAAATGTCCTCGTCATTACACTTTTTATGTATTGAGGATCTATTCTCTCCTGAGCCTTTCTCTCTTCCACCCTCTCTGGCTGACTCTTCACTATGGCCATCACATCTGAGCTCTTCTCGCCGCGCAAGAAACCAAGAAACCAATTTCCAACCCAAGTACTACTCTCCATCCACAAGTGCCCCCACCAAACAATGGCCGAGCCAGACGCATCTACAAGCTATATCACGCTCGTCTCTTCAGACAATCACAAATTCATCTTGATGAAAGATGTGGCGCTGATATCGTCTGTGCTTCGAAACATGGAAGAGTTCGAGGAGGGCCAAACTGGAAAGATCAACTTGGATATGGACGGCGAGATCCTCGATGTGGTGGTGAATTACTTGCACTATAACTATAAGTATAAGGATCAGGACGATACGGGCGAGATTCCAGAGTTCAAGATTCCAACCCACTTGGCCTTGGAGCTTCTTGTCAAGGCCGACTACTTGGACATTTAGATGGAGATTGACGAATACGGGGGAAACTAATCTATGGAAGAGGTTGTATAAAATGTCTTCTTTGGCTTTGGTAGGCCTCCGTTGGGTTGGGTGTGCCTCTTAGGTTCAGTGATGCCTGGTGATGCTACTGCTACTTGCGGTGAGAAATGGATAACTGCTTTTTCCAGGACCGGTAAAAAGCACTTTGGGTTAACCCGCTTTCCAAAATCATCCCAAACCACCAAATAATGTCTTCTTGTTCTCGGATCGTTCTCGTATAGGCTGCCTTCAGCTGCTGTCTGTTGCTGCTGCCTGCCTCGAGCGCTACAGCATAACCATATATCACACCAGAACAGAAACAAACACATGCTCTGCAAAACCAATAAATTAATTCTAATATATTCCCATTTCATATTACACCTTATTCACCCATTTATTGTTAATCTACGCCTCTGATCTGCTTCTCCCAGGTGACCCGTCCTGCACCTGTTGAACCCGTCTGGCTACTCCCTGGGGTACTCCTACAAGAGCCACCTTATCGCATTTCCTTACGTCAATGAACCACTCATGACTCAACTCTTGGATAATCTTAATAAAGAAGTGGATCTCATAGATGCTGCTGGCAGGTCTAGTCTAGACTCGCTTCTAGCGGAGTCGGATAGTATTCTCGACGAGCTCCGAGATATGGAGACCAGTCTCCAGAACGAGCCTGATCAGACTGAAGGCGGCTCAGCTGTGGCATCCAAACTTGATTCAGTGACACTGAAGTGGTACAAGAACTCAATTACCAACTTGAAGACTTACAACTCGCAAATCAACAAGTTCAACAAGAATATTGTCAATAGTCATAAGTACAAGGTGGACTTGGATAACGCATACCCCTTTCCACTTGTCTTGAACTCGTTTCCGGTGAAGGAATTGACAAAACAAGAGAGAGAGGATCTCTCGGAGAAGGACTCTCTTGCTGTGTTGAAGCTGGAGAACAGACAGCACCTAATGAAATCTATCATATTGCATTTGCTTAAGATCGGCCAGGGTGACGCAGTGGAACTGCTCCTCGAGGAGGTTGGCGAAGCTGAAATTGATCGTGTTCAGTTAGCCAACTTCCGGAAATTGAGGACGATGGTTGAAGATGTGCGTGAACGCCATGATCTTAATGGGGTACTTGAATGGTTCGAGGAGAAGGAGCGTCTCAAGATCCCTCTAGATAGTGATGACATATCTTTCAAGTTTCACATTCTTCAATTTGCCTTGCTATTAGCTGGCCTCGCCGAGGATAAGCTGGCGCCGCAGATTGACTCTGCCTTGGCTGCCTATAGCTATGCAAAACAGCATTTCCCACGGTATTTCAAAGACTTCCTTAATGAGATCGCTCCCATCATGACACTAATGCTATTCAAAAGGATTGATGATGCCAGCGAGGAAGAGTCACAGAATAACTTTAAGGAAACGATCATTCAAGCTTTCCAACAGTATGGGGCTAGAAACAAAAGCCACTCGCATGAGGTGGAATTCGTTAGCGAGATTCTAAGCTGCTTCGATCTGCTTCACACAAATCACCTGCTTTTTGAAAACCTATCAATCAAGTTTATCTCCGAATTCTGTGCATCCATGCAACTTTCCAGTGAACTGTCGTTATTCCAGAGTCTCTTGGCGGGTTTCATCAACATACCCAATTTCTACAAGTATAACAACCTTCAAAGGAGACTCGGTCGTGGTAGTCGCCTGGGCTTGGCTAATGGCGATGCTAAAGAGGAGTCATCTATCACCCAGTCATTCAAACAAGATCTTCCGTTCCAGTTACCAGACACAAACCGTTTCTTGTTCAACTATCATCCAATCTTCATCTGTCCTGTTTCTAAAGAACAGTTGGTTCCGCTAAGTACAGTGGCTAAGATATCTGAAGAAGACGTTTTGGATCCAAAGAGAAAGTTTACGCTTATATCGCCTACGCAGAAATTGGTGCCAATGAGTAACCCAGTGGTGGTGTTCAACCACTGTAGGCACTTGGCTTTGAAGGACAGTGTCAAGCATCTTTCCAGAGGCGGGTCGGAAGTTTTCAAGTGTCACTATTGTTACAAAAAGCATAAGCTTCTGGATGTCAGTGACGCATATTTTATAGATTTGTAATGAAGTTACGTTCCTGGTTCAATGTAGAGGTACTATGGTAGTTCCTGAAGACCATCGCGAAAATTATAGGTTGCAGCCATATCCAATCTCCATCCCATTCCATGACGAAAAAGCAGGACCCAACGTCCCTCATATCGGAAGACTCGGTATTGGGTGACTCGTGGATTCCTATCTATGAGGAACCCGTGGACTTTGACGCCAGCCATTTTGATACTGCCATGAGTAACCTCATACGAGAACCCAATATCAACTCAACAGTGATCATGAGAGCAGATATCCTCGAACAAAACAAGTATAATGACAAGGGAGAGCTTGAGGACACCAAGAGCTTTAACCTGGAACTTCCAGCGTTTGACTCCGGCAACTCGGACTCCCAGGAACTTCTCCACAGAGATCTAGATGATATCAAACTTCGATCAGTACCCTTGAATGGCCTGAAGGTAAAGCTCCTTGATAGCTACAATGTCATTCGTCGCATGATTCCAAGGAATCCTTATAAAGATCACATTATCAATCAGACTTGTTTGGTTCTCCTGGGTAATCAGGGACAGTCAGTTTTAGTGGTCTATATCCCTCACATCCAGCATATCGAAGAAGTTCCCTTTTACCTCCCACCAGTGATAGCTGTGGGTATTCTATATCATGAAGGAAAGCTTCTGATCCATTATGTTCCATTCCAAGGTACAAACATGAGAGAAATGGATCTTTCAGAGAGACCATTTAGAATTGCATTAAGGCTTCTCCAGACGTCGGCAAAACATTCTCTGGGAGCTAAGCTGGGTTATGAAAAGAGAGTCAAGCATGATCTTGTCGTTCCTCGCGTTGCTTTTCAGAATCGTTATATTGCATTGAAGAAGAAGTACCTGGCGGAATTGGTTGCAAATTGGTGTGAGAGCACCGATCCAAAGAAGCATGTCTTTGAAGACTTGGCTGTGGCCGCATTTCTTATAGAACTATGGAACGATAGGTATCCTGAGAAAGACTTTGAGTTCCGTGATTTAGGGTGTGGTAACGGTCTACTTGTACATATATTGATCATGGAGGGTTACAAAGGTAAAGGCATTGATGCTCGTGCCCGTAAGTCCTGGAAGACTTACCCAGCTGAAGTGCAGAAGTGTCTTACAGAGCAGATTATCATCCCCGGTATCCTTTTAAAGCCTCACCCTACTGTGGCCAAGATGGCTCCTCATATCACTAATAATGGTCGTCTTTTCCAAGTTCCGGAAGCCGATACACCGCATCCAAAGCAGGTTCCGCTTATGAAATACTACTCCTCGGCCAATCTTCTTGAATCTTCCAAGGTTTGCACGACGGAAGAATTCCCTAAAAACACTTTCCTCATTGGAAATCACTCTGATGAACTCACATGTTGGATGCCTCTTTTCAACCTACCTTTCGTTGTTATTCCTTGTTGCTCACATGCTCTCAGTGGTGCAAAAATCCGTTATAATCCTCGTCCAAATTTCGACCCTGTCACGAAAGCCAAGTTGCCTCCTCAAAACGTATCTACATATGGTGCATTAGTCGACCATGTGGAAGACTTGGCTCAAAAAATGGGCTGGGATGTTGAAAAAGAGATTTTGAGAATTCCCAGTACGAGAAATGCTGCTATCATTGGAATTCAAAAGCAAGATGCTTTTAAAGACGAGCCAGAAGAGGTGACTGGAATGAAGACTATAGATATTCTTGCCACGGAAGGAGGAGCTGAAGGATGGGTAGAGAACTCCATGGCACTTATGAAAAAGAACCCAAAGAACCATTAATTAAGATTATTTTAAAATAGAGAATAATAAAAAATAACGGAAAGTTAATATTAGTAGTTAGATCTGTTATATTCATGAAATGGGTGCAAAATACGCAGTTTTTAGTGCAATTTGCGACCCTATACAAAAAGCGAAAACATAAAAGTGTCATGAAAAATCAGAATCTTCTCTAAACTGGATGAAAGCTTAACCGAAGGTTCTTATCCACCAAAGGAATACTCCAAGTGGATAAAATAGTGATCCAAAGCTTGCAAACGTGTTTACCGACCCAAGTTGTAGAACGCCCAGGCTCTCTACTATTAATAGCCCAATAAATAGCATAATAGTAAGTTAACCAAAAGCAGAACCTACAGAGTAGCTCAAGACATAAAATTACTAATTATAGTAACGTTTACGTATCATAAACTGCCATTCCGTCCATTTTTCCACACCTAGCAAAACCCTTTCCAGTGAAGGTCCTGCACCTTTCGGTTCCACTTCTGATTCATTATCGCCAACGCGCCATAGCCGAATTATTCACCAGTATGACAGGGTCCTCGTCTCAGTATGTATAAGTTTTTGGCTTAAAAAGAAGTGCATTACTAACATTAAGATTCCAGCAGCTCGAGAAGCTCGGTGAGGGTACTTATGCCACCGTTTACAAGGGCAGAAACAGGGCCACAGGTGCGCTAGTTGCCTTAAAGGAGATTAGTTTGGACTCAGAGGAGGGAACGCCGTCCACTGCTATTAGAGAAATCTCTCTTATGAAGGAATTGGAGTATGAAAATATTGTTACGTTGTATGATGTGATTCATACCGAAAACAAGTTGACGCTTGTCTTCGAGTACATGGACAAGGACTTGAAGAAGTACATGGAGACCCATGGCACGAACGGTGCGTTGGACTTGAAAATCGTTAAGCTGTTCATGTTCCAATTACTCAAGGGTATCATGTTCTGCCACGACAACTCGGTCTTACATCGTGACTTGAAGCCTCAGAATCTTTTGATTAACCAGAAGGGCGAGTTGAAAATCGGTGATTTTGGTTTGGCTCGTGCGTTTGGAATTCCTTTCAACACTTTCTCCAATGAGGTCGTGACTTTATGGTACAGAGCTCCTGACGTCTTGCTAGGATCTAGAGCTTACACTACTTCCATTGACATTTGGTCGGCCGGTTGTATTTTCGCTGAGATGTGTACTGGTAAGCCACTCTTCCCTGGTACAGCCAACGACGACCAGCTCAATAAAATCTTCAGGTTGATGGGTACTCCTAACGAAAGAACTTGGCCTGGTGTTTCACAATATCCTAACTTCAAGAACAATTGGCAGATTTGTGTCCCTCAAGACTTGCGCTTAATCGTGCCTAACTTGGATCCAATGGGATTGAATTTGTTGACTTCATTACTACAGATGCGCCCTGAGGCACGTATTACAGCCAGGCAAGCCTTGCAACACCCATGGTTCCACGAGATTGCCAATCCAACACCTAATCCAATGATGCAGCCTATGGCTGATCCATACCAGCACCAGCAGCAACAGCAGCAGCCACAACAATAGAATAGCCGCCAAGTTGCTTGTTATCAGTGCGGGCACACTGACGGTGAGCATTTTAGCCCCAAAGCATCTCTAAATAGCTTCAATGTTAAGCTCTTCTATCGTTATTTCAACCGGTACTAAATAAGTTTCATCAAACATTAAATTAAATTATTCTATTAAAGCGTCTCCAAAGATCTATTAGATAAAAGTTGTTGCAAGTCAGGTTTTTCAACTTGCAGTGTGAGCCATGCGAGATCCCTAAGTCTTTCCTGATCTTCAATGGGACACAGCAAAAGGGCATCTTCGGCGAGCGTGTAAAGTAATTCACGAGTAAAGTCAGGTACCAGCCTGTTATTCTCATCACCAGATAATGATTCTGCACGAGTTATACATTCAACAAGCATTTTAAATTCGTCGAAGGTGTACACTTGCTGCAGTGATTTAAAGTCAGCATATTCAGGAAACTGCTCGTAAAGTAGCTGATCAAAGCATGCTTTCCTAAAGGCTGTTGGACTTTCCAATGCACATTTACAGCTTTCGACCAAGCGCCTGATCATTAATGCTCTGGAGTGAGTTAACCTTTGGTAGAGCGAACCCGGGATCTGAGTAGGAGGCGGAAGGTTCGAAGCTACTTCGATAGCTTTCACATTCTTCTGCTTTTTAACCTCTTCAAGAATGATAAACTCACTTGCATCTCCCTCAGCCTGCTGAGCCTTTTTCATACCTTCCACCATGACTTTGAAGTGCCACTGAAAGAACGCCTGGCGATTCTTGATTTGAAACTCCATCTCGTTCTCATCATAGATTGGAATGCCAGGGTATCTCTCTCTTATAATCTTGAGAGCAACGTCATTCATGAAACGATGACGAAATACTCGGATATCAATCCCATACTTCTCTTCATAGATATCTCTCGCAAACATTAGTTGAAAGGTAGCAAAGCGTTCCATCACATCAGATCGAGTCTCGTAACTATTATAGACGGCCTCGTGTCTTTCAATCCAATCACTGTCGACCTCCTGATTCTTATTCTGGATCATGCAGTGGTCTAGTACCTTAAGGAAGAGCCATTTGTTCTGTGTAACCTCTTCAGCATCTTCGTCAGTTAACTTCGGTGCAACAAGAACGTCATTAAAATACTTCGATGTAAGCGGTAAGCCGTTATCTATACCAGCTAACAAGAACACTTCCCATAGAATATCATGCGGTAGGCGTTCAAGAATGGAAGAAGAAGACTCGATGGGCTGTTTGAAAGTTCTGGCTCTGCGCACTTTCAAGGGATCCAAAGGAACAGCACGGTTTCGTTGAGCAACATACTCAATCACAGCAGCATTAGTACCCGGCCTCTTTCGTCTGAAACGTCTTCCTGGAGCCACGAAGCCCATGAGCCAGTGTGGGTCAAGGAAGAAGTGATGAGATCAGTGAGTGCGATGGAAATTGTACATAGTGGTTAATGGCTGCGAAAATGCGTTCATTGCGATCTACGACGCTAGTGCTATATTCAATGTAATAAAATAGGAAATACTTAGATGAGACGATAGCAGAGCTTAGAACTTGCCACCAGCCTTCTCCTTGAACTGCTCCTCGGTGACACCAGCACCCATGGCAGCAGTAGAAGTGACACCTCCACTCACCATTCTCAACAAGGAGTCGATGTACTCGGCACCAGACCATTTCTGGTGCTTCACCACCTCGACACCACCGTCGATTTCTGGCTTCTGGACCTGCTGGCCGTAAGCCTTCATACCAATCTCGGCGTAGTTCTTGGAGAAAGAGTCGACAGCCAAGGCGGTGGTGTGCAAACCAGCCAAGGTGATGAACTGCCAGACGTAACCCAACTTACCCAATCTCTTGATGTAAGTCTCCTGGTCAGAGGTGCTCATGGCAGTGTTCCAGTTGAAAGATGGAGACAAGTTGTAAGCCAACCACTGGTCTGGCCACTTGGACTTGACACCCTCGGCGAACTCCTTAGCCTGGTTGTAGTCTGGCAAAGCGGACTCCATCCAGATCAAGTCAGCGTATGGAGCGAAAGCTCTACCTCTCATGACGGCACACTGGGTACCACCAATGTATCTGTAGTAACCTTCTCTGGTTCTAGAAGCGTCCCAGTTGAAGTAAATGTCCTTACCCAAGATCTCCTTGGCAAGCTTTCTGGCCTCCTTGTGAGAAGTCTCAGACAATGGGTTAACCTTGGCGGTGAACTTGGAGATAGCACCCTCCTTGTCAGAGATGTTAGAAGCCTTGATGGCGTCAACAACAGCCTCGGAGAACAACTTGACACCAGCCTTCTTGTTCCACTCGGTCTCGATGCTGGCCAACTTGTCACCGTAGATACCAGAAGCCTCAGCCTCGGCCATCAAGGTGCTCAAGTCTGGGGAGTCTGGGTTGGTGGAACCAGCAATGAAGAAGTGGTCTCTGTGGTCGATAGTAGAGGTGATCAAAGTAGCAGCCTCAGAGTCGGTTCTGGCAACAGCCAAAAGGTCAGAGCCGCAGATATCAGCGGAAGCTCTGATGGCAACCAATCTGTTGATGTGTTCCTGAACAGGCACCAACACCTTACCACCCATGTGACCACACTTCTTGGTACCTGGGGCCTGGTCCTCAATATGGATACCAGCAGCACCACGCTCAATGAACAACTTGGTCAACTTGATGATGGCAGTCAAACCACCGTGACCAGTGTCACCGTCAGCGATGATTGGTCTCAAGAAGTCAGTGTATGGAGTCTTGGCTCTCTCCTCCTTGGTCATACCCAAACGCTCCAGTCTCTGCTTTCTGTCGTGGAAAAGCTGAGCGAAGAACAAGTGCTCAACCTTGTTTGGCACAGTGTCGTAAGGGTAGTCAGCCAAATCTGGGGATGGCTCGTTGGAGGTAGAGGCGGTGGAAGAACATTGCCATCCAGAAACGTAGATGGAGTCAACGTACTTGGCCATCTGGGAAACGTGGATTGGGTCCAAAGCACCAAAGGTGAAAGAAGCAGTACCGTTCTTGTCGTGCTCCTCCAAGAGCTTGAACATCTTCTTAGCCTGCTGAGAGGATGGGTAATCAATCTTCAAGGTGCCTCTCTTGGCAGCAATCTCCTCTGGAGAATAGATACGCTTGGTCTTTCTCCAACGAGGTTGAGACCACCACTGCTTGAGTTCAGTGAGCTGGTCCTGGTAGAACTTTTCTTCTTCGTTGACGTCGATTTTCGTGTAAGGCATGATTGATTTACAGAAATGGGATGGAGAAGAGAAAAGAAGAAAAAAAAAAAGCCTAGTTATGGGTGGGAGAATTGGCGCCTTATATATCACAAGTGAGGTTACCCCAGACTTTTCGGCATGTCCGCTCGCCCTGCAGTAACTTTCTGGTGGTTCACCGCGCAAATGCTGGAGGCCTCGGATATGCGGACAAAACCGAGTTGGCGAAAAATGTGGGTATAGAACGGAAGCGAGGAAGAGAGTCAGAGGTAGAGAAGTCAGACTTGTACGTTTTATGACTCTGACCGTTCAGCCAAAGACCAAAGAATAATATTCTTCTTTACAGCAAGGAGGGGCAATGTCCAAGGAGGTGGATTACGTTTTTGTCGTTTCCCTCTACCCTCCACTTTTCACATTCTTTAAGGCGCCCGGGATACACGTACTGCAGAGAGCCCGGCTCACCCAAGCCCATGGCTCACAGGCAAGCATGGTTGAAGGAAAAAAAGAAGAGGTAGTACTGCTAGCTAGGCAAGACCGATACCCGGCGCCGACACATCCGGACGTCCGGATGTGCCCCCATACTTTCCGCGGCACCATGCCCTTGTAACCCATTAACGAATAACGAAAAATGTCATAGTTTTTCCGAACTCTCCTTGAACGTCGCCAGGCGCAGCAAGGACCTCCCTCCCATTATGGTACTCTACGAATCCGTCATGCGGCAGCCAAACGATTCAGAGTCGTCCGCCTTGGCTGACTCAAGCTCGGTAAGTCACATGGCTGGTCCCCCGGGTACACTGAAAAAAAGACAAGAATGGGTGCGAAACCGCTCACAAGAGGCCTTTCCCAGCCAGTCTACTCAGTCCACAAGACCATTCACTGACAACCCACAATGACCTCTACTACCTCTACAAATCTAGTATTCTTCAAATTATCACCTGTTTCCCACGGAAGTTGCTCTCGCGACTTTTAGCCTTTGTTGCGTTGTCTCAGTAGAGCATTATCTGGACCAGGGCAGTTTTTCATTGGACCAGACCGCGGGGGGTCTATGGTTGCGGTTAACACACCAGTGTCCAGTACCCGGGACAATCAGGCCCAGGCTGGTGGAGAGGAGTGCCCCGCTGACATCACAAAGAGGGATGGGGACAATGTATGGAGGGAAGTAATTGGGGGTGAGTATTTCGGAGTTGACTCCGATCAGTAGGTTATCGGTGGGACCGATCTTATCGGCACTGCCGTAGTGGTAGAAAGTGCCCCGCTGGAGGGGCCCCCAAGAAAGCGACATAACTTGACGTGGGTATTCCGTGTGGGTCTATTCCGCGTTTTGCAACCATTTCTGATGGAGGGGAACGGGTGGATTACTTGGATAGTGATATAAGGAAAGTGGTTTGGCGGAATTTTTTTAAGGGGTTGGCTTGGGCTGCGCTTGGTTGGCTCGCGTTGGTTGGGTTTGGGTGGATACGTGAAATGAGGTGGGTTTCCGGGAATCCTCGTGGGGGCACATATACGAGGTATGGTAATGGCTGCAAACGTGCAGTGGGGGTGAAAAGTATGGAATTTTCAGAAGGGGCGGTGAAGAATACGGTGTTTCTTGAGTTTAGAGACTATGGTGACTGGACGATGATCTAGGAGAATTGGTTGGGACCAAGTGCTGGATCCATCTAGTGCATACACTTATCGCTCACATCATGCGTTTAGAGGGGTGGGTTAAGCAGGGAACAAAGGAGACACTGGTCATATTACAGGGGTCAATTCAGATCAAGCATTTGTGGTTTGAAACTCAGGAAGTTTGGAGCTAGAGCATTTAGATCGTGGCCTTAGTTAAACCATCATGATACGATCCAACCATCCAGATCTGATCACCTTCTTTATAAGAACGTCACATTTCTTATCAAACACCAAGATTTCAAACGATAACGACCATTAGTGCTTGCTAGAGACCCCAAATGAATCGTTTACTGTTCCTTTAGGCATATTTTTCACTCCATCTGCTACGAGGGATTCACTTGAGGTCCTGAGTAACCCATCAAGGCTCGATCATCAAACTGACTAATAAGCCCAATTGACAACTTTCCCTACACGTTGGGACCGCCTATTGTCCTAATTATCCCCACCAACGTTACTTCGATCGTCCCCAGGCTGGCCAGACTCCAAGTGCTGGTCTACCCCAACCATCCACCACTTCCAGGACTTGCAACCACTTGGCGGACCAAAGGCTCCGTCAACACCACAGTGACATCATTCTATTCATTTTTCCTTCTTTCCGTCTTACGAATCAGACGTTTATCCATACCGTTGGCGTTTATGCAGCATGATCCAATGAGTCTTCCGTTCATCCATACTCCGAGCCCGCGAGGTATCACCGAGATCACCGAACCACTATATAGACAGTTAGTCAGCTACTTTATCAAGAAGTGGATGATCAACTTGAATTACTCATCCAGGCGGTTGAACGGGTGATGAGTCGACGGATAGCGGCCATAAGGAACGGTTTGTGGGGGATCTGGCTTGTTTTCCACGGAAGAGAGGGTGGGTACTGAAGGGTAACACAATAGGTGGAGAATTCTACTGATCTGGCTGTCAATGCTGGATTGGGTACGGGAGAAAGCTTCACGGGGGGCCCAGTGGGTCTTCAGCAATGATATCATGGTAAGGTAAGTTACCCGTGGGTTCAACGCTCCTTGCTGGATCTCTACACTCCACAAGGACAGTAATTGGCAAGATGGTACGAAACCAAGTGGAAATTTACCTCATAATTCTAGACAGAGTGTAGGGTTCCTCCGATGCTCTTTCTCTATTAAGCTAAATTTCCCGTTCAATGAGTTGGGTGGGAGAGAGGGCCGTACCTGATCCTCATCAATGGCTGCAACAAATCAACTGAAAGGCCCCTTCCCAGCAACTTCAACTTCTAAACCCAAAAATAGCCAGTATCTCTTTAAAAGAGCAACTCAATATCCACCTTGACAGGTCGTAAAACCAATCATTCGAAAAACCATAAATAGCTTTACTCTTCCTACATCTCTCACTACCAATCGGGCCTCGGCACATTAACACTCCGGCTCAGGTACAGCCACTGTCGCTCAAAGCCCATGGAAAAAAAAATATCACAAAATAAAAATTCTACTACATAGTTATACTGAAGCCAACAAACCACTCTCCCTCACATTTCGACGTTTTTCCATAGTGTGGTTGCAATTCGTCTCTCGCCCATTTCTCTGCAAAATCATATCTAACCTCGCACAAACCACTCAGTGCAACAACTCATCTTCCAACTACCCATGATAGAGTCCTACATTCCCCAGGAGTACCTCCAGTACTTCCAGTACTTTCCAGATGCCCAGAAAGTCACGAATGCCATCATTTCGACGACGCCCCTCTTTACGTATGGGTTGGCCTGCTGGGGAATATATAGGAACAAGTCTTCAACAGGCTTCTCGATAGATATCTGCTTGTCGATGCTTGTGGCGTCGATACTACGGATCTTGTATTATTTTGTGACGCCATATGAAGTGTCGCTTTTACGCCAGTCATTTTCTATGGTGTTCATTCAGTGTCTTCTTCTACGGACGGCTTTGACTTATAGACCAAGAACATACAACCCTGAGAACTTGGCTGAGCTTCCTGACCTACTGGAGGAATTGAGCAATGTACCGAAAGTATTGGTCTCTCCATATTCATACGACCAATCGGAGTTTTACATTCATATTCTTACTTCTGCTCTCCAGTACATTTCGGTTTGGGGAAAGCAAGGTCTTCGACTTTTCGATGTATACTATAAACGACCAGGTTTCTTCTGGCAATGGATAGACCAGGATAAATACTGGCTGTTTATTGGCGTGTTTACGTTATTTTTCACGACGATGACGATATTTTTCCAAAAATCTGATACATTTGGCTCTACCATCGGCTTCTTCGGCCTTTTCGTCGAATCATTGCTCCCACTTCCACAGATCTTGTTATTGAACAGACTTCGGTCCGTCAAGGGGTTCAAACTGGTCTTGTTGATCCTGTGGCTCTGTGGTGACCTTACGAAATTGAGTTATTTATTCTTTGGAGCATCCGACATCTCAATAATATTTATACTTGCAGCCTTATTCCAAATGGGCTTGGATCTTGTCATTCTTTACCAATACTTCCATTTCAAAAAGATAGATGAGGCGACCCCTGAGATACCCATGTTCAACGTACCTCAGCCCTCAGCATAGAGCTTAGAACTAATCTTACTACGACTACATTTAATATTTAACGCATATTTAATAATGACTTTAAAACTCGATCTAGCGGATCATATATGTAAAATTCGTAAAAAAAAAAAAGTAACGTAAATAATATTAAATAAAATCAACAGACACTGAGGTACTCGACATTCTCCTTGGCCTCATTGATCAAGTCGGCCGCGTCCCTGCCACTGATCCCATGCTTGACTTTGATATGCCTTGACAAGGCATCGCCTCTGGAGAACGTCTTCGACTTGCCATTGCCGGCACCACCATGCTCCCTGCCTTCGCAAATCACACAACGGAATATCTTCTTCTTAGCAGCGTGTATCGTTTCCTGATGTCTAATCAAATCGTACGGTCTGCTGAAATGTTTATGACAAGGCGTTCCAGTGGAAGGATTTATCATAGTACATTCATGCGTAGGATTGTTAGCAGTAATCTCTGCAGCTGTGGCGTGTTGATTCGTGAAGGACTGGTGAGGCATCGTTCTGGGCTCATCTTCTCTCTTGAACAAGTCGACATGATTATTACTCTGTAGATCATTTACCATGACACCATCATTGTCGTTCTTGAATGCAATTTCCTGTTCACTTCCGTAGTCCATGCTATCAGTCGTAGGAGCTCTCTGGAGGGTTTCCATGAAACCACCGAGCTGAGGAGCAGCCTGGGCAGGCTCTTCGAGAGGAGACTCGAAAGGAGCGTAGCCAGCAGGGGATGGGAACTGAAGGTCTGGAGCGGCAGTCGATTCCATCATGTCATCGAAGTCATCATCTTGAAAGTAGTTGTCATCATCCTCATCGTCTGAATCATCACTGAAATCAGACTCTTCGGCAATATTATCCATCATGACATAGTCGCTCTCGAAACCTGGCACAGGGAGACTGGCAGGGCCAGTACCCAAGTGGGAAGATTTATCTAGATCGCTATCCATAATGAAAAATGAGTCGTCTGTACCGTTAGGGAAGAATGAGCTGTTATTTGTCATCAAGGAGGATGGCTGGATATCAGTGTTAAATAAATAGAAGTCTTCGTCGTTGTATTTCTTACCATTTCCAACATCAGGCTGTTCAAGTGTCGTTATGCGTCTTCTTCTAGCTGGATGAGAGCTTCTCTGAAGAACCTCAGGTCTGACGAAATGCTGCTGTGATGGGGAAGGGTATGGCTGGTTAGGCATGTTCTCAGGTATTAGGTCATCGGCGGCAGCGCCGTTAGTGTTCAATGCAGTGGATTCGAAATTCAGGTATTCGTTACTCGAGTCGAGGAATAGGCTGGGCACAGTGGAGTTCACTTGAGTGTTGGAGCCGTTGACACGGTTATAGTGTTCAACAAACGATTCAGGAATATTAAGCAAATTCGACAAGGTCTGTGCAGCGGATGACGGGTTCTGAGCAGGGTTCAAGGAAGGAGATGAGCCAGCCTGCAAGCTCCCTGGAGCCGGCTGGTACAAATCATCATCCATGACATCGGTAATGGTCTTCTTGAGAGGGGGTAACACTGCCAAGGAGGTCATTATTTCTTCAACAGTTTGAAAGGTCTGTTTAGGCCCTTGAGACAAAGCGGAAGAAAGAAGGTTTGGGGTAGTGTGGGTCGAAGGTTCAGCTATCAGTTCCACAAGAAGGTTATGGAAGGATAACGAAGGGCTTCGAAGGGCGGACAGAAAGCTTTTCTCTTTTTTTAATTAAAGGTCACGGAATTCAGAGATAGAATTCGGATTACACACCAGACGATAGAAAGAAGTGGTGTGGTGGCGAAAAGTGGGTATAAGGTAGAAAAAAAAGCTAACTTGGATGGTGAAAAGCAAAATCGAGAAATGGTGGCAAATATATAGAGCTTACTAATGCAGGCTGAGGTGGCGTGCAGCACCGAAGCCTCAGTAATATGAGATAAGACATTTTTTCCTACTGTATTGTCTGGGTGCGAAAACAAGCAGGTGAAAGTGACTTGAAGGGTATAGTTATATGGGGTTCCGGGGGTCGAAAAAGAAAAAGAAAAATATGGAAATGATGCCCTGAGTTTGGCGATCACGAATATGTAATTAGTTTTCCGAAGTTCCCACTCGTTCCCCCAAAAAACCACCAACACGCCCTTCCCAAATGTCACTTTTCGCTTTTGTGTCTGTGCCACTGAGCTTTCTCCGTGTCCGAATGGCGCGAAAAGTGTGCCAATTTTGGGTCCTTTCTGGGGCCAGAGGCCTCCTCTACCGCCGAATCCCTCGCCTTTTCGGTGCTACCCCCGTCCGTAAGGTCCGATTTGGCCCTGCTACGCAAATGACTCATCCACAGTTTCAGAAGGGGAATCAGGGAAACGAAAAAAGAGGGATTCTTCTTTTTTTCCTTTTTTTTTTTTTATGCCATAGCATTTCAGCTAAAACTGGTTTCCCTTTCTGTCTTTTTTCTTCTCCTTCAAATCCTCCAAGGTGGCTACTTTGGTGGGTGGGCCACGGCTGGTGACAGGTGTATTTGGTCTTGCAGCATAGTAGGCAGTAGGAGCGCTGGAGCGCTGGAGCGTTTGATGACAGCCCCGGCGGTTGGACGTTTCTTTTTTCGGAAAGGCTTTGGGGTTGAACGTTGCCACCGACAGATGGAGGGAAGAAAAAGGGTTTTCTTCTATTTATGGAATTTGTTGCTTTTGTTAGGTAATGCCTCCTTGTCCACCATGAACAGTAGCCACGGTGGATTCTTTGTGTGAAGTGGCTGCGAAATATGTGTGCACCGTTATAGCCACAATGGAGAGCAATGGTGAGGGAGATCCAAGAAAGCAACAGATCTGGACCGAATGTAGTTTATCACAATGTATCTTGAATGTTCCGCCATTGTTGATGATGTGGGGATTCCTCGTCCTCTGGTGATCGGTGCACCCACCACACCTTTCTCTATAAGTGTATATCTATGCCAACGAACCTTTGCCAGGTTCGTATTTGATGTGATGGAAGTGTTTGTAAGGCAATGTCGTGATTTTGCTTGCGCTCGTATGCTCCTTGCTTGATGTTTCGGAAGCCCGGATCATCAATCCAACCTGGGGATCCGTCCGGTTCTAGACTTCAACCCCCTGGATCTAGTCACAATCAAATGCCATGAAATGCCCGTACAAGAGCTTTGCATGACCAGAAACGGGCCCTGGCGGAGCTCACGGTAGATTAGCATGTTGATTGTAGTCTCCAAAAGCATACCCGTGTGACGCCATGCATCGATTCGGCCTGTGACCTTGGCCTTAGCCCCTAGTATCTCCGGTTAAGGCCAGCTGTTCCATTTCCATTTCCGTTTCTGTTGATTCTGCATTCCACAGTATATGCCTCGTGTCTATAACTTTGAATCGTGATTGTTGTTCCCGTTTCCGTTTCCGCTCCCATGGCCCTCCATGGCCACTTTTGCCATACCTTTCTGCGCCAACTCCTCATCCAAATAATACATATCCTTTATTAATTGTCCCTTCTCGTCCAACTCAAACACTAAGGGCACACCCGTGGGCGCATTGATCTTGCTGATAGCGTCATCGCTGATCTTACAGAAATGCTTGATAAGACTTCTCACAATCGATCCATGGGTCACAATAAGAACCTCCCGCTCACGTTGTAAGACTTCATGCTCAACAATATCATCCACATAGGGCACCACTCGGCCCATAGTCATCCGAAGCAGCTCACCTTGGGGAAATTTTTCAATAGGAATATCCCCAAACTTGTACCTTTCATCAATTGAGTCGTCATTGTTAACACTCCCTGTTTCAGGAGGTACACCATCATAGTTTCTTCTATAATACTGGTACTTCTCCTTACCAAACTCCTTGAACACTTCGTTCTTATCTCTTCCTTGGAACAGTCCATAGTGTCTCTCATTGAGTCTCCACAGCTTATGCTGAGGGATCCACATACGACCAAGCACTTCCAAGATAATGTTCCCCGTCTTGATCAGTCTTTGTAGCATCGACGTAAACATCACATCTGGCTTGAAATCATACTTCTTCATAAGCTCTCCAGCATGCTGAGCTTCTCGTTCACCTTTGGCAGATAACGGGATATCGATCCAACCGCAAAACTTGTTTTCATGGTTCCACTGACTCTCTCCGTGACGAAGCACTATTAGCTTATGCATTACACCAGGGAGTCTATAAGGGTGGTGGTCAGGTAGTTTTGATCTGGACCAAGATAAGTACTTGCTTCCATCACGTGTGTTCAGCGCACCATCTGACTAGCGGAAGCACCTGGAACATACATATGGTGGGGGTAGAAAAAAAAAAGTAGTAAGGTGATTGGTTGGTTTGGGTAAGGAGATGAAGGTTTGAAGGTTTTGATGACTATTGGGTTTGTGTGGGTGCTCATGGCGGTACATTCATTCACTGTTCTGGCTGCGACTGTGATTTTTGCACCCATTTGCAGCGACGCAGAAGAAGATGGTGGTAGTAAATGGAGATTGTGAATATGGAGTATAATATGAGGAAAATGAAAGAAGAGTATTGTAAAGAACTATGGATTGGAGAGGGAGATTAATAGAGAGACAAATTGGAAGAAGTGAAATGTGTTTGTGGAAAGATGATTATGTACTACGAATGAAGCTAGTAGGATGAGAGAAGCCTGGTAATGGGGATGTAAACGAAGCAAAAGTGGGACTATAGAATAGAAAATACTGCTGGTGTCCATTAAAAGAGATATGGGCTGGAAAGGTGCCATCCAGAAAGTTTTGATAAAGGACTAGGGTAGAGATGACGTGAAGTAACTTATAGATCTTGCATTTTCAAACCCCGGGTGGGTGTCCCATTAATCGTATAAATTCAAAAACCTTAATTACTGGTACTGATATTCAGAAAAGGAGTGTCAAGAGCACTCTGAAACCTGGTAACTCATCGACATCTCTTCGGGGTAATTCCAGATCTACCGTTCCCAACTTAACCAAGACCATTCCAAACAGACCCAATTACCAAACATCTCTTCTAGAATCCCCACCATCCTTCCAACAACACCCAAAAAGCTTAACTCAATTCCCTTAATACTTTCCAAGTACAAAACCTAAATGTCCCAAACGTTAATCCCCAAATTCCGTTGCCCATACCGTTCCTCTTATCTTCTTCCCCAGATCCCATTACGTCCAAACAGGCAAGCCAAGCTAGCCACAAATACCGACAATGCCCTCGTTGACAACCACAACAAACAAACAGTCAAAGTTAATTACACCACCCACCAATTCTCACTAAACCATACAAAGACAAACCAAGCATATTCAAAACCCTCGGGGTTATCTACACCAAAAAATTTATTCCACCATTTCTTCTATTTCCAACCGCCCAAACCACAAAAGATCCAAATCCCGAAATTTCTCTTTCTCTTTCGGTACCCTGGCTTCCTCTTTTGGACTCTTCTTCCTACACCGTTCATGTAGATGCAAACCGCTCTTTGTTCCCCATGTTACATTTTCACCAAGTCGCATCTGGGGCCGCACGGCTCTGGCAGAAATAATTAATAATCTGATTTTTTTTACCATGAAATGATACAGATCAGACAGTATAGTCTATATTGACCCCAAAAAACACAAAAAATGTCCATTTCTTTCCTTCTTGCTACACCTCGTGGGCAGTGTGACCTGACCAGAAAATGTAACCTCTTCGCGGCTCCATGGTTTTCTTTTTCGCCATGCCTCACCTCACCTCGGCTCCATGCATAAAGCCTTCTGCTCAACGTTACAGTGCATCTGGAAGACTATATAATAGAAACAACCTCCCGCTGGGGTGGAAAAAAAATGTAGCTTACTTATCAGCCACCGCCACCTACCCTTTCCCAACCTGAAACTTTGCCTTTTGGTCTGCGCACGATGACCTCTACCCTCACCATCCAACCTACTCGCATCCCCATCACCGTCATCCACTCGCCAGACATGCCATCTGCTTCCAAGATCTCTGAGAGACCATACACATGGCCTGAGGTTCGTGATATAGTCAAGTATAACGATCTCGATGCGTTTGCTCGTCTGGGCGAACAGACAGAGAGTTACTTGGCGTTTAAGCGGTACTTGAAGCAACACAACTCTACGGTGTTTCGCCACATTGTCACGCTGACTTTGGGCTGGAGACGTTTGGACGAGTTGGACGGTGTTAAGGATAACAACATCACCGTGGACGCATCTGGAGATGCGCTTTTCACGAACCCAGACGACTTGAAGATTGTTAGAAACGACTTTCCATACTACTTCGAGGACGATGTCACTCATTTGTGTGTGTGGACAAAGAGGAGGATCGAAAGCGACCCCAACTCGAAAATGGGCGACCTTTCCCAGGCATCTAGAGACATTATAGAGCAATACGTCGACCAGACGATTGTGAAGCACCTTGGCATTCCTAGAGAGAACTTGGTGTGGTTCCGTAACTGGGACGCTCTTCAGAGCGTCAAGGAAATCAGCCATGTTCATATCGTCATCAAGGGAATGACTCAGGAGCAGCTTGGCCAGATTTTGGGCACTCCTGGTGTTCCTTTAAAGGCATAAACAACCTTAGAACTTTTTTCGTTATACCCGGCATTAAAGCCAACCCCACCTGTCCGCAGGCATTTACCTTAGACGGTTTTATTTATCTTAGATCATGTATTATTAGCATCTCGGTTGGAATGGACATAGAATTAGTGTTAGAGGCAGTAGATGTAGAGAGAGTAAAGCTGGCTGTACAGACAGGTCCATAACAAGAGGTGAAGAAGACGAGGCAACGTATTATAAGGAGGAGTATAAGCAGGCAAATTAAGACCAGAAAGGATAGGTGCTTCTAAGTATCTGTGGTTTACCAGTTGAGCCATGTTGGTACAGCCACATGGCCAGAGCGTGCCCAGACAGAACCCATACAAAAGCAATGGCTTAAGATTTGCCGCATTTAGTATAGCAATGTCGCAATTGCCTCCCATGGATCCCGTTCTGGCCTGCCATTGGCCAACCCCATGCTACCACCCATAGACGACCAGACGACCAGCCAACGTACCCAACATTCTGGCCCCCATAGCCATTCTCCATCCCCTATCAACCCTAAATCTCTACAACATCTTTTCGTTCATCATAAATTCAAAATAATATACAATAATATACCCAAAAGCAGCTTAACCACCGAAACCGTACAAGGTTCTGCCCTGTCTCTTCAAAGCGTAAACAACATCAAGAGAAGTAACAGTCTTTCTCTTAGCGTGTTCAGTGTAAGTAACAGCATCTCTGATGACGTTCTCCAAGAAGGACTTCAAGACACCTCTGACTTCCTCGTAAATCAAGGCAGAGATACGCTTGACACCACCTCTTCTGGCCAATCTTCTGATGGCAGGCTTGGTAATACCTTGAATGTTATCTCTCAAAATCTTTCTGTGACGCTTAGCACCACCCTTTCCGAGACCTTTTCCGCCTTTTCCTCTACCAGACATTGTTGAATGTAAATTTAAATGTGTATAGTTATCAGAAACAAAAAAGAAGAAGCCTTAATAAACGGGGGCAGAATCCGCACTATATATGTGAGTGGCGAGAGTTCCCTCAGGAAACCTGGCCTTGTTATTTGTTGCCCCGCCCCTGAGCCAAGTGTGTAAATTTTCTCACACTGCCCTGCTCACCTGGTGTGCTTTTTTCCCGCAACCAAATTGTGCCTCCACTTCCATACTAATGCGTAGTGAGCATACTGGGGTAGCTTTTTTTGTACACTTCTGTGCGCACGAAAAGTGCCTTTACTGTGCGAAACTAAGGCTTCTGGGGGTCTCTGGTGAACGGGTGTGGTGGTGCGCGCGCCTGAAACACCATGGGAAGTGTGCTTTTCTCGGTGCCAGAATGTGCGCACCACTTGCGTATATCGTGGGCCTTGGCTTTTGGTCGCACACTGTTTCTTCTCGGGGCTGCAAAAGAGTGGCACATTTTGTTATCGATGTTTGTTATGACGTACTGCAGGAGAGGTAGAGCAGATATATAAACACACAAGTTTCCTTCTCTCTTTCACTCTTTTTTATCATCATCTAAAATGGCTAGAACTAAACAAACAGCTAGAAAGTCTACCGGTGGTAAGGCCCCAAGAAAGCAGTTGGCTTCCAAGGCCGCCAGAAAGTCCGCCCCATCTACCGGAGGTGTCAAGAAGCCTCACAGATATAAGCCAGGTACCGTTGCCTTGAGAGAAATCAGAAGATTCCAGAAGTCTACTGACCTTTTGATCAGAAAGTTGCCTTTCCAGAGATTGGTTAGAGAAATTGCTCAGGACTTCAAGACCGACTTGAGATTCCAGTCCTCTGCTATTGGTGCTTTGCAGGAATCCGTTGAAGCCTACTTGGTCTCCTTGTTTGAGGACACTAACTTGTGTGCTATCCACGCCAAGAGAGTCACCATCCAGAAGAAGGACATCCAGTTGGCTAGAAGATTGAGAGGTGAGAGATCCTAAGCGGGATTAGCCCTTTCTCATTTACTTCGTTCTCCTTGTATTATTTATGTTTTGTATATTAGTAACGTCACGACTTCATATCATTTAAGCTTTTTTTTAAAATGGGTAGACCGATGGCTCTGTGCCTGGAACATAGCCTTGTTTCTCTTGCTCTTGTGCTTGTTTTGCTAAGTATGGTAAAATCACATCCTTGAACTTCTCGTACCCGCGGTACTCTCTAACATCATCACTCCAGCTCTCGATACCTTCCAAAAGCCTTCTGGGAATGTATGGTTCTTTACAGATTTCTGGAATAGGGGCAAAATACGTCCGGATCGTGAACACTACCGCTCCGCTTTTAGGGAGCCTTCTCAAACTTTGTCTTTCTGATCGGTAGTATAACTGTTCTGGGGAGGTTGCCTTGTCTGCGGTATACCAACCAACAGTATCAGAATCTTCGTTACCAATAGATTTAGACCAGCCTAGAACATCATCAAGCTGAATGAAATAGTTGTTTCTAACCACGGGCTTGTCACACGTAAGACGGGTGAAGAATTTGCTCATGCCGCTTTGCAACTTCTGCTTGTACTGAGGCACATCGCCTGTGGTGTGAATTTCGTTCAATGAAAGACCAAACTTATCTCTGAATCTCCAGAAGCCAGGCAAAATGATTGCTCCTGCCTTCAAGAAGTACTCGCCTGTAGGGCCTTCCATCATGATGGCTAAGTCGTCTTGGACCATTTTCGCAGCCATTACCATTGGATCTTCAGCCATGTCATTTACTTTGCAACCTCTAAAGATGAACTCTTCACCAGTCTTAACATTCTTAAGACCCTTTGGAAGCTGCTCAAAAAGTGATGGATACCTGTTTGGCAAGTAGGTCCAGAACTCCTCTAAAAGCTCGAAAACTGCAGCCTGGGCTTCGGGTTTGGTATCGTAGAGCTCAGTACTCCTCTCTTCGAGTCTCTTTACTTTAGCATCATGAAACTTAGGCCATTCTCTGTCGAGCTCGATCCATGAATCCCATTCCATGTTACGGATCCCCATAGTGATGTTGTACTTGTTCCTGAAGGCTCTATATGGCAAAGGCTTTGTCTTTTCATAGTCCCAATTTGGATAAGAAGGAGGAACTGGTGTTTTGAAGTCTTCAGGAACCCAAGTACCATGTTTACGGTTTTCGTTTGGTCTTTTCTTATTGGCATTTTTGGCCTTCACCTGTGCATTGAGCTTGAGACCTTTCTGGGACTGGAAGTAAACGAACACGCCAGCAGCGCCAATTAAATAAATCCAAAGCTTGATATCCGCAAATGTAGTCATGATATTCTTGAAAAACCAATTGTCATCATTATAGGTGCTCTTACCGTCTTTTAAACTGCGTTATCATGGAGATTTCGCAACCGATAGTATGCGCACAGAGCTACCCAAAAGGGTTACGAGATCCGAACAACCCCATACTTTAGGCTGGTGGAAGGAATGCCGCAAAAAGGGCAGGTTGGACGACGTTCCAGACTATGAAGTAGCCGAAAACCACCTTCTTAAGGATAGGGTAATCGTTGTGAGTCCATAAGCCAGCTGCCACCCAGTACATCATGGGTAAGAAAGTGTGTATCCTGGTTACTATCTGAACATGCCAGGAGAGTAGTAGAGCTGTAAGGAAAGCAGCATTAACCAAGGAAACAGGTAGTATACGGCTCACAGGGTACTCTTTAGCAAAGTACTTAATGCTGAAAGCCGAAAGGCCAATGGTAGGCGCTCCAAATATAAAGTTGGGGATATTGTTCAACGTCCAGTACTTGAACAAGCCAATGTTCCAATAGTGTCCTTGGGCGTATGCAAAAAGCGAAGGAATTCTGTTTGAGCACCATTCTCCTCGGTCCCCTGAGAGACAAATGGCGACGTAGTTGTATATGTTAGACACAAGAAAGGCCAATCCTAAGATCAGACCTGCTGCCAACGGAAGTAAGGGCGTCTCTGTCTTTCTGCCAAATAAGTCGTATATGTAAATTAAGCCAAGCAAAAGACAGTTAGCTCTGAATCCGAATGAGAGAGCAGCGGCCACTCCACTAAGTAAGTAGAGCACTTTTCTTGATGTGGTGTTGTATTTTGCACCCATACTGAACTCTAGAGCCTTTTCCCTCAATGCCAAACAAGTGAAGCTGAAAAGCGCAGCTATACTCTCAGAGTAGGGAGCAGTCAAGAAAGCTGCTCCTGGCAGAAGCACAAAGAATAATGATGCTAGTTCTGCCATCTTCTGTGGAGGGAAGAGTCTTGCCTGGCTGAAGACAATATATGTATAGTAATATAGAACCACTGCTGCACCAAAATGACAAATATTGGAAAGCAACGTAGCACAAATCACGTTCAGGTAGAACACAGCCTTCCCATTCACTGGAATCAACTTTATAAGTCTCCACCATAGAGGGCAGAAGACATACTGATGCTCGTAAGTCAAACCATTGGTAAACTGGTCAGCGAAGTAGACTGTATCCCATATGACAAATCTATCGACGATATTATCTAGAATTGAACGAACAACCCTTTCTATAAGTCTGTCTATGGGTGAAATGGACGTGTGTATGGCGGTTGCAAGGACGTGTTTTTCAGATTCGTACTTCTTGAGGAGTATGGCCAGCAGGATATCGAATTGGGTAGGCAGAAGGTAGAAGATGACGATGTGAATGGATTTAAGGGCCAAAATCGCCACTAAAAGGCGCCCTATAGCATTCATGAATGGATTGTATGTTGGTGATGATCTAGTACTCAAAGACATATAGCGAGAAGAGAAGTCCATCTGGGATCACGTGTACAAACTACCAAAAAACATGCCGTAACCAAATTCTATCTATTTTATTAAACCATAAGGTTAGTCTCTAATTAAGTCCTATTGACATTTGTGGGGTGGTTGTAACTTATTTCTTGGTGGTGAACTGGGCGCCGAAAGAGTCGATGATACCAGCAACAGAACCTGGGTTGGCCAAAGTGGAAATGTCACCCAACTGGTCGGCCTCGTTCAGGGAAATCTTTCTCAAGATTCTTCTCATGATCTTACCAGATCTGGTCTTTGGCAAGTCTTGCACGATAATGACAGACTTTGGTGCAGCGAATGGACCGATTTCCTTACGGACAGTCAAGATCAATTCTCTTCTAAGGTTGAAGGCTTCTTCACTGGTCTCGTTACCGTTGATAGTGTCAAGGTACTCGTCCTTCAAGGCAACAAAAGCGACAACAGCCTGACCGGTCAAGTCGTCAGCGATACCAACAACAGCAGCTTCAGAAACACCAATGTGCTCGATCAAAGCAGCCTCAATCTCGGCAGTAGACAATCTGTGACCAGAGACATTGACAACATCGTCAACTCTACCTCTGATCCAGTAGTAACCGTCGTGGTCACGAGCAGCACCGTCACCAGTGAAGTAGTAGCCTGGGTAAGGCTTCAAGTAGGTGTCCATGTACTTTTCGTGGTTTCTGTAGACGGAACGAGCCATGGAAGGCCATGGGCTCTTGACAGCCAACACACCTTCGACATCGTTACCGTGGATCTCTTGACCAGAGACTGGGTCGATAAGACAAGCGTCAATACCGAAGAAAGGCAAAGAGGCAGAACCTGGCTTGTTTGGAGTGATACCGGCAACTGGAGCAATGAAGTGAGAGCCGGACTCGGTTTGCCAGTAAGTGTCAGAGATGTGGCACTGGTTCTTACCAACCTTCTCGTTGTACCATTCCCAGATATCTGGAGAAATTGGCTCACCAACAGAACCCAAGGTTCTCAAGGAAGACAAGTCGTACTTACCAATCTCGGACTCACCAGCCTTTCTCAAAAGACGCAAAGCAGTTGGAGCAACGTAGAAGTGAGTGGCCTTGTGCTTCTCAACAATCTGCCACAAACGACCGTAGTCAGGGTAAGCTGGAGTACCTTCGAAGACGATGGTTGGGATACCCAAAGACAATGGACCGTAAAGAGCGTAAGTGTGGCCAGTAATCCAACCAACGTCACCAGCAGTGAAGAGAATATCCTCAGGGTGCACATCGAAAATGTACTTGGTGGTCATGGCAGCACCCAACAAGTAACCACCAGTGGTGTGAACGACACCCTTTGGAGTACCAGTAGAACCAGAAGTGTACAACAAGAACAAAGGATCCTCAGCATCCACAGACACTGGAGGGAAGTAGCCAGCGAACTTTGGAGCCTCCTCGTCCCACCAGAAGTCTCTAGCCTCGTCAAAAGCGACATCTGGGTTGCCAGTACGTCTGTGGACCAAGACCTTCTCAACAGAAGGACACTGAAGCAAAGCTTCGTCACACAACTTCTTGATGTTGATGGTTCTGCCACCACGCTTACCTTCATCGCAAGTGATCAAAGCCTTACAGTTGGCATCGTTAACTCTGTCCTTGATAGAACCAGAGGAGAAACCAGCAAAGATAACCGAGTGGACAGCACCCAAACGAGCGACAGCCAACATGGCAATAACGGCCTGGGCGTTCATTGGCAAGTAGATGGCCACATTGTCGCCCTTCTTGATACCCCAAGAAGCCAAGATACCAGCGGTCTGGGAAACCTCTCTCAAGAGCTCAGCATAAGTCAAGGTACGAGAATCGCTCTCGTCGTCAGCCTCGCAAATCAAAGCAGTCTTGTTTGGGTGAGCGTAAGCCCATCTGTCCACACAGTTGTAGGAAGCGTTCAACTGACCGCCAACAAACCAGTGGGCGTCACCGTGGACCAAATCACCAGCAGAAACCTGGTCAAAGTCACGGTCCCAGTGCAACAAGTCTCTAGCCATCTGGCCAAAGAACTGCTGGGGGTTTTCGATGGACTCTTTGTACAACTTCTGGAACTCTTCCATGGACGAGATGTGGCCCTGACGAGGCTGTCTCTGGAAGAACTCCTCTGGGGTGTGTCTCAAGGAGACATTGTTTGCTTCATGGACCACCTGGTGGGCTGGGGCCGAAGTCATTTTCAATTTCTTTGGTTGTGAAATGGCTGAATATAGACCCTGTAAGGGGAAGGTGAAAAATATCTAAAACGGAGCTTCTAGCAAAAGAAGGGAAAATAAAATTTCAATTAAAACTGAATACCAAAGATAAACGAATTAAAATTTTCGTCAATTCTAAGGTGGTTTTGTTTATGGAACCGAAAAAAAAAAAAAATAAAAATTAAATGACTTTTGCGTGTCACCTCTATACGATAGAAGTGGAATTTTTTCCACCACCGTTTTTTGGGCCCCTCAGATACAGGCGATTTGGGTCTCGCTAAACCACCACTCCGTAGGCGAGGCAGAAACGCAAATCTGGAACGACACAAGGAATAACGCAAATTGAGAAAAAAAGGAAATGAGGAAAATAGAGAGATGTTTAGGAGAGGTTAAAATGTCTGGTTTTACCGAATTTGGTTGCTTTTTGTATGGAAGTACTGGACTATCTGGAGTCTGGACGGCTCGTTTAAGGCTACAGAGACGCGCATCATAGCGAGATGTCATGATATTGTTGGAGGGGACGGACGTTTTCTTTTTTTCTCGTTTGACAGGTTTGGGCGAATATTATTTAAAGGAGGGGAAGAGGAGGGGGGAAAAGAAATATATTTATATTTTGTATATCTTTAATCTGATTGGTTGGTTGAGGTATGGATGGGTCTGCTGGGGGGACTTTGCAGATTGTTGGCTATGGAATGGGTGAGAAAATACCCAAATTACGCTGCTATCGTTGGGGGTGGTAATCTATACGGTGGGCGTAGCCTTTGTGCAGTACAGAACAGTTTTTTTCATTCGCGCCAATACAGAGTGTAATCACTCGTCTACAATTGGTAGTCGTCTACAAGTTTCAATTTCTTAACGTAGTACCCATTAAATCTATTACATATCTAGATCTTACCAATAGTCTAGTCATCTGTGGTTCTAGCTTGCTAAAACGCTTAGTCGACCTCCTCGACAGTTGGACCGTCGTCGGCTGGTGGAGCACCAGCACCTGGAGCACCGCCTGGGAATCCACCTGGAGCACCACCTGGGGCACCACCGGCCTGGTAAGCCTTGGACATGATTGGGTTGGCAACACCCTCCAACTCCTTCTGCTTGTCAGCGTACTCCTCAGTAGTGGCAGTCTGGTTCTCGTCCAACCAGGAGATGGTCTCGTCAGCAGCCTTGGTGACAGACTCAACCTCGGACTCCTCCAACTTGGACTTGAGCTGCTCCTCACCCAAAGAGGTCTTCAAAGAGTAAGCGTAAGATTCCAAACCGTTCTTGGCCTGGACTCTAGCAGCCTCCTTCTCATCCTCATCCTTGAACTTCTCAGCCTCAGAGACCATTCTCTCAATGTCCTCCTTGGACAATCTACCCTTGTCGTTGGTGATGGTAATCTTCTGAGTCTTACCAGTACCCTTCTCCAAGGCAGAAACGTTCAAGATACCGTTGGCGTCAACGTCAAAGGTAACCTCAATCTGAGGAACACCTCTTGGGGCTGGTGGGATACCAGACAACTCGAACTTACCCAACAAGTTGTTGTCCTTGGTCTTGGCTCTCTCACCCTCGAACACCTGAATCAAAACACCAGGCTGATTGTCGGCGTAAGTGGAGAAAGTCTCGGACTTCTTGGTTGGAATGGTGGAGTTTCTTGGGATCAACTTGGTCATGATACCACCAGCGGTCTCGATACCCATAGACAATGGGGCGACATCCAACAACAACAAGTCCTGGGTCTTGGAAGAAGTGTCACCAGACAAGATAGCAGCCTGGACAGCGGCACCGTAGGCAACAGCCTCATCTGGGTTGATAGATCTGTTTGGCTCCTTACCGTTGAAGAAGTCAGAAACCAACTTCTGGACCTTTGGAATTCTGGTAGAACCACCAACAAGGACAATCTCGTGAACCTGAGACTTGTCAACCTTGGCGTCTCTCAAGACCTTCTCGACTGGGTCCAAGGTGGATCTGAAGAGGTCCTGACACAACTCCTCGAATCTGGCTCTGGTGATGGAGGTGTAGAAGTCAACACCCTCGTAAAGGGAGTCAATCTCGATAGAGGTCTGGGCAGAAGAGGACAAGGTTCTCTTGGCTCTCTCACAGGCAGTTCTCAATCTTCTCAAGGCTCTCTGGTTGGAAGAGAGGTCCTTCTTGTTCTTTCTCTTGAACTCGTTAACAAAGTGGTTAACCAATCTGTGGTCGAAATCTTCACCACCCAAGTGAGTGTCACCGGCAGTAGACTTGACCTCGAAGATACCATCCTCGATAGACAACAAGGAAACATCGAAGGTACCACCACCCAAGTCGAAGATAAGAACGTTCTTCTCTTGGTCGTCCTTCTTGTCCAAACCGTAAGCGATAGCGGCGGCGGTTGGCTCGTTAATAATTCTCATAACGTTCAAACCAGCAATCAAACCAGCATCCTTGGTGGCCTGTCTCTGGGAGTCGTTGAAGTAGGCTGGGACGGTAACGACGGCATCGTTAACGGTAGTACCCAAGAAAGACTCAGCAGTCTCCTTCATCTTACCCAAAACCATGGAAGAGATTTCCTCAGGAGTGAAGACCTTGGTCTCACCCTTGTACTCAACCTGGATGTTTGGCTTACCACCCTTGTCAACAATCTTGAAAGGGAAGTGCTTAGCATCACCTTGAACCTCTGGGTCGTCGAACTTACGACCAATAAGTCTCTTGGCGTCAAAGACAGTGTTGGAAGGGTTCATGGCGGCCTGGTTCTTGGCGGCATCACCAATCAATCTCTCAGAGTCAGTGAAGGCAACGAAAGATGGAGTGGTTCTGTTACCTTGGTCGTTGGCAATGATTTCCACACGGTCGTTGGCGAAATGAGCGACACAGGAGTACGTAGTACCCAAGTCAATACCGACAGCTTTAGACATGATGTATTAATTAATTGATAAAAAAAAGTAAACTCTTTTCTAAAGTTGGAAAAAAGAGAAACAGGAATGCGTGGAAATGCCACCTCTTATATATTCTTCACCTGGCGTCGAAGAAGCTTCCAAAGGGTTCCATACAAAATGTATGCGCCCGCAGTACATGCATTACCCATTAAGATGCCCTGGAATATTGAAGAAGATTCTTCCTGCAGAATGCACCTATAAAGGCACTCACTGTAGACCATTAAAGAACAATAAAGAAGGGCCTGTCGAAATGGCTGCAAATGATGAAAAACTGGAAAGTACTAGTATTTTCTAGAATAAGCTAGAAAACGCAAGTGAAGGTTGGGGGGTGGCTCTTCTCTACCACTTTTCTTCCTTTTTCCTTCGCTTCCTCCTCTGTGCTCTTTGTTTCCTGTTCTGCATCTTTTCATTGTATGGACTGTTCCAGCTCAGCAACCGTCGCTGCACGGCTTTGCCAGTGTTCAGTACGAGAAGGCTATTTCTTTTTAGTAGCAATCTTTCGAGTGTCAGGCATGATTCGTAATTTGACAGCAGCAGCGGGTGAGGGAAAATGGAGATGCCCATCGGGCTGGAAAAAGTGAAAAATCGGCAGGGTGGGGGTACCGATGAGGCAGTGAATTTCAGGCATCCTCGTGGGCCACTGGGAGGGAGAATGGAGAGGGTTTAGAAATGTGTGAAAATGGTACTTTCACGAATTACTAGGATAGAGTAGAGTTTGGTATTTGCCCGTGGGCTGATGTGGATCTTTGATGGGTGTAATTAGGTTTTCTCGTTCTTAGTAGGCCACTGGGGACCACCCGGGACGAGAAATTGGATGATCCACAGTTGCACTGAGTGAAAACTTCTATTTTACTACATTTACGAGACGTTTCTGGTTCGATATCCTCCACTTTCACTTCTCTATTCTTTGCAAAAAATGGGTGTACTGACGCTTCTCTTAGACCGAGGATCAGTGAACTGACGTAAACGTCACTAATAAGAGACCTTTTAAGGTATGGACGGCACCTGGAGCTTCACTGGAACGCAGGTATGACGCCAGACAAGCCAAAAAGTAAAAAAGTAAGCCCGATGCGGGGCTCGAACCCGCAACCTTTTGATTGACCTTATGAAGATTAAGAGTCAAATGCTCTACCGATTGAGCTAACCAGGCTTTCGTGTTTGCCCTAGAATTACGCATAAATATATACCCCAGAATAGGAAAAGCGCAAAAATAGTGAATTTTGAGGCATAAAAACAAGTTCTTGACGTCTCGGTTATATGGCTTATATGCCCAAATTGGGGTATCGCTCGCGATTACCGATTTAGCACCTCTAACTCGACGTGGAGCCATTTTATGAGATTCAAAAGTAGCTTATAATGATATTCACGTTGTATTAGACCTATGTAATTAGTTATCTAGTCAGCTTTACGTTTTTGTAGGCAGTAAAGTAGAGCTGAATCTCAATGCACCATACAAAAGCAGCGTAACAGCATCCATCCAAAAACAATGAAAACTGTGTCTGATGAAGAAAACTCACCAGCTTAACCTTGTAACACCTAGAATAAAAATTCCTCGAAGCTATATTATCGCTAACTTCCCATTTGTGTTCAACTCGTGAAGGTGTTGATCATGATGGAACCGTTGATAGTGCGCAGAGACAGCTAGAGAATGAGATAAGCCTTCTTACATTAACCATCAAGATAGACTTTCGGTAGCAGGGAAGAACAATAAAATTCATGCCACTAACCAGCATAATCTAACTTTAATGGTTTAAATGGAATTCTAGGTCAATTGAGTAGAAGTGGGGGAAGGCCTATTTCTACAACGAGGAAACGGTTTTCGCAGCCATTTCCCATTGTGGCTCAAAACGCCAAAAGTCGTAAGACCACCCCTTAACCAATTGCATTACAATGGGCAATTGGCTCCGGTTGACGGCATTCAGCCCTGGTAGTTTCATCGATTTGACGAACCCAAGAATTTATATCAGCCCATTTACTCATTGGCATGTGCGAAAGCACTATAGAACATGTGCAAGAAAGGTCATCGGGTCTACATTTATAGGATATCGCCGAATAGTAGTATTGGCAGACACTAATGAAACAACATACATAGGCACATGTGTGCAACAGAACAAATAGTTAAAAAGCAAACAGGGGAAAGTGGGCCGTGAATGGTTGCAAAACTGCTTGTGGGGACCCATTAAGTCAGACAAGCAGCATGCGCAGACAATGCGGCGCAACTTCGAGTGTAGGGAGTCAAGCCTTAGATGGACTTGTCCTTGGTGTGGTCGTGGAAGAAGTGGATGGAGCCGACCTGGTGGAAAACACCCTTGGCCTTCAACCAAGCATCCTTGATAGCTGGGTTGCCAGAGCCATTGACAACGTTCTCCACACGGATCTCAGCCTGTTTGAAGTAGTTTCTGGTGAAAGCAGACTTCTCGTATCTCAACTTAATGAAGATCAGGTAGGCAAGGAAAGGAGTCAAGGATCTCTTTCTGAAGGTGATCACACGCACGAACAACCAGGCCAAGGTGACAACCTCCAAGAGGGCAGCAAGCTGGATAGACTTGTTGTTGTTGGCAGCGACAAAGTCACCAATCTTCTTGGAAAGTGGGTGGGTCTCTGGGATGTCCAAAGCAGGCAAGATAAAGTGCTTGGTGTAGGACAAAACGTGGAAAGTGGAGAACAAGAAGAACACCAACAAGGTCAACAAGACGTGAGGAGGAGCAATGAAAAGCAACACACCCAAGAACAAGTACTGAGCGTTATCCTCAGCAAGCAACTTGGCGTTGAAGCCGTGCTTCTTGACAGTCTGGAAGAGCAACACACCGAAACTCTCAATGACACCAATGAGGGCCAAACTGTACCAGAACTTGTAACTGCTTGGGAACACCTTCACGTAAGTAAGGGCGTAGAAGATGGTGGACACCACAGTGATCACATGGCCAATGTACCAGGCAAACTGGAGGGTTTGCACGGTGGCAGCAAGGTCCTTCTTTGGACCAGTGCCAGTGGAAGAAGGCGAGGACGAGGAGGTGTTAGAGGTGCCAGCGGCAGACGAGGAAGCACCAGTGGCGCCAGCCGAGATGTTGTCGGCGGCAGCGTTGATTTTCAGATCAGGAACAGACATTGCAATTGAGAAAGTATCAAACAGACACGAGGTTCTTCAAAGAAAAAGATCTGGTTAGTAGGTAGCTTTTTTCTCTGGCATTCTCACATTTTTTTCTAGACAACTGCGCAAGTATATGTTCGCGGGACAGAAACGACGTCAGGCGCAGAGGCCCCAAATATAGCAATGACGGCGGGATTTTTTCGGGATGGATGGAAATGGGATAGAAATTTCAAAGGCAATTGAGCTGGATGGGTAGATAATATTGGGAAGTTTCTGGCTTGTGGGAGGCCTGGAGGGTAAGGGGCGGTCATCGCTGGTTGCTGCTGACTTGTGGCGCTCAGTCACAAGACTGAGGGAATGCTGCATGGTTATCTTTGCGGTTTTCCTTCGCTGCGTCTGTCTGCCGAGGCATTCTACAACAAGCCTCTGAGCACTTGGTTTGACATTACATATATTTAAAACACACACTCTCATTGTTGCACATTCTTGACCTACCGATTTCTTATTCTTTTACCCTGGTGTTTAACGCAAGAATCCCTTACGGGTCTTTTGGGGCGTCGACAGCACTGGGGGTTCTTGTGGTAAGCTCTTCTGCTTCTCCAACTGTGTTTTCTTATCCTCCAACAACTTGATCTGCTTCAACAACTTCTCCTTCATCTCCTTGTGTCTGGCAAACAAGTCGGCCTCCGACCTCTGCAACTTCTTCTCCTTTTCGCTGACCTTCTGCTGGAACACTGCCTTCATCTCGGCTTCCATCTTGGCGAGTTTGGCCTCGTGCAAGGCTCTCTCTTCTTCCTGCTTGGTCATAGGGTCGAACTCCTTGAAAACTGTGTGGTCCTGCTCAATACCCATCTTGAGCAATTTGTCGGATCTGTAGTTCTCGTACAACTTATCAGATGTAGACTCCTTGAGCTCTTCCAAATTGCTTCTGATCAACAACTGTCTCAATCTGACAAAGTCGTTGTGGTCGCCATTGTCGACCTCGATAGTGCCCCATGGGTATGATCTGCCTCTAACGGTTCTTCCGTCTGGAGTGGTCACCTCGTTCATCGAGCCCACTACAGCAAATGGGTATGATGCAAGAAGAGCCTTTGAGTTGGTGACGGTTTCTTCATCGTCATTTTCAAACACAGAGGGCTCAAACACACTAATCTGCTGGTGCTGGATGTCGGCCAAGATTCTCTGCTTAAAGCCGTAGATTTCCTCGTCGACCAACGTGTCAGACTTGGCAATAACTGGAATCAAGTTGACCTTTTGGTGCACGGCCTTCATGAGCTCAATATCTAAGCTTCTCAACGAGTGGGCGGTTGGCTCCACAAAGTATAACAAGGCGTGGATTCTCTCGTCTGGAACCTGGGAACGGTTGACGCGAGATTCAGCCTCCAAGTAACGGTCGAATCTCTGGTCAATCTCGTCAACAATTGGCTTCCACGATTCCGTGTTGTTCAACGAGTCGCCGAAGCCAGGGGCGGTGATGATATTCAAGTTCAACTTCACGCCATCCTCTTCAATCTCGGCCTTGGTGGTTTCAATCTTCACTGGAATCTCGCCAGTAGGGTTCTCCACGGCCTCCTCGTCTTCCTCAGGCTCAGCAGGCTTCTTCAACACCTCGCGGTTGAACAAGGTGTTGACCAAAGTGGTCTTACCCAAGCCGCTCTCTCCTACGACCATAAAGTTCAAGGAGAATCCTCTTCTGACGGATTTTCTGTGCCACTGCTTAGGCAAGTTGGCGAAACCAACAAAGCTGTTGAGTTTTCTGCGGATGATCTTGATATCCGTTTCCGGAGCCTTGTCAACTGGAAGGTTAGTATATTCATAATAGGATTGAACTGTTGGGGATAGACATACCTGAAGCCATTCTTGTGTTTGTAGTTGGTAATTTACGTGTTTGGTGCGAAGAAGAAGTTGACGGATTTGAGGCGTAGAAGTCACGTGCGAACCAACGAAATCTTGAAAAAGAGCCCGTATTTTTAGAAATAGAAGATACAGAAGGGTAATTAATGCCCATTTAAATGGAACCGACAAGATTATACTATACTTTTGTGATTTGTGGGGGTATTGGCTGCAATTGAGGCGCACACTTGTGCCTGGATTATTATTGATCTGGACGCGCGATATGTTATTCTTTTTTTTTTCCAGTGCCTGGGTCCAGTTCCACTAAGACTGAGACTTAATTATAGAATATGGCTGTAGGAAGTGGACTGGCGCTCATTGGATGGCGTTTCTGAAACCTGGGGTAGCTGTAGATCAGAAGACACGAGTAGAGGGCCAATTAAGGCACAGCGCTGACAAAACGTTTTCGACCTTTGAGGCCCATTCGACTCTTTGGTAACTGAACCTTAAAAAGACTTCCAAGCTAGTCTTCTGTAGTCTAGCAGTAGCCTAGCAGCCTATCTAGAAGAACCAGCCATCCCTTGTTAGTGCTTGACGCGGGATATAGTAGTCTCTAAAAGGCCAGTTCCACAACTTTCCTTGGAGCTCTTGCTACCCAATTGGGTAGGGTAATGTGCTGTGTACCTGTGAATTATCAGGTAGCCCTAGTTGGGAACCACTCCAGTATATGGAAGGCTATTCGTGTACGGGTCAATCCTAAATCAGAGGACACCGACCGTTCATTACGACTTCATCTCAAAAACAATCCACTCTTAGGTCTCTTCCTTAAGGGTCTTCAACAAGAACTCTAAGCCCATGCGTGCAAACTCAGTCATGTTCTTTGATCTCTCAGAGCTACCGGTAGTACTGCTGAACGTGTGTTCGCCATTAGGACCACTCACACCAAAGTAGACCGTTCCAACGCCAGCATCCAGGTTTTGATTCGTCTGGAGGTGCAAGTCTGTCGAAGGACCAGCAAACCCAGTTTCAGAAAGCACATAGGTAGAACCCAAGTCGTACTTCGTCGTACGGGCCAATTTCAACGCCACTTGCTTTGAAGGCCCCACATAGCTGGAAATGTCCTCGTTGGACCAGCCAGAAAGCCTCAATCTCTGGCGAACCGAGTACACAAGCTTTCCACCAATGTAGAAGTCCGAAGCACCCGGAACTGAAATAAGGTAAGCTGAAAGAAGACCGCCGCAAGCAGCCTCAGAAATGGCCAATGTCTGGTTCTTCGACCTCAACACATCGGCAATCTCCTCGACCAAGGCCTTGATCTCTGTAGGGGGGAATTCCATGACTGGCAATTGAAGAAGAAGTAGGGTTGTAGGTGTATACCGTTTTTCGCGAGCACTTGATTAGTGTAGTGTAAGGGCAGAAAGGGTGGTTGTTAAGAGGGAACAACCGGAGTGGTGGAGGGACTATGTTTTGTTCTCGACGTTATTTACAGTCACCTCTTCCTTATTGAAAGTGCATCATATAAAAATATTAATGACGTTGTTCGGTGGTAATGGGTATACACATTTGACGGTTCAGGGCATTTTCGCAGCCACTAGTCAAGTACAGCCATACCAAAGACATGCCATTCTGGGGCAACATACCTTAGTGAAAGGATATTTACGCTCTATAATCGCTACTTTAAACTCGCCTGAACTGTAGTTGGCAATTTTTGAATGCTGGGAGTGACCTTAACTTCCTCTTGGTGGACCACTCTGGCCATACCATGGCCAGGTCGAAGAGAATTACCGCTTTAGAAGCTTCCTCTTCTTGAACTAAAAATATACCACTTAGTTTGCTTTATTTATTGATTGCTTTCACTAGTATTACCCTTTGCGGTCAGGTCCAGTAGGTATTCTGACTTTTCGCAGCCATGCTGTTAATCTGAGATCTACATGGATAGACACCACCAAAGCAACCCAAACCGTTTTTCTAAGCTTAAAGCTATTTAAATACGAAAAATAGAGCTCTCATTGTCCCAGAAAACTTCTATTATCATTCTTTTACGAACAACATGCTTATGTCTATTAGCCACGACAAAAGCAGGTGACCATCCGCTTTGGTAAAGGCAGTTGTTTTAACCTCTCTTCTTTTTAAACATTTCTTCAAGCACGTCAATCCTCTAAACCATCCCTTCCTTCACATTTCCAAGTCAGTTCTTATGCACCTGTCTTGTCTTTGGACACTGCCTAGGTTGGCGGTACTGATGGACTGCATTCTGACGTGTGGCGAGCTCTATTGACCGGCGTTCCAATATACTACAACTGCTCCATATCAAGCAAATAGACAGCATGAGCAAGACCATCAAGTTCAACGCCGGAAAGGTTCAGTACGACGAAGAAACCAAAAAGTGTACTCCATTGCCTCACAAGGGCCAGGTTGTCATCAAGCCGCTGGCGGAAGAAGAGGACTTCTTCAGTTTCCAGTGGTCGCCAAAGGGCAGCCTGGGCAATGTCGAAAGAGATGAGCTTCTTATTATTCCTGGCGATGTCACCTTCAAGCATGTCAAGCTGTGTAAATCTGGCCGTGTGTTTGCATTGACGTTTTTGAGTTCTGGTGCCAAAAACTTATACTGGCTTCAGGACATTGGCGACGACGAGCAGTTGGACCAGTTGACCGAGAAGGACAAGGAGTTGTTGTCATCCGTACAGTCACTAGTGGCTTTGGAAGAGTAAGTATGGTGGGATATTCTGGGTTTTTTTTGCCGCTAAGAATTATAAGTATTAACGCCAGGGATGAACCAGAGCCTGAAGAAGAGACGGTAGTGGAGCAGCAGCAGCAGCAGCAGCCTCGTGGAAGAAGCAACACACACGTTCCAATCACAGCAATCGATGATGTGCTTACTTTGGACGTCATCGAGAAGCATCTATCACTGTTGCTGGAGAAAGAACTAGAGGAGAAGTACGGAGACTTGTTACCAGAAGGAGTGAAGCCCACGAAAGAGGAGATTGCCTTGGTGGTCAGAAATGGCTTTTTCCAACAAGCCAACAAGGAGTTGAGCAGTACTATATTGAACAACGGTGTTGGCCAGATATTAGCCAGCAGCTTAGGCTATGAGTACCAAGGAGAGGGCATTGATGCATTCCTCGAGGGTCTTCGGAAATCCAAATAATTGAAGGAGCATAGATACGGAAGGCCAGGGCCTTCTTTTGTTTCAGTGTATTACAATCAAACAGCATTAGAATGAGTGTAGAAGAGAACAAGGAGGACATTGTAGGCTAACAAAAGCAGGAATGGAGCATGTTGGCTTTGAAGAGCACTTACGAACCTACGAAGTACTCCTTCAGAGGCTAAACTCTACAAAAGGTAAATGGGGAATACAAGGCTTGAAAAATCAAATTCTCCCGAACTCGGTCACCCTGGATCATTTTCAGCCCTGGCTGAGCCGTGCCAATAAACGACCTCTTCCTGGAAAAGTCGATCCATATTGATAAGCCACTGCGTTAATGACATGCCTTCTGGTGTCCCCTCGTTCCCCCATATCCTATCGTCCTGTGCAACCAACCAACCAACCAGCCATAAACTTTCCACTACAAACAATCCCCCCTTAAAACGCCTAAACTCTCCAAAACAACCAACTTATCTAAACCATTCACCAACCAGTCCAAATGTGCGTTCCCTCATCTAAACGGAATTCTCGGCTTGTATCATCTTATCTCGGACTTGATGCCCAATTAGCACCTACTGCGCTAACCTTATACCCACTGCCTAAGGAAGCTTAAAGAGACATAAAGAACCCCCAATAAAACCCAAAAGATCGATGCAGATAAAACCTGTTTATCCGTGAATCACGGTCATTTCAATGACTTGTCCTTTTCTTTTTTATACTTACCTCTAATTTCTCTACGGCTGTTCCTTCCTTTATCCTATCGTCTGGTCTTCGTCTTTTTCTTAGGTGCTCACAAATGGTGCCATTTGCACCCAACAGGCAACCAACCATCCAACCACATTCATCAAAACCTCTTCGTTTTCCTCCAAGTAGACTGTCCCTTCACCCCCGATAAAGCCTATAGTTAAACCACGTAAACCTTGTCAAATCTGTATTTCTACCTTTTCCAGTGGAAGACCCAACATGAAGGGTACCCCATTTGGGGTAGAGCCTGGATGAAGAAAAAAGGCCTGTCTTTGGTTGCGCACAAGAGCAGTAACTTTTTTATTTTTTTTTTTTTTTTTTTTTTTTTAGTGCCTGGTCTTTTTAAGCAATCGTGAATACAACCAACAACAGCCAACAAAACCTCCCAATAAACCAGTAAACCAGAAGGCAACAATCCCACATAAGCGAAAACAATCCACCTAACCTTCTTCTTTACGTTTTTGTTTTCAGCTTTTTTTTTCCCCAGGTTTCATTGCCGGTGTCTTTCCCCAGATATCACTGTGGTTTTTGACTTTTTTCTTCCCCAAGCCGGCTGCTGCGATCAGTCAGAACATTCCTCTTTTTTCCAGAACTTTTCATCACCTCCAGAAAGGGCCCTCTCCATACTTTGTCCAGCCACTCAAGCAGAAGTGCCCTATAGCATGCCGCCGGACCTGCTTAAAGTGAAGACCAAATCGGCGTTTCCGACCACCGAGGTGTCGTTCAGCAACGATATCACTCCTACGCTTCTGGCGTCGGAGGATCATTCACATCTGCTGAACCATTCGCAACTCAACCTGGTCCAGCCAAAGAGACCTTCGGTGCCTCGCACGTCTGATACTGACGATAGACTGTTACGCCAGAATCTTATTGGCAAGGTTGCCAATTTGCTCCACAGCACGATTTCCAGATCGAGGGAAAACTCCGTTTCCTCCAATGCCTCGAATAGCTCTCTTCCTCGTGTCACCAGTCCGACTTCTGACCGTTTTCCGGCTCTGGGTATCCTGACACCTTCAAGACCTCGTCTGCGGATGGTCAAGGAAACGAATTTCGTGTCACTTGAATATGATCCCATCTCAAGACGTAAAGTTTTGAACACTTACGAGATCAGAGGTGAGATTGGCCGTGGTGAACATGGCAAGGTGAAGCTAGCCCGTGACCTTCATTCCGGCGAGCTCGTTGCTATCAAGATTGTCAACAGAAAGAATAAGAAAGAACGGTACCTACTAAGTAACCGTGGATCAATTGCTGCTCCCAATCATCCATACAGCGACTACGAAACCAAGATTCGTAGGGAGATAGCGATCATGAAGAGATGCGATCATAAGTATATCGTTAATCTCAAAGAAGTGCTAGATGACCGGAGATCCCATAAGATCTACTTGGTGCTAGAATACCTTGAAAAGGGCGAGATCAAATGGAAGCGCCTGTCACCAATCCAGACCCCAATGCCCTTGCATGACTCCCAAGAATCAAACATTCCTTGCTGTGATTCCAATACCCATATGAAAACTGAAGCGTCTCCTTTAGATGACAACGAGTTGCTTGCTGACATTTACTCCCCTAATCTTACCTTTAGACAATCCAGGAAGGTATTTAGAGATGTTCTTCTTGGTCTCGAGTACCTTCACATGCAAGGTATTATTCACAGAGATATAAAGCCAGCGAACTTGCTTGTGGGCTCTGATAACACAGTCAAGATCAGCGATTTCGGTGTTTCATTTGCATCGTACTTGGGAAATACAGGTGAAGGTTTCCGTATGAGCGAAGCCGAGCTTGCAAAGACAGTCGGTACGCCTGCCTTCTTTGCTCCAGAACTTTGCCGTACCTCCCACTCGGCTAGCAACAGCACCATCAAGATGACTTCTTTAGATATGGATAAGCTGAGCTCTCAGCAAAATGGTACAGAGACGCCAAAGGTCACATATAAGATAGATATTTGGGCTCTAGGTGTCACGCTTTACTGTTTGCTTTTCGGAAAGGTGCCGTTTAATGCAGAGCTGGAGTTCGCCTTATTCGATGTCATCGTCAATCAGGAGGTCCAATTCCCTCAATCCAAGGATGAATTCCATTCGCCACAAGAAGTTAGCGATGAAGAGTTTGAACTCGCTAAGGACTTGGTTAGAAAGCTTCTCGACAAGAACAGCGAGACCAGACTTACCATTCGTGGTATCAAAGAGCATCCATTTGTCTTGATGGATCTTGAAGATGACTTAGATAAGCTCAACGAGTTCTTCTTTATTAATTCTACCGAGCCTTATGGTCCATTTGATTCGATTGGAAAGAATCATGAAATCGGAAAAGATGAACTTGATGATGCGGTTGTCGGTGTCGGTGCGCGTATCCAGGGAAGCTTTCTTCAAGCTATCCGCTCCAGAGATCCAGAAGCGCTTCGTAAGGCAGCTCTCAAGATGGAGACAAGCACATCCTCAAGCGACGAGTCTTCGAATTTCGTTACTCGTACTAACAGCAATACTTTTGGATATAATCCCTCCATCAATAACTCATTGATTCTTCTGGAGTCCGTTCAAACACCACCGATGGGAGCCTCTAGAGCACACTTACAGACTAATGATACTGGCTCCTTCCTCAAATCGGTAACTGGTCATACAGGTAACCATACACCTGAATTGTCGACTCTCTCGCGTCAGAACACCGGAAGCCGGCCTTCAGTGGTGCTTAGCCGCAATAATCTTTTATTTCAAGATGTTCTTGAGACCAATAGCTCATCTTCCAGCAGACAAGGAAGTGTCAGTGGGATCCTGGAAGCTCCTCAAATCGAAACCAAGAGAAACGTGGGTGGTGATCTTTACTTGAAGAACGAATCCGTCATAGACACTTTCAAGGGTATCCAGCAACTTGACCAAAAGAGAAGGAAATCGAGTGCGTTCGTTCGCAATAATAGCTCTCCCTCGAGTCCACGCCCCAGCAAGACTGAATCAACTCTGGGCCTGGAATCCAAGCATCCTCTCTCGCAACCTCAAGCGATACCCATGTCTTCAGATTCTTCTGTTCTGAGCAAGATCAAGGTGGGTCCTATCAGCATTGATAACAAGAGACGTGCTTCATCCGTTATATCATTGCCGTTAACAGAAAGCTTTGCATCGTTGGATAGTTTCAATGATGACTACTTGACCCACAAGTACCACGAATACAGGAAAAAGAAGCTCGGTAGTAAGTTGCCAGAGCCTGGTGCAGTTAATTCGGATCCTAACTTGGGTGACAATGCATTTAACACCATCAATGAGAAATTCAAGAACTTCAACCTTGGATCGCTGATGACTGCGTCGAAGAACGCTAAAGAAGGACGGACGAATGAGGGCGTTGCCCCCAACTCAAGGTCAAGATTCCTGTCGTATTCCACTGAGACAAAGTCCCTGGCTTCTCAATCGTACAGCAGTTGCAGCACAAGTGGAAGTGGGAGCAGTGATAGCGAAAGTGACGAAGAAGCTGGCAATTTGACGTTGAAGTTCTCTTCTAAAGTCACTCCTCGCAGTCGTCCTCCGTTCCTCTCTCTCAAGGATCGGGCACACTCTCACGATTCCAATTTACCCAACTTGATCAACCATCAAAACAATGCTTACGACGTTCCAGTTGTCTTCCAGGGCGATCTTCTCGAGTTTGAGGATGTCCCGGAGAATTTGATGGGTAACGTACAGAAGGCGGCAGATACTGACATGAGCGCATCTGTTTCCATCATCTCACAGAATTCGATTGCCACGATAACAAATGGCTCGGATGAACAGCCTTCGCTCCTTCGGGTTCCTCATAAACCATCTGTTCAACACTCGCCGTTGCGCAATCAGGTAGACGTCGATAGTCAATCAAACGGAAGTCCTCGTCAGGAACGCGATCCACAGTCCCGTGTCAATGATGCTATACTGGGAGTTGCCAAGTCTGCCTTGAGGTCAGGATATTTCAGAAATCACTACAAGAAAGAACCGATGCACTCTCCATTTCCTAAATCTAAGCATCTCGATAATGACAAAGAAAGTGTTGTCAAAAGCCAAATGAGAGAAGGAACTGAACACATCCGCCCTTGTTACCAGCGTTCTAATTCTGTAACGTTGGGACTTCTTCAGCACACACGACCTGATCCAACATAATAGGAAGCATTGTAAATTCTGGCTGGCTCAGAATTTACCACTTAAGCATTTGCATATGTAACAGCACAACGAGTGTAACTGTACTACTTTATAGTCTAATATATCCTCCAGCATGATCGTTGATCGATCAAGAGTGGCAGCTTACAGAAGTTCTTGTTTCAAATTAACGTAATATCTTGTCCTATCTTACTTTATTTTTATATTTTCTCCTTTTTCCTTTTTTTTTTTTTTTTTTCTTTTTTGCTTTTGAATTCTTAGTTTCCTTCCAGTATAAATATGCCTTTCCCGAGGCTTGTTGACCAGGTGATTATATCCTTTCCCTTCACCAAATTACCAAATAAAAACGAAAGTGAACAAGAAAAGGAATGAAATAAAAATAATAAGTGAAGCTTTCAGAGCTTCTTTCAACTCAAGTCAAGCTTCTTCTTCAACACTGATAACCTGTTGCCAATACTGACAACAAATTTCTCCACCATTGCCCGGTCCTCTTCATCCAATTTCTCGACATCGGGCGACTCCTCGTCAAGAAGTGCTTCCAACATCCAAATAGCTGTACTGTAAGCAAGTTCGCAACCTTTCAAGTCTTCCTTTACCAACTCATTAACTGCTGCGTTCCTTGAAATCTCTAGAGCCCTATCGAAGATTAACTTCTCGGCTACAACTCGGAAGGAATCGCTGTTCACATCCCCGCCTAGCGTTGTTGCCGTAGCAGTGCCGAGACTGTTTTGGTCGGTATAGTTAGAGACGCCGTGTACATCCTCTTCTTTAGTGATGCTAGCGTTAGCTTCTTCTAACCTAAGCTTGATAAACTCCGCTTTCTCCAAACATTCATTGAACTGATCACGAATCCATTGCACTAACTCATTGATCTGTGATGACACTTGAAGGTCCAATGACCGAACTAGCTGTTGTTCACCGGTAGCTTCATCCTTGTGGTAATGAGCCATCCACCAGCTACTAGCGAGAGCCATGCCCTTTGCAAGTAATGATAGAGTCTTCACGTATAACACAACACCCTCTTCACTTATGGCCTTCACCATCTTTGGCGGAAGCAAATCATTATGCTGCATTATTTCATCATCGTACTCGTCAGTTGAAGGTGGAGAAGGAATCAATTGGCTGAACTTGACGTCGGCGAATAGGCTAATAGCATGCGACTTCGTTGCTACTGACTCCAATTGACTAAGGACTCTTTCATCGTAAGAAAGATCCTCCTGTTTACTCTCTCCGTGAGGTGATGCAGCCAAAAGAGTGTTGGAAGTAGGGAGTTTAACTTTCTTTAACAACAAGTTGTTAGCAAAATCTGGACTCGAGATGATGGTTGAGAAATTGTTGAGATCACCAGTCTGAGAACCCTCCTCCTGTAAATCAGAAGAGTGGCCAGCATTTCCAAACAAACGATTAGAAGCAAGGCTTATGGCCTTTCCCAAAGCATTTGTTGGTGAGATTGAGATTGAGATTCTCCTATCACCAAAACTCGTTCTACGACCTGAAGGGGCCGTCGATTTCTGAGAAGGCCTTCTCAGAAGTACTATGTTGCGATCTGGTCCCTGAGCATGTTGAGAGTGTTGATGATGCGATCCAATGCCATTCGTGCCGACTTTCGCCAACTCATCTGCAATGGCATTCACCTCCACCGCCCGTTTCTCAACAACAACGTAATCCTTCTCCAAAATCACATCATTCTTAGAGCGCTGGCCCTGCTTGAGCTCGATTTGTTTTGGCTGGATAGAGTGCGTGAGAGCAGCAGAGTCGGGGCTATTCTGATTGATTATCAGTTTAATCTGCTCATCACGGGAGTTAGAACGGTGAGATAACATCTCACGAGGATAGTCTCTTCTGATCATCTGCGGAGTCTGTGGGGGCGTCCTATCGCCAGAATCTGAAGTATGGACTTCTTCTGAAGTGCCCTTGTGTTGCCTTTCGCCTGTCATAGGCATAATTGGAGCCACAAACTTAGCCCTATCAGAAGGTTTGATGGGCGATATGTACTCACTGATGAAGAGATTCGTATCCATTTCTGAAGTATCCAAGGGTCTGTCATTACCCTCCAAGTCATTGACGATAAGAGGATGGTTGAAAAACTCATTGAAAGAAACACGTTCCGTTGGATTGTACTTCAAGAGAGACTTGATCAACTTGCGAAGCGATTCTGGGACCTGCGCTGATGAAGGAAACTTGATCCGATCATGAGTCTTCTCTATAGTTTTCAACAACTCAATATGATTGGCAGCTCGAAAGGGCGGCTTTCCGACTGTCATTTCATAGAATACAGCACCCACAGACCATAAGTCAGCCTTTGCATTGTACTTTTCGTAGCGTAAGATTTCTGGGGCCATGTACAAGGGAGAGCCACATAACGTCTCAGCCATAGAAGTAGAAGGCAAGAACCTGGCAAAGCCGAAGTCGGCAATCTTCAAGATAGGAAGTTCCCAGAGGCCAACGTAATTTTCCTTCTCAAACTGTTCCTTAGTGTGAGCCGGAGGGCAAAGAAGCAAGTTCTGTGGCTTGATATCCCTATGAACAAGAGACTTTGAGCGTAAGAACTCGAGTGCGGAGCTTAACTGCTTCAAGAAATGTATAACAAGTGTCTCATTCAATCCGTGAGAGCCTTCTGGGGATGGGTAGCGAGCAAGCAACTGTGAAACAACCGGATGGGTCTTTACGAGCTGGTCTCGGCGGCGTATGAAGTAAGATAAGTCACCCATGGAGCAATAGTCCATGATCAAGTGAAAGTGAGTGGAAGTCTGGTGATAGTCAAGAAGACCAACGACATGAGGATGCTTCATAGACTTGAGAATGGAGATCTCCACTTCCAAGTTCTCAATGAGCTTCTTGGACTTGAGCTTCAGGCGTACCACCGACTTGATAGCAACGGACTCGTGCGTATTATTGTCCACACACTTGTAGACCGTGGCAAAGGAGCCCTTCCCTATCTCAGGTCCAACGGTGTAGGCACCGATTGTCTTCGACATTGTGTGGGGGGTCTTGTTACAACTTGAGGGCTAAGAAGTGTGTTATTGTGGTTGCCAGCTTATTAATCACTGTGGAAGACACCTAGCGAAATTGAATGATAGATTCAAGAATAAGCCCCACCTTTAAGAACGGTCTCTATGTGGCTGACGATGTTCCGTCCTCTATAATTTATAAGTTTAGGATGGATCTCTTGCCACTACGCGAGTGTGGTGAGTCAGAAGGGGGGTAGGCGACAGAATGTAGGGAATTCTGTTTGGCCAAATAATGACAAGGTTCAGGGTTATGACAGGATTTCAGCTCCCTTTTGCGTCCTCAAAAGTATACTTTTTGTAGGAATTAAAAAAAATACCCGTAAAAGAATATAGGGTTTCAGGGCGTACGGATACACCACACTAAACAGAGGGAGGGAGTGATCTACGATAAGATAAAGTCATGTGAGTGCAGTCACGCGACTAGTCCGAAGTGGGATTTGCGCCAATGCCTCGAGGCTGCTTGACCTAGGTAAATGTTAATGGTGGGGAAAGTGTGTGCAGCATTTATAGTAGTAATGACCCCGAGATTCAATTAAGGTAAATTTAATACTTATCGTGTAAACAAACAACATTTTGAGGTTTCATTTCATGTCTTTCGTTTGTTGCTGGGCGTGCTGGGCGTGCTGGTATTCGCTGTTTGCGGATGTCCCTGGCAATTGGCTGCGAAAAGTAGCCTACGACAAGAAATACGCAACTTACAGATGGAACCCACAGTAATTTACAAAAGTTTCAAAACACCATAAAAAATACAAAAACCATTCTTTTCTTCTCCAAAACCTTATAAATCTTCCCTTTACCCCCCTGGGTATGCCGACCCAACAAAACAGCCACATTCTTTCCATTTAAAGTTTGCATAGTCTCCTGTTGCACCATGAGACGGTGTTTAGATATACCACACATTCTGCTACCGCACTAGGTCAACTGATCATGGCTGTGCGGAGTACTTTGTGTAGGTGCCTTTATAGAAAAAAAAAGGAGAAACAGGAAAGGGGATGTCTTCTATTGGCGAATTGGCGAATTTAGAAGATTGTTCAATGTAACCTTGCAGTGAAGGTTGTCACTTGGGGGATGTCTTATGGTGCTGCATCTTTAACCCGCGTGCATGTATGGGTGGAGCTAGAGGGGCAGAGAACGTAAGAAGAAGGAAAGAATTGAGTAGCTGGAGGGTATTTATTGTAGAAATTGACATAAATTGGCCCTAGTTTATTCATGGGTATCCCTTTTTTTATGTTCCTGAATGGGTTTCTTTAAATAGTAGGATGCTTTTGTTTGGCATTGTATACACGCCTTGTATCGGTAGATTGCTTACCACTGAAGTGTTCCATAGTTTATTTTGAAAGTTCATTACTGTCTCCATCAATTCACCTAGAAGATGTTTGAATCCGTTGTGGCGACATTGTTGAACCGTTTCTTGGGCTCATACATTGAGAACTTCGATACGAAGCAACTTAACATCGGAATCTGGTCTGGTGATGTCCGACTCAAGAACTTGAGACTTAAGAAGGAATCCTTAGATAAGTTTAAATTGCCTGTGGACGTCAAATTTGGCCATTTGGGTGAACTCACCTTGCTGATTCCATGGTCTAATTTAAAGGGAAAGCCAGTTAAGGTTGTTATAGAAGACGTCTACCTTCTAGCGTCCCCGATCATCATCACTGACTTTGACGCTGATGAAGATGCCACTAGAGAACAGAAGCTTAAACAAGAGAAGCTTCAGGATTTAGAAGCCTTACAGAGTGCAATTACTGCCAACTTGAATGCTAGTAAAGACGGCGATGCTCAAGCTTCAAATGAATCTTTCACTGAGAGCTTGGTTACCAAGATCGTCGATAACTTACAGGTAACCATTAAGAATATCCATGTCCGTTACGAAGATGAGGGTGTTTTGACTGATTCTCCTTATGCCTTAGGTCTCACTCTTGACGAATTGTCTGCTGTGTCTACAGACGAAAACTGGAAGGCCAGCTTCATTTCCATCACACAAAGCCTTACGAGAAAGCTACTTATGCTTAAAAACTTCTCGTGCTATATGAATACAGAGAGTCCTTCAATCTTTTCTGGATCGCCTGATGATGTGCTTGATGCGCTTAGATCGTCTCTTGGGACGAGATCAGAGAAACAGTACCTTCTTAAACCTGTTTCTGGAGAAGGAAGACTTACTGTCCACAAGACTGGTGCCACAGAAACACATCCACATGTAACTACAGAGCTTTTTTTCGAGGAGTTTGGCATTGAGTTCGATAGTAGTCAGTATCGGGACATCTTGTGGACTGCTTCCAAGCTTCACTGGTACCAAAAGACATGGAAATTCCGTAAATATAGACCACGGGTTTCTGTGGAAGAGGATCCAAAGCAATGGTTTAGGTACACCGCCAAGAGTATTCTCGGTGAGATCCACGAAAAGAACTATAGATGGAGTTGGGATCACTTCAAAAAGAGAAGGGACCAAAGAAAGAAATATATCAGCTTGTGGAAGAATAAGGTTCTTAAGAAGCCACTTAATGCTCTGGACCAAACAATGTTCGAAAAGTTAGAATGGGACCTTCCTTATGAGGATATCAGATTTTATAGATCCCTCGCCAGAAGTGAGATCAGGAAAGAGAAGTTGTCGGCTCCTCCTTCCACTCCCCAACCAGCATCAAGCGGCGGCTGGATTTCTTCGTGGTGGTATGGTAACAAGAGCCAGGAAACCATCGAGGCACCCAAATCAGAGGGTGGCTTGAATCTCACTTTGACTGACGAGCAAAGAAAGGCTCTTTATGAAACCATTGATTTTAACGAAGATGACACTCTCAGCGACGCAGTCAATATTCCACGCGATAGAGTCACAGTTGAAATCTTCATGACTATTAAGAAAGCAGGTATTTCTTTGAAGCCAGTCAAACATGGCCCAAGTTTGGCAGAAGTCATGGTAGAGGGTTGCAGGACTCAGATCTACCAGAGGCCAGATTCTTTCTTGGCCAATTTCCAATTGCAAGAGCTTAAGGTAGAGGATGGAACTTCGAAAACGTTGTACAAGCACATTGTCAGCGTCAAGCACGTCCATTCAGGTCTTCATTCTTCGGTGGAAGAGTTCCATGACGCCTCTTCATCTGTGAGCTCTCAAAAGAGTGACCCATTCTTCAGAGTCTCTTTTGAGAACAACCCGTTGGATGGAAGTGCTGATTCTGTTCTTCTTGCAAAGTTGAATTCGATGACAATTTTCTATAACGCATTTTTCATTGAAGAAATCATCCGATTCTTTAAGCCCCCGAAGATCCATCTTGATACTATTGGTGCTATCATGAATGCTGCAGAGGCAACTATGGAGGGTATCACGGAACAGACAAGATTGGGTCTTCAGTATGCTTTGGAGGAACACAAGACTATCAATGTCAAGCTTGACCTCCAAGCACCTTTGGTCATTATGCCTCTTGACCCAACTAGCTGGAAATCACCGGTCGCTATCCTAGACGCTGGTCATTTGAGCGTCACGAGTGATTTGGTTGACAAAGCGACTATTGAGGATATCAAGTCCAAAGAGAGTTATAGCAATGAGGATTGGAGTAAGCTCAAGACTCTCATGTATGATCAGTTCAATCTTCATCTTCAAGATGCCCAGTTTCTTGTGGGTTCCACGATTAAGGATACCATGGAGCAGCTTCACACAGAGAAGTCAAAGCAGTCAGCTGTTATGCTTAATAATTTAGACATACGACTCAATTTGGGCGTCTCTATCATCCCAGAAGCTACTAATTTGGCTAGATTCAAGCTTGGAGGTGAGATTCCCGAAATTGACGTTGCCCTCAATGACTTCCAGTATAAGACTATCATGAAACTTATAGACGTCGTTATACCTGATTTAGCTGCCAACGAGGGTGACGATAACAGTGTTTTCCATGCCTTTGGTCAAAAAGAAGAACAGTACAAGCTCGAAGATGTCGAAGAATCTGCCGTGGCTCTCAGAGATGCTAAGAAGCCAGAGAACCCCCAGCATATGGTTGAGATGGATTTCACAATCACCCGAGTTAACTTGTCATTGTCGAGATGTACTAATGCTGTCACCCTCGAGGCCGAACCTTTCCTCGATCTTGTCGGCGACACACTTGAACTTTCTTTCTACAAGACTGATTATGATATGCATCTTGACTTGACCTTGATTGACGTTGACATTATTGATCACATAGAAAAATCTGGTGTTCCTGAGTTCGAGAAGTTGATGTCTTCGAGAAACTTTACCGAAAGCGAAGCAGTGGTGCGTAAGAACAAAGAACTTTTCAAGCTTGATCTTACCAGGACTCAGAGGATTGTCGAGTTCAACGGGAATGACATCGAAGTGTTTGACTTGGATATTATTGTTGACATGTCTGCCGTAAAGTGTGTTGTCTCACGTATGTCATACTTGAGTATCCTCAACTTTATGTTGAATACGTTCACCGATCCTAATGCTGAAGAAACCCCTGCCGACACATTGAAGCACAATGATTACAATGATGACCGCATTGCTCCTCAAAAGATAAACGTGAAGGTCAATCTTGATAGTATCATTGTCGTCCTTAACGAAGATGATCTTAAATTGGCAACCTTGCAATTGAGTACGGCGAACGTGAAGGTATTTGTCCTTCCAGAGGCGCTTGAGGTTAGCGGTTCGTTAGGTGCCTTGTCTTTACATGACGAATCAAACGAGGGCTCGCCAAGAGACTCCATCTTCCGCAATTTGATTAACATCGAAGGCGACAACCTAGCCGAATTCACGTACAAGACTTACGATCCAACTACCAATAAGGAACCATATGATAGTTATATTGAGTTTATCACCGGTTCTTCTACTATCAACTTTGCCGAGGATGCCTTTGGAAAGATCTTTAATTATCTCAACAAGTTTGCGCAGATGAAGGCCATTTATGATAAGGCTCGTGACGCGGCTATCAACCAAGCTAACCAAATTGACGCCTCCAATAAGATGAAGATGAATATTCTTGTCAGGGCACCTACGGTACGTTTGCCTAAGCTTATTGGTAGCGCTGCTGACGATTATGATGTCATAGTGGCGGAACTTGGTGAACTTTACCTTCACAACGATTTCGAGCCAAGGGGTGATTTGTTATACAACGTGATGAATGCCGGCCTCAGAAACACCAAAGTAACTTCAAAGTTTCATCTCGATGAGGTTATCCAAGAGAGTCAGATGGTCGATGCATTGGATATTGGTTTCCTGATTGATTATCTTGAGGACTTCCACGAGGATAAGCCTACTTTTAAGGTCAACGGAAGCTTACCAGAGCTTGACTTCCATTTATCTGAACTCCAGCTCAACTATTTGTATAACTTGCAGAACAAGATTAGTGCTGTCTTTATGGCATCAGACGATGAGGACTCCATGGATAAGATTGAGGCTGATGCAGAGAATGCCAATGCATTAATGGCACACGACTCGTCTTTAATCAGACAGAAGCAGCAATCTGATAAATCTGCACCGGAAGTTTCAGAGCCAAAGCCAGCTAGCACAGCAAGCCAGAATTCTCCTGATCATGTTAAGTTTGATATTGCTTTGGAGATCCCAAAAATTTCGTTGCTGCTTTATCATAACACGCATGATGTGGCTTCCTTTGACTCAAGAAAGCTTGCTTTGTTAGCCATCAAAGACTTTAAAGCGCTGTTCTTCATGAAGGATGACGATAATTTCACCTCAGACCTTACGGTTAATGCATTCACTATTAGTGACGTTAGATCCCACACTTCAAACAAATTCCCCGAAGTCATCCCACCTTTGCAGGATGAGAGGAATCAGTTCAAATTGAATGCATCTACTGGATCGACTGGAGTTAATGACAAGAAAGCTACTACGGTGATGTTGACAATCGAGGAACCGCAAGTTATCTTAGCCTTAGACTTCCTTTTCGGCTTGCAAGCCTTCGCCAACAAGGGTCTACAGGTCGACTCTGTTCAGCCAACTTTCGACATGGATGATGAGTTTGATTCTGAAGATGAATCTATTGATGGGCGCCTCCATAAAGCTGAAGAAGAAGAAGCAGAAGTCGCGGAGACATTTGCTTCCACATTGGGCTTTTCGGTCAATATTACTAAACCTTCTGTGTTACTTCTTGCTGATTCTACCCAGGAGGATTCTGAAGCAATTGTGTTCAAGGTAGAGCAAATGCTTATAACCAGCCAGAACATCGTTTCTTTGGCTGCAGACAGCATTGGAATGTTTGTTTCGAGGATGGATGACTTTGAGCGGAGGCTTCGTATTATTGATGACTTCTCCGTCTCTTTTGCATTAGATGGAAGAGGTTCGACGGCGACGTCATTTTTGACAAACATTCAGCTTTCAATTGATCCTTTACTTGTTAGACTTTCATTGAGAGAAGTCCGTCTAGGCTTGAGAATAGCAAACAGGGCAAATGAGCTTTACGCAGAGGCTATGGGTAAAGATCTCAATGCTAATACCGAGCCGGATCATAGTATTACCGATGATTTCAAACGCCGCTTATCGCAGTACGCTCCGAGTGTTGTCTCTGGCTTCTCCAGGGATTCAGCAAAGCGTAGAAAGCGTTCGATGACTACTGAAGTAATTGTGAAGGGGGAGGAGTTCAATGCTTCCTTTGGTGGTGCCAGATTTGTACTTATTGGTGATATTCATGAATTGCCTGTTATTGATGCCAACATCAACGCCTTCGAAACTAAAGTCTTGAATTGGTCTACGGAATTGAGCGCTGAATGTCACCTTGAGCCTTACGTGAACATCTACAACTACGCTAAGTCGACATGGGAGCCTCTCGTTGAGCCCTGGCCTGTATCTGTCTATGCATCTAAGGCCATGGATCCCAAGCCTACTATTATGATTGACGTTGTTTCCAGAAGCATGGCCCAAATTACTGTCTCATCCAGATCTGTCGCTTTGCTTTCCCAAGTGTTTTCTGCAATTAATCCTGACATCGATCTTAAGTCTCGAGAAGAAGTGACTCCTTACACGATCCTTAATGAGACTGGATACGATTTAGAGGTCTGGACCGATCGTGACGAAGAGCTGAGGAAGGATTCGACTGTTTTGAAGAACAGTCAAAAGATCCCTTGGGCTTTTGAGGACTGGAGAGTGATTCGTGAGAAGTTGGATACTGACAGTGACCAAGATGTCCTTGGCTTGAAGATTCTCGGCTCTTCCTATGAAAAGGTTAGAAAGATCAACGCTGCAGGTGTTGGAGAGCAAATATTCATGCTTAGACCTCCAGTTGATGGTGTTCACAGCAGACTTGCTGCTGAAGTGATCCTAGGTGATGATAATGTTAAGACGATTGTTTTGCGCTCAACAGTTAAGGTTCAAAATGACTCGGATTCAGGCATTACTATAAGAGTGACTGAAGAGAACCAGAATATTGACTCTGAAATACTTATTGAGCCCAATCAAACGAAGTCGCTTCCGATTGATGCTGTGTTCTCTGGCAAGATAAAGATCAAGCCACACCTTGAAACAAAGTTCAACTGGTCTAACGAGACTTTGGAGTGGAAGGATCTTATGAAGCAAGGCACTGCTCTTTCATGCTCTTCAGTTGGAACGGGCCAGACATCCGTCTTCTATTATCAAGCTGAAGTCAAGTATGACGAGGAAGAGCCTCTAGCCAGAGTGTACCCTCATTTCACGCTTGTTATCTCTGCGCCACTTGAAATCGAGAACTTGCTACCATTCGATTTCAACTTCAGGTTGTATGATAAAAGCAGCAAAAAGGACTGGAGCGGCTCTGTTAAGAAAGGGCAAAGCACGTTTGTCCATGTTGTCACATTAAATGCATTACTTTTACTCAGTATTGAGCCGCTCGAGTGTGGATTTGGCAAGTCGGAGTTTGCCATTATCAACTCCACCAAAAAGAGTGAATTCAAACGTGAATCGCTCATCAACACCAGAGGTGATTCGGGCAGAAATGTGAGATTGAAGATGCACTATCCAAAGGACGATGTTAAGACGAATTTGAAGGTGGCAGTGTTCAGTCCATACGTTTTGTTGAACAGAACAGGCCAGAACTTAACCGTGGTGGACAAGGCCAGTCGTTCCAATGTTATGGAGTCTTCCAGTTTGCAAGAAAACATACCTCACATGTTTTCCTTCGATAGAGACGGGGAAAGACTGAACAGAGCTCTTGTTAAATTAGCTGACTCGGTCCTTTCAGCTCCAGTAAGTTTTGATGCTATTGGTCAAAGTTTGGGTATGCTGGTGCAATTGAATCACAAACAAACTGAGATGAACTTTGGCGTTTCTATTGGAGAAGGTGAAGGAAAATACAAGCTCACAAAGGTCGTGACTTTCTCTCCTCGTTACGTCATTAAAAACGCTATTTCCGAGCCTCTCTCACTTGTTGAAAATGGATCAACGAAGCAGCTTCTGCTTGACCCGGGACAGCTGGTACCTCTTTACTCTCTTCATAAAGTTGAGAATAAGAGCATTATGTTGAAGTTCGACCAGGGTGGAAAGGGATGGTCATCTCCGTTTGCCATTGACGATGTGGGTCAAATCTTCTTAAAGTTACAAAAAGAAGGACAAGGCCAGTCTCTTTGAAGGTTAACGTGTTGACTGAGGATGCTACAATCTTTATCCAGGTGGAAAGTGCCCACAACAATTGGCCATATTCCATCAGAAATTTCACAGACCACGAGCTTTACATTTACCAGGCCAACCCGAACGTTGATCTGAATGGTGAGGTTGTGAAGCGGGATACAGTCTACAAACCGGTTTACTACAAGGTTCCAGCAAAGAGTGTCATGCCATATGCGTACGACTATCCTAATGCTGTTGTCAAGGAGTTGATCATTAGAGCCCGTGGACGTGAAAGAGCAGTTAACTTGGCCGAAATTGGTAACCTTAAACCTTTCAGGTTGCCAGCTACTGAAAGAGATTCACAGAATATCTTGGATCTCAATGTTGTTGCTGATGGACCTACCCAATCATTGGTCATCTCTGACTATGACCCTGGCATGAGTTTGTACAAGTTGAGAAAGACTGAGACGAGCTCAACGGCTAACACATCGAAGCAACAGTTTGAGGTTGATGAAGTGGACGACAATTACCACACCAAGATCTTGACACGCTTTGAGGGTTTGGGTATTTCTTTGATCAACACCCGCTCTCAAGAATTATGCTACATAACCTTGAGAGGCCTTGAGCTCAGATACAATGAATCTGATTTGTATCAGAATTTGAGTATGAAGTTGAAGTGGGTCCAGATTGACAATCAGCTTTACGGAGGAATCTTCCCTATTATCCTTTACCCTACCGTCGTTCCAAAATCAGGAAAGGAGATGAACAGCCATCCATCCTTCTCTGGTTCCATCTGTAAGGTAAAGGATGATTCTCATGGTGTGGTGTTCATCAAGTATGCTACAGTGCTTCTTCAGGAAATGACGATGGAGCTTGACGAAGATTTCCTTTTTGCCTTGCTAGATTTCTCTAAGTTCCCAGGTGCAAGCTGGAATGCGCTTGTCGAAGACAAACTTTGCGACACGAATCTTGAAATTCCGGAGCCCACGAAATTGTCTGATGCTAGTGATATTTATTTCGAGGCCTTGCATTTGCAGCCAACCTTGTCTCACTTGTCTTTCGTCAGAACCGAAAGAGTTAATGCCGAGGACAGGACTTCGTCCCAGAACACCATTATGTTCTTCGTTAATGTTCTTACAATGGCTATTGGCAATATTAATGATGCACCAATTAAGTTGAACGCATTGTTCATTGAAAACATCAGAGTGCCTATTCCCATTTTGCTTGAATCTGTACAGAAGCATTACGGTCAATCGTTCTTTTACCAGTTGCACAAGATTTTGGGCTCAGCAGATTTCCTTGGTAACCCAGTTGGGTTGTTCAATAACATTTCTTCTGGTGTTCTTGATATCTTTTATGAACCTTATCAAGGTTTCATTATCAACGACCGTCCACAAGAGTTGGGTATTGGCATTGCAAAGGGTGGACTTAGTTTCCTCAAGAAGTCCGTGTTTGGATTCTCCGACTCTTTCGCTAAGGTTACTGGCTCGCTTGCAAAGGGTTTATCTGTCGCTACTATGGATAAATCGTTCCAAGAGAGAAGAAGACTCAACCAGCGCAGAAACAAACCAAAGCACGCATTGTATGGCTTTTCTTCCGGTGCTAATTCGTTCTTTGAGTCTATTTCATCTGGTGTAACAGGTATCGCTACTGCTCCAGCCGAGGGCGCTGCTAAAGGAGGCGCCAATGGTTTCTTTAAGGGTCTTGGTAAGGGTGTTGTTGGTCTCCCTACAAAGACAGCTATTGGTTTCTTCGATCTTGCATCTAATGTCGGAGAGGGAATCAGGAACACAACAACAGTGTTTGATGCCGATGGATTAGAGAAGGTCCGTCTTCCACGCCATGTCTCCTACGATGAAGTCATTCGTCCATACTCGCAGAGAGAAGCTCAAGGCCAGTTCTGGCTTAAGTCTATCGACGGTGGTCGCTTCTTTAATGAGACGTACTTGGCCCATTTGCTTCTTGCCGGCGAAGAGAAGTCAGTTGTGATTACTTTTAAGCGGATTATACTCTTCTCGATCGATTCATTGAAGGTGGTTTGGGTGACAAACTTCGACCAAGTCAAGGCTATTTCTTTGGAGCCAACGGGTATTTCTATTAAGCTAAAGACAAAGGAAGGTCCATTTATCCCAATTTCCGAGAAGAAGAACAGAGAGTTCTTATATGGAAGGCTTCGGGTTGCCGTTGATAAATTCAACGAGCATGCAAAAGTTATTCAGTGAGTAAGTTGTTTAAAAATAAATTGATTCGGTGTTTGACCTGCTCTTTTTGTAAGTCTCTGGATGAAAGTCTTGGGATCCTCGTCACTGCAAAATTGGAATTTGAGCTTTCTAACGATTATAGACCCACCAATTGTACGGATGGCAATTGAAGCAGTAGGAGCATCATATTTGAATTCACCAGGCTCTTTGAGGCCGAAGTCGTTTGTAGAAATTTCGATATCGTCAAGAATAACCTTTTGAAGTTCATGTATTCTCTCCTTCTTCTTCATTATATCAACCTCCTTGTACGAATGAATAGGGCCAAGAGCATCATTCAAGCGCTTTATTTGCCTGGAGGAGAGATTCCAATCAACTTGGGATTCTGCAGAAGATATCTTGGGTGCTAGCGATGGCGTATGCCCCGAGTCAATTGGTTTAGGATCTAGGTAGATACCATTGGTGATAGCTGAAGCAAGCAATTCTGCACCCACACCACTCAACCGTTCACTTAGGCTTACAAAGTTGTCGTTATCCTCAATTGGAACAGCTTCAGATTGCAGAAGAATCAAGCCATGGTCGAACTTTGTTGGGTGTAAGGTCTGAAGTGATACGCCTGTTTCCTTCAAGTCATCCTTCAATGCATATTGAATTGGAGAAGAGCCTCGATACATTGGCAACAATGACGGATGAACATTGAGACCACCATACTTCATGGCATTGATGAACGCGCCTGGGATGAGTTTACCATAAGAAACGGCCACTGCCAAATCGAACTTTTCGTGATCTAAAACACCTAGAATCTGTTCCAGCGAGTCTGCTCTAAACGTATGTATACCGTTCTGCAGAGCGTATTCGCCAATTGGGACATCCACTAGTTTTTTGAGCTTCCTTCCCGTCGGTTTGATAGAGCGAGTGATGACTTTCAAAGATGATATAATGGAGGGTTTTTGCTGATGGATATCATATAGCCTTCGTAGCGAAGCAACGCTGAACTTGTCTGAGCCAAAAAAGGCAATTCGTAGAGGAGGAGGAAGTGTCATGAAGGGGTACCAGTGGGACCAGTTAATCGTTGGTGGTTGATAAATCTACAGAGGTGTAGGAATGGCTGCGAAAAAGTATGTAGTGGTCCATAGTGGAGAAGGAAGGCGATGGACAGCCTTAATTGAAGGCACGACAGCTTTAACCTATATATAAATCAATCGGGAGACTCGTCGGTCACATATTGTGCAACGTAACCTTCTTGTTGAGGGAAGATAGGGTAGGGTGTGGCTTCTTCATCTGAATCAACGTAGGTGAGTCTTTCAGTAAGTGCACCAGGTTGACCATACTTCAAATGTACCCTTTCCGGGTACTGAAGCTCTTCTGCTTCCATTAGCTGGTAAGCTTTATCAGTGTCAACTTCCACGGTTTCTGCTGAGCTGTACGGTTTATAGAACCAGCGACTTACTCGAACTCGTCGATCCTGTGAAGGTGGAGGAGGCCGGTTGTTTCTCTCTCGGTTCCGCTTTTCTTTTGAACGATATCTATTGTAGACAAGCTTATCAATCAAGATATATAAGCCAATTCCCACAGCAGCAGCGGCGAGAAAGATAAGAAGGATATAGAAGACAGCCAATATCAACACTAGCAACCTACCAGCTTCTTGTAAAGTTTCTTCCACGACGGCAGAAGGTAACGGGTCATTGATGACTTCAATTTGTTGGCTTTTTGTATCGTAGGTCAAGACTGGCATGGGTATGACATGTGGGTGGAGGGAGTAAGTGTTGTAGGAGCAGAATGGTTGCAAAAAGAATGGCTGCGAAATCTGGAGAGGCAGTTGGATAGTGAGAGGGTAGGCCCGTAGGGGCTCCAGGTATTGTAATATAAAAAGAGAATTTTGGCTGGTTTTGAACGACTAGGGTTTTTATTGAAGTCGTAAAGTGTAGATAGGAGTTGGGGACTGGGGACTCGAAATACTGATGGCGACATGTACCATGGTTGGTCCACAGAGCGTATAGTAAGCTCCACCCATAGCCATTCAAAGGACAGCATTTAGGCCCAATGGGATATCTAATAAGTACACTCCGGCAACACGAACTACCGGGTCATCTCTAATGTAGTATGTGGTTGAGTATGGCCAGAGTACACTTCACAGGTTTAACAACCACCTTCACGGTCCAACCCACTAACCATAAACTCTAGCACCCAAAATTTTCATGAATCCTCCCATTTTCATCAAATACTAACATACCTTGGACGTGTCACAGCCTCTGAGTTATGGACCCAGTGCTAGTGTGCACTTTAAAGAAGAATGGACCAAGCGAGGCGGTTTAGAGTTTGGAGGAAGAATCCGCCTCGAACAAGGTTTGAAAAGTCCCCAAACAACCAACCTACCACCCCCAAAAACCAACTATATAAAGCCCACAAATTCCTAAGAACTTCCACCAAAAACCCTTCACTATCCTCCCAATCACATAGCCCTCTTCTGACCCATTGCCTGTTTTCTTCACACCGCACGACACCATCAGACGGTTCCTGAGATTTACGACCCGCGCGATCCACGGCTGCAACTCCAGACCACCAAGGGCCCCCAAGAAGCCCAAGCAAAAACCCCAAAACTGGTCAAAAAGAAAAGGCAAAAGACCTCTAAAGAAATTGAAAACTTAAGTTTTCTCCTCTCTTCAAACCCCCTCGGTTTCCTTGTTTGTTGCTATATTTGGCACCCAGTTGAGGCTTTCTCCCTCCCTTTATTGTCTATTCGCTTCTCGCGCTCCTCCACGCGACTTCACCTCGACATAGTAACACACAGCGTTTTCCACTGCGACTTTCCAAGTTTTGATCCCTTCAACTACCACCCGTGTACTCGATGTCCAAGTGCTGGTTTCCACGATAAACCTTGCTAATCACTAATCTTTGAAAATATGCCCTCCACCATCACAAAGTCACTTACCCTTCTTTCATGCACTTTCTTGGGCCTCATATGTGGAACCTTATACCTATACTCGTCATATAGCCCGCAGTTGGCCCAGAGACTTCTGTACTCCGCCACTGATCTGTCTTTGATAGCGCTTTTCGGGTCTTTGGGTGTTGCTGTAACGGGTCCTGTGGCTGGCTTGGTTGTTGATCGTAAGGGTTACACTGTTTCGCTTGCCATTGGTGGCTTGTCTATTTGTCTTGGCTACTATGGCCTTAGACGCCAGTTTGCCTCGGCAATGTCGAACTTAAGCTACCTGTGTTTTTTGCTTTTCATTGTTGGGCTTGGATCTACGTTTATCAATTCAGCGTGTCTTAAATGTTGTGCCGTTTCGTTCCCTAATATCCGTGGCGTGGCTACTTCCCTTCCCTTGGCATTATATGGCTTGCTGGCCATGTTCTACTCGGTCATTGCCTCGGTGTATTATCCCGGTGACACTTCGGGGTTTCTCTGGTTCCTTATCGTTTCTGTGGGAGTCATTCTTGCAATCTGTTCGCCTCAATTGATGCTCTGTGACATAAGGAACATCCAACCAAAGAGACACGCTGCAAGCAACTCAGAAATCATCCAAATGACTACAATTGGCCAGAAACTCGAGCCAGAACCCATTCAGTACCATGGCCTTCACCATAATACCGAGGCATCCGGGTTCGACTTGCTTCGAAGCCCAAGATTCTGGCTTCTTTTCATTGCTACAGGTGCCTTTGCTTCCTTGGGACAGATGTACATCTACACTGTCGGTTACATGGTCAAGGCGTTAGTTACAAACACTTTTACCACTCCAGTTGACACTTCTGTTGAATATGTCCCCATGGAAGTGGTGATTCAACAGGAACAGCAAGTTCAGGTTGGTCTTTTATCGGTTGCAAATTGCGTCGGGAGACTTCTGGCCGGTATTTTGGGTGACATCATCAGCCAAAGTTTCCGGAAACCACGCGGATGGCTTCTTTTCATTCCTGGATTAGGCCTTGTGATCACCCAAATCATGGGATTGAGTATCACCCAGCCACACCATTTGGAATGGGCTTCTATGCTTTCAGGCTTTTTCTACGGTTTCACTTTCTGCATCATGCCAATTATCGTAGGTGATGTCTTTGGCATGGAAAACTTCTCAGGCAACTGGGGTCTTGTCGGTATGTCGCCTATCGTACCATCGTTCTTCTTCACTAATCACTTTGGTAAGGTCTACGACAGACATTCATCCATGTCTGAGCTCGGTATCACCGTTTGCACTCTCGGCAACGGCTGCTATAGACAAGTCTACAAACTTACACTTGGAGTCAGCGTTTTTGCCATTCTAATCATTTCAATCTTTAATTTTGGCGAACGGTACTTGGCAAGCCGGTCTCTCTACGATAAGAGGAAGGGTGTTCTCGGCCTCAAGTCTGAAAAACAGTGAGGCGCGAAACGCACTTCTTAACCAGCGCGACTACTCATACTACATTTCTTAATGTCAGAGAAGAAGAAGTATGTTCCGCCCAATCGAAGAAATAAGTCTGAGGATGAAAAGTTGAAGGAGCGGAAAGCTAGATTTGAGAAACCCAAGCAAGAAGAATACGGTTACGTTTCCAGAGGCGAAGAGAACAAACTACAGAAGGATGAGAGCGCCCGTCGTTCATACTTTGACAAGATCAAGAAGATGGACAGAGAAAAGCCTGACCTTATACTAGATTCCCTAAGAAAACTTCGAGAAGCGATGCTTCAGCACAAACCTGACGAGTTCACAAAGTCAGTGTACATGTTTTCCTTCGAGTTCAGCTCAAGTATTGGAAGGTACCAAGCATACGTCCCATGCGGACAGTTCCTTCTACGAGAGAAGCATTTGCTAACCAAAGACGAAATCAAGCAGATTGCACAGGTGATCATCCTCCACATTTCCCACTGCAACAACGACAGCGGCCGAGCATGGCTGCTCTTCTTTAGGCATTTTACAAGGCAGGACCCATTGTACGCCGTTCTTGAGTCGTGGGACCTCGAAGATTATTACAAATGGATACAATTCTTCGAAAGAGAAAAAGACCCAGCCCGGAAAAACGTAATGAAGCTAGGTCTTCCGAAAATGATGCGCCACATGGCGGCATGCTTAACCATACTGTACTTTACCATGGCCGTGAACGACATGGCTCACCTAATGGTCGATGGAGATGTTGAACAGTTCATCGACAAATACAATACCGGCTGGACCATTGAAGGAAGCACAGTCACACTTCGAAGAAGAAAATAGATATTATTAAAATTGCACAATACACCAAGGCGGTCTCGGGCCGTGCGAGTTTCCATATTCGCGATTAATCACCACATAGATCTTCTCCTCACCTCTCACACTCATCATCAAACAACCATTGAACATGAACGAGTTGACTGGGCCAATAAAAATCGATGACATTGCAAGTGGTAAAATAGATAGCAAGGCCATATACGATGAGCTTGAGCGGCTTAAAGCTGAGGTCAACATTCTCAGAAACGACATGTCCTTATTCCTAAAGCAGCTAGCAACGATTCCCGAGAAACACAGCCAACAAGAGTACCAGGATGCTCTTCAGCAGCGTCTTACGCAAGTGCAAAACACCATCAAGGAGTATTGTGTTCGTTATAACCGTCTTCTTCCTATAATAAACTTATCTCAAATCAAGCTTGGGCAGGAACCCGAGACGAATCCCAAAGCTAACGGGCTGCCAGCTAAAAAACAAGGTGTTCTGCCACAAAAGAACGGACAAAAGAAGAAATAAAGTGATTTACGAAGCTTTCTTGGATGTTGTACTATACAAGTTGTTAGACGATGCTGGTTGATGGTGTTTTTAAAGCTTTGAAGATTCCTTCAACGACCATGAAAGTAATAATGAAGAAACTGCTTCTTAAGCTATTGAAGTTGGTTTAACCAAATTCTTTGATGCTATTACGTTTCGTGGAAAAGCTTCCAGAAGCTTGTCGAATGGGCTGTAACCCTTGACTATTCCACTGTATCATTGAGGCTATGGATGAGAACAGACGTTGTATTTTGGCATCAGAATGTCAAATCACTCAAACTAATGCATTTGTTTTCCTTTTCTTGAAGATGGATATTATCTTAGGTCCACATTCCAGCGTCCTTACGTCAACGCACTCTGTCAAACGAGGCCTGTAATTCTATGGCTTCTACCGAAGAAACATTCCTTTTACCTGGACGATCAACCTAACTTACTTCGTTTCCATCACTTCTACAGGTTCTATTGATTTTTCATTTTTCGACAAATGGACCGAAGACGGTCGTGGTACGGTCTACGGTCATCGCACATACGCTTACTAGACTACTTTGTGCCTTATCAGGTTTTCTTTTGCGGGATGTCGAAACCCTCAAAATCCACGAAATTGGACATTCTGGAATTCATCAAAACCCCAATTACCAAAATAATCGAATTTATGCTATTTTTTGCAACCTTAATTTTTGGCTCCCCCACATTAGCCTAGAGGGTTACCCTGAACTGACTCATTGGATCTGATAACGATTGTGTATATAAAGCTTTGGTGCTGCGCTCGAAAAGGTAGAAGCTCATTCTTGATTTTTCAATCTCAGACCTGCCAATCTAGCCCCACACAATGTCTGCTTTATTGAAAGAAACTTTCGCCAGATGCAAAAAAGAAGGCAGAAATGCCTTGGTGAACTTCATCACTGCTGGTTACCCAAGCGTGGAAGACACCATTCCTATCTTGAAGGGAATGCAGAAAGGTGGTGTCGACATCATTGAATTGGGTGTTCCATTCTCTGACCCTATTGCTGACGGTCCAACTATCCAGGCCGCTAACACTGTCGCTTTGCTGAACGGTATGACTGTTCCAAAATGTTTGGAAATGGTTGCTCAGGCTAGAAAGGAAGGTGTTACTGTTCCAATCATCTTGATGGGCTACTACAATCCTATCATGAAGTACGGCGAGGACCAGATGGTCGAGGATTCTGCTAAGGCAGGTGCTAACGGTTACATTGTCGTCGACTTGCCTCCAGAAGAAGCTATCAAGTTCAGAACTACCTGCTCCAAGTATGGTATGAGTTACGTTCCTTTGGTTGCCCCAGCCACCAGCGATGCCCGTTTGGAAGTCTTGGGTGGCATTGCGGACTCTTTCATCTACGTTGTTTCTCGTATGGGAACCACTGGTGCCACCCAGGAAGTCTCTCTGAGCATTTCTGAGTTGTGTGGCCGTGTGAGGAAATTCGCTGGTGACACTCCATTGGCTGTTGGTTTCGGTGTCAGCACTAGAGAGCATTTCTTGACTGTCGGTGCTGCCGCTGACGGTGTCGTCATTGGTTCTAAGATCATCACTCTTTTGGGTGACTCTAAGCCAGGTGAGAGAGGTGAGATTGCTTACAAGTACGTGCGTTCCATCTTGGGTGAGGACTACAACGGTACTGCCCAGCTGACTTCAAGCCATACGCTGCCCCATCTGAAATCAATGCTCCAAGACCTCTTTTGGAAGAGGAGCACAAGTACAACCCTAGATTCGGTGACTTTGGTGGTCAATATGTGCCAGAGGCTTTGCACACTTGTTTGGCTGAATTGGAGAGAGGTTTCGAGTCTGCTGTCGCTGACCCAGGTTTCTGGGAGGAGTTCAGATCTTTGTACTCTTACATTGGCAGACCTTCCAGTCTACACAAGGCTGACAGATTGACTGAACACGCTGGTGGTGCTCAAATCTGGTTAAAGAGAGAGGACTTGAACCACACCGGTTCTCACAAGATTAACAACGCTTTGGCTCAGGTTCTTATCGCCAAGAGATTGGGTAAGAAGAGAATCATTGCCGAGACCGGTGCTGGTCAGCACGGTGTGGCTACAGCTACTGCTTGTGCCAAGTTCGGTTTGGAGTGTTGCGTCTTCATGGGTGCTGAGGATGTCAAGCGTCAAGCTCTTAACGTTTTCAGAATGCGTATCTTGGGTGCTAAGTGTGTCGCCGTTACCAACGGTACGCAAACCCTTAGAGATGCCACCTCTGAAGCTTTCAGATACTGGGTTTCCAACTTGGAGTCTACCCACTACGTCGTCGGCTCTGCCATTGGTCCTCACCCTTACCCTACTCTTGTGAGAACTTTCCAGAGTGTCATTGGTAGAGAAGCCAAGGAACAATTCAAGGAGTTGAACGAAGGCCGTTTGCCTGATGCTGTTGTTGCATGTGTCGGTGGTGGTTCTAACGCTACTGGTATGTTCTCTCCATTCGAGAATGACACATCCGTCAGAATGGTCGGTGTTGAAGCTGGTGGTGACGGTTTGGATACTGAGCGTCACTCTGCTACCTTGACTGCTGGTATTCCAGGTGTTTTCCACGGTGTCAGAACTTACGTCTTGCAAGACTCTGACGGTCAAGTTCACGACACCCACTCCGTGTCTGCTGGTTTGGACTACCCTGGTGTTGGACCTGAGTTGGCATACTGGAAGAACTCTGGCCGTGCCGATTTCGTCGCTGCCACGGACGCTCAAGCATTGGAGGGCTTCAGATTGTTGTCTCAATTGGAAGGTATCATTCCTGCCTTAGAGTCTTCTCACGCTGTGTATGGTGCTGTCCAGCTTGCTAAGACTATGTCCAAGGACCAGCACATCATTATCAATGTCTCCGGTAGAGGTGATAAGGACGTTCAGAGTGTGGCTAAAGCCTTGCCTGTTTTGGGTGAGAAGATCGGTTGGGATTTGAGATTCGAGGACGATCCTTCCAAGTAAGTGGGAAGGTCTCAAATCAAGAAAAAAAATTAATGATTATCTATAATGTATAATACAAATGCTATAAATAAGTTATGCAAATCCACCCTTCTTCTTCTTTTTTCGTTGACTTGTGCTCTGTGAGCCTGGCCTTTTGAGTGTCTGGGACTGCCGCTTGGGTACATCCAGCTTCTTCTGAGATCTTGAGATAGCCTGTGACAGAGATGGTTCAGGAAGTTCTTGAGAGCTGTCTGGGAATGCTTGAGAAGGCTGTGGTAGCTGTGATGTCGCTTGTGACATATGCTGTGAGTTTTGAGTGAGTGCACGATGTAGAAGTCCTCTCTTCTTTGTATCCACTGTTGGTGGAGCAGATTTGGCCCTTTCTCTAGGAAACTGTATATCCCAATCATCAAACATTGACGTTAATTCTGGATCACATTTCTTGACCTCTTCACGATACAAGTTTTGAAGACGGGTTTCAATATCCTCATTCGAGACCTTGAAAAGACTGTTGGCTAAGATCATAGCAGCTTGGCCATTGTTGGGATGATCAGTATAAACGTTATCCAACGCTTCTTTAAGCTGTTGCACAGATGGTTCACTTTCGAGGGATAAGCTTTTAAGAGCTTGCTTAACATTCTTTTGTACCTCAATACCACAGCTGTTGTAGAAATCACTTAGTTGATCGACCATCGAGTCAAACTCTTCCATGTCGTCGATGGTAAGAGGCACACAATCAGCAACAGCGGCAAATGGCGTGAAACTCGGGATGTAAACGTCTGGCACTTTTGCTGAACCATTACTGCTTACTTCATCAGAATCTTGAGTCCCGTGTTCACTAGGGAGCTCCTCTTCAATCCGAAGACGCTTTTTTATATCATTACCAAGCCTAAAAGCATAGTTTTGAACGAGTTGTACCAGAGTCGGCCCATCTGCATTGTCATCTTCCCTTATTTCCTCATTTTCATGTGTCATTCGTTCAGAAGTAGAAAAGGAATGAAATGCATTGGTAGCTTCTGCGATAGAGATCATGTTGAAAATGTCTTTTGTTGGTTCAGTTTCCAATGTTGAGGCAGAACGAGTTGCCTTTTCGGTTAATGCCAATTCAAGGGATTCCGAGCCATGAAGGCTACTATAATGTAACCCTGAACCTGTTGATTGAACTTGAAAGAACGTCATATCGTCATCAACATTGTACCTTATGCTGTCAAAGAAGAAAGTCAGACAGTCTTCACTAGTCCTGATGAAGTACGGATCACACAAGAGAGCAGGCCGCCCTTGGTTGAAGCCCAATGTATAAATCATGGCCATAGGCGTGTTTTGTGAAAAGACAGAGCAAATGAAAAGCTCTTCCCTTTTAGCCTCGCAGACATGTAGCCTAAATGATGGATCTTCGTCGTCTAGGAAATGCTTCCAAGAGAGGAGTCTCTTGAATGGTGCTTCTTTCTCGGATTCAAGGAAGATCAACTCCCTCGAAGTTAAAAGAAGAGCATACTTCAGGAAGCTTTTAAAATCCCAGATGTTGGCCCACAGATCCGACGTTATTAGTTTTTGACTCGAGTTGGGCCTTCCCTCGGAAAGCTTAAATATTGTCGCTTCTTTTCGACTAAATGCAATGAGAGAACTCGATTGTGTGTCCCAGCAAATTTTTTTCCAGGCTGATAAGTCTTCCGAGTTAGCGATGGTGAGTGGGATGGATGACTTTTCTTGGTTTGAAGGAACGGACGTGTATCTCAATTCTGTTGTCCAGACAGAATCATGACGTAGAGACCACACAGCAAAATTACCACGGACGTCTATAATCGAAAATAAGTGCTTATCATCAGAAGAAAACTCGATATGAGCAAATTCATGGCCACTCAATTCATGTACATCAATGATGCATGGAAGAGTCTCAAGAGTTGGACCTTTTTCATCTGGATCGTTCAGCCACAGGAATTTAATAAAGTGGATCGTTGATCTGCAACGAATGGCAATGATAGGAAAGAATGGAGATGCTTGGATCTGAAGCACAGGTGTTGGAAATATGCAATATTCGTAGTTGTTTGTTTCTTTGGGTGCATTAGGAAGAAGTAGCTCTTTTGTATCGTTGGAATCTAAATTAGTAGCTTTATTGAGCGTCGGTAGGAGTGGAGTGACGCACAAATTTGTGTTGTTGTCCCCACAGACGTATGCTAGGCCTTTAAGGTGCAAGACATTATTCTTCACTTTGGGGAACACTTTACGGTTGCCAATGACGATCGGATCCGAATATGCGGCCACACCTAGATTTATCAGGATTATTTTATCACCTTCAGTAGGATCATAGGCAAACAGCTCGTTCATCGGGGCCAGCTCGACTGTCAAAGCCTCTGTTATGAGATCTGGAGCATATATGGTAGAATGGGCTTTCTTTCGGAACCAGGACATGGAAGTAGTAGCAAGTGAATCTTCATTCAGTGTAGTTGACGGGAGAGTCCATGAAGAGTTCTTAATAGGTCGTAGATGGGGCCCTTGGTCTCGTAGTCGTGGAAAATGGATCTTGGGTTGGAAGGACGGTAGCTCTTCCAGGGAGGATGGCCCTTCCTCAGGAAGCACTATCCCGTTTCCTTGAACGCCATAGGCAAGCTGGACACCTATATGGTGTTTGCTTGGCCACATTGTAGGCACTTTTCTATATGTTTAGGAATGAAGGTAGTTGATCCGAGTAGTAGTATATTCACGGTAAGGTACAGTACGATGAGATGGAGGTTTGGCTGCAAATGGGTCTCGTGGAGAAGTCAACTAGAAGGGCCGAAGAAAGTGAAATTTAGATTTCTAAGGCTTTCTGGATATGGATGAAGCCTAGTAGATATATTTATACTGTATTTTTCAGTCCTCCTGGGTGATTTACCATACAGTGTATTAAATGGCTGCGAAATATGGCTATCCAGAAGATACTCAGTGACAAAAACAAAGAACAGTCAGTGGTCCCATGAAATGGAACTTTGCTAGTAAAAGGGCCTCAAAATTTGACATGTTTTATTCTTCAAACTTCAATTAGGTGCTTCAAGGAAACATTTCACATTGACATAGGTATAGTGCTACCGCGCTGAAGCACTCATAGCCAGCCTTACTATATTTCGCCATAATCACGCCAGAACAAAAAAACCAAACATGGCAATAACTCAAGGACATTTTGAAAGCTCCAGAAACTTCCTTTACTGACTTCCCAGTTTCGGAAATGGGGCCCTAAATACCATAATGCATCACGTGCGCTCACAGCCTATATACTTAGTACCTCAGACAAGTGTTACAACCAACTACCGATGCTTCTGACCAGACTCTGTACATTACTATTTATTCTTTTTGCTACGGTCCTCTCGATCAGGGAGCAGGATAAGTTCGATATCCTCAATGACCAGTCCTTTGAAGAAGCTCCCGAGGACTACGAGAAGGTGTCTCACGACTCGCTTCTTTGGGGCCCATACAACTCAGGTCGTTACTTGGGTATCCGTCCGAGAATCCCAGAATCGCTATTGTCTGGGCTTATGTGGTTCAATGTTGATAGCCAGATGGGCGTGAGTGCTGCTCGTGATTTCTATGAACAGGGCGACAATATGGCTAGGGCCAATTGGGTGCAATTTGATCCACGCTTGGGTGGCAGACAGGTGATAAGTGATAACGATTGTCATATTGATATCACAATTGATTTTGTGAAGAGTGATAACGGACGCAATTGGGCCGTGAAGGTTAAACTGGTGCCTCACAAGGGCCACGAGAATGTCAAGACGTCGTTTGTCTGGTACTCTGGTCTCCAGGGTGAGAGAAAGGGAATTGATTCCCAAACAGCTAACGAGGGAGTCTTGAAACTCGATACTCCTCGTGATGAAAACGGATACAAGGGTACTGTCAAGCTTTCAGGTTTCTCAGAAGAATTGGGTTTGTTCGAGATTAAGATCAACGATGGTGGTTCCGGAACCAAGAACAAGCATCCAGACCCTCCAAAGGGCACTTTGAGGGAACTCAACTCTAAGAGAACGCATCACTTGAGTTTGCGTGTTCCAAATCATTCAGTTTGGCAATCGAGAGCTATCTTTATGACTCTCTTGAAGGAGTCGGTACAAGAGATCGTTAGCACCTACGAACAGGATTCTGAAAAATTCCCACCACACGTCGTGTACCTCATTCGTAACATGAACAAGTACGAGGGTAATTTGCACTTTATCCAGAAAGTGTTTGAAGGAGCTTCAGAATTCGACGTGGTCTATTCTGACGTTGCTTCACCACCAACTGAAAGAATTACTTTTGGTAATATTGACAACAAGATTGATGAGGTTTTGCTGAAGGTTAACCAGAACTTCAAGGAGAACTTCCAGCTTCTGAAGTTCCTGAATAAACAACAAGAGTTTGGCCAAGAGATGCTCTCTGGTCTCTTGGGTGGCCTTTCGTATTTCTACGGTGACCATTTGGTTGATAGACAATCTAAGCTTGATAGTGAAGATTTCTCTGCCGATGGGGAAGGAGATGGTACTGAGTTGCCAAAACTTAAGGGTGAACTTGAGGGCCCATTTGAATTGTTTACTCTTGTTCCATCTCGTCCATTCTTCCCAAGAGGCTTCTACTGGGATGAAGGTTTCCATCTTCTTCCACTCTTGAAGTATGATTCTGACTTGGCTTTAGAGATCATCAAGTCGTGGTTCAACCTTATTGACGACGATGGCTGGATTGCCAGAGAACAGATTTTGGGAGCAGAATCAAGATCTAGAGTTCCAGAAGCATTCCAAGTTCAAAGTCCTGCTATCGTCAACCCACCAACAATAATGCTTGCTTTCACATACCTCCTTGAGAACTCTCAGAAGACTAAGGTTGAAGAGACGGTTGATTTGGATGAAGGCGATGTGAAGGCCAATATCGGTAGAGTTGTCTTGAACAACCCAGAGTTGCTTGCCGACTATACCCGTCAAATCTACCCTAAACTCAAATCACACTTTGAAATGTTCCGCAGAACTCAACAAGGATCAGTGGAGGAGTTCAACCGTGGCGATAACTACGAGGCATACAGATGGAGGGGAAGAACTGTCACCCATAGTCTTGCTTCCGGAATTGACGACTATCCTCGTGCTCTTCCACTTGATGTTGCTGAGCTCAACGTTGATCTATTGTGCTGGATGGGCGTGATGACAAGATCTATCAAGATGATTGCCCAGGTCCTCGAGTTGAAGGATGATGAGCAGCATTACACTAAGATCGAGAATGATATCATTGCAAACGTCGAGGCAATCCACTGGTCTGAAAAGGATAAGTCCTACTGTGATGTCTCGGTAGATGACGATGATGAGAATGTACATGTCTGTCACAAGGGATACATTTCACTCTTCCCATTCTTGACTAAGATGATACCAGTTGAAAGCGTGGACAAGATCGAGCATGTTGTTGACCAGATCACCGACCCTGAGGAACTTTGGTCCGAATACGGTATTAGATCTCTCTCCAAGTCTGACGAACACTATAGAACTGGTGAGAACTACTGGAGAGCACCCGTCTGGATCAACATCAACTACTTGGTGCTTGAAAACTTACAATACTACCATGAAGCCACAAAGCCTCATGCTAGCAAGGAACTCAAAAAGAAGATCGAGCTGGCTTACTCCAATCTTCGTAAGAACCTTATCAAGAATGTGTTCGACCAGTGGGAGAAGACCGGGTTCGTTTGGGAGTCATACGATGACCAATCTGGAGACAACAAGGGAGCCAAAAACTTCTTGGGCTGGACATCCACCATTTTACTCATGATGGAAATGCCAGAAAAATTAACTTAGATATATAGCTTGCAATAAGACATTTTGCAGCCATAGTTGGATGCGCACTGTGCACGATTATCAGCATACACCTCTAAGTGAGAAGTACTAGGACTTTCCTCACCGAATACACCCAACTCTTTCCCAATGACAGGCGTCACTTTCAACCAAGAAAAGGAAAAAGATGTTCTTCATCCTCCTCGTGAGCATATTCAACGACAACAGTACCACGACCAAATTCCCAGGCATAAAATCAACAAGTTGATCCTCAACTACTTCATCCAAGAAGGGTTCCCCAACGCAGCGTTAAGTTTCTCCAAAGAAGCGAACATCGAGTTGAAACACGAAGAAGAGCCTTGGTCTCAGCAAGATAACGATACGAAACAGTTCCTCAACACGCCCAAGTCTTCTTCTGACGAGTTTGTCCAAGCAGTGAACAAGTACTTGGATTCACAGGTGACGAGTAGCTCACCAGACGACCATGCTATGGAAACTGGTGAACATGATACGATCAAGGGGTTTTCGTCAATTGAGAAGAGAAAGGAGATTAAGTACTTGATCTTGAAAGGCGATATAACACAGGCAATTGCTGCCATCAGTACACACTTCCCCACAGTGCTTGACTCAAACAACCTCTTGCTCTTTAAGCTACTAAGACTCAATTTGATTGAGATGATAAGAACGCACAAGTTGCAAATGAGCCATTTGGAGAAGGAGGATGCTGCAGCTGAGAGGAAGTTCTTGGATGATATCCTTACGTTCGTGAGAAAGAACTTGATCAGTAAAGTGACACAGTCATACGACTTGTTGAAGGAGCTTGAAATGACCATGAGTTTGCTTTGCTTTAATTTTGATCCTAAGAGACCCGTGCAAGAGCTGAGTGACTTGCCAGAGGAATTGAAGCAGCTATTTGACCTTTCGCTTCGTGCAGATTGCTATAAAGTCGTGAACAGAGTGATTTTGGACTTGGAGAATGCAGAGCAGGACTCTCTCCAGTACAGAAGACAAGAGGTGGTTACTTTCAATGCATCTAAGTTGGCCAACCTTGGTCCTCCACCTGCTCTTAGGCCTAAGGAAGATGTGGAAATGGAAGATACCAACGAAGTTTCCAATGAGCTCGACGATATCATACCCAAAGACATTACAGAAAAGGACCCAGTATTGGCACCATCAGCAGACAAGACAGCAGAAGAACAGCCAAGTCTGTTGGACTCACGGCTTGAAACAATTGCTAAGTTGTGGGTCATGACGGAAAGAGTTTTGGTGGAGAAGAAGATAATACCTCTGAGGCATAGCGAGAGCGATAAGAAATGGCTTTAAACGGTAACTTTTTCTTTTTGATTATGAATATTTAGACGAGCACAATGGCATCAATAACGTTTCCTGTTTCGATGTGGATCTTACTGAGGTAGGTTTTGTCATTTTCTGAACCAACCTCAGCTGACTTATTGTTGTAGATCAACACATCGTCTTTTGTTAGTTTTTTCGATTCAAAACGACTGTAAAGGGGCGAAGCAAAGAACGTAGTAAGCACTTTCTGGCGCAAGTGCTCGATATTGGAGCCAAACTCCGGTTCCGGGTTTCCTTCAAAGTCTTCCGGGCTGAATTCAAAATGGTACTTGACAAACTGGCGCAACTTAAACATCAGAAGACCCAACTCATTGAGCTTCTTCCAGTTCAACACATTATAGGTCGACCTCTGTCTCAACTCGTAGTACTCCCTCACGGCAGGTAGGTTCTCTTTGTCAGCGATATTGACACGCACGTAAACGTGGGCACAGTGGATAGGCACCTCCGTAAAGATATCTTTCGCATGGTATTCCCACAAGTCCAAGTAGATTCCAGACCAGTATATCGTCTCGTACGTAAATAAAACGATAAACGTAACGAAAAGCGATTCCGAGATAACGCGGGATATGGGGTTTTGTATGAGGTCAGAAAGAAACCAGTGGCTGCGCATCATTGCCATGAACCAGTCGTCGAAATCACGAGCGTAAGCCGTGACCAAAGCAGTGGCATCATCGACAAGCGGGATCTGGACAGCCATCAGGGAGAAGGCGAGAAGGCGAGTGGTTGTTCGAGAAGGGAAGAAACTCCCAACAAAAAATGGTCTCATTATTGCACCCGATTCGGAGCGCGCACAGTACCTGGGAACGAGATACGAGAACGACGACTAGCATAGGGAACCAATGTATGGCGGGAAAGAAACGGTAACTTGTAGGCTGTGATGGGAAAACACTAAAAACAAAGTATTATTCAGTGTTCCTTCCGACTTTTCTGTATGCACCGTTCCTGAAAGAATATGTCAATAGGGTCTGCCTAGAACTTCACATACAATGGCCCAGGCGCCTTGATAGGTGCTACCTGGTCAGCATACTGCTTGGAGTCTTCCAAGATTTTTTTCTTTTCATCAATGCTAAGGAGGTGGGGGAATGACTTGTCGTTGCTCAATGACACTGGAACAACGCTGGGTGATGCATGGGCAGTGCCTGGAGCAGAGGTGGAGTTGGCAGCTGCTGAAAGAGCAGGCGATTGGATTTCGTTTTCTGGTTCTTGGCTGGTTGCTTCGTTCTCCGCGGCTTGAGTATTCGATACGAACGTGGATACATCGATTAAGTCGTTATTGAGGTCGCTGACGATACCGTTGAGCTCACTTTGCCTCTGTTGTTGCTTGATTAGTTGTTCCTGGTAGTTTTCGTCAGCATATTGCTGGTGGTTCCCGAGTAATGATTGTCTTTCGTTATCGTCATTTTCATCCAGGCCTATAAGGCATGAAAAACAGATGCCCATGGTTAGAGAAGAAGGAGAATGTGGTTTGGTGCTGATAGCGCTGGATGGATGAGTCTTTGTACAGGCCAGACACTAACACACCAGGGGGATCATTGAAGAACGGGCCAGGGAAGGTGATATAGGCATTTATGAATAGAGTTATGGAATTGTGGGACTCTAAATCTTTTGGTGTACTTGTTTGGTGGCTGTCGGGTGTTGGAGAGGCAAGTATCGACCTCCTACTCGGCGTCCTCCCACTCACAGTACATCCAATGGGTATACATCCCAGCGAAAAAACAGCTAATTCACCTGAGAACACATTCACCGTATAAGCCACGTTCGGAGCTTCTCGGGCATGCTTCACAAAGTGGTACCCTAGTTGTGATTGAACTTCCACGAATGACTGCAAAATGCGGCACCTCCAACCACAGCACCGTTATAGGTCAGCTTTAAGCAACCAAGCCACCGTCAAATCCCACCCATGAAGCCGTTGCAATGCAAATCATGCCATTAAAGAAACAGACTTTTATAAAAAGAGTACTAACTGTTTACACTTTAAGGTTTGGTCTCCCCAGCGGTCACGTCCAGTTGTCTCAAGTTGGATGCGTCAAAGCAACACATTTGGACACCAAGAAACCGAGTCAGCCTGAAAAAGACCTGATTAAACTTCCAACTTCAATACCACTTTGGGTGGTACTACGCTTAGAATGCCGATCAGAGACGTTTGCTTCACGTGCATTACCGACAATCACAAGCAAGCATATACAAGCAACGGGGTTTGCCGGTGATCCAAATAAAAGAAAACCACTCAAATAAAGAAAGTCCAAAACCAGATTTTTTTCCTAGTGGCTCTAAATTTCATCCTGCTGTATAAGCACGTTCAACACGTCCTCCAAAAAGTACTATAGTGGTTATCGCGGTTTTTCACAGCCGATTTACCCCAGGAATACTACATCCATAGTACTTTCCACACACACATTCCCTGAAGAAAATTCATAGATTGTCCGATGGAGCTGTTTTTCGCTCTTCCTCCTGAACTCCAAACCCTTGTGTTGAAGTACCTGGACCATGAAGACCTCGACCGTCTTTTCGAACTACCTTCTTTACTACGACAGACTGCTTTTCGCAGCCCATACTTAGAGCTCCAGCACCAGGCTCTTTGGGCCAAGTACTATCGAAGCAACTTGGTGATGCTGAATAGCGATGAGTTTCGGAAGTTTTCGTTGGAAGAATTGGAATACCTTATTGAACGGGGAATTATGATCGCTCCGGCCGAGATCACTGTGGTGCTCTTTGACTTTACTGATTATAAGAACTCAGTGTCTTTCATGTATACCATGTTCAAACGGTACTTCCCCCATTTGAGACGGTTTACAAGGAATTTCAGTGTGCAATTGCTTCTCGTGGAAAATGTGCCTTTGGAAAATACTTTGCTTAAACTGCTTTTTGAACCGCTCTGTTCTGGCGAATATAACGTCAATTGGTTCACCATCAAGTACCACCCAGGAATGGGTAAAAGGTCAAGGGAGAATGGATCGTTGCATTTTAATGCCAACGACTTGCTACAACCAGGAAACGAGATTGCTATTACAAATCTACAGTTGCATTTGTTCAATTCTAGCAACTTGTTGAAACATTTGGTCGACGATAGCGGTTGTTTCTATTGTAGCAACCTTAAATCGTTGGACCTTTCGTTCAACAACATTACAGATTCAATTCTTGAAACGCTTAAACTCCCTTCGTCTTTGGAACACTTGAACCTTTCAAATAACCTGTTGAAGATTATCAGCAACAGGACGCTTCCGTACCGTGATTTGGGCCAGCTCAGAAGTCTTAACCTTTCCAATAACAACATCATGAAAGTGGAACTTCAAGATTACCTTGGATTTGAGAATGACCCGCCTTACAGTTTAGAGCTGGTCAATTTGGCTGGAAACTTATTGGCAGAGTACCGTGGGATCTTTGGGTGCAAATTCTTTGAAAGAATCAAGCGCATCGATTTATCCAAGAACCTTTTAGAAAGAGTGACTCCATTTCCAGAGCTGGTTATCTCGATAGATGTTAGTGGGAACTATTTCGCTTTACACGGTCACCAGATGGTTGGTGTTTTTCCGAGAGGATTGAGAAGGCTTTGTGTCAGTGCTGCCATGCCAACGGACCAGTGTTATGGAGAATTCGCCAGATTTTTGATTCAGGAAGCTGAGTTATGGAACCTTGGAGAATTACAAATCTGCGGTGTCAACCGTGAGCTTCCTCGAGAGGTTATTTAAGTATAGATACTATGGCTGCAAAATACCAAAAAGCATAAAAAGGGAAATAAGTTGTAGGGGAGGAAGAAAATAGCTTGTAGATTCAATGATTCTGGAAGTAAATGCTCGGAGGAGTTCCGAAGGGGTAGGGAGTACCAGGGCTACTCTTGCTTATCTATCCATAGAGGGTCTCATAGTACCCATTTTACTTCAATCAGCCTCAACCAAAAAAGCCAAGAACCACGAAAACTAGTTATCTTCAAAATGGATAACATAAAACTATACTCCACAATTTTCATAGTATATGCAAACATTCCACTGCTTATCACTTCTCCAGTAGCCTCTAACTCAGTGGACTCCACATATGTAGGCGCTGCGGAATCTATAACTAAGGATCACCACATACCGATAAGACCCCTTTTCACCACCACTACATCTACATTTCCAGTTACACATAAACTACACTAAAAAAACCATCCAAAATGACTAAAGCACTTTGTCTCTGGGCGTTTGAAAGCTTGAACCGCCGTTTGTTCCCTGATACAGCCGGTTCAGGGTTGAACCACTTTTTGCTGGCTACCGGTTCCACCACTGCAGAGTTCCCCAAGGACGCTCCCATGTTCATTACGTGGAACAAAGATGACGATTTGAGGGGATGCATTGGAACGTTCCTGCCATTGAATACAGAGAAAGGCGTGGCCAAGTATGCGTTGGTAAGTGCCTTTGAGGACCCCAGGTTCCCACCAATTGAAGCCAAAGAGCTTCCCAGGTTAAGTGCCAGCGTGACGTTGCTTGACAAGTTTGAAAAAATAGACAACCCGTTGGATTGGACCGTGGGAGAGCACGGGCTCAAAGTGTACTTTGAAATTTCAGGCAGGGGATATCTGGGCACGTTTTTGCCCAGCGTTGCGGAAGACCAAGGCTGGGATGCCGAAGATACGCTTTGGAACTTGGCGAGAAAGGCCCATTATAGTGGGTTGAAGCGTAGCGATACCGTGGGGTTCTACGAACGGGGAATTGCCGAAGGATGGCTCCAGTTGACGAGGTACCGGGGCCTCAAGGCAGAGGCCAGTTACGAGGAGTACAAGGCTGCCAAGTAGACTGATTGGGAAGGAGTCTTGGCTAGCATTGACCTTTGGGAAGTAGAGAATTCTAGATTAGAGGAGACGAACTATCAAAAGGAAGAGGGACTCCACTAGCCGTCGTACCTACTAGACCCGTATCTGTCGTTCTCTGGTGACGCGTCATGGAAAAGACGAAAACAAGGTAATCGTGATGTGTTGGCCCACAAACGCTATACCGTGTTTCGCTTATCTGATGAGAATCAGGATCGGTCTCGCTTGCCGTGCTGAGGTTTATCTGACGACGTTGACGTAAGTCTAAATTCGGACAAGCGCAATGCCTCGACTTTGACGGATGTATCGCCCTGCAAGGGATGAGCCCAAGCCCAAGCACAAGGCAAAAGGTCTAGGGCCAATTTGCAACCAGTACTTGCAGGGTACCCTTTTTAACGGCTGCGAATTCGGAGAGCCTAGGGATGTGGCGTACTTGATTGCACAAAAAAAAAGGTTACAAGCGTATGTGTCCTTTTGTTCCCCCCTTTTTCTTCATTGTTCTACGGAATCCCCCCTTTTCAAGCATCGTCTAAAATGCTCAATCTTCGGTTTGCCATCTTTATGCCCCATTATAGCAAACCACAGACCATAGCTGGAGGGGGTGGTTCCGGGATGAGGACCCGGAATTCTTCGGGTGTCAGCCTCACTGCAAGTAAGCCTATCTGCACTAACAACGATCAGTCTACTGCTCAGCGCGATCAGCATGAAAAAAAAAGAAGAGAGAAAGGCAGCACCACCCGATGGGTATCAGGAGGGTAACAAAAAAAAAATTGCTTTTTCACAACAAGAAACAAAAGATCGTACCCTGTTGCCTGACAATATTATGAGAAAAGGAGACGAATAAAAAGTTGAACCAGCATTATCTTCGACCATCAGCTGGGGCGTCTTAGCTACCCATTCGGAATACGTTGGTCTCGGCGCGAAGGATCTCTCCTATGAGTCAGTGGTAGATGCCGATGGAAAGGGAGCAGTGTAAGTGGCTAAAATACACTACAGACAATGTTCTTCATACATTCATGTCGTTTATGCTGCGTGAAAAATGCGCTCATTTGCTTGGCGGCAGTGCTAACAAAGGCTCTAGTAGGAGCATTTACAGCAACAGAGAGAGAGGTAAAAAAAAAGGCACATAATGTGTGTCCTTTATACACCAGCAGGGCTACGCCCTGATGGTTTTCTCAACAGGTATAAGTTTGCACAGTCCCCACATTCTCGCAACCAAATTTGCAACCAGGTGCTTGTTTTCTTTGGAACTACCAACAACATACTATTACCAAAAATATCGTTAAAAAATGGGAGAGTGTTCTGGAGCTGATTTCGTTGACGAGCATATGGAGCTCAGAGTGGCTTCTGTGTTTATTGTGCTTGTGCTTTCAGCTATAGGTGTATTCTTTCCCTTGCTAGGGCTCAAGAACCATATTTTCCATATCCCAAAGATTCTTTTATTTGCAGTGCGTTTCTTTGGCTCCGGTGTTATTGTCGCCACGGCGTTTATCCATTTGCTAGGTGACGCCTCTGAGTACTTGTCTGAGCCTTGTCTTGGTGGCATCTGGCAAGAGTACCCATGGGCTACTGCCTTTTGTCTTATGGGTGTTTGGATCATGTTTACTATTGAGCTTTGTGTCAGTGAATACGTCAAGCACAAGGGCTTGAAGCGTCTGGATGGGTGCAGTGGATGTGCTGAGTTGGTCCTTGACGAAGACTCTGCCGAACCACACACTGACCCATACCACCAAAGCAGAAGACCTCTGCTGCATCTGCATCCCGCCGAACAACATCTGCATCTGCATCAACTTGAAGACTTGGGCGCTAGCAAGAGCGTCCAGTTTGCTGCTGCTGAAAAGATGAATACATCTCTGAGTGAAACCTTGGAGAGAGATATGGAAGCGGCTACTGCTTCCGACCTTTCAGAGAGCACCTACCGTGTGCTTGTAAGCATTTTCATTCTTGAGTTTGGCATTGTCTTCCACTCTGTGTTTGTGGGTTTGTCGCTTGCTATTGCCCAGGACGAGTTCAGGACTCTTTTGGTGGCTATCTCGTTCCACCAGTTCTTCGAAGGCATGGGTCTTGGTGCTAGATTTGCTGGTGCCATTTGGCCTAAGAACCAACACTGGGTGCCATGGGCTCTCGGTTTAGCATTTGCTTTGACTACGCCTACGGGTGTTGCTGTTGGTTTGGGTGTTCGTCATACCTATTCTGAAGACTCCCGGGAGGCCCTTCTCACTGTGGGTATCTTCAACTCGTTCTGTTCGGGCATTTTGATTTACAATGGTTTGGTTGACTTGATGAGTCAAGATTTTATCCACGGCGATTTCTTGAGAGCCTGTCGCTGGAAGAAGGTGGCTTTTGCATACTCGATGCTCACGCTTGGGTGTCTCCTCATGGCGCTTATTGGCAAATGGGCCTAATCCTCGTTTTTTTTTTTCTTTCTTTTTACTACCATTTTTTATCTACCACCACTTTACTTCCGCGTTATTTGATTACGTTCCGCAGGTCAACGGGACTTTGGGCATAATAGAAGACTTTATTTTATTCACTGTAGTCGAATGTGTCTTAGCTTTGTGGTGCAAAATGTCTAAGGTACGGTGATGCACGAAATTGACACACGTGACACAAAGCACATGACCAAATCTCTCCCACTATTAGCTAAACTGGCTCAACGTTATCTATCTCCAATACAGTAAACAGCTTATAAGTCTGTTCCACCTAAAAACGGCTTCTTGCCATATCCAGGCGCTCACTTACACAACCTAAACACAATGACAAAGGAACATTTCGACCTACCCCACGGCGATGGCTCGTACAAGATATTCGGTATGGAGAACTTTGGGAACTCATGCTACTGCAATTCCATCCTCCAGTGTCTCTTCCACACAAGCAAGTTCCGGGAACGTCTTCTTCGGTATAAGTACGAGCCCCACGAAAGAATTCTGTCTGTCCAGGGCCAAAACGGTCACAACTTCTCCTTTAAGTACGAGCAGTTGTACCAAAAGAGACTTAAAGAACAAGGCAAGCCCCCAGAGTCTGCTGGCAGCAGTGTGGGCAATGGCTCTGCTCCCCTGACGAACAGCAGACCTTCTATACGAAACTCGATTTTTGGAAAATTCAGCACCAACTCTACCCCTATCACGACCACGGACGAATCCGCCACATTTGTGCCACCAAAGAAACTAGACTATGTGTATGAGGCGGGTTCGTGTGACGCGTTGAATACAGAGCAGAGAATGATGGTGAAAAGACACCCAGAGTTGAACGGGCTTCAGATTCTTGTTACAAGACCGCTGCCTACTACTGCTTCGCTGACAAATGATACAAGGAACGATAATTCCACATCTTCCACCGCTTTACTTGATAGCGGAAACAGCAATAACAATAATGTCAATACTGCTGAATTGGCTGCTCCCATCACCTCACGACTGGCGTTTGTCGTTGTGGGTATTCCTCATCCAGAGACAGCCCTCGCGAACCCGATCAACCCCTTTAACCCTAATCCGGCCAGCGACCAACGTAAACGGTCTGCTCTTATAAACGGACCTATCATCAACCTTGACCATCCGCTTCGCGAGGATGGAAGAACGGCGGAAACGTCTTTGTTGTACGCGCTTAAGGATATGTTTGAGGCTATGGCTGAAAACCAATCTCAGATCGGTGTTGTATCTCCAAATCACTTTATTGAAAAGCTCAAGGAGAAGAATGCCCTTTTCCGTCAGGTTAACATGCATCAGGATGCCCACGAATTCTGCAACTACCTTATTAACGAGACAATTGAAAGTATCAACTTGGAAGTTGGAGCTTCGAAGAACTGGTGTACAGAAATCTTCCAGGGAACCATTACAAACGAAACAAAATGCTTTTCTTGTGAAACGGTGACTTCTAAAGATGAAACTTTCCTTGACCTTTCAATTGATATCCCTCCAGGAGAATCCGCTTACTCGCTCACTTACTCGTTAAACAACTTTTCCAAACTGGAGATCTTGAGTCACCAAAATAAATTCTACTGTAATACGTGCCTGTCGTTACAAGAAGCTGTCAAGACAATCAAGCTTAAGAGTACACCCGATGTGTTGGTCATCAATTTCAAACGTTTCAAGTATGATGATAAACTCGATCGTATGGTGAAGTTATTCGACTCCATTTCCTACCCACTTCGCCTCAGACTATTCAACACCACGAAAGACCAAGAGCCTGCTACTCCGAACCAGGAATCTAAGCTTTATGGTCTATATGCATTGGTTGTACACATTGGTGGTGGGCCAATGCATGGCCATTACGTCGCCTTATGCAAATGCCGAGCTGGTCTCTGGTTTTTGTTTGACGATGAGACAATTGAGATTGTGGACGAAGCATATGTGCTCCGATTCTTCGGTGACGGGCCCGGTTTGGCCAGTGCCTACATTTTATTCTACGAGAAACTAGACACAACGATTGGCGAGGATGGCGAAACGCACGATTTCGGAATCGATCTCAATGGAATTTACAATGGAAGCGACTACTCGATGGCGTACATGAAGCCAAGCAATGATTCAAACGCAAGTGTCAATAACGCTAAGGCTGCCGATGACTCTTTGGTTGAAGTCGAGAACGATGAAGATAGCGTAAGAGACTTTTTACCTGAATCGCTGGTTTCTCTCGAGAACAGTTCCATCGGCATGGGCCGCAAGACATCCATCTTCAAGAAAACCTTCATGTTCGACAATAAAGACAGCAAAGAAAACAAGGACCACAACAAGGACTCCATCAGCAACGGAATTGCCGAAGCTGCATCCAAGACAGTGTCACGTACATCTTCTAACAAAGATGGCGTAGAAAACGTCCCACCCACAGCCTATGCGCCTGCAGGTTTTTCGGAGCCCAAACCACCGCCTCCAGTGGTGAAGAAGTCCTGGGTCAATGGCCTTAAACGGAGAGAGCTGAAGGTTGAATTACAAGAAAACGAAAGAAAAGGGTCTCAAGGAAGTATTTTGACAAACAGCAGTGGCAAAACTTCCGACAGTAAAGAAGACAAGAAGAAACGGGGATTCTTCTCGTTTAAGCGAAAGCCGAAGAACTAAAAAAAATGATTTTTTTTTTTTTTTTTTTTTCGCAGGACCCTCTTACAGAGCAAATTATTGACTAAAGTGAGGTGGGAAAAAATAAAATGCAACGTCCTTCCAAACTAAGACAGCTGTGGCACGCCAGCTCACGTGATTGCATCACAGGGGATACACCGAGATAGTGGGTTTGTAAGCGGAATCAAAATACTTAAGAAACTCCAAGTCTTCCCCCATTGCTCGGTGATTATAGCATTTTTTACCAGATATTCTCGAGACATAATGAGTGTTGTTTCTCCTACAATCAAGACCACCGCCACAACTCGCTTGGTGACAGTCGGCGCCGGCTGCTTTTGGGGCGTTGAGAGAGTTTTCAGCAAATACTTCAAAGACAAGGGTTTGGTTGATTCCAAAGTCGGATACGCCAATGGTTTGAAATCAGTTTCGCCACCAGTCAGCTACGAGAAAGTTTGCTCTGGCTCTACCAATTTCGTTGAAGCCTTGCAAATCGCCTATGAGCCTTCCCAGGTGTCCCTACGCGACCTCTTGGACATCTTCTTCAGAATCCACGATCCAACCACAGTGAACTCCCAGGGCCCAGATGTGGGAACCCAGTACAGATCTGCTATCATGACACACAGCGCCGAGGACTACCAGACGGCAAAGGAGGTGAGAGACTACTTCCAGAAAGAGTGGTACCCTAACCACAAGATCGCCACCACCATCGAGAACATCGAGACTTGGTACGACGCCGAAGCATACCACCAGAAGTACTTGGACAAGAACCCTGGTGGATACGAATGCCCTACGCATTTCTTGAGAACGAAGCCCAAGGCTTAAGGCATTAGCATGATACAAGACTCCCTCAACACTCCCACTTACGACAGCCAACAACAACGAACAATGTTGACGACAGTAAATAATGAAACCTGAAACCACCACATGAACAAAAACAAAGAAGCTAACATGGACCTCACTATTTAGCTGGACATATATAGAGTAACAGGTGCACTTCCACTTTCCACAGTATCCTACATCGCGAGCGCGATACGCGTAGAACTGAAAAAGCTTCAACCACCAACTACCACCAACCTAAAGAAAATGTCATTGTGGGTAGACAAGTATAGACCAAAAAAGCTAGACCAGCTTTCCTTCCATGCCTCTACTACTGACCATTTGAGGGCATTGGCCAGTACTGGTGACTTCCCCCACTTGCTTGTGTATGGGCCTACTGGAGCAGGTAAGAAGACGAGAATCTATGCCACGCTTAACGAGCTTTTTGGAGCTCAAACGGAGAAATTGAAGATTGACGTTAAGACGTTTACGACTTCTTCAAATAGAAAGTTGGAGTTCAATGTTTTATCTTCGCCATACCACTTTGAGATCACTCCTTCTGATATGGGTAACAACGATAGGGTGGTGATCCAGGACTTGCTTAAAGAGGTGGCCTCTACTGAACAAGTTGATTTTTCAAACCAGTCTAAATCTGGCCAAAAGCACCGTTTTAAGGTGGTCATCATCAACGAAGCTGATTCGTTGTCTAGAGATGCTCAGGCTGCATTGAGAAGAACCATGGAGAAGTACTCGTCCAACATTCGTATCATTATGGTTTGCAATATGGTTTCGAGTATTATTCCGCCAATTAAATCCAGAACTTTTTTGGTGAGAGTGGCAGCGCCTTCAACAAAGGAGATTGCTGATATTCTTGGGTACGTTGCCCAGAAGGAGTCTGTGAAGTTTAGCAACAACGACGAGGAGGTTAAACAGAAGTACCTTGAATCGGTTGCATCCGGATCGAGCCGTAACTTGAGAAGAGCCTTGTTGAGTTTTGAAACTTTGACAATGCAACAAGAAACTCTTGCTGTGGATAACGTGGGTGCTTCAGCAGTACCACTCGATTGGGAAAGTATTATTTTGAGCATGGCCCGTTCGGTGTTGCAAAACAAGACCGTGGCCAATATTGGAAAATTACGTGTTACTTTTTACGAGTTGATCTCCCATTGCATTCCTCCAAGACTCATATTGAAGGAGTTGGCCATGCACATTATGCGTGCTTTGGGTAACGATACCAAGCGGGTGGTTGCAGTGATTGAGCTTGCTGCTATCTTTGACGAACGTTTGAGCTTGGGTCTGAAGGCTATCTTCCATTTGGAGGGCTTTGTCGCCAAGACCATGGTTGCATTGGGCTAACCATAGTACTGTGAATGGATTATTAGGAGCCCATTGGTCTACGCCAAAGCATTTTGGCTCAGATCTCATTGCATTCCCTTTTGGGCTATACGGGGATTCAACTAGTGGCCATTAAGGAACAAGCAGCGTTCCTTACGGCCCATAAGTGCTACAGTCTACATTGTGCAAACAGTCATTTGCATCACTGCTTGCCCAATGGTGTCGTAACAAGTTTGTTCATTGAATATTCGTTCAGCTAATCATGTTCTAAACAGAGTCCAAAGCTCCCGGCCGCTCTTCCTTACACCGATTGTTCACTCTCCATGTATCCGGTGGAGAGACTGCGTCCCTTCTGGAACCCACTATGAACAAACCTAAAGGAGTAAACATAAGAAACAGCCTGGACGAGTAGCCAGATGATATTGAATCCCCTGCCAACGACTATAGCAGCCACACAGGCCAATTGCAACATCACAGACACGAAGAACTCCCATGTACGGCACGTATAGTTTGGACCAGTCAAAACGAAAAAAGGACATGGAGGGGCGATCAACGCCATTATATAAAGCATGATCTTTTCATCTTTTGTTGGCTCTCTAGCATTAACAAACGGTTTGGAAATAGCCATGGTTCTTGATGATGTTGGTTGTTTCCATGAGATTAGGGGCTGCGAAATAGTGGCTGGGGGGAGGTTACTTCTCCCTTGTGTGCACGCAGCACCATCGTTTTGTGCCATTTTAGCAGCCTAAAATAGCCATTGACGTCAAAAAGGAGATATGCCGTGACGTAAGAAGAGGATAATTAAATTAACACATTTATTGGATTCCTTTAAAACAGTAACAAAATAAAATTCATGAAGAGAAATATTCATCTGCGGCCGCAGACTATCTAACCGCACTTATCTTAGTGCTGGATCTTGTGGTCTCCCAAATGCTTGGAGTCTTTGCCATCAGAAGGCAAATTTGCACCTTCACTCTCCTCGTAGGATGGAAGAGGAGCATCAGAGTGAGCCTCGTAAGACTCACGGCCCTGCTCTGGCTCCGCTCCGGCGGCAGTAGCGGCTGTGGCGGAGTGTGTTTCACCCGCACGAGCAGACTCTCCACGTTCAAGGTCGTTATCCAATCTCTGGTAGTCAGTCTTTCTGCCTTCGTCAAAGCCAATGTAGATAAACCAAACGGCATAGATAATGGCACCAAAGTAGAGGAAAATCGTCAACAACACGGAGATCCAGAACTCCTTGGTTCTAAGGGTGAACTTTGGCCCAGTCATGAGGAAAAAGGGCACGGGCGGTAAAAGAAGACCCAAAATACACATGAGGTGTTTCTGGGTGAAAGTCAATTCGTCCACAGACAAATAAGCAGGGGAAAGTGGCATGGTGGAGGTGTTTTGGTGGACCTGGTGAAGAAGAAAAAGTGGTACTTAGGGGAAGGAACCAGGAGTACTCAGTGCGTCCTTATCTTAGTAGGGTGCGAAAATCCACAACTCACTGGAGCCTACTACTACAAGCATGGATTACATCAAAAAGGCCATTTACGGGCCGGACCCGAAGGAACAGGTATGTTATGGTTAGCTTTAAGTTGATGGTTGGTACTAACAATAGATGCGTAAGATTAACCTGTTGTTGAGGAAGAATAAGCGGGAGTTGGAGAGACTGTTGAACCAGCTCCAGCCGTTGAAGAAGAAGACAGAAGGGCTTGTGAAGAAACTGGCCAAGGCTGGGGACTATAAGCTGGCAAAGATTTACGCTAGAGAGCTTATCAACATAAATAACCAGCATAAGAAGCTTCATCTTCTGAAAACTCGTCTTGAGTCTATCACCATGTCCATTAATGAGCAATGGCAGATGAGGAAGATGTCCCAGTCCATTCAGCAGCTGACAGGTATTATGAAAGATGTCAATGCATTGACCAATATTGGTGTTATCACGGGCACGATGCAAGAGTTGTCGAAAGAGTTAATGAAGGCAGGTATCATCAACGAGATGATGGACGATATGGTGGACTTGGACGTGGACGAGGAGCTTGAAGACGAGAGCCAGGAGGAGGTCAACAAGATCATAGAAAACCTCACTGAAGACAAATTCTCCAAGATTGACTCTGAGGTGCCTCAAACAAGCATGCCTGAGCAAGAAATCTCGGCGCCTGTGGAGGAAGAGGAAGATACAGAGGCTTTGGACGAGATGAGACAGAGATTGAGGGAACTACAGGAGTAATTGATGATGGTTTTATTGTTACCGTGGTTATACTAGTATCAAGAGGGCTGTGGCGATCCAGCAGATCGGTGTGGCTGGAGCCAGCGATTCCATCAAGCGATAGATATCGTCAAGTCTCGGCACTGATTGGCGAGGCGAAGAACGCAGAAGTGACGAGTTGGTTTCTGCGGAATGGCCCGTGGTGTTGATAAGTGCATTGGCTGAGATGGTGACGAGATTGGCCGTGGTGTGGTTGGTGTATGTGGTCATGGGAATGGCAGTGTTTGCAGCATTGGGCTCGGTAGTATTCGCCTTTGGACCCTTGGGCTGCTGTACGCTAGACGGTAAGAAGAAAAGGATCTTCTTGAGAAGTCCTCGTTCATCGTCGTCGTCACAGTCATCGTCATAATCTGAGTCTGAATCAGAGCAGTCTTCATCTCCTTTTCTGACATCGAAGAAGAGACCTGTCTCGATCCTCATGTTCGTGCTGTGGACGGTGTTATTAAGACTTTCATTGTTATCGGCGGTAATCTCGTCGTCCACGTTCTGCTCGTCGTTCATCTGCTCGTCATCCATGCTCTGCTCGACCTGTTCTGGCTCTTCCACGCTAGGCTCAGCATCAAGCGCCTCTTCAAATTGCTCGCCCTCGTCGTCACTACCGTCGCTCCCTTCTTCCAGGCCTTTATCGCTTGCTGGGTCCCAGACGAATTGTTGGCTTTGACTTGCAAAGTCAATGAGACTCTCCACGAACGATAAGTCTTTGAACTCTGGGATCGATTCTGGCGTATCGGCAACAGCCGCCGGCGCCGGCGCCGTCAATACAGTGCCTAGAAAGGCTAGATGAAATACTATTATTTTCATAAGCATTTTAGAGCGGGTGGTGGTAAAGAAAAGTGGGAAATGGTGATTATCACAAACCCATAATCGCGGTTCTCATAGATACTCGAAAAGGCTAAGGGCGGTCATGTATTACTATATAACACTGAAAAGGATCAATACGATGATCAAGTTTTCCAAGGTTACCCTACTGGCAGCACTCATCTCCTCGTGAGATGTATCTACACTGTAGTTAGAGTAGTTCATACGAACAGGCAGTACCACTGCTGGAGGTCTTCTCGCCAGCTCTGTCCAATTGGGCAGAGTATAGTTGGTGAAGTTGAATACGGGCGCATAGGTGATGTTGGTGGTACCGTTGGTGTAATTCGCCATGGAGCCGTTTCCTCTTGATCCGTAACTCTCATAGTCGTAGTCCCACGAATACTTATAGTCGTCGCAGTCATCATCACTACCTGAACTCAGATCAGAAGAGTCACAGTCAGATTCTGAATTAGAGGAGCCGCCACTACCTGAATCGCAATCTGAATCGGAATCGGAATCATCAGACTCAAGGTCCTTACCAAGAAGCTTCCTCAATAAGCTGGTAGAGTTAACCAGAGACGGGTCCTCTTCAACAACAGTAACATTCTCTGGCAAGGGCTCCTTCAGCGAATGAATCACCTCAGATACCAAGCCCTTAACAGCCTCCTTCAGTACGAGCTTGGAGGCAGATAAGTACTTCTGCTTCACCACGTTCTTGGCCTTCTGGACCTTCTCCTGAGGGTATAAGGCATGGTAGAGCTCGATCCAAGTCTCCAAATCAATTGGGCTTTTCATAAGCCTCGCCGCCCGACTCTTTGCATCCGTAGGCTCATCAAGGGCAGTTGGAACCGCCGAATGGGGCCCAGAAGGAATGTAAATTGTGGTAGTTGGCCCTAAATCCAGGTACCCTGTAGAGATAGGTTTAGACAAGCCAGGGGTCGTAAGAGACGACGAAAAGTTACCATTGACCGAGGCGATGCTTCCCTTTATGAAAATAGACGCCAAAAGTATGAATTTAGTGGGCTTCATGGTTTTGGGTGGGAAAACAGGAAAGGGTGTAGTAGTCAGAAATGGTTGCAAAATGCGCGAGCATATAGGTGTGAGGGAACCAGAGTAAGAGAAGAGCCAATCCACCAATAAACCATAAAACGATGAAGAAATGAAAAAGTAAGCCCCTTCCTCATGAGGAAACCCTTATAACCTACCTTTGAAATTCCACATCTCAAACTTGAGCAACCGCCAAACTGGCCATATCTAGCCTTATTTATGGACAGCAGCAGGCCATCCCAACGTTGAATCCTGGCTCTCTACCAGCAATCCAGTCGTCTCATCTGTTTCTTCACCTCACTTCCTCTTCTCCTCCTCGAGCTCCTTGGTCCAGCCATCGAGCTCGTTCACCAACTCGGTCACCACGTCTACCTGTTTCTCTATCTGAGCTAGGTCCTGCTGTAACAGTTTAAACTCTTCCTGAAGAGCTTCTGACTTCTTGGCACCCACTTCAAGCTCATTAAGGTCCTGCTCGAGCTTTATATAGTTAAGGGACTGGTTGGTGTTGAGATTGACGAGTAGGTTCAAATCAATCGTGGAGACTTGAGTATCTGACTCGTTTAGCTGGAGAGCCTGGTTCAACGCGTGACTCACCAACTTAGAAGTATCCTTCAGCATGGTGGGAGTGGAAAGAATGTAGCTTATAGTGCTATACTATTCAGCAAGTGTTTGGAAGCCAGGTAGTTGGGGTAGGTAACTTTTCACTTATAGACGTGAACTGAAAAGTGCGCATACACTGAAAGCATATGACTACTCTAGATACTACACTAACTTGAATACTATAATTTATGTCTTGATATATGTACATGCGGATTTGAGAGTCTCTTTAACGGTTTCTGTAGAGACGGTACTCTGGGGATTTGGACTTTTCAATGTTGGTCCACTTCTTCGTAGGTGCCTCCTTCATCTTCTCCAACCAGTTCACTGGCTCAGGCTTGTCAACCAACATGGTAGGACTCACTCTGATCTTCGACTGAGTGTCGATGATTTCCATGATTCCAGGCAACTTGTCACCGGCCTTACGCAAAGCTTCTCTGGCAACCTTGTCGTGAACATTTCCCACAATCTCAAACAAAACCTTACCGGTTGGCACTCTCACAGCCCAGTGGTCGAAGCCACCCTTACCTTTACCCATTCTGGTCTGGTTACCCTTGACACACACTGGCGTGTTACAGGTGAATCTGGTAATGTACTTGGCTCCAGAGCCTCTAAGCTGTCTCTGAATAACCTTGTCAGCTTCTTTGAGCTGGATGGCGGCCATTCTGATACCGTTAGATTTGAGTCTCAAGCCGTAGGTACCACGTTCAAGAGAGTTACCCTTGACGGAACCACCAGTTCTGACGGTGACTCTGCCTTTAAAGGCCTTGAAGAGGTTCTTGTATCTTGGGTTATATTCGTGCTTGTATCTTCTAAAAACAGCAAACGAGTTGGAGGCGCACGGGAGCTGGGGAGTTTTGAAAGCCCCGCTCAAGGACGATGTCATCAATCTGCCCAACCCAAGCATCTTTATGGATAAGTAGAGTGTTGGTGATCTTTTTCAAACTTGACTTGGTGCGAAAAAAAAAAGTGCACTCCAGGCAGTGAGAAGCCACCAAGAGACTGTTAAGCAGTACTAACGTGAGTCGAGGGAAATATGATCGAAAAATACGTAGATTTGAATATTACTGGGATTTAGACTTCTGTTTGTACCTTATATTGTGGAATTTGTAGTTGTTGGTCGAGTTTGTTCACCTCTTTTCTCTACATGGCTGCGAAAGCCTGTTCTCCATTCTAACTTTTATATCTATTTACAGCTGTTTACGGATTTCAACCTTGAAGGTGTCTTGAAGCTCTGCTAACACAGCTTCGTGCATGGAGTTCACTTCCTCTCTGGTCAAGTTCCTGTCAAAGGACTGGAAGTGGATTCTGTAGGTCTGGGACCTCTTGCCGGTCTTGGGATGGGTGAAGTCGTCCACCATTTCGACGTTTTCGACCAAGTCACCAGCATGCAGACGGAACAACTCCATCACGTCATTAACGTGCAAATTGCTATTGGGAGGCATCCAGAAACTGACGTCTCTCTTGATACCTGGGTACTTGGAGTATGGCTGGAACAAGCTGATCTCGCCTTGGGTGAATTGCTTTCCAAATCTCTCGTCGAGCGACCAGAAAAGTCTAATGTCAGGAATACCAAAGAGAAGCATGGCAATTCTGTCAAGACCAATACCAAAAGCCCAACCAATCTTGTCCTCTGTAAGGCCAGAATTGAGCAAAACTTGCTGCTGCACAACACCACAACCACAACACTCTAACCATTCACCTTTCCACCATACTTCAATCTCCCAAGAAGGAGATGTCCAGGGGAAGTAAGCCTCCACCCAGCGCACTCTCAAAGGTTCCTTTAAGAACTCATCTTCAGCACCTGCCTTCAAGGCAGCAGCACGAGCACTTTCAAACACCAAGTTGACCATATATTCAACGGTCTTCTTCAAATGTGTGGCGACAAGGCGAACTTCGGGATCACTCATATGCTTCTGCTTGGGGTTTCCCTCATTCAGTGGCTGGTCTCTGAATGGATCTTCCACAATGATATCTGTTTGAGGAATAGCATCTATATCTGCCTGTAAGACCTTTTCCAAATCAGGGGTCTTCTGAGACCACAATCTGGCACCTTCCATCTGGTGGAAAGCAGGGTAATGTGTCCTGTCGATCTCGTCTCTTCTATATACATCAGCGGTGATGAAGTAGCCAGGAGTGGTACATTTCTGGAAGCACTCATGTTCGTGAGCAGAGGTGTGGGTTCGTAAAAGGTGTTCTTCGTTCAAGTAGTATGTGTCCAGCTTGGCTCTACCTGGATGGTCTTTAGGAAAGTCAAGAACATCAAAGTTCTCGAACGTCGTCACCACAGGACGGAAGTCATTATAGAAAGTGTATCCCAATCCTTTGAAGTTCTTTTCGATCAATTCACGAAGAATACCAATAGGATGGTTTGGGTTTTGATGCAATTGTCTCTCGGTGAGCGCTAAGATCTGGGGAGGCACGTTCGTCCACTCATCGGTCTTGAAGGATTTCCCGTCTATCACGATCTCCGGAGGGAACTTTGAAGCCCACCGACGTGCTAAACTTGGAACATTCCGTGAAAGCCCCAATTGGGTGGCTCTCGTTAGGGTAAGCATTGGTGGAGTAGGAAACAGTCGGGTTTGGTGAAAAAATGCGGGTGCGATTCGTTAAATGTATGAATGTCCAGGATAACCGCTTTACCATGTTTCTTGGATATACCGACCCGAATCTTCCATTCTTAAAAGATACTTGTCGGCGTCAGCTTCTTCGAGACCGGTTTTCTTTAATATTTCGACCAACGTCATTCTGACTTGCCGAGGCATATTACCACTGGAGCCGCACACAAACACTATGGCATTCTCTTCTAGTATCAATTTTGCAACCGTTTTCTGTTCCACAAAAATTTTGTCTTGGACATACTTCACCTTCGACCCCGGTTCTCTTGAGAAGCAGGGATACATATGAAGGAGTCCTTTAGCCTCTAAAGTTTCCCAAAGCTCTTGGAAGAGGTAGTCTTTATTTGGGAAACGACAGCCGTAGAACAAGTGGAGCTCCTGCTGACCAGCTTTTTGTTCAATGAGAGACTTCATTGGTGCTACTCCTGTGCCAGGAGACACCATGAGAATGGGAGGGTTGGGATTATCCGGAAGACTGAAACTTAAGTTAGACTTGTGGATGGAGAATACTAACGAATCGCCTTCCTTCAACAGCTTGATCCATTTGGTGCACAAACCACGTCTGATTCTCCTGAGGATGGTTTTATACTCCACAATACCAGCAATAATCTCAACCGTGTCTGTAGAAGACTTTGAAGCAATCAGGAATAGTCTAACTTTAATCAATGGAAATAAGTCGAGAACGTATTCAAGAGGAATCTTGAGGTTCTTTTCAAACTCCATGATAGTCTCTAGGATCAGTCGTCTAGGACGGTTAGCATAGTCGTAAAGATCTTCAGCCTCAGCAAGGGTACTAAACTCATAAAGCTTCTCTTTCTCCCTCTGGCCTTCCTCGGTCAGTTCATCCACAAAGTGATGCAAAAGGGCAAAGAAAGATCGCCTTGGAATCGACATGACATCCAAATGGTACTTTATAAGAGATCTCAAAGTGAGCTGGCTCAGATCAATGAAACCTCCTTCGACATCTGGGGCACTCTCAATCTCGAGTGGCTTATCTGCAAATGGAAGCCAATGTGGCTGCAGCTCCAAAAGCAAATCAACACTTCTATCATCGTTTGGTGGATAAAGAGCTAGGGTATCACCGGGTATATAAGAAAGATTATGCTCATTATCCTCGACAATCATGTGTCTCACATCTTGGAAATGGCCTTCAGCTGTCTTACGTTCATTCTTCACGACTGTACCAATCGATAATCCCTTTGAACGTCTGGTTATACTCAAGTCCGAGTCTTCTGTAGCATCAAACCCATCCTCTTTAACATTCATCTTGAACACTGGTGGAAGAAGGACATGGTCGTCTATCGAGTAAATATTAGGGAACTCTTTCTGGAGAGCATCGATAACAGAGGTCTCCCATTCCGCGTAGTATCCATCTATTCCTTCTGGAGACTGTTCGTCACTTTCACATCTTGGACAAAGCTCTTTGCATCCGAGTTGCCGAAGTCTAATATGGATCTTCTTAATGGCATAGTTGAACTTTGGATAAGACGAGTCACCAAGACCAAATGTGGTGAACTTGATATGGTTTAGAAGGTCATCTGGTAACTTCTTCTTCAATAAAAACTTGATAAACTTTTTGGAGTTTCTTGGAACCTCTCCCTGTCCCGTCGTGGAACATACAACAATAAGATATTGGATATCAGTTACAAGACTCTTGAGTGGGAACGAGTCTAGCGAGCAGACAGTAGGTCTTAACGAGTTGTATCGCAACTTTCTGGCTAAAAAGTACGCGTAGTCTTGAGCGTTCCCCGACTCGCTACCATACAAAATAGCCACACTATCGACATTAGGTCCGGCTGTCATCTATGGTGTTCTCTTGTCTTTGGTGGATCAGTAAGCCTTACTGATATCGCAGCCAAACGGTGTTGAAAAGATCGGTACACCAACTAAAGAAACGGTCGACCGTTGGACACTAAAGACCTTTAATAATTGCTATTAGCCTAGAGATAGGGATCTATTACTATCTGAAGGTCATATAGACTAGTTTAATTGGTTCTGGGGACCAGAGTAGCTTGGGTATTTGAATATTTCAGTTAATGTCACGTGACTATACACCATATCGACCATTCATGTCATCACCAACAACAAAAGATAAGAAAAATACCCCAAAGTCTTACATTTTTAATCAAGCTAGTCTTTACCCTCTTTAACTTCCTTCTTTTTAGCAACTCTTGCTACAGAACTGCTCTTCATCGTCTATCGCCTGCACATACCTCGACGGCTTCAAAATCAACAAAACCTCACTACTTACAATCTTCTCATACATTAAACAGTACCATGCCTCGTGTTAAAAGAGCAGCCACGGGCGATTCCGGAGCCCCTAAAAGGCACAAGGGCCAGTCTGCAGAAGAATTTTTCAAAACTGTCTTGGAAGAATTGGATACCTTGCAAGATGACGAAGGTGAACGTGCCTTGGTTACTGCTTTTGTCAAGCTTCCTTCCAAGAAGTTGTATCCTGACTACTACACACTCATTGAGGAACCAATTTCTTTGAACGAAATAAATAAGAAAGTTGCACGTGGGAGCTATGAAAGTGCGCTGGACTTTGTGCTGGACTTCAACCTCATGTATGAGAATGCGCAGAAGTATAACGACCCAGAATCATGGATTGTTGTGGATGCTAAGAAACTTTTAGAATATGTTACTACGCGTGCTGACGATTTTGCCGAGTCTCTGTCGTCGATCACTGTGAGTGACTTGCCAAAGCTTGCAGACGATATCTTGGAGGAAGTGATTGCACATGAGTTCCCAGAAGATGGAGTGCTTAGTGGACCGTTTATGGAAGTCGTGGATCCTGAGGAATACCCAGATTATTATAAGCTTATTGAAGAACCTACGTCTTTCCTGGATGTGAAGAAGGAGCTCAAGAGTGGGTTGTTTTCTGAAGACAAATCTCTTGAAGACAACTTACAGGCCTTTTATGATGCTACTGTTCTCATTTTCACCAACGCACAGACTTACAATGACCCATCGTCCTTGATCTATGAAGATGCTAGAAAGTTGCGTGAATTGTTTGAAGAGAAGTTTGATTCATTAAAGAAGGAGGCTGTTCCTCAGTCTAAGCTTAAGTTGAAGGTAAAGGCTCCAAAGGAACCTCCAAAGCTCAAGTTGAACTTGAAGTCTGAAACGCCGCAGCCACAAAAGAAGAAGAGAGGAAGAAAGTCAAAGAAGGTGCTCCAGGAGGAAGAGGAAGCAAGAAAAGCTGCCGAGGTCGAGAGTGGTGAAGTTAAGCAAGAAGATCTGGATACTGAGGACGGTGAAGATGAAGATGATGATGCTAAGCGCAAGCTCGATGCCACCGAGTCTAATGTCATGGGTAAGACACCAGTTACCCCTCCAAGCGAGGAAGTGTTCATCAGAGGAGTCACATTTTCGTCGTCTCACTCTGCCACTCAACAGATTGCCAACTCTCTTGCTCAACAGGGTCCAGCACTCATCACATCAGCACAGAACTACAAAAGGGACATGTTTCCAAGTGTGCCAGTCTTGAATGCAGCAACGTTGTTCCAGTACAAGTTTGGTCCTGTTGGCTATTCTACAAAGGCATACTCCATCAATCTACCCGCAGAAGCTTCACCTTTCATTTCATTCAAGGTGAGTTTGCATGAAATCATTTACAACTTGAAAAAGAGGGACCTTGTCGGCGGACAAGGCATTCTTAAGGGCAGTGCCGAGGAGGATTTCCTGGTTGCTCTTTTCATAAACGACGAGAAAATCTCCGGTTGCGAAATCTACGAAGATGATGATCCAGAAAATGAATCAAAGTCGCTCTTGGGTCTTCAGTACGAGTTAAAGTTGAGCTACGGACTCAATATAATCAACTTCGAATTGCGCCTTTCACCAAACTTGGCCAAGAGTCTCCGCAAAGACGAACCGGAGCCAGAAAACGACCTAGGGTCACGTCACACTAGACACCAGCTACAACAGATAAAGCTCAATTGGGAAGTGGAGAAGTTCCAGCTCATGGCCGTCTGCCACAACCCATAATAAGACTACTCACCATTGTATTATATTAACCGAACCTTATTTCCCAATACAAAAGCTCAGGAAAACCACACCCAAGATCTCTTCGACACCTACTGCGTCACCTGTAATCTTACCGATACCTTCTGCAGAAATTCTCAAACTCTCTAGAGCAAGTATCACATCCTCCTCTTGCTTCCATTTTTTGAACTCTTCAAGACCATAAAGAACGTCATTTTCCAAAAGATCCTGCGTTCTTCCGGAGAGTGTCACTGGCTCCGACGTAGTGACTGACTTAAACTGTTCTGTTAAAGTTTCTTGGAGCTCCTTCATGCCTTGACCTGTTTTGCATGATACAATATAGAAGTTCTCTTTCGGTAAACCAAGAACTTCTGAAAACTGTTCAACGTCAACACTTTCAGTCAAATCTGCCTTATTGAGCACAACGACTATTTGACGGTCAGCATCTTTAAGGATTTGGATGTTCTCAACCAAAGATTCTGTTACAGGTTCATTTACTGGGACAACGGCTAGCACCAAATCGCCCGCCAAGGCCCTCTGTTTGGCTCGTTTGATACCTTCAGCTTCAATAGTGTCAGCATCCTTAAGTGATCTGATACCTGCTGTATCGCCAACCACCACTTTGTACCCATTTATATCTAGAGGCACATCTATAACGTCCCTGGTGGTTCCAGCTATATCACTGACAATGGCTGTTTCTCTGTTTGCCAAGTAGTTCAAGAGAGACAGTTTTCCAGCGTTTGTAGGTCCAAGAAGACTGACCTTTATACCTTTAAGAAGTACCTCAGACAGTTTTACCCTGGCAAGATATTCCTGGATCTTTGCTTTAAGTGTATCGATGTTAGCATCGACTTGGTCAAACAACTGGTTTGTTTCTTCGAGATCATGTTCCTCTCCAAAATCCACCACGGTGGTAAGAAGAGCAACATTGTTGACAATGTCTGTTCGCCATTCAGTGACTGTCTTTTTCGTATCGCCTGTAAGCGAAGCCAATGCAGCTCTTCTCTGAGTTTCTGTCTCGGCATCTATCATCTCACGAATACCTTCAATTTCTGTAAGATCAAAACGGCCATTCAAGAACGCCCTTTGTGAGAACTCTCCATTCTCGGCATGTCGTATATCAATGCCCTTCTCTGGATCATGTAGCTTCTTGATCGCATCCACCACTGAATCAACTATAGCAGTACCTCCATGCACATGCAACTCTAACAAGTCCTCGCCAGTATATGTCTTCGGGGCTTTAAAGAACAAAGTCAATGCTTCATCCAATAACAGTTTCGTTCCAGGCTTAAACAACTTACGAACACTGGTTTTCTGCGGTAGCGGTTGTTTCTTGGTAGCAGTAAGCTGGTTATAGATATACAGCGAGTGGGAGCCCAGGACTCGAATCACGCCTATAGCAGCACGTCCTGGTTTCGTAGACAATGCATATATTGTCGGACGAAACATAATGAAGGATAGTAGTAGCTGGGTAGGATGCCTGGGAACCTGGGGTAAGATGTATATATGTTTCGCAGCCTCATCGCATCAGATGTATAGGGCCCACTGAGTAAGCTACTGGTTCTTCCTTAGCATATCCATCCAAAGAACAGCATCATGGCATTGACGAAAACCACCAACTTCATTCGTCCACAGTTCATTTCAAGGACTTTGGCTCTGTCCCAGAGCTTGCGTCACGAGAATCCATTGGGTTTGCCAAAGGATAAGAATGCCCCACAGATGCCTCGTATGTCCAGAGGACTACCGGTGAAACAACGTATTCCTAATGTGGATAAGACAATTCTTGTTGCTTCGGGTAAAGGTGGAGTTGGCAAGTCGACCGTTGCAGTGAACACAGCATTGGGGCTACAGAAGCTCGGTAAGAACACAGGTATCCTAGATGTGGATATCTTTGGACCATCTATCCCAAAGCTACTCAAATTGAGTGGCGAACCAAGACTATCAGAAAGTGGGAAGTTGCTACCCATGACTAACTATGGTTTAGCGTCCATGTCTATGGGCTACTTAGTTCCTCCAGAGAATGCCGTGGTATGGCGAGGACTCATGGTGATGAAAGCACTACAGCAATTGATGTTTGAAGTGGAATGGCCTAAGTTGGATTACTTGGTGGTGGACATGCCTCCAGGAACAGGCGATACTCAACTTAGTGTGACACAGCAATTGAAGGTTGATGGTGCTGTCATTGTCTCTACTCCACAGGATATTGCATTGATTGATGCTGTGAAAGGTATGGCAATGTTCAATAAGGTTAACACTCCAGTGCTAGGAATAGTTCAGAATATGAGCTACTTTTTATGTCCTAATTGCAAGCACGAGTCTCATGTCTTTGGCACTGAAGGTGCTGCCAAGGAAGCAAAGAAACAAGGCCTTGATGTATTGGCCAGTATTCCATTAAACGAAATTATTTGCACTCAGTCGGACGCTGGTAAGCCAGTGGTTGTGCTGCACCCCGATGATCCAGTCCTGGACCCATACGTGGATGTTGCAAGAGCAGTCATACAAAAATTGGAAAACTAAAGAATATTCTATAAGAACACCATGAAGAAGGCAAACACTAAGATGCCCAAAGTCAGTGAATATGATGGTTGGGCCACCGCAGTGTTAGAGAAAACATCGTATATATGGGCGGTCCTTGTCTTTCGGCGTCTTTCCCATGTGGACTGGAGCTTTTCTGGTGTCTGAGGAGCAACAGTGGCGTATAACACGGAGTCAGCCGGGTTTCTAGTCTTATTGCTCTTATTGATTTTTGGAATTGAGCTCAATGTTGTCGGTTTAGTTGGAGCGTTAGAAGCGGATCTTCTACTGGAAGGTGATGCCGTTGTAAGTGGAAGCTCTGCTGTCGATGTCATTTGGGGCACCGGGGCTTCTGTGATACTCGAGCCTTCGGGTTCATAGTCCCATTCTTCGTCCCCTTGTGCTTCCTCCACCTCTGCATGAGGCGCTTCCTCGATGATGGTATCGACTTCTGGAAACTCAGTCAGAAAGGATGTTACTGAAGAAGTTTCTGGAGCCGGCAAAGAAACAGCAGCTTCTGGCTTCGTCGCATAATTGCCGAACCAAGCTACCTTTGGCTTCCCATATATACCGCCTTTGATAGCCTGCCCTATCTTGTGGTGTCTGAATTGCGGTAAGACCTGGATCTTGTTTTCATGCTTGATATTGGCGAGTTGTTTCTTGGTGCCGCCTTTTGGCAGCTGGTCTGATGGAGGCTTTGTATCATCTAGGCTATCTGTTGGTATAAGAACAGGCTCTGATGGTGTTGCTGGCTGCGTAGGTGCAGCTTCATTCTCAAACGTCTTGGAAGGCTCGACCCACAGGGTGGTCTCCCTTGACTCCGCCGGCGATGGTTGTATATACGTCTTCAAATGTTGCTGCAAAAGGCTTTTAAATATCTCTTCGAGGGCCGTTGATTCAATCGGGTTGGGAGTCACAACTGACGTCACTGTAACAGTTAAGGGCTCAGTCTTGGTTGGAACCGCTGGTGGAGGCATTGGACCGATGGGAAGAATAGAAAAAATCATTTCAGAGGTTGTTTCAGAGCCACCACTCACATCTATGGGTACTTCTGTTGTAGAGTGTGTTTCCTCAAGCATCTTGCGAAGCATAGCCAACCTTGTCTCGTTCCTAACACCTAAAACATCACGGAAAATTCGTAGATGATCTTGAAACCGCTCCAAGTCCGAGTCTGGATCCTGTGATGCAACCAATAGTGCCAAAAGCACCGGAACGAAGCAACGTAGGAAAAGCATGGTGATTGTGAAATGGTTGCAAAATGTAACAGTGGCTGCGAAATACAAAAGTAGCCTACTTTTACGAATATAAGAAAGTATAACTAAAACACGTCGTAAAAAATACAAATTTCAAACCTGAAGCATCACACGAGTCATAAAGATCGAACAATGATCCGTATCTACCAATTAACAAAGTCCATAGCACATAACGTTCGGAGAATATTGTCCCAGGTGGCTTGGCGGCTCGTTTGGAGCTGAGCCGAGGATGAAAAGTCCGAGAAAGCAAGTATATAAAGCGACACATCGCCCCTATCACACAAAAACGAACCGACACATTCCGGGCTGACCTCACAAGCAGGCTTGTTTTTATTTTTTACCCAACATTCCCACCCCTTCGCCTTTAGTTTCTTATTGCTTCCCCCTAGATAAAGTGATCATCTAAAGCTGACCCAGATCGCATCGCATCGCACAATAAACAGGGCCAAACAAACAAATCCAAACTACCAGTTACTTTCAGCAAACCATGTCCGTGCCAGTAACACCTACGCCTCCAAGAACACAACTGGCCACGGCCACGCCGCAAAAGTCTGCTAGAAAGAGACTTGTCAACGCCTCGTTTGCCAATTACAATGAAGACGAGGATCCTACGTTTATTGATGAGGCAACTGAGGTGAGCGACTCAGAGGACCTGATCTCTGTCATTAGCACAGACGTGCTGTTGAGTGACGCTACTCAAGACTCCGTATTGACCAAAGGCGGCGATGGGGATATCAAGACCGGCGCAGTGGCCCAGGAACCAGAAACATGGAAGGAATGGGCCTTGAGACACGAGATCCCCAGAAAAGTATTGCATTCTTCGATTGGACCATTTTCGCTATATCTTTATACGTTGGGATGCACGATGAACCAGATCTTGTACCCGATGATTGCGTTAACCACTGTTCTTTTCCTCAATGACTTTATTCGTCTTCGTAACCCTAAAGTCAATGAGATGGTGACTAAATGGTTTGGTATTATTCTGAGACAAAGTGAAATCAACGGATGGAACGGCACGCTATTCTACGCGTTGGGCGTGCTGCTTGTTTTCACATCAGCACCTAAAGATATTGCCGTCATGAGCGTGTTGCTCTTGAGTTGGGCTGACACCGCTGCGCTGACCATCGGGCGTCTCTGGGGTAAGTATACGCCAAAAGTGATGCCCGGCAAGTCTTTGGCGGGATGCCTTGCCAGCTTTGCCACAGGCGTGTTCCTGTGCTATTTATTCTACGGCTACTTTTGCGTGGAGTACGACTATGTGAACTTGCCAGGGCAGATTTTCTGGACCAAGGAAACCAGCATGATGAACTTGCACGTCTATGCGCTTGCCACAGGCGTAGCAGCCTCCGTATCCGAAGCATCTGACATTGGCGGCATCGACGACAATCTCATCATCCCAGTGATGAGTGCCATTCTCTTGTACGCGTTGGTGTGGGCTACCAAGGTGTAAAGTGTGAGAAGAGGGAGAAATAGAGTAGAAATAGACCGGGCTGCCTTGCCTCCGTGCGCTAATGCCAACCCGCACCAGCACAGATCAAAGCGACCAGGTGACCAGGTGACCAGGCGACCTTGGTAGCTGCCACACATAGTTAATGAAAGGCCAAGCGGCCGACATACGTACTTGCATCAAGGATTTATATCCTTTTCTTCTTGTCCATCGTAGCGTGGCCACTCAGGGCAGTACCAAGAGTTTCGCATCTTTGTGTTATCCGAGAAGCCGAGCCAGAACCGAATACCGAGTTTTTCACTGCGTTTCGCCGTAATCACCGAGACCACTTCCACCACCTTTTTTCTCGCAACCGCAAATGGCTCCAGCAGCCGCAACAGGGGATACAGCAAAGAGGCAACTGGTGGCAAAAACTACCATAAGGAAGTTTCAGCACAAGGGCAATTTTTCCCGTTTTTCCTCCACCTCCTCTGCTCCCCCTCCCTCACCACAAATCAAGGCTTATCGTTTGCCTCCAACCGAGAAAGTATAGTCATACCTTATACCTTCCATCTGTAAAGCCTATCTGTCTTCCACTTCCCTCTTGGCTATTTGCTGTCCGTATATATTCTGTGCTCATACCCAGCTTGTGTAACCACCTACGAATTTTTCGCTTTTTTTGCTTAAGCCGTGCTCTTGTGTGTGGTGCCTCACTGTCGGTTGGCTCCCAACGTTACTATCTATCTGCCAGGCAGCCTGTCTTACCCTATTGTGTGTGCAAGACAGATTGCAGCTTTACTAATTCTCCGCGCAGTTCCGCACCTCCGCTTCTTTCTCCGTGGTACTACTTAAGCCCTGGCATTTGCATCCAAAGCTACGGCTGTATTGAATATCACAGCAATGGACCAGCGTCGCCAGAAGCGGCTTTTGACGCCGTTTCTTTCTAAGAAAGTGCCTCCCGTGCCCTATGACGATGAGCGGATAGTGTACCCCAAAAGACCCAATATCTTTTCCGCCATTTTCTTTTGGTGGCTTCATCCTGTGATGAGCACAGGTTACAAGAGAACCTTGGATACTGCTGATTTGTATAAGCTTAATGACGAGAATGAGGTTGAAGCAATGACTGCTCGTTTTGAAGGCATCTTTGAACGTCGTCTTCATGATGCTCGTCAGAAACATATCGCCGCAAAGTGCAAGGCTAGAGGCGAAACCATTGAAAATAGCTCCGTGCCGGCTGAAGAGGACCTTGAAGGTTACCAGCCTCCAAAGCTATTATGTGCATGGGCCATTCTTGAAACTTTCAAGTGGCAGTATGGTCTTGCTTGCTTGTATAACACTTTGGCCAACACTGCGGCTGTGACCAATCCATTGCTTTCCAAGAAACTTATTCAGTTTGTCGAGAGACACGCCATGGGCCTCGACACTCAAACCGGTAAAGGTGTAGGTTACGCCTTGGGTGCCTCTTTTATGGTGCTTATTATCGGTATTTTAATTAACCATGGTTTCCAGAACGCTATGCTCACAGGTGCCCAGGTCAAGGGTGTTTTGACCAAGGCTTTCCTAGATAAGTCGTTCCGTTTGAGTGATCGTGCTAGACACGATTACCCTGCTTCTAAAATCACTTCCATGATGGGTACAGATTTGGCTAGAATTGATTTTGCCTTGGGCTTCCAGCCTTTCTTGGTGTCGTTCCCCATCCCTATTGCCGTCGCCATCGGTATTTTAATTTGGAACATTGGCGCCCCAGCATTGGTCGGTATCGGCCTCGTTTTCCTTTTCTTGGGTTTCATTATGGTCTTCACTGGTAAGTTGTTTGCTTACAGAAAGAAGGCTAACAAGTATACCGATGCCCGTGTCAATTATATCAAGGAAGTCCTCAACAACCTCAAAATCATCAAGTACTATTCTTGGGAGGAACCCTACAATGATGTTATTGGCGAGAACCGTGCTAAGGAAATGAACATCATCTATAAAATGCAAGTCGGCAGAAACGTTATTCTTTCGCTGGCTATGTGTCTTACATTGTTTGCATCTATGGCATCCTTTTTGGTATTGTATGCCACTTCTGGCTCTACTAAGGACCCTGCCAGTTTATTCTCTTCCATTTCCTTGTTCAACTCCATGGCTCAACAAGTCATCATGTTGCCACTTGCTTTGGCAACTGGTTCGGACGCTGCTGTTGGTATCATGAGAGCCGCTCAATTCTTAGCTGCCGAGGAGGTTGACGCTAATGCCACCGCCATTTACGCTCCTCCAGAAACCAGGGACCAAATGGAAAAGGATGGCCTCTCCATTTCTATTAAAAATGCTAGCTTTGAATGGGAATCTTTCGACAACTCTTCGGATGACGATGAAGATGAAGTTAAGCCTAAAAATGACCTCGAGATTACCGAGAAGGGCGAAGCCAAAGAAAATCAAGGACAGTCAGACGACAAGCTGTCTCTGTCCACTAATACTATGAAGGAGTCAGATGCCGAACCAAAGCTTACCACTTATTCCACTGGCTCTTCCACCATGGAAGCTACTATCTTTACTGGTTTGTCAAACATTGACCTTTCCGTACAAAAGGGTGAATTCATTGTTATCACTGGTCTCATTGGTTCTGGTAAGACTTCCTTGTTGAATGCTCTTGCCGGATTTATGAAGCGTGTTGCCGGCCATGTCGATGTAAACGGTAGCCTCTTGCTTTGTGAAAACCCTTGGATTCAAAACACTACCGTGAGAGAAAACATCTTGTTCGGTGAAGAGTTCGACCAGGACACCTATGATTCCGTTCTTTATGCATGTTCTCTTGAGAGTGATTTGGAGATTTTGCCTGCCGGTGACCAGACCGAAATTGGTGAAAGAGGTATCAACTTGTCAGGTGGTCAGAAGGCCAGAATCAACTTGGCCAGAGCTGTGTACGCTAACAAGGATATCGTTCTTTTAGATGACGTGTTGAGTGCAGTTGATGCCCGTGTTGGTAAGCATATCATGAACAACTGTCTTTTGGGTCTCTTGAAGGACAAGACTAGAATCTTGGCTACTCACCAGTTGTCTTTGATTGGTGCAGCTGATCGTGTCGTTTTCCTTAACGGTGACGGTACCGTTGATGTGGGCACCCTCGAGGATTTGAGAAAGACGAATGCTGGCTTCGAACACTTGATGAAGTTTAGCTCGGAGTCTGCTGACGATGACGAAGAAGAGACCCTGCCAGAGGAAGCACTTGGTGAGGACCCTGAAATTGAAGAGCGCGAGATGATTGAGCGTCAGCTCTCTCAAAAGCAAAGTACCATTCCCGACGAAGAAGCTGAACGTCACGATTATAACGTCAACGAGAAGCAAGATGGTCGTCTTATGTCTCAGGAGAACCGTGCCGTGAACCGTATCAAGGGTGTGGTTTACAAGAGATACATCAAGTACGGATCCGGTATATTCAAGTACTACACTGGTGTTCCAATAATTATCACTTTGACTATTGTGGCTGTTTTCTGTCAGTTGTTCACGAACACTTGGTTGACCTTCTGGTCAGATTTCAAGTTCGATGGTAAGGACAATGGTTTTTACATTGGCTTCTACGTCATGTTCACTGTTCTTGCCTTCATTTTCTTGTCTTCCGAATTTATTATCGTTGCTTACATGACGAACGAGGCCGCAAAGGTGTTGAACTTGAAGGCTGTTAGCAGAGTCTTGCGTGCGCCTATGTCTTTCATGGATACCACTCCAATGGGCAGAATTCTCAACAGATTCACCAAGGACACCGACACGTTGGATAACGAGATTGGTAATCAGATTAGAATGTTGATTTACTTCTTGTCTAACATTATCGGTGTGATTGTTTTGTGTGTCATTTACCTTCCATGGTTCGCCATTGCCATCCCATTCTTGGGTGCTATTTTTGTTTCCGTGGGTAATTTCTATCAAGCATCTGCTAGAGAGATCAAGAGACTTGAAGCTACTCAGAGATCTTTTGTCTACAACAATTTCAATGAGACTCTTAGTGGTATGAACACCATCAAAGCTTACAAGGCTCAGACTCGTTTCAGAAAGAAGAATTCTACCTTTATTGACAACATGAATGAGGCTTACTATTTGACCATTGCTAACCAGCGTTGGTTAGCCATTCATTTGGATCTCATTGCGATGTTGTTTGCCATTATCATTTGTTTCCTCTGTATCTTCAGAGTGTTTGACATTGGTCCAGCTGCCACTGGTTTGTTGTTATCCTATGTTTTGCAAATTGCTGGTCAGTTGTCGATGTTGGTCAGGACATACACCCAGGTTGAAAACGAGATGAACGCCGTTGAACGTATCTGTGAGTATGCATTCCATTTGGAACAAGAGGCTCCTTACACTTACGAGAACTCCGTTCTTCCTCCATCATGGCCAGAAGAGGGTGGTATCAGGTTCATCAATGCTTCTTTGGCTTACAGAGAGGGCTTACCAAATGTCTTGAAGTCTCTCAACATGGATATCAATCCGCTTGAAAAGATTGGTATCTGTGGTCGTACAGGTGCTGGAAAGTCGTCCATCATGACTGCTTTGTACAGATTGGCAGAGTTGAATGAAGGTAGCATTGAGATTGACGGCGTCGATATCGGCAGTATCGGTCTTCGCGACTTGAGATCCAAATTGTCCATCATTCCTCAAGATCCCGTTTTGTTTAGAGGCAGCATTAGGAAGAACTTGGATCCATTTGGCGCCAGTCCTGACGACGTCTTGTGGGATGCTATGAGAAGAGCTGGCCTCATCGAGGCCTCTAAACTTTCAACCATCAGGAACCAAAGCAAGAGCAGTGAGAATCTTTTTAAGTTCCACTTGGACAGAGAAGTGGAAGATAACGGTTCCAACTTCTCTCTTGGTGAAAGACAACTCATTTCGTTCGCTAGAGCCTTGGTGAGAGGTTCGAAGATTTTGATTTTGGATGAAGCTACCTCGTCTGTCGATTACGAGACGGACAGCAAGATTCAAGAAACAATCAAGAGGGAGTTTAATGATTGTACCATTTTGTGCATTGCTCATAGATTGAAGACGATTGTCAACTACGACAGAATTCTCGTCTTAGATAAGGGTGAGATCAAGGAATTTGACACCCCATGGAACTTATTTAATCTGAAGCATAGCATCTTCCAGCAAATGTGTGAAAAATCCAACATTACGAAGGAAGACTTTGTGGCTAGAGATAGATAACTGCGGCATAACTTAATTAGGGTAATAAAGGATAGATTCTATGATTGTTTTCTATTAACATAATTTTACAATTAACATTGTCCCTCTGTATCGGGTGCAAATGATCGTTTACTTCATCTTCTTCTTGTAGTCTGCGAACGAAAGCTTCTTCACAACAGCTGGTGTCTTAGTAACAGGCTCCACAACTTCCTCAGACCTCGAAGTTGCAAGTTCCACTGGAACATTCTCTTTTTCTTGACCACCAACGCTCTCCTTTCTTTCGGTCGAGTCCACAGAGACCTTTACATCGCTAGTAATTCTTGCTAAAGGTTTCAATGTTTCGTTCACAGTGTCCCGAATCAGAGAAAGAATTTCTGGTACAATAGGTATAGCCAACACTCTTGAACCATCTGCTTCTTTAGTATCTCCGGCTGTCTTCTCCTCAGTCGAATATTCAATGGTCCGTCCATTATTAGGGTAAAAGTGCCCGCGAGAAAGAAGTTGTTTCTTAAAAGGAACGCGGAAGAAGGACGACTTGTCTCGCACAGCTTTCTCCACTGTCACATCAGCCACAGATTGAACCCCAGGAGTAGCAGATCGCTCAAGAGCTGGATCATCTTCGCTCGAGATCTCGCTCGACTCATCTGATGGAGTAAGAGAGAATAAAGCGGCATGCAATTTCCCGTCACGCTCCACGAGTCTCTCCTTCCATGAGACAAATTCTTTGACCTGTTGGGGCATCATCAAAACCTCCTTTGATTTACTCAAGGAGGTATTGGAGAGACCCGAGGCTTTCCTAGTAGATCTCAGCAAATACGAAGTTGCCTTCTTGATCTTGAAAATAGCGCATTGTGATGTCGAAGGTGCTGTATTGCAACCACACTCAGTAAAGTTGAGGATAGCATCAACACATGAGATCAAAAGAAATTTCAGGTCTTCGTCGAAATCCTCAAACTTCTTACAGTCCTTAATATCCGCTGACTCGGTCGCAGGCACCATTTGCTTGATAGGATGCAAATCATCCCATTCCCAGGCAATCCGCAACTCTTCATCCATGGTATCACCCTTCAATGTGATTGGCTTTGTAGTAACAACAAAGAATTTGAAGGACCTTAACTGTGGAATGTAAACAGGCCTTATTTCACAATTAGCTGCATTTGGACAGGACTTTCGGATGAAACGAGATTCATTACCAACAAAACGAGCATCAATAACGACCTGAACCGGTGGCTGGTTCTCAAAAAGCTTCAAGTCGACAACAGCTACCTTCGGTTTCACTGCACCCCACAGCGAGTACTGATTGGCATGATTAGCCTTGTACAGATCAAAGAAGTCGACTTCACCCAAATACTCGATAACATTAGTCCCGGCAGGAATAGTCGTGTCAGCGCCAGGGGTTGCAGCACGTTCAGTAATATACAATCCGACCTTCTGAACGCCCGTGAATTTGTGCTTCGGGTTCTCACTGTATGGCTTCACTTGGACTGCTGTCTTATTATAGCCTTTGTTCTTTTGAAGCTCATTCTTCTCCTGCAAGTATCTTTGATGAATCGGCAAGATTACTTTACTGAACTTAGTCGACTTGTAGGAGGCTAATGGGACTGTTTCGATCGCCAGCGATCTTTGGGAGCTCTTCTCGAACTCAGCACCCAATAACTCCAAATTTCTCTTGACAGAAGGCGTCTTGTAATCGTAGTCCTTGAGTTTGTAGTAGACGCTTTGATAAGTTTCTGCGGTAACACCGTCTTCGAGCAAATCATTATTCTTGAGTGGGATGTCCAGCACACCAGGAGATGCTGGCGTGACATTCGCAGCTGCTAAGTTTCCTGAAGACTTACGCTTGCTATTGCCAGGACGGACCTCACTGGAAGTAGCGACCGCAGGTTTAGCATCCTTTTCAGTCTTGCGTTTCTTTTTGTCTTCCCCGTTGCTACCAGAGGCTTTACGCTTCCCTGGAAGAGATTTAGATGTTGCCAGTTCAGAAGCCTTCTCGAGTTCCAAGCGTGCCAAGGTATCTTTTCGGCATGTGTCAGGATTAAACTTATTCCATTTTCTTTCGTCACAGTAATAACACTTGTATTCGTCCTCTGGAACTTCCTCATTGGTTCTATAGCCCATACAAGAGCAGTGCTGCCAACGGAAACAAACATCACACTGAATAGTAAAACCATCATCTTCTTCAATACCGCAAATACAACCAATGATGCCTGAGTCTGGATCCACCTTGTAAAGATGAAGTGGAGGAGGTCTATAATTTGTTGTGCTGTGAGGCTCTTGCTCTTCCTTTGGTTGCACGGCAGCGGCATGCTCTGAAGATGTCAGGCCGATTGCTTTAGCAGTCTCTAGCGAGCCATCGTTCAAAGTAAGTGGTTTTGGAGGCTCCTGTTGGGGAGATGGTGGAGTGACAGGACGATTCACACGGGGCTGTGTTGACGTGGATGGGAAAGCTGCCACGGCACCTGTTCTTGGCGTGTTTTCTGGTATCGTCTCATCGTCCGTTTTGTTATCATCCTCTGGCTCTGTAACGACAGAATCATCTTTGGTAGCAGGGGCTTTTGAAGTGTCCTCTGGCTTGGTCTCCTCTTCCTTCCGCTTTAGTGGAAGAGGAATGTCAGCAGCGGCCGCCAAAGCGGCAGCGGCAATGACAGCATTGTCCGTGCTTCTCTTCCCTGTTTCGACATTAATTCCTCTTGACAATGCAACCTTGGCTGCACCAGGAGAGTGGCCCGAACTAGAGAAGCCTCCTGAAGTCGACCTGCGGTGCGTCTGGAAGCTACCTTGAGCAGGAAGGTTGCCCTGGCTTGGTGACTGTGGTTTTCCAGAATCAAGCGGAGGACTTTTCACATTAGCACTGTCCTTAGGCTCTTGTTTGATAGCAGCACTCTCTTCTAGCTTTGGATAACTCAGGATGTTGGCGATAGATGGAATTTTGGCTTCACTAGATTGGGGAGAATGTCCTAAGTGAGGTAACTGTTGTGGAGGCTGTTGGAGGCCTGGCCCGTAATGTGAGCTGCCAGAGTACACATATGGAAAATAGCCTCTATTAGGGAGAGCAGGCGGTAGGGAGCCGCTGCCTGGCAGTAAATGGGACTGAGAGCCTAGAGGAGTATTCCACGACCCGTGTCGAAGTTGTGGTGGCGAACGCACAGCCGGCTGGCTAGGAGATAGTTGTGGACCTGAAGGTGTCTGGCTTGGTATCTGGCTAGGCGACTTCTGAGGTATCGAGGGAGACTCGGTGGCACCCTGCGTTGGAGAGTTCTTCAAAGTAGTAGAAACACTCGAGCCACCACTGTGAGGTTGTCCGCTTGGGTTTGGTTGGTTTGCTTCTTGTGGTGAAGATGTTTTGTTCTGATCGGTAGGTGAGTCGCCAGGCAGCCCCAGGCCTTGACGGGCCACGTTGGCGAACATAAGAAGGGTAGAAGCGTCCTGAAGAAGCTGCTCCTTTTCTTTTTCCTTGTTCATGGAGAATCTGATACCAGGGGCAGAAAGAGTCCTGTGGTTGCTTAAATATACGATTTTTTAGGAAAGTATCGTTAAGCTATGCTATGCGACCAAACGTTTAAGGTCACGTGCGCTTTGTACATTGTTAGATGAAGGGTGCACGACTGTAGGTAAGAAAGACTATGTAACGGACATAGCTGGGTTTATAGTAAAGAGTGGTTCGTAGTGTATTGAGATAACTAGTTAAGGAAAGAAGGATGGGAGATGCCATCCTTATATAGTGAAGACATTGGATGGCAAGCAAGTAAGAGGGTCATCATCATAGCAACTATAGGAATCTGGGCAACAGGATATCATCATGCCTGCATATAGAGCATGTATTCCAACACCCGTTCTTAGCCTGTGGCCTAAGATTCATTTGAGTTCGGGTAGATATGGCCTGTATCAGTGGAGCGTCCTTATCAAAAGTAGTCTGTAAATGTTCGTATAGTTGTTGTTAAGGATTTGGGACATTCGAAGGACCACTTAAATGATTGTCCATGACACTGAATTTTGAGCCCAAAGCTTCGTGAAGGGCGTAACTGTCTGATGATGAATGACAGTTCTGATTCCTTTGATTCTTCGACGATTATTTAAGTCACATATTGATCGTTCGTTCGAAAATTGACTTCTTTCCTCTTGGAACCGTCTGTCCTCTTGGGACCGGTTGTCCTCTTACTTTCGCTTTTCCACTGGGATAGAGTTTGTTACTCTATATCCCACAGGCACATCAACGAGAACCTAGACATGTTTGTGAGTGTTGCAACCGTATGGTCGGGACGCTCATGGTGCTCAAGACATTACATCTGGGTAGAGACACCTCATGACAAACTGGTTGTTATCTCTCGTTGTAGTACCACAGCAGAGTATTTATTTTATCTTCTCTGCTTTGTCCAAGGTTGTCGCGGATTTATTGTAGCTCGGCGGTAGGGTGAATTCCCTTTATCTTTGTTGCGCAAGAGATGTAGCTAGGTTAACAAGTATCTGGCTTCTTCAGATAGTTCTTTGATGAAATCTTCCGTAGGACCCGTCCTTCTATATTTGCAATTGTCCCAGGTAACCTGCTGTTTTCTTCCTGACTTCTTGTCTCGCAACTTGCTCATGTTCCGTCATAGCCGCCTTTAACAAATAATCTCTGAGTACATTTCTATGTTGTGTCTTCAACGCGACTGGCCTTGTTCACTAGTAATCCACTCTTTAAGACAGGTCTCCTTCTTATGGGAGTAAAGCCTATTTGATCAGCCCAAGGTTGCATGCGTAGTCCATTTAGTGTGTCATTAGGGGAAGTCTCTGTTCAAGGTTTCGTGGTTTAGTTCCTTTGGGATTAGTGAAATCAGGTCCAGCTAACTTTATCAGTTCAAAGTTCGACATCGTTTTGTTTAAGCATCCATGTTAGTTGTTAAGGACCAACGTTTAATTTAGCTGTTTCGAACTGTATTGCTGGCTGTTGAGTTCCTTGGTTGAGAACCTGATTGACTGTTGTGCCTGCTCTCACTATCCCCTTTTTCTTTCTATGGCGAGTGTGCTTGTCCTGCTATCCGTTAGGTTTCATGCTCGAAGTATAACTGGGGGAACTTTGGTGACTCCCTAACTCTCCAGTTCAACCTATTAGATATTGCGGATGTGTTTGAAGTCTTTTGGTGAACTTAAACCCGTTCTTAACATGCTTTCCTTTCCTATGATCATCACTTCAAGTGTGCAATCCTTCTTTGGTTCTGATTAGTAGTGATATTCTTGTTATGTTGTTTTGGTTCCTCTTATTAGGGTTGACTTAAATAGCTGCATGGAAATCAATGGTAAATTGGCGACCTTCGGGGAGGTATCTCCCTCATATAGATCTGAAAGTGAGAACAACACATGAATTCCCCCTTTCGCCAATTTGGCACCATGCGCTTTGAATAGTAGTCTTCTTGTCTAAAACCGTTCTGAACTCACCGACGATGCATACGCTGTCCTGCTAGCCGGGACAGTACTCGGAGCTGTGTTGACTTCGTCTCTCGAGCCTGCCCTCTAGGCTTGTACTCTCCTAAACCGGCCAAGATTCATGGAGGTCCCCACTCTCACTACTTCAATGTCTTTTTGCATTGTGACTTCCCTGGTATCCATTCCACCCTGTCAGAGGAAGATTTAATACCAGCCGCCAGAGAAACATCCTCCTTAACTTTCCGGGGTAAGGAGGTCAAAAAAATTCTGGACGAAGTCAGTGGGATGGCTTGCTTAGGACTCTAAGAACGTCTTCCTAGAATTGTGCGTAGGCGTTGGTGATTCTGTCAACTGGAACTGGACTGTAAAGAGTCAAAATGTTGACTCCACTTGACGCAGTTTCTGCGTTCGCTGTTTCGCTGTTAGTAGCATTCTAACACATCTCCAAGATGTGGTTAGTGGTGGAACCTGGTATAATGTGCTTTGCTTAGCTTCATATACTTATTACTGACGGGCTTTAAGTGTCAATAATAATCCACCTATTATCTAAAGGGACGATCGACGGAGAGACCTGTTCTCCTTTGGTCATATTTTGCTTTCAAATCTTTCGCAAGTCAATTATTAAGATAACGAATAAATGGCTTACCTTTTAACGATAGTGGGTCTCTATTGTAGACTCTCTTCTATCGAGCGAGAATGATTGAGGAGTACCTGACCTGGTAGCCATATAGTCCAGCGGCGCTTATTAGAGTACGCTCTTTCTGGATAGGAAACACGAGCTTAAGCGGATTTTCTTTCTTCGCTTTTCTTATGATGTTGGCGAGTTAGAGCGAGGGTTGGTTTGTCAATAATGAGACATAATGGAGCGCCAATTATGGTCTGAGGTACCAAAGTAAGGTCACCTTACCATACATTCCTGGTTTCTAATGAGAATAACGAAGTGCCAGTCATTATCTACCTGTATCGTGGTACATTTGCCGGTCAATGATAATGTAATTTCTTTACCCTTGTCGCTTTAACCTTCAGTGAGCTCGTGTCTCATGGATGTCGAAAATGCAGCGATCCCCCTTTGGCATCAAGTGGGGTTTCTGTCCAAGCTGCTTGTGGAAACCTCAACTTCTAGCTCACATTTCAATGATGTTATTTCAATGATGTTCTTGCTCCAGAACTGGATGGCGCTTCAGAGCTGTTTAGTCTCGTTGCTTGGCATAAGTATACTCTTGTTCATTCATACGAGACGATGCGTCGATATATGATCAAATATTCCGGCCCTAAGTTTAGCCATGAACCCAGTTGGGGTTGTGAGGTGAAAAAAAACAGCTTCACACTCATGACGCTTCGAAATGCCAGTATTGTGGTAGAATTGCAACGGTGACTCAGTAACATAGCTCTGTTCATTGATTGTTGAGTTTCCTGAGGAGAATGTAGCATCTGTGGCCCAATTAACGATTTGATGATCTCATTCTTGGACGCGTTGGGCCATGTGCGTTCCTCGTATCCCAGCAAGTGTATCTTGCTTCTCCAAGTCTTTCTAATAACAGTGTCCATGTTAGTGAGCTTTACTGGCGATAGTCGTCCAGAACAATGCACAGGTTACACAGGTAAAAGTTAATAAGCATGGCACTTTGAGTTGCATAAGACTGGGAGTATTATCTCTTAGGCTGGAAGAAATGCGGAAAGACGGGGAAATTGGAGATTTGTCATCTTGGAAATGATACCAGTCTTGTAGTACAGCGTAGATGGTATGGACCTCGAGTCTGCATTATTATTGTAGACTATTCGGAAATCGGCCAACTGCTTTGTAATTAAGATAGATGTAAAGCAGATTTCTTAGGATGTATTTAAACTCTTGGTACCCTTTGGCCTTGGACTTTCCCGGTAAATGTCATAGTAGTCCTTGTATGTGGAAGTGCTAGACACCGATAAAGACATTGGAAACATCTATACTCTACCTTCTGTAATGATGGCTGGAGTAGTTGCATTGACTCAGTAATAACCAATCGATGTGTAGGCTGAGTTTGTGCAAATGTGTAGAAAAATGAGTTTTGCTTCTTTAATTTTCTATCACAATTAGATTGTTCGTCAAATTTGTGTCCATGTCCTCGACTTCTTAGAAGGGCGTTGCTTTGTCAACGTCTCTCCTTCTTGACCTTTAGGTTTAGGGTTAATGATGCATAGTCGATGATGCATAGTCGAAGGACTCCAACCGCTGAATGGTATAGGGCTCTTCCACCTGCAATGCAGAGATGACAGTTATAAAAGTTCTCGCCTCACAAGAGCTCCCGGGAAGTGAAAGATTCCTTACACAAAGACTGTTGTTCTATTGTGTTTTCCAAGATAGATGCCTTCCCTATTATCAGGGAACTTATCCCGTTTGCTCTTGTGTTTGTGGGTACCACTGAGTTATTGTGGTTCCTCTCTGTCTAATCTCTGTTATGTATGCATGGAGTTTGCCTTGAGCCTTACGTCTAGCGTGCTTTGTTTGAGACTTCCTGACTTTAAAAAAGATTTGTAGTCTCGTAGATTCATATGTTGTTCTTGATGTCAGGGCCCATTGTTGTTTATTCCCAGCTAAGCACGCTAGTCTGTTTGGAACGTATTATTTAGTTGTTCTGCTGTAGTCATAAGTTTCCAGTCCGTCACTGATGAACACCTGAATTTCGTAAGCCTGAACTCTTCTCTGTAGTAGACAAACCGTATAGTCAATAGTCAATAGCTTATGTTTGATATGTTGTTCAGTGTTCAAGTTCTCAGCCACTGTTTGCTGAGGGTCCAACTGTTGGTCAACGAGCATGTTAGTAGACCATTGCTTTCCCAATCTATTCTTATCCGAGTATGGTCAATTGGGTTCATTAGTTATGATAGTCTTGATCTTCTTCGTTCTTCGGTAGAATGGTTCAATAGTCTGAGGACTCTTGCTTCCTTACGACGATTGTACACAGAAGACGTCATGGTAGTCTGAAGACCCTTCAAAGTTGATCAACTCTTGATGGCGCCGAAGCTAACTACCATCTTTATAAAGATGTTAGATGAAGGGTGCACGACTGTAGGTAAGAAAGACTATGTAACGGACATAGCTGGGTTTATAGTAAAGAGTGGTTCGTAGTGTATTGAGATAACTAGTTAAGGAAAGAAGGATGGGAGATGCCATCCTTATATAGTGAAGACATTGGATGGCAAGCAAGTAAGAGGGTCATCATCATAGCAACTATAGGAATCTGGGCAACAGGATATCATCATGCCTGCATATAGAGCATGTATTCCAACATACATATACGAGAAGTCCCGACTGCTGTCATAGGCGACGTCAACAAGACGCTGAAGATAAAGTTCAAAAAGATACAGACTTGGGTTCTCTGAAAAAGGGCTTGCTCCCGAGCATTCCACTGATTCTTGTATCCTTATGGTGTTGTGGCACGGCGCTACTCCCTCTTCGCGAAGACTTCTGGATACGAGGGAACCAGCAGTTATGGTACTATTGTCTATCATTCTTGCTGTTATGAAGTTTAATATGATGCTCCCTCTAGTCGTTTAGTATTTTCGTGGTTTAGGCTTTCCAAGGGGTTCTGCTGAGGTATGACGACCAGCAGTGGCTGTGTTTGCATTAGGGCTGTCATTTGCAGCCATGGCGGTTAACCCAAGGTGGTAGATATGACAGAAGCCAAAAGCTACATATCACAAAAATAGCCCACTCTGTGGAACGGTGTTTTTGGCTTACCGAAGGGGTTTGAGGGATTTATGGATAATCTTTGGATAAGAAAATGAAGATAAAGGAAGTGAAAACTGAATAAGGCACAGAATGTCTTACCATGACTACGGTATGGAGAGATGGTCGGTTCTACGCTTCGAAGGGATACCAGCTGTCGACTATAGGATGTGGATGCTCATTCAAATGGATTATGGGAGAAGGTTTCCATGATTTTATGTTGATCAAAGTGAAAGTCTTAGTCGTCTGTCTCTCATTGACTTCCACCAGATGCCTGTTCCAGGTACATCGTGATGGGAGCTGTGATTTACCCTTTAAGATTCAAGCTAAGCTCCCATTCTAAGCAACCCTTTTGACAAGCTTTTGTATCATACTCAAATGTACCATCAAACTCACCTCCCATCGCCCTACAGACTCCATAACGTCTATGGCTCGCAAGCCGTTCATCACATTTCTTTATTTACAGACCCATTATGCTAATAATACGAAAACACTCCAAACCATGCTTTACAGCGTCTCCTTTTCGCCATTCTTGGCCTCCCTCATCTTTTGTAGATACTCTAGCTCCTTCCGTAAAGTATCTGAGGCATAATAAACCTTCGATTGCAAGAAGAAGGAGTTACCCTTTTCTTTCGAGTTCACATCGAAAAGGTACTGGTACTTCTTTTCTATTTCTTCAGGAGAAATCTCTTCCTTCTCAATATCTAAAATCTTCAATGCCTCCTCAACTGGGATTCCGCCGGCAGACTTGGCCTTGGTAGCGCCAGTAGCAGCAGCAGATGCACTAGCTTTGGCTGCTTGCTTGTAGGCCTCCGTAAAGGCACGTCCAAACACAGAGGCACCTGTGAAAATGACGTTAACGAGTAATCTGTGGGCCATTTTAGTGGAACTGGGGAAGTTTGATGTATAATTTCTTGAAGCGAGAAAATATGAGCCAGAAGGCGAAGAAGGTCACGTGATTTGTTTCAATGGAACCGTCGTCGTCTTGCCATACAAGGGACGAAAGCGTGAAGTCAAGGCCGTTTACAGAAACGGATAGCGTATGGCTAGAGTTGAATGGTCGTGATATCTACAAGGCGTTTTATCAACACCATATGGTTACGGAATGAAATGAAATGTAGCACCAGGCTTTGATCCAACCGAACTGTTAGCGACATGGTCGCCACATCGGCCAGAGTTTAGGAAAACCTTAAGAATGCGTAGCTCTAAAAGACCAGAAACGGAGCGCTGATTGTGACCTATTTGTTAGATAAGTCAACCAGTGCTTAGCTGAACGTGAAGCCCCGGTCACGCTATCGCTAACGCGGCGTAGTTCGGGCAACACTAGGGTCTTTAAAGTAGTGTGCCGTAGCACGAAGTTATACTTATATTAGAGTAGTATAACCACTACTGATGGTTGGTTTTCAAAACCAAGGTGGCAGGAGCGATGGACCTTATATAGTGCGAAATCTTTTTGCGCCGGGTAACGTCTGCGCACGTTAGATGCAAGAGAACGGAGGGTCCATTGCAGCACCATACTGGAGTAGCTCTAGAGGCCATATTAGTATCTTTTCCAGAAATGATTGTAATTTGATGACGGGGAGTCTTTGAAATCTATTGATTAGAAGGTTATTGAATTTTATTAGGAATTGAAAAAAAAAAAAAAAAAAAAAAAAAAAAAAAAAAAGACCTCTATCACAGACCGTGGAGATGCTCATCGACCCAATGCAATCAGAAAGTCTTCTTCTTTCAATAATTTTTCTTCATCAAAGCTATTACCTAGGCTTCAATTTACTTGTCTCTTGAGTGTTCATATCATACTCTTGTAGTTCAATTGTTACTTTTGTACCTCTTCTTCAGGCCCCACTATGGCTGCGAAAACGACTGATAACCTAAGATATACCCTATGGCGCCCAAGTAACCTTACTGGAAATGATGTTCTATTCCAAAAGGTTCTCTTTTATTCAATCTTAAGGGTTGCTACCACCTTGTATAAAGTGCTGATGTATATCTTTCTGACACCACTTGTTGTACTAGAAACTAACCTAAGTAGAGAACCGACATCCAACCACAGAACTAGTGTTCATAAAAAGGAAAAATCTTAAGATGTAGAAAACGAGTTTTGATGTAAATTAATCCAATAATTTATATGCTTGTTGCCTCCTTCTTTTGGTCCTTCCTAGGCTGCCTCCTTCCAGTGGCTCTGCCTTCACTATGGCAGATCTGCACACCACGATGCTCATCGAACAGACATACCTACTACCTCTTCTCCAATACATGTCCTCCACTAGTATACCGAAGGTTGAAGGTCTTTTAGCGTGGCTCGAGGAAAATGCATTCTGGAACTCGGATTTGGTGGAGGTGAGAGAGTCTCTGGTTGGCGGAACTGGTGTGTTCTGGAAATTGAAGGATCAGCCTGATCCAAGCCAAGATTCCTTGATCCTTAGAATTCCCAAGAGCTCCATCTTGTCGCCAAAGAACTCGTGCTTGTGTAACCTTCTAATGGACTATGAGCCGTCTGATCCAGCTATAGACTTGACCCAGGGAATGCACGCTATAGTGTTAACGTACATATATGAACAGGCATTAGGTGAACGGTCTCCATGGTATGCCTACCTCGATACATTTGACTTGAATGAAGAAGATGATCAATACCTTCCGTTGTGCTTGTGGTCTAAGATCGAAAAGGAGGCATTGTTCAATTCAGAGTGTGATATGTTGAACATGCTTGACTCCAGTGAGCTCATCCTGTTCTACCTTGAATGTGTGAACTTTGCAAAGACAAACACGTCTGTGTTGGAAATTCCGCCAACATTAAGTCTAGACACAGCTGAAGAGGTCGATGAAAATACCCCAAAGCTTCGTTTCTTTGCTAAATGTGTCCAGGCGGTTATCTCTAGAGCATTTACAGTGGATAAGTTCCATGGTCTTTCGTTAGTTCCAGGTGCTGATCTCTTTAACCACTTGCTGCCTATCAAGGATGGCGATAAGATTGTGCCTAGAGAGAACGTTCATTTTGTTTGTGACGATGACGAAGACTTATGTGGGGATTGTGGTGAAATGGGCTGCGAGCACGATGAGAGTGATGAAGAAATAGAAGAGGAAGTCTTAGACGAAGATGGCTCAGCTGATGAGGAGGGCCAGGAAGAAGATGATGCAGAAGAAGATACTGCTCAGGACAATAACGATATCGAAGATCTAATGGAGGATATTCCTTTATCTTCCGATTCGGAGGACTCAGATGATGATGGCCATTCGAGCGAGACGGAAAGCATAAACGAAGACGATGAAGCAAAGGAGGATGAAGAGAAAAGACCCTTCTGATGGAAGACATTGAAAGGTTTGAAAATTCAGATGCCGAAACGGACCAGGATGAAGAAGAAGTTTCTACCTTGTCACTCAGTGAAGACGAGGAAAACGACGAGGGTCACTCTGAACACCAAATGCCAGAAGAGAACGACAATGGTTCTAGAGTTGATTTAGCAAAGGAACTTTCTGAGAGCTCCAAATGCTGTGATATCATGTTGACTGCACTTCCTTCCAAGGAACACGATTATGAACTATTCAACACATACGGCAATGAGCTCGCAAATCCATATTTACTTCAACGGTACGGATTTGTAAGTAAAGGCAACCCCAACACATCATGCCTTTTGTCAGTTCCAATGTTTGCATACTTGAAGAAGCTGAAAGCCAACGAAAAGACCAAGGCTTCATTGGACATTAAACTCGACTGGTACGAGTCTATAGGCTTTGAGCTCGTCAATGAACTCTGTGGAGGCTGTCAGGACGACGACTGCAACGACTGCGGTGAAAAGGACCAGCATGGATGTTGTGATGACGATGACTGTGGCGACTGTGACGATAAAGGAAAAGATTGTGAGAGTCAAGAGCCTCCAGAGTCATGGCAATTACTGCCTAGAATTCATGGATCTGGCGAGCCCACGAAACAAACCAAGGCGCTCTTGCACCTTCTCATCATGCCATTCAAGGTATTCTACCACAAGCTTGCACAAGCTCCTAGCGAGAGAAAGACAGCAAAAAGAGTCGAAAAATACTTACTAGAACCCGAACTCTCCAAGACAGAAAAGACAATCTTACGAGGATGGGTGGAGAGTCGCTTACAAAGATATAGAGCTGTGGAGCCACAAGGGCCCAGGGCCGAAAACATAGCATGTATGATGGACGAAGAGAAAGCCCTTCTCGAAAAAGCCCTCAAACAGCTACTTTGATTGCATATATTGATAGAACTTTTATTACCCTGGTATATCTCTCTTGTTGCACCTTCCTCATTGAAGCACGCACCTACAGATGAAGGCTGCGAAATACATTATCTACCACAGCGCCTTCCCTATTAATACCCATATCGCCACCACATCTCCCTACCAGGCTTCTTTTAGTCGTATATTCATCCTAACCTTTTGCCCATGCCTCATTCCGACATCGACTCGGCCGAGTCTGACATTAGCTTCGACTATGAAGATGACGACAATCTGGTGATACTGGTAGATGGTGATCTCGCTTCTCCTACACCAGTTGACGATTACACAGAGAATGAAGCTAGCCTTCCGACTCTGTGGCAGAAACCTTCGCTGAACCACCTCTCCCTGTGCCACTACAGGCCTTTGAAGCTCGGCTGGTACATCATGGATCAGATGATAACCCCAGCGAAGAAGCTCTTGGAGACTCTAATTGTTGGCCACTCCTTGGATGAGCTTTTGGTCATGTTGCATTATAAGAAATGGCTGGTGGATGAACTCACGAGTGATTTCTACGATGACCAGAGCAGGCTACGAGCGAAATGTGGACTTCCACCTACAACAAATGAGACTTACCCCATTATACACCGTGATGAGGACTTCATGTGCTTTATATGCTGTGAGTCAGGTCCTATGGATACTTTCCGTCTTTCTTGTGGGCACGAGTTTTGTGCTCCATGTTATGGTCAATACTTGTCTGGATGCGTCAACAAGGGCGACCTTATCAAGTGCATGGATCCACAGTGTAACATGACTTTGTATCATGCTGATGTTGACAAGCTTCTCGATTGTATCCCACCAGAAGAGCAAGTTACCATGGATGCCAACATTCCCAGTGATAGTGACTCTGATAGCTCAGAAGAGGAACAATCTCCCGCCCAGGAGTTCAAGAACTACGAGGTTAGCGTCGTGGATGAGTATGACCTTAATTTTGACCATATGGAGTTTAAGGAAGATAGATGGCCCTCAGAAAATGAAGATCCTCTACTACGTAACCGGTTGCTTCAGACCGCTGCTAAGGTTAACCTCGACGCCACACGCAAACGCTACAAGTGGTGCCCGGCTATTGACTGTGAACATTTCGTGGAATTATCAAAGGATACAAGACCATATGGCTTTGATCATAAGGCCAATGAAGTATTGAAACACACGCCAGTTGTGAGGTGCCCATCATCACATGAGTTCTGCTTTGACTGTCAATACGAGAACCATCTTCCATGTTCTTGTCTGGTTGCCTCAAAGTGGGTGAAGCGATGCCAGGACGATTCAGAGACGGTGAATTGGATTGAAGCCAATACTCAAAATTGTCCGAAATGCTCCTCGCTGATTGAGAAAAATGGTGGTTGTAACCATATGGTTTGCCAGCATTGTCAATTCCAGTTTTGCTGGATTTGTTTGCATGATTGGCGCCAACATACCCAATCGCATTGGTCTTGCAACCGTTTCAATGAACGTAAGGAGATCAACTCGGGTAAGAATGAGAAGCAAAATGCCCTCGCTCGTTACTTGCATTACTACAAGAGATTCAGTGTTCATCAACATTCTATGAAAGGTGATGAGAAGACGCTTGCAAGCATTCATCGTTACATGCTCTTGTATATGAAGTCTCAGACCCAGACTAGCAAAAAGGACGTATCATGGAATGACGCTCAGTTCATGTCAGATGCTATTCGAAGTCTCATTGGCGGAAGAAGGACCTTGATGTGGACGTACGCTTTCATGTTCTACCTCGATAAAAGCAATTATTGTGACATTCTCGAGGGAATGCAAGATTATTTAAATGAAACCGTGGAAGCACTCTCAAGGATTTTTGAAGATGTGGGAGCAGAGAAGAAGAAGAAGTCTGAGGAGAATATCATGCAAGCTCTTACGAACAAGCGGGTTAAGATTGTACATTTATCATCTTTGGTCTCAAAAAGACAGCGTCTTTTGGTTGAATGCGCCAACCACGGAATAGAAGAAGGGTCTTTGATCTTCAAAGAAATCACTTGATTCAATTCTTGGCTGTTTCGAAGTCAACTCTGATTGTGACGATAAGGATTCTGCAGGACCCAATAAAGTTCCGCATCTCGTCCTTGCGTATGCGGATTATCCGTGTTTGATCACGTGGAGATAAGGATTTTTAAGACACCATCGGAGGAAGGGTACGCTTTGTGGGCCAGATTGAATTAAACAACAATAAACAGATGGATCGGAATATGTGGATATTATCAGATGTTCCTCTTTCCTCGTTTGTTCTGCCCGGCGTCTAAAAATTGCAGGTGCTTTTGCGTCCTCAAAGGTTATTTGCGTGCGCGTTATCTGAGGAAATGCCTTATCATTCTACTCGATCGCCGTCTTGGCTACTACATCTTCTTCCCTAGGAAATTATGGCCGATGGTAATAGAGGGCGAACCCTTGTAAGGGCAAGCTCGGCCAACCAGGTCTCCCAATTACCCAAGTCGAATGATGTTCCCCAGCGTTCCCAGTCCACGCAGCTCCCTCTAACATTCAACGTTCAAGACGAGCTACGCCAGAGAGCTATCCGAAATGAACAAGTCAGACACACTTCTATCACATCATTGGAGGCTCCTCGAGCAGTTGTACCGCCGCATAAAAATATACCTATGCTTGATGAGAACAGCTCGACGAGGACGCCGAATCCACATCTGCATTCGCATAAATCTGGCAACAGATGGTCCCAATTCTCGATGAACAATAGTCTTAAGAAACCACCACAGAGCTCAGTTGAAGGCCTTGGACCGCATACTCCCATAAAGAAGAAAATAAACATATCACCGTTGACCCAGATCAAGCAGCCGGCATCCGCTTCGTCTGTTTTGAAGGGAGGTGATTATTCATCGGAACGAGGATCAGCAAACTCTTCTGGAAGAACTTCAAATGCTCATTCTAATACTCTGTCTTTGACGGAGAGGCTACTGGGACACTCGTGGAAACTGACGGGCCGTACTGGGAAAGTCAGTAGTCATGCCTCGATGAACACCTTAGTTCCCATGTCCAGGCATGATGTGGAACTGAATACAAGTGAAGAGGAAGATGATGATGAAGCTGGTGAAGAAAGTCATGGTGAAGTGGACCGCATGCTTGCTACAGGAGACGCTGAAGATGTCGACTTGACCACCTCACTGACTATTTTTGACATTGCAAAGGAGCTACAAGACTTCCAAAATATGGTAGCACTGCCTCACCATCAGGACCCATCTGGAACCAATAGAACCCAGCAGAAAGTCCTTGATCTTAAACAATACCAGGAGGAACAAGAGAGCCTGGTAGTTAGCCATCTGCTTGATCACGCAGTTAAGATCCAGAATGAAGCACTTCTATCTACCTGGACGCTGCTTCGGCTACGGTTCTCTAGTCATGCCACAGGAGAGTCCAACTCAAACCTAAGATGTTCGGCGGGCGTTCTCGGTAGTATCCAGCGCAAACCTATCAAAGAAACTGGCACTAACCAGGTGAAAAGGTCTGAGAAAGAGGAGTATCTTCTGAACATGTGGACCAATGAGCTACATGATATGTTCGACGGCTACCTCAAACCGACGCTGATAGGCGGATATGACGAAGACATCTATCAAGATACTGGAGCTGGTCAGCCATTCAACATGTCCCATATGGCACTGCGAGCCCTTCATTCTCGAAGTGAAAGTCAGTTGGGCTAACAGGATAATTAGCACACGCCCAACAGCAAGATTTACATATAAGCATATTTAAAGGCATCATTTCAGACATTCTTTTGCCCCTTCAAGTTCAATGGGTGTAGGAAAATGTACTAGTACTTAAAGGCCTATATCGCGACCACTTTTTGCACCCATTCTGCTTACCTTACCTTTTCTTCCTAAACCCAAATAATGACTAAAAAACTTGCTAAAGACAATAAAGCACCTCGGCGGCAACAGACTAGAAGCCCTACTGAGCCCGAAGAGTCTCCCCAAGACAATAGCGTCTCAGGAAACGGAACTTCCCAAAATGTACCTCTCAACTTCCCAAGGCCAATAACGCCTCCAGTCACACCCCGTCATTTGACTCCAAATCCAATTGAAAGACCTCCTAGCAGGCGCCCACAGAGACATATTGGGTTTCAAGAGAACCTTCTGCGTCAAAGGCCGCGTAGTAACGCCTTGCTTGACCATGGTACTCGTTCAAGAACGCATACTAGAGCTACAAGCCAGTCAAGAGGACGTCGTCGTTCTACACCAGGAGAGCAATTGATAACCATCAGAGCTCCGTGGTTTTATAATCCTCACCACTTACAGTCGTATTTCTTTTTACGGAAGAAACGTCCTGATCTTGCGTGCTTGTTCGCCTTGTACATGGTTGTGAGTTCATATATCTTGCTTGAGCCCAACATGACAGAGTTCTGGGCATACAAGTATTACTGCTGCTGGTTCAAGTACTTGGCTTGGAAAGACCGGAACGCCAGGAGAAGACCAAGTGGCTAGGGCTGGTTTGAGGGTAGTTAGCTTAGGTAAGTGTGTATAGCTATTACAGATAAGGGTTGAGCGTGACGTAGAATATTTAGAAGCATTTTGGACTAATCAAATTATTTAGTGATACAGATATTCAACAAATAGAAGTCCAAGTTCTGTTTTTAGAGTACAATTGGCTTGGACTACCAGTGGAGTCCGAGTAGCGGCTCATTTGCCATGGTTGGAAATTTCAATAGTTAAGACAATTAACTCAATATGTTTGGGATTCTGTCTATTTTCTCTCAGGATGTTGACAGTCTCCTCTTGCTCAATCCCTATATATTCAATGCCATTTCATGATTTTCCAGTTTGGTCTACTTTGCCAGAATTTGGCTGCGAAAACTGTCCAGTCAATACATATGCTTGTCTATCATGCCCACAGTAATCGTAGCTCAAACAACAAACACAATCTAGACTTTAATTCACGTAAAACAATCAGATTCTTATGAATGTTCCCCATTACATATGCTCCAGACATGGAGGGCTCCCCTCTCCCTTGTTCTTACCCTGCCCTCTATCAACCTCCATACATTCGCACCCTCATGTAGTTAAATCTCATTCACACCACCTACTCCCAGTGAAGCTCCATTTACAACCCACCTGCAATGAGCAAAAGGGGCAATTTACCGTACGCTTACCAAGACTTGTTCCCACAGGCAGCCAATCTGCCCAGGGACTTTCGCACGCCGGGCTCCATCTCGGCAGCTTCGTTTGCCGAATCGTCCTCTAGAAACACTACAGCGGCCTTTGCTCCAGCTAGAACTACAGATAGACTGGGGTTGTTGGGCAATTGGAAGAGGCTTTTGAAAAGACTTTTTAAGCCTAAAACTCTTGATTTCGAAACAGCAACATGGGAGGTGTTCCACTTGATTGTGAACCCAAGGAAGATGTACAGATCGAATTACACGTATAAACAGCAGAACAGCAGGAAATCCTCGTACGCTAGAGACGACCCATCTTTCTTAATCTTGCTTACGGCACTTTTATCGTTTAGTGCAATTGCGTGGGGAGCTGCTTACCTGCCCCATTTCTGGGACATTGTGAAGCTAATTATCAATATGGTGTGCATTGATTTCTACGTGACAGGCTTTTTCATAGCCACTTTGCTGTGGCTTCTTACCAACAAATTGGCCAACCCCCAGTTTTCTCTTCAGCATGCCTTTTCGGCAGCGTCTCGTTACAATGTAAACTATATTGACTGGACATTTTGCTTTGATGTTCACTGCAATTCGTTCTTGATGATCTGGTGCTTGTTGTACATGTTACAGTTCTTCCTTCTTCCCTTGATCAACAGCAAAAAGTCCTTTATCTCAATGTTATTGGGCAATTCGCTTTACTTCGGTGCCGTTGGGTACTACTTTGTCATTACGTTCTATGGGTTTAACTCACTTCCATTTTTCAACAGTCTAACAGTAACAAGGTCTGGCTCGGGTATAAATCCTGCAAAAGTACTACAGCTCATTATAATCGCAGGTATACTACCTATTTTGGCTGTCGGCTGGATACTCACCATCGTGTTTCGTGTGAATGTCGCATACACCATGGTCGACAATTATTTCAATTGATCATTTCACAACTGATCCTTCAACAGCTCCAATCTCTCTGAAGCTGCCTTGATTCTCATACTTGTCCTATTGCTCAACTCGTAATCACCGATATCCGAAGTTGTTTCAGCTTTCTTCAACCAATTCACACTTTCGTTGATCGCTCTGCTTGGATCATCCTTAGATTTGAGGATCCAGACAAACATTGCCTTCTCATAAAGTGCCGTTGGGTAAAGATACGGAGCGTATGTCATCTTGGTAAACTTGAATGGGGCATGCGCAGAATCTTGGATAACGTACTTTGAGATCACGGCACTGTCAAGCTTTGACAAACCTTCCTTAACATCACCCAATTGTCTCAAAGTGATGGCCTCAAAAAAGCTTCTTGTCATGCACTCATCGAAAGTTTCGCTAATCTTTGCCAAGTTGCTTGTTGAGAACTTCAACATACGGTTCAGGAGCCTGAGATCATCTTGGGTCATCCTGTTATAACCGTTCCAAAAGTAGACAAGCTCATGAATAAGAGAGGTACCAACACACTCAATATAAGCTAAATCAGGATTCTTGCGTTTCGTTTCCTCAAGTAACTTTGTTTTGCGTAGGACAAATTTGTCAAATGGCATCTGCTTATTGCTACCGCCGATACCACCCTTCTTTTTAGTGGCATTGTGACCATGACCAGGAACATAAGTTGGTGCTAACTTCAAATAATGGTCAGCCTGTTTAGCGTAGTGAGCCAATTTTTCCTCCCGCTCTTTGCTTGATTCGTACTTGACTTCGTCAGCCAAAATCATACGCCATTGCTCCAAGTAACAAGAACCGGCGAAGAACAAGTAGACTGCCAGGGACCATGAGTTGATCTCTAAAAGTCTAAGGAAATCCCTTGCGGCCTTATCGTATTGATGGGTAAATGCGTATAACATCGCCCTATCAAATGTAAGAAGCGCTTCAACCTGCTCCATATTGATTTTGGTGTCCGGGTCATCTGTGAAAGATTGCATAAGATCGATAGCCTTGTGGATGTTATTTTGGGCGGCCAACATTCTTCCTTCTTGCAAAAGCCATAAGGCATTGTGGGGGAAAAGATGTCTTGCCTTTGCAAGGATTTGCTTCGTGTATAAGTTAGGGTTTCTGATTATGATGGTTAAGTCGTCATCAGAAATACTGGATCTCTCTGAGATAGAAAGTACATCGGTGATGTTGGAATCCTCGTGTCCTGGGAGCTGGAACCCAACATCGATAAATTGAATCGGACCATCGTAGAAGACCAAAAGACACAAGAGAGCCAATTCACCGTGGATGTTTCTTGCCGTAATGGCAGTACGCCAAAGCATACGGAGGCCAGTGTCTCTGTCACCTTTGAAACCAACAATGGAGAGAACCTTACCGATTGCTGGAGGGATCAAAGAAAGCACCACTTGTAAGATACCGAAACACAATTGCACGCCAGAATGAATGAATTCATCAATCGTAGAGACATGCAAATGAGCGTTGGAAGAAGCGCAGGAGCTTTCAGATGTGTTCACAGACACTGCTGAGGAACCCTTTGTGCCTTCATTCACACTTGAGGCACCGTATTGAGTCGTAGGCGGCGTCAAGGATCCTCTATTGAAAGAGTATTCGTTCATAGTAGGGTTCGTAGCGGTGAAAGAATCTCCAGCGTCCGAAAATTCATCGTTATCATCACCATCATCTTCTTCCGACAGACTGAGGTTGTTCTTACGAGCAAAAGCAGAATTGGCAGCAACAGGAGGTGTCGCTGTTCTTGGTCTGCTTGATTGAACGCCGGTATGTTCTTGAAGAGAAGGTAAGCTGTTCTTGGAAGACAAAGAGGGAGTTTCCAGCTCTGCGAACAAGTTCACCTGAGAGCACGAAACGCCAGTACCTTCAATTCTCGATTTTCTCATCTGATAAATCTGTTCCATGTCTTTCATCAACTTGATATCCTCAGGCAAGGAAGCCAGGGAAGAGTTGGCGGATCCCTTGGAGCTTGGTATGTCGTAGCCCGGCAAGTCCACAGACGAAACCAGAGAACCGTTTGCCTGTTTGCGGAACTTGGCCAAGTTATGATTAAACAAGCCTTCCGATTCCTTGATCTTCTTAAAAGTAGCGTCAAGAATTTGGTAAGCCTTTCTTAACTTGAACAAGGCCTTAGCCTGTTCCATCATACCATTATTCTCATGCAAAAGCATCACAAGCGCATTAAGCAATGTCAGTTCAGCATAAGTCACTTGAAACTCTGTGCCTGGAGGGTATATGTGAGACGTGGCAAGATGAATCTTTTGGTTGTACTTGGAGTGGCTAAGGGAAGCTTCCTCTGCTTCAGATAAGGTATTGTGGGCCCTATTCATGACCTCGGTTTCAAACCCCAAGGTGGCCTCAATAAACTCCATAACACCCAACGCCAAAGGAAAGATGGCGCCTGGATTCTTCAGATCCACTTTCTTGTTTCTCTGGACCTCAGTTTTCAAGAGATCGGTACCCTGATCACCTCTGTCGTCGAGCAAGAAGTCCATGGCCTGAAGAGCGATCTCAAAGTCACGAACTTGTCTGAGAACCTTCTGATAGCGTTCGTGTTGTTCCAGTGTGTCATCCGCAGACAGCTGCAGCGACAAGGAAAGCATGGAAGCCTTCTTTCTGAAACCTTTCAACATGATATCTGAACCAAGAATAGCAAATGCGTAGGGGTCGGGCCAAACGGGTAGGAGCCAGCGTTAAAACGAGATCTCAAAGCGAAAGAGACGACTCTTAAGTGACGAAGAACAGTACCAGACTAACTGAAGAAAGCAGGAAGGTAGCAGGAAGAAGGAAAGTGGGTATGGCAGAGATATAGGAGATCTCGAGAACGCAAGTTAGATACAAGCAGGCAGGGCCAGTGAGGGTGTGCAATGCACGTGATGTGGGGCGCCCTAAAAGGCGGCCTTTTTCCACATGTGTCTGACAGTGACAGGTCGCGGCTGTACCACCAGGAAGACGAACAGAGAAAGTACAAGGGAGAGGTAATAAACAAGTCTTTTAATTAAATCCATCAAGGTTTGTCATCCTCTAATAACTTCGTTCTCTTTGATGATTTGTGCCCGTTTTGTGGATTTACTCAGCCGGGCGGGCGGTGCTGAGGCAGTGAGGCAGAGTGGGTAGAAGTCTGGCGACTAACCAGTTGGCGGTAGGCCGTAGGCGGTTACGCAACGCAATCTCGTGGTACATCTGTCGCAGAAGACCCTTGTGATTTGGAAGGAAGGTTGCGTGTGGTAAGAAAAAGAAGTGGTTTTGTGGTATAAAGGGGGTTTTCCATACTTTTAGACTTTAACAGAAAAGAAGAACAGTGTTTTCTGGTTCTTTTGCTGGTTGTTTGGTGCCTCTTTGTTGACTGGGATGGCTGCGAAAAACACCTGAGGCAGAAAACGAGGCAGAAAAAGACGCAGAAAACAAGGCAGTGCGACTGACTTTATCTTTTTTGCCTATGCCCTAAGTGGTCCCTCTGAACTCCGATTATGTAAGGGATACGGGTTTGGCGTTTTGTGGTACATTCAGAGGATCCAGAGGATAAATCAAGAAAATGAGGCCAGATGTTGAGTGGTCAAAGTTTAAGTTCTTTTTAGGTTGTTTTGTTGTTTCATGGTTGCTTCCATTCACCTCTTGGCTTCCTTGGCCAGGGCGTTTTTCGAGAGAGCACCACTCATTGTTAGGGCCAGTGCTGGGCATAGACATCTGGTGGAAGCATTCCTGATACGTTTTTCTCCTGGTTTCTGGAACTACTTGTTGCTGCTGCTGCTGCTGCTTCGTTCAAGCCTTCTTCTCCTTCTTTTCCTTCTCTTTAGCCTCTTTTCTGGCTTCTTCGCTGGTGGTTACTCGGTAAGCCTGGAGTAGCCAGTGTCCTGCTTCTAGTGGCTGGCGCTTGGTGTATGCTACTACTGATTATACACGTTTCACCAACCACGGGCATTCCAGAGCAACAATAAAGACAAAGAGTGGCTTCACCAAAGTCAACCTGGAACACCTAATTTTAGTTTCCCATTGTACTCTTCTTCGGTTGCTTACAAGCGACTGCTCTAGCTCTGGTCGCGACGTGCTACCACCTCTCTTTACCTCACCAACCCCTCATACTTTCGCTAGCTTAACTACCCAGAGCAAAGCTAAACAGTCTATTCGTTCAAAGCATAATGCTATTTTTTAGTATCCCTTTAAATTTTCATCCCATGATCTAGTGGATCGTTCCTGGGTGCCAGATCTGGGAGTTTCCTAACTGGGCCAGATTCAGCACTTTTTTTTTCGCAGCCAGCCTCCCGCATGCAGCCTCTAGGTGACATAGCTTTAGACCAGTTTTAGACAAGCATGAAGCGACGAGAATAAAGTAGGGTAAAGCAAGTTTCAGAAGTTGACTATGCCCACAAGAAATAAGAATCCCACCGAGGAAAAATCCCTTTTATGGTGGTTTATCCACTTTCGTCTACCTCTTCTTCTTATCTGTGCCTACTACCCACCATCCACCTACATAACTACACCTACCAAAGCCTCCTTGACGAATGGTCCGTATCTGGAACATATTCCGAGGCGGGAGGCTGGATGTCCAAAACCGGACTTGCTGAATATTGTGTGTGCAAATGGTGCCAACGGTGTTTCGCAACTGGCTGATAGTACGTTTTTAGACTTCCAGCCGCACTCGCTAATGCTGGATTGGGTGCAAAAAAAAGGAAGCCAAAAGCCTAAGCCTACAGTACCAGATCTGGTTCTTGTCCCGTTCCTGACAGACCTTCTACAGCCAGCACCTTTTGGTATAAAGGGACGTGGATCTGCTCGAATTTTTTTCCTTTAGTCTTCAAACTCCAACTTTCGTTAAAAAACCACTTTCGTTCTTTTTTCCCCACCACCAACTACTAGTCCTTCTTTCAAATGAGATTCACTACTACACTCCTTCTTGCAGCCACTGCTCACGCTGCCACCATCACTAGATGGCACACCACTGTCAATGTCATCACTTCTTCATATGACACCACCACCATCAGCACGTTACCTCCTACTACTGTGGTCATTGACGGTAACGGACTGACTATTGGTGAACAGCCAGAGACTGCTAAGCCAGAGTCTCCAGCTGCCCCAACCCCAGCTGCTCCATCTCCTGAAGCTCCATCTCCAGAGACTCAATCTCCAGAAACCCCAACTGTTGTCACTCCTTCGACATCCTCCTCCTCGTCCTCCTCGTCTATCAACTGGGTTCCAACTACTTTGAGCACTGCGACTGCTTCTTCATCGTCGTCTTCTTCTACTTCTTCCACTCCTTCCACCTCCAGCTCCTCGTCTTCTGGACCTGCTCCAACCGAGGGCCTCAATGAGTTCCAGCGTGATATCTTGGAACAGACAAACAAGAAGAGAGCTCTTCATTCTGCCCCAGCCCTCGAGTGGGACTGGAAGTTGACTGATTTCGCAGCCAACTACGCTAAGAAATTCGACTGTAACAATGTCAAGTTGATCCACTCTGATGGCCCATACGGTGAGAACTTGGCTGCCGGTTTCGTTGGCGGTAAAGACCCAGTCAATGCTTGGTACGATGAAATCAAGGATTACGACTACTCCAACCCAGGCTACTCTGAAGCCACTGGTCACTTCACCCAGCTCATCTGGAAGGACAGCTCCAAGATGGGTTGCGCCAAGGTGACTTGTGATAACGTCTGGCGCCAGTACACTATTTGTGAGTACTCTTCTCGTGGAAACATCGTTGGCACCTCCCTGCCGGTCACTGCCAAATACTTCAGCGCTAACGTCTTGCCTTTGCTGTCTTAGATCTATAGGTTTTTCTTCTCTTCGGTACACTATTATTTCGAGCATGGCCTAGAGCCGTTGCATTTACATAGCACATTTTAATGATACATATGGTAACTATTTGTTTGTAGTTAACGACTGGTTATTGTCGTCAAGTATTTAATTCGTTATTGGATAAGTTTGACTACAGTTTATTGGAAAGCTCTTCATTGTGTATTCATAACCACATATAGTAAGTAAGGAAACCCTACATTTACTGCTTCAACAAGTGAGCGAACTGACCCTTAGATGGCTTAGCCTTCTTCTTCTCAACCTTGACAGAGCCCAACTTCTTCTCGGAATAAGCCTTGGCGTATGGGTTCAATCTCAACAACACCTGCTTGTTCTTCAATGGGTTCTTCTTCTGGACGTGACCTCTCTTGGTGAAGCCCTCCTGGGATGGTCTAACGACAGCCTGGATCTCAGCAGAGTTGATCAAGGACTTGTAGTCAGTGTTGGAAACAACGTTGGATGGCAAAGCGTAACCAGACTTGGCAGACTTGGTGTTCTCAGAGCCGTAGACAGAGTCCAAGGACTCGAAAGCAGCCTGGGTCCAGATAACGAATCTACCCAAGTGAGCACCTGGAGCCAACTGCAACAAACCCAAACGGGAAACGTGAGCAAGGTCGACACCTGGGATGTTTCTCAAAGCCTTGGTGATACCGTTGTCGTTGGCGTAAACAACCAATGGACCTCTCTTCTGGACCCATCTTCTGTTTCTCAACTTACCCTTACCGGCTCTCAACTTCTTGGACTTGATGACTCTGACAATGTCCTTGTGGGCACCGACAGCCTTCAAGACAGCAACAGCGTCCTTGGTCTTGGTGACGGACTCCAAGTCGTTGGAGACAACGAGAGGCAATTCCTCAACCTGCTCAACTCTGTGACCTCTGGCCAACACCAAAGAAGTAACAGCGGAGGCAGCAATGGCAGAAGCGGTAGCGTAACGCTTTTCGTTCTGGTTAACCTTGACGTGCCATCTTCTCCAGGTCTTAGTAGGAGCGAACATACGACCGCCTCTACACATGTTACCGAAAGCACCCTGACCGGAACGGTGAGTACCGGAACCACCAACTCTTGGGATTCTGGCAACAGCTCTACCGGTACCCCAGGACTCAGCGGAGGTCTGGTGACCAGCCTTCTCGGAAACAGCGTAAGCCTGTCTCTTGTTCTTGTTCACTCTGACGAAGACGGAGTGGACAATGTCAGCTCTAACTGGAGCGTTGAAAACAGCTGGAAGTGGCAACTGGGAGGAGGTCTTCTCGCCCTTGGCGGAGACAACAGAAACTTGAGGACGGGTGGACATTTTAGTGTTGGTATCTAAAGAGATGAAGTGTTAAGGAAGGGTGAAAAATTTTTTTCAGTGGTTGGTAGTGAGAATTTCGGTTGTTTGGTCACGTGCGCTCATAGGGCTTCGCAAAGCCAGTCCCATTGGCCAGGGCTGCGGCCGCTTGAGAGAAGGATGCATCGCAATGGGTGCAAAAAAAAAATGGTGTAGACTTACCAAGTAGGGCTAACACTAAAGGGAGAAAATTGACTAAAATTATTAAAATTAGCTCGTTTTGGCTCTTCGTGCACTAGTTTCCTTCAAGGCTTGTGCTCTCTTACTCTTCCTTTCTTTTTTCTTTACGTTTTAGCATGTATGTTGTAGGTTGTATCAGGTCCAGTAACTGTGGTACATGGGCTGTGAAGGATAGGTTCTACAAACTACGAAAATTCAACTTTAAAGGAACGTAACATTATTCGAGAAAAAGCTGTCTCTTATTTGAATTACATTGGCTGTGGAGGCATTACTAGTTATTGTAAAGAGTATACATAATGTGACTGGCCTTGCAAGGTAAGATGGCAGACTAAACTGTTGAAATTTAATTCCCAAAGTTTTTAATAAAGAAAAGGTCGAATAGGCATCCCCAAAGATCTGCTTTTTAATACTGCTACTTGATTTTCACTTTTTTATCGTGGATATTTAAGTTTCTAATCCTTATCTAAAACCAGTATTTCCTCATATTCTCAGTAATACTACTCGGTTTATGTAAAAGTCACAAATTACATAAAGAACAAAACACTCCAAAAATACATCAATGACAAACTAAGCAAAGAGAAGCTACCGAATACTACCTAAAACGTCCCTTTACCTTCAGATATTCTATTAAGCCAATTGGCTTGATGTCTATGTAGGGTTGGACTAACCGAAGAACTTGGCGTATTTCGCTCTTTCGGCTTTCTTCGAGGCTTCCAACTGCTCCTCAGCTCTTGTAAGTTCCTTCTTGATACCGGCATCTTCCGGTACAAGCTTCTGTGCTTCTTCAAGAGTACGGATAGCCTCCTTGTATTCTCGTAGTTCAATCTTGGCACTACCAGCTCTGAAAAGTGTCTTGGCCTTCTCCTGGGGAGTAATTTTCATTTCGAAAAGGTAATTGCAGTAGTCGAGACACCTGGAGTATTGCTTAAGCTTCAAGGTGGCCAACGAGAAGTTAAGGTAAATCTTCTTCTTCAAATCAGTATACTTAGCATAGAACTCAGGCTCCTCATCCTGGTCAGGGAAGTATTCCGTAAGATACCTCATGGCTTTCCTAAACTTGAACGAAGCCTTTTGTGGCTCTCCAGATTTGAGAAGCTCACCTCCAGCATTCTTGATTCTCGTGGCTGCTTTTAAGGCTGACGCAGAAGATTCTTTGTCTATATGGTCATCATCGTCTGGATATTCCTCGTATATATCACCAGCAATTTCATCGTAGCATGCATTGAAGATGGGCACTGGGTCACCCTCTTCCCACTGGCCACAGTCCTTGATGATAACGGGATCAGATTCAAGTGGAGCATGCTCTTTATCTGTCTGAACATTCTCTATCTCTCTAATAACCGACTTGCCCTTTAAAACTCGACCAAAGCAGGTGTGCAAACCCAGTAAGTGCTGTGACTTGTATGTGGTGATGAAGAACTGAGACACAGACTGGCCAGCTAAGGCTAGAAGGAAAGGCTGCTCAAAAGGTTCTTCTTTATTCTCCTCTGGAAGCTTTTCGGATTCATCAATATTGCCATTGTCGCATTGGATCATGAAGTTCTTAATGATTCTGTTGAACCCATGGCCTTTATAGCTATCCAACTGTTCTAGGAAAGCAGCGGTTGTCGAAGGAGCCTTACTAACAAAAAGCTCAGCAACGATTCTTCCAACTTCCCTTTCTCCCACAGAGATGTCTAGATAGACTTTAGGTAGCACTTCCTCCACTTTCATAGTATAGAAGATTGTTGGTTGGAGCCCCAGATTTCGCGATGCCCTACCACATACATAATCAGAGTACCGCAACCACTCACTTACGATATACTCCCTTTACCATGTCATTGAAGCAGACTACACAGCTTCTTCGAGGAATTCGTAATATCAGCTCGACGGCAGTTCGTCATACATACGAACAGCAGCTTGCCAAGTCTGCCGAGAACGTCAATGTTCTATTGGAGAACTCCGACAGACTGTCGTACATCCTCGCCCAGTATATCCCAGAACCAGCTAGGAACGGGTTTCTAGCTATCAAGGCATTTGGGCTAGAGGCAAATAAGATCACCGATGGTGGATCTGCCTCTGGATCCAGGGCGCTGAAAGCACTGAATCAGCTTTCATCCTCTATGGGCTTAACTACAGCCGACATGAAGTTCAAGTTCTGGTCAGATATGGTTTCGAAAGCATTCACAGACCAAGGCGAGCTCCATGAACCTACAGTATTTCTTTTAAGAGACGCTTTGCGTCTGGGCCTTAATCTGGACATTTCATACTTCCACCAGTACCTTCAGACAAGACGGTACTTTCTTCAATCGAAACAGTTCAAGAGTGTCGAAGATATCTGTTCATACGGTGAAGGTACTTACTCACAGCTTAATTATGCTACACAGGCATTGCTTCTCCTGCCTCTGATTTCGCCTTCTGTCATTCACTTGTTGGAGCTTTCGCCCCAATTGCAGAATAAGGTCAGCGACATTGCAGCTCATATTGGCCAGGCCACTGCTGTCAGTTCGATGATATTGGGCTTTGATTACTATGCATCGACTCGTAATATTGTCACAATGCCTGTGGATCTTATGACCAAGTTTGAACTTTCTCAGGAATTGGCGATTCGTTTAGCCCAGGGTCACATAAAGGATGCTACAGAAAAGGAAGAAGCCATTGAGAAATTGCAAAATGTTGTTTTCGAAACTGCGGTGACTGCCAATGACCACTTGATTTCAGCTCGTCTGAAACTCACGCAAGTGAGGGAGGATATTGCTAAGCTCGTAAAGAGCAAACCACACGATTCATTGCTTCAGAGGAACTTCAAAAAGTGGAGAAAAGGTATTCCAGATGTTATTTTCATCCCATTCATGAATGCTATTCCTACATCGCTCTACTTGGAGAAGTTGGAGAAGAATGACTTTAACATGTACAGTCCAAAATTGAAGCAGAAGGAGTGGCGTCTAGGCTGGAGATCTTTCCGTAACTACTACAAGAGGGTAATTTAAGGGAATACTTCTCGAATGTGTCTGATGCCTTGTAGTGGTATCGATGTTTCATTTTTCGCAGCCACTCACAAAAGGACCATTGTACCACTGAGAGCGGAATAAAGGAATACAACTTCACGTCAGGTAATATTTATCTTACCCTGCCATACCAATTGTTCATAAAACTGACATATTAACTTGATATGGCGTATGTCTCGGTATTCATGTGACAGATCAAGACTCCGCATTGCACTCATCCACCATACATACATTCAGCACAGCGGTACGTCTTACGAATATAATCATAACTTATTCTCACTACACAGTTAACAAAAAAAAAAAATTCTCGAACTCAAGTACTTTACAACTCCCTGCATTTCTTCACCCCCTACCCAGCAGATCTTATTCTTATCTGTTTTCTCACAATCCTCTTTATTATCCTTTGGGCCTGGTTTATGGGTTTCGCACTTTTCGACGCTTTGGCTTTACGTGTAACTCCATACCACTGAATCAACAATTCACGGAGACTACAGGACTTTACCGGAAACAGCATGTTCTCCAAGTCTCCTACGCCAATAAACCCGCGGAGTTTGGCCCCAGCCTGGCTGCTCCAGTCCCATCCGCCATTTTCGCCCCAGACCGCATCCATAGATCCAATTACTTTGGTGATAAATGAATGTATGGTGATTTCATCAGCCATGCGTAAAATGAGTCGCTGGCCACAAACGGGAGTCGCTGCTATATTGGGTGGAGGTGACTTGTTTGGTGAAGAGGATGGACTCTCGAACTTGGGTCTTTCTTCATCTCACTTTGGCCTGGCTGCCTCCACACCTAGAGTTACCAATGGGGGCACGGCTAATCCTAACACGAGCTCTAACCCTTTGCACTCGAGTTTTTTGCAATTACGTGCTATACTCACTGAAACCTCGGACATTCACTCAGTTGACTCGTTGACGATTCTTCAACCGTTTTTATTGGCGGTGGAGTCGAGCTCTACTTCAGGAAACGTTACTGGGTTGGCGCTCAACGCTATAAACAAATTCTTAGACTATGGAGTGGTGGGCTGGAACTCGAAGAATATCCAGAACTCTCTTATACAGATCACTAGCTCCTTGACCCATTGCAGGTTCGAGGCTGCTGATCAAAGCTCAGATGACTCGGTGCTCCTTAAGGTCTTGAGGTTGTTGGAGTCCATTGTTGATTCATCCTTTTCCAAGCTTCTTCCCAACGCTGTCGTCTCTGAGGTGATACAGACGTGCTTGTCACTTGCATGTAACAAGAGAAGATCGGAGGTTCTTCGAAGAGCTGCCGAGATGGCTATGATCTCAATGACTATTCGTGTCTTCCTGCGCCTTCGTGAGCTTACACCAGAGACCAGTAATATGGACGATCTTCCCACGAATTATGCCGAGAATCAATTGCCTGCTGACGTTATTGGAGGTACCAATTCGCCAACTGATGATACTAGTGCCATAGCCCAAGACATTGCTTCTGGAGGGGCAGACCAAGAGTTAAAACCTCCCACCGTTGACCTCGCTCCTGTTTCACCCAAGAGAAAACCATCAATGAGCGACGAGAAAGAACCGCAATTTGATATTGCTTGCATTAATGAATTTTTCGCTATCTTGATCTCGATGATTTCTCCTTCTAATCAATACCAACACATGGAAAGTACTCGTGTCTTTGCTTTGCTGCTCATAAATATTGCAATTGAGGTGTCAGGCTCTGAGATTCCAAAACATCCTTCTTTAATGGGTCTTGTGGCAGACCCAGTCTCCAAAGACGTGTTGCAAATCATTACAGTCACAGATTCACCACCCTTGTTGCTGGCTGCATTGAGACTTTTTTCCACTATGGCTATCATTCTTGGTAAGAACATCAAGTCTCAGATTGAGCTTACGTTTAATTTGTTGTTCCATTCAATCTTGCCTCCTGATACATCCAAGGATAACACGATAAAGGGTAATAAGATGGCTATCTCTACGAGAATTGCATCATCAAAAGAAGCTATTGTTGAGTCGCTATCTTTACTTTGGATAAGGTCTCCTCAATTCTTCTCCCTGTTGTTCGTCGATTACGACTGTGACTTTGAGAGATTTAACATGGCTGCTGATTTTGTCAACTTCCTTTGTAAGTTAGCCTTACCCGAGGCCGCTGTCATCTCCACTGATAACGTTCCACCTATCTGTTTGGAAGGAATTTTATCATTGGTTGCCGGTATCAATGATCGGATCAAAAATTCTGAAAGCAGTTCCGCCCGCCAAAGCAAGGAACACCCTCACCAGCTCCTCGTTGATAAGGACAAGAAGACCGCTTTTGTTCGCTGCACTGAATTATTCAATGAAAACCCTAAGAAGGGTGTCGCTGCACTTGCCGAGAAGAAGTTCCTTGAAGATCCTAATGACACACACGAACTAGCATCGCTTCTTTTCAACAAGTCTGCTCGTCTTAATAAAAAGATACTTGGTGAGTATCTTGCCAAGCCATCCAACACTGAACTACTAAAAGAATTCATGAACCTATTCGAGTTTGCAGGCTTGCGTGTGGATGAAGCGTTGAGACTTCTTCTCAAGTCTTTCAGATTACCAGGTGAATCTCAACAAATCGAGAGGATTGTGGAGCTTTTTGCCCAGGCATATGTTGAATGTCAAAAGTCCTTCACCCCGGAGGAATTGACCGAGGAGGAGAAAAATGAACCTGTTAATCCTGACCAAGATGCTGTTTTCGTTTTGTCATACTCGATCATCATGCTTAATACTGATTTACACAATCCTCAAGTCAAGAGGCAGATGGACCTTGATTCGTACAAGAGAAATTTGAAAGGTGTTAACAACGGAAAAGACTTCCCTGAATGGTACCTTTCGAAGATCTACAGCTCTATCCGTGACAGAGAAATCATCATGCCTGAGGAACATCATGGAACTGATAAATGGTTTGATGACGTGTGGCATAATCTCATCTCTTCTCAAACGAGAGTCACCCGTGACAGGGATGTGTCATTGGAATCCATTGATGTGGGAACATTGTGCCAATTTGATAAGTTGTTCTTTGAAAGTTCTGTTGATGTCATCATAGAAACTCTTATCAAGGTCTTCAGTGAAGCTTCCGACGATAACATCATCACCAAATTGATGTCATCGATTGATAAATGTGCCAGTATCTGTATTCATTATGGCCTTTCTGATCCAGTCAACCATCTCATCGAAGAGTTGACTAAGATTACCCATCTTTCAGAGAAGTCCTTCCCTCCTCCTCACCCAGAAGAAAATATTCGTCGCGATATACCTATCACTCAGATCACTATTGAGAAAAAAGAGGAAGCTATTAATATCAGTGATATGGCAGTATACTTTGGTCGTGACTTTAAGGCTCAATTGGCAGCCGTCGTTCTTTTCAGACTCATTAAGAAGGCTGACTGCAAGGTGAGCCATTCGTGGGATGGAATTGTCAAGATTATCTTGACATTGTTGGAGAACTGCTTGATTAATCCTAATCTATTCTGCGAGTTTCAGAAGAAGGTTAATTTGTCTCCTTTGGCAAAGGTTAAACCTCGCTACATCATACAAGGAACGAAACCACTCAATAATTCTGGTATATTGTCGAGTTTCTCGTCATTCTTGAAGGGCTACTCTGACGAGCCACCAGAGCCATCCGATCAGGAGATTGAGTCGACCCTCTCGACAATCGACTGTGTTAGATCTATTAACGTCCCTGGTATTTTTGACACAGTTTCTAAGGGAACCCAGGTGGAACTTAAACAGTTTGTGGATTTGCTTTTGAACAACTTACCCACATTTTCAGATGACAAGAAACGTTTTTATGAGTCGGAGATTTTGTTCTTGTTTGAGGTTGGGGTATGTTTCTCATTAATTGTTAGTGAGACTGAAGTGACCGATAAACTTATTGATAAGTTGGTGGAATATATGAAGACACATGTTTCCAAAAAGGGGTACATGAGGCTTTCAACATACCTATTTTTATTAGCCAGACAGAGTGACAAGAGCCATGAGAAAGAAGCCGCAGAAGCGTTCGAACGGATCAACAGCTTTGATAGAGAGCTTGTCACCAAACATGGAGCTTCACTCGTGAAGTCTCTCTTTTCCCTTGTCGACCAGGACTCCAAATCTAGACCATTGATACAGAAAGAGAGTTTCTGGGATTTCCTCAAGCTCGCTGGGTCTTCCGCAGAGCTTGCCGATGAAATATTGGACTTTTTGCATTCAATTGTTCAAGGCTCTTCTGATGAGGTGTCTGACCAAAACCATATCCTCTTACTTGGCTTGCTCGATGAGGTTTCTTCTCTAGGTGCTGTGGGTGCTCAATGGGAACAAGCTAAGGACAGTGGCAGGCCAGTTGAGAAGAGCAAGCTCACTGACGGAACCGAAGAAAGCAAAAACGTTCAAAAGCTTATCAAGGTCTCCATAAGATCCATTGACCAGACTGGCCTCTTGGGAAGTTCCAGCAGAAAGCTCTCTTATCCATTGATCCAGGCGTTAGCCCATCAGTGCTTTAATCCATGCAGAGAAGTGCGCTCGCATGCTATAACTGTTTTGCAGAATACTTTACTTTCGGGCGCATTAAACGATAACTTCACCGCGTTAGGAATCTACGAATATGGTCTTTTCCCACTCTTGGCAGAACTTGAGAAGGAAGAAGTGATCTTTACCGACAAGAAGGGGTTCCCGGAAACACACTCTCAAATCTTGAACTTGGTAAGCAAGGTATTCCTTCACCATCACCATGAGCTCAATGAAGAGGACAGAAAGACAGTCTGGTTGGGCATCGTAAACCACTTCGTGAGAGTGAACACCATGAACTCAACACAAGAGAAGAGCTACGTGAAGGAATCCAGTTTGGAGGTTATGAAGAACATGATTTTGGTTTTACAAAACGAGTTCCTCATCCCCGAGAACAAGGAACTATGGGATTCTACATGGAAGAGCCTTCAAGAGGTCTATCCCGATCTTGAAAAGGAACTTGCCAAGTAGAGTCCTTTCTATAGACGATCTAATAAACCATATTAGATGGTACACCATCTTAAGATGTGACGATTAGCCGTTCACTGCTCTGTAGTCTTCCCATTTTTAACGAACTGATTATTTCTTCTTTAACCAAGAATTCACAGACACAATTGACCTCGACGCCTGCCCCATCTCTTTATGGCTGCAACTTTGAGATAACCAGCCGCTTCCTCTGGAGTCATAAGATACCTTACAATATACTCATCAAATCAAAGTTTTTTTGAATTCCTTTTAATGCCAAGCTGAACCACCACACTACATCAGAAGCGTCTTCGAGCTTAAACGGACGAGTCATAGTGCTATCCTTATAGTCCGCATCCAAGTCTGTAGATGCTGAGACGTAACCAGCTGCTTTACTCCAACCTACAGAAGTTAATCAAGAAATCTGGTCAAGTGTTAAAAAGATCAAGTGTTAAAAAGAAGTAAAAAAAATTGAAAAATTTGAAGTTTCATTGTTTGGTACGAAAAGTTAATAAATTTACAGGACCAGTTGTGGGAGACTATTAACGTACTAGTGGAAGATTAATGCGCACCAAAGCAGAACGTTTAAGCAAGCATTCTAGAGAGGCCACTGAGTGAAAAATTGGCTTGAGCGGCTGCTTAAACTAACGAACATATAAAAAATCTTAATTCTCAAATCAAGCCCGCGTAACCTTCTTCTTTGGAGTCCCGACTGAAGGTATACCCAAAAGGACCCAATTCTATCACGCGGATGTCATGTGCGGACATCGCCAAAAGATTAGACGGGCTGAATAACACTTCAGATCTGTCAACACCAAGATGGCCGAAACTTACACCCAAAGAGCGGAAAAGCACCCTTCGCCCGTGGCCCAGCGCCTCCTCCGCCTCATGGAGTCTAAGAAGTCCAATCTCTGTGCATCTGTTGATGTCAACACAACCGAGGAGTTTTTGACCCTCATCGATAAGTTGGGCCCTTACATTTGCTTGGTGAAGACCCATATCGATATCATTGACGACTTCTCATATGAGGGCACGATTGTTCCTCTTCTTGAGCTTTCCAGGAAACACAAGTTTATGATCTTTGAGGATCGTAAGTTTGCTGATATCGGTAACACTGTCAAGCACCAGTACTCTGGAGGAGCTTTCAAGATTGCCCAATGGGCTGATATTACGAATGCTCATGGCGTCACTGGTGCTGGTATTGTCCGTGGTTTGAAAGAAGCTGCCCAGGAAACTACCCAGGAACCTCGTGGTTTGTTGATGCTTGCAGAGCTCTCCAGTAAGGGCTCATTGGCATATGGTGAGTACACCAAGCAGACGGTGGAGATTGCCAAGAGTGACAAGGACTTTGTCATTGGCTTTATCGCACAGAGAGATATGGGTGGTCACGATGAAGGCTTCGACTGGTTGGTCATGACTCCAGGTGTGGGCCTTGACGACAAGGGAGATGCATTGGGTCAACAGTACAGAACCGTTGACGAGGTTGTATCCACTGGAACCGACATTATCATTGTCGGTAGAGGCTTGTTCGGAAAAGGTAGAGACCCACACGTGGAGGGTGAACGTTACAGATCAGCAGGCTGGAATGCCTATCTCAAAAAGACTGGCCAATAAATAAATATGTACAAGAGCTGGCAAAACTTAATACCTTAATCATAACCGCTCACTGAGCTCATCAATGTTATCAGAGAGACGGGTACGCATGATCTCGAAAACAAGTAGACCAACGGATGTGGCTGGAATGGTTGTCAAAGCATTCCTAGCAAACCCTTTGTAGGCGAGCTTGAACCACGTTTGCTTGCTTTTCCTTTTGATGGCGATACAATGCTGAAAAGTATCGACATAGGAGTTGTAGTAGATTTTAAAGAATCTTCGCTGCTGCTTATGCATCGTCGCAGAATAAATGTCTAATGCTTCTAACCGATGTAGATGGATCTTCTGCACCTTAGATATAGGGTATTGAACTGCTAGAAGGGAAAAGGCGGCCGAGGCGCCAGCTAGGAGAATAAACGAAGATTTAAGAATCTTCATCAGACGATTTTGTTCGAACCGTAGCAACTGGGCATCTGTTTCCTGGTTTTTTGATGACATGTGTATGAACGAGAACTTGTCTCTTAGCTTCTGCTTGAACCGACGGTAAGACGAAATCACTCTATAAGTCAAACTGTAACCTCTCGTCTTTACAATCTCAAACGTTGAAAAATAAAATGCAAACCCCAAACTCTCTTTGATAAGTGAGAACCCATAACCTGCGAACACACCAATGAAACCAACTTCCTTCAATTTTTCCCAACCAAACACCCATAGATTCTGATGCTTTCCGCTCATGACCTCAGCCATAGACAGTCTTGTAAAGATAGCGTCAACTGGCGCAGCAGCTAGCGATTGCATAGCTCCAGCCACGAAACCAGCCCTCCATGTATCCGAAGGTGGATAATAGTAGTCTTTTCTGTTGAGGTTCAGCTGGTCCCTATTCTTATCGAAATAGTCGAGGGCTGTCAAGTATGAGCCATATAGGATAATACCAGTGGCAGAGTTGGCAATAAAGGGCGGAAGTACTTGATCGGGTATGAATTTCCAGCCTTCCTTCTTGATCACACTATGGAGCATGCCAAGCGTGGAATGGGTTCTGAATTTATAAGGTTTTGAGTGTATGTTATCGTGTTTATTGGCCAATTCTCTAACGTAGACCATGTAATCAAACCGAGAGGGACGGAAGAGTTTGACTGGTGTTCTCATATATAATGCTTGGAGTTGATATAGCACAGCTCTAATACCAGCCGTGGAAAGGGACACTTTTTGGTTGCTGGCTTTGTCCCGTCGGACAAATTCATCATCAGAGCTTCTAGTTAGGTCGGTACTCATTGCAGCATTGTGATCAAGGTGATGTATTTTATTGGAAACTGAGTTGGTCTTCCCAGTGCCGCAGAACTGATAGGACGAATGCAGGAATCACAGTGTGGGCAGAAGGCACCAGTTATCATCCAACCTAAATCTCTCCACTTGATGTGGTATGATCTTTGGAATATCGGCAATTCCCTTGGTATATCATAATGGAACGGTTTGTCAGGTTCGTATTGTCAACTGAAGTGTTCTCGAAATGTGGCTGCGAAAATGGATTCAAACTGGCTCCGTTTTTGCCGTCCGTGGCGCCGTTCTCCTTCTAAAATCAAGCATTACCTGCCCACCGCTTCAACTGTCTCCCTTGATTTACTCGTCACGGAAAAGGGTGATTTCGCTTTGCTTGAAGTACCTCCTGCCATCTTCATCAATCAACACCAACTGCAAGTACGACCTGCAAGAGAACTTCTTGTTAACGTCCTTATAAGTTGGCGTTAGATCGTAACCGTTCAAAAATAATCTAATTGGAATGCTTTCACCCTTCACTGGGGCGCCATCCATGATCTCAAATCTCACCATGGTCTCGGACTCAAGCACCAGACTTGGCCCAGAGCCAACAGTTTCTCTGCGGACAATAGATACTTCCATATGCTTGATTTTGATGCGTACTAGCAAAAAGAAGATCCGTCCCATGATCACATCCTTGAGCGAAAATCGGCTCTTGTTGTATTCAAACTCGATATGAAGACAGTGTTCAATACCAACATCCATCTTCACAGCTGACGATGCAATTGACTTTGCAGCATTAGTTTCTGTAACTTCCCCATTTGCGCTTCCCGTACTACTCTTTCTTCCACCTGGAGCGTTGCCATTAGTATCATCGTTCAGTGAGTTGGCATACTGCAACACCCAGAGATCCTTCTCTCTAGTAATATCAGCCTTGTTCTTTCTTGATACCACAACACGAATAAAGTAACGCAAGTTCACGTTCTTTCCTCTGTAGCTCTCATACTGCTTCTCCACATTCCGGAAAGCAAATCCATATGTGTCTGATTGGTTCAAGTGACCAGGAGCAGCAAGCTCCGTCGCTAGACTAAGAAACTCAGACAGAGTGATTGTATCTAAAGGAGACTCAATAACACCTAGCAATTGCACTTTCACTCCGATATGTTCAACAACTTTACCACCTCTGGATCTGAGGGTCACTTGTCCTTTGACGGACTCGCCGTCTCTGAAAAGCGGGAACAGTTCTATTCTGCCTTGCTTGGATTTAAGCTCAATGTGTTTGCGTGACTTTTCATCTTCCAAGCGTATTTCGATATCCAATGGGGCCTTGAAAAAGAGTGACATGGAGGTTTGTAGTACGTAGTATTGGAGGGTGTGAGAATCTGGTGAGATAAGGTAGTACTAGGCTAGATACACTCTGGGGTTGATTGACCATATAAGCATTAAGGAAAGGACAAAAGTCGAAAAGTAAGAGGAACGTATTAATGACTTTCTATTTATTTCTTTATTGATTGTGTTTGATTATATTTCAGAAGTTTCGTTGTCTTGGTACTGAACTAATGGCCATACTAGTGGTGCTAATGGAGACTCGCATTAGCTGTACCACTGTCTTTCTCTTGAACAATTCTCTAACCAGCTTAGGTAGTCAAATAGCATTCATTTCACTTTGAACCAAGCTGAAGTGTTCCACATTACATGTCAAATCTCCACTCTCAGTCCCTACAGATCTACAGGTATATCATCAGCTATCATTCAGCATTGCTTATTCGTGATACCTAAGTCATAACTTTGGTTTTTAGTTCTTAGCGACGTACTCAACCAAGTCAACGACTCTGGTGGAGTAACCGTACTCGTTATCGTACCAAGCGATCAACTTGACGAATCTTGGGGACAACAAGATACCGGCCTTAGAGTCGAACACAGAGGAGACCTCAGAGGAGATGAAGTCAGAAGACACAACAGCGTCCTCAGTGTAAGCCAAAACACCCTTCAACTTACCCTCAGAAGCCTTCTTGACGGCAGCACAGATCTCCTCGTAGGTGACGTCCTTCTTCAACTTGACAGTCAAGTCAACGACAGAGACATCGACGGTTGGGACTCTCAAAGCCATACCGGTCAATTTACCGTTCAAGTGAGGAATAACCTTACCAACGGCCTTGGCAGCACCAGTGGAAGATGGAATGATGTTACCGGAAGCAGTTCTACCACCTCTCCAGTCCTTGTGGGATGGACCATCGACAGTCTTCTGGGTAGCAGTGATGGAGTGGACAGTGGTCATCAAACCCTCCTCAATACCGAAGTTGTCGTCAATGACCTTGGCCAATGGAGCCAAACAGTTGGTGGTACAAGAAGCGTTGGAGATGATCTTCTGGCCAGCGTACTCGCTCTCGTTGACACCAACAACGAACATTGGAGCGTCAGCAGAAGGAGCAGTGATAACGACCTTCTTGGCACCAGCGTCAATGTGCTTCTGGGCACCCTCGAGCTTGGTGAAAACACCAGTGGAGTCAACAACCAAGTCAACACCGTCAGCACCCCATGGGATCTGGGCTGGGTCCTTCTCACCGTAGACCTTGATCTTGTGGCCGCCAATGATCAAGTTGCTACCCTCAGACTTGACCTCCTCCTTGTACTGACCGTGAGTGGAGTCGTACTTGAACATGTAAGCAGCGTAGTCGGCAGCAATGAATGGGTCATTGACAGCAACAACCTCAATGTCCTTTCTTTGCAAAGCGATTCTCAAGACGAGACGACCAATTCTGCCGAAACCGTTGATACCAATAGTGACCATTTTTATTAAGTTTTTATTTGTGATGTGATGAGGAACTAAAAAAGAAGAAGAGAAACACACAAGGAAAAGCCTACCCTATTTATACCCACCAAGGCCCCCAGGGGGGCCAAGGGTACACTGAGGTAGGCAGTATGGTGATGGTGCGGCGTCTTGGTGGGTAACCAAGGCTCCAGGTGGAATACGTAGTGGTGTGATGTGAAAGCGCATACCCGGGTGGCCCCTGTTCCAGGCTACATAGTAAAAAGGGGCTTTTTGGGGTATAAGGCGAAGGGCAAGAAAACAAGCAATATGACCAATTAAGGCACTGCTGGTTTTAAGTTGCTGTGTCAAACGAGTGGGATACCTTCTGTCTGTATTTTGCAGCCATTTAGTGCGGTGGGTGGTGCTGTATGCGCTAAAGGACCATCAGGTGGTCTGGAGGGTAAGGATCGTTCGGATTCTGCGGGACTGCTTAACTATGGTGGTTTATTAGCCTGCTGATCTTGAAACGTGCTATGCCGTTAGATGGTTCGAGAAAAAAAGGAAAAAGAATGGCAGATGAACAAAGGGTGTCAGGCTTGGGTTGGCTACCAGAGCTTGTGGTATGCAGAGACTGGGCCTAGACAGGCTTAAACGTGGATACCATTAGACTTTTGCTTTTGGGTTTTGGGAAATTACGATTTTGGTTTTGGTGGATTGGTGTTTTTTTGTTATCTGATCTTCGGTTACAGTGCCCGTCAACGTAACGTTACCGTTGGTGGTGGTGGTTCTACTAACTGGAGATTGAGTATGCGCTAGGAAAGGGTGACGTGGGTGGACGTTGACGGGAAGGTCGGTGGTGGATTTGGTGGTGAGCTAACGATCGAAGACGGTGCAACGGTTACGTGGTAGCTTAATTGACTGGAAATGGTTGGCGTGGTTGATGTGGACTGGGTCTGTGTGGTTAGCAGCCAGTACATGCTACAAGTGCCAAGGGGACACAAAACGAGACCGTTTTCAAGATTAAGCTATTCAGTGTCCTGATTTGGCCTAAAATGCTTGAAAACCAACGTTTTCTACCGTTAACTGCTCTTTGAATTGCCAACTACTGTTGTGTGTTGCCTTGTGAGCTTCCTCATACATTTTGCAGCCATTATTTTGCCGGGACCAAGTATCAGACAGTCACCGAAAGAGCAATCGGAAGATTTAAGCCGGTTCTTTGATAAATCATACCTTCATTACTGCTATCCATATATAGAGATCGCAAACTGTCCATGTGGTATGTGCCACAGGCAGCAGATACACCGAGCCGAGCCTACCGGAGGTGCACGAACAAATATCCGAGTTTCGAACCAGCAACGAAGAAGAAACGAGATGGGCTTGGGTATATAATGCTCATTTTGGAAATCACCGAATTGACATATTTTTGCTTGTTCTCTTGGTGTATGGAACGCTAGGACATGGACTGTGTCTCATCCAGCCAATGGCATACCATCAACACCAACACCAACCAAACCAGTCAACTCTCATCTTTAGAATTTTCCTCTAAACCACTTCTAAACACATTTCCTATAGATCTCAAATATACCCCAAAACACGTATTCTTCACCAGTATCTTGGTACGGTTCTTGTTGGGCCGACCTGCACCCTGCTCACTCTTTTCTGGTCTCTGGTTCAAGATATCTACCAACCACCGCTGTCTGTGGGAAACATTGGCCAAACCTAAAAACCATTTCAATTCTTCCTATCATGTCATACGAGGAAATTCCTCCTGACGTCGTGTCCCCTCACGATGCTCCCACGCAGACTATCCAACAGACACTCAAATGCAAAGACACTGTGATCGCCCTTTACGACTTTCCCGGAACCCAGCCTTCCCATCTCCCGCTAGATTTGGGAGACACCGTTTACGTGTTGGCAAAAAGCGACTCCGGCTGGTGGGACGGTGTGGTTATCGCCAATGGCGAACTACTGCGTGGCTGGTTCCCGCATAACTATGTCCGGTCGGTTAACTACGTTCAGCCGGTGTTAAACAAATTGAAGTCCAATAAGGAGATAGACTCCATTACTGCTGCCAATACCGCTGCAAATGTGCTTATACCTTCGTTTACCAGTCTCCTACAACGGTCGCTAGTCGATCTGGGTAAGAACAGCCCGGCCAGTAATACCCGTAAGAATTCCGTGGTATCCTTTGCCTCCCTGGAAACTAGTATATCCGACCTGAAACTGCGTTCCAACCAGGCTCTTTCTGTCCATACGCCTTCTCCAGGCTCAGAGGGAACTGAAGGCGCATCTCCAGCTCCAGCCCCTGCCCTCCATCAGCCTTCATTTGCATCTACGCTATCGTCACACTCTGAAGATATCCCAGTGCCCCAAGAGGCACCTCCCCTCAAATTCGTTCCTGTTGAAGAGGCTGAGAGATTGACGCTAGAAGTGAAGCAAACAGAGGGTAAGAACATTGTCTGGACTCCTCGTGGTACAACTTCTGGTAATGTGGCTTTCTACTCAGAACAGCTCGAAGTGTACTGTGAGACGCTACCGTTAGTACCATTTATGCCCCACATAGATTTGGCAGGCGGAAACCTTGCCTTACCTACTGTGGAAGCCCTTCATGAAATTACCCCAGTGAATGTTGTGAGGGATGATGAACCGGAAGATGGTGAAACTCACGATCGTTCAAACTCTAGCGTCAAGGGCTTTGACTTGAAGCGTGACTCCAATGCATCTTCCATGTCGACTACAAGCTCGGTCTCGTCTTACCATCATTTCCTGCAACCATTCTTCGCTACGAACGGCTTGTTCTATAATCTGTTTGATGATATAAACAAGTGGACTGAGCTCAAAGAACACTTCAACTATCTACTAGATTTGACTTACAAAGCTTTAAAGGATTCAAACAAACAGCTTTTCTCCATGCATCTTTCTCAGCTTACTAAAGTCGTCTCGATAGTTCTCGCCGGCTCAAGACTATGCCACCACGACTTTGCAGATTCAAAATACGAAAGTTCGATTAGACGGAAGCTCAAGCGTATCACTAATGGCTTTTCCCAGCTATACATCAACGGGCTCCTTCATTTAAGTGTTATGCATTATTCAGTCGCTGCATCAAATGCAGAGCTCTTCAGTCTTGATATCCGGAGTTTGAATAAGTCAACTGGTCCTACGCCCCAAGCATCTACCATACTGCCTTCTGATTCAATTGGTTCCGGTAATACTGTACCTCATCCTCGTGGAAGCCTGGCAGAAGATTTGGAGAAGATGGGCAGGTCTTCTGGTCTGGAAGTTTCTCAAGATTCGGTAGATTCATACCTTCTGCAGATTGATCATGAGGTCGAGGCTGTTAGGTCTAATATGAATGGATTGATCAAAATTTTCCTTCGGCTCAGCAAAGGTAAGAGAATTACTATCAAGGATTATGATAGTTCTGATGCATCCGAAGACGAGGGAGAAGACCGTTACAATGTCCTTCCGCAGGTATATCCCCGTTTTCTTGCGGACGAGTTTAATGGTGGAAATTGGTGTAACCCATTCTTCACGAATACGAAACCATATCTCAATTTGAGTGGTGAGCACTTGAAGAACAGATATCATCTCAAGATAATCATCGATAGTGTCGGATATGAACGTGTCAAACTGTCGGCATCTGAAATTGTCAAGATAAGTTCGGAAACATTGAACTACTTGGAACCCCATAACCAGGAAAGGTACTACAATGAACAACTAAGGAACGGAAGGAACGAGCAGATTTTGCGTTTTATCTACAAGTATTTGCATCACGCTAGCTCCATGATAGACCTATTGGAATCTTTTGACTTCACAGTTTTCTGTCTTATCAAAAGATCGTCTTCCGGTGACAGTTTAGGTAGCAATGAAGAACCACGGGACGATGCACAGCATGATGACAACACCACTGGTAACCTTACATTTGATTACCCTGTGGTCCTTGAGTTCTTCAAAGCGAAACAGTACTTTCACACTTTGGTATCAAAGGTCATCATGTATTCGCAATCGCTTACTTTGGATGATCCTGATGTGTTCACCGCTATGAAGGAGGATGACCCTGTACTTTATAACAGAGAAACAATCAAAGATCCCCTTGAAAGATCGGCGATGGTTTTGAGTAATATATTGATGCAGCAGAATAAGATGAAGGCCCCAGAGGCCATCACTCTTGACAAAGATGAAGTGGTTTCCGATTTACTTCTTGAAGGTATCGACTTCTGCGAGCATATTACAACGTTGGTGCAACAACTTGTGGAAGAACGTGAGACAATCTTGAATTATGCCACCAGAGTTATGTATGATGATTTCAATGTGCAACTTCTTGTCATCGAAAGAAACAATACGGCTGCTGGTGACAAGAATGAGGATAGCGGCGCTCAATATTATAGCAGCAAAAAGGGTAATGAAGATACGCCATGGTATTTGGAAGGTGACGAAGAATGTGACTTATTGCTCGATATTAAGGGCAACATAAAGGGTGGAACAAAGGAGGCGCTTGTCGCTCACTTGACTCGTCACGAATCACTTGACAGTGGCTTCATTTCTGTTTTCCTCATTACTCTCGCTACGATGATGTCAATCGGCGAATTTGTTCAGCTTCTTATAAACAGATTCAACATGGATGCGCCAGAAGGTTTGAGTTACGAGGAGTATTTGGCATGGAAATCCATGAAGCAAAGCAAAGTGCGTACCAAGGTTTTGGACATCATGAAGCTTTTAATTGATGTCCATTGGTGTGACTCCTATTATAGCATAACGGTGTTGCAACGTTGGTTATCCTTTGCGCAGTTGCCGACGGTCAAGCGTTTCCCTGTTTCAGGCAAAATTGCAGAAGGTATTGAAAAGATTCTTCGTGGAGAGAAGACTACTAGAAGACAAGATACTGCTGTTGTGCTTGGTAAGCCTCCAGCTCCAATTCTCAAGGGTTTCTCTATCAAAAAGTTGAAACTTCAGGACATTGATTACATTGAATTTGCACGTCAAATCACCATTCGTGAATTCCTGCTCTTCTGCCAGATCAACAAGCTCGCATGTATCAATAAGGTATGGGGAAAGAAGTCTGGTCTTCAGGAAACTATTGAGCCTATCACTAACTTCATCAAAGTTTCGAACCAGTTAACGAACTTCGTCGCTTATATGATTTTGAGAAAGGACGATGCAAAGAAGAGAGTGAGGGCAATCAGATACTTTGTTCAAGTGGCCGAGAAATGTCGTCAGTACAATAACTTCTCGTCAATGACGGCTATCATTTCAGCTCTTTATTCATCACCTATCCATCGTCTTAAGAAGACCTGGGCATATGTATCTCGAGACATTCTTACGCAGCTTCACAACATGAACAGGCTTATGAATTCTACGAGAAATTTCAACGAGTACAGAGATGTTCTCAAGTTCATCGGATCCGAGCCATGTGTGCCTTTCTTTGGTGTGTACTTGAGTGACTTGACTTTCATCTACCACGGAAATCCACAATACTTGTTGAACCGTACCAGAATGATTAATTTTGCTAAGAGATCGAAGACGGTTGAGATTGTTGAAGGTATTGACAGATTCCAAAAAATCGGTTATAACTTCCAAAGTGTCAGTGAAATCCAAAAGTACCTCGACCTTTGGTTCGATAAGTGCCCTTCAATTGAAGAACAATACCAATTGTCATTGAATTTGGAGCCACGTGAGGTTATTGACCGCAGCAGGACAAAGAAGAAGAATGAAAAAGACGAATCAGGTGGTCAGCTGCAGCCGAAACTGGCGGTGAACGTGAACATATGGGGCCTCAAATAAGCAGAACCACTAAAAGAAGCTTATTCGCAGCCACAAGAATTCCATATACCGCTCCCGGTCGGTGGTCAAAATTTCCTACGCTACCCTGCAGGACAGAATCGGTAGTGGTCTACGTGCGCTTGAACGATCAAGTCGATATAAACCTGGTTACCGGGGTCGACTGCCACGAAATATGTTTAATAGACTAAAGTCCTTCTCGGAAAACGTTGCAAACTCCCTTAATGAAATAGGCGAGCCCCAGAGTAAAAGTATAGAGAATATTAGACAACTTAAGAATGGATCCAGCATATTGAACACCAAAACCCCAGATCCCCAAGAACTTCTACAACCAGGAGATGAACCCGAGTCCACAAACTCCAGCCAGGTCCAATTAACCAAGGAGAACACTCCTTCTGGTGATAAACCAACTGGGACAAGCCCTGCTGGAGATAGTCCTGCTCCTGCTCCTTCCCCTTCTCCTATAGCCACTTCGGGTCCCTTGAAAGACATTGACATGGAACAATTACCCCCAGCAGTAAAACTCAAACTCAATAAGTTCGTCAGATATGAAGATAAGTACCCGAAGCTTTTCGATGCCTATAAGACAGAGAAGCGTAAAGCCAGTCTTGTTGATGCATTCGGTGATGTTCTTCGAGAGTACACACCAGTTACACTGATTGCTGATGCTGGAGAGCTAGTGGAGTATTTGCAGAGTATACATGACAAGACTAAGATTGCTGAACAAGAACTAAGGAAGAAAACGACAGAGGCATCGCAATTGGCGAGACGTCTTGCTGATGCAGAAAAGACTGTGAGGTATACTGAAGAGTCGCTTGATAAGGCTCTGAAAGGCAAGGAGTCGCTCAATGCCAGAATTGAATCACTACTGCGTGAATTGCAAAGAGTTAAGGCTGAGAATGAGAATAGGACGGAAAATACTGAGGGTGGAGCCGATCCAGAGCTTCAGAAGTCTGTCGATTCTCTTAAGGAACAGCTCGGCTCAACGCAAGCTGAATTAGACGAGCTTGTCGAACAGAAGAAAACTTTCACTAAGGACCTTGAATCTCAGAAGGAAAAGACAGAAGCTCTTACCAAAGAGGTCGATACATTAAAATCCGAGAAGCAAGCTGCTTTGGACGAACTCGAATCGCTGAACTCCAAGCATGACGCACTTTCTAAAGAGCTTGAATCTCTTAAGGCGGAAAAGGAAGCTCTTCAAAAGGATAAAGAATCTCTTGAGCGTGAAAAGCAGACTCTTCAAGCTACCGTCGACGATTTGGAAAAGAAGCTTACAGATTTAAACAAGCAACTTGAGGAGGTCAAGGTTGAAAGGGATGAGGCAAAATCAAACGCTAGTGCGGCCCCTGAATCCCCGTCTACTGCTGCACCTGCTCAACAGACGCAGCAACGTGCTGGAGGCAACAAGAAGAAGAAGAACAAGAAGAACAAAGGTCAACAGAACGCTGCGGTAGCTACGGAGCCAGCTGCTGTCTCTACTGAAGCTGACAATGGCTCATCTGAATGGGAATCTAAATACAACGAGCTCTCGCTGAAGTATGATGCCCTTGTTAATGAGAAGGATTCACTTGCTGCAGAACTTAGCCTTTCTCGAAAGGCTGTTGAAGCTAAGGACGAGGAGATCGAACTCTTGAAAGACCTGTTGAGAGATATTGGAGATGAGTTAGTTACAGCTAAGGATGAACTCAAGAACCTTAACCTGGACAATTCTACCAAGGAGAAACTCCAGAAGTATGATGATCTCGAAAAACAGGCCGAAGAAGCATCAGCTCAGCTTGAAAAGCTCAAGAGGGACTCAGAAGACCAGGTGAAGAAGATGAAGGCTGAGTTGACCGAACAAGTCGAGAAAGCAAAGAGTGAATCTTTGGCAAGTGCAGAGAAGCAGCAGGAAGATACTAAAGCAGAAATCGAGAAGCTCAAACTGGAATCTCAAAAATCCTCAGGAACTATCAAAGATTTGAGAACCCAACTCACAACTGTCAATAAAGAATTAGATGGTTCTAAGAAGGAGATCGAGAGCTTGCATCAAGAGAAAGCTAAGTTGAACCTGAGAATAGATGAGCTTTCAAAGGCAAAGAGCATGGATTCTTCCTTAAAACTTGAAATTGCTTCATTGCAATCTTCGGTCTCACACAAGGACGAGTTAATCAAGGAATACAGAGACGAGTCTGAGAAGCGTGTTAAGGAAAGAGATACTTTGAGGGCTACTATTTCGCAACTTGAAAATTCTAACTCCAGTTTACAAAGCAGTAACAAAAGCCTCGTTCAAGAAAAGTCTAACCTCATTAATGAGAAGGAGAATACTACCCAACGCATCAATTCTTTGAATTCTGAGCTTTCTAAGCTTCAGGTTAGTAAGCATGAGGTGGCAAGCGAACTCGACGGTTTGAAGACGAAGTATGACTCCATGGTCAAGAACAAGGCCACTTCTTCCGACGAGGTTCAGTCTTATAAGCAGCAGTATGACGAGCTTAGTATGAAACTGAAGGAGGCACAACTTAGAATTGACACTTTGGAAGACGAACTTTCGGAAGCAAAACTGATGCTTCAAGAAAGAACAAGGGAATCTTCTACAATTAGAAAGCTTCTTATTGAGGCGGAGGAGAGGAATAATATTGAGTGCGCTAACCTCAAGAATGAGATCCGGTCTATCAATGAAGAAAAGCTGGAGCTTGAGTCTTCCCTCCAAGGCTCAATCAAGCAGAGACAAAGAGAAATTGAAGACTTGAAAGCCAAATCTTCGGAGTCTGCTAAGAAGATTAAGGAGTTATTGGAGCAGATTGATGCTCTCAAGAAGAAGTATGAACCTTTGATTAATGAGGCTGCAATCTCTCCCGAAGCCGCCAAGAAGACCAAGGACTTGGAAAATACCATTGACGAATTGCGCAGCTCTCTCCAGTCCTCGAGTTCTAAGGTGAAAGAGTATGAGAATTTGAACCGTGTTCTCAAAAAGTTGAACGAGGAGTCCTCCTTGAAGTTCGAGCGTCTCCTGAAGAACTACAAGCATGTGACGCAGCAGTATCGCCAGATGCAAAGCACCAAGGCTACACCTCCAGAGTCCACTAGAAGCTCTTCTGAACAGCCTCCTGCTGCTGCGGCTCCACCTGATAAGGACACCAATACTGCGTACCTCAAGAATGTTCTTTTTGGATTCTTTGAGCACAAGGAACAACGCGAGCAACTTTTGCCGGTGGTCAAGACTCTTTTCCAACTCGATGATGCCGACGAAGCTAAATTAATGAACGCCTTGAAATAGTGTGTTTCTTGTTGATGTCACACCGGCTCATTGGTTGCAAATCGGGGCGTGCATAGAGGTGTCTTCTCGATGGCATCGATGGACCGTACTTCCCACTACAGAGGGTGACTTCCAACGTCCATACAATGCAAGCTTTTAACCAAAAGAAAGCTTCCATCCTTCAAGAGATAGGCGGAAACTCCCTGGATTCTCCTGATGCGTCTCCTAAAGGTACCATTGATTCCCTATGTCTCCCCATCATCGAAGTGATTAACTCCCATCCAGACATGGTAACAACATCGCTGTGCTCAGGAAGAGTGTCAGTCTTCCTTGAAGGTATCAAAAAGGAAAGTCAGATTGGTGCTAAGGGAAATGAAGGTCGCTGGCTCTTTGTTACTCACCATCCTGAGGATCTTCCACAATGGCATAAGAAGCTTGATCTCAAGTATGAGGAACCACAATCGATGGAGGATAGTCAGCGTTACATTCTTTTCAAATTTGAACCTCTCATATTGCATGTGAAGTGCCGTGATTTGGCCACGTCGAACCTACTATACTCAACAGCAATGGGCTGTGGCTTCAGAGAAAGTGGTATTGGCAGTAACAACATAGTGGGAATCAGAACTTCCATCAAGCTTGACGTTCCCATTGGCTGCCTTGACGGAGAACAATTGGTATCTTTTGTTTCTGAATCATACCTCGAGCTCATCACTAAGCTTTCATTAGACAGGTTCACCGAAAACTTCAAGAAGATGGATACGCTCAAAAACGCTATAACACTGATGGGTCAGGCGAAAGTTCCTGATGCGAAGGAAACCAAGGAGGAACGTCGGATTCGCAAGATGAAAGAAGGAATGGCAAGAAGAGATGGTGTCAGAGAAGAAAAAGAGAAAAAGAAAAGAGAAAAAGAGCTTCTTCAATCACAAGAACAGAAGCAGGAGAAAAGTTGATAATACGATATTAAAGTTAATGTACATTCGGGATATATAGTAATTCTCAAACATAGAACTCTAGGATGGTGTTCATCATTGAGGGGTATCATTAGACAGACCCTGATTGAAGTCGGGGCCAAATGCAGATTCATCCAGGTTATGACCATTTTCATTTGTAGTAGTCTCCACTCCATTAGCAGTTCGTCTGCTCGAGACTCCAGATGCAAAAATGGAAGAAGCACCACTCTGGTCTTCTTCTCTTCTCCTTCTATTTCTTCCAAATAAATTAAGAATTTGTGTTATCATGGGCGATACCGGCGAGTTACGGCGGCGGCCCATGTTTGATGACAGCAGGGATCTCGAGAACCCAGGCATAGTTCTTTCCAGTGCATTCCTACCAAGTTGCAGTCTATGAGGATGGAATATGACAGAAGTAGCTCTTCGGAGCAAGCCTGGGTGATCTTGTGATTGAGTATCGGGTTCAGATTCACCAGTTGGTGGCTGGGTCTCTTCTTGAGGCTCATTTGCCTCGGGCTCAGGTCTTTCAGTAGACTGAGCTCGAGGATTATCGCCATAAAGATGCATGCCACCATTTCCGGGACCACCAAAACGCAAGTATGTCACAGGTGGCACTTCAGAACGTTCGTCATCGCCTTCTTCACCTTCACAAAGGTTCTTACGGCATAACGGACAACTACGGTTGTCGTTGAGCCAATGAGCCAAACAAGACTGACCAAAGATATGTCCACACGGAAGTTCAACTGGAACGTGTTTCCATTCTGCACTGCAGCTTTCTAAAGTAGTGTTATGTTCACGGTCATTGGACGAAGTTGCCGTAGGCGTTGGTTCTCTCAGGTTCATCTTACGTTTCTTGGTGATACAATCCAGATCATCATCTATCGGGTGGATCTCTTCGAATCGCTCGAAACAGATAGAGCACGACTGTTCATTGAGCGTCAGTAGTGGTTTCACAGGGAACTCTCTAAACTTGTCTGGCGTGATGCCCCGTTTTCTAGTGGTATTATTCACCAAGACCAGGTATGCCATACGGGTTGCCAATGAGATGAATTGTTGGATGGCCCTAGGCTCTCTATTGGAAGGATTGTTAGGCAATGTAACGACAAGCGAACCGGTACGGCCAGGTCCGTCACCTTCTGTTCCATCTAAGAACATATAATTAACAGTAATAATAATGGATCCAGAAGGGTCTGTACCAACAAAGCCTAAAGGATGGTATGCATTTAAGTTGCTAGCCAGCTGGTCGGTGTCTCCTGTAGTGGAAGGTTCAGTAGTACCTGGACCATTTGTAGGGCCACTAGCAGTGGCGTCAGCAGCTGGTTCGTTGGATGGAGCATCAGTTCGGCTTGCCTCTTCGTTAGATCTACCTAAAGCGGTATCGAGTAAGTAGTCAAAGAAGTTATAGTTCAGCATTTGCTCTGGATCGGATGTTCTAGTTTCACTTTGGGAGGCAGACTGTGGATCAGAATGTTGCTCTTCTTCTGGGTGTGGATCGGACTGTGCTTGCGATGTTGAGTCATAGAAATGGGTATTCTGGGAGCTAGTGCTCTCTTGGTCACCAGCCTGTCCTTCTTCGAAGGTCATTTGTCTCTATAGCTCCAGGAACGGAGGAAGTTGTATGGAAATAAGCGGATCGGTGGTTGCTGAGTCAGATAAGCGGTATAGAGGAAGATCCGCGGTTTGTAGTTCTAAAAAAAGTATGCTTTTTTTGTTTCGTTCTCCTATATGCTATTATATGGTTAAAGGATCATAAACCGTGGAGAAAAAGCTATGGAAGAAGTTGGAAGAAGTTGAGGTTCGTGAGAGGTGAACAGTGACTGTCGTGGTGGTTTTTGGCCCAGTCATGATCACATGACCTGCCAGGCACCAGACATAACAGTGGCTCAGTTTTCGGGCAAATGGCAAGAAGAAGCAAATCCTGATCGTCCAAAAAGTCTTTTTTAATTAAATAAGTGTCCTTTGCCTTTATGTGGCTTGGGGTTCCCAGGGGCCGGCAATGCCGGTTAATGGTGAGTGCGACGCAGATACAGAATGGTTGCAAATGAAGGTTAGGCAGGATGACATAACCATAGGTTGATGCGAAACCAACAACTGTGAAACACCAACATATGCAATTTTAAACTATTTTTTGAATTTCTGGGGCAGTTGGTGGCAACGCATTGTGATTTCGTCATACGCATGCAAGATAAGCTTTGTACTAAGATGGCATGCTTTTAGACATTCCATGACGTTCGCTAGGTAAATCCCGTGGTCACCGCGTGATTGGAGACCAAGGCGAAGGCTGTGGTCAGTCACTTTCAATTGCATCATCTTCCTGCTTATTGTTATAGTTCAAGGTATTGCTCGACATGCTGCTTTGAAAACCAAAAGCCTCTGTAGGAATGCTCAAACTCACGTAGGAACGCGGTGCTCAACACCAACGTCTTGGTAATAAATATAGGTTTCTCTTGATGCAATTTAGCGACATCACCAAATCTCCAAAGCTGCTCGATGTAATTAGAGGCAGTCAGGTCCATGCCAAAAAGCAGCTGAACGAATGTGTTCCATGTAGACTTGTCGACTTTGCTTTTGATATGGGTGAAAAACTGCTTAGCTGGAACTTCTCCTTCTTCGGGCTCAAACGTATTAACTTGAGCATCTAGCATGAGTAGTTCACTCGTCTTGAGTAATGCAGTAGCCAAAGGAAGAGTGGCGTATGGCTGCAAATTCTCAAGAAGCCCACGAGCACGGGTGTATGAGGCAGTCACAGTGTTTACCAAAAGTCTGAGGTCAAGCCCCCAATGAGAAGTAGGAGCTTTGATGAAGTTAGCCATCACTGCAACGAAAAGAGCCTGAACAGCCAACATATTGTACATGTCGAGAACGGTGTTGAGTTGCGAACAAGACTGGAGGGACACAACAAGACTCTGGGGCAGCACCGCTCCCGTTTCGGCAATCGCCATGATAGGATTAAACATCGAGATTAAAGTTGTGACATAATGGGCGAACCGAAGTGTGACGAACTTATTAGGTTCAGCACGAATAATCAGGAGCCAACGGACACAGATGAAGGAAACCTTGAGCATAGCTCCAAGCTGCTGGCCATGATTGCGTAGTATAGCACTCACGTCAGCAGTGGGTTTTGGTGAATTAACCGCTGTATCAATTGAATGAAACAAAGGATCAGCTGCTGGAACAGCCATAGCGCAAAACTCACTGTAAAGTGTGAGATATGCGTATGAGATTTCCCTCGGTGTGGTGCAACCTTCAAAACGACGGAAAAACAAACTCGATGCTAAGAGGCCAATATCATAAACCAGATAAGCAGGCAATGGCGTCTCAGGTTCTAGGCCATAAAGCCACTTGACAAGTGCACGGTCAGGCTGAATGGTGTCTCTGAGTGAGGGATGCTCATACTGAAACAGTGTTTCTGCCTGGAGTACCAGGGCTTCCGTTTCGACAAGCTTGACATACGTCCAACATTTCGCCACAATTGCAAACGCTTCTGTTTTATCAGGCAGAAGCATCGTGTAATCAAGGTTATGCAAAAGCAGTAGAAACAGCCCATTACGAGAAATGGCTGCGAAAAAATGGCGAGTATCAGTAGCTAGACGATCGAATTGGCCCAATGCCATAAGTGTTGTTTTCGTCAGTACAAGTTGTACTAAAAGAAAGACGCCGTCTTCCCATGAATCATTAGGCACGCAAGCAGCCATCTCTGTCAGGACAGTAAGCCATTGATTAGCACGCGCAATAGCCTTGGGAGACAAGCGAGGTCCACTAAGACACCCAGCAGCACAGAATGCAGCTGCTATAGCCATACATTCAGCGGAGTGCTTGTCCATAGGTGATGCATCAAAAGAGAGCATTTTCTGACCAGCAGCATAGACAGAGGCCCAGTCGACGAGTTCATGGAGACCCAGATTTTCGGCCAGGTGTGCCCAATTGAAGTAATCCTTTAGCCATGTTTTCGACCCGCGTGTAAGAGACGATATTATTTTTTGCCAACGTAATAGAGATTCTTCTGGTACCGGTAGAAATTGGGCATGGCACTGGGCTGCATACCGTTGCAACGGCGCCAGGCGATGAATATTTCTTGCCATTACACTTGGAGCCACGGGATCCTGCGACGGCAGGCCCATGGAGAATGGCAGGTTGGCGACAATGGGAGGAGCGTATGGCAGAAATGGAGATGTGTGGTCCCCAGGAGGCAGCAGGAACAGCAGCTGAGGCAGATGATCTAGCTGAGGCCAATCACGCTGGGCCCAAGGCGGCGTTCGTTGTAGAGAGCCGAAAAGGGGAAGCGGGTTCCCATAGACTGCACTGACATTAGATGTATGGGACAGACCCAGACGGGAGGATGAGACCTCATCGGAAGAGTCATGAGGCTCTGGTTGGCGTTGTAGTTTATCCTTTCTGCGGGAATTTCTAGAACGACGTTCTTGCAGTCGAATACGTTCTGCTTCAGATGGTGGATTTGGGGGACATTCACGACATAGGTGTTCACGGTGGGTACGGACACACAGCGAGCACGGTAGCTCAAGGTTGCACTTCATTTTGTAACGTTTGCATGGCCCACAGGAATAGGTACGGCGAGTACGACGAGGTTTCATGATTGAATAGAATTAATGGGTGGTGGTGGGTTGGAATGAAATATTAGGAGTTTACCCCAGTGATGGATGTATGGGATGCAGCAGGTGTTAAAACAGATGTGGAGATCAAGAAGGACGAACTCAAGAGTTCAAAGGCCAGAATAGATATTTCCGAAACCCTATGCCCGTATAACGAAAGGAAATACCAGGGTTTATAGATACCTGGGGAAGTATGGGGAACTCGGGGGATGGGCTAAGACTCAACGGGAGAACGCAGATATGGATCCGAGAACAAGCTCCGAAAAGATGTGAGGCAACCAAAAGTGAGTTTTGGGTGATAGAGCGTCGTAAATGGAGCTGACCCAGCAGTGAATACGTCCAAGGATGACTTTAGAAGTACTGGGTTGGGGCAGTGGGTTGGCCTTCTAGTCACGCTTCCTGAGTGGTTGGTGTAAACGCAAGGAGAAGATAGCAAGTGACCTAGTGGCGATACCCAGCGGGGGTGATAGAATCAATATAGCCTAAAAGAGCCAGCCGACGTAGGACGATATATATATGGAGTGGAGGCTGAGGCAAGTGAAGCTGATGGACCCTGGTCTGAGGCTTGAAACTGTATGAAAAGTGAGGAAACGAGGCTGAACGGCTTATGAAGATCGGGAAGCACAGCGAGCCTGAGAAAGGAAGCCAACAATAACACAACCTAGGGTGAATATGATTTTTAAATAAAAGGAAATCCGAATATATCGATTAATTGGAATTCACCTTTTGCGGGTAGATATCAGATTCGGGTGTTACTGGAACATTAACCACAAAGAAGGCGATACTTATGAATATTTTTTAGATATATTATTATACTTTTTCCAGCTTCGCTGCTTCGCTGTGAATTTGGCGCAAAGAAGGTCTTTTGGATCAGCCGGCCGTGCGGTAGAACCCGTTTCCAGCTGGGAAGTCGGGGGGGGGGGGGCCATCTGGCCGATATATATGCCAGGAACCATCCAGGCTGGACGGCCAGGCAGGCAAGCAGCCAGGCAGGCAGCCAGGCGAGGCGGGAGCGCGCGGCGCTAGTCACCGCAGAACCAGAGGAAGCCAGGAAAGCAGCCAGGCAAACAGAAAAACAAGCGTCTGCATCTGCGAGGCTGGGAAAGTCTAAGTGGCTGCAAAACAAAAGCAGGATATACAAAATGGCATTCGAAAGAAAAACCCTCAGTTACCTAAACGGTTGCTGTTTACGATTGACTTTCATGGAAAATTGCCTTCCTTGCTTCTACATGTCTCGCAGTGTCTTAGTGAGCTGAAGGTGTCCAGGCTTCCACGCCGCGAAAGTGCCTCACCCAGTGGGGCCCCAGACGCCTTCAGTGGATGGCTGCTCGGTCGCTTTGCTCCATTCCAGTCCTGCCCAACCACCGATGAGAATTACCAAAAGCCCAGGGCATTCCTAGCCCAAACAATGCCCATTCACAATGAAGGTTAGGTATTGCATCGGTTTTCGTACCTCGGAGACGAACCGACTCCGGGTTATTAACCAACTAGTGGTTAATTCTCTCCTTTTTTCTGTATCTCCATCCTTTGTTCCATCGCCTTGTCTGTATTGGCTGCAAACCAAGAACCTCGCAAAACATGCCTTTTCTGTGCTCCCACTGCCATCTGGCACATCCTTTTTTTCTGCCCATCCTGTGCTTTTTTTTCTCATTTTTTACCCTTTGCGCCTGGCCCATCCCCATGCCCCATCGCAAACGCTGCTCCCCAGATTTAGCCCTTTTTTTAGCCCTCCACCTTCCTCTTGGCTCTCCAGTCTCCCCACACTGGAGGGGTCTAGTGAGGCCCCTCTTAGTCATCCTTTAGTCTTCATTCCTTCTACATCTGTCTTTGTTCATCAATCGCCCCATGCCTTTGTCTAAACAGCTTGGTCTTCTTGTATTCATTGCCTTTTTCTTGTGCCGCGCTCAAGACCTTACCTAGGCCGCATACTCCAGAAAAGCCAGCAGTGCCATTCGAGCCACTTGAGCCACTTGAGCCTCCTGCTTCTCTTTGCCTTTCTCTCTTGCAGCCACTTGCCTCCCCTCCTCTTCCCCCACGGCATTTCCACCGTTTATTCGACGCTTTTGACGCTGCCCTCTGTCATCAGCAAAGCGGTTAAAGTTATTAAAAGTAGGCTTTTTTGCGATTGCAAAAAACCACAAACGGCGCTGGGTCACAAAAACACAACATCGTCCAGCAAAGTGGTCAATTGGGGTCAATGACAACACCTCTCTTGCCTGGCCCAGACAAGTTCGCAATTTATCTAGGAATTGGCCTGCCCAAGCAAAACCATGAACTACGGTACCACGAACATACAATCTGTCTAAGGGTATCCCCACCACCAGCAAGCAACACTTACTGCCTCTTGTTTCATAGCTAAACCTTCTTAGAGCCTCTTTTGATCAGATCTCGCCTGCGTGGCAAGTGTCGCCTGTTGCTGCGCGCCACTGCTTTTCTCTGCGTCTCGCTAAGAAGCTTCGCAGCGGGACCCTGCCAATCCCAATCTGACCAGCAAGGAGGAAGTCATGAACGAGAAGTATAATACTTGCTAGGGCATAGCAGTGTCAATTACATGTCCTCCTTTTTTTCGCCATTTTTTACTACCCTTTATTGCCCCTCCAGAGGTCAATTCACCCCCACTGGTTTGTTCACTGGACTCTCCATGTACCACAAAAGCTACTTGCGTTGCAACATCAACCCGCGCGGGCTTACTCATCAAGGCACAACATCCATGCTTTAGCCGCCCACCAGGGTCTGCCAGCGTTTGTAACCTCTGCGTAAAGTCCGGCGGATATAAGGCAAAGGAACCGGTACGCCGGTTTCACACTGTTCTTCGTTTTTTTTTACGTCGCCTTGCCTTAAAAAATGCGTTGCCTATTCGTTGATAGTGGAACTTTTCAAGGCTGCAAGGTGCGTTTCTGCCGTGCACCGTCTTCTATCTCTTTGCTAAATCTGGCGAGATAGATACTCTCCAAACAGGCTTTCTTTTTTTCTTGAAATGTACATTTGTTTATATTTACTGGTTATTTTGACTTTAAACTCCGCTGGTGCTCGCTTGCTTCTACATAATTCGTGCTTAACCACTACAGAGTAAGTGGGCCCATTTTTAGCTTGTCTGTTGGTTACACAATCCAAACGTTACACAAGATGCACGGCTTAGTCCCCCAAAATGGTAATACCACCGCTGCCGTTGGAGTGGCTGGCATCCCTCCTGCTGTACTCGGTCCGAGCAACCTACCTAACGTCCAAACAGAAGCACCTCGCAAAAATCACTCACTTTCTTAAGGCATTGCCTTGCAGTAGCTACCCTCTTAACCATCCTTGTCTAGACCGGCCCGCCGTTTTCTACCTGTCTTGCTGAGACGTGTGTGCGTGCCCCCACGACACCAGTTTGCTAGTTCCATGCACGGCTGGTAAACTTGAACGGTGGTTTCGAGAAGGGTATATGCGTGCCCGTGATAATGTTCCTGAAAGGGGATACGTTGCCTAGACATTCCCCTATTATTGCTATATGTCACGATACTAATTGCTTTTGATCGTTTCAATCGGACCAATCTGAGATCAAGATATGTTTACCTGTTCGCAGAAATGCCTCGATTGGCACGGCGCCTGTTTTCGCCTTGGAATGCCTCCGGGTCGGGTCAGCAAAGTTATACTTACCCTGCCGTAATGGTATACGGCTGCAAAATACCAAGAAAAATGGAATGCTTCCAACGGAAACGAAAGAGTAATCTGGCAGATATCTTGAAACAAGCATAGCACGAGTCACAGCTCCAGTGGACCTCCCTGCCAAGGCAAACGATATTTTAAACTTCAGCGAGCCATTCCATGTGTTGCATTGCTTTCGACAATTGAGGCGCTGACTTGCCGGGTTGTCAAAGAAATGTCGTAGAATAATAATTCTGGAAAGCAAATACAGTCTAAATCAAAGGGAAGACAAATAAAATAAAAGAAACTCCGTCAACGACTAAGCCTAAATGGAAACAGCTAAAAAGGAAATGCTGCCTACATCTGGGGATCAGATCTGCTCGAGATCCTAATCGTTCGGCGACACAAACAATTAAGAAGGTACACTTAAGTTGGCGCCAAGGTCGATAAAGTTCTGTTTCATAAGGCGACTCTTAGGGGGCTTAACAGAAGGACTCACAAAGCTGTTTTCTTAGCTAAATTACCCCTTTTTAAGTTTTGTTTGTTTGGTGTGCTGCTTGTCTTACCCAGTTTCGACAAATTCTCCATGATCGATGCCTCCGAGTGTAAAGTCTACTTACTGTCCATCTACAATTCTTTTGGGACATGAAATGGAAAAAATCGCCAGTCCATGAAGATTGACGATTCACTGTTCTAAGAAAAAGAATAGAAGTCTAAAAGTACTTTTCTACTTATCCTGGTTTCACTAGTACCAACTGTCCTACAAATATGGGTAACACAGTACAGAAATAAGCAGGTGAAATGACGATATCTGGGCATATAAGACATTTTAATTGCTTTCATAGAACATATGGAACTAGTCCATTTTCTTTATATTCTTTTCCAGCCATCATTCCTTCAATCATTTAACTACACACAAACAACCCATATAAATCTATCCCACCTACTGGCTGCGAAAAAAAAAAAAAAAAAAAAAAGAAGTGTTAGGCCTAGTGAGCAGCGAACCCGTGCACCAGCGATTCTCACCAATCGAATCCTCCACATATCGCATTTTCAATAATCAAAATTTCTCAACCAACACCAACACCAACTAACCTTTCCCCCCTATACTAGGCCATGTTGAGATCCCTAACTAGAGTTGGCGTTGCCAAACAGGTTGCGAGGCCTGTCGGTGTGGCTGCAGCTGCTGTTTCGAGAACTGCCGGCTTCTCCACTTCCTCCATGTTGAGAAAAGACGAAGAGGAGCCTCTCCAGAACCTCTACGAGTTACCCAGAAAGTCCAATGCTCCCATCCATGCTCCAATCGAAAACCCTGCTGACAAGTACAAGGAGACCACAGAGGAGTTGCACAAGTTCGGTCGTTACCTTATGTCTTGCTTGCCTAAATACATCCAACAGTTCTCAGTGTGGAAGGATGAGTTGGTGCTTTACATTCCTCCTTCGGCTGTCCGTATTGTGATGGTTTTCTTGAAGAACCATACTCCAGCTCAGTTCAAGGCGTGCATGGATGTCACTGCCGCTGATTATCCATCCAGAGTCAATAGATTTGATGTCGTCTACAACTTGTTGAGTGTCCGTCACAACTCCAGAATCAGAGTCAAAACATACGCTTCTGAGACCTCCTCGGTTCCATCTGTTGTTCCAATTTTCCAGGGTACTAACTGGTTCGAAAGAGAAACTTACGACTTGTTTGGTATCTTCTTCGAGGGCCACCCAGACTTGAGAAGAATCATGACTGACTACGGTTTCGAAGGTCATCCTTTGAGAAAAGATTTCCCAACTACTGGCTACACTGAAGTTAGATACGACGAAGAGAAAAAGAGAGTTGTCTACGAGCCATTGGAATTGACCCAGGCCTGGAGAAACTTCACTGTCGGTTCCTCTGTGTGGGAGCAGGTTGGTGAAGGTAAGGACTTCACTCCAGAATCATTCAAATTGCCTACTCCTGAGCCAGAGCCTCAGGAAGACGAGAAGGACAAGAAATAAGCTTCGAGACTTTCATTCAAAACCCCCACTTTTGCATACACTAATCTATTCTAAGAAATATCATTTTCGTTACGTAGACCTATTCTATAGCCTTGTCCATCAGCTCAACGTCGAAAGCTCCTGCTGAAGCTCTCCCAACTCCTTTTCTTTGCCGGTTAAAAACTCCTCAAGCATTTGCACTTGCGACCCGATTAACTCTATATCATTCTTCACATCGGTCAAATCCTTATCGGTGTTGGGGACGTTTTCGGCTGCAGACAACTTGTTCTGCTTGTACTTGAGCAACTGCTCAAACTCGTGTTTTAGCAATGCCAGATCGCTATTGCCGTTGTCGCTCGTCCTGCTACCGGACTGGCTCTCCGTCTTGGCTTTCTCCAAGAGATCTTCTAAGTTGGTCAATTCTCTTCTCAATCTCACCTCCTCCCAATCGGTGCCCTCAGTGGCAGAGAAATCGGTTCCTTTTTCGCGGTCAGCGTTGTTGCCCTGACCAATTTTATTAAGGTAACTCATACCGAACGACTTCTTATCATTGGCCTTGGGCTGGCTGATGTTCTTGGATGGAGTAGATGCTGCAGCTGCACTCAAGTCATAAGAAGGCACTTCCTTGGAGAAAGTGGCTCGTAACGAGGCAGGCACTCCACGAGGAATACGTTTACCATTCTCTCTCTGGTTTAGTATATGGAGAAACACCAATACCTGGTCTTTGTCAATAGTTTCAAACAGCTTAGGGTTGACCAAGTTCCATGCAGACGAAATATCCGAACGAGGCACCTTGGAAAGAGTCAGGTACAAGCCTTCAAGCGAATCAAAGCGAACACGGCCGTACGAGTCGCTGTTGGAATTATAGATCGTTTCGTATGTTCCCTTATCGGTAGGAGAAATGTACCAGTCGAAGTCATCTGACAACAAGTCATCGTCGTCACCATCATAAGAAGAATTGCCCGTGGAGCCCGAAGACACAGCCTTGTTGGCATGGATCAAGTGGGACTTGGATGAAGGCACAAGCCAGCCCGGTAACTCCAGTGGCACCTCCAGCATGGAACCATTGACCAAATCAAAAATCAATCTCATAGTGATACAGAACTCCTCAAAGTCCAAACGGCCATCGGAGTCAATGTCAGACAAATCCCATATCTTCGATAACTGGTCATCCTTGAGACGGGAGTTTTTCAAAACAGGAGACACACGGTCGCCTGTAAGTTTATTATTTTCAGGCTTGAGCCCTTGGAAAATCTCCCAATACTTTTTAATTTCCCATTCTTCCAAACGGGGCATGATTGGGTGTATTAGATGTTACAGATTATCACCAACTCTGATGGTGAAGTTGTTGCGACGTGGACCTGGACACCTGTGCACCAGTGCCAGCCTACTTCGAGGTCGGCCATTTCGCAGCCATTTTGTGGAGGTGAACCAAGTGCATTGATAAATGGACTGCTATAGGATTTTTAGTAGTAGAGTCTTGTTGATCTGATTTATTTTACCTACACTTCATCACTTGTGCTCATTAATTGAGTTCTATGCTATAATGTACAATTACTCCTCCATGCCTGCGTCGTCGTCTGAGTCGGACTCGTCGCTGAATCCAGCAGCCTCAGCTGTCATCAACGTCTCCTTGGCGTCTCCCTGGTATTTTCTGGCGATTCTGGATGCACGGCCACGCTGCACGGCATCCTCTCTGGCTCTCTTTTGGAGCTCCTTCAATTCGTCTCTGAAAGAGTTTCTAACAGCCTTGTTAGAAAGACAGTCCCACATCTTCAATGGACCAGAGGCACCACCCACAGTCAAGTTACCAGCAACTTCAATGTCGCCAGCAAAAGAGGAGGTCAAGATGTTACCCACACCAAAGTCTCTGGACAAGACCATGGATGGACCCTTGTTGGCCTCGGTTGGAGCCTTCCACAACTTCACCACCTTTTCACTCATGGCTGAAGTCACCAACATACCTGGAATGTGGCTGCTGACATCCAAAGATGAAATGCCAGTATCATGAGCATGCAATGTCCAGATTGGCTTGTCTTGCACTCTGATATCGAAACAGTAGACGTTACCTGCATCAGTACCAGTGTAGAAGATCTCTGGCTGAGCGCCCCATTGAACACTCTCCACTTCCTGTCCGCTTCCAACAAAGTAGGACTTTGTCATCTGGCTGTCGTCAGAGACTCTGACATCAGAAATAGCACCAGCGCCGTTGTAACCACCAGTCAACAAAATGGAGGCTTCTTGTGAGTGCCACGAACTCAGCGAGACTGTCTTGCCTTGGTGGACGTTATTAAGCGATCTGACAGCGATACCCTGTGAAAGATCCCAAAGCTTGACTGTCTTGTCGGCAGATGTAGATGCCAATGCTGTTCTGTGAGTTCTGTTGTGTGCCAACGACAAGACGGCGTCGGTGTGATGGGTGTTGACGAATTTACCCTTGCTCTTCTTCTTCTTCTTTTTCAGCAAAGACTGGAAAGAGTTCTGTTGTGGTTCACCCAAGATCATATCTGGGAATGCTTTGTCAACACAGTCCAAGTTCCAAACTTCAATTTGAGGATCGAAGGTACCAATTGCTGCGAAATTACCAATGTTAGAGTCATTGTCGTCTGCGTTGGTACCAGGACGGAAGTTAACCCATTCAACACAAAGTGGGAAAGCTGGCAACATCAAGTCGTGGTGCACGTACAAGTTAGATTCTCTGGTCATACCCTGGGCGACATCCTCATCCAATTCATCACCCTGTTCAAGGGCACTGCCCTCTGGTGCACCAGCACCATCGTCGTAAACATAGACATCAAGGTATGAGACATCATCTTCAGTTCTTGTAGCCAAGACCAAGTTATCGGTAGGGTAAACTTGCAATTCCAGTTTTTCCTGCTTTTCATCAGCGGCACTTGGCAAGGAAAGGTAGCCGTCACCATCTTCGTTCTCTTTATAAGAAGCATCAGTCTTGGTGAGGCCAGGGAACATAGAAACGGTTTCACCATCCTCCTCTTCGTCATCATCATAAGTATCTAGGTTATATTCCTTCAAGTCATCATCAATATCCTCCTCCAGCTTGAGTTCCTTCTGTTGAGCTTCCTCCAAGTCAGCTTTGGCATCTGATAACTCTAATTGGGCCATCTGAGTGATTCTCTCCATCTCAGCATCGTCCAATTCATATTTTTCTGGGAATTCGGCAGCAAAGCCTCTTGGGACCCAACAACTCGAAGAGATCATATTTGGTTATTATTATATTCTTCGAGAATAGAAGTCTGGGGCTTATGGATTTTGCACTTTTTTAAGATGAGCTTCGCGATGTCCCTGGTGAAAAGCTGTATGTGTGCATATGCAGGTCAATCTGAAAAATACCATGATAAGGCCACCAAAGTGGTCTGAAAAGTGAGCTAGATGGTGGTGAATTTTTCCATTATAATGATTAATCACTTCATAATGGTAGCTGTGTGGTAACATAACCCTTAGAAAATGACAATCTTTCACCCTCACCTCAGAAACCAGCATTATCAGATTTCGCAGCCAATAGCCAAGTATAGGAAGCCAACAGGATTTTTATCAGCTTAGATCTTCCCATCAAATTAATTATCCGAGTAACTCATCAAGGAAATCTTCATCCTTCTTCGATATCTGTCCTCTGGCCTTAGGCGCTTCTTGTTCTATTTTACTGGCATCTAGCTGTTCAAGCAAAGAGTCGAGATCATGGTCCTCGATAGGCTTGTATTCCTTCTTTGTTGTCGCTGAAGCCCCAAGAAGCGTTTCAAGATCGTCATCTAAAGTATTCACGTCCTCTGGTCCCGTTTGGGCAAGCTTCTTGCTCAACACCTCCATGGCACGTTCGTCGTTCTCGTTGATATTATTGATTTCGATGATCTTTCTAGCCTGAGACTCCGACGCACCAAACTTCTTCTTGATCTGTTCATGGAGCTTAGCACTCTCCAACTTCTCTGCACGATTCGAATGCTGCTTCTTTTCTTCCTCTGTTAGTTCCCTAATATGTTCTTTTCTAGAGGTATCGGGCTTTCCTCCAATACGGAACCCGTGAAGGTCATCCGACGTAAACTTATCAAAATCTTTCCACACTTGCTTGTCGTCCACCTGACTATAGTCTGTATCTTTCACCGTGCTGGAGTAGCTGTCTATTCCATACTCATCAAGAAGATTATCCGACATCTTATTCTTGAGAAGCTTCCTGTTCTTCTGGGGCTTGATATCAGAGGAGAGGTACTCTGCAATCTTCGTCTCAAGCTGGTCACTTGGCATAAGATACTTTGCTGCTTCTTCGTCAATTTCAGCTTCACCTTCTTCGGGTATTTCCTCTGGCTTCTCGTGTCTTGTGCCGAGGTAGATACCATCTTCTTCGTTAAACTCTCTAGGCTCAGGCTGTTGGCTGTCTTCCTGGTTTTGCTGATGCAGCATCAAAGCCTGAACGATCTGACGTTTTATAGCCATTTTTGACTCCACAGGAAGCTGAGTTTCTCCCAATTGCGGGTAGAAATGGTCTAGAAGAGCTTCATCCTCTGAGTCCCAGTCACTGTCGTCTTCATCGAAATGCAAGACTCTGGGCGTGTTTGATGACTTTTTAGCAGACCATTTGGTTTTGACTGGTTTTGGTTCCACTGGCTGTTGGATACCATGCTTTTTCATGTACTTGTTTTTCGCCTTTCTGTCCCATTTTGACTTGTGGAGCACCATAGTGGTATTGGTTGGTTTTTGATTTGGGTGCGAAAATGTTGATAGGCGTATATGGAGATGGTACTGAGGAAACGGTGCACTTGCCACCAAATGTTGATTTGGCTATAAATTGAAAATATGTATATATGATTAATTAGCTCTACTGAAGCTTAATGTATGGTTCATGGGTTTTTGAAAAAAAGGACTATAGTGTCCTTAGATGAGGAAAGGCGCTGTAGCTCATGAGTAAGAGAAGTAGAAGGCTACCACGTTGTTATAGTATGCTTCTACTTGTCTTCTCTAGATATTCGATTAATATATTGACAGTAATGTGAGACCCCTCTTTTTGACTCATCTTTTGTATAATTTATATCATCTGTCAATCAAAGTGTACTCCTCAGTGTTGCTCATGTCTGTGGGAAGTGACTCATTGAGAGTTTCACGATCTGCCCGTCATAAATACCTTACACTTAAAGCAACCTAAATGAACAGTAATTTACTATACTGGAAATGATACTTGAAATACTCCTACCTTTCGTTGTACTCAATGCAGCACTAGCTATGCTACTTATTGAGGCAAGCACAGATGAAGTAATAGAAAGCCTAGCCGATGACCACCATTTAATTGCATCCTGCTGAGTTTTGATAAACTGAAGAATATCGAAAGAATAATTGCCAATCTTCATCTTGAGGAATTGGTTCTTCCTTGTCTTTCCAGTCTATCACCGTTTCTATAAATCCATATTTGATATCTTGGCACCTACACAACGAACAACCTGTCTTGTTGAATATTAAATGTGCATTACTGAAGCTAAGAATTATTTTTGCAATATTTATTGAATTCCCTAACTATACCTGCCCGGTATAAGACAGTTCTGAATCATGGAGAACTACCTTGTATAAGTGTACTATAAGAATTGTCTTAAAACAAGCTTCACCACAAAAACCTTCCATTTCAATACACTCTTCTTATTATTCATTTTATATTGCCCAGCCCCAATATTTCCAAAACCATCTCCACTAATGCCACCATCCATGGACATTTCCAATTGGTCCCAGTATTTCGCAGCCATTCTACCAGGCCCATGACATCACCAAGGTAGCACATAGAAGTAATAGAAACCTTCAATAGCCCTCGAAGCCCCAGTCGTACTAGACCCCTCCTTTTTAATTTAGATGACAAGCCATCCACTACTTGTTTCTTTGTAGCACCCTATGCGTCTATCTGTAGAGAGACCGTTACGCAGTCAAGATAGCCAGTTCTACCACCAACCAAACCTACCTTAGGTCCTATTTTTTCGATTAAAATTCCAAAAATAACTACACCTCAACGGCATCTTCCCGTTAATATTCCTTCGACGTTTTTTTCCAAAGTTTACCTATACTTTCCTCTTCTCCTCTACTCCAACTCGTCCTCCTGTCGTGGCCTGCACCATCCTCGACCAGATCTCAACGACCCGGGACTTTTCTTTACAACCCTACCAATGTCAGACAAGACGCCCAAGCTGATTGAGGAGCTCTTGAAGCTTATGCTGATGGGCGAAGCGCTCAATGAAACACAGAAGAAACAAATGAAGGACTACAAGTTTTGGAAGACCCAGCCTGTGCCTAGTTTGGACGAGGTGGTGGAAAACTACGGACCTATTGAGGTGAAGACTCCCGAGGAGGTACCTAATGATCCATTGCCTCTCTTGGACGAGTTTTACTGGCTGACTATCGATGTGGAGTCGCTGGATGAGTTGGACGAGGTATACAAGCTTTTGTACGAGCACTATGTGGAAGATCAGGACGCCACGTTCAGATTCAAGTACTCACACGAGTTTTTCAAGTGGGCCTTGAAGCCTCCAGGATGGCGTAAGGACTGGCACTTGGGTGTACGTGTTCGTGGCACGGGTAAGTTGGTTGCGTTCATTGCCGCTGTTCCAGTGACACTTAAGTTGACCAAACCAGGTAATGAGGTGAAGCTGGTGGAGATTAACTTTTTGTGTATTCACAAGAAGTTGCGTGCAAAGCGTTTGACTCCTGTTTTGATTAAGGAAATTACCAGAAGAGTCAACAAGGAGGACATTTGGCAGGCTCTTTATACCGCTGGAATCGTGTTGCCTTCTCCAATCTCCTGCTGCAGATACACCCACCGTCCGCTCAATTGGCTGAAGTTGTATGATGTGGGATTCTCTCATCTTTTCCAGGGCCAGACAAAAGCACAGATGGTGGCTCACTACTCGTTGCCTAATGCTACTAAAACGCAAGGTCTTAGACCTATCGAGCCTAAGGATATCGACCAGGTCCATGACTTGCTCCACCGTTTCCAGGAAAGATATGAAATCGTACAGAAATTTACCAAAGAGGAAATGGCTCACTGGTTCTTGGGTGGTGAAGCCCGTGCCAGTGTAATCAAGACATATGTTGTGGAGCAGGAAGGCAGAATTACAGACTTCTTCTCATACTACTTGCTTCCATTCTCTGTCTTGAACAACCCAACCCATAGCGAGTTGGGCATTGCATACCTCTTCTACTACGCATCGGAACTGGCCCTCACTGACGAGGACGCCTACAAGACCCGTCTCAATACCTTGATGAATGATGCTTTGATCACCGCCAAGGAGTTCCGTGTGGATGTCTTCAACGCTTTGACATCGCAGGATAACCCATTATTTATGAAGCAGAACAAGTTTGGCAGTGGTGACGGATTCTTGAACTACTACTTGTTCAACTACCGTATGAAGGCTATCAGCGGTGGTATCGATCCAAAGACCAACCAGATCACAGAAGATAAAGGTAGTGGAGTGGGTGTTGTTCTCTTCTAAGTGAACAGTTTACTGTGTTTGACGATTCTTTTGGTGCCCCTCGACATAATATATGAGTGCTGGACAGCCAGCCTCAGTAGAGCTTGCAATCCAGCTAGAATGTTAGATAATTGACTTGAAATAGCGTGTAGGTAAAATTCCTACCGTAGTCTTCTCTCTATATTTTGCCTCCTTTTTATCCATTACTTTCCTCTATTGGTATTCTCCAAGTCCCATGTGTCTCACTTAGTAAGATTTTGCACCCAGTCTTATCGCGATATCAGATACTACTCCAGCCACACTCTTCTTCCAAAGCATATCCCAATACCCATCACCACTACACTCCCTATCCTATAAAAAGCATTTATACACCAATATGGCTCTTTCAGAAACAGATACCCAGGCGATATCGCTCTTTGAGCAAGCCATGGAGAAGGAGCAGCATGGACTGATGTCTGACGCTGTAGGCTTCTACAGACAAGCATTTAGACTCAACGAACAAGTGGACCGTCTTTACCGTCAGGAAAGGGTTCCTCAGGCAATTCAAAAGCTCAAGGATCAGCATGGTAAGAACGCTGGTCATAAGGTCGATGAGGAAGCGGTCAAGAAGATTAAGGTGGACGAGTTGCTAGAGCTGTGGGAACACCACGAGGCCCAGGCACCAAGTGCAGATGACCCTGAGCACTGGAACGATACTGATGTGGTTGTTAAAATCGATAATTTGGCCTTGAACGCCCCTGACGAAGAGGTGGCTCCTCTTATACACCTTCCTGGCGAGATCTGGGTCCATGTATTGGGTATCTTGCTTCAAACTCATCCTGAGCTGTGGTTCCATTTTGGCATGACTTGCAAGAGACATGCATACTTTGCATTTGCATCCTCTGCTCTCTGGGAAAGACTCTGTTACTTGATTTATCCGTATCAGAGACATGAGACAGCGGCAATGAACGATCCGAAAGAACTATACGCCCGTAGTGGTTCCTGGAAGAAGGTGCTTCGAGAAAACCCTTTTGTGAAGTTCATGGGCTGCTACATTAGCGTGGTGAATTATTACACGGAAGGTGGAAGAGGTGAGTATTCTTTAAGCTGGACCAATCCGGTGAAGACCAATACCTACTACCGTTATATCAGGCTATACCCTGATGGCGTATGTCTCATGGCATTGACGGCGTTAGATCCCACTAAGGTTGTCTCGCAGTTGCTGAAAAGTAACACCAACAAATGCATTATGGAAACTAAGGAAGTTCCACTCCATTTCAACCCTTCAACGCATCCGCATAAAATATTTACTGGAGGATGGAGCATTAAGCTGAATGGTGAGCTAGAAATTCGTATAAATCACGGTTCAGTTCCTTATTACGTTTTCTACTATTACTACAATATCAGGAATATTGGCAATAAGCCAAACTATAGTAAGTTGTCTTGGGCGAGGTACTTTGCCGTTGAAAAGACCTCAGGCGAATATACTCCAACAGGTGACGAAGTGAACTTTTCGTTGAAGAACGAGAAATCGTTTAAGTTCTCCAGAGTCAAGTCGTACACGGATGAGCTTTGATCGAAATCGTCAGATAATCGAGAACGGATAGCGTTTCAATAAGATCTGGGGTCGTCGTCTGCTCATTGGGCATAATTGAAAACATTTCTCAAAATCTTTGGACAAGTGCTACTCAAGATCTTGCACTTCTCTTCATTAAGAGAAACTTCCAGCATCATGAAGACGTGCCCTGGACCCTGAATCATTACCTACCAGCATCACGGTCCCTCTGAAACATACCAATTTTCCTGCTAGATAGAAGCCAATCATTTGCAGTCATCACATAAGATCCAAACAAAATTGGTCCCATTCTAAGCAAATTATAATTATCTACCCTAGAGATATACTCGGTATTTGGTCCTGCCACAGAGTGAGACCACATTTTCCACACTAGTCTGCCTCAATCTTCAAACACCACCAAGAACAGGTAAATTCATAGACTTGCCGACATACTCCATTCTTAAAACCATATATTAAACAATTCACTTCCCTTTTCTGACGGTACTGGCACTCTCTACTCTTCCTACTATCTCATCTTGTTAACGCGTGCGCGGGTAAAAGTGAGCACTAAGAAAATTTTTCGTGCACCGATGAATAAAAAAAATTCCAATCTTCACCAGATCTACACCATAAAACTAACCACGGTAAAATAACATGTCCCGATTCTTTGCGGCTGGTTACACTTCCGACACTTCGTCCGAAGAGGAAGATCTCTTGAGCGGGTCTGAGGAGGAGTTGATGTCCTCTTCTGAGGAAGAGGCCTTCTCCACCGACTCTGAGTTCGATAATGATTCAGACGACCTGGACTCGGAAGATGAAGACTACTCGGGCGCCGGCCCTTCCTATTTTTTGAAGAAGAACTTCTTGAAGGGTTCTGGTGGCGACAGCGACCTGGACTCCGACAATGAGGGCAGAAAGGTGGTGAAGAGTGGTAAAGAGAAGCTCCTTGATGATATGAGAGAACTGGTTGACCTGATCTACAACTCGAGGAATTTGGAGAACTGGAGTGCTGTGTTGAACGAATTTGACAGATTGGGTAGATTGTTGATCAGAGCCAACCAGCAGAACATTGCTATTCCAAACTTCTACTACAAGATGTTGGGTGAGTTGGAGGAGACGTTATCTGAAGCCGCCTCCCAGGATAAGGAGAAGAAGAAGCTTCCTACCGACCAGAACAGATCTTTCAACACCATGAAGCAGAGAGTCAAGAAGACTGCTAAGGAATACCAGGTCTACTTGGACTACTACAAGGAGAACCCAACTGCTTTCGACACAGAGGAGCCATTGAACATCGCTTCCACCTTGACTAGTAACGATACCGGTGCTGGTGGTGCCGTTGTTGGCTCTATTTCCGGTACGACGAGATCATTGAGCCCTGTGTTCCACACTTTGAAGCAAATCTCTGAATCCAGAGGTAAGAAGAACATCGACAAGTTCGAACAGGTTGCCGTATTGGAGAAGTTGTTGCAAGACGCTTTGCCAGAAGGTAAGCTTTTTGAAATCATCTCTGTCTACCAGATGTTGCTCTCCGTCAGATTCGATGCTTCCTCCAGTCAGTCATACATGCCGATCGATGCCTGGAAGCAAAACGAGAAGGACTTTGTCGACTTCTTGCAGCTTTTGGAGAAGCATTCTGACAAATACTGTGTTTCTGAATTGGGTGTTGCTACCGATGACATCGATATCGAGCCACCAGCCAACGACAAGGGCGTCAAGGTTATCTTGGGTTCTGTCGCTGCCATCGTCGAAAGATTGGACGATGAGTTCACCAGATCTTTGCAAAACTCCGACCCTCACTCTATTGAATACGTTGACAGATTGAAGGATGAGCCAACTCTCTACCTGTTGATTGTCCGTGCTCAGGTTTACGTCGAATCCACTACCAGCATCTCCGACCACTTGGCCAGAATTGTCCTCCGCAGATTGGACCACATCTACTTCAAGCCAGACCAGTTGATTGCTCAAAACGAAAGCGTCGCCTGGGAAAGCACCTGGGATGCTGCTGGAATCAAGGAGTCTTTGCTTTACACCAAGGGTAAGTCTCCAGCTGAAGTCGTTGGTTCTTTGACTGAATTCTTGGGCAAGCAGGATAGCAAGATCTACAACAAGCAGGCTCTCTTGTGCAAGACCTACTACTACGCCGTCAACAACAAGTACTCTGAAGCCAGAGAATTGTTCTTGAACTCCCAGATTTACAGCAATATTGGCAGCGCCGACTCTTCTACGCAAGTCTTGTACAACCGTGCTCTTGTGCAGTTGGGTTTGGGTGCCTTCAAGGCTGGCAAGATCGAGGAATCCCACCAAATCTTGAACGAAATTGTCAACACACAGAGACTCAAGGAATTGCTTGGTCAAGGATACAACTCGAAATACCCAAGTCAGGTAACTACGGCGGAGAAGCTGAAATTGTTGCCATTCCACATGCACATCAACTTGGAATTGGTTGAGTGTGTCTTCATGACCCTGTCTATGTTGATTGAAATCCCAGCTTTGGCTGCTTCTTCCACTTCTACCAAGGACAACAAGAGAAAGGCCAGCATCAAGTCCTTCAAGAGTAAGTTGGAATTCCACGAGAGACAGTACTTCACTGGTCCTCCAGAGAGCATCAAGGACCACTTGATCTACGCCTCGCGTTACTTGCAGAAGGGTAACTGGGACAAGGCTTACCAGTTGTTGTCCTCTATCAAGATCTGGAGATTGTTTGCTGACAATGACCTGTTGTTGCTGATGTTGAAGCAGCAATTGCAAGTTGAGGGTTTGAGAACCTACGTCTTCACTTACAAATCTATCTTCACCAAGTTGTCTGTCGACAAGTTGGCTAAGCAGTTCGACATTGAGAAGACTGATGTCCAGTCTATCCTCGAGAAGATGCTTACGCAAAACGAGATCCTGGGCTCTTTGGACGAGTCCAAGGACTTCGTCAACTTCACAACTGACGAGCCTCAGAGAAGCAAGTTGCAAGAGTTGGCCAGCATCATGAACGAGAAGCTCGGGCTTTTGCTCGACAAGCATGAGAAGACTGGATCTAACGGTCACAGCCGTAAGCAGGCTACTCAGCAACAGCAGCAGCAACAGAAGGAGCAGAAGGAGCAGAAGGAGACACAACAGGAGGAGAACAGCAAGTTCCGTCACGCCAACGTGAACACCAACAACGACGAGTTTCAGGTTACAGCCTAAGACAGCGTGAAATCCAAAGGGGAGGAGGTTTGTACCATAGATTCGTTTCGGACGGTCGAAGTTACGTCATTTTCCATTGCATGAGCACGAGGCACGAGAAGGCAGTGATTTGTCTTGAAAATGTTTCGTCGTGTCCTACTAGATACGGCCGCCAGGAACATGTGGCTATAGTAATAAAATATTTGTAACGAGAGCAGGATGTAATTGTAGAAGTCAAGGATACCTTCCGTAAAAGCTTAGCCCCCTATTGAACATCTTTTCATTGGCGTTCCTCGTAAATTAGAAGCAAGCTACTGCTTAGCTTCTACGCCTATTACGCACTCTGAAACATGAGTTAGAAGAGATCAACAACTTGAAACACCTTGGTCGATTAAGCCTAGAATATCATCCCCACTCCACCTGAAACTGTCCTTAAAACCATGGGTTATATAAGGACAGAATTTGTGCTATGCTTTTATGAATTGTTAGATATACTTTGATATCTTCGCTCCATCCCATCGTTACCTGGTAGGCTTTCATTCCAAGATGACTTCATTCTATAAGACGAGAATTGGAATTTGCTGCAGCTGCTTATTGATTATGTTCGTCACCTCTTGGTTCAAGGTGTATCATATTTTGCTCTTTGATTACACTCCAGACATAATCTCAGACACTTCTTTACCATTTGAACAGTGGAAATGTCACTACGACTATCGCAAGGAATGTGAGGATCGTCGAAATGAATGTTTTAATGAAAGCTACTCTGACGGGAGTTTTTTTACGTTGTCCTACTTTGTGAGTGACAATTTATTATGTACTTGGGAAAGGAAACATTTTTGCAACAAGTTCCCTTCACCAGACTGCTTTACTCCTGAGGAGCGTCTTGCCGTAATGTCTAGGGAATCTTTTTCCAGCTTACAAGAAAAACTGAGTTTAATTTGGTTGTTTATGGCCATGGGTCTTGTGTCCTTATCGATAGCTCAGTACATAATTGAAACAAGAACAAATAGGGTGGGGCGATTTGCTTATCGATTTTTTCTTTTAATGTTTAACACACTCAATTGTTGTATTTGGTTTTTTGGGCTGAGATATACAGTTGCAGAGGGCCAGCCATTATTCGATCTTCTAACGGTTCTAATGGAGTATTCGTTCGTGACAATGTTATGGTTGACGTGTAAACGGGGTGTAAACGGGGTGTGGGAAAGCTGTCTATCGAACTGCTTCGGGTTGAACAACGGTGACTTGTCACAAACAATCAAGCTCCACAGTTCTTGACAATTCTGATCGGGAGCTTCCAATAAAATCATGATGTTTGACTTGTACATTTTGTAGATTCTCTGAGATCAAAAGGGGGAGATCCAAAAGATGCAGAGATATAATTAAATAGTTACAATTACCATTACATGGGTTAATATCTATGGATGGAGGATTTTGAACTCCCACAACAGGATACTCTGAGAGACAGTATTCATCTCTTCCTTCCTTGCTAAACCATACAACAAGATATCGTGAAATCAATGAATACCATAATATCCCGTCTTCATTTATAAGAAGAAATAAATTACAAGTGGTTCATAAAAATGACGAATTCAGCTTCTACATCTGTATATTCTATTTCGCAGCCAAATGACACAACATAGCACAATCTTTGAACCTCCACCACAAATCACAACTAATCCCATATTTCACCGATCTTTCACATTTCTTCCTAACTATAGATATCCATCACATAGGTATTTTTTCTTTTTTCTATTTCTTCATTTTCATAGTATTGGGCATCATCACCAAATGCATTCTCCTCGCCTACTTATGCCCCATCTTTTTCTGCGACCTCAACTCATCTCATCCCAACCCACATCATGCCTGAGAAGACCACCAAGAGACCAAAGGTGACGGCGCTTTGTCAGCACTGTCATGGGCGTAAAGCTGTGATGAAGAGACCCAAGAACCACCAAAAGCTCTGCAAGGAGTGCTTCTTCTTGGTCTTCGAGACCGAGATCCACAATACCATCTCGGGAGCAGGGCTCTTCAGCCCAGGTGAAAAAATCGCTATTGGAGCATCAGGAGGTAAGGATTCCACTGTGCTTGCTTCTGTGTTGAAGACGCTTAATGAGAGGTACGAATATGGCGTCAAGCTTGTGCTTCTATCTATTGACGAAGGTATCAAGGGCTATAGAGATGACTCGCTCGCTACGGTTAAACGTAATAAGGACCAGTACAATATGGACCTCGAGATCGTTTCGTATAAGGATCTTTACTCGTGGCTGATGGACGAGATTGTTGCTTGTGCTGGCATGAGAAACAGTTGCACATACTGTGGTGTGCTTCGAAGACAGGCCTTGGATAGAGGTGCTGCCCAGTTGGGTATTTCTCATGTTGTTACAGGGCATAATGCTGATGATATGGCTGAGACGGTGCTTATGAACATTTTGCGTGGTGATACAGCTAGACTTGAAAGCTCGACTTCTATAATGACACAGTCAAGTGGACTGCCTATCAAAAGGTCTAAGCCGTTCAAGTATTCGTACCAGAAGGAGATCGTGCTTTATGCCCATTACAAAAAATTGGATTACTTTTCTACGGAGTGCTCGTATGCTCCAGAAGCGTTTAGAGGCACCGCCAGAGAGCTTCTCAAGTCCTTGGAAGCTGTCAGACCTTCTTGCATCATGGATATCATCTACACCGGCGAACATTTGGCGCTAGCGCCTAAGAAAAAGAAAAAGACGGTTTCGTATAAGAATAAGAAACCCGCAGAACAGATGGCAGAACAGGAGATTAATGCTGACGGTAGTGTTAGTCTTGGAAGGAAGAACGATGGTAACACATGCGAGAAGTGCGGCTACATTACATCAAACAAGATTTGCAAAGCTTGCGTTTTGCTTGCTGGTTTGGAAAGCAGCAGACCCAAGGTGGGCATTGAAGATGGCGCCACCGAGGGACCTGCTAAGCTCACCAGAACACTTGAGCAGTTAACGTTTTAAGCGATCAAAGAAAAAGCATCTACTTTTACAACCAATGTGACTCTAGAAGGCATCGAATTACTGCTTTTTATAAATGTGGGAAGCACCGGCCTGGTGGCTTGGGAACACCAAAGACTCGGCAACGACAGTGTTTTGTCTTCTAGACACACCAAAGACAATGACTTCAGCAATATCCTCTGGTGTCAATGGCGTGGTTCCCTCGTACACCTTGTCGGCGGCAGCCTTGTCACCGTGGAATCTCACCACACTGAACTCGGTTTCAACTGCACCAGGGTCCACCTCCAACACTCTGATACCAGTGTTGATCAATTCCTTTCTCAAAGAGTGAGAGAAGAACTTCACAGCGGACTTGGTGGCACAGTAGATGGCTCCACCTGGGTATGGCTCTCTACCAGCGATAGAACCAATGTTGACAATGTCACCAGCGTCCTTCTTCTTGAAAAGAGGAATCACAGCCTGGGTCATGGTAATAAGACCCAAGACGTTTGTCTGCAACATACCGTTGATGTCGTCAGTAGCGATGTTACCCACCTGGTCCTTACCCAAGGCCTTACCAGCATTGTTAATCAAAACGTCAATGTCAGAGAATTCCTTTGGCAAGGCTGTGATGAATGGGCCAATTGAGTTGGCGTCACTCACATCAAGCTTGGCAGTGTGAATCTGAATGGGCTTGTACTGTTTGGTCAATTCACTGGCCAATTCCGTCAAACGGTCTTGTCTTCTGGCAGTCAAGATCAACTTGATGTTACCATTGGCGGCGGAAGCGAACTCCTTAGCGGTAGCAGCGCCAATACCAGACGAGGCGCCGGTGATAAGGACGATTTTGTTGGCCAAACGTTCAGCAGCTTTAGCTCCAAGGGACATGGTGATGAAGTCTACTTACAATGAGCACCCCAGATTTCGACGATAATTGTGGTTTCCGCGCTTATCCAAGTTTTGGGCTGCGCACGCCATTCATATGACTCCTACCAGGGATGAAGTCTGAGTTGACAGGTACGATGGGCAATGCATTAGTTTTTGATATTTATTGGCAATTTTATTTATCTATATAGGGTACGTTATTATAGAGATGGTTATTTTAATTTTTTTTTTTTTTTTGAACTCCGAATCATTGTGGCTGGTGAACTGTGGATAATATCAGTTCGCTTGATGGAAAGTACTGCATATAGACAACTGGTGTTCTTTGCAGTACACTTCTATGTGACAAATCATTTACGAAGCGCATGAACCATCACATAGTTAAAAAGACTATTCTCTGTATGCAGGGAGATCACAATAGACTAAGATAAGTAGCTTTATTACAAAAATCTATACAGATGCCCGAAACGTAGAAAGGAAAACAATACAAAAAAAAATAGCTTGAAACCAAACGATAATATCAATGAGCAACCATGCTCGTAAAGTAATCAGCATATACCTGGTGTGGTGGGATCACGAGATACCAGATCTCGCAATAATACCACGCCTTTTAAATGTGGATCGAATCACTCAAAGAGTGAAACGTGGATGCAGGTGAGGCACAGTCGTATTCTGGCCTATTGGATGAATTTGAATTAGTAGGTGAATTGTTAACAGAGTTGTTAGCTGATGGAGTACCACTAAAACAGTATGTGCGCAACAAAGCCGCATAAGTGTTGGAATTAAATTGAGTTTCGTGGAAGGCTCCAACAGAGCGAGGGATAGATTCCTCCTCTTTGGATTCTGCTGGAGTAGCTTCCTTTGGTGGTGGAGTGACAGATCCGTTACCGACCAGAAGGTTAGGTTCTTGTGCTGGAGGCGAGGATGCTGTCCGTGCTTTGTATGACTTGGAGTACTTTGGCCTTGCCTGCGAAGCCGGTCTGGATGGAGGGGCGGCGTTGACGTTTGATGTAGACAACGACTTAAATAAAGGTACACGCCTTTGCTCGTCCTTCTTTACATTCATGAGTTTAGAAACCAATTCGGTGTAAGGGACGGGGTTTTTCGCTGGTGGGGTGTCGCCAGCTGACTGCAACCTAGGCGATGATTCAGGGAATGAAGGAGCACTGAAATCGAAGGAGCTGTTGATCTTGGATCTTCTTGACTTTGGCTTAGGCTTTGGCTTACCACAAGAAGTCAAGGTGACAGAATAGTTCTCAGTGTTGTTGTTGTCCCAGAAAGTAGAGCCCGCAACGGAGTATTTAATGCAAAATTGAGTGTTGATGGCGCTAGGAAGCAGGGTGAGCGGGATGTTGAATTTGAACTGGTCAAAGTTCAACAGGGAGAACGACTTCACGTATTGAGCGTTGTTGTAGATGACGGTAGAGTGCCAGTCGTTAAAGGTGATCTTGACGCTAAGGTTCTTTTCAAAAGCCAAATTCTCGCACATGACAGTGAGCACCATCAGCTTCTTATCCAGGGCAATGCACACGCTCTGGAGGTATACTGGACAAGAAATCTTATCGTAAATGTTCTGAGGAGGGGTGAAGTTGGTGGAGCTGACCCTGTAGCTGTGCTGAGGGACCGACGAGAAGAAGGAGTCCAGATCTGAGTCGGAATCGTCGGAACCAAGAGCCAAGTCAGTGAAGTTGCTGTTGTTTGAGAAATAGTCTTCCACGTCGAAATCAAAGTGCGAGGGAGAGCCCATTGGGGTGTTTTGCACGGACACGGCAAGCGGAGAGTCTCTACCGTCAAAAGTCTTGACATTTTCGAGACGGCTGGCGAAACGAACCAGTTTTGGAGAAAGCTGCGACGTCAGGTTAGACTTGTGGAGCTGTGGAAGTTTCAAAGACAGCTTGAGTTTACGCAAAGGAGGCATGGTATCTGAGGCCGACCGTTGCTTCTCAGCAGGAGATCCAGCAGCTTCCTTTGGAGATTGAGTGTCCTCCTTTGGCGATTCTTTTGGTCCCTCCTTTGGCAACTGCTTTGGCTTCTCCTGAGGCGACTCAGTGGCTTGGGGCTCGCGCTTCTCAGCCTTGGATCCAGAGATGAGCACCTGTGGAGTAGACAATGGATCGTACGAAGCGTCATCTCTAGGCTTTGGCTTCTCCGGCCAGCTAACAAGATCAGGCGCCAGCTTCGAAAACGAAGAGCAAGTATATGACATGTTAATGTTGTTGTGTGGCACGGGCACCACAGAAGACGCCTTAGGGATAGTAGAGGCCTTGTGCAAAGGCGGCGCCGACGTGGAAAGGAAGCCGTGAGGCGACGACAGAAGAAGCTGGCTATGGCATTGCAGTTTCTTCAGCTTTGGAATCCCCACGGGCCCGACCTTATGGTTGAGTTCTGGTGCAGCCTGCTGCGGCTCTTGCTTGAAGTAGTCTGCCACCGCAAGAGTTAAGGTGGACATTTACAAACGACTTTGTAACAGACTAAGTTAAGGGCGGGTGGGAGCAAACCAGGGAGGATTGCTGGAGGGTGGTTTTTTCCACTTGGAGGGTAAAAAAAGGGGTTTTTTGGACTAAGGGACCTGGTTGAGGTTTTTGTACAATTTTTTTTGTGGACGGGCGCGAAGTGCTTAGGTTATATATTGGATGGAGGGGCAAAAAGTGTAATTTGTTGAGCGAAAAAGAAATGATCAGCTTTTTGAAGCCTCACCGTGAGGGCGAAGTACGAGGGCAGACAAAAGCGGTTTTGACCAGGAAAAGTGTCAGGCTGGTCGAACAAAAATCAACTAATTGAGTGGTGGTTTTAGAATTTCGAAAATCCGAGTCCGAAGACGTCTTTTGGGCCCATTTTATATGGGTGGAACACCCAGCAGGGGGGGCCTTGATGCATGCATACCGCGACCACAGCGGCTCATGCAGCTGCAGGAGTGGCTGCCCATGGCACCATACCGTCCGCATACAATAGAAGTGGCTGCATGGCGTGCACAGAGCTTGTTTGTAATCTTCCCTGGGCTCCTACGCCTCTTAGATATAATTTTTTTGTTTTTTTCATTTTTTGGCGCGTTGTGGCAGCCCAGGAATTCACATCCTACTATAGATCCGGGAAGAGTGGAGAAGAGAAGGATCGGGTAATAAGACCGGTCTGGGCTTCCACCCCGCCAGCACCCCCAATTTGCCCGATCCCAGCCATAGTATCTACACATTTGGCAGCACCAGCACTCCGAGACCCGGTCGAACCGACCGACTCCCCAACCGGCCCAGTTGCAAGACGCCGGTCAATCCGGCCACTCTAGCCACTCGAGATCCGGTCTGGTCTTTACAAGTCTCGGTGGTGCCATAACCCATGCCATGTATCAATGATCTTGCAAATCCAGCTACCCCCGGTAAGTAACCGTACCGACTTGGAACCGACTTGGAACCGACTCAGAACCGGTTCCAAACCGGTTGGTGATAATTCCCACCGGTTCTTCATTTCCGGTGGTAACAATCCACCATGGTACTACTGTAGTACTATAATTAAGTATAGATCGAAAGATTTCGTGGCTCTGTGGGATTGTCCAAAGTCTAAATCTTCTCCAAAGCTAGACTTCCTTCGTTTAACAGAAACCACCAACGCCTTCAACCTAGACAGCCCACTGGAAAGTCCACCTATTCCGTTCGTTTACCATAAAACTGAACCTCCTAAGATTGACATACTACGTGATTTTTCACTACATCCTCTGCATCCTCTGCAACTTTCACTTAACCTAAAACAACCTCCTTTCTCAAGCCACCGAAGTGAAGCCAAGATACGGATAGATCTTTAGATGTATTATTTGTTTCACATCGAAGCCCAGGCCCACGTTGACCAACCAGACCCTTCTATATCTTCTTAGATCCACGTCTTTGAGCCGCTGACGTTTCACAGTTTACGACCTCAAATTGGTTGGGTGCAAAATTTTCTGCATTTTTTTTCTCTCTACTAATTTTGCCCTTTTCGGCAACCCGCCTTGATCTTAACCGCCCTCTACAAAAACCACAACCTTCCACCAACCACCACCAAACCTACGCAATTCCCCATAAACAGCCAAATCCTCTCCACTACACGGTCTCCTTGTTAACCCATTTTCACCCAATTCATCCAATTTTTCATCCAATTTATCCCCTTTCGTGCCCTCGGAAGTCACGGCGCGAGGCTTGGATTCCATGCATTTTCGACACGCTTTCCTGCTCCAAACTGCCCCACCCGTACCCCAACCACCTCCACAGATCTGGGCTGGGAGCCGCACGTGCCGCACCAGCCGTACCCAAATCGAAACCCCCATACAATTCTTGTAAGACTAGTAGTTGATGTTCTTGATTTTTCTGATGTCTACCCTCGAAAACTCCGAATATTATGGAATTTCGGTATTTTTTTCTCCCTTCCTTATATTATTTTATTATTTATGCACGGACTGCAGGTAGTCCTTCCTCGCCCCATTTTCCTTAACTGCTGATAAGAAGAAGTTGAAAAAAAAAAATTTAACCCCCGGTGCGTCTTCATCCTCATCGCACCCTCGTATTATACCTACTTTTTTTTTGCACCCACTTAACCTACCATCTCTGTATTCTTTAGAAATACCTTTTCTACTATGAGGGTTTGAAATTTCACTTAGTGAAGCCTGAAAAATCCTCTAAGCCTCCTTCCCGATTGGGACAGTTTCGGACTTCGGTCCTCACCTCTTCTAACCGTCTGTACTGCCCCTCCTTTGCTACTTCTACTTTAAGGCTGCCTGCTTTGTTACTGTGCCAGCGTTATCCCGAGCTTCTAGCCTCTCACAGTGAAACACTTGGAGTTTTCCGTTCTTGACCTTTATCTTGTTATTATTATTCATCTCATGTTTTTTTTTTCTTTCTTTCTCGGTTCAATAAATGCTCATCTCACCGAAACATCACCTGAGCCATTTAAACTCGGATCAGCACGATTATCATCACACACTTACTGACACACTGCCAAACACAAACTCTCTGCATCTTCACACTTCCATCTTTCGATGTAAACCTTATGCCCCATATTCTTAGTAGATCTCGCTGGCCTGTTTCGCCTATTGTTGCTTGTCCCATGGGGCACACCTTCAACCAGCCGTTACAAGTATCCTGTTTAGGAACCCCTATGCTGGTGCTGGATGTGGGTTCATCTGTTCCCCATTAAGCTTCCCCAACTTCTCGTTGCTTTTGATCTACCAAACATTTCAAAGCCTCTCGTCTCATCAGATGTTTTAATGGAACCAAGTGACTTTGACAATTGCAACATGTTTCTACCATCAACGACAAAATACCGTTATCTCACATGCCACACTTATCACTTCCGTAACCGTGTCCTTGCCAAGGGCACTTTGCTCTTAGTGCTCTAACGCACTCTCTTGACGTAACATGCGAGTCTCGAATAATACCCGCCACACATTGGCGACTCGGGAACACTAGCCTCTTAATTTCAGGGACCAACAATTGCTATCCTCGGAGAATTGGGATCCCTCAGTTGTTTCATCTATGACGTAGTGAAATTTCACCTCATCACCTCATAATATTCATCAGATGGTTCATGCTGCAGATCACCAAAGTAAGGGTCCTCAGAAACGGTTTGAATTCGCGCGGCATGAGATACTATTTGGTTGCTTGCGGATGCAAAGATCCTATTTTGCCTGAACGAGCTTGATATTTTGCATCGGCTGCTTCCCAGAAGTCTTGCTATTGAAATTCGCCCGGTTATGGCGCTAAAGCCGATTGGTTTTATGCCTTGGCGGAGTCCTCCTTCAATGTGACAATTCTGTTCAACACAACATCGTCGCCGGTGGAATCCTTGTCCATACAGAAGTAACCGATTCTGAGAGCCTGGAATCTGACGGTTTGTGGTCCCTCGGTCTCGTTGATGTTGAATTCCGATCCTTCAATACCAATGTTCAATGGAGACTTCTTAACAATCTCCTCAAATCCAGCAGCCTCGATGTACGAGTCCTTAATAATTTCCTCGGAATCTTCGTTGATATCGTTGAGGAATCCTTCTGGATGAGCGCTTGGGTTTTCGCTCTTGAACAATTGGTTGTACATTCTGGTCTCCTTGATTTTCTTGACATTGTCCTCGCCAACCCATTGGATGTAAGTCTTTGGCTTCTTCTTGATCTCAGAATCATAGTTGACCAACAACTTGGTGACCTTACCGTTGGAGTCCTTGATGACCTCGTGCACGGAAACATTGAATGGCACCTTCATCAAACCAACTGGCTGTCCAGGAGCCAATCTGAAGTACTCCTTGTCGACCTCGTCTCTGTAATCAGAACGGTCAATATAGAATCTCTTGGAGAACTTGACCTTTCTGCTTCCGAACTTGTCCTCGGCTCCTGGCTTATAGGAAACCTCGACTTCCTCAGAGAAGTTTTCATCAACGTTAACAACCTCACACAACAATGGCTCCAGCAAGAGCATCAATCTTGGGGTGGTGCTGTCCAAGTAAGCTCTCACAGCACTCTCGAGTCTAATAACCTGAATGTTGGTGGTGGAAATGGTAACACCCAAAGTGTTGATAAATGACAAAATAGCGCCAGGAGGAACACCTCTACGCTTGATGGCCTCCAAGGTATAAAGTCTAGGGTCATCCCAGCCTCTGACGTGGCCGTCGTTGACCAACTTGGCGATCTTTCTCTTGGACAAGATAGTTCCTGTGATGTTGAGACGTCCGTACTCTCTCTGAGCAGGTCTATAAACATGCAAAGCGTCACACAACCACTCGTAACTCTCTCTGGACATACGGAACTCGGTGGTACACAAAGAGTGGGAGATGTTTTCGAAAGAATCAACCAAACAGTGGGTGAAATCGTAGGTTGGGTAGATTCTCCACTTGTCGCCAGTTCTGTGGTGTGGAGCGTTCAACACACGGTATGCAACCAAGTCCCACATTTGAGGGTTGTCGGACTGGATATCCTGTTTCATTCTCAACACGGCATCACCAGGCTTGTAGGCACCGTCTCTCATTTTCCTAAACTCGGTCAAGTTCTCTTCGACTGTACGCGAGCGGTATGGAGATGGGAATCTCTCACCACCCAAGGTTCCATCAGGCTTCATACCTCTCTGGGCTTTGACTTCTTCAGGAGTGCAATGACAGACGTAAGCGCCATCGGCTTCAATCAACTTTTCAGCCAATTCGTACAATTGGTCGAAATAATCAGAAGAGTAGGTGATCTTCCAAGGTTCGAAACCAAGCCATGCAACCATACTCTTGATGGAGTTGAAGTACACCTCTTCCTCGGCTTCAGGGTTGGTGTCGTCGAAACGCAAGTAACAGTTACCGTTGTGGTGTTTGGCGTAACCAAAGTTCACCATAATAGCCTTAGAGTGACCAATGTGAAGGAACCCGTTAGGTTCAGGTGGAAATCTGGTGAAAACCTTACCCTTGGTAAATTCCAAATGCTCCTTCATCAATTCAGGGAACGCCTGTGGGTTCTCACCTGGCTTATGCAACTCTCCAAGGAAACCCTCAGTGAACATAGAACGTTCAGGCTCAACAGCCTTTTCGTTCTTCTTGGCAGCAGCCTTTGGCTCCTTCTTCTTCTTTTCCTTCTTAACCACATCTCTTTCATCCTTAGGACCGAAAAGCTCTTCGGCAATGCCATCAATGACAGGCTTAAAGTCACCTGGAGCAGCCCACTTCAAGCTAGGAAGCTTCTTGGTCTCGCCCAAAAGCGCAGGCACTCCAGCGTACCTTCTTTCCAAAACAGCCTCCTTCTTCAGCTCAATGTACTTGAGGATCTCGCTCTTGACATCATCTCGGCTCAATTCCACGCCAACACCTGTAACTTCATTCATCTCTTCCTCACTGGCATTGTCACCCTTTTCAGCCACATACTTGAGCGCTTCAGACACTTGCAAGTTTGTCTTGAGTCTGTCGTCCACAATGGCTTTGGTGACGAGAAGACGGTGGTTTGGCAGGACGCCGTTGTTTTTGCTGTCGACGGCTAAATTGTATAATAAGTTGAGCTTCTTCTCATCGGCAGTGGAGACGCTGCCTTCGTCCAAAACTTCCACAAAAGAGGCACTGACCTTCTGGTTCTTGGCGATATCTTTGGCCTTCTTGTCGGAAAGACCGACTTTCTGGAACTTCTCTATAAGTGCTTCTTCTGAAGACATGCTAATGGGATGATTACTTGATAGGCGATATATGCAAAACTGATTAGATTTTTTTTTGGTGGTAGTAGGTACGTGAGAATTGGTAGGTGCACGACCCCACCAAAGACTCACCAGATCAAAAGACTCAATAGATCGGCTTCTACTATGGCGGTTTAGATGAATCCAAAGTTGTTTTTTGAACTTTTCAAGTGTGAAAGGCCCCCCGGTGGGACCCTCGGCGGGTCCCCCGGCTCGGAATCCACTTCTCCCTCGGACTTGCCCTCGACGTAACCCTCGTTACTACCCAAGACCATACCCTCGTATCTTCCCTTACCTATACCATCTCGGAATCGGCCAGCCACGCCGGTTTCAGCCCCCTTTGGGCGACCCCAAGCGTCTCTCCGCATGCTGGGCTGGTCCCAACAAGAGAACTAAATATGTTGGTACTGCACACAATGCCTCGTTTCCACGCGTCCATACATAATAAGCCCCTGGAAACAATACCCTTCTTGCGTCGCCCTTTATTGCACGTAATAATAATTTGCACCCAACACTTTTTCCCAAAGGCTTATGAAAACCTCAAACCCTAATAACCTTTCTTCACTATGACGATCTAAAGCAAACCATAAAGATGCTTCGTGGGGAAACGCACGGCGTCAAACGTTCCATCCATTGTTTCCACCCCGTAAAGGGCAATACCCTGTAATAGCCCTGCCCGCTTTACGAAGAAAAATAATGCAACAAAAAAAGTCTCGGGTTCGGAGTATAAAGGAATTGGCTGGTTTGGCCCTTTCCCAATCCAGCAGTATAATAAGGGAAGTAGACGAGGCACAAAGGCTTAATTTTGATGAAGAAGTCGCCTTTCTTTTCCTTTCTTGTTTTTCATTTTTTGGGTTTATCCCTTGCACAGCTTCGTCACGGAGTGGTTCCCTAAAGTCAATCAGGAAGCTTATTAAGGAAGCTTATTGTCTGTAAAGGGAAGAGAAGAAGAGGTGAGACATTTTGAAATCTGGGGTTGCGGTGGAAAGTTGGTTAATTGGAAAGTAGGTGGATGTTGGAAAAGTGGTATTTCCTTTGTTTGGCCAGGAGAAGTTGTTTCAGTGATTTGCGTGAAGATCAAACCACAATACCAGGTTTACCTATTTTCTGACAAATATAGTAATATTAGAAAAAAAGGATTGATAAATTCAGCGTTCTACTAAGACCCTGGAAATCGACACTTCCCATAAATCCTTCTTTCCTCATTTTATCTTCATTTGCCAGCTCCACTCAAAACCATACTCTTCATAGCCCTTTCTTCATTCCCTACCTCCTACATCTTTTATTTCTCTTGCAACCCAAAATTTTTCACTTACCCCTGTCTTGGCCTGTCTTGTGATGTTATCTAGCGAAGTGGGACCCTGAAGATCAGGTGGTCGTTCTTCAAGGATCATTGTTTCAGAAAGGCACGAGATCCTCCAATTTTCACCCTTTGTAATCAGCTTCATTCAGCCGGTTCGGGATTTCCAGCTTAGATTTGCCCTTGACAGCATTTTTCCAATCCCCACATTCTTTGTCCTCGTATTCTTGGTAACTGATTGTCGGCTGCTTTGTATGGCAAGAATAAAAGGAAGGCATTGTCCGTGATGGTACCACTTTGAGGCGGGCTGGCACTCACGGAAAGGCTTGCCACGGCGAGTTTATCTTGCCCATGATTAGCAATGTATGCTGGTTGGAGATGGAGAAGTGGGTTAATGACGAGATGGCTTAGAATAAGCCTATGTAGATAATGATCTCCTAAGTTGGAGAAAGACAACTCGACATTGTAGAAATACCAGGTTCTGAACGATCCTTAAAAGAAATAGTGGAGAATGATATGATAAGCATTCTACGTGGAGCGGCTGCAAGAACAGCCACTCGCTTCAAAAAATGCATTTATTTTCTCTTCAGGTTGTCTTCAAATCATCTCCAACATCCTGATGACGAGGATTCCAGCACTGCTTCCAACTGCTTCCTTCAAATCCTTCTAAGATTGTCTATTAACTCTATTTGCGCAAGAACTTGAACAACGTGTTAGAAAAGTCCTTTGGGTTGTCCAAGTACAAGTGGTGTCCAGCATTGGACAACATGCCAAATTCAGCAAGTGGCTTCTGCCCCTTCAGCTCGGCCACTCTATTGATTTCCTTGGTCATCTCCTCTCCAGCAACCTCATTCATCCAGTCCTTGTCACCGTAAAGCCATAAGGTGGGAAGTTTCATTTCGGCAAATTTTTCTGGACATCTATCGAGAAGAGGGAGTCTTGCAAGAGCTCCACGGTCCAAGATTCTGGTAATGGCATATTCGCCACTTCCAGCTCCATTGAAGATCTTATAAAAATAGTCATGGATATGCTGGTACCGCTCTGGATTCTGCTGGTAGATATGTGAGAACCGGTGACCCGTCCAGGCAGAGATCCACCTTGATTTCAAGGGCCCTGCTTTACGAACAATGGAAAATGGCGAAACATGGTGTCTCCATAACCAAGTAAAAGTATCGGATCCCAAGTTTTCTTGTGCTTCGGTGGCCGAACCGGGGTGGTTTAATGTCTCTGGCTCTTTTCCTTCAACGATATCCTCCTGGTCAGCTGAAAATTCTCGTTGAAGAGGAACTGTAGGTTCTTGTTTATTCTCAGTAGATCTTTCAGCCAGGGAAATCTGCTCAGAAGGGATATCTACCGATTTCAACAAAGAGTACTTGCTTCTCTCGACACCAACAGGACTCAAGAGCACTAACTTATCGATAATACGTCTCTGTGCTGCAGTTCCATCAGAAATAAGCTTGTTATACTTTCTAGCGTATGCGCAACTCAAGTACCCACCAAAAGAATGGCCCACAAGCACAAACCGATCGATTCCACGCTCCTTACGCCACTTTTCCAACGAATCTATAAACCAGTCCTCGATCTGGTAGATATCCTCCTTGCTTTCACAGTTGAACTTAGGAAACAGCGGGCGCAGCGATAAGCCAAAGCCCGGAAGGTCAATAGCATGGATCTTTATTCCAGGCACCGATGAAAGGGAATCGAAGTTCTCAAAAAGAGCCCTAGCGACGCAGCGTACCCATGAACCAACACCAAATCATTCACCTGATTAGCTAAAGCGCCCTGGCCATCCTTAGGCTTCTCAGTGTTCTCGATATAAAACTCATGGATCCGATTCCCGTCCCCGATATCTGTGTCAATAAACTTGGCCTGCCTTGTAGAGTCTGACTCGGGCCAAAACGGCAAAAACGAAAGAAGTCTCGATTCAACCTTGGAATCAGAATACTCTGAGCTCCAGCTCTGTTTGAACCAGTCAGAGAAGGAGTCCGCCAGCGGTAAGTAGGCCTTTTGCGGCCATCGTTGAACTCGCTAACTTTCTTGGGCTTTGCTTCGGCCATCTGGACGTGTTTTTAGGGAAGAGCAAACGAGAGGGATTTTTTTTCAGTGAAAAATGGACCCTTGAAACCTTATCGGTGTCAGGCGGAATAACCGCTTTTATGTATGCGCGGCGTCGGCTTGATCAGGAGCCGAGTGGCGAACGTGCCGGAGATATATCTCAATTAGGCTATTCTCCGAGACGGCTGGGATCTAGTCGACTTTATATTTCCAATATAAACCTTTGGAAGCCTAATATTAGTAGAAACGGAAATCTGATCTTGTGCACTTTCTACTGATCTTGTGCACTTTCTACTGCTCTTCTCCAGCCACAATGAGCGTCTTATCGATGAGCGCATGTGATATGTGCCACATGATCTATCACGTGATACATGTCACGTTCTTCCTTTTTTTGTGCCCGCGCACGCTACCCGTCCAAAAGGTCGCTCCCATCAGTTCGCGGTCGTGTACTGGCAAAGTCTGTAGAGCGACTACCACGAAATTTTTTCAAATTTTTCTCCCCATCACAGTCCTTCCACTACATACAACTACTAATACAAAATGGTATGTTTGAAATCCACATAGATAATTCGAATCCCGAATCTCCTGAGCTTTAGCATCATGTCTGTTTTTTCAGAATTGCAAAATCCCTTCTGGTTGTTCCACTGCCGTCGTTTTATAATCCGTGAATCAAAGAATCCATAGAAAAGATGAACCCAAGGTCGAAATGAACAAATTGTGACTTTCAAAAGACATTCAGCTAGCAGCTCCTGCTATTTTAAACACAATATACTAACCGTTTCAGGACACTAAGACTCCAGTTACTCTTGCTAAGGTCATCAAGGTTTTGGGTAGAACCGGTTCCAGAGGTGGTGTCACCCAGGTCAGAGTTGAGTTCCTCGAGGACTCTTCCAGAACCATTGTCAGAAACGTCAAGGGTCCAGTCAGAGAGAACGACATCTTGTGCTTGATGGAGTCCGAGCGTGAGGCCAGAAGATTGCGTTAAGTGTGGTGGGATTTACTTTTTCCACTTCATTTGTCTACGTGGGTGTGTATTAGCTCAGGCATAGCGTTGTCATATTAATAAAACATCATATCAGAGATGAGTCTTGTAGTATGAGTAGATTATTTTGAGTAGTCACAGACGTCACGTGATGCAAGTCGACGAAATTTCGCGGTCCGAGCCCTAGCTCCTCAGCCTGGTCCATGAACAAAGCTAGCACTAAACAAACAGACTTCCAATGGAAACATATAGATAGACATTGAAGTTTTGTCTACTTGAAAAGTTACTAAGGAATATGTTGACTATGCATTCGTGGATTTTATGGTTGACCGTCCCTTCCTCTCTCCCACTCTTTCGCAGCCATTCTCCAGTAGGTCTCTTAGTAGAGCAGAGATATTTAAAGAGAGAAGAAATACTAGATCAAAAGATGTTGGAAAGCTTCTTAATGCCTCATATGTTCAAAAGTTAATTGTCCTAGTTCCTTTGTATACTCTATATATAACTCCAGATCGTTAGACAATTCCTCTAAGTGCTGAAAACCTCCGTCTACAGTATACCGTTGGTCGTAACCTTGTACTATTTCCTTCAACTGATGATCTAGATTGATTGAATATCTCCTTTTCAAGTTTAAACTTTCTCCTGCAAAGCTTGTTTTCCTGATAAGTAATACCAGAAGTACTCATTTCGCAGCCATTAAACGTATACCGAATACAAGGCAACATCAACAGAATGACATCGACAATGCGAAACATTACATCGTTTGTTATTCTTTCTTCACTATGCTCTAATTCCTTTGTATTCGTAAAAATATATTAACCTACATTACTGGCATGTCCCACGTTCCTCGTCCGTACCAAATGTACACGCCAATACAAGGAATACAAAGATAAATTGATCATAATTAACGTTGTTATTAATGATCAAGATTGGTTCTGGACCCTTGGCTAGCTAGTTCTTACTAGCTTACTTTCACTTCCTTTGCTAAACCACTCATTTAGTTACCTATGAGACAACCGTCCTCCTATAGTCACAAACAACTCCACACCCATCCAACTTATAAACATCAGGATCAAAAACCAAACAACGCCATCAATATATCGTCCATTTAAAATTATTTAATCTTCAATTTACAAAATTTATACGTCAAAACCGTTGGAAAACGCCATTTCTAGTACTTACCTGCATATACACCCTCTTCCATATCATATCTCCAACTACAACATCAACTTGTATATCACGAATCATCCACAATGTCGGACTTGGATGACGATTTGTTGGCTCTTGCCGGTGCAGACTCTGGAAGTGACGAAGATGTCAATGTTGCTAAAAGAGCTGGTGCTGATGAAGGCTCCAGAAAGAGATTGAAGACAGGCTCTTCTGAAGATGAAGATGAAGACGAGGAAGAAGGAGGCGATAACGACGATGATGAGGATGAAGAAGATTTTGATGAGGAAGCAGGTGGCGATGATGATGGAGATGCCGATGATTCCAAGATATATGATGAAGAAGAGGAAGAAGAGGAAGAATTAACCAACCCATACCCTCTAGAAGGAAAATATAAGGATGAAGAGGACCGTGAGCGTTTGCTTGATATGGATGAAATTGAAAGAGAACAGACTCTTTTCGACAGATCCCAAGAGATGGACAGATACAATGAAAAGATCTACTTGAGACAGAGATTGAAGCAGGCTCAGGGAACTGAAAAGAAGACCAGAACCAGTAGTCGACAGGCAGCTCAGGGTGCTAGAAGCTCCAAGTTGGATAAGTTGAGCGAGTTAAGAAAGCAGAGAGAGCGTAAGTCTCGTAAGGCTGCTGCTGATGACTATGATGATGAAGAAGAAGAGGAGGAAGAGGAAGAAGAAATCGAGGAGGACGACGAGGAAGCCTACGGCGACGAAGAAGTTGTTTGGGGTAGCGGGAAATCTAAGTTCAGACCCCGTAGTTTCGAAAAGGCTTCTGCTGCACACATCAACAAGATCAAGATCGGCCGTAGTTTCCTCAGCAAATACCTTTACTACCGTAACTTCGGTGAGGCTGTTGCCAAATCTTTTGGTAAGATCAATGTTGGTGTTGACCGCAGAACCCGTCGTCCAATGTACAGAGTGGTTCAGATAGAAGAGGTGGTCACCTATCCTCAAAAGCAATACCTGGTTGGTGAAACTAGAACCGACATGTACTTGCTTGTCAGTCAAAACAGACAGCAGCAGAAGGAGTTTCCATTCACAGTTTTTAGTGATGGAGACATTTTCCCTGAGGAATTCGAGAGGTACCTCCAAGAGTTGGGTAAGACCAACGAAGATCCACCATATGTTGACGATGTGAACGACAAGGCTGAAGAACTACACCGTTTGATGAACAGTGGTCTCACGAATCAGGATATCGATGAGATGATCTCGAGAAAACAGAGAATGAAGAATGGTATGAGAGCATACGATGCTGTTTACGAAAAGTCGAAGGCCATGGATGAAATAAGAGTGGCTAAGCAAGAAGGAAACGTGGAAAAGGTCAAGGAGTTGAGTGCTCGTGTTAGAGAAATGGAGGATATCTTGGTCAGAGATAACGAAAGAGCAAGCAAGAGTTCCTTGACGAGCATGTCCAAGGTCAATGAAAGAAACAGAAAGTTGAACCAGACCAATGTCAGAAAGGCTGAGCTCAAGTCCATGAAGAAGGGCTCGGAGTCTATTGAGGGAGACGCCTTCTCGCGTCTTAAGACCAATGCCAGAGTGTTCTACAAGGATATTGCCAACGAAGAGAACCAGAAGGCCTTGCAGGATGCCAGGGCTAACTACGATACGATGATCGCAGAAAAGAACGAGATCGAGGCCAAGATCGCCACTTCCACATACAGAGAAATGGGTGTCTTTGACAAGATGATAGCACAAGTGGACGTGAACATTGTGCCTCAGCTCTAAGCACATGTACATTTACAACGCAAAATATTCCAAACCTTCCAATGTATTAGTCACCGAGTATATACAAGTTAATAAATAGGGCGGAGCCCGAATGCAGACATGAATTAGTAGAGCTCCTTCATGATTTGAAGGCGAAGCTCTTGTCTTTCGAGTTCTTTTTCGTAGTCATCGTTAAAGAATGCGTTTTCTCTTTGAAGATCAGAGTCTTCTTCAATAGGTGGCTTCTCGTCACAGTAAACGGAACGAGCGTAGTCGTAGTACACACTGTTGGCGACGATGTCCAGGTAAAAGCTCTGGATCAGCTCGTCGGAAGATATACTGGCGACATCATTCTCATTAGGATATAGGTTGAAGGCCTTCTCTAACATGTACGATTCGTTAGGCATTCCGCTCAACGATAGAGGCAGCGAAGGTTCCTCCTCGTACTTCATTTGAGGCGTACTTGGTGGACTCGTGTCGGCAGTGATATAAGTCTCTTCGGAAGCTTCATCCTGTTTCACCTGGCACCCGTCGTCAGAGTTCTTTGAAGACAGTCTTCTAAGCGAGAGAGCGGAAGTAATACGCTGGATGATATTTTCCTTACATTTTGAAGGTTTCTTTTGAACCAGGACCTCACACGGGAGGTCGAACGTGATGGAGCCGTCGTCCAAATTCACGTAGTAGGGCATTTGGAGGCCCTCATCGTACTTCTGCTGCCACATAATGGGTGCAAAAAAGCGTAACTTGGAAAGTGGAGCAATAAGTAACTTGACCAAGGGGAAGAGAGAGTGGTCAAATAAATCAAGTGGGAGCCCAGCAAAGTCAGCTAATCCTTGGAATCAGCTTATTCAGATGGTAAAACGATGCCAAGGCGATCTGGGCCGTTGGGAAACGGTATAAGCGCAGCGATCCTCGGTAGTGGAGGTGATGCAAGCGGAACGGAATAAGCAGATGGGCCGATTCCGACAAATATAATAAAAGTCAATAAGCTTAGTTTCAATAAAAAAGCTTTCTTTCCAGGACCTAAATGGATTTGTTGATCTTTTAAAGTGTGCCGAAATAACCGATCTTCAATGTGATATAGGAGGCAGCTCGGCAGCGGGTGCAAAAAAAAAAACACAAGCTAACAGGAAATAAAGGCCTCAACAGCAGCAGCACTTAAAAAGTGTAAACCAGAAAATAAGACAAAAAGTGTCAATGTCAAAAAAAAAGTAGGCTATTCTATAACTTTTTTCTACCCAAATCTTTATTCAGCCGGACCGGCCGTTTATATATAAATAGAGAATGGTGGAACACTCGGGAGACAAAACGGCCGTAACCAGCCGACGCGGGATGGGAAGATTGAAAATTGGGTAAGGCCCGTCGGAGAAATTGTTTTTTTTTTTGTTTTTTTGTATAGTGACCGCTGCGCTTATGTAAGCGGCACGCAAAAAGCGCCGCCGCAGTGGCCGAAATGGGAAGGGAAAGTGAGTAAGCGTGAGTAAGCAGCCGGGAAAACCCGTACACCAGCTTACCTCAGGTCGTTTAACCCTCCGCCAAAACCACCTAAAATTGGGATATTTGGGTCGGTTTTTGGATGGATAGAAAGGTGGAGACTTTGTGGTTTCAGTGGTGGTCTTGGAATTTTCCTGCGACCCCTAGTTCTCGAGATACCTGGGACCCACCCAAATCCACCTTTTGCACCCATTCCCCCATAGTTAATCCGCAAAAGCCCACCTACATCCCCTCTACCACTCCAGTGGCAAAGCAACAAGCTCGTATTTGACCAAACCCACCCTGCCGGCTTCCCATGGCTGAGTACCCGTGATGCTTACTTATTGCTACGGCTGACGGATACGCTTATCGGAGAGAATCGGTGGTTGCGAGATACCCGGCCGGGCTGGTATACGTTCCGTGCCGGGAAGTGAGAATCAGCAGCAGCAGCTAAGATGGAACACAAAAAGGGTGAAACCAGTGGCAACTTACATTTGCCATAGTAAGAGATATTTTTTAGGTATTTTTGGGGATCCCCAACGCAGAGTCTCCTTAGTGACTGCTTTTCGGCCTGACATTGCCACGTTTTGGCCATTCGTACCAAGCCTGGATTGGCTTGGCTCGCCTAAAATTTGGCTGGCTGCGAGGAAAGTGGGGCTCCCTTATTTTTTTGGTCCCTTGTCACGCTTTAGGGGTTCAGCAAGCCTCTTGGAATAGGTGGTTTCTGGAAATGCAAGGTGATCGTTGTTCTGTTTGACTTTTTCCTCTTGTCTCCACTTTTGATGTCTCCTTGAAAAGTGACTCCGCTTGATCGGCTTGCTGAGGTACATATTTGGCGCACATTTACGGTCCTTGACAGCGCGGTGCGTCAGAACATGGCAAAACCACTTGGAAGGTGGTACTGGAGAGTGGGATATAGTGGTTGGATGTATTGGGCTGGATTTACTAGTGCTTGTTCGTTGGACGAATTTTCTCTTCTCCTTCTCCTTCTACACGGGAGGGCTGTCCAACAAACGTCCCCGCGGCTTCGGAATAGCCTTCGTCTATACCCCAGATGGAATGTTGGGCTACTCGAAGCTTTTTTAACCTTTTACAGCTACAAACACGCTCAATGAAGCGCCTTCTACGCGTGCCTGCCAATGCACAGAACAACTGCTTTAGGGTACTTCCTTTCCCTTCAGAATAGCTCTTCCAGGTTGCGCTTCTGGCACATACTGACAATCGGCTGGAGTTATAAGCCGAAGGACAATACCGACTCGGGTTTTTCACAAAAAGGCGCCTTAAGACCCTTTCTTTGTTTGGGCTCTTTGATTAGCGACGTTTCTTGGCTTGTTTTTCCGAGTGGACAGTCAATTGAGCGGAACGAAGTGCAATGGAGCGCAGCGAAATGGACAGTGCACTCGGTTTCTCTCTATTTCCTGAAAGCCAGCCTCTATCCTCTGCTCTTACGTAGATTTGGTGCCTCCGTGTTCTCCGGGAGCTCTTTCAACTACAAAACACCGGCAGTAATCAAAAAGTAGACCTACGGAACTCTTTTCGCCAGCGTTGGAGACCGACAAATATTCTACCAACTACACTCTGTGGCATTGACTTTACTCAGTTTCATACTGTCGTTGGTCAATTTGCCACTTACTTCCTTCATTGTTAACATTTCATTCTCTCTATGGTATAATATATATTTATTGTCCAACCTCTGGCAACCTGTGCAATGTCATGAACTTATTCCAATAGTGTTCGTTGGCTTCTCTGTCGAATACTTCTTCAAAGTCAGCAATTTCGTCGTCGTCGCTTTCGTCGCTTTCTTGGAAGTCATAAGTCTCATCTTCTTCTTCGACGTAAGCAGGGTCCTCCAAAATATCTTCCATCTTCAACTGGGTCATTTTCTTTGCAACCAAGTTATTCTTGATTTCCTCCACATACTCGTCTTCTTCCGAGTCGTCAATGAACGTATCTTCTTCTTCGTACATAATCGAAGAGTTGGGCTCTTGGAAGTCGAAAGAAGCGTCGCTTTCGTCGTCAGAGAAGGTGAGGTCGTTGATATTAGACATGTTGATGATTGAATGGTTTTAATAGAAAAAGAAAAAAATCAATGGCCAAATCGACCCGAATTTATACTTTTCCAGTTGCAAGATTAAGACATTTGCTTGCCTTCCACACTGTCTGGATTCCAGCTACCTGATTGGCCCCCAGCGACCGCCAATTTTCAATTCTGGCCATGCAAGATTCCCTGTCCACCACAATTTTGTATGGCCGTTCATTGCCTATTTCCAAAAAGAGGTAACGAAAACACGTTGCTGCTCTCTACGCGGTTATCGTTTGCAGCCATCTGCCGAAGTGGACTCATATACTCCAAAATGATTGGACAAGTCCGCTACGAATGACATTATTGGCTGAAAGGGATGCTTTTTTGCGCGCTTTTCTTCCACAGAAACCCCTATTTCCATTTAAGCCACTCTTTTTGGCGTAGCGACCTCGTTCTCATTGGTCAGGCTGAACTATGGCTATTATCCTCAGATAAGCTGCCTGATTTCATGAAAGTGGAGGTTCTGGCCATGAATAATGGAAATTTTGAATCTTTTAAAAGCCCAAAGAACCATCTTGAGTAAGTTCCAGTGTTGTGTTCCCCAAGACAATCCTTAGTTACCTACTCGTCATAATCTCACGTCTTTAACGAACATTCATGGATCGCCGACGTTGAAACTCGTTTTTCTGCAATCCAAAGCATCAATCTGATTGGCCCGCTGCAGAAGAATTCTCATGCTTTTTTTGCGTTTTGACTCGGCCTCCTCTCTCCTTAATCATGACCATGTAAACATTATCTGTATGGCTTCTTATCTTTCGCAGCCACTTTTGGACTCACATCTGGATTCAAAACTTGTGGGCTGAATTAATGACATGATTGGTTGACGTTTCGCAGCTTCGCAGCTTCTGTGCATTATTCACTTTTCCTTGACGTGGGCGACATGGAGCAATAATATGATTGGTGGAGAGTAGTATTTGTGGCTGTCTATTCAATGGGTTCAGAAATTGCCCTTCATAATGGATTGTGATTTGGCATATTTTTTCAGGGTCTTCTTTATTCGCTCTGGATTTTGAAATGAAGGAGATTTTTTCGTGATCATGTCCCACTTTGTTGGTTCTTCTAGTGTTGATGTTGAAGAAAGTTGTCTGATTTGAGTGTAGGTCTGTCCAACTGTGGCTGATCGCCTAAGTCGGAAACTTTTAATCGTTTCTATATCTTAGATTTCCTATTGCAATCTACAAATCCAATGGTGATGTTTTACTTTCGCTGCCCAAGTGGTACACTTTCTGATACTTCTGAGGCCAGTGGTCTTAAGTACGATAAGTGAATGCAACATACGCTATTCTTGACATTTCAATAACCGAAACAAATGTCTTTGGCCAGACAATCCGTTGTATTTGCTGGCCAAGTTGCTGAAGAAACAGGTACAGCCATATCTTCAAGAGCCATCAAGAGCTGGATCTCACTATGTTGATCTGGGGTCTATTTACGAGTCCAGGACATTATCTCTGCCCCAAAGCACGACACAGATGTGAAGACATTTATCCAATGACACCACAACTTACACTTAGAAGTCAATCGTATGGTGGTATTTCATGACCCCACACATGGCATTTTTGTGTAACGCTTATCCAGCCCTACTCGACAAACAAAGATACCACCATCTCTCCCAATTCTTCCAATTACAGCCCAGGAATACCTCCCACGTCTTCAAATTGTCCCCATGACTTTGTCCACCGCTTTCCAGCCGTTTCCATCTACCCAGATATCACCATTCCCCCGTTCGGCTCTACGCTTGGCAACGTCGCAATCCTCGGCATCTTTTGACCCCAGCAGCAACAAGAACACAATGTAACGGCTTTCCAAAGTATCCACTCAACTTCAGTACGCCAATTGCAGAAGCAAAGCATCCACTGGATCATCCAAGATTACCAAAGCTCCCACTCTCCCAACGTGGTCCTCGGCTGCAAATGGCTGCGAAAGGGTCTATTACATCAACTGACACTTACCAGCCAAAAACACCCCCAAATTCACAAAACTACAATCATCCCAAGAATCTCAACCCCCATAAAGAACACTTGTTATCCCTGAAAACACCCTTTTCTGTCCAACATTCGCCACTGTTTCAGATCATTGCTGATACCTGGCCTTCCAGCCCCACAGTGCGCACTGGATAAATAGCCACTGTCTCCCACTCACTTTTTTTTGCCCACACCACCATCATGCCATCTGCCGAATTCGAAGAAAAAGTATGTATTTAAGAGTGCTCCAGAAACAGCCAATTGAGTACTAACCGCCCAGGCCAAAGCTGTCAACAACTTGAACAAGCGTCCTGACGACAATGCCCTCTTGAAGTTGTACGGTCTCTACAAGCAGGCCACCGTCGGTGACAACACCACCTCCAAGCCAGGTGTGTTCGACTTGAAGGGTAAGTACAAGTGGCAGGCTTGGGAGGACTTGAAGGGTACCTCCCAGGAAGACGCCGAGCAGCAGTACATTGCTTTCGCCTCGGAGTTGATCGAGGCCGACGCCTAATTAGATCAATGAATGAAGAAGTGTATTTATACGTAGGGAGATGTTCTCTTTTTCGTTGGTTTACTCCGTTTTGGGTTTGCCTATGAGTTGGGTGGCTCTTACTCCACAGTCCACCATCATGAACAACGGAATCAAGAAGTATGGCGTGTAGAGACCAAGCAAGTTGGCCTTTTCTCCAGTGGTCAAGCCGTACGATGAAGCGTCTCTCCACACGTAAGCCAAGCATAATAACGTGGTGAAGAAGGCATTGAACCCGTATACGGTCATCAACACGTAGACCTTCTGGCAATTGCGCTTCAACGCCCGTGCTGCAATAAAGAAGATAGGTAATTGGACGAAAAGCTCAAACGTAGCAGAAATGTATAACCATAAGGGCATTTCCCGAAGAAGAAAGTCCTTATTGGTGTTGATATGGAATGCTGCAAGAGTCTGTTGCCAGCCAGGCTGGAACCGTTCAGGGACGACCATTGTCAGGTCCATAATGACAGTGACTGGGATGTGGATGATAAAGTACCAGTAGTAGAAAGTGTCTCTTTTGTTCATGTTGATGGAGTTGAAGAAGTGAACGATGGGCTTTGGTGAGTATAGGCTTTGGTGAGTTTATAGGCGCGGTAAAACAGATCTACTAGTAATTGACATGGGCACGAAAGAACAATGGCCTAAACCGTTAGAAATTGATTGTCGAGGTTTGTCATTGTTTGTATGGTGGAGTAAGTTGGTTTGGCTAGCTTTTTGAAATTAAGGTGCCAAAGGGGTGCAAATTGCTGGTATTTCAAGTGTATCTCAGTGGTTGCAAAATTCAAGTGCACCTCAATGGTAAGTACTCAAGAAACAAGGTTCTTATGGCTGGCCTACTTTGTTAAGTTTAGGTATCTCTACAGTCATTCTTTCTTTATGTGTATAATATAATATGTCTTTAGGCTGGAAGATGTCATAACTCATAAACTGTATAAGTCGTACTCAGTCGTAACAAGGCGCTAAGAGGTCGTAAACATGTCTGTAACACGAAAGAGCGCAAGAATCTCTAGCGTAAGCGGGAGATCCATCTAAGTGGCCACAAGGGCAATAAGGAACGTGGAAGCGTTTGCGGAATAAGGAAGCCGTCTTATCGAAATCTTTGGTTGATTGAACGCCAGTCTTGGGAGGAACCAAAATTCTCTTGGAATTGAATACAGAGAAGTTGGCATAGTCGTTGAAACGACCCATGTGGGCGTACCAAACCAAACGAATATCAAGTGTAGGTACTGGCACCAGGCCAGTAGGGTTTCTTGGGACGATTTTCCAGAATGCTTTATACCGTTCAACGGCAGATTTAAGCATGCTGGGAAGTTGTGGATGAAAAAGCCAGTTTTCAGCGTCAACCATGTTCTGTACTGGCGAAAGCACCAAGTGGTCGATCCAGTCGCCCAGAATCTGCAAGCAATCGTCTTCAATAGTCAAATGAAGCAATGGAGCGGCAGATTCAAACAGGTAGCTTTTCAGCGAAGAAACTGGGGTCAGCAGGGAGGAAATTGAAGTGGTTGGAGATGAAGGAGAAGACGATTCCTCGGGTGTTCCTGGAGAATAAAAAGCAGGCCAGTCGATTGGTTTCGTGACCAGCGTATAGTCGGCATCGCTTTGACGACGAGCCAATGAATGATGGGACACAATTCCTTCCTGGCAACGAACCAGGAAAGAAGAGCACACGAAATGGGCCAATGATGCCGAGGCCAAGAAGTTCTTAGACACTGGGCAGTATATTGGAAGTGCCATTGAAGGATCAAAGTCTGAAAAGTCATAGGACAAGCTGTATCCATTGCCATAACCTGCAAGCAAAGCATTGAAGTTGTGCATTGCCAAAGAGTCTGGGACATAATTGAAGGATTGATCAATGGCATCAGCAATTGGCTTCAAGGGAAACGAGACATCCAAGAATTGAGCCATTCCAGACCTTGCAAACATGGCATAGCAAGCTTCAGGCGCCATAAGAAGCGAATGCCATACCCATGCCACATCCAATGGTGGAAGAACATGAAGAGCCTTATCTTCAGAAGCAGCCAAGGCAGAAGCGAAAAGAGCGAAACGGCGCAAAGCCCAAGCGACAAACACAGGCCATATAGTAGGGTTGTTTATACAAACGTTGCTTTTAAGCACAGATACAGCTTTCCAAAGCTTCAAAACAGCCAAAGTGTCTTCAACGGTAGGAGTATCAGAATTGGTTGCAAAAAGCAGAGGCACATTTGGCTGCGAAAAATGGGTACCAAGTGGAGACGACGAGCCATTGGGTAACGAAAAGAGCCGACGGAAAGACTGGTCGGAAGAGGCACTAGACAAGCTATTGACGCTAGGAGTGTAGGAGCTGTTGGTATTGGAAAACACGGTGGGTGGAGTTTGGTCAAGGTTCATACAATGAGAGCTGAGCTGGTGAGGCTGAGTTCAGTAGTAAAGGAAAGTAAGAGTGAAGGTGGAACTGAAGGGCAGAAACGGTGGTTTATGTAGTTTTCCAAGCAACCTGATCCCGATTACGGCCCGGGCGATTCGAGCCGATTTTGACTGACGTACATACCTGCATTAGTGGTTTCTAATTGGTTTATTGGCACTCAGCCGTTCGTGATATATCAACGGTCATGGCTGTTGGAGAGATAATGTCTGTGCAGGGAAGTGCATTTGGGAGCCTTGCGTGCCGGTACCTACCGAGATGAAAAGCTCGTGGAGGGAGGATAAAGGGAGGGCTAAGTGTCCCCAGCCTTTGTGTCGTCTTCTGATACTGGCAGGTCAATTTTGGGCCTCCCTGGGGCTCCAATTGGTGAAAAACGTGGTGGTCTCCAGTTTCAGACAGTGCCTTGACCATATGTGGCCTGTATGTTGGCTCATGAAAAGTCACGGGTCGGCATGGCTGCCGATTTGGGCCGAGGGCGAAGCGAGACACAGAAATACGAAGTGGGTACAAGTCGTCTCCACAGTTTTGCAGCCACTCGGCGAAGCAGTCACGGGACGGCCATAACCAGAAATACGAAAGATAAGCAATAAATAAAAACGGGGTAGACAAAGAATTGGACCCCAGGGTCACTTCGAGTGCATACATGGAAGAATAACCGTTACTGGTAGTTGGATGGGTTTCGGCGAAACACGGCATGTAGTTGGTGGGAAGAGCCCTCCCACGTTTTAGTCCGAATTGTGGGGTTAGACGGTTTGCAACGGTTTTTGATCTGTTCAGTGACGGTAGGTGATTTTTTATGTACAGCGGTTGAAAGGTGGTAGACCGGTCGTTGAACCGAATAGGGTTGACTTCGGAATGGAAACGGCTCGAGGTTTCTAATGGAGGTGGAGGGTAGTAATGGTTAAGGTTTGAACGTTGTTGAGGTGGCTTAGTGGTGATTGTTTAAGGCAACGGGCCTTTCTGGAAAGGAACGTCATTGGCCGGTACGTTTAGGGTGTCATGTCAATTGGACCGGTGACGTCTTGGGTAATAGTAACGGTGGGGTGGCTTGAGCTTGCAGGTGGTGATTCAAATGTGTTCTAGAAATTAGACAAATTGGGAAGCTTGTTCTACTGGGAATGCAAGTGGCTATGACACTGTTACCCGTCAAAGCATGATGACCAGAAGATACATACTCTTGGTGGTAGAGGAAGAAGAATGGAGAATGGAGAATGGAGAACTTCGGCCAAAAGTATAATTGTGGAGGTCTTTATTTCTATTTCTCCGGGAAGAGAGTGGTGACAGTGACAGTGACACAGTGACGAAGTGACTGGAATTCACCAGTACAAGTAGGTGTTGGAAAGAAAGGGACTGACTTGGGTGGGCCGTGATTTCAACCTATCGTTCTACAATTCAGTTTTTCTTTTTATGTTTCCTGCTTCGCTTGGGTACCATCTCATTCCCATACATAGTACTTTTCGCAGCCAACCGTTCTAGTATAGCCATCACCAACAACCATATCCACCAAGCCCAAGGAAATTGGAAAGAAAAAGTAGCACCAAACACTTTCAAGTCAGGTCAATTTTCCACTTTCATTAAATCTAAGGCCTCTCACATCTCTCCATCACATTTTCCACCACCCTCTATATTCTCCCTCTACTACCATCTACCTGCGTGAAGTCGCATTGATCATCGCAAGCTTTTGCCTCTACCAACTGCCAATGTTCTCTACTATCGCTAGCCTATTCAGAAAGGCGCCTATCCAGAAGGCGGCCCGTGTGGTTCCCAAAAGAAAGAATTCGATTTCTCTGCCTCTCGTGTGGATTGACTGCGAGATGACTGGCCTCAATGTGGAGTTGGATAACATCATCGAGATCTGCTGCATCATCACCGATGGAGACTTGAACATTGTCGACTCGGACGGATACGAATCTACCGTTTATGTTCCCAAGAAGACCTTGGATAACATGAACTCATGGTGTGTTAACCAGCACGGAAAGCTGGGCCTTACAGCTAAAGTCTTGGCTAACCCACAGCAGACCTTATCTAAGGTTCAGGATGAGTTGCTTGAGTATATCCAAAAATACGTACCTGAGCCTCGTACGTCGCTTTTGGCTGGTAACTCTGTTCATATGGACAAGTTTTTCATGATGAAGGAGTTCCCTCAGGTCATCGAGCACCTACATTACCGTTTGGTGGATGTCTCTTCCATTATGGAAGTGGGCATGCGCCATAACCCTCAGCTCATGAAGAAGTTCCCTAGAAAGAAGGGTACTCACACTGCTAAGTCTGATATCATGGAGAGTATCGCCCAGTTGAAGTGGTACAGAGACAACTACCTTCGTGGACCTGAAGATTCCGAGAAGGAGCGTGAGAATGCTGTGCCAGAAACACCTACTGGTAGCAAGAACGTCCGTGGGTTCGAGGATGAACCAGCTCAGAAGAGGCAGAAGATTGAAACTCCAGAACCACAGAAGATTATTCCAGAAAACTTAAAACTGCCTGCTTCTGGGGCTTCACCAAAACCTAACCAACCAAGAGTGGTTGTTGAAAAATCCTTCGAGGAGACTGAAGATGGCGAAATCAGAGAAATCGAGAGAACCACCATCATCTCCAAATGATCATGATACCCCAACCTGTACAATTTTAGACCCTTCTTGTATATTACCAAACCTAATACTTACTTTTAAAACTACAGTCTGATCTCTTCGATGCAAATTTATCTATGCTATGTACTAATCCTCAGGATCAGACTCAACTGCCACATCGTGGCATTGGAATTTGTTGATCACACCCTGAATCTGTGTTGCATCAATAGGCTTTTCCAAGATGGCATCGAACATGTTCAGGTCCTGTGCTTCTTTGGCAAATCCTGTAACAGCGATCACTGGAGTATCGCTGTTGATGCCATTGGTGTATCTGATCAATTTTACGGCGTCAATAGCGTCCACTTTATGTAGCCTGAGCGCTGTAAATATAAAGTCAAACTTCACTTGACTGGTGGCTCTTCTTATAAGATCATCGCCATCTGAGATTGAAAGAACGACGCAACCCTGCTTCTCCATGATCTTCCCGACAGTATGTCTGACGATTGGGATGGGCTCACAGTATAAAACGTCAAGCCCTCCTCCCCCTCCTTCAAACTTAAATGATCCATCTGGAGATAGGACACCGTCAGGTGGTCCAGCAGCTCCAAAGCTACCTCCTCTTCTTAAACTATCCCTCCTCTGTCTCACTCTGGATAAAGCAGATGAACTATCTTCAGGGTCTGATGCAGGTGGAGAGTAAAGGACATCGCCTGAGTTTCTTTGAAGAAGGTTTCGGGCAAGAGAAGATGCACTTGGCTTGCCTGAAGGAGCCTTTTCTTCCACGGTAGTCTTGACAGATCCACTACTGCTCTTACTAGAGCTCTCTCTTTTAAGTGATCCAGTGCTACCCTTGTCTTTCACTGGAGATTGTGACCTGTTTGCGACAGGAGAGACTGGCCTCTTGAAAGGACTTCCAGGGTTAACAATTGTAGATGAAACTGACAGGCCTCTTGATTTGGTATGTCCCAATGGAGTGGATTCCGATGATGATGACGAAAAGCTATTCCTATGCTCAAGGTGCTCGTTCTTTAGCCTGTTGATGACGTCCTTGTTAGCACGCTCAAGCACATTCAAGTTACGGAAATGGAAAGAACCAAACTCACTAGTATCCGCCAACTTGCTGCTTCTTCTCTCGCGTCTACTGAGCATTGGCGAAGCTGGAAGGGAAAGATGCTGTGAAGGAGGTTCAGCGCCGAAGTAACCGTCCTGGGTTTCAAGTTCCTTGGCTGACGCTGGGAGTTGTTCATCATCAGCGTCCCCATCATCGTCATCAAGAGGAAAGTGTGACATATCAGCACCTCTTGAATCAAAGTAGTCTGTAGATTCCGGGTCATCAACTATTGGAACAAACGAGTCCGGCACCTCCGAGTATAATGTGTCCCAATTTATTTGGCGGAAGTATGGATGCAGCTTTATCTCGTCCGCTCCATTAAAACCCAATCGGTCTTCATAATTCAACACAAGAAGACGCTTTATCAAATCCTTTGCCTCAGGAGGACAAATTTCTTTTTCCTCGTCCTCTGGTAAAGGAGGCCAATCAATATCACCATTGAGGATGTTTTTGAAAACTTGATCCGGAGTGTCCGCATGAAAAGGTGGATATCCAAACAAAAACTCGAAAAGGATGCACCCAATAGACCACCAGTCGGAGTACTCACCTTGCCTATCGCCTGTAATTGTCTCTGGGGAGAGATAATCTGGGGTACCAACAAACTTCTTTACCTCACCTTCTTCCTCAGGGTTGTAAAGAGCGAAGGAGCTGATGCTGTTGTCATACTGATGTGGACTGTATTGGAAATCGTCGTCAACAATGGCAAATGAAGAATCGGAAGAAGTTCTGGGAAGGGATGGTTTCAAGCCTGGAGAGTCGACACCGCTGCTGTTGGAGCCTGATCTAGTCCCACTAGACTTGAGCATTGAACCAGACCTCTTCTTTTGAGTTTGTGGGCCAGGCTCAGATGGGGACATCTTTGTTGGGTTCACTGGGAGAGTAGAACTTGGACCAGGCTTGTGCTTGATATGCTCCAATGTTGGCGATAAAGAAAATGGCGTCACTGAGGATGTCCTTTTATGGTGCATTGAAGGTAACAATTCTGGAGAATCACCACTTCCGCTGGGAATTAGGGGGCTTTGTGGTAATGTACCACCACTCAGAATACTCTTTCTGAAAAGCTCAATGGCGTGCTCCGAACTTGAACTCTTTCTGTGTTGAGCAGTATGTCTTCCGACGACACCGATCCTAGATAAGCCGAAATCAGTAAGCTTGAGATGACCCGTACTATCAATGAGAAGGTTGTCTGGTTTCAAATCCCTGTGAATAATCCCTCTGGAGTGCAAATCATGAATCCCAACAATGACTTCGGCGATATACCTCTTGGCCCATTTGTCTCCTAAGGTTCCCAACATCTTTAACAACGTCGCACAGTCACCACCATTCAAATATTCCATGACCAAGTATAGGTAATCCTTAGTCTGGAAACTGCTGTAAAGTTGAGCAACATATGGTGAATCGGTTTGCTTCATCATAACCGCCCGCTCAGATCGGACATTAAGAACCTGATTCTTCGCAATCATATCTCTCTTCTTAAGACATTTAATGGCAACATAGTCACCGGTAAGTCTTCTTTTAGCCAAAAACACAGCACCAAAAGCACCTTTACTGATAGCCTTGATAATCTCGTAGTCCCTGATTCCTCCATTCGAAGGTTTGGACGTTGGTGTCTGTGAAACAAGTAATGGTGACAACGGAGGCTTGCTTGAGAAAGATGAACTGTTTCTGTTATGACCTGGGGTATAAGAAGCAGAGCTTAATTGCAACGGCGTACTTTGTTGACTGGTTATCAAAGTAGGCAAGCTGTTACTTCCAGATGAGCTTGTTCTTTTCTTAGACAAGGAAGCAGGAGGGACGGCTGGAACATCATCATTCATATCAGAATGCGTCATTGAGGGAGAACTTAATGGCGATGACTCCATACGTGAACCGAAGTTCCTTTGGAAGGAGTTAAAGTTTGGACGCTCAGTGTATGGGGCAGGTGAAAGATGACGCCTTGGAGACGACACTGTAGATGCATCAGATGCAAGCTCAGGAGGTCGTCTTGTGATATCAAGGTCCTTCAATGCTTCTTCGACATCTTTTCTGCTTTGACGAGTCTGAGAAGAGTGAGAAGATGCTGCAGAGCCTGGACGAGAGACCAGTCGTGTGATTTCCTCTATCAGTGGACTAACTCTGTCTTTGAGAAGATCTCTTGGGGTAATGGAATGCGGCGATGTTGATGAAGAGAGCCTTGGTCTATTTTCGTAGGGCTCACCTAATAGTCTAGACGGTGGACTTCTCACACGAGAAGGTTGTGGAGAATGCAAATTCCCAGGCTGAGAAAGTGGCAGCGGTGGTAATGCAGAAGGCGATGCAGATATGAAAGGAAATCCAGTTGCAGAGCTGGAGTCTGAATTCCTGTGACTAAACAGCGAATCACTCGAAGATGTTGATCTGTGACGGAAGTTTGACCTCGAGGATTGCGTACGAGGTTTATGATCAGGATTTTCTTGTTGATAAGTCTTTTCTCTGATTTTTGATACTGTGTCTTTGACTGATTGTAGAACGAGACTATCCACTTCTTGCTTGATCTTGTCCCCATACTGAATAATGGAAATAAGTCTTGTGAGTGATTCCATTTTTTCATTCACCAGCTGCTGAGTATCTTCAACCATCCTCTTAATAGCTGGATCGGATGTTTCAAGGGCCTTCCAATTCATGACAGCACTGATAGCACGTTCTGTATTTGGAGAGAACTGTAATTCACCTGTTTCATCATCTTTATCTGCGGGATTAATGTTAAGAGCCTCGTCGCAATACTCAAGAAGCCTCAGTAGAATTCCAAAGGGTAACTTTCGGGTCCGTAGAATGGAGTTCCTGGTGATTGTCTTCAACAGAGGAACATTTCCACGGGGCGATAACCCTTCCGAACTCATGGACGGTAGTGGGATTCCTTTGTACTCGTAAACGTTTCCAGACGCTACCGAGGATGTGGAGGAATTTGAGCTTAGTGTCAGCAAGGAGCTCAGCGATCCGCTGTGTGACTCAAACTGTTGCAGCCAGAGACTGTCCGAGACCTTCAATATCAAATCTCGTTGGTCTGCGAGAGCATCATGGCAAGACTGAAGCTCTTCCGATACTCTATGCTCGACAATGCACAAGTCTGAGTGCTTTTCAATGAACCACGCTGGGATGTTAGTCTCACAAATATGGCACAATATTAGCTTTGGGTCAGGGACAGAGTCCTCGTCTAAAATTCCAGCTTCCTTAAGGCTCAATAAGTAGCCTTCAAAAATCTCCGAGCCGAATCCCAAAAGATCAAAAAGCGCCTCAGGGATCGTGAGCTCCATGTCTATGTGAACAAACGGTTTGATGGTCCATATCGAGTAAGATGGAAGGTTTGTTTTACTGTCAAGGATAAGAATACCTTGTGCTTCTAGTTCAATTACGTCACCGTTATTGGAAACCTGTGAGTTTGTAGACGCATTGTCAAATGTGCTTTCGCCAATTGAAGAGGCAGGGCTCCGCTTAGCCGGTTCGACTGATCCTTCTAGTTCCTGCTCGTGTTCTAAAGATACCGGTCCACGTTCTTCAGGATCATCTTTATCTTCATCGTCTGTAACCTCCCTTTTGTAGACATCATTTGTAGCCGTAAGGAACTTAACCTTATACGAGGCATTGTCCTGGATCATCTGAGTAATGGCATTATTGAATACTTGCAAGTCTTGGTCAGAAGAACCTATAAGAATATTCAGTATAGGCTTACCCACAAGCTTCTTTACCAGTGTACCCACCACAAGCTCCCAGTTCTTCAGCATATAACGGATATTCCCGTCTAGGTCCAATTCCATCACCACGGCTGGGTTATTCGATGCGAGACGCAAGTCAATCTGCTCCTTCAACACATCAGTGAAGTCATGGCCCACATTACTCTTGCTTTCTTCTCCAGTAACCTCAAGAGGCGATATTGACCTCAAGTCTTTACGGTCAGCCACATGTGCGTCAGTGTCGTATTCCGGATCGTGAAACATGGCATTCAGAGGCGGATCCGCCGGCGAATTCCTCAGGGATATATGATCCGGATGTAGAAGACCCGCCAGCTGTGTCGGCTGCTTGTTACTGTTGTGGTCTGACGCCTGTTCAGCCATTTGGTGGTGTTTCTAGCTTATTTGGTTCTGAGGAAAAAAGTCTGGGGTTCAGGCAGGACAGTGAGGAGGTGATAATGTGAAATTTGCCTGTAAAAAAGGGGGCCTTACCAAGGCCACTTTTTTTTGGACTTCGGGTGGTCTTCAAACGATTTTTGTTTTGCTGGTGTTTATTGCTTCGGTCGTATTGCTTTGAAAAACGGGGTTCCATTTCGCAGCCATCAGGCCGATCACATACCAATTAACCTCGGAACCATAGGCATTGAGCTGTCATCTGGAAGATGGTTCCAGAACAAAGACGGCTAATTATTCCCTCTCGTTTCATCTTTGTTTGTTTGAGAAACTGGTTGACTGTAGAAGTTGCTCATGTATATGGAGAGACTAGACAAGTGACATGCACATGAGACAAGGACAGAGGTCTGAGACAAGGAGGAGGAGAATAAAGTTTGAAGGAAAACATTGTTGATTTAGGGGGTTGATCTATCTATTTGGCTTAGGGTTTATGGATGTAGAAGAAGCTTATGAGGAATGTACTTGCCTAAAGGTATAAGAACGGGTTTTACGAACTAACGATTGAACTTTTATGTGAAGCCAGAATAGATGGATAATCAAGTGGTTTTGGATGATTCAAAAGGCCTTCAAAATATACCGTAATTGTCGGCTTTACCTGGTATACATTGTGTTATACCATTGCAGCACGAAGCCTCGGTGAAGTTCACCGTTCGAACCCCCACACGGCCTAGAACGCTTTCTAATGTACCTACATTCTTTAAATGCTCATACTATGAGCTGCTAAGGCATTATCAACCGGATTGAGTGCCTGATTGGTCTTTCAGAGGGGAACTTACTTCGTCTTATCAAACTTTTGCGGTATTTCTCTTCTATACCAACAATGGTTGCTATAACTGTTATGTAGAGGCAATTTGGAGGCTATTAACCACGAATTGATCATATGCTGTCAATTGAATGAAAGCTTGAATTTTTATCGACTGTTTAAATAAAATTCTTGGTATGTGTTTCTCAGACGCCACAAGAAAGTCTGTGGCTTTAGTCCGATTTCGCAGATTGGTCACAAAATGGATACATAGCAAAAACAAAGAATTTAAAGTACAATAAGAAATACGAATAATAATTCAATGGGGGTAATTAGGCTTTTCTTTAGTGTAGAATTGTCATTTCAGGGGGCCATGATACAACTCGTATACCGTTCACCCGGAAATCAGTTGATATCGTATGCACCTAAACGCCCAGGCTGTGCGTTGATAACACACACAAAGCGATAAGATAAAATTGTACGGAGTTAAAAACTCTACAAGCACAAAACTAGTGTTGATAAATCACATTTGACCAAACTCAATGGAGTGGTCAAAGCCAGGGTTGTTGGAAACCACAGGCTGGGTTGGCCGCAACTAGTGCAAAGCCTCTGTTGAAGAATTAAAAAAGTTATATATAAAAGAAATCTTTTCTGTCATGCCGCCACGCCGGACGGCAACCTAAAGCCATTAGTCATGTGCCCAGTAGAGTTGGATCTAAAGGGCAGGGTTGTTGTTCGTAAAGTCGTTAAAAGTTGGATTTTAATCGATGCTAATGTCAGACGGGCTTTGTCTGTCTCTCCTGCTAAGGGCTCGGTCACTACTACGTGAACGAGTAAGCAGGCGTCTCGAGTGACCTCTTCTTGATCAGGTCCAACAAGTCCAGGTTGCGCTTCTCGTTCTTTTCCAAGATCAATTGCTTCAAGCACTTGTTCTCCATCTCAAGTGTCTTCACCTTCTTTTCAAGCAGGCTCAACTTGTCCTGGAGCTCCCTTGCTCTATCCTCCATCTGCTTCTCCTTCAACTTCTTCTTCACCCGGAAACGAGCGGAAGCAGCCGTGTTCTTCTTCCTCTTGAGCTCGTCCACAGAGTTTCTGTGGTACTCGCTTTCCAAAGGCAGTTGCTGTTCGGCGACGCTCTCTGTCTCCTCCTCTTTAATCTGAGCCAATGGCGATCTCTGGGAAGGAAGTTCAACCTTAACTGGGAACTGCTGGTACTGTTGTTGCTGCTGCTGCTGTTGTTGTTGCTGTTGCTGTTGCTTGGAAGGCGCCGAGTGGTCGGCCAGGAAAACGTCCAAGTCGAAAAAGTCAGTATGGGAAAAAACATCCAAGTCAGGAATAGAGCCCGAGCTCTGTTCGTCAAGAACAGGCAGCTCAAACTCTAGATTTAGGTCTGCGAGGTAATCTGAAGGTTGGAAGTTCATGGGGGAACAGGGGGAGATTCCTTCGAGGTATGGGGGAGGAATTGGTGATATAAGGAAGGATATATGAGTAATTGAGAGGCGGCAGAAACGACGGTATTTAAAGTGTGCGAAACGAAAAAAAAAATCAGAGGAGTCAGAAAAATTTTTTTTTTTTTTTTTTTTTTTTTTTTTTTTGCTGCTCCTGCTGCGAATTACTTACTCATACTCGCCTGTACCGGCAATAAATAAGCGCTTGAGCAATGCCGCCACGAAGCACTTTGGGGGACCCCTAAGAAACCCAACAAAAGACGATTCTGTCAATTAGCTTGAGGAAATACAACTGGTCTTTTTTCCCATGTATTTTGCTTACTAAAAGTGCATTTCTCTGCTACTTTAGTCCCCCTCGTTTAGTCCCCTTGGATCCTCTCGCTTACTGAGCACCTCCCATGGGCATGTCCCGCGCACGGGTATACGGACCAAACAGGAATCCATACATATGGGCGGTGCATAGCAGTTTCTAGTGTCCGTGCTTCCTCATCATAACATAAAAAAAAATACCCAGCATACCACTTTCTGGTAATTGAGAGTGTCTTTCTAGAAGTTGTAGTGGCTCTGGGGAAGATGTAGTGGCTGCTTCTAGTGAAAGTTGGTTTTGTATGGCGCTTGGTTGTGTTTTCCATTAGCCGCGGTTCCGTATCAATTTTTCACCACCTTCCAATTTGCAACCGTTTACTCTGGCCTTTAGCCGCCAGAACACCTGCTGGGTCCAGGGACTTTTTCTTGGAATCCATTTCCTGAATCGGTACGACCGTCCACGTAGCAGGATACTCTAGAAATGCCTGGCTTGGGTTATTTCCGACAAGTGGACATCCGCTTGGTTTACCTACTTGGTTATGCTGACAAACGTAGGCTGTGCAGGGACAGTAGAAGAGAACGTTGGACAAGTCGGAGCAAGTGCTGTTCTGGTGGATGGTGGATGTAGAAATGTAAATACTCAGCTCTTCACCTCTTCTTATTGGTCTCCTATTGGCGTTATCGTTGGGATACTTGCTGCGATCTGCTTTGCCTACGTTGCCTGTGATTGCACTATCCACCTCTTGAAGGCCATCATTGAAAGTAAATACCTCAAGAGGGGTCCACTTGGCTGGGGCCCACCTACTTGATGTCATTGTTATTTCTGGGCTTTCAGCGGAAGCTTTAACCGGCATTTTGATTGCAGCTGATGTTTCTTGCAGATGCAATCTTCTACAGACCAAGCATACTATCGCCCTAGTAAAATTGGCCTCATCAGCAAATGCTCTAGGCTTGATTGGCCACCAAAGCGGATGCATACTGGTTGAATGCATCTGGCCTTAGTCGAATAGTGTCACAAAAGAAGACGTAGCCCAAATTAGGCCATTCCTCAAAGTAAAAAAAAGAGAAATCATCCCTACGAAGGGGGTGGGATAAACTAGGCGATGGCTTTAATGGAGCATAGTCCGCTTTGCTTCTCCTTACAGAGATTAGCGGAGTGTTACAGATTGATAGCAATGGTGATTGTAGATCTTCAACTAAGATCAGCACTCATCGTAAGCGACAAAGTGAAGTTAGGGAATACAAGGTAGAAACCTCTTCATTTGTCTACGTCTTCATAATTCACTATAGTCCGTTTCCTATATACTTTGGTGTCAGGGTAGCCAGCCTGGCACCAGGTGTTGCTTCAAGCAGCTTGCTCATAGCCACTATAAGCATAAATTTGTCTAATTCATCATTGAGCGTTCTTCTAAATTTCGAATCACAATCTGTTTCTAATAGCAGCGTAGAAGCTAGTCACAGTATTGTTAAACTCTTCCGTAGCAACTGTACTGTCAAAATCATAAGCGAAACTTGGGCGATGGGTTAGCGATGACTAGCCCCCCAAAGCACTATATTAGCCTGCAAAAGATGCTCAATCAAATAAGAAAACATGCGCTTTGGGCAACTTCATTTTAGGCGAACCCATCGCGGCCATCACCGTTTCCAGAACACAAATTTAGTATGCTCCAGGGATAATTAAATTCAGTGACGTCGTTCAAGGTCCCCGGCTAATCCTAAATGAGGAGGGGCCAGGTTGTGTTGGAAATGTGCAAATGTAAAGTTTCTTATCAACTGTTGGCGAGCTTCCGTCATGGGCTTAAATCATCAAAGCAACCATTTATCACTTCTAGAGCAGCCGATAATAGGTCGAACGAACGGAAGAAATGGAGGATGATAGAAATATTTCTCAAACCATCTCAACCCTGGAGGCCATCCATGGTTTCATTCCTAGCCGCAGTATCAAAGCCGCCCAGTTATGAGCCGCCCAACAAGCTGCACGGTCTTCTCTAGGCAAGGCACGGCCACCCTGGCAAACTTAATTAAAAGGCATTCAAGGTACCAAAGGAAGCTTGGAGGAACGACAACATCGTTGCCTAGTGGCAACAGAAGCGTAGCGGCAGTCGTGGGTCATCTCATCACTATTTTTTCTCTTCAAAATGGGAAGCTCTAAATTACCACGATGCATCGACAAGGCGAGAGGCCTTGCTAGATTGGACAACGAAAAGGTAGGTATCATCAGATAAGCAAAGAACGTTCATCTCAACGGTTGCTGAGATCATTCTGTAGCCTCTTGAGGCTAATTAATCGGGCCCACAGGCCTTGTATTGCAACGGCGTTCGTCGGAGCCCCCACGCTGCGGCGATAATACAGCAAACAAACCACAAAGTAAGCTCCAGTAGGGGTAATACAGAAGACCAAAAATACTTTTCGCATGCGGCTCAGTAATCACCAAGTGGCCAATTACCTTGGGGACAAGTAAGCTTAGCCCTGTAGTAGTCAGCGGTAAAAGATCCACAAGAAGACTCTCAATGGTTGAGAGTATCCACAAGCAGCTGCAACACAAAGCCCTCACCATCCTTCTCTTCAAGGGCACCAGGTAAGGCAAATTTACGAGGTACTTCACTGGAGGACTCTGCTGCAAATGCCTTAAGCTCTGGCGATCCAAACGACATACGTCTGAGTCCCAGCGCCAGTGGCCCGCCAGTGGCACGCGCCAGGCTATGATTCTGGTGGGCTTGATGATTCTGATTCAGGGACTGATTTTGAGGATTTTGTTGCGAGTGGCCCTGGTTATTCAGATTATTCAGGTTCTGCTGATTCGAAGGCTGGGTTTGGCCTTGTTGATGTTGCGATTGAGATTGGGACCTCTTCTTGGGAGCATATGGGATACCATTGACAGCACACATCCAGATTCTTGTCTTGTAAATTCTGAACAATTCACGCACCAAGTCTCTAAAGTCAATACGGCGCGAGGTGGAGTAGTAGAAGATCAACTTCTTACGGTCAAACTGGTATTCGGCATCCACCAACTTCATCTGCATCAAATCGGACAGCAGCAACAGACCCAGGGCATTCTTGTCTAACATGTTGGAGGTCGAAGCGATCTTAGCCAAGCATAAGCGACAGGCCTTCTCTTCATCTTGCTTCTTGTTAAGGATCTGGATTGCCTCATTGTGCTGGGCCAAACCGATAATAGGTTTAGGAAAGTGAAGCGTTGGTGGAGCTACACCTGAAGTAGCAGCATGAGCTTGTGCGCCGTGGCCATGGAGCAGCTTCACCAGGAGATCGTGCACGGTGGTATCACAAAGCGCAGCCTGTTGTTCCAAGAATTGAAGAAGCTTGAGAAGACGAGCCTCGTCAATTGAGATGTTCATCTTGACTATCTTACCCAAATCACGACCACGGTCGGCTTCAACCATGACCAAATCACCGACAGAAAGCTGCTGGTCGAGGGTGCCAGGAAGGTAAAAGACATCAATTCTTCCAGCTTTAAACGCCACAAGCACGAGTTGATAATCCTGCAAAGAGCTCTCCACAGGGAACTTTGGAAGCTGGTATGAATCGCCCAAGTACTTTTCCTCATCAAAGAACCGCTGAGCAAGGTAATCTGCTGTAACCTTCACACGTTGATGAGGGTCCAGAGAGAAGTAGTCATGAACTTGGCCCAATGCACCACCTGGGCCATTGGATTGATTTGATTGAGTAGTTGCAGCTGGAGGAGCAGCCGCATTAGCAGAAGCGGGCCCTGAAGCCGAAGCTGCTGCCGAGGCATTTGCTGGAGCTGGGGCTGAAATGGGTGCAGAAGCGGCACCTGGAGCCGCGGCAGCGGCAGGGCCCGAGACCGAGCTGCGCGGGATATAGTTGGAAAAAGCCCCAGGCGATGTATTGAGGGCGCCAAGGCCATGAGGCATGTTGGGCGTTTGAAGACCATGGAGGCCATGAGGAGCACCAGTTGGGCCAGGAGCACCATTAGCACCGGTGGGACCAGAAATCAGGGACGAGTGGCTGGTAATGTGGCTAGTGGGCTGATTTGGTGCGTTACCAGGGTGGTGGCCAGGGTGCAGAGATTGAGCGTGTCCAGGGGCATTCCCCGGAGCATTGCTTGGCCAACCCAGGAGGTTAGCGCCAAACATCAGCCATCCAGCCTGAGCCAGATACCCACTTGGAAAAACGTCTCCAACGGAATGTCTTCTACTGGCGTCCCATGGCGGCAGAGTGTGCGGCAGGTCAGGCCCGCGCCAGGGATCGTTCCAGATTCCAGGCGCAAATGAAAGTTCCGGCTGATCATAGCTGTAGACACCACCACTGGTGCCATGACCAGAGGCCGTAGTAATACCAGTGCTAGCAGCGGTGGCGGTTCCCGAGAAGGAGCTGAAACCACTGCCACTGCCACTGCCACGAGTGTATAAGGAAGGTCTTATAGTGGGCAGACCAGCACCTGGAGCACCTGGGACACCCGTATGGACAGAAGCGTCGAGGGAAGGGTTCCGGTCAGGAACACGACGGTCAGCAGAGGCCCGGTCATGGGGTCTTTCAGGGTTGGAGTTGATAGGTGCCCAGATACTTTGTTCGAGGGAGTTTCGACGAGAAGACTGGAAAGGCAGTGAAAACTGCGGCGGCGAGGAGCCAAACATTTCTAGGTGGAGTCTCTATTGAATCTAGGGAAAAAAAAGTGGGTGGTGGTTGGAAAGGTGAGTTTGAGTGGGAGGGGACTTGAAATAAAGGAGGAGCAGCCAATTGAAAAAAACACCAAAGGCAAAAAAAAAAAGAAGCTTAAGTTGACTCTTTTATTTGGTTTTTTTGGAGGTCTTTTTTTTTTATTTTTTCTCGGGGAACGGCTTCTCTTTTATACGATGGATCACCTTTTTCTGTAGGTCAGTTACTGTCAATCTCAAATAAGCGTCTTGCGTTTGGGGTTGCGTCTGGAGTGTTTCTAAAGAAACCGAATGGTTAGTAAACCTGGAGGAATAAGGCGAGACTTGGAAGAAAATAGAGCCTCGGGCTCGGAATGAATGGTATAGAAAAAAAAAAAGCAAAGGGCAAGGCAGGAAAAAAGAAGCTTTATATGAATAATGGGGCGTGGCCAGGGTTTATATGGTAGTGGGCCAGGCGGTGGATTACAACAAAGAATGGGGACAGAAAAAAAAAAAAAAAAAAAGGCAAACAGGACAAACAGGACAAACAGGGCAAACAGGACATATGTGGGAGGGGCGGTTTTTTAGCCTGGCTGCGAAATGCAATGCGGAATCGCGTGAGGCATAGTGGTGCGAGGCAGAGGCAGAGGCTACCTGGCTGCCTGGCTGTCAGGGAGGCAGAAGAAGTAGAAGAAGTAGAAGAAACAGAAAGAGAAGCAGAAGAAGCAGACAAAGTGGTATCCCTATCCTTCAGAGCCTTCGGGCTACGCCCTCAGGCTCGAGGGTGGCTGAGGAGGCTGATTATCTTAAACACTTATCTATTCCAGGAGGGATCGATGGTGGACTGGTTGATATTCCACTGGAGGTGGGTTGGCTACTGGTCTCGGGCAATACTGCGTGGGGTGGATTCCCTGGGGCACTGGGGGCCCACAGGTGCTAGCCTTTGGAGTGAGACTGCAAAGTACACCCCTAGGATCTCAGACCTGCCAGACCAGACCACCACCAACCACCAACCTAAACCTACCACCAGGCAAGGGTGGACCAGCTGAAACATAAGGATATGAAATTTGAAAGCCCCATGAACGAACGCCCCACGCTGCATTACCAATTACACTTTTGCTTCTGCAGAGCCTCACTTCTCCCTAGAGCTGGGGATCTGGGATCTGGGATCTGGGGACCAGGGAGACTCTAGGGGCACCCAGGGAGCCGAATACCACTCCAGTGCCTCCGAGGCGGGTGTACCACTTTGCTCATTTCTTCATTTCTTCATTTGCTCCCTGTCTCTGTCTGCCTCGCCCTGGCCACCTCCACACACCAGCCCTCCATTCCATCTCCATCCTTTAACATCCTTACACTCTTTCCCTCCCTCTCCTTCCCTTCGTGACCGCCTTGCCCGAGTGCTCATCTGTTCCTGACCGTTGCTAGACCCTCGATGTAGTGCGGCAATCGGGACTGTCTCTGGGCGCGCGCCTCTGCCTACCTGCTGCTGCTGCCTCGACCCTTGACCTAGTTTAAGGTTTTTGTTCCCCTTCGCGGCGGCCTCACTATCTCTGGTCAGGCAGTTCACCCTCCCTTCAAACCAACAGCCAGCTGGTTCCTACGATACTTCCCTGAAAGTGTCCCCCATGCCCACTTGCCCTTGCCCTGCCCTGAAACAAATCCCATTCCAGGGGCTCGCCCCGCCACTACTTTTAGACTTTTCCCATTTCCCCTTGGCCTGTCGATCCATACCATGTCACTGCCTGCCTGGGACTGCCTGGCTATACCCTCCTTGGCGAATCTTGGCTCGCCTGCTCCATTGTGCGCCTTGTTCAAGCCTACCCACATTATCCTCTATCACTTTGTTCCTTCTTTGCTTACTAGATAAACTGCTCCCCCTCGCCTTGTCACTGCTTCATTCTGGTCCCGCATTATTACCATTTCCGTCTGGTCTGGCGCTACTGGCAAGGCTGAACCTTTCCTGTTTAGTACACCTTTTTCATGGTCGAGGTTTTCCACGCAGGGTCTTCTTACCTGTCCATTCTTGTTCGGCCAACCATCGTATCTTTAATTTTTTCACCACTCCCTACTATCTACAATGTCGTGTAAAATTTTTGTGTCTTAGATTAACAATTACCGCTGTCCATACTCCTGGCACCTTTAGTACTGTCCTGATTCGTCACCAGCACTCAACAACTCTCCCACAAGAACTGAACATCATCTCTCCCGTTGAAGCTCCTTCTCTACTGGTACTGCTGCTGGTTAGGCATGTTTCCATTACCCATTCCACCAAAGTACCCATAGGGATCGTTGTAGTTCCCGCCCTGGGGAAGAGGCAATCCTCCCAGAGGATGGCCCTGTCCTTGATATGGCATCTGGTGCGGCATGTGTGTGGGTGGTAACTGCTGCTGTTGATGCGCTGCTGCCGCTGCTGCTTGATGCTGTTGATGTGCCTGTACTTGTTGAGGATGTGGGATCTGCTGTTGCTGTTGCGGTTGCTGTTGTTGTGCCTGAGGTGGTGCTGGACTCTGGTCGGGCAGCTCCTGCGAGTTACCATCACTCTGCTCCCCTTGTTCATCACCCAATCCTTCTTCGGGTGCATTCAAACATGCCTGAATCAAGTTCTTACCCTCAGACTTTGTCACAAGCGGCTGTAATTTAGGCGTGGTGAAAGTATAAACAAGACCGGTTTCACTCACAACCAACAACAAAACTTGCGTTCCCGTCAACACGGATAATTCGTAAGCCTTCTTCATAATACCGGCTTTTCTTTTAGAAAATGTAATGTGTCTTCTGGATTTATCTTGAATAAATTTAATTTCAATCTTTCTTCTTTCCTTTTGTTGTTTGCCTCCAGAAGGTTCATCATCCTCCTCCTCGTCACCACCAACACCCGAGACGGATCCCCGAGCGAATTGAGGTTCTTGAGAGTCGAGCTCGTCGCTGGCTTCCAATTTAGCTTGGTTTGTCACGCTGGACATTCTGATGTTAGTAAACTTGAAAAAAAAAAAAAATCATAATAAAGGGATCCCGAGCGAAAATTCCGTGCACCGCCGTCAACAACAAAAAACCACCAACGCCAATGTGCCCCTATAAGGCCACAGCATCGATTTAATTCATCCCTTGAGCTGTTCTTGTTGGTCTCACTGTTGATGTGGTGGTGTTGGTTGTGATGCACCGTCCAATTTGGGAAGGTCTTCGTGCCCAATTGGGTAACATCGTCAAAATCCCACTGTCAACGAGAAAGGGATGTATTTGACAGGCGATTGATTAACTTCATGATAAAACGAATACATGGCGTGCTGGAGCTAGCTCGTGGGATCCTGACCCGCTGAAAATTTGGGTGTTCTTCTTATGAAACACATACCTTCTGACACGTTCTGATATGGGAAAGCTTTATCAAGCAAGATCAAAACAGGATTTGGGGAATTTGAGAATTTAACTCCTTTTGGAGGTTTGGTCTGTGCACGCACCGTACCAATTTTTACGCGCGCCGACTCCCAGATTTACCGCACCCGGTGGCCAAGCACGCTCGTCTTGCATGCTCCTCTCTCCCTGCTCCAAAAATTTCCCCTGACTTCATGTCATTAGGAAAGTCGAGGGTCGGGCGAGGCTGGCAAAACCCCGAATTTTTTTTATTGGAGCCGTGGCGTTTGGCAAAATAGCCTTTTTGAAGGTGGACTCCCAATTGGGAGGCGGGCTTATTTTTTTCACCACAAAATCCGCAGCGGGACCATTTGTTTTTATTGGTTCTAGACCACTTGGGGTTTTTTGGCTTCGTGTTTTTTTTTTTTTTTTTTTTTTTTTTTACTCCTCTTTGTCTCAGTCGGCACGGGGCCGTCTGTGTAGATACCGACGTTGCCGATCCTCACTTTGTGGCTTCCACGTCTTAGATCATTTGGCTGCAAATGTCAAGTCATGTTGGCGTTTCGGTGCCTCGAATTCCAGAAACCTACCGAATGCGGGAAGCGACTTTGAGATGGTTTAAAGTGAAAGATGACTAGTAGGAGACTCTTGAGCTCAGGCAAAGCGGGAACACCTTAGTACGAACAATGCACTTTAAAGCAGGTGAAAAACTGACGTGGGGAGGCCTGACTGCCGTTCGAAAACCAGCAGGATGGGATCATAGCTGCCGTCAGACAACGCCGACAATGAAGGCACTCTGCTTTGCATTTGATGGAGTTGTGCTCGTGTATCGAGTTCGTATTAGTAGTGCTTTGGTGCTGCTTGACTCGTCCATGACGGCTTTAAGTTTCTGCCTCCACAGATTCTGCTTTCTCTTCGTTTCCTTGTCCATTAGAAGCATCTTCGCTGGCCTCTGGATTCGGGGTTTCTCTTACTTCTTCAACCTCTGCTTCCTCTTTGATTCCATTCTCGGGACCAGGCGTTAAACCTGGAGTCTGGTTAGGCGTTTCTTGAGGTGTAGGCAAAACAAGGTCTTCCATAGTCAACTCACACGTATCCAAAGAAAAGTTCTTCAATAGGGTTTTGATGGCATCTTTTATCTTTTGGAACGGAAGCTTTTCCTCTGGTTTATGGGCTGCTACGAGCAAGCACCTATAAAGTGGAGACTTTGTGAACACTGCCAAAGGAGCCTCTTCAGCAAACTTGCCTGCTGCTCGTAGTTCCTTAATAATAGCATTTTCGTTTTTCAATTCTCCATCTAGTAAAGTAGGAGCAACTTTCTGGAAGATATTATCGAACTGCTCATTATAGTATGCGGAATCTTCTTGTAATTGAGCCAGAGAAGGAAACTCATTGACGAAGTGTTTTTGTTCCTTCTCGTTGTCAAAGATATAATCGCCAGTCTCAAAGTCGTAAACGCTTTCACCAAGACCCCAATCACTGCCATACTCATCATCCTCCAAATCGCTTTCATTAGCATTCTCGAGATCCTTTTCATACTCCTCATATGAAGTGTATCTCTCCTCTTTTGGCGCTGTCTTTTTAGTTGTGGCCTTCTTTTTAGCAGGTGCTTTTGCTTGTGACTTGGTGGTAGTTTTCTTCGTTTCCTTAGCCTTGCTAGCCTTAGTAGCCTTGGTAGCTTTGGTAGCCTTTTTCAGCTTATCTTTCAGGCCCTTGAGACTGAGTTTCAACTTAAGCTTCTTCTGGGGTGGCTCTTCAACTTCTTCTTCTTCCTCTAAAGAATCAGAAACCTCAGGTTGACCTCTTGAGCCCCAGAGGTTGAATTGTTGCATATCAGGTGGATCCTTAGCCAATTCGTAAGCAAACACAAGTAGCTCATCCTTCCTTTTACCAGCAGTAGCGTGTTTATCCAAAAACAGCTGGATTTCTTCGTCTAGAAGAATCTTCAAGTCGTGGTTTCGTATCCAAATATACGTATCGTCACTGAAAAAACGAACAGGAACAAGAATTGTCGGCAGCGACTTTTTTTGTTGCTTGACAGACTTTGGTTTCAATTTTTTGATGTTCTCTGGCAAAATTTCCTCATCTAGCACCATTGCTGGCCATGCTCTATAGCCTTTCACCTTCGCTAGAACAATTGTTTTCGGGGTCAAACCGAGCTCTTCTTGAAGATTTGAAGAGCCGGATTCGCTCTTGGGAACATTTTGTTCCTGATCAGCAGCTTCATTTTCCAACGGCAATCCGTTAGTTTCGTCAGACATGGCTGTTTTGGAAAGATAGATCGATGAACAGTGAGAAGTAAGCTATGTATTGTTCGTGTATCAGTCTAATGCAGGAGACGTGCCATGAAGCCACCAAGAAGATGTATTTTGGGCTTCAAGGGACGTCTTTAATACGTCAAAGTGTATAAAAAAATTATCTGTGTCTTCTATATTATGTTTTCTTAATTTCTTTACCTTTTGGGTTGCGTTGGTGCCGACTTACGGAAAGGTTGGTGCCTGGAAGACGTGGCTGCGAAAAGTCTGTAGCAAGAGTGCAACCGTGGTTGTTACCGCTTTGTGTCCAAAAGAAAGGGTTTGAAGAACAGGATGCAAAATGAAACATTCGTTATATTTTGACAAGCTTCTTATCTTCTTGAATTTCGCAGGATTATGCTGGATAAGGACCTGGATTGGTGAACGCGTGCACTTACAGCCTCTTGTCAGCTTGCAACATAACTTATTTCGATATTTTGGCCTAAAAGCGTCCAAATTATCAACCCAACAAGCTAACCTCATTAAAGCCTTCCCATTAGAGAACCCCTCTTCCATTGGGACCCTCCAGACGGTATCTCCCAGAGCACCCACCAAATCACCATCCCAGAATTCCAAACACGGAACGGCCAGCGTTCCCACCACAATTTCCCTTCCCTTATCTTCTCCCTTCCATACTTTTACCACCCCATTCTCTTGCCCCACAGCCACAACCAGATCCTCTGTAGCACAACCAACTCTGGATTTTGCACCCATTCCTTCACCACAGAAAGTGGCCTCGCGCACTCCATTTGCAGCCATTCTCACTGCTCCAGACTCAAACACCACTGCTAACTGGTCTCCAGAAGCCATACCCACAACTGCTCCTAGATCACCAAAATCAATTTCCTCTTTCTTCAGTGCCCGTAGGTCTATTTGGTATACTTTTCCATCGGCACCAGCAGCGTAAACGCCATTTTCAGCAGCCTTCAATGCGTATAGATTATCTTTTGCTACCTTCACCAGATGCACTTTCTTAGTACCAACTCGAGTATCCCAGAAACTCACACCACACGCTGCTCCAGCAGAAACAGCCAATTGAGGCAGTAGCCAAGAACAAGCAGCTGCCAGGTCTGGCGCCGAAAGACGAGCCACCGCAGTTCTGGTCTGCTTTATCACGTCCCATGTCAGTACAGTCGACCCAGCGGCTGCGAAAAGCGTCCCATTGAACGAAACATCAACCACTGCTGTAGACAGGCACTTTTTAGGGAAGGGTCTATTCGGGTCGAATTTTTGAATAACCATATCTTCTTGGTCTATTTTATGGCCACCTCTAGAAGCACCAAGCTGGTCCACCTTCAGTAGGTTCCTCAGGCTGTCCTCGCGCGCTGGGCCAGATATCTGAGTATCCAGTATACTCAGTAGCTCCAGCAGACCTAACTGTCCTTCACTTCCACCATTGAACAGCACAAGTGCAAGTGACGAGTCTGTATTGCCCACAATGGCGTACGATGGAGAGACCATCGCGAGAGACGAGATCATGAGAGGTACAGAAGAAGACGAGAAAGAAGAGGAGGTAGGTGGATTGGACTGGTTGATGGGAGATGGTTTGTGCGAACCCAGGCAGGACAGTACTGAGGGAGTCTTAAGGGTTGGGGACTAGAAACTGTTCAATTGTGGAGAAGTAGTTGTAGAACTGATGAATTGTTGGCTGGAAGGAAAGGGTTTAACCAACTATGTTCTTTGATTTCGGTGGAGAAGTGTTCCAGAGTATCAGATGAAGACCAATGGCCTTAGCCATGTACACTTCAAGGCCAGCATTTTTCGAATGTATCCAGCCTGATTTGATGAAATCCATTCCGTAAGGCAGCCATCAAAACATCAATTTTATGCTTTAGTTATGGTCTAAGATAGGTCTGCTTTTGATGAACATTTCTAGAAAGAATTATTTGAGTTAGTTAAGTTCCCAGGCTCTGAATTAGACAGATATTCTGTTCAAGGACAGTACAAGATAAGTACTTTCCAATGGTCGTTCTGGGAATGAGGTCTACATGTCTTAGACTAGGAGGCTCCAATAGATATCATAACCCAAACATGCGTACTTAAATAACTTTCCAAGCTTGTATTTTTCCAAACCTAGAATCTTTTGTTGTTTTAGATCTTTAACTAGACATACACAGACCAAATAACTATAGACTGTAAAAAGCCCCATACGAAAACCCAAAACAAAGTCGTCTTCTTCTCCAACAATTCCTCACTTAACTCCACCATATACCACTCTATCTCCGAAATCCCAAACCGCTACCACCACCACCATATCACCAGTCAACCTAGACCCACAACTCATCTCGGTTGGTCGGTACCTCCAAAGTGTATGGCCCACTGGCTGCAAAATGGGATCTGCATCTGCGGCTGCGAACCGCCAATCAGTCCCAGAACCATCACCTGAGGAACCACCAGTACAGTAAGAAAGAGCAGCAAGGGAGAGCAAATAACCGATAAACGAAGCATAGTAGAAGTCCCGCCAGCAACTACGGAAAAAAGTAACCTTTTCCCAAAAACTCCCAAACAAAGCTATTGTTTAGATGTGGTGTTCCAGAATGCGTCCAGGGCTCCATTGCGGCGCCTGGAAGTTTCAGTCAGGGAAGTAACCAGCCCAGCTGTCAGTTCCAACAGAACTATAAATTCCAAGCCTTTAGTAAATGGAAGCCCCCAAGCCAAGCAAATGCCAACTAAACCAGTTCTTCACTCGCCGCAAAATGCAACCTTCCTGGTTCCCTCCTGGCTCTGCTCGGCTGCTCGGTGGGTTGGGTGCTCGCACTGGGGCCGGGCCGGGAAGCATCCATCCATTTAGGGGCTTCCTCAGCACACTCTATTGGATAACCTCAAGCCGAAACTTCCGCCAGGCCCCCAAAATGCCAATAAACAGCAACAAACAAACCTTAACAATCAAATGTAATTAATGGTAGAACGTTACCGACTCTCCTTGTCTTGTTCCTCGTCCCTTGTCGTCTGGTCTCTTTCTCGTCTGTTGGGCCCTCGTGCCTGGCCTGGTGTCATCTACAGTGCAGCGGCTCAACTGGGGACTCCTCTGGGGACTCCTGAGGTCCAACAAACCCACGAACCAACATTCCAAACCAACACCAAAACATAATTACTTGCCAGAAAATAAACACGAAATGCTTCTTCATTTAGCATATTATTAATTTGTATACTTTGCACCTTTGCTGTCCCGCCTCATCCTCTTCTCTCATCCCTGGCTTGGGCAATTCCACCCAGTGGCCTCATACCACTCACTCCTCGCTGTACAATTGGCGCCGCACCGCACCCTCGTATTTTCGGGCCCGGAGTCTGAGCTTCCCAGACGTGAATGGTCAGCCATTGGGATGAAAACTTGTAATACAAAAAATTGGATAAGATAGTCGTTTTCTTTGGGTTTCTGGGATTCTGAAACATCCCTTAAAATCACTTTATCGGTTTGTGGGCCCTTGCAATGGGCCTACCCACCTGGACTCCATGCCCCGCGCATGGGGCCATTTTCCTATTTCGCAGCAATTGGGATGGCTTCCCTAATTCTTCACTACCTACTTCTTCTTCTTTTCTATTCAATTGCCAATGGGTGACTACGTAACGCCGGCGGCCATGCCGCAGCCAAAGTTGAAACGTACCAACACTGGCTTTACACAAAATCAGATTATCGCTTTTGACGCTCAGATCCCAGAGTCTGCTAAGGAGATCTGGCGTAAGTACCTGAAGCTTCACTCCATTGACTCCTCGAGAAAGCTTGGTGCAGAGGAGGAAAAGACCACCGTTATTGGCAATGACGAGTTTGAACGTTCTTTTGTCAGTAAGGTCGAGTTCAATTTGGCCAGAAACATGTACAATTGTGATGCAATGGCTGCCTACCACGCCGCTCTGGCTTCCATCAGAGACAATTTGCTTGTGGATTGGGCTAACACTCAACAAAAGCAGACCATTCACGATGGAAAGAGAGTCTACTATTTGTCGCTTGAGTTCCTTATGGGTAGAGCCATGGATAACGCCTTGATCAACTTGAAGAGCCGTGGTGTGGTCAAACTGGCTCTCCAGGGTTTGGGTTTCAACCTTGAGGATGTCCTTGAAGAGGAACCAGATGCTGGTCTTGGCAACGGTGGTTTGGGTCGTTTGGCTGCTTGTTTTGTCGACTCCCTTTCTTCCAGAAACTACTCAGGCTGGGGCTACGGTTTGAACTACCAGTACGGTATCTTCAGACAAAGAATTATTGATGGATACCAGGTTGAGACTCCTGACTACTGGTTGAAGGATACCAACCCTTGGGAGATTGACAGACACGAGATTCAAATTCCGATCAACTTTTATGGTGATGTGGAGGATGTCTATGACGAGACTACAGGTCAAACCAGAAAGGTATGGACTGGTTCCGAGAGAGTTTTGGCCATAGCCTCTGATTTCCCGGTGCCTGGTTACAACACCACCAACACCAATAACTTGCGTTTATGGAACTCGAAACCTACAAACGAATTCGACTTCAACAAATTTAACGCTGGTGACTACCAACAATCCGTGGCCGCTCAGCAGGATGCCGAGTCTATCACTGCTGTCTTATACCCTAACGACAATTTTGACAAGGGTAAGGAATTGCGTTTGAAGCAGCAGTACTTCTGGGTTGCAGCCTCGTTACACGATATCGTGAGAAGATACAAGAAGAACCACAAGAGCGACTTTTCCAAGTTCAGTGATCAGGTTGCCATTCAATTGAATGACACACATCCAACTTTGGCTATTGTTGAGTTGCAGAGAATCTTAGTGGATATCGAGGGCTTAGCTTGGGATGATGCTTGGTCAATTGTCACCAAAACTTTCGCCTACACTAACCACACTGTCATGTCTGAGGCTTTGGAGAAGTGGCCTGTGTATGTTTTGGGCAATTTGTTGCCTCGTCACTTGCAAATTATTTACGACATCAACTACTACTTCTTGAAGAGTGTTGAGTCTCGTTTCCCAGATGACAGAGGCTTGCTTGGCCGTGTTTCCGTTATTGAAGAAGGCGACCCTAAGTCCGTGAGAATGGCCTACTTGGCAATCATTGGTTCCCACAAGGTCAACGGTGTTGCTGAGTTACACTCTGAATTGATCAAGACCACAATCTTCAAGGACTTTGTTAAGATCTTCGGTCCTGATAAGTTCATCAATGTTACTAACGGTATCACACCAAGAAGATGGTTGCGTCAAGCCAATCCAGAATTGTCAGCTTTGATCTCTGAAGTGCTTAATGACAAGGACTACGAGTTCTTGACTCACTTGGGCCGCTTGAAGCAGCTTGAGCAGTTCGTGGATGACGAGAAGTTCTTGAAACGTTGGGATGCTATCAAGTTCAATAACAAGAGAAAGCTTGCAGCCCTCGTTAAGGCAGAGACAGATGTCGACTTGGACCCAACTGTTATGTTTGATGTACAGGTGAAGAGAATTCATGAGTACAAGAGACAGCAAATGAACATTTTCGCTGCTATCTACAGATACTTGAGAATTAAGGAATTGCAGAAGGAGGGTGTCTCTATTGATGACATTAAGTTGAAGCATTTTATCTCCAAGGCTACAATTATTGGTGGTAAGGCTGCTCCAGGTTACTACATGGCTAAAACAATTATCCATTTGGTTAACACTGTTGGAGAAGTTGTCAACAATGATACTGAGATTGACAACTTGTTGAAGGTTGTCTTCATTCCAGACTACAATGTTTCCAAGGCTGAGATCATTTGCCCTGGTTCTGACTTGTCTAACCATATCTCCACTGCCGGTACCGAGGCCCTGGGTACTTCCAACATGAAGTTCTCACTTAACGGTGGTCTTATTATTGGTACTGTGGATGGTGCTAATGTTGAAATTACCAGAGAAATTGGCGAGGACAACATCTTCTTGTTCGGTAACTTGGCAGAGTCCGTTGAAGAAATCAGACACAAACATCTCTTTGAGGGCGTCAAGGTTCCAGAGAAGTTGCAGAAGGTGTTTGATGCCATTAACCTGGGAATGTTCGGTGATCCAGCCGAGTTCAGACCTTTGATTGACTCCATCACCCAACATGGTGACTACTACTTGGTCACTGACGATTTCGAGTTGTACTTAGAGTGTCAGGATAGATTAGAACAGGTCTACGGACACCACGGTGGTGACCTGGAAGATAGAGATCACTTACAGAGATGGGTCAAAAAGTCTGTCTTGTCGGTTGCCAACATGGGATTCTTCTCCTCCGATAGATGTGTCGATGAATACGCCGAGAACATCTGGAATGTTGAGCCCCTCAACCAGTGAGCTTCAAAGACGGATGAATAACCTCTAGACGTACAGAGGTTCCGTTACTAAATTTGGTATTTACATTAATTGATTCGTTTCTTAAGTAATGTCTTCCATTTTTACCATTTCCAATTAAGCATGAGCTACTTTGATGACCCAACGGATTTTGTCTAGTGGGTTATTAGCGCTCGTACTAGCGGAATATATGTATACCTGACAAGAGCACATCAACCATTATCAACAGATTCATTGTTCATTGTTGGATCACCAACAAAGGATGTAACGAAAACCAGAAGATCGGCGTTTGAAAGCAAAAAATATTGTTTGATTTGGAGAGAACAAGAAGTACTCGTTGTTTACGTTGGCCATGGTGAAACACCGTATATGTTGGTGAGGAAGCGTAGTGACGAAGCACCATTATGCCAGCCTTGAATACCAGCGTAGTAGATTGTTTAACTAAGAAAGAGTAGATTCCAAGAAATAATGCCTATCATCTTTACCTATTCTAGAAGGTCACTTCGGCTCGTAAAAGAGCCCTATTGTTTAAACCAACTGGACTAAAGCCAGACCAGGACGTGAAGTTTTTATGAAGATGAAGTCCAAATCAGGGGAAGCCAGGATTACAGTTCCTAGGTTAAGAAGCTAGGTGGTACCATGAAATGGTAGGACTGGTTTGGCTACTAGACTTCCTTGACAAGGCCACCAACAACCACACATAACCAGCTAGCCCACTAAGACCAAAATATACCCAAACAATAGAAACCACAACCTATAAACAGCCTGTTACTTATACTTACTTTGTCTCACCATAGTGTACCCTTATCAGCAAGTGCCTGCTTGCCTGCTTCTATAATTGGCAGATCCAGTACCTTCAACGCACCCACCAAGCACCTCCAACGGCACCTCCAGAAGCCTTCATTACTTCCATTCCAAACCGACTATAGTCTTTCTCTTTCCCTTTCCTTCACTCACTCTCCCTTTCCCTTCCCTTTCCTTCCTTTCCTTCCCTCTCCCTCTGGTTTCATCACCGTCGTTGGTTTCCATTTGCAGCCAGGAGCCTCACAGGCACAGCCACAAAGCAGGAAGAAAGCACAAAAGGAACGGAAAAACACCCAACTGCCGAGAACAGATAGACGAGTGGACGAAAGGGACACAAAACCAGCATGTCGTCGAGGTCCCCCAAAAACCCATAACAGCAAGAAAAGGCCAGATTCTACATTACCTTACCAGTAGACCTTCTTTAAGGGTTTAATGGTTGCGAAAAAAGCAGGGCCGAGAGAAGAGTAGGCAAAAAAAAGGGCAAAGCCCCACGTCTCCAAGCCTCGGCAGCTCCGCTAGATCAAGCCGAAAAGCTCCCTTAAACGCCACTAAAAACCACAAAAATTGCCCCAAATTCTACTTGTCTGTAAATATCTCTCCATTACACAAACGTCCCTTTTCTTCCCATATGCCTTTCCTTTCTGTGTCCTTCCCCTTCTTGGAAGTTAGCCAAGAGTGAACCCGCGGGGGGTCCTCCCACACTCTCTCATGCGCACCCGATCTTTAACTTTGTACATCTTCCCTGATAAATTTCTCCAGTTCAACTACCACCTTCTTCTTCTTCCTTTTTCCATTTCAGCATGTGGGCATTGTTGTTTTTCGTGCTCACCGTGTGGGCCAACCCGATCAGCTTTGCCCGAGAAGAACTCTTTGCCAATAAGGGCGATACTCGGGGCGACTTTTATGTCTCGTCGTTGCCTGGCTTGTTCAGCCTTGATACCAAAGACATCCCGGTGATGTTTGCGGGCCAGGTGAAGCTATATCAGGAGAACGACACGCATTACTTCTTCTGGAAGTTTGAGGATCAGTATAAGGCGCCGGTGGCAGAAAAGAAGATCATCTTTTGGCTAAACGGTGGACCAGGGTGCCTGTCTATGGATGGAGCGTTGATGGAAGCGGGTCCTTTGAGGATCAATAAGCATCAGCAAGTGGTGTATAACCCTGGCTCGTGGCATAAGAAGGCGAACATGGTGTTCGTAGACCAGCCAGCAGGCACTGGCTTTTCTTACTCGGACGATAAGGCTAACAACTTGGATGACGTGCTGTGGCACTTCTTGAGGTTCTTGGATAAGTACTTTGCACTTTTCCCTGAAGAAAGGGAGTACGATATCATGTTGGCTGGTGAAAGTTACGCTGGCCAGTATATCCCGTATATTGCCAATGGCATCATTCGTCATATGCCCGATCTCAATCTTAAGGGTCTATTGATAGGAAACGGTTATATCGACCCTTACACGCAGGGTCTTTCATATGTTCCTTTTGCAACCCAGGCCGGTCTTATTTCTCAGGACCATCCTAACTGGAAGGATCTTCTTGAACGTCACCAGGAGTGCCAGAAACGTATTGACGAGGCTAAAGCTCACAGGTCTCCAGCTCGCGCAGACGTTGCTTCAAGAGTCTGCGATAACGTGCTCAACCTGTTGCTTATGTTTACTAGACACAAACATGGGCCTGTTAACGAGCAGTGTTTCAACATGTACGATTACACACTCAAGGACTCTTACCCTTCTTGTGGTATGCATTGGCCACCAGACTTGCAACATGTGACACCATTCTTGCGGGACGAAAAAGTCATGAAGAGTTTGAATTTGGTGAATAAGATGCAATGGAAGGAATGCCGTGGTATCGGGTTAAACTCTCGTGATTCGGCTCCAGCTATCGAGTTGTTCCCGGAACTTTTAAAGCATACCAACATCGTCCTCTTCCATGGTAACAGGGATATTATTTGCAATTATATCGGTGCTGAGTATCTTATCAAGGAGTTAAATTGGAACGGAAAGCAAGGTTTCTCCACGTCGTTGCCTACATATGACTGGTTTCATGAGGGCACGAATAGCGGCTACATCCAGAGCGAGGCCAACTTGACCTATGTTAACGTGTTCGACGCCTCGCATATGGTTCCATTTGACAAGCCAGAGTTATCAAGTGCCGTGGTAGATCTTTTGTACGCACGGTACGATGTTGAAGAACCACAAGGCAACAAACCTAAGATCATCACGCACAAGTTGTCCTTTGATGCTGAAGCAGATGAGTCCAGGCCAACAAAACCTGAGGAACCTGCCGCCGCTGAAAGCAGCGCTAGCCCATTGATCTCACCTTTGCCAATGGTTAGTGGAAATAGTACCGTTTCTACTGACGGATCTGGCAACCAATACAGCAATGCACTCGTGCGTCTCATCCAGTTTGCTGTCATTGTCGTTCTCATATGGGGAGTCTGTGCACTTTTCTCGGCCTACCGTTCGAGACCATCTTCCATCATTAAAACAAAGTCTTCCAACCGTAAGAAGAATGTCCAGTGGGCAGATCAACTAGAGGAGGAAGAGTTGGGAATGGCACCGGTCGGTGACCAGAAAATCTCGATTTTCTCTAGAGCTTTCCTGAAGTTGACAGGTGCCGATTATAAAGGTCGTTATGCTTCTGCTCCTCAATACGAGGACATTGAGTTAGAAGGTACGCGACATGAAGATGATGACTTTATAATTGCGAGCGACGAGGAGGAAGAAGCCGCTCCCGAGAACGGTGAGCAAGGTAGAAACACGGGTAACAGAGATTAACTCTTTACTGGCCCTAAAAAATGATGAATAACGAAGAACATATTGAACACAACGCCATATTGTAGGAGTTTTGCAGCCAACTGGTAGCACCGTTAAGTAGTTGATGCGTAGAAAGTCATGTGCGCGATCACGTGCACAAATTTGATGGAAAAAAAATCTAAACCAATATCACCATAGAGAACCACATATCTACCTCAATACTAAATGCTTAGATCATTCGCCAGATCGCTTGCCACAGGTGTCCAGGAGACCCTGTTACTGGTAGGTGTTCCACCAAAGTACACACTCGCTTCCCTCCGGAGCTTCCCATCCCTCGAACCTCACACGATGGCTCCATACCCAGCAGCCTTCTTAAACAAACCACTTAGAAGAGACTTCTTGTGGAGCGCTGTCGTTTACGAGGCCGACAAAGCTCGTGTTGGTTCGGGAAATGTTCCAACTAAAGGTGACAAGCCTTTCTCCAACAGAAAATTGCATCCCCAGAAAGGTACTGGTAGAGCCAGAGTTGGTGATGCCAACTCGCCCAACAGAGACAACGGCTTGAAGGCACATGGTATCAAGGCTCCACACGACTGGCTGACCAAGTTGCCTCGTAAGCTTTACGCCAAGGGTTTCCAGACAGCATTCAGTGAACAATATAGAAATGGCCAATTATTCGTCATTGGAGGTGACAAGAAGGCAGACAGCGACAAAGGGCTCGTTGATTTCGAGTATGCTTACCCACAACAGATGAAAGCGTTTGTGGAGACCCACGACTTGGAGAGATTGAACCTTCTTTTCATTACGGATGTGCAAAGAGATAACTTGTTGAAGGCCACTGAAGACATGGGCAAGAAGGCCGATGTGGTGACGAAGGAGGCACTTGAAGTGAGAGACTTGTTGAAGGCCAACAGAATCTACATTGAAGAGGCTGCATTAAACTGGCTTGTCACCTATTACGACCTTTAGGTCACACTGTAAATAGACATAATGGGATAGGACACGAAGTGTTGGTGTAGGTATGTAAAGTGAAGCAGCGTGGAGTCATAAAAGTTGATCTAGATTGTCATTTAGAACTGAAAATTGGTTGCCGTAATTGTTGAAAGTTGAAGTACTACTTATCTACTGGAATTGGGAGTAACGACTGAGACATGTTACACTTGGGGAGGACACTTTCCTTTTATATCTCAATCTAAAACCTCCATCACAATAAACCTTAAACCTTGAAATGATCATTAAACTGTTTAAATACAACACTTAGACAGCAAAAATGAAAAATTATTATTCATTACTGTCTTTGCCTGGTGCCTTACCCAAGATGGCTGCAAAATATGAGATAATACCACCCTTGAACGTCATCAACATAACAATTACAAATTCTTCTTTACCCCTGCTTTAAATAAAGTTTGGATTCATCTTCCTTTAGATTTTTTTTCCGAAAGATGATCCTCTTGTCGTTGGTTATAATGGGGAGGTAGGTGGTCTTCCATATCCTAGGGCTCGAGCCCTAGCATCTACGCGGCGCTCGCGCCATACACACCCATCCAAGGTGAGCCGGTGCAGAAGCAAAAGGGCATTTGTCCACGTGACACAGTCGCACCTGCACTCGCGGAGGAAGAGGGAAAAAATTTCCAGTGGTGAATACCAAAAAAGATTCCTTCCTAACTACCAAAGAACACCATCCGCCATGTCGTTAGTTGTCCAAGAAGACGGTTCGTTCCAGCACATTTTGCGTTTGTTGAACACCAACATCGATGGTAGAATCAAGATCATGTACGCCTTGACCAAGATTAGAGGTGTGGGCAGAAGATACTCCAACTTGGTTTGCAAGAAGGCCGATGTCGACTTGAAGAAGCGTGCCGGTGAATTGACCCAGGAAGAGTTGGAGAGAGTTGTTACCATCATGCAAAACCCAACCCAATACAAGATCCCAGCTTGGTTCTTGAACAGACAGAAGGACCAGGTTGACGGTAAGGACTACCACGTCTTGGCCAACAACATGGAGTCCAAGTTGAGAGATGACTTGGAGAGATTGAAGAAGATCAGATCCCACAGAGGTATTAGACACTTCTGGGGCTTGAAGGTGAGAGGTCAGCACACCAAGACCACCTCTCGTGGTCGTTAAGTTTGCTACGCTACGAGCATGTAACATGTAATTAATTTACGTATTGGAGAACCGAGGGGCAGTGTTCAGACTGCTAATGTAGTGCTGTCAGCTTGAGGGCTGCTTGTAGAAGGACGGAGCTATTTTGCCTTGTTTTGGTTTTGGTTGAATATCAGAGGATGGTTCGTCAGTACCATGGTACTACTTGCTAATGAAAAACCAGTGAAAAATGCTATCAGAGCGTTTGAATTCCATGTTAAAGTGCTTATACCTAGACTTTGTTGCTTTGTTTTGAATTTACCATGTAAGCACGGTATGTTGGTATCCACGATATGCCATAGAAGACACTCTGTGTGCCTCGTTCAGCACAAACGTTCAATTTTTGTCTCCTTGAGGAAGCCATCTGAAAAGCGCTTAACTATATAAACAGCTTGGGACCTTCTACTGTTGCTGCCCAAAGTCTGTGCTTCTTAAGTCTATCTAGAGGACGTCATCCTCGTACGTAATTCTGACCCACAACATGACAGGCACCTGGAAAACTTTCCACGATGTTATTAGAGACCCCCTTTTGGTGATTATACTTCTACTTGGCCAACAAGCCGTTCCGAAATGTCTTATTTCCTCTGTAAAATAGGTTTACCCTAAATAGACTCTTCTTATCGGGAGCTCGTGCGCCATATGTTGGTTTCGCTACAAATCTAACTCTTTCTTCGATCTTAATGTTGTTTTAGTGGTTGATTAATGAGCTGTTTAGTTCGTTTTCTTTAATGTTCTTTTTTTTTTTTTTTTTTTTTTTTTTTCAGTCTTCTGTATTACACTCTTCCAACTTCATGCAAGTGGTGAAGTCTATTTGTAGTTTTTCGCAGCCATTTATTGCAGAAACCAAAACTTTCATAACCAAAAGAGCACTAAAAATCAAGAAACAACCCCAAACACAGTTTAACAAATCAGTATCCATTCCAAACCCCAAACCCTACCCTACACCCTCAAATCCATCCTTTTTTTGTCAATTTCGTCTTGTTTGGCCAACCTCACCTGCTTACACCCTTTTGCAGCCATCGCATCTGCATAGTCAAGACAAGAAATACAGACTACCACTAGCCAGACATCCCAGAGAAAACATTAAAAAAAAGGATTGAATAACTGATTCTAGCTCGGTTGTATGAGGCCTCCTTTCAGTGGTTTCTTTTGATCACCTCTTTTTGTGGCAAAATGCAGCCCCCGTTGGCTCATCACTGGAGTTCCGTGGTGAGGGATGGCCTAACACTACATACGACCACACAACACATATTCCACGGAAACTTTAATCATTCAAGATGCTGAAATAGTGAGATCCATTTCCTTAACCTCATCTACCAATTTTTTGTGACCCTCTGGTCGTTTAGCAAGCAAGAAACCGTTGTAAAGAACTGCACACAAGACATATCAACCTTCGCATCTGCATGTCATAAAAGCGATAAGAATATAGTGCCATATATTTTTGACTTGGATACTACCTCATCTACATTTCCCCAAACACAAAGGGCACTTTCCAAAGTCATCTATATCTTCCTTCAGCTCGTTAAAATCCATAAATGACGCGCCCACAACACCCAGAAGACGAGATCACTCCAGACGCGGAAGAGGGTGGTTTCATACTAGATGATCCAGATCGCAAGCTGAAAAATGGCAGATCCAGGCGTCTGATGGCCCGGAAAACGCTGACATACAAGGAGGAGTCTGAAGATGAGGTGAATACCGCTCAGGAAAATGGTGGACCGAAAAAAAGGGCTGCTAAAGGCACCCGTAGAAATACGAAGAAGATTAAGGTGGATGACTCAGACGATGAGGGTGATGGGGATTTTAAGATTGAAGACCATGGTGTGTCTGACGATGACGACGACGATTTGGCTATTATAAGTCATTCCCGTCACGCAGCGGGTTCTAATCCAAGAGCAGCGGTTGTTCTAGATAGTGAATCCGAAGGAGAAGTGGAGACGGTGAACGGAAACGGCACGGCCGAAGAGGCACCAAAGCCGAAGCAGCGGCTTGCAATCAGCCCAGGATCTTCTGCCAAAAAAGGAGCGAAGAAACCAAGAAAGCCGAGGAAGAAGAAGGAGCCGAAGGTGAAGGTGCCGTACTTCACCCGAACCACTAATAAGCTCTATGAACAGCACCCAGAACTTAAGGATGTATTCCCATACCTCCAGTCGCTTCCTGGAATACCCGTGGAACGAGCCGAGCAGCCAGACAAAATGAATATTCGTCTTTTGCCTTTCCAGCTTGAAGGTCTTAACTGGCTCTTGAAGCAGGAAGACGGCGAGTTCCAGGGCGGTGTATTGGCAGATGAGATGGGTATGGGTAAAACGATTCAAATGATTGCTCTTTTCATGAGTGATACGCTGAAGAGGCCGAACTTAGTTGTTGGTCCTACGGTGGCGTTGATGCAATGGAAGAACGAGATCGAGGCTCACACTCATGAAGGTCAACTTAAGACGCTTCTCTTCCATGGTGCCAACAGAGAGACTAATATGGAAGAGCTCATGAAGTACGATGTAATTTTGACATCCTACTCGGTAATGGAGAGTGTTTACAGAAAGGAACGTTACGGTTTCCGCCGTAAGAACGGAATGGTTAAGCAGAAGTCGCCTTTACATGCGCTACCCTTTTACAGAGTCATTCTAGATGAAGCGCATAATATCAAGGATCGTACTTCTGGTACGGCGAAAGCTGCAAACGAGTTAAACTGTCAGAAGCGTTGGTGTTTGACCGGTACACCTCTCCAGAATAGAATTGGTGAGATGTATTCCTTGATTCGTTTTATGAAACTTGATCCATTCTACAAATACTTTTGTACCAAATGTGACTGTTCGCTGTCAGAGTGGAAGTTCTCAGATTGGAGACACTGTGATCATTGCGGCCATTCCCCCATGCTCCATACCAACTTCTTCAATCATTTCATGTTGAAAAACATTCAAAAGCACGGTATCGAAGGTGATGGTCTCACGTCATTCCAGCACATTCGTTTATTGTTGAGGAACATTATGCTTAGAAGAACTAAGCTTGAACGTGCAGATGATCTTGGCTTACCACCTAGAATTGTCGAGATCAGAAAGGACAAGTTCAATGCCGAAGAAAAAGATTTGTACCAGTCGTTGTACAGTGACTCGAAGAGAAAGTTCAATGACTACGTCGCTGAGGGTGTTGTGTTGAACAATTATGCCAATATTTTTACATTGATTACTAGAATGAGACAGTTGGCTGACCATCCTGACTTGGTTCTTAAAAGGATTGGCAGCAATGCAATTTCTCAAGATGTTGAAGGTGTTGTTATGTGTCAACTATGTGACGACGAAGCAGAAGAACCCATTGAGTCTAAATGTCATCACAAGTTCTGTCGTATGTGTATCCTGGAGTACGTTGAAAGTTTCTCTGGTGAAGAGAAGAAGCTCGAATGCCCTGTCTGCCACATTGGCCTTTCGATTGACTTGCAACAGCCAGCGCTTGCCGTTGACGAAGAACAATTCTCCAAGGCCTCCATTGTCAACAGAATCAAGATGGGTACGCATGGTGGTGAATGGAGACTGTCAACTAAAATCGAAGCTTTGGTCGAAGAACTTTACAAACTTCGATCTGATAGACATACCATCAAGTCAATTGTGTTTTCCCAGTTTACTTCGATGTTAGACTTGGTTGAATGGAGACTTAAGAGAGCAGGCTTCCAAACGGTGAAACTTTCAGGATCCATGTCTCCTCAACAGCGTGACAAAACAATCAAATACTTTATGGAGAATACCCTGGTGGAGATTTTCTTAGTGTCTTTGAAGGCTGGTGGTGTTGCCCTTAACTTGTGTGAAGCTTCTCAAGTGTTCCTCATGGACCCTTGGTGGAACCCAAGTGTGGAGTGGCAGTCGATGGATCGTGTTCACAGAATTGGTCAAAAGAGACCTATTCGTATCACGAGATTCTGTATTGAAGACAGTATTGAGCTGAAGATCATTGAATTGCAAGAAAAGAAGGCCAATATGATCCACGCTACGATCAACCACGACGATGCAGCCGTAAACAGGCTTACCCCAGACGATCTTCAATTCTTATTCATGAATTAATAGGATTGGGCCACTTTGAAACCCATCAATAATAATATTCATACACCATAAATTTGTAAAAGTCACCCCATTCATACTTCCCACATGATGGTGATTGACTCTGTAAGCCACTGGAATTTGCAGCCAAAACCACGTGACCAATCGACCACGATATTCTTTAAGAATACGCTACTTACAGCACTCCAAAAGACCCAGAAGACCTTGAAAAAGGCAAATTTTTAACTACATTTCAAATTTTAACTGAAAACACTTCTTCTCTATTGCCTTTCTTTAAGGGTTCCTCCTGCATGCGGCTCTAGTGACTCATGCTAGATAACAAAAATGCCTTTTCTGAATCACCATCGATGGCTGTTTGTATACACTACCGGAGGCCTGAAAAACCTCCCCACACAAAAGTGGTCTTGCGATAAAGTCACTTCCCACCACTAAATCATCTTTCTTTTTTAGTACTACACTTATTCTACTATTCAATTAGGTATGCTTGATTTTTGGCTTAGCTACCTAGAAAATCCGACGTTGTCGGTTTTACCGCATGACTTCTTGAAGCCTGAGAACAATCGCTCGGTGGAAGCGACCAAGCTGGTTCAGATCGCTGTCAAGCCAGAGTTCGTTACTGGTTTGGCTGTTTTGGCTGCCTTGATTTACAGATTGACTGGTGATGACGATGTTGTGATTGCTACTGATTCTGAGGCAAAGGGTGAGCCTTTCATTGTCAGAGTGAACGTGGACCCCAAGATGCTGTTCAAGCAATTGGAAGACAAGGTTCGCCAGGAGTTTGACACAAACCAGCATAAGGTGGAATACCACAACTTGGATGACATTGCACAGGCTATCAAGGAAAAGAACAACCTTGACGCCCGTCCTCCTTTGTTCAAGATCAGTTACCAGTACTCCAGAGACACTCAGAAGTTGGAGACTTCGGTCAAGGGCTCCGTGAGAGACTTGGCGATCTTCATTGACCCAAAGACTGCTGAATTGCATTTCTTTTACAATGCATTGCTTTACACATCCGAGAGAATGGACATTTTCGCCGAACAGTTCTCTCAGTTCACTACCGCTGTCAGCCAGAACCCTGATGTGGAGATCACCAAGGTCAACTTGATCACCCCATCCCAGAAGGAGCATTTGCCTGACCCTACTTTGGACTTGGACTGGAGCGGCTACAGAGGTGCAATCCAAGATATCTTCATGAAGAACGCATTGGAGTTTCCTGACAGAACATGTGTGGTTGAAACCAAGCTGTTCATGGACCCTAACTCCAAGACGAGAACTTTCACGTATAAGCAGATCAACGAGGCTTCCAACGTTGTGGGAAACTACTTGAAGGAAACCGGTATCAAGAAGGGTGACATTGTCATGATCTATGCCTACAGAGGTGTGGACTTGATGGTTGCCGTGATGGGTGTCTTGAAGGCTGGTGCCACATTCTCTGTCATTGACCCTGCTTATCCTCCAGCAAGACAAAACATCCACCTTTCTGTGGCCAAGCCTCAGGGTCTTATCGGCTTGGAGAAGGCCGGTGTTTTGGATGACCTTGTCAAGGACTACATCAAGGATGAACTCAATGTGATTACCTCAATTCCTCAATTGAAGCTTCAAGACGATGGTTCTGTTATCGGTGGTGCTTCCGAGACTTCATCTGAAGATGTTTTGGCTTCTTATCAATCTTTCGCTGAAAAGCCTACCGGCGTCATTGTCGGCCCTGACTGTAACCCTACTTTGAGTTTTACTTCTGGCTCTGAGGGTGTTCCTAAGGGTGTTTTGGGTCGTCACTACTCCCTCGCTTACTACTTCCCATGGATGGCCAGAAGATTCGGCCTCTCTTACCAGGACAAGTTCACTATGTTGTCAGGTATTGCTCATGACCCAATTCAGAGAGATATGTTCACACCACTTTTCTTGGGTGCTCAGCTTATTGTTCCAACTGCCGATGATATCGGAACCCCAGGTAAATTGGCCGAATGGATGGCTGAATACGGTACCACTGTCACACATCTCACTCCAGCTATGGGCCAGCTTTTGAGCGCTCAGGCCACAACCGCAATTCCTACTTTGCACCATGCTTTCTTTGTTGGTGATATTTTGACCAAGAGAGACTGTCTTCGCTTGCAGACTTTGGCTGAGAACGTTTTCATCGTTAACATGTACGGTACTACCGAAACTCAACGTGCTGTCTCGTACTTTGAGATCAAGTCCAGAGCTGCTGATCCTACGTTCTTGAAGAACTTGAAGGATGTCATGCCTGCCGGTACTGGTATGTACAATGTTCAGATGTTGGTTGTGAACAGACAGGATCCATCCCAGACATGCGGTGTTGGAGAGATTGGTGAAATTTATGTCAGAGCTGCTGGTTTGGCCGAAGGTTACCGTGGCTTGCCTGACTTGAACAAGCAGAAGTTTGTCACCAACTGGTACGTCGACCCCCAACAATGGAACGAGCAAGATCAGGCTAACCCAGAAGCTGCTAAGCAAGGATGGAGAGAACATGGCTGGTTTGGACCAAGAGACAGATTGTACAGAACCGGAGACTTGGGTAGATATTTACCTGACGGTAATGTCGAATGTTGCGGTAGAGCAGATGATCAAGTCAAGATCAGAGGTTTCCGTATTGAGTTGGGTGAAATCGATACCCACTTGTCCCAACATCCTTTGGTGAGAGAGAACGTCACCTTGGTGAGAAGAGACAAGAGTGAAGAGCCAACTTTGATTTCGTACGTTGTTCCAAAAGAGTGTCCTGAATTACACGAGCTCAAGGCCGATGTTGAAGAGCATGATGACCCAATCGTCAGCGGATTGGCTGCATACGGTGCCTTGATCAAGGATATCAAGCTGCACTTGAAGAAGAGATTGGCTCTGTACGCCATTCCTACCATTATTGTTCCATTGGTGAAGTTGCCTCTTAATCCTAACGGTAAGGTTGACAAGCCTAAGTTGCCATTCCCTGATACTGCTCAGCTTGAAGCTGTCGCTCGTTTGGCTGCTGACCAGAGAGGTGTTGACCATGAAGAAGAAAGCTTCAACGAGTTGGAAACTACCATCCGTGACTTGTGGCTCCAGGTGTTGCCTAACAGACCCGCTAACATTGCCAAGGATGATTCCTTCTTCGACCTTGGTGGTCACTCCATCTTGGGTACTCGTATGATTTTTGAATTGAGAAAGAAGCTCAATATCGATGTTCCTTTGGGAATCATTTTCAAGAACCCAACCATCGAATCTTTCTCGAAGGAGGTCTCCAAGTACAAGAAGGGTGATTTTGCTCAATTGGCTGACGGAAAGTCTGATCATCATGAAGTTGAGATCGACAACTCTATCACTTACAGTGATGATGCTAAGGAGCTTTCCAGAACCAAGCTTCTCAAGGAATACCCATCCCTGGAGAAGTTGGACTTCTCGTCTCCTATCAATGTTTTCCTCACCGGTGCCACTGGTTTCCTCGGATCCTTCATCCTTCGTGACCTCTTGCTGGGACGTAAGGGTAACTTCAAGGTCTACGCTCACGTTAGAGCCTCTAGCACTGAAGCTGGTTTGGAAAGATTGCGTAAGACAGGTAAGACCTACGGTATCTGGAATGAAGAATGGGCCTCCAAGATCGATGTCGTTCTTGGTGATTTGAGCTTGCCAAAGTTCGGTGTTGAGTCTGGCTTGTGGTCTACTCTTACCAACACAGTTGATGTCATTATCCATAACGGTGCCTTGGTCCACTGGGTCTATCCATACTCCCAGTTGAGAGATGCCAATGTGATTTCCACCATCAATGTTTTGAACTTGGCTGGTGAAGGTAAGCCTAAGCAGTTTTCTTTCGTTTCTACCACCTCCACTCTTGACAGCGACTACTTCATCAACGCCTCAGATGAGTTGACTTCTAGAGGTTTCGCTGGTATTCCTGAGCTGGACGACTTGAATGGTTCTCGTACTGGTTTGGGAACCGGATACGGCCAGTCCAAATGGGCTGCTGAATATATCATCAGAAGAGCAGGTGAGAGAGGTTTGAGAGGATGCATCACAAGACCTGGTTACGTAACCGGTTTCTCTGAAACTGGTGCTTCTAACACTGACGATTTCCTTTTGAGAATGTTGAAGGGATGTGCCGAATTGGGAGCTTACCCTGACATCACCAACAATGTCAACGCTGTTCCTGTTGACCAAGTTGCTCGTGTGGTGGTTGCTACTGCTCTTTATCCTCCACAAGCCGACTACTTGGCTGTTGCACAAGTGACTGGACACCCAAGAATCAGATTCAATGACATGTTGTCTTCGCTCAAGACTTATGGATACGAATTGAAGTGCCAGGACTACCCTGAATGGAGAAGATCTTTGGAGAAGTTTGTCATTGATGACGCAAAGGACTCTGCTTTGTACCCATTGCTCCATTTCGTTCTTGATAACTTGCCTCAAGACACTAAGGCACCTGAGTTGGACGACCAGAATGCCGTGAAGTCGTTGAAGTTGGATCTGGACCTTCTGGGAGAAGACAGAAGTGCCGGTGATGGTCTTGATGCCCAGCAAATGGGTATCTACATTAGTTACTTGGTGAAGATTGGATTCTTACCTGCTCCAGCCAAGCAAGGTGAACCTTTACCATCCATTGAATTGACCCAGGAAGCATTGGATCTTATTGCTTCTGGTGCTGGTGCTCGTGGTTCTGCTGGAAAGTAAGCCACGAAATCAATTTTGAAAAATTTGAAATACGAAAACGAGAATTATTTCTCCTAAACAAAAAATAGTTAATTTTACGCATATAAATGATTCTTTGTAGTTTAAACTTTTCAGTAGTGCCTTCTGTATGGGCGCCAGCCTAGAGAGGAACATCCGTACACATACACACCAGCACTGTTCAAGCACTGCCAAACTATAACTGGATTCTTCAATTCCAAGCATAAATACATGAAAAGTTAAAATCTGAGTATTTCTTGATGAGTGATAGGCATAGCCAAAATGGAAGCCGAAGGGCTGAACAGCCTCAGACGACTCCAAGCCCGAAAGCAGCGAACAACTTCCATATGATACTGTCACAACGAAAACGAACCAAAAACACTCCAAAGCTGCCTAGAAGCCCGATCCTGCCTTTACAAGCAAATCAACTAAGTGGAAATGAAGTCCTGGCAAAGAAAAGACTCGTAGAGCAGTTCTACATGCCCAAGTCAGAACCCTCACTGAAAGCGCAAAGCTACTCTGATCTTGTCACTGCGTTTCGCCAAGGACTACCGGTAGGGGACTCCCCTGGAAGAGAATATCGTCAGGATGACATTTTGCAATGGCTGCATGAAACCCAGGAATCTTTCATGGAATTGGCTAGAGAAGGAAAGGTAGAGTATTATCCCATTGATTCAGATATCCAGGATCCAACTAAAGTGACAGAAATGCTTTTAGGCGTTGATGAAGATGAAGGCAATGTTGAGATTCTTGATAGGCTTGTACTGGCCTTAGAAAGCTCGGCGCTGGCGCTTGAGCGTAGGTTTGATAAGAATAGCGATATCACAAGGACGCCTAAGGAGCAACTAGACATGCTCACGGACTACTTACGGAAGCTATCCCGAGAAGTAGAAGATTTGCATCAAGAGATTTCGGAGACAACCCTGCGATTAAAAAGTCACTTTAGGCTGCAGCTTCAAACCAGTGTACAGAAACTAGATAAGCTTGACGAGATGTTGAAAGAGTTGACTGTTCGTCTAGACGATAGCAGAAAGCGAATGCAAAATAGCAAAGAAGTAATGACAGAAGATATGGCGGAGAAGATTGCTGTTCTTGAGTTCGTTGCTAAGAGATTCAACGAATACGATCAGACGGTGAGGCAGCGTAGAATCACACAGCTGACCTTTTTCCTTTGTTTCGTTATTGTTGGCGTCATACTTTACGGACTCTTCCAGAAGTTCAAGTAAACTGACAACAGCTGACTAATACTACATTTGCATAGCATTTTTTGTTGACTAGAAATCAGAAAATTACGAAATAACTAGCATTACACGGAACGAATAATAAATCATGGTTTCTGACATTTATTTGTACATTGGCCTATTCATTTCAAGACTCATTCAGGCTTTCACTTTGATCGCTATCGATACTAAACCTTGCTTGTCTAATCAACTCGTAATATTCCAACTCTCCCACTTCAATCTTGTGCATTTGTGTAAGTTTGAATTCGCTTCTACTATGTCTTGTGCTCCAATTGCGGTGGTATAAAAGTTCAGGTTTCCTAATCACGTCATCCCGGTTCCATTCGTCTTTGAAATGTTGCTGAATCAGTGCTTTTGATGCCTTGGGTGCTTGCTCCCGGGGTTCGCTTTCTGTTTCGAACAGGTCGATGCCACAACCAAATGCATAACTGGCTAAGTCTTGTTCTATATATGAAGGGTTGCTTCCTTCGAATTGCTGAGTGGATTGCATTATTTGATGATTTTTGTAATGAACTAAAGATAAAGATATAATGAGGGTATCAATAACCTTCTTTCATATATATCCTGACTGATGATGTCGTACTCTACTTTCCGAATATCCTATTTGTCTTTCTGAGTCCGGCAAGTCCAGTATAACATAGCCTGTAATATTGCCATGATAAATAATGTTCCTCTAGATGACCAGTAACTAGACCAAAAAGTAACTATAGTTGCCTTGAATAATTAAGGCGATATGCATTTACATGGATCGGTAGTCTTTCCTATCTTCGCGATATGCGTATAGTAGGCAACTTGTCTAATGTGGGACTACGAGGTAGCGAACAACGGCCAACAACGGCCAAACATGGACTAACAATGTATTCTACGTATGAAAGGGACCTTCTACCAAGTTGGCCTATTCTTCCTCCAATACATGTAATTCTTCTTTGTGCATTGGTGCCTGAGCTTATTCCCCCACGTCCCCCACGTCGCACCATCTGCCCCACTTATACCCCAGACGGACTTCTGTCGCCCTCAGTGCCGAAGAAACATCCAACTACAACTTGAAGAGTCAAAATGACTTCAGATCCAGATAATGATATAAACAGGTTTGCGTGCAATGAGTGCAAGCGAAGGCGAATCAAGTGTGCTCGAGAGCTTCCAGTTTGTGGAACCTGCCGTTCTGCTAAGAGACATTGCCTATATGAGCAGTCCAAGCGGTCCCCTTTAACTCGAAAGCACTTGACTGAAGTCGAGGAAGAGCTCAACTTTACAAGACAGATTTTGGCTAGGCAGTGTCCTGAGGTGGATCTTCTGCAGTTAGTCGGTAAACTTCGAAATGGCACGAGTATAGATGAACTTCCAGAGCTTGGGGAAGTACAGAGCTTGAAACGTCAAAGGATGGAGCCCACACCACGTCCAGATGTTTATAATTTGGGCCCAACTCCTCAGATGAATATCCTGCTGCTTCTTCAACATGAAGAAAACGATTCACACGAACAGTCAAATATGCTCTTTCAGATTCCTCAGTTTCTACCGCCGACCATCAATGAGACAAATGATGTTTCCAAACTGAAAAGTTCAAACACATCTTCACCGCTTTCTAATTCATGCTCAAGTAAGTGCTCCTGGGATGAGCGCCGTTCAATGCTAGATAGAAAGTTCTCGGTGACTGATGGCATGGCTACGACAGAGTCCAATAGCTACTTGGGCGCTACTAGTTCTGCAGCACTCATCAACTTGGTTGGAGGCGGCTACTTTCTTCACAAAAATAGGCCTAAACGGCGTGAGAGCCAACACGGATCACCATCATCTGCTTCATCACTAGCCTCCATATCGGTTCCTTCCAAAGAGAGAATTGAGCACTATGTGAACTTATACTTTGAGACATACCATATTTCCTATCCGATTGTTCATCGTCCACTATTTCTTGCCCAGTTAAATGAAGTGGTTGAGGCGCCACCTGGTTGGCGTTCGTTGCTTTACATCGTAGCAGCGATCGGTTCTTTTATGTCTGCCACCAACGCTGAGGATGACGATGATTTAACACTTTTGGATTGCGCTAAAAAGGAACTATCAATAGAGGATTTGGAGACAGGTTCACTCACGCTTGTTCAGACACTCGCTCTTATATCTAATTATCTTCAAAAGCGGGACAGACCAAATTCAGGCTACAATTACCTTGGTCTTGCTGCTCGTATGGCAATGGGACTAGGACTTCACAAAGACTTTACTGAAGCTGGAGATCTGCTACTCAATCAAGAAATGCGTCGACGTGTCTGGTGGTGTCTTTACATCTTTGACTGTGGTCTGACTATCACTTACGGTAGACCATTAGGTATTCCTTGCGCCGGGATAGATGCAAAATTACCAATGAATGTCGTCGATTCCAATATGACAGCTATGACAGCAACCATTCCTCGACAAGAACGTGAACCAACAAACTATACTAGTGTCCGTCTTCAGGCACTTTTCCATATGTTCACCAATAGCATCTATGAGCGCATTATCAGCGATCCATTTCCCCTGGCGCATACCCTACTTCGTTGGGACTATGAGTTTATTGAACGATGGAAACTGATGATTCCTGACAGTTTTCAAGAAGAAGTAAACGTTGCAGCAAAGTTCAAATTAGCTCATGCTGTCTTGTACTGGCGATCAAGGAATCTACGAATCATCATGTATCGTACTTTCATGTTGAAAAGGCTTTTCTCTGACAAGGAAGAACCGGTGGACGAATACGAAACTAGGGCAGGAGAAATATGCCTACAAGAGTGCAGTGCTACTATTGAGAGTATGGACACGTTCTGGAGCGAGAAGGCTCAGTACAACAGAATGGATGCATGGTATTCACTTTATTTCCTTATACCTGCTGTGGTAATGCCATTGGTATGTCTCCGGAATGATCCTGTTTCTCCAGAAGCAAACGGCTGGCGTAAAGAAGTAGTAATGGCACAAAGAGTGATTGATAAAATCCTGAAAATATGTCCACCAGCAGTGAGAATATCAGAACTAATTAGCAACATGGGAGGTGGCTGTTTGGGTCACCAAGAACACAATCTGTCAGGACTAACGCCTTTTAACCCAGACAATATGGCGTTCCCTACAATGGCGGTAGATGAAAGCCCTATGTCACAACTTATGCAGCTTCATACAATGCTTTGGCCTTCGTCGTTTGACATTGAACAGCAGTTTTAGCTTTTATTAAGTCTATTAAAGAAGTGCATACCCTCCACCGACAATGACTTCTTCACCTGTCACATACGAAGAAGCCTGACTGGCCAAGAAGACGTATACACCCTTGAGTTCATACACAGAGCACATTCTCTTTGCTGGAATCAAACTAAACCAGATCTTCTTCCATTCTTCAGGATGAACGTCGGTCATTTCCGTTGCGATGTACCCTGGCGATACACAATTGACTCTAGCAAAATCAACCCATTCGACTGCTAGACACTTAGCTAAACGAACCACTGCTGCCTTAGATGCGTTGTATGGAGCTTGGGGCTGAGGATAGTTGACGATGCTAGATGAGATAGAAGCAGTGAATACAATTCTGCCCTGATTGAACGACTCGGAGTTCTCCTTCTGCTTCTTGAACGCATTTGCAGCTGCCTGAGCCGTAAAAAACGCACCGTCTAAATTCACACTCAAAGTCTTATGGTAGTTCTCTTCAGTAAACTTTTCAGCTTCCTGGTGAACTGCTACACCAGCATTGGGTACCACAATATCCAAGCGACCAAAGTCTGAGACAACTTGGTTCACACAAGCCTCGATGTCCTTCTTGTTCACCACATTACACTTGTATGCTTTGAAGCGAACGCCCAATTCTTGAAAAATTTCTTCCACTTTCTTCACTTCATCAGGCTTTGAAGAATTGTATGTTATAGCAATATCAGACCCTGCTTCGGCTAACCCTATCGCAGCTCCGAGCCCGATACCGCGAGCGCCTCCAGTGATAAGAGAGACGTTGTCTTTAAGCGAAAAGAGCTTGAAAATTGAAGCCTCAGATGGTTGGAAAAGCATTCTTGGAGATATTTACAGGCTTTGACTTTTAAGCTTTGGATTTGGGCCCTTATATAGTTTGTGGGTGGGACACCATTGGAGGAGGGGATGCAGTGCGGAACAATACCCCGGATTAACCAGGGTCACTGTATTCCGTCAGGGATAAGGGTGGCCCTAGTGTATAGGCATGGTCAGGGTAATAGGTAATTTAGGGTCCTGATGGACCGACCATGTTAAGGTTCTAAAGTGGGGGCGACTTACCGTACATTGAATGCGGCAGAGTAACCCAGAAGGAAGCGGGACCAGGATAGAGTACACCGAAAAGTATGAGGGAATAAGATAGAACATTGCTTACTTAGGAGAGTCTACGTTGTACTTTCAATATGTGGATGGGTATAGGCTGAGACATTGGACGAAGTTGACCTCACCAGGAATCACCACGCCAATAGTACCATAATACTGCCTTTAAGCTTTCCTTGTTTCGAGTTGCCTCTTCAATCATCAGTACATTTGCCCGCCAAACTTCCCCATACTCCCGATGCACCGTGGGTGGGATGTGGACCGTGAAGAATGGCTGCGAAATCGTGGGGTGCATTGCACCAGGTCCACAGAAGTCCGTGATGTAGTTTAAAAGAAGACATCAAACCCAAATGATGTTTTTCATTAAACACAATTCATCCACAAATGTCAGTCGAAAATCCTGCTTTTATTCTTAAGTCAGTCAAGAACGTCGTCTTTGAGAACAGACCTATCAAGCCTTTGCAACCAAAAGAGGTGAGGGTCCATATCAACCAGACAGGTATCTGTGGAAGCGATGTTCACTACTGGCAGCGTGGCCGTATTGGGAAGTTCGTTATGAAAGATGGTAAAGACATGGTGTTGGGCCATGAACTGTCTGGTACAGTCGTTGAGCTTGGTTCTGAAGTTACTACTTTGAAGAAGGGCGACCGTGTATCTGTTGAACCCGGTGTTCCTTGTCGTTACTGTGATCTTTGCCGTGATGGAAAGTATAACATGTGTGAAGATATGGTCTTTGCAGCTACTCCTCCATGGGATGGAACCTTGCAACGCTTTTACAATGTTGCATATGACTACTGCTACAAGATCCCTGATACTATGGACATGGAAGAAGCTGCACTTGTTGAACCAGTCACAGTTGCTGTTCAAGCTTGCAAAAGAGCTAAACTCAAAGGTAGGGACTTTGTTGTGGTGTTTGGTTGCGGCCCAATTGGTTTGTTATGCCAGGCAGTAGCCAAAGCGCTTGGTTGCAAAAAAGTTATTGGCGTGGACATTTCTGATGGCCGTTTAGAATTTGCGAAGACTTTCGGAGCCGATGGAGTCTTTAAAATGCCAACGAAGAAAGATGATGAAGGCGCCGAGGACTATTCTAAGCGGGTGTCTGCATTGATCAAAGAAGAATTCGATATTGGTGAATGCGGTGCAGATGTTATCTTAGAAGCCACGGGCGCTGAACCATGTATCCAAACTGGTGTCTTCTTGGCAAGACATGAAGGCAGATTTGTTCAGACAGGCATGGGCAAGGAATTTGTTAGCTTCCCTGTTACCGAAGCTCTTGTCAAGCAACTTAACTGGACTGGCACTATTAGATATTCTACTGGCTGTTATCCAACTGCTGTGGATTTGGTTGCTTCAGGCAAGATCGACGTGAAGAGACTCGTTACTAATAGGTTCAAGTTCGAGGAGGCGGAGAAAGCTTTTGACTTGGTCAAAGAGGGAAGAACCGATGTCATCAAGGTTATGATTGAGGGTGTTACAGATGAGACAAAGATTTAGAAGGGGAATAGTAAGATACAGAATAAAAATTGTGATCCAGAAAAGGTTGTAAATTGTGCTTGACATTATGAATTTATCTCGAGAAAGTCAACCCCACTATGTTCATAGAATTTTTCAAGAGTTCTCAGTTAGATCCACCGGTAGTACTACCATGCCAAGGACCGCCAATAGTTCTCCCCACTTTATTGGCCCCTATTCAATGGAATAAACTTCGAAGCCTCTATGCAAAAGAAGAATTACCCCAAAGGCGATATCGTTTCCCGTGAAAGCCTGACCAGTTGTGGAGCGTTACCATAGTATGGGTGCGACAGAAGTCCGAGACGACAGAAGTCCGGGGTCATTGGTGTCCGGTGCAACATTTCTCCACTGCAAGGTTCCCCTGCTAGTTTATCCATGGTACTGAATTGTATAAATGCTAGGCTTCGCCCTTTCTTCTTTACATCTACATTTACTGTTGTTAACATCTAATCAACTCGTTTTTCGCAGCCATTTCCAATGTCCTCCTCAATCAGAAAGCCAGACCCCAAACTCTCCGACAGCGTCTTTGAGATGTTTTCCATGAAGGGCAAGGTGGTAATTATCACCGGAGCTGCCGGTGGTATTGGAAGTGAAGTTGCCAAAGGATTGGCTGAAGCTGGTGCTGATTGCGCATTGTGGTACAACACCAACGACGCTGCCATTGAGAACGCCAAACAACTCGAACAAAAATATAAGGTCAAAGCCAAGGCTTATAAAGTTGATGTTAGAGAATGGGAACAAGTTTCCAATGCGGTGACAGAGGTTCTCAAGGACTTCGGCCACTTAGACGTGATGATCGCTAATGCTGGTATTCCAGCTACTGCCAATCTTCTTGATCTGACTTTCGAAGAATGGAATAATATTGTCCAGACTGACTACAATGGTGTCTTCTACTGTGCTCGTGCTGCTGGACAGGTGTTCAAAAAACAGGGCTTTGGTAACTTGATCACTACTGCTTCCATGTCTGGTTCAATTGTGAACCTTCCACAGGAACAGGCCAACTATAATGCTATCAAGGCTGCTGTAATGCATTTGAGTAAGTCATTGGCTGTGGAGTGGGCTGAGTTTGCAAGAGTGAATTCCGTTTCTCCTGGTTACATCGATACTCCCATTTCTGCAAAGGTGACCTACGAAACTAAGGAAGAATGGTACAGAAGAACCCCAATGATGAGAGACGCTGATCCAAGAGAGCTCAAGGGCATTTATTTGTACTTGGCTAGTGACGCCTCTTCATTCACTACTGGAGCAGACTTCATCGTGGATGGTGGTCACTGTTGTCCATGATTCTATATGTTACATACTGAACGAACCTAGATGTAATGAATGATGTAGAGATGAAGGAGTTTGGTGGAGCTATCGCGTAAGGACATTACATTAATCTTTCTTGTGTAGATGTCATGTCTTCAATTGCATAGAGTGAGTAAGTGCAGCATCTTCACTATAACCCCAGTTTATATTACTTCTTTTCAAGATAACCCTCGCTTAGTTCTCCCTTATGTGATAGTGTCGTTACGTTTCTCTTTTGGCCATTGTAACCAAGCTTTCATATTTTCTGGCTTACTGGCCTACGGGCTTCCGAGGCTCGGTGGGGCTTGAGAAATGGTTGCAAAATACGGCCCCACTTGGCCCCACCTCGAAGGAAGTCGAACAAACGGATTGATGAGTTCATAATGTAAGTAAGCAAGTCGGTTATTTGTGGGGACGAAGAACGTTTCCGTCAATTCCAATCACTTCCATCTCCTGTTCCGTTTTCTCCCCTTGTCAAGAATGGGCATTCGAAGACCACGGACATCTGTCAGCCTGCCCCAATATGCCCCGCACATTATCCAAGAACTTGATGTTCGGACTTTCTTACTGTCAATTCCGTCCCTTTCCATGTTCACAACCATATAAGCAGGCTGATTTGCAGCCACTGGTATCCTGGAAAACTCACAACCATGTTCTTCAAGACAACTCCCATAGAGGAGATCGTGGGAAAAGCCATTGCACAGGTTCTTCCTGACCATGGTAAACCCTGGTATAGAGTAAGACATCTTTTGCAACTCAATCTTATCTTGCTTGTACCGCTCCTTTCATCGGCCACCGCTGGTTACGATGGCTCTTTGATGAATGGACTTCAGGCAATTGACGAATGGAAAGAGGCATTCAACCATCCCAAAGGTACTATGCTTGGGTTTGTCAATGCAGCACAAAACTTTGGCTGCGTTATTGCCCTTCCCTTCTGTGGCTGGCTCACAGATTACCTTGGTAGGAAGTGGACATTGTGTATTGGTCTTTGGGGAATTGTCATTGCTACGATTATCCAGGCCACGGGAGATACTCTTGCCCAACTCATTGCCTCGAGATTCATTGTTGGCGGTGCTGGTATGCTAGCAGTTCAGCCTGCTCCTTTACTTGTGGCTGAATTATCGTATCCAAGCTACAGAGGTAAGATGACGTCCATGTACTGGTGCTTGTACTATTTGGGAGCCATCTTGGCATCTTGGGCTTGTTATGGTACTGCTGGTAGGGGTGATACTTGGGCATGGCGGATCCCAACAATTCTTCAAGGCGGTTATCCAGTTGTGCAGCTTGCGTTTTTGGTCTTTGTCCCCGAGAGCCCAAGATGGCTAATATCCAAGGGTAAAGTAGACAAAGCGAGGGAGATAATGGTGAAATATCATGCTGGAGGTGACGAGAACAGCCCGCTTGTGGATGTGGAAGTGACCGAAATTCTCGGTGCTTTGGAGTTGGAGAGACTGGCGAAGCAAACCAAATGGCTGGATTTGATCGCTACCCCAGGAAACAGAAAAAGAACATACATTGCATTATCTCTTGGAATTTTTGCTCAATGGAATGGGGTAGCTGTGGTTTCCTATTATCTCACATTAGTACTTGACACTATTGGGATCACCTCTTCTTCAATGCAAACATTGATCAATGGGCTCTTGCAGATATTCAACCTCATAGCGGCCGCTTCGGCTGCTTTGCTTGTGGATTTTTTGGGTAGAAGAACATTGTTCCTTTGGTCTGGAATAGGAATGCTTGTGTCTTACATTATCTGGACCGCTTGTTCCGCTGTGTTTGACCAGAATGGGTCCATGGCAGCAGGAAGGGCAGTTGTTGGGTTCATCTTTATCTTCTACTTCCACTATGATATCGCCTACACTCCATTGCTTTTGGGGTACCCTACAGAGATCTTTCCATACTCGTTACGGTCCAAAGGTGTTACAGTTGAGCTTTTGGGAGTCTATGGGTCACTAGTGATTGCGTCCTTCTGCAATTCCATTGCCTTGGACGATATCGGCTGGCGCTATTACATTGTCTTTTGTGTTTTGCTCGGAATTATTGTCCTCAATACCTACTTCTTCTATCCAGAGACAAAGGGTTACTCTTTAGAGGAAGTAGCGAAATTGTTTGACGGAGAGAAAGCCATGGACTTGGAACTGTTGCTGGACAATAAAGCCGAAGTGGAGTACATTGAAACCGTGCCCAAGCAGGGTTAACGCTGAACAAGGCTTTTTCAAGAATAATACCTTTTGCTTAAGCGCCAGCGCTAGCGGTGACTGAGATGCACCATAGAAGCACCGTGCATTGGTATGGCCTGAGGGATCATAAGGAGAGAAAAAATCAAGTCATTGTCAAGTCGGAAATGTAGATTTACTAAACCTTGTGGGTTTTATGGATTGACTCAGACGATAAATAGAAAAAATTACGAAAGTAAAGAAAGTCTCGATTGTATTAGGCTTCCGAGATCGTAGCATAGTATGAAGATTGCCGACAAGCTTAATGAGATCCGAGTCATGAAGTGTACAAGTACAATCTACAAGTAGAATGTACCACTGATCCATGAGTCAAAGCTTCGTACCCCGAGCAAATTCTTTCGTTTACCTATTATTCTCACTCTTAAGCACGGCTTGAGGCGTTCGCTGCCAGTGATCTACGTCATCTGTGCATCGAGGCACCCTGGCCTTGGCTCGTAGCAAACGCCGCTTCCTCCACCAAATCCCACGATCAACACGTCGTTCGGCGCTTCACCACCGGTCGATTCCGCTTCCAAGACAAGGAATCGCCAAAAGCCAACTATGACAGCTTGGCGAGCGAAAGCGCCATGATTTAACAAAGTCTACATGTAACATCCGAGAAAACACCTACAAATACCACGGAAACCCGAATATAATCAGACCAGGCCAGCCATTGGATCGTGACCTGCGTCAGCTCCATTGTCGGTGGAATAACTAACAATTGACCATTGACTGGGAGGTGAGGGAGAGTGAGAGCGAGGCAAAAAAAAAGTGAGTCGCCATGATTCCGAGTCAGCAGTGAGTAATACTAATAAACATAGGGTAATGAAGATATACGAGGCAGAAAAAAAAAAAAAGAAGACGCCAGAAAATCCACGGCCAGAGATGCAGAAATGTAAACTAAATATTATTAGACGTTTTTTTTTGGGGCGCCAACAGTCGTTCGGTACTGCCAGTTTTTTTTTTGCAACCGCATTGCCCGATCAAGCCTGGTGCCCCCAAAGTATTCGGCACAATCGCCTTGGAGAAAAAAACAAAAAAAGGACCAAAAAAAGCTTCCTCCTTTCATTTCCTACAATAACTGAATTGTGGTGTGAGCGTGAGGCTGGTGGGTCTCTCTGTTCTGCAGTACCCAGTGCCTCCACTTTTTTTTTTTTTTTGTTCTGCGTTTCCATGTCTCTGAATGCTGGTGCAGTTTTTTTTTTTATTTGCAAGACCAGCCGGGAGGTAGGTTTTCTGCAGTACCGTAGTAATAGGTGGGAACGTCATAGAAAAATGTTTTAAATGTGGGCCGCTCGGGACTCCAGGTTTTCTTTTTTATTATTTTTGAAAAATAAAAAAAGAAAGTAACTACGAGTGGCAGTGTCAAAGTGTATAAGCTGGTAGTTTGTTTTCATCCCAAAGACGTGAATGCTTCCCTTCCCCCTGTCTCACATCCGACTGTCAAAATATCTGTGAATTTCTTTTTTCCGCTCATCAAAAAGCTTCTTTTTCATAGATAAGCTTCTCCACCACAACTCATCCAACTACACTCCTCAACTTACCCACACCAGATCTGCCTATTTTTTTTTTCATTTATAGTGCCGTCTGATTCCACATCCTAGCTCCTCCCGCCATGGCAGACGTTCACTTGCTCAGTCCGTCCTCCTCGCTGCTGTTGCCGGCCTCGGCTTCTTCTCTTGCCGTGGACTCGCTACAACGGTTCCACAGTGTCAAGTCACTCATTTCATATTTTTTCAAAAGAGTCAACACTGAAAAGGATGCCTCCAAGGCCGTCTTGGTTGTTTTGGGCGATTTCCACGGCTCCACTGACCCGTTGGACTCCCTTTCCCATGCCGATAAGACTTTGCTTTTCCGTTACTTCTTCTCCCACTTGAACCTTGTTGTGGTTGAACTCGAAGCGTTGGATGAAGCCAGAGTGGCTTCTTTGAATCATGCAATTGCCACCATCAACTCCTTGGCCGGTCACAGAGTCTCTCGAGTAGAGTTGTGGACCGGAACTGCTCCTCAGTTGGTCAACGACGCCTACCTCGACGACGACTCTTTTGGCCCTGATGCTACTAATGCCATCAGTACAATGACTTCTGTACTCGGTAGAAGCGCTTCCAAGTCCTCGTCTACTGAACGCCGCCTTCGTGAGCTTCTAGCGTTGGTGAACTCTCAAATCAACACCATGGACCTTCTCCTGAACAACGACAGCAAACATCTCGCCCGTCTTGCCCACTTGGTGGGCCACTGGGCTTTCCCATCTCACGAACTTTCAAATGACGATTTGGCCTATTGTACGTTTTTAATGCTTGAGTTTTCTCTTCGGTATATTAAAGAGTTGGCCATGTGGGCTTCCCTTCCCAACCCCACTTCGAATGAGCTTATGATGTTCGTTCTCATTGTCAGAAACAATTATCAGCATGGTAACCCATTCCACAACTTCCGCCACGCTGTCGACGTGACGCAAGCTTGCTTTCATTACCTTATCAGACTCGGTTGTTTACCTCAATTTTCCCAGTTCCGTAAGAACCCCAAGGAAGATGAGCTCGCTGCTTTGAACGAAAAAATCACAGGAAATGACTCGCCTACGCTACTAGATATGGTGTTTCCTTTGGCTACTATTCGTCCCGAAGGCGAAGCACTCGTACCACACCTTAACCCCCTCCAATCACTTGGTTTACTTTTTTCAGCTATTGGCCACGATGTTGGCCATCCGGGTGTCACAAATGCCTTCTTGATTAACCACGAGGCAGCAGCATCTCAAATCTACAATGAAAGATCGGTGCTTGAACTGTATCACACTTCCGTCTTCATTAACAGAATATTTCGCATATGTTTCCCCAATCTCCTCAAATTTGTCACCGACACCAAGTCGAAGTTGACGCTCAAAAACCTCATGATAGGTAGTATATTGGCAACTGACATGGCAGAGCATTTCGAATATGTTGATAAGTTGCAGAAGTTCAAACTCACCACTTCCGATCCTTTAGATGATAAAGTGAAACTCATATCCTCGCTTTTGATAAAGTGTGCTGACATTTCCAACGTTACAAGACCTTTACGTGTTTCTTCGCAGTGGGCTTTAGTGTTGTCAAGAGAACTTGTGGAGCTTGAAACTGTAGAGAAGAAGTTGGCCCACGAGGAAGTGGAGCTTGACTTTACCTATGAAAAGGTACCTACCAAGTTTGAGGATGTTTTAAAAATTTGTCCAAACATGCATAAAGGACAGCTCTTTTTCATAAAGACTTTTGCCGAAGATCTCTTCAAAAGCATTCTGGATTTGTTTCCAGAATTGGAATATACCTGCGATGTCGCCATGGAAAATAAAGAATATTGGATCAATAGAGATTCAGAATTGAGCAGTTGATGCAAACGGGTATCCTATTAGGAAGGATTATTTTATAGATAAAACGGAGTATGGTTTCGTTTCAATAGATATTATTTTTGGGTCCAAAGATTGAATGTATGAAGGGAGCAGCGTCTCTGATAGAGTCATGAAAAGTGCTTGTTATAAAAGGTAGTATATTCGTGATAGTCCCCACCCATATCCTGGTTGAGAGTTCATTATTCTTGCAATGGTTGATACCACATACTACTCCAATACCCAATTTAAGGTCTTTCCATGCCTGTTAGGCTCGTCAGTTGGACCCAGGACCCATTTTGCATTATATTCGATGTACTACAGCCCTGTTCACCTCAGATCATCTTCTGCCCTCAACTTGAGCTCTACTAAACACAATTCTCCCCTCTAGACAAGTCCATTTCATCGTCATGCAGATTACCGTCTATAGCGAAGAAAAACCAAACTTAAGTCTTGCTTCCAGCATTGTTCTTTAAAACCTATTCCACCTCGACAATGCCCGACCGATAACGGTTTTCGTCTGGGGGATGCAAGTTCCATATTTCGCAGCCATTCTTGGCAGCCGAGGAAGAGCCATTGAAACTACACAGCCAGGATGAAATTTTCTAGTCAAAAGGGCCAGGACAAGAACTTCTTTTGTTGAGGACCCTTTTAAGTATCTCGGCTGAATTAGTAGCAAACGGTTTTACTAAAAGGTTACAGAACTAAAAGGCAAACGTTGAGCAGGGAGAATGACGTAAGAAAAAAGAAAACTTTAAGGTGGAAAAAAAAAAAAAGAGCCGTTTGAAAAAAAGGAGAAATGACCAAGCTTTTATGCCTGTTTTGGAAATTTCCATCCCTTTAAATATTCCGATCCCAGGATTTACTACCAAGGTTGTCCCGTACAACCAACAACTTCCAAGGGCCAAGTAGACCCGAGTCTCTAATGTAAAAACCCTAATTAGTTTCCCCCCGCCTCAGGAGAGGTCGAAAAAAGAAGGCACTCGATTCAACCGTCTCTTTTCCAACGTGACTGGCCGCACGTGCGCCAGAATCCACATCGTACTAGCTTTTTTCGCAACGCTCTCCATCGATGAGCTACTCGATATAGGTCCATTCCCTCCGACCTTTCACGCCAGAGATTACCCTAAAATAGGAAGAACTTTGCCCTTCACTTAAGTCTTTGCCATGGACAAAGAACTCTTTTCGAAGAACCCAGAGTTCTTGTCGTCATACTCAGACAGACCCATCGTTCTCTCGCCGCCTCCAGTGGACCACCACGGCAATGGCTCAGTGCAGACAAAACTGGACCGTCCAGAAGGAGCCCAGAGCATGCAACAGCCACAGCTCCCCAAAGACTTTCTTGCTCAAAGACAGCAGTCGGTTGGTTATAACTTGCAGCAGGAGTTCGAGGCCTTGAAGGCTGATTTGGACTTGGATTTGAGCATGTCGAACAACGACGATGCTGCTGCCACCGGAGCAACTTCCAGTAATGAAAGCGGCAACGGTACTACTACAGGAGGAACACCTTCTTTGGGTCATTTCTTGTCGCCCCAGTTTTCTCATGGCTTGGGGCCTTCGTTGCTGGAGAATTTCTCTTCTTTGGCTTCTTCCAATGTCCCAATGGGCCATTTGGGCAACAACATGGCCCCAGGCGCAGGCGCAGGCTCGCATCTTCTGGGGCTTTTGGGTGTTGCTGGTTCCAAGTCTCTGTCGTTTTTGCCTCCCTCGTTGCTGGTGCCTTCGAGACCGCAATCCGTCAATGATTTCTCCAACTTGTTAGGAAGAAACCAGAATCCTACTCCAGGATCTGGCTTGTCTCGTCTTCAAGCTTCCGGAGCTGGTCTGTCGTTCTACAGCGACTTGGTTGGCTTCACTTCCTGGATGGAGAACTTGGATCCTCAAGACATTGTCATCATGCTCGACCACTGGTGCAACAATTTGCCATTTGACATTTTGCTCACCATGAAGTCTCGCCTCGAGTCTCATCTCGATCACTCTAATGAGCAGGCGCTGGTGCCTCCTAAGATGAATTATGGCTACGAAGACTTGGTCACGAACATGGAAAATACTTCATTGGACTCTTTCAAGCTGAGAAACCCTCATCAACAGAACGGACTCGCTCAGCCAAAGCCAAAGAACAATGACCCTTACAGAAGTCACCTTTTCCAGGAATCAAAGTTGCAGAGACCTAAGCTGGCTGATCCAAGTCTACACAACCGCTTCCCAGGACCTAATGCTAATCAAGCCTCGTCTGGCCAAGTTAACCCCTCCACTTCTGGAGGTAATCACGGCGGTAATCCATTGGATAGAGCTAGAAGCCCTACTTCTCATTTGCATGAGAAGACCAACTTCTTGCAGTTGGCCGCTGCTTCTAACTCGCCTCTCTCTTACGCTCAGCATAGTCACTCCCCAGATGAAGGTTACGACCTTAATGCTGCTCTGAAGTTAGGGGCGCTTGCTACCATCAACTCCCGTGTTGCCCTTGACTCTAATAGAAAGGGCCCCGCTTACCAACAACACCAAGCGCTGCAACCTCAACAGCCTTACCCGCATAATCCACTTGCCTATGAGGAACTGATTAATCGCCAGGCTAACTCTTCATCGGTCCCTGTGCAACCACAAAAATATTCTGTTGCCGCTATGGGTGGTGCCAACCAGGGTCCTTCTGCTGCGGCTCTCAAGATGAAGAAGGAAGACTCTACTGTCAGATCCAGAGCTTCTACTCCTGTTGGCGGATCTTCCTCCAACGCTGCATGTGGGCTGTCTTCCATGCCTACCGAGATCGCTACGCTCGACTTGCTCAATAATATTCCCGCTTGGTTGAAGCTTCTTCGTCTCCACAAGTACACCGACTGCTTGAAGGACATGTACTGGAAAGACCTTGTTGAGCTTTCTGACGAAGATTTGGAAAACAAGGGCGTCAAAGCACTCGGAGCCAGAAGAAAATTGCTCAAAGCGTTTGAGGCTGTTAAGCAGTCGAGGTTGTAGACCTTGATGGCGCCTCGATAAAAATCCTTTTAAATAGAAAGCTACAGCGGTATTTGATATACCGTACAGTGCAAAGATATAAAGATGACGATACATGATTCACATAAAGTGCTATAATAGCCCACTATCTGTAGAAAATAACCTAAACAATCACGCAGCAAGAGTTAGTCTTCTTGGCTTGCTTGTAAAACATTCTTGATGAGGATGAAAGTGCTTCACTCTTGTCAACCAAAGTGTCTAACTTCTCGCCTCTTTGCAAGACTGACTCGATGGTCTTGTGCAAAACAATCTTGGTTTCATCCAACTCCTGCTGGACCTTCATGATGGAGTCAGCCTGAGATGGGTCTTGGTACTTCTTGATGTAGGTGTCCAACTTGTCAAAGGCAAATGCCAGGTTTGGTTCGGTGACCGTGCTCCATTCTTTGGCGGGATGCAACGAGAGGTACTCCTCCAAAATCTTATTAATCAATGTGTAAGCAGGGCGAACTGGGTACTCCTTGTCAGTAATAACAACGCAAGACAAGCCCTCCAGTCTCGTATAAGTGTGGCCGACATAGTTGCCTTCTTCGATACTTTGTCTCTGACCAGCTTGGGTTCTTTGGGAAACAGTCTCAGAAAAGAAAGTCATGAACTGAGAAACAGATGATCTTTCAAAGAAAGAAAACTGAGAAAGATCTCTAGCAGCTGCAAGCTCCACCACGGAGTCTTTGACCTTCAAGATGCCGATGTAATAGATCTTCATGGTAGCGATAGAAGAGAAGGAAGTGGTAGAAGTTGCTTTTATGCGACGTGGTTTGGGCACGTGATGATAAGGCTGTACAGCCATGTCTTAAACCGGATACTGAAGGGTATGAAGCGGCATTTCTTGAATTCTAATATCTTAGAAGTTTTATTTATACTGTCAGAAATTTCTGTCTCGAGAAACACGAAACTTGGGTCAGGAAGTTGTTGTTTTGCGTTTTCAGTATTGTCTCATAGTTCCCAGTACACGGGGAAGCAACATGGAAATGCATTAATTGCATCCTTATAAATACTTAGCATTTCTTTGACGAGGAATATCATTTGACTGCTATTTGGCGGTTCATTTCGGCGTTTGGCGTGTAGTAGTTGTACCATCGAACAACCTGTTTTCGCAGCCATTCTCACTATACGAGTGTGGCGCCAGTAGAGTTCAAGAAAGTATAAAGTTTCCAGCCATTAACGAACTGTTTCACGAGAGAATCCTCTAGTTTTAGCATTCTGTAGCCTCAACTTTAGAAAGAAAACTTTTGGGGTTCAATTCGAATATTATAAGCTATTTAACCAATTCATGTTTCTTCATAACCGCACCCATTTTGCAGCAATTGTAGATACGAACCCCAGATCTGATAAAAGTACATATACTTGGTAAAAAACGATAACAAGATTTGTTAGTCAAAGAAAAATAGATAAGCATCAAGAGACCCTTCCATTGTTATTCTATATTTGCTGTGCCAAAATACCCCTACCTACATCTCCCTTGCTCTTACTCTCGTGTGCTTCCTCGCACAGTCTCCTACACAATCACTCACGGCCAGTATTTGTTGATATTTATTGATAACCGTTGAACAGACACTTCTGACAGCCTATACACCAACTATAGCTTGCCTACCATAACCAAAAATACCATATTCTGAGGGTTTCGGCGCTTTTCCATGGATTCCTCTCAGTTCCTTAAGGTGGTGCTCCTAGGTGATTCTGGTGTAGGAAAGACGTGTCTTCGTTCCCAGTTTGTTCACCATGTGTTTACGAACGCTTATAAAGCCACCATTGGTGGTGACTACTTGACCACAACCGTCAATATACCAAAGGATAGTATCCCAAAGTCCAATGCAAGTCTATCTTCGGACACTGAACGAAGATCACAATCCACAGCAACCACTACCACGAAGGTAAACCTACAGGTGTGGGATACAGCGGGCCAGGAACGTTTCAATTCGATATCTCAAGCATTCTATCGAGGCGCCGATGTGTGTATTCTCGTTTACGACGTTACGAATTACGAGTCTGTTCTAAGTATACGAGATTGGTTCTCGAGGTTCATGGAACACTGCCGTGTTGATAAGCCAGGAGTGATAATTGTCGGAAACAAGATAGACAGAGTCAACGATAGATGCATTGACAAGGACGAAATACGCGAGGTTCTTTGTCGTAATAACCCAAAGATCAACCTAGACGATTACATAACTAATTGGGACACCGACTTGATTGAAATATCAAGCAAACAACTACTGCTCGTTGAACTGGTTTTCGAACGTGCTGCCCATATCGGTGTACAACTACCTAGTGGAAGACGGCAAAGTATAGCTGGCTTCGAATCCATCGAATTGAAGAAATTACGAAGGAGCTCATGTGCATGTTGATTTACCCCATTTCCAAAAACCCTAATTTGATATCCCTTAGATTGTCATATAATACTACCAAACAAAGAACTGCCCAATTTGATTGTGTATTCCGTTGCTTTATCTGTTTTCTATGTACATGGCTCGGATTATTTTAGTGAGCTCATTGCTCAGAGTCTTCTTTGTGTGGAGATTGAGATTCGTCATGCGTAACAGCGTGAGATGGTCCCTTTGCTGGGAACTGAGTAGATTCACTGGCGACTGGAGCAGCGTTCTGGCCTTCGGCTGGAGCAGCAGATGGCTCAGCAGAAGATGCATGTGAAGGACCCTCGGAAGGAATAGCAGTAGTAGCAGCACCAGGAGAACCGGCAGTGGAAACAGCGGCAGTGGTAGCGGCAGTGGTGGCAGCGTCAACGCCAGACTCGCTAGAGTCCTTATCAACGCTTGGGACTTCTTCATCCTCATAGAGCTCTTCCTTATAGTGTTCAGGATGCTGCTTGAAGCAGGTTCTCATGGCCTCAAACTTCTTGATACAGTCAATGCCCTTTGGCTCAGTTTCAGAATAAACGAAACAAGCAAATGCTTCTTTGAACTCCTCTCCACATGGGCCATGAGCCATGCCACCGAGACATGGACAGTCCCAGTTGATTTCACCAGTCTCTGGATTGAAGGCAGCCTGGCCTTGCTCTGGCTCACCCTCACCCTCGGTCTGCGTAGCGCCAGCAACTTCTTCTTCGACTTTCAGGCCTTCGGTCTTAGACTCATCCGCGGCGACCTTGAGCTCCTTCTTCACAGCCTGTTCGGAAGCTTCTTGCAAAACATCCTCAGCCTGTTCCTTAACGTCATTCAGAATCTGATTTAATGGGTAAAGAACAGCCACGGTCAAGAGAGAAGCACCAGCGGCGAGTCTTGGTGCGAGGCCGATTCTCGAAGCCGAGCTAGTGCGGGACCCACTGGAGGCAAATCTTCTCGAAAGAATGGCACCTTGGCGCAAGGAAGTAGAAAAGACTGTTCTAAACATTAGTGAAGGTTAAACTAGCTTGATCTTTTCTTTATCAAATGCTTTGCGGGCTAGTAAGAAGTTGATCGAAACTTGAGGTTGTGAAAAAAAAAAAAAAAAAGATAATTGAATGCGAAATCATGTCTGCTTTTAAGCAATCCTTCACAACGCTTAGTAAGCGCCACCTAGGTGGTACAGCAAAGATTACAAGGCTATGAAGGTTGGATCTACAGTGTCGTTATAGCTGGAATACCCAGTGGTGATGTTTTTGTGTCGATTGTACGAGATTTCGATGTCTCACGAGCCGTTGAGCCCAAATGCAGCTCCAGAGACCGTAATATTCTTGATAGATTCAATGTTTTGCATTTTGCCATGTCTTTGAGGTCGTAAAGTATGTATGATGGTTAGAATTGTTTCAGTGGCCATACCAATGAGTCGTTGCCCATGACAGTGCAACACTCTAAGGTCTTGGTCCAATGGGATGCATTCACGTCAAACCCATCTCTCTTCAACAGCAAGGCATAAATGAGGTAATAGTCGCGGCCACATTTGCTATTTACATACAGTGTTGTGGACACTGCTGGTGACCGAGGACCACTCCCTCGTAGATAGGACTGCTTAGTCCTTCTCATGCCGTATATCCTTGGTCAAGTCGCCAAGATCGACTTCCTTCTCCTTCACTGGGGCTGACATCGAACTTGCCCAAAACAATGAACAACAAACTGTAATAACTGTAATGGCTCCCATCCAACGCACTGTCTTCAATGTATTCTGGGATGCCTTGGTATCTTCTTTGCCAATGTCATCAATGAACTTGGAAACTCTGTTTTTGGGCTGTTTAGCGTAAAACCTCACGCCTAAAGGAAACAGGCGAGGAATTCTTCTGGAAAGCATTGCTTGTATGGTGGAGAAGTGTGTGGTGAGATCGAAAGAAGGGGAAGCATTTTAGCTTTGCGCTATGTGCACAATTTGCACCCAATCCACTTCTCTGTGGTATAATCACTTCAAGTTGACCAAGTCATAGACGCTAGTGGGTTCGTATCTATTTTGGTGCTCGACCCATAAAACATCGTCACTTATGAAACAGGTTTTCTTTTTGCCGTTGCGGAGTGTCAATTGATAGAGCTTGTTCATTGAAGCGTCTCTATGAGTGGTCGCGAGGAAGCCAATACCATTCTTGAAGCAGAAATCAGCTACCACATCTCTAAAAACCGCCATAAGTTGCGACAGACGTAGAGCCCTGACATCAGTAGAGCCAGATGTGCCATTGCCTTGAACAAGGCGAAGAATCTTGTCAATGCTAGGGAAAGCATTCTCGTCTATGCTTGGTAGACCACCTAAAGCCAAGCGACCTGTTTTGGTGTAGACGCTAATCTTTTCCAAACAGGTGTTGAAGAACCAAAGCAAAAGACCATTTATGGGAAAATCTTTGCAAGTATCGTCAAACCAAGACTGTTTGTCACAAAACCAGTCTTTTATCAATTGTCGTTTTCCTTGTAACAACTTCGAAAGCTCACGTAACCACGGGTTGAAGACACAGAACTGTAGAATTATCTCAAGCTGACTTTCCAGGATCACTTTTTCATCATACCTTAGCTGTAGAAGTACCCATATTAGATTTTTATTAGAGTCAGGACCCGCCTGGCTGAATTGTTCGTAAATGTGTACCGTAATGGCTTTGACGAGTTCATCGTGGAACAGAGATTTTGAAGTCCAAAGCGAAAAAACGTCCGACCACACACCATATTTGAAAAGAAGACTCTTTATAGTGGTTTCATAGAAATCCCTGATGTCTCTTGCTTTTTGTGCCTTTGTCCAAAGATCACTTCCCGTTTTAATGAGCTCCTCGAAACGCTGTTCGAGAGGTCTAAAAGTTGCTGAAATGACACTCACATCAAGACCAATATGAACAACTAGGTTAATAAGATGTAATTTGGAGTCCTTACTCCTTAGAATATCCCAACTTCTAACATCTTCCTCGATAAATGGACCGAGCGTTTGGTCGAATATCGATTTTTTGAAAAGGGAACAATCCATGAGAGCGGGCGACTCATCCCATACAGATATAAGATCGTTCAATGCATCAAAACTGCCTTCATTTAATAGTATCTCAATCTTTGGCTTAAGACCATTGAAAATCAAGAGATCCCACTCACCGAGATGGATTGACAGTTGCACAACAATCTCTCTCATAAGCGAGCACCACTTGATAAGATCAGGATCAGTTGGATCTAAGTCAGCAGGAAGATGTTGCAGTAAAATGGTTAGCAAAAGATGAGGCAGGACAACTTCAGGGCGGTGTTTCATCTGTAAAATCTGTTGTACGCATTGGGTAGCAGCCTCTTTTGTTTGCTGCTGATTGTAGTCTTCGAGAATAAGTTCAAGACTTTGGCCGCTTTCAATTGCCTGAATGTTATCAATTGTCTCTGTTTCGAAAGTTTTGCTCTCTTCTGATTCTAGCCGTATGTTTGCCTCTAGCGACGTCAAGTCTGTTTCGAACCGACTGAGCGCATCGTACGCTTGTCGTAGTAATGAGGCATTTGTATCGCTAAAAGAACTTTCTTGAGTCAAATCCAATCTTAAGAGATCCTCATACCGAGAATGCATTTTTATACCTCTGGTACCAAGCTTCTGCACAAGACTGGAGTACTTACGACGAAGAACTTCAACCGCTCGACCAGCATCAGTTCGAACAAAGTTATCTGGTTGAACTTCCTTTGTCACCTCATCACCAGCCTTTTCGTGAATTCCACCAACACCCAAGCCTCGAGGCCGTAGCTTTGTTTCAATAGGGTTCACTATACCTTCCTGCTTTGCACCCAAACCTTGGCCTTGTTTATACCCCATCTTCATAAGGAGAGTGGCACCAATACCATATTGATTCACATGTGACCCACTAGGCTGTTCGGGCTCTTGGAGCGGTTCGGCAGCTGGCTCATCGTCTGACTCTTCTATATCTGAGTACTCATCTCGGACTGCCATAGACATTGACTGTGGGGCACCAATACCGACGCCTTTGTCAGCGTCACTGGAGTCGGCATTTCCTGAAGCCTTTGTAAACAGAAGGCCGAAGGATCTGGACATATGGATTAGCCCTGGTTCAAATTGGTGGTTGATAAATGTTGATATGGCTGCACGTGAGGCAAGTTGATGTTTTGATGCTGGATGCACGATTTTGCAGCCACCCACCAGGGCGACATCGAAGCAGAAAAAGAGCTTACTTAAATATGGAAAAGTAAAAAAAAAAAGATCTTTATAGTAGATTTCTAAATGTAAAGTGTTATGCCTATTTCATTTCATTCAACCGCTTTTATCTTCTCAGAGTATGGCCAGCATTCTGAGTATGTGCGCCCAATCCATGGTGCCTCTTTAAAAGCAGCAATAGCTTGGCTTCATCTTCCTCAGCTGTTTCTGTTTGGAGCATTTCTAGACCTTCTGTGGTGACTTGTACCACGTAAGGCTGGCTCAGGAATCCGGGTAAGACAAGCTCCTTTGGAATATAATCACCGTACTTGGTTAACCACTGCGCTCTTCTATCCTTCTCTTCCTCTTCCAATTCCAAAAGAGGTCCATGCAAAAAGTCGTCGAGCATCTTGACATATTTCCGGGGATACACGTACTGTTCATAGTGAAGTTCTGTGATATAATGCTGCTTGAAGGTAGCATAAAACTGGGTATAGTGGTGCAAGAGGTGCTTTACCACATCAGTATAGAGGTCAATCGCCAGTTTTGCAGATGGTTCAGGTACATCGACCAGACACAGCCTTAATATTTCCTCGACTTTTAGGAGAAGCAAAACAAATCCCGTGAGCTTCTCGTTCTTAAATGCAACATTCGCTTCTGAAAGCGATGAAGATTGTTCTATGAAACCTTCTATGGCAGGTAATTTCAGTTCCACGAACTTCGCCGCTCTTGTCTCGTTATTCATGATTATATCGTGAATTGCGGCAAATTCTCGTAGCACATGTGGAAGCTCAGCAGTGTCGTTTTGGAGAACTTCGTAGTTAACCCCGTCGCTTTCGCTGTTGGACTTTAAGATATCTAAAGCGATCGAGCATTGATCATAATGGTTCGTAAGCATCTCGAGTAAAGATACTAGTTCTTGTTCTAATGATCCGTTTTCTTTCAAAATAGTTCTTATGAAATTGCTTTGTTCCTTAGGTGGCGACTGGGTCATGGCTGCAAAACGGAGTAGCATAGCTACTTCTGCAATGGACGTATTGTATGATTTGTGGAGGCGAAGAAACTTCCTGGAGTTTTTATGGTATTCTTTTAGTAGGATCTCTAGTTGCAGTGATAGTAGATCGCATGCCTTATCTGCGTTCTCCAAGTATATGTTGATGTTTTCTTTAAGTAAGTCGATCTCTTCACGAGCAACAAAGTCACTCAAATGCTTATAAGCAGATTTTTCAGAAACATCGTCACCCAACAAAGCTTCTGGGACTGGAACTTCGCCCAATTGACCTAGAACTTCATCTAGCCTTGTGAGGACGGGTTTAAGCTGTGTATCCACAGCGTTATGATGGGCCCCAATGACTGTATCTTTGACTTGCACTCTTAAATGCTCTATCAATGCAGTAATATTAGCGTGTTGATCCATTATGAGGTCGGAATTCTCGGTAGCTGTTTGGACTTTCTTTGGTAGTTGGTCACCTAGTATGTGGGCGGTGGACTCGAGAACATTTTGGGCAGACGAGGATAGTTCACGCGCCCGTTCTAACGTTCTAAACGCCTCTTGAGCCCACTGCTGTACTTCCAGAGGCGGAAAAGCCATTACCAGTGTTTATTATGTAACGAAGCAGTGATATGCAACTGTCTATTGAGACCGGTGGAGCTCTAGTGGTGATAAGGGCACGTGACGTCTCCACCAATTCAGCCATCCACATCTCCACAGAAGCTTTTATTTCGATAAGACTAGTATATTCTATGCACAAAGGTATGAATTTGACTACTATCAATTTTCGTTTGTTTTTACTGGTGTTCTAGGATGCGTTGTTGCACTTTGTGCTTCCCTTCCACTACATAGGTGAGATGCGAAAATATCAACGCTTGATATTTAGCTACAACCACCTCCATGGACTCCATCAAGCAGTTAAGGAAAGCCACTGTGGGTAAAAAGCCCATCGAGCTCTTCAAGGATGGAGAGAAGACGGAAAATATTAAAGAAGCCACCCACGCTTCGTTGGGCGACGATCAGAAGTATGGTTTGGACGAGCTCACCAACTTCTACAACGAAGACCAGCGCCAGCTGCTTCGGGCGGTGATTTTCTGCTGGATGCATGATAAGTCATCTATTGTGGATTACAAGAACGCATGTTTAGAGAATGGCATTCCTGATTTCAAGTTCTTGGTTAAAGCTGAATTGACAACCTGGTTGAGTGGAAGTTCTGACGCTTGTCAGTTTGTTAAGGAAGATGAGTCTTCAAGCAAAGCTGGCGGTGCCGATGCCGACGGAAACGATAAAAAGAGAAAGTTGGAGGACCCTCAGATGGCACGTATAGAAAGTTACCAGGAAGACTCTGTTGATCACAACTCGGCGTTGAGAGGATCGAAGAACATCGTCTTCAAGAATCTTATATCGGACGCCAAAAGGTTTGCCTCTCAGTTGAAGAGAAGCAAGTCTTCCAGACCAAGTAGTGCTAACGGCGCTGGCGCTGCCGCCAACAAGAAACTGCCTATCATCATTATTTCCCCAGCTACTACTGCATTACTTTCTCTTGCAAACATCAAAGAGTTTTTGGAAGAGAGCCGATTCGTTGAACCAAATGTCAGCACTATGAAAAGACCAGAATCCGGTGTGGTCACCATCAACCATCCATCGGACAAGTTAGCACCATCTGCTCATTCTATCATGGTGGTGGACAACGTTGATATGTTCACCAAACCAGAATATTGGGATAGAGTTGTTGCCATTTTCACCACTGGTCAAGCGTGGCAATTTTCAAAATACAAGTACTCAAAGCCTGAGGTGTTGTTCCAGAAGTATCCTGGTTTCTTCGTCGCTTACCAGAACGACGTTGTGCCTAAACAGATCAAGGACTGGAACGTCAACGTGGTGAGAATCGACAGAGGAGAGAAAAGATTCAGAGACAAAATGATCGTCAGAGACTTGTGGATCCACTTGGAAAAAATCCTTATCGGGAGACAATACGGTGCACAAGAATAGGAAGGGCCGTAAAATGTGTAGACTATGTACAAATACAGAAAGACAAGAATTACTGGTAACTTCTCTCGAGACTAACGAAGAGTTCTTTAATCTCTTCGGGTGTCATGTTCAGCACTTTCCTGCTTTCTCTCGTTCTCACCGCAACGGTACCTTTCTCTATGTCCCTGTCTCCAAGCATCAAAATGTAGGAGTACTTCTTTTGAACAGCATCTTTAATTCTCGTACCAACGCTCTCGTCCCTTGTATCGACATCGACATAAAAGTTGAACCCTGTGATTGGAGCGACCGAGTCACTAAATGCAATATCACCAGAAATCTGCTTTTGCAATGCCTTTGCAGCCTCGACATGTTTCTCGGAGACGGGCACGATTAACGCTTGTCTAGGATTGAGCCAGAAGGGCCAGGCTCCTTGGTAGTGATCGAGCAAGATGGCAAAGAATCTTTCAAGCGAACCAAAGACGGCTCTGTGGATCATTATGGGTTGAACCTTGGAGCCTGACTGAGCAGTATACTTAAGCTCAAAGCGAGATGGAAGCTGGAAATCTAGCTGAATGGTACCAACCTGATGCTTCTTGCCAAAGGCATCTGTTAACAAGATATCAATCTTAGGGCCGTAAAAAGCACCGTCTCCATCGCGGATTTTCCAACCGTCTTTACCAGCTGTAGCGTTCAAAACGTCTCTCAACTGGTTCTCAGCTTCGTCCCATGCTTCAATCTCGCCCATAAACTTCTCTGGCCTTGTACTCAAGTAGAATTCAACATCTTTAGCCGAGTCAATACCGAAAACACTATAGGTATCTTTGATGAGGTTGATGGTGTTGGTGATTTCCTCATTTATCTGATGCAAGGCGCAAAATATATGGCCATCGTCTTGATGGAAACGTCTAACTCTAGTAAGACCAGAAAGAGCACCGCTGGCCTCGTTTCTATGCAACGACAGGAAGTCTGAGTATCTCACAGGAAGCTCACTATATGACTTGTCGAACTTGGAGAAGATCAAACAGTGACCAGGACAGTTCATTGGTTTGAGACCGTACTCATGTTGATCTTCATGATCTGTGCAAGTAGAGCCTTCCACTGTCTCTTCTTTGGAAGGATCGTTTCCCACAACCTTGAACATGTCCTCCTTGTAGTTGTCCCAATGACCTGACTGTTTCCAGAGTTCATTCTTGTAAATCAATGGAGAGATGACTTCCTGGAAACCGTACTTTGTCTGCTGGTTCTTCATGAACCCAACAAGCTTATTGAAAATTCTCGTACCATGAGGCAAGAAGAATATCAGCCCTGGCGTAAGACGGTCTGTGGTATATAGAAGCTGCTTATTGGAGATGGCATGGTTAGCCTGTGTCGAGGAGACAGGTTCTGTCGTTTGGGGCTGATTCCTCAATAGCAATGACTTAGAAAAGCATCGTATGCTTCTCTGTGTCGCTGCTGTACGCCCTACCAACATGGAGCTAGATGATGATGTTGTAGTAAGTAGTTGATTTTGGTGTGTATGCAACATGGACAGTAGGAAGAGAGATGGAGGTGTATCAAAATGGTCTATAAACTAGAGATGGGTTGATTAATGACTAGGTCGGTTGGTTTTGGCTATTTTCATTCCTATACTTTTGTTTTTTGGCGGTGCCGGTCGTCTATAATACACTGGCCAATGGGCTGGCCACATGGAACTTTACCCACTCTCGTTATGCTGTAATGGCCGTAGCCTCAGATGGGGTTTCCAGACCCACATCCACTTCTTCGTGTTCATGCTTTGGAAGACTTTCCAGCGTGTCCTCTTGTTTTGGTGCTTCTGCTTTGGCTTCTGCTTTGGCTTCTGTCTTATCCTTCTCGGCTCGTGGCTCACCCTTGTGTTTCCACGTCTTTACCTTTACTTTGAACCCACTGAAGGTCTTAAATTGTCTTGAGCCACGAACCCACTTCTTAGCGGGCCTTCCTGACTTATCAAGGGCAAAGTTAGCATTTACACTGTGTACGGTCAAGCCAGCGGTAGACATCTCTTTCATACCGGTGTTGATCCTTGAAGAGGCACTTTCATCGTTAGGTCCAGGCGACAGGTTCTTGCCATCGCCAGCTTTATCGTTCTTTTTATCATCAGCGATCTTCTTGACTCTTTTAGCTTTGGGTGTAGCGAACACGGGAAGCGTCTTTAGGAACTCAGGAGAGACCTTCACCTTCACTAGTTGTCTCTTTGGGGGCATCGCAGGGTATAATCAATGCTTCTTCCTTGGTAGAGATAGGTATTATTAATTGTAAGCTAGGATGCTAAAGCGGTACGGGTGGTTTACCGTTAGAGGGAAGGATCAATGAAAGTATGTAGTTGAGTTGGTAGCAGCGCGAAGTGAGCGTAGGTGTATGCTTGAGAATGGGTGCAAATTGAGAAGTACATGGGGATACTAAGTGAATTGGAAACTTTGATGAAGAATGTACTTCAATTGTTTTTGTTACTAGGGAATTGAAAATGCAGAATATTCGTTTTAGTAATTTTAAAATATTCTAGGGCCCAACCTTAGTGGTACGGGAAAGACAGTAATATAGACGTGAACCACCTTTCTTGAGTGGTTGAATTTCCCTTTTCCTTTAAGAAGTCTATTTTATGTTTTAATTAAGGCTGAATGCTATTTAACCTTTCTAGGGAGCTTCATACTATAAATTATGGTGCAATGAAGACCTTGACCGGTAGACTGGTACCAAACTAACGGATCTTTCCTTTTTTAAAATTTTTTTCCTTTTTTTCAATATTTACAATTTATCTACCAAGTAAGTACATCGATTAAGTACATACTAATGCAGAGTTCTAGGATTACCTAGCTGGTGTCTTTATCTTAATTGAAGCAATCACCAGGTGAGGCTCTATATTGCAGAGATACTTCGCACCCAGATCGCTCCACAATTAATCTCACCCCAATCAACCACCCCTTCTTATCATGGAACTCGAAAGAAGACGCTCCCGTTTAGGAGACTTGGCAGATAACCTTAAACTTGATGTCAGAGCTCATCAGAGGACTTATGAGGGCGCATATACTCGTACCGCCATCTCGTGTCTATCATTCTCCATTGTCATGATCAAGCTCTTTTCATCTGAGTTTCTTCCCATAGGCACTGTCTATACGGTGTATGGATGCTTGTTATACTTCATTGGCGTGGTGAAAGCTGCCACCGTGGACACGTATTATAACCCAGAAAAGGATATGGAGGAGTTCAAGACCGCTGGCGATCTGGTTCTTCTCCTTACCGGTATCAGCCTTGCTTCTTATGTGGCCATGCTAGTATTAGTACTCAGACTATAGCTTAGGTCACTGCTCCAAGACCGAAAACAACAAATTGTACAAGCAATTGCATGGTCCAGAAGGCCACTTTACGCATCCGGACCAATCTAGCTTCGTCGTCTGCGACGTACTTAGCAAACCCGTCATAGACTTCTTCAGAGATATCGTCCATTAATAGCGAGTCATAGACGGTCCAGGAACCACTGAAGTCTTCAATGTTCTTCACAATGCGAGATTTGACTTCGATGAAGGCATTTCTCAGGTTAATGTATCCCACAATGGGTCGAATAAGTGCATAGTTAACATAGCTTAGTTCTGGAGTTTGGAATGGCACCAGTGCTCTAACATTATTAAGACGCATTGTCAAATCAAGGACAAAATATTGCGAGATATCTTCTGAGCCAGTGGTGTTTCCGTTTGTAAGTCGAAGCATATGGTCCTGCTTATTCAAAGAGTCCGGGTTGACATATCTGGAGGCTTCCTTGTTGATGGACTGACTGATAATACTCACAATTTCCAGTACGTGGAAGTCCTTATTTTGCTCAGGAACCATGACGTCTCCGATCATGTCCACCTTACCTGATGTGATCCAACCGAATGGGCCTTCCAAGCCAGTATTTAGATGGTCAATATTAAGAGAATCGACACGAAGTCTTGTAACTCGTTTCCAAGGTAATTGTGTGACTTTAGGGCCTGAACCATCGACCTCATCGAAGTCATCAAGTCTCTGCCTTTTATGAATCGTGAAAAGGGAATTGTCGTATGAGCCACTCATAATGTTGGCATTGAGGAAGTCATAGAAAAGCCAATGCTTGCGAAGCTTCGCTAACTCGCAATTATAAATTGCCACGCTGAAAGGACGGAAATTCGAAGGCTGGAAAAGTGTGAACAAAACGTCTTCCATTCTAAAGTCATTGAATTCAAAATCACCAAATTGATGGACATTTTTGTAGTTTCTGGCATCGTCGTTTGGGTCCCAATGAACATGGGTTCTATCAACGACACCTCTCATGCCCTTCACTTCTAATGTATCCACTATACCTGTTCCATTAACCCATTTCCTAAACGATAGAGACATGTTAACTTCCTCTATAGTCAAGTCGAATTGCGTATAATTGCCGTCATCAAAGACTTCTCCTTCTGATTCTGACGGATCCAAACTCTTCGCATAGGCTTCTGCCTGGCTTCCTTTGGAAAATTGTCTCGTAGCTTTTGGTCTTCTGCTGACGAAGCATTTCTTAAACGAAATCTTTCCGTCTGACCATCCAGGCACGATAGCGTGCTCGAAAGTGACCGTCAACTTGGAATTTTTCGTGATAAACTCACCGACCTTTCGGGCCACAAGCTCCTGAGCGAACACAGTATTAATGGTAAATATAACCAACAGCACAAACGTTGTGGTACCGAGTATAAGAATGAGGGCGTTTCCCATGACGAGCCAGGAAAAAAATGCAGAGTAGTCATCGGTGTTGAAAGGCCGATTGGACCTTTTTAGAAGCCAACGTAGGCGAATCCATAGTCTTGGTAATAACCCCTTCGTTGATGCTAGCAATTGTTCTTTGGTAACGGGTCGTTGGATGTTAGATGGCTTGGGAGAACCCTTCTGGTCGTTTAGCGTCGTATCAGCCAGCTTTGAAGGATCATGTTTCAGATGTGGCTCTTTTGGTCCCGATTCGGGGTCCTTTCGATGAGGTCCGGTTGGATTCGAGTAAGCCCGAAGAAGTGGAATCGTGGGCCTTATTAGACTTATAGGACGCCATAAGGGCCTTTGGAGAGCCGGTCGAGTCCTGACGAGGCCTCTTGATGCCAATTGCCGAAAGCAGAACATGGCCTGGGGAAGAACGATGGGCTTGAGATGTGCGCAGGATTATCAAGGATAGGTTTTTGTGGTTTTGTGGAGAAACACAACGCAACGCCGAAAAAAACACGGTTTTAGTGGCAGATGATGCTTTTCCAGAATGGAATGTGTGTCTTGATAGTAAGTCTCGGAGTTTTGTGGGAACTTCGCAATAGTAGCGTGGGCCCATTGTTGTATAGTTGAATTTCGCAGCAATAGAGCAAGTGATGGAGGGGTGGTGGGAGAGGCCATTGGTGAGTTATTGAAAGGGAAAAGGGAGGAATGGGGGAAACGAGTATGGACGTTTGGGATCGAAGAATAAGTTTCCTTTTTTAGTGGTTCGGGCGTACTGGTAGTAAGTTGTGGAGTCCTTTACCAGTAGAATGTTAGTGTAGGGAGGGGCATCATGTCCAGTAGAACCGTTTCGAGGAAACACCTGGGAAAGTTGGTAACTCAGTGATGTAATAAGAGCTTTTGAACAACGTTAGGTAGTTGAGGAACTTTTTCACCTTTCTGGTTGTTTTGTTGGGTATGAACTGGAACAGTTTCTGGCATTTCGCAGCCATTCTTTCACCCCAAGCCATGAAGCAAATGCCATCAGGTTCACCTGGAAACTCCCATATTCCCATTGCCAGAACAACTCACCCCTCTTCCATCAGCTCTTTCATTAGTCACTGGTCTCAATCCCAAAAAAAGACAAAAAAAAAAATAATCAGGAATTGCCTCCCCCACTATGACTCAACTGGAACCCTTTCTAGCGTATTATCAGATTCTGCCCATAATATCCCAACCCACATTCAAAAATTTCCCGCCAACTACAAAGCCACTACAAAATCTCTCCAAACTACCCGATTGGCCATTTCCTGCCCTATCTACATTTGACTCATCGTTATGTGCGGTTGACTCAGAGGTTACAAAACCCCCAGAGCCTTATCATAAAAACCACCCAAGCGGCTCCCGCACTGTGAAACGGCACCCACCAAACCACTCACTTCTTTCTGCAACCAATGCCTCAGTTTGGCAAAGCCTTTAGAAAAAAACATTTCCCCCAGATCCCAGATCACGTGGTGCCGGTAAACAACGGTTCATATGGTCTTCCTCCAGCCGAAATCATCAACGAATACCACTCTGCTTTTGATAAGGACGTAGCGTTTCCTGATGAGTTTATCAGATTGCGCCAGCAGGACCAGTATAAACAGGCCGTGCACAGTGTGGCGCCCATAGTGAAGAGCGCGCCAGAGAACTTGGCCTTGGTGGAAAATGCCACTACGGCGGTGAATACGGTGTTGCAATCGGTGGACCTTGTGAAGGGGGATATTGTGGCTATGCCTACGACGACGTATGGAGCTTGTGCTCAGACGGTGCGGTATTTGCATGATTATAGAGGGGTAGACTTTGTATGGGTGGATGTGGAGTACCCTATACTGGACTCTGAGGTGGTTGCAAAATTTCGCAAAGTGTTTGAAAAACACCAGGTTAAGTTGGCTATTTTTGATGCAGTGGTGTCAATGCCTGGAGTGGTGGTTCCTTGGGAGCAGTTAGTGCTGTTGTGTCGGGAATTTGATATTATTTCGGTGGTTGATGGCGCCCATGCTGTTGGTTTGATTCCTCTAGACCTCGATAAGGCCAAACCGGACTTTTTCTGCTCAAACCTCCACAAGTGGTTCCATGTTCCTAGAGGCTGTGCTTTCTTATACGTCCATCCTCGGTTCCATAGAACCATTCAGACGCTCCCCATTAGCCACCAGTACGTATCGCCGCACGCAAAGCTCACTGACGAACAAGCCAAAGACTTGCTATTCCATAAGTTTGCGTTCAATGGGCTGAAAACGTTTGCTGCCATTGCCACAGTGCCTGCGGCCGTTAAATTTAGAAAGGAGGTCTGTGGAGGCGAAGAGGCAATTAGAGACTACTGCAACCGATTGGCCCAGGAAGCCAAACAAGCTGTGTTGCGTAAGTGGGCCAATGCCCAGATTGTTGAAAATGACGAAAAGACGCTTTCCTCGGCGATGATCTCATTCTTCGTGCCTATCCAAGAGTACAGCCAGAGTTTCGATGCATCTGATCCGTCAGCAGTGTTGCAGCTTGTGAACTTCTCTCTGGAGTGGCAGTTAACCAAACGACACACCTTTGTGCCTATCAACGGCCATGCTGGGAAAATCGTCGCTAGACTTTCGGCACAATTGTTTAACGAGGCAAGCGATTACACCTACGGATGTGAAGCGCTTGACGATGCATTAAAGGCGTTCTTCTCTCTGAAACTCTAAATTTTCGCAGCCAAAATATACGATCCATACATAACCAGAGGCCCAGTTGCGCAACCAAAATACCATCCGACCGCCTACCGGCTGCCGATCATCTTGTCCCAAAGCCAGTCCAATTTCATCTGCTGCCGAGCAAAACCCAACCTACCGTCCCGAACAGCCACTGCATTCGGCTCGTCGCCTCGAACCTCCTGGCGCCTAGCCCTCCCTGTTTGCTCGCAGAAAGGCGCTTGTGCAAGTGCACAAAATCAATCAGAACGAGGGCCAAACTGGAAAGTAGACTCGCGCCCTCTTTTTTTGGTCAAGGCTGTGTGGGTAAAACTGGAGGGGATAAACGCGCGAGACAATAACGATTGTGGAATGAATAAGCCATAATTAGTAAAAATGTAGGAAAGACAGGTTTTGGTAAAACAACTGCCGAAAACAATATTAGGTTTCAAAGGGGGGGATGTGAATGGCGGATAAACACACGGGAAAAGGACAAAATTAAAAAAGGGCTGCAAAACGCAGCCGCTGCAGGAGCAACGTTTGACAGGTTGAATGTATATGCTATATAATTATTTTTCCTTGGTAAACCGGTGTGGCTCGTGGCAATTGGCTGCGAAAAAGCTGGGAAACACAGGAAAGGAGCGAGAGGCTAGAGCATGGTCTGCGGTTTAAGTTGTTCCACAAAATCAAATGGTAGCCCCTTGGGCTGGTAACGCAAAAAGCAGGTAATTAAACGAACGTAGTGGTTGCTGAGGAAAATGCCGAGGAACAGGAAGAAGGCGTTGTTCTGTTGTTTTGCTCTTGTTTTGCTCTTGTTTTTCCGATCGCCTACCTGTCCTCGGTACATTCCATGGTAGCGTCGGATAATATACGTCTCGCCAGGGCATTTGCTTCACAAGTCGATCTCGGATCGACACCGGCTATGTCGCCATGACAATTTCACTTCACTCTACATCACCTTTTTCTCAAGTTTGTTTTCATTAAATTTGTATACACTTAGTACACGCACTGGTTAGGGTACTGTCTGTCGTCAAATGGTTGTGGGAAAGCACCAATCTTGATCAATCTAGACAAGTCCCAGTCAATGGCATCTTCACACTTCCAGTTCCAGAAGATCCAGCCACTGGCAGTGGAGTAAGCATCGAGCTGTGCCTCAAGGTACTTACGCACATTCTTCTTGTGCTCGTCAGTCCACTTGTCAGGGTTGGTGTATGTGTCACAGGAGCCATAGTTTGGAGAGTTGTCGTAGTCTCCAGACCAACGGGCACCACGACCCACACCGTTCAACCAGAAAGCACAGTCAGTAAGAGCAGCAGACCATTCACCAACAAGGTTCCAGTGGTACTCCTTCTTGTGCTGAGGACCCCATTTACAAGCAGTCTCAATGTGGTCGTCAATGTCAGCAGCAAGTTCACCTGGAGAGAAAACCTGGTAGTGGTGGTGGTCCAAGACAACCTTCCAGTAGCCATCCTTGACGTTCATGAAGCTGTCCCAGTAGCCCTCACTCTGCTCGAAAGCATCGTGAATGGCGACATTGTTGTTGGAGACAGATCTCATGTTACCGTAGGCCCATCTGTAGAAGTTCTTGAGCTGGTTCACGTCAGAAGCTGGTCCGAGAGGCTCGTTCAAGAATTGAATGGCACTCACGACATCCTCATAATCAGTACCACCATACTTGTCAAAGATAGCTTGCAAGACAGTAAGGGTAAGAGAGATGTTCTCGTCACTCTGGTAGCCAATTGTGTCTCTCAAACCAGAATTGTCGAAACCATTCTGAGAGCCTGGAGCACCGTGCAAGTCAATCCAGACAGCGAGACCGTGTTTACGAGCCCAGCCAATGGCTCTTTCCAAGTAGTAGTCTTGGCCCAGGACATAAGGATCGTCGTCCAAAGCACCATAAGCCCAGTAGCCAATGGGGATTCTGACAGTGTTGATGCCTGCATCAGCAATGGCCTTGAAGTCTTTCTCCTGGTACCAAGTGTCCCAGTGCTTCTTCAATCTCTTCTTGGCCTCTTCTTTACCAAGAGCCTTGGTGTAGTGATACTCATCAACAGGCACGTCCTTGTCACCAAAAGCGGTGAAAAGGGACGGCGTAATATAAGGTTCAAGAACGAACCAGCCACCCAAGTTGACACCTTCAACCTTCTTGTTCTGGTAGTCCCAGTCAGAGGCCTTCTTACCTCTCTTAACGGTTGATGCGGCCAACACGGCGGTAGCCATGGAAAAGATGGACAAAAGCTTCATCTAAAAAAGCAAAAAGAATATGTATATATATGGATTGGAATGTAATTAACGAAGAAAGAAAAGGAAAACGGTCGACAAGAAGCCTTAGATTGAAGGCTTTAGCGAAAGACGAGGGGACGGTTGATTTCGGGGGGGGGGGGAAAAAAATGTACAGGAAGACGAACTGATGATGGAAGGAAAAAAAAAAAGGTAAGAATGGTGGGCGGGAATGGCTCTTTATATACTGCTAGGGTGAGAGATAAAACAAGCCTAAGGCAGGGAAACAAGGCAGGAGGCGTTTGGCGATACAGACAAGGCAGGTAGACGTGAAGGGACGCAGCAGGCGCATGAACAAGGCCGCGGGTCCTGCACGATGCGCAGAAGGCTGCACGAGGGGCATGCCAGGCATGCCAGGGCAGGTTGTGAGCGAGTGCGCCCCCACGACGTCACAGAGTAATTATAGCACCGAAAAAACAAAAAAAAAAAAAAAAAAGGGTTATCCAGGAAAGTACCTATCCGTCAGTCGTTTACAGGGTTCTAGTACCATTAAACAAGGCAACCCCAACACCCCCAAACCAAGTAAACCACCACTTGCCTAGCCCAGTCCTTTTTTCCCACAACCTAAAATTAATTCAGCACCCTTGTAGTCTTCTTTCTTCTTGGCCCTCTCTTCTCGTTTAGTGTCACACCCCGAATAACCTCTACCGCTAACCTTTCATGCCACAAACCAATTCCCTCAGCCAGTGCCAGACTTGCTCCATTCCACCCTTTCCAGCCTCCTCCCGCAAGGGCATTCCCGCGTTTTCCGCCCTGGCCCAGCCCAAGGCACGCTCCAGAAGATGCTTGGCCGCGCACTGGCCCCATATACCTTTCCTCCCACAAAGACGCTGGGAGGGACCTGGGCAGGCCATGGCTACTTGTGGCATCAGCAGGTGCTTTGAGTGAATGGACGCTGGCATTGTCAATTGCTTGTTGCTTGGAGAAGTGATGTAGCTTTGGGGATTTTTCTTTTTGGCCAAGAATCCGCTTGAGGGGCTGGGGCTGTCTTGGATTCAGGCATTCAGAAGTATCTTTGGGAATCCGGGGCAGGCTTAACCTGTGGGTTTATGGCTTAACATGGTTGCTGTGAAACATGGGACGCAACGACGAAACGAGGAAGGAGGAAGGGTGGGTTGTTCGCACTGAGCAAGGCAAGCACCGGTAAAGTAGAGACTCTTGCCGAAAGGCAAGGCAAGCAAGGAGAGGATGGTTGTTCGATGGCTGTTCGATGGCTGCTTTAGTTACCTGAGGGCTTTTTTTTTTTCTATTTACATGGCCGTTGGTAAAAATAGCCTTTGAGGGCTAAAAATACCTGACACTCGCCTGATACAAAGACTCCCCTCCAGGAGGCATTATCCGTACGGTGATGTTTCGTATTACGATAGTCTTTTTAAGAAAACCAGGGTCGGGTCGGGCTGGCCGATTACGCCATCACCAAAAACGGTCCATGTCTTTAAATAGCGGTTGGACGTTGGCGTTTGGTATTTTTGGTCACCTCTCTGTCTCCACCTCTGGCTGCGAAATGGCTGCAAACTAGCCTGTCTGGATACCTACAACCATCCAGCCAGTACCTTCACCCCACGTCTCCATCCTAACCTTTCTTTAAGCTTTACCCTATGGCGGTTCGTATACCCAGCACTCTATTTACCTTCAGCGTAGGCACCCCAGGCACCTACTGACGGACTTGTAGGCTACGTATCCCGAACAGTATCGTAACCACAAAACGATCAGACCCTGTGACTTCTTTCCCTATTTTTTTTTCTTATCCACCTTTTCTTTTTCTCTCCTCGCCTGTTTTGTCCACCTTGTTTCCTCTTATATAAATAAAACATGGCTTTTGTGCTCCGTGGCTTGTTGTTTGTTTAGCCTTCACGGTTGGCTGGTAGTCTGGTGGGAGGGGTCTAGAAACCAAGCGCACTCTATGTTTATCGCTGCAAGAGAAAGAAACACAGACATGAATACTGGGGAAAACTCGTGGCACATGAGGGGCAGGAATAACCTTAACAACGCCGGTAAATGCTGGGTGACTTATTGTCATGTTTTTATTTTTTTTGCCGCTTCCTCTAACTATCAGGGTCCTAACTCTGTTCCTGTCTTTGTACGCATAAACCAGCCGCTTTCTGTTTATTTAGACGTAGCCACGCTAAAAACGCGCTTTCCATGTAATTTGGCCCTTTTTCGTTGCATGGCTCCAAACGGGCCCAATGCTTATGATGATCCAGCATCGTGTGTACCTATTTGACGTGGCAGCGTGGCTTTTCTGTGGAAAATGTGATTTTTATCTTCCTGATTTGTATTTTTTTTTTTTCATAAGTGGCTTGAAATCTTCACCAGCCCCGGGGAACTAATACCAACCAGCTTTGTTGATCAAACTCAATTCCTACGAGAATTTCATGGTTTATCGGTGGATACACGGTTTTCGTAACTATAACCCGTGTTCGGATTCGCTTCACGTCTAAATTTGCGCTTGCAAGCGGTTAACAACTTTAAAGTTTAATTCCGAGATGGGCCCCAGGTCCAGCATCCACCATGACTCGGAACGCTTTTTTGATGATACCGCTCGGGTTTGGAGCGGCTTTATCTTCCATACGTCAATGCCTTCCATGTCAATTGAGCCGCTCCAATGTTGAAGAAAATATCATGTTGGTTTGGCAGGTCTTGGCTGGGGCTCGCAGAGTGTGCATTCTTAGTCGTCTTGGCTGTCGCTGAGAGAGTCGTAGTGATAGAGATGAGAGCAGTTAAGTGAATTGGAAGTCATTTTGTCGCTTGGTGGGCTGGCGGTTTCCAGTTGTTGTCATTTGTTGAGGTAAAGGACCTCTCAAGGCATCGCTCAAAGGGGATGCCACATGCCCAAATTAAACTAGAACAACACGTTGCCAAACGTTTCATTGTTTTAGGATCTGTCCTTTACCTCCAGTCAATTATAGTGAAGCATCAATGGCAGGTTTAACACATTGTCTCTCCTAAAAGCACCCTTTCGTAGTCCTTTTGGCTCTTTCGAGTATTTCTAACGTAACAAGACTGTACTATCACAAAACAACCGTCTGATGAGCCGTCTGATGTTTTTCAACCTCTCCCTTTCTTTTACCCTACAAAGTAGAAGGCATCCTTTTATCCACTTCCTCGATGATTTGCAGCCATTTCTTCCATCTGCGCGTTCACTATGTCCCATCCTAAACACCATTTTATCTTCAAAACAATAAATCCCATTTAAATAAACAGCAAATAGCACTACTTAATGCCTAACGAATGCTTGATGAACATCTTGCCTCCAATTTCCCCCCTGGATGCCACCTTCTTCCTTGGTACCCACTGTGACGGCATCGCGGGTCTGGTGCCCTAACTGTATACACGTGATCTCAGCATCCTCTGCCCTCGCGCCCTCTGAAAAAAAAAGTTCACCGTCGAACTACTTCCATCTACAAACTAAGAAATAGTCTGCCCTATTGCTTAATCTGATTACTTCTAGTTAATTCGCAATGTCTACTGAATCTGCTTTGTCCTACGCTGCTTTGATCCTCGCTGACTCTGGTCTCGAGATCTCTGCTGACAAGTTGTCTACCTTGACTACCAAGGCTAACGTCCCAGTTGAGCCAATCTGGACCGAAATCTTCTCCAGAGCTTTGGAGGGTAAGGACTTGAAGGAGTTCTTCTTCAACATCCAGGCTGCTCCAGCTGGTGGTGCCGCTGCTGGTGGTGCTTCTGCCGCTGCTGGTGGTGCTGAGGAGGCTGCCGCTGAGGAGAAGGAGGAAGAGGCCAAGGAGGAGTCTGACGACGACATGGGCTTCGGTTTGTTCGATTAAACCTGTCGTTGAGGGCGCCTTATCTGTAATATATTAATACACATATATTATTTGGAACCGTTTGTGGTGTGGTTTGGATCTTTTGATCTAGGGGCCTACCACTATGTGAAATGTAGAACTGTAGACCGACAACGTTATCCAAGCGTTACTCTAGGGAAATGAATGTACCTTTTTACCTTATTCAAAATTACCCTTAGAGATGAAGTGATGGAATGGAGAACTCAGCTTCTGCTTCTGCTGCTTATAGTGGGATTTCTTCTGCCATCTAGTTTTCCAAACCCATACTAATCCTCGGAAAGAGTAATCTTAGGAAGGAGAAGTCATTTAAATTAAAGTAGGGATGGACATTTCTTATATCTATGTAACTTCAAATGGTATTATAGCTGGCTTACATGCATGGTCCCATGGTCTTCTAACTCCCAGTCACTATTGAACTGAGGTTGACAGAATGGAATACATACCTTAAAGAGCTTTATATGACAGGAAATTTACTAACTTGCTTATATAGTGTTATTGATAATCTACCTGAAACTTTAATTCTGGTGAATGCTAGATATCCAGAATGGCTGCGAAAAGCAGTAGAACTTGCCCATAATAAGTTAGTCTAGATCACCTAAGCAAGCTTAACTAGGGAGCTTTAGTATAATTGAAGAACATTTTATAGTTGTCATTCGACGGAAGAACTTGACAATCTACTTTGTCGTGACTTCTCCATATTCACAGGTTTCTATCGAATGCTCTAATGCCTGGGTGCCATTGAGGGCATTACAGGGTAAGTCGTAAGTTTCAAACCAGCCGAAATGTATTCAGGTATAAATCAACTCTAACTTTCCTTATGAGTTATACTCCTATACTTCGGTGGTTAATAAAATAATCAGGCCACTGTACCCCATCGTTGATGCCTCTCACCGTGGGGAAACCGTTGAGACCTCATCTCGCAGAGGAACCCAAACAAGGTTAATTCCATCAATGAAACACCAGGACCAAATGCGATAGACGATTAGATGATTGCTTTTTCAACTCAGGGCAGCCTATGCCTCTTTGAATTGTTAATCCCCACAATCTTCATCCAGTATTGAGACTCACTACAATAATTTTTCACCACAAACACATCTACAATTACAACAGCGTAATGCCACTAAGCACACGCAAAGCTAACTTAACCGCGTAGCTATTAATTTATACACCTGGAGTTGAGGAAATGAGCACTGTTAGCTTATTTCTTCTTCTTGTCAGCCTCAGCCTCCTCCTTCTCCTTGGCTCTCTTGTCTCTGATGCCCTTGTACTTCTTCTGGTTCTGAGCAGCTCTCAAGGTCTCGTAGGCGGTCTTCTCTGGGACCTCAACGGCTCTTGGGGCAGTCTCAGGAGCAATCTGGGTGATTGGGAAAGCAGCAGGAACGGAAACCTGCTCACCTTCAGCCTTGGTCTTCTTGTCAAAGACGACCAACTTGGACTTGTATTCGTTCAATCTGGCGACGTTAAGGTCGAAGGTCTCCTGAGAACGGTTCTGTCTTCTGTGGTCAACAGCGATACCGACGGTTCTGGCGTACTTTGGAGTCAAACCAGCGGCCTTGACCTCGGCCAAAGTGAAACCTCTACCGGCTCTGACCTTTCTGTTGTACTTGATGGTTGGACATCTCACCACTGGTCTCAAGAGGTCCACTGGCTTTGGAGCCACTCTGGCGGCCTTGGCGGATCTGGCCTGACGTCTGGAGACCTTCTTGCCAGCCTGGTCCAAGTGCACTCTGACACGTTCCTGCCAGTGCTTTCTGAAGTGGTTCTTCAAGATTGGTTGGTTCTTAGCGATAGCCATTTTCCCTTGATGAGTTGTAGTAAGAAGATCTGAGAAAGAAGGAAGATTTTTTTTTTTCGCTACAACGCTGAGGGCCAGTACAGGCCGCGCACTGAAAGAGCGGTCACAGACGATCACGTGTGCACCTCCCACCCAACTAACGAAAAAAAAAGTACTGTCGCACTCACCAACACTTAACTTACTAGTACTGGCTTGTTAGTGCGGTTTAACTATGAGGGACAAGACCCGTACACCCATACTTAACAACTGGCGAGCTCGCTCACTCTCTGGCTCCCAAAGGCTCAACCGCCTGCAGGTAGTAAAAAAATTTCCTCTCGCATCAGTAAAAAAAACTACCTACTATTTCGTGCAAAACTTTTCTTCCCCAATCTCTTTCAAGTACCCAAGATGTCCACTCCATCTGTCCAGGTATGTGATAGCATCAAGTTCCAGTCGAAGTACGGCCCGATGATATACCCAGTTTTGATTTCACAAGAAGCCTTCGAAATATCCCGTCAGCATCCAGCCCTAAATGTCCATTAAAGGTGAAAAATGAATAGCCAGACCAGTGAAAATGTTCCTTCAAGCACGAGTTGTCCGTGCAACACACCCCCAAACAACGAATATCGTCTTCGACTACCTCCCCCCACTTTCATAATACTAACATTTAGACTTTTGGTAAGAAGAAGACCGCTACCGCTGTCGCCCACGTCAAGGCCGGTAAGGGTTTGATCAAGGTGAACGGTTCTCCTATCACCCTCGTTGAGCCAGAGATCTTGCGTTTCAAGGTCTACGAGCCATTGACCTTGGCTGGCTTGGACAAGTTCCAGAACATCGACATCAGAGTTAAGGTTTCCGGTGGTGGCCATGTTTCCCAGGTCTACGCTATCAGACAGGCTATTGCCAAGGGTTTGGTTGCTTACCACCAGAAATACGTTGACGAGGCCTCTAAGAACGAATTGAAGAAGATCTTCGCTTCTTTCGACAAGACCTTGTTGGTTGCTGACGCCAGAAGAATGGAGCCAAAGAAGTTTGGTGGTCGTGGTGCCAGAGCCAGATTCCAGAAGTCTTACCGTTAAGGTGCTTTTGGGTTTCACTCTCCGTCATATATTAATGTACAAATAAGAAGACAAAATGTAGGCTGGCTTTGTCTAAGAAGCGTCGGCGTTGGATAGCTATGCGGATCGTATTGACTAGGCCAAACACTCGACACGCTATGAAGCAACCAAGAAAGTCTATCATACTACGGTATATGACAACATGTGTATTGTTGAACAGATCGGTTTGCTAGCTTCCCTAGCAATACTATCGCTCAAGCGTGGTGAAATATCGGGAACTAGACGACGAGCCGTACTAAAGCGTCCATCCCTCCTACTCTATTTACTGCATCTCATCAGGCTTCACAAACACTCTTATTGTAGTTCAGAACCCAATATATCATTGGACAGCTTGATATGGTATGACTTTAGCAGAACCAGAAGTGTGCCTTTCGTGGATTTGCACCCATTTAGTAGTGGTAAGCGTTGACATCCTCCACAACCCCACACTACCCAAACAACGCAAGAACGAAAAGTGTGTCATTCTCTGCCAAATAATCCAAAAATCCAGATATCAAACAGAACTCCATAACTAATTATCCGTATTCACTCTTCTTCACTCTTTTCCTATCTCCAGGCTCGGCACCACTTATCGCGATAACTAAACATACAGATCACCTACTACAGTAACTACCACTGTTCAAGTCAATCGCGCCAAAGACAAATTAAACAATGTCGTGGGTCTCTTCTAGCCCGTCCTTTCACGTACCGCTCCCGAAGAGGTTTGTTGACTTTGTTGCAATTCCTCAGACTCCCCTATTAGCTTTGGCTACAGATACTGCCATTCTCATATGCCATGCCCAGTCGTTGGTTCCTATATGTGTCCATGACCGTACGCCAGAATGCATCGAGACCCACGGTAAATGTGTTCAATTGGAGGTCAGACAGGTCTCTGTGGATACTTCAAGGCTCGACCAACTTCATACAGCCAACATATTTGTCAAGACTGAGTCCAACTTCATTATGGTGTACCATATTTTGGCTAACTACTCAAGATCTCTATACGAGGTTCATGACAAGAATGATGACGATAAGCTTCTACAAAATTCCTTACCGCTTGCACTGCATTCGAAGTTCTCCTTGACGGCGTTGTTCAAGTCAGCTACAAAGTCCATTCTTCAAGGAGGACTGAATATCGTTAATTTAGAGAACGTGGAGCATTTCAGTAATGCTGCAAATGATGATGAACAACGCAATGACGTTATACCTTTGGTAAAATTGACCTTGGTAAAGATCTTAAGGATGAACGCTACTATTAGAAATTTCTGGTGCAAGCTGAACTCACAGACTTTGATCTTCCATAACGACCAAGAGGAAATCCAAGTCCTTAATTTAAAGACCCTCAACTCTGAGGTTTTGAACTTGTATGACTATGACTGGTTTGATTCACATTCCCTTATTCTGTACAGCTTGTCCAACAACCGGTTTGTCTTCATTAATCCTTCCTTGAACGTCCTGCTTGTTGAATTCATTCATGATGACGACGACAGACTACTTCTCAAGCACCACCCCCTTCTAGAGCTTGAAAAACCAGTAAAAAAGGTACACTTCAATCCACAATTTGACTTGGTTCTTTTAGAGACTGAAAACTCCTACGACTTGTACAAATTAGCATTTTTGGGTAAGAAGCATGCTATGACTTTTGTCAAGACCATATACAGCTCAGAGTCGGCGGCATCGTGTCAATGGTCTCCATGTGGAACATTTCTTGTGATCATTGATTCTGATTCTGGTTTTTGGAAACTAGTATCCCGCTTTGGTGCCACTCTCTTCAGCTCAAAGTCCATCTACTCTGAAATCACGGCATCGAACTCAGACGATTCACAGGCTCTGAACTCGCTGGCATTCTGTTCAGCTTCTAAGATTCTTGTTGCACCGAACGCTCTACAGTTGTATGTGATCGACAAGCAGACCAGGAATGTTTACATTTTGAATCTCACCTCCCAACAAGATTCGATAGGCCAGCCAATCCTTTACGATCAAAATTCTATCAAACTACTCAAATCTGATCATTCTTTTCTTAAGATTCCAATGATCCCTCATTATCAGAAGACATTAACGCGGTTCCATCACATCAACGGTACTTCTAAAAGACTTTCCAATAGACGGCCAACTGGTCAATTAACAATCCGCAAAAATAGCCTTGATCAGCTCTCAATTTCTTACGGAGACAGAATATCGGTCAGCACTCCCCTTACTAATGGTCAGGAAACATGTCATGCCCTCTGGTTTAATTTCGTAAACCACTATATGGAATCGATGAACATAGTCAACCATTACTGGGCCGATGAGTTTTTGATTTTAATCAATAGATTTGTCAGAGATGATATAGATGACGACGGCCACGTGGATTTGATGGCTGATGAAGTTATCGTTGTCAACACGGAGGGTTCCAGCCGAGGTAATGGTGGTGCCAGCTTCAAGTTTGACACCGACTTAGTCATCTGGAGACACCATCTCAAGACGAAGATTCTTAGTGTGGAAGTTCAGAATGGCGAAGAAGGGGCAACAAAATTATTGGTGTTAGTAACGGGTGACCTGAAGATAGTGATCATGGAACTTAACAGACAAAAGGATAAGGAGAACAACAAGCCCGGCATCGGAATTCGCAGGTCGATTCATTTGTCAAGTATCCAACACAAGCTCGCTATTCCGTTGATAACAAAGATGGCCATGATCCAGCAGAAACATTTTCTCTTTTTGCTCTCAACTGGCGACCTATTCTTGCTAAAGAATCAGTGTCCTACGGAGAACGAGCCTTCTGGACGAGGCTCAGTTCAAACAACGAACATGTACGAGTTAGTGAAAATACGTGAAGCTGTTGAGACCATGCACATGAGCTATGTGGACTTTGGAGGCCCTACGAGTATTCCACATCTCACAGTGATGACCAGCGAAGAGGTCATCATCTATAAAGCGGATGAACTCGTAGAGCGAGTTTATGAGCTTGAAGGCGTCGCACCACATCCTGGAGTGGATGTCGAGAGACGATTACGACCAATAAAGGTTCGCTTGTCATCCATGCAACCCCTCACCACTCAGCAAATAAATGGGGCCGTGGAGGCTACTGGGTTCGAATATCAAACTATCTTGAAGAGTGATAACTTTCTCTTAAAGCATAGACCCAGCAGGCAATTGATACTGAACAAGTTTATTCAGCATGACCTATTTGAAAGCAAACTTGATGTTTCAACCATTAGAGAAATATATAAGGGAGCCTCAAACTTCGATTATTGCTTGGAATTACTTTTGTTTGATTTCATCGACAACGAAACTGATGATGATCTTGAAAAGGTTGTGAGGCTTGTCAGCAGCACTACAGGAGCAGACAGTATCTACGTGAATCTCTTGAGGAAGATTGAAGTGAGATATTGGCACAAGTTCTTCAGACTTTTGGATGAAACTCCGCTCAGCTTTATGAACAGACTAATCAAATCCCAAGATGTGGAGCTCTGTTACAATTATCTTATCGTTTATTTGAATTTTAAGAAAGAGTATGAGGCCTCAGAGACCCCTGAGGAAGACCAAGCAATACTTGACAAGGAAGATCGCGATATAATTTTACGAATCATAGAACTCCTAAAAGACTCAAAAAGATGGGACCATTGCTTTGAATTATGCAGATTTATCAAGCTTTTGGAACCCTCTGGTGAGCTTCTCCAGAAAATTCGCAGCCAAATCGATTCATGATGGAGATGATGGTTTGCGCACGCTCGCTCGCATTTTAACCAACCAAAAACTTTCAATTTGTCCTACATAACTGATTTGAACCATCCCGAAAACAAGCTCATACCGCCATGACTCTTGCCACGGAATTCGCTGAGACGACCCGTCGTTCTCTAACCCAGGGTGAGATGAGAAAAAGAGTGATTCACTTGTACAGAAGATACATCAGAAACTCTAAAGAGTTCTGCAACTTGTACGAGTTGGATATGCCTGTCTCTAACGTCAAGACCAAGATAAGACAAGAGTTCGAAAGACAAAGATTCGTTAACGACTTGGGCGTTACCAATGTTCTTTACGCTAAGGGCCAGATGGAGTTCCAAGAATTAATCAACTTCTGGAAGCAGCAGTGTCATGTCATGAGATACTTCGAAGACCAGGAGAGCTACAACACCGTTGACAAGAACGACTTCGTCAAGAACTTCTTGAGAGGCAACTAAATTGTTGCCCTGTGCATTATAAATCTGGGTAGCGTTCACTCCTTAGTCAGTACAGTTGCCCTGGATAACCATACACATGGCTGCTCTTGGGTAGCAGCATCATGTCGACTGAAATTCCACATATACAATACAATTCACGTTTAATGAACCCTTGTGTAAATTTTTCCATATATTAAGGCGTAATAAAACTCGACTAAAATTAGATGATACGAAATAAAGAGAAAGTGTAGGACATTCAAGCCGCTCACAGGGTATTCCTTCAAGCGACTCCCTGCCGAACGACAACCGGGAAAGAGTGAGCAGCCTTGAGCAACACAGAAGTACACGATACCGTGTACCTAGGGTATAATTCTATACATGAACCAGTATGAGAGTAAGCACTCACATAGCTTAGTCCATGTTGTCAACCAAAGGAGCCTCCTCGGCGCCGTAATCCACATCCTCCTCTTCCTCAACGCTAGCCTCCTGGTACTGCTGGTACTCGCTAACCAAATCATTCATGTTAGACTCAGCCTCAGTAAATTCCATCTCATCCATACCCTCAGAAGTGTACCAGTGCAAGAAAGCCTTTCTTCTAAACATGGCACTGAACTGGTCACCAACTCTCTTGAACAACTCCTGGATAGAAGTGGAGTTACCGATGAAAGTAGCAGCCATGTCCAAATCCTTTGGAGGAACAGAGCAAACAGCAGTCTGCACGTTGTTAGGAATCCACTCGACGAAGTAGTCGGCGTTCCTCGTCTGAACCTTGTACATTTCATCGTCGACTTCCTTCATGGAAACATTACCTCTGAAGAAAGCAGCAACAGTCAAGTAACGACCGTTTCTTGGGTCAGAAGCAGCCATCATGTTCTTAGCATCGAACATTTGCTGGGTCAATTCAGGAACGGACAAAGATCTGAAGGACTGGGAGCCCATAGAAGTCAAAGGAGCGTAACCAACCATAAAGAAGTGCAATCTTGGGAAAGGAACCAAGTTGACGGCCAACTTTCTCAAGTCGGAGTTCAACTGGCCGGGGTAACGCAAGGAGGTGGTGACACCAGACATGACGGAGGAAACCAAGTTGTTCAACTGGTCGTAAGAAGGCTGAGGCAAACGCAAAGTTTTCTGGCAAATGTTGTACAAGGCCTCGTTATCGATACAGAAGGTCTCGTCTGAGTTCTCAACCAACTGGTGAACGGACAAGGTAGCGTTATATGGCTCGATAACGGTATCAGAAACCTTTGGAGAAGGCATAACGGAGAAAGTAGCCATCATTCTGTCGGGGAATTCCTCTCTGATTCTAGAGATCAACAAAGTACCCATACCGGAACCGGTACCACCACCCAAAGAGTGGGTGATTTGGAAACCTTGCAAGGAGTCACAGCCTTCGGCCTCTCTTCTAACGACATCCATAACAGAGTCGACCAACTCGGCACCCTCAGTGTAGTGACCCTTGGCCCACACGTTGCCAGCAGAAGACTGGCCAAAGATGTAGTTATCAGGACGGAACAAGTTACCAATACGGGACAGCTTCACAGCGTCGATAGTACCTGGTTCCAAATCCACGAGAACAGCACGAGGAACGTATTTGCCAGAAGAGGCCTCGTTAAAGTAAACATCCAACTTGGCCTTTTGGATGCCATCGTCGCCATGATAATTACCATTGTTGTCTAAACCGTGTTCACCACAGATAGTCTCCCAGAAGGCGGCGCCAATCTGGTTACCACACTGACCGGTGGACAAGTGGATCTGATGTTAGTATTTTACACGTGAAACGCTATTTTTTAGACCGTGAAGGGTACGTACAATTTCTCTCATGATCGTTGGTAATGGGGTTTATAAGAAATGTTTTTGTTGATACTCGTGAGGGATCAAGGTGTGTGTTGCACGACTAAGTAGTATCAGTATTTTTTTCTCTGTTATTGTTCGTGCGGGCCATAAATTTGTTTGGATTTTTCCCTTTTCGGACGCGCGTGAGTCTATGGGAGAAAGGCTAGATCGTAAGGGCCCAGGGTGGTTTTCTAAGGAAATAAGGGAAATGGTGTGGTGTTGGTATGGCTGGAAAGATCTGGTTTGGGGGAACAGTGTGATGTAATTTTTATGGTAATTTTTTGTCGTTGAGGTATTATTGGTGGGTATTGTTTCAGTGTTGTTTGAGCATTTTGGTGTTTTTCGCAGCCAATTCTCAAAAGTCGTAATGGTATACTGACGGTGGAGGGCTTGTGAATTATGAAGTGTCTGTGTAAATTTGAGTAGAAGAGTTATAGAGTTAGGGTTGGGAGTGTGGTAGAGGAAGATGGGTTGACAGTTTTTTAATGATTTAGGGCTACGTGAACGTCCCAAGGGCTTTCGTTTACCCGCTTTGTCGTCTGGCGGGCGTGTAACGGCAATGAAACAGTAACAAAGGAGCTTCTATTTTGAATATTGAAGTATTTGAGTAAAACCTGCTGACTAAATTTCTACTAATTTGCTTTTTTTCTGCCTAAAGCTGTCTTCTTATTCGTCTAAAGGTCTTGAGGCGTTGCTCTCCATAGTTAAGAAAGGCTAGGTTCGAGTAACTGTGCCAATTTGCCATTTTGGTGCACGGGTGTAACTTTGTAACAATTCATGTCAACTTGCTGCAAATTGATGAACCAGAAGCATCAATATGGCTCCCACAGCGGGTTTTTTTAGTTCGGTAAAGCTAATAACATTATCTTGTAGCACAAACTTTTATATAGTTTTAATATTTTGTAATATATCTCCATATGTAACCTATAATATCCTAAAGACTTGTTTTCTGATTCCATTATGATAGCGTTTAAGAGATAGGAGCCTATTCAGGGCAAAATAAAGTGTCCTGGTAATAGCTTGTAAGCTATCATAGGTATTTAAATGATCCTATAGCCTTTTATCGAGTATATTATATGTGTGTCAACTTCCTTCTATATGAACACAGCGCATTACACTAGAGAACCAAAAATCTTCTTTACCACGGAGAGCTTATAAAACCACCACTACAAACAGGTAAGCTGTGAATCAAATTTTTAAGTGTTTAAAACCGGGCTATATAAAGCAGACTAATCCGTCCAAAACTGCACTAGAAAGTCATAATTTACGTTATACTTTTTCTATAGCTCCAATATAGTGTCTGAAAGGTTATTTAAGCCCCTGAGAGCCTCTATACGCCTATTATGGCCACTTTTTTTTTTTCAAAGACATATAGGTCATAATTAAGCTTGACCTTTCATTCCGAATATAGCCCAACTATGAGTTAATATGATATAATTGCTAATTCCCGAGCTTGGACATATTTTAGTTGCATTACTCCTCATAAATTATGCGATATAGGTATAAAGTAGCGGTTTCCAAAGTTAATATAAGGTCTGCCTTGGTTCCAAAGAGATTTCTGCACTATATGTTTGTCGTTAGCTTTATTGAAGCTTAATAAGTTGAAATATGTTAGAGCTTTTCTAAAGATCCGTCCCTCTGGCTCTATGTTGAGCTTAGCTGTCTTCCATAACAGTAGACGGTATCTGTCATAAACCATCATAACGAGAGTAAGCCCAATTAAAAAAGAAATGTTTTGCTTACAATTTAACGAAGTCCTTTTTTTGTTATCCTCACTAGGTACTTTGGCCGCTTTTGCTCGTATTGGGACCCTATGTTACCCCTATTCAGGCCTCCTTCAACAAAACTGCTCCAAAAGTGCCTTCCCAAGACTCAAACATCCAAACAAATAATATTAATGGCCAGCTAAGTTTCCCAATGTACAGTTCTTCTCCTGTGTAGCCTAGCAACTTCTCCCCAGATTAATGGTTGCAAAATGCTGGCGGTTTTCCCAAACACCCGTGCACCACAACACAAACCGAAAAGAACACCAGCGCCCTCTAACTCTCTTAATCTCCAACCGCCCCTAATACCCATTTACGAAGCAAATGTCACTGGCGATACAAAACCGAACTTTCGAGTTCCAGCAATGTGTGTCGTCGTACGACAAGATCAACAGAAGGCAGCAGAACACTCAGCGGCAAGATAATCAACCACCAAAGAAGTCACGGTTCTCCCAACAGGCGCTGATAATCGCCAAAGACATTGCACACACAACAGAACTTCTACTGAAGCTTGCGCTTTTGGCAAAGAAGAAGCCTTTATTTGATGACAGGCCAGTGGAGATTGGAGAATTGACATATGTGATCAAACAGGACATATTCAAGATTGAACAAAGCATCCAGAACCTTCAGAGGTTTGCCAAAGGCGAGCTGTCGATCCAGATGGATTCGCAGGTGACCCAGTACTCTAAGAACGTGTTGAACTTGCTTAATTCTAAGATGAAGAACGTCAGCGGTGAGTTCAAGAACGTCTTGGAACTCAGACAAAAGAATGAACTCATGAACAAGACTAGAACAGAAAACTTTTTGAGTGCCGCCACAAATAGACGACAGAACTCACTGACGCCGCTTAGCGAGAGCGGTGACTCGGCTAGAGGAACTGGAGTAAACAACTCATTGCATAACTTGGGTGAGAATCCATACTTACAAACCATGGCTGCCGAAGAAGACTCGGCCCAGAACGGAGGAAACGAACTTCTTTCCATCCCAGATCAAACTAGACAACTTCTTCTCATGGAAGAACAAAGCAATGAATACCTACAGCAGAGAAACAGTGCTGTCGAGACAATCGAGGCAACCATCAACGAGGTGGGTAACTTGTTCCAGCAGTTGGCCACTATGGTCACGGAGCAGGGAGAAACAATTCAAAGAATTGACCAGAATGTCGAGGACATAGACATGAACATCTCTGGAGCACAGAGAGAGTTGCTCAAGTATTATGCACACATTTCCAACAACAGATGGTTGTTTTTGAAGATTTTCGGCGTTTTGCTATTCTTCTTCTTCTTGTGGGTGATGGTGAGTTAATTCAAACAAACCCCTGTCAAATTACTCTTGTAAAGAGTTCATGGGTGCTGGCTTGTTCCTAACTGGAAAGAGAGTCATGGCCGCAAAATGGGGCGCGAAGTAGCTACAATAGCTGTCTCACTCGAATATCCGCAAGCCAAAACAATCATCGGTATTTAGAGAGGACCAGGTCTGCTCAAGGAGTAGGAAGACCTTTAATGTTTAGATAATGGTAGGAGGAAATGAATAATACTTGTAGAAATAGATTAAGCAAAAGCCGTAAGCCGTCTCCACAGTTCTTCCCCCCGGAGGCAGGTCGTGCATGGCACAGGGGAAACCACTCACCAAAGCCTTATCTCTCACCTGCTTTGTCACCCATAAGGAAAGAAGTTCACCCCATTCACCGCTTATCAATTACAACCCATTCTTCTTCTCCATAACCGACCTAGACACCATGTGGAACTATATTTTTGGCGGCAACAAGCAACAAAAGAAGGAGTTGCCGAAGAAGGCAATCGTCGAGTTAAGGGAGCACATCCAGATGCTCAACAAGAAGCGTAGTCATCTAGAATCGCAGATTGAAGATCAGGACAAGCTTGCAAGAAAGCATATCGCCACAAACAAGGCATTGGCAAAGAACGCATTGAAGAGAAAGAAGGGATATGAGGGAAACTTGATGAAGATAGAGAATCAGATTGACTCTTTAGAAACACAGTTGACCGCTATAGAAGGTGCCAACTTGAACTTGGAGACGATGAAGGCCATGAAGCAGGGCGCCCTGGCCATGAAGCAAATACACGGCGAGTACGATGTGGACAAGGTCGAGAATACTATGGACGATATCCGCGAGCAGGTGGAGTTGGCAGACGAGATTTCCGAAGCCATCTCTCGGCCTGTGGGCGGCGAGTATGTGGACGAGGACGAGTTGGACGAAGAGTTGGCTGCTTTGCAGGAAGAGGAACAGGAAGACAAGCAGAAGAACGCTCCTTCTCGTGTCCCAGCCCAGAAGGCACCAGCTGCGGAAGAGCCGGAGCTTCCAAACTTCCCTACAGTCAACAAGAACAAGCCAGAAGAGGAGGACGAAGACGAAGAGGCATTGAAGGCTTTGCAAGCCGAGATGGGTTTGTAAGGGAAGAAGAAAGGAGACATTGCATGCTAGTTAATTTCATTGCATCGCAACTTCTGAAGTGCTACATGGTATCTTCCTTCTATTGAAGACCAGGCCAGAGAGTTTCTGATGCTTCCAAGTCACTCGTGGAACAGCTGTATGGGGTCACCCGTTCGCTTAACTCTAACTGCGGCTTATGGACAACCACCTAACATCCAAATGTCCAAAATCTTTACAAATTTAATGTTTATTATTTTTCTGGCCACGTTATGCTTCAGTATCTCTGGGAGAGGCTAGCATAACTTATCTGATGGTGTACAGGAGTGGCAAAAGAAACTTGGTGTTTGTGCGATGGAAGGCCGAAAGGAAGTATATCGGTCTCTGCGCACTGCATCGTTAGTTTGCACAGGGTGCCTCCGATGAGAAAAATCTCTAGAAATCTCACACTACCTTATCCATCAACCGATCCGTTTATATATTTTTATTCCGCTGATATCCTGAAGTTTTGTTATAGCTATACTTGAGGTTTTGAGGACAAATCCATAGCTAATCTTTCATAGCGAAATCATATTGAACGCCCTCGTCTCTTAACCATGCTCAGAGCATCGAGATATTCATCACTAACCTCTGGCTTGCTAAGTAAACGTTTACGAAGTACAGCCAGATATGTTGCTACTGCCACTGGTGAACATTCGGAGCCTATACTCCAGACCAACTACCTTCAATCCTCGCTTTTGGAGGATTTGAAGAGAAAGGATCACATCTCCAAACCGCACAGAAGCTATGCCAAAGCTGAAACAATGAGCTTACACAAGGTGACCGCCGACTCTTTCAAGGACGTTACAGAGGAAGACAGGAAAGAGGTGTCATGGTCCTCCAACTACGATCTGGTGACCAGATCTCCTTTCGTTACTGACATCATGCACCTTCAGTCTTTACTAGATGCCCTTTTAGCTTCTAGAAACTTTGAAAGAGCAGAAAACATCATGAATGCTTTAGCCCCATTATTAGACGGTCCAGAGAAATTTATTGTGTTTTTGAACAAGTATTTGGAAGCTTACGCTGCCGAGGAATCGACCTCCATCAGTGACTTGGAAGCCTATGCCACACAAATGTTCAGGACTCACAGAATTCAGCCAAATGATAGAACACATGCCATCTTCTTGGGTAAGAGTTTGAACTCGCCACAGCATTTCCAGAAATGGCTTAGCAGTGCTAGGAAATCTCGCAGTTTGTTCCGCAACATGCTCAACTCCATTGATGCTATCACTGTTGAGGGTCTTACAAAGATCTTTAAAGACCCTTCTGTGACGCCCCAGGATGTTCCAAAGGATTTAATGTCTCTCTATAATGAGGTCAGAGACAAAAAAACGGATGATATCCAGAGTCCTACTGAGCATACCGATTACTTTGCAACCAAAGACGCTCAAATTCCAACAATTGAGAAAGAAGGCATGGATGAATTACGCTCTGTGGACTCCTTTGGTTTGAAAGTCGTTCGTCATGCTCTTCTAGGCCTCGAATCGAACGCTCAGCTTGACATTGATCAGTTCACAAAAGAGCTTGACGAGGTACTGGACTCTCATCTTCTTCACAACTCCACCGGCAAGAAAAAGAACTGGTTTGAGTTCTACAAAACCCTCAAATCACCCGCAGACAGAGAAAGATTCAACAAGATGCTTGATGAATTTAATGAAGGTCGCCAAAAGAACTTGGAGGTCAAGGGTACTGAGGGTGCTCGTGCCAAGTGGGCGAACGATTTCAAGACCTTCCAGCAGCGTGGTGAAATAATAAAGAGCAAAAGAATGAATGTTCAGTTGTACAGGTGGTACAGTGATGTTCTTCCACTTGTTCAAGAAGAGCATAGTCTTTGCCAGAAGCTACTCTCGGGTGAGATCGATCTTTCATTACTAAATGACAAGGAGAAAAAAGCCATGAGTGCTAGAGAATTTTACGCACCTTACTTTGTGCTTCTTCCACCTGAAACCCTAAGCGTTTTGGTCATCTTTGAGTTGCTTAAGCTCAATGACTCTGGAGGAATTGCAGGTGGTATGCGTGCCGCTAGGGCTGTCATTTCCGTCGGTCGTGCTGTCGAGCTTGAATATAGGTGTCAGAGTCTTATCAAGGCTGACAAGAAGGTTGCTCAGAGAAAGGGATTGACTCCTATGCAATGGAGAAGACTCACTAAGAGTAGAGAGCAGGCTTCGTCTTCTTCAGTCGTCACTGATTGGACTAACACCATCTACAGTAAGTTGGGCGGAATTCTCACTCAATTCTTGTTACATGTCGCTAAAGTGGAAGTGACTGGTACTAATCCAACTACCGGAGTACAGATCAAGGGTCTTCAGCCTGCATTCCATCATACTTTCCAGTACACAGCCGGACAGAAAATTGGAGTGATCAACTTGCATAAAAACGTCATCAAAATGCTTGGAGGCGATCAAGAGTCCAACTTGGTTCATCCTTCGCTACTTCCAATGTTGGTTTCTCCAAGACCATGGACCTCTCACAATCAGGGAGGCTACTCCTACACCCCATCCAACATTGTTAGAATCAAGGACTCTGCGGAAACTACTGCTTACGTGAAAGCGGCCGCCGATGCTGAAAACCTAGAGGAGATTTACAGTGGTCTTAACATCCTTGGTGAAACTGCCTGGACGGTTAATCAAAAGCTCCTTAATATTGTTTCAAAGTGCTGGAATACGGGTGAAGAGTTCTTGGACATTCCACCAGCAATAGAAGATGTACCAATACCTCCTCCACCAAACTACGGTGCAGATCCTGCTGAAAGAGTGGAATACGCCAACAGAGTCAGAGCGATTGCTAACAAAGCTGCCTCTGAAAGATCCCAAAGGTGTGACATCAACTATAAGTTGGAAATCGCTAGAGCTTTCGTCGGAGAGAGAATGTTCTTCCCTCATAACGTTGACTTCAGAGGAAGAGCCTATCCTATTTCGCCAAATTTCAATCACTTGGGTAACGACATGACTAGATCCCTTTTCTTGTTTTGGGATGGCCATGAGCTTGGCGAGCAAGGTCTCAGATGGTTGAAGATTCAGCTTGCCAACGTCTTTGGAAAGGACAAAGCGACGTTGGAAGACCGTGTACGGTTTGTGGATGAAAACATGGAGAACATCTTTGAGTCCGCTAAAGACCCATTAGGCGAAGGCAAATGGTGGATGAAGGGTGAGAAGCCATGGCAAGTTTTGAGTGTTTGTTTCGAATTGCAAGAGGCTTACCAGCTCGACGATCCAACGAAGTTCGTTTCTCACATTCCTGTTCACCAGGATGGTACTTGTAATGGTCTTCAGCATTATGCCGCTTTGGGAGGTGATATCGAGGGAGCAGCCCAGGTGAACTTGGTACCTGCTGATAAGCCTCAAGATGTCTACCAGCATGTTGCAGGGTTAGTTGAGAAACGTTTGGCTACTGAAGCCGAGGCTGGTGATAAGCGTGCCATCTTCTTGCAGGGCAAGATTAGGAGAAAGGTTGTGAAACAGACCGTCATGACTAACGTTTACGGTGTTACTTACGTTGGAGCAGTTGCTCAAATTGAAAAGCAGATAGGCTCTTTGTTCGACACCGGTGATAGAGACGCCATTTCCACGCATGCTCGTTACTTGACGACGCTCGTCTTTGCATCGATCAGAGAGTTGTTCGAAGGTGCCCATTGCATTCAGGATTGGCTAGGAGAAGCCGCCAAACGTATCAGTAAGTCTATGAGACCAGACTTCCTGCAAGTGGACGAAAGCGGTGGCAGCAGGCCAAGCTACTTATCATCGGTGATCTGGACTAGTCCTCTTGGCTTGCCTTGCGTTCAGCCTTACAGAACACTCAAGACCAAAACTATCAGAACAAGTTTGCAGGATGTGTCGGTGTCAGATCCATTTGGCGCCTCACAGGTTGACTCGAGAAAACAGCAAGCTGCTTTCCCTCCAAACTTTGTCCATTCCTTAGACGCTACGCATATGTTGATGACTGCAAAGGCTTGTGGTCAAGACAATCTTACCTTTGCATCTGTCCATGACAGTTATTGGACGCACGCCAGACATGTCGATGACATGAACAAACACATCAGAGAGCAGTTTGTCAAGTTACACGAAGATGATCTTATTCAAAAGTTGAAAGAGGAGTTTGAGAGACGTTACGAAGGCTTTTTGCAAGTCTTGTGTATTCCTATCGATCATGAACTCACCGCAGAAATCAAGGAAGTGAGGAAGAATATCGTCAAGCAGCTTGGTAGAGCGCTCACTGTTGCTGACGAGGTTCTCATTGAACAAGAGAGACTCCAATTGCTTCGGTCTGACAAACCATCAGACGTCGCAAAGGGCAAAGCTATGAAGACCACGATCAGCGTCACTGAAGGCTATGATGTTAATGATATCGCTGTTACCCGTAGCGTGGGTGCCTTCCAAATTCTTGCTCCGCTTGTTTTTCCTCAGGTTCCAAAAAGAGGAAGCCTCGACGTGAAGGTCGTGAAAGACCTGAAATATTTCTTTTCGTGAGCATTTCAATGCTTCATTCACTTCATTTGCATGTCCATTAACGCTTATATCACGACTTGTATATACATTAAGCATTCATGGTACCTTTTAATTGACTTTATATTATCTTTCCTTGCTTCTCAAAATTCTCGATCAACGGTAACAAGGGCGCGAGCTCTTTTTTATCGATCAAGTTAAACTCTTTTCCAAAACTTATGAAATGTGCAAAAAACGAATTCCAATGCGCTTCTAATGATAGATGAACAAGCTTATCAAAATGATTGTGATATATGTGGGCAAAGATTCTGAACATTTGTCTCACAATGTTTTTGCAATCTTTGATGAAGTTTGGAGGGAATGCACCACCGTCTTTTGTAGGGAAAACCGACTGGTCGTTAATCTTATTTGATATCCAAGTCAACACATATTCGATATATTGATCCGCAGGTAAGTTGACCGGTTGGCCTGCTGTATCTATCCACATATAGTTAGTGTTAGGCCCAGCGTTCATTGTAGGATTCAGCTCAGGCGTTATATAATCTGATATGATGCCGTAAAACTGATTTAAATGGTTGAAAAGTTCAAAGATGTTGAGTGAGAGCCACTCGCCGTAGTCAACATACTTAGGTAGTTGTACGATAGTTTTAAAAGAACCTTTCACCAATGCTGTTTTGACAAAAGGTTCACACATAAAAAGGGGAAGCTCGTCGCTCTCAGACACATTGTATGATTGTCTTTGTGGCAGGCGAGACCTGGCCATCCTGGAGATCCTAGTAGGCGAAGAGGGAGCAAACTGGATCTGGGACCCACGCTTTGATGGGGACATTTTCGAAGGCAGCTGTGATCTCCTCATTGGCGACACATTCCCGTTACCATGAGGAGCAAGTATTCCTGGAGCTTCATAGTCCTTCTTGGTCTTCTTGGACGAACGACCAAAGCCTCTTATTGTATTTAAAAAGGACATAAGCTGTATAGGATAAATAAGGTGTGTTGTGGGCGGAAGGAAAAAGACGTTGTGACTAGTGGAAAGGCGGTAGGCAGATCAAACGAATGGATCCAAACACGCTGAGCATTTGCAGAGATACAGGAGGTCGATGTTTGAAAATGTGCGCTCCTCGCGATCTGCTCCTACTGTGGGTACCACATCTACAACATGGTCGACAAACTTGCCAGGAAAAGGAGTTTTAGGGCTTATTTTGTTTTGGAACGTTTTCTAAGCATATGAATATGATATTTGGTAAAAATCTTGAAAAAATTTGGTTTGTACGATTTTTAACAACGGTTGACAGTTTTGTAGTTTACACTTCTGGCAGGTATTTGGCTGCGAAAATCATTACTCGATGGAGAAATCGTTAAGTGAAGATTTTTCAGAAGTTAATTAATCGACAATATGCCAAAAAATAGCACTTAGATACTATTTGTGTTATATAAAAAGCAGAATGAACACGGTTGGAAGCAAGAGAACCCCTTTTGGCACCAAAGAGGATGATAGTGAAATGGTTGTAAAGTCGTAGCGAGGCTAAACGGATGAGACCGACAAGCCTAATCTAAAAACTCATTGGTATGACAGAACCGAGGAGGTTGACGAAGAAGAAGGTTGCTAGTTGCTGAAATGCTGTATGGGTTTTCAAAATTTCAATTATCTGATTTTTCCATTATATTTTATTCCATAAATTGTAACCATAAGTACCACTATACTACCATTAACTTATTCTTTAACCATATCAATAACCAAGCTTTCGTCAAATATTGACATCTGCTTGTCGTTTTAAGAATTCTAATCGCTCAGCATTTGATCCTAGTATCAGCCTGCTTGTTGGCTTACGAATTATTTTTACCGATTAGATTCTATAATGCCAATATGCGTAAAATGCTACTTGAATCTGCCGAGAGATTCACCCATTTTGATCTTTTGACCAACCTCAAGGTCAAAATGGAAGTTGCCTGGAGCTTCAAACACCAAAACAACAGTGGAACCCAACTTAAATCCTCCAACCTCTTCTCCCTTCGACAATGGAAATCCACCAAGAAGCTTAGAAGCCTTGGTGTATGTCGCCTCATAAACAGTGTTCTTCTTCAATTTCTTTGGCTTGGTGACTGAATTGTCGGTAGACTCCAGGGAAATGCTCTTACCATCCTCAAGCAATGCAGTTGTTTCACTTGGTGACGATTCCCTAGAGTTTCTCAGATAAACCTCGTGTTCGTAAACATCATTAGTCTTCAAGTCTTTATCGAAGTTAACAACGATACTTCCAACGTTCGTAGCACCAACGGGAATCATGGAGAAGAAACCATATTTCCAATAACCCAAAAGAGCGACTCTTTCATTAAGAACGAACAAGCCTGGCAAAGTCTTCTGGAAGAACGGAGCAACGGAGAAAAGTTCTCCAATGAAATGACGTCTCAAGGTTGTGACCCAGTTGGTAGGAGAATGGTAACGGTGGTAATCACCTGGAGCCAAATAGATCACAGCGAAGTAAAGATTTCTGTGAGAGCTTTGGTTTACTTTCTCAAGTGGAGTAGGTGCCAAGTTTTGGGCAACAGAAAGGTCCTTGCCAATTGATGGCTTACGGTCTGACGCAGTCTGGTCACCTTCGTCCTTGTACTCCAACTCATTGATATGGTGAGTCTTTTCGGTTTCACCACCAACAAGGTCATCCATAGAGTAGGAAATGCCATTCAAACGGGCGAACTCCTCATCACGCTTGACGAGAGTCTCGTGCTCTTCTTTGTGGTCGAAGTCCAAGGAATGGGTTGGAGCAGCAAGACGAGTAGTGGACAAGCCAAGCAAAGCGTCAATGGAGTACGTCATTCCTTTGACCTGTTCGATCTCACCATCCTCAATCACGCCAAACTTAAGGACCTTACCGTCAGAGGGAGACACCAAATCGGTATCAGCCAAAGGCCTGGCTCCAGGCTTTAAGCGACGGTAGAAGAACTCAGACAAGTTTTGGTACGTTGTCAAGTCGGGTTCATCCATTTCGTCCATATTCACGCCGAATAAACGAGAGTAGAGCGTGTACGAAGGGCTTCTCATCCACACTGGCAAATTAATGGAATTGAATTGGCCCCATAACCTAGAAATGGTCTTCAAAGGCAAAGTCGAGTAGGCATACAACGACCAAGAAGATGGTTTGACAGAGTGCTCTCCAAAGGGGGAGTAGTCATCGTCGTAGTCCTCATCGAGATAACGTTCGTATCTGACTTTGGCGGCGACACCACCCAAGACAATGACCAAAGAGGTCAAGGTCCACCAGCGGACGAAGCGTCTCTTCTCTCTGCGCTTCTTACGAGCCTCGGTGGAGAAGAAGCGTCTTTGAATACCGCTTTTAAGGTTTTTCGTCTTGTGCTTGATCTTCAGTGGAGCAGACGAAAAATGGCGTCTGGAGATTCTCAAGTTAGGCACCAAGCGCTTGCTGCCTCTTGTCCACGTAGAATAGTAAAAAACCGTTCTTTTTGGACGTGGGAAGCCTGGGATGGAGGGCATGCCAGGGAACCTGGGGAAACGGGAGCCTGAGCTGCGCATAGTCAGGTCGTGGAACAGTCTTTGGATACTAATTTCAGCGATAGTGGAAGCTCTGGACAAGGGCTGGGTAATATTCATAGACTGGGGCCCGTTGATGAATGGAGAATGTGGATACATTTTTCTTCTAGCCATGAGTTTTTCAGCATTAAACATTGGGCGGTAAACCATGGTGGGCTAAGACGGGAACGAGGAAACAGAAATGCAAGAAGAACAGGACCAATAATAATATAAAAAAAAGTGTGTCGACTTTTAAAGCACTCCACTGTTTCCAAGAATCAGTCGTTTTTGATACTCGAAAAATGGGAGACTCTTTCAAACTTTACGCGCGAGGTGAGGCGCTTTTGTATTCATGGTTTAACCGTCCGTACCTCCGTAATGCCAGGTATTTTTTTTTTTTTTCTAAGGAATGCGATCCACCGAGGAGGGCCAAGGCTTGGTGTCAGCCTTGTACACAGCGCGCTCCCTCTCCCTTTGTAGCGTTTTTCATGCCCTTCCAAGAAGCGTAACTGGTCGCATTTGGCATGTCGGCCAGGGTTGGAGCCTAGCTTAAGCTACCATGCTTGGGGCAGAACAATGGTACTCCACCACGATTGGTGGCTGGTAAGGATACTGCGATTTGCCAAAAGGGATAGTGGCATATTCTGAATTTGGCTGGATGGCGAGAATGAAATAGAGGGGAAAAAAAAAAACTTTCCAGCCTATCTCCTGGATGGGCGATCTGAAATTAGCAGTTCTGCGCTGGTCTAAACACTTTGTGCGTTGACATTCTGTGCGCTCGCAGCCAGGACTTCCCAAAGCTGCTGCTTGAGCTGCTCAACGAATTGGAGACTGACAAAGTGCATATCGTCCTCAAGCACATGGTCCGTGTATGCAAAGAGGAGCTTGAGACTGAGGAGATCTTGCACGTCTTTGGGTTGTGTGGCCATGAGATGGAGGTCTATCTTATTGGCTATCATGTTGAACATGCTGAGTCCAGACTCAAATGCATTGGTGTCGTTATGCTGGACATTGTCGCTGCTCTCGTAAAGGTAGATTTGTTTTTCAAACAGCGTAAGCGAGCTTAAAAGCAGTATGTCGAGGAGACCTGCAAGGTCCCGGTTGACGGTTACCTCCTTGTTGGCGATTTGCAAGGCTTTACTTTCATTCTTCAAAAGCGTGTTCACTGTCGTCTTGAGAAGCTCGTAGTTACATTTCTTGTAGACGAAGATTGTAAGGGACTTCCGGAATTGCGTCATGTACTCAGAAGGAACCAGGAAATCTATTTTCACGTTGAAATATTCAGGCGCTTTCACTTCAATCGATGCAATGGCTTCAAGTCTAGGAAGTAGTTGAGGGGCTGTGCTTTCTCTTTTGGATCCGTCCTTCATCACGATGGTCACTGGGATTTTGACGGGACTTCCGTCTGCCACATCACGAATGATAAGACACTTAGGCTCCACTGATAAGGCCCAGAAATGACGCAACGCTTGGAGATGGACCTCAAATTCATTAGATTCAGCTGGGAACACCGGATACAACGACGTGAATAAGCATGCGATAGCAAAGTTGGTGTCAGAAAAGGCGTACTGGCCACCACCAAGAAACAAGAATCCAAGTGCCATGTTCACCGCCATGTGATTGCCGTATTGGTGAGTTTTGTTGATTCGACCGTGAAGGACTCTCAAGCGTCTGAAAACTTCCAAATCACCGCTACCGGCCATTACCACAGCAACAGCTATTGCTAGCACATTTTGTATTTGTGAGGCACAATTCAAAGCGACTTGTTCGTCATAGTTAGCAGCCGAAGATTCTGTTATCGTCATAAATGAATCAAGGAAACCAAGAAGCGTAGTTCGGGCGCTAAGGTTTTGGGAAGACGCGTATTTCAAGGTGATAGACAAACAGGCACCCGCTAATATGTTATAGTAGCCGACCTGGTCACTATCAAGTGTTTCGAGGCTGCTGTATTTGTGCTTAGCTCGTAACACTTCTGGTATTTGGGAATCGACCCATTGAGTAGTAGCCCGTATTTGATTCCACATGATTAAATTCTTTGCAACTGTTCTGAGCAAAAGAAGATCCGGTCTGACGTAATCAAGAAGGTGCTCAGAGCTTGGAACTTCTAGTTTGTCAGCAATTATCCGGTTTTCTGTCCGCATGTACATGAAAGCTAGTGCCATGATAGCAGCTGAGCCAGATTTATCAGACTCAAGCTCTGACTGAGAGTCTCTCATCGACGTGGAGATGGAAAGAAGTTTATCCACCACATGTGTATCATTCACTCCTCTCAAATCATCACCTTTTCCCAAATTAACGAAGCCGAGAGCCAAACCGGCAGCAAGCATATATCCTTCGAACTCTTCATCATGCTCTATATGTGAGACTGTTCCACTCACTTGAGATAGTAATATGTCACTCATTCTCCTGTGCTGTGTTTCGAGATATAGAAGACCAATACCAATCAAACCAGCGGACTGAACAGTATTTGGGACGTTCAAGTCATTGGCTCCTTGTGGCAAGAGGGCAACGGCATGCACCGAAAGCACTTTTGTGAGCTTGTTATCCATTGTACCCTTCAAACTTGCTGCCATACCTATCAAGAGCCCGATACTAGTCAATGGGTGTTTGGGGCCAAGGTAATTGTAAATATGCCATTCTTCCAATTTCTTCAAATGACCATTCAAACCTAAACCAAGCAAGAAACCAGCGTGTTGTGCGAAGTTCTCGGCCGGTTTATTGTAAAAGGCCCAACTTCCAGTAATGCCTTCACAGTTACGACTAATGCTGAGGCCAGATGATGCACCATTATGAAAAGAACCCCAATCAAAAATTTTGGGAGAAATCAGCTCCTTGCTGAGTACAATAGTAGACATGGAGGGCGCAATAATCGTGCTCAAATTAAGATCTGGGATAGGGAACTTCTCAGTAAACATTGGTTGATTCTCCTCGTAAAATAAGGCTGCTCTTCCCAAGGGGAGTGTCAATGTACGAAGGGCAACCAAAGAAGCCACTTCTCTTTTGAGAAGAGTGGAGTCGTATTCTGTCATGCCTTCATCCACAGCCAAAGTTGTACTTTGTACTTTAGTTTGATTAAGAAGGTTGAGTATCTCGTAAAACCTTCGATCATGGTCAAAAATCAAGTCTGTGATCTGTGTTCGTTCTGCGTTTGACAGCGATGGGTCCTCTTTCTTCTTCAGTGGCTCAAGCAAATCTGAAATGATTGCCAGAGAGCTTTTAAGTTCGTTGGACATAAGGTTCTTGGAACTTAACGGCCCGTTGCTATTATGATAAAGAGGATCCGATTGATCTTCTGCAGTCATTATCAAGTCACTTCTGCCGATAAGCTTAAGTATATCAATATCCCATGATAAATCTGGATCCAGCTGACATTGAAGGAGACACTCCTTGATAGGCATGCTGATACCTAGCGGAAAAGTCTCCAAATCATTGGATGTAATGCCATACGTCGCCAAAGCTTTCACAATAGCCTTAGCGGGTTCATGCGAAACAAGGATCTCAAAAATTTCAAGGACAATATGTGTTCTAGGTGTCATCATCATGTTGACACTATCTCCTTCCTCCACAAGTTGGGAAAATTTTGGATAACGTGATCTCTTGTTTTCAAAGATGGAAACAAGACTCTCGAAAAGATTCGGAGGGGAGTAAAGAAGTATAGTCAGCAAAAGTTTTGTTGCCCTGTCAATTATGCTGTTGTCTACCATGTAGAAGGTAGTCCACTGGTCCAGCCAGCCCATCCATGTCGTAAGCTGTGTCAAGAGCAACCCCAACCGGTCCAAATTTTTCTTCGCAAGAGTATCTAGTTTAGTCTCTTCGTAAATCAAATGGAGGGCAACAACTATGTATGGAAGAAGCTCTTGGAGTGAGTAATCAAAATCAAAATACTCATGGTGCTTCTTGGCCAAGGGAAGGAGCTCGGTGATGCCATTAATAGTTACATCACTTTCACTACCATCAAATGGAAAGACCAACGAAAGAATCACGATAACATATGCTCTCCACTCATCCAAATCCTTATCAAGGACCAAGGCAGAACGCCAGAAAACCCAGACATGCTCATTAATCTTCGAACCTGATAAATACCTCCAAATATCAAGACAAATTCCAACAAATTCATTCTTTGGCTCCAATATAAGCCGTATAATATGCGATTCTCCACTTTGAGCAATGAGAGAGACTGAATTATCGTAAGAGCTACTTAGTCCCGAAATAGCAGGATAGTTGCCCGAAAGATCAATAGCAGGAGCAGTAATGTCCAAAAAGGGATGAAACATTTGTAATGACTTGTCATCTTTGAGTATTAGAAGCCAACCTGGAAACCTAGTGTGTTCCAACGGAATGGCATGTAGGCATTGGATTGTGGTGGACGATTCATGTTGGGAAATGTACGCATTCTGCAGTTTGAAAATGAAAATCTGTGTTTCTTTCGACGCCTTGTTAGATACAACAATGGCTTCTTCACCCTGATAATGTAAACCTGCCGTCGAAAGATGATCTCTCTTTGCATTCACGGTGAAGGAGTCGACCTTCGTCAAAATCATGTCCTTCCGTAGGCCTGACAACTCTACGGTACCTGTAGCCTTTCCAGCTTCAGCGAAGCCTGATTCAGAGCCCATTCTTCCAATGGATGATACTCCCGAGAGAAGCGTGCTTGTTCGTTTCTTCTCCATGTTCTGCGATATTGACCCGGTAAAAGGATTATTAAAATCATGCAAAATGTCATCCTCCAACTTCTTGGAAGGATTTGGAGTCGATAAAGCATGAGATTTACGCTTCCTAACGCCCGACCCTCCAACAACAGCATTTCTGGAAGATGCTTTGATATGGTAAACAGATAGCGTGCCGTTTCTCTGGTTGAAAGTTGCACATAATGACTTTGACTTGTTGATCCCCAGTCTAGGAAAGTAAACAAGGTTCTCGTGTGAGTTTACCACCGATGTGGACGAGGTTGTAACTACTCGAAAGTCACCGATCGGGTCGACAAGCGTGAAAAATCGTGAACTATGGTATTGACTTGAGGTCGGTAGTCTGGACAAGGAATCCTGCTCACGTTCCAAAATTAAACCTGCTTCAAAAGGATAGGCTCGCTTGAGGGTAAATGGGAAACTCACCACATAGTACTGGCCCCCAGGATAGTAGATATAAGCAGATTTGGCTAGGCAGACAGCCAATGCTTCTACCTCATCAATTGAGCTCGAGTATTCCAGCTTTTGGCGGCTAGGTCGAAATGTGGTATATGTTGCTGCTATCACATTCTCCTCATATACTAGCTTCTTGGATAAGACCGTTCCCTGAAGCACGGTCACTCGCTTCTTGGAGATCAATAGACGCCGTTGATCTGAAAAAAGAAGCACGCGATCTTTCCTTGATTCCGCATTACCATGACACTCAAACAGCTGAATATCAAAAGCTGGCAGGGTAATAGTCATGGGTTCCGTAGGATTTCACTTCCCTTTTCTTTGGATAAGGGTATGAGCTTTGTTTGTATTGATGTCTCGGAGGAACGTCTGTGGAGAAGATGCGCACTAGTGTTACTATGGAGTACTCAGATGGTGATAATATTTAATTTTCATTCAACCGTTCACTATTTACATACCATATTGGATAAACTAGGGACAAACTTACTCGATGATTCTAGTCACCAACCCAGTGGCAACGGTCTTACCACCCTCTCTAAGGTTGAAACGCTGGTTCAACTCAAGTGGGGCCTTTCTACCCAACTCGATTTCCATCTCAACGTTGTCACCTGGGTTAACCATGGCAGAGTGGTCAACATCTTCACCTTCTGGGAATCTCATGGTACCAGTGACGTTGGTGGTTCTGAGGAACAACTGTGGCTTGTAGTTCTCAGCGAATGGGTTGTGACGACCACCTTCTTCCTTGGTCAAAACGTACAAAGAAGCCAAGATCTTCTTGTGTGGAGTAACAGTACCTGGCTTGGCCAAGACATCACCACGGGAGATCTCATCTCTCTTGACACCTCTCAACAAGATACCGGCGTTGTCACCAGCCATAGCAGCATCCAATTCCTTCTTGAACATCTCAATACCAGTAACGGTAGCCTTGAAAGTCTTGGCGAAGTCACCGACAATCTCGATTTCCTCACCCTTCTTCAAAGAACCTCTCTCAACTCTACCAGTAACGACAGTACCTCTACCAGAAATGGAGAAAACATCCTCAACAGGCATCAAGAATGGCTGCTCCAAGTCACGCTGTGGGGTTGGAATGTACTCATCGACAGCGTCCAACAACTTCATGATAGCCTGCTCACCAATCTCTGGTTGCTTCTCTTCCAAAGCGCACAAAGCAGAACCCATGATAACAGGAGTCTCATCACCGTCAAAACCGTAAGTAGTCAACAATTCTCTCATTTCCATCTCAACCAATTCCAACATTTCAGGGTCGTCAATGGTGTCAACCTTGTTAACGAAAACAACCAAGTTCTGAACACCAACCTGTCTGGCCAACAAAAGGTGCTCTCTGGTCTGAGGCATCTGACCATCAGAAGCAGCAACAACAATGATAGCACCGTCCATCTGGGCGGCACCAGTAATCATATTCTTAATGTAATCAGCGTGACCTGGACAGTCGACGTGGGCGTAGTGTCTCTTTTCGGTTTGGTACTCAACGTGGGCAGTAGAAATAGTAATACCTCTAGCTCTCTCCTCTGGGGCTCTGTCAATGGAACCATAGTCCAAGAAGCTAGCACCACCCTTAGAAGCCAAAACCTTGGTGATAGCAGCAGTCAAGGTAGTCTTACCGTGATCAACGTGGCCAATGGTACCAATGTTGACGTGAGGCTTGGAACGGTCAAAAGCGGCATAGGTCCTGAAAGCGGGACGGGTCTTAGCCATAAGGCTAGCACCGAGACGCAAGGTACCGACACGAAGGGATCCAACAGTTCTGATCATTGTTGAAGTAAGAAGTTGGTTAATGGATAAAATTTTTCAGGCAGGGAACTTGTGCGCGGGCCTGTAATTTTTTTGTGATCATCACGACCACCTACCATTGCAACAGAGGAATTATGTGCCGAGGGGTTAGAGGTCTGGAAGAAACTTGATTTCTATGAGACCTTCTGAATATTACCTGATCAATGTTTTCAAGTTCCGTCTTTTGAAAGACATATGGGCATTTAGGGAAGAGCTATGTCCTGTATGTGCAGGAAACCATACGATTGGGTACCCTTCCGGTGATACATTGAAGCTTATGCTGTCTCTGAGCCGTACCTGATAATTGCTCCAAATGATTATTTTTTTTTTTTTTTTTTTTTTTTTTTTTTTTGTAGTACCCTCGCTTACTCTTTATAGCATCGTCTCGATAGTTTACCATAACCACTTCCAGTGGGGTTTAGGCAGCATCCGTAGCGTTGTCCAGTGTACTCAAGCCTGCTTTATACTCTTGTCTGACGAATTGACCGGATTATCCTAACGAAGAATATCAGAATTGGAATCGTGAACATTCTGTGAGGATAACTAGAGCCATTGGCATCTCTAGTTCAGATCCATCTTCCTGAGTGCCCCAGGGCTTAAACCAATGGACTCGTCTCACGGGGCTCTTCATTTTCTCTGTTCTCCTCTATGATTCTTTCGACTGCTCTTTGTTCTTCCTCGCTCGAAGACTTGTCAATGTACTCATAGTAAATACAGAGCAACAACAACGTGCCCTGCAACAAAGCAGCAACAAGATAAGATACCCAGGAGCTCCAGTGAGAACCCTTGGTAAAAAACAACGTAGCAGTAAAAATGAATCCACCAGGAGTCTGGATACACATCATGCCAATAGACAAAGTACCAGGATGCTTGAGTTTATATGTCGTGATAATCTGGGGCACATACTTAATAACGGTAAGTAACGTAGACATAAGACCGTTCAATTGCGCCAAAGAAAGAAGAATTGATCTGTTCGTGGTGAAAGCAATGATGATCTGAATGACCAGAGCCACCCCGTGTACCAAGACGAGTCTGCCAACGTGAATAATACGTTTATACTCGTCACGGTCCTGCTTAAGGGAACCTCTAGTAAACACAATCACTAGCACCAAGATCATAATAGCACAAGTGCATTGAAGGCCTATCTGGATAAGGTTCAACTGAGAATTAAGACAATTGAATAACGTCAACGCACCGATACGGCAACAATACCGTGCTCTTGACGAGATCATAATAATGTTTGTGAATGTAAATATCGACAGGCATGATCCTAAAAGTAAAAAGCTGACGGAAAGGCCTTCTGATGTCTGCTTCTTGTAGATACGGAAGTATTGCGGCAAATAGGATATGAAGATACCGCCAGTGATGAGAAGCGAAAAGATGAAGTTCACAACTGAAGCATCGTTGTACACGTCACAAAAGCTTTCCTTGGCCTTGCGAAATGTTTCGTCCATCGCTGTAGTTAATTAAGTGGGAGTTGTGTGATTAATAGTGAGTGTTGGGTAGAGGCGTGGGGAAGTGAGGGTTCAGAAGTGCAGGCTTATCTTATCTGCCTTGAAGCTCGAAGTGGCAAGTAAACGATTAGAACCCGGGAAAGTCGACTAATACAGGGCTCTGGAAAAGGGAGGTAATAAGAAGAGCGTCTTTGAGGTAGACGATTCAAATAAACCTTCGAGGTCATTTTAGGTGTATTTGGTTGGAGTTGAACATTTCGCAGCCATAATGTATCCCGGTAAGCCACAGGTCTCGGCTGCTAAAACGCTCTGGAAACGATGCCGAACGCTACAGTTATTTTCAGGTAAAACAATCTTTCTATTAAATGTATCACATTCATGGTCTCGTATAAATAATCATTATATCCAGAGTTATTCTGGCTAGTATTGTATCCTCAAAGGCACCTTCACGGTAAGGGTGTCATTATTCAGTAACTTTACTTGGAGGCTCATGTAGTAGTATCTGCCCACGATACACCCTTGGAACGTGGGGACAAGACAGACAGCTTCAGCCAGAATATCGTCCGACAGTCTGTTCATGTCCTTGTTAAAGAGCCCGTCAAGGTTGATCGACACTCCAATCTTCTTCTTATATTTCATTCCCTTATCGTCCGCACTGCGCCATCCACCTTGGACATCACTCTTTACATTTTCAACCTTGAAGCTGTTGTACTTGGTCAGGATATTCGCCAAGCACTTGATATCCATGACTGACTGGTTGTCAAGGTTGAGAGCTGAAATGCTATGCCTCTCGGTAAGGTTTGACAACTCTGACAAGTACATGGAGAACGGTTGCATAACGTATTTCTCGAGTGAGTCGCTGGAAGGCTTGTTCTGGAATTGCATGTTCTTGGTGAACTCAACAGGTATTGGGTACTTTCTAGAACGGTAAGTACAGAGCACAAGCTCGACATTCACGCTTCGTATGTCCGGAGGATTATGAGTTTTAGGGTTTACACCGCTATTGTCAACAAACAGAAAAGACAAGTCGAGTGGAACTGTGAAGCTTCGACCTAAAGTCACACTGTGCTTTGTGTAAGGCCTGTAAGTATGAGGGGGCTGATATCTTACCACATATTCGTTCTTCGGTGTCTTCACAGAAAGCATACCAATGACTTTAGCAGGTGCCGTAAGAGATTTCTTCTTGAAAGGTAAAAATATCTCATACATCTGGTCTTCTTGTGCTCTGGCGGTGACATCTTCAAAACTCTCTCTCGTGTAAAGCTGTTTGTTCTTGAGAACAGACGGCCTTCTGGTAAGGTTTTCAGATCTTCCATCCAAAGACTTACCGATTTCGATGCTTGCTTTCACCTCACGAACGAATTGGTCAAAGTACTGTTGGGCACCCCTCTCGTGCTCGATTGTTCTGATGCCAGTGTTTTTAGGGATGATTCTAACAGGATAGTTGGAGTCCTTCAATATGATAAACTCGTCTTTATCCTTGGTGGCTACCTTGTCGTACAAGGAAAGTCTGCCAATGATTCTGGCCTCCACACAGTAACTGACAGACGTATCGGGGAACGAAAAGTCTTTCACGCGCAAGTTCTTTGGCGTTGGTTTACGGCCAAGAGGAGTTGGTACTGGGACCTTTGCTGGTCCAGGTTCAGGGGCAGCGCCTATGCCGAATGATGGTTTCCCTGGTTTTGGCGAAGCGGCCGACTTCTCACGAAGTTTACGTAACCGTTGTAAAAATTGTTCTCTGTCGAGTCCAATAGACGGGAGAAGCTCGCAATGACAAGGAAGATCGTGGATCTCACAAGCTGATTCAAGGAGGGCTTCGGGAATGGTAAAATCGAAGAACTTCTTATAAATAACACCAGGAACAAACTTCTTATCACTCAGGAGCATCAAGTTACTGCCATCGACAGGGTCGATTTCTGCTGTTTGAGGAGCAGCGCCAACAAAGTAAGCAGGAGTCCACGAAGCCTTGTAGTCAAGCATATTGAGGAACTTGTAAAACACAGCCTGCTTATTAGGATCATCACCATTAACAGATACACGGCCCTCAAAAAGCACAGAGAACATATCGTATGAGAAAGCTTGCTTAGAGACGTTCTGAATGGTAACAAATCCATGGATCGAATCACCCTGAGAAAATTCAAGCTTACTGGCATCAATAACATCAGGGGCCACGCCGATCTGACATGGTTTGGAAGTGAGCTTGATATCAATACGAAGACTTTCGGCGTGTTGTGGAGCGATGGTCAGCAACTTCTTAAGCTTATGGGTGTTTCCCAACACACTATTCTCCCATCTGGTGAACATGGCCCTGTTCTGCGGTTGCAGAAAGTAGTCACCATCATGGACTCCCTCTTCAGAAGATGATGGTTCAGAACCAGAGGCTATCTCGTACATGGGTGGATCATTCAGTTGGTCTTCCAGCGCACCAGGTTCCACGTGTGTTGAAAAAGTTGATTCATAAAGCTGATAAGACGGGAGAATGTTCCACATGGGCACATCTTCATACGCCGGAGAAACCAAAGGTTGCGGCCCCAAGCGATATGGACCGTCGTCAGAGGATGACGAGTTGGATGACCTCAGAGAGGTGTTGTGGGCGGAGGCCGAAGGGCTGTTGTTGATGGGAGATGAGACATATCTCGATGACTTGTTAAAAATGCCCATTAGAGAGCAGGAAGCCAGGGATGTAAGCGATGAAAAATGTGTCTTTTCTTTTTTTTAAACACCAAGAGCTGCCTTTAGCTTAATTATTTGCCCTGTTTTTAAGTAACGTGGCCAGAGTGGCTCTGATGACTTCCAGTCAGATGGGTGGACTGCGGTAAAGGACGAATGTGGAGTACACGGCGCAGGAAATGTGTCAAGCACCGCAGAGATCAAAGAAACACTAAAGCAAACCAGGGCCTAATAGAAAGGCACAAGGAGGGCTGAAGGAGGGGTGGAGTTGACCCAAACAAACAAAAGGAAACCACCCAGAAAAAGGCTTGAAAACGGGGAGTATCAAAAAATTGATATTAATTAGATCAAGAAAAGAAAAAATTGGCGGCCCACCTGCTTATATATGCCCATGCCTATTCTGGAATTTTCTCCATATCGCAGCCAGGATACTGCGACGAGGGGATACAATAGGCCAGCCAGGGCCGTTAGGAGCTTCGAGTGGTGAACAAGAGGAGGTCGTAAATAAGCGTATCTACATTTTATACTCTAAGTGGCAACAAAAATTCAGAAGGTAACTTACAATAAACTCTCTTCGAAGCCACGTAGCTATATTAGCTGTGCCCCGGGACCAAGAAGCGTCTAATTTTGTGTGATTTCTGAGCCGGTATTTCGCAGCTATGTGCCCAGGATGGTTTTTTTTAATTGACTACCACTTTTGCAGCTGCTCGAAGGGCTTTCAGGGCTCGCTTGCTTGCTGGAGGCTTAGCCGGAAACCCGAAGCAAGTTTAGCCAATTTAAAGGTTGCAAAAATTGGCAAAACAGTATTCTATTCACTGGTCTTGGTGGAAAATACCGTGCTTGTCGGTGGGGGCATCTGCTCGTAAAAAGTCAGCGCCGAAGGACTCTGGCAGGAAATTGGCACGCCCAAATGCACCAATCTGCGCGTCTTTGTCCTGGGCCAAACGGCTTTTTGCAACCATTAAGCCAATAGCTATTCACGGCATTTAATCGAACAAATGGCGGGATTTATGGTAATTTAGGGGTTATCGTTTTCCGTGCTTTCTTTGTTCTTTGACCTTCAATTGTATTTGCCTTTTCCTTCCTCCCCCCTTTTATTTCCCGTGGATGCCATGTTTGGATGTGCCCCGCTTGGTTTCATACCATCAGTGACACCGCGGGTGGGGTGGAAATGGGCAGTTTTAGCCTCACTGTTTCACTTTTGCCAATACTCTGTGGTCACTCGTATTTCTTGACGAATTTGTATGTGGAGTGTAGTCGGAATGGTTGGCTGTAAGATAAGAGAATGGACCAGGGTGTGCTTTTTGGGTGGAGACGAACGAAGTCAGTGACCGTATGGGGCTTCTATAGTTTATTTTAAGCTTTGGAGGGTTAAAAAGTATGCTGGGTTGGCTGGGTTGGCTGGGCTTGGTCTGTATGTGCATAGGTGGAGTGGTGGGATCGGTTGTGGCTGGTGGTTAAGTGAGGCAATGGGCAGAGGAGTCGTTTTATAAGAAAGGGAGGGTATAATTGAGTTTGGTATTGTTTGTAGGGTAAAGAGGTTTTCGGAATTCATCGGGACGGAACATTTTTCATTTAAAGTGAGTTCCTGATTTTTAGGGTTCGTTTGTTTCATTACATGAATTCGGTGGTTGTGCAATTTGGCTGCGAAAAGTCCATAGAGGAGGTGGCTTTGGTGGAGAAAGCAGAAAACCATAAACTACGTTGTGAACTTTTTTAAAACATTTAAGGTTCCAGATTTCTTAAAGTTGCAATGAGGCCACCATAAGCTAAAAATTTATCCTTTTGCGTGCATTGTCACCATGACCTTCGTTGTAGACGATACTGTACAATTGGGAAGCCCACAACGTCAGCAAAAAAAGTACACTTTTTTTTTTTAGGGTATAATAAGATACTTATGTTCACTCTAATTCAATCCATACTATTATCATACAGACTTGGTTTGTACTTCTCTAGGTATGTACATGTTCTCCCTCTAATTCATCTTCCCTCGCTCCTCTACTGCCTATACTTAACTCGCGCCATACGCGATCTCACATAACCTCAACAACAGAATACCCCATCTACCATCTAACTCGCTGCCTCTATGAGCTCTTGTCTCTGGGCCACCGAGGCCGCTCGAAGAAAACGAAAACCGCCACTATTTCCTGGCTCCGCTCGCTTCAATGCGGGCGAATTACACCATGGTGTCCAGAAAACCCATGACGGGGTAGCTTCTTTCGAAGACCAGATATCTCCCCTAACTTCCGACTTGAATCTGCTTATTGATCTCATTAATGACGGTAATAAAGAGAAGGTATTTCTGCATGTGGATTATATGGCGTCAACAAAACTCGAGTCAGAAGCTCAACCAGAATCAAGCATCGATGAGTCCTCTTCACGTCCCTGGAGTGCTGGCGGGTCCGCTACTCCAGATGTGTCATTGTCTGGCGTGAAGACAGAACGAAAAGAGAATACATTACTGTTGGCAGAAGCTATCCGATCCGAGGTTGGTGAAGAACTCCTTAAAACAAAGATTGAAGAGAAGGAGCATGATATAAGCTCTCCAAAACCGTCGCCTTCACTTGAAAGAGATGAGCATACTACGACCAAGGGTCAAAAGCCAGAGGATAATTTACTGGAGGAGTCAGATATAGAGGCTGCCCCAGATGCCGTTGAGCACAATCTGCCTGCCCAACCCGTTGAGCCAAAACCTTCATCTGGATTGGAGGTCACCCAGGAGATGCCACAAGCAGAGAGTTCCCCAAGGAGAAACAGTCATTCTACAGAAGCAAATGATTTACCGCACAACATACCTGATGAGCTTGAACAAGATAATGATTCTCCCAAGGAAAAACCCAAAGCAGTACGCGTCAAGGTCGAGGAGTCCGACTCAGAGGTAAGTGATACTTCTTTTCAAGCCATTAGCAGTGCTATTCGTAAAAGCTTTGCGGGAAAGGTTTCAATAGGTGCCACAGGGGACAATGGCCCGCTATATTCACCAGGCTTGACTAGGAAAGATACCATTGGGGGCCCAAGGCGTTCCAGTGACAAGAATGGTCCAATACACGTGAAGCAAGAAAAGGAAGAAAGTATACTCCCTCGTGAATCTTCTACAAATGGCCTGTCATCTAAGAGTGCGCCCATCAGTAACAGGATTTCAAAGCGTACGTCAGTCTTTGTCTCCCTTCCTTCAAGAGAACCAATAGCATACCTGTCTAATAAGCGCCATTCTATTAAAGTGAAAATGGAGGAACAAGAATCAGACCCGCATACATCTAGAGTCAATCTGGCATTGACACAGGCTGCAAAGGCAGAACCAGCACCCCCTTCAAGGATACCTGTCGACTCTGATATCCCCAGGGCTAAGAAAGAGCCATCCTTGCATAATAACAGCAGACCCAGACAGGATGTCTCCAGTTCGAAGACAGCCAGTCATGGTGCTGTCACCACGGGAAACAAAAACGTCGAGCGACTTACTAATAATGGGGTGAAGGATTCATTCCTACCATCTTCGAGGTCTCCCACAAAACACAGCTCCCCTCTATATGCTGCGTCTATGCGATCAAAGAGCAAACCAAGTAGTTCACAAGGGTCACGAACTACGAATCTAGGCTCTCCGAAGCATGGTGCCCCTAAGCTATCAACCAGCGAGCGGAAAAGTCGATCAAGGAGTAGATCCCCAGTCAAGGCCCGGCCCCAGTCTGCGCAATCACCCCAGAAGACGCCGCTGTTGAAGAATCGCTCTCTGACTCGAGATTCAAGACGTGTTTCCCCGGAACGAGTTCCTCAGTTGTCGAGTGCTCCAAGCTCGAGATCACCGACGAGATATGGTACTAAGGACGGCAATAATGGCGAAACGGGAAGATATTCGGTGGCCACCTCCACTACTGCTTCTACTCCTGGGGAAAGAAGGTATTCCACCGACGACCAAAAGCCAGAAGCTGTATCCAATTTGTCAAAATCCTCACTGAAATCAGCGAAGGAAAAGCGTAACCAAAATAAGTTCCTCACCACTACCTTGAATCCTCAAAAACCTCCGCAGTTTAATCCCGTGAAGACTAAAATCAAGAACCCTTCTCCTATAAAACGTTTCTTGGATACCGACATTGAGAAAGAGCGTCTTGAATTAAAAGAGAGAAGGCTTAAAATGAATGAACTTGCTTCCAATAAGGTTATTTTGGCTCCACTGAGCACTGAGAAAAATAGCAGAGCAGAAGCTGCGTTACAGCAAAGAAGAAGTTCACCCACAAGGAAACGAGCTGCGAGCCCAGTGAAAAGAGAACCACTGCCTTCTCGGAAAGAAGCCCAGAGTTCCAATAAGTTCAGAAAAGTTGAGGAATCGGTTAATGCTTCCAGGCGGAGAGCAGCTGTTGGTAATGCCCAACCCTTGCCTGAAGCAGCTCGTGGTCGGTTCGTTAAAGAACGTCCCAGGCAAGAAAAGCCCCGTGTGGATGAAAAGAGAACTCCAATAAAAATTCCCAATAGCAGTCGCTCTGGCAGGACACCAATTAATGTGGGCGCTTCGGGAAGTCCTGCTATAAGGGGAGATGCGTTGCCTGAGATACCCTCTGACGATGAATCTTTGAAGAAGCAAAAGTATTTTAAGAACTGGGCAAATACTCCAGAACTTCAGAAGCTTATACAAGTCAACCACAAGATCAACCCTGTGGACATTTTTGGAGAAGTCGCTGATCTACGTATGGATGAGGTCTTTGAGTCCACCTCTACCGACAAAAAATAATGAATTAATCGGTATAAATGCTCTTAGTTTACATTTGGCGCTTTGCCAATGCAATCTCTTTTTTCCAAGTACCTAGCCACTCGGCTGATTCTTGTTTAGGCACAACGTAGAGCCTCAAGCCGTTGTCAAAAAGAGGGGCCTTAGCCTGCTCTGCCATTAATGCCTTATTTACAGGGGCCTTCTTGCCCACCTTCACCAATCCTCCACTTATTGTCTCCATGTAGCACTCCAAGTTTTTAACTGTGAAGTTCTTGTGTCTTGGGTCTTCGAACCATTCTTGAGGTCTTTGTAATACCACCTCCAAGATCTCAGCCGGTGTAGAAAGTTCACTTATTTCAGCCACAAAATCAAATTCATCAGTTACAGGGTAAAGAACCATGGCAGGAAGGATAAGCTGAGATTCGTAATCCAGAGGATCTTCAAGACGGATATTAGTCTCTTCTAGAAGCTCTGCAGGCCTTGAAGAACGGATGATCTCGATCTTCCTTAGCGTAATTGCGCTAGCTAATACAAGCTCTTGTTGTTTCTTGAGCTCTGTCTCTTTTTCCTTCTTCCGAATGGCAGCCTCAATTTGTGCTTCCTTATCGTTGATTTTCTTCAAAACATCCTTGATAGCTTGATTTTCAGAGTCCTTAGACAAACCAAATTGAAGAATCTGCTTGGCTTCCTCAAAGCGGTTGACAGCAAAGAAGGCTCTTCCAGCACGGTAGCAAGCCTTAACATTGTCCTCATCTATAAGCAAGACCTTTTTGCAATCCTCAATGCACATTCTATAATTTTTCAATTCAAGGTTGCAAGCGGCTCTGTTAACAAGCAAAGCGCTATTAACTTTAGCATCATCACATTCGATATCAATTCCCTGGGTATAGAATTGCACAGCATTCTTATACTGCTTAGCCTTGTAACATTCATTACCTTGGTTCTTGAAGTTTGTGGCTATTTCGTCTGGCGCACCATCATAGGCTAAACTTTTCAAAGCTTCTAGACTGGCGTTTTGTCCACCATCTCCATCGGTCTCATCCAACTCTGTCATGAAAAATGGCAAACGGTTGATCTCTTTCAATACCTCATCGGTAGTCTTGTTTGCTACGTCAGAAAGCTGAGGAGGCAACTCTGGCTCACCAGGCTTAGGGCGATACCTTCTTCTTTCCCATTCCGAAATGACCCTGTCTTCAGGAGAAATCTCGTCAATTTTCATATTCTTGGTTGGTGAAGAGTCTTGATAACGAATCTCCAGAAGCCTTCGATGCCTCAGTCTTGTATGCCATACATTGAGAATGAAGGCCTACACATTTTGCAGCCAATATCTGTAACTGCGGATCTATAATTGTGCTACTATGTACATTATTTAGCAATTCACAGCGACTGGTACATTAACCAGCTGTACAAGCCCATTGCCGTACTTCACTGAAATACGGAAGTAATAAAAGCGGACCATGAGGCACTGTTGGAAGTCGGGAACCAAGCATATGTAGTCAAAAGCTGACTTGCCGGGCGGTGGAGGAGTCGTTCCCTTCATGTGGCAACTGTTCACATCGACTTGCAACTCTATGTTCTTTGAATAAACATTGTACTGTGAGTGAGCTGAATCTGTCTGCACCCATGGAACGCTAGCAGCCAGCTCATGTACGCCTCTGCTTTTGTCCGTGCTGGAAGCGATCGCAATATCTGGAACAACCAAATTAATTATCTTTGTTTGAAGCATGGCCAAACTTTTAATGTCCTTGAAGAGTTGAGTTTCAACTCTGAATTCGTCACTCTCAAACCCAATCTTCTTGATGAGCTTTACAATCGAATTGTAGTACTCATTGAAGGGGCGAATGACAATAGCGTCAACGTTTTCGTAGTCGTCACTCTGAGCCTTTGCATCAAGTTCATCAATAACTTGCTCTCTAAAGCACATGTCGTGATTAAACTCTATCGGGATGAAATGTTTCTTTGAGCGGGCCGTCAATACGACCAACTCGCAACTTATCTTTTTCGGTTCTGGAGGAGTCTGAGGGCCCATAGACTTCTCACAAGAATATGTGAGATCCAAGGGAATGCGGACCTTTGTTTCATAATGTTGCATGGGGTTTCTGTAACGAGGAGGAGGAACATATGAAATGGCATACTCTGTTTTGGGGGATGATAATGACAACACTCCTAGGATCTTTGATGATCCTGTGAAGCTCTTCTTCTTGAAAGGACTCAAGTGCAGATAAACTGGAGCCTCATTCATCTTTATATTCGAGCCTTTGCCGGTCATGGATTCAGAGACGCGATAAAGCTGCCTGAGCTTCTCTTGATCCAGGCCCAGTCTCACGGAATGCAAGGCTGATGATATTGGGGTCAAATTCTGAGGCAATGAAGAAGAACTTGAGTTGGAAGTACTGGTCAAGGAGCCACTGTTTGCTTCGTCCCGCGAACGCAAAACTCGCTTTCCTTGATGGATTTTCTCTTCAACGACATCTACAAATGCCTTGTATTGTGCTCTTACCTGCTGGTCCCACTGCTCCCTGTAGTCGGGTTTGGCAGAAAATGGAATAACACGGAATGGCAAGTTGACATCAGCTGCCAAAATATACCTATCCTTGTTTATTCTAGAGAGATATTGGGAGGCACGACCAATAACTCTTGCCGCAACTTTATAGCTTGTGAATGTATCTATAAGTGAAAAGTCTTTCAAACGCTTGTCAGCGTTGTCATGGCGTGGACGAGCGCTAAAGTTGAGATTCACAGGATTTCCCACACTTGGAGGCGGTTGGCAATGTACGTCTAGACTGTGGATCTCGCAATTATCGTCAAGGAGCTTGTCAGGGAGTCTGAATGAGAAGAATCTCTTGTATGTGATGCCAGGCTGGAATAGTCTTTTGACATCAATGGACAAGACAGTATTATCGTAAGGGTCCGTCTCACCATCGCACCAATCATGGGGATCGCCGTTGTCTGTGGCAAGTCTATCAATGTTTGCATAAGACCACAGAGCAAAAAGATCCAACATGTTTAAGAATTTGAAAACAGTAGGCTGGTAGAAGGGATCACCAGGACCACGGTTCGCTTGAACCACAGCTAACTCACCTTCAAGAACAACGTAGACCATATCAAACGGAATTGGCTCTTTGGAAGTGTTCTGAATGGTTATGTAGCCGTGAATAAAATCACCTTGCTTGAACTCGTAGTCGGAGATATCGATTATATCAGGCTTGACGCCTTTCTGACAAACGGCATCTGTGATGTGAACTTCCACATTTAGATGCTTTGAAGCAGGATTTTTTTCACTCAAAAGATCAAGCTTATGGACGTTGGCAAGTACGGTTTGCTCCCATAAATCAGCACTTCTTTGGTTGAACGTCTCGTCATCATCTTCAGCCTCTTGGATAGGAAAAGGGAACGCATTTAAAGTACCAGAGCTTTGTGGTGAATGTAAACCCGAAGGAACAGGTGTAATACCAGCAGAATGCAAAGGAGACATCTCGTAAGTAGGCGGATCCTCCTTGAAGTTCTCCTCCTGAGGCACCATCTTCTTTCGTATGGTTGCCTGGAACATATGGTATGATGGAAGGATAGAATTGACCAACTTGTCATCCTCGTGGCTCCGCACGGAATTAAGTGGCAGAAACTCAGGCGGGTCTCCCGACATGATGAACTATTATGAACGCTGTGTATTCAGCAAATGTCTATTAAGCAGTGGAAGAGCAGAGATGGAGATGTCTGGAGATGGTGCGATATAATCAGGCAGGACGAAAAACGAGGCTACAAGTGGTGCACAGCAGACGGCACTAAAGGATATACAAGGCGGGAAAAAAAGTGGTCAAATAAGGTTCTGAAAGTCTATATTGGAAAAAATAGAGTGGAAAGTGGTATATCCATACTAACTTACAATGAGGGAAACGGAATTCCACGGAGTGCTGGACGAGATGCCCGTTGGACTAAACGGTCGTAGACACATCAAATGGCTGCTACTGAAAAATCGATGTTGCAGTACGTAAGTGTATGTTTTGGCTTCAAATACTTCTTTAGACGAGGAAATAAAGCAAGGAATGGTAGAAAAATTGGAATAGAGTGTGGTGCTTTTGGGTGCTTCACCTGGCAGTTGGACCATATTGTGGGACAGTAGAACGCGTACATGTCTCAAATGTATGGATATCCCCGAAAATGGCACTTTTCGTTGACTTTTCAGATCTCAGCCGAGGAATAAGAAACTTTGCAAGCCTTGGTTTATATATACCGTATTTGTAAATCCGTGAGCTGTCTTTCGTTAAAAGCATAACCATAGATAGCAACATCTAACGGTTTTGCAACCGTTTCGCGGGGTCAAGTGGACCACCACAACTGACCGTAGAACCAGCCATAGACAAAGCAATTCTTTCAATGTGCCAATATCTTCTATTTCTCCTAACTTCAAAACATTATACTATGTTTCACAGCAGGTACTGAGCCAGCCGTGGTTCCTCCAACGGTCTGGCGTGCACATTGCCTATCCGGTCAGACCGGCATTTGACGTTATCGCTCACTCTTATCTTTTGCTACTCCACCATGCCTTCTTTAGAGAAACAAGGAGGCGAATACCCAACAAGAAGCTTTATTTCCCGCAGAGGAATTGTTATTATTCATGCCTTTGCCCTCCTCTTCATCTCAGGATGGGTCCTTTTGTCCTATCCAACCAGACAAGCTGAGACATTCCAATCATACCCACATCTTTTAGACGATCCGGTGGGGACGAGATTGGTCATCCAAGCTTAGAGCCGCTGGCGGAATTTCGTAAGACTGGATCGAGTGCTATGGTGGCGCTGGATGTTGAAATTTGTTCACAGATGGGTCGTGATATCCTTCAAAGAAACGGAAATGCTGCTGATGCTGCCATAACTGTGGCTCTCTGTATTGGTTCAGTGAACTCCCACTCTTCAGGCATTGGCGGTGGCGGGTTCATCGTTTCGTGGCAAGGAGACGAAACAATCAGTATCGATGCTAGAGAAGCTGCTCCAGCCAAAGCTCACAAGAACATGTACGAACACTTCCCACTTTTGGCACAGTTCGGTGGGCTCGCGGTAGCAGTTCCAGGAGAAGTGGCAGGTCTCTACGAACTCTACAAGGCTCATAGCTCGGGTAATTTTACTTGGGCACAGTTGATCGAGCCAGTTGTGGAACTCAACAGAAAAGGATGGGCAGCTGAAGAGATCTGGATCTCTTCGTTGCACCGCATCCACAGAGAGCTTCTCCAGAGGGTGCCGCTTCTCAAAGATAAGTGGGACTTTATCTTCAAAGAAAGCGGCGAGATTGTGGACGTGGGAGATTGGATCACACGTCCAGCCCTCGGAGACACGTTAGATATCATAGCCAAAAATGGATCCAGTGATGTTTTTTATGATCCACACGGTCCCATAGCGCCCAAGTTAGCCCTGCGTGCCGCGAAGTGTGGAGGTGTGGTGACAGTTGAAGATTTCGCAGCCTACAGGCCAGAGACATCCAAGGCTTTAAAGTATAAGTTTGACGTTGACGACGACTCTTATGAGTTGGCCACTTCTGGTGGTGTGTCTTCTGGACTTGCACTTATTGGAGGCTTGAATTTCTACTCGGAATTGGAAAAGACAGCAGGTGGTAGCGAGGATCCATTGTCCGCTCACAGGCTCATTGAGGCTATGAAATGGACTGCGAGTGTGAGGTCTAACTTGGGAGACCACAATGCGACTTTTTTCCAGGATCTCGTGAAATGCTTTTCATCGCGGGAATGGGTGCAAAAACTCTTAAAGAATGGCAAGTACTCTGATGACACAACGTTTCTCTGGCAACATTACGAACCAAAGTTTGAACTTACAGAACCCGCGGGACATCCCACTTTTCTGTTGTCGATGCTCAAGGAGGTGCCGTTTCCATGACAACCACAGTTAATTTGATCTTTGGCTCGCTGGTTTACGACAATGATACTGGCATCATTTTGAATGACGAGATGGACGACTTTTCAATGCCCAACACACGCAATGCATTCAACTTGACGCCTTCCGTGTACAATTTTATTGAGCCCTCGAAACGTCCGTTGTCGCTGACAACCCCTACTATCATTAAAAAGAATGGGGAACTCTTTATGCTTATCGGCGCTGCAGGAGGTTCTAGGATCGTCACTGCCGTACTACAGGCAATTGTCAGAACAGTGTATGAAAAACTTCCCCTTCTTCAAACCATTCTGTATCCACGTTTACACCATCAACTCATCCCTGAGTTTGTTATGGTGGAAGATGTGGAAATGTACAATACCGCGGTACCTGGTATCGAGAACCTGCTTAACCAGAAAAACCACACACTTTTCCAATCTGGCGCCTTGACTGCAATGAACGCTATCAAGAAAACAGGAGACATATGGGAGGGCGTCAGCGACCACTGGAGAAAGCGAGGCGTGGCTGCTGGGTTTTAATTGGCCGGCAGAAAATTATTTTGCTCGGTGTTTGCGACCTCACCGGGTAGGCGGTAAAGTTTCGCTCCAATCATCAAATGTATAAAGAGAGGACAAAGCTGCGAGCAAGCTTGGAAGTTGCTCTGCAATTCCAAGCCAAACGCCTGGGTTTGCCGAACAAGTTGCATTTCTGAATATTAGCTAATTTTGCATCTTCAAATTGAACCATCCCCCACTGGCTAGGGCCATCGATCCACCCGCACAGATGCATCTTTGTGGGGCCTCATGCAACAATACAATTGCACCGCACCGGCCCGCCAAGATAGGCTTTGTGGGAAAGGAGAGGGATTAAAATGAAGAAGAAAAAAAAAAATAAGACAAAATTGAAAAAAATTTGAATGCAAAAGCGAAAAGTCGGGCGAATATTCAGACCCAGTTTCTCGAAAGACCCCCCAAAAAAAAAAAGACTAAAAAATTTTAAACCCTATCTCAAGATATATGGATATAAACTAGTATAGATGTTGACCTGAAAATAATCAGCGAATGTTCTACCCTGCTTTCAGACCCCCCGCCGGAACCTTGTGGGACCCTCAGAAGCGCTTGTCCCTGGGGCTTCGCTGTGCAGTACCCCCACCGTTCAATGAGGTCATATTCCCCAGATTTCGGACTCTCATTTCTCACCCACAAATATATAAGCAACCGTGCCCGCCCTGTAAATCGTCACCACCCTTCTTTTTATGTCTACTTTCTCCCAACAGCACACCCTCAAACGGTTGCCTATTCCTCCGCTTGAGAAAACCTGTGAAAACTATCTTAATGCGTTAAGACCTTTGGAAACTGAAAAAGAGCACGAGAAGACCAAGGAGGCGGTGAAACGGTTCTTGGAAGATGGTTCAGGTGCTTTCTTGGATTCTGAGTTGAGGAAGTACTCTCATACAAGGGCTTCTTACATTGAACAGTTTTGGTACGACTCGTACTTGAACTATGACTCCCCGGTGGTGCTCAACTTGAATCCATTCTTCTTGTTGGAGGACGATCCTTTCAACAATGAAACCACTTGTGTGAACCCACAGGTGAAGAGAGCTGCATCTTTGACGCTTTCGTCTTTGAAGTTCATTCGTGCGTTGAAAAATGAAACTTTGCCCATAGACACCCTTAAGAACGGCCAGCCGCTTTGCATGTACCAGTACAAGAAGCTCTTTGGCTCTTCTAGAATTCCAACCGAGGATGGATGTGTGATGCAATCAGACAGTAACTCCAACCATATTGTTGTCATGAGCAAATCTCAGTTTTACTGGTTTGACGTTTTGGACACTGATAACAACCTTCTCTTGTCGGAGCAAGATTTGACCATCAACTTTACATCCATCATCCAGGATTCTCTCCAAACCCCTTCGAATGAGGTTGCAAAGTCTTCTTTTGGTGTTCTCACCACTGAAAATAGAAGAGTTTGGGCCAGAATCAGACACTCACCTACCATCTTGGAGAATGCAAACAACAACGAGATTTTGTCCATTGTTGACTCTGCTCTTTTTGTCATCTGTCTTGACGACTTAGTTTTGCTGGACTTGAGTGACTTAGCAAAGAACATGTTGTGTGGTTTGTCTATCGTTGATAACGGTGTTCAGGTCGGTACATGTACTAACAGATGGTACGACAAGCTTCAGATCATCATCACTCAGAACGGTAAAGCCGGTATCAATTTTGAACACACTGGTGTGGACGGCCATACTGTCTTGAGATATGTTTCTGATATCTATACTGATTCTATTTTGTCTTTTGCCCAGTCAATCAACTCGAACGCTCCTTCTTTATGGAATTCGGCAGATATGTCTAACAGGGTCACTTCCAATGAAGGTCGTACAGACTTAGTGACAATTCCTAGAAAGCTTGAATGGGACTTGACTCCGGACTTGTCTCTTGCTTTGCGTTTTGGTGAAACGAGATTGTCCGACTTGATTAATCAGAACGAATTTAAACACTTGGAGTTCAAGAGCTACGGATCTTCAACTATCAAGAAAATGAAGTTCTCTCCAGACGCTTTCGTTCAGATGGCTTTCCAGGCAACATACTACGCCTTGTATGGAAGAGTGGAATGTACTTACGAGCCAGCAATGACGAAGCACTTCTACCACGGCAGAACAGAAGCCGTACGTACCGTGAGCCAGGAGTCCAACCTTTTCGTCCGTAAGTTCTTTGATCCTCAGATGGCTAATTCTGAAAAGTTAAAATTCCTCTCAGATGCTTGCAAGAAACACTCTGAGCAAACCAAAAGGTGTACTGTTGGTGAGGGTATTGACAGACATTTATTTGCCCTCTTCTGTGTTTGGAAGCGCTATGTCAGTGGTGAACTTCCTAGCGAGTATGGTGCCACAGACATGAGAGAAGACGATACCATTGTGGGCGACCAACACAGTGACTCTTCAGACCATACAGTTGGCGGAAACAACGAGCCAAGTGTGAAGTCAGAGTTGACAGACTTGCCTGCTATTTTCGCTGATAGTGGTTGGGATAAGTTGAACAATACAGTCCTCTCAACATCCAACTGCGGTAACCCTTCATTGAGACTTTTCGGATTCGGCCCTGTCAGTGCCAACGGGTTTGGTATTGGGTATATCATCAAGGACGATTCAATTTCAATTTGTGCTTCTTCTAAACACAGACAGACCAGCCGTTTTCTTGTGACATTAGAGTCCTACTTCGATGAACTCTACCGTATCTACAAGGACGTTCACGAATCATCAGAAGTCCATGCTCCTATTGACACCAAGATTGAGGAGGGTGATTCATACTTCAAGCCTCAGATCATCACTAAGCAACCAGTACCTGTGAAGGATTCTTTAAGTACCTTATTGGGTGGTTATGGCTACTTTGATATGGGAGAAGACGACATCAAATCAAGAGGTCAATCTCCAGAGCCTCCGTTCATGCACCGTATGGACAGTGGTTTCTCCATTCGTGACATCGAAAGAAAATTGCGTTTATCAGAATACTGATCATTATTTATTTATTTATTCCATCAACTATCGTCCAAGAGACGTAGATTGATATATTTATTATCTAAATGAACACTTCCGTTCGCAAATGCTGTAGTTTATATTCCAAATTCTCCTTTGTTTAATGCAGCTCTCAAGTTAGCCTTCTGTGGTTTATTCTTTCCATGTTTCATTCCAACTGAAGGCATACCCATCATCGTAAGCTCACTAGTTGTTGGCTTTGGCTTTGGCTTGTGCTGCTGTGGGGGAGGAGGATGCCCGTAGTATCCTTGTGGTGGAGGAGGGTAATACATCGGCTGGGGAGGATAACCATATCCTTGAGGTGGAGGATAGTATCCTTGTGGTGGCGGGTAGTAGTAAGGCTGTCCTGGTGGCATCATCTGTTGTTGAGGCATCATCGGCATCTGTTGCTGCTGCTGGGGCATCTGTTGTGGAAGATGTTGATGAGACGGCATTCTTGGAGGCATTTGTTGCGCTGGAGGCATGTGTTGAGCTGGAGGCATATGCTGACCTTGTGGAGATGAATACTGGCTTTGAGGAGGCGACATCATACGGCCCTGCTGAGGAGGCATATGTGGAGTTGGGTATGTCTGTGGTGGGGCATCTGTCCTTGAGCAGGCCCTGGTCCAGGAGGAACCTGCCCACTAGGAGGCATTTGAGCCTGTGGATGGGCATGAGGAGGAGCATGGCCACCACTGTGTTGAGATTTGGGTTGCGACTGAGACGTATATGCTGAAGATGGTGAAGGGCCTCTTCCAGATGGTGACTGCGGATTACCATGTTGATCAAGAGGCACCGAACCTTGCGGTTGTAATCTCTGTGTTGGTGGCAAATGTGACGCCAGTTTCTGCGAGTATGGATCAGAAGACTCAACCGGGATTTGAGAGACCGACAGCTGCGAATGAGCAGTATTATAGCTTCCATTCGAATAAGTTGGAGATGGTTCAGGAGGCATATTGTGGCCAGTAGGGGCCTTCAAATCTAATTTCATCTGGTCATCAGTAGAATAATGGTCCTTAGGTGGCGACGCAGTCCGAGGCATCATGTAACTATGCGTACCAGCCTTTGGAGGGCTTCCAGTGTAAGCTTCATGTGTACGACTATGCAACTTTCCAGGAGAGCGGTTGCCAACATTGTCCATATCATGATGATGCGATACACCCAGCGGTAATGCAGACTTCTTAGAAGGGTCTTGCAATACATTCTGGTCTTGGAAGTTCTGCTGTAATGGGTGTTCATGAGGCTTCGCCTGTTCCGGATTACCTGTGGCTCGAGGATGCTGAATATGCCTAGGTACAGCCTTAGAAGACTTGGGCTTCTCAGGAACTGCTGGGGAAGAAGCTCTTGGACCATCCATACCGTGTTGATCATAACTATTGTAAGTCACCTGCGGAGATTGGTCATATTCGGTATGCTGGTATTGGTCCTGAGCATAATCAGCAGGCAAAGGCGGTGGAGGACCATCAGGCAATTGATCCACTGGGATGCCTCCCAATTCGTCTCTATGCTTCGACTTCTTCTTCTTCTTTTTCTTCTTAGGCTTCTGTGGAACGGCTGCTTCGTCTCCCATCGGCACCTGTGAATTAACATTGTACCCTTCTGGAGGAGGTGCTGGCTCTTGCTGGTATTGCTGGTACTGCGGAGCTTGATAGCTGTCTTGAGGAAACTGCTGAGGTTGCTGAGGAAGGCCCTTTTCAGATCGGCTAGTAGGCATCAGATACGGATCATTTGGAACGGGCATAGGTGGCTCGTTCGCATAGGCAGGCGGATGCTGAGTCCCATAAGCCTCTTCGTGGTAGGGCTGTTCAACAGGGGCAGGTGGAAGCTGTTGATGCTTGCGGGAGGGGCTTCCATTGCGGTGGCTCTCTTGTGGATTGGAATCCGGCTTTGGTGGAACAATGGAATTTGGAACATGGTAGTTGTCGAATGGCTCCATCGATTGTTGCTGTTCTTGGTAGTCATAGGGAGTCTTATAAGATTCGTAAGGTTCTTTGAACTCTTGTGATTGATTGGCAGCAGCATACTGGAGAGCCTCCTGGGGATAGTCTTCCCTAGAAAAACCGTTGTTGTAATCTGGCATCATTGCATTTCCAGAGCCGTTAGCATGCTTCTCTTTCAGCTTTTTATGAGTTCTAGGAACATTCAAAGGCTGCTCCTGCTGCAGCAATTCTAGTGGCGGCGGCCTTGGTCTTTGGCGACCGTTCGAAGCCTTGTTCATATTCATCTGGTCATGGAAATCTTGTGCCAAATGATCTTCGTCATCCAACCCTTTCATATATTCGATGTAATCATTTCCACCTTTAGGCTGGCCAATTCTTCCTTGGTATGGCTCACCTTGAATTCCACCATGCTCTTCACCGGTGTATTGCTCCATACCGAAAGGTTCTTCCTGGAAAGAAACCTCTGGAAGTAAGCCGTTCTTGGAAACTGGAGGTGGTGCGGGAGCACCAGCCGAACCCGGAGGAGGTGGAAGGTCCTTCAATGGTGATTTAGAACGCTTACGTTCTTGTGCTCCCTTAACTCGAGCAATATAATCATCAGGATGCATCGTGGTCTCAGTTAAAATCAACCACTTTTGAAATCCGCGTAAGCCGGCTTCAACGACAATTGATCGTCCAAATAAACCCTTGGAGTAAGTGCTTTGATCAGAGGCCAAAGACGAAAGCCAAGTCCAAATGTAGTAATCTTGAAGGGTAACATTAGTGATGGAAATATCAGAATATAATGGAATATCAGGATCTTGAGGTGGTCCATCGCGGGTCCAACCAGGGTATAAGTCATAATTGGAAGGAATTGGATTATCACTGATGCGTGAAAGAATTCGGCGGGATTCATCGGTAAGAGTGGAAACGATCTCATTCGTAGAGTCCTTCAAAAAAATGTTCTTAAGGATAGTATAGTTCTCGACAGAAACGAATTCGTCTTTCCTATCGAATTTGAGGTTCTGTCGTATTTTGGTAATCAATGCATATGGATCAGAACTGCGGCGTGTAGACTTAACATGAACACAAGGGATGGTGATGACAGACTTGATCGAGTCCAGGTTCTCCGGTGGAGGGTAAGAATTCGTACTGAGTAGCGATTGCAAAGACTTTGGGCCTTTGAACAACTGATCCTCATTATCAGGCATCATGGCTCGCAAAAATGCTAAGAAAAGATGGAAAAGGCCAAGGCAGGTTTTCTTCCATGACTCCAAACCGCTCACGAACGAGTTCTCTTTGAACGCTGTAGCATCGTAGAAGGCCAGCTTGGAATTTCCCATGCTATTGAAGGCCCACATGGATGCCATCTTGGAGATCTTGCGACCACTCAAGTAGTTATACTGTGAATAAGACGCGATGCTGACAAGTAGATCAAGGAAGTCGTAAACAATCGATGCGTGTGCCCTTGTAGATACACATTTTGGCATAAGTTTGAGAAAAGCATCCTTGGGGTATCCATGCTCCCTCTCAAGTCTCTTAAAATGCAAATAATTCTCCCATCCTATAATTTCCAGGTTCGGTAGTCTGCACCAAAGGTACTTGAGGCCACATATGAGGGTGAACTCGTCAAAAGAAGCCAAAAGACGCTTTGTTTCTGCTTCCTTCAGCGTGTCAATCATCTGGCCATTTGGAAATATTGTACTAAGGAACCTTTCAAGCTTTGTATCGTCCACTCTCAGACGGAAGGGAAGGAAAACATGGGGCGTTTTTGTGCCTCGTTTCTTCAATTCCTGGGTGATGTAGTTATGAAGATCCTTGATCCTCTTTCTGGTGAACTGATCACGAGGAATAATCGACGAAGATGTTTCCTCCTGGTAGGCAGCCGGCGGGAGTTGCGGAAGAGACATGTCTCTTTTACCTTTGGCCAAGGCCATAGTTGGATAAGTGGTGTTTATAAAAGCGTGACGGTGACTGATTTATATATAAATAGTAAGTTCTAGTAAGCTAGTCCAGGTAATCTGGTGGATTTTTCAATGGAATGGAAAGGTCTGAAGGTTGTAGTTAGCTAGATCAAGCGAGGAAGGCCACACACGGTGAATAGTGTTAACGAGCCGATCAATATTTTTGAGCGAATGCGACTTACAACTCTTCAGACACTTTTTTTCTTCCAAGTGCAGGTACCGCGCCTCAACGGTGGAGTGCCCCAGACTTTTTTCCTTCTTTAGGGTCTAACCATTGTTGCAGCACCGCGAGGAGAACCCACAACCACCAAAACCGGCATCTAAGTAGAAGAAAGGAGACTGTCTATCAACCAAGTTGGAACTTCATGATGAAGTTATTCGATCCGCAATAGCGAGGCTGGTCCTTCTTGAAAAAAAACTACCATTTAGGCGGTTTCGCACCGACATGTCACTGCCACTGCCTCTTACCAGCCTAGTTATGCTGGAGATTAGCCATGCTAGCAACATTTCGTAGTCCCTGATATCCACTAGAGTCCATTTTGTTATTCTGTAAGTTCGACGTGCTACTCAGGTTTCTGAGTCCATTACCATCCATCTGCTGCTGCATATTACCCATACCGTTCATCTCTCCTGAAAAGTGTCTAGGTACCTCCTCGACGGGTGCACCCGGTGGGATAGACACATTAGGGCCCTGATACGGCATCTGAACCATACCCTGATTCTGGCCTTGAACAAGCTGCTGTCCATCCGCTTGCATATGCTGCGGCTGTGGAGGCTGATGTTGATGATCCTGAGGCGGCTCCTGAGGACCCTGGCCAGGGGATGGTCCCATGTACTTCATCCCAGCCTTGTTATCCAGAGGAGGCAGCTGCAGCAGTGCTTGCAGAGAAGCATTGAGGGTAGTTGGAATAGTGCTGGGCATCAGATGGAAGTTAGGCTGCGAGTTGACTGCTGCTTGGGCAATGTAGTCAGTCTGGCCGATAATGCTTTGCAACTGTTGGTATCCACCAACAGCGTTGATCAAAACCGGAGAGTTTTTGAGGCTGGTTACCACGCCTCGTAGCGTGAGAAGTTGTTCGCGAAGCTGTGTAACCTGGGCAGACAATTCACGGTAGCCTGTAGAGTAGAAAGATAACTCGTCTTCCATTTTCTGGAAAAGCTGCTTCTTACGCTGACGACATTTGGAAGCAGCAACTCTGTTACGCTCCAAAAACTGCTTTCTCTTCTCTTCTTCTTCGTCGACGGGAGTGGCAGGTTTCTTCTTCTCTTCCTTCTTCTTTTCCTTCTTGCTCTTTGCACCACCCAGAGTCTTAGCTTTCTTGGCAGGTGGCTCCTTAACAGCAGCAGTATCTTCTTCTTGCTTGACTACAGGCATAGGTCTAGCAGGCTCCGTAGGAATAGCGAACGTGGGCTCCGGACCAGCTGGGGCACCAACTGGCGGAGCTTGAGCTTGAGCTTGAGCTTGACTTTGAGCTGGAGCTGGAGCTGGAGGGCCTTGAGCCGGAGCTGGAGGACCAGCCGGAGGAGCACGAGCCTGTTGAGGTGGCTGAAAGTGCTGCTGTTGTGGAGGATGTGGCGGAGGAGGCTGCCTGTGAGCCTGGTTAGGATGCGAAGATGGAGATTGGTTCTGGCCTACTGGAGGTACACCTTCAGGCTGGCTACCCTGGTGGTGAGAAAGTCCCAAGAAGCTCAGCAAGCCTGGTGTCATTTGGCCGTTACCCAAGCCACCTGGAGTGAGCCCTGGAATATGACCAAAGTTGAATGTCTGGTGACCGACTCCCGGAGTGAAGCCCAGGCGTAGGTTCAGATCGTTGGGAGTGAGTCCCAGTTTACGCATCATATTGGCAAACTGAGCATAGTTCAGTCCTTGTCCTTGACCCTGGCCTTGACCCTCATGGCCCTGGCCGTTGGTAGCGCTTAGTAAGCTGCTCCATAGACTGGAGCCCGGAGTGTCTGGGGTGCCCATAGCAGCGTTGGGCGAAAGGTGAATAGGTGGAAGACGGCGACCGCCCGGGGTGAAAATTGGTGGAGTGAGACCTGGAAGACGGTTTTCAGAAGCAGCCACACTCTGAAAATTCAGGAGCCGAAGGTTATGCTTATTTGAGCCAGCCGATCCAGGCTCGGTATTCTCTCTCTCAGCAGAAGCTTGGCCATCTGGCACGGGCAGAGCTGAAGTAGCCGTTGAGTGGGCCGAAGGAGCCTGCTCTAGCTTCGACGAGGCCAGCGACGTAGGTGTCTCTTCAGGTTTATCGTGTGGTAGTTTGGCCTTCTGGCCGTTCACCATGTGTGGCTCACCAGGAGCAACACTGGCGGGAGGCGCTTGGTTGGCGCCTGAACGGAGACGCTGGTCTGTAGGAGCGAAGGATCTCTCGAACGGGTTCAACTCTAAGTCGAACAGGTTCTTCAGCTAAATGATGTTAGTGTGACGTAATGAAACATGGGAGCTAAGACGAGTTTTAGGCGGACGGGGATCAGGTGGCAAACTCGAGGCTCTGTTTGATATAAAATACATACTTCGCTTGACATGATGATAGAACACGGGAAACTTTGGGTTTCACTGGCACAGGTATTCAGTAAGGGGTTCCCAACGGTATCACTTGTCTGAGGTAGGCTATATTTTTTTTTTTTTTTTTTTTGCGAGGGTTTTCTCATAGGCTTACGTCATGCCTCCTAGGCTCTATGTACACGAATAGGACAAGGCCCGCCCTGAGTGCGATTTAGTACACTATTTATGGAAAATGGGAAATTTCAGATGGGGATCTTGAATGGCCACAAAATTGGTGTAAGTGGCGAGGATCCCGAGAGGTCGGATTTTGCACAAACAATTAGGGAAATTTACGATCGTGCCAGTCTCGTCTAAGACGAGGCTTTTAAATCATCAAACCTTCGGGATTCTGCTGCAGCTCCGCGCTCTGTACCGCGACTCGTTCGTTTTTTTTTTTCTTTTCAAGTAATTCTAACCATCTAGCTGTTAAGCGCGTGTAATACCTCTTGCTCGGCCTTCTTGATCTTGTCGGCATCTTCTTTAAGCAGTGGGTCCTTCTTCATCTCTTCAGCAACCTCTTCGTCAATCTTCTTCGCCGCTGGCGCAGCCTTAGGTATATTTTTCTTGTCCACAGGTGGTTCCAGCTTCTTGGTAGTCTGCTGTGGAGCGCCAATGGCATCAGAGAATCTAACTGCGTTTCTTGGATCATCAAATGGTCTCTGCCAGCCTGTCTTGAACAAACTGCCCATCTCGAAACGAGGGAAAGGATGTGCTTCTGTGTTGAAAACGTAGCGGTCAAGAGGGACCTTGTTCTCGTCGTCAAACAAGAGATACAAATACTTCAAGGTTTCCGCAAGCCAGAATGATTCCATGTTGTCGCCAAATGAAGGTTGGAGACTAGTCACATCCTTAAGAGTGCTGTATGTGGTCTTGCCGTTCTTGCTTACCACCTTGGTATGTCTGATGAAGCTTTGGAAAATTTCATAACCCCACTTTCTGTACTTCTCATCTCCAGTGAGCTTGTACAAGTAATAGATAGACTCAACGGTTTCTGGTCTCTGCAAGTTGTGTGTATCCGCAGGCTTGATGTAGAAATCTCTCTCCTTCGAAGCATCCTCGTTGAAAACAACGATCTCAGGCGACAAGCCCGTAACCACATCTGCGTACATCTTGTAACATGTGTGCGTCAACTCTTCACCAAACTTGAAGTCCTGCTCCTTATCAGAGTCCCAATTGGGTTGAAGTTTGGCTTCCTGTAAAGTCTTACCGCCTGTGGCACCGAGTGCAAGTAAACCACCGTAGAAACAAACGAGATGGTCCATTTTAGGAGACAAGTTACCTCCAACACCACGAGGAAGCTCGCCAATGAAAGTCAAACCGTTAGGCTGAGACTTTCTAGTCATACGAGTCTTGACACCTTCCACAGATTCTTTGTACATTTTCCAGTAGATTGGCTCTTGCTGCTCTGTTTGCAAGTATTGCTTCAACAAATACTCGTAATAAGAGTCACCACGGGAACCCATTCTGATCAAGTTACCCTGGTATTTACCTGTTTCTGGGTTCACATAGATAGGAACGAGACCATCTTGTGGTTGGTTGGCATCCAAAACCTTCATGATCTCCTCTGCCTTCTTCCAGTACAATTCCTCACCGGTCAATTTAGCCAAGTATTTAAACTCAAGCTGCAATGTGGCAACTTCTGCGGTCGAGGAAGCGCCATTGTCAACATGATTCTTAAGACCTTCACCACTGAGCAAGTTGACAGACGAGTAAGGAAGGCCAGAAGGCGAATTAAAGCCACCGATAAGCGCATTGGCTAAGTCAGCAGCTCTATCCAAGAAGATGTCGTCGTTGGAGAAATGGAAAGCGGACAAGAGGCCACCAAGCATACGGATCGTCGTTTCAAAGACGTTCACGTCATAGTCAAAGTGGTAGTTCAAATCGCTTCTAACCCATTCTTTGGCACGTTTGAACTCCTCCTCGGCATCCATGATCAACATGGTATCCAAGGAATCAACGATGATCCAGCCTAGTGGCTTGGGGCCCATATTTTCACCAGTTCCCTTCACCGGATGGTAGACATCCTTACCGAAGGCAGCATCCTCATACGCATGCCAGGACTCCAAAAACACGTCACGAACCTCGTTCTTAGCGGAAGTCCAGTTCTTCTTGAAAGCAGAACGTGGTGATTTGGATGAAAATAGAATCAAGTAAAAGAAGTAGACCACCACGGTCAGCGCCAAACCTTTAAGAAGCATGATTTTTTTCAGGTTGGGACGGCCTCTCAGGGGAACAAATGCAGAAGACGATGAAGCAGACGGCTTGTCTTTATACAACGGTAATTGGGGGGTTTTGTTGAGGTGTAGCCTATCTTTTAAGGCGCTCATGATGAAGAAAGCTGTTGCGGCTATAAACCTGGCGTACTTTATTGTCGCGTTGAATACAGGGCCCCCTTGGCCAATTTGTAGTAGGGACGAGTAATATGCCAAGCGAAACTCACACGACCATACTTAAGACCCAAGAATGTTATTTGATTGATGATTTCCAGGATAAGGAAGTGATCTTCGACTTTTTTAAATATTTTTAGGAGTAGCTTTGAAACTCATGCCGGTGACTATGCTAAGAAGATGCGACATTTTTTGCACCCACTATCCTAGTCGGTATATGCTTCCGCCAAGAGCACCAATTCTTGGGCAAACGACTAAGAATGGTGGCTGAATGATATGTCCTCGAGGTTCCCTAAGCCAAGATACTGTTCTTGGTAATAATCAACGTACAACGTTGCATTGGAGGTTGGAGATTCATGTGGGAAGGGTCAGTGAGGCGTGGAATGTAGCATTACCAACACTAATTGGACTACCCGAGGCTCGTAACTCTAGGAGACCCTTTTGGGGCAGATAAATGTAAAACTTCCTTCTAGAAGAGTCATTTGCATAATAGAAGTTGTTAGAAAACTTTCTGGGGCATATCCTCTACCAATCCCTCGGATATTTTTCATATCTCCTCATTTGACCATTGTTTTTGTGTCAATTAAGGCTATAGTCGGTTGAACTATGCCTCGGCCATGGCTAGCCTTGCCTAGCGTGAATATCTTCTTCCCATGAGCTCAATTCAGAAAGACTATGATATGTAACGAGAATGTACCAAATTCTCTCGAGGTAAATCCCACGAATTGATGGTGGTACCACCGAGCATCTTTTCTTTTTCTAAGCTGTTATGCTATTAATTTTGGCTTCATAAATTTCCTCGTTGGTCTAATTTTAACTTCTCGGTACCACTCTTCACGCTCAGGTGGGATGGTCCTTTGTTATGTTGTTGATCCCACTAAAATGTCCCATTCAGGATTAGCACCATGTGGTATAATGTGTGGAGAAGAAACCTCCCCAACAGGGCTTGAGATACCAAGTATAATCTAAGGCCTACGATCCGTATTTACCACTCTGCTTGAGACTATAGCCTGTGCGTTAGCAAGTGTGGATGTCACCGGAACGTGTCAAACGCTGAGCATACTAAAGTTTATTTCAAAGCAACATTCCAAATTACGAGTGGCTTGACCGCCAGTGTTTTCATTGCAACCGAAGTACCCTAGACTCCGATTGTTCACCTTGATAACTCCGAGTTACTTATACCGTGTAGCATCTGGACCGGTCTGTCGCATATAAGGGCTGGATATTGGCACCCAATAACCGGGAAACTCGCAGCTAACGCACCAAGGGCTATAATTCCGTGGTTTAGAGCTTCAGGGATAGTTTAATTGGGGACAAAAACCTAAACAGGACCTACGTGACCAATAGAAAGCAGTATTTACGAAAAATCACATCGATCTGATTTTACAGAGGGGTTTCTCCATTTCCATCTTTCCTCGGTTTCTGTCCATATTCTGTAGATCAATGTACGCACTACTGGATCAGCCGGAAAACAAGATAATGTCACCGAAATGTAGAAACCACAAAAACCGTTTATGTATACTCCAAAAGCAACGCCACAGCAAAACCAAGCCGCTTTACAACTTTAAACTTAGTCATTTTAGCCCTTCGTCGTTCTTCCCTCCTCGGCACGCCAAGGACCTGTCAAAATCATGTCAGATCCTGCCGGTTTAGCGAGCACAGAAGCGTACCATCCCGTGGGATGAGCTTCAGCATTTTACGTTGATACAATTTCTCTGTTTTGTTACCAGTAATATCTTACCTCTAACTATACAACCGCCATAGGCCCTGCACCAACAAAAAAACCACCCAGCCTTTGTTTTTCCCCGTTTGCTGTTATAGACCGCACGGCCCTCTCGGTCACATGAGACCCTGTCGTTCTCAGCGCTTGTGAGTTTCAGCCGAACCGATCCTGTCGCACCATCTTAGCACTTCCGTCTTCGCCTGGTCCAGAGAGAAAGAAAAAAATAAAAAAAAAGAAGAAGACATGCTTCAAGACAACGAAAAGGACCTGTCGAATCACCTGTCCCCTGCTACGGGTCCAGGCAGCGGCAGCAACTCCAAACGTGTTCGAAGGACGAAAGCTTGCAAACAGTGTCATGCCCTCAAGGTGCGATGCACCCCGTTGGATGAAAGCGACCCGTATCTGCCGTGTGTTCGTTGTTCGAACGCTGGCAAGGTGTGTGAAATAGACGTTGATCAACCACGGAAGAGAAGGCGTCGTGCCGGGGGTAATGAGCTGGTGGCGGATCTCCAGGACCAGATCGCTGAGTTGAAAGAGCAGCTCAAACAACTGAATGCCCAGCTCCAGCAGGCCCAGAAAGGAGCTAAGGATAATGGAGTATCTACTCCCAGTGCTTCTAATAACGTTAATGGGACTCCACGTATCCCTGGTATCACCGAGACTCCCTCGGAAGGAGATCTGCCTTTTTTCGTGTCGAAAGCCGACTTGGAAAGAGAGATGTCTTTGCTTACTGAAAGCGGCAGCAACTTGAGCCAAATCACTTCTGTGATTAAGGAGCGTAGCGCATACCGTCGTGCCCATATTCAGACAAACAGGGTCAAGGACGTTGTTTCTGCGGGCATCATCTCCAAAGAAGAAGCTACTAAAAGAGTTGAAAAGTATAAGAACGAAGTGTTCCGCCGCCATCCGCTAATAGAAATCCCTGACCTGTTGTCTATAGATCAGCTTATCGAGGAGATGCCCTTTCTTTTCAATACTGTTGTCTCCATCGCATCGCTCGTCTTGGACAAGGACGCTGACACCAACATTTGCCTGCAAGTGGAAATCTTTGCTATCGAGGCTGTCTGTAATGAAATCATGGTTTGGGGTTCTAAAAGCGTGGAACTTGTTAAGAGTTTGATTCTCCTTTCCTTGTGGTACAACTCTCCAGAATTCTTCAAGCAGCGTCGTTACCACATTCTTAACACTGTCGCTGTCAGTCTTTTACATGATTTGGGCATTGTCAGCCGGCCTTCCTACACTTATCTGAATGAAAACAAAACCATAGTCAAACTGAAAGAGGAGAAAACTTCCGTTGAATACCGTGCTTTGATCATGATCTTATACATCAGCACTGTCAGCATATGTTTGATCCTACGAAGAAATATCTATGTTAAATGGACTCCTTATGTCAATGAATGTTGCTTGCTCCTTGAAAAAGAATCTTCCGATCGCTACAGAAACTTGGCAGTATTCCTGAGACTCAATCATGAGCTTGAAAGGATACACCACATAGTCCATTCTCCCGAAATGGTGGAGAATAAAAGCAGGGTCTCAAAATACGTCATAAAAGAATTTCAAAGTATCCTCACTACGCTCAAAAGCAGGATCAAACCCGAAAACCACCTCACCAAAGCTTACTACCATTCAATCGAGGCATACCTTCATCAGCCTGACTTCAATGACGTGCAACTCAATAGTAAAGATGGGACGGGCTGTGCTCAAAAGCTAGATTCATCTACTCTAAAAGCACTCTCACAATGTACCGTGTCGTGTCTTTGTGCATTGGATGAGGTTGCCCAGCTTCAGCCTTCAGATATAGCTGCTTTGCCCTTGGTTTTTTCCTCGAGAATTGTTTACACGGCAGGTATGCTAATTAGGATGAGATACTTAATTTTGTCGTTACCTTCTCATATCGAAAAGGACTTGGTGCCTCGGTATGCGATTCTGTCTATTGAGAGATTGAGGAATCTCATCTATGAGACATCTAGATCTTATCCAGCGAACAATTTCCTCCTCAAGATGCGTTTGATCTTGCAACTATTTATACAAACCTATGTCACTCAAGTTCTGGACTTATTGAAGAGTCATAATGAGACACCCAATCAGTTTAGACCGGTGTCAAAAGATATCAGCAAAAACGAGCGGAGGCAGATGGCGCTTTTGGCCACTGACATGTACAACATAGGAGGAGGTATAATGACTAACGAGTCCGGACGATACAATGCTCCTGCTATGCACTTGGACCTCTTATCCTATGCCGCTTCGTTTAGACGTCAAAGTGAAGATGCTGGAAAAGGCGACGAAGTGAAACAAGAAAACGGTCAGAAGAATGGCGAGCGTGCTGCAAATGCTCCTAAGGGTGAGGGTCATCAGAATGCTCAACCTCAGTCTAATCCACAGACTTATGGAGCTGGTCCCATGGCTAATGATCAAAACTTGATGCCCGGAGCAGGTCCACAATACATGCGTGGAATGAATAATCCGGTACCCATGCCCAATTACCCACAGTCAGGACCATATCAGTTTCAAGAACAAAGCAGCCAAGTACCCTCAGTGTTTGACAATGGTACTATGATGCAGCCAAACCCATCTATTAGCAGTCAAGGAGACTCAATGCCTTTTCCAGGAATGAACGAGGGACAAGATTTGGGTAAAGTCTTGGGTAAAGATCCGTTTTACAGCATCAATGAAGAGTTCTGGCTGAACTTGTTGAGCACAGATTCGAACAGAATCCATTTCGCTCAAGACATGCCTGGAACAAACGACGAAATCTTCTTTATGAACTAATTATGTGACGCTTATGATATGTACAATACACTGGCTCTCTTAATTGAGCCTACCTTTTTAATGCTAATAAAATGCAATAGGCGCACCGGTAAAGCCTGGTGTAGTATTATCTTACTAGAACGAACTGGTGATGCACATATTATATTACGTACATAAGTCGCACATCACCAAGTAAGTTACTACAACATAAGGTCTGATGACAAGACCATCCAATGTTTTATCTTCCACACTTGATCTTCTTCGAGTTATAGGGGGTCTAATACTAGCCAATGCCCTCCTATCCTGGTGGTTTACGAGCTCTCCTACTTGGGGATATGACGGAAGATGGGTTGACTACAGGTACCTTAAGTTCAGAGCATTTGAGCTGCCAGTTCGTCTAACACTCGACGAATTGTCTCTCTATAATGGCACGAGCCCAGAACTACCTATATATGTTGCTATCAATGGCACTGTTTATGACGTTACCAGCTCACCAAGGTTTTACGGTCCAGGTGGAACTTACCATGCATTTAGTGGAAGAGATAGTGCTAGGGCATTTGTTACTGGCTGCTACGACAAGGAAGACGAATTGACACACGACCTTAGAGGACTTGATAAAGACGAAATAGAGGACCAGCTTGGTGGCTGGATCCGCTTCTTTGGGAACAATCGTCGTTACTGGGTTGCAGGTACTGTCGACCTCCCAGAACCCACCGGGGAAATACCTCTGCCTTGTGAACATCAAAGGTATCCTGGCCATGCATGAATGAAGATTTATTTGAAAATTTTGTCTTGTAGTCTATACATCTTTTGCAGCAATCTCCAAACTGCTATTCAAGACATCGAGTAACAGGTCGCGTTCCTCTATGCCAATGCTGATTCTCACCAAATTTCTATCAACTCCCCACTGCTCGATCTCGTCGAGTTCCTGGTAGTGGGCCAAAATGGAGTAGGGACAGGCCAAAGTAAAATTAGTTCCCAAGGAAGGGCCCTTATGCAAATTGATGGCATTAAAGAATGTGATTGCGTGTCTAGGTTCCTTGAACAAAATAGAAACTAAGCCTCCGTAGCCACCGTTGGGTGTCTTCACCGCGTCGTAGTGATTCTTTGAAGGTGATAAACTTGGATAGTAAACTTCTGAGATGATGTCACTTCCCTGAAGCAACTGCACAACTTCCTCAGCATTCTCATCAATCATGCGTGCTCTAGCTTCAAAATCTCTCGAGTTTCTTTCAAGATAAAGAGCGTCCTCTGCCCAGTAGAGATCTTCATAGTTCTCATTAAAGTACAGCTTTAATTTCTTGTAGTTTGAAGATAATGGGTTCAAAATGAGCGATCCTCCCATCACATTGGAGTCACCGGAAAACACCTTGGTAAGAGATGAAACCACCATATCAGCGTAAGGCAACACCGAGATATTCAAGAAGTTACCCACAGTCTCATCCACAATGACAAGAAAGTTATATTTCTCAGAGAGCTTCTTGATGCGCTGCAAGTCAGGAGTCTTGAGTAGAGGGTTGGATGGACATTCACAGAATAAAGCAGAAATTTGAGTCTCACCGGATTCCAAGTCAGCCTCGAGGGTATCTAATGAAGAGTCGTCACCGTGACCGAGGAAGTAGCAGCCTGGGCCGAACTTCTTCAAAATATTAAGCGTATCAACGTAAGGAAATCCGAAGCAAACAGACTTCTTGGGTTCCGTCTCCACACCAAGGACGGCCTGGTGAGCATTGAAAATAGAGGCCATACCAGTTGGGTAAAGATAAACGTCAGTCTCACTAAGGAACTTGCCTCTTCTAGCCTTATCCATCTCTTCCTCTTGGTTGTGCGATTTGTCAGCTTTACCACAGATACGTCTTCTTAAGGCCAACTTAGCCTCCTTGGCAAACTTCAAATCAAGAACTCTTCCGTACTTTTGCTCGATGAAAGTGTTGAATTCCCTCTCAGCCTCCTCATTCTGGCCCATGGAATTTGTTCTGATAGAGGCCGTTATGGATGGTGACTTCTTCTGTATACTCTGGGCTTGAAGCTCTTGCTTGTTTCTCGATCTTAATCTAGCCTGGTCCTTCTGTTCGTTTTCAAACAATTGTTTCAACACGTACTCGGCCATTCTAGAAGAGATACCTTCACCAGAGTGTTGCCAGTACTGCTTGGCCAAGGGAAATTCCGAGGCTGGGAAAAGAACAATGCCAATTTCCGACTCAACCACCGAGGACTTTTCAAAGTCAGTAGTAGGAGCAGGAGTTCTAAGTCTCAAAACTCTTACCATAATGTTGGACGTCTCGGTCTTTTGCTTGATAAACTCTCTGCACCTCTTGGCAGTATTGTAGGATGGAAAAATCATACATCTTTCACCTTCACGACCATATTTCGATTCGATAGCTTTGGCAAGGTCTTGAATAATCTCATGAATAAAGAATCTGGGGTATCCAGAATGCATCTTGCTGGTAACCCATTCTTCTCCTTCTTCATAGCCAACAGTAGCTTCCCATGTAGGTAAGGTTACTGAAATAGCATGAGCTGTGTTGTTAGGGATAGGAGCGCCTACTTCCTGAGAAGGCAGCTGCAGCATTATGCTTTTTTAAAATTAAAAAATTCGATCTATCGGTGCTATCTATAGCTTAGATAACTGATTCTGATTTTTTTTTTTCTTTCTGGGGAAACTTCTGCGACTCTGACTGATCTGAAAATACTGCACTCAATGAGGAATTGATTAGCTATATAACCTATAATTTGAATGCAAGCGACGATAAAGCCTTGGGCTTTCTTTTGATAAACTTACAGTTACCCGATGAGTAAGATGATGGTGTGAATAGTGTGAACAATTTGTTCATGCAACTTCTTTTTTTTTTTTCTCTCTTCCTCCTCAACTTTTGACTCCCCTTCGAAATCCGATTATTCTATGATTTAATGCAGTTAACAGATCCCTCTTTGAGGCGCTTCAAGTCTTGACCGTTGGAAGTTCCATTTTCCACAGGCTTAGCAGCAGGAGTAGCGGCAGCTTTATCGCTGCTGCCTGGAGCTTTACTTCTGTTGTGTTGCATATGGGACTGGACTAAATGGCCAGCAGCCAAGGCAGAACAAAGAGAAAGCTCGGCTGCCAACACTGTAGATGCAACAATACAGGCAAGACGTCTCGAGTTGTCACCAGGGTTGTTTGGATGTGGTCCACGAACGCCCAACAAGTCTAACATGGATCCTTGGGCTTCCAAGATGGTACCACCACCGATAGTTCCGACTTCAATCGAAGGCATGGAAACGGAAATCTGAAGATCATCACCAACCTTATTCATGAGAGTAATACAGTTCGAGGATTCGACATTCTGAGCAGGATCCTGACCACAGGCCAAGAAGACAGCGGTAACCAAGTTAGCGGCATGGGCGTTGAAACCACCGACAGATCCGGCCATGGCAGAACCAACCAAATTTTTGCTGACGTTCAATTCGACCAAAGCGTCGACATCGGATTTCAAAACCTTCTCCACAACATCTTTAGGAATTCTGGCCTCGGCAACAACAGACTTACCTCTACCCTCAATCCAATTGATAGCAGCAGGCTTCTTATCAGTACAGTAGTTACCCGAGACAGCGATAACAGACATATCGTCAAAACCACACTCTTCAGACATGAACTTAAGAGAGTGCTCAACACCTTTAGAGATCATGTTCATACCCATGGCATCACCTGTAGTGGTCTTGAAACGAATGAAAAGCAAGGTTCCAGCAATTGCAGTTTTAACGTGTTGCAAACGAGCAAATCTAGAAGTAGAATTAAAAGCCTTCTTGATGGTTCTCTGGCCATCCTCCGAGTCCAACCAAAGCTTACAAGCACCAGCTCTTGCCAAGGATGGGAAGGAAACACAAGGGCCTCTTGTCATACCATCTTGTGTCAAGATAGTTTGAACACCACCTCCAGAATTAATAGCCTTACAGCCACGCATGGTAGAGGCGACCAAACAACCCTCGGTAGTTGCCATAGGAACATGGTATGGGGTGCCGTCGATGATCAAAGGACCAGCAACACCAACAGGCAAAGGCATATATCCGATGACATTCTCGCAACAAGCACCGAAAACACGGTCGTAGTCGTAGTGAGCATATGGCAATCTTTCAGTATCAAGGACAGGAGCGTTGGCAAGCTTGGCGATAGCCTTACGACGAACAACAACAGCACGAAGGTTGTCTTGCAACTGCTTCTCTAAAGCGTAAAGAGGCAATTTTCCGGCAACAACCAATGAAGAGACCTCGTCGTTGTTCAATTCCCTAACCTTGCCTTCTTTCAAGTGCTTCACACATTCCTCAAGAGGCAAGAGCTTAACGGATGCATTGAAGGTGAGGGCGCCATCATTTGAAGAGCTGTCGTCTGTATCGTAGGAAGGAGACTTCTTCTTAGACTTCTTAGATTTTCTTTGTGGCTTGGCCAAAACATTGAGCTTTGGTCTCGACATTTCTCTTTCAACCAACTTGTTGGTGGCATTACGCTGATAACGGGTAGCGTTCAAGAAGTAAGCGTTGAAGGAAATGGAGATAGCGAAGCCGAACAAAAGGAACTTAGAAATCAAGCTATCCTTAATAGCACTGGAGATGGTCTCCAACACCGAAGAAACGAGATCCTCAATAGTGACGAGGATACCGTTAGGGACATAAACTTGTGGTTTGAGAATAGATACAACAGTTCCTTTAGCTCCAATCAGGATCTGTTTAGCGGCAATCTGTGAAAGGGAGGTAGTATCGTTGAATAGTTCGGATGAAGATCCGTATAACCAGGAGCTGCCCAACCACAAACCGTGGAAGGCAAAGAAGATGGCGAGCAACATGACCTTGAAGGACAAGACAGTAGTACGCGAGTCACCCTTTGGATATTCATTCTTGGCTGAACGGTTGGCAATGGACGCGGCGACGAAGGAAGAGATACCCTCTTCTTCCAACGCGTTTTGCAAGTCGTGAGTTCTGCGAGCTCTGTTGATCTCAATCTTCAAACCCAAGACGGCAGAAAAAAAGGTGTATGTGAGCAACAAGTCGAAGGCCAAAATGGTACTACTCAACAAACAAAAGTTTCTCAAGCCTTCCATCTTAGCAGTGTACAACAAAGCAGAGAGCAAAGCGACAATGACGGTAACATGGTCTCTAAGCAAGCTGGTGGTGTGACTGGAAATGACAGAAGAGACAATTGTCTTGACATCGAGGTTGGAGGCCGACTCGTTAACAACAGCCGAGGCAATGGAAACCTTATGCTTGAAACCAATAATGGCGGTCAAGAAAGGGATACCCTCGGTCATACTGAGCAAAGAAACCTTTGTCTCGAAGATCTTGGTGGTAACAGCCAAGGCGAAGATGAAAGCGAACGTGGAGGAGATGATGGTGGAGAAACCCAACCAGAAACTTGAATCTTTTTGCTTCAAGTCGAAGAAAACCTTAACAATGGTATAAGCCATGGCAATATAGGCCACAGTGATTAAGCCAATATCGAAGGTTTCTGCGCCCTGAATCAAATAAAGAAGTTTTTCATAGGCAGACTTACCGTGCTCAAGAAGACGTGCCACTTTATTGTGGGAACGAGCCTTCCAGGTGACACCTCCAGCGGTGATCTTACTCAAACCGCCTAGCTTCGAGTCCAAAACATTGGACTTGACAACCAAGATCTTCTCATAGTGGGCACCGGTAATGGTGTCTGGAACATTGGGCAAGACGTGGTTATGTCTTCTTCTAAACACCAACGGCACCAAAGACACGGCATCAGCGTCAGGATACAGAGCCGGATCGTCAATCTGAACCCATTTCGAATAGTCGGTAGACCCTGGAGGATGGTAATAACTCACACTGCGATTGTTCTCAAGCTGACTTGGGATATACTCATCCACCACGGCAAGGTAGGCGATCGACACAAGTAACGAAGTCAATAGCGTCACGTGGATGGGCTTATGGGCAGATAGCCTGGCCAAATTGGCGGTGGCTGTCTGTAAGTAATTAAGCATCTTGTGTACTATGGGATGTGAAGTGGGCCTAAAGTTCAGAGATGCAACCCACGCATAAGGCTGACTTTTTTTTTTACTCGTTTTTTCTCTGGCGCCCTTGTACGAGAATACGACCCGCGCGTTGGGCTGTTCGTCCCAATAAGCTGGGTGCACGGGTGTGCTGGTCCCATTGGCGGTCTCTTCCGTGGCACTGGCTGCGAAACTGGCGGATGCTCTGGCCATTAGTTCAAGGTAAAGGTTATGAGGTTGAGAGCCAATGGCAGGGTTTGCGTTGGAACAAGGGGCGGAATAAGGGGAAGAAGGTGACAAAAGACAAAGAAGAGAAAGAGTAGGAGAAAGGGGTGCGAGTTGACCAGTGTTTGTAGTAGGGTGTAATTTCACCCGCCCTGGGTGGCTCGATAGAGTGTGGGCTCACCTGACTCCTGAAATTGCTTGGAGAATCAACTTAGGGCTTGTCGGAAAGAACGGGGAGTTTGTTGGGAGGCTGGTTGTTTGTTTGGAGGTTCATGGGAATTGAAAGGTTTTCGGTGGTGCTGGTGGGTCCATAGTAGTGGCTGTGGTGGTGGTATCTTCCCATGGTGATGATCGTCGCCAGGGTCTCCTGACACCAGCAGCACCAAACTGCGCTATTACTGGCTGTGTACCATCTGCTGGGGTGCTATTCAGGGGTATTTTTTAGCTTGGATGGTGGGCAAGGTTAGCGAGGTTGACGGGCCAGGTGGGCCGTTCGTAGAAGACCGGGAGGGTCAGAGTCTATTGACTCTGATGAAGAACAGATAAGGGGTTGTTTCGTTGGCCTTAACTTCTATCCTGTAGTGGTTGCTTCTTATCGATACCTGTCAGTCAAGGCAGTTGTATCGTTTAAAGCATTGTTATCGATCTTGGCAGAAACACCGTTGGGATATGTGTTGCTTTGGCAGTTCCTGGGAGAAGGTAAAAGGTGGCGTATTACCACCTGCTCTATTGACCCTTCCAGTCTTCTGAGTTGACTTACAGCAGTCTGCCCAAATGTTCCTTGATACCAGATTGTCACTTCGAGTTGCAAGTCTCTTTTATCGAGACCTCTTGCTAGCACCACAAAACCTAAGGCATGATGGGCCACTCAGGCAATAACACGATAACTAGTCGTCAGAAAGCGTGGGCCTCTTGGAAACCCAGTGTAGGGGCCAGTAAGAACGTATACTTGAACACCTTGACCATACCTTAACTATTCAATGACCAGCTAGACATTAGCTCAAGACAAGTCCTCATTAGAGAAGAACAGCTTGTCTCGTAAAGTCTCTCGAGAACCCTTTAGACCCCTGCCACTAAGCCAATTCAGCCCTGGCATTTATGTCCGTAGAAGCCTCAACTCAGCCATGCTCAGTAGTGGCTGCAAAGGCCCAGCCAAGAGAGACCCATTTCGCTCAATTACACTTCTTGGGGTCTGAGACACTTAGAAAAAGATAGAGTAGTGGCAAATCTCCAACAAAAGCACTTGATTTCCTCCTTCATTGGTGCAAATGGCTTGATACTTGGAAAACTACATTTGCGCCATACACCTCTGATCATCGGAACCAAGAACTTCCGCCTCAAACATGCGCCCAAATTGCTCGTCCATACGAAAAGGCTTTGTCTCTCGGTTACCTTGTACTACCCAGCTCCAAGCAATGCTATTCCCCAAAAGCCATGTTACGCTAGAGCATGTAAGCGAAAGCGTCGAGAGGTAAGCCCACGCGGTTGCAAAGTCTACCAACTACACACAAAACCACAAAATAACTAGAACAGACCCAGAACCACCTACTCACCGTCTAAAATACCTACAATGGAATTACCAAACAAAGACAATACCTAGAATTAAAGGCTAATCTGTCGGCAGCCGGAAACGTGGAAAGAATTGCGGTCTTTCCATATCTGTTTGTTATGGTAACCCATCTTTGCCAAGTGCATGGGCCAACTTACACAGACAGGGTTGGTTTTACCTTGTTAAGGTAGGAGACATTGGGTTCGTGCCTGCGACAACTATGGGCAAAAGCATAATTATAAGATCGTTCTGGATGCTGCAGGCGGCAATGAGGGAAAAAAGCAGTATAGTGCTATTTTTACAGGAGGAGAATTCCCTGTTGAGGTATATGGGGCATTAGAGGGTTTATCCCGATCAGGAAATGTCATGGTGGGAGGATGTCTAGAGTGCGCATTTACCTAATGTAAGCGAAGATGTAGGCCTTTTTGTCCAAACGGAGTATGGGTGGAAGGCGCTTTCCTGCAGTGCGCACCCATTGGAGAATTACCAAAAGAGGAAGTGGCGCTTTTTGCAGCCACGAAAAGTTAGGCTTCCATTTCCTCTTCCATCATATTATACTACCCTGAGGCTTTAACTCTTCATGGTTAATTGCCATACTTCTTCATGTCTGTTTGTGCATTCCTCTGCTTCGAACTATTTCCTGTTTAGGCATTGGGCCATAGTCGATCTTTTGTGCTACTCCCCACCAATTCACATTATAAGTATCGAGGCCTCTACCCAGCTCCTCAGGTCTTTCCTTCTTTTTTTTTCTTTAGCGTCGGCTTAGATTTCTTTAATCAACTAATTCACATATCGCTATACTATGAAGGTTCAATCCGTCTCCACTACTTTCGCTCTTGCCTTGTTGACTTCGGTCCAAGCTGCTCCAGCTCAGTTCGGCCCTACTACTGCCGAGACTGCTCTTTCTAAGAGACAGGAGGACCAGCTCAAGGAGCTTACTGCTGCCATTGACCACTTCCAGGTGAAGAGAGCTGAGATTGTTGACCCAGTCGAGCTTCAGGCTAGAGAGTACGCTCTTGTCACTCAGATCTTGGCTGCCATCAACTCTACCAACCTTGCTCCAAAGATTATCCAGGGTTTGGTTACCAACAAGCTTCTCCAGCCACTTGTTACCAATGCTGTTATTGCTATTATCAGATCTGGTATCATTTCTTTGGATACTTTGTTCCAGGCTTTGGACAAGTCCGGTTTGGCTACCAGAGTTGTCAAGGACCTTCTTAACGACTGTACCTTCTACGAGGACATTTTCAAGTTGGCCTTGAAGGAAATTTCCAACTTGGTTGACAAGATCCAGGACAAGCTCAGCGGTGGCTCTCCAGATGTCAAGAGATTCCTTGAGGAGGATGAGTACGCTCTTCCACCACAGGTCAAGAGAAGCGACGAGGAGATTGAGGAATTGATGAAGAGATACGACGAGGATGGAATTGTCAACAACTTGTTGGAGTCCTTGGCTAACTCTGGTTTGGCCTCTTCTGTCGTTAGAGTGTTGCTCGTTGACCCTCAATTCTTGGAGTACGGTGTTGACTTGATCAAGAAGTTGTGGGACGAAGACCTCATTGACCTTACCGCCTTCATCAAGGCTATTGCCAACTCTGGTTTGGTTACCTCTTTGTTCAAGGAGTTCTTCAACCTCGAAACTTTGAAGACTGTCATTTTCAATGCCTTGGCTGCTCTCTTCGGCACTTGTGACGGTTCTACCATTTCTGGTTCTCCAACTGGTCTTACTACCCAGACTACTTCTACCACCAGTCTTCCTACTTTCACTGCCACTGGTACTAGTGTGCCAACTGGCTGTAAGAAGAGAAGAAGAAGAAGATCTTACAACTACTAAGTGGGAGATTGGTTTTTTTCAAAAAAATGGCTGCAGTCCAATTATAAAAAAAACTAAAAAAACAACAAAAACTTCCAGTTCTGGTACACTCGTGTTATGCTGAGTGATGCTTTGACGAGTCCTTGAAATGTCCCTTTTACCTCCGAATCGCTAGGTGCTAATTTTCCAAAAAAGCATATACCTTGTGCTCTGTGAGCACTACGTTTTATTACTATCTTCTTTTCGATATCTCATTCTTCCGTTTATTTTTTTTTTTTCCTTTTTGTTGATTCATGGTTTTCATTAAAACTTTATTTCATAGGACCCCCGTTTAAACACACTCAATTCAAATGATTTTTAAAAAAATAAGACTTGTAGATTTGATTTAGTTTGATTCTAGAGCTTTTCCTCTTTTGGGTATATTACTGTTCGCACCAGGTTGGGTGCAAATTAATTACCCTATTTGGAACTACCTAAGAATGGGTAAGTTCGCAAAAGCAAAAGCTCTTTGTTTTCACTTAATCAAGTAAAACTGGCTGAAACCTAATTTTAGGCCAAACATTACCCATTTAGCGCAAGTGGAATTCCAATTGGAAATAGTCGTACTTGCATAGGATGTTTTTGCGTCAGAAGAGTATTACCTTTATCAGATATAACCTATTTAGACGGTGGAGACTATATAGTGAGTTGCCAAAGTCGGCAGCTGGATCGACCGTGTTTGCGTTTCTTGGATCGGCCAGTGTTTCCTTCTTGGATACGAGGTTTTTGAAACAGCTGCAATTCGTAACCACTGTTGGCCAGTCCTTTGGAGAAAAGGCTGTTCATTAGATGACCCAACCTGGTAAATGGCAGATTAGTTCTGCGTAGAGCTTTACAAAAATTATAGTAAGCTTTATCTCCTACAGAGATAAAACAAAAAATAAGAGGTCCCACTGGGGTTCGAACCCAGGTTACCGGAATCAGAATCCGAGGTGATACCACTACACTATAGGACCGGTCCCTCTTGGACGAACTGGTCGCGAAATTTCTAAATCCTTCATACTGAGTTCATGAAAAAGGTCAAAAATCAACTTTAGAGACCATAAAAGCGATAGTTATGCTCATAGACCATCAAGGAAGTACGCTATGGTACTCCCGGGGCTGTTAAGCCCCTAGAAACGTGTTTATTGCCGCTCAGAGAACAAAAAAAAAAAAAACTTTTAACATCGTTTTTCCACCAAGTTAAGTGGCAAGCGAAGTTAAATCTCCAGTTTAGGTCGTTGCATGCTGCCATAAAATCACCATTGACCAGGTAAACGACCTCCAGTTTCAATGCCTCATTGATGGAATACAATTTGCACCGTGGCATTCCTCAACTCATTCCTTTGGCCTAGACAAATCAACTGACTTGCAAAAACTAAAGGGAAGAATGAGCTGAATAAATTCTAGCTCATACGAGGGGGTGAAATCAAAAATTGAAAGACCCACACTTGCCCCAGGGAACGCCCATCAAATCCAATCAAAGATGATCATCCGAAGACAACCTCCTCGGGAAAAGCAGACAAACCCTGTTAGTGGACAAGTTGGCAACAGCTCCTTGCAGCGCTGTGCAATGCAAACAAGGTGCCGCGATTACAAGACTACTTGATCTCCTGTAATATCTCAAGGTAAGTATGAAGAAAAAAAAAAAACTTCCAACGGTGGGCGCGATCACTTCCTTTTATACTAGTCCACCATGGTATTGTGCAGGAGCCAGTCTACTTAGGTCCATACTACTACCCAGACCTCAATCAACATCGGTGTGATATCATCCTTTTAGGAGCAGTCAACTGATTTTAACTAGTGTAAAATATTGGCTGAGGTATCGGGGCATATGTTGAAGTACTTGGAAGAGTCCAGGAGGAGCCTTTGATACATTGGGGACAGAGCCCTAAAATGGTAGCAGATCAAGAAGAAGCTCGAGGCTTCTTGGAAATGGCTGTCAAAAATGGAGATAATTAGCTCGAAATTTGGCTATGGCTTGTTTGGAATGTCAGAAATTGGTATTAAAATTTTGGCCTAAAAATAACGATTTTCGAGTAAATTCAATGGAAAATCAGTGATTTGCATACTTGATCTATTTTTTACCCGGTCCAGAATCTCCAAATATAGGGCGTGTGGCGTAGTTGGTAGCGCGTCTGCCTTGCAAGCAGAAGGTCACTGGTTCGAATCCTGTCTCGTCCATTATTTTTTTTTTATTTTTTGGATCATTTAAACAGCTTGGATTTAATTGTCTATCCCAATCCCTCAGCTTCTTGCTCCTTTTTGCTTTTCCTTTGGTTGACGAGCTTATACAAAGGCCCTCACTAGAAGCACACTATTGTTGATGTACATACTACTGTGCGCGCCAGATTCAAAACATCACCGCGTTTGAATAAACCAACCTAGTGGAAAAGTCATGCCAGGGTATGTAACCTATTGAATTACAGTCCTATGAATACAAGTACTAACAAGAAGTGAAGTGATTACTATTCAGGCGGGCCAATGCGGTAACCAAGTCGGTCTAGAGTACTGGAAACAGATGGCTTTAGACCATGGTATTGCACCAGATGGAACTCCCCAACCATACGTAAGTGATGAACTTGCGTTCGAAACAGATAATGAAGCTTTTCCAAGAAAGCCAAGGTCACAGAGAAACGATGTTATGGAATCGTTCTTCACCCTTAGTGAACAGAATAAGTTCACTCCAAGATCCATCCTAATAGACCTCGAGCCTTCAGTGGTAAACAAGGCAACGTCCAAACTTCCAATGTTCAATCCAAGAAACGTTCACCTCAGTGAAACTGGCAGTGGTGCCGCTAATAATTGGCAGCATGGTTACGTGTATGGAAGAAATCATGAGGATGAATTAATGAATTTGATAGATAGAGAGTTGGACAAATGTGATAATCCATCGGCATTCCAGCTTATGCATAGTGTGGCTGGAGGAACTGGTTCCGGTGTCGGTAGTTTGCTACTTGAGCTTTTAAACGACAGATATGGAAGCAAAAAGATTGTTAGTACATTCTCGGTTTTCCCATCTAATGATAAAACTTCTGACGTCGTTGTGCAGCCTTACAACACCATGCTCACCCTCAGGAGACTTATAGACTTTGGTGATGCTACTTTCGTTTTCGATAACGACTCGTTGAATGCGTTGGGTAATGCATTCATTAGCTCTGGGTTGGAGAGAAACTTAAGCTCATCTACAGCCTTCGAGAGCGCTAACAAGCTAATATCTTATGTTGCTGCCGGTATCACAAATCCGCTAAGGTTCCCCAGCTACATGTACAGCTCTTATGAGTCGATTATTTCGACGGTTGTTCCAACTCCAGAGCTCAAGTTTCTCCTGTCTTCGATTGCCCCATACTCCAATATTCCTGATGTTGTACCTGCTCAGAACTACGTCAGCTTGAATGAATATGACATCGTTCTTGAACTTCTTAACGACAAGTACAAGCTCAACAGCTATAAGGAGCCTCTCAAATACATCAGCGTTCTTGACTATGTGATTGGTAACAATCTTGACCAAAAGGAGATCAGAAGAGGCGTCCTCAAAGCTCAACAACGTCTTTCGTTTGTTCCATGGGCTCCTGGGTCTATCAACGTTGTCAACGGTAAACAATCGACCTTCACCAGCCAGCAAGAGAAGCGCTTGAGCGGAATACAAATTTCTAATAACACCTCAATTGTCCATCTTTTTGGCAAGACCGTCAGGCAATACGACTTATTGGCTAAACGTGCCGCTTACATCAACTTCTACACAGCATCAAATGATGCTTCCGAAAGACAGGAAGTATTGGATGCTTTTGAGGAATGCAAGGAAACAGTGCGTCAAACTATTGAGGAGTACAAGACGTGTACCACAGAAAGCTATCTTGGAGACGATATAATTGATGAGGAAATGTCTTAAGAAGCTTGGGCTATTTAATAAAGTTCGGCCGCTCGCATCCGAATTTCGCCGTTTTCGGTGTGTACGAGCATAATGCTATTCGCTAATTGCGCAACAATACTGTGCTTATAACGGTGGTGGTATGCGCGCCCTTATCAGTGGTTTGTAAGCCATATCAGGTACTGACTGATTCAGGAGAATATCTGAAACAACTCCTTTTTTTTCCCCAATCCCTGACTTTCACTAAGTAACCATGGCTCACTTGCTTTCCAATAGAGCAAGTTCCCGGCAGAGACTCCATTTCTCTTTGTTCAACGCTGACAATGCTCCTGAGGGCTTTGAGCCACACCCAGACCCTTTGTGGCTCGATGCTGGTATGCCCAATGCTGGGTTCTTCCCAATTGACCTGTTGCAAGTCAACGTGGTTGATTATCCTTTCCAAAAATCTTTACTGTTGCCATTGGGTAACATCTCGTTGGAGAATTTGAACTCCCGGGACGCAGGTGTGGATGATTCCTTAAAGAGGTTAACTACGACCGGGGAGACGAAGAACCATGTTGTTATCCCGAAGAAGGGACATGATAGTAAGACCATTGACCTTTCTCGTGGGTTGCAATACTCCGAGGTTGAAGGTCTTCCTCAGCTTCTTGATTTCACGAGAAAGCTTGTTAAGAGGACTCACGCTCCAAAGTACGACGAATGGACCACTATCTTATCTAATGGTGCTGGTGATGGACTCAACAAGGCGGCTGATGCCTTTTTGGATCCAGGCGATATTGTCTTGGTCGAAGAGTTCACGTTCACTCCTTTCTTGTTGAATGTCCAGAATGCCGGTGCTATACCAGTGCCAGTAAAGCTAGACCTTGATTCTACCCCAGGAAAGAGTAACGGTATTAACATTGAGTACTTGGAAGACTTGTTAGAAAATTGGGAAAAGCTCCAACCTGAACACAAGTCTAAGAAGCCTAAAGCATTGTATACTATCGCTTCAGGACAAAACCCTACTGGGTTCACTCAATCTGTGGAATTTCGCCAGAGAGTATACAACTTGGCTGAAAAGTATGATTTTGCTATCATAGAGGACGATCCTTACGGATACTTGACTTTGCCGCCATTCTCTCACCCAGACGGCTTGCAAAAGATTTCCGACTTTTTGTCTATTGAAGACTACTTAGAGCACCATTTGGTTCCATCTTACCTTACGTTCGACACGTCTGGCAGGGTGCTTCGTATTGAAACATTCTCCAAGCTCTTTGCACCTGGATTGAGACTCGGCTTTATAGTTGGACATAAGGATGTGATTCGTGCTATCTCCAACTATGCCAACGTTGTTACTAGGTCCTCGTCGGGAACTTCTCAGCTTTTGGTCAACAACGTAATTGAGCAAAGCTTTGGCGGCGTTGATGGCTGGCTCAACTGGGTACTTAAGATTAGACTTGCCTACATTAATCGGAGAAACGTTCTCCTTGGTGGGTTGTATGATCTGGAGGCCTTCAAGAAAGGCTATTTTGAAGTGATCGATCCAAGAGCTGGAATGTTCGCTAGCGTCATCATCAACTTTCCTGAGGGCACTAATGTACCCGAGAAGATGAACTTGTTGCAGTTCAAATTCAGAGCCATTGGTGTCAAGGTTGTCACTGGCCTCAACATGGCTATTGACAAGAAATTCAGTGAGCCAAGAGGAAACTTTTTTAGGTTGACGTATGCTGTTGCAGGCTCTGACCAAGAACTCCGTGAGGGAGCTCAAAGATTCTCTCAAGCCGTCTACGAATTTTTCCAAAAGGGCTTAGAATTTTAAAATTTACCAAGAAATATAAGAATGTTTACAGCAGCAGGAAAAAAAAAGGGTCTCGTGTCTTTAGTGGCTGTATCTCTGGCTATGTGGTCCAAGAGTGCATATTCACCCCCCTAAGCTTCTTGTAGTGACATCAGCAAAAGATTCCTACCTGTTAACGAGACAATCGCCAGAATCGTCCAGAATGTCGTTTAACTTCTCTAGCTTCACTAACAACTTGAAAGATTTTGGTGACAAGGTCTCCACCGAGTTCAACAATGAATTCATGCCTTTCGCCCATAGGACCTCAAGAATGGTCCAGGAGAGAATGGGTAAGGTAAACGTGGACGAGATCAGTCAATTGCCCGAAGAGTACCGTGAATTGGCTAATAAGTGTAACAATGTCGAGAAGTTGTACAAGAATGTGTTGAAGATTACCCAGAATTACGAGTCTGAGTCCTACGACTATCCTACCAACTTGCAAGAGTCGTTCACTGATTTCAGCAAGAACATCACCAACAGGGTCTCTAATTTGTCCAAGGCAACGACGCCCGCCGAGGCACAGGCTGCTTTGATTAACTCCAACCATGGCGAGTTCAAGCCTCCAAAGACTTTATACCACGCTCTTTCTCGTGCTACTGATGGTTCAGTCTTGACCTCCTCTGCCGAGAACGATCAAGATCCATTGATTAAAGCTTTGGATTTGTATTCTGGAAACTTGAACAAGATTGCTAACGCTAGACTTGGCCAGGATCAATTAATCAAGACCAAGTTCAACAAGCCATTGATCACTACATTAAGATCTTTGCTTTCTCAAAGCTCGAACATCCAAAAGAAGGTTGAGCAAAAGAGAATAGATTACGACTTGGCTAGACAGGCATTGACGAATTGCACAAACCCATCCAAGGAACCTCAATTCAGGGTTGCCATGGAGAATGCTGAGGACGAGTTCGCTAACACCGTGGAAGATGGAATCAGTGTGATGCAAAATGTATTGGAGCACGCAAAGCCTCTCGAGGAGCTTTTAGAATTGATTAAAGCTCAATTGGCCTACCACAAGTTGGCTTCGGAGTTGTTGGGTAACATGGTTGGTGAGTTTGAAACTTTGATTGACGAGAACAAGAACTTGCACAGCAAGAACTCTGGGCAACAAAACTCAGAGTCGGGCGATTTTGATATCTAATTTTAGTTGTTTTTGACTATGTATAAGTTAACTCTTGAATACGAGTCGCATTTTATAATGTTATAACCATCCATCCATCAGTAGAATTAATTTTGAGCCTTCAATGCAGATAACCTGATGTCAGTAGCCGAAGCGGTCTCCTCAAACCCAAAGCTTCCTTCAAGCAACTTTGCATGAATCGATTGCAAAGCTCTGATAGTATCCTTGGCATTGATAACTGCAGAAATGTTGATCTCATTAGCACCTTGACTGATCATCTCAATGTTAATACGTTCATCAGCAAGTACTTTAAACATATTACCGGCTATTCCGATGAAATTCACCATCTGTTTACCAACGAGCGAAACGATGGTCATCTCCCTGGTGACATCAACCGTTCCCATCTTTCTCAAGTCCTTCAAGGCTTCTTTAAGGTTGTGCTCTTCATCATCCAGTAGTTGCATGGCCATGGAAACGTGTACTTCCGAGGTGGAAATCAAGTCCACAACCAATCTATACTTGTCTAACGTTGTGAAGATATGAGCCAAGAAGCCATGGGATAACGTCTTCTTATTTGAGTGCACGTTGATAACAACGATATTCTGCTTGGCAGTGATGGCAGTGGCAGATCTCTTTTTATGCGTCTGAATGTAAGAGTTTGGTAACGTCTCATACGCGGCAGGTGGGTGGGGAGGAGTGGCTTCTCCTCTTCTGCCAATGTTGTCAGGATAAATAATAGTGCCCTTTCCGGAAGGCTTCATGACGTTTTTTATTCTGATTGGGATCTTGGCCTTGATAACCTGCTCCATGGTGAATGGGTGAATGACTTCAGAACCGTAATACGTCAATTCGGCGGCCTCGTCTGGGGTAACGGAATCAAGAAGTCTAGCTCTTGGAACTTTACGTGGATCAGCTGTGAAAATACCATCAACTTCCTTCCAGATCTGTAGTTCATCAGCCTGAACACCAACGGCGATCAATGCAGCACATAGATCAGTGTATCCACGTCCGATACCATTCAAAAGACCGCCTGGGACAACACCGAAGTAGCCAGTGAATACAGGAATGACATCCTCTGCTTGTGATAAAGCGATCTTAGCCAATTCGGCCACAAGAAACAGATAGAATGAGTCATCGAAACCTTTAGAGATATCATAATCGAGTGGAATGATATGAGACAAGTCGACATAGACCGAATTAAGACCGTGGTCCTTCATCAATGAAGCGATAAAGAGACAAGACAACTTTTCACCAACAGACATGAGGCTGTCCAATGTTCTGGGGCTAATCTCTCCAATGATCTGAGAAGCATGCAAAAGTTCTTTGGCTCTGGCAACCTCAGCTTTGGAAGCCTCGATCAATTCACTTCTCAATTTCAGATCCTTAATCTTTTCTTGTGCATTATCAACGTGGTCGTCCTCAATAATCTTCAATAGGCTGTCGTAGTCACCCATTTCGGTAGCCAAATCAGCCGCCCTAAGAAGTCTTGAAGTAGTTCCTTCACTTTTCGTATTAGACGATCTTGCTGAACATACCACAGCAACACGGTGCAGTTTGCTATACTCCTTGACAATATCATCGACAATGTTTTCAGGGAACTTACCCACAGAGGTACCACCAAACTTCTGGACGATCCAGCCGCCCGTGGAGATCGATTTGAAGTCGAGAACTGAGTTATACGAGCTTGCAGCTGAAGAAGGTAACAGGGAACCCATCTTAAGGTGTTAATATGTATAAAAAATGAACGTTACTTTGTGTTAAAGAAATATGGTTTCTGAAATTTTCAGTAAATGAGTCAAGTACCTGTCGGTCCTGTGTCGGATGATTCATTTCCTGTAGATAAAGATTAGACGCATTCACGTGACACCGGTTCAGGAAACGGCTCCTATCGCTAACAAGCTTTATCGGCTGCAGAGTCAATCATGATGCAAATGGCGAGTATTCAGCGGGAGCTATGATATTGCTTAGTTTTTAGTATGTTTCTCTTGATATGAATTGGATCGCTTGTTGTTGATGGTGGACTCGATGACCACGCCCGCCAAGGTTAAGTATTCTATCTTTCACGCATTTTGCAACCATTAAGCGAAGATCATTGAGCTCATCGCGTACCAATGTTCACCCAAAGAACGAATTTTGCAACTACGAAGATTTTGCTTCAATTGGGCTATAATTGTTATGGCTTCTAGCAATATTATTTTTAACGTTTTTCATTAGTATTGAACCATTTTGGACTACCAGGGCACTCGTTTCCACGGTTCTCTGTACCTGTTCTTTTGGGCATATTCATTATTAACATAAAAAGTAAGGTAGTTTAAATATTCTTATAAATACATAGGCAAATATTGTTAGTTCTTATCATTACGAATCAATATGCAATAATACTTATATCGGTTCAGGTTGACATTCTCACAATGTTCTGGGAAATATGCGAATTGTCAGAGAAACATGAGAATGGTAAAACTTTAGAACAACTCTAAAAAATCAAAAAGCCAGTAAAATTGTTTCATTTTTACAAGGTGCCATACGTATGGCATCGTCTACAGAATACATCTTTTCCTTCATCTATTATCGTGCTATCAGTTCCATCGGGTGGAACCATCTTGCCTGCATGTTTGGCTCATCTTCGATGCCCCATTATGTGGAGTGATGTTTAGCTGAAAATTGATTCTACCAGTTACCACCATGGTCGTCGAAAAACGTCCCGCTGAAGACGAGAAAGAAACGTCTAATAAGAAACTCAACGCATCATACTCTCATGATGAGATTGTGAGTTTTTTAAATAATAAGATCTTTGAAGATGGCTTCCAGAAGACTTTGAAGCTGGAGATTACGGACTCCCAGCCATACAGATGGGGTACTGTTAAGGAACTCATCAACGACGAATTGTTGCGCTCTGTCAGAAAGGAGATTCTTGGTGAGATTGCTTTCACAAAGAAAGAAACCGATATTTACAAGGTCTACCAGTCTGGGGACTTGGCGAACTTGTCTGGGTTGAACTGGGACGATCTTTCCAGGTTGCCTTCCCTTTACAAATTGAGAGCTGCAATCTATTCTGAAGAGTTTAGAGACTTTATCTCGAATGTAACTGGTTGTGGCAAGCTCAGTGGAGTCAAGACGGATATGTCCATCAACACTTACACTAAAGGATGTCATCTCTTGACGCACGACGATGTCATCGGCTCCCGTAGAGTCAGTTTCATTTTGTACATGCCAGATCCAAAGTACACTTGGAAACCTCATTACGGTGGCGGTTTGCGTCTCTTCCCTGCTGTTGTTCCCAATGTTCCAGAAACCGACCATGAAGTGAAGCTCGTGCCTCAGTTTAATCAGATGGCTTTCTTCACTGTCCAGCCAGGTTTATCTTTCCACGATGTTGAAGAGGTGCGTGTTGACAAGCAGAGATTATCTATTCAGGGATGGTTCCATATTCCTCAACCTGGTGAGGATGGGTACATTCCCGGAGAACAAGAAGCTACAGAGGCCAAGAGTACTTTGCAACAGCTTCAAAGCAAGGAGTTACAGGAGTTTGATTTCCCAAAGCCTTATAGAAATGACTTCACTGTCGAGGAAATCAAACAACAGGAAGGTTTAGACCTCGAAGCCAATTACTTTGATGACGCTGAGAAAGAATACCTAGCGAAGTACTTGAACCCTTCTTATTTGACAAAAACGTCTGTGGAACAGCTTAACAATACTTTTATCAACGAATCTGTCGTTGAAATCAAGGACGTTTTGAAACCCGAATTTGCTGATCTTCTTCAAGATACGTTGAGAAAGACTGAAATCGAAAACAAGGTACCTCAAACCTCCAAAGAAATTCAATTCCCATGGAAATGTGCCGTGCCACCACACAAGCAAAGATTTATGTACATAGACGGCAAGGGCGAGATCAATCCTACGGAAGAAGGCATCAAGCACACCAACCACATTGGTCCTCAAGAGCTTCCTAACTTTGAATTGGCCAAGCGTCTTACGCCAAATAAGCCTGACCAGATGCTTTTGGAAATCATGACATTCATGAAGTCGATTGCTTTCAGGAAATGGATTGCTTATGTGACAAGTCTTGCAGTTACCAGTGACCAGATTCTTGCCAGAAAGTTCAGACCAGGCCAGGATTTCATGTTGGCAACAACAACCGAAAAGAACTTGGCCAGAGAGCACAACAACGAAATGAACGTTTTGCTAGAAGCAACACTTGGTCTCACGCCTACAGCTACGAACTCTAAGAACTGGGAATCAGGCGAATTTGGAGGCTACGAACTATGCATGGCCACTGGTGGGGACTCTGACGAAGAATTGGAAGACGATGACCCTGCCATCTACAAAGCCGGCGATGCAAGCGACGACAGTGTGTTATACAGCAGTCAATGCAAGTGGAACTCCTTGTGCCTTATGCTCAGGGACCCTTCAGTGTTGAAGTTTGTCAAGTACGTGAGTATTAACGCTAAAGGATCAAGATGGGACATCAGCGCCCAATGGAACGTTAAACCCGTTAGCGAAGAACCAGAAGAAGAAGAAACGAAAGATTAACCTTTCTTTTTTCCTATCTAGAACGAAAGTGCACTAGTCTCATGTGGAGACGTCACTATGGTTGCAAAAAAGAAGAACGAAAAAAGAAAGCATGCGGCAGCTATTCACATGGCACACCATGGACTTACGGAAGCCCCCAGTGCGCAAAGCCGGTATCGCAAAAGACCATTTAACTCCAATAGCATAGGTAACCTTTTATATGATAAACCAGAAAGGAGAATAAATAGAACATTCTTTCTATGCTGTAGAAGAAAATCTGCCCATGCTCAGGGCACAAAATTCCCTCGTCTGTGGTCGTACCATGATGGATCGTTTCACCCAACTGGGTAAAACATTACGGACAGGTTGGATGGGACCCGCGCCGTTGTCTCATGAATTTTTGGCAGGGTGCTTCGCGCGGTGGAAAATAAAAGAGTTATATACCAGGTGATATTTCCCAACAAGCCAGCGAGCCTAAAGTCCATCTACTTTTTTTTTTTTTCCTGTTCCTTCTTCTTTCTTGCAGGTCTCACCAAACTACAAAAAACATCACCATGGCCGAGTCTGAACCAAATCCATTGATCGTGTTTGCCACGATCGTCGCTATCATTGGGTCTTTTGTGGCGTTTTATTTTCTTCAAAAAACGAAGAAGGACGCTCCAGTGTTATCGCCAGAAGATTACAAGAAATTTCCCTTGATAGAGAAGCACCGTGTGTCTCACAACTCGTGTGTTTACAAGTTTGGTTTGCCAAGATCTACCGACAAGTTGAACTTGCCAATTGGCCAGCATATCTCCATTTCTGCTGTCATCAACGGTAAGGAGGTTGTGAGATCTTACACTCCCATCTCCAACAACGACCAGTTGGGCTCTTTTGACTTGTTGATCAAGACCTACGAGAACGGTAACATTTCCAAGTATGTCGAGTCCAAGAAGATTGGTGAGCACATTGATATCAGAGGCCCTAAGGGTTTCTTCACCTACACTCCCAACATGACCAAGTCCTTTGGCATGGTTGCTGGCGGTACTGGTATCGCTCCAATGTACCAAATCTTGACTGCTGTCTTGAACAACCCCGAGGACAAGACCAAGATCCACTTGGTCTACGCTAACGTGTCTGAGGAGGACATTTTGTTGAGAGCAGAGTTGGAGGAGTTGAAGAGAGAACACCCAGACCAATTCCACATCCACTATGTCTTGAACACCCCACCTGACAACTGGAACGGCTCTGTTGGTTTCGTTACCCCAGAAATCATGGATGAGCACTTACCAAAGAACACCGACGACACTAACTTGTTGATCTGTGGTCCTCCATTGATGGTTTCTGCCATCAAGAAGGCTGCCCAGACTTTGGGCTATCCAAAGGCCAAGCCAGTCTCCAAGTTGGGTGACCAGGTCTTCGTCTTTTAAAGAGTTAGTCGGTGATCTTGCATGTCCATTCAACAGTCCTTGGCCAGCCTTCTTCAGCAAGCTTGGCTCGATCATCTTGCTCGTCTAAGGCGGTACCGAAGGCCTGTTGAACTCCATTCAGGCGACTAATAGATAGATATATAATCAGTTTTCGCAAAAGCATTTTCGTTTTACTTGAATGTAATATACCTATGTTGCACTAATATGATCTCCCCACTGCCACAAACCACAGTCAGTACAAAAAGAAACCAACACGTAGGCCATTAAACTAAACGTAGAAGAAGAAAACTACCCCAAGCCTTGTTGCAGCCTCCTTTAGCTGCGCACATGTACCCAAAGTGTATGTGGACTACCACGGCCTAAACCTTAACCTTAAGAGTACTACCACTTATACTAAATAGAAATCCCCTTCCTCCTGTCGATCCATTTAAATTGTTCTTGTTTCTATTCCACCTTTAAGTGTCTTATCGTCACCAGTACCCACCGGCAGCCGACTGCGAAAAACGTTTCTGCTGCCGAGCATGCGATAAACCGCTCTCCTAACTGTGGCCACCTTATATAAAAAACAACCTCTAAAAGGTTCAAAAAAAGCAGATCTCGGCCAGTTAGAAAGCTTACCTCACAATCTTCATTCCTCATTCCTTGGACCGCCTCACTAGAACGGTATTGGCGCATCGTAGCATAAACGGACCTATACGATAATCGGGACCACAAGCCGAGCCATCCACAGTCGAGCTTCTTTCTGCAGGAGCCGAGCATGACCTTTATCGGTTTGCCCCGTACATATATAAACACCTGCAGCCATCACTTTTCTTTCTTTAACCAGCCAGTTATTATACCAGACGACCGTTTCCTTCTTTTCAGATTTTAGTTTTTTCGAATAAATAACTATCGCTGATATGCTTATCGCTACTTGGCTCTTACCGGCCACCGTGCTTGCCTCCGCTATTCCAAAGTGGGATATGGAGGACAGCTTCCTTCTAAGTCTGATAGACGAGGAAAAGATAGAGATAGAAAATATACTCAAGTCGCCTACGCATTTCAAAGATATGCCCCCGATCTTAAAGCAACCCGAAAGCCATCAGAAGTCCTTGAAGGATGGCGAAATACCGCAGTATGTTATCGACTATGCCCCTTTTGTGCACCTTTACTCGGAGGAGAGGTACTTACCTTACGATATCAAGCAGTATGTCGAGCATTTCCACGCAACGTATAAGAACGGTACGACCATTCCAGGTACCGATAAGGGAAGACTCAATATTACAAACTTGAGTAAGCTTCCCAAGAGACCCGCTGTCTACATGACTGCCGACGAGGACTTCGACACTGACCCTGACTGGATCACGGGAGTGAAGAATAAGCCAAACTTGGTCAACGGAGAGATTAAGGATGCTCCTGCTACGTTGATCATTGTTGACAAGGGAAACGGCTGGGTTGATGCCTTCTGGTTCTACTTTTATTCATTCAATCTTGGACCATTCGTGATGGGGCTGGGCCCTTACGGAAACCACGTTGGTGACTGGGAGCACTCGTTGGTGAGATTCTACAAGGGTAAGCCCGTTATTGTATGGATGTCCGCTCATGGCGGAGGTGGAGCTTACTATTATAAGCACCTCGAGAAGTACGAGCTTGATACGAATCACCCAATCATTTTCTCTGCTAGAGGAACCCATGCCAACTATGTCTCTGTTGGAACCCATCCTCACGACTTGCCATACGAAATCTTGTGTGATTTCACTGATAGAGGTCCATTGTGGAACCCAACAAAGAACTACTTGGCATACACTTACGATGGCAAATTCGTCTACCCCGCTGAAAACAACACCAATCCTAAGCATCGTGGCAGAGAAGCCGAATACGGTGACTGGTTGACCTTTACTGGTCATTGGGGTGACAAGATGCTTGATAGTAAAGATCCCAGACAAAGCCATTCCCTTATTGGTGGCTACAAGTACATCGATGGTCCAAAGGGCCCATTGAAGAAGAACTTGTTGCGTATTATTCCATGTGAAAGACATAAATGGTGGAATTTCTGGAATGGGTGTAACGTCAGAGAGAACATCAAATGGGGTATCGGCGTAGAAAGCGAAGGATACAACTGCGGCAATGCGTTCGCTAACATGAGGCCTAGATGGCTCAAGAAAATTTTCCAGCAAGTGACTTGGGGAGGCGGATTTTGCTTCTTTGTGGATTTAATTTACGGATAGAGATGAGGATGCCACGAGAGGGTGGTAATGGTTTAGTTTGTTTTTGCAAGTTTTCGCAACCTACTTAATATGTCTAGAACAGGTTAGAGAAAATCATGATTTGTTATTTTGCTTGTAGTGCAATAAAGAGAAGCATTTATTTCATGGCAACCTATATCATTAGAAGCTTCAGTTGGACCAGCTTCCATTAAAAAGCCAAGCCGTTAGATCTGTGAAGCGCTTTGTTTCGATGTGTCACACATTTCTTTTTCTTGGGTACTCACATTGGCTGCGAAAAGTCACTTTTCCTCTTCGCTCTTTTTTTCAGTGACTCGTACTACTACTAACTAAGCTAGCAGCAATGGCCGAAAGCTCATCGTATCTAGAAAAGTTCTCAGAAAGTGATATTCACCAAAGGAGCTATACTCCAAAGCCCGAAGGCAGCAGTCCTGGCAAATGGCAGAGTTTCAAAGACTCGTTCAAGCGAGCGAACATTGATGAAGAGATAGACCCAGATCTTTCCGATATCGAAAAAGCCAACCTTCTTACGTCAAAGCTGCCGCTTAAAAGAAAGCTAAAGTCCAGAAATATCACAATGATTGCCATTGGTTCTTCCATTGGTAGTGCTCTTTTCGTCGGGTCAGGTTCGGCTCTTAGTACGGGAGGACCGGGCGGTATTTTGATCGGATGGACTGTTACTGGATTGGCCATTTTCACAACGATGCAAAGTTTAGGAGAGTTATCCGTGGCTTTTCCAGTCAGTGGTGGCTTCAACTTGTATGCTAGTCGTTTCATTGATCCATCTGTGGGGTTTGCCGTGGCATGGAACTACTTCATTCAATTCTTGGTGTTGCTTCCCTTGGAGCTTGTGAGTAGTTCCATCACCATGAAGTTCTGGAATACGTCAGTGAATCCTGATATTTGGGTACTCATATTCTACATTGTGGTTTGTTCGATTAATATGATTGGCGTTAGAGCTTACGGCGAGGCCGAGTTCATCTTTTCATTGATTAAAGTTACTGCAGTCATTGGTTTCATTATTGTCAGCATCGTACTTGCTGCGGGCGGCGCTCCAAATGGGGTTCATCACGGCGCTGAATTTTGGCACAACCCTGGTGCGTTTGCCAATGGCTTCAAAGGTGTCGCTTCTGTTTTCGTGACTGCTGCATTTGCATACGCCGGTGTTGAACTTGTAGGCTTGGCTGCTGCTGAGTCCGAGAACCCAAGACGTGCCTTGCCTCGTGCCATCAAACAGGTATTCTGGAGAATCTTGATGTTCTACTTGGTTTCGCTTACCTTGATTTGCTTCCTCGTGCCTTATGACTCTGACAGACTTTTGGGTGCATCCTCTGTGGATGTCACAGCTTCTCCGTTCGTCATTGCTATTGAGCTGGGTGGAATCAGTGGTCTTCCCCACGTCATGAATGCTGTCATTTTGATTTCAGTCATTTCAGTGGCCTCCACTTCGGTTTACGCTTCATCTCGTACCCTTACATCCTTGGCTGAACAGGGATTGGCACCTTCATTCTGCGGTTACGTCGACAGAGCTGGTAGACCATTGGCTGCCATTATCATTTGCAACATTTTCGCATTACTAGCATTCATTGCAGCCAGCAACAAAGAAGGAGAAGTCTTCGACTGGCTTATGAGTATCTCTGCATTGAGTTCCATTGCTTCGTGGATCAGTATCAACTGGGCCCACATCAGATTCAGAAGAGGTCTCAAGACTCAAGGAAGAAGCACTGATGAATTGACATTCGTTGCCCAAACCGGTGTCATTGGCTCTTACCTCGGTGGAACCATCTTTGTCTTGGTCTTGATTGCCCAATTCTGGATTGCCTTGTTCCCAGTTGGTGCCGACCCAAGTGCATACAATTTCTTCTTGTCTTACTTGGGAGGTGTCATTTTGGTTGTCTTTTACGTTGGGCACAAAATCTGGAAGAGAAACTGGATTTTGCAATTGCCTTCCAAAAAGCTTGATCTTGATACTGGTCGTAGAGAGCCAGACTTGGAACTCTTGCGTGAACAACTTCGTCAAGAAAGAGCATTTTTGCGTGGTAAGCCATGGTATTACAGATTTTACCGTTTCTGGTGCTAATATAAAAGAGTAGAGCATATTTATAAATTACAATTAAAAAATTCATAGAACTGATTTTTCATCGTCCTTCTGTATTCTTCCAACTTTCAATGCGAGTACTGTCTGCTCGCTAATGTGCATATTTCTTATCTAAATCAAACATACCAAAACTACCACTGGCTCTCCCATGTCAAATCCCAAACAAACCAACCCTCGTGTGACATCGGGGTTTGGCAGTGTCCTAAAGTCCATAACACGGTCACTAAAGCCAGCTCTGGGAAATGTGCCTGTCGTAATCAATGCCAAAGTGGTGGGTGGTGGTGCAGATATGCAAAAGCTATTACTGCAACTTCAATATGGCACCATCAATTCGAGGGCTCAGGTAGCCTGTCAGATTACAGAAGCATTGGAGAAGTATTCTCTTTCGTCAATTCCCGAGGTGTGGTACCTTGCCCGAGATCTCTGTGATCCCCAGAATCCAAGTGCCGTGAGACGCTCGGCATTGAAACTTCTAGTTCAATGTATAAAGAAAGATGAAGATGCAGTGAGTAGCAAGCTCATGTTTTACTCAGACATTGTTAGTTTCTGTACGGTTTCGGAAAACAAAATTGATGAAGAGTTCGACTTGTTTCTCCAGGCACTCCAGGCTCTCACCAAGGACGGCAGGGACATACATGATCTTTACATTTACGACCAGGACAGAAGCTTTGCAGAATTCTTATATGGGTGCTTCAAGGTCTTGGCTGGGAAAGCTGGGAAATACAAAGATGGGCAGGACCCAACTCTTGTCAAAGATAGGACATTTCACAACATAGTTAACCTCACCGAGTACACCTCCAACTGTGTCCAATATAACTATGCGTTAACAGAAGATCGAGCCCTTTGCTCGATTTTAGCTGTTATAGTAGAGCTGGGCTTTGAAACTACGAATTCGACTATCATATCTCAGTATCTCGAGTTGATAAAATACGGCATTGTAATGATCTCAGCTTCAGAGGAGGTGTTTCAGCCTGTCATCAAGCTTCTTTGCTATATTTATACGAGCTTCCCCCGATTTAAGGAAGTATGCTCTGACCTCATAAAACAATCATGCGCTGATTCGCCAACCCTGGTTATTTCAACATTGGGGTCAGTCATCTACAACACGAATGTTTTGAACTATCGGGACATTGATCCTGATGCATCTCTGCATTCTGAGAAGGACAAACTTCAGGAAGGCTTCCAACATATATCCGCATGCTTGGGGTCAATCAGTATCCTTGAGAGCGTGTTTATCCAACTCAGCTCAGACAGAAAGATACCAGACATTTACGTTGCCGTCGACCAAGCTTATGATGACATAGTTGATGCGCTTAGTCTCAGAATTGCATTCATTAACTCAGCTTTTCTTAGCATGTTTGGGAGGCTTTTTGACCTGGATGAACATCAGCGAACGTTCTCCAAACAAAGCATGTTCTCGAAGCTCTTTCCCTTCTACCTGTGGTATTCAACCTCCCGTTCGATTTTCAATTTGCTTCGATACATGGATATCAATTCCAGTCAAGACCATGAAAACTGGCTCACCATATGTGATTCTCTCCTCAAAAGATACCTACAAGAAGACCTTGCGGCACCAAAGGAAGCATTAGCGGACTTGTTCTTGATTCACCCTTCTGCTGTAAGCCTGAGGGTTGCTTCATTTGTGATAGATTTTTACAAAGATGAAAGGCTTTGTACCGTCATTGACAGTCACTGGAAGGGTAACTGTCAAAAGCTTCTATCAGCGTTTTTCTACAATACCCAAGAAAGATCTGCAGCAAACAAAGTGAGAGCTTTGCAGACTATCAAGGACGCTAACGAGACATCTCTAGCATTGTTTGATGATTCAAGTATTGGCCGAACAATAATTCTTGAATTAATCGAAAGATCTCTACTTGAGGAAGATAATGAGATAGTTGAATACTTATTTGGAGATTTTCTTTTTGAGTTTCTACTGTCCTCACCAACCGGCTTGTTAAAGCAGACATTGGAAGTGTTCTCATCTACTCTTGATTCCAAGCCAATACTGCTCGAAAGACAAAAAAGTGTTCTCTCTGCCAGTTCAAGAGGATCCGGTAGATACTTCCAGTCATCCCTGCGTCAATATTCTGTTGTGTCAGAGAAGAGTGCACTGCTGCAATTAACCCCAAATGAAGAAGTTTTCACTCGATTAGCGGAAACAGCATCAAGGTATTTCATAACGTCTGCATCTACGAATCCGAGTGCTTCAGTGCTATTCTACGAGTTTGTCATCAAATTCTTGCATTTCTGCATTGATCAAGTACTCGTTTCACCACTGATTGCGTTGTTAAGGAGTTTGGTCCGCTTAAGAGTTACAAACCGGGGTGTTATTTATTTTGCTGAAGTAACTGACATGGGAGGCCTTGCTAGTGCTTTCAAAAGAGGCTCATCGGATCCAAACTTTGATGGAAGCAAAACAATACTTTGGGAGTATCCGGAAAGCAAACAGTATATCCCGGAAACGAATCTCGACAAACCAACCAAGGTGATTTTGCGGTCTAAAGCTCAAGCTGATGTCAAAGCAGGAGAAGGAGACGCAGTCTTAGATATTGGCCCCTGGCTAAGTGTTGTTCAGCAAATCATCACAGGATATTACCATTGGGAAATCTTCTCATTTGTCTGGGCTCACTATTGCTCGCAGTTATCCAATATGGCTCTTTTTGAAAACCAAGAGGCACATATTCTTGAATTGCAGAAAACAGTCTGTGACCAGCTCGTCCTTCACTTACCTACTTCAGAAGCGTTTCCCACTGAACATACGAGCGTCACCAAATCCGATCTCCAGGTGGCTTTGGTTCGAATTCTTTCATCTTTGCTTGGGTATCATGCGATCTTTAGTAAAGCAGATGAAGATCAAGTGGTGAGCTCTATCATTTTTGCGATGGGCTCTTACGAGAGGACAGCAATTCCATGTATTCATATATTGAATGTTTGCTGCTACGAGATACCACTCTCAATTAAAAAATTCTTGACTGCTATCCTTACAAGATTACAGACTGGAGTAACAAGCTCATTTGCCAGTCCACCAACTTTGGAATTCATGATGTCAGTGATCAGTCTGCGGACGCTCACTTCCAGCTTCACCATTGATGACTACAAGCGTTTCTTCGCCATTGCCTTTAAATACATCCAGTACGCTTCTATGTTGAAAGCTCAAATGGCGCAAAATAGGGAACTTAAAAACCAAGACGATGTTCTTCAGCAGCATGGCGTGGATGCTGAGGTTGAAAAGAAAGCTTCTACTCAGATTACTCCAATCACCCCAATCATGAATGAGTACCTTTCCCTCATCTCCTACAAATTGATTGCCCGGTTGTTTCTTACAATTAACCTCAGCGAAAGGCGAAAGTTGAGTCCTTTTATTTTGCGGAACTTGGTTGTCGCAAACCAGATTGATGACAAGGAAATCAAACACGAGCCAACGGTTGCATTGGCTGATTTTCTTGTGCGCTTCTCTTGTGGCGACATCCCGCTCAAGGTTGTCACACCTCCCAAGCCAACGAATGATAAAGTAAATGAAATAACAAGCAGCTGGCTTCTAGGACGTGTCGTGTTAACAATATCAACGAATTCGTTGAACGGAGATTCTACCATCACGGTGAGGAGACCTGCAAGTGTAGCTGTTTTCCGGTTGCAATTGGATCCATCAATGTTACAAACCACAACACATGCTGATGGAAGCAGAAAAATGGTACTCAATTCTTATTTCTTGCTTCAGGTCATCAATTTTTTGGATGTAAAGGAAGACCTAAAGCCTATTCCGCTACTCGATGATGCTGCAACTTCTCGTGCAATTGGAACACTTGACAGGACCCCAGTTGTCTCTTTTCACAAGGCTGGGGTTATCTATATTGGGCCAGGCCAGTCTGATGAAAAAGATATTCTAGGCAATACTGTTGGCTCACCCAGTTATCACAGGTTCCTCGATCAATTAGGAAAGCTTATCCGCTTGAAAGATGCAGATTCGGTCTACGCTGGTGGTTTGGACAAAGAGAACGGAAGTGATGGAGAGTACGCATACATTTGGAATGATACAATCTCCCAAACCGTCTTTCATGTTACGACGCTCATGCCCAACGTGGCTTCAGACAAATACCATTCATTCAAAAAGAGACACATTGGTAACAACCATGTGAATGTTTATTTTGATGAATCCGGACATGCTTTTAATTTTAATATTATCAAGTCCCAGTTCAATTTCCTCAACATTGTGATTACACCTCACACGGCGCTCCAAAGAACCGTGGGCAATGCTGAGGCCAAGGTCTTCAAGGTCAAGACGTTTCGCCGTCACGGAGTACCCGGCATTTTTTCCACGACCCATTTCAAATTGATCTCGGCGGAACAATTGCCCATACTCATTCGGAACGCCATTTTAATTTCCGACAAGTTTGCACAGGTTTGGCATAATTGCAACAACGGCGAATATGTTTCGAATTGGCAACTCCGAGTCAGGCAAATCGATTCGTTACGGGTAAGAACGATGCAGTTACACAGAAGCAATCAAGAGGAACAAGAGAAACAAGGGCGTGAGAAGACGAAGGCGTTAGACGGGCCCGCCGGAGGGGCGAATATGTCAGCGACTGACGTCATTTCGAGCGACATGACAAATTCGTTTTTGGAGCAGTTACAAGGCGGTGCTAAGGAGGGTGGCGGAGACGATACTATTCAAGCAAGTAACTTCAGGTATGAGTATGTCACTCAGGACGATCATGGAGCATACCAGCGGCTTGAGTTTGGGTCATACACCTAGTACAGCTGTCACCCCAAAGTATGTTGGGTTGCCTGGCCAACCAGAAGAAGTACAAAAGAGAAGACTTTGTAACTTGACCAACAAATCAAGGAATTCTTCGGCTAAATGATGCCTCCTTACTTTAGTTGAGAGCGGTTGCAAGTTGCTCACAGATAAGCGATATCTGCACGAAAGCCACCGCACTGATCTTACTGATAGGGGAAAAACGCAGAAGGAGGAAAAAAAAAAAAAAAAGTTTCGTTGCACCGCTAAGAAATGCCAATGCTAATACCACGAGGGAGGCTAGAAAAAACATCTGAATAAAGTTTAGGCGAAACCAACAAAGAAACGGCATTCCTTGTTCTCGGTGATAGAGCGCCGAAGGCCCACGGAGCAAGAAGATCTCACGGCGCTAACGCATGCTCGTTTATTTATTTAATTTTCTGTGGCAGCAAGTGGTTTTTACTCACTCTCTCGCACTGTTTTGTGGTGCCGCTGCCGGTGCCGCCGCCCCAAGTGGAAATTACGAACCATGGGCCCAAACCACATTACCGAGTCCGGCCCAGACCCAATTAATTTTTCAAAAACGGACGCTGTTGTAATATGCTCAACTATGGATGCCTTTTGATGCTAAGCAAAAAAAATTCCCAATGCAATCTATTGTCGTTCTTCACATGCACCGGCGGATATAATGAACAGAACAAGGAAGGAGTGGGCCACACTGGTAATTGATTTTTCTGTGCCTCAGCCATTCCGTCATACTCAACGGCTTTTGTTAATTTCTCCCTGCGCTTACCTTTCTTACTAATTCTTTCTTTTTTTTCCCCTTCCCTTTACTAAAAAGTTCGCATCATCCCGCATCTGAGATCCAATTGGTATATAACTGCATCCCGGCCCGCTATATCCTAGACATCCCGCTTAACTTTTTTTTGGATGAACCCTTGCTAGCGTTTCGTTCTGCTTGCGCCCAATTTTGTGTTCTTGTCCGTCCTTTGTGTTTTTCCGTGCGACGTACAAAAGTTTCTCCGCCTTATAAACCCACCTTACTCATCGAGAAACGAACTCTTGGTTAATTTTATATCCTCCTCATGTCTGAGTACCAGCGTATGTCGATTGACGCTTTGCTGTCAGTCAGGAAGACGCTTAGAAGCGAGTCGGATGCGGTTACAGGCCTTTCCAAACAGTTTGACAATGACCTGTTCTCTCAGGTGAACTTGGCGAACACGTTGAAGATCTTCTACGAGACTCACTTGAGAGGTGGTAAAATTGTCTGCTGTGGTATTGGCAAGTCTTTTAAGATTGCAACAAAGACTGTGGCTACTATGAAATCTTTATCCATTAGCGCAGACGTTTTACATCCATCTGAAGCTCTTCACGGTGATCTCGGCTTGTTAAGAGACCGTGACTGCTTGGTGTTCTTTACAGCCAGTGGCAATACGCCCGAGCTTCTTCAGCTTTTACCACACCTTTCTCCATACTTGCCGATCGTGCTATTGACATGCAACAAGTCCTCTAAGTTGTCTGACCATCCACAGGTACAAGCCTTATTGTTCGCTGAACTACCGGCTCACTTGAAAGAAGACGTGATCCATGGACTCCCGGCACCGACCATCTCCACTACATTGTCACTCGTTTTGGCTGACGCCGCTGTTTTGGCATTATCTGAGATGATCGAGAAGGATGAGGCCAAGCGTCGTAAGCTCTTCTCCATGAAGCACCCTGGTGGCTCCATCGGTTCAGACTTGAGTTATTTGAACGACAACTTTGCTAAACTTGGAGCCTCATTTGTCACTAGCAATACCAGTACTGCGACTCATACCGAAAGTTATTCATCGCTCTTGTCGTTGACTCAGGTGAAGAAATCGTTTGGGTCGACGGGTGGGGCTCGTTCAGAGGCAACTTCGATCGACAGTTCTGATAGCGAGGAGCTAGAAATCAAGTCTAAGATTGATAATGAACTTTCTCATGCCATCAAAAGTGCTTCTCCAGATCTGGTGTTGAGCGTGAAACAAGACGAATTAACTACATGGAGTGAAGTTGATCTTCTCAAAAACGTAACGATTCATGACTTCATCACATTCCTGAACCAACATGCCTCGTTTGGTCTGACAAGTGACAGCATTCGTGCTTTCTATAAATTCGCCTCGACTGGTGGTTGGTCAGGCATGGAACAATTGTTGCCTATTTTTAAAATGATTGACCTTTAATTCTTCCTACACTTTGCCCTTGTGTATTTGTGTATTTTTGGATAGGTTTTTATACTAGTGCCAAACCTTGTCCCTTGTATCTATGTCTCAGTATGGTAGGGAATATTGATAGAAACTAGACATATTTTACTCCGGGGAAACAAAATAAACTTTAACGTATTTACATAAACTGAAATCAAAACCTGACCTTTCAGGTCCGTATTAAATGAAAACAATCAAGGACAATGCCAACCCATTATTTACACATTTTGTTCAAGCCGCCGTTATTTAATTGCGATCGGCTTCAACAAGAGCTGTCTCTGCAACAATGATCATTTTCTCAACTGACGCAAGATGCTTGCCGTAGTTATTTCTCATGGAGATTTGCTTCAAGTATTGTCTTAGCTTGACAACGAGGTTTTTCTTCTCCTGGCTCTTGGCATCGAATCCCTCTACCAATTTCTGGATCACATAGTTCGCATATTGGTCCTTCATCATCAAGGCAAGAGGGGAATCATCATCAACCGACTCCTTCGTAAGATCCTCATTACCCAACATGACTTCATGAAGTATCCGCTTCCGCTGCTCCGTTGATCCATGCTTGATACATTTTTCAATCACATTCGATGCAAATTTGTGCTTTGAGAAGTTCACAATCGAGCCAAGAGCGACCTCAAGAATCTTTTCTCTCTCTCCATTATCACCACGTTCAAGGATATGCTGTATCACATAATTACCGTATTGATCTTGGATAAGGTAAAAAATGAACTTGTTCAACTCAGCCAAAATCTTCTCCTGGTCAGCAATATCGGAATGCTCGAGCAACCTTTGAATCACCCTACAGCCGTAGGGATGAGTCGACAAATGATAAATATGATCGCTCAAGCTGTCCAAAATAAATCTAATGTGTTGGAAAGGAATGCGCTCGATAGACTTCTGGATAACGTGGTTTCCGTTTTGGTCTTTAGCACAGACAAGAACATGGTCTCTCAACTCTTCAACAATTTGGATCTGGCCCTTTAAAGAGATAGCTTCAAGAGCACGTTGAACAACACGACATCCATACATCTGTAAGGACAACTCGTAGGTCTTGTCCTTCATGCATTCTAGCAACACTTCTTTTTGAACATCGGAACCGTGTTCAAAATATTTCTGAATGACATAATTGCCGAAGACATCAGTCATCAAATCGTAAGAGATCTCACGAATTTCGTTGAATATCACTTCCTTTTCTTCTTCACTGGCTTGTGGCAACTTTTGTTGAATAAATCTCGAACCATGTTGATCCATGGTAAACTCCACAGCATGTCCGTATATATCCTTGAGCGCGTACTCCTTATTCTTAGAGTTGGAACGAACCTCTTCGAGCAAAGGTGACCTGTAAATATGGTTTCCACCCTTACCAGCACTTTGGTTCTTAGCAGACTTGCCTCTTTTTCCACTAGGCGCGGCCGAGCTATGAGGCCTTGACTCCAGACCTGCCTGAGGTGCAGTTGCTGGTGGAGGAGGTGGAGGAGGTGGCACTTGTTGCATCATGGCAGCCTCAAACGCAACCGGCAGCATTGGCTGTGGTACAACACCAGGGGCACCTTCAACAGGCACATTAGCAGGAGATCCTGCTGGAGACGTCAGGGGGTACATCGCATAAGGATTGAAAGGATTAAAAATGAAGCCTGGGTGGACCTGGCGATTCATCAAGCCGACGCCAGGAATTGCACCTGACTTGGGAGGCAGGGTCTTGGACAGAGGTCCTTCGGATGATCTCTTGTCGTCGGTGGAACTAACTTCATCTGTAGATTGCTTCTCATTCCCATCGACTGCTTCTGACAGGGCTGGAGCACCTTGGTAACCCATGAAGCCATACATACCTGCTTCACCAAACTGCGCAGGGTTCGCCATCATAAACGGAGGGGGACTAATTGGAGGCATAGCTGGCATGTTTCCACGGTTGTAAGGGTAGTTGTTCAAGTTCCCGTTTGCAAAACCAGAGTTGTCTAGGAAATGGTTTTGAGGGAAAGAAGGCGTAAAGGAAGTAGCGGCCGCTGGGTTCCAAAAGCTCTGCGTGTGTTGGCCCGCAGACTTGGAAGCATCAAGAGCCAGTTGCGAGCCAGTGGCATTCAAATCAGAAGACATGGACAATGCTGCACTGTTCTGAATTGGAGAACTGTTGTTGTAGTTGTCGATCTTCTCGCTAATGGACTGATGTCTAGAAGTTCTTGAGACAGGCATGTTCAAGTTCTCATTAAGAGACCCATGAGGCGACGACATCAATGGCTTGACGTGATCGCTGTTGAAACTAGTCCTTCGTTGGCTACCTTCCAAAGACAAGGAGCCCAAGCCATTGGATAACTCAATATCACGAGTGGCGTCAGCGACCGATGCGAACTTGTTCAAGAAACTTTCCTTTGGAGGATGCCTACTGGCAATTCCCCCACTAATAGAAGCAGTACCAAGCTGGATAGCCTGATTGTTGTTCAAGTTGGAGGCGCCATTTCCCGAGGTAATGTGTGGCGCATTCTGGACGTTGGAAACGTTTGGAGCATGAGGACCACCGGTCGAGGCCGCGTAGGAAGCCTGAAAGTTCAGCTTAAAGTCAAAGAGGTTGGACTCGAATTCGCCAGTCTCCGTGAAAGAAAACCTGCGCCCAGTAGCTGGAGCTGGTCCAGCTAGGAATTTGGCCACGTCGGGATCAACCTGATCCTGGAGTCGCAACGAGGAGGTCGAGGGCGAAACTGTCGGGTTCGTGTTTGACGACCAAATAGTCTCGGATGACATGGTCGCTAGGCTATGTACAAGTGGACGATTGGGAAAATTTGGGCGACACTAGCTGTAAAAAGATTATGGTTTTTTTTTGCTTGGGAGGAACAGATTGTCTAACTCTAAAGGAAAACCAGCCTGTTGCTGTAACAAAATAAATCGAACGGAAGACAAACGGTCAGTATCACTTTACAGTTGGTTGGCGTTCTCGACAAGAGGGCGGATTTACTCCCAGTTATATAGTTGCGAGGAAGGAAGTCTTGGATTATTACTCTAACCGTGCACCTTGATAACTGGCACATGGTGCGTCTCTGCAGGAGTTGCCTCGAGGACCCAAGACATGACTTGTTTAAGGCAAGCCGAAAGGACAAGGAATACTTGGGAAAAAAGTATAGGAGAAGGGGAAACTCCAAGTAGAGTCTAGAATTCTTTTAGATGACCAAAATAGCCCAGAAATGGAAGCTTTTGATGGTACTCTCTACAAACGCTATTACTGTCTATTGTACCAGAACAAGACATTATCGCGCCTTTAAGCATCGAACAGAGTAACTGGTCCAACAGGCTTCTCATACATTGAGTCATGAAACCGCCTCAAGGCAGCTCAGAGCGGATCGTTTCGCTTATGAAAAAGGCCGAGAAGGATGTTTCATCCAAAGTTCCAATGGTGATGCGCAGACTTTATGAGCTGGACCCCAATGAGAGTACTACTTCTATTCTTGAAGATTTGGTTGACAATGGTCCTAAGCAAAAGAGTACTTTCCAGGCCCGTGATGACGTACGGTCGATTGCTCCAGACTCTCCATCTACAAACGTTCTACGCTTTGAATGTAGAAACGCATATATTGGAAGAAGAGACTTCTACAATGTCCAACCAATCCCAAGAGAGAGACTATATTCATACAAGCCACCACTCAACAAAGGTCTACGATTTGATCTAGTGAAGGCAAGGAATCCACTTAATTTGCTCTTCTCAGGTGCATATTATCTAGTGTTTCCTAATCATCTTCAGGCGTGTCTTTACTATATGGAGACTAGACACAAGGTGATGAATGGGTTCAACATGAAGCTTGAGTTTGTTTCTCCCAATGAGAAACATTTGGGTAGAATGGGGTCGCCTTTGCTAGAACCATCCGCCTCGCATAAACCACACTCCTCGTTATCATCAACATCTAATCCTTCTTTCGAAAATATCTTCAAGACATCGAAAGAAAAGTCCTTAATTTTAGAAAAGTTAGAACAGTTGAAAGACGTTAAAGACGATTCGCTCGCCGATACACACCCAAACTATCTTTTATTACAGCGTTTTATGAACATACCTACACGTTACCAGCTGGTACTTGTGAGAAATCTTCCGTTTGGGTTGTCCAGCCAAACCTTATCAGACCTTCTTTGGGACTATAAATTTTCAGATATGATAGCTCCACTGAATTCGTGGAAACAGATCATATGTGATCCAATAACCCAAACAAATCTAACCTTGATACATTTCGGGGACGAGCAAAGTGCTATGAGGTTTGTGAGGAATTTCCATGGACGTAGATGGGACCCCGTGAACAAGGGGAGAGAAAAGCAGTTGTACCAGCCCGTACTTTGCGAAATTCTCGAGTAATGACATGACTTGTAAATATTAATGACATTAAAACAACGTTAATCGGACACTTCGTCCAAACTCTTCCAGCTTGACCGTACTAGTTCGTATTCTGTAAGGTCGCTCTTCTTCTTGTTTGTTGAAGCAGTCACCTTTTCAACAATAGAATAGTTCTCCCAGATTCTCTTCTCTTTCCATATAATGATGATATTGGAATTTCCCGACCAGCCAACCGTGCCTATGTCACTGGAAATATCGGAACTCTCATCAAAATCAGTATGGTATTTGCTAATGTTCACCGAACAGAAAGACCAGGTTGACTGAAAGTATTGTGGAATTCCAATCGGCAATTGTAGTTTGCTCAAGATATGCTGTCTATTAGTGGGTGACTTGCGCAAAGATACTTCGCCGTCGAATTGGTCTGGAAGAGATGGTTCAGTCGAGGGACCCACATTAAACACATGCAAGGTATTCTTATCGGATAAAACGGCAAGCTTTGAGTCATTTGGAGAAAAGCTCATTGATGTAATGATGGCACGGTCGAGACCACGTCTAAACTCAAACAAAAGCGCCGTGGAGGTGGTAGAATGAATTCTGATGATCGTTCCTGTCTCGCTAGCAGATGCCACCATATTTCCCGTTCTGCTCAAGCAGATACACCTAATACGGGCTTTATGAGCCTTGATAATGCTAACGAGGTTCTTCTCCAGACCCTCGGGTGAAACGTCAACAATCTGAATCTGGCCGACAGTGCGTCCAGGAAATGCTAGTATTTGGTACTTCGGGACATCTCTTGTAATCCCGTTACCCGACCTTAAAGATGAGCTTGATGAAGGTGCTGGCAGAGGCAGTTGCAGCGCCGAGGAATGAACGGAGAGGTCCGCTAGTCCATGCTCGTTATCGTATGTCTCATATGATGCAAACTTCTTAGGTGGCGCCGAGAACTCATACACCACAACCTGGTTCTTCAAAACAACAACAATGCGTATTCTTGAAAGTAGAACATTCACCACAGGCCCCATGAATCCCAAGTTAAGACTCGCCTTCCTCTTGAGGTCGTCCCATATAATAACCTTGTTGTTTGGATACTTGGGGTTTTTGCCCCCGCCCACAAGTGCAACGTAATTAGTCCTGTGAAGCATCAGAATCAACCCAATTCCCGTTCCAGAGCTGCTGGTTCCGCTGAACGTTCTGCTCACTCGTGGATCAATTGGATTGGTGTTGTAAACAGAGAACCCCATCTCGTGAGCCACAGCAAAACAATCCTGATCCTGGTTGAATTTGACATCATGGAAGGGCGTTCGCTTCTGCTGTGCCCTAGATATGGGCATGTGTGTATTCATGACTGTTGTTTGTAAGTTGATGCCGTAGTTGTATTAAAGCTATGCAAGTTAGAGAAGTCCGGTTATCAGGGTACTGTAGTGTGTGGGGAGGGGCGCTGCTGCAGGTACCATTGATGATTCACCTCCGTACCACCGTAGACGCTGTTAGACGAATACCGAACAGACGTGTAAAGGCCATTGTCGTCTAGAAATTATTCCGGTAAAGGTAATTGATCTGATATTGTTTTGGTTTGCGATGAACTTAAACGAATATTTTTCGTCAATGGCGACATAGGACGAGTTGACGATCCTCACTAACTACCGCACAAGAGCGGTATACTAAAATGGCTAAAACCAATCAATCGAGTTTCTGAAGGAATTGATCAATCACTCTCGATGTCCATCACTTCTTCATCACTAGACTCCTCTCCATTCCTTAAACGCTCGGCTAAAGCGTTCGTATCCGCTTCACTATCCTTCCTCTCTCGTCTCTTCTCGGTTGGTTTGTCTTCGAAAACAGTAGCAAATTTACTGGTTGGTCCGAATGTAGAATTACTACGTGGAGCTTCTCGAGACCTTCCAATGGTGGTTGTGGTTGATGATGTTGAAACGTCAGCCAAAGAGCTAGGAGCATGCAAGAAAGCGGAAGGGCTATCTCTGTTAGCCTCAAGTGCCCTCTTGAGAAGATCATTCGCGATTGGATCGTCAGGTGCAATTGCAAGTGAATCATGAAGGACATCAATAGCCTTGAAGGGGTTCTGAAGTTTGAGGTGAACGATGGCAATGGCCGAAAGAATGTTAGCGTCGTTCCTATGGCTCATCTTCAAGGCCTGATTGAAACACTCAAGAGCTTTCTGGTATTGACCTGCTCTTCTGTATACATGGCCAAGGTTAGCATGAATAGAGATCCACGTCTTGGACTCTGAGTTAAGGTAGCGGGCCGCCGTAAGCGCATCCTGAAGGAACGCTTCTCCACGGTCTAGCTGATTCTTATGGTAGTAGATGACACCAAGCTCATTCAACAAAAGTGGATCTGTGCTGCAGATATGATGTGACGCTAGAAGGTACTCTTCAGCTAAGCTGACGTTATTCATTTGCAAATGCTGCATACCCAAAAACAAATTGGGCATATGGTTGCCAGGAAAGAGTCTTGCAGCAAATGCATAGGCGCTAATGGCCTGCTCATGTTCACCTTCCATTGAAAACGTATGGGCAAAACCTATCCAAGCCTGACCATTATTAGGGTTAAGCAAGGTTGCCTTGCTCAAAAACTTCCTAGCCTCTATAACTTTCTTGATCGAAAGGTAGTATATGCCAATCGCTTGCCATGCAATAGGATGTGTCGGATGAGAATCTGCAAGCTGGTGTGCCTTAAGAAACAATTTGTTGCGGCCTCCTAGCTCATATAAGCAACTAATATAATATGGAAGCACGTTGCAGTTGTATGGGTCCTTATCTAGGACAAGCTCGCAGATATCGAGACATTGATCGTAGTTGCATTGAACAAAAGCATGCTGTGCCTTGCTTAGAAGAATATCACTGTTCTCACCGAGACGATATTCATCCTTGAGTATACCTTCTGCTTCTTCGAACTTAGGCACATTGATGTACTTGCTCAAACGAGAAGTGTACAAGAGCTTTATGAGTTCATCATTGTCGTCTGCGTCAGAATAATTAAGGTAATTAATGAACTCCCACTGCTCCGTCGGGGTAAGGAAATCATTTTTTATAAGCTCGTCGAAGGCTTCGTAACACTTGACATCAACAAGCACTGCTTCCTTGTATGCCTCCTTGGCTCTCTCGTAGTTGTTTTGATTAGCGAATATGAGACCTCTAAGGTAACACATGGACGCTTCAAAGCGGACACCGTACTCTGCTACTTTAGGTCTTTGGTGTGTTTCCTTCAGAAAAGGGTTCGTCTCGCCCAAAACATCCAATGCATCCTCCCATCGTTCTAGCTTGATGAGACTGTAAGCCGTAAGATACCGGCATGCCACAGACTGCTCATACTCCGCATTGCTGGTTAAAAGACTCTTGACCCGCAAGTAGTTACCTGTTTCGAAGTAAACTTGTGCTAGCCAGAATGCATCGTTGGGATCGTTGGTCATGGTAAGAATCTTGTCTCCAATATACTCCGCAGTCAGATACTGATGCTGTAAAAGGGCTTCGTGTCGCCAAAGCCTGAGCTTTTGAACTCGAGATATAGGTTCTTCTCCTGGTCCACCAGTGCCATGAGCAGCATCGTTTCGAAGAGTTCCACTGACATTGTCTATGTTGTAGAACAGTGACAGCAGCGATCCAGGCGACTCAAAAAGGTTGTTTTGCGGGTTGGGCGGCGTAATAAAGACATCCTGTTTGCGTGTCATCACCTGTGGAGATATGAAGAGCGACGAATTGTGCTGCAGCGGTGTTTTGTGGTGCTGGGCCATCGTGGCTTATTACGTTTGGATGTGTAGACTTAAAGGCTTTCAATGTTTGTTCGCACTATGTAGTTTCTGGGGTCAAGGCGTCAAGGGAAGAGAATGTACATCAAAGAGAAGTGAGGAAGGAAAGGAGCGAGATTTTGAATGAATGCTTACTTTTGGGCGTTTATTGCCATTTTCATTTGTTTCTATATATTTTTCGATTATTGGTGGACATTTAGCGTACATTGTTTTCGTGTTTCGCAGCCAATTCGATACATAATACGCGAAGCCAGATGGATCCTAGGATATTGGTAACTGACAACAACTTGTTTATCAAGGGTAGATTTTTTCATTTTGAAGTGTGGTTTTTGATGGCGATAAATGAAGAAAATACCTTTTAAGTTATGATGGAGTGAAAGTATGATTGAAAATAACCATGCTATGAAGCTGAAGTAGCGTGTTAATAGCTGAATAAAAGCCTAGATATTATCCGATAATGCTAAATATCTAATTAACCAAAGCCCAAGCAGGGACCTCCTTTTTAAAGTGAGTCATGATTTCAACATCTCCAGATATATCCTCCTCTTCTTCTGTGTTGACTGTTTTGCAGCGAGACCTTGATCTGGTGCATATAGCCTGCACTTGCGTAGACTGGCTGAGATGAGACTCATCTCGGATTTTCCATCTTCAAGCTCCATACTACCATCACGAATTGAAATGGCCGAGACAAAAAGACCGTTTACGCAGTTTCGTATCATGGTTGGCTCGTATGAGCATAACCTTTTATGTTTGTCTTTAGTGTTGGACGGAGAGAAGGAACCTGTCTTCACACCAGTTTTTCACTTCCAGGCCCATGCCTTATCGATCAAATCCATAGACATAGCCAAGAGATACTTGGTTACGGGATCAAATGACGAGCATATCAGAATCTATGATCTACAAAAGAGAAAAGAGCTCGGTACTTTGTTGAGTCACCAGGGTACAGTTACCACCTTGAGGTTCTCGAGAGAGACCACAGAAGAGAGTGCAGAATCAGGAAAGTCAGGTAAATGGCTCTTGTCAGGATCCGAAGATGGTAAGATTATCATCTGGAGAGCCAAGGATTGGGAGATGTTGGGTACCTTGAAGGGCCACCAGGGCCGTATCAACGACCTCGACATCCACCCTTCAGGAAGAGTGGCTATTTCTGTGTCTACAGACAAGACCATCAGATTGTGGAATTTGATGACAGCTAAGAAGGCTGCTATTCTTAAAATTAAAGGAAAAGATCACTTGGGCCAGTCAGGCGAGATTGTCAGATGGACCAATTCAGGAAAGCATTTCATAGTTGGTTTGATTAACCAGCTCTTCATCTACGAGTTGGGTGCTGAGGCCCAGCTTGCTCATAAACTCAAATTTAAGACCACTTTGATGTGTCTTGAAGTTTTGAATATTGAAGGAAAAGAGTTCCTCGTCACTGGTCATAGCAACGGTTCTATTGAGTTTGTTGAACTAGAAAAGGTCTTGCTGCTGGAGGAAGAGACAGTCGAGCCAGATTTCTCCTTCCGTGGCCACCTGAACCGTGTTAAGGGATTATCCTTCTTCTGTGACGAGATCGAAACCAAGGGAATCCCATATCTCGTGTCAGTCTCTTCTGATGGAAGAATCGTCGTATGGGATGTCAGATCGAAGGTCAGAGACCAAGTTGCTGTTTACGACAGTGGCGAGAGACTTAATTGTGTTGCTGTCTGTGGTGAGACCGTTGAAAAGGCTGCTACAATGAAGAGAACGCATCAAGAATCCGAGAAGAGTGCCCCAAGTGATTCAGAGTATGAGACAGATGCTGAAGAGGCCAAAAAGGTGCTTCTTAGTGAAAAGAAAAAGAAGCGTGGCAAGAAGAACAAGAAATCAAAGGTCAGTGTTACATTGGGATGATTAAAGTAAACGGTATAGAACGATTAATATACACAAGAAGGGAACTATGAAATCTAGTTAGTCAATCTGCTAACGTGGTGGTCAAACAAAGCCTTGGCTCTGGTCCACACTGGAGCAGAGTCTCTCTGTGGCAATTGCAACAAAGAAGGCATCAAGTCCTTGGAAAACTGTTCGGAAGCCTCTCTAGGCAACAAACTTGGCAAGTGGTCAATGGAGCACACAGACAACTTTGGGCCAGCAGAGGTCTCAACGAGGACAGTTGGGTCATTGAAGACAGTAGCAATCGTGTAGACAGGGATTGGGTTGTGAGGATTCGTGGTGTCAGCAGAGACGTCGACAATGGATCTCAACTTTCTGTCGGCCTTGTTCAACAAGTCAAAGTTGATGAATGGAGCAATTGGCTTAGACAAGTAGATACAGTTGACAAAGATGTCAGAGTCAGCAATTTCCTGGAATGGACCGCCCTTGGCAGTCTCAGCCATATCCCACTTCTGCAAGCTGTCTTCTGGAATACCAACCTTTCTAAAAAGATCAAGAGCACCAGAACCACATCTACCGAGAGCTCCAATAACCAAGCAGCTCGGAAGCTTACCACCAGTCTTTTGCACAGCAGCATCCAATTCAGCCTTGACATGCTTAACCAAAGCATCCTCGTTAGGGTATGGAGTAACAGCTGGCAAATCTTCAGAGTCAGAGTGGGTCTGCTTGAAAGCCCAGTCCAAGACGCCAATGGCAGCACCAGCGAAACCGGCGTAGAAACCAAAAGCAGCCACTCTTCTGCCCTCATCATTCTCCAAGAACTCCAAGTCGTACAACGTTCCCTTACCAGCAGGGAAACGCTTCAAGACGTCCTGCCATCCGCCCTGGTCCTTGTAACAGTGAGCGAACTGAATGTGTTCGTGGACCAATGGGAAGGTTTCATCTTCAGGCAACTCCTTCAATCCAAGTATAAGACGGTCCTTTGGAGCTTCCTTCCATGAACCAGCAGGCACAATAGTAGCACCCACATCGGCGTATTCCTTAGCCTCAAAGATAGACTGAGGGCTGTCTTCAACGAAGACATTGAAACCAGCATCCAACAATTGCTTGGTTGTGGTTGGGGTCAAGGCAGCTCTGGCCTCCAAAGGCTTAGTTTCAGCTCTGAGATGTACGGTAACAGCCATTTTTAATTAGTATGGTGGATTTTTATGTTCTGTGATGGGTGAAAAAAATTACAAGGTGCTTATACCCTTGCAGCTTTATAGTAGTGCAACCGTCGAGGTGACCTGCATCATGGCCATTGATTGCAAAGGCATTTTTCTCAATGACTCAGATAACACTGGGCCATGTGCAGTAACCCCAGTATTAGCGACGCTATCAGTTAGTCATCGACGTTACGGCGTGGGAGGGCCAAGGCAGGAAAAGTATGGCTGTTTGCGTTTGGATTGCATAGAAGACCAATTCTAGACTATTTTGGGTTCTTTTTATATAGGTCGGTATGTACATGGTGGGGCCACAGTGACACTTTCTCATGGCGTTTGTTGGATGGCCGCACTGGATTTTGCAGCCGTTTATTACTCACACGGTCCACCGCTGATGGATCTAATATAAGCTACTCCTTTTCAAGACAACTAAGGACGTATTGGGTAAAACGTGGCTTGGCTTGCTCCCATGTGTCATTTTCCTGGTAACTGTCTCCGTAGACTCTGAACACTTTCTTGATCTGGGCGTTCTCAGCCTCGTCTGTGATAATCTTGTTCTCAATGGCCTTGTCAAAGAGAAGGTGTGCAAATTCTCTATCGTTGTCATAAAGATTTGCAACCATGAGGGCTTCGGTAAGAACACCAGATGGTGATCTTCCAGTATTTTCATTCACATTTTTGGAAACCAGTTTGATGTAGTCATTGTAAAGGCTCAATGAGTCCTCAGCATTGAACCTAGCTCTTGCCAAAATCAATTGGACCAAGGTTTTCACTTGAAGCTCATCAGGGTCTACCAAGGTTTCGGCAATTGTCAAAAGAGTCTTGTCTCCCTTCTTGAAAGCCTGGTAGCTGAACACTTGAACAAGTTTTGCTTGGACAAGATCAATACCGAATTTTTCATGTGTCAGGTACTTGTGGAACTTTTCAAGCGCTTTATTAAAATCCCCAAGATATATTCCGTAAACTGGAATAAGCTGCAAACGCACAAGCAAAGATTCTGGGTCCTTCTTGTCTATGTCAAGATGATTCTCCTCAACATGCTCAATAACTGCGGTAAGAAACTCAGAACCTTCGGTCTTTTCAAATGACAAATAAGCAAGAATCTTAGATATACTATCCTTTGAAAGAAGGTTTGGATCCTTCTCAAAGATCACTTTGGAAATTCCAAGGAACTCTTTCCTATCAGTCGTGGTGGAGAGCTTTCCATTCAACCAATTGACAAACAGCGGGGCCAGAATTTCAGAAAGCTTCGAGGCATTTCCAAGTTCAACTAATTTCGAAACAAGAGCATCCCACTGTTCCTCTGCTTGAACGTTTTCTTCAATGCCATTCAACAATTTGATAGCCCTATTAAGTCTATCCTCTGTAACTTCCACAGCGCCTTCTCTAATTTCAGACTTTTCTCCTTGAAGGAGCTTATTTACCACTGCCAATTGTACCTTGTGATCAGCCTCTGCTCCATGCTTATCAAGTAATGCCCACAGAGAAATGGCTCTGCCTGGGTTACTCTCAATGAGTGAATGTAGCGAGTCCTTGTCCCACACATGAGACGTGTTGGCTTTGCTCAAGGTATAGTATAACGAAAAGTCGCCGGGCAAAGCATGCTGAAGTAGCTGGTTGATTATGCCGATTGGAGCCTTTTGATCTTTAATGATCTGGTGAACATCCGCTAGCTCTTCAGATGTGAGATCTTTGGAGGAAAAGAAGTCGCCAACGGCTTCTGGAGAAACTGGGGTTCCTTTTCTGAGGGATTGAAGAACCGTAGAATTGAATCTAATGAATCCTCTAGTACTAATAATACCCGAGCGTAGGGGTTTGAGATGTCTCATATGGATCATAAGTAGTAGTATTGTCTACAATTTTTCATGTCGCACTATGAATATCTTATGTATCTAATCGTGTTTAAGGCTCTGCTCCATCTTTGCCAAAAGGCCCATAGCAGGGAAATAGTTCTCCCATTGGCTCTTGACATCCAAGTTGTCAACCTCATTGAAGTTGAAGTTTTTGCTGAGATACTCATTGTAGTCTATCCACTTTTTGCTCTGTTCGCATGCATAACTCCAACTGGCTTTATAAGCTCCACCAAGAGCACAAGCATTAGGAATTTCGACCTGGAAATTGCCTGCTGTGGCTCCCATAATAGAGGCCATCTTACGGATAATGCTAGTGTTTTTAGAAGCACCGCCGACGAAGAAAAGCTTGTGTGGTTTTGCCGTAAGCGAGCTGAAAGTCTGTTTCTTACCGTCAGTGTAAATGTCACCAAAATCGGTGTGCAACTTGTGGTAGAGACCCTTCAAGCCTTTATCTTCAATGTCAGGCGTGTCTGTAGATGCACTTGCAGAGCCACTCAACATGGGGCCAGCTCTCAAACGACAAGAGATTGTTTGTGATTCAACAATGGACGTGACATCTTCTTCACACTCCCATTCTTGGACTTCTTCGATTTTACCATTCTGCTCCAACTTACAACGCTTAAATTGAGAAGCAGCATTGGGCACAATTTCACCAATTGGGAAATAGATACCGAGCCTGTTATCGAATTTTTCACTGGCATCAAGAATCTCATCAAATTTGTCCCAGGAGTCACGTCCTAGCTTGTACTTTTCATTCACATCATTTCTCACGTATTCTCTGGCCAATGCACCATTTGAATAACAAATCATACCCATATAAGCATTCTTTATCGTAGGATGTTTGAACAAGTGATATTGGGAGGATGGATTGAATTGTTCAGTGACCAAAAGGACCGTAGTTGAGGTTCCAAGGGACATCATCACATCGTTCTGTTCAACAGGTAAGGAGATGATAGTAGCCAAGTTGTCACCAGTGAAAGAATAGATTTTTGCATCTTCGCTGAAACCATACTTTTTGATGAAGTATGGGCAAACAGTACCCAATGCATCGTATGTGATTTCGTCGATTGGACCCAACTTATCCTTAAGTTCCCTAACACCGTTGGCTGTGTCTTCTTTCGAAGCACCATCCAACGAAGGATGAACACCAGCGGCAACGGAAGTCAACTCCTCATCATATTTGCCATCGGCAATGTTATAAATATTCATTCCACATGCGTCAGCATGCTCAATGGGGGCAATCTTACCCAAAAGTACGGAAGCCAAAAAGCTCGAAACCAAAGAAATTCTGCTTGTTTTCTGGTAAACTTCTGGTGCCTTTCTAACAGCTAACTTACGGATCTGCAAGCCAGTGAATCTATGATGAGCTCTGGAGCCAGTTCTCTCAGCAAGATTGTCAGGACCACCTGTTACTTTCTCGAAATCCTTGATTTCTTGACCAGTAGAATGATCCTGCCAATTGGGCGATGTTTCCCAGGCCAAAGCACCATCTAGACCTTCAAGCAAGGAAGAAGCATTTCCCAAATTTTCAAGCGCATCACTAGCAGAGCTAGACCAGTAAACAGATCCATGCTGCATACCTGACCCACTCATTCCCTTAACCTGCTGGAAAGGAAAGTTGTCCTTCTTCATGAGGCCAAACGCGGTATCAACAGCCTCCAACCACATCTTCACTGGCGATAAGATCTCCCCAGCATTCTCATCCGTCAAAACACCTTTGTTAACACCATATTTATCCTTAAAGTAGTCGTCAAAGCCCACAGCGTAGGTTTTACGAGCATTCAAGTCAGCGTCGGTGACAATCACCTTAAGCTGCTGGGTCGACAAGTCGAAACCCAAAAACAAATCATCAGAACTAGAGCTCATACTTCACTTGGAGCCACTTGACAGGGTTCTGCTTATATTGAGGCCAAGGGGGCAAGACAAGTACCAAGGTGACGAGAACAGTCAAGGCAAACGTCACAACTAACAGAAACAAACTCTGGGTAAGGAAACCGGCAATCACAGAGACAATGGCCGAGACAGGGACGAAAAGAGTGATAATACGGTCAACCTTCTTCTGGCCTTCAAAGTCAATGGGGAATTCCAAGAGGTCGTTGATCTGGGCAGCAATCTGGTCCATAATGAGCGAGGTGGTACGTGAGCAGGTGACGTCGAGTTGCGATTTGGCGTATGTAGTCCACTTTGGTTTCGCGCCAGTGCCCAAATGGCAGTTACAGTAGGGAGTTGGGGATGTGGGAGTGTAAGGTTTGATAGTTGACGAAAAATCAACTAATTGAGGGTTAGAAGGCTTTTGTGTACTTGGGTACTACAGGAAGCCGAACCATTGACTTGCTCAAGTGGCGGCTTCGTACGATCGTATGGGGTAGTTTAGAGCGCTTATACCTTCCTAATAGCCCTACTATAGAACCCGTGCCAGGCCGTATATGACCTTGCTACACCTCGATCGCTCGTGCATAACATCAACATACTGGATCGAGAAAAGCGACCGTCTCCTTATTACTGGACTTCCGTTGCCTCACTCCCTATCATGTGTTTGGATAGGAGTATGCTTGCTCCTGGGCAGTGTCTGGATTCAAGCACTGGTTGCGAACTGGGTGCAAAAAATGTCGTCGCTTGGGTACCCTCCAGTGGCACCACACAGTTCAAGCTTCCAAGCCTTCTTGGCTGTAAAACATAGCCTATCGGTGTTAGACGAGGTGGGGGTTTCTTGTAGAACGGTTTGTTCGGCTTTTACAGGGTTAGTGTATCCAAAATATCGACCCTTGCTGAGGTAAAGACGACATTGTCGTTCGGGAAGTTCGGTTCCTCCCCTGGCCAGTATACCAAAAGTAGTGTCCAGTTAAACCAGGGCTATTTGTTACCAGTATGTACCAGAGCTTCTCTCCCTAAATGGCCCCAGAAGCTTATTTTCAAATGATCCCGGAATCTTCCTGCCCCTCCATGTGGGACTACCAAAAACCACCCTCGATTGCTGCAAAATATGAGTTTGTGCGGATACTTTTGAAATCAGCAAGCCACGGGAAAAGGAGAATGTGGGTTTCAAGATAACAACTGTAAACTACAAGTGGGGAGGAAAGAAGACTTTCTGGGAGTGGCAATTCGGTGATTAACCCAGGGCTCTAGACTTGAAATTTGTCTCAGGTGAGACACACTTCGCGGTTAAATGTGGGGCCGATCCAATGTGGAGGTGATTAAAAATAAAACCGAGCTCACCTCCTATTCAAGTTTCACTACTTGTTTACATTGAGGTAATTTTTGATGTCATGTATTTTCTGGGGCATCGTCTCGTAAGCTAATAAATAAATTTCAAAACAGTCGTTTCTCATAGAGGCCTCCAATCTGGGGCCACATCTGGTGGGGTGTATGTGTGTCAATTGGATAGTCTCTCTAGTGTACTTCTTTTTCAACGTAGTACTCAACGTCGTTGCTTAAGAGTTTCTCTTCTAAAAAGTCTGCAACCTGGTTGTAGTGGTCCTCTTCAATCACAGAAAGCATTTTGTCCTGTGGATCAATTGGTTCGAAAGAGAAGCCATACTCGCTGTCCAGGTATGCTGGCAAGTCATAAAACTTAAACATATTGGGTTTCTTCTCGTTGGCCATGCTCAGGTTGTTGGTGGAAACAGTGGTGGATCTGGTAAGGGATGTCATGAGCAGGCTCTCACCATCAGTTTCGGAACAGCCGGGGGAAACCAGTCTCGATAACAGCGTAGATTCGTATTCGTCGTCGTCTTCGTCTTCCAGGTCAGATAAGTTGACATAGTTGAACACGTCAAGAGCAGCGTCTTCCGGCAGTTCCACAATCAACTCTTGCTCTTCCGGTATACTCAAGTCAGAAGGCGATCTATACGAAAGGTGATTCATATTAGATATGAGTTCATTCATGGGATCGTTCACTTCCGTAAACACCCGCTTGCGGGAGGTGGAGCTAGGGCTGTCAGCATCGACCAATGCCGGCAGATCCGGATCCATTGGCGACAGCATAAGGTGGGATTTGAGTCTTTTGTAGTCATGAATAAGCGAAAGCAATTTGATCTTGAGTTGGTAGTTTTCCTTATCCAAGTTACCGATGGAGGAGGAAAGTTCAGCGGCCAGAGGGCCCAGCAGCAAAGGTTCTGATTTAGACTTCAGCGTTGGAGCTGTGGTTGGAACTGGGGCCGGATTCGAAGCGGGAGCAGTAACTGGAGCTGGCGCTGGCGCCAGAGATGAAGGTTTGGATGCAATTGAAGGCTCTGTCAAAGAGGCCCTCTTCTGAGGTTTTAGTTGCACGGGAGATGGAGCCAGTTGTGGAGCCGAAGAAGCCGGCGGTTGGGTCTGGGGAGCCACAGGAGGTTTCTCTTTCTTGTCTTTATCCTTTTTCTTCTCCAGACGAGCCCTTCTGGCATTCTTTGGCCTGGGCGGAAGCACCCAGTTCTTCAGCGTCTTGACAGTTAAAATGGGTCTGCGCTCAGTGGGAACACAGGGAGGGGCATTCATAGTTTGTGGGTTGAGGCTATATCAGCATGCTACAACGGGATTGTGTGGGAATTGGGGTTGTGGAGGTTTTGTTGGAGGTGGTGGTGGTGGATTCGGGAAGGCCTTGGGTGAAAAATAAATAAGGCAATGATGCAAACTAAATTAAAAATAACAATAAAAATTCAAACCGGAACAAACAAATGTATCGGCAGGCAATAAGAAAAGAAGAAGGCAATGAAATAAATAAAGTTTTTTTTTCTTTGGGAATGAAATCACTAAGGATATATGTTGACTTTGGTTAAGCTGGGTGGACCGCAATAAAAACTCCAAAAGAAAAAAAACCGAAGCGTAGCGCAGTGATATATAAAGTATACCTAAGCGGCAAGAGCAGGCAAAAAAAAAAAAAAAAAAAAAAAGGCGCCGTACCCATCCACTTAGGTGCACTTAATATATAAAGGTGCGATTTTTGTATAGGCGTCTGCTTGTCGTTACCGAGCCAGGTACAGTTCCCGCGGACAAAGTCGGGACGAACAGGCAGAAGCAAAGGCAAAAAAGGACGAAAAAAAAAAGGAAAACGGGCGCGAACTGACCTACGGTGGAACGGGTCAGTTGTCCCTAAACAGCCCCCATTTAATAGAAACTAGGGGTAAAAGAAAAGAAAAAAAAAAGAGGTATTTGCCACAGCGTGACCAGGGTCAGACGTCGTCATGAATTCCAAGAAGTATCCTATACTATTGGTGCCTTTGGTGGTCCCTTGTATCTCTGGTGACTGCGAATCGTCCCGAAAGGCTCCTGCCTGGACCCCAGAAAAACGTAGAGCGAAGCCTAAAATAGTGTACATTTTGTTCTGCACTTGCCGTGCACCTGCCTTTTGCTGGTGCTGCTGGAGGCATTTCCGCGGGACGAGCGGCCCGTGAAGATTCCGTCAAGACGTAGGGAGAGGAAGAGCAGAGGGCGTGGTTTGGAAAGAAAGAAGATTTATACGATGAAGTGGTTGAAAGTGAACGATATCCTCTTCTTCTTCTGTTTTTAGGTACGTCTTGGGGTTCCAGATCTTGGAAGTGTTGCACTCTGGTGGCCTCGGTCTTTGGCACAATGGCTGCGAATCCTGGCCAAGACCGTTGCATCTGCCTGGGCACAGGTTCGGAAAAAACCACCCTCCACCCAGACCGAAGAGATGAATGATAGGGATGGACAGACAGCGATGGAGTTGGGGTTGGAAGTCTGGAAAGGCTGGATGACTGAGTAGCTACTTTCTTGCTAGGTCTGTTTTCCCGGTTTCCCGGTATCTCCCTCTGAATATTGTAAGGCGCCGTCAAGACGTGGCGGTCACGGGAATGTCACGGCACTACAATGAGCCGTTGGCGATTTACATTCACTCATCGGTGTCGTCGGAACCCTTGCGTGATCGTATAAAAGGTTGTTTTGGGCTGTGGTATTGGCTGGTTTTAGAGATCGTCCTCTTTGCATTAGAACTGCTGGATACCTCTTTCCGGGTGCTTGTTTACCCGACTTTGTGACTCCTTTTCTTCTACGCGTAATGGCTGCGAAATCTATAACAAAGTCAGGGCTACTGGGCCTAGGGCTTGTTCAGGGCTCATACATTTTCCGGGGAAACATGTAAAATTTATCCACTGAAAAATGAACGCCAATGGTGTTGGCTACAATTGCATTGTTGGATCTTTTCCTTCTATTTATTTATCAAAAAGGGGTCGTTTGCGTCGGGTACAGCAAAAAAAGGACTTCCGTTCCGGGATATCCTGCTCACCGGAGGTTATACTCCAGAGCCTTCCTCTACCCTACGTCAATTCTCTCTGGGATACTTTTCCTTCTCTTTTTTTAAATTATTCACTCACTCTCTAGTTCTGAGTTGGCATGGCTGTGGATGGAGCCAACACCTGGTCGACATTGTTGGTCTTCCAGAGAGTGGTGATGGTCTTTGGCTGGGTCAAGAAAGTGACACCGGCCTTACCGTAAAAGTTCAAGTCACCCAAGAAAGAAGCCTTGTTACCAGTGAAGGAGAACATTGGCAATGGCACAGGGATTGGCACGTTCACACCAACCTGACCACAAGCAATCTCCTTGGTGAATTTCTGTGCAGCGGCGCCTGCGCTGGTGAACAACGAAACACCATTACCGTATCTGTTAGAGTTGACCAACTCAATAGCCTCATCGAAAGTGTCAACGTTAACAACAGCCAAAACTGGGGCGAAGATCTCCTCGTCGTAAGCTCTCATGCCTGGCTTGACGTCAGTCAAGATAGTTGGGCCCAAGAAGTTACCCTTCTCGAACTTAGGGTCAGCTGGCTTGAAGTTTCTACCGTCAAGGAGGATGGTAGCACCTTGCTTCTCGGAGTCAGCAATGATCTCATTGGCTCTGGTCAATGACTCAGGGTTCACAAGTGGACCCAAGTCAGACTTGGAGTCGAAACCGGAACCAGTGGTCAACTTAGCAGCGTCAGCAGCAACTTCCTCAACCCACTTCTTGGTCTTCTCACCAACAGTGACGAGAACGGAAATAGCCATACATCTCTGACCAGCAGCACCGAAAGCAGCACCGCTGACGGCGTTGATGAAGTGGTTCTTGTCAGCATCTGGCAACACAATCAAGTGGTTCTTAGCACCAAGGTTGGCCTGGACTCTCTTGCCCAAAGCAGTACCCTTTTCGTAAATGTACTTACCGGCCTTGTCACCACCAACAAAGTTGACGGCCTTGACTCTTGGGTCCTCAATGATCTTGTTGACAGTGTCGTGCTTACCGTGAACAATGTTCAACACACCTGGTGGAACACCAGCCTCGGCAGCCAATTGAGCAATGATCATGGCAGCACCTGGGACTCTCTCAGATGGCTTGATCACAGCAGTGTTACCGGTGACAAGCACCAATGGCAAACTCCACAATGGAACCATGGCTGGGAAGTTGAATGGACAGATGGAGCCAATGACACCCAAAGGCTCTCTGACCATCTTGGTCTCCATATCGGTGGCAACCTCCAAAGAAGAAGCCATCAAGTCGTTTGGAGCGTTACAAGCAGCCTCAGCAACTTGCAAACCACGCAAAACGTCACCCTTGGCGTCTGGGAAGGTCTTACCCTGCTCCAAGACAATCATACCAGCAAGTCTGTCGTGGTTCTTCTTCAACAACTCGACAAACTTGAAAGCAATACCCTGTCTCTTGATGATAGAGTAGTTCTTCCATTCGTGGAAAGCCTTGTCAGCAGAAGCAATAGCATCGTCAAGCTCTTGTGGAGTCAGCTGAGGAACCTTGGAGATAACCTCGTTGGTGGCTGGGTCATGGATATCAAACCAGGTCTGGGAGTCAGACTTGACCAACTTGTTGTCAATGAAAGAAGGAGTCAAGTAAGGCTCAGTGCCCTTTTCCAAGTGATTTGTGGGGTACGACTCAGTCGTGGAGTTGAGAGGGATGGTCGAAAGAGAACGAGCAAACAAAGGCCCTGGGGCTTTGGCCACACGAGCAGCTGATCTGGAGATATTTCTCAACATAACAAAAAAAGTTGGATTCTATTCGAAAACCTGTTCCCTGCTCCGGGAACGCCTATGGTTATATACCCTTGTGGAGACTGCCTTCCGCTAGCGGGTGCGAAAAAGAAAAAGAGGGCCTTTCAACGCAGTCCCATGTGAACCCCACTGCGACTCTCCAAAAAGGCCTAAGGAACCCCCGCGCTTAGTGCCTTAACTATGAGGTTGGCTGCGAAAAAAGGCTGCCATTCCGTGGATAATCAACGCCCAAGGAAGACCGATGCCACTAGCTCGAGTGGGTTCGTGCAGTCTTTGGGTAGCTTGAACGCTTGAATTTATGCTGACAAACGGCTTGCCTGTTCCGTCGAACTCTGCCTCCTCATACTATGTAGACGTCATGTCGGGAATCCTCGAGCGCCTTTGCCATGTAACTAGGGGCGCGTGTCGGACGAGCGATCCCTAACAGTGTGCCAACTGGCACTTGGGGGCCCTCAGGTGTGCGGAAAAATCGATTGCGAGGAAAGGTACCACCGCTAAAAATGGTAATCTGGGCGGTTTTGGCGTAACCACCATTTCGTTGGTTGCTTTTACAAACTGGTCAAGATGCGGCTGAAATGCTTCTCTTTGTTTATTTCTCACGCATACTCTGTACTGTTCCAAAGGTCGTAGTACAAGTCTAGAAGACAAGATGTGCTCCATGCTTGTGTAGGACTTGAGTCATGGCACAAGGCTCCGTCTTTGTTGGTCAACTCGGTAATACCGGCCCAGGGGCTTTCACGGATCCACTTCTTGTGGCCACTGAGTCTCTTGTTGACTTCTGTCAAAAGCTCCACTGAAGGTCTGTGCGCTCCGCTCTTCTCGTCCTGATGGTGGAAGTACAAGAAAGATCTGATAAAGTAGCCAAAAAGCCAAACCCATTCTGGACCTTGATGGTAGTTTCTTCCCTTGGATGTAGCAAAATCTTCACTGTCCTCTGAGTTGTGGTAGTCTGGGCGGTAGTTCCAGTCTGAAGGGTCCAACGTTCTCATACCCACAGGACCTCTGATGACCTCATCAGCGATCTTGATGGCTTTGAGTGCTTTCTCGGCGTCGAACAATTCTGGTGCAACAGACATCGCAATAGGGAAGTTGGCTCTCAACTGGTAATCTTCAAACTCCTTACCACTGCGGTAAAGATCCTTATAGATACCTCTTCTGTTCACCACATCAGGATTAATAGAATAGTTTTGGTCCTCAGAAGCATCCTCAGGAACATAAAAGTGTTTCTCAAAGTTCTCCTGGATAAGCTTCTCCCAGTCTTCTAACAGCACCTTGCTGCCATCTGGCTTCTCGACTTCAGTATATCCGAAATGACCCTCACTGCGCAACTTGTTCACGAACCTCAAAGTACTCTTCAAAAGACCTTGCAACTCAACTGCTGCACCATCTCTAGGCGTACCTGGGTAACCCTTGTTACCAGCCTTTTCACTCTCACCCATCTTATCCATCCAGGTACCACAGTTCCACTGGGAACCACCATGGACGAGACCAGTTTCCCAGTCAACATTCACTTCCACATTGAAGCCTTCGTCAGTCATCTGCCTGTCGAGGTTTGGCCCAGCGTTAGCCTCACGGTATTTGATGCCCTTAGCGTGACGAGCTAAAATCTCGTAGAGAATATCTCTGATGGAGGTCTCGTAACTAAATGCCTTCTCGTCATCCCATGGAATGTAGGTGTCATCAAGAGGGAATCTTCTAGAGACCTTCTCGTCGAGGATTTTCACTCCATCAGGAACATTGATCACGTATTCCTGGACGGCTTGAGCGAAAAACCAAGCGGCATCTCTAGCATTATAACGAGGATTTCTACCAGCATCCAACAAATTAGGAATGAGACCATGCTTCAACGTTTTAGCAAATCCAAGGATGTGCTGTTTGGCATCATCAAACCTGCCTGGTACAATTAACAAACCACGGAAAGAAATAAACACGTCTCTGCCCCAGCACCTCATATAATCGTTACTAAAGTGAGGAAGACCAGCAGAGAGACATGGCACATTCGTCTTAGGAAGCAACGAAGTGTTATTCATGAAGCCACACATTTGAACACTTGTAAGGGCTAAGCTTTGGACAAAGTTGGTGGCACTCTTGATGTTGTCATCGAGCTGTCTCAAGACACGGAATCTAGCAGCTTCATAGGCGACGCCAACAACAAGTGCAAAGTAATGTGGCCTCAAGAAGTATGGCACCTTTCTAATGGCATCCACGCGAGACTTAAGCCAATCACGGAACTGATGCAAATTCTTAGAGTTCTTGACATACTTCTCAAGTCTGTTCACGATGTAATCACCAGCCCAAAAACCTTCTCTCAAGTGATTACAGAGTGGATGAGCAAGATCGTTACTCCAGACAACTCCCTTGAGCACAGATACCCAACCTTGCAAGCCAGCGTATACCAAAGGTCCATAGTTTGGGATATCATAAACGCTATCAGAACCCCCGCTTGCGTCTCTTTCTTCGGGCTCACTTCTGTACAAGATGTTGTTCAAGTCATACAAGTCCAAGCCCAAAGAGGCTTCCACTGCACCCTTCTTAACAAACTCGTCCAAAGAGGCGTCAACATTGGGGATCTTAGTCGAAAACACTGCAATACTTCCTGGAACAAAAGATTCATCCACCCTAATGATGGCCTCGTTACCATTATGTTCCACTTCTGGTAAGGTGATTTCCTCAAGTTTGGTTGGAATGGAGGTAAGGTATTTTTCATCCCTAGAATACTCTCCAACCTTTTTCAAAGTGTAGCTAAACTCTAGCTTCACTTCAGTTCCACTTAATATAACTGGGTTCAAAATTTGATCATCTTGGCCCTCGAAGAACTTGGTTCTGGCAATCAAAAACCAACCCTCACCTGTAACCGTATTATATCTCTGAATGGTGATATACTGGTTTTCGTGATGAATGTACATCTCTTGGTCTGATGCTGCCTCCTTGCTTTCCTCTGCTAAGGAGTCTCTCACGTCATTCATCTTCTTTCTTGCTTCAGCAATACCACTTGTGGCATCGAATGAGTACTGTCTATCTTCGTTGACAACATCAAGCAATTCAGGATAAGTTTCATCGAATCCAAAGGTGGTTCCAATGGCACTGGAGCAGAAAGCAACCAATGCTGCGGTAGATAAGGTGTCCTCCACGGTTCTAACTTGAGCTGGCATTTGGTTATCATGAGTACAATCCATGAACAAGGCATGTGGGGCATGGTTCGTAAGAACATGAGGGATTTCCAACTCAGAGTGACCTTCAGCATATTTGTTGGCGGTTGGCTCCTCCTCGCAAGGGTATGCGAATTCGTCTAATGGCATCCAAGTAAGAGAGCCAATTGGTCTACCACCGTGCTTGTGGACAAGTCTTGATAATTCTTCGACACTCCATGCTTGCATTGCCTCTCTGATCAATGAGTTGATTCCCAATCTTTCAACGAAAATCTTGTCCATCTCCTCAGATCCAGTAAAAAGCTCAGCAGCCACATACAAGTCTGGATTCACTGATCTGGCAGCGTCCAACAAGGCTTCGCCAACATGCAAAGGCGTAGAGTGACAATTGTCAAGTCTGAAACCGCTGAAAGCTTCAGCACTGTTCTTGGTGTACTCTATCATTCTTTCCCAAAGGTGAGGAGAGTCTTCGGGGCCCTTACCGTATCTCAACTTGACACAGTCACTCCAAACAATGACTTCACGGCGAAGGTAAGATTTGGATTGCGAAGAAGCAAAGTCGACAAGCGGATTACCACCCCAAATCCAACCATTGTTGGCCAAAGCATATTCTTGGCCATCTTTACCTTCAAATCTTGTAAAATAAGCCTCGGTGAACTTACTATCTTTTGTGATAGGACCCAACTTTGGGCCATTGTCTGCCAATCTAAGATATCTAGCTCTATCGGCAACTTGCAATTTGATTGAACGAACGTCATCGTCATAGGCGGCGTATAAAGGAGCATTTATCTCGTCAATAATACGAGACGCTTTGCCTTCAACTTGTTCAAATTCTCCAGAGGCGACAGCAAAAAGGATGCTCAAGAACTTTGAGCTATCGAGCTTATTCAGGAATCTATCGTTCAAGATTGGTTCCCCATCAACACTGGCGCTACTGAGAACATAAGATGCTAACAGTTTTATATCGGACACGTTAACATGATCAGGAATATCAGCCGGGTCAACCTTGCCGCTGTCGAAGCGTTCCTTTAAGTCCTTAAGGGTCTCTTTTTTGTCAAACACATAGTATTGCCACAAGGCGAGTGAATCTAAGACATGTTCCTGAATTCCACTAACAATTTTTTTGAGAGCTCCCTCATCATTAATTTCAGTGGGTAAGCCAAGCTCTGACAACTTATCGGAATAATCTAAGAGTTTCTGATCCAACTCGATAGCAGCTTTCAAATGTGGGGCGGTTATCGCATTATATCCAGCATCAGGATGATCTCTAAGCCATGGAGAATCATCCGAAGTGTGGTTCCAAACCACATCGGTCAATGACAACAAGTTATGCTTACCGGTGGTCTCGTGAATAAACAGAATGGCCTTCTTGGTATCTGAGAAGAGCGCAGGGTCAAAACGCAATTGGTCCCGGATAGAGTAGGGCGAATTGGATGAGCCTCTTTCTTGCAAAGGAGTGAAATGAATCATATCGTATCCCTTTTCGGAAACATATCCAAACAACTTGTCCCAGTTGTCCAAGGGGCCAGCCCATTTGGACACTATGGTCTGGATGTTGATGGCATTGAAAGGCACGTACTTACCGTTGACCACAAGGTTAGGTGGCACAACAAAGTACACTTGTTCACTTTTAGCTGCTTCCTCCTTCTCATTCTCGTACTCAATGTAGAAAGAGTAAGGCCCAGGGTAGAAGATAGGCACCTTGAACGTAGTGTCCTTCGTGAATGAGCTCGATAAAGGAATCTCCTGGAACTGGTGCCTTTTGAAAGCCGTAGAACCGTTTTTAGGGACATTGATGAAAAAAGTACCCTTTCTTGTCACTGGAGCAGCCGCATTGAGCTGAACAACCAACTCAAACAAAGGGTCCCCCTTTGCGTAACCCTTAGGTGGTGCATAGCTTGGAAGAATGAAAACACCGTTTTTCACGGCGTCGTTGCCGATTGGCGTTCCTTCGTCGTTAAGTCTAAGAAGGACAGAACGCATGCTTAAGCTTCAATTGATAGGTTTTTTTGTGGTGTGTGCCTGCTTTATTGGAAATTGGGGGAGTAGTGGAAACTATGCGCTTTTTATAGTCCACTTGCATATATCGCGAGATTCACCTGAGGTTGCTAGCGTCTGGGGCGACCCTGGCAAACCCCAATGTGGCAGGTACGATTTGCCTAAGAGGTAATACGATTTGGGGTTACAAAGTAGCAAGGGCTGATTTGAAAAGCTTTTAGTTTATATCTAAGCATACTTAACTAGGGAAAGATAGGTCGGTGGTGGTGGCTGTAGGGCATTTTGCAACCATTTCTCACTCCGAACGCCGCAGCTTAAGCAAGGTCCAAGACAGACTCAATCTTCTCTGAAACCTTGTGACCGGAACGAGACTCAGCGGAATCAGTCAATTGGGTGAAACTGGTGGTATCCTTGAAAGCAGGAATTTCCCAAAGGTTCTTGAGCCATTTGTGGACGTGGGGGTAGTCCTTACCAATACTCAAGCGTTGAGCGTCATACTCTTTATAGTAAAGTCTTCCCAAACGCACGATGGATGTGAAAAGCTTAATGTCGGCCTCAGTGACTTGCGAGCCAACGGCAAAGAACAGACCCTTCTTTTGTCTCTCTGCAAGCTCCGTGTCGACCTTCTTGAGCTCATCAATAAGCAACTTGTAGCCGGCCTCGAAGTCCTCCTTGTTAGAAGCAAAAGTCGCCTTGAAGAAGCCCTGGGCAACCTTGTCACCAAACTGTTCATTGAACAGCTCAATGTCCAGCTGCAATTCCTTAGGGTAGAGATCAACCTTGGCATACTTCTCAGGAAGAACCTCGTTGAACTCGGTGTTGAAGAAACGCACCAACTCGGCACTCTCGTTGTTCACCAAAGTTTCCTCCTTCTTATCCCACAAAGCAGGCACAGTCCAACGGCCTTCGTATTCAGGGTTGGCCTTGTTGTATAACTTACTGATTCTATCGAAACCGTAAACTGGCTCAGCGGAACCGTACTTGATATCGCCCTCGGGCACAGAAGCAAGCTCCTCCTTAGTAGCAAATCTCCATCCGTTGGAGTCCAATGAAAAGTGTGTGTGGACAAGTGGGAAGTAGTCCTCCAAGCCCTTGATCTGTCTAGCGATCAATGCTCTTTGAGCGAAGGGACAGGTAAGGGAGACGTACAACAAGTACCTGTTCTTTTCAATTGTGAACTTGGAGCCTGGGCTGTTGGAAACGATGTTGTTGAATGATTTGACTGCCATTGTGGATGTGTGATAAGTGTGTTTGAATGTGGCAAGAGTGGTTCTTATATATGACATTCTGCTTAGTTATATCGGATTTCGCAACCACCCATGCCGATTGATTGCGCATCCACAGTTTTTCACTAAGACCAAATGGAAGAAAGTAAGGGGAAAAGGACGTGGAAAGTTCGAGTTCGAGAATAATCTTTGGGCTAGGGAATTGACAGTGGATGGTAATTTGGAGGCTTGCGTTGTCTCGGCAACTACCGAGCCGACTTACATTTCATGGGTGAAGAGGGAAGGAGAGAACCAAGGCACCGTGGCTCTACTACCCTTTGTAATAGAACCTAAGTGAATCAATTGGGGGACTTGTCTAGTAGGAACAAAAAAAAGGAGTTATTAGGAGAATCCAAAAAAAAGAAGCTTCCCCACCAGGAGTCGAACCTGGAATCTTCTGGTTCCAACAGAAGTGGTTACTTATCGTAGCCAGACGCCTTGACCATTGGGCCATGAGGAACGAAGCTTGCTATATGGAATTCCGGCTACTATATATACCAGGTAATGGTAAAACCTCAATAATGTTGTAGTTTCAATAGTAAAATTGATACTTCAAAGGTTCCTCAATATGTTCCCAATGCCCAAATTTGCGAATTCCCCCGGAAACGTCCCCTTTTTCCATTTATTCCCTCACTACCGCCAACTAGGCCCATAGAAAACCATTCTTCGTCCCCTCCAAACTCCTCTCCAGGGTCCCTTTCCCTCATCTCCATCCCCTCCACTCATATACCCATTTTTCAGCCGTTCCTGGAACTCACGTACGAACCCGAGTTTAGCCGCCTGGGCTTGCATGGATCTGAAAAACCTGAAAAACCTACCAAACGCCGTGACTCAACCCAAGCCCCAGGCCTGGTCGATCCGAACAGAGTCAAAAAAAAAAGTCCAAACACTAAAACATACATATAATATTCGTCATACAAATTCCGAGGTGAAAATATTTCACGCTCAGTAGTGTGAGGCGTCCCACCTCGCGGCTGCAAATGCCCTCCACATTTAGACCATCAGTCGTATAAGCACACAAAGCCAAACAATAATCCACGATGCTAAGAAAAAAACGAATGAAAAAAATCTTCCACCTTTAAGCGACCATGCCGTATGATAAGCCGTTTAATTTCTACGTTTCCAGAAAACGTGGGGTCCTTTAACCATGGTTGGGAGTTTTCCAGATAAGAGCCCTTTTTTTTGTCTTTTTTCTGCTTGCATTGCACATTGTCTGCAAGTATCCGACAAATACGAAGAACTAAAACACGGTAAAATGTGAATAAAATAGAATAAGGTTAAATGGAAGCAAGGAGACATTTCACCATTGATCTGCCGGTGCATTCATTCTCTGGACTTTTTGTCCTTTTTCAGCCTCCTCGTCTGACCTTTTATTCACGTCAATTTGGCATTATCACTTTTTCGGTGCCAAGAAGTGGCTGCTTTAGGCAAATACACCCCCCACATGTTCCATAGATCCTAGGGTTATTTTCACTTTCTTGTTAGATTCAGGCCCTGCGCCAAGGACCATGGAAACCAATAAATACTGGCCCACATGTGTATTTTATATAATTACGTACTACTACTACTTTCACTGCTACATATATATATATATACGGCAGTTGGTCTATAGACGGTTCTAGTAATTAGCGTTTTTAACCCTTTTCTTGCAAATGTCTACCAGAGACTTTCCACACTCTTTTAAAGACGCCCTCACTGGCTGGTACAGAAAGGTGCCTTCAGAGTTGGCATTGACCAAGGCTCAGAGGGAGAGAAACTCGGAACAGCTTCCAGAAAGCGACGAGGACCGTGAAGCGATCAGAAAAGTCCAGTTCAAAAACTTGTGGCCGGCCTTTGTGTCGGGAGCTGGTCTTTTCTCCGATGGATATGTGAATAACTCTATCTCTACCGTAACGGTCTGTTTATCTGCTATCTACGGTGAGACTTACACCGAGTCGAATGCCATTTCTAACGTTGCCGCTATAGCGTTTGCCGGTGTGGTGTTTGGTCAATTGACGTTCGGGTACATTTCTGACCATTTCGCTAGAAAAGGTGGTATGTTGATTGCAAACGTCATTCTTATTTTTTTTACCATTCTTTGTGCTGCTGCTACTTGGGGTGTCACTCCAGAAGGAATGTTCACTGCTTTGACTGTTTTCCGTTTCTTCTTGGGTATTGGTATTGGTGCTGAGTACCCTACTGCCTCAGTTATCGCTTCTGAGTTTGCCAACCAATTGCCTGTGGGCCACAGAAATAGGTACTTTATTTGGTTTACCCATTCATGTGTTGATTTGGGCTATGTCATTTCTGCTTTTGTTCCAATGGTCTTGTTGTGGATCTTTTCAGACCAGAGGTTGGAAGTGGTTTGGAGATTGACCTTGGGTCTCGGTGCCCTCCCAATTATTGTTCTTTTCTTCATGAGAAGAAAAATCCAGAACTCTGAATCTTACGAGAAGACTAACTTGAAGAAAGCTAAGAAGTTCCCATGGTTGCTTGTCATCAAATTCTACTGGTTCCGTCTTACCATCAGTTCTCTCATTTGGTTCATCTATGACTTCTCAGCGTACGCTTTCGCCCTGTACTCTTCTTACATCTTGAGAATCATTGTCCCAGGTGGTGACTTGTACAAGACTTTCGGTTGGAACGTTGTCTTTAACCTCTTCTACCTTCCTGGTACCCTTATTGGTGCTCTTTTTGCTGACTACTTTGGACCTAGAGTAACTATGACTGCTGGACTTTTGTGTCAAAGTATTATTGGATTTGGTATGACTGCTGGTTACTACAACTTGAAGAACAATATTGGATCCTTCGTGGTGGTTTACGGTATTTTCACTGCTCTCGGTGAATTTGGTGCTGGAAACAACACCAGTGTTTTGGCTTCCAAGACATCTGCCACTCCAATTAGAGGTCAATACTATGGTATTGCCGCTGCTGTTGGAAAGGTTGGTGCGTTTGTTGGTACGTACTTATTCCCAGTGATTATGAGAAACCACGGTGGTATCGAATCTGATGAAGGTATCAGAACCACGTTTTACGTTTCTTCTGCCTTGTGTCTTTTCTCCGCAGCTCTCTGCTTGTTCTTCTGTCCATCTGTGGGCCAAGAGGCTATTGATGAGGAGGACAGATTGTTCATTCAGTACTTGAAGGACAACGACTACGACCTCTCCAACTTGGGTGATGGAACTATCGCTCAAGATTATGAAGAGTCCGGTGAACTGATCTCAGAGACAAAGAGCGTCGCCGAAATTCGTGTTCACGAATCCAACACTTCTTCAAATGTCTCGAAGAAGTAATTTTTTAATTTCTTTTACAATCCAGCTAATTTATTCGGCCCCTGGGAAGCTCTTAGAAGGAGTGATTAATCATTCGGTTTATTTCTTGACGACTCACATAATTTCAACAATTATGAAGTGAAGTTGTTGGTAAGACACATTCTGTGCTTACCGTTTTTCAAAGTTTATATGTATGGTACTGAGCATTAAGAATAAAAAACATATAAAAGGAAGTGTAAATTTTACATAAAGTTTTTTAGTTGAAAAAAATACATCTCCTGAAGATTGGGATATACTTGTATCTGGCGCGTTAATAAATGGGTGCAAAAATACCACCTACCAGACAAAGTACATACACTTCATACATTAACTATATTGACTGAACGACCAGAATAAAACACTCGATCAATAGCTGCTCATTGTATTATCTTTATTGTTTTTTTTTATCTAAGTGGCCGTTCCTTTATGCCTTTCACTATCATAGAAGCTTCACTCTTGCGACTCGTTCAGCTAACACCAGAATACCAAAACATAATTATAAGAACAAACTTTCCTAGAACTAAAAACGAACTATGAAAAGTCAATATTGTCCATTTCTTCACAAACCTATAGGAGTACAGACCTCTAATGTACACAGTGGTGCCCTACTGGCTGGTGCCTCAATGTACACTACTGGGCCTCATTGTAGCGACATCTACACTAACAACCATACCTACAACGGCTGAACACTCCTTGTCAATGGCTTCAACAGGTACATTTGAACACCTCAATGATGATGTGGTGGCTGATTTTGCCGGCATGGGCTCCCAGAAGCTTATAGAAAAATTACAAACCCAAGATTTGTCCAGAGTTGAGGCCGACGAGTTGGCTAGTGAAATCTTCACAGAGCTACTTATATGTCATGATGAAGGCCAGTTGACCAATGAAGCAATTGTGACATTTTTAACCAGTGCTATAAATGATGATGAGAAGGCCATTATATTTTGTCAAGCCCTCGATATATTCCCTACATCAGAGACGCTTCAGGGTCTCATAGGCGACCTCAAACAACTGGCTGTTATACAACCCAAGACGTTTGCAGAGAATGTGGATACGTCACTTCTATCAGAACTAGAATTTGTTCCTGGGCAACTACTCAATCGTCAACTAAACACAAGAAAGAGAGATATCTTCTACACGCAAAAGAAGTTTAACCTTCTCTATGAGGAGTTTGAAGGTTATGCTAAGTTGGTTCAGGAGGTATTCAAAATCCTCAAGTCCAAACAAAACTTGGGCCGTGTTGATCTTGCCATTCGTGCTACTGAGTCGCTCATCGGCCATTATCTATTGGATCCAAACAGAGTCCTCGATGTTCTCTTAGAGATCTTCAGTCACCTTATAGTGGGCAATCAAGAGTTTATCATTAGGTTCCTCAAACGTTCCAGATGGTGGCCTGCCACTCCTGCCACTCCCTTATCGGGAATTCCTGGTCTCAACTATGGTGGTTGTGAAACAGCTAGTAAGCTGTTAGCGCTTAAATTCACGAAAGCAAACCCAGCAAAAGACTTTTCCGAAACCTTCAAGATCTTGGTTGCTATTCTCATCAAGAACGGATTCATCAGCTTTGGCTCTATCTACAAATACCTCCGTCCAGGAGAAGAAGAAATGCAAAGTCTTGAAGCTCTATACAAGAAAGAGCTTGATGAAAAGGTTTTCAAATCAAACGCTAGTGCTTTGGCTTTAGCTGCTCCGTTGGCTTCTGAAGAGGATGACGCAGATGATAAGAAGACCACCGAGAAGAAGAATACTATTAACCTGGCAAACGAAACGCTTTCTGCTCGCCTTCTGACAAATGCCAAATTTCAATTTTTGAAAATCTTTCTTACTAATGGCTTATATTGGCCATCTCTCTATATCATTGCAGAATATCCGTTCTTTGTACATGTTGACCCGGAGGTCCCTGAGCTTATGCTTCGAATGTTGGAAAAGATCATTGAACCATTGCACAATAAAGCGAAGTCTTTTGATCTGTCACTCACTGATGCTTTGAGCAAACCCAAGTTACTGGCTCTGTCGCATCATATGGGAGGCGTTAAGTACGTAAAGGTCTCATCTGCTCAATTGTACTGCTTCAAGCCTACAGCTCAAGTGCAAAGCAGTAAAGATCTTGTTTATTTCTACTCGGAATGGGTTGACGATCTTCCGCAGGTCAAAGACGTGGATGGTCTCTTCCAGATATCTCAAGAAATGTTGAAGTTTTTGGGTACTGAGTTGTCAAGAAGCATACCCGTATTTTGCGCTCTATGTGAAATCCTTACATACTGTTGCAAGCAAGAGTCGGGTCCAGAATCCACCGAACTTTTCCTCAACTATTTCAGAAATTACATTCTTCCAGCTTTGGGTAGCGTTGAAGAAAACCCAGTACCTGCCGCCAAAGCGTTTGAGTTCCTCAGCCTCCTTTCACCAGATGATAGGTTCAACTTGTACGGCGAGCTATATCAAGTCGCTGCTAAGAACAATTTGCATATTAAAATTAATTATGGTAGAGCAGAGAAAGCTACCAAAGATACCTTGAAAAGATTGTCGAAGGAGAACGTTACGCCCATGATGAGACGTCTCGCAAAGATTAGTTATACTAACCCATTACCTTGCTTCCTCACAATTCTTCAACAAATCGAAAGTTACGATAATCTCAATTCTTTGGTGGTCGAAACGGCACAATACTTCAACGAATACGGGTGGGATAACTTAACTTTAGCGATCCTTATGCGTTTAACTTCCTTGGGAAGAAGCAACATTCAGCAAGACGGTTTGCATGAGCGGCAATGGATCCAATCTCTTGCGTCTTTCATTGGCCAAATCTGTCACAAGTATCCTGGATCGATTGATCTAAAAACTATTGTGCTTTACTTGGTGAAATCTTTCCATTTGAAAGAAAGTTCAGGTCTTCTTGTTTTCAAGGAGATGCTTGCAGTTACGGGTGGAATCAAACCAATCAATAATCTCACACCACTTCAGATCGACATGATTAATAGTGGCCAAACTTTAGAACGAATTGTTTACAGAACAATTGATGATAGAAGGTTTGATAGTGTTGAAGCTGGCCGTAAGCTTGCAAATGTCTTCCTTGAGCTCGACGTGATCAACGAGGTGTTGGCTCTTCTCACGAATCTCAACCGAGTCATTGTTTCTGGAGACGAATTTACCCATCTAAAAGTTTTGGCCAACAGAAATGACGACATAAACACAGTCTTGCATTTCTTCTGTACACTTGTTGGCTTCTTCGGTGAAGATGATATTCCTGGAAACTTAGAGTCAATTACCACCTTGGTTGACAAGTATGGAGTCTCAATCCCTTGGGCTTTTGAACTTTGGAGGCCTTATTTAACTGATACGGAAGTTTTAGGTGACATTGGCGAAAAGTACACTAAGGGTGTCTCATCCACCCTTTTCACGACCTTTTGGAGCCTTAAATTGTTTGATATCAACTACAATGAGGCTATTTACGATTCCGAAGCGACCAAGCTTCAAGTTAATGCCTCCGGTCTTCGAGAGAATTTATTGCTCGCAAGAAAGGATCGTGATACTACCCAGGAGACATTAAAACGTTTCAGAGCTGACATTGTTAGGCTAGAGGACGACAAGTCCAAGATACCAGCTGAGAAAGACGCTCACAAAACTCATGAAGATGAGGTAACCGAGTCACTTAGCCAAAGTTGCTCTGAGTGGTTCTCCTCCCTGTCCCTTGATGAGGTAGAAACAGAAATTAAGGCCTTCTTGCAAGAATGTGTGTTCCCCCGTTGCATCCATTCGTCATTTGATGCGGTCTTCAGTGCCAGATTTTTGTTCAAGCTTCACGAGATTGGACAAAACCAGTTCTCCATCATCACCCTTTTAGTGCAATTGTTCCAATCCAAAATCGTCTTCCCCACCCTATTCACTTGCACTCCTTCGGAAGCCGAATGCCTTGGTCTTTTCTATGCTGAGATTTTGAAGAAGCTTGCCTTCTGGTACACTGAAGATGAATTCAAAAAGCTTGCAGAAGTTAGGCCTTTGAAAGGATACAAGTCTAGTGACGACTTGAGCTTCAAAGAGTTCCGCAAGCTTCTCTTTGACTTCCATTCATCCTTACTCGCTGACGTTTCTCGTTCTTTGGCTGCAGAAGAATATATGTGTCGTCGGAATGCCATTACCTTGATGAAGAATCTTCTTGGTATCTATCCAAATGTTGAAGACCACTGCGAGGCTATCACTGAACTCATTAGTAAGATAAGCGCCACAGAAGAACGTGAGGATCTTAAATTATCATCAAGCGCTTTGATTGGTCATGTTAAGTCTCGGTCGAAGACTTGGGTACACATGTGGGATTTCTATGAAATGCCTGAAGCTGAGAAAGAGGAGCAGATGCAGAAACGTAAAGTTATAGAAGAAGAGGCTGAAAGAAAGAGAGAAGAGATAAGGAAGCAGAAGGAGGCAGAAGAGAAACGACTTAGAGAAGAGGAGCAAAAGAGAAGAAGAGAAGAAGAGGAAGAAGCGAGCCGAAAGATGGAAGAGGAGAAGGCTGAGCAACAGAGGCAGGCATCCGCAAAAGCCCTCAGTTATGATGATGAAGGTGCTGCTCCAGCACGTCAAGCTCGTGGTGAGGAAGTTTCAAGAGGTCGCTACGACCAATACTCAAGGGCTTCCCCTCGTCCAAGTACACCTTCTGGACAATCAGGTAAGGTCAAAGATGAAGAAAAGGGGGTTTCTGAAGACAAAAAGCCAGAATCAACAAAAGCAGATCAAGCTGATAAAGCTGTGGCTGAAAAAGAGAATGGCGATAGTGAAGACTTATTCCAGGATAAAACATCGAAGGGTAAGCGTGCAGATCAATCATCTAGACAACCATCAGGAAAGCCCTCACCTGCCGAATCATCAGATAAGACTCCGAAAGAAACTCCACCGGTACAGGAGAATGCCAAAACAAGGTTCGCCAACCAAAAGATCTCTAGTGAGCCAAGACCGGCCCCTAGGAGGGCACTACCACCCCAACAACCCCCTCGAAATTCGAGATACGGTGGTGGTTCTCATCAGCGTCGTGATGATAGAAGTGGAAGGCATTCGTCCAGCCATGGGCATTCCCGTGGGTCTCATGCTAACGACCTCAGGTCTCAAAGCACGACTCCGCTCCCACCTCCTGCCACGCCTCCTCCTCCTCCTCCACCGCCTCCTTCGACGGCACCACCAAAGCGTGATGGTAGTGATAGAGGTGATCGGAAGAGAGAATGGAGAGGATCTTACAATAGGCAAGACAAAAGATCTAGACGTTAAGCTTTACTGTTTTACCATGTGTATAGTACATAAATAATTCTAATTAATATTTTGCATCTCCTGAGCTAGAAGCAAGTCAAGTTCCTCTTGTCTTTCGGTGACTTCTTCAACCATAGAATTATCAGTGTCGCTTGCTTCTGGCTCGGACTCCTCGTCAATGATGTTATCTTCGTCCAAATCTGAAAAATGATCCAGCTCGATACTGACAACCTCAGCGATCTCCGATGCAGCGTTTTCCTGCTCCTCCCGCTCCAACTCTTGTAATTTCTTTTCCGCTTGTTCCCTTTCCCATTTATGTTTCTCCATATGTTTATCGTATGCGTGTTTACGCTCGAATACCCTCCCGCATCCTGACCTGGGGCACTTGTATCTCTGTTTGAAGTTCCCCAGCATCAAGCTGATAATCGACGATCCGCTCAAGTTACTTATATCTGTGGCGGTCATCTCAGTATGTTTCTTGTCCTCTTTAGATGCAACAAGTTTGTCTTCAGTTTCTCTCGAATCATCCGATTTTGTTGCCTCGTCATTCTCTGAGCTCTTCCCACTGGGGTCACCGTGTACTAGCATATGCGCTTTCAATGCCAGTGGAGAGTCAAATTCGGAAGCACAGTCCTTGCATTTGATCTTAGGATGCTCTTTTCGTATATGATCCTTAAGATTTCTCTCGGTCACGAACGTAGAGAAACATCCAGGATGAGAACAAGAGAACGTTTCACCCTCGCCGTGTTCCTTGAGCTTGTGCTTTGCAAGCAAGACCTTATTTTGAAACCTTCTATGGCATATATCACACACCGTGACCATCTCATGCACGGATTCAATATGATGCTTGTAAGATATATGATGGTAGAAGGACTCGTTGCACCCCTCGTAAGGGCACTTGTGTTTCTTCGTATGCGTAAGTTCGTGTCTTCGTAGTCTTTGTGCATCAATGACACCCTTGCCACATATCTTACACTGAAACCGCATCTCGTTATCTTTCTGGTGGCTGCACTTGTGAACCTCTAGATGTGACTTTCTGAAGAAGGCCTTATCGCAGCCCTCAAAATCGCAGGCAAAGGGCCTATCGTTACTATGCGTCCGCTCATGTTGAGCTAGTAGCGCTGGGCGCGAGTAGCGTTTATCACACCCTTCGAACAGGCAAGCGTACTTCTTGGGCCTCGGCTTTGCCGTCATGGCTCATCGTTGTAGTAGGAAGTAAACAAGATGTTGATGTTCGCGAAGGTGGGGAGATGAGGTGGTTTGAGACGCCATTTAGGCCCAAAAATTTCGTATTTCGGCAAATCTGAAACCGGAACTCAAATCAGCAAACTTCAAATTTTTATCTCATGTTTTCAAAATTAAAAATTGTCAACGTTTTGCCAAAAGCATGTTCCTGTAAACCCTCCAACCACCTTACACCAATAAGTCCGAGATAGTTTAGTGGCTAGAATTACCGCTTGTCGCGTGGTAGACCGGGGTTCAATTCCCCGTCTCGGAGCTTTTCTTCACTAGCGCAAGTGGTTTAGTGGTAAAATCCAACGTTGCCATCGTTGGGCCCCCGGTTCGATTCCGGGCTTGCGCATTCTTTTTTGCCAATTCAACCTCTTTATTCATCTTTTTTTTGTATTATATGTTAATCAGGGCGTGGTTGGGTGTCCACAGCTCGTCTCGCTCACACCAGGCACAAGGTGCAATCTAAGGTTGTTCCCAGTGCAGTATGTTTACATTTCCAAACCAACCTTAAACAGATGATCAATTCGAATCATAAACCTTTACTGCTTGGCGTGACTTCCATAAATAACAGCTACCAGAGAACAAGCTAACATTGAGCAAATAATGGTGGTTGCAAAAATGTCGTTTGACAGGTGGGTCCTCATATGTGAGGAATCAAAATGAGGCTCGGATCTATTTATGGCTCGAAAGGGCAAGTGCGACATTGCCTCAAGCTTTTGTAAACATATGGAAACGAGAGAAAAGAGAAAAAAAAAGAAGTCATTTTTAGAACACTTCCTAAAGGAAAGCCACTCAACTGAAACTTCAACACCGCCTGCCAAAAAACAACGCCTGCTCGTTGCAATACAAATACCTTTGAAAGCCTCGTTTAACTTACCTGAGTCCCACCACCAAATCTTTCCTTCCTATTTGGATCACAGCCCCGATTCATGTCATTTGTCACATCAACCATCGTGGGCAGCCTTTCTCTCTTGAGAAGGGACGATATGCCTTCTGCCACTAAAGATGACGATGATAGTAAGGATATGCCTTCTGCTACTACTGGCATGCCGTCTGCTTCAACTGGGATGCCTCTGGTCTCGTCATCCAGTGAGGTGATCTCAACACCTTCCATAACAGTGCCTGCCAGTAATCACAATCCTTATATCCATAGAGAAAGCCGCCTTACCGGCACGGTTTTCATTGCCGTGGGAAGTGTTGTTGGAGCAATTATCCTTGCATTTGTGTTGTTCCATCTCATCAGATCCATTCGTGCTTCCATGCTAGCGAAACGGTCTTCCTCGGGAGAAAAGTCCATGTACGAGAACTACAACCGTAACAGAGTGTACAGCAACTCGCTTGGCTCTTCAAGTACACATTTCCTCAATACGGAGTATCAGGGTTCAGTTGCAAAGATGCCGCTCATGTCGTCCAAGTCTTTGTATGATGGAGGTGATGCTTCCACTCTACACATGTCTGAAACCCCATATGCCACATCCCACCATGATCTTACGAATATGTTTATTTCGCCTACAAAAGAAGTCATGTCACACAGCAGAACCAAGTCCCAGTCGAATTTGCTTGCTGGGTCCAACATGTCATTGCGCAACAATGAGCCCTCTCCAGCGATCAATAGGCATTCTCAGCTCATTCCTAATATGTACTTGAGTCCTGGTGTCAATAACAGTGAGTACTCGTTGCTGGACCACGCTGCCGCTGACCCAAGCGCCCAGGGCAAGTCTCCATCGAGCTCACCAGGAAACAGCCCGAACGCAAGATCCAAGAGAAGAACACTTCCAAGCATGTACTTAGAGGATCTTATTGACAAATAAGATTTTCTTAGCATCAAGTTGATAATAGCATATTTTTAGGTACTTTTACATGTAGTGTAGTCATACTGGCCATGGTTCTATGACTATTTTTCGCACCCATCAAAAGTCACCGATAAGAGTCAACGTCAATGCAACGCATACTGATAGTGGGAAGAGTTCCCCTACGAACCTTTAGTACTTCGCTTAGAAGTGCTACTAAGATTGACTGGCGCAAGGAATTCCAATCGCTTCATATCAACGACGTTCATCCTCTTCCTCATCATGATATCGTCGATGTTCCCAGCCAAGTGATCAAGCCAACCAGAGACGTTGAAATTGATGACAGCAAAACTCCACTCATTTTAATACATGGTCTCTTTGGAGCCAAACAGAATTACGGTTCTGTGGGTAAAGCAATTTCGTCTCATACTAGAAGAACGGTCATTGGACTTGACATGAGGAACCATGGCTCAGCGCCACACGCTGCTCCTCACACTTATATGGCAATGGCCCACGATACAATTAAGTACCTTGATGACCATTTAAAACGTCCTGTGGTTTTAGCAGGTCATCTGATGGGAGCTAAGGTGTCCATGTTGGTAAGCTTGATTAGACCTGACCTCATAGAGAAGCTTATAGTTATAGACAACAGTCCTGCGTCAGAAACGTTGGACCAGCAGTTTTACAAGGACCTTTTGGGATTGTGCCATCTTGAAAGAGACAAAAGCTTGCCAGGTATGCCCAAGGCTGCACTTTTGGGTAAGATGGATAAGTTATTGTTCAAATACGAGAAGGATAAGTTGGTGAGACTTTTCTTGATGTCCAACTTAAATAGAAGAACGTCGAAACATGATAATCTGCCAGTGAAATTTCGGGTGCCAGTGCTCAATTTTTGAAAGATGACGTTTTGAAGGAGCTAGGAGAATGGCCTACGGATGTCGAGGGCAAGGTATTCGATAAACCGGTCAAGGTGATGAAAGCAGAACAATCTCACTTCATCACAGAAAGGAATATTGAACAGGATTTCCCCAAATACTTCCCAAATTTCGACTTATCTGTGTATGACTGTGGGCATTGGCTCGTGAGCGAACAGCCGGAGCGGTTTGCCAAAGAGACTATTGCATTTTTGGAGAATGACGGTTAACGCTTATCCGCTGCCTGTGGTTTAGACAGTTCCAAGTTCGCTGCATTTCCCTGAGTTTACGGTTGCTGCAATGGCTGCAAAATACGTCAGTTAGATACACAACACCAACACCTGGGTTATGATAAGCCACAATGATTGTTTTTCTGGTTTTTGTAAACACCAGCAAAGAAAGCCAAAGGTATTTGGTACATAAGAGGGTCCAAATGAGTTTATGGAGTCCTCCTCGAGGTGCCACCATCCAGCTATCCCAGCTCTATAGTACTTCTACACGCATAGCACTCGAATATTGCACAAAAACCCTGGAAACAGCAATAGACATGGTTTTTCGAACAAAAATTTAAAAAGCGAGATCAATAAAAGTATTGCAGAATACCACTTTCCCCAGGCTACCCTTATCTTAAAGTGTATCCTGTGTCTTTTTCGGGATGAGCATGAGCACGCGATTACATAATCAGCATTCAGCACACTATGTGTATATAAAGAAGGACGCCTGCGCATTTTCTCAGAGGCCTCAGTCAAATAAATTGCACCCAAATTGACGGTTTTTAAAAAGAAAAAAGCAACTGCAACACATATTACTTGAGAAATGTCGGACTTCGCGCCCACGTCATCAACCCAGGCGAAGATTTATCGTTGCCAAAGGCCACAGTGCAAAAGATTGTCAGTGAAATCTTGCCCAAGGACATTGCCATCTCTAAAGAGGCAAGAGAAGCCATCACCGAGTGCAGCATAGAATTCATTATGATTTTGTCCACACAGCTGAATGATATAGCTGAGAAAGAAGCCAAGAAGACCATTGCCAGCGACCATGTGATTAAAGCATTGGAGGAGTTGGGTTTCCACAACTATCTTGATATCATCAACAAGGTATTGGACGAACATAAGGAGTTGCTCAAGGGCAAGGAGAAGAAAAACAACAAGTTCCTTAATTCTGGCTTGACTGAAGAAGAGCTATTGAAGCAGCAAGAAGAGTTGTTTAAGAAGTCCAGAGATCGGTTGCAAGGCAGCGGATCTCCCGGCGCACAGGAGATCAAGCAGGAAAACTGAGGAACCATGGGTTGTAGTAATGAGAGAAGACTGTAAGGTCAGTCTTGTGTATATTAGTCTGGTATCAAAGACAGAAAAGAAAAGACATTCAAATGGAGTTTGGTGAAACAATGTATATTACACGGTATATCTATGGTACAAAATGCGTAAGGGTAGTATATGCTTGTGTGGGTAATTTTCTCTGGGGTTTTTTTGGAATATGCTCAACCAAGAATCAACTCGTAAAGAATGATCAATATGTTGATGGCAATTAGCGGGAGTCTCAATAAGGTTCGGATGGCGCTTATCAAGGTGATAAGTCGGTTCTTAATGGACGTGTCTGAATTGGCTTGCATTCCATATTGTTGCTGGAACTGGTTTGGCGCAGCATTTCCCCAGCCAATTCTATTAAGGAACCTGTCCTCGCTTAGCACGGCTATACCATTGACACTAAGTACAATCACATAGAACAATTTGCCCAAGCCAAACATGATCTGGTAGTTGTTGAACTGAAGGTAACGAGAAAAGGTCAAGTGTTGATTTTAGGTGAGGCGAAGAATCCGTACCTCCCCTTAACGAGGTTTCCCAGGGCCCACCAGAAAACTGGAAAACCAGGGGTACCCCCCACAGGGTCCTTTTCGTGGAAGTGGAGGTTTCAGAAAGTTCTTAGACCTTTTACAAAATCAACTTTTTGGTCGCTTTGACTTTATTTGGTTTTTCTGATTTATGTTGCTTCTCTGAAATATCTTCTTTGCGGATTTCCTTCAATGGTGCATAAGATTCACAAAACCTTACACTACCTGACTCTGACGACAAATCTTGTAAACTTTAAAATGAAAGACTTCACTCGAAACAAGTTCCATAAAATAACCCAAAACAGCCCAAAAAACAAAAAATCCTACTCAGAATCTACTTTACCTACTTCGCCTTGACAGGCTGCAAAGTTACACATACCACTTGCCATGACGTTGAGCCGGCACCTGGTGGGTGCGAAATGGGTATTTCCAAGAGGCCATCGCTTCAGCGTCTTCAGAGCAAATTCGAAGAAATGTGGATTTAAAATGTAGAGCTGTATTTTGCGTTGGTTGCAATTCCCATGAATATATCTATTTTATTTTTTCTATTGACTCGTGATGCCCTGTGATTAGTGTTCATGTGGATGGTGTGCGCACGCATACTATTTTCAGTGGTTAATTTTTTTTCTCTCGCCTACTCTTTGGCTGAGCGACCTACTAAACTAACAGCTATGGATAAAGACACTCTCCTCAAGTCCTTAGCAGGAACGCTTGATGCTAACTTGCAAACAAGAAAGCAAAGTGAGCAACAGTTGCGTTACTTCGAGGAACAACCGGGTTTCACTGCCTATCTCCTTGACCTCATCACTGACTCCAGTATTAATCTCGGAGTTCAGACTTCGGCAGCTATCTTTTTCAAAAACAGAGTGTCCAACTATTGGGTAGTCCCCGATCTTAAGGTTTCGAATGCTAGGTACATCCAACAGAACGAGAAGCCTGCCATCAAGCAGAAGTTGGTGGAAGTGTTGAGTCAGAGGTACAAGAACCCACAATTAAGGGTCCAATTATCCACCTCGATAAGCAGCATCCTCAATGCTGAAAAATGGGACGATCTCACCGATATCATTCCAAAATTGATCTCGGATACTTCGAACATTGACCATGTTTACACCGGTTTGATCTGCTTGTTCGAATACACCAAGACTTACCGTTACTCACACGAGGGTAACAGAAACATTGTGCTCGAAGAAGTGGCCGAAAAGATGTTCCCATTGTTGGAGAGCTTGGTTGATAACCTCATGGAAAACGATTCTGAGGTGTCCGACCAGTTGTTCTACTTGATTTTCAAGGTCTTCAAGTACTCCACCTACTCCACATTGCCAGCATACCTCACCAATCCCTCCAATTTGGGAACCTGGTGCAAGTTCCACATCATGCTCATCAACAAGCCTTTGCCTTCTTATGTTACTCAAGCTGAGCCATCTGAAAGAGCATCGCTTCCTCGTATCAAAGCTGTGAAATGGTGCTTTGGCAACTTGCACAGACTCTTATTCCGTCACGGAGGTGGTGTGAGCACACCAAAGAAGGATTCACAGTTTGCAGCCACTTTCTTGGCCAACTTTGTTCCTGAAATCCTCAATGTTTATTGGCAGATCATTGAAAAGTGGTCCACAAAGGAGATATGGTTATCAGAAGCCTCCTTGTATCATTTGATCAGTTTCCTAGAGCTGGTCATCGAGACTCCTGCTTTCCCATTAATCGAGGAAAAATTGGACGCTATCATCAGACATGTTCTTTTGCCAACCCTCAATGCCAACCAAGAGACGATAGAGTTGTACGAAGATGACCCTGAGGAATACATTAGAAGATTCTTCGATGTGAGCAGGGACAATCCTACTGCTGATACAGCCTCTATCAACTTCTTGTTTAGGTTGTCATCCACCAAGTTCTCAAAGACTGGTAATGCTATTCTCGCAATCATCAATGACGTCTTCCAACATAGAGCCTCTGATAGAGAGAATTTGGAGTATGCCTGCCAGACGGAAGGTGCCCTTCGTGTATTGGCTACTATTTCTATTAGACTCAACAAAGACCTGAGTCCAGTGAAGGGCCAAATTGACCAGCTTTTGCATTCTTATGTTTACCCTGAGCTTTCTGAGGCTGTCATCGCGAAATACCCATGGCTTACTGCCAGAGCTTGTGACACCATTGCCATGTTCATGCACAAGTACAATGACCAGAAGATCTTGCAGGATATTTTCCAAGGTATCGTGCTCTGTTTCCAGCAGCAAGAACACTTCCCTATCCAGTTAACTGCTATTGACGGTTTGCGTGCCTTGGTTGATGAGGACCTAGTTGCATCACAAGTTGCGGACCAAGCTCCACAATTGATGGGTGTCTTGCTTGACATGTCCAAGAATTTCGAAAGTGATACTTTGAACACTGTCATGGATGTCTTCGTGGAGAAGTTCGCAGCTAACTTGGAGCCTTACGCCAATGAACTCTCCGTTCGTTTGGTTGAACAGTTTATCAAGTTAGCCAATGAAATTTTGGAGCAGTCTTCCCAGAACGGCGGCATCAATGTTGATAAAGAATATGCTGCTGCTGGTATTTTGAACACCTTGACGTCTTTGGTCATTTCGATGAATGCTTCTCCTCAAGTATCTAGTAACTTGGAAGTGATTCTCAAGGATATGATCAAGTTCATCTTGGAAAACTCCATGGCGCTGTTTTTGACAGAAGTTGTCGAAATCTTGGAATCTATTATTTTCAGTACTAATCGTATGTCGCCAACATCATGGGAACTTTACCAATGTGTGATCTCCTGTTTCGACACATATGCTGAAGATTTCTTTGACACTTTCCAACCTTTCTTGGAAGGTGTTATCTTGCATGCTTTTGGTGCTGATGACATTACTGTTGATAATGCAAATGTGCAGTCAATGTTCAAGGTCTGCTTCAAGATGCTTTCCGGTGATATGGTGGACCCTGTATTCGCCCACCACGCTTTTGAATTGATTGAGTACGCTATCTTGACTTTGAACAAGAAGTTTGTGCCTTTCTTGCCTGAGTTCTTGCCCGAGATGTTCAAGATTTACCAAAGCTTGGACGCACAGGAAGCCTTTGATGGCTACATGTTGCACTACTTGTCCGTGTTGAAGATTTTCTTCGCATGTTTCTGTGTTGAGGCAACTGGAACGTTACAAATCATGAAGCAGCATGATGTGATCAAGTTCTTCTTCACTATGTGGGTCAAGTACAGCGACGAGTTTAGAAGTGTCTATGGATGCAAATTGCAAATCCTTGCCGCTCTTTCGATTCTTACTGAGGCTCCATTGGACCTCCTTCCTACTGAAGATTTGGTTGGTGAAACCGTCGACTTGCTCATTTCCAACTTGGAGACCTTGCCACACGCTATCAGAGCTAGACAAGATATCCTAGATAAAGAAAGCGGACCTCGTGCTTCAAGCAGAGATTTCAACGGTGGTGATGATGAGGATGAGGATGACGAGGAATACTATGAAGATGACCTAGAGGCTGATGAAGCCGAGCTTGAAGCCATGAAGCAGACACCACTTGATTCTTTCAATGTCTTCCAGGTATTTGCAGAGAAGATTACATTGGCCCAGCAGCAAGATCCGCTGAGGTACCAGGCAGTCTTTGGCAACTTGGATGATTCGCAAAAGGAGATTGCCAACAGGATTGTGCAAATCCACCAGCAAAGACACGCATAATAGATTGGTCAGATATATAAATGGTGATGAATTACGTCTTTAACAAATAGGTCCAACAATCAAGCGCAAAATATAACGACACCCTTATGTAAGGTAGTACCTTCTCATAGTAGCACCCGCTATTTGGCATGTACTGTATGAAGCCATAAAGGCAAACTCCAGTACCCTAACCTTCGATCCTACCACACTTTAATTTATCATTCATAGCACATCCATTTTTTTCCATTTTTTTTTTTTCAATAAACCATGTTTTCAGGATTTGGATCAGGCTTCTTCGGGGGCCAGAACTTTTCACCCGCAAACATGAAGTTCGAGGATTACTTCAGATGTTACCCCATAGCTATGATGCCTGATAACGTACGGAAAGACGATGCCAACTTTGGAGGCAAGATCTTCCTTCCCCCTTCAGCATTAAACAAACTCACCATGTTGCATATCAGATACCCTATGTTGTTCGAATTAACAAATGAAGGGTCTGACAAGAAGACACACAGTGGTGTGTTGGAGTTCGTTGCAGAGGAAGGTAGAGTCTATATTCCACAGTGGATGATGGAAACGCTAGAGTTGCAACCCGGTTCTTTGGTTAAGATCGCTAACCATGATCTTCCAAATGGTCAATTCACTAAACTTGAGCCACAGTCTGTTGACTTCCTCGAGATCTCAGACCCCAAGGCAGTCTTGGAGAATGCATTGAGGAAGTTTTCTACGTTAACAATCAACGATGTCATTGAAATCGATTATAACGACACGAGGTATGGTATCAAGGTCTTGGAGGCAAGGCCTGAGTCGGACTCTAAGGGTATTTGTGTTGTCGAAACGGATTTAGAAACTGAGTTTGCCCCACCTGTCGGATATGTCGAGCCTGAGTACACACCACGGTCCGTGAAACCTTCTTCTACACCTATTGATCCTTCAAGTGTTAAGAAGAGTGCTGGTGCCGGTACTATGGCACAATCAATTGACTTTGCCAACTTGGTGGCCAGTGCTAGCAACACGAAATATAAGGGTAGCGGCCAGAAGCTCTCGGGTAAAGCTACTGGCGAAGAAGATAAGAAGCTTACTATTGATGACTTGGACCCTGATATTCCTCCCGCCCCTTTGCATTTACCAGAGAACCAACTCTTCTTGGGCTGGCCCGTCACATTACCAACACCAGAGGAGTCTGAAGCAGAGCAACCGGCAGTAAAGGCATTCTCAGGAGAAGGAAAATCATTGAGACAAAGTAAGAAAAGAACAAACAAAGGCAAGGAGCATCCTCCTTTGAAGAACCATTCACGCAGTCCTGACTACATCGAAATTGACGATTAAAGTTGTCTAATATAATACACCTAAATTGACTGATACAAGTCTTTCAGATAGGGCAAGGTCTATGAATTATTGTTCAGTGGTGGAAGGGAGGAAAACATCGTTACCCTGCTCGATAGCTCTCTTACTGTGGTAGACAATGTCATCAGACTCCCATGGGTATGCAATCCAGACATCAGGGACGGTTCTGGCAGCAAAGTAGTTGCCGGTCTTCATGATCTCATCAGGCAAGCTAGCCTTCTTGGTCTTGTCCTTGTCGTGGAGAACAAAGATACCGAACTTGGTGTCGTCGGGGTTAGCACCCTTGGCCTGGGCCTGCTCGGCAACGTCCTTCTTCAACTCAGAGACGGCGTAATGCAAAGTAGTTCTAGTGTCATCGACCTCATCAATGATCAAAACGTTCTTGTTGACCAAGTCAACCTTAGACTGGGCGTAGTCAATCCACTGAGTTCTCACAACCTGGGTACCGACTTGCTCAGCTTGAGTACCAACGGTCTCGATGTCCTCGTAAAGAGACAAGATGATGGCCATGATTCTAATGTTTGGCTGGCCAGGCTCCTTCAAGAAAGTTCTCAACATACGGGCTGGGATGAAACCACCACCGCCGATTGCGATGATCAAGTCAGGCTTGAACTGCTTAATCTTCTCAGAGGTCTCCTGACACAACTGGTGGATGTTGTTGTACGTAATGTACATTTTAGTAGCTTCAACGTCGGCACTGTCCATTTTTGATCTAATGTTCTAGAGTGATACTCTTGGGTTTGGCGGGAAAGAGCCTTGTAAGTGCGTGATGAGAATGGGATGAGGGAAAGATAAGCGGCTGGGTTTTTCACTCTTCGCGACTTTTTTTTCCCTTCCGATGCTTTCGGCTGAAGGTCATGAAGGACGGGCTTTAAGCCACCAGACTACGGAAGACGAAAATCGACCTCCCCAGCGAATTTCTGTGACTTGCTTTGCTGACATGTTTTTGCCTTCTTGAATATGTCAATGATACATTCTACTATGAAATGTCGTCCGAGGCGACTCCGCGGGACACTCTACTACCAGTTTTTCGCAGCCATTGAGGGCATCCTTCAACTAGTCATTTTGGACACCACTAGTCAAGTGAGTTCTGGGAGCTTCATTGAACTCAGAACATTACAGTGTGCATTATACTATACGACTTTAGTATGGCAAGTCTGGCACCTTCTTGGCCTTTCATCCTGGGCTTAATGGCAGAATTGTCTATAAACCGATCTAAATTACCCAAGCAATGTATGCATGGCTTATCAGAAAGTCTATCTTTGCCTGCTCAAACAATCTGTTTTTGTGGCAAGAACCATGTTTGCCTAGAAAGACGGACCCTGGTTCCTAATGCTTCTGCGTCCTTCTCGAGCCTGCCTACTTAGGCATTTGGTCTCTTCGTTGTGCAGGCCACCTCTCCCCACGATTACCTCTTCAGGCGAATGCGAAAAACTCCATCATGGCCAGCCTAAAGAACAGTCCAGTTTTCTTACTTAAAGACTTTCCGTAACCGGATAAAAATAACATCACAAGAACAAGCACCTTTTGTTTACCCAACATATCTACTTCTATTTTAATTTTCTTGTATTTTGGTCTGTACTTGCCACTCTTTCGCCTTCCCCACCTTTGTTCGTCCACCTCACAGTTGTGCACACGGCATCGGCCACTACGTATCGAGATCAAGCTGGAAAACATCAAGGCCTTCAACTACTTCTTCTTCATTGACTGATACCCCTAACTTACAATGAAGTTGATTGCTCTCGTTTGTTTGCTATGGAGTTCGTTTTCGCTTGCTGCAATTGTGGGCATCGATCTCGGCCACCAGTTTACGAAAGCCATTATGGTGGCGCCAGGTTTGTCCTTTGAGATTGTCGTTACTGACGAAGGTAAGAGAAAAGACTTGAATGCCATTTCTTTGAGGCCTCATGTCGAGAAGGGTGACTTGCTTGACGCAGACAGAGTGTTTGGTTCCAAGATTGGTTCCCTCTGTTCGAGATTCCCTGAATCCTGTGCCGCCAACATCAAGGCCCTCTTGGGTAAACAAATCGACGACCATACTGTAAAGGAGTACATTGAACGCCACCATGGTGTTAGCTTGGCTTCCGATAAACTGAGAAACAACAGTGTCAGCTTGAAGTTGGGTAACTCTAACAACCAGTTTGAGTTTCCAGTGGAGGAGCTCATGGCCATGACTTTGAATGAATTGAAGGACAGAGTGCTTGGAGAGTTGAAAAACCACCCACAGGCAAAGAGCATTGCAGAGGACGTAGCAATTTCAATTGCTCCATACGCCTCTCAAGCTGTCAGAAACGCTTACTTGGACGCTGTCCACTTGGCTAACTACTCCACTGTCTTGGGTCTTGTCGACGAAGGCACTGCCGTGGCTAGAGGCTACGTTGCAAGCAGAAAGTTGCATGACGAGGATGTTTACGGCGAGACCGTTTACCATATAATCTACGACTCTGGTGCTGGTTCTACCACAGCTACTTTGTTCTCCTACACTCCATTCGAAAACCATACCGTCGTCTTGGACATTCAAAGCGTTGGCCACGATGATTCCTTTGGCGGTGAATTGTTGACCCAGTCTGTCTACGACCTTTTGTTCCAGCGTTACTTGGAAGAGTTCAAGTTGCCAAAGAAGCACACCTTGCCCCCAAGATTGGCTTCCAGACTTGTTGAGGCTGCTGAAAAGGCCAAGATTATTTTGTCTGCAAACACTGAGTACAAGGTTAGTTTGGAAAACTTCCCCGATGACAAGGACTTCAAGACTGTGATCACAAGGGACGAGTTCGAAGAGGCTACTGCTGAAATCAGAAAGAAGATTGCTGACCCAATCAACGAAGCATTGAAGAACAGCCCATCTGGACCAAAGACAGTTGAGGATATCAAGTCTGTCATTTTGAACGGTGGCTCCACCAGAGTGCCATTTGTCCAGAAAGAGTTGGTAAGCTTGTTAGGTTCTGAAGAAAAGCTCGCCAAGACTGTGAACGCTGACGAGGCATGCGCTTTGGGTACCACCATTAGAGGTTACGAATTGAAAATGATCACGTCTAACCCTTACAATGTCGAATTCACAGACAGAATTTTCAGTGACTTTGATGTATCTGTTGATGGAGCTGCCCAAGAATCCCTTTTCCCAAGAGGTTCACCAGCATCCAGCGCCGTTACCAAGTCTTTGGGACCGGTCAGCAAGAAGGCCAAGAGCATTGGTTTGCTCGAGAACGGTGCTCTTTACAAGACTTACTCCATTGAGAATACCCAAAGCAAAGCCAAGAACCTCAATTGTAAGGCACCAGAAGTCTTTGGTAAGTTTGAGATCGACCAAAACAAGATTATCTCTTTGGCTGGCCTCACTGTCGAATGTCCTGAGGCAGAGCCAGAATCTACTGAAGAAACCTCTTCTGCCGCCAACGAAACTACCACCAAAAAAGCTAAAACTCCTGCCAAGGTAAACTTGGTTGTTCCTGAGGCCAAGTTTACTAGCTTGAATCCGCTTTCGAAGGCTGGTCATAAAACCAGCGCTACCAGATTGGCACACTTGAAGCAAAAGGATTACGAAAAGATTCAGTTAGCTGAGACCAAGAACTTGGCTGAGAGTGTCTGTTACGAGTTGCGCTCTTACGTGGAAGATCATAACGATGATCTTCGTAGTGAGTTTGGCGTTGATAAATTGGAGTCCATTGAGGCTACAATTTCCGAAATTCTTGAATGGTTGGACTACGAGAGTGACCTGGCAACATTGGAGCAACTCAAGGAAAAACATGAGATCGTGGCTGGCTACAAGAAGGAAGCTGAAAGCGTTATTACTATGAGCACTGCCGACTTGTCTTTGGGTGCTCTCAAGAAATTGCATGAAGAAGGTATTGAAATCTCTTCCATGGTGCAGAAGTATTTGTTAGAGTATGGAAGCCAGATCAGAGAAGTCAGAAGCAGATTTGAGGCCGCAGGTGTGGAATTCGACCCTGTGAACGACAAGATCATGAAGAAGCTTTATGGTACCGGTACCAGTGAGGGAACTAAATTGGATGCTCACTACAAGGAGTTCAAGGAAGCCTTGAAGGTTCTTTCCAACACATTGGGCTTGTCAACGAGCGCTTTCAACAAGAGAAACAAGAAGGAGATCTTTGAGGAGTCAGAGCATGTGAAGAGCCTTATTATGCAAATGATTGAGGATGTCTTGCCACTTCAGCTGAATCACGAGAAGAGATTGGAGTACTTGTTGACCAAGCTTGATAACGTCAAGAAGCAGCGTGAGCAAAAGGAAGCCAAGAAGAAGGCTAAGGAAGCAGAAAAATCTGCTACACCTGACGAAAGCTCTGAAACGGAAGCAGTTGAGGCCGACCCAGTGGAACAGGCTGACCCTGTCGAACCCGTTGAACCTGTTGAACCAGTTGAGCCCGTGGAAGCTGATGAGGCCGAAGAGAAACCTGTCCACGACGAGTTGTAAAACCAGCAGCTCTCTTAAAGGGATAAAAGTTGAAAAGCCTGCTTCCCAATTAATAAAACCACATATATATACATAAAAGAACTTATCGAAGACTGTGCGCATGTAGTACATCTGCATCGAAAAGTGAGTGCGATGTACCATCTCATTAGATAACATCAAGACAACCACACACATCCAATGCTGAAGTACAGAGACAGCTACAGAACTGGTGATTACTCCAGCTACGTCTCTGGAAGGGAACGAGATAACCGAGGGAGAGGATTCCGTGAACGTGAGAGAGATCCGAGAGATAGAGACCCCAGAGAGCGTGATGGCCCCAGAGATGGATATAATGACAGAGGCAATAGAGGCCGCTTTGACCGTGATAATGGACTGGATCCTCGTGACAGACGAAATAACTTCCGCTCTTATGATAATAGGTACGACAATAGGCCTCGTGGTCGCAATGACGGAAATGGTTATAGAAACCAAGGTGGTCGCTACCGTGAAGCAGAGAAGGACTACGACCCAGATGCTGGTCTCAGCAAGGAAGCAAAGATGCAAAAATATGAGAAGAAGTTGGCATCACTAACGGAATACCCAACGATAGAGAAGTTCCCTCTTATAGGGTCTGGATGGGGAGTGAAGCCTAAGGGCCTTGAGAATGTAACGGCTCAACGTGCAAAGCTTTCTGGGTTATTTCCTCTTCCGGGAGCCCCCAGGACAGCTGAGGATGCAAAAATAGGAGATCTCATAAAAGATGGGTCTTCCGAGTCTGGTGTATTGATGGCCACTTCCAAGATTGACCCACTCGATTCCCGGAACTCTTGTATTATACTTGTGAGGGACTTGGATTTCTCAAAGGTCGCCTACTTAAAGGTTGCGGACATCTTTGATAAGTTTTTAAGATCAGTGGATTTGGAAGGTACCTCACTTAATATGAACTACGAAAAGGCCAGGAAAACCAAGGACGAGTCGACGATGATCATCGAATTCAAAACTAGTGTCGCTGCAACGCTAGCACTTGCACTTAATGGGAAAGAAATTCCACTTGCTTCCGTTGCTCAAGATGGAGCTCACTCGGTGTCTGGCAATTTGAAGCTCGTGCTTTCTCGTCCTGGCGAATATGTCGTCCAATGTCTTCCGCCATACAAATCTGGAGACGATGAGTTGAAGGACGAAGTGATAGATAGCCCGAGAAAGTTGACTTTGCAGATTGACAAAGCCACTACAGAATCACAACTACAAGATGCATTGACTTCTATTTCCCCCCTTCGAGCGTTCAAACTATTACGTGAAGTGGGCACGAAAGATTCCGTTGGACTTGCATTTGCCGAATTTTATGTCGATCCAAAGAAGCATTCAAAAACGAGCGACGCTATTAAAGTGGTATCCCAACATGCTAAAAGTGCTCGTGAGCTTTCGATGATAAAAAGCGTCGAGTTTTCATGCATTGAAGTCTCTGAAGCAGGCGAGATCAAAACAAGCATCCAGGACTGTCCTATTGACCTCAAGACTTTGCGGGCCTTGGTGCGTAACGAATACGTCCAGTACCATGCGAAGCTGAGGGTGGTCCAACTCATAAATGCTGTCACTCCAAATGACCTCGCCGATGACGTGAATTTCAGATTTATTCACCACGATATCAAAGAAGAAGCTGAAACTTTCGGAAAGGTCGTATCTCTCCGTATACCAAGACCACCTCACGATTATACTCCTGGAATGCAGCTGCATGTCAACCAACCAGGCCTTGGTAAGGTCTATATCGAGTTTGAAGATGACAAAGCTGCTTTGAATGCTATAATGGGGCTTTCAGGTCGCTCATACAACGATAGGACAGTTATTTGTGCATTTTACAGCCATGAAGATTATTTGCGTGGATTACTTTGAGGAGGCGACGCATTTTTCATGTTAGCCATAAAGTGTTTAAGTTGATGGGGAACAGCCGGGTCGAAACCGTGTCTTGCGATTAAGCTGTATAATTCCTTCGGAAGCACTGGGATGAAACTAAGGCTTAGTTTGATTATATCGTTTTCTTTCAAAGGAGGAAAGTTACGCAATAACTTCATAGGTTGTGGGGATTCAAGAAGAGCTGATCTGCTCATGATAAGCTGTGCTACCACGAATAGAATGTTCATGTGAGTACCATATGCAAATAAGAAATCCCATAGCTTTATAAGGGAATTAAGTGTTGGTGTACATGCGCATAATGTCAAGACGGATGGAAAGGCATAAATCTCAGCTTTGAGAAACTTGGAGTCTAAATATTCGCTCAACACTGGATCAATGATTCGAAGAACCACATCCACGAGACTTAGGCCAGTATGGACGCCATCGAGGTTTGCTGTGACATATAATGGAAGCTGTTCGTTGACCAAGTGGTGGAGCAAAGCGAAAGCCTGGGGCTCGCTTCGATGACAGGAAAATGCAATAGGCGCTAACAAAACATTCATTCCTTGAACATAACCGACTTTATTATCAGGCCTAGAGATGGCGACCGCCAGAAGGATTCTGGTTAGTGACTCCTCACTGACTTTGCCATGGAAGGCCTTGTCGTTCATCAATGTTCTGAATGTATCATTTTTTATCTTGCGATATAGTTCTGGAGATAACTTTGCCGGGACTTCTGATATCAACTTTGCATATTTATTAACAGGATAAACAGGGACTCTGCATAAGATGGACCAGACGTGGGCTCTGTATGGACATTGATCATAGCCATCAGGAACCGCAAGCCCCTCGATGAGGATCATGTAGCGGAGCTGTGAAAGGCTAGTATCTAGAATGATTTGCGGCAGCTCAATAAACTGCTCTATCGAGTCTTTCTTTCTTCCTTTGCTAATCTCCATCTTGTTCAAGTAGTTCTCTTTATCCTGTTTTCCTGATATCAGAAAGTAAACATCGCGCCTGTATGAAGAGCCAGATCAAGCTACTTCCAGATGGAGTTCACCAGGTCTAAAAAAGACAGGAGGGACAAAAATGGACAAAAACTAGGATAATTTAAGTTAAAAATTGTTGGTTTGTAGGTTTGAAGACCAAGTAGTTGCCGTATTACCGCTAGTTTGGTCGCTCTTCGGAAGAAGTTGGGTCTTACAGGACGAACATGACGGGCTAAAGCTCAATTGTAAGTTCCATAACTTTTCAAAAGACTCTCAGAGCAATATAAGAAAGTGATTCAAGGTATTTAGTGGGCTGGTATTATCCATATTGCTTGCCATGGGTATACCCAGTAAGTACTGCGAATCATCGTACGGCTTCCAAGGTCTTAAAAAGCGACACACAGAAAACGATGAAAAACTAAAAAAGATTTTTCTTCACTAATCAGCAAAAAACTAGCTAAGTCCTCAAATTAGAGCCTCTTACTCTTTAGTAGCTCATAGTCAAAACGTCTGGCTACCCTCCAGATAGCTCGACCTGCATTGAGTCACCACATCGCTCTGAAAAGGCTCTTCTTTTAAGCCCTCCATCACTTCTTCCTCATAGACTCCAAGCATGCCAGTTAAAGAAATTAAGGGATTCCAGGTGCTCCCGCTTAGACTACCGGATAGTACAGGCACGCTGTATCTTTATTTTAGAAAGCACGAGATTAAAGGGAACCAGGCAGCACAGCAGCTCTCTGGCCGTTCATTGTTCGCCTTTAACTTACCCATCCAGACGAACCATCTGGTAATCAAAAAGTACTTCCAGCAAGTGGCTATTGGTGCTACTGTCGAGTCATTTATTCCTAGCATTCTTACAGACCTTCAAGAGGATTTTTACGTCGATCTTACCAAACTAACGTCAGACCTTCAATTTGAGAACGATAATGTTACCAAAGAGATCGCCGAAAAGCTTCCGAAAAACTGTGCCATCATCACATTTATCGACAAATCATCCTTCCAACTAGCATTCAACGCATTGAAAAAGTTGTCTAATGACGCTAAGGTCACCAACTGGCCTGTTCCATCGCTTGGCTCTGCGTTCTTCCAAGAGAAATACCAAAACCAGATCTTAGACCCAGCACAATTGTCAGTATCAGTTGCTACAGCATTGGCAGACTTTAACAGAGCTGAACAGGAGCTGATGGAGGACTTGAAGAGAAGCACAGAGGTTGTAGATGAGGATGGATTCACTTTGGTTGTTGGATCCCATAGAAAGACAAAGGCCGGTATCTTGGGCAAGCAGAAACTTGCAGGTACTGTTGGGCTAGAAAAGGCAAACAAGAAGCTTAAGAAGAAGGAGAAGGAGGACTTCTACAGATTCCAATTGAGAGAAAAGAAGAAGAACGAGATGAACGATTTGCTCCAGAAGTTCAAGCAAGACCAGGAGAGAATCAAGACCATGAAGGAGAAGAAGAGATTTAGACCATATTAAATGTATAATAGCTAATAGAAACTCACTAATGATTGCGATCCTCTCCAACCTCATGTAGCCTACGTACTATTTCGCACCCAGCGAGTTTCATATTACATCTACGTCATGACTGATACCGCTATAAGCACAGAACCAACCGCTTACCGAAGCTTCATTGACCTGCTTCCGTTCGATCCATATAAGCTTGACCAAGAAGGGCTCCAGATCTTATCCACCATTCGTTATGATCCCAGCTTAACGCGTAAGGTTCCAGAAACTGTAGGTGACGTTAAGAAAGCCAACTTCTTCTTGTTCGCCGACCACATTGAACGTCTCCAGTTCACGGCAGACTTCTTTACCTCATCATTGAAGCACGAAAAGCTTGTGGAGGACCTATTTCCATATGAAATCACCGAGAAGTTTATATTTGATCAACTCAGGAATTCATTGTTCGAGTCCCAGGTAAGGCTCGACTTGCCCATGAAAGTTAGACTTTTACTCAAATTGAACGGTGAAGTTATAGTTGAGCTACATGAAACTCCTATAAGACCTAATTTGCTAGATGGTCTTGGGGAGGATTTCCCTATCTCAGACAGATATGACTTGTATGTGAACTCAGAGCCTGCCTTGGCGTCCCCATTCACATCCTTCAAGACTACCCAAAGAGACGTTTACACTAATGCTAGAAACAGGTCACTTCCCGGTCTTAGGCCTGGAAAAGAAGAGGTTATCTTGTTCAATACTGCCAATGAGGTTATGGAGGGATCCATCACGAACATAGCGGTGAAAAATGAGAATGGCCAGTGGGTAACTCCTCAATTGACAACAGGTTGTTTATGTGGAGTTGCTAGAAAGATGCTAATCCGCAAGAGCTACATCTACGAGGGAAGCATAACTAAAAGTTCGCTTACTGTTGGCCAGGATGTGCTACTTTTTAACGGTATAATGGGTGCCGTAAGAGGCACGATCGTGGATTTCGTCTAGATTACTCTATAAGCTTTTTAATGGACTCATCATCGAAGCCCATGATGTACAAAATGTCCTGCAATGACTTAGTATTGAGGCAGCAAGGTGCCTCCTTCTGGACCTTAGGTTTGGCGTTCCAAGCAACACCCCAACCAGCCACACTCATCATTTTCAAGTCATTGGCACCATCACCCACGGCAACGGCAGAGTTCGTGTCAATGTCATGCTTTGCAGCAATGTCTTGCAATAATTGTGCCTTCATGTCACCATTAACAACTGGTCCAAAGGTGGTACCATCCAACTTATTGGAATCATCCACACCTAAGTTGTTGGCATAGGCATAGTCCAATCCAAGCTGTTCTTTAATGAAAGAGGCCAATGGAGTAAAGCCACCAGAACAAACTCCCATGACTACCCCCAATTTTTTCAAAGCTTTGCAAAGTTCCCTGGCACCATTGGTGATCTGAAGCTTAAGCTTCAACTCGTCCCATAGCGTAGATGCGTCGATTCCTTTTAAGAGAAGCACACGTTCACGCAAAGAATCGTTAAAGTCTAACTCGCCATTCATAGCTCTTTCGGTGATTTCGGCGACCTTGTCTTCGATGTTGGCGTATGCTGCGATCAACTCGATCACCTCTTGATAGATCAAAGTCGAGTCCATGTCAAAGATAAATAATTTCTTGTCTTGTCTATCGGAAGTTTTCTGAAAGAAAGTATCATAAGCAGGTTTGAGCCTATCATTTTCATTGCTGATCAACCTCTGGACCAAATCTGGCGTTGTAGTAGATACCTCAAAATCTATGACTCTGTTTTTCGAGAGCTCATGTTTCCCAAGGATCTGCAAGTTCGCTGTGACAGTTGCAAACTTCTCTATTTGTTGTTGATCTTCATTGGTCAAAGCAGGACCATGTGCAATGAATGTTAAGGAATATGTATCAGCCATGGCTGGAGCAGGGCACTTTGAAACGATAGAGGGTATAAATATTTGTGTCTTCAAATGCAGGTGAGCTTGAATCAATTAATGAGTTTGTGATGCAGGAGAAGTCGTGGGACGCATATGAGCTAACCATAATGGCTGCAAAAAAAATGAATAGGATGAAGTCTTTTGTGAGGCTAGGTTAAATCAAGTGTTCTCTAAAGAATGAATATGCATTTCAATAAATATCGTGAATCGAGTCTATGCTGACTCTTCGTGTTGCCGTCTCAAATCGTATTCGCTCAAGCCAATCTCTCCACCAAGTTTGGCAAAGTTGGCCTTGTAATGTTCATATTTTTCTTCAGCCATGCGGTTCATCTCCTTCCAGTAGGTATCGTGAATATATTCGAAGTCGAGCATACCGTTAAACTCTTTATCAAGCTGTTCCTTAGGAACAAAGTTCTCGAAAGGTTGGTCATAAATCGTCTTCAGGCGGGTGTATGGGTCAATAAAGGGGCCCACGACCTTAAAGAATGTGTACCCAATCCATGGAATATTGGTAAAAAGACCACGTCCCAATCTTTCGGGATAGTGATTCTGTAAGATATGTAAAACTTGTTTGGAAATGCTGAGGGAAGGGAATTTGGAAGAAAGATTCAAGTGAGCTGGAGCTGCTTTGAAGTCAATCAATAATGCTAGTCCGTCCTGGCCAGGTGGCATGAACTGTATAACTCTTTCTAACATAAACACCAAGTGTTGCACTTGTCTCAACGATGCTGAAGTGTTTTGGTAACCGTTTCTAAGGTATAAGCAAGGTCTGTTATCGTTATCGTAACCCACAATAAGGTTCTTACCAGTGACGTTTTCAGCTTCCACAAGCTCTGGGGTTATAATTTTCCTTGGGTCGCTATGACCAGGAACAACAACAACACCAAAGGTTCTTCTCCAGACCATAGTATCCTTAATACGTTTGATGGTAGGTTCCACTTTCCATTTGGTAGCTCTCAAGTACCGCAAGAAACATTCTTTGGTGAGCCAGGCTTTTTCTTCATCAAGTATTGGATGGGTTTCGGCGTTGGCGGAGTCAGACACGGGAATCTCCTTCTTGACATATTCTTTGAAAAATTTCAACACCTCTTCATACTTGGCCTCCTGCTCCTTCGTAAGATCAAACACTGGCGGCTTAATAGGGTTCACTGGAGCCTCAAAAGGCACATGGCGCTTGATGAGGCCCTTCTTTTGAGCGCTAGAAGAGACTGATGTTGCCCTCGAGGATAAGGAGGTGTTGTCTGGTTCCTGAGAGCTATTGCTCTCGTCATTCTGTGCACTTTTTCTCCAGAATGGCATTGCAGCTGAACAGCAGTCTCTATTATTATCGTTGCAGATAAGTAGGTGGATTTCTCTTTTTCAACATTGTTCCGCACCAAGAATTGAGCGCGTCGCTTCTGTATCTTCTGCAGGGACCGCTGTTTATGGAAGGAACACCAGAATGCAATATGACAAAAGAATAAAATAATATGGTTAATCGGATAGTTCTGACAAACGTCACTTCATCTTCGCTTTAAAGCCCAATGATATTGGGATTCGCTTTTACCCGAATATAATGGCCTAGCTGAGTCCGTTTCGCGGAACCGGCAATGTGTGGAGACCGGCAAATACATTTAGTCCGCACCCGAACTATATGTCTAACTTTAAAGCTACCACCATGTCCATAAAAGTTACAGCTTCATCTGACCACACCGAGAGTCCTCTTGCTGCTGAGTTTGTTCAAGAAACTCTTAAAGAGCATTTGAGTAGCATTGAGGATGTCAATGTCTTCACGGGCAAGCTTGCTGAAGCTTTCAGCACGAAGAGCTCAAAGCACAAGTTCCTTATTCTGGTAACTAGCGTTGCTGCTGGGGAGTCTGTGGAAGCAGACTTGAAAGTCAAGACTTCCGTAGGTGCCATTTGGGAGCCTAAGAAAGATGGTTATTATAGCTTTGAGGTGAAGGGTGAAGACTCGGGCAAGTACTTGATCACAGTCTTCTGGATCAGTGTCGATTGATTAGATCACAGCATGCGAAAGAACCTTCCATCGTCGAATTTACTTTGAAATTCGTCGAGCTCATCACATATCCCAAGAAGCTCGGATAATTTCTGTTGTGGCGCTTTCTCGTCGATCTTGGCCATTATGCCTCCTAGTAACTGTTTCACATCAGAGTCTTTGTTTGGATTGAAAGAAGCACTCGCAAGATTATCCGGAATGGGTGTTGGTATATTACTGAGATTGATGTCGTCAGCTGCATGAGGAACGTCAAGATGGAATAGCTTCTTCTTTTCCTCGGTCTCCCGTGTGGTCTGTGCTTGAATGGACGCAGTAGTCTTCTTGAACTCCTCCAAATACTTTGAATCTTCATCAAATGCCTTTTTAATTGACTTATGATATGCTTGTAGCTCCTGAAGCTGCTGGTTCTCTGCCAGTAGGTATGCCTCGTACATGGCTTTCTTACGCTGAGCCTGATCAATATCAAGAAGATCGTACTCCTCCGCTTTGGCGCCTCTCATTCTCACTTGCAATGACTTGACAGGCGGTAGCTTAGTCATCTTAAGCCTAGCCAAGAAGGATTTCGGTAGTTTCTCACTGGCCCAATGATGTGATAACACTCGTTGTGCTTCTGCAACCTTATAGTGTTCGTTGGCACTCCCCTTATATCTTTCTAGCGACTTATTAAGAGCCACATTGAAAAGATTGTCTAGAGATCTGAACTGCTCGGGCTCTAGTTTGGTCCATAAACGATCTATGACTTTCGCAGGAACTCGTTTCTTATATCTCTCTCGTTCAATTCCCATGGGGTTACTAGGATCATATTCTTCACTTTCTTCTCGGTCTGCTCTAGTTCTTTTAACTGCTTGACCGGGATTGAGCTGTGGTCTTTGTCCAGAGTATGTTCCACCATCTGAGTCGCTGCCGTACCCTGGTGTGGTCAGTCGGGAGTAACTGGATTCGTTCCCTTCATCGGCCAGAACAGCGTCATGCTGGGAATGATCTGTGGCGTTTAGTAATTCATCGTCGTCGCCTGCTTTGGCCTCTCCATTATTGGATGTCAGCATGGCCTATACGATTTAGACTGTTTGTTATTGTATTATGATGAACTGTTTATTATGCGCGATGGTTATATGTAGCTATGTAGATATGCTGAATGGGTGCAAATAGTCGATTCGACGAATGCTAATGCTATGATGATTATTTTATAATCGCTCCATCTGCTTTGAGTGTTTTATAAAATCTCTTCTCCATGCGTTCGACTGCTTCAGTGAGTGTTTTGTTGGTGAAGCCAAACCGCGTGTTAAAGTAATCTATGAGGCTCTCCTCCATTGACAAAATATCTTGCACAGTTAAAGTGTTCTTGGTTAAGTCAATAAGAGATTCACTAGGGGCAGAGAAAAGCTCGGCAGTATCATCTATCTCGTCAAGAGGGAAGATTTTGTAGAGCTTTTTGGTTGTAAGCAGTACTTCGTCATTATCAGCCTGCTTTCGACTATCCGGAATAAGGTTACTTTGAATCCAGTCAAAGTATTTCGATGTGTCATCTGAGGACATATCTAATGCAGTAGAAATGTTCATGGAATGGTGCTGTGTATCAAAGCACGGAATGCAAGACGATTGTTCTTTCAAACGTTGTTTCCACTGTTCCAATTGGGGCACTTCAGGAGCGGCAGTAAAGTAGATTTTAATAATTAAAGCCAATAGTGCAACGTATTGGGTCTCGGGAAGTGTGCTATGCTGTTTCCAAGTCGACAGAAAAGTTCCTTCGGTGATACGAAAGCCGATTCTATGGAACATGGTAAGAAGACGCGGGGCGTCCTTGAATGAAAGATCGGTAAATACCCTGAATGCTCCAGGATAGAAGTGTTCTAGCGGAGTCTTCCAGAGCTCTATTGGCGCCACCACGAGGGCTAGCAGGGCAATTTTCAAGTAGAAGTGGTTGTTGATCGGGATTGACGAGGCAGAGAACAACCTCACAGCCAAATTCGTTTGCCGTAAGTAATGCTGTGGTATGAGTGAAGCAGCATTTAGGTAAGGCGTTTTGTTGTGTCGAAGTAACGAAAGGAAATCGTCAACGTAGATAGGATGCTGGTTCACTTGTCGCATGGCGAGGTATATGAGAACGTACAAGTCTAGCGTCGTTGGAGACGTGACTTCATGGAACCTCTTACAGAACCTAACCCAAAACACTTTTGTAAGTAACGATACGTTCTGTAGAAACAGGGGGTCTGCTGGATAGAATTCCTTCACCACTAGAGGTACAATCTTCTGGAGAACATGCTGTGCTGCCTTGTAGTGCAAAGCCCTGGCGTCCTTACCGTACAAACGAGACAGTAATGTAGGAGTGGAAGCCTGAGTAGGTACAGCAGATGTAGATACACTGGAACCGAAACCAGTGTCGTTGATCAGAAGATTGATTCTTCTTGTCTGAGTATAAGCATCACCGTCGTCTTCGGCGAACTCGACGTTTCCCTCCACCACATGACCATACTGGCATATTTTTCTACCGGCATAAGACTTATATAGCCTTGATCGACAGTTGTCGATGCCACATATAGGCCCTCTGATCCAGGTTTGGGACATGGAGACGATACCAAAGATGTGTAAGACTGATGCAGGACTATGAGACTGGAGATGAGGAGGAGGTCTGAAGGAGCCAGCTATCATAGATAAGCAAGGGTGCAAGGAAGTGACAAAATTCATAAATAGAATCAATTTTGAAGACTTCTGTCTTTTCGTTATACCTTGTTTGGTTTGCTTCCTGGAGTATCGGCTTTCGCCGAACTCAAGATTCACCCATCCCAGTACTTTCGCAGCCAAAGCGTATATCCATCCACTGTAGATACCCATAGGAACCCACCACCAAACACTTCTAACCGTCCCTTGCCTACCCTTCACTTCACCCTATGACCACCGTCCAACCCACCACCCATTCCTTTTCCACCATACATGTCCACCAAGTGACGTCTGCAGAACGCTTAATAAGCATAACCACTATACCCTCACACCAACCACCAAAAGGAACAACCCAGCGCACCCTCTCCCATCCTCACTGAACCCATCCACTACAAAATGCACACCTACAATTCACCTCCCACCAAAAAAACCTTCTGTGCCCTCTGTACCCTCTGTGGGGCACCGTCATGGTGCCAAAGTCCGGCGCGGCCCCCACGAGCCTTTACCAAGCACCGGCGTTTCATGTATTTTGGATGAGGTCTTTTGGTCACAAACCGCGTTGCGTTTCGGTCTCGCATTAACTTTACAGCCACTTGGGGGGCCCAACTGGAGTTCCACTCGGCGTTTGCCTTGCGGAGCCAGTAAGGCATTTTATGGCTGGCGCCCGGTCTTAGATTCCTTCGCAAGGGAAGGTTTACACCTCGGACACAGGGTACATTTCCTTTCGGTTTTAGAAATAGCCGATTTGAAGGTGAAAAAACGGCGGGTTTATTTTTCTCTTGCTCGATCCAGAACAGAAGCCTTCCAGTACCACGTCTTATTCTCGAAAGGTTGTCTGAGCTTGCTAGTCTGTAACCGCTATTCACTTCCTGCAGAGTTTGCAGCCATTCAGCAAGTATCCGTTATCATCGGGATAGTAAGCTTCGTGGAATGTAGAAATCAAAGGCCAGGGTAGATCGGCTTTGGTAGATTATGGTAATCAAAAAAATATAGCTTATTTGGTGGTGCCAGTGGAGAATGCTGGGTACCCCTTTTTGGGTAGCACCTCTTTTTTCTTATGGCATTTCTCGGAGTACCCAAACTCCTCTCGGTCTTAGGCACAGAGTTGCGTCCTACAGGAAAGTCTCCTGTATGACCCGAAGCCTGAAGCAACAGAGGAGAAAACGCTCCTAACAAAGTAATGGTACCCCACAGGTAGGGATGCGATTATATAAGTAGAAGCTAGTTCCCTCCAAAGCTTGGAATTCCTCTTTTTTTTAAAGTCTGTTGTCATAGTCGTCTCAATGCTTAGACACTCTCTCAAACACACATACAGAAACGGCGCTGGAGCTTTTGCTTCCGGGGCCAGAAACTACTCCAATTTGCCATTGACGGTGCCTGTTAAGTTGCCAAACGGCACCTCTTATGAGCAACCTACTGGTTTGTTCATCAACAACGAGTTTGTTCACCCAGTGCAGAAGAAGACCTTTGAGGTTATCTCTCCTGCCACCGAGGAGGAAGTCACCCACGTTTACGAGGCCAGAGAGGAGGACATTGACAATGCTGTCAAGGCCGCTCAGGCTGCTTTCGAAGGTGGCTGGTCTGGCTCTGATCCTTCTGTCAGAGCCACTGCTTTGAACAAGATGGCTGACTTGATTGATGAGAATGCCGAAACCTTGGCTCACATTGAGGCCTTGGATAACGGTAAGTCCCTTATGAACGCCAGAGGTGACATTGCCCTTTGTGCTGGTATCTTCAGATCCACCGCCGGCTGGGCCGACAAGCTCTTGGGTTCTGTCATTGAATCCGGTGACAGCCACTTCAACTACACCAGAAGAGAGCCTCTCGGTGTTTGCGGTCAAATCATTCCATGGAACTTCCCATTGTTGATGTTCACCTGGAAGGTTGCCCCTGCCCTTGTTACCAACAACACTGTTGTGTTGAAGACTTCCGAAACCACCCCATTGTCTGCCTTATATTTCTGTAGCTTGCTTAAGGAGAACAACGTTCTTCCACCAGGTGTGTTGAACGTTGTCAATGGTTTCGGTAAGATCACCGGTAACGCTATCACTGACCACCCTGCTATCAAGAAGGTTGCCTTCACTGGTTCCACTGCCACTGGTAAGGCTATCATGTCCAAGTGTGCCGGTACCTTGAAGAAGGTTACTTTGGAATTGGGCGGTAAGTCTCCTCACATTGTGTTCAACGACGCCAACGTCGAGAACGCTATCAAGAACGTCATCACTGGTATCTTCTACAACTCCGGTGAAGTCTGCTGTGCTGGTTCCCGTTTGTACATCCAGGAGGGTATCTACGATGAGTTTGTTTCTAAGTTTGTTGCTGCTGCTGAGGCCGTTAAGGTTGGTGACCCATTTGCTGAGGACACTTTGCAAGGTGCCCAGAACTCTTGGAACCAATTGGACAAGATCTTGAAGTACATTGAGTCTGGTAAGGCTGAGGGTGCTAAGTTGTTGTCTGGTGGTGAGAGATCTGACGGTAAGGGTTTCTTCATTAAGCCAACTATCTTCGGCGATGTCACTGAGAAGATGAAGATTGTCACTGAGGAGATCTTTGGTCCAGTTATCACTGTCCACAAGTTCAAGACTGTTGACGAAGCTGTTCGTTTGGCTAACGACACCGAGTACGGCTTGGCTGCTGGTATTCAGTCTGAGAACGTGCACGTCTGTCACGATGTTGCCAGAAGACTCAAGGCCGGTACCGTTTGGGTCAACACCTACAACGATTTCCACCCAATGGTTCCATTCGGTGGTTTCGGCAGCTCTGGTATGGGCAGAGAGATGGGTAAGGAAGTCTTGGACAACTACACCCAGACCAAGGCCGTCAGAATGAGAGTTCTCGCCTGATCTATATAAGCAATGACCAGAATATATTCATGATCCATTTAAGAAGAGAGTAGCGATGTAGGATACCAATGGAAATGGCTGCGAAATTGAGAAACATGGTTATCAAAAGCCACTCCAACTTAAGTTCGGAGGAACCATGGCTATGACTATAGTTATACTACTAAGTGACTTTTCCAAGGTTTTACCAGGTATGTGCCTATGATTTCTTTCATTCACTGGCTCTGTCCTTCTCGTAAGACAATGCTACAGGAGATCCCCTTCTCATAGTGGACAGACACTCCTTCCGAGAAACACAAATGTCTAACAGTTATCGCATACAACGAAGTCTAAGAGCCTGAGAGGCTCCATTCCATTCATAGAATCACACATTTACTCACTACCCTCCTATTCTATCACTGCCACAGCTTCATAGTCTTTCGCAGCCAAAGCTTACCACCACCGCTTGAATACCCAATCATCAAAGACATCCACAACCAACATCCCGCTATATTAAACGTAGCATTTATCATACTACCACCCCAAAAACCTATTTCTTACTTTTATACCATTTTCTATCAACACCAGACTCGTCTATGTATGGGGACACTGGATGGGAACGCTCACGTGCGTGGTGTGACTGTCACAAATGTCAGTGACTCCTGTACACAGTGCCATCTTCTCCCGCACTGGCGATTGAGCGCAGTACCTCCTACCTAGGGAAAACGAAAAAAAGTGCTAGTGAGAAATTTTTTCATCCTTTCGTCTCCACAACTTTAACCAGTATCAACAAGATGGTATGTGAAGCCATATAATAAAAGTCCCCAAAGCCATAGGAGCAGAGAATCCAGAATATTACAACGTCCATGTTATCTGATAAAAAAATGTCCATGTCTGATTTGACATTCCATGTCCCATTCCAACAACCCTGCTCCAAGGCCAATGAGAAGACTCCCCCTTTTTAATGAAAGCATCTTTACTAACATAACAGAGTGACGCTGTTACTATCAGAACTAGAAAGGTTATCACCAACCCATTGTTGGCCAGAAGACAGTTCGTCATTGACGTCTTGCACCCAAACAGAGCTAACGTCTCCAAGGACGAGTTGAGAGAGAAGTTGTCTGACTTGTACAAGGCTGACAAGGACGCTGTCTCTGTTTTCGGTTTCAGAACCCACTTCGGTGGTGGAAAGTCTACCGGTTTCGGTTTGATCTACCAGTCTGTCGCTGACGCTAAGAGATTCGAGCCAACCTACAGATTGGTTAGATACGGCTTGGCTGAGAAGGTCGAGAAGAGCTCTAGACAGCAGAGAAAGCAGAAGAAGAACAGAGAGAAGAAGGTCTTCGGTACTCAGGCTTCTCACGCCAAGAAGGTGGCCAAGAGAAACGCCGACTAAGCATGTTGACTTTTCTCCTAGCATCGGTCTTGCCTGTTCTGAAGTGGTGGTGAAGATTGTTAATATAATAGTATCTTGATGAGTATACTGTTTCATACCGTTTACTTGTCGAACAATAAAAAGAAGTAACGTACTTTTTTGTGTAAGTTTTTTTTTCGTAGCAGGGAATTATTTACTATTTCTATATTCTTTTATTCCGAGACATTATCGTCATCGTCAGCGTGGTCGTCGTAATGGATGTCAAACGTGTCGTTGGCATCGGCTGTTTCCTGTGATTCGGCAAACTCTTCCACCCATTCGTATGGCTCATTCAATCTCTCGTGGTTCTTCTGGAGGTACTCGTCAATATTATTACTCTTGGTGATCGCGTCATATTCATCACCAGTGATGATTTCGAAAATCACTTTAAGATATCTTCTGATAGACTTGAGTCCACGAAGGTAGCCCATATCAGGCTTGTTTGGATGGCCAGGAGGCTTACGATAGCTCTGAATTGATGTTTCATCTCCAAGCACACTTTGTGCAAAGTCAATGATATTAGCCTTGACTTGCGTGTGTTCAGAACCTGCTCCATCATACATCAAAAGCACGGACAGCCCGTACATCCTGTAGCCCAAGAGATTGCCGAAAATATCGATCAACGCTTCCAACTGCTCGATTATGTGTGGAATCTTGCAGACAATGGAGAAAGCAGACATACCGTCATAAAGAAACTTGGCTAATGTTTTAGCAAATGGAAGGCCTGAGTGAAGCTTACGCCCAAAGTATTTATCTCTCATGAAGTACTTTTCTTTGCATCTATCCCAGACTTGAAGGCCGCAAACGCGGACTCCTAGCTCCCTGGAAGTTGTCGTAGCACATTTCTTGCGTTGGGATGCTTGCTTAGCATCAGTAGCTTCTAAACCATACTGACGCGTGCCCATTTTCAAATCAAGAGCACACGGCCGCTGCATCTCAGCAGTTAAATCTTCAAGCAAAATGAATCTCTCGAACCGTGTATGTTTGCGTAAAACATGCTCGTGGTCGCTATGTTCATGATGATGTTCAGCATCCGAACTGTGATCACCCAGTAGGTGACCGGAAGATGTATCATTATGGCCAATGTCGTCGTGATCCATTTCGAAAATATCATCCGACTTGGATCCAGGTGGTACAAAAACTTCCTGAATGATTTGAGCCTGCAAATCTTGGTTGACGGACGTTGAACCGATGCTAGCATCATAGCCGCTCTTCTCTGGAGGGGTAGATGAAAAGTGGTCCTGATGACCTTCTATTGAACACGATATCTCCTCCAGTGCGCTTACACTTGGAGCACTGCTGGAGTAGTGTTTACGTAACAAGTCAGGAATGATATGTAAGTTGTCGTCGAGCGATACTTCAGGAGGAGGACCATCCTCACTGAGTCGAGATCTGCGACCCAGCTTGTCTCCATTGAGCGTTGGACGTTTCTCAAGCGATTTGCATTGGCGCTGGTCAGCAGAACCTTCCAAGCCAGGAATCACAGTTTCATCTTGCGTACTGGGATCATCATCAGCCACCCGAAGTTGTGGGGAATTGGCGTTTTCAGATACAATGCTAGAATAACGTACGTTAAGCACGCCAATGTATTTTGGGAGAAATTTGAGTAATTCTGGGTGCCTCTTCTCCACAGCCTCGTACCAAACATTCTCACGGTTCATGAGTGCTTTACAGACGGCACGTTTGCTAAAGCGGAAAATGGCAGTATGACCACCCACTTTATTTCTGAAAGGCCGTAGCTCCACAGTCAATGGGTATGCCTCATTGGATTTTATGGACGCGATAGTATTGGTGTCACCGTCGAGATTATGATCTGAAGGAAGGGATGCCGAGTCGGTGGTAGCAGATGCATTGAGGCTCAAGGACAAAAACTCATTGTGTAGGTTATTGGGATTCGTAGCATCTGTGTCATTAGAAAGCCCTATAAAGTTGACTTTGGCATTCCTTTTGCTTGGACGACGTTCAGGCGTACGTTTCTTTATTCTGGTGATATCACCATCGGAGCCGCGATCGAATTCGACGTCGGCCATGAGATGCTGGAGACTTCTATCTGGGCTGGGCAGGCCAATGTCATCAAAGCGACCTTCTTTGAGCTTCACTGGATGATGAGGAATATACGTTGCCGAGGAAACAGGTTCCAACGAAGGTGAATCCAGCGCAGGTTGAGTGCTATCTGGCTTGTTTACCAACGATGACTTGCGACGAGAGGCTGATCTCTTAGGAGTTGTCAGTCCAGAAGCACTATTGGCACTCTTTTCATGGTCACTGATCAAGGCATCTAGATTATGGCCATCGCCTCGAAACAACATCAAGGAGCGGGCAGCCTTTCTTCCAGTGACCAGGGTAACTTCTCTTTCCTGATCGGAATCTGGATCTGCCACAACAGAAGCAGCAGCATGGTGTCTTCCATCTGAGTCATGCTCAGACAGGGGAAAGGGGCTCTTCATGTGGTCCATTGTACAAGGCAAGCCAGTAGCAGAGCAGAAGGGAGAATCATGTAAGGCGAGAAAGAGCTATAAGCTGGGTTAAACAACGTAAGTATCAGGACAGGCAGGGGCTTTTCGAGGGAAGCAGCTGGGCAGCACTTAAATGGAAGATTGATGATTTATTGGGAGATATGGTACTATGCGTGCCAGGCTTTGAAAGAAAGTGTGTTGTTTGTTAAGGGGGAGGGGAGGGAAAAAAAAAAAGAAGCCTGGGGCAGTACTAAAACTTAGAGTATATATTATGAGATGGGTTGATATCAGCGCGGGACTGGTGGCAGGGCCCACGAGTGGACCTCAGCGAGAGGAAGAAAAAAAAAAAAAAAAATTACAAGACCGGTCTCGAGAGGTAAAACGAGCATTGGTAGTTAAAGGAAACACAGAACGAGAACGAAATTGTCTTTTATTTTGGCGGAAAGAAAAAAGTGGCGCCAAAAGGAGCTTTTCTAAGGAACAATCTACCCTTCATAAATCAATTCCACCGTTGCTTGTATAAAATTGATGGACCCTGTGTCTCAGGAAGAGTTGGCCCCAGTGCAGACACATTTAGGCGCTGGGGCGCTTCTTTTCCATCTGTTCTTTTTTTCGGTCTCCCCCTTCCATGCTGTGTTCGAACATGCGCAACCTTCTATCTAAGATCCAAAGATATAGAAGTATGGTTTTGGAAGGCAAGAAAAGGAAGTAGTAAACGACTAAAAGGGACTTTTTTCTCCCCAGGCTTCTCCTGCTTTTTGTGTCTCATAACCCCCAGCCCTTCAGTACATAACCCTAGGATCTTGGCAATCTTCGAGCGCTCTGTATATATGGGATCAGAGTTGCCCACTTCACTTCCGTCTCCATGCTCTTCCTAGCATACGTGCTGGCCCTAGTGTCATGGGTGCTAGGAACGTTTTGTGGATTCACAGATGACCAGCTGGTGCCCATTGTTCCGTTTGTATGGCCAGAAAACCAGCCTTTGGAGGATACGGTTAGGAATCTTGAAAATTATCTCGAGAAGCATGTCTCAATTGCTCAGGACAGCTTAACTCCTTTGGAGGTCCACATCGACAAAACGGCCCGCTGCCAGCAAAGATCCCTGGAAAATGCTACTTTCTTGGTTCTTTGTCGAAATGACGAATTATACGCTTTGCTAGAGACGGTGCAGAGTATCAATGATAGGTACAACTATCAGTTCTGCCACGATTGGGTGTTTCTCAATGATGAACCTTTTGATGAGTTTTTCATGATTGGGGTAGCTCTGGCTCTCTCTGGTGGTAATATCAGTTTTGGCCAGGTTCCAAGCGACCAGTGGGGCTCTCCTCCATGGATAGACCATGATGTGGTTGCAAAAAACGAACAAGCCTTGCTTGCCAAAAACGTCTACAAGGCTGATAATACAAGCTACAAGAACATGTGCCGGTACTTTCTGGGCTTTTTTTATAAGCATCCGCTTTTGAGTCCGTACAAGTACTACTGGCGGTTGGAGCCTGGTGTCAGGTACTATTGTGATATCAAGTACGATGTATTCAAGTTCATGCGAGAAGGAGATAAGAAGTATGGTTTCACCATCTCCCTCTTTGAATACAGTGATACAATCACGTCGCTTTGGAAGATCAGCAAACAATACTTTTCCAAGGTTACCCTTCCAGACAACAATATGGTAGGCTTTGTTGAAAACGCGGATGGAACTTACAACTTGTGCCATTTCTGGCTGAACTTTGAAATCGCTGATTTAGACTTCTTCCGATCTTCACAATATCAGAGCTACTTTGACCATCTAGATCAATTGGGTGGTTTCTTCTACGAACGTTGGGGCGATGCCCCGATCCATACCCTTGCTGCCACGCATCTTCTTAAAAAAGATGAAATTTGGTGGTTCCAAGACATTGGATACTTGCATTCACCGTTTCTACAATGTCCACAAGGCAAAGCTTATTTGGATCAGAACTGTGCTTGTAATCCTGATGCAGACTTTACGAATAGCGACCTCAGCTGTGTGCCATTCTTCCGTGAAGTCCAGAACACATAAGAGATTATGCCACAATCTCGAAGCATAGACAATCCCCGCCTTCCACAATATCTGCCCCACGAGGCATACAGAGGCTTCCAGCATCCTAGAACTCCATTTTTTTTTTTTTTTCCGTAACTGACTACGCATTGTCGAGGCAAATATAAAGAGAGTATAGCCTCTGCGGCGCACAGCTAAAGTTAGTTACAGATCCACGCCAAACGGCAGGCTTTTCCATTTTCGTGCGCGGTATGAGTGGTTTCCATACGGACCTGGCCATTGTTCTTCCTGACATTTTTAGCCTTTTGAAAGGCCCTCACAATCCAGGCACCTGTACCATTGTATCCTTTTTTTTTTTTTTTTTTTTTTGGTTTTATTTTTCGCCCGACTAACAAAAAGGCTCCGCGCCTGCTGATTTCGCGCATTGCTCCAGTGGTAGGGTAAAAAAGCGTTCGAGTCGTATGCCACCCTAAAGCCTCCCACTTATTTATACCGCCCCATATCTGCATCTCCATCAGACACCCCTATTCGCTTACATCAGCGTAATATTGTTTAATGGATCTCATCTCCATTATAATGGTTCGAGCCCGATGGCTTGCGAGAAGGCATCGCGTTGTCACCACTTTGTGTCTTGCCTTACTGCTTGTTGTGCTTTTCCTCCTTACGCTTAGCTTCGATTGGAACTCGGAGGCTCTGTCATCCTTGATCTCCGTCAAGAACCCAGACGACTCGTGTGGTTGGCTTCCTTCGTTTCTTTGTAATTGGGGTAGCCAGCAACCTTCCTCGTCTTCCTCGGAGCCGTACGAGCCCAAAGCATCGAATCCGTCCGGATCACCCAAGACGGGTCAACCAACTAATTTGCCCGAGTCTGATAAGAGGAAACTCGAGTACATTCGTTCTTATTATACAAAACTGAAGGAAAATAAACAGAGGTTAGAGAAGGGTCAGAAGTTCTACGATGGTATCTTGAATATCGTCAGACTGGCCAAGCCTGAATCAGTCTTGCAGCAATCTTATCCTAACGGTCAAATGATAGCCGAGAGATATGTTATGCGTGATGAAAGTCTACGTACTTACTCAAAGTCATATTTGTCTGGATTCTTGGAGCTTTCAGACAAAGAGTTCAATGATCTCAAAACCTCTCACGATTATGTCATCGACAAGTTTCCCGAGAAGGCTCCTGCTGGTTTATATTCAGGCGATGGTATCGTCTTTGTCGGGGGTGGCAAGTTCAACTGGTTGACTTTGCTCTCAATTCGTGCCTTGCGAGCTGAAGGCTGTGCATTACCAATCGAGATTTTGATTCCAACGATCGATGAATATGAGCTTCAACTTTGCTCTAGAGTATTCCCTGCTATGAATGCTCGCTGTATCTACCTTCCAATGCAATTCAAAGGTGAGCAACTGTCTGCAACTAAGCTTGAATTTAGTGGTTATCAGTACAAATGCTTGGCGATTTTACTTTCCAGTTTTGAAAATGTCTTATTATTGGATAGCGATAATGTTGCTGCTTATGCTCCAGATCATTTATTCAAAAAGAACCTTTCATCTCGACTGGTCTCATTGTTTGGCCCGATTTCTGGAAGAGATCCACCTCCCCTGATTATTTCAAGGTTGCTAATGTCAAGCTAAGTCAAACTGAATTGCTTCCAAAATACGACGAGACTTACGGCGAATACCACCCTCAATCTCATCAAGAGCCACTTGACCTTGATAAGATTCCTTTGCATGAAAGACTAGGTGCCATTCCCGAACCATCGTCTGAATCGGGACAGCTTATGATTTCCAAGAATTCCCACATGAAAGAACTTCTATTGGCACTCTACTACAATTACTATGGTCCTTCCCATTACTACCCACTTTTCTCGCAGGGAGCACAGGGAGAAGGAGACAAGGAAACATTCCTTGCCGCCACTATCGTGACTAGCAAGAGCTATTATCAGGTCGGTAAGTTCGTGGACGCATTGGGAAATATTCGTGACAATAATTTCAATGGTAATGGCATGGGCCAGTTTGATCCTGTGGAGGATTACAATTGGCAAAAGAAGAAGGAGGAACTTCGAAAGACGTTATCGGGTGATGAATACTATGAAGCTATTGGTAAACTTCCGAAGCCAAAGATGATCTTTGTGCATGCTAACGTGCCAAAATTAAATCCATGGACAATGAAGAACAAATTCGATACAGTGGATGAAAATGGTAACCGTTACCGTCTCTACGGTTTAGGCATGAGAGAGAGAACAGGTGTCGATTTCGAAGGAGTTGTATGGGGTCATATGGATACTCTTTTGTGCGTTCTCAATCTCGCTATTGACGCATTCAAGGACATCGACCGCAAGGAGCTTTGCGCTGAAATCAAGGAGCATAAAGAATGGCTCAAATCTACTGAGCACACTCTTGAATAATCTTAGAATATTTTTAGGTGTAACGGATCTTGTATTTATTATTTAGTCATGAAGAAAAATTGTACTATATTAAAGGCCGCCAGAATCTGCCAGGCATGCATATAACCAGTAGCGACCAAGTATCAACAGTTCGTGTACATCATAGACCTACCAACTACTATCTTAACATCATCAACACACAACAATGGCCATACATTTCACGCTATTGCTTTCCAGGCAAGGAAAAGTAAGATTATCCAAATGGTATCACACGAACTCTCAAAAGGAGAAGGCTATCATTACGAGAGAATTGACAACACTCATATTGTCGAGACGAGCAAAAATGTGCAACATTCTTGAATACAAAGATATGAAGATCATCTACCGTCGTTATGCATCATTATTTTTCATTATGGGAATCGATTCCCTGGACAACGGTTTAATAGCGTTGGAGGTTATTCATAGATACGTTGAGCAAATGGACAAACTCTACGGCAATGTATGCGAACTAGATATCATTTTTGGATTTGCCAAGGCCTATCATATACTTGACGAGCTAATTTTGGATGGCCACATAGCAGAGACATCAAAGAAAGAAGTCGTGAAGAAGGTAACGCAACAAGACGAATTAGAGCATATGGACGAGTTTGAGAACATCTTGGTCTAGACGGGAACAAGCAGACAAACTTATGAGCATCACGGACTCATAGAAGAATCCCTCGGGAAACCATAACCCACGAGTCTTCGAGGTATCCACCAGGCTGGTTTGGTGAGTAGTGACCGAGACTTAGGTAAAGATCTCCAAAAAAAAAATAACTCCAAATAGAAAAAGAGAGGGAAATCTACGAACGCTGAATGTAATTTCATGAAAAGCATTTATTCTATCATGCTGTACTTTTTCCTCTACTGTCAGGTCTACTGGTAACCTGTAGTAGCATAGGGTACCCAGTACATCCGTGCACCGCATATTTCTAGTGCGATGGTCTTCCCAGAAAAGTGTCTAGCATCTGAAGGTCTAACCCTATTTCAAAGCATTAATGTCTGACGACGAGGGTTTTGATATTACCGGGTCTCTTGCACTCCAAGGCAAGGAGTACGATTCCGACTCGTCCTCTGGTTCCGACTTCAGCGACAATGAAGAGATCAGGGACGTGATTTCTTCAGACGATGAGGCTGATGAGGTAAAGAAAGATTCAAAGAAACCAGCTAAGAAAGTGGTCAAACCGGCAATGCCGAGTCTTGAACTCTCAGACGATGAAGCTGATGAGAAAGCTGATGAGGATTTGTCCTCTTATTTTGTCCAGAACAACCCTACTGCTAAGAAAGCTAAGGCAGGTTCATTTGCATCTTTTGGTCTTTCCAAGTTCGTCTTGATAAATATCGCCAAGAAGGGTTTCAAACAGCCTACCCCTATTCAAAGAAAGACTATACCTCTTATCATGGAGAACCGTGATGTGGTTGGTATGGCCAGAACCGGTTCGGGTAAGACTGCTGCATTCGTGTTGCCAGTTATTGAAAAATTAAAGTCACACAGTGCCAAGGTCGGTGCAAGAGCAGTCATCTTGTCACCTTCAAGAGAATTGGCTCTACAAACCTATAAGCAAGTTAAAGAATTTAGCCGTGGTACTGATTTGCGCTCTTTGGTACTTATCGGTGGTGATTCTTTGGAAGAACAGTTTTCTTCTATGATGTCAAATCCTGATATCATTGTCGCAACTCCAGGTAGATTCTTGCATTTGAAAGTCGAGATGCAACTAGATTTGAGTACCGTGGAGTACATTGTCTTCGATGAGGCTGATCGTTTGTTCGAGATGGGATTTGCAGAACAGTTGAACGAGTTAATCGCATCCTTACCCGAGTCCCGTCAGTCGCTTCTCTTTTCCGCTACTCTTCCAAGATCTTTGGTTGATTTTGCCAAGGCAGGTTTAACAAACCCTGTTTTAGTGCGTCTTGATGCAGAGACTAAGGTTTCGGAGAATTTGCAAATGGCCTTTTTCTCTACCAAAAAAACCGAACGTGAAGCTGCGTTGTTGCATATCATTCAGGAAGTCGTAAAGCTACCAGTGGCTACCGAAGAAGAGCTCGCTAGAATAAAGGCCGAGTCCAAGAAGGCAGATGAACAATCTGATGATGAAGATAACAATAGAGACAAGGATAAGTCGAAAAATAGGAAGAAGTTCAAGAAGCAAAGACTTCCTCCAGCGAATGTTCTACCATCGAAACACTCGACCATCGTTTTCGTTCCTACGAAACATCATGTCGAGTATATTTCAGGCCTCCTTAGAGACGCCGGTTACTTGGTCTCCTACATATATGGTTCCCTTGATCAACGGGCTAGAAAAGAGCAGCTTTATCGTTTCAGAATTGGTTTCACAAGTTTGCTTGTCGTCACAGATGTGGCCGCTCGTGGTATCGATATTCCAGTCCTCGCTAATGTTATCAATTTTACCTTACCCGCATCTCCCAAGATCTTCATTCACAGAGTGGGTAGAACCGCTAGAGCAGGTAATAAGGGTTGGGCATACTCCATCGTTAACGAAAAGGAACTTCCTTATCTTCTTGATTTGGAGCTCGTGTTGGGTAAGAAGATTTTGCTTACTTCAATGCATGAAACGAAATGTGAGCTCCTTAAGGAAAGTAAAGGAGATGATTATGTCGAACCGAGAGTCTCATACACTGATAGACTTGTGTTAGGATCTCTTCCCCGTGGACCTTTGGAGACCTTCGAGGAGATGTTCGAAAATTTGTTGAAGAATAACTACGACCTCAAGACATTGAAAGACGTGGCTGCAAAGGGTGAGAAGCTTTATCATCGTACAAGGCAAGCTGCCTCTGTTGAATCTGTGAAGAGAACTAAAGAAGTTTTGGAAACAGACGCATGGGATGATCAACATCTAATCTTCGGACCTAACTTAGAGAAGGAGAAGGAGAAGTTCCTCGCCAGACTCACTAATAGAAACACGAAGGAAACTGTCTTTGAGTTTTCCAAGAAGGGCCGTGAGAAGGAGGAAGACGGTATGGTCGTTTTCATGCAAAGAAGACGCAGGCAAATTGCACCACTTCAGCGTAAGGCAAAAGAAAGAAGGGATCTACTCGAGCAGGAGCGTGCTGCTGGCTTGACCCACAGCATCCAGGATGAGATCTTGAAGTCGGATGCTGGTGAGGTTGGTTATGCTGTGAAGTCCGTGGAGGCAGGTGAAGACGAATTGCAAGATGCATTCGAAGATGCCGATGAACTCTATGCCAAGAAGAAGAAGGAGAAGAAGAGTTTTAGGGACCCCAATTTCTACATGAGCCATCATGCTCCAGCAGCAGAAGCTATTGAAGATAAGCATTACGGTTTAAGCTCGTTTGCAAACGATGCAGCACACGCTACATTTGATTTGGACAATGATGAAAAGGTTCAGAAACAGTCACAGGTGATGAGATGGGACAAAAAGAAGGGCAAATATATCAACTCCAGGTCCGCTGACGATACCAAGTATATTATCAGTGAGTCTGGTCAGAGGATACCCGCCACTTTACGTTCTGGTAAGTTCGATGATTGGAGAAAGAAGAGAAACATTTCGTCTGCACAGGCTGGCATGGCTGAGAATGCTTCTGACAACAATCAGAACAAGAGGTTCAAGCATAACAAGGTTTCTGCTCCTAAATTGCCTGATAAGTTTAGGGATGACTACCATAAGCAGAAGAAGAAGGTTGGTAAGGCCGTTGATTCTGGCGTGAACGTGAAGGGCTTCCACAAGCCTGGACAAAAGGATGAATTGAGACTGACAGAACAGATCAGAAAGATGAGAAACGTGAAGGAGAAGAGGAAGGCTAAAAATGCCCGTCCTACTAAGCGCAGAGGTAAATAAAACTACAGCATCATTTATAGACAAACGGTTTATTGAACACACATGTATTGGTATAGAGAGGATCAGGCTGAGTAAACGAAACTTTGGATCTTTCACTCTCTTTCCATTTTTTTTTTTCTTTTTTTCTTCTTATTTCAATTCTTTTCTTTAACAATTGCTTGTTGAGTATTTTGATATTTGCTCCAAGGATTTTTATTTTATTGTGTCTTTTGATTCCTTATTATTACAAAATGTCTGAAAATAAGCACCGCTTATCTTCTTCCTCTTTTTCCGTATGGGTGATAACCACCACGGCTTCTGTAGCCGCCTCTTCCTCTGCCACTAGATGGACCTGAAGGTGGTGCACGTTTAGGACCCTTTGGTAGGTTCATTCTGCGACCTTCACCATTGTCACCACTTGGGCCACTAGGTGGTGTACGTTCGTGATATCTACGTCCTCTGTCACGTCCACCGTTATCACGTCCACCGTTATCACGTCCGCTGTCACGTCCACTGTCACGTCCGCTGTCACGTCCGCTGTCACGATTGCTCTCCCAACCACTGCTTTCATTGGCGTTACCTGTGTCACCCAGGTCGTTGTTAGAATCATCGTTCTCGGCACCTTGCTGTTGAGGGTTCAAGGGTTGTTGCTCGGGCTGATCTTGCTGGTAGCCATTGCCTTGAGCTGCGGCCTGCTGCTGTTGGAACATATACCATTGCATTCTCTGCCAATACTCTTGCATCATTTCTGGGGTAGCACCCTGGAAATTAGGCATGTTATTTCCACCTGGTAATTGCATAGGAAATTGACCATATGTATTGTAAGGATTGAACTGTTGCTGCTGTTGTTGCTGCTGTTGTTGTTGCTGCTGTTGTTGTTGATGGTAACCTTGGTTCTGATTCAGTTGATGCAGACCTCTTGGTTCGGCACGCTTCACCTCCATTGCCTTGCCTTTTAAAGTTAAATACTTGTTAACACAAACCCTATCTACTGCTTCAGGTGAGTCGAATGTGATGAAACCGAAACCACGGGATCTACCCGTATCCTTGTCAATCATGAGCTGGGCATCGATAATGCGACCAAATTCAGAGAAAAAGTCATTAAAGTCTTTCTCATTCACAAGTGGATCTATACCTCCAACAAAAATCTTACCAACCTTGTCTTGTTCCTCTCTAGCAATGGCTCTTTTAGGATCAATCAACTTTCCGTCCAAAATATGATCCTTCCTAATAACTTCATCTACCGCCCTTGGATCTTTGAATGTTAAAAATCCAAAACCACGCGATCTTCCAGTATTTGGGTCCTTCATGATGGTATAGTCCGAAATCTCGCCATACTTCGAGAAGTAGCTCACCAACCCATCTTCCGTAGTGTCCCAATTGAGACCACCAATGAACATCTTGCCACTGTCTCTACCCAAGTTGGAAGGAGGCATCCTGCTTGGCTCTTGTTGTGGAGGTGGTGGTGGAGGAGGCTGCTGGAACTGGGGTTGAGACGCCTGTTGGTCCTGGTTGAACTGAGGAGCCAGGGATCCACCATATGGCTGCTGTTGGTAAGCTGATGATTGATCGCCCAACGGAGCTGCGTTCTGCTGAGGAGCGGCGGGCTCGGTGGCCTGGGGTACATTGTCAGCCGGGTTCAGTGCTTGAGGTTCTGAGGCTGCTGGTGTCTCTGAAGGAGCAGCAGGTGCTGGAGGTGCTGGACTTTTAGCCTCTTCTGCTTTTGGAGCAACGTCAGATGGCTTCGTCTCCGTTTTTGTATCTTCATCACTAGCGCTGTTAGTATATTGTGTGTGAGATGCGACAGAAAGGTATAATACATACTAGATGTCTTCGAAAAGAGCCTCGTCTTCGTCGAATGTGGACATATTTGGTGATGCAATACAGTCAATTATGAGTAAATCAATGTATTGAGAAGTATAAAACTAATCAAACTATCTATTCACTGATGGAAGTACGGGCTAGCGAGGCTTGCCATAGTAATTTTCGTTGATACGTGAGTGCGGTTGGTGTGCACATAACCACATTTTCACGTGACCTATAACTGGAGAAGAGTAGGCAAAGCAGACTTTACATGGCAATACTAAAGGCCAGCAAAAAGAATTAAAAATATTGTAATGAAAAACTTAAAAAATGGACGAGTCCGGATTCGAACCGGAGACCTTTCGCATGCTAAGCGAACGCGCTACCAACTACGCCACACGCCCTGGAAAGAAGTGGTCCCTAGCAGGATCGAACTGCTGATCTTGGCGTTATTAGCACCACGCCTTAACCAACTGGGCCAAGGGACCGACTTTCTGAAGATTAGAAATTTTGAGCTGTTTAAATAGTACAGTTTGGCAAAACGTTCAAATTCAGATATTTTGATAAACAATTAATTTTTTTAATGTTGATAGCAATATTATTCTAATCCTTAAAATTGAAAAATCTGCCGGAAAAACAGGAATTTGGAAAGAAAAGCTGTTTTCTCGATATATAAAAGGTATTTCAATTTAGCTAGATATTCTTCAAATACGTTAGGTTAAGTCTTATGGTAAAGAAAGCTTAATTCTTCATCGACGTTCATGGTGGGGGCAAATACAGCATAGGCGATGGCCCTGGAATGGGTGTAAGGCCTGAAGTGAAAGCAGCTGGTCTAGCTCATCACAATACCAGCATTTTGTGAGCCCAAAGGTATCAACTTCCAAGTTTCGAAGTATCATTTAGAAGTATTTGTGGGGGAATAGGACGGTTGTCATAAAACCATCACTCTTGATGGTACTGTGCTGCGATAGTTGCAACCAAGCGTGTCATGATAACGTTTTAAAGTAAACAAACATTTGGATATCTAATTGGTACAGTTTTGCCTCATATCATAATAATTTAATTTTAAAGAGTTAGTTTGTATCATAAGTTCACGATATTTCCAGGAGCCACCACTGTACACCAGTTTCTAAGTTTTGGGTGCAAATTGTCAAATGTTGAGAAACGTTTTACAACCTTGTAAAATACCAGAATAGACCAAAATTCATTTTCTCACGATTAGCCTATCCAGAACATAACAATTTACCTTTTCCTTCGTTTTTTACTAGCCCAACCACTCTGTGGCTGCTGATCTACGACTTTGGCTCAGAGGTCTTCGCTGCGCACCTACATAATCCTCAATGCGTATCAATCGCATCTCAGACAGCTCTCCACTCATCGATGAAAGATTACATTATCAGCTTTGCACAAGCTTTTCCCAACTTTCGAATTGCTGAGCTAGAGTCCTTGGCCGAGCTCAACGGCATCGAAGTTGATTTCCAAAACCACAACGAAAAGAAACCGTTCCTTAAGGTCCAGCTTGAAGACGATGAGCAGGCGAAAAAACTCATTAAGAGATCCATTTTGGCAAAGGGGATCTACGAGCTCTGGGGAGAGGGCAAAGATTTGACCGAGCTCCATGAAAGCATACAAAAGAACTCTCTGGATAAGTTCGACACTTACAAGCGTAATACATTTAGGTTCGACTTTGTCAGCTTCATGGGTGCCAAAACTACCGAGGAGAAGATCCAAACCATCGACAGTTTTAAGTATCTCGGTTTTGAAGGCAAGATCAGACTCAAGAATCCTGAGGTGATTTTTGCCGTGCTAGAAGAATACTTTGTGTCTGGCCAAGAGAGAGCGGAAAAGCCCGACTACCTTTGGTTCGGACGTCAAGTGGAGACGAGTGCCCGTTCCGAGGGCGTGGTTGAGCAATACGACTTGAAAAAGCGGAAATACATTGGCACAACGTCTTTCGATGCCGAGCTAGCACTCGTGAGCTGCAACATTGCACAAGTCAAGCCTGGCAAGGTGGTATATGACCCATTTACAGGCACTGGATCTTTCTTGGTTGCAGGTGCATACTTTGGAGGATATCCTATGGGCACGGACATTGACGCCCGTTCAGTTAGAGGCAAGGGCCCCAACAACAATCTCCTTTCGAGCTTCCGCCAGTACGGTACCGCACTGCAGTTTATTGACATTTGGACGATGGACTTCACAAATAATGCGCTTAGAGAGGACTTTGTAATTGACACAATTGTATGCGACCCGCCTTACGGCGTGCGTGAAGGCCTAAAGGTTTGTGGAGCCAAAGACCCAGCTAAAGCTGCGGGGAGAGAGCATAATGTGGTAGATGGAGAGCTCGGCTTCAAGCGCCGTGATTTCATTGCTCCCAAGAAGCCCTACCACCTTGCCAATCTCCTAGATGATTTACTTGAATTTTCTGCGGCTAGAATGCCAGTTGGCGGGCGCCTAGCTTTTTGGATGCCGACTGCCAATGACGAGTTTGTGGAGCATCATATCCCACAACACGAAAGACTTGAGCTTTTGTATGTGCTAGAACAAGAGTTCAACAAATGGTCTCGTCGCCTTGTGGTATACGTGAAGAGGGATGAGAGCTACAAGGGTAAGACGTACAATGGCATGCGCAGCGAACAGGTAACGCACTTCCGTGATAGATACTTCAAGAGCTTCAATGAAAGAAGCAAACAGACCGTATCTAGCCAGTTAGGAGACTTGAGGATTTCCGGGTCTGGGCCATAAAATTACTTCTCAGGGATAGCACACCGGTACACAGCCATGAATAAGGGTGAATTGTGAGCAACTTAAGCCATGGGACAGAGTCGACCCTGAGATAAGCTGCTAGCTAACACTTGGGAGTTGCAGCTATGCGCTTAGGGAGCCAAGGGTTGAGACAATTACCAGTGTCTCTAATAGCTGCCTTCGCGTCAACGTACTGTACAAAACCGTTTTGCACCCATGAACGTGCGTCAAATGCATTTACAGGGTCTCCTCCTCGAGAGCGGTCCATACCCAAATGTCTTAAGCTAAACAGAGTATGCGTTTACAAATCCAAGGGGCTCCCCTACACCAATGTGACTTCGTCGGTCCATAGCCCTTTTGATTGGCCCTTGGCCAGCCCGATTCTCAATTGGGGATGGCGTCCACTCCTTTCACAATGCTTTTTGGGTCATTTTTCAAGTCTGCTAAGAATATAAAATCCCCCCAATTTTCCCTCCCTTTTCGTTCTTCTTTTCTCTCTATACCTCTAAGTAATTAACTTTTATTATGTCTCCTCCAACTATGGTCCAAAAGCCTGTCGGCTCTGTCGGCAACCTCAAATCCCCAGTGGTTCGCCTCGACTCCGGTGCTAACGATGCTCAGGTTAGCTTCGCTGACTGGGAGAAGTTCAACTTCGCCCCAATCAGAGAGTCTACCGTCTCCAGAGCTATGACCAAGAGATACTTCAACGACTTGGACAAGTACACTGAGTCTGATGTTATCATTGTCGGTGCTGGTTCCGCCGGTTTGTCTGCTGCCTACGTCTTGGCCAAGAACAGACCAAACTTGAAGATTGCCATCATTGAGGCCTCTGTTTCTCCAGGTGGTGGCTGCTGGTTGGGTGGTCAATTGTTCTCTGCTATGGTCATGAGAAAGCCAGCCCACTTGTTCTTGGATGAGCTTGAGATTGCCTACGAGGACGAGGGTGACTACGTTGTCGTCAAGCACGCCGCTTTGTTCATGTCTACCTTGATGTCCAAGGTCTTGCAGTTCCCTAACGTCAAGTTGTTCAACGCTACCGCTGTTGAGGACTTGATCACTCGTCGTGACGAATCTTCCGGTGAGTTGAGAATCGCCGGTGTTGTGACCAACTGGACTTTGGTCACCTTGAACCACGACACCCAGTCTTGTATGGACCCTAACACCCTTAACGCTAACGTTGTTCTTTCTACTACTGGTCATGACGGTCCATTCGGTGCTTTCTGCGCTAAGAGATTGGAGACCTTGAGACCAAAGAGCGCCAACGAGCCATTCGAGTTGGGTGGCATGAGAGGTCTTGACATGAACAAGGCCGAGGACGCCATTGTCAAGGGTACCAGAGAGGTCGCTCCAGGTTTGGTTATTGCCGGTATGGAGTTGGCTGAGGTTGACGGTTCCAACAGAATGGGTCCAACCTTCGGTGCCATGGCTCTTTCTGGTGTCAAGGCTGCTGAGTCTGTGTTGAACGTTTTTGACGTCCGCAAGAAGCAGAACGAGGCTACCTACGGTGGCTTGAACTAAGTATTTTCTAGTACTGATATCATGTTGACAATGAATTTCTGATCTAATTATAAAGAAGTGTAAGTACGTAGGCGCGATATTTTGCAGCCATTCCAGATGACACAACGTAGAACATTCCTGACATGATTTCTCTTGACCGTTAAAGCCATGCACTTATATCAAAAAATGGACGTAGAAAGCCACTTCGAAACTTCCGATTTTTTTACCACACAAACATGTTTGATGCTTTTACGGCTTAATTCTGTCTATATGCTTTGAAAAACATTAATGTACTGCACACTGCGTACAAAAGTTCAGCAGACCAGTGTACGAGATTTTGAAGATTCTATCCATCACCATCATTCATCCAGCCTAACCCCAAGATGGCTATTGACAACCCGAGTGAAGATCCGGCGGATAACTTCAAATTCTTCGGCTTGGGAGGATGTAATGAGGTGGGGCGTTCGTCCCATATATTGGAGTATAAAAACAAAGTTATTATGTTGGACTCTGGTGTCCATCCAGGTCTCAGCGGGATGAATTCATTGCCATTTTTCGATGAATACGATTTATCCAAAGTCGATATCTTGTTGATTAGTCATTTTCATTTGGATCATGCCGCTTCATTGCCATACGTGATGCAACAAACAAACTTCAAAGGCCGTGTTTTCATGACCCATGCAACCAAGGCCATCTACCGTTGGTTACTATCAGATTTCGTCAGAGTTACATCTATGAACGGTGGTGGCGATGAAGGAAGAAGCGAAAACAACTTGACGAACGCTTCAGGCTCTGCCAATCTATATACAGACGAAGACTTGATGGTTTCGTTTGATAGAATTGAAACTATCGACTACCATTCTACTATTGAGGTCGATGGTATCCGTTTCACTGCCTACCACGCTGGCCATGTTCTTGGTGCTTGTATGTACTTTGTTGAGGTTGGTGGCCTCAAGGTTCTTTTTACAGGTGACTACTCTAGAGAGGAAGATCGCCACTTGAAGGTTGCCGAAGTCCCACCCACACGTCCTGATGTTTTGATCACAGAGTCTACATTTGGCACAGCTACTCATGAGCCAAGACTAGAAAAAGAAGCACGGTTGATGAAATTGATTCATTCGACTATCCTAAAAGGTGGCCGTATTCTTATGCCTGTTTTCGCATTGGGAAGAGCACAAGAATTACTTCTTATTTTGGAGGAGTACTGGTCACAAAACAAGGACATTCAAAACGTCAATATATACTACGCCTCTAACCTTGCACGAAAATGTATGGTAGTGTATCAAACATACACCAGCATCATGAACGACAGCATCAAGGTGAATGCAGCAGGTTCCGCAAAATCCAACCCTTTTGATTTCAAATTTATCAAGTCCATCAAGAGTGTTGATCGAGTTCATGATATTGGGCCATGTGTGGTAGTGGCATCCCCAGGTATGTTGCAAAGTGGTGTCTCCCGTCAGCTTTTAGAGAGATGGGCACCTGAACCCAAGAATGCAGTTATCATGACAGGTTATTCGGTTGAAGGAACAATGGCGAAGGATCTTCTTCGTGAACCACCTTCGATTCCCTCCAGCAATAATCCAGAAATGACCATCCCTCGACGTCTCACGGTCGATGAAATATCTTTTGCGGCGCATGTAGATTTCATCGAAAACTCGGGTTTTATAGATGAGGTAAGCCCCAAGAAAATCATTTTGGTACATGGTGACAGTAACCCTATGGGTAGACTCAAGTCTGCATTACTCAGTAAGTACCTGTCCAGGAAGGGTACAGACGATGAAGTCAAGGTATTTAATCCTAGGAACTGTGAGGAGGTCACTATAGGATTCAAGGGAGCAAAGATGGCTAAGGTCGTGGGAAGTCTCGCTGAAGCTCAAATGGAGTTGATAAAGAAAGCGCTCCACGAACAAGAGACAAAAGCTAAAATTGAAGAAGTTGATGACAATGGTGTCAAAAAAGAGGACGACATGGCTGTCGAAAAGAGTGACGATGCTACCAAGAAAGAAGACGAGGATGACACAGAAAAAGGCACTAAGATAATAGACACAGGCATCAGAATATCTGGAGTCCTCATATCCAAGGATTTTGATATGAACATCATGAGCCTTGAAGATTTACCGGAGTATTCTCAACTCAATACTTCAGTCGTTAAGTCTAATGCCAAACTCAAGGTGCACGCTAATGTCTCATTGATAGAATGGCATTTAGAGCAGATGTTTGGCCACATCAGCGTCGCGAAAGACGATAATGAGACTTGGGAATGTGCCATTATGGATATGGTATACATTACTGTTAACAAGGTAGAGTCAGCAGGAGCCTTGAATGTGACTGTGGAATGGATTAATGATGATTTGATGGGAGATTCGCTAGCAGACAGTATCGTTGCTATTCTCCTTTCGATAGACTCTTCGCCAGTTTCGGTGAAGATGACTTCTCAGCATTGCTCTCATAGTCATGTCAAACAAGAAGATGATGAAGATATGGTGAAACAAGAGGCACCAAAGAGAGCTCATGCCAACAGCGATATAGCCAGCCGAATCAAGAGAATAAGTTCTCTCTTGAAGTCGCAATTTGGTGACTCAATCAAGAAAAACGATGGAAAGGAAATTGTCATCGTGATAGGTAAGAACGAAGCCAAGGTTGACCTTAACAAGCTTGAGGTTGAGTGCGGTTCAAGAGTACTCAAGGATAGAGTGGAGAACATTGTAAAAAGAGGTGCCACACTTGCTGCTCCATTGAGCTATCCTGAAAAAATGGTCTCAGTATAAGAAAGGAAGGCTTTCGAAGAGACATGTATTTAATGAATAATGATAGACCCTAGAAGGAAATCTGTATGACTTTCGTGCATAGAGGGAAATATCGAGATACATATCAAGCTGTGCGACATCGTCTCAACTTTAGTTTAACCTTAGTTAACTTTACCCAAACTTATAACTATATATGTCGTATGTTACAGAATTTTTTTAAGAATGAATTTTTTGTTTAAGGATAATTTGCGTACTAACATCAGTGAACTTATAGATCGTCCTCGTTCAGAGCTCACAGAGAGTGAACTTCAAGAACTAGAAGAGTTTGAGTTTAACCATGGCCCACTATCACTCATTCAAAACTCTGTCAAGACAGGAAATCCAGTGATGATTCATTGCAGGAATAACCATAAACTTCTTGCCAAGGTGAAGGCATTTGATAGACACTGCAATATGGTTCTAGAAGATGTGAAAGAACTTTGGACAGAGACAACGAGGAATAGTAAAGGCAAAGTCATCAAAACAACCTCAAAAGAGAGATATGTTGTCAAGCTCTTTCTCAGAGGAGACTCTGTTATTATAATATTGAGAGTCTAAGATGTTTACTGGGAAGCATGGAGGATACGAAGAGGAAGGGTTCAGACAGAGATGACGAAGCAGACGCTCGAGTAGACGAAAGTATTAGAACAAACAGAGCGGTAAATTGAAGACGATTTCTGCTTCTGTCTTTGGTTCCCTTGCTTACTCATGAGAAGTACTGCTCAGGATTGGTTATATTCACCAATTCGAAGGCTTTACCGCAGGGCAAGGATGTCTTACCCTCTAAAAAGTTAATTCGCATAATAATACACAAACGAAAAACTATCAAATGTAGCTATTTGTTGAAATATTCCTAAACTGTATTAAAGGTTCTTACATGTTTGACCTACGCGTATATCAGTGAAGGCGCACTCATCAACTCCACAATACCATGAAGCTCAAACTTCGAACGCAGAGCACAGAAACGCTTAAAATATGCTTCTCACAGATAAGCAGTCTCAGAAAGTTTGTAGTGCTTAGGTTTAGCCCCGAGCAGCTCCTTGCTATTCTGATGAAAGACACGTCCTTGAACCAGGAACCTCAGGTATGGTGCAAGTTTCGAATGCTGGCCATCTTCAACGAGATCGAGATCCAAAGTCTTAGGAATGACGTGGTGCTACTAGAGATAAACATTGAGCTCTTCCTCCAAACGCTTAAGAACTTTGAGAAGGCTGACAGCCACGATCTCAGTATTCGTTTGCAAAGGAAAGAAGCCTCATCAGATGGTGCCACCAGTGGAGGTGGCAGAACAGCGTCATTGGCTCTTTACTATTCTGATCTCACCACCTCAGCTAATACAGTCAACCATACGTTCAGAATTCCTGTCAAGATTCTTAAAGGGTCCACTGATCTACTACAAGAGCCGGAATTGCCTAGGGTTGATCTAATGATGCGTCTACCTAACGAGTTCTCTTCTACCTACAAACGTCTAGATAAGTTCAAGAAGAACTTGGCAAGTGATCTAGTTACGATCAAAGCGAGCAGAAGGCGAGGCGGTTACTTGGGCTTTGTTCTACAGGAAGATGGTAAGTTCAAAGTGACGATACGGTGGAATGATAAGCTAGACGTCCAAAAGCCCAAGTTTTCCAACTTGGATACTGACAGTCTACGAGCTCAGGCATTACAAGAGCCCGAAGAAGAAGTAGATGAGCATGATGAGCTGGAAGATACGGAAATCGTGGTTAAGCTCAAGGACTGGAAAATGGCATCGAAGATCGTGAGCACGTGTAAAACAATCATCTTCCTCATGTGCCACCAAGAAGCATGTGTGTTACATTGCTTGCTCGATGATACGGATGATGTCGAAGTGCTCTATTATCTTAGTGCAGTGAAAATTCGTGATATGGAAGATTAAATTGGGTGATCCAATTAACCGGTATCTGTCAATCATCCAAGTGACTCAATGACTCGTTCGCGCGACTAATAAATGCAGCAGCCATTGAACTACTTCCCAGGAGCAATTCAATTTCCAAAAGCTAAAACATGTCCATTTTAGAACGTGAAGAGCCTCATTACTTTGGTGCTGGTCCAGCTTTGCTACCATCCGATGTCCTTAAGCAAGCTGCTTTGGACTTGATTTCTTACGATGGCCAGAACTTGGGCATCGGTGAGATCTCTCATCGTTCGAAGCCGGCTATCAAGGTCATTGATGACACTAAAGCTAATATCAAGAAGTTAATTGATGTTCCAGATACTCATGAGATCTTTTTCATGCAAGGTGGTGGTACCACTGGTTTCTCGTCCATCGTCTACAACATGATGGCTAACTATGCGAAGAAGCACAACTCGAAGAAAGGTAGAGCTGCTTATGCGGTAACTGGTGGTTGGTCTAAGAAGGCTGCTGAAGAGGCCCTGCGTTTGGGCTTTGACGTCGACGTTGTCTTCAATGGCAAGGAGAAGAAGTTTGGTGACATTGCTCCTTACTCTGAATGGAAAGCCATCGACAAAGACTCCACAGCCTACTTGTACCTCTGTGACAATGAAACCGTTCACGGTAATGAGTTTCAATCGATCCCAGATTCATCGTACTTGCCTGAGGGTGTCGAATTGGTTGCTGACATGTCATCCAACATCTTGTCTAAGAACATTGATGTGAGCAAATATGGTGTCATTATGGCCGGCGCTCAGAAGAATCTTGGTTTGGCTGGCTTAACTATCTACATTGTCAAGAAGTCGTTGCTTGAACAAGCTTCTGACGAAGAATTGAACGCTGCTGGTATCCCATTGTGCCCTATTGCTTTCCACTACCCAACCGTGGTTGCAAACAACTCTGCCTACAACACCATTCCAATTTTCACTTGTCAAATCTTGAAGTTGGTGACCGATAAACTCATAAAAGAAGGCGGTATTGAGATTATTGAGAAAACCAATGCTCACAAGGCAGACATCTTGTATGGTGCTTTGGACAAGCACACTAGTTTGTTCAACTTGCCTGTTACCAACAAGGATGTGCGTTCTCGTATGAACGTTGTCTTCACTTTGCCAAGCGATGAATTGACGAGTGAGTTCCTCAAGGGTGCTGAAGAGAAGAAGTTGACTGGCTTGAAGGGTCACAGATCTGTTGGTGGTATTAGAGCATCGATCTACAACGCCGTCTCTACTCACAGTGTTGAACTTTTGGTTGACTACATCAACGAATTTGCTGCTTCCCACAATGCTTGAACCTGTTTAGAAATGAATTGAAGGATTATTATTTATAAATCATTGTCTCTTCTGTAGTGGGTGCAAATTGTACTACCCTGTTGATGCGCACTGAAAAATGTAGGAGGGATGCTGCCTAGATCCTACTCCAAGATAAAACCTGGTCCTCATGATTCACACAGCGCTACGAAGGCCACTAGGTTTTGGTCTTCAGAGGGCTTCACATCGAGGTCTACAATCGACACAACGGATCTTGTCGACCCCCAAGACAGCAGCTACCCAGGACAAAAAGATCAATCTAGACAAAGAAAAGCATATCAAATGGGTATACGATAGAATCGATAAAATCCCGCTAGAAAATTATAGAAACTTCAGTATTGTTGCTCATGTCGATCATGGTAAATCGACGCTTTCAGACAGACTACTAGAGCTTACTGGGGTTATTGAAGCAGGCTCCAACAAGCAGGTTCTCGATAAGCTAGATGTTGAGAGAGAACGAGGCATCACCGTGAAAGCACAAACATGTATGATGTTTTACCAGGACCCAAAGACGAAAGAAGACTATTTATTGCATTTGGTTGATACTCCTGGGCATGTGGATTTTCGTGCAGAAGTATCTAGGTCTTATGCATCTTGTGGTGGTGCTCTCTTGATCGTTGATGCATCTCAGGGTGTCCAGGCCCAAACAGTTGCTAATTTCTATTTGGCATACAGCATGGGATTGAAGTTGATCCCTGTAATCAACAAAATCGACTTAGATGCCGCTGATATTCCTCGTGCGATGGACCAGGTCGAAACCACATTCGAATTGGACAGAAACGATTGCATTCCAGTCAGTGCAAAAACAGGACTCAATGTCGGCAATATTCTAGAATCGATTGTTAAAGATATCCCTCCACCAGATGGAAATCCAGAAGGAAAGCTTAGAGGTCTTCTTGTTGACTCATGGCATGATCCATACGTTGGAGTGGTAATGCTTATGTACGTCAAGGATGGCTGCATCAAAAAAGGCATGAAATTACTCTCAGCACACACAAACAAAAAGTACGATGTCAAGGAGGTTGGTGTCATGTACCCAGACAAGCTTCCAATGAGCCAGGTGGGTGCTGGACAAGTTGCATACATTATCCCAGGTATGCGTAATCCACGAGAGGCCATGATTGGAGACACATTCTTCCAAAGCGGTAACCACGAGGGACTTGAGCCACTTCCAGGCTTTGAAGAACCTCAGCCCATGGTTTTCGTGGGTGCTTTTCCTGCTGATGGTGGTGAGTTCAAGCTGATGAACGACCATATCGAGCATCTCGTCCTCAATGACAGATCTGTCACTTTGCAAAAGGAGACTTCCAATGCATTAGGTCTTGGCTGGAGACTAGGATTCTTGGGATCCCTTCATGCGTCCGTTTTCCAGGAGAGACTAGAAAAGGAGTATGGGGCTAAAATTATTTTGACAGCTCCTACAGTGCCGTACAAAATTGTCTACAGAGATGGAACAGAAAAGATTATATCCAATCCATCTGACTTCCCAGGAGTCGAGAAGAAGCATCAAAATGTTGAGAAGATCCAAGAACCTTTTGTTACTGCTATCATGACTATTCCTGATGAATATGTTGGAACCGTCATGTCCTTATGTGAAAATTCCAGAGGTATCCAGAAGGAGCTTGAATATTTGCAGACTGGACAGGTGCTTCTCAAATATGATATTCCTTTGGCTCAGCTAGTGGAAGACTTCTTTGGGAAACTCAAGGGTCTTACAAAAGGATATGCGTCGTTGGACTACGAGGACGCTGGCTATGAAACATCTGATGTGGCCAAATTGGAGTTATGTGTGAACGGTGAACCACAAGATGCGTTAACTCAAATTGTTCATAAGTCGCAGGCGCAGTCAAGAGGTAAGGACTATGTCGCTCGTTTCAAGGAGTTTTTGAAATCACAACTTTTCGAAGTTGCAATTCAAGCTAAGGTCCTGAACAAGGTTGTGGCAAGGGAGACTATTAAAGCTAAAAGAAAGGATGTTACTCAGAGATTGCATGCTGCAGATATCTCGAGAAGAAAGAAGTTGTTGGAGAGACAGAAGGAGGGAAAGAAACAAATGAAATCAACAGGCCGTGTACATATCAATAACGAAGCATATCAGGCATTCTTGCGTCGTTAATAAATAACAGACTTGCCGAGTCTACAATAATACAAAAAGATCGAAAGGTATATGTACTTTTTTATTCTTTTTTAAACCGTTTCCCGTGTAAGCTAACCTATATTATCATCTTATTAATTGCACAAGAACTTTCTGTAGATGATATTTTCCGTCTCATCAATGTACTTGTAGCCAATTTGGTCCAAGAAGGCGTGGAACTCCTCCTCGGTGGCGGACTCTGGGAGAACAAAGCCACAAAGAACTTTGCCAATATCATTGCCATGGTTTCTGTAATGGAACAAAGTGATGTTCCAGTTATCCTTCATAGCTTCCAAGAATCTGGTCAAAGCTCCTGGTCTCTCGGGGAACTCAAATTGATACAATTTCTCTTGACCAGGCTTGAGAGTATGGTCAGTGGGCTTACCACCCACAAGGTAACGGCCATGGGTCTTGGCCAATTCGTTGTTGGAAATGTCGAGAACAGTGAAGTCAAGTTCCTTCATAGCTTCAATGATAGCTGGAACCTCCTTGGACTTGTTAAGAACGTTGAAACTGACGAAAATGTTAGCTGGGTGATCAGCATTCACAAGTCTGTAAGAAAACTCAGTGATGGATCTTGGGTGGATGAGCTTCTGGAGCTTGACGAATTCACCTGGTCTGTCTGGAATGGAAACAACAAAGGAAACCTCTCTTCCTTCACCAAGAACAGCTCTCTCACTGACGAAACGCAATCTGTCAAAGTTCATGTTAGCACCAGAAAGAATTGGAACGTACGTCTTCTTCTTGTGGTCAATCTTATCAGCGGTATCTGCAATATATCTCTTCATACCAGCAACACCAAGTGCACCGGATGGCTCAACAATCAGTCTGGTGTCCTCAAAGACATCCTTGATAGCTGCGCAAAGCTCATCAGTATCAACTCTGACAACTTCGTCGACATATTGTTGACAAAGTCTCCATGTTTCATCACCAAGAATCTTCACAGCAGTACCGTCGGCGAACACACCAACCCTGTCGAGCTCCACCAGTTTCTTGTTCTTCAAAGACTGATACAAAGCGTCAGCGTCAAAGGTTTCAACACCGATAATCTTGACGTGAGGAGCCACTGTCTTCAAGTAAGCAGCAACACCAGCGATCAAACCACCACCACCAACTGGGATGAAGACGGCATCCAACTCATCCAAGATGAGCTGAGTAGTCAATTCCAAACCAACTGTACCCTGACCTGCGATAACGTAAGGGTGGTTAAAAGGAGGGATGTTGGTCAAGTTATCAAGTTCACTCAACCTTGCACATTCTTGTTTTGCAGAATCAAAATCTTCACCGTATAAAACGACCTGGGAGCCAAGTCTGGAGACATTTGAGTACTTGATGGATGGAGTAGCAGTGGGCATGACTATGGTAGATGGAATATTGAGTTTTGCAGCGGAGTAAGCCACACCTTGAGCGTGGTTTCCAGCTGAACATGCAATGACACCGTTAAGTGGGATCTTTGGATTAGAATGTAATTTTGCAATCATGTTGTAGGCTCCACGCAACTTGAAGGAAAAGACTGGCAAGAGGTCTTCACGTTTTAAATGCACATTAGCGTTGCAACGATGTGACAAATTAACAGCATGTGTCAATGGAGAGCCACCTTTGTCAACAACATCGTACACTCTGGACGTTAAGATCAATTTGGTGTAGTCTGGGTTACCCTCCGCATCAAACTCAACAGCTTTAAGTTCTGGATATTTTTCTTGTGCAACTCGAGCAGAGGATGTAAATGTATTCTTAAATGTACATGAGCGAAGGGTTGAAACTCCACTTCTTAATAGGGGAACCCCAAAACGGGTGTGCTGAAGCATACTGTTTAGAGAGGTGGTTGACTGTTTGAAAAATTAGAGACTCTTCACCATGACTCAGGCGAAGTATGCGCGCCGTATGTTCCTCGCCGGGGCGTACAGGCTGCCTCCCGAAGAGCATTCGTAAATTGCACCCAAATGGCACCAATTGCCTAGAAGATTGTAATTGGGATTAGGTGGGTACAATTAGCTGAGATTACTGATCTCGAGAAGGAAGTCCAGATAGCTGATGGTCGCGACACCAGAAAGATCCTTATCATACTGCTTAAAGATGTCAGTGAGTTTCCGAAGATAGACTAACAATTCGATAAATGCATCGAATTTAAGTTTACCAACGGAGGTACCGTCTGTTGTAGATTCCTTATTGCTGAACTTCTGGAAGAGATGAAGAACAAGGTCCACATTGAGCTTGTAGCCGATTTGCTCGAGGATTCTCTGGAATTCCCCGAAAGAGATGTCACCAGACTTGTTCAGATCAGCGGCAACGAAAAGCTTCTTGTAAGCAGTCAAATACTTCCAAAGAGACACGAACTGGTCGAAGTTGAGGCCTTTCGAGGTTGAAGAGCCCGAACTGAAGAGCTTGAGCATAAGCCTAACTGTAGACTCTTGGAAACGGGTATTATCAAAGTTTAGAAGTGCCATTGACAACTCTCTAGCGGAAATTCTACCCAGATGATTGACATCGACCCTATCGAAGGTGGCACGCAATTCAGCTTCAAGCTTCTGTTTACTGGACATTTTCGAGCCCTCCGAGACATTCTCTTTAGAGCGATTCTGACCCGTCCACAGGCCAGGAGGAGCCTTCTTCAGTGTGGAAGCTTGAGAAACATGGGGGACCCTTGGGAAGACGAGCCGTACGGTTGGGCTGGAGGTTGGGGTTGCAGACTCAGCGAGACCTGGCGCTGCTGTTGCTGAGGATGCTGAGGCGGAGGCGCATGGCTCTGTGGAGGAGACATGTATTGATCATACTGGGGCTGGCTTGGAGCAGCCTGAACCTGCGGTTGAGGTTGGGGCTGTGGCTGCGACAGTGTGTACTGTGGTCTATAGTTCAGAGGCTGCGGAGCTTGCTGAGGTTGTTGCTGCTGCTGGTAATACTGAAGCAGATTAGAATACTGTTGTGGAGGTGGAGCATTGGCATATTGCTGGTAGTATTGCTGTTGCGGAGGCTGTTGAGGAGGTGGAGCAGCTTGCTGATAAGCAGGACGCGAAGGTGTTGGATAAGACAGATAAGCTTGGCCAGGCTGCGTCGAGTAAGGGCCTGGAGCCGGTAGCGAGTGAGACAGCTGCGATTTGTAACTTTGGCCCGAGTTTTGGTGTCTCTGAGGGTTCTGGGAACCACCATGGGCGCGACGAGACTGATGGCCATGTTGTTGATGGTGCGGCTGGGAATGGGATGGCTGGCTTCCACCGACCACATAAGTGGCCTGCTGAGGAGTCGGATAGACTGGTAAATCGTCCGAATTCATGGCCCTAAGCAATTAGTGAGTTATAGTAGGGAGAAAAAGAAGTACTTCTACGTGAATTGAAATGGTGCGTGAGAGCGTGGTAGGTAGACGTGACCAGTGTACAGGACGGTGACGCCAAAGACAGCAGTAAACGACGAGATAAGTGGAGTAAAATGGAAATATCGGGAAGAATAGAGAAGTCTGATTGTATTAGAAAACACCTGTTTCTTTCAGTTTTCGTGGTACTGATCGTGTGTCCAGATCTTATGGTCTCTTTGTCTCGCTGGATGCCTATATTAGGAAATTAGGACAGGTCTTGCACCCATTTCTCAGGACACACAGTTGAGGTCTAGGAGACACTCATTTGTAGGCTTAGCGTTATATAAATAGAAAATATCAAAAACTTAGTTTTGCTGGTATTTTATATTGTAAACAAAGATACTGGTTGTTTTGTTGGTCACCACCCGTGGATAAACGTCTTTTGTGGCGGTTTACACGAAACGCGTCTTCTGTAGCACATTCATGAGGCGCTATATACTGGCAATACGAGGATGACAGTAGGCAGGGTCCCGAAGACACAAAAGGTAGGGTTAATTGAACGATCAAGTGGATTGTGAGTGAAAAGATGGAGAATAGTCCGCCGATTGTCGAGAACGGCTCTACTGTTGCTTCTAAGGGATCAGTATAGCTTAGAAAGTATGACTAGATCTATGAGTCTGGGAAGGGCAGTATTAGAGATCCATTGGTCTGGCCTTTTAATGTTTAGGTATCTGTTAAGGCTAATTTAGTGTATTTCACTGACACCAAGGACCTCAGCTGACTAGTTACTGTAACTTTATCTCTTCGATTACTATTACTTCATCTTTCTTTTTTATTGCTTTATCTCTTCGAAGGGAATCACTTTCAGTAGTGGCCTCCAAAGTAACCGAAGAAAAGCTTTATTTTCAAATGGTTATTAATTTTCATTTTCGAAGTTAGAAGAAAGTCAACTTCCATCCTACAATGTATTCTTAGGATTCTTTATTAGAAATGGAAAGTATACAAAATAACATCAAGCCAGGGAAAACAGGGATGGTCCGAGTTTATTGATGCATGCTTAATCTCTGGCTCTTCTTCTGTAGGAGTCACCACCAAATCTTCTTTGAGGACCTCTGGAAGCAGGTCTTGGTCTCTGAGCTGGGGCACCCTTCAATCTGGTCAAAGGCAAGATACCTTCTGGGATGTTCAACTCGTTTCTGAGGAACTCAACACCTTCGTCAGTCAAGGTGTAGTAGTACCATTGCCAAGAGAACTGAGTCTTGACGTAACCCTTGGAGGTCAAAGACTGCAAAGCCTTGATGACGTACAAGTTCTTGGTGTCAATCTCCTCGTGCTTTGGCTTGTTGAAGTCCTTCTCAGCAACAACAACACCCTCTGTTTTGTTAGTATATGATTGTAGATTGGAAGTACGTAACCCAGTTCGCTTAGTGGTGGTTGCAATGAATCAGCATGGAAGTTGGGACAAGTAAAGGTTGGACTAAACGAAACAAAAAGCTCCAGACCAAAGTAGCACGGCTCACAAGCCATACACTTTATTCATGGCATCTTTCTAGTTTCATTCTTTCGTTGGATCTTCCCATGATTGGGTGCTGGTGGTGATGGAATGGAAGCAGTTCAAACGGGGACTGATGGGGATACGGGGAACTGGGTCAGCAGAATTAATTTAAAACATACCTTGGAAGAGGTACTGGTGGATCTTCTTTCTGTCGTCCTTTGGCATCAACATATTGGCGTGGAGTACTTGAGACTATTGAAGGTTGTTGAAAGTAGGAATACAAATTTTTCTTTTTTTTTTTCCACTTTTCCTACACTGGAGTCTGTCGCACTGGTGGGAGGACAGTGAGAGGGGCTAGGTGCAGGTCACCATATCAATTTTTTCGGGGCCTCACTATACTTCAGCTATAGTGCTGACGGTATATAACATTGATTCTACTAGCTGAGGTGGTGGTGTACGAGTGCGAAAAATGCTAGGCACGTGGACCAGGGCTGAAGCCCTAGATGGGTTATGGCTGCAAAAGGCAACAGGAGGTGACCACCAGGTGGTTGAACGGAGGCAGTTTTCAGTATTAAATGTTATGATTGGGACAAAATGGTGCCAAGGTAATTATAAATAGTCGATTGGTTCTTAATTGAATAGACTATGGTGGGATTGTATGTCCATGGCGCTTACGACTGGATCTTAAGAGGTGGCACCAACAACGCCAGGAAGGCATTGGCCAGAAAAAGATACATTATATTAGGATATTAAAGATTTGAAAACATTCATGATGGCCAGAGCTCAAGATATTGATGTACGTGAGGGCTCCTTTATTGAAGTTGTTCTCATAGAGCGAGCTGTTAATGCATTTCTAGCAGGACCACGAACATCTGGAAGGAAATGAACAATCTTATTCGATAAATTAATTGGAGAGTAACATAAACTGCTGATTTAAAAGAGCTGAAAAGGCGAATTGGAGGAGTTATTCTGCAAAATAGCTTAAAACGGCGGACTTTGGCAAAATCCGGACTGGGAAACGTTTAAGTAAGACAACAAAAACACATCAGGAACACTCGTTTTGCTTATTTTGGACGTTTTGCCAAATGGTAGTGAATGTCGCCTCATTGAACCTCCCACTTCAACAAATCCGATATGGTGTAATGGCTAGCACAGTTCGCTCTCACCGAGCAGATCGGGGTTCGATTCCCCGTATCGGAGCTTTCTTTTTAATTTTTCGACACGGCGACACCCGTATAAGATTCCTAAGCAGCGTCTCTATATTCCTTCATTTTTTGGTCCTGGTAACTGGCCTCCATCTTCTTGTAAGCTTCCCTTCAGCGTTTGTTGAATTGCACCACCATACATCACCGTAAAACCAACAATACCCCAACAAATACTACTTAAAAGCACAAGACCACACTTTCCTACAGTAAGTACCCCTCAGAACCCCATCTCTCTCATCTTAGATTCACACTGAACAAGGTAAGCTCTTTACAGAAGCGGAGACTGAACAGATCCCTACTCCAACAACCGAGCATACTCCGTCAAACCGAAAGACTCCTATAAAACCATTGTCAATCTCCAATTTCTTGTTGTTGGTCCACGAACAACTCGTACTTCTTTCCCAATTCTGCCTGAACAAAGACTACCCAGCTGCACCGCACGCCAAGTTCAACGACACATAACGACATAACGAGTACTCCTACAAAGAAAAATCCCTCGGGGCTCGGCGTCTTCTTTAACCCGAGATCCAAAAATCCAAATCTTTATTCTTCCTCCTCTTTTTCCTCCTCCTCTTCTTGTGGTTTCTCTCCACCTTAATTTTTCACATCCACATCTGCTATTGTCCAAAAACGCAGACGTCCAAAAAATATGAATGTGCCCCCCCGAGATAAGCCGTTGACGAGCGGAAACGACATGCTTAGACAAAGGAACCAGTCTGGTCCATATGGCGGATCCCACGCTTATAGGGCAGTTTGTGTCTCTTGGACCTGCCTGTTTATAGGGCTTAAATTAAACGAATTTATGCTCGTCCGCATTGAGAAAAAGCGATCTGCTAGTCTGTGCCTGGACCCTCGCTTAGGGTGCTCGCGTTAAGGCTCCAAACACCCAAGATGCTTTTAAAGGTTAGACGAGGAATAGGATGAATAGCTTCGCTAAGGGTGGGACCAGACGCGTCTCCTAGTTCAAAGTCCTTTTTGTTCTTCTCGGATTAGCCGCCGCATTATACGGCTCAAGGCCGAAATTAATTTGCCTTAATAAGAACAATACGCTAAGCGCTTCTTAATACCCTCTGGGCGTACAAAGCCGGGATCTGTCGAAGTGTCAGGGAATCCCGCTGCCACATTTTTTTTTTTCGCTTTCGTGTCAAATAAAAGCCTTCTTTTTCTTCCGTAGCCGTCTATTTCCAAATCTTATCTTTTCCCGTCTCGTTTGCAGCTTAATATCACAGGACGTGTGGCTTATCTCTTCACCGTTGTATAAAACAGAAGGTCTTCGGCCAAATTTTTCATAATGTCAAACATGTCAGCTTTGCTAATGGTCCCTGCTTCAGGGACCGAAAGGTTAATCCAGAAAGTCGAGAGCCAGAGAAGATCCTCGTCGCCAATCAAAAGATCCGACCTGAATGCCTTGACCAGAACAAGATCAGCCAGATCTACTCATTCGAAGCACTCGATTTTCACCCTGAGCAGCAGCCTTCGTGGTAGTCGTTCTCATAAGCCAGGCCAGTTCGATGCGAAGAAACTCAAGGCGTTTGATGAACAACTCGATACTCCTTACGAGAAGAAATCCATGGAATATGATTACAAGTTTGACGTGATTGCAGCTAAGGTGTGGAACCACCCTCAAAACGAAGCCTTCAACGCTATCCACAAGAACGACGAGCGTTTTATTAGCCCTGAAACCATCAACACTCTTCGTTATACTTACTTTGAGAGGTTCGAGGAATCGTATGGCAAAATCGCTACTTCCCTTAGTCAACTGCCCAAACCAGAGTACTGGTCGAAGGTCTGGGACTATGATGCGTACAACCACTGCCATTTGTTTGGTGCATCATGTAAAAAGAACCTCATTGTGGTTGACCAAGCATTAGTCAAGAAGAACGCTAAGACTCGGAGGAATACCGAGAAAGCCTTTAAAGAAGGTACTAAAGTCGAAGACTTTGAAGAGGAGCCAGACAAGGAGACTTGTATTAGGGACTTGTGGCACACGCAATCCTTCTGGAGAGACGTCTACTACGATGCCCGTTCATCCACCACCAATGAAGATTTTGACGAATGGCTTCCTCCAGTGGACATTGTGCAGCGTTTCTTCATCACCCTCACAGATTACGCCTTATACAACTTACATGTGTTGGAGTGTAAAGTGACAGAAGAGGATTTAGAAAACATGAGCGATGCCGAGATCAGTACACTCGCTGGGCAATTCTTCTTCTACTTTAACGACTCGGATTATGCGTTTTTCGATGTTCTTGCCAAAGTATTCAACGAAACGTTCATGCAACTGATCCGTACGTTTATCCTGGAAGAAGATAAAGTTGCCGAGAAAACCAAGGAAGTGATGAATGTTCTTGTAGAGACCATCTGCAGCAACTTCCAAATCAACTACTTTGGAGGCCAAGGAGTCGATACAATTTTGCTGGTGTGGCACGACTTCCTCCTTTTGGCCCTTGAAAAGCTTGTGATAGCAAATGTACCAGTTCTGCGGGCAGAGCTCACCACCACTGCTACTACCACCGAGGAAAAGCCCTTACCGGAAGCGCCGAAGGCACCAGCAACAAACACTGTGGCGGCTAAAGAGACAGCCAAATCAGATAAGAAGGTTAAGAGTAGTAGGAGGAGGCATGGGTTTTTCGCTCGGTTCCGTAAGTAAGATGACTTAATATAACCAAGGTTTATTATTGTTATTGCAACTTGGCTTTGTAGCAGTTGCTGTTTCTAGTGTGTGTACTGCAGACACTGTGGTCTCAACCTGAAGCTCTGTTTACCTTTTCGCAAGGCTAGTTATATTACTCGCATGGATGAATGTCGAGCCATATTCCTTGGACAATAGCATAAGGAGTGGGAGGCCCCGGAAAAGTCGAAAAAACTCCCTATTCTCGGGAACACTCACCCAAAGAACCCTCTTGTCGAAATCCCAGCCTTTCCATTGCTACCCCTGAATGTCCCTTCCTGATTCGAACCCTGATTTGGGTTGCAACCGCACGCACTCTTTTTTTTTTGTTCTTTTCGGAAACTCTTCAGCACGCACTGCATCTATTTTAAGCCAGACACTAATACCCACTCCCTGTTACTTATATATGCCCGAATTTCCTTCGGCCAAATTTAACCACTACTAGTCTTCTTCCTTCCTCCAGCCATGCTTCCAAACGCCCAAAACGACCATGTGTTGATGTCTGAGCATGCTTACTACGACCGTTCAGATACTGCCAGCAGCATCGTCTCGCCCCAATACCAAGGCCCAGTTATCTTGGGCGCCTTGATCCTTAGCATATGCCTTGGTAAGCTTGGGTACACCTTGCTTAGGAGGAGCCGGGCGGCGAAGAAGCCCACGCCTAAGTCAATGGCCGACCAGCTTGTCTAGACTTTGGGTTTGTTTTTCTTTTACTGTTGCAAATCGTTTTTGTGAAGAGACTGTGTCTCTGATTTACTTGGGGAGGGCTTTTTTTTTTTTGTCCTCGCTCATTTCCTAATTAATTTGGACATTCTTCCCGTTTTTGATGCCGTTCCTGAGAATAGGCCTCAACATGCACTACCCACCCTTCACAATGGCATAAATTTTTCCCTTCGTTATATTACCCTTCGGGTTTGAACCTTGAAGATTTTTTCATCCAGCATTTTAACTTTTTCATCATTCCACACCTTGCATCATCACTACACTTGTGTATCATTAATATTAATTTTTTAGGCTTTTCTTTAAGCCCCATGTTATGTAGGTTACCGGTTTTGTTTTTGCGAAGTACTAACTGAGCGATGGCTGGCTTCCGTACTGTACAAGAAGCCCACCTGGCTTGCACATTTGCTGCTACTGAGTTACACAAAGCACCGGTTTGCGGCCCGTTGGCATGTACAATTTCTCTAAGTAGGTGACATTTTCATGCCATTTTCGTTATCAATGAAAGTTCTAAGTCCCACAAATTCCAGTCGTACCAGATAAGCGGTGGGAAAATCGTACACAAGTGCCAGAGCGCATGTGAGTCTATAAGGCGACCAAAGGGTGCAAAATCGAAAAGCTCCAAAGATAACGATAGCGTTAGGAACACATTGAGTGCTACCGGGATAAGGGGGATTAGTTTTGACCGTAATTTGCAAATGACCCCTATTTTCCGTTGGATTTTGGTTTCGTAGGGAAGCAATTGGATAGCATCAAACTGCTGGTGATCGTAACGTTTGTAGATACGCAACGAATGAAGGATCCAGAGCGCCAGGGCGCTAAGTCCGATAACGCAATTATATTTCATGTTATACTGGTAGTCCCATTTCCGCGCAAGCTTGAGATAGTGCAAAAGAAGTATGAGAAGCAACCCAGACTGGTATACCTGCCGTTTCTTTTTGTTCTCGACCCGGAACAACTCAAAATAGCGTACACTAATGGCATTAAAATTAGCCATGATGATTGCGCCCGCTCCCAAATAGTCTAGAGTCTCTGTCACGGGAACGTCTCTGGTATGGAAAATGGTACTAAAAAGCCAACCAACCACAGAAACCGCCAATAGTATCCAGTACTGAAGCAACATGACGTGTTTCGCTGCACCGTTCTTGCTCCCCTGGTTGACGTTTCTCATGACATTGCTGTATGTGACCAAATTGATAAGGTTGACGTAAAGGTTGCCAAGCGAGAACACGGTGGAAAAGAGCTCGGTGACGCCCATGACCCTATCAAAGGGCCATTTGCCATGGAACTGCACCACGGGTAGTCCCTGGGCTTCTCTGATCCCTGCAACATGGCTTCTGCACTTGTAGTCACAATCCAGAGGGCAAGACCATAGGAATAGGTGCCTAGCCAAGAAGTTGATATCATGCTGAGGAAGATATGTACCTTGGGTGATACACTGCGTTTCAAAGCACTGGGTCAGGCATTCCTTGTATTGCGGGAGTCTATCACCAACAGAGGCTAGAACACATGGTATTAGGAAGGTAAGGAGCATGGTACCAGCATCAGTGGTTGTTTGAAAGATTAGTGGTAGTTGGACGCGCGCATATTAGCCGCCTCAACGGCTGGGGCTTGACAGCCTGGCAAAGCAGGGACTAGGGGCCAAGCTAAAAAACGATGATTGGAAAAGCAAGGGAGGGAGGGTAGGAAAGTGTAGTTTTAGGGGAAAGAACGTGGTCAGTTTGGCTTGGGTTGCGGTGAATCAGAGTCGTTGTGGTGCTGGCCGGGCCGTGGGAAGGCTTTTGAGTGGAATGGCTGCGAAAGAAGACTATGCAAAAGGGTGAAACTGGCATTCGGCCGTAAATAGGATGTTTGCTGCCAGATAGGCGGAGTCTAAGCCATTTCTGGGGTAGTTCTAAACCGAAAGACCACTTCTAGCCTTGCATTGGCTGTGCTGTGGTTGTAAGGTAATGGACAGCTATCAGAGCTCCACCAATAAGCAGAGAAGCATCCAGACTAAACGCACCGAAACAATGATCTGAAACTCCTCTTCTATAGCATGCCCTCCTTCTATATGGGCTACCCCTTTGCATTGTATGCTCCTCTAGATCTTATGCTGGAAGAACAATCCGTTTGATGGGGAGAAGCCATTTCCACTGCATGTCAGTGCCTCAGAACGGAGTGTTCCTATAATCCTAGTGTTCCGGCAATCCCAGAGAACAATCCTGTGGGGCTCTTTCGTTTATAGAGAACATCCCCCAAAGCCCCAGATTGCTTCCCCAAAAATACGCTACGCCCACCCTTTGGTACTCCTTCTCCTCACACAGAACGGGGAACTACAGCTACTACTGTACTCCTGAAATTCACAAGAAATGAGAGCCACCTTTACCAAACAGCATGTCCAGCCTTGGCGAACCTGATTCCCCTCCACTCCCTTACATCACTTCTGTAAAGCAAGAAAAAAGCATGGCCCGTCTTCCCACTTTTTTTTTTTTTCGCAGCCAATAGATAGTACGCAAGATTAAGCATTCACAGATAATATGTCACTTTCCAATTGGCCTATCTCTACCAAAAAACTCCCCCCTCCCCCCTCTTTAGCCTACTCCTCTTCACCAACCCCAACCAAGTGTCCCCTCCTTATCCTTAACTACACGTGAGAGGTCACCTGGCTGGGGCTCAAATTTATACATGAATTGACGGGTTCGGACCTAGAGCGAAAAAATACACCAGTGGTAGTAAGTTCCATCTAACTGGCTGGACGCTAAATGCAAGAAAAGCCCCATTTCTATGTAAGAGCAACCCATGACCCTGAAATTTCGTACATATCTATCGAAGCTTCTTTTTTGAAGGTTTAGTTCACTGGGAGGTCACTGGGCCAGAATTTTTTTTATTGGTGCCAGGTCCATTTTTGTGGTTCGGCGGCAAAATTGGTGAGAAGCTTCGTTGAGATCATGCAACAGTGAAAGGTCTCTTTCCTTTTGCAAGCAAGCAATGACCGATAGACGAAGAACGAAAGGGCTTCAAATAAGCCCAAGCAATGGGAAACATGAAAAACAAAATAGAAAAATGCCAATGTTTTGGTGGTACATTAAAGTGAAACATGTACTTACCACGTATTCCCACAGGAGGGGCCGGTTCCGTGAAAGTGAGACCAACCAGGAAAGGTGAAATGGGAAAAAAAGGATATGCGATAGTGCATATGCCGTTCCACTATAAGGCTTGCGTGCCGGACTCGTGCAACATCGCCGCAGCGAACAAGGTATTTCTCATAATGAAGTCATGCGGCGTTCCTGTACATGCCGCCGGTTGTTTTTTTCGCCTCTCCCTGGCTGGAATTTTTTTTTTTTCGCACTTTTTTTTCTCGCTTTTGTACGCTTTTTTTTCTTCCTCTCTCTATGAACCTTTACATTTGACCCGTATATGATTCGTCAAAAGAGCGGTCCCAGCATTAAAAAATCGCCTCACCATAATAGACTGAAAAAAAAAAAAAAAAAAAAATAAAGGCTCAAAAGTAACCTTCCAAGACAAGACAATAGACAATACCGATTTACCGTTCTCTCCTTTTTTTTCAATACTGGTATTTTTTCAAGTGGGGGGAAAAGCTACGTCTTCCTCACCCCCCCCCTCGTGGCCTTCTTTTACCCGTGTTGGACTATGTTTGCGGTGAAATTTCACCCCATAGTTTTAGTCTACTATCCAGTTTTTTTCACCTACACCCTCTATGCCTCCTTTTTTTTTTTTTTTTTTCTTCATTCCATTCACCGTATGCGCGGGACGCTCTCTCTTTCCAATACGCCGCAGTGGCACCGAACGTGCGTCGGATGCAAAAACCGTTGGGGCGACGTTCCGAAAAAAGTGGGATTCCGGTTTGTCCCTGACAAGAAAATCAACGGGAATGGCTTATCTAGGGCTACCTGGTATCGACGTCATGTCTGGCCATGTCCCCACCATGTAGTTTCAAGTTATCCTTGCTTTTGCTGTTTGTCCAACTTTTTTTTTCTTTCTTTTCACTCTTTCATCACTGGCCTGCAAGATTCCTGTATACGATAAAGCAATTGTGCGGCGTCTGCGGCGCGATTAAATTTTTTTTTTTTTCATGCCTTTTTGCCTAGAGGCAAGCATATATTTATATTCGGCTTGAATTCCCCTCCACTATCCCTTTTTTAGTTTTAAGCTACATCTTTTTCCCTTCATCCTCCAACCAGTTTTGGTTAATTGCAAGCCGTTTTCCTTCAAACATTCCCAACAGACCAGTCCCACTTATAAGTGTCTATCAGGTACAGGCTTTTTTTTCCCATTTTTTTTTTTTTTTTCACTTCATTTTTACCCCCCTGGGACCTTCAATTCTACTTTACAAACAACAACAAAAAATAAGGACTACCCAGTTCAACAACAACTTCAATTCAACTGCTTTGATGACCCGTAAGTCTTGTCGCATTCGTACTCCTACCCCAAAGGCTAAGGAAGTCACCATGGATAGCACTAACAAAGCAGCTCATACTGATGCCGTTTCCCGGAAACGAAAGTCGGAACCGCTCCACGAGCTGCTGTTCCAGAACCAACAGACTCCGGCAAAGAAGTCAAAGTCTATGACCAATCTTGCCGTTGAGGATGATAAGATTGACCCTGTTGAGAAGCTCTTATGCTTGACCAATCTCAATAATGACATCTTGTTCGATTTGGAAACGGATGAGTCCGGTTCTGAACCTAACTCTCCAAGGTCTCTCACAGCATCGTCATCATCTGTTTCTACAGATGCCTCTGCATCCTCTGAGTTTGAAGACTCCCCCTTGCATTCTCCATACCCCAACATGGAGTTGGACTTCTCAAAGGTGATCAAAGACAATTTGCGCTCATACTACTTATCCGCATACAAGAGCCCAATTGAGATTCACAATGACAACTCAAGCTTCTCCATTCTTAATAAGAAGTCCAACCAGCATGCAAGTGGCGCTGACGCTTCCTTGCCATCTCAAACCACAAAGGGCAGAGAAGTGCCATTCTTTAAGAATGTCAACTTCAACAAGCCGAAATTCGGCAATTCCATTGAGGACTACTTGTTCTACGACGATGACGAATCCGCAAACTCTCCGACAGACCTGGAGCAGGAGGAGATGCCTCTGAGCACCACCTTCATGCCACAGCTTCCAAACGTCTCGTTCCATTACAGGCGCGATGACAAGTTGAACTTGTCGTTGAGTGACCAAAACCCATGGGCTGAGCCTCAGGATATTTCCAAAATTTTGAACCTGAACTCGGTCATGACCGGTAAGTCCAGCGAAATGGTTGGCACTTCCAGACTATTGATTAACGACTTTTTCTTGTAATTATACACTCATGGATATGACTGAGTGTCACAGCATTAAAGCTTCACTTCTTGCTTTCATTTCTTTCTAGGTAATAAGGTATTACATGTGTAAATATATATATAATTCCCAAGCATCCTTTTGATACGTCTGGTGTAGCTCATCATCTAGAGCAGCGTTTTCTTGCAGCTACCGCTTTGTGTGTTTACCCTCGGATATCACGTGGCCCCATACATTCTCACTGAGCCTCATGAGCCGCCATCTCTCAGCAATCTACCCTGTGTCTACCCTCGGAAGTCGCACTACTAGTTCCCCATACTATACTATTACGTATCAAACCTCAACTTTAACCATCTCAACCATACTCCCATTCCATACATATATTCCTTCGTCACCCAGTGAACTCAGGTAAACTAAGCAGGCCTAGATGTACATTTTAGATCTCATATACGCTTACCTTCTTGGTGGCGTCACTTTTATACCGTTGCTTCTAGTGGCTTTCGTCTATCTACAGCCAAAGGCACCCGAGTCCGATGAAGAGGAACCAGGCCTTAAAGCCAGTGAACTTGAAGAGCAGAACCTGTCGGGGCTTGACGCTTATAAGCAAGGGTGGATCATTGTTACCAATGAGTTTCTAGAGTCTACTGATCTGATAAACTCATCTACTCAGCTGGTAGCTGACTCTCAAGAAGGCAAACTGGCATATTCATCATTGTATAAGCTTGTGAAGAATTCCGGAGCCAAGACGAAGGATTCGAACGGCGAAGTTTCCTCGGTCAATGATTCCGATGCTGCTTCAATTACTCTGGCTCCTGCTGCCGGTGCTCCTCCGAAGGGCGGCAATAAGAAGCATCGCTATTATGCTGTGTTGAAGCATGGGAACCTTTTCTTATACAAGGATGAAAAACTTAAAGACGTCAAGCATGTCATTGTTTTATCCAACTATGTTGTGTCGTTGTGGCCTAGGAATCTTACGGAGGGGCAATTGTTCACCAAGTACTCGGCTATCGCCTTATTGCGGAAGGACTGGAAGAGAAAGAGAAGGCTTTCAGATAACGTCACATCCATGGGAGAGTCTGATTGGGAAGAATCCGATTCGATCACTTTACAGGATGTGTTGAACAAGAAGTCCAAGCTTCCTGCTCCCCCAGGTTCGTTCTTCATCTATACTGACTACAACATTGAGAAAGAAGACTGGTACTTTACATTCATCAAGGCATCTAAAACGGATTCCGATACTCCTCCGGCACTCGATCCAAGTATCCAGGCGAAAACTTTGCATTTCGAGACTCGCCATATGGTAAGTTTGATACAGACACTTTATAGTGCTGAAGGCCAGCTACATACGAAATGGTTCAATGCCGTCATCAACCGTCTTTTCTTGTCCCTCCAGCACACTGATGTGATGCAAAATTACCTCGTCGCTAGACTTGAAAAGAAGCTCAATAAAATGAAGACGCCAGGCTTCCTTGACAAGTTCCAGATTACCAAAGTAAGGGCAGGCCATGGTGCTCCCTTCATAACTTTCCCTGTGTTGAAGGAGATCAACCCTGAAGGTGACTTGCTTGTGTCATTGTATGTTCATTACTTTGGTGAGATGTCTGCCCAGTTGGCTACCAAGGTCAACATCAACTTGGGATCTCGTTTTAAGCCAAGAGAGATGGATGTGCTTCTTTCCATGACACTCGAAAAGCTACAAGGTCCTATGTTGATCAAGATCAAGCCTCCTCCATCTGCGAGAATGTGGTACACATTTGAAAGCGAACCAGCAATGAACATCAAGATTGAGCCGGTTATAAGCTCCAGGCAGATGTCCTACAACATCATTACAAATTCTATTGAGAAGAAACTTAAAGAAGCAGTGAAGACATCATTGGTATTGCCACACTGGGACGACTTTGTGTTCTACAATACAGAGACCGAGCTGGTCAGGGGCGGTGTATGGGACAAGGAATACCGTAGGCAGCATACTGAGCTGTCTGGTAGTGAGCAGAAAGCCGAGCCTGGCCAATCAAAGGCAGAATCCATGAGCCCCTCTCGTGCTGACGCAGAGCTGGTCATCTCGACACTGGGGTTGTCATCTACCAGTCAGGAAGTTGACGATAATCTTAGCTTCAGAACTGATCTCACTAATGAAACTCCCGTCCAGCTTAATCTGACAAAAACGCGCTTATCATCAACCATCAATGATCTTTCGAAACGGTTGAGAAAAGCCAAGTCGACTCATACCCTTGGTGTGGATGAAACTAATTGCCTTTCTGATGGCTCCTTGATGGAGCCATCCGCATCAGAGACACCAAGTGTGAACGGGTTGGTGATGGAGGAATCTGAATCACAGGCGTCAAACGAGAAGAATAATACGCTCCGAAAACTTGGCAAGTGGTATTATAAGGACGAAAAGCACCCTGAGAATAAGGGGCAGACATATCATCCCCCAGAGATGATCACCAACCGTCGCCCTAATAGGAAACAATCCTCTGCAAGTCAGGGCTCCGAAACAGATAAAGCTCCCCCAGAAGTACTGGTTTCGCCTCCAAGCGCAGGTTTTTCTTATGATTTTGGATCTGAGGTGCCTGAACCTATATTGGGTCACAAGCCAGCTGCATCTTTAAGAAGACCCTCGGTGGGTGCAACTTCTGTCCCCAATGCTGATGTCAAGGGAGAGATGAGGGAGCATTCGAACAGCAATCCTGAACCAAGTGACCAGGGCATCGCTTTTCCTACGATTTCAGAAAAACCATCTACATCTACAGTGACGAGGTCAAAGTCAACGCTTCACCGCAAGCCGCCACCGGAAGATCCACTTTTAGAGGCATCGATTCCTGAATCAGAAAAATCTCTATAAAATAAACCGTTACTTTTTCCTTTAAACGTAGGGAGCCCATCCTCCGTACATTTGTGCAAGATTCTCTTTCGATGTAGCTTCTTGAATCAAGACATCCACTTGGCCATGGATATTCATGGGCAATCCCTCTTTCTCATCAAGAAGTCCTCTAATCTTTCTTCTCACTTTCCGAAGATGATCCTGTGGATTCTCTTGGGTTTTCCAATCCAACAATGGATCATAAATCAAGGTCTCAAGAATATTCATGAGAGATGCCTCATTCTCTCTCAAGATTTGTCCTGTTACCTCACAGGTAATTCTGAACGTGCCTTCGATACCTATGATACCCATTGCATCTACCATATTCTGGGTCAATCTGAAAGGCACGATCTCAGGGGTGGGCAACGTTAGACCTTTTTCAAATAAACAATCAAAATCAATGTGCAAAGCAGCTCCGTTTCGTTTGAAGAATAAGAGATTCTCGCAATGACGATCACCCAAGCCAATGATGTAGCCAACAATTGACATGACAGCGGCAGTTCGCGTGTATGCCTTGCGAGCCAAGTACCAGAATGCTGGATCAGAGAACTGATCGATAAACCACTGGTGAAGAACAGGCGGAAATTCATCGCAAATATTATCAAAAAGCGAAATCAAAGCAGTCATGGCATTTTCATCGGAAGCATACTTGGCTTTGACAACCTTTTGCGCTTCATCTAACTTCATGAAAATCTTCCGATCGTGGGGAACCTTTCCGTGTTTCTTCTGCTGTTCATGAATGACAGATTTCATCGTTTGTACATCTTGAACGAATTCGATGACTCCCATGTCCTCAGCAAGAGGAATAACAGAGTAATTCTCAATGATGAGGTTTCTTTTGCGTGCAACATTATTCAAGGACAATAATCTGTTGATCATATTCGAGAACTCAAAAACCTTGGCATCTTTTCGGGTATCATCTCGCTTGAGCATAAGTCTGTAAGCTTTGCTATCAGTTCCTCTGATAGTGATTTGTTTCGGCATTTGCAATGAGTGGAAGATGTTTACCTCTTCATCAAACCCATCAAATGTTATCGAAGATGATTTAGGAAACGCTGAACCCGGCTTGCTAGTATGCCGTGTAGCTGGTAACTTGATCTCTAGGTTGCTCTTCACGGGAATCACTAATGAATCGTAACTGGTGTGTAAATTCGTGACGCCAAAATCATCTGTCAATAGCCATCTCTTCTTTTGAGCCTTCTTGACCTTCTTTAAAGCAATACCTTCTAAAATTTCAAACAAGCTTTTTGCGCTCACTATGATTTCTCCCAACGACTTAGTCGCCTTCGAAGTGTTGAGTACTTTCACCACTCGCTGCCTTCTTATGGTATCCTTGGACTTAACATGGGATAAGACATACCACAAACTGTGCTTAGGATAAGCCGATATTAATGACTCAATGATACCTTGCATTAACTCCACACTTGGCTGATGCTGGTGTGTTATCCTTGAAAGAATTTGCGTGATAGAAGTGTACCAGACATAGATCGGAATGGTATTCTTGTAGGTCTTGATGTCGTGCACTATCTGGTTGAGCTTCCTCTCCGCATCTCGAGTTTTATTAGGTCTTTGAGCGAAATCAAGCCAAACAGTGATGAACTTGGGAAGCGCTTCAAAAATGTATGACGGGCCGAGAGCAAGCGCTTTGAGAAAGAACCTGATAATCTGCTGCTCGAAATATCCAGACGTGTCGTTCTGAGACTCCATCAATTTGCTGTGGTACCTTCCCAAGTCATAGTAGGGCTTCTCCCAGGACGGGTCAAGTTTGTACGCTTTCGAGTATTCGGCAATAATTTTGGATGATGACGAATGACTAGACTCATCAAGCCAAGAAGCATATTGTAACTGGTTCCGTGCTTGTTTCTCGAGACTTGATGACCTCGAAGTCGCTAAATTGTCTGACATGGTCTTGATTGCTTCAGTCTGCTTTCCTTGGTCCCAAAGAAGATTTGCATATTCGATGTTGGCCTCACTATCATTAAGGGTCATAGCGTTCATAATACACTTCGTTGCAATGTCTAAACGCTCATTACGCCGAGCGATTCGGGAACAGTCAAGCAAAATGTCAGACACCTTGTCTAGGTTTCCGGTCACCACGGTAACTGTCTTATGCATCGAAAGCATCTTCCAGTGGCTATCAAAAGAAAGATCAGTATTGCTCATCCTTTCCTTCAAAATCTGTTCCGTACCTACCATTCCCGATGGGTTTCCCCTGGTAGTGACAATTGAAGCAGTATCATAGAGTATATGCAACTGCAACATTAGAGTTGAATTTCTGGAGAACGAGGATGATCTTGACAGAGACAAAGACTGACCCAATAGCGCATATATCTCGCTAATTGAAGAATTAAAATGGTCCAAGTTGCCGTCGCCTAATGCGAGCAATGAGTCTGCAAATCTCGAGTGGAAAAGGTCTTCAACGTCAGTACTATTACCGATAACCTTGGCAATAGTCAGCCATTTTTTCATTTCTTCGATATCAGCAATTGCAGTAGCTGCCTCGAGACCAACCATGGCCCAAGGTAAGGGCAAATCGTTTATCTTTTCAGTCTTGGAATTCAATCGCTGGATCACATCATGGTAAAGCCCATGGTTGGCTAACGACTTAAGAAGCTTTGTATTGCATTCAACTCGATCTTCGTGAGTGCCTATCTCACTGAGAACTTCAAACGACTCTTGAGCAATCGCCCAATTTTGGTTGTATTGAAAGGTGTCTAACTTCTCAGCCAAGTTATTAGTGGAAAACTTCTTTAAAACACCATCGAGAGCATCGTAATCATCGATGTTAGAATAGACAGACTGTAATGTTGACGTAATACTGAGATTATCGAGCCGATTGTTGTTCTTGACCTTACCATCACGATAGCATTTTTCGAGATAAAGAATTGTCCGCTCATATGAATCACACTCGGACGACGTAAGAGCTATAAGTTCCATAGGGATCTCGTGAAGTAGGCCTTCCACACACTCTCGACTCTTCTTTATCATGGATGAATCAGCCTTTGGAAGTGAAGAGTCACTCAATTTGTGAGTGGCAGCGGACACCCATTCGTTCAAATAGTCGAGCACTTCAAATACCGCTTGATAGCATGCTTTCAATTCTTCTACCCTTTCGGCTGTAGAATTTTGGCCTACGCCAAGCTTAAGGATTGTAAGGATCTCATCAAGAATGTTCTTTCTCACTTCTTGCTCTCCGTTAACAATATGGCTTAGAACCACGTATTTTAGCAAATACTGAGCGATGGATATCTCTTCATCTCTGATTAAAAGCGAACAAGTCTGGAATATGACACTTTTCGCCAACATCATTTTACCATGCTGTTTAAGATTATTGTGAAGGGGTCTCCGAAGTAAATTCGTCGTTATATCAACAAGCCATTTGTCGTGCTTCATTCCAAGTTTGAAATATGGAAAGGAAAGGGGTTCGTATCGTGGTTCTGGAGCAAAGTATTTTGACGAAAGTAAAGGAGTAAGCGTAGACTTGTCGATCTCCGAGAACTTGTTCCACACCTCGGCTCTAACTCCCTGGTTGGATGAATTTAAAATCGAATTGTCTAAGCCCATCACGTTTAGAAACCTTTGCATAGAGTATGCCGAGAACAACTGTCTTATCGGATCATTGGATGCCCAAAAATTCTTGATAACACGAGACTTTATAAACTCGCTGAGGAATTCAGCATTTTCTCTGTAATCTTGAAAGTCATACAAGATGACTATTCTGGAATCAATCGTCTTGAAATTGAACCTGTTGGCATCTAAGGCCCCAATGCTACCTAATACCATGGCACATTTCCGAGCAATCAAGGAATTCTTGTTCTTGAACTGAACCGACACATCTAAAAGCGTCCTCACCAATAAAGATAGCGAATCCTCACATGCTGCATCCTTGAAATCATCTCTTTGGCAACTCAATTGATACTTCGTTGTAAAGTTAAGTAAATCATCAAGAGCCTGGTGTACGACGTATTGGTTATTTGTTTGTAACCGTCTGGTAAACTCGGGGAAGTAGCTTAGCTTGGACTTTGGTTTCATCATACTTATGAAGGTCGCATCCAACACGAAATACTTATCCAAATCCTTGATAAAGGGGACTGAGAAGTAATAAAGGGCATACTTCTTGTACTTCTCTCGTAACTCGAGGAAGAGTTTCTCGAGAATCTTTACCGCAATTTGTTTAGATCTGTGCTGTAAACTGTCAAACTTTTGGAAAATCAAGGAGATGGTAATATCAAACAAGGAGACAAGTCTCTCCGAGTCAAGTTTTTGAACGAGAACACTCCAACACTGGATTGCTGGTAACTCAAGAGAAGGATTTTCCAAAGATGCTTGCAAGCATGTAGAAATTTGTCCCAAGGCTGATGCCGCCGCCTCTATGTTGCGGCTTATCAAAAGTGAATAGCGTTAAGCGAACTAACCTTTTCGAGAAATGGTTTGATACCCTTGATGTGATGCACATTCTCAGAGAACCTTTGAACTAGCTCTAAAACATGTTCCCCCAAAATATATTTGACGTAATCAAACTTCTGTGAATCAGGCCTTTGGCTCGAGCGCTTGGCATAGTTAATTTTTGCAACATATTTGATGGCATTGAAGATTCTCGTCTCATTAACAATTTGGCCATTCTCATCAAGCTGTATCTGAAGTAAGATGTACCAAAGTACTTCCCCAATATTGGGTATTAAATCTGTTATGGAAAGCTTTTGATAACGAGGGCTTGTGTTGCTCAAGACGTTAACGATGTAATCTGCTTCGATGGTGTCGTCTTTGCAAAGGTACGTGGCCATTATCCTTGGGAGCGTCTTTGCCACCAATTTAGTCTTGTCCATATTAGAAGCTTCTGCAATTTCTTGGATAAAATCATGCTTATAATACTCAAGAAGGCGAGGCGTAGTGTAGTCTCGAGTTTGACTGAGAAAGAAACGCTTGGAAACTCCTAAAAGGCTTGTTATCCTCGAAAACATCCTAGCTTTTTTAACGATCCTCTCAGCGATACTTGGTAAGTATGGCGATAGGAGCTTGTAAGGAGTCAATGATTTGGCCGTTGCAACGTAAAGGAGAAAATTATAGGCAAGGTTGACATGCTGTTCGTTCGCCTCTCCAAAACAATCGATCATCTTGATGAATATCACGCATAACCACTCTCCTTCGCAAACTATGGCCAATTCACTAAGAGCCATTAAGGTGGATTCCGCCATGTGGATCAATTTCGGGTCACTAAACTTGATCTTAGAAACAGCCAGGAACGATGATTTGAAGACGTTTTCCAGAAAGTCGTCTTGGTGATGGATTAGATACAATGGTAACACTCTCGCTGCAATGACTCGGGCCTCTCTACATCTGCTTGAAGAAAGGCATTGGAGGACAAACATATGACAAGGCTCTTGTTCGATATCTTTCGTTGGAGGCCTATAAGCTGCAAAAATGTTGAACAATGCTAACAAGAAAGCAACAATTAATGACGAGTCACTTAACAAGTAGTCTCTTTTACCGTGTAATAGAAAGTCACAAATGACCTCACGGTATATGACCTCAGCATCCAGTACCTCGAGTATTGAGGGTCTGTCTAAAGAAATGGAGCTGAAGATGTTTTTGGTCGATAGCGTCGACATGCTAATGGACTCCCCTGATCTATAGTTAAAATCCTCGGTCAAGATTGCAGGGACAATGCTGAGTGTATTGATAAAAGTGAGCAATGTTGCCTTATTATTAAACGGCAGTTTAGCCGAAGATGAACCATCAAGTTTAATGAGGGAGGCTACGTAGCCGAGCCAACTCTTAACATTTGGAAGCGAGTCCAGGTTATTTGAGTGAAGATACCTTTTAAAAGATACCTGAGAATCTGTGATGAACTGAAGAGCTTTTGATGGATCATCCGTCTCATCCTCCAAGATTGAAGTCCTGAGCTGGTCAAGCTCCGCATCCACGAACGGAATGGAGGCTAAAATAACAGCATTGGATGTAAGCGTCAAATTATTATTAGCAGCTTGTTGATGAATGAGGATATGCGATAGTTTTTTTATTGAGGGTGGGAACCGAGACACGGAGAGTAGCTTTTCGACACTGGTGAACTCATGCTCTTCTTCAAAAACACCGGTATCAAAACTGCTGAAGAAATTATGGACGAGACCCTTCTGGCGGCAAAAGACAAAAATCTTCATGAGACTTAGACAGGTAGCCTTATTGAATGTCTTGAATTGAAACATAGTCTTGCCGTGTAGTTTGAAGCTATCAAAATGAGAATGTACCCATGTCATGAGATAGGTCACTTGCGACCACTTCAAGCTTTCGTCAAGCAAAAGATTACTTGTCATTCCATGCAAAAGAACACTTTTGAGATAGTCTACCAACGGTAGAAGCTCGTCCTCTGGAGTTGCAAATTCAATAGCGTCGAGAACGAAGCATATACGCTTGGTGAAACTTTCAAGCTGGAGTCTTGTAGCATTGGCAGTTAGAAGGAGCTTGCGCTGGACATCATAGTCATTCACCACACTCAACAAATGGACTGTAGCGGTCAAAGTATCAGTATGGTTCCTTATTAGTCTGACTTGTGTGAAAAGTGTATTTACACTTTCAGAAAGTAGCCGCATCAACGCAAGCTGAACTTGTCTGGCGTACTTGAACCCATTCACATGGACAGTAACGCTATTAATGAGTCCAATTAGAAGCAGCTTCACAGCATTAGTGGCAGCCATGTTGCCAGGAAATTGCAGTAGCCAACTCATGGAGAAATGAACACCCCATTCGTAGACGTTCTGGTTACCGAAGGGAACTGACACTGTGGTGGCTCCCATAAGAACCAGGGATATTTCAGCGGGCGTGATTTCGGCATTGAGGAGATGCTTCTTTTTGGAAAGCACTAAAGCAATCGTATCGACTAGTCGTAGCAGAAGATTCAACACTTGGGATGATCCAGTGGAGGCGTTCTCAGATCGAAGAGCCTCAAACTTGGCATTGGTGAAGCCATAAAGGTATAGTAGTAGCTTCTTAAAGTCGGTATCCTCATCTGACGTGACATTCTTTTTCACGTCATCTAGAAACAACGTTAGCTCCTCGGGCGTTGTTCGTAGATAAGGGTTTGACATGGGTAGTATCAGTCAAACGCGGCAGGCCCTGATGATTGTTTAGATGCGGGAGCGCACCCATATATCACGTAGTAAACTACACTACATCGAGCATTTCTACATTTAAAAACAGTCATTGCTCATCATTTCTATATACATTTAACTATCGTAGTTGATGGGTCTCTTGAAAAGTAGTATATGAGGTTCTGGCGCGTGTGTTTCATAGTGCATCCACCCTAAGGATTGAGTGATACCCAAACCTCGCCATTCCTCTTCCAATAAGATTCTCAATGTTCCTGTTTCTGGGTTAAAATAGTCCTGTGGAATCACTTTCAACATGTCTTTTGGCAACATTACATGTCGATATTCGTTGGAATCGTCGCTGTATCTGGGACTATAATGGATCATGTCCAGGAACTCGAGCACTTTGGCTCTCTCCGCGTCGGTCAAGTATCTAGGCCTGCTCATTGGGTCAAAGAGTAGTGTTTTAAAACGATTGGAGGTCTCTGTGTGTGTTGTGTGTAGTGGGTATCAAGGAATAGGCGACAGTGACTTCGAAGTCAGACTTGACGCTTCCTCTCCGGAAAAAAAAGAGCTCCAGATTGGCGAATATGTCACGTGACCGCGATTCACCTACGGATCTTCCTTTATCCCGCTAACTTGCCTCCGTTCGTCAAGTCGTATCTATATTAAAGGGTGAAAATATTCTTAATTCGGATCCTTACATTCCGTTTCTGAATGACCAACACATGAAGAACATTGCTAAGCGCAAAGGCTAACCATAATGTCTGAAGGCCCTTACTGTCTCCTGCAGACGCACCTCTGTAACCGTTCATCGCGCCGTTGCCTATAAACGACATTCCATCAGATACAAGTGCTCCCAGCTTAATCTAACTGTTCATGACAAGATTGGGAGCTGTGGTGTCCAAAGACAGTCATCTTCAATTGAGAGGTATTGATTTTTTTATTCCCTGCTTCTCACTTGCATGTGCTGATCCCAAGAAGGTATCTCACATTTTCCTAGAGGACTTGAATCAGTATGTTCCGGACCCTGGCATCTCGTACCTTATCAGGCTTCCAGATGGCATGGAGCCAAGTGAATTCTTAAGTCAATTATCCTCCATGGATGCCTCTTTTGTAGTGGTCGTGCCAGTAATCGAGAATTGGCATTATTGGAACGTCCTACAGCAATTCCAAGACCGTGTTGATTACGTCTTAGATGCTAGGTCGCAACTCTCTTCGGAATGGATGGAAAGGTTTAAAAGCTTAAAGTTTACTGCTGTCACAATAATCAGCCCATCCTTTGAAACTTTAGCTTTAAAGAAAACCCAGCCTGATTTGCTTCTATTGCCTACCGATCTTGACGTGGAAGGCGTCGCCAAGGGACGTGAACACGCTACTGCTCTAACTCAGAAATCGATGCAAGAACAGTACATTAATTTCTTTATAGATCCCTTGCAGCCACTCACTCAAGAGATGCCTCTAGAAGTATATGAAACATTCGAGCAAGACGAAGCAAAGTACGAGGCTTATGAAGAAGCCATTGACTTGGCTGTTGCCGATATATTGAACCAAAAGAAAAAGGACCGGCTCACCATTCTTGTTGTCGGTCCTGGAAAAGGACCATTACTTGCATTTGCAGCCAAATATATGGATTCTGCAGATATTATCGCCGTGGAAAAGAATCCTAAGTGCATCCCTGTCCTTCATGAACATAACAAAACTATGTGGAAAAATAATATTACCATCATCGAAGGTGATATTCGTGACATTATACTGACTTTGGGTCCAGTCGACCTAGCGATATCAGAGCTCATTGGATCATTCGGATGTAATGAAGCTTGCCCTGAAATTCTAAATTCCTTCAGTAATGCTGACACAATCATGATACCACAAAGTTTGACAAGTTACATCAGACCCATTTTTTGCGAGCTGGGTAGTCTGTTGGGTAAACGACCATATCTCCTCAAATCCGATGAAAGGTACTGGGTTGACGACTTAAAGCAGGCTTTTCGTTTTACTTTTCCAGGCACCAATGATTTAAACCAGAGGGTTGCCCATCACTTTCGATTCAACCATCCTGATGATGCGAACGCGTTGGAGGGCCACTTCAAAGCTGATCTATATGGTCATATAAGCATCACAAGCACCCGCTTAGACTCTAGCGCGTATGTTTGTTCCTCGTGGTATCCCATGGTCTTTTCAATACCTCTTGTTAATGCCAGCCTCAGTTTGGTAATGGAAAGGAAGAGCACTTCAGAGCGCCTTTGGTACGAGTGGACAGTCAATGAGACAGTATACAACAGAGGCGGAGAAGACTATTTTGTCCCACTTAAATAGACTAATAATTTATCAGTGCTTTGGGTCTCAGTGTCTCTTTTCTCTCGTCAGAACGGCTTTCATGCTTCCCTCTATGTCTATGTCTGTCCAGGTGTTCTTCCCGACTTCTTCGGCTCGGAGAACGCTCTCTATCTGACCTTGAGCTCTTATGGCGATGCTTGGACAGCTTATGTGATCTGTCCCTGCTAGCGGCACGATCCTCGAACGTCTGTTTTCTTTGCTCCCGTTTGATAGCTAATAGCGGATCGTCAGAGAGAGCCAGTGAAGAACCGGTTTTACCAACATTTGTTATGCGATCAAATGCACTTGTCGACTTTGGTTTCTTATTCTTCACAGGAACACTACCCTTCATCAATTGTTCGACGCTCTCTTGCTTCAGTAGAAAGTCTTCTTCAACCTCACGGAAGCCGGACTCGTTTACTTTGTCGCTATCCTTCTTTGGGCCGTCCTGGTACATCCAAGCAAGCTTATTTAGCTCGATCTTCTTGTCCTGAGGTAAGGCGTCGGGGTCATTGCCGTATTGTAGTCTTATCATCTCTTCCTTCTCCCTCTCCCTCTCAATCTCCTTGGACCGCTCTTTGATGGCCTTGAGTTCTTTCAAGGCTTCTTGTTCTTTCTCCCATACTTTCTTTTGATTTTTGACTAACGCGGGGTTCCACGACTTCTTCAAGTTCAAATCCCCAGGCATGGTGGCACAAGAATGTGGTAGTGGTATGTGCGCGATAATGAGATGAGATAAGACAAGGGTCCACCAGAAGCGTCTCTACAATGATAATCACCGAGGCATTATAGATAAAAAGCCGACGTTAGTCATCTTTAGCATAGGAGTATTTTGAAGCACCTACTGTTCATCTACAAAATGAGTACCAGATTCATGGCATCCGAAGATGTATTAGATTATATAGGCAAAGGCTGCCAATAATAGAAAAACCCACTTAGAAACCGTGGATCTTGATGTTCTTCTTTGGCAACTGCAACTTGGTAATCAAGAACTCAGAGACTTTAACTCTCTGGTCACCTTGCATCTGGATGACTTCACCCAACTCGGAATCCTTAACGATGTTACCGTTACAGGCAAAGTCCTTCTTCAAGACCTTCAAGATCTTCTTCAAGTCATATTCATTTGGTACACCCTGGACGGTGGTCAAGGTCTTACGACCGTTACGCTGCTGAATACGGATATGGATGTAGTTTGTGGCTTGAGCTTCGGAATCACCAGTGTCGGCGAAAGGGTCTGAAGAGTTAGTATAGAACGTGGAAAAAATTCATGGAAAGGTGTAAGGCATACCGAAAGAGTTTAAGTTTTGGATAGTAGACATAAAAGGGTGGTTAGGTTCTCTTGTTGAGCTTTATCTGGTTGTTGGAAAGAGTAGTGATAGGATTTTTTAGCTGACCTGATGAAAATGCGACATGTCGTCGCTGTGTACCAAAAATGTCGCAAACGTCATAGAATATCCATGAAAGCCATCATTATGTCGTTGCCACCGTTAATTCTAGATGAGTTGTGTATTCCATGACGATCCTTTCGGTCATGAGTTAATTGGGCCATTTTAACAAGTGGCAAAAATTGGTAACTGGTTTTTTAATATGCCATAGAGATATTCATGGAATGCGCATAATCAGTGAATACTTATAAAATATGGATATGCAAGACGAACTTCTTGAGAAGCGAAGGATGTCATCAATATTATAAAAGAAAAAAAAAAAAATAAAAAAAGAAAAGACGAGAAAAAGACAAAGAAAGAACAAATACAAGGAACACAGAATGGTTACCCCTACTTTGCTGATCCTTCGACCATACCTTCCCCAAAGGCAAGGCCAATGTACCACCTACAGAGTAAAATGGTTGCGAAATGATAACACAAAGAAAAGACCGATGCTGAAAAAGAAAACCTGACGTAACGTCAAAGCAGAGCATCTTCTTCGAAAACAACATAAGACAAAAAAACTTCACCACCTTGTTCGGTGCATCCACATTCCAGCAAAAAGAAGCATTTAAAAACTCTATTTAATCTCTGCCTCCTTTTTTTTTTTTTTTTTTTTTTTTTTCGCCTCTCCACTGCGAGCGTGTTTGGCATGATAACGTACTTCGCTTGTGCGGGAAACTCCAAGTAGACCCATGTGCAAAGTGCCCAATTACTGTCACACGCTGAGCCGACCCGATTAATTTGCCAGGTAAAGCTTTTGCACTTGCCAAGGACGTAAAAAAGAAGGAAAGTGCTGTAAGGAACCCCTCGCGTGAGTTCGCTTCTTCTGCAACTTTTCACTGTCAAAATTCCCTTTTCAGGAACTGCTTCCGCAACCAGTTGCAGATTATCGCTACCAACCTTTTTTTTTTTCACCCTACCCATTCTCACAACGGGTGCACTGGCATTCTCATTTGCTCATCTGCAGGAAACTCGACAAAAGTGAGTTCAACAAAACCGGCAAATCATCAATTCCCCATATCTAATTTCATACGTCTTTAGGTTTCATTGCTAGCGCTACAATTGCTTAGATCCTTCCAACTTACTGATTAACTTCAAACAGACAATGGCAAAGGATAAAAAGCACTCCTCCAAGGGGAGCAAGCCTCTGGAAAAACAAGAAGAGACCGCTACTCCACCTCCTACAGTGTACAATGATCACGACAAGAAGAAACAGGCCTTGATAACGAGAACCATCTGGGCTCTTGTTATGCTTGTGGGTTTCCTCGTGGTCCTAGCTAGCGGGCATTTGCCACTCATCTGTTTTGTTATCATGTGTCAGGTTCTCACTTTCAAGGAGATCATTGCCTTGACTTCTGAACCTGCTAGAGACAAAAACATCCCTTGGAATAAGTCATTGAACTGGTACTTTTTGCTTTGTACCGTATACTACTACGACGGAGAGTCTGTCTTTGACTTTCTCCAAGATGAGATTCTCTCATCGAACGCATTGTTCTTCTTCTACAAGAACCATAAGTTCATTGCCTATTCCCTTTACATCGCAGGCTTCATCTTCTTCGTGTTTACGTTGAAGAAGGGTTTTTACAAGTTCCAGTTTGCCCAGTTGTGTGCCACCCACATGACTTTGCTCCTAGTTGTCTTCCAATCCCACTTGATCATCGAGAACATTCTTAACGGTATCATTTGGCTTTTGATTCCTGCTTCCCTTGTGATTGTTAATGATATCTTTGCTTACCTCTGCGGTATCACGTTCGGAAGAACTCAGTTGATCGAGATCTCTCCAAAGAAGACCGTCGAAGGCTTCCTTGGTGCTTGGATTTGCACAGGCGCCGCTGCCGTTTTGGTTGCCTGGTTGTTGTCCATGTCTGACTACTTGATCTGCCCAGCTACCAACTTGTCTACAACTGTCTACGACTATCCACACTGCGAACCAAACCCAGTTTTCATTCCTCAGATTTACCAGTTGCCTGATAACATTGCTGAGTGGGTCGGCCAATCGACTATCACTTTCAAGCCTCTTTATTTCCATAGTGCTGTTATTGCCACTTTCGCTTCGCTCATTGCTCCATTTGGTGGATTTTTCGCCTCTGGTTTGAAGAGAGCATTTGGTATTAAGGACTTTGGTGACACTATTCCAGGACACGGCGGCATTACCGATAGATTTGACTGTCAGTTCTTGATGGGCTCTTTCTCCTACTTGTACTTTCAAACTTTCATCTCATCAAGCAATATCGGTTTGGGCAAGATATTGCAGATGGCCGTCTTCAACTTGACTACAGCTCAGATTTTCCAGTTGACCAAAGCGTTATTGAAATACTTACACACCCTGGGTCTGCTCAGTGACGACAAGTTGCAGACCATTCTCGAAATTTTGAACTGATTCTCAAGCTGCACATTAAACATTTAATTCTTGGAAGGTCATTTCATTACATTGTCACGATTACTCTACTTGTCTCAACACATCTTTTGTGTAATCAAATAAAATAAAGAATCAAAAAGAATAAACCCGATGTAGACATAGCATGCACCCTTTTTGTCCTTTCCAGATGCGTGATTACTTACGCTACTGCGGATCATTCAAGGGCGCCTAATGGTCCCACCTCTCGAGTTGGTTATGATCCCGAATAACTCGTAGAGAAAACGGGTATTCCAATTGACAACAGGATACTCTCTAGACTTATGCTTTAAGGTCAACCTCTCCAAGCGAGAAGCAAAAAGTCCAAGTTCAAGTTTTCCCCAAAGCATAATGTCCAAGCGAAAGCTAAGACCTCCACAATTCTTGTGAACCCTTGAATCAGAATATCATACCGTTTTGGTACATGCTGGGAGCAAATCAGGAACGAAAAGCTGCTGGTTCAAGACCAATTCGGATATGATTCGAGATCTGTTACAGTGGCTCAACTCGAAAGAAGCTGAAGACCTTCCCAAAAGGGCCACCAGCAATTTTGACAGGTAAAAAATGAGATCTTGGTAAAGGTTAATGCTGGTGGCAGACTGCACACAACCACTTTTAGCTGGGTAATCGTGCCTAATTAGGAAGGTGCGTCTGCAGCTTTTTCGCAGCCAAAAGCCAAAGTGTTCGGCTACATCGATTATGACAACATCGAAGAATCAGCATTATTCTTTTTTTTTTGCTGGCTCTAACGGCCAATCTTAGATTTTAGTCAGAGCAATCATGCTGATCTGGGAATATATAAATCCATTGGATTTGTCCCCTCCTTCTTCTTTTACTTATTCTTTTTTCTCAAACTTACCAAAGATCTCCTACTACTCACATTCGTTTTTGCAATGATCTTTATTCTTTCGCTCCTTTTCCTCATACAAAGTATTGTGGGTGTCCCAGTTCCAAGAGTTATTACTCGTTGGCACACTGCTGACGCTGTGACTTCGACCCTGACTTACACCACCGGTACTACTACTGTGTGGTTGCCTCCAGTCCAAGTGCTTATCTCTGGCGATTGCACAACTACCTTCACTATTACTACTGGCCAATGGGCTACCACTCCTGTTACCACCACCTCCTATGCTGCTGGCCAGCAAGATGGTGATGACCAGCCTGAACCTACTCACACTGACAACGCTCAACAGAGCCCTCCTGCTGCTACTACTGAGGCCAACACTCCAGCTGAGACTCCAGCTGCCGAGACTCCAGCTGCCACTACTGCCGCTGAAACTGCTGCCAACACTGCTTCTCCAGATGCTCCTGTTACTTCGACTTCTGCTACTACTTCTCCTCAACCAACCGACTCGTCTGACAACAATTCTGGTAACGATTCTGGTGACAATTCTGACGACAATGCTGGTAACAACAATTCTGGCTCCACTGAAAACACTGGAAACAACAACAACGGCTCCAGCGACAGCAACAACACTAGCAACACCAGCAGCGCTAGCAACAATAACGGAAGCGACAACAGCAACAGCAGCAGCAACAACAACAACGCTCAGTCCTCCGTTTCTACGGCTGCCCCATCTACTTCGTCTTTCGCTCCAAGCAGCACTGCTGATTCGACAACTCTGTCCTCCCAGTTTTCCTCCTCCTCCTCCTCCACCCCAACTGGTGAGAACTCGTTGAAGATTTCCAGCCAGGGCGGCTACAAGTTTTCCCTGGCCCTGAACAAGCTTACCAGGCCAGACGTAATTGTCTACTCTCCTTATGGAAATGACGGTTCTTGTAAGACTCACGACGAAGTCGAAACTGACTTGAAGTTCCTCAAGCAGACCGGATTCAACAAGATCAGAACCTATGGTGTTGACTGTAACATCATCAGCGCTGTCCTTCCACTTGCTAGCTCTTTGGGCTTCAAGGTCAACCAAGGTTTCTGGATCTCCAACCAAGGTGTCGACTCGATTGATGACTCTGTTTCTAACTTGATTGACTACGCTAAGAAGAACTCTTGGGATGTCTTTGACTACCTCACCATCGGTAACGAAGCTATCATTGAAGGTTACGCTACCCCATCTCAATTGATCTCCAAGATTAACAGCGTCAAGAAGAAGTTGCAAGCAAACGGATACAACGGTAAGGTCACCACTTCCGAGCCTCCAGTGATGTACAAGAGACACCCAGAATTGTGTACTGAGGCCGAAATCGATTTTGTTGGAATCAACTCTCACTCTTATTTCAACACCAATTTGCACGCCGATGAAGCTGGTGAATATGTTGCTTCCCAGCAAAAGGAGATTGCCAAAATCTGTTCTAAGAAGGCTGTCATTACAGAAACCGGCTACCCTTCTAAAGGAATCAAGAACGGTAACAACATTCCATCGCTCGCTAACCAATATGCCGCTATCAAGTCCATCATGGACGCCACCAATGGTGACTGCACCATTTTGAGTTCCTTTGACGACTTCTGGAAGAACCCTGGCCCATATGGCATCGAACAGGCTTTCGGAGTCATCGGATTTTTCTAAACATTCTACACTCGTTTCGTTTCCGCTGCAATCAGCGATTATTCTGCATTAAAAAACCCTTAGCATCTTACATACATATGTACTTAAATTAAAATAACCAAGAATTTTTCAGTCATGTCAAATGTTTCGTAAAGTCGTTAACCAGAGAGAAAAGATCAGAATTCGATTATCTTCTCTGGAAAATATTCATCAATGAGCTCCATATAATATTTTTTCAATTCTTCAACATCATATTGCTCGTCCGTTTTGGAATACAAGTCATACTTGTTGAACGCCCTCACAGCTTCGAGCATCTTCCTATCGTGGTCATCCATCAAATAACTGTAAGCACTTTCCTGATGCCAAGGATAGAACGAATGGTACCGTATCATGGCGAGCGCTTCTTGCGGAAGCGTAGAATTGGCTTTGGCAATATGGTACATGTACTCGTCATGTCCCCAGGAAAGCATGACGGCATCTAAACCGCAATTCTTCGAATAAATTCCGTACTTTGTGTTATAGAGTGGATTGAAGAAATCAGGATTCTTTGCAAAGCTATCAGGGAAAATGATCTTCTTCAGGAACTTACATCCCACAGGGAAAGTATCACCCACAACATCCCACTGACCCTTCGAGTCAAAGAAATATAGTAGCTTTCCCAAGTCATGTATGAGCCCCACTAGCTGCATCCATCGAGGCTTCTTATCTTTCCTGATAGCTTCTGCTGTCTGAAGCGCATGATCAATCTGTGTAAGTTCAGTATCAGGATCACTTTCATCGAGAAGCTTATTTAGCCTTTCTAAACCTTCCCAGACGGTCATTTTAGCCCTGACTTTCGTCTTGAAATTAATCCTTGCTTGGATATTGTATGCCACTGTTTGTTTCTCATGTTGCTCTTCGTAAAACTCCTTGACTCGAGAGCAAGCGAGGTCGTATTGTCTGAACGATTTCGTATCAATATTCTTGAAGTATTCTGATTGTTCTTGCCATGACTGGTCATCCTCTTCTGTAGGTTCCTTAATGGAGTTATTCTTCTTGAGTTCTTTCTTTATCTTATTGACCCTGAGGACATCATCATCGAGATCTTCCAAGATTTTCCCGCTGCGGGCTTTCGTCCTTGGGAACTCGTCTAGTTTTATTGGAATCTCGGGCTTTTTCACGGACATCAGAGGCATTTAGGTGGTTCAGAAGGAGAAAGGACTAGGAGCTTATAGTCTTCCGATGACAAGGCGCGCACGTGAGAGTACATGGAATGTGGCTCAATAACTACTGAAATAATAATAACGTAAGAATGGTGATTAGATATACACAGAAGAACGTTCTAATGAATGCAAGTCAGGGGTTTGTGTTAAACCTCTGTGAGTCACTGGGCGTGCCCAGTATGTGTGGAGCTTTTTAAGTGCGAGCAGATTGATAAACTTAGTGGTGAGCAGGAAGAGGGTTCTCAATGACTTTACCGTCAATGACTTTACCGGATGGCACCCATCCACCGAGTTCAACATTGTGCTTCTCGTGGTACTGAGCAATTCTTTCCTCCATGACTGGTCTGAAACTCTTGATCAAACCCTGGATAGGCCATGCAGCGGCATCACCCAAGGCACAAATGGTGTGACCTTCGATTTCCTTAGTGAGCTCAAAGATTTCATCAATCTCTTTGACAGTAGCCTGGCCAGAGACAAATCTGTCCATCATCTTTTGCAACCAAGTGGTACCCTCTCTACAAGGAGTACACTGACCACAAGACTCGTGCTTGTAGAATGCTGCGAATCTTTGAATAGCTCTGATGATATCGGTCTGCTTGTTCATGACAATAACGGCGGCAGTACCCAAACCAGAACCGACATCTCTCAAAGCATCGTAGTCCATCAAGACATTGTCACAGGTTTCCTTAGGCATGATTGGAACGGAACATCCACCAGGGATAACACCCAACAAGTTGTCCCAACCACCCTTGACACCTCCACAATGCTTCTCCAACAATTCCTTCAAAGAGATAGACATTTCCTCCTCAACGGTACATGGCTCGTTGACATGACCAGAGATACAGAACAACTTGGTACCGGAGTTTCTCTCACGACCGAAAGAAGCAAACCAGTCACCACCTCTTCTCAAGATACTTGGAGCGACGGCCACGGTCTCGACGTTGGTGACAGTAGATGGTCTACCGAACAAACCAATACCAGCTGGGAATGGTGGCTTCAATCTTGGCTTACCAGCCTTACCTTCGATGGATTCAATCAAGGCGGTTTCTTCACCACAAATGTAGGCACCCATACCTCTGTGGATGTAGATGTCAAAGTCGTAACCAGATCCACAGGCGTTCTTACCAATCAAACCGTTCTTGTAGGCCTCGTTGATGGCATTTTGCAAGATGACAGTTTCGTTGTAGAATTCACCTCTAATATAAATGTAGGCAGCGGTAGCGTTCATACCTCTACCGGCTAAGAGACATCCCTCAACCAATTTGTGTGGGTCTTTTCTGATGATTTCACGATCCTTACAGGTACCTGGCTCACCTTCATCGGCGTTGACAACCAAGTATCTAGGACCAACGTTCTTCTCCCATCCTGGAGGGTTCATGAAAGACCATTTGAGACCAGAGGGGAAACCAGCGCCTCCTCTTCCTCTAAGACCGGACTTCTTAATCTCGTCCAAGATCCACTTGTCACCTTTCAAGATAATCTCTTTCGTTTTGTACCAGTCACCCATCTTCATGGAAGACTTCAAATCGTGGCCGTAGTTACCATAGACGTTCTGGAAAATACGGTCCTGGTCCTTCAAGCCACCATGGACACGGTTAGGGTTGGCAGCAGCATCGGCAGCAGTGGCCAACAGTCTGACATTAAGACGCTTTGCACTACCTCTGAAGTTACGAAGCATGATATGAGCAGAAATGGTGTAGAACCGAAGGGTTAGCTTGTTGCAAGTACGCTTAGTTTTTTTTGACTTTTTTATCCACTCACTTTGTTCTAGCGTGCGGGACTGTGTAATTGGATTTCTTGCGCTACTATTGGCTGAGAACCTTTTTTCTCACCTCTACGAAGAGTATACCGCAGAGTGCCACATGTCCTGGAAATGAAGACTATATAAATTTAATAACGGATTGGAGCTTCGAGAGTATACTTACAGAATTGTAAAATTGGATTGGGGAGGTGGAAATGTTTGCTGGAACCGAATTCCGACCACGTGACCCCAGTCGATGACGTTCCCATCGGGGTCAGCTAGTACTGGTGCAATTCTATAGGTTGCCGAATGTAGAGGTGGATTCGACAAAAATACAAAAATTCGAAAATTGGAAAAGAAATACTTTGGACTTAAAAGATAACGAGATATCATTTTAATACTTTAGAATTGTCCTTCATTGGGTGCCTCGAAAGTGAAGCATTGTTCGACTTCCAACTCTGGTGCGTCTTGGCTGCGAAAAGTACTTGGTACCAGAGTATGGCTAGTTCCACTATCCTCGTTGATTGGACACCACACAGATTACATAAAATCTATGGTCAAGATATTCTCGATCGCTGATCTGAATTTGCTTATCACGAGGTCAATCACTTTTACTGGACATAAAAAAGATACCTAGAGACGTATTGTATCTTCTGTGGGTCTCACTATAGTCAGTGCGAGCTACCCATAAGAAGCCGTTTTACCCTTAAACAACCAGAAAAAGGCAAGGTATCTTGCTATTGGTCCCTTGATGATAAAATACTAGTCCCACCTTCTTGGTCACATCAACGTTGTTTGGTGGTAATTTACAGGATGTACTGGTGTACTTTTGTAGACCCGCTACGCCTTAAGTACTATACAGCTTCTTACACGAAACCAGCCCAGTGCAATGGCGTACCTCACCTTCATACCCATTGCTATTCTAGCAGTAATCTTGCTTATACCCAGAGAAGCTCCACGCTTCTTTGAATTCCACGACAATAATCTCAATGATCTACTATATCCATCACAGGACCTGTCAGTATGGGAGAAACTCACGTCTTGGGTGCCCACAGAAGCACCAAAGAGACTGAATTCAGTCTTCAGATATAACCCTGCCAGATTTGGAGAACAGAAACTAAGCTCCAATTCTTTCTTTAACGAAGTACAGTTCGGCAAGGATCGAGAACAGATTGGCAAGGAAAATGCCACGATCGTGATGCTTGTCAGGAACCTGGAGCTTAAAGGAGCACTAGACCTGATGAGATCGCTTGAAGATCGTTTCAATAAAGATTACAAATATCCTTGGGTCTTTCTTAATGATGTGCCATTCGATCAGGAGTTCATAGATAAAACTACCATGATGGCCAGCGGAAAGACCTTCTACGAACTCATTCCTCATGAGGACTGGAGCATGCCTCCTCACATTGATAAAGAGAAGTTTGAAGAAAACTTAAGAAATTCTTGGGACGTGATCTATGGTCCATCTCGCTCATACAGAAACATGTGTCATTTCAACTCAGGCTTCTTTTACAGACAGAAGCGGATGCTCAATTATGAATGGTACTTCCGAGTGGAGCCTGACGTTGAATACATGTGTGACTTTCAATTCGATCCGTTCACTGTCTTGCGTGAGAATAAGAAGGTCTATGGGTTTGTCTTAGCCCTTCCAGATTATGAAAATACCATTCCTACGCTATGGCCTACTGTCGAAGAATTTATTGAGAAATACCCACAGTACCTCCACCCTAACAACGCCTACGATTTCTTGACAACTAACGAAACGGACGTTTTCTTCGGAGTTACCAACCCCACCAAGAATCTATATAATATGTGCCACTTTTGGTCGAACTTTGAGATCGCAAATCTCGAATTCTTCAGAGGAGAGGCGTATGGAGCATTCTTTGACCATTTAGACAAAAGCGGTGGATTTTATTACGAAAGATGGGGTGATGCACCTGTCCACACAGTTGGTGTATCCCTTCTTTTAGACAGAGACCAGATTCACCATTTTGAAGATATTGGCTACTACCACGCACCATACATGGGCTGCCCTACGTCCGAGGATGTACTCATGGCTAAACGATGCATTTGCAGGGAGAAAGCTTTCGATGGTTCGCTATTGAGACCAATGGAAATCAGAGCACCTAGTTGTATTCCTAGATGGTGGAGATACGGCAGTGGTAAGAGCTTCTTGAATGAGGCAGAATACACCTTTCGCTAACCGCATTATGTACTGCGCACTACCGCACTATCAATGCTCATCGCATCCAAAATTATTCAGGTTATAGTCGATACACATCAAGCCATGGGAAAAGGTAAATTGAAGGCGGCTTTGAAGCATCAAAAAGAGCAAGCAGCTGCATTGAAGGCTCAGACCAAGGAGCAAAAGCCTAAGAAGGTTGTCGAAGCTCCAGTTGAAGAAGACTCAGAAAGCGAAGAAGAGGTGGAGGAAGGCATCGCGGAAGACCTCCCTAATGAAGGCGCCCCTTTGTCCCATAAAGAAAAGAGAATGTTGAAGAAGTTGATGAAAAAGAGAGCTGAAAGCTCTAAGGCTACTGCCGCTTCTGAAGATGAGGAGGAGGAAGAGGATGAAGATGAGGAAGAGTTGGACCTCGAGAAGCTAGCTGCCTCTGAGAGTGAAAGCGAGCTTGAAAGCGAGAACGACGATGATGACGATGAAGATGATGAAGAGGAAGAGGGAGAAGACGATGAAAAAGATCCAGAAGAGGATGAAGAAGAGGCCGAAGATGTTCCATTGTCCGATGTCGACCTCGATTCTGACACCGATGTGGTTCCACACTCCAAGCTTACCATCAACAACATTGCTGCATTGAAAGAGTCTCTTGTCAGAATACAGTTACCTTGGGAGAAGCACTCCTTCATTGAGCATCAATCTGTTATCAGTGCAGAGAACACTGATGCTGGCATCAAGGACATTTACGACGACACGGAAAGAGAGCTTGCATTTTATAAACAAGGTTTGGATGCTGTTAAGCAAGGCAGATCTACGTTATTGAAGTTGAAGGTTCCTTTCTCCCGTCCTCTTGATTACTTTGCCGAGATGGTGAAGTCTGACGAACACATGGACAAGTTGAAGAACAAGTTGTTGAAGGAGGCGGCCGACAAGAAGGCTTCTGAGGATGCTAAGAAGCAGAGAAAGTTGAAGAAGTTTGGTAAGCAAGTGCAACATGAGACTTTGCAACAGAGAGCCAAGCAGAAGAGAGAGACTTTGGATAAGATCAAGTCTTTGAAGAAAAAGAGAAGCGCAAACGAGCTCGAAAACGATAACGAGTTCCAGATTGCATTAGAAGAAGCCACAGCCGACGACAGACCAGCCAAGAGAAACAAGCCTAACGGTAAGCGTATGGCCAAGGACTCCAAATACGGTTTCGGCGGTAAGAAGAGAGGAATGAGAAAGAACGACGCTGACTCTTCTGCGGACATATATAATGTCGGTAAGAAGGGCAAAGGCAAGGCCTCGAGGCCTGGTAAGAGCAAGCGTAACAGAGGGCACTAGGCTGCAAAATAGGTGCAAAATAGGTACAACATAGACAAAATATCTCATGAAAAAGTATACTGGCACGCGTGTAAGACAAGTAAGAAAGTAAAAAGTAATACTTTAAGCATTAAGCTTAAATAATATGCCTTTTCTTGGTGGTGTCTCACCTGGGCCTAGTTCGTGGCTGGACCATTACAAGATATGCCCTTGAAACGCGATTTATACGAGCAGCGAAAATTAGTGAAATTTAGACCTAGTAAAATATAGACCCTCATATCTATTCATTCATTACATCATAATGGACAAAGACGCCGCTAAACAAAAATTCATCGGCGAGTTCGACTCGTTGGTTGAGGAACTTAAAGAGATCTTGGTCAACTACAACATGCCCCAGGAGGCTGTTGAGTGGTTCACCAAGAACTTGTACTACAACACTCCAGGTGGTAAGTTGAACAGAGGTCTTTCTGTCATTGACACTTACTGTATCTTGAAGAATGTCAAGATTGACGACTTGTCTGCTGAGGAGTACAAGAAGGTCGCCATCTTGGGTTGGGCTATTGAGTTGTTGCAGGCTTACTTCTTGGTTGCCGACGACATGATGGACCAGTCTAAGACCAGAAGAGGCCAGCCATGTTGGTACTTGAACCCTGGTGTTGGTAACATTGCTATCAATGACTCTTTCATGTTGGAGGGTGCCATTTACATGTTGTTGAAGAAGCATTTCCGCCAGGAGGCTTACTACGTTGATCTCTTGGACTTGTTCCACGAGGTTACTTTCCAGACTGAGTTGGGCCAGTTGTTGGACTTGGTTACCGCTGATGAGGAGCACGTTGACTTGAGCAAGTTCTCGTTGGAGAAGCACTCTTTCATTGTGATCTTCAAGACCGCATACTACTCCTTCTACTTGCCAGTGGCCTTGGCTTTGTTCATGTGTGGAGTCACCTCTGAGAAGGACTTGCAGCAGGCAAAGGATATCTTGATTCCCTTGGGCGAGTACTTCCAGATCCAGGATGACTACTTGGACTGTTTTGGTACCCCAGAGCAGATTGGTAAGATCGGTACTGATATCAAGGACAACAAGTGTTCTTGGGTCGTGAACCAGGCCTTGTTGAAGGCTAACGCTGACCAGCGTAAGCTTTTGGATGAGAACTACGGTAAGAAGGATGACGAGAGTGAGGCTAGAGTCAAGAAGTTGTTCAACGAGCTTGAAATTTCTAAGCTTTACCACGAGTACGAGGAAGACGTTGTCGGTCGCTTGAGAAAGCAGATTGACAATCTCGATGAGAGCAGAGGCTTGAAGAAGGATGTCTTGACCGCTTTCTTGGGTAAGGTGTACAAGAGATCCAAATAAATAGACATTGTAATACAAACCGCAGGCAAAGCAGCCTGAAGATTAATAAAATTCAACCCTTGGAATCTACTGTAAAATGCAAGCTTTCTGATTGTATATTGACATGCGGAAGATTTATGAATGATGATGTAACAAATTAGACGTTGACTCTCTCCAACTCCTCTCTGCCAGCCTTGGTGTACAAGAACTCGTTGTACTCGGTGGCCTTAGCGTTGATGGTCCAAACAATGGCACCTGGGATGACGACGAAGAGAACCTGGTTCTTGAATCTTCTAAAGACGTTGAAGACGGAGTTGTGCAAAGCACCCTTCAAAGGTCTGGTAGCGTAAGGAGAAACAGTGTACATGTTAACGTACTTCTGCTTTGGGGAGCCGATGTGGCCCCACCAGCCCATGTATGCCTTAGCATGAGGTCCAGCCATTATTGATAATAGAACTTGGTGTAGGAGTTGAAAGCTGAGAGGTGAAAAGTAGTGAGAAAAGCGGTTGGTGTTATTGGCTGCGCTGCGTGCTGTGCGTTACGCTGGGCCAGCAAGAGTTACGCGCAGCCGTAGAATACCCAATGAAGAGTACCAACTGATAAGATATGAATTGAATTACAGATGAAAGCTGGTTTTGGTGAAACCGAGGTAATGCCCCTTGAAAGCAAATGAGTGCTGAATGGACACTGTGGTATGCGCCATAATGCGAGCAATAGCACGCATTCAACATAGACAGATCCCATAGCAAGCAGCATACCCGATTATCATATGAGAAAGTAATTTAAGAAAACAATCTAATCTCGTATTTCCTGGCCAGACTTGAGCTCAATCTAGATCAACCATCAATTTGTGGCGCCATTTCGGTTTATCTAAGACTTCCTGATAAGAGTCTGTTGGTTGCGAAAAATCAGCCCAAGGCACACACTGAACCGCCACTGACAAGCAAACCACGCAACACGTCTTCATATCCACACTCCCACCCACTTCCAACCCATCAGCCACTATTGACTGAAACACGAAGTCTCGCCAAGACCCGGCTAGATGGCAGTGCACCAGACACAGACACTACTCTACACAGGGTAATCAAGTGAACCGTAGGAGCATTATCCTCGGAGATAGAGCCGGGATCGACTCGAGTTCGGGCTAGTAATTAGAGAATGTCGAGCGAATCGGGAAAAAGACATGTGTTGTGAATTACCTCTAAACAGATACATAGAGAGACGGGTAGTGAAGGTCTGCCATGAGATAAGTGCATACGAGAATGAGACTGGGAATGGCTCGTGCTAGAGGCACAGTAGGCTAGAAGTATCCATGACCAGCACCATTCCCAAAACAACAACGGAACAACCAAAAGTACCACAGCGAGGCTTACCCCCAACGGTTTTCCCAATACCCTCGGCTGGCCCCAGCCTGGATCTTCCACCTGGAACCGTTTTGTGGGATGGCTGCGAAAAACAAGCCCAAAGGAGGGGCGGAAGAATAGTCAGAAAAAGAAAAATTAGCATGGCCCACAGCCGCATCCGCACAGGCCGTGGCCCACCAGGTCGAAATAAGCAGGACCAGGCAAGCAAACAAGCCCTGGTACTGGCAAAAAGGGCTGGACCTGCAAGAAGGCAGGGGATGGCAAGAAGGCAGGAATGGCAATGGACAAGACGGAAAAAGACCACAAAAAGACCACAAAAAGCAGTTGGCAGGTGCTACGGCCAGTGGATAATCGTTTGCACATGCTTGTATTGGCAGAGCTTAGACGAGAGAGTGGCTTCATGAGACAGAAAACGGTTGCGGAAAAAAACAACAAAGACAAGACGGAGAGTAGTCAATGGGTGCCCAGGATTTGGGCATTGATTGTGGAAAAAAATTGGGATTTAAAGGAACACAGGAAGTATACGACGTAAAAGATTTTAGTCCGGATTTAGTGGTGCTAGGTAGAAGGGAAAACTCTTTTTGTGGAGCTTTTTTTGTGTATGACATGAGTTTGGGGGCGCTGGGACACGAAAAATTGTGAAAAAAAAAATCCGTGGTCCACCTTGCAGCCGTTTTTCCCACTTTATGCCTGCCTGATATTTCCCGAAGTAATTTCCTCCAGAGATCCCCTGCCATTCGGCTGCGCTTGCGCACAAAGTCCAGACTCTCTATCTGGTTCTCTGTATATGTGGGAGGATGTGCTGCATCCCAACTTTTTTGCATCCAGCGATTTATCCGGATGTATAAGAAGCTGAGGGGTGCCGCTTGATCCTGCTTGGTTTGTACCTTTATTTGACATCAGTTTTTGACATTTACTACATTCGCTATACCCCATATTATGTTTCTAATAGATACTACAAAGAAGGCGTTCGATATGTGCTTCAGCGCAGTTCGCATCACCTCCCAGCAATTTTTCAATGTGGCCCTAGTAATAGTGCTACTACTTGAAGGCGCCATTGAGTTCTCCGAACAAGCTGCCTCGGACTTAAGTCTATTGATGAAAGTGATACGCTCCAACAGTATTAACTGATTCGCCTTAGTATTCCCTCCCTAATATCTTAATTTAAACCACACTTATTTATATACCCAATACAGGCTAGAGTCATTTCTACATGGTAAAAGTCCTCGTGATATTTATTAGATGTACATGGGGCTTAAGCACCGATACGCTTCAAGTGAGCCAATCTACCTCTCTGTCTGGAGTTCAATCTTGGCTGGACCTTGTCGGTGGCCTTAGCAATCTGCTCCTCTTCCTCAGAGACAATGAGTTCAATGTGAGATGGGTGGGACAAGTAGGCGTTAGATCTACCGTGAGCTCTGTAAGTTCTTCTTCTGTTCTTTGGAGCCTGGTTGACCTGGATGTGAGTGATCTTCAACTTAGCAACATCCAAACCCTTAGCCTCGGCGTTGGACTGAGCGTTTCTCAACAAGTCCTTAACGTAGTTGACGGACTTGGCAGGCCATCTGGCCTTCTGGACACCCCACTCCTTACCCTGAGCGGTTCTACCAATGGAGTGGTTGAATCTTCTGAAAGGAATGGCTCTTGTGTGGTCCAAGACATCATCCAAGTATTTCTGAGCCTTCTCCAAGTTCCATCCGTTGATGGCCTGGGCGGTCTCTCTGGTGTTCTTGAAAGAGACTCTCAAGTAAGCACCACGAGCAGTGGCCGACTTGGCTGGGTTGACTGGTGAAGCAGCGTAACGAACCATGGTAACTGATGGAGTTTGTGGTGGGAAAGAGTTTTTGGTTGGTGAAATTTTTTTCTTCGTTAGAGTGAGGGCCCAGGACTGCGTAGGAGTGCAGGTATGGCCGCGCTCGCACAGTTAAGCTGCTAGGTCTGAGCCCTAGATGCGCGCACGTGATGCGACGACTGGCCCACCAATATACCCCAAAGCCCAATTATTTAACTCTAGTCGGGGCATTTTCTGTTAAGGCGTTGTTCAGAACATACAATCTAGTTCAGTTAATGAGGTTTTTCCACATTTCGCTCGCAAACCGGAAATCGTCAGATACATAGGAAACTACACTACTAGAAGACCTACGAAGCCAAATGGGAAGACCAAAAGCACAGGCCAAGGAAACAAGTCGTAAGCAACAAAAGAGACAGAAAACACTTCCTACGCTTAGCTAGCTCCTGTAAGAACCCACAGTAAGGCACGATTTAGCATTGTTGCGTAATGCACGCAGACCATTGCTTGAGACTCGATAAGCCAAAGGAGGATCCGTGCAGACGGAAAAAAGACCATGGACGTCCATTTCCAGTAACCTGCCCAACAAGCCGGCGTCCCCAGAAACAACAATGTAGAATAAAAAAAACCCCTTCCAGGCCAAACTCCCTATCACCTCTATCCACTTTTCATGGCCTAATGGCTGCAAAGAAAAAAAGCCGCACTTTGTTGTGGAGCCTACCAGTCTACTCTCAGTGGCTAAAATATCCTTTAAGCATTGTGTTATCTCCCTGCAAACACTAAACTTTTCTTTTCAAAATCCCCATACCTTTCTTCCTCCCCATGTTTACAATCATCCCTGTTATCTTTTTCTTCTTCTCCCTCCCTTTTTGTCCCTCCCAGCATGGCGGCCCGTGGGGCGTTTTGCCTTTTTGTGGTTTTTCTTGCCCACGCACCGAGTCTCGTAATTGTCGTTTCTTTGCCTTATTTACATATTCGCAGCCGGCTTTCTTTCTTTACCCCATTCTCTTCCTTCTTCTTGCCATATGTCGCTTCTTCATGCATCCTCTGCTTAACTTATCAGATAAGGCTGGTTTTTAAAAATAAACGCTGTAGCAGTGTAACCGATTTTTGTTTCAACTTGATGGTCCTTCCCACTTTTCGGTGGGCTTTCTCTACTGCCACTTTGTAGCTGGCTCTCAAAAGGCCCTGACCCACTCTCCGCCCTCGCACGACCTCCCGTTTCCCAAGACTCAACTCCCACGAGCTACACCTTACAGAGCGCAAACAATTTTTTGCAACACGACCAATCGCTGTACCGGTTGAAATACACGATCCATCTCGACAAGTCACGTTTGCTGTTTTTGTGGGTGCCATTGCAACAAAAAAATCAAGTTGGATTGATTTCTTCCAAAACCTGATCCTTGTTTTCTTACGGCTCCCAGTACCGTTCTCGCCAACAGATAACCACTGGCGTACTTGTTTGTTTGGCCATACACGTTCCTTGAATAAACCCACCAGCGTCTTTCGAATTTTCACTAGCTGCCGTGGATTACTTTTTTGAATTAGCAGTTTCCCCCTTTTTTTTTATTGTTATCAAAACACCCTCATGTCTGACGCAGAACAAACACCGCTACTGCCTTCAAACAACAATCAGGACAAGGCTGCCAACGAAGAATTGTCCTTGACTGACAACTCAGACAACATTGACAACATTGACAATGCCCTCGGAGACTCAAACCAGGATGATAATTTGGACCCTTCTTTAGATCCCATGTTGGACCCTACTTTGGATGACAACTTGGACGACGGTTTGCAGAACATGACTTCAGAGCCAAATGAGTTCTTCGATATGGATATCGACAGCAAAGACGACCTGCCTGATGGTGATAAACAGCTACAAGAGCTACCCGAAAACACGTCTGAAAACGCGGACGATGCTGTGTTCGATACTGCCGATCTTGAAAACCCCGAGGACGAAAAGTCAGAAGATGTTGAGAATCTAGACAAAGCCAACGAGGATGCCAACATGGATGTTGATAGCCTGGTTAAAGACCTGGAGTCTGCCACGGCTGAGCAGGATGACACCGAGAAAGATGACGCAAAGGATGAAGAGAAGAGCGACGAAAAGGTCGAAGAAAAGGATGACGAGAAGGATGACGAGAAGGAAAAGCCTAAAGAAGATGTTCCGGAGAAGTCGTCTGTGTCACCTTCCGAAACTACACCTATTCCATCTACCGAAACTGACTCTGTTTCGAAGCCTGCCACTGCAACTGACTCGAACACCGAAGGTGACGAGAAGGTTACCGAAAGCCGAAAGAGCGCTCCACGTATAGAAGATGACGAGCCAGAGATCAAGAAAGAGCAGTCTGCTACCGTGGAGAAACATGAAAGTGACTCTGAGGTTGAGGAGGATGTCTTTGATCAAAAGTTGGGCGACTCTAGTGGTTTAGACACGGATGACAAGTCTCGTATTCGTCAGACCCATGCCATAATAATTCCATCATATGCGTCATGGTTCAACATGAAGAAGATTCATCAAATTGAGCGTGATTCATTGCCTGAATTTTTCAACACGTCACATCCATCGAAATCTCCCAAAATCTACGCCAATTACAGAAACTTCATGATTAACGTTTACCGGTTAAACCCCAACGAATACTTGACATTGACCTCCTGTCGCCGCAATTTGGTCGGTGATGTTGGCACAATAATGAGAGTCCATCGTTTCCTCACAAAATGGGGACTTATAAACTATCAGGTGAACCCTCAACTCAAACCTGCCTATGCTTTAGAAAAGTTACCGAACGGATCCCTGGTCGGATTACCATACACCGGCGACTTTCATGTACAATACGACACCCCTAGAGGTTTATTCCCCTTTGATACTTTCAAGGTGAACACTGAAAATGTGAACGCGGAGAAACTTAAAGCTCTTCTTGGGTCAGAAAAAGGTATTAATGGCTCTTCAGATCATGCAGAATCGCAAAACGATGATTTGGGCCTCGATATCGAACCATCTCAGAAGAAGCGCAAGATTGAAACTGCTGTTGACGACAATTGGTCTACTGAAGAACTTTCACTGCTCGTTCTTGGTATCAAAGAGCACAGAAATGACTGGTACAAGATCGCCAAAAAAGTCGGAAATGACAAAACTCCTCAGGAATGTATTCTCAAGTTCCTTGGTATGCCGTTGGAGGACAGGTTCAATGCCCTTGACTCCAAGGATGACAGCATTATAAAATACGCAGCAAACTTCCCAGTTTCATCCACTGATAATCCAGTTATTGGAAACCTTGTCTTCATGACGAATCTTGTTGATTCCGATGTGGTGAGAGCAGCTACTAAGCGTGCTTCGGATAAATTGGACGAAAAATTCTTTGAAAGAATTGAGAAAACGCAATCGGTCTCTGGAAAAGAAGGATCTGACGAAAAGAAAGAAAGCACTGAGTCCAATGGCTCGGCCAACCCCGAATCGATCGATCCTGCGCTCGAGGACGACTTAAAACAAGTATTCAACACTTCTGAATCAAGTGAAAACATCAAGGATGCTGCAGCTGGTGTCTTGGGCACTGTCGGTGGCCGCAGTCATTTGTTTGCCAATTACGAGGAGAGAGAAATGCAAAGGTTGACTTCAAGTATTCTTAATAACGAACTTACCAAACTTGATGTGAAGATGAATAAGGTCAATGAACTCGAAAAGATTTTCCAGAGAGAGAGATCCAACTTGTCTCGTCTCCAAAATGAGATTTTCTGCGATAGGCTTGCATTGACCAGATCAACGGTAAGCATTTCAAAGAAACTCAATGACGCTCTTGAACTTCTCAAATCCTCGAAAGAAGGAGAGGCCACTCCTGGTGATAAGGTGCAGAATATCGAAAGCATTATCAAGGAAGCTCAGTCATTGCTTTACAAGCCTACTGTGCTGGCATTCGACGACAAAGACTCTAAACAAGAGTCACAATCCAGATCTGAAGATACCGATGCCAAGACACAGAACTCCGAATCCACAGTCAAGCCCTTGTCCATAGAGACTCCTCAATCTTTCAAGGTATGGGTACCATAAAGTAACCATCACCTCAATTTCGATTTCAAAAGAATAATTAAAGGAAGATCCGAGCTTTAGAACATCAATTCCATTGCTCGCTTCAACTTAGTGTACTATTAGCTTTATATATACAATGAGCATACTTCATTTCGCACCCACATAACCATGCAGTAACTTTGCTACATAACCCAAACATCATCCTCTTTTCCCTATCCATCAAAGTGGTAAGTACTTTTGTATAATTTATTAACCCTCAAGGTATCCAATGGCGACGAAGAATGAACACGAGGAAACAACTGGCCTTTTGAGTGACTTGGAAGACTCGGAACAGCAAGACCTATCCACAAACCTCCCCCACTTGGACACGAAACATGAGTTTCTCGAAGAGAAGATCACAGATGCTAACTTGGATATTGATGACGAAGAAGTTCCTGCTACATCCGAAGAACTTACTCGACAAGCGGTGGTGCTGGCTGAACAAGCTATTCAAGACTTGCAAGATGAACAAGGTGCTGAGAATGAATGGAATGACAACGATAAGCCTGAAGACTCAATTGGTGATATAGCCGGCTCTCTTGATGATGTTTCTGATGCAGACCCTGACCTAAATGATAATGAACCCATTGTTCCAGAGAATGAAGAAGAGGGCTTTGCGCTGGATGAACCACAGAGTGACTTTGAAGAGGACTCTCAGGATCTACAGCACGTCTCTGGTGAGCAATATGACGACGAGCGGGATGCGGAAAGTTCTGGAGACGATATTGAGCTTCTTGGGTCTAGGCAGGTATCAGTAGTTGAGATTGATAGCGAGGACGAAATTGAAAATCTTGAAGAAAGCGAGACGTTTGGAACGGAGTCGAGGGTGGACGATTCTACCGCTGTGACTGACACTACTAATGGCATACAGTCTTTCAGTCTACCCACTATAGTAACAACTGGGAAGAAGGAGTACCTATTAGTGCCTCATCCTAGCTTCGACAAGAGTCTGTCTAACCTTCCGAGCCTATTTGCAGGCGAGGAGCTTTCGCTGACAATTCTACTTGGGGAATTCATGTCAAAACTTCTGGAAACGGAGGCTTATTGGGAATTGAATCCTGAGCTAAATGACGATTTCTTGAAGTTAACGTTCAATGATATCTTTACAGTCTCTTCAAGCGACCATCGAGCGGATCATTTGTCACTCACAGAAGTGGTTAGCAATGTCCAGCACTTCAAAAACAGACACAATGACGAGGATTCACCTGTTGTTATAAGGCTAAGCTATGATGAAAGTCCAGTCGCTGTATATGAACGCCTCCTACAGACTCTTGATGGCCAGTCAGATTCACCGCTTGTGGAACCAGAAAGTGATCAGATTGCTAAGAAGAGAAGATACTCTTCATAATCTCTTCAATTGTCTCTCAAAAGGCACAGTGGATTACTCGTGTTGGCTTTTTTTTTTTTTTTTTTTTTTTATTATTAAATTCTATAATCATTTATTCATGCAAAATTTATCATCTAGATATACCGGCTAGTCATACCCAACCGAATTCTGTATTTTTCAAACATTAATCGATAATGCCGCTTTCTCTCAAGCGAGAGTAAAGACTTGGATCGATGTACTTTTGCAAGTTGGGCTCCCCACTTAACCCCTTTCTTCTTCTGGTCTTCATAACGAAGTCCCGTGCCATTGATTCGTGTGGAACTGGTTTCAATGAAGGCAAAGGAACTGTCTTATCAAGAGGGTCGCCCGGTACTGCTTTCCATCGGTTGAATTCTACCAAGCACATGGCCTGACCCTGTGTCTGTAGCCTCATGTCAGTATCAAGGCCAACGGAATCGACAACTGGAACGAATCCCTCAAGTTCATATAGTTGTGTGGCAGGAATGGATGTTTCAGATACGATCCAGCCTCTCCTTTTGTCAAGGATAAGGTGAGCAGCCTGGATACTTCTAGCGTTACACATGATATTCACACGGTATACTGGCTCAAGCAAACGAGGTGCAGATGTGAGCAATCCCGTATGGACAGCGTTCCTTGTCATTGTAACTGTCTGAGCCCCATGGTTACGGATATCCGAACTTCCGAGGACGGCGTCAAGGATCTTGAACTTTGTGTTTCTAATGGGTTCGTCACATAATGGACCTTCCTCTATACCCAAACGAAAGCCTGTTGTGATGAAATCTTTGTACGATGCTAAAAGAGCCTTATCTGTCTCGCCTTCGATAGTGTCATCGAGAAGCATTGATGGCAGTTGCATATCTTGCGGCCCTAACACCCACAAAGATCTCGCAGCTAACGAGTCCCACCCATAGTCATTTCGAAGCACTTTGGCTAGGTTTCGCTGTGGCTGGGATAAGTCTATCACTCCATTCTCAAGTGACCTACTAAGACGTTTGTCAGCGACAGGTTCAGCGGTGATAGAAATGAAGGTCTTCTTAGATGGTCCATAGGTGGAAAGCTTTGTAGCGGATCTTTCCGAGCATGACTCGCCAAATTTTACCATTGGGTCACTGACTTTGATTGAAAGATACTCTCCTGAAGAGTTCCTGAGATCATGAAGGAAGCAGTCTAAGTAAAGCTCACCTGGAGCTAATATTACATGCTCACCGCTATCCTCGAGTTTAACTATTGCTGAGGAGTAGCATTGGCTCATGCTTCTTAAACCTTCGACGAGTCGTGGCAAATCTGATGGGTTCTCTGGTTCCACTGCGACTTTAAACACTGAGTGCTCGCCAAAGCTCGTTCTGTGGAAAGCTTTCACTAATTCTGGCAGAAGACCTGAGCTGAACAATGATGCAGATTTGGCAATTGATGAATCACTCGTGGTGATGTATGCAAACATTCCAGCTCCTACGCCATCTGTGCTTATTCTATACCTTCCAGCTGGTATCAGAACCTTCTTCACAGTGAGCTTTTGTACATCTTCAGCAAGATCGCTATTGAGCACCTTGAGGGTATCGCCAGCCTTGATAGAGCCCTTAAGCACTTTGACGAGTAAAGATTTAGTCTTATAGTCTGACGAAAATGAAAGCTTGATGGCCTCAGCGACGGTCTCTGTGGAGGGAACTTCCGAAATCATTGGGTATTTGGGATGTGCGCCTGAGGGAACCAGGACGGTGTTTGCAATCAGGCTCACAAGACCCTTGGAAGATCCGAAAATACTCCCAAGTACGAAGCGCACGAGTTCTTGTGGGTCCTTCTCTAGGTGTGACTTCTGAAGCTTTATACCAAAGTTTTCCCATAATAGTTTTGGAACTTGCTTGCTTTTACTATCAGTAGTGATAGCATGAGTTATGAGCTTGTAAAGTGGCTCCAAAATAAACAGCTCGAAGGATCTCTTCCCAAGTTTCTTGTCCTTTGTGAACTTTCGAGTATCCTGGTTGTAATAAATATCGCCCCAAAATAAAGCTTCAAACTTATCGTGGACTATGCTTCCATAAGCCAGAAGTTCAGTAGCATATAGGTTAATGAATGACTTGAGCGTGAATGAAAACAGGAAATTATTGGACGAGAACACGACATTATCCTCCAAAGGGCTTATGAGCTTCTTGTGGGTATACAACAGGGCAAACTCGTTGTGATGAATGCAAGCGTTTATGTCGTCAAGAATGAAGCGAATCTTCAAATAGAAGTCTGAGGTGGGTAAGCGTTGTTCTATGATCAAGCGATCGACCTTATTAAGAACGACGACTATAGGCAAGTTTCTCTTGACAATTGAAGTGATATAACGCTTATCGCGCCTTGTAAGGCCTTCAGTTACATCAAGAACCAAAAGAGCTCCATCAGCAGCGTCAAGCATTGCTTGAGTCTCGTCATCGAAATCTGGATGACCAGGGCAATCTAGTATATTGAGGACGTGTGATTTGTCTCGACTGTCCTGCAATAGAAGGGTCATTTGATGTGAGAAGATTGACATTCCCCTTCCACGTTCAAGGACATGTGTATCAAGGAAGCGTAATGGTTTGAAGTCTTGCGAGTCCCTCTTCGAAGTGGTTAAACTTGGATGGGTCTCTAAGACAAGAGTATCCACCAAACTTGTCTTACCCGTATGCAAATTGCCCACCACAGCAACATTACGGATTCTTTCAGGAAGCCGTTCCGCAAGCTGAAGCATGTACTCGCGTGAATAAGTCGTTGGCGGTAGGTCTTCTTCTGCTTCAGCCTTGAACTCCACATGTAACTTGGTCTCAGCTGCAGCTCTGATGACAGGCTGGTCCTCGGGAACTTGAGCCAGGTCTACCACAATTGTTTCAGCGCCTGCAAATCTCAGGGGTACACCAGTATGTATCAAAGCTTGTTGTGATGTATCTTCATGGATGCCCTCAACATCCTCATCTTCATCTCCATCTCCATCTTCATTCACAGGGACCTCTTCGAGCTCATCAGGTTCTCCAACTTCAGAACCAGAAACAGAGTCTGCGTCAGAGTCATTTGGATCACCTATGAAATTACCAAACTCATCGTATAAGTCGTCGTCATCCATGTTGGAGATTGATATGAGGTTGGTTGTGATGATATTCCTACATCAAGTGCGATGGACTGAAGGGCCGCATATGCACTTTCCACTAGTATTACAATATGTTTACTTAATTGATTTAATATTTGCTAATGTTACAATAGAGCTATTATCTTCTTTTTTTATCTTGTTTTTCTCAAAAATGCTCAGCTTTCTTCGCATTTACGAATGCGACTTATGACAAGGTCTGGTACTTTCTCAACTCAGTCAAGAGGGTCTTGAGTTGAACATCAGAAACTTTGTTGGCCAAACTAGGGATCAAAGACTTGGCTTCCTCGGCGTCCTCACATTCTAAGTTACCCAACTGTGCCAATTCAAATGGGTGTAGAGGCTCCGATGCTTGGCTATTGAAATCGTTCAAGAGCTTCTCAACCGTCTCGGTGGAGAAAGAGTTCTTGAATCTGGTAAAAGTGGAAAGATAGTTCAATGTCTTATGGGTGACTTCGTTCGAGTTTGGTCCTGCGAGCTCTATGTTTGCAATCTCATCCTCTCTTTCGTTTTCCTCGTCTTCTTCCTCATACTGTCTAGCCTCTTGTTTGCTTTTTCTCTCCTTTAATGCAGCTCTGATTAGAAGTCTAGCTTCAGATAAATTTAGAGCTATAAGCTGTTCTTGGTCTCCTGTATTGGTAATCTGTGTGAGCTGGAACTCTGGCCCTAGCTTCAACAAAGAGGCATTTTCTTCATCATCGATGTTCTGGGTCCGTGGCTTTCTCCTACGGACTCCAAGGGCACTTGTACTGACATTCATGTTGTGAATAAAAAGTTAGTATTGACTGATCCACCCTCGGCAAGTTCTTTCCAACGATTTGTGGAGGTCGCTGGTTAATGTGTTTCGTGAGACTTTTCACGTCTATATTGAGTTTTTCGTGCGCGCACGACATTAGTCTACCTATCTATCTACATTTTGCAACCATTTCAATATGCGCATTTTAAATGACGTTGGTTTCTGCATTGGCTAAATTGTCTATACCATAGCTGAAGGATTAGGTGAGTCAAGAGGAATGTTCTTTGGGGGTGCCGACGTGTCACTCACAAAAGGATGCTTCAACGCCTCTTGTGGGGTCAACCGCTCAAGCGGGTTGAAATTAAGCACCTTGCCCAAAAAATCGACAAGCAAGTGCCTATCATGCATTTCTTTGTCCACCATTGATTGAGTCATTTTTCTCGATGGCATTTTGTAGTTGACGATTATGTCTTTTAATAAGCGGTCATTGAAGTACTCCTTGTTCGGCTGTTCAGATTTGCGAACTTCATCTTTGCCCTTTGTCGTCCTCAAAAATTCAAGATAGTCTTCGTGAGATTTGAGACGATAGCTAGGCTTTCCGTTGGCCTCTGAGGATGGTAGCTTTTCAAAATAATTCATGGCATTGCGTCCGACCTCAATCATATGTCTTGGAGGGTTTCCCAACATATCAACTATTTTCCATATCTGGTTGTATTCAGAGGAACCAGGGAACATAGGTAAGCCAAGGAATAGTTCACCGACTATGCAGCCAAGTGACCACATGTCAATCGATTCAGTGTAAGGTAGGCCCAAGATTACCTCCGGCGACCTATAGAATCTCAGCTGAATGTACGAGTAGATCGTTTGCCTTGTAAAACATGCACTTCCAAAATCAATCACCTTAATATCTGGCTTATCAGGTTGGCACAAGAGAATATTCTCAGGCTTCATATCGCAATGTATTATTTGAAGATTCTTCAACTGAGCACATGCCTCGAGCAACTGCCGTGTAAATGACTTGACGAGCTTCATATTAAGTCCATTAAACTGGTTCTGTTTTATAAGCTCATATAAATTGGATGCTAAAATTTCGAATACCAAACAAAGATGCTCTTTGTGCATAAACGTATCGAGAAGGGAAATGAATGTAGTGCTTGAACTATTCTGGTTGAGAAACTCCAAGAGCTTGACTTCGGATAGCGATTGGTTGAGATAGGCCGGTTTCGATTTGATCACCTTCACCGCTACTACCGATTGGTTAGAAAGATTCTGACACTTCACCACTTGTCCAAATGTGCCGGATCCAAGAAGATCAAGAACAACGTACTTCCTGCCTTCTTCCGTACCTAACATATCATTGACGTAAAGGATATAATCGGAATCCACATTATCGTAACCGTTATTGAATTTCGGCTCCAGAGGCTTTGTGAGAACACGCTTAGGGTTGGAGGTTTTTGAGTAACGAAACTTCTGTGGCTGGCACATAGAATATGATTCGGTCAAGTAGACTGAAAGCGCATTCACTGGAGATATATGAATCGAATTGATCGATCTTCTTCTATATTTTGGCTGGTGATGGACCTTAGGCTTGAGGTCGCTCTTAGACCGCACCTTCATTATCTTCGGAGTAGACTTGACAGGAGGAGGAGCAGGAACACCCATAAATGGTGCAGTAGGTGGCACATTGACACCACTAAAGTACCGAGATTGTAATGGAGTTCGTTGATAAGAATTTGCTCCTGCCGCTACGGAAGAGCGGCGAGCCGAGTTGTATGGAATTGACGGAGCGAACTGGAGTGGATTCTGAGCGGTGTTCGGTGGATAAAGATGACTATTAGCTGCAGAAGCATTTGCTTGAAGATTCAACGCGTTACCGTAAGGATTGAACAACGGCCCGTCCACGGCGGCGGACATTCTTCTATCGGGCATGTGGTGAAGCAGAACCTCCTGATTGGTGTAATAATGGTTAAAGGGATTGTCTGCCCGCAGAGGAGGATAAAACACAGGCTGTTGTGAGTTTTGTTGCAGAGCAGCATTCTCGTACGTTGTTTGGAGCTGGTTAGCAAACGGCTGTTTCTTCTGTTGAAGCAACGAAAGCTGCGGCAGATGTTGAGGCAGATGGTTCATGCCAGTACCCATCTGTTGCTGTCCAAGCAGCGGAGCCATCTGCTGACCTGGCGAGTACCAAGGGTTTCTGAACCCCGGCGGCTGGTCGGAGTCAGGTGGAACCGGCGCCATGGATGCATTATGAGAGTTTGGAGTGGTGGATGTGGATGCGTTCATGCTTGCAGACTTCAACGTTTCAGCAGAGTTGTTCAGCCAGGACTCCGAAGCAGATTGTCTGGAGTGGGGGTAGTTGAAGGACATTTAAAGGAGGTGAAACTAGGCCTGGCACGCAACTACCAGGTGATTCAGGGTCTGGGGAAAGGGAGGTGAGGGGAAAGCAATGGGTGAAATTTGGATGTGGAAGATCAGGATGGACGAGTGAGACCGGTGGTTGGGTGCTATTCCCTTATATATGCTAAGGATCCCAGGTCGTGCAACAGGGAGTGTGCTGGAATGACTAGAACGAACTAGGAGGTAATATGGAGCGTAGTGCATAAGCCAGAGGTTGATAGTATGGTCTGGTGTTTCCCGAGTGGGCGACCTGTGCAGGAAGGGGACGGTGGTAATACTTAACCCACGCCTTTATCTGGGTGCGAATGGAGAGGCGTATTTGGGTGCAAAAGGCACTGTGGTGGCTTTCGGTGGCGAAAGAGGATTCTGATGTACTACAAGAAATTCAAGGGGTGTTTGAGTTTCTGTTTTGTTTGACTTTGTCATGTTTTTTTTTTTGGGGGGAATGTGGCCGGACGCGGTGGGCAGTTCGGGCTAACCCACTCTGCAACGGAAAAATGGCGCTTGTCAGAGATATACTAGATAAAACACAAGATATGCTTTTCGGTGTTTATGGAGCGGGTTAAGGATATTTGTTGGAGTTTTTCATACTCCTGATGTTCTCCTCATTCAGATCTCTCGGGAGTTTAAGCTGCTAAAAAATTGTAAGATCTACCTTCTCGAGGTGACGTCAGTATAGGGTGGAGGTGGCTTTCGTCTCCTTTTGTGTTCTAAGGTAATAAAGATGGATAAGGGTATTATCAAGACTTCTAATTATGGCTGTCTGAGTTATAGGAGACAGCGATAAGCGGTGACATAACCAGTACCATTTGGTCGGACCATTTTACCCTCCTCTAATGCCGCTGATTAGCTACTTCTGAGCACCGTACAGTTGGGTTCATGTTCAACTTCAAAGGAACCGGCAAATTGGTATGGATCAAGAGCAATAGGTCGAGTTTGCCTTTCTGTTTTCCTCTCCTCCCGGAACCTAAGTCAAGCAAGCCCCGTAACCCCTCCAGTATCTCTCCCTTGCCACCACTCTAACAAGCATGTCCTACCCATAGTAGCTCTCTTTATACTTTTATTTGTATATATACAAGATTCCAGCTTGCCTGGCCCATTCATTAAACTTGTCATTACTCTTCCTCAAGCAGCCATGGGCTCCTCGCCGTAAACAGGCGCCATATTTGGCTGAGCCATAGCTCTCTGCAACATCATACCAGCACCCTCGATAATACCCAAGAAACAGGCACAGGTGATGGCAGAGTTTCTGGTGGCCTTCCAGCCACCTCTGATGGCCAAAGCACCACCGGTAAAGAAACCAGCGATGATGGCGTTCCATGCATCTTCCTTCTTTCTGGCACCCTTGACAGCACAGTCAAAAGTCGAGAAAAGACCACCCCAAACACCGAAGTTACCACCAACAACAGGAGCTCTGGTCCTACTGGCAGTGAATGCACCGTATGCTCTTTCGCCGTATGGCGAGTTACGGAAACCCTTGATTCCGTGCCAGATCAAGCCACCGAATGCACCCATGGCGAAGGCACCTCCGAAATCGCTTACGATAACGATCGGGCATGGATCTCTCGTGTGATCAGCAGACATGGTTTTTGTAAGTCTATAACTAGTCTTCTGGTTTCGGGTTAGTGAATTTTCAGGACGTTTTTTTCGGTCTCAACTTTTCACTTCATGCAGGTGACACTGTGACTCCATACCATCAAACCGATGCAAATGGTTGCTAGAACAAGATGGAACTTTTAGAAAAATACATATATCAAATAAGACAAATAGTAATATCGCCAATTATGGAATTTTTCACCTTCTGACTATTAAGCAGCCTCATCAAGTTTCTATTGGGGAGTTTGAAGGTGACATGGATAGAAGCTTCTGTCATCTTAGAAGATGCAGTATTGAAGAAGCATCACGGAGCTTGACTTAACCAGAGGGAGCAAAACTACCGGAATACGAAAGCGAAGTAGGTGATAATCAAATCGTATCATTACCTTGCTTATTTCATTACTTCAGCGGTTGAATATACCTTATTGTGCTGTCTGTGGAGCCTTGAATATGCTTCTTGAACAGCACCAACGCCTAAACTGAAGACCACTAAGCTTTGACTACATTTATCCTTGTTCATAGACGAAGTAGTGTCGTAGAAAGCTTCTTTCGTTGATTTACAAAAGTTTAGTGAAATTGCTGTTTTTATAATTGTGTTCAAAATCTACAGTATTTGTGTATTTTCGAAATTCGCAGCCAAAATACAGATATATCGCTAAGATGCGTACGCAACGTAATGTTAAAATCTATGTATCTATTAGTGTTCGGTCCGAGAAATATCGAAAAGTAATTCTTTTGATCCTCCTCAACACCGTCTATAACGAAATCTTTGTTCGCTGTTTCTGAGCTCTTCAGGTCGGATTGTTTCATCATCCCTGAGTCTGCTGAATGTGATTCATATGAGGCCAGCTCATTTTTGCCTATATCTTCTTCCTCGATATCCTCAATAACGAAATTCTGCGAGCTTCCTGGTTTTCTCATCGATTCAAGCTCGAAATATTCTGTGTCAATCACAGGGCCAGTGAAAACCTTGCTTCCCCATGTCTTGTAGCCAATAGCTGCCAACGAAGCCAAACATACGAGAACAGCAAAGGCGTAGTTCATATTATACCACGATATGTCTTTAACAACTGGTGGCATGCAAAGAATGAAGAACAGTAGGAATACCCAGAATACAGAGATTCCGTTGACAATCCATCCGAATGCTCGTAGCCTGAACGCTGCACCCTTAATCTTTCTTCTTTTGTTCAACATTAAGCAAAGGATAGGGATTCCATTGGCTAATGCCAATGAAACAACTGAAGCACCCATGAACGCATTAAACGCAGATGGGGACACAAGTGCCAAAAGCGAAAAGACGCCGCATACACCCATCGACAAGAAAAGAGCATTCTTAGGCACGATCGTATCTTCCACTGAACCAACTTCTGTCCATATGGCCTTAAACGGTAAACCTCCATCTCTGGCAAATGCATATGTGGATCTAGAAGCGGTTGTGATGGAACCAATAGCCTGAAACAACACTGTTCCCACAAGAAGAAGAATCAACAAAAACGAAACAACATAGGACTGTGTAGCAGTCTTGAAGATCAAATCGATAGGCATGATTTCAGGCGTATCGTCAAGTAAAACGGTGAGCGCAGGCAAGATGACAAGAATAGGAACAATGAACATCAAACCTTGCAATACAGCCATGCAGATGGCACTAACAGCACCACGGGGCATATTACGCTCAGGGTTCTTCACCTCATCAGTCATGGAGAACAACATACCGTAACCAGTAAGCGTAAACGAAGAACTTTGAAGTCCAACCATGAATGCAATGGGGTCTGGCCATCCAGACCGGGAGTTATCGAAATTTGTAAGTGTATGGGAAGCCGAGTTTGTTCTTTTGGAGAAAATAAGAAGAAAGACGTCAATGAGGACGACAGTACCGATGGACCAGATGATGCACATCTTATTAATGTGGTCCAAGTAGCCAGAAAACTTGAAGTTGACAAAACCAACAAATGTAAGAATGATGAAGTAAACGCTGAGGACGTAGAGAGTATCCTCTTTATAGTACACATCCTTAAGACCAAAAATGGAAAGGATAAACTGGGAACCTGAAAACATGATGCTGACAGCATATGTCCAGTTGCCAATAAGAAGAAACCAACCAGTGAACCATGAGCTGACAGAAGAGTACTTCTCATTACTCAAAATGGCACTGAAATGGTAAACACCACCCGAAGTAGGATACTTGGAAATGATCTCACTAAGACTCAAGACAACACATATACTGAAGAAACCCACAACGAGCCACCCATAGAGCATGGTGACGTTACCACCATCCACCAACAGGATCCACAACGTGGATGATAAGCCAAAAGGCACACCAACCAAAGTAAACCCAAGGCCTATGATGGAAAGCACCGTAAGCTTTCTTTCAAGCTGCTGCTTATATGTGAAGTGCTCCACATGCTCTTCCTCATTATAGTCATCGTGGAGTAAGTGGCTGACAAAATTGGCTGGGGCCGAGTCACGGATGAGATTAAACCCACTTTCATAGTATGACGGTGGCTGGGGAAGGTTCACGTCGGTCGACATGGCAAAAGGGAAGGTACGAGACCAACTAAGGAAGAAGTAGTGAGGAAAAAGCTTCTAACTACTTGTGTGAAATTTGACTGCCAAGTTACCGAGAGAAGAGCTTGCTTGAGCAGAAATGCGATTAATCGGTTAAGCGCAGTAGTCCCACAAAAGTGTCTTAGTGTACGGCGGTTAAAATATGCACTTCGAAATGACCTGGCCTTTATTACTGGTCAATGGGAGTTTGTGGAAATGTTAAAGCTTACTGTGTTACATGGTCGCTTCTCCCAAACGATATCCTGCTTGTAACTCAGCCTATCAGTATGGCTGCGTTTGAAGACATAGGCGAAACGGTTATTTTTCGCAGGCGAGTTCGGGATATGGCTATTTACGCAGGGCCCATTGGACCATATACTATGCAACTTGATGAGCTGAAGGCAGATTTTTCAGATAAAAAAAAAAAAAAAAGACAAAAAATTTCCAAGTATGCTGTCGTTTATTCAAAGTCAAAGTCGCTGCCTGAATCGTCCTCTTCATCGGCCTCTTCCTTCTTCTTGAGAACTGGCATCGCTATACTATCACTGGTACGTATAAGAACGCTATGCAAATTGCTAACTCTGCCTAGAAGACCGCCTACCGGCTTATACTTCTCGTCCACTAGGTACAGTATGACGTCATTGATGTTGGTTAGGATCTCCAGTGTTTTCCAGTCCGTATACCCAACCACAATGTGAATGCAATATCCTCCAGCTGGAGGAATATAGGAAGTGTTCCCTGTAATGGCCTTAACTTGGCTTCTAACGTACTTGGGGTCAACACGAAGCTCTCTCTTTCCGTGTGTTCTGATCCCTGGCTCAGGCTTGGCCATCTGTACAATGTATGGTACCTTCTTGTTTCTGGCGTAGAACTGAGGCCCTAGCACGTCAGGCAATTTTTTATGAATACGAGCATCTGCCAAAACAATGTCGTTTTCTTTGTAAAGCCTAACAAGTGCTTTTTTGCTATGACCAAACAGTTTAGCCTTGGTGAAGGAAATCACCTGGCGGAAGAGGTCTTCCGTGGGCAGATCCTTCTTCTGTAGTTCATCTTTATAAAAATTAACCGGATCGTTGGTTATAAGAACAATGCTTCTTTCGTCTATTTTATGCAATTTATGAGTCAAAGGAATGATTCTTGGAGTATGGTCGTTTTCCTTGACGAGATGGATCTTGGTATTGAGCACAAGGTAAAGAGCCTCATGATGGTTCTCTTCAGAAGACTTGGCGTGGGCAGCCAAACCCTTAATAGACTTCTTTGCTTCTTCTCTGGCTTTTTCACCTAGAAGAAACATCGCCTTGTTGGTGTTGAATGGTGAAATCTGGGGTGGTTGGTTCGGAGATTTTTTGCACCTAAACTCATCACGGCTGTAGACCTGTAGATAGCCTTTATCAGCCTCCACACATTCTCGAAACGGTTACAACATACTACTATTACTTTTCCCGATAAACCTTAGAAGTCGTCTAAATTGGTTGCTTTTTTTCCTTAGACAATGCATGTCAACGTCCCAGCATTACTCGTTTCATATCTTGGTTCAGGCCTTGACAGAATCCATACCCATGTCCAGAATGTCATAAGCCCCTCACTTATCAGCCATGACCAACCTTCTCCAGTAGAAGCAGCATGGGGGCCCCCTTCTGACTTCACCAAACCTGAAGCAATTGTCCTTTGGCACGGATTAGGTGATAATTACAATTCTCTGGGCATGCTTCGCGTCAAGGAGATCATCCAACAACTCATGCCTGAAACCTACGTTCATTCTGTCGCTATTGATCTTGATCCCTCTATCGATGAGAGACGGTCTATGATGGGAGATGCTAACGTTGAGGTTGATTTGGTGTGCCAGGAATTGAGTAACGTTCCAGAATTGCAACGTGGGTTCGGAGCCATTGGCTTCTCCCAAGGTGGTCTTTTCTTAAGGGCATTGATTGAAAGATGCCCGAACGTATCGGTACTGACCCTTGTAACATTTGGATCTCCACATATGGGCGTTCTGGAACTCCCTATGTGCGCAGATAAGAATGACTGGCTTTGCAAGAAGAGGAATGAAATCCTTAAGAAACAGGTTTGGTACGGTACCATTCAACATTCGATCATTCCCGCCCAATATTTTAGAGCTACTTCAGATTATGATCGGTATTTGAAGCACCTGAATTTCCTTGCCGATATCAATAACGAACGCAGCCAATCTTTTGATATTGAAGCCAAAGAGAGGTTCTCGAAACTTAAGAAGCTAGTCTTGATAAAGTTTACGGAGGATACTACCTTGGTACCAAAAGAGAGTGCTTTCTTCCAAGAAGTGGATCCTTTGGGTGGCTATATTGTCGATATGCGCCAGACCAGGATCTACAAAGAGGACTTGATAGGGTTGAAGGAGCTCCACAAGCAGAACAGGATCGATTTTCTTACAGTAGAGGAGAACCATATGAGATTCCTGGATTCTTTTCTAGTCGATATCATTAGCAAGTACTTCATGAATGGGTTATAGAGCTGGTCTCTATCTTAACTATATGGTGTACGGGTGTATATTTGTAACAAATGAGCTCAGTTAGTATAGATTTTTGCAATCATGTCTGATCGAGTGGCTAGATTAGCCGAATTAAGAAGGCAAAGAGATGGTGAAGTAAAGATCGAGGTAGAACATGATCAACTGAACCAAGAAAAAGCTGAATCAGCCGAACCATCCCCCGTGTGACAGATCTAACGCATACTAGTCTACGAAAAGAAAGCACCAAGAGTGAAGAACATGAAGTACAACGTTCTCCAGAGGTAAAGGAGAACCAGGGAGCTTCCGAAGATGTCATAATGGATGAACCGAGTCAGTACAATAGTGACTTGAAGCAGGATATTGCTTCTTACTTGGCCAAAGCAGAGAGGAATACCGAGACGGCTATTAACAGACTCGCGTTAAGGAAGTATCAAGAGGCACAACGCACCAAGTCGTAATGATTATGTGAATAACTATGCTTCATGTTATCGGCCTTTCTTAAACGGAGGCTTCCTTTGGTACAGGGCTCTATATCGAGGCCGAGGAGAAGCGCTCCAGGGTTCTGAGTCAGACAGGGTACGTTTGACCAACTGCGTTTTTCATAATGTCAGAATTCCAGTTGTACCGTAACTTTATCTCAAGAGGTAGAAAGGCAGATATAATACTGTCATTGGGTACTGGTATTCCAAGGATTTCTAGGCTATGTATACCATTAATGGTTGCAAAATGTCATTGCTAGTAACGTCAAATTTTATGAACATTGGAGTTACAATCACAAAAATGTCATCACCAACCACATCAACTGCTAAATATACATAAAAAGCATCAATTACTTGAATTTCTCTTCCTTCTACGCTTCCTCTCCCCTACAACCCGCTAAGACTAAGGGAACGGTTGTGCGCGCAGCCTTCCCTTTCAGGCAGTCGAGGGCCTCCAATGAAATTGCAGAATTCGCATACCGAGTGTAGTGCGAAGTTGGAACCGACTTTGGTCGAAAAAAAACTAATAAAAAGAGAACTACAAGGTACCATCTTTCCCGATAATGGCTATGATCAACAGAATTGTCACCAGAGCTGCTCGCCCAGCCTTCATGGCTGCCCGCAACCCGTATGTTTTTCCCATGAAGACGTGAATTTCCTTGACCCGATGGATTTATGTGTCCAGTTTTCCAACGAACAAAGCAACACGGAATGAGAACAAGTTATGAAGAATTCCCCCATGATTCTCCCAGCAAAAAATGGTTTCCAATACTAGAATAAGGTCAATTGGCATGTAATTGCCGTTAAGACAGACCAGCTTGCTCCCCTACTCCCGCAAAGTCCCGAGAACGTGAATGTGAACCCGAACCCGAATCCGACCATATGAATCCACATGTACCATGAACCATCGAGTAATTTCTTCCTTCTTATACTAACAAACAGAATTGGTGTGCGTTGTTTGTCCACCCCAGTGGAGCCAAAGGAGAAGGCCAACTCCATTATTGACGCCTTGCCAGGTAACAACCTCATTTCTAAGACTGGTATCTTAGCTACTTCCGCTGCCGCTGCCATCTACGGTATTTCCAACGAGTTGATTATTTTGCATGACGAGACCATCTTGGTTGTCACCTTCTCTTCTTTTGTCGCTCTTTGCGCCAAGTTCGTTGCTCCATTGTACACTGAGTGGGCCGACGGTGAGATCAACAAGGTCAACACCCTCTTGAACGAGTCCAAGAACAAGCACGTCACTGCTGTTAAGGACAGAATTGAGTCTGTGTCTCAGTTGAAGGACGTTGTCAACACCACCAAGCAATTGTTCAACATTTCTAGAGAGACTGCCAAGTTGGAAGCCGAGAGCTTCGAGTTGAAGCAGAAGCTCGCCGTTGCCAACGAGGCCAAGGCTACCTTGGACTCTTGGGTCAGATTCGAGCAGCAGCAGAGACAATTGGAGCAGGAGCAGTTGCTCAAGTCTGTTTTGGACAAGGTCAACAAGGAAGTTGAGAACCCTAAGTTCCAGGACAAGGTTTTGGCCGAGGCTGTTTCCGAGGTTGAGAAGGTCTTTGCTAAGGCCTAAGCTATTGAACTAAGTTTACGTAGAACGACTTAAAACGACTAAAGGTATATTCGATTCATTTGTAGATTCTAAAGACTATGTAGCACTTTCTCAGCAGGTTTCCAGACGTGAAGAGAGTTATCATCTGCAACACTGGCCACCATCCAATCTTCATGGAGGGACCAGTCGAAGTCGTTGACTCCAAGCATGTGTCCTTCGTGACTAAACAAAAGGCCATTATTGTTCTCGGAGCGCCCAAGATCATGAAGTTTGACCAGTCTGTCAGTGGAAGAGCTTCCCAAAACGCTGGCAAATTTAGGATGCCACCTCACCTGCGTTACAGCATCGGAATGAGGGTTCAATTTAAGTAAGCTTCCCACATCTGTGTTTAAGGCACGAATGTCGTAGATATTAACTGAACCATCGCTGTGTCCAGATGCTAGAGTGATACCGTTTGTGCTGACAGATATAGAGTTGCAGGCGGCACCGGAATTATACGTAGCAACAGCATTCGAGCTTTCGCTTCTTGTATCAAAGAGTCCTAGTTTTCCAGAGTCGCCTGCTGCAAGGAAGAGGGAATTATGATTAGGAAGCCATTCAATGTCATTAATAGCATCTCCAGTTTCATAATACCGCGTAACATCAATAGCAGTGACGTCTTTATTCGTGAAGCCCGACTTGATGTCGTGTAGATTAATTGTTCCATCCATGCAACCAGAAGTAATCACACCTTCAGTCTGCTTGTTCCAGTCAAACGCAAATATGTCCCCACCAAAAGGCTTGGCCTTGTTGACTAAACGTAGTTGAGGTTCGTTAATTTCATTCTCATTACCAAGTATCTTTATATTTGAGTGTTTTGTTCTGTTGTAGACGATCAAATCACCCATATTGTTGGAACTCGCAATCACGTCTGGGTTTTGAGACATGTATCGAAGCTTATTGACATCACCCCAGTGATTGATCGATTGGATATTTCTAAGCTTGTTTTTCGAAACCGCTGGAAGCTCAAACTCCTGTTTGTCTGCATTATAATTGAGCAGATCCACGGTAATGCATTGGTTCAAATCTCTGTAGTACGGTAGTTGCCAGATCGACACACTATCTGTACCTTGGCCCAACGTAAACGTTCCTAGAAGAAGTCTCTGAGAGACAAGCTGTGATTGAGGGTCTTTGACGTTCTCGACTTGGGAACTCTCCAAATCTGGGAAGAATTGGACAGTCAATGAAGGCCATAGTAACGAGTGGGTCGAGACGTAGTCGTACATGAACGGACAGTTTTTCTTCCAAACTCTATAGCGTTGTTGAGTAGCCTTATCGATAGCATCTTGTTCTTCGACATCAGGTCCGTTTTCGTCTTCTGCGTGCATTCTGGCTGTAGTGTCTTTCAGATGGAAATGTTGTAGAAGTTTGAGTCGCGTTACGCGGTATATACATATTGGAACTGGAGTAGATGTCTGAGGAAGTGAAACAGGAATAATAACATAAAAAGAGGAAGCAGATTTCGTATCATTAATTGGCTGCTATTTTGAGTCTATATTACAATATTTTATTAATTGGAAGCCCCAAGGATCAGTTGGTATCCTTGATGGCCTGGATGCTGGCAAGTGAATCGGAGCGTTTCGCTTCTGTGCTAAAGTCGTTAACAACCAGAGTGAAATTCTGATTGAATCTGGATGCAGTGGTGTCTAAGAAGTTGGTGAGTTCGCCCATCACGTTCTGTAGGTGCTCATCAGTGATGATCTCTTTCTGATCTTCCTCGAGTACCGTTCTTTTCTTTTCTTTCCCGCTCAAGTCACTAAGCACCTGGTTAAGCTTAATAAGCTCATAGTAGTTATCGTAAATGATGGACTTCTTTTCCGAGTCGTGGAAATTGAGTTTTCCACTGGCCAGATTGCGTATCTTAAGAAGCTCTGAAGCCGACGCCGTCTTGATGAACTCTTCAATCTTTTTCGGATCATTGAGCTCCTCGACCAGCGAGGCATGATCTTCCGATACAGCTTGTTCCTTGGCTTCTTCGTTTTCCTTTTCCTCCTTTGGTTCAGCCAGACTTAGTTCTTGCTCACTCTCGTTGCCCTTTGGTGTTTCCAGATGGAGCTTATAGAAATCTTGTAAAGCCTTTCTCCTTGAAGACACCTTTCTAGAAGCTCCAAGCGTGGGAGTACTTGGGGCAGATGGTGAAGACCCAGGAACCGGGCTGGATAACGACTGGGTACTTATACGAGGCAGTCTGGAGCCTACATTGGCATCCTGATTGGACTGTTTTCCGTCTTGCTTCTGAGAGCGCTTTTTATAAGAAAGCACAGGCGTAGATGCACCCAGGGACATTGAATTGGGAAGAGCAAGATGTAGATGGAGACTGGGACTTCTCAAGAGTGGGAGTGGCCTATTTGTTGATTTCGCACGTGAGGGAATTTCGACTACTTCCTCCTATTCCAAATCATTGAATCAGAGGGCCATGGCAGAGGAAATAAGGCTTAATGATTCCAAACTTGGAACGAAACAATAGTATGTTACTTGGTTTGATTTTATTTGTACGGGCGTTGCTAACATTAGCTGGAATGAGTTCTACCAGAAGGAGATTGAAAATTTCGATGAGAACGATCAAGATACTGGAGAGAACTGGTTTGATGATTCGGATGCTGAAAGAAGAGTCATTGATTTCTTTATTGGGTTAGTGGAAGAAGGTCAGTTTGGTTCTTCTGATCTGTTGAGCGTTTTGGACTTGGGTACCGGTAATGGCCATTTCTTATTTGAGCTCAACCAGGAGATTGAGGAACAGGACGTTGCTATAAATTTATTTAATAACGGCATAGACTATTCACCAGAGTCAGTTGATTTTGCTAAGAAAATTGCACAGAAGAAGTTTCCTGACCAGTCATATACATTTGAGGAGGTTGACTTCATCAGTAAAGAGTGCAAGTACTTGGAGGAAAACCAAGGTAAGTTCAATGTGGTGTTTGATAAAGGTACACTAGATGCCATTGCACTTAACAATGATCCTATTGATGGGTTCGATGGGAAGATCGGCGTGGGCGTATATCCTATTCAAGTCAGCAAATTGATGAGCCCAGGCTCTCTTCTTATCATTACATCATGCAACTTCACAGAAGAAGAGTTGACAAAATTGATTACTCAGGATGAAAATAATAAGTTGAAGGTGTTCCAGAAGGTTGAATACCCTTCCTTCCAATTTGGTGGTCAGAAGGGATCTACCATTTGTACGATAGCATTTGAAAAGGTATAGAGAAAATAGCATGTATTATACAAGAAAGTCATATCCTCGGCATAAACTGCTGTCTAAGTCTGTTAATCCTTCGCAATGTGTTTTTGAAGCTCAGTCACCTTGCTCACCAATCCCTCTCTAATGGTCTCGTTTCCAAACTTTATGAGGTATTGCACAACCCTACCGTCAGTCACAGAATTGAGTCTGAGGAATTTACCTGGCGACAAGCTTGCTTCTAGGCCTTTGAGTAGCTCAGTCTCTGGAGTAATCTTGTAGTTCAAAACGACACGCAAAAGCCCCTGCGATCTCATCACGATACGAACCTCCTTAGGGTCCAGTAGAGATCTATTCAAATGTAGAGGACCCACACCACGCTCTTTCCAGCCTTCTTTGATATTAGAAAGGTCCAATTCAAACACCTTAACCGTAGCAGAGAACACAGACTCTTCATTTTCTTCACCCGTAGTGACCTTCTTTTCCTCAAGATCAACTTGCTTGTATTGTTGAGACAGCTTTGGCTTGGAATCGTCCACGCTATCCTCACTGGCTTCCTTTGGTTCAGGGCTATCGAGGAAAGATGGCTTCAGCAATGTCTGCTGGAAAGCGTTGCCGAACTTGGATTTCGATCCAAACAGCAGGCCAGTGGAACCAAAGGGAGTTGCCGTTGAATCATTCGAACTGGAGGCAAATATATCGGGCTTCTCGGCGGATTTCTTGAATGCGTTACCAAAAGAACTCTTTGAACCGAAAACCGGCGTAGAGTCCTTTGGCGTAGCCTCACCCTCTGTCAGGGTCACTTTTTCAGATTCCTTAGGTGCTGGAGAATCCGTCTTCTTTTCGTCCTTATCGGCATCCTCCTTGTCATTCCCATTATCTTCGTTCTTCTCCTCATCATTTTCCTTGTCTTCTTCAGGTTTTTCCTTCTCAGCTTCTTCCTTCTGGTCCGTGGACTTTATCGACTCGTTGCTATCGGCCTTGGTTTCAGCAGAAGCATTGGCATTGCTTTTCTCCTCATTTACTGGGGTTTCGGCATCAACATCTGTTTTAGTTTTCTTGACTTCAGCTTCTGGCTCAGTGTCCAATTTCCTCTTGAGCGTTTCTTCGGTCATAGTACACTGTTCTTTGTTTCAATTTGAGGCTCTCATCAATTGAGGTATGGCGCACCAAAGTGCACTCCACGGATAATCCAGTAGGGCTTCTACAGCCACTCAGAGAGGCTTCTGATGAAAAAAAGATAGTCAATCACCGAAGAACCACCTAAATAAAGCTCTTAATAAAAAAATTAAAAAATTCCTACTGTTAGGCCTTGTAGTTGGTAGACTCTGTTGATTCCAAGTAGAACCCGTTTTGTCCTGTTCCTAAGCGCGTTTATACTAACAAACCACTTCTACTCCAACAGCTAGCGATAGACAACTATGTCAACTCTGAAAGTATGTAAAAGCGGACCATAAAATAAGACTGGTGTTTACAGTATGAGCACATACTAACTTTTAGGAAATCGAGGATCTTCGGAAACTAAGAGCAGTGCTAGCTGCAGTGAAACAGACAGTCGAGGACGTTCGTAAGGATATTGAGGTCGCCAGAGATAACAAGAAAGCTACCGACGAGGAGCTTATTAAGCTTGAAGCTGTGCTTAAGAAGGTCTGATTGAGAGGTGACATGGCGTTTTCTGGGGCTCTCGATTTGCATTCTGATTGAAGCAGTGAGCCCAACAACGAAGGTTGAAGGGGAATTTTGATCTCAAGGTGAATAGAGGAGTTGATGTGTCCGTTTACGACTTTCTCTTGAAGAATTTTCCCGTGAAAAATGGGGATTATTGCAACATTTGGCCCTCTGGTATTGGTATCTACTGCATGTAACCACCCACATCACCAAAACAGGCCTCTTCCTCCCTTCGCTCTGTGAGTTGCCATTACTTATCTTTCATAAAAGTACCCTTCATATTTCCTTCATGCTGGTCTACTATGACGATGAAAGGGTATGGGCCAACATAGATGTGGCTCTAAAAGACCAACTAATACTCAAGGTGATCTCATCTTTGGAATGTCTGATCTGTTCCGAGGTGATGCACGTCCCTTTCCTTGCATCTTGCGGACATTCGTTCTGCTACAACTGTCTTAATGCATGGTTTGCCAATAAAGTGAACTGTCCGACTTGTAGGACAGAGCTAGAGCAACCACCGGTTCTTAATATACGGCTCAAGGATATCAGCAAGAACATCACTGATATCATCATCGAGACCATGGAGGACACACATCATAAGGAACAACTAGAATCAGCACGCCAATCTATACTAGATGATTATGAAGAAGCAAAGAACAAGAAGTCATTGTTTGACGACGCTTTCGATAGCGCGTTGACGCTTGTGGATAATTCCGATGGTGTTCCCAGATGCGGCAACTGCCATTGGGAAGCTCACGGTTCTACGTGTCTACATTGTGGAGCTCGCTTCAGGGTCCCTAGACAAGATCTGTATTTCGATTCGGAAGATGGTGACGCCTATAATGAAGATAGAGAAGAGATAGAGCTCTATGGCGAAGACCGCGACGCATACGACTCTGAAGACAGTTTTGTTGATTCCAGAGGGATGAATGACATCAATAGAGAGAGGTATACCGAGCCTGGTGACGAACTTCTATCTTCGGGAGATGATGTCCACTTTGATAGTGATGCTGGTAACCTGTGGGGAGGATTTGGCGAGGACCACTACGACCTTGACGCGGATGAATTAGACAGCGACGCGGAAGATATGGAACTGGCTGTAAGACGTCTACATGACCAAGATTTAGACGACTATGGTCAAAACGAAAATTCCCTGTGGTCGATTCAGGAAATCTCCTCTGGCAGTGAACTCGACAGTGAACCTGAGCCAGCGTCACAGCGTGGCAGAAGAAACCGTACTGTGATTGTCGATCTGGACCTGGAATAAGACAAAGCGGCGGAGAGGAAAAGAAAAGAAACGAAAAGCACAGCATAATCCACATAGCACAAGGTCTTAGCAATGGCTGCGAAATCTTTATGCGCGACCTGCTACCATGCTTCACATATGGTGTGAGATTGCAAGCGTTAACTGTATGGAGGGTCGTGCGCGGTGACCAAACATTACCTATACTTCCATTGGTTCAAAAAGTGCGCTGATGTTTTCAGACAGATTAAAAGCTCCAACTGCTACAAGACATCTATTCAACCATGGACCCACAGAGAATTATCAGATTGCAAAAGTTGTACCAAAACTCCAACCAGAAGTTGTGGTTGAGAGGCCCACGTTCTAAGGCTATGGTTTACCCATTCTACGCCTTGTTCACCGTTTCCACGGCTGTTCCATTGTACTACACCGGCAGAGCCCTCTTTGGTATCAAGGCCGAGTAAAGACTTTCGGGTTTAAATAGAGAATGAATGCATCGACGTGACTCCCTTGTAGAGCTTGGGTGGAAGAGTTTGGGGAAGATTAAAGGATGAATGTCAACGGATACACGATCTGGCTTACACGAATGTTTCAAGAAGCGCTAGACATCGCCAAAAGCGCCAGTCTTATTATCATGACCGTGAACTTTAGGATACTGGTATTCAGAAAGCTTCGAGAATACTTGTTATCGGCGGCGTGGTGCTTTAGACACGATGAAAGGTGCCCACTGAAAATTGTCATTAGTTCCTGTCACAGCTTGGCCTTAGCCTAGGACGAGACGAGCGTCTGAGAATTGTCAGACACAAAGCTTGTTTATTACCAGAAAGGCCTGACTTCTGCGGCAGTACCGAATTTTTCGAAATGACCAGAACGCTAAAGATTTCTTGATTCCTATGGAACGGGAAGAACATTTGGCTGAACTTGTGAATATCTTCGCTGAGCAATTGAAAGTTACGATTGTCGTCATCAGTGTATGATAAGAATTGTCACCGTCCTCGTCTTTGCTTCATTGCCAATGTCCCTAAGGTAACCTCTTTCCTTCAACTCCAGCTCAACTATTTACTCTATAACCTGTTCTTGAGCACCATTTCTCAATCACACGGATGGGGCCAATTTCCCTTGTCTTAGTAGCCATTTTTATTAGAAGCACTCAAGAGAGATGCTGTCTACACTTCTTCTGGAGCAACAGGAAGTCTAATACCCAAGCAAAACTTGCAATTTCACGCCAAACAACTTCTACCTGCCTTCATGAAAACCACTGAAAAAAAAGGTGGTCAGATCACCTCCCATTCCCTTCACTCTGGCGTACATGGCCAAACTCTGTTCTTATGTATGGCGATGTGAAATGGGTGCAAAATTCATGCGCTTCTGAAATTACCCATGTTGGATACGAAACGTTGGGCTGTCATGCGTCCCGTCTCCACACAAACGTCAAAGTGACACAATTCACCGTTATTCTAAACCTAATCAGAACAAAATCACCATATCTACAAACCACCTTCTTCTATACTCTTTACAGCTACCACGTTGTGACAATGGCCCAAAGAGGCCCAGCCCACCCAACTTCTTTCATTGTGCAGTCTTATCAGAAGAATCTCTCTCCACCCATTCGTACTTCCACCAGCATAACCCTAACTTCATTATAAGATGAGTGTTTCCCTGTTGCTTGACTTTCCAGAAGATGCATTAAGCAACCTCTTATACTTTCTACCGCAAGATCTGCTTTTGAACTTGGCCTTGACAAACTTCCACTTCTACGAGCCATGCCTCAAGAGGCTCTACCAGAGATTGGTGATCCAAACAGATCCAGCTTTGAGGTCAAATAGCCTTGCTCCTTCGGATTATAGGAGAGACGACTTTTTGGAATCTTCTGCCCTGGTGGTTGCTGGATTCAGCAATATCGAGAGGCCTAAGCTGGCCCACTGGAAGATGGTGGAGGCTAGGGTACGGACGCTTTCGAGCTCGATCCAAGTGAACCCTCAGTTGGCCCAGTACATTGAGCTGATAGAGGTGGAGGGAACGTTTAATAGAGATGTGGAAAATGCTATTCATGAGCTTCTTTTGATTTTAAGCACCGTTCCTGTTGATATAAAAAAGATCTATATATCTGATCAGGCTCTTAGAAAGAGACTAGATTTTGTTAACTTATCAAAGAAGTTTCCTTCTTTAACGACTATCTGTGTGGATAGCCTTGAGGAATTTCCTGCGCTCGAGACGTTTCCTAACCTCAACGAAATCGTTATTGCTGATGTTTTGGGTGACCTGACAATGGATGCAAATCATATCCAAGTACTCACAAACATAGAACATCTTTTGGTTCGTTCCACTGCAGAGGTATCAGATACGTTCTTTAAGTCCCTTTGGCTGCTTTATAAGCAACAGCCGTTCATGTTGAGCAAACTCAAGACATTTACTGCGTACCATTCATACGAAAACCAGCATAAGTACCCATATATCGATTTTCTGGGGCTTGAAAACTTCCAGATTTCGCTTGGATGCAATGATGTTGGTGAATGTGACCTGGACTGCTTGGAGAACTGTCTTACCCAATTCCATTTCACTCAACTCAAACGTTTAGCGGTGATACAGAACAGTGACCCAATCCACAATAACCATCGCTACAGTGAAATCTGGGATTTGGCAGTCTTCAACTTTGTCAAGCAGGTTGTTGAAAATTCAGATACATTGATTTATCTTTCTATTAGACACAATGTCCCTGCCGATGGTGTGATTGACGATGGATTTGAGGGTAACTATTTGAGAAAGGTTAAGCTCTATACAAATCTTCTTCCAAATCTTCTCGCAACACTTCAAAAACATGTGGTGAATCTCATGCTTCCAAACTTGGTGGCATGTCTTTCATGTTACGAACAGCCCATGAACACTTTTATGTGGAACGGTTGCAAATGCCCCCACTGCGACAAGTATTTGACAAAGCTTGACGATTACTTGCTTCATCATAGATACTATAGCTTTGAAAAGCAAGTGTTTAAGGATGTGTTAACAGTGCAATTGATGAGAACCATGAGTGAAGTGTTAGCGGACCGTGTGGTTTATGATCTCAACTATGGAGATTTATTCCAACTCAGAAGGCCATTGAGGAATTTGAACTGGAACTTCCACGATAGTAAATTTTCCATTCCGTTCAGGTGCTTGCCTGTCAAGACGTACGAGATTGCAGACTTCGAGGACGAGAAGGCAGAATTGAAGGAGTCTCATGAGCGCTTCTTTGACGCAGAGGAGCACGAGAACGATTGTCAATTTCTCAGAAAGGAATCCTTTGTTCCAGACTACTCTGTTGTGGTGTCCCATTTTCTTAATGACTTGATCAGAAAGATGATTAACTTGAATCGTGGAGACGCTGAGGATGTTCTTATAGGACAAGAAGGAGACGAGAACGACGGTTTCACGAACTTGAGGATCAACAAAATGCTTATCAATGGCATCAACTTCAACTTCGATCATGAAATTAACGGTACCATTTTTTTCAAGAACGTCTACGATGAGCTTGACGATTTTGATGAAGAAATCAACTACGAGATTTAGTATGGTGAAACACATGGTGCGAACATAAAAAAGATACTAATGATAAACCCCATTCCGCTCTCCGAGGTATGTACGAAAGACATAGATAAACGAAAAAAATATAAAGCTAACACGAAGTTAATAAAACCCGAGAAGAGAGTTCTACGACTTGCTCTACCATGGGAAGAAAAGATTATTGAGAATGAAAGTGTGGTGCTCTTATTCCAGAGGCTCTCATACAAAAGAGCCTTCTACCAGAAGTTAGGTCAAACGAAGGGGAGTATCATTGTTTTTGATTGTGGAGCAGGTTTCATGGATACAATTCGTCTTGAAGATAGCTACTCTGTACGAGTTTCAGACTTCAATGACTTGATCAGCCAATTGAAAGGTATCATGACTGATCAGGATAAGGAGATCAGTGATAGAGAAATGAACACCTTGATTATTGAGAACCTTTCTGATTTTTACTGGACTCTACGAAGTCTGCCTCAGCGAGTATCGTCATATCTTAGATTACGGGACTTGACAGCTCAGCTCAAAGAACGGTACCAGTGTAATATCATTGTCACTAGCTGGGATAGTGACTTTGAGAAAGGGTACAATCTAAAACACAGTAACGACGATCCAAAGAAATTGCTGGATCTAACGTTCATCCCGCCAGACTTTTATACCAAGTTTGACCACATTTACGCCATTGGAAGGCAGAACTACAAGTACGAGGAAAAATGGCAACGATGCACATGAAAAATGTATGATATTGAAGTAGAAACCTCTGTAATAAAGATTCGTTGTATAAGTCGTGAAACGGTAGAAGGAAAGCTTACATGACAGTCAAGTCACCGAACTTCTCCTTGTAAGATGGAACCTCCCACTTACCGTTCTTGATCATGTAGTTGACCTTGTCGTCAATGTCAGGTCTGGCCTTGACAACGTCTTCGACGGTCAATTGGTCGAATGGTCTAGAGCCCTCGATGTCCTTCAAAGTGGCCTGCAATTGCTCAATCTCCTCCAAGACAGACTTTTCGGTCAACTTGGCGTTCTCAACAGCCTTTTGCTCGAAAATGTCAATGGTCTTCAAGGTCTTAGACACGTCGTAAGTGACTGGCTTGAAACCGTTAACGGCCTTCTCAACCTCGTCAATGACGCTCTGGTTCTTCAAAACCTTCTTGTAGTGAGCAAAGTCAACCTCAGCGGACTCGGTGGTCAAGGCAAGGTGCTCCTTCTTAGCCTCATCGTTTCTCTTCTTGAAAGCAGTCAAGCTGGCAGAAGTCTTGCCGGTCAAACCCAAAGAGGAGATGACCTGGGCCCAGTTCAACTTGGTGGCAGCACTCTTAGCAACGGACATTGTTTATCGAGGTGATTCTGGTTGTTTAAAGGTATTGAGGCCTTGAGTTTTTTGGTCGCTGTTAGTGTGCGCCGACCGTGCTAGTGCGGATGCTCGGGCTTCCAATTGGCCAATCAACGGTGTTGCTGGAGGACACCGACTAAAGAGCAAAGGGGCTGGAAAATGGGAAGATATTTGGTCAGTGGGCGGAGAGTTGATTGAGAACGGACTTTCAAGCGACAATTGATTAATTGGATTGGTTTGATGAACGTAATGGTGAAATTGGCGCCACGATCACGTGATCACAAATTGAATCGAATACCCACCACAATAATACCAGCTACTGACCTTAGAAAGGCGTGTATTTGATCCGTGGAGCATTCAATTTGATCAATCCTTCAACTTCGTCTCCTTTGGCTCGCTTGGTGCCTTTATACTACCTAGTCTGCGGCTCACCCTGGTGGCTGCAAATCTACAGTGAAACCACCAGTAAAGACTCTTCCACTCGAAATACTTAATCCCCATCAATTCCCCAAAACATTCAATCTCATATATACTTTACCTCATCTTGTGTTGATATTAGGTAGATCCTTAGGCTGTGCATACATTTAGGGTTCTCAACAAACACTGTAGCCGGGAACATACACAACAAAACACTCGATATACCTTAAAACATGTATAATAAACCAATTGGTTCATGCAGAAGGCCCAAAATACTCTATAAATCCATTTTTCTTCCTTCTGCTTCCCTCCCCCTTTACCTAGCTCAGATCGATATCTAGCCCAGAATAGCTATGGCAAGCGCGACTGCTTCTCTAAATAACTTGTGCGTAACTGACAGTTGATCAATGGCAGATCATCTTCAAGCCAATACCAATTACATCTTTCACTGAATCGTTTGGTCTTCCATAGCCATATTATAATCCTGCTGTCGCGTACCTTGTATTCCAGAAGCACGCCATCGAAGCCGATCAGAAATCCTAAATTCATTCGCTTAGACGCAACATCACTGGATCAGCACTTCGTCCACCATGCCTCCAAACATGAAGGGCTTGACCACGTTCATTGTGGATTTGCGTAATTCCAAAGACACTGAGGAGGAAAATAAACGTATCAATCTAGAGATCAACAATGTCCGCTCCAAGTTTTCCCTGTCCCTCAATTCGTACCAGAAGAAGAAGTATATTTGCAAGCTTATGTACATTTACCTTTTGGGTTACACAGAAGAAGTGCATTTTGGCTTAAAACAGGCATTTACCTTGATATCGTCGTCTGACTATGGTGAAAAGCAGCTTGGGTACTTGCTGGTCTCGATCTTGTACAGCCGATCGGCATCGTCGCTCAAGACGCATTTTGAAGACTTGATCGAGCTAGTATGGCCTAGCCTTATGAGCGACTTGAGGTCAAACTCAGAAGATGTGAATTGCTTAGCATTGCAATTCATTGCGTCCAATTTCAATGTTTCTCCTAATGACGTCTTGTCACACGATCTGATCTTGACAAATGCCGATGATCCCGCTTCTCAATGGCAAGAGCTCATGAGAATGGTTTATCAACAATGTGTGTCGCCATCCACATCAGCTTTCACCAGAAAGAAGGCTGTGATTGCACTCTATGTTCTACTGAAGCTTTATCCACTGTTGATACTTGATAACGACAACTGGATACCTCGTCTACTCGCTTTAGTAGACGACAAGGATGTGAGTGTTGTCTTGTCTGTGATTCCATTGGTGAAGCTTCTAGTGGACATCAAACCCATCTATTCAAAATCGCTCCTTCCATCCATTGCCACGCGCCTCTATTCGCTTTTGGTCGAGGAGAACTGTCCAGCGGACTATTATTATTACGAAATCCCAGCCCCATGGCTAATTGTTAAATTATTTCAACTTGTTGAACATTTCTTTGTCATCGGAGAAGATTCCAAAAACCCGGTGGTCATCACTGGAAACATAGACGATCTGACACTTTCTAAACTCAGACAATCTGTCGCCCGACTGATTCAAAATGCATCCAAACCAGTGAAAGGACAACCAAGTCGAAATTCACAATCTTCCATTTTATTTCAAGCAGTCTCCTTGGCTGTTTTTCTCGATGCGTCATTAGACGCTATTGAAGGGGCCATCCACGCATTAGTCCAACTATTAGCTTCTCCTGAAACGAACAATAGATATCTCGTCCTTGACGCTTTAGTCAAGCTATCAGCAAGAGCAAGCTCCACTGCTCCATTCAAGGACCACCTTGAAAAGATCTATCGCTCGTTATATGATAAGGATATTTCAGTGAGAAAGAAGAGCATCGATCTACTTTACACCGTTTGCGATGAAGCGACTTACTCACAGATTATTTCTAGATTGCTCGATTATTTTCCTCTAGCTGAGTCTTCCTTGAAGTCCGACATTTCCGTGAAAATTGCTGTCTTAGCTGAGAGGTACGCCACGGATTCAATTTGGTATATTTCCACAATGCTCAGACTTCTTGCCATCGGCGGCAAGAGCGCTAAAACTGGTCATAATGATGGCTTAGGGTCTTCAGGAGAAGTTTGGGAGAGAATTGTCCAAATCATTGTCAATAACGAGGATCTCCAGAAAAAGGCATGCAAGCTAATCATTAATCTTTTGAGAAAAGGAGATAGCATGAATGCTGATAGTCTCGTCAGAGTTGCAACATTGATACTTGGCGATTACGGCTATTTAGCTGCAGAGGGAGAAGAACGGTCAAGTCATTTCAGCAACTTCTCGCAATTTGGCATGCTATATGAAGCTTATTTTAGAGCTCAAATACCGACCAGACCCTTATTGCTTTCATTTTTTATCAAGGTATTGGTCAGATTTCCTGACGAGGATTTCGTCCCCGATATTCTTGACTTATTTGAGGCCGAGACTCTTTCGCTCGACTTGGAAATTCAGACTAGAGCGCATGAATACTTGAAAGTGGGCAGCCTCACTGTCAGCGGTGATCATAACGACAGGGTCTTCGCCAAAAGCATTGTGAAGCCATTGCCTCCGTTTGACGTAAAGCAGAATAGCTTGATGAATCATTTGGGAAGCTTACAGGTTCTTAAGAGTGCAAAGTCCAGGTCAACGGTCAATGTGCTGAAGATCCCTAAACCTAAGGGCGATACGCGAAGTTCAAGGGTCCCAATGGACATTGATAGTGACTTGAGTGATGTTGAAGATGGAGACAGTGAGAATGGTAATGATCCATTTGGCGATTCTCCAACTACGTCGGTCATGAAGCTATCTCCAAACTGGTACAATGGATATCATAGAATGCTTCACTATGATGCTGGTATTTTTTACGAAGATCAACTCATCAAGATAACATATAGAGTGATCAAGGCAGCCGCAAATGTTAGCTTTCAATTCACCATTATCAATAACGCCGCAAAAACGGCGAATACTGATATTACAGCCTTTTCGGTGCTCGAATTACAATCTCAATGCAAGCGGGAGGACCCGAGCTATATTGCCAAATTGGTGAAGGTTCCAGATTCGACCATTGCCACGAAAACTACAATGGAAGTTGCAGCTACCGTAAGAACTGTTGTTGAGAACAATGAGAGCCCCATCCTTTCGTTGAGTTACAGGTGCGGAGGATCGTTCAACACTTTACATCTTAAGGTACCAGTGGTGCTTTTGAAGACGCTATCTGCAACGGACTTAGCACCTGAAGAGTTCAAGCGAAGATGGTTTCAAATTGGGGAAGCTTTGGGTAGTAATGCAGGCGAGGCGAGAGGGGCAGTGAAGACAAATCACAAGTATGTTCTGTCAAACGTGCTGCGTACTCTTCAAAGATTAGGGTTTGCCGTGGTCCACTGCACGCCGGATTCGTCTACTCTGGATATTCTTGTCATGGCAGCTGGAATTTTGCACACATCGAATTCAAACTTTGGTGTACTTGTGTCTATGAGAAGTTTAGAGGGAGATGGTCGTCTTTTTGATCTTACAGTCAGATGTACTGGCGGTGGTGTATCTGATGTCATATACCGAAGTTTGGAGGAAGTCTTCGATATCAAGACGTAGGCGATCGCCAGTACAGCTTACGTTTTTACACATTTGGGATCCGCCTCAACTTCTAGACCCTTCAAAGCGGGGCAATGAAGTACAACACTGCCCGTATTGAACGACGATAGCATGTTGACAAGATACCTTGAGCTTCTACTCGCTTTCCCTTTATGGATATTGTACTCTCGGGTGCAGTCGAACGATCGCTATATGGTCGAGTTCTCAATGCTTTTTCCTAATCGAGGTAAATGAGACTTAGGCGATTTTCCCATTAAGGCAAATCAACATGCACGACCTGCACATACATTGAGGTTTTTTGCAACCAGTCCAGAAATCGATCTTGCCTATCGAGGGAAGTTTGTGGGCGCTATGTTTTGTTATAAAATGTATCAAGACCCATTTTCTCTTCATCTACGGATTTTTTGTTCAAAGCGACCTACTTTCCTTCATACCCGCCATGATTGCAGCACAAGTGCTTGTGTTTTTTCTCTCCTTGCTTCATGTCTCGTTGGCTGCTCCAGTGACCGTCTGGCAGACCACAACTGCTGTGACCAACGCAGATGGCTCGCAGTATACCTACAACCCAGATGCTGACGCTACGCTGGCCGTGGCTGCAACTGCCGCCCCTACCGCTGAAGCTAGCCCTGCTCCTTCGTCGTCTGGTTCAAGCATTGGCTCTTCTATCTGGAGCTCTTTCCTGAACTGGTTGAGCAGTTACTCCAGCAAGTCGTCGAGCTCTAACTCGAATTCGAACTCTAACTCCAGTTCGAATTCTAGTTCTGGCCTGGGCTTCAGTTTCTCCTCGTGGCTCAAAGGTCTTTTCGGTGAGCCTGACGACTCTTCCTCAGGCTCCGGTTCCTCGTCTCAAGTTTCATCCACCCCAATTGCTACTTCTTCAGCTTCTACTGACGGTGGCTGGTTCGGTGGTCAGAGCTCTACCTCAACTTCCAGCACTTCCAGCAGCAAGACGTCCTCTGGCTCTGGAAGCACCGGTGGTATCTACGATGAGATCTACAACTCGAAGCAGGACATTGATGTTGACTTTGCTAAGGACATCTTGGATGCCCACAACAAGTACAGAGCTCAGCACGGTGTTGACGACTTGTCTTGGGACCAGGACACTTACAACTACGCTAAAAAGAATGCCGATGACTATGACTGTTCCGGTGTTCTTACTCACACTCACGGTCAATTCGGTGAAAACTTGGCTGCTGGTTTCAGTACCGGCTCATCTGCTGTGAAGGCTTGGTACGAGGAGGGTGAGACTTTCAACTACAATACATACAACGAGTACAACCACTTTACTCAAGTTGTTTGGAAGGGCTCGAAGAAGGTCGGTTGTGCCTACAAGGACTGTCGTAAGAACAACTGGGGCTTATACATTGTCTGTGAATATGACCCAGTCGGTAACGTCATTGGTCAGGAACAGGCTAACGTTTTGCGTCCAGTCTCGTAATTGGTGACATTAAGGAAACAAAAAAATAACTTTTCAGTTCGTTCGTTGACAGTTGATTCTTAGGTATACCTGTATTTTAAATATTGATAACATTCTTCAAGCAAGTAAAGATGTAGTCTTTATGAAAGGTAGTTTTGGGTAATACCCCGGCACATATGACGAGCCAGGTCTTACCTCGAGATGTGCATCCCTTATTAAGCGTCTATCAGTGCCATTTCGATTATGAAGGTGCAGAAGTTGATTAATCTGCTCTCGAAACTGTTGGTCCTTGTATACTTTCTTGACCGCAATTGCAAGGTCTTTTGTTATTAGGTTGTAGTCCTCCTCTGTGCGAGGGGACGCATCAAACTTGAAGAACCAGATGCCACTTACTAGCTCAATGTCTTTAGGAGTTTCAGGAACAATCTCATGTAGAGCATTAAAAAGTGCTTTCTTCACTGCTTTCCGGAATTTAGCTCGGGCAACCGCTGTATCTTTCGGATGAGGTGTAGTCTTGAAGTACTGGTTTCGCGAGTAAGGGCCCTTGTAAGACTTGAAACCCTCATACAATTGCCGGTCATTCAAAGGGAAACCACCTATGTTGGAGAAGGTATATGCAATGTTTGACTTTCTCACTAGGGACAAATGATGGTAGTATGGATAATACTTCAACCTGAAGAACGCATTGTGTACGACTGTTGGTGTCTTTTTATACATCTGTTTCCTTTCAATGTGAGAGTACGCCGCATGGTCGACACCCTTGATATCAGTTGGCTCTTTCGGAAGCTTCTTGTTTGTTATATGAGAGAACTTTGCGTAGTTGGCAGGACGGTACCGTAGATATCCATCCTCAACGTACTGGAAGCCCGCAGGTTTCGGTAGTGGCCTTATTTCTATATCATTGGGTATTATTGGCTCTGGGGCTTTGCATATAACTTGGGAACTCTTCGTTTTTAGAGCGTTGGATAGTAGCTTCTGAAGCAGAGACATATGGGATGAGAATGCGTACCGAGAGATTTTGTTATGCAAACAAAAGTGCGCATTATCACTAGTTCAACTCGCTATCGACATCTGGGGACCAAAGAACCACCAGATCATCTGCAGATGCCACGTTTAATAACTTTGGATTGAAGGACACCACTTTGGAAACACCATAGCCAGGAAGGCCTTTGTAGGGTCTGATGACGGGCTCGTTCTTCTCAGATGCCTTCACCTTGGAGACATCGAAGATGAATAAAGTACCATCAGGAGAGCCAGAAAGCACAAATTTGCCACAGGACGTGAAAGTGGTCAGACCGGAAGTAGCGTAGTTAAATCGAAGCCATCCATTCTGTGGCTCTTCCACGGCACTAAGGCATGTTAGTAGTTTGCCCAGCATGGCGTCAAGGATGTAGTGTTGTGAAGAATCGGTGCCGATGAGAAGAAGCTTACCATTATTAGAAAACTCCACCTTGTTCCATTTGTGACCTGGCGTGCAGTGTACGTTTGCTTTGGCGAAAGGACCCTTTTCGTATGAGGAGACATCGTAGAACGATATCGAGCCAGTGTCTGAATGAGCATCCACATCTGGGCTTTTAGCAATAACAAAGATAATACCTTGAGGGTCGTAGGCCACTAGAGAAGTTTGACCAGCAACAATGTTACCCAGTGGAGTAGTAAGTCTCAAGTCCCAGTGCTTAACCGTATGGTCAGCGCTGGCAGTAAGAAACGTTTCCGTGACTGGATTCACTTCAAGCGCTGTGACCTGATCCTTATGGCCTCTGAAATAGCGTAGATATGATTTCGTGTTGAGCGATAAGTACCTTAACGAATGGTCTGCCTCTGTTTCTGAAGAAGGAGTGGACGCGTACAAGCAGCAGTGATCGTGATGGGTGAATCTAGCAAGGTGAGCTCCGTACTTCTGAGATTGGATCTTCTTCACCCTAGTACCTTTGTGACAATCGTAGAGTTGTATCAGTCGATCAACACCAGCTGATATAAGGAACTGACCAGTATCATCAAAGTCAAGACTGGTAATTGAAGCACCTTCGTGATGACTAAGATTCTTTGTCGGCTTAAGCGTCGCCAACACCTTATCGGTGATAGCTACCGTCGACAGGGACTTCTTGGACATGGGCGTGGTTGCTGGAAGGTATGTTTGTATGTGAAAAGATGCGTACTAGTAATGCGCGTAGATGATGTAGGTGGAAATTGATGGACAGTTAGAGTGTACAACAGCAGCTGATGAGTGGTTGATGTTGGGCAAGGGAAAGGACTAAGTGAGTGTTGTTGTTGAAACTTGAGCTGTTTTGGATGATATTTGAATTTATAGAGTGGTGTGAACCATTGGGTGCAAAATGCTGAATGTAGCGAGATTTGTAAAATGGTGCACTTGACATGCAAAAAGACCGAATATTGGAAATCAAAACAAAAATAAAATAAAAAAAAAATGAAGCGTAGAGGAACAGAGAACATATGTAAAGTGAATTGTAGTCTTCACAGGTTAACGATAAGTTAAAACTAGCGCAAACATACAATTACTGGTCCAGTGTCTAATCTGTCAGATCTACAGTATAAGCGGTTGGAAGCCAAAAGCAAGTGAAGATCCCAGTAGATAAAGAAGGAAGTTTCCTTTAGGAGCACCGAATTGCCCTGCGTTTTTAAAACTTATAAAGTAGCAAGATCTCACCCCACTAAAACCGAAATACCCAACTGGAACATCAATTATCCTTTCCTTTTTTTCTAGAAGACAGCCAGCCTTGTCATTCGCTCAAGCGCTGAACTTTCCAAGATCTGAAGCTTCCCCACCGCACTTTTTCTTATTCTCGCTTCCCAAATTGGGTGCGAAAAGCGAGACAGAGCTACTGGTATCTTTAGATTGCGGTGACTAAAAAGAGGAAAGAGAGTCAGAAGATGGAAATTCAACCTGTACTTATATACTCGTCCAATTTCTTTTGGCAAATTTCACCTGGAAGTGGGCACGGAGGGCTCCTATCTTGGGAAGCATCCACGTGACGGTTTATCATGGCTCTCCTATACATAAGCGGCTCCAGATTGGACTTGCTGAGCCTTCCGAAATAGCTACCCCTTATCCTTGACTAGTCTACGAATTTCAACCATCCCATAAGACCAATCCTTTCAATTTCTTGTCATAATATGGAGAAGGTGCCTTTCAAAGTAAAGGCGCTCTACGAGTATAAATCTGAGCACGAGGATGATTTGAACTTCGCCCCAGGTACCATTATCACGGTGACCGAGGTGGAAGACGACGAATGGTATTCCGGCTTTCATGGTGCTGAAAGCGGTATGTTTCCCAAGAACTTCGTGGAGCCCGTGAAGGAGGATCCTCCTGCTCCGACCATTGCCAAACAGTCGGAACCTGCTCCTGTTCCTGTTGTTCCCCAGGAAACTTCAGCACCGCCCACCAGTGAACCAAAGGAGCCAATTGCGTCTTCCCCGCCAGTGGCAAAGGAAGAGAGCTCTAAAGTACCTAAACCAACCGTTTTCCCAGGTCCTGGTCTGCAAAGAGACGACCCTTACGCTGTGAAGAAACTGTTCGCTGGCGCTGGTAAATCATCCTATGTTCCCCAGGTCAAGCCTAGAGACCAAGCCAATATCGTTGGTCACGCTCATCATGATGTTGCCAAAGGTGCTGAAGTTGTCAGAGAACATGATAAGCAACTGGATGAAGAGGAAGCTGACGAGCCTAAAGTAAGCTTGAAAGACCGTATCGCCATGCTACAGAAGAGGCAGCAAGAAGAGGCTGAAAGAGAAGCAGCTGCTTTGAAGCGTAAGGAGGAGCGCAAGAAGAAGTTAGAAGAAGAGAAAGAACGCTTGAAGCATCAAAAGGAATCGCAGGCTGCCCTGCTTTCTGCTACTAGTACTGGTGCTTCCCTAGGCCAAGCCTCTGAGCACGATGGTGACGACACTGAGTCTTTGGCTGAAAGCGTCCCTCCTGTTCCAGGCCATATCCCTCCTGAAGCTGCGCCAAGTATTCCAGAAGAGTACGAGGAGCAGGAAACGCCAGTTGAAGAGGAACGCGAGGAAGAAGATGAGGACGATAATGAGGAAGATGAGGAGGACGAGGAAGAGCTCAAAAGACGCCGTTTGGTTGAGAGAATGGCCAAGATCTCCGGTGGTCGTAATATGTTTGGTATGATGGGTATGCCAACGCCGTTTGGCGCTCCCGCTGCTTCTTCTTCTTCAAAGCCAAAAAAGTCCAAGGCGAAGCCACAGGAAGATGAAGCTGAAGTTCCTGCGGTGCCTCAACGAGTCGAAAAGACACAAACTGGAGAGAGTATTCCTCAAGTGCCAGGTGCTGTTCCAATTCCTGGTATGGCCCAGCCCGGCTCCTCACCTGTCAAGCAGCCCCAAGAAAAGCCCGTAAACAATGCTACAGCTTCACTTAAAAAGCCCACACAGGAGGACTCTTCGATCGCCGAATCAGACTATACCGACGAACAAAATGTACCTGTTACCAATGAGAACAAGGGCTTCGAACAAGTTGAGGAGAATAAACCCAAATCGCCAACCTTAGAGCTGTCTGAAAGTGAACCAGAGCAGAATGAGCGAGACGATGATATGGACCTCGGACCTCGTTCCACATGGGAAGGTGAAGTTACTGGCTATGAGGCCGATGAAGACGTTTCAGATCGTGGAGCTATTTCAAAAACCGAGTTGCCAGAGACCGACCATCCTAAGCTGCCTGCCAAACAGGCCGTGCCACCTCCAATTCCAGGTGGACCACCACCTGGTGAAGCTCCTGCGGCTCCTGAAATTCCATCCGGCCAACCACCCGTTCCCAAAAGTCCAAATCGCTCTAAGGCCCCTCCTCCAATTCCCAGTGCAGCACCTCCATCGGAACCACCTGCAAGTAGTGCTCCACTGATTCCACCGCCTGTACCTCTGGAGGCCCCTCTTCCTCCAGTTGAACGTCCTGAAGTGCCAAGCTCAGATCCGCCAGTGCCTTCTCGTCCTCCACCAACTCCGAGAGACGCTCCTGCTCCACCTACGACTAAGCTTCCACCACCACCTCCAATTCCATCAGGTCCTCCACCTGTTCAAGCTCCAGAGGTGGAGGAAGACTCATCAGAAGACGAAAACGAGTTCAGAGATCTTCCTCCTCAGCCTGCTAAAGCACCGGAAAGAGTTCTGACATTTTCACACCCACCACCCATTCCTCAGGCGCCAATCACGAGGGCAAACACTACTGAATCCAGCAGAAGGTCGTTCGAGTCGCACAAGAGAAAGTCTTCAGACTTGTCTCGCTCGAGGTCAGTAGGTAAGAGCGAACAGCTCCAAGCTGACATTAATTTACCGGTCTTACAAGACGAGATCAACAACCTGGCTGAAAGTTCTGGCTGGTGGATTAAAGATGCAGTTCCAGATTGCTTGGAGGGCAGTGTTGGTACTGATTTCATTTTCGAAGTGGATCGCCACAAGTCGAACAAAAGAGGTGGAAGAGAAGTTGTTTACAAAGACTACTATATTTTGTTCCATGACTTGTCCCAAATTGTTGTGGAGCTCCAGTACGATAGCGATGATCCTAGAACAACGCTTAGTGTCTGCAATGCTTACGTGAAGTCACCAATAATGAACAGGAGGGACGTTCTTGACAAGTACCATGCCCTGTTTGGGCCTGCTGTGGTTGATGCTGCTCAAAGCCTTGCAAACTCACGTGTTAGCAATGGATTTGTGAACACGGTATTCAAGCATGTTAACCATGCTTATAAGGACGTTTTATTGAGCCCTATCGGAAACAAAGCTTTTGGTGTTACTGTGTACAAAAACCAGAATGGTACTTCTGTGAAATACGATGATATCAAGGCTGGTGATATTTTGTGCATGAAGAATGCCAAATTCACTACTCATGGCCTTGGTGGATTGAGTACTAAAACTGCTGTCTACGGAGAGGGCAACCACTTCTACAGTGGAGTCATTGTTGAAATTGACCATAAAAAAGATAAACTCAGGGTACTTGATTCAGATGATTCAGGAGCTGTCAAGAAGGAGTCTTTCAAAATTAATGACTTGAAATCTGGAAGATTACGTGTTTTCCGTTTTGTCGACAGACAGTTTGTTGGATGGTGATAGTGTAGGTGCCCTCACTGCAGGCTCATTACGCACCGAAGAACGCAAGGATACAGCAAGCCTGCAGAATGGTGCGAACCAGCAGCGAGTCATATCGCTTCCAGGAACATAGGCGAGTCATCCAATCCAGTCGAGGCTGTGGCTGTTAAAAGCGAGCCAGGAATGAAAGAATTGCGCCACGTGAAAGCGAGCCAAACGCATTCTGGTGTCGAATGCTCCACTGCTTAACGTGATTAGACTTCTCAGTTCTAGTGTCATTCATGCAAAGTACATAAACGCGACAAGGGTTAATTGTGTGGAGAATGGTTGCCACGAAGACAATAGTGAAGCAGTTCCCACGATCACAAGAGTAGCCGTCAAACTTTTTGCCAATAAAGATATTTTGAAGTACACAAAACCTTATCACTCACCGTAGCCACCATTATTGCTCCAAGTGTACGACAAGAGCCACATCCATTTGGCCCTACATCCGTACACCGCGCCGTAGAAATGTTTAGCCGGCAATCTGTAGCAATCCAAGATACAGATCACTGAAAAGGAGGTGTGGAATAAGACTTATATATCTGTCCCTACTTCTTTGCTTTAGTCTAGTGTTTAAGCATGCCTATTCAGAATCTTGAACCTGACTTCGCTATAGGCGTGAAGCGTCACAATGTGTCGCCTAAGGATTCTAAGGCCAGTCAAACTGTCGCCGACGATGATTCGAACTTGCAATTGCTCTTTGACACTTTGGAGAAATTTGGTTTCAAGGCTCAGGTTCGTGCTGGAGCTGACAAGGGAACCCAACTCCTTGTTTTTTTGAAGATCACTGCCAAAGCATATGAAGAACTTGTCAAAAAAGACTTGCTCAGAAACTACGAGTTTGGCCTCACCGACGATAACAGTGCTTCCTACAACAAGCAAAGACTTATCTACGAGTACTTGACTACTCTGGACACTTTGGGTGGTGTTGGAATCACCCCTGGCGTGGGTCAATGGAAGTTTGTGGAGTCCATCACTTCATTGGATGGCTACTTGGCTGACAGCACTGTCACCGAGCAAGCCAAGAAGGATCTTGTGGACCCCACTTTCTCCACAGCCAAGTTCAAGAACCTTTATGGTCCAAATGTTGCCTTGTACTTTGACTTTGTGCGCTTTTACACCTTGGGATTATTTACTTTGGCCTTGTTTGGCATTATTGGCTTTTTGAAGTCGAAGAACTACTCAATTGCCTTCTCATTTATTAACTTGATTTGGGGTACTGTTTTGCTTGTCTTGTGGAGAAGAAGAACCAGATTCTTGTCCAACACTTGGGGTGTCCAGAATGCTCTTACCTTGGAGAGGTTCCGCTCCGAGCTTGTGGGCGCCGCTGGTGAGGTACAAGACAGTAAGCAGAAGGCCGAATCTGACAAGATTAGATTCCTTAAGCAGCTTCTCTTTGTTCCAGTTGCTATTGGTTTTGGTTTCATCTTGCTCACCGCTCAAGGTCTTTGCTTCGTTTGGGAAATCTTCATTCTGGAAATCTATGATGGTCCTGGAAAGGCTGTTTTGACATTGACACCAACGATTCTCTTGAGTTCTTTTGTGCCTGTTTTCACAATCGTGTACACCACAGCAACAAAAAAGTTTATCGATTGGGAACGTCACCACAGTAACCTTACTCGCAGCCAGTCTTTCGCCATCAAGTCCTTCTTGTTGAACATCATGACTGGCTATGTTCCCCTTCTTATCAGTGCGTTTATCTACTTGCCCTTTGCTCATCTTCTTCAGCCCAACTTGATTTACATCAAGAGAGCTATTGCCGGAAGAATCAGATCTGATAGATATGCCTACCTGTACTTGACCAATATCAAGACCCTGGAATCTTTTGAAATCAACCAGAGCAGATTAGACTCGCAATATTTCTACTTCATTGTCACTAACCAGGTTATTGGTAGCATTTTGAAGTTTGGTTTGCCTTTGATTTTGACCCCTCTTATCAACTTTGCCAAGAAGCTCATTTATGGAAAAGAACCACAAGTTGACGTTGAAGAAGACCCACAGGAGAAGAGTTGGTTGGACCGTGTCCGTCGTGCTGCAGAACTTCCTGAATATTCTGTTGATGATAGCTTCAGAGACATTGCTTTGCAGTTCGGATACGTCACCGTTTTTGGCTCAATCTGGACATTGGCGCCTGTTGTCTGTATTTTCTTTAACATACTTACTTTCAAGTTAGAGGAATGGAGATTGGCTAGTGGACTTTACTTTAAGCCTATTGTTGCCAGAAAGATTGACACAATTTACCCATGGAATGTTGCATTCTTCTTCTTGGCTTGGCTTGGATCAATTGTTTCTCCTTTGGTGGCCTCGTTCTACCGCCATGGTGCTAAACCTCCAAAGAACTTTGGTCTGTTCGGATTCGATAAGGCCAGTGTGAATGTCGGATCTACTATTGGTCTCGTCACTGTTTTGTTACTTTCTGAGCATTTGTTCTTTGCTTTGTACTTCATTGGCAGTAAATTGAGCGATCTCTTCAAGTCTGAACAAGAAACCGAGAATGACAACTTCCAAAATACCTTGATCTTGAGAAGACAAGAGTTTTCATCCAAGAAGATTCCACAGATTAGCGCCCCTGACGACAGCGAATGGAGTTCTTACTCCCCTAGCAATGCCCTTCAGCAGGCCAAGTCTCTCAATGTTTACGAGAACAAGCCTCAAGAAGAAGGGGGCAGTAGTATTACGGACTCTATCAAAGCTATCGGAGCACTGACTGGTATTAGCACCACTGCTGCCTCAGAAGGATCTTCTTCGGTGACAAACAAGAAAGAGCTTTTGGAAAAGAAGAGAAGAGAGCTCGAACAACTTCAGGAAGAGAAACGCAGAGAATTGGAAGCCCGTGCTGAGAAAGGGGACTCTATTGTCAACACCGTTGGTTCCCAAGGTGAGCCATCTCAAGCTATAATCGACGATAACAGTCATGTACCAACATCCGGTACTGATTACGAGAAGGATATTGACCGTGAAGCTGCTGCTTCGAGGTCTAAGGAAGCACAGAAATCTCTGGATGCCGGTGAAGCTCTGTCAAAGGAAAAGAAGAGATCACTGGCTGCCCCAGCTGCTCTTGCCGGAGCCGGTGGTGCTGCCGCTGGAGCTGCCGGAGCCGGAGCTGCCGCTTCCTCTTCATCTTCCAAGGGCAAAGAACCACAAGGCAAAGGACCACAGGGTAAAGAACCACAGGAGAAGTCTCGTAGTGCTAACCCAAGTGAAGGCGGCTCTGCCCTGATTGCTCAAGCTTCTCCAAGCAATGACCCTAAGGCCGCCCTCAACAAGGAGCATCTTCTGAACAAGAGTGCGGAACGTCTTGGAGTCCTCGGTAAGGAAGGAACCGTTGCACCTGTTGCAGAGCGTGCCGAGGAGACCAAGCTCCCTGTTGCTACCGGAAAAGACGAAGAAGAAGGTGTTGAAGGTGCTGAAGGTGCTGAAGGTGGCGAACAAACCGAGCAGCCCGCAGCTGGTAACGAAGAGCCATCTGAACAAGTACAAGCTAACGGGACCGAGCAAGAGAGCGGCGCTGCCGCTACCAGCAACCAGAAGTCGACTGAAAACAAGACTCCGGACAACAAGTCAGGCGACACCAAATCAACAGACAACTCCAGCTTTGACGAAAATGGAAAAAAGTCCTCTAGAAAAAAGAGTTTGAAAAACTTGTTGAAGAGAAAATGATTGATTTTACCACTTTACATATGTGTTATTATACTCTTTACCATTCTTGACCCAATGCAATATACTTTTATTATTATCCACATCTCCCATTTAATGCCCGTTTCTAGGAGGTCTAGCTCCGAAAATTGAAGTTCCAACACGAACGCTTGTAGAGCCTTGTTCGATTGCAGCTTCAAAGTCATTACTCATACCCATACTCAACTGTAAGTCAAGGGAATACTTTTCATCAAGTTTCTTTTTCAAGTCAGCCAACTGAGTAAAATCCTTGTTTGCCCCACTGTCAGAGGTTGACTCCGCAAAAGAACCGATAGTCATGATGCCTTCCAATTTCAAAGATTGGCTTTTTTGAAGAAACTCTACCGTTTCATAGATCTCATCGAGATTATCTAGACTGTAACCAGATTTCTGTTCCTCAGAGGAAGTGTTTATCTGCAAATAAACATTAATGACGGGAAGTTTAGCGTTTGTACGGACAGTGTCTAGCTTCTTAACCTTCTTCAAAGAATCAAGTGTCTCGACAGCGTACAAGTTCTCGATGCCTTTGCCCAAGTCTTTACACTTGCCGGTCTGCAAACCTCCAATGAAATGCCAGTTGATATCCTTGGGAAGCTCATTAGCCTTTCCAATCATCTCTTGAACATAATTTTCGCCAAAATGACGCACACCGTGCTCGTATAAAGCTAAGATGTCTGAAGCAGGCTTGAGTTTAGACACTGCTACTAGCCTAACAGGCTTTCCTTGGGCCTTGCTTTGCACTTGCAGCAAAATCCTGTCGTAATTGGCTGCGAGTTCACTAGTTCTTTCTGACAGAGCCTTATTCATTGTCACCGAGAAGAGTCTTTTCAAAGCTGGAGTTCTGCAATGGGAAGAAAGCATGTTGCAAATTTCCGTTCTGAAGAATGATGCCTTGTTACAGCACATCCGTACACCGCAGATCGGACTACTTGGGCAATTTCCACCCAATATAATGTTGTAGATAAATTGTAGGTTCCATTCTGTTCAAACGGTGAATTTCGGTCTTTGACATATCGTTTGATGGTTGTTCTTGTAAACCAGTTGTTTCATGAATCATCAAGTTAAAGTGTCACAAAGCACGCTTTTCGCAGCCATCTCGCAACCTTAAGAACAGCTGCTTGAAAAATGATGGAGGTAGAATGACAAGGAGAATGTCGGTGAAGAATCTGGCTTTTATTATCCTGGATAACTTGGGTTACAAAAAGAAGAAAAAAAAAAATAGTTTGAGCGTGAATCAAGGTTCTTAGGTAGTGTGCTTGATATTCATGTTCCGTCAATTCAAGACACCTGGCTGCTAGAACAGACCAGTTTGTGTTTTCAATGACAACCTTCATTTTCAGACCCTCTTTAGTCTATGAAGTCGTATTCACAATAGTATAGTAGAACACTTCTCAAAATCACGTCCCAGCCTCTATCTGTCTCATCTCAGACCGGCTGCGAAATATCAGTCCAAGCTTGGGTAAGCCCATACCACCAAGAAGTTTACACACCAAAAATCCTAAGTTTAAAACACCATACTTGACAGTGAATCAACGAGAAATGAATAATTTTGCCCCAATTTGGCTACTAATTGCCAGGGTGGGCTTGTTGTAGAAGCCCTAAAAAGTCCGAGTGTACGGGTGTGGGTCCGATGCCGAAAAATTGTCAATGGCCATGGTGTAAGATGCAGTTGACCCTGGATCGGTGGTGATAGCATTCAGATAACTTTAGCATAACACAGTTACCCCAAAACTATGTCTGATTCCGTATACACCGGTGAGGACTTTGATTCCAAAGTGAGAAAACAGGTTGAGTTTTACTTCTCCGACTCCAACCTTCAAACCGACAGATTTCTTTGGAGAATCTATGAGGCTAACGATGGATGGGTTGAATTGAAGACCATCTTGACTTTCGGCAGAATGAGACAGTACAGACCAGAGGAGAGAGTCATTGCAGCCTTGAAAGAGTCCGACAAGCTTGTTTTGTCTGCTAACGAAGATATGATCAGAAGAAAGGCTCCATTGAAGGACCACAACGAGTTGAAGAACATCAGAAGAAGAAACTCCGTGCACATTGAGGGATTCCCAAGCGATGTTTCCCAAGAAAAGTTGGAAGAATGGTTCAACGAGAAGATCGTTTCGCAGTTACCAAAGGAGCAGGCTATTTGCTCTATCCGTAGAATCAGAAACAGATCTAAGGAGTTCTTTGGTGTCGTCGACGTTGAGTTCAAGACCCAGGAGGACCTGGAACACTTCTTGAAGTTGGATGTCAGCTACCCACAAGGTGTCGTTGAAGGTGTTGAGGAGAAGGATCTCTTGAAGAAGATGTCCCTCTTGAGATTCAGAGAAATGAAGGAATCTGGCAAGAGATTTGGCGTTAATGAGGTCACCAAGAGAAGAAGCTCTTTCAAGGATAACAACAACAACAAGAAAGCTCGTAAGGATGACAAGAAGGATGATGAAAAGACTGCCGACACCGAGGAGAAGGAGGCCAATGGTGACGAAGCCAACACCACTGCCATTGAAGAAGGTGACGAAGAGTCTAAGGAGGAGTCCAAGCCAGTGACCGAGGAGGCTAAAGAAGAAACTAAGCCAGAGACTGAGGAATCTAAGGAAGAACCTAAGGCTTAAAGGTTTTTCAACGTAACTATATGTATCCCCACCATTCGTTGTATGATAGGGAGATACAAAGACACCCACACTGTGGATTCAGTGTAAAACAGACGTAACATAGATAATCAAGAAACAATTGAATCCGAAAAATAGAAAAAGAGAAATAGCTTTGATAGGTTGTTTGTCCATGTAGCTTGTTTGGAGTGTTTGACGCGAGAAAACGCGTCCGCGAAATCAAGAGTATCAACACCAGCTCTGATAATTATCGCGCATAGAACCCATCTCTATACTTGACAAGCCATGGCTGCAGACGAAGTGACGACCAAATGGATAAATTCCAAGTTTGGTGATGTTGATGATGAAACCGTCAAGAGGCTTCTTTCGGTAAAGGATATTTTCAATTACACGAAAGACGACTTGTACATTCAATGGGAAGCCTTTGTGGTGACCCAGGAAGATGGTGAATTGGATGTGACAGCAGATAACGTGGAAAGATTTCAAGAGTGGGCTCAGAAGTCTCTCAACAATGACTCAACAAAGAAGAACCCGACGATCAAGAAGAGTGCTGACGCAAGAAGGAAACCTGCTATGCGTACTGCTGTTGAGTTATCATCAAGTCCAGGCGCTGGCTTTGGAATGCCTTCGACTCCACGCTTCAAGAAACAAAAGATGGAACCTCAAAGTGACAAAACCTTGGCTTCAAGTCCTTCGCATTTCACCACTGCTGATAATACCATGATATCACTGAGTTCCAAGAAACCAGAGGCTGATCCACAATACGAGCCAAACACTGTTTTGGAATGTTTGAACCCAGCAGTGGAAGCAGCACAGCTGAATGAAAATCCACCACGACTCTCCGCTAACTTTGATCCAGAGAAATTCAAGTTCAGAACAATGGCCATGAAGCTTTTGGAAAGTGCTGATGTCTTGGACGACCAGATCGATTTGTTCAGTCTGAAGTTCTCCGAAGAGCTCAAAGATAAGGGCATTGAGCTTGGAAATCCTTGCATGAACTCCCAGTTTGACATTGCATGCTGTGGTAGAATTGTGCCAGACTCTCCTTTCTACGACAGTATGATAACGCAAACCCTTAATGACAAGTCTTTGTTCTTGGAAACCTCCAGACTCGGTGGTATCGGACAAAGAATCCTGTTGGACTTATCTAATTTGCAAGAGTACTCATTCTTTCCAGGACAAATCGTTGGGTTGAAAGGCAGAAACCCAACTGGTCGTGCATTTGTGGTTCACGAGGTCTTGTCTTTGCCAGAACTTGGTACCCCTGTCACCCACGTTGCTGAGCTACAAGACATTAAGGAAGCGAGTAGCGGAGAGAGCTTAAAGGTCGTCATGGCTGCCGGTCCATTCTCTAACCATCATAACCTCAACTTCAGCAAGCTCGATAAATTCGTACAGCAATTAAATGATGTCGTTAAGCCACATGTTGCAGTCATCTTTGGGCCACTTCTAGATGTCACTAATGCTGCAGTAGCTGATGGCGAGGTCGAGGTACCTGGCGTGCCAGCCAACCAACAGCCAAGGGATCTTGATGAATTACTTCGAACCGTCGTTACTCCAATTCTCAAGAAAATCGATTCAAACATCCAAGTCATTTTAGTGCCTTCGTTACGCGACGCTGCCTCTAAACATGCCTCATATCCACAGTCTGCATTTGATAGAAAGAAACTTGGGCTTCCGAAGAATTTCAAGTGTTTCCCTAACCCATCCACTTTCTCGATCAATGAAGTTGTGATTGGTGCTTCTAACGCTGATATTTTCAAAGACCTTAAGGATATTTACAAGAGCAACGTTTCGCCAGAAAAGAGTCTGTTGTTCTCTAATAGGTTTGAGAGAATTGCAAATCATGTCTTCCAACAAAGACGCTTCTACCCGATTTTTCCTGGCTCAGTGAGAAGACAGCCATTGACAAAGGAAGAGTCTGAAAAGGCCGTGGGTTTGCTTGACGGTAACGCTGCAGAGGATCTTGTTGAGACGCAAGTAGGC